GCAATCTTAAATATGATAAGGTGCAAGCGGCCAGAAAGCTAATTTATTGGTCAACAATAGGATTGATTATGCTTCACGTCTAAAACTTTTCAAACTACTAAATGACAATTAAAGCAGTTGTGCCGTGTATGATTTATGGTGTCTATTAACAGGAAACAAATGAATACCATATTCTTTAACAAAACATTTTGGACTATAAATAGAGTAGTTAATTCCTCTGACTGAACAATTTTTACTTGGAAACTAAATCTTAACCCAATAAAGACATCAGAATTCACATTACCAACATACGTTAAATCAAGAGAAAATGAAAGCTGCTCAAATTTTATTTGTTGTGTTTTACATTTACACTAAATTAGTCTCTGCTCAACCATGCCAGGCACACTCTGATTGTGCTGAGGGCTGGGCTTGTTTGGGAGCTGAGGAGGAAGTTGTAGCCAAGGGAGTCATTGTTAAAAGAGGAACTTGTGTAAATGGTCAATAGGAGTTGTTGGATAGTTATCGTACTTACAGTCTCTTTATTTTTGTTTCATACTAGTGCGACATAAATGTTCATACTAACGCGACATAAATTGTTCAAACTAGTGCGACATAATTTTGTTTTATGTGATTTTGTTTCCCGTAGGAAAGAAAATTATTAATATAAGATTAAAAGGGATAATGAATTCCAAGCTGGAGTTACACACAAACAGATATGTAGATGGACTTGGAAATTCTTTTACTTTGGAGTCAGACCTCATGGATTTGGACAGTCAGACAGCTCCATTAGAGTCCTGTTTTTGTTACAGTGATTACAATGAAGCAGTCCCTCCAACTAAAATTGAAGCTGACAATTTACATTCCAATATGGAGTGTGATGATGTTGACGTAGATGTAGCCGTTAGCCCTGAACAGGATAAAAACTGTAAATTTAAAAGAGGTCCATACAGATACTACTCTGAAGCAGAGAAGCAAAGATTCTGGCAACTAGTTATCGAACAAGGGTCTTCTGCATACAGAGCTGCACAAGCAACAGACATCAGTTTACAAATAGCTTATACTTGGAAAAGAAATTGGAATCGCCTTATTGCTAACGAAATTAATGGTATCTATGACAAACCTAAAAAGCGTGGTCGTAAACCTCTTCTCTCTGAAGACCACAAAAACTATTTGAAAGAGTTGGTTCTTTCTGACCCCACTGTCACCGTAGACTTCTTGTTGAATAAACTAAGGAGTACATTTGAAGGTGTGAAGGCAAGTGAATCTACTATTTATAACTTTCTTATCAAGGTATGCAAATTTAGTCTCAAGAGACTTTCTAAATGGTCCATGAGACGGGATCTGCCAGAATTAAAACAACAGAGATTCGAGTGGGCACTTGAGAATAAGGACAAAATTGACCTTGAAAAGAATTGTGTTTTCATCGACGAGGCTGGTTTCAACATCAGTATGAGACGGGAATATGGGTGGTCAAAAGTAGGTGAAAAGGCTGTCCTTAAAGTTCCTGTCACCAGAGGTCTCAATGTGTCATTCTTGGGTGCTATCTCTCCAAAAGGGTGTATTGACTTGAAGGTGCGACTCCCAGTCGAGAATGCTCCTAACAAGAAGAGAAAAGTTAATTCCAACACTACCATTTCGGAAAAGAAGTCGAGGGTTGGTACCACAGCCGATCATTTCTACTCCTTTGTCAAGTCTGTGCTTAGAGAAATTGAAACAAACCAGGCACTTAAGGAAATGAAGTATTTGGTACTTGATAACGCAGCGATCCATAAACGTCGCGACCTCGAGTTATTGGTGGCACTGAGTGGAATGGAACTAGTATTTTTGCCAGCTTATTCACCTTCATTGAATGCAATTGAAGAGTTTTGGTCGGTATGTAAGGCTAAAGTTAAGCGATCAAACTTATCTAGAAAAGAACAATTAACACCAAGGGTAAGGGAAGCAACAGCAAAGATAGTCTTAGAAAGCTATCAAGGTTTCTGTAAGCATGCTAGTAGCTTCATACCATACTGTTTAGAAAAGAAATCATTCTAAACTGTATGGATCCTTGTGAATAGGAAGGAGACAGCTTTTGGCTTGGGAAAATAACTGCAAAAATCCCCCAAGAGAGGCGAGTAGAAAAGGACTAAGCTCAGACAAAAAAATTTTGGTTTGATATTATTTCATACTTTAAATCCAATTGCCCTAATTCTACAGAGCCAGGCTCAATTAGGTCAGAGGTATGGAAATTCTTTTGGGTAATGATGTAAATCGTTTGAAAATTTATGTCGCAATGGTTTGAAAAATTATGTAGCGTTGGTATGAAAATTTATGTCGTCTTAGTTTGAAAAATTATGTCATTTTAGTATGAAAAATAAATGTCGCGTTTGTATGAATTATTATGTCGCGCTGGTATGAAAAATTAATGCGCATTAGTATGAATAAAAAATAAAAAGACTGTAATACAATCAGATCTCAACTCACGTCATTGCATCGGGGTTAAAAGAGTGAATGAAGCAAGTGAATCTAGATTTCTTGACGATAAACCGATTATAGCGTCACGTGTACAGTAAAATAAAACTTTACGACAAGAAATATTCAGTTATATACAGGAGCGCATGTTCCAACATATGAGCCATATCATCAACCAACGAGAAACAAGTAGATGTGGAAAACTATATATGGAATGAGAACAGCTCTGTCTGTATGAGTAAGAAGCGAAGTGAAAGTTGGCGCAATTTTGTAGGTTCAAACGTGGTTTTTCTCAAGAACGAAAAGAAAGCCAAGAGACAGAATGATATCAAGGGCTCAGCCTCAAAGTATTTGGTATTTATTTATTATAACTCCGCTCATTCTGCATCTGTACCCTTTGGTTTTAAAAGATGTTAATTTACGTCGGAGTTAACGAACTTGTCCATTGATAAACTCCGGATAAACTCTCCCTTTCTTCCCCAAAACACAAAATGTTAGATAGAGAGAGCGAAAGAGAGAGGCGGATGAATGATCCGCAGCCGCAATGCATATAAAAAATAGAGAACAATAAGCACATAACGGAAGTTATGACTCTGAAATTACGGCAAATGGTACAAAACCCAACTTGTACAAGGCTTTATCATTTCCAATTCCATTTTGCAATTCCTTCTGTCCTTTTCTGTTTAGTCTCGCTTTTCGCTTTAGTTTGCGCGTGACCTTCGCCACCGCTTTTTGTGTCGGTTAATATTGCAGATACGTCAAACAAACAAAGACAGAAACAAATTTATTCCGGTTCTTTTTTTAGCGATTAGAAGACCCCCGCCTGATTTAGCACACGTATATTAAGTATATTATGTATATTATCAACAATGCAACCTCAAGTGATATGAACAAAAAAAAAAAGGAAAAAAAAGTGAGAAAGGGGCCACGTGGTCACCTCTTTAAAGATAATAATGAATGGATATCATCAGTAGATACAGTTGATTATAGTGAGGCAATTTGGCACCAAAGATAAAATAAGCGAATGCTCGTAAAATGTAAGAGTCAGAGGACTATAAATAGAAACATACGATTAACTTCATCAGGCACTAAGAAGTAAAATGATTCCGTCTAGTAAAGAGGCGTAACTCGTAAAGTAGAAAACGTGGGGTCCCACAATGTAAAGTAAATAGTAATTCCACCAAAGTCAAAAATATTGGAATTAGAACCAAAGGATTATACAACTGTTGTATGGAATATTTTCCATTGAAATAAAGTTAGACCTTGAGTTTTGAGGCGCAGAATTGACCCGTAAATGTGAATAGATCTGGCAAAGCTTCAGAGGTGTGATATCGGCCGAATACAACAATTCCCCTCAAAAGAAGATATTGATCTCGGCTGGATAATATTGGTGGTGATGAACAAATGGTCAAAAGGGGCACACCAATATTGTAGTGTACTTTTGCTCAATTTCTTGGCTCTTGCTAAGAAAAAAGAAAACAGATATTCTAGGCATACAAACTAACCGCTTGAAAGTATGTGTGTATGGATGTGGTCTTTGTTGCTAAGAAACTTTCCGTGACGCTACCAAATATGACAAGAAAAATATTAGACTTGGCATTCTGTAAAGCTGTTAGATATGGAACCAAAATGAGACAACATCAGAGCAAATGAAGCCGAAAACACATGACCCAGTAGAGTGAGTGTGTCCTTTGTAAATCAATATTATCCCTGACAAGAGATTACATTACACTTTGATGCATTTGTCAGCTTATGTATGGATGTAATAGTAGTATTCTCTCTTGGCCCTGTCAAAAAATGTAACATAAAAAGCTGTGGCCAGGTCCTGCCACTGTTTCTTTGTAATTATTGTTTGTAATTTGTCCACACAGATAAGCAATTGAATATGGACTTTGAGAATTGCAAAATAAAAGAAAAAAATTTAAAACAAGACAAAACCAGACAGCGTAGAAAAAGTTAAATCACAAAAAGCAGCAAATGGTGGATAACAAAACAATAGATCCTGTATATATAGCTAGCGGTTTTGTGTAATGAGCTGCAACTTTAAAAATTAATTAACAGAAATGGCACACTCCGCATAGATATTTTGATATATCAAAAACCCAATTCTATTCATTTATAGAAATTCTTTGAGCTTGAACAATTATAAATAGCTTGGTATATCCCCCCATCCCCTCACCTCTTTTTCAATCTTTCTTGATAAATTCTTCTTTCTTATCTGTAAGAAACTAGAACTAACAAAACAAAGTTTTTTATTCTACTTTACACACAACCTACACTTACAGTCCAAAACGTTATAATAATCGAAAGAAAACATAAAACTGGTTTTATATTATTCATCTTTGACGCTTTCCCTTTCGATAATAATAAATATTTACTTTGCTTTCTAAAACGAAAAAGAGTCTGCTTTTCATATTCATCAAATTTTTTTTTTCACTTACCCCCTTCCCCCCCCCCCCCTGTTCTTTTGCTTTTCAATCTAGTTTGCAAAAGAGTAGAGAAAGAAACTGAGCAGACTTGCTAATTAATAAGAGACATTGAGATACTACTAAAATACACAACCTCAAACAATGTCAAACTCAAAAGAGAACTCATCAATAAGCGACTCACAACGAAGAAATACTGACTCTTCATTATCAGAAAAATCAATGACAAACACAGCACCAACTACCAAAAACAACACCAATAAGGCTGATGACCAAGGTATGGTTTCACAAGAGTACTATAGGCTACCAGTTGAACAAGTTGCTAAAGAGTTCAACACCAATGTACCCGATGGATTATCACCAAAAGAAGCTGAATCTAGAATTTCAACCTATGGTCCAAACAATTTGGGAGAAGAGGATTCCATTTCATACACCAAGATATTGGCTCATCAAGTATTTAACGCCATGATTTTGGTGTTGTTTATCAGTATGATTATTGCTCTTGCTATTAGAGATTGGATATCTGGTGGTGTTATTGGGTTTGTTGTTGGTATCAATATTGTGGTGGGTTTTGTTCAAGAAGTTAAAGCTGAAAAAACCATGGGTTCATTGCGTAATTTATCATCACCAACAGCCAGAGTCACTAGAAATGGAGATGATATCACTGTTCCAGCAGAAGAAGTTGTCCCTGGTGATATTGTTCATGTTAAAGTTGGTGATACCGTTCCTGCTGATTTAAGATTGTTTGATTCAATGAATTTGGAAACTGATGAAGCTTTATTGACAGGTGAATCATTACCAGTGCAAAAAGATCACACAGTTGTGTATGATGATTATTCAGTACCTATCCCTGTTGGTGACAGATTAAACTTGGTTTATTCTTCCTCAATTGTTTCCAAGGGAAGAGGGTCCGGTATTGCTTATGGAACTGGTTTAAGTACTGAGATTGGTCAAATTGCTCAATCATTGAGAGGAAACTCTGGATTGATTCGTAGAGTTGACAAGTCAAATGGTAAACCTAAAAAGAGAGAATATGGTCGTGCTTGTGCTGGAACCATTTATGATGTTGTTGGAAACATTCTCGGTATAACTGTTGGTACCCCTTTGCAAAGAAAACTTTCATGGTTGGCCATTTTCCTCTTTTGGGTGGCTGTTGTATTTGCCATTGTTGTTATGGGATCACAAAAGATGAATGTTAATCGTGAAGTTGCCATTTATGCCATTTGTGTGGCATTGTCAATGATTCCATCGGCATTGATTGTCGTTTTGACCATTACTATGGCTGTTGGTGCTCAAGTTATGGTTTCCAAAAATGTTATTGTTCGTAAATTGGATTCATTGGAAGCATTGGGTGGTATTAATGATATTTGTTCAGACAAGACTGGTACTTTGACACAAGGTAAGATGATTGCCAAAAAAGTTTGGTTACCCAATGTTGGTACTTTGGAAGTACAAAATTCAAATGAGCCATATAATCCAACTGAAGGTGACGTCAAATATGCACCATATTCACCATTTTTCATCAAGGAAACTGATGAAGAAATTGATTTCAATAAACCATATCCTGATCCAATGCCACAAAGTATGCATGACTGGTTAATGACTGCCACTTTGGCCAACATTGCCACTGTCAATCAAAGCAAAGACGAAGAACTGGGTGAATTGGTTTGGAAAGCCCACGGAGATGCTACTGAAATTGCCATTCAAGTTTTCACCACCAGATTGGATTATGCTAGAGAATCATTGGTTGATGGATTTGAACACATTGCTGAATTCCCATTTGATTCATCAATTAAAAGAATGTCAGCCATTTACAAGGATAAGAAAACTGGTGAGACTAGAGTCTACACCAAGGGTGCTGTCGAAAGAGTGGTGCAATTGTGTACCACTTGGTATGGTGAAGGCACAGATGATTCACAAGAATTGAAGGAATTGACCGATTCTGATAAACATTTGATTGAAGAAAACATGACGGCATTATCATCTCAAGGTTTAAGAGTGTTGGCTTTTGCAACCAGATCCATTGATGGAGATTTTGATGATCGTGAAAAGGTTGAAAATAACTTGACTTTCCAGGGACTTATTGGTATCTATGATCCTCCAAGAGAAGAAACTGCTGGATCTGTCAAATTGTGTCACAGAGCAGGTATCAATGTTCATATGCTTACTGGTGATCATCCTGGTACTGCTAAAGCTATTGCCCAAGAAGTTGGTATCTTGCCTCACAATTTATACCATTACTCCGATGAAGTTGTCAAAGTTATGGTTATGACTGCTAATGAATTTGATGCTTTATCCGATGAAGAGATTGACAATTTACCAGTGTTGCCCCTTGTTATTGCCCGTTGTGCCCCACAAACTAAAGTACGTATGATTGATGCTTTACATCGTCGTCAAAAATTCGCTGCCATGACTGGTGATGGTGTTAATGATTCGCCATCGTTGAAGAAAGCCGATGTTGGTATTGCCATGGGTATGAATGGTTCTGATGTTGCCAAGGATGCTTCTGATATCGTTTTAACTGATGACAATTTCGCGTCAATTTTGAATGCTATTGAAGAAGGTAGAAGAATGTCTGCCAATATTCAAAAATTCGTGTTGCAATTGTTGGCTGAAAATGTCGCTCAAGCATTGTATTTGATGATTGGGTTGGCATTTATGGATGAGTCTGGATTTTCAGTTTTCCCCTTGTCTCCAGTTGAAGTTTTGTGGATTTTGGTTGTTACTTCTTGTTTCCCTGCCATGGGATTGGGTCAAGAAAAAGCCAGTGATGATATTTTGGAAAAACCACCAAACAATACCATTTTCACTTGGGAAGTGATTATTGATATGTTGGGATATGGCTTCTGGATGGCATGTTCATGTTTGCTTTGTTTTGTCGTTATTGTCTTTGGTAATGGTAATGGAGATTTGGGAGTTGATTGTAACTCGATGGATGCTGATGTCGATGTATGTGGCTTGGTGTTCCGCGGTAGATCAGCTTCATTTGCCAATATGACGTGGTGTGCTTTAATTCTTGCTTGGGAATGTATTCATCCTACTCATTCCTTATTTTACATGAGACAAGATACCGATAATCCATGGTGGAAACAAACCGCTATTGATTTATGGAGCAATCAATTTTTATTTTGGTCAGTCATTGGCGGATTTGTCACTGTTTTCCCGGTGGTTTACATCCCTGTTATTAACACCAAAGTGTTTCTTCACAAGTCCATTGGATGGGAATGGGGAGTTGCTGTTGGATGTTCGGTATTGTTTTTACTTGGTGCTGAAGGTTGGAAATGGGGTAAGCGGGTGTTTTTCAGAAGATTAACCAACAAAAGGGCCAATAATCCCGAATATGAATTGGAAAGAAATGATCCATTCCAAAGATATGCCTCTTTTTCAAGATCTGGTACCATGGAGAATCAAAAATTCTTGGTTTAGGCAGAAATGGCGCTCAGGAGGTGATGCTGCTGCCTTTGTACATTTTTACTTTTGAATATCATAGATTTTTATATATATATATATACATATTTAACACCGTTGCATTTTCATTTTATTCATAATATAACAAGCACGTAGGTTGAGAGAAGTGATTGCTTTTGATGCAGATCTTTTGTGGTGTCGTTCTCAATTGATATGCTGGTTTTGGTCGTTTAATCTCTCGTATAAGAAAGATGTTGCTGCATATGAGTGTGTATTTTAATTGCCCCACGATTCCTCACTCGTCCGAGGAACTTCAAAAAAAAAAAAAAAAAATTTGAACTGCAATTCTTTTCACTTCAACCACCAGACTGCCCCCTCTCATATTGCGATATGATATTCCGCAAATCGATACATAAACAAACTGTGCGTTTGCTTTCTCACTCTTCATTCCTCAGATCATCCTATAATCAAGTATCGAGAAAAACCGTTGCCGATATCCATCAATTTCACCAATCGCAAAAGCCAATCTCGGTGGTAACGGCCCATGATTTCATAACTGCCAAACTAGTGGATGCTGGAGATATAGATATATGCTTGGTTGGTGACTCGCTAGCGAATACCACATTGGGATACCAAGATACCAATGAATTGACCTTGGACGAAATGATGTACCATGTTCAATCAGTTCTGCGAGGCAATGATAGATCCCTAATTATTGCTGATTTACCATTTGGATCATTTGAAGCATCAGTGGAGCAGGCTACTAAATCAGCAATCAGTTTAGTTCAAAAAGGTAAAGTTCAAGGTGTCAAATTAGAGGGTGGGAATTCTGAAAATATCCCCACAATTGAAAAATTAATCTCAGTAGGGATACCAGTTATGGGACATGTTGGATTAACACCTCAGAAACACAATGCCATAGGCGGTTTTAAATTACAAGGCAAAGACGCAAAGGGGGCATTGGACATTTATCAAGAATGTCTAAATTTACAAAAAGCTGGTGTGTTTGCCATTGTGTTGGAATGTATTCCCAATAAAATAGCTCAATACATTACCGAGAACTTGTCAGTACCAACAATTGGCATTGGTGCTGGGCCCTTTTGTTCAGGACAAGTACTTGTGATTTCAGATATGTTGGAGTTGAAGAATCCTGAAGAAAGTCATATTGCTAAATTTGTTAAACCTTATGCTCAATTTTATCAAGTAGGAGTTGATGCTATGAAACGGTATAAACTTGATGTGGAAACTAAGCAATTCCCCTTGGCTGATGAACATGGATACAAAATTAAAAAGGATGTTTTTGAACAATTTAAACAAGAGGCGCAGAATCTTAAATAAAATAAATAGAGAGAGAGAGAGAAGAAAAGGTGTTCATAGAAAGTGTAATTTCCAGTTGTATATAGAGACTATGAATACAATAAATGTGGGTTATTTGGGTACTAGTACGTATCACTCGTGAGGTTCGACTAGAGGTCAGTGCCGACCCGTGATTGTCTCGGGTTCTCTATGCTTGCGCGGAGAAGGGGGAGAAAAAAAGAAAAAGAAAAAGAATCGGTCGAAGCAACTAATCTATTGTTCTTTGGAGGGGGTTGTGTAACTCAGCGGATATCCAAAAAAACCAAAAAAAAAAAAAAAAAGAAAAAGAGATAGCTTTCATAACAGCAAATATTGTCTCTTTGAGTAATAGCAATCGTAGTACTCTCCAGTCAACAGTACTGAGCATCGGTACAGAATTATAATGTTGTTGGTACAAACTGTAATCCGCCGTGGGTGCAGGAATTCCGGATATTCATTGAAGCGGAATATCAACGGTAGTGCGCATTTGCTGTATTATATAAATCATCATCATTCCAACACGAAGAATTTATCACCTTCATCCACATCAATTGCAATCAACAATAACAACAACAACAACAACAACTATCGAAACTACTCTTTTTCCACGTCAATTGCAGTCAGAACAATGGTTACTATCAACAATAGTTTTCTTGTGAACCACACTTGTCTTAGAATCAAGGATCCCAAGTCTGTTGATTGGTGGCAAGAGAAAATAGGAATGAAATTAATTGCTACAATTCCATTTGACACATTCACATTGTACATGTTAAACTATGAGACTGAAAAGAATAAACACTTGAATTGGGCTGCACGTGAAGGTGTTTTGGAGTTGTGTTATAATCATGGTGGTACTGAAGAGATTAACAATGGAAATGGTGATAAAGACAAAGGATTTGGACATGTTTGTATTTCTGTTGATAATATTGAAGCTGCACAAGAACAGTTTTTAGCCAATGGTGTTAGATTCAAAAAGAAGTTATCGGATGGACGTCAACACAATATTGCGTTTTTGTTGTCTGATCCAGAGGATTATTGGATTGAGGTGATTGAAAATGGAATTGATAAACAAGAAAACAAGACTGAGATATCTTCTTACAAATTGAATCATACCATGGTTAGAGTCAAAGATCCAGAAGTGTCATTGAAATTTTACCGATCATTGGGATTCAAGTTATTTTCCAAAAAGGATTTCCCAGAGGCAAAATTTAGTTTATATTTTCTTGGTTATAACCATGATGCAAATTTCAAAGAGGGCACAATGTCATGGGAAGAACAACTGAAAAGAGAATCCATATTGGAATTGACTCACAATTGGGGCACAGAATCTGATTCAAGTTTCAAAGGTTATCATAATGGAAACAGTACTGAAAACGGTGAAGTACAAGGCTATGGCCATATTTGTATCTCGTGTGAAGATCCTGGTAAATTCTGTCAAGAATTGGAACAAGCTTATGGAGACAAATTGGATTGGTCTGTCAAATTCAATCAAGGTTCAGCTGTTAAAGGTATTGCATTTATTAGAGATCCAGATACCTATTCAATTGAGATTTTATCTCACGATCTTTTCAAAGACAGGATGGGTAAACTTTAGACGGGGATGCATTAGTAACAACATGAGTTTATAGTAATAACATTATGTCTACAATATTGATTATGTATTCCTGTGTAAAAAAAGTCGATCTAGATCCTTTTCTAAATTGCGAAAACACGGCGCTTACCGGTTTTGTTAGCTGCGAAAACACGGCGCTTACCGGTTTTGCTAGTTGCGAAATGAAACGGGAATATATTGTTGAATGACTTTTGTTGTAAATCGAATGATGTACGTGATCTAAGCTAGCTTGAAATAAGATTATCACCGTCGAGTTTAGGTTTCGGTTATCATCCCATTTGAGGTTATTATCCGGTTGTACTCATATATTATTCTTATTCTTATTCTTATTCTTATTATTATTATTATTATTACTAAGCTCCTCTCTTATTGCTGAGGGTAGTGTACTTTTGGTAAAATAATAATAATGTTTTTCATTGTGACGGCAAAAGCACACAAAGAAAGAAAAAGAACGTGCTACATACTACTTACTCTCTACTAACAGAGCAACATACTTCTATAACTTATCCAACAAGTCAAGGTGTATATATAAAAGAGCCATAGTTTTTCGCCACTTGCTTTAACTACACAATTCAATTGATTTTCGATTTTTATGATTAGGAGTTTATTACCCAAATCATATATTACTACTACTACTACTACTATTACTACTAGAACAGTTAAACCCCTTGTCTACAACAGATACTATTCAATCTCATCAAACATGGTTTCTACTCAAACTAAACAAAAAGTTGAACAATTGATCAAAGAACATCCAATTTTCATTGCTTCAAAGACTTATTGTCCATACTGTGCTCAAACTAAAAAGACCATTGAAGCTCTTACTAAGGATGCTTATATTCTTGAATTAGATGAAGAATCTGATGGTGGTGAAATTCAAGAAGCTTTGGCTGAATTGACTGGTCAAAAGACGGTACCAAATGTCTTTATTGGTGGTCAACATATTGGTGGTAACTCAGATGTTCAACAATTGAAATCTGCTGACCAATTGGAACCAAAGATCAAAGCTGCTTTATAAAGGAGATATACTATACACTATATACACTAACCATATGTAGTTTAATTTGACTTTATACGACTTTGAAAACTTAATCACCAATTTTTGTAAACGAAAAGGGTTATCGCGGACTAATGCCAAAGACAAAAATTTTCTCATTTCCTCAATCAACAAAGAATTATCACTTCGCAACTTTATTACCAATGTCCAACGTTAGTTTACAGATCAGACAAGCAGTTCCAGCTATTGATTCAGTAGTAGCTGACTATGCTGTTGGATACATTCAACATGTGTCTGATGCGACTGAAGATAGTGTTCGTGCTCAACGGATCAATATTTCTGATGAAATGGCCTTTTTGAACAGTTTGTTGATATCAGCAGGTGGTCCATCTGATAAAGTTAAAAGCTTGACTGACTCCATTACTCAACAGTTGAGTGAAAAATTGAAAAAGAATATGGAGAAATTGGCCATTACTGGGGATACTTCAAAACGTTTACTCGATATCAATGTATTGCAAAATAATACCAAAAGAGACATCAACTCGTCTTTGGCATTGTTGTCTGCCAGTAATGATATTGAGCATACTGGTAGAGTCATGGAAACCAGAGTTGACAAGAAAAAATTGGAGAAACAAGAGAGGAAAATCGCTAAAAAAGTTGCCAAACGTAACAACAAATTTGTCAAGTATGAAGCTTCCAAATTGTTGAATGAAAAACAAGAACAAGATTATGATTCATTCTTTCTTGAAATCAATCCTCTTGATTTTGGATCTAGCGCTGGTAAATCCAAAGATATCAAGATTGACAATATTGACTTGTATGTGGGAGATGGTCAAAGAATCTTGAGTGAGGCTTCATTGACTTTGGCTTATGGTAGAAGATATGGTTTAGTTGGTCAAAATGGTATTGGTAAATCCACTTTGTTGAGAGCATTGTCTAGAAGAGAATTGAATGTCCCTAAACACATCACCATTTTGCATGTTGAACAAGAAATTAGAGGTGATGATACCCCTGCATTACAAAGTGTTTTGGATGCTGATGTGTGGAGAAAAAGTTTGTTGCAAGAAGAACTGAAGATCAATGAACGAATAACTGAAATTGAAAACTTGAGAAAAGAGTTTGATGAAGAGTCATTGGAAGTAAAGAAGCTTGATAATGAACGTGACGACTTGGAAAATCATTTACAAGAAATTAGTGAGAAATTGAATGAAATGGAATCGGACAAAGCTGAAAGTAAAGCAGCTGCCATTCTATATGGGTTGGGGTTCACAAAGGAAACACAAAATTTACCAACAAAGCAATTTTCTGGTGGTTGGAGAATGAGATTGTCATTAGCAAGAGCATTGTTTTGTCAACCTGATTTATTATTGTTGGATGAGCCTTCCAATATGTTGGATGTTCCATCCATTACCTTTTTGGCAAACTATTTACAAACTTATAAATCAACTGTGCTCGTTGTCTCACACGATCGTGCATTCCTAAACGAAGTGGCTACCGATATTATCCATCAACATTCAGAAAGATTGGATTATTACAGAGGTGCCAATTTCGATTCGTTTTATGCTACAAGAGAAGAAAGAATCAAGAATCAACGTCGTGAATATGAAAGTCAAATGGCTTATAGACAACATTTACAAGAGTTTATTGACAAGTTTAGATACAATGCTGCTAAATCACAAGAAGCGCAATCACGTATCAAGAAATTGGAAAAATTGCCTGTATTAGAACCCCCTGAAGACGATAAAGTTGTTACGTTTAAATTTGCTGAACCTGATAGTATTTCACCACCAATCTTGCAAATGCAAGATGTTAGTTTTGGGTATGATCCAAACAAGTTACTTTTCAAAAATGTCAATTTGGATGTGCAAATGGATTCAAGAATTGCATTTTGTGGTGGTAATGGTACTGGTAAAACTACTCTTTTGAAACTAATTATGGAACAAATCACTCCCTTGGAAGGATATATCAACAAGAATGGACGGTTAAGAATTGGATATTTTGCTCAACATCATGTTGATGCCATGGATTTGTCACTTTCGGCAGTTTCTTGGATGAGCCAAACTTTTCCTGGGAAAACTGATGAGGAATACAGGCGTCATTTAGGTTCATTTGGTATTACTGGTCCCTTGGGTTTACAAAAGATGCAATTATTATCAGGAGGTCAAAAATCGAGAGTGGCATTTGCAGCATTGTGTTTGAATCAGCCCCACATTTTAATCCTAGATGAACCTTCTAACCATCTTGATACCCAAGGTTTGGATGCGTTAGCTGAAGCAATGAGAAATTTTAAAGGTGGTATATTGATGGTTTCTCATGATGTTGCAATTATTGATAAAGTTTGTAATGAGATTTGGGTGGCTGAAAATGATACCATTTCGAAATTCCCTGGTAATATTCATGATTATAAAAAGCATATTCTTGAATCAGCCAATATTGCAGGTGTTGTAAAGAGACATTAATAAAGGGGTGTGATAGAGTTATATAGACTTAATACAACATTTAGGCTGTGGATTTGATCTTTTATTGCCGAGGTCGATGACGTTGAAAGTGCGACATTTAAAAAAAAACCCCCCGAAACCAAAATCTCACTTGCATTCGTATATATTTAGAACAACTTCAACAAGATGGCCGTATTAGGATCTATAGGGCTTAAGTTCAAGCTAGGGATAGGAATCGTTTCAATCTATGCTTCATTTGAAGCATACATGTTTATACGGACTCAATATGTCATCAAATCTAGAAAAGACGAGTATCAAAAGTTGCTCAGGCAGCAGGAGCAGCAACAGCAACAGCAACAGCAACTGAAAGCACAGTTACGGACACCTCAGCTTGGACAATCCGGTGACCTAGACTATTCCAAATTTAAATCGGCTACTGTTGCAGGAATGTTTATCAACCCATTTGACGAGTACAGGCCGCAAACGGCTTTTGAATTTGTCCTTGTTCGAATAATGGAACTATTTGAACTGTTGTATGGGAACATGTTTGAAAAACATGCCAAATTGCCTCATCCACATGACGGTGCCGTTGATGTTGAAGATGAATTAAAATTGTTCAAACCCAATTTGGAAAAATATAGAACCAATTCACAAATTCTCCAGCAATGTATCACGAGTCATGATTTCCAGGCCTTGTATCAGAAGCAACACAGTAGTGGGATTTTGTTTAGATCTACACTACCCTCCATCAATCACCAACTTTTATTCACTTGGTTGGGCCAGTCATGTACATTATTTCAAGTTTCAGGAATCAATTTCTTGACTGATCCAATACTAAGTGATCATTTGATTACACCTTCATTGGGTCCGAAACGATTAACCAAATCACCGTTATCTTTGGATGATATCAAATACGCAACTAATAACAATCTTAATTTTATTTTAGTTTCTCATGATCATCCTGATCATTTGGAAATGGATCTTGTTGATAAAATACGAAATGAAAGTTATTGGATAGTGCCATTGGGGTTGAAGAGTAAATTAGCGCGTAGAGGAATTCATAAGGTGATTGAATTAGACTGGTGGGACACGTTGGATATAACGAAATATATCACCCAGAACGACACCAACAGCAACAGCTCCACCTCCAACTCCACCTCCACCTCCACCTCCAGCAATAATTCTGGTTTCCATGACAAATACGAGATTGAATGTGTTCCATCGATGCATTGGTCAGGACGGTACGTTATTGACTCAAATAAATCACTATGGTGCTCATACATTTTGAAACGTAATGGGCAATCAATAGTGTATCATGCTGGAGATACAGGATACCTGAAGGAATTATTTGACGTTATTGGTGCCAAGAATGGACCCATAACGTTGGCATTGTTACCCATTGGTCAATATTGTCCTAGTTGGCATCAAAAACCACGACACATTTCCCCCGAGGAAGCACTACGCGTAACACAGCAAGTGTCGGCAATTTTCATGAAGGGAATACATTGGGGTACATTCAAGCTTAGTGGCGAGCCCATTTTGGAACCGAAGAATTTATTATCGAAATTGGCAACCTCTATGGGGAAAGCCAATGAATACCAAGTACCGCAGTTTGGATTAACGTATTTATTTGATTTAGAGCATAATAAAGAGATAGAGTTACATGTATAGAGAGATAAAGAGAGTATCGAAAACAATAAAAGAAAATCATCATAAAAATAAAAAATGAGTTGATCAAAGATTCCCAAAGTAACCCTTTTGTTCCCATTTTCTGCTATTTACATATATGTGTACGTTTTTGATTATCTTTAGCTGTTGTTATTCGTGTTCGTTAGTCGTAAACTTCCTGGTACCAGATTGAATCACATCCAAATCCCTTCCACGGAGCAATCGTCCACCTCCTCATCCTCCTCATCTGGTATTTGTATTCTCTTACCCCTTCTCTCTCTCTCTCTCTCTCTTTTCTCAATCTCTGTAAATAGCAGTCAACTTAGCTCTTTGATTAGCAACCATATTCCTTTGCATCTCCATATACTTTGGATCAGATCTAATTACTGATCCAATAGACATAAACAAACCAAATGTCCCCACTGATCCCATTATATACTGACCAAGTGTTCTCATTACACCATTGGGTCCAGCACCATTTTGCAAGATTGAAAACCCGCCGAATAAGACACCAACACAAACACCAACGGTTGAGCCCATTAGAGCACCCATTTTGAACTTGTCCCAGTTTGATGGTTGGTGACCTACATATTGATACTGTTGGACTGGTGGCATTTTGTATCTTTATCCTTGTTGCTTTGATATATTTGCAGATGTAGTTATTGTCTTGCTCCTAGAAATCGATTGACTCTCTCCTCGAGTGATAGAAAGTTTTTTTTTTATTTTTTCATCCAATTGCAAAATTGCAAAATAAACACGACCCTCAAAATGACAGAGAGAGATTTCATCACAATCTTTGACCTTCTTTGAACCAAAGACTTCACCAGCCAACTCACTCACAACGAGTTTCTTCTTGCTATCCTTTTTTATAGAGCACGACAGGAGGGATAATAGATACAATTAGGAATAATCATGGGATCCAACACTTCAAAACCAGAAACAAAAGTTTTTACACCAACCACACCAGTTGACTTTAGTTCAACTTTTTTGTCACAATTGGAACAATCTCCAGAGGTATGTAATTAGACACACACAAGTTATCCACTAAAACGCTCAATTGTTGACCCAATCGAGAAAGAGGTTCTAGCTTTTTTAAAAAATAAAGCCCAATTACTAACTAACCTTCCTTTTTTCATAGTCAGACTACTCTCGAGCTCAATATACTGAGAAATATATTCAAGATAGAGTAGCTCAAGAATTGCAAAAGTTGGAACAACAAACCATCAAGAAATTCAAACAAACCACCAATGATGCCATTGCCAATGACAAGAGTGATAGTAGTAAATCCAAGCTTTCAGTGGCTGAATCAAGTGCCAAGATTGCTAAGTTAACTCAATTATTGCAAGAGAATGCTAAATTAGAACAAGTCGATATAACTCCTCAAGTTAAAGATTCGAGAGAGCAAGTCATAAAGTGTTTAAAAGATAATCAAGGCAAGAGTCTTAATTGTTGGGATGAAGTTGAAACTTTTAGAACATTGGTGAGAAACTTATAGACTGTTTACAATCTTCCCTCAATTTACTCTTGAAACATTGGAGTTTTTCCCATTTGAGTGTATTCTCTGTCTCTCTCTCCCTGTATAATCTATAACGCTAATCCTTTATAAATCAACAACAACGCCGAATCACTTTCACCACCACCAGCTAACGTAGCAATTTTTTCTCTCGATACCGAACTGACCTTGTCATCATTGAATAGCCACCAATTTTCACCTTCGAGGTCATTAGCGTCTTTTACATAAGCCTTGTAATGACCGCCATCTGCACTAGCCCCCATATGAGTTATTATTGCATTGAGCTCATACACTGAGGATGGGTTTTCAGTAGTTGTTTCAAAATTGACTCCGGGAAGCGCTGTCGACAAATCATCTTGAAACTTGCTCTTTATTGAAGCAATTTTCAATTCTTCATCCTCAGTGTTGATGATATCTTTTTTAGCTTTTTTGAAATCCCGTTTTATATCCAAATTATCCTTTTCCACTTTTCTAATTATATCACGATTCTTATTCTTCTCCTCCTTTATTGAATCATCCAAGAATTCTGAAAGATCCAATTCAAACGGGAATTGAACTTTTCTTAAAATTTTGGACTTCTTATTGATATCTCTCCTCCAAAAAAATCTAATGAAATGAACAACTAAAAATTTGGGTAATCGGGTGATCTTTTTCGAAACTTCATATTCAGAATCTGCATTCAATGCTTCATTATGCTTGGTGATGGTTTCAGTTAATCCACCAAGAATACCATCTCTCAAAAAATTCGTCTTGATATCAATATGGCAATTCAATTTGAAGGCATCTTCCACACCAAACACTGGTTCTTCCCCAGGGTTGGATAAACTCTTTGTCTCTACTTTAAATTCAATTTTAAACAAATCGGCAATCTTCAAATTCAGTTTCAACGTAGTCAAGATTTGTGAAAATGCTTCTTCAGCATCCTGTTGAGCATAAATCCCATTTCTTTGTTCAGCAAATTGTGGGTAAACATTTCTGAAAATGGTTAAAAAGAGAGCAATGTTGACGCTGCCCTGTTTCTTCTCCATTTGTTGGAAAGTATTTCTCAATGCAATGGTGAAATTATCAGTTCCCTTGTATTCCAGAATATTGTTCCTCACATCATCAATTTGATAAAGAATTTGCAAACTTGAGTTAAGGTAACATGTATTTCCATAGTTTGGGATACCAACAGGGTTATTGTCCACTTTAGTCACATCTCCCATATCTTCAATGAATTTGGGTTTCTCAACCGGTGCTGCCAATTTGTCAGGTGTACCCAAAACCATTACTGGTTTACTAAAATCTAAAGTTGATAATAGCGTATCATCGTTTAGTTTGCCTCCCTTGACCAAGATCTTTTGTCTTTCTGGTGGAATCATGGTTTGTTCTTGAATCTTCTTTTTTAAGTCGATCCCAGTGTCATTGCCACCTATTTCGAACGTGTACGTCTTTCCGGCATTCTTGATAGTGACTTGGTTATATTGTTAGTAATCGCCAATAAGTACGTGCTTTTTACAGAACGTTTCCTATACGTACCCTTAGTGCTCATGTTTTCTTTTGATGGCAAACTGATGGAAATGTAAACAGTATTTTTTTTGGGGTTTGAAAAGTTCAACCCTTTTTTCTTCCGTCACATGAATGTTTTCTGTGGTTTTGCATCTACAAAATATCTTAAGTCATATTTAAGGACAATACTTGTATACTGATCTACTCGTCTAACAAGTTATATTGGTTAAGTAATATACAATCACCTCCTCGCTCCTGATCTAATCCATACATGTACAAGATCCCCTCTGAGGTGACAACATTGACATGCAAAAGATGATCCGAGGTGTTACCTTCCCCTTGGTTTACCGAGAGAGATTCTTGTGCTGTGCTCATATTATTTATCATTGCAATTGACTTTAAATCCTTGTTTTTAGCATCAATTTTGATGGAAGCAAAGTGTCTAGTGGGTTCCAATATCGAGGAAAATCTAGATGGCAAATAATCACCCATTTTTTGTGCAGCTTTGCGGCCCAAAGTTTGTGACGATCGCCTAATCAATCGAGCAACCGAAAGCCTATTTTGATCAACAACGGGAGCACTGGTATCTTCAGAGTTGACACTATTGAACGAATTGGATGAGCTTTGAGAGAGTTTTCTTTGTTTTGTGGGTATTTCTGCTTCTCCTTCATCTTCATCATCCACTTCCATGTTGTCATCCATGTCATCGGAATCGTCTTCTTCACCGTCTCGTCCAGTCTCGGGTTCTTCTTCGATAGTTTTGATCTTCTTTTTCTGTTTATTTTCCAAAGCTTCTTCTTCACCCAATCTGAAAATGTGTACTGTTAAGCTAGAGCTTGTGGCTAGGACATATTTGTTATCGTTGCTAAACAGTAATGAATAAATTTTTGTGGGATAAGACCCTCTTCGAAATTGAAACAATTTAACGCCTGTGTTTGTGTCAAAGACTCGTACAATTGTACCTTTATCAGATGCAGTAGCTATAAGCAGTCCATCACTTGAGAAACTCATGGCAGCAATATCATTCTTGTGGGCACTTATTGCCATGATTGGAAGAAACTTGTTTATATTGAAGATAATTAAATCTCCCTTGTTTGAAACGGCATTTGTTGTAGATTTGTTTGCATTGGACTTGTTTTGATGACTATTATGAAGATTTGAAAGTGTTTCTGTAGCACTAGGTGGAGAAGGGTATGCTAGTAAGCAATTGTTTGCGTCATAAGACACTGTGCATAACCCCAATGGGTTGGAATTTGTCTTTACCGTTTGTAGCAATTTCATCGTTTTGATTTCATAAATGTATAGTTGCGATTCCAAAACCACAATGAGATACTCATTAGTCAATTTAATGTTTAGTATTGAAGTTGGGAAAAACAATGAACATATGGTACTATTGGTTTTTGTATTTTTAATCTTTAATTCTCTAGGTGAAGATCCAATTTCGTTTCCTAATGGGGTTATTGCTATCAACGAAGTGGTGTATAGCATCTCTATTATATTGATACAGTCATCCTTATAAGAACAACATCGACCAAATTTTTGCTCCACATTGACAATCTTGTACCCTGTTTTCAAACCAAGTGCAACGCATGTGAAGTCCTGATTGAAGTTGAGATAAGTCGCTGGGAATTCATTCATGATATTTAGGGCTTGATATTGATGGCAATATGGAGAGCTTGGCAGTTGATTCGACCTTTGAACACTCTGAATGTTTCTCCAGAAGAAGGTTATGTTTCTATTTTGGCATTGTTTGTTTGTTTGTTTCTTTGTGTGCGCGTTGAAAATAAAAATAAAAATCACTCATTTTATTCTCACTCCGGGTCATTCAAGTAACAATGAAGCGCCAGTGCGTTCACTCCCAAGATAGGAAAGAGAAGTTCAACTTTAAAGTAAAGGAGAGATTTGTCTTTCATTCCATAGGCTTGTGCTAACCAATACCCACCAAAAGCCCTTAATTTTTTTCTGTTTTCTTTGTCTGGTGAAAAAAATAAAAAGTGAATTTCTTTCGCAACCAACGAAACAAATCCAGCAAAAAGCTTTGCTTTCAAGTAGCATCACAACGGAGATTAACATTTAGCCATTTAATTGCATAAAACGGCCTCAATATTCAATTTCACCCAAAGAAAAAAAAAGCCATGAGAAGCATGCAAAAAAAAAGTAAAGTGGGGCGAACTGGGAATCGAACCCAGGGCCTCTTCGAAATTTATGCTCAGGTATTTAAGCCCAAACGAAGAATCATACCACTAGACCATTCGCCCAGTTTACAAAAAGTTGCGCCTTGTTGAACGTACTTACACTAAATTTAGGGTGTTTTCTGGTATGTATTGGACTTTATAGCTCAGTGTTGAATCTTGCTGTTCTTCAGAATGAGATTGGAATGTGTTTAGTATAACTCTAATAATGTACCGAGTAATTCTCAATTAAAAATGGTAAGTATCTCAACATACTAAACTTTGGTTAACATAAGTTGTTGCAATTTGGTTGCAAATTTGGGGATAAATGAAATCAGAGTTTTACTTTTAATCATCAATTCTACCTTCCTCATTTATGAGATCGAACGACACAATTGCCAAAATCGGGGTTTGTAACAAGGTAGTGGTTACCGCGTCGGCTCTTGTTGATAAATCGTTCTAATCTATACTGAAAATCCAATACTATGTACCCACTTGAACTCTCCCCACCTCTTATATACACAAAGAGTATATCAGTATATCCAGAGCTTACACATCCACTGGCAGCTGTACTCGAAATCGTCTCAGACGAAGCCTATGAATTCACTATGAATGAAGTGTGCACCCAATTAGGTCCCCCCTCGCTACCACCAAACTCAAAGCCAAAAAATCACACCAAATAAAAAAAACATTCAACATAGCCAAAGAACAAAACACCACTTCAAAACAATGATTAATGGGTGTCCCAACTTTGCAATTGACTTGAATGTTGAAGATGAGATAGTAGACATTATTCAACTCCATCAAATAATCGCAATTGTCACGAAGACATCAGTTTATATATACCACCTGTACACCTTGTTACCCTTGGCAAGTCATACTAGATCGTCTAATTCAATAGAACTAAATGGTATCAACACTACAGCCAAGAAGAAGCTAATACATGAACCCCATGGCGGCAAACAATCAAAACTCAATTTGTTTATTCAGACCACTTCTAATTTTCTTGTGATTTATCAAATTAGTATTGATTATTCTCATGCGATTTATGAAGTACATAATAGCAATCACGAGTTGATTCAAGCTGCAGTACCGATGAATTACTCTCTGGGTAACTTCTCATTCACCAAATTTTTACAATCGGCAACGAAATCGTTTATGCAAGGAAAAGATGAAGATGTATCGCCAAAATTGGAAAATGTGGAGAGTATAAATAATAACTCCATAGATGATGAATTGGGAGGGTATGATATTGAACCAGTAAAGCTATCTGTATACAAAGTACTACAAATGGGGCTGGGTACTGGTGAGCAAGTTTTTTCGTTACAGCTGAATTCACATGAATTGTTTATCTTCAATTATGCACACGAGGCGAATGAAGAAGTAGACTCTGACTATTTTCAAGTTGTTGACTTGTCTAATTTTGAAACCAAACTCATTGATTTATCGACTTATTCATGGTTTAAAACCCCAGCCAAGAGGGTCTATTATAATCAGTATGGTGATTATTTTTTGTTGGTTACAAAAGCGGACGAAATCATGCGTTTGAAGTTTGACAAGGAAGGTGGGCTTCGTTCATGTACTGTTGGACTGGGCGATTTGAGCAATGTCTGTTTCAGCCCCTGTTCTAATTTGTTAATTGGTGAAGAAGGGGAAACCTGGAAGCTCTATCACCTCAAGGATGGTATATTGGAGAAATTGAAAACATTGAATTTCCCCCAAGGACGAGTGAATTGGTCCAGCTGTGGTGATTTCTTTGGCATAGTTGAAGACTCGGGGAACTGGAAACTTTTATCCCGATTCGGTAAAGTTTTATTTGATACACATCAAACTATAAATGAATTGAATAGCAAGCATAATCATTCAGAAGGATTCTTGAATGCAAAGACAATTTTGATTGGTGAAAATTCAAACACATTGTATGTAATTTCACAAGATTCATGCAAGCTTTACTACATCCCACTTTACAACATCGTCAATGATCTCGTTTACGATAAAAACTACATAACTGTAATTGAGAATCATCGAAATTTTGTGCGGTTCCCCATGTTACCTAAATTTCGACGGTTATTGCTCCACCATGATAACGAATCGATCGGGAGCTCTCCAACATATCAAAGGAAAATAATACTATCAAAAAGTCTTTTTGGTCAGTTATCAATTTCATATGGCGATCATTTAGCAGTTTCGACACCCATTACTACAGGTGGATTGACCAACCATATACTTTGGTTCAACTGCAAGAATCATTTTGCTGACCCCTTAAACATTATTGAGCAATTTTGGTTCCAGGATTATCTCATTGTGGTAAACAGAAGAATTCAACATGAATTTGAAGCTGACAAGGAGAAGCAAGAGCCGTTAGTGGACGAAGTAATTGTATACGATACGCTGAAAACCAAGTACGGAATGAGTGGAGAAAACATTGTATTAAGTAGCGATTCAGTGTTATGGAGATATGACTTTAAATGCACTTTTGTTGCCACTCAACTAGTTCACAATGGTGATGTGTCACATATAGTTGTTTTAACTACTGATTATCGATTAGTGGTACTTGATTTGGTAACTGATAAAATTGTCAATTTGGACTCACAAACAAAACACTATCGCATATTCATTTCCACAAACAAAACGGTACATTTAGCATCGCTTCAACATAAGTTAAACTTGCATGAAACGAGACAAATCACCATGATTGATAAACGTCACTTCTTATTCTTGTTACAATCGGGTGAACTTTACTTGTTAAAAAATGTGACACGATCATCTTCAATTAGCCAAAAGCCAACAGACGTTATCAAACCAAGCAACATGTACGACTTGATTAAGCTCAATTCGACTATTGAATTTTTCAAATTTGTAACAGTGCCATTTCAATCACCAGTCCAGTTCATTTACTTGTTCAATGGTGATCAAATTTTAATTTATGACGTTGACGAAATGGTCGCAAAAGCATGTAATAAACTACATGTAAATCAAGAAGATGCATTTGAGAGTGAAGACGAATCGGAACTTGTGCCTATTGCAATTGACACTGATGATATCTTGCCATTAGAGATTGAAACTGATCGGAATACAATAAACTTGATTGGATTGGAGAATTTAAGTCTGAGCTATCATCATCATGATTTTGTCATTAAGAACAAATTGGCACACAAATTGATATTGAACAATTTTATTGAATTTGATTTAATTCACCGTGGTGATTTGGAAAGCACATTCAACAAGTACAAGTCATTCGCCAATTTTCAATTTTGTTTAGAATTGTTACTTTTCAAACTTTTGGTAGGAGGAGAACAGCAACACCAACAACAGCAACAATCCTCCAATTTAACTTTGAAGCGACTTTTCCAATTGATTGAATTTACCGAAAGTCCTGAATCCATATACATCAATTGCTTGAGAAAGATTGAAGTTGCATATTGGAACAAGTTTTTTAATGTATTGAATACAACGCCAGTTAAGTTTATGGATCGATTAATTAAATTGGATAATGTTGAATTATGCTATCATTATCTTATCGTGTACTTGAATTACAAAAAGGAAGGTGAACCGGGTGACAATGAGAATAATGGAAAAGTGGAGGACACATATGAGTCCGGAACTGTACTGCATGCCAACGGAGGTGAAGGAGCAGCCCCTGATCAATTGAGTGGAGATGATAAACAAATTATTCTTCAGATTATTAAAATGCTTGCTGAGAGTGAGAAATGGGATTGGTGTTTCGAACTATGTAGATTCATCAAAATTTTAGAGCCATCAGGACAGTTTTTAAAGGAAATTAAAGCTGAGTTTGGTTAGAACAGGGTAGTATATATACCTATATAAATATGTGCTTTAATCCTGCATATAAACCAACCAACCAAATTATGTCATTTTGTAATTCTGTTTCAAACGAGAGAAAAATTATCACCAAATAATAGACATAAACCAGATTAGATAGACAGTGGCATAGAGTTTTCAAAAATCGGCGCTTATAATAGATACGTCTTCACTAATAAATACATCCAATACACAACAGAGCCCTTTCCAGTCATCATGACGTTAGCTACACAATTTGCCGAAACAACGCGTTATTCCGCCACAAACCCCGAATTAAGACGAAGGGTATTACAATTGTATCGCAGATACATTAGAAACTCACGAGAATTTGCCAACTTGTACGAATTGGATATGCCGGTGTCTAGTATAAAAACCAAGATTAGACAAGAGTTTGAAAGGCAAAGATTTGTTGATGATTTAGCCATCAAGAATGTCTTGTACATGAAGGGACAAATGGAGTTTCAAGAATTGATTAATTTTTGGAAACAACAATGTCATGTGTTGAGATATTTTGATGATCAAAATGCATATAATACTATTGATAAGAATGATTTCGTGAAGAATTTTTTAAGGGGAAACTAAAAGAGTATGCAAAAGTGATTATTTGAAGGTTGTTCTGGACTGTTGAAAATGGAGACCTATGTGTACAATATATATTACAAATGAACGATGACGATCGGAAGAGAAGAGAACTGTACAGAGCGAAAAACCTCTGTCTTGACAAGTAGCTTAACTTCAAAAGCACAACGACGTGCTATACAAAAGCTAATATATATGTAGAGGGGTATATATATATAAAAAAATGAAACACTATTAACCAAAAAAAAAGGGATAGAACCCAGTTAAGAGATGAGAAATGAAAGATTTGATATTAGAAGAACCTAGCAGAAAGCACTTTTTGATAGTAAGACAAGCAAATCATTTTTTTTTTGACTTATTCCATCACAGCTTCCTCCAACGGAACTTCATCGGCATAGTCCAAATCCTCTTCATCCACACTGGCTTCTTGGTATTGTTGATACTCACTAACCAAATCATTCATATTCGATTCTGCTTCAGTAAATTCCATTTCATCCATACCTTCAGATGTATACCAATGCAAAAACGCTTTTCTTCTAAACATGGCACTAAATTGATCACCAACTCTTTTGAACAATTCTTGAATAGATGTAGAATTACCGATAAAAGTAGCAGACATATCCAAATCTTTTGGAGGAACAGAACAGACAGCAGTTTGAACATTATTTGGGATCCATTCGACAAAGTATGAGGAGTTTCTGGTTTGAATCTTGTGCATTTCATCATCAACTTCCTTTACTGAAACTTTACCTCTGAAGAAGGCAGCAACCGTCAAGTAACGACCGTTTCTTGGGTCAGAAGCAGCCATCATATTCTTTGCGTCAAACATTTGTTGAGTTAATTCAGGAACAGAAACCGATCTAAATGATTTAGAGCCAATTGAAGTCAATGGAGCATATCCAACCATAAAGAAATGTAATCTTGGGAAAGGAACCAAATTAACAGCCAATTTTCTTAAATCAGAATTTAATTGACCTGGATAACGCAAAGAGGTAGTGACCCCAGACATAACCGAGGAAACCAAATTGTTCAATTCTGTGTATGATGGTTGTGGCAATTTCAAAGTTTGCTGACAAATGTTGTACAAGGCTTCGTTGTCAATACAAAAAGTTTCATCGGAATTTTCAACCAATTGATGGACAGATAAGGTGGCATTATATGGCTCAATAACAGTATCGGAAACTTTTGGAGATGGAACAACAGAAAATGTTGCCATCATTCTGTCGGGGAACTCTTCTCTTATCTTGGAGATCAACAAAGTTCCCATACCAGAACCAGTACCACCACCCAATGAGTGAGTAATTTGGAAACCTTGCAATGAATCACATCCTTCAGCTTCTCTTCTAACAACATCCAAAACTGAATCAACCAATTCAGCACCTTCAGTATAATGACCTTTTGCCCAAACGTTGCCAGCCGAGCTTTGACCAAAAATGTAGTTATCGGGTCTAAACAAATTACCAACTTTTGATGCTTTGACATTATCAATGGTACCTGGTTCCAAATCAACCAAAACGGCACGAGGAACGTATTTACCAGAGCTTGCTTCGTTAAAATAAACATCCAATTTGGACTTTTGCAAGTCATCAGTTCCAACGTATTTTCCACTGTTGTCTAATCCGTGTTCACCACAAATTGTTTCCCAAAAAGCAGCACCCTGGATAAAAAAGAATGTTAGTAAGACGACCTTATGGAGACAGCTCGACTGCAAAATAAACCAATGCTTTGCAGTTGTCGGCTTCCGTTGATCTGATACATACAATTTGGTTACCACATTGACCAGTAGATAAATGAATCTAAAAAAAAAAGGAAAAGTTAGTATGACGAATGTTTCAGACTAAAGGGTAATGATCTTCTCTGTAAAGACGTGAATGTGTTCGTGGGTGTATACCTGTGTATGTGCGTCTTTGCATCCATCAAAACACGTAGTGGCTAGATTGTATAAGTGTGTGGTGTTGATGGCAACCCTTCTTTAGTAGATATTATTTTGTTATCTTGAAGGAAAACTCACTTGAAACACGTTTTGAAAATCGAAAAAATCAATCCCCTCTGAGCCAATCCATACCACAAATGGGATGTGGATCAAATGTAACATACGATTTCTCTCATAGCTAATATAGATGAGTAACTCGACGAATGAGATGTGTGTAATTAACGGACTCTTTGTATAAATCTTTTGATATAAAAGTGGTTGTCTTTTGAATCAAATTTTTTTTTTGGTGTGTGTGTTTTGAGTTTTGAAGAGTAGTAGTGTTTCTTTTGTTTACATTTTTTTTTTGGTTTTTGTTTGGTTTATATGCAGGATGTCATATTAATATCAATATAGTAAGATACGCGACATTATCCATAATACCTACTCTACACGACACTAAAGAGATAAGGACACTCAATTACGTATTTGCTACGGCACTGTTAGTTCATGTGTGTGCATTTTGTACGGTTGGAAAGATAGTGCGTGCTATATCTCGACAATTACTCCAACTTTACTTGTTTGTTAGGTTGACGAAAGTATCACGTGACTGACACCTAACAATTGTTTACACTATTGCCTAATTGGGTTATATTGTTATCAGCCTTTTACCAAAAATCGATTGAAAAGTCCAAGAGACATGGCATCATAACAACTCCTACTTCTATAACTGGAGCAAAAGGAATCTGGCGCATAGTAGAACCATTTAATCATGGGTCCATGAAACATAGAAGAAGGGTAGGATCCACCCAGGAATAAATCTTCAAATCGCGTCCTACAACAAAGCGTCAAGTTCAACGAGCTAAAGACAACAAAAGTATACTTTTAACAAGTACTAAATTGAATCATCTAAATAACTGTAAAAGCATCAACACCGAATGTAAACAGTAACAACGACAAGAAAGATAAGCAAAAAAAGACAAAAAAACACTCCACTACTCCATTTAACTTCTTTTCTCTCAACCAAAACCAATTCCCCTTCCCCCAAACTCCAAAAATCAACGCCACAAATATCCCTATCCCCCTCCCACCATTTAATCATCCCCTCGTAAACACTTTTGATAATCGTCACTGTAGAAATTACCCATAACACAATAGTTCCCATTATAACAATCATCGGAGATTTGGGTCCCATTCTTGCTCTTGCATGTTGGAACTCCTGGACCATATCTATACTGAATGTCAGCAAACAATTGATTAAACTCAACATTAGATTCGTCTTTCAACTTGGTCAATACGTTTTCATGCCAAAATGTACCATTCAATGGTGCATCTTCGGGCCAAGTGTGATCTGGATCATACAAGTCTCTCACCGAGTACTCAAATTGCCAATCTGGCTCATCACCTCCGTTGGTAAAAGTCTCATTCAAAAGAGTGTAATAGTTGTAAGCATTGATGATGTTGAAACTTTCATTTTCGACTTCGTAATATCTCCATGATGGGTTATAATTACTTAATGGAGTAATTGATTGCGCCACCCATGACATATTGATGATATCTTCAGCACTTTGGGATGAGTTGGATGAGTAAAGGATATGAAACTGATCTTGATGAGTGTGGCCATAGAAAATATTGGCAATTGTGTATGGAGAAAATCTTTCAACTATTTTACCAAAGATTCTTGATTGTAATGGCAAAGTGTCATAGTCAGTTGTGGGAATATGTGCCATTATCCATACTCTTTGCCCCTTAGCTTCACTTTCCAACAATTCATTCACCAAAAATTCCCATTGACCAAACAAATCTGGATTAGTGGAAATGTCAATGTACGACCACAAGTTTTTCTGATAATAACAGTTGGAATTCAATCCAATAACTTTCAATCCACGATCAGTAACATACGAGAACCCAGCATAATGACTCTTGAGCTCATTGCGGTCCTTCTCCTCAAACCAACCATTGTTAATCCATAAATCAGCCATCAATTCTTCATTCCAATGATACGAATTGTTGAAATCGTATTGTAATGGAGAAATTTGTCCATAGGGAAAAGTATCATGATTACCCAATGAGGGCAACACTGGGATGTCATCCAAGTAATGCTTGAACAAGTTGAATGACTTGATTTCAGCCTCCTTGGTCACCTCCGGGGAGCAATGGATAACGTCGTGATCAACTAAATCACCAGTGAACACAACAAACTCAAATTTCTTGTCCTTGTGGGCTTTAGCAACTTCCACCAATGAATTATTCATCAACACTTCTGGGGAGTCAGCAAGATATGCACCAAATGTAGAAGCAGGTACATTTTTAAAATTCCACCCTCTATATTTTGGAAAATCATAGTAGTCACCTTTAATATAAGTGTTGTTTTCATCGTAATGAGCATTAGGATAAAAAGACAAATCAGCAAGAGATACATTGGGGTTGAAAGTTTTGTAATACTCGGTGAAATTGTACTCAACACCAGGCAATTCTTTATTGTAAGATTCGGGCAACGCACACGGAGTTGAGGTACAATTTGCCTCTGCACCTACTTCATATCTTAACTGAATGTGGAAATCAGTAATGTGCAACACATTAAATCTCTCGGTATTGTTAGTATAATTTGGTTGAAAATATTGATGTGGTTGTTTAGCGGGCCACCAGTTTTGAATACCATAAAATTCATCAACATCTTTGGTCTCGGGTAACTCACAAGCTCCTTTTCCCTTGAAAAAACAATAGTATTCCAAATCCAAGTCACTGGACACATTAACATTCTTCAACAATTGAATAAAATCATTGTCGTAGAAATTAACAGCAACTCCTGAAGCTACTCCTGAGTCATAATCTTGATTAAAAGTTTCAAAATTCTTGGAATCGGTAGTGACAAAGAAATCATTGTTATCACATTTACTTTCTTTACCATCATGTTGGATCAAACAATGCTTGAAAAGTAATAAACTAACCAAATGAGACTTATCGGGGTACTCTTGAATCAAATTTTTACCAAACTTGATTCTGTTTTTGCATTGAGAACATTCGGATCCAGTGGCATTGGTTAAATTTTTCAAATGTAAATTGATGAAATCCAACTCCGGTGCACTCAAGTCACTGTAAACAGGATCAATCAAGTTATTAGCTCTTTTGGCAATCGATGCTTGAATGTCAAGAGAATCCAATCCAGGAACAACATGCGCCGTGACAAAGTAGTTGGGTAACAAACACACCAATATGGCACTCAAATAACTCAATTGAAACCAGTTCATTTCTTCACTCTGTGCGATAAAGACCAAATGCTTCTTTTAGATTGCAGTTTTATTGATATGTTGGTGAAATTTTCGTGGTAAGGTGAACCAAACCACCATTTATAATTTACAGTTTTCTTCGAGGAAAACTGTAAGGACCAAAAACAATAGGACTAGGACCAATTACAGTATTTCATTGTTCTTTCATTGGTTAGAAAAGTGAAAAACCCTCCCACGATGCATTAATTCATAATTTTGTAATTATTAATTTTTAATTGAAACGTGCATTGTTTCCAATCGTTTAATTCTCAAATTGAGTTTTCAGTCTTTTGTTTTCACTCTAAATTGAGGTGCACGTGGCTCGGTCTTTGCACCCAATATCAAATTGAATTGACAACAATCTAAATCAATAATTTTGTGTGATTGGGAAGGGAAATAACCGGAAATCTGATTCCATTTTTTCAAACGTAGAATAAAAAGGAGAAAAAAAAGGGGAAAAAGTAGGCGGTCTAGTTTTTTTGGATAGCTTCATTTTACTGTACAAAGGGAGACTGAGCAATTCGTTAATCAAACGGGTGCTCACTATTGGTCTTTAAGCCACCAACGTCAAAGAAAGAAACAACATCTCATTTATCATTCGCACGAGTTTGCATGTCTATGGAGCTCGTGGTCACTGCTGATAGTCTTCACTGGTTTCACCACCGCGACATCGGTTACGTTACATATTTGTGATCAAGCTTAAGAGAGGACTGAAAACAAATGTTCCCAGAGTCTTTATTACGACTTCACTAACAATCATGGCTCTACAAATTACGTTATATTTAATATACTTCAGCGAAACCGTGATTTGAAAGAAAAAAAGTGGCTGCAAAATGAACCTCAACCTTTGTATACCTTTTCATATTTTTGAAATTTTCACGTGACTTTAAACAGGTAGCGCGAGTCACATGCAAGTTTTTGTTTTTTCTTTTTCTGTTGGTGATTTTATTCTATTTTTTTTTTTCTACTCTTTGTTGTTCATAAACAGTGCCTTACTCCAAAAATAGTTTTTGAAGAGCTCTTATCATTGGCAATAACATCATACACTCCCCACCCCCATTCCATTATGTCCATGTCTATCCAGAATAGGACCGTAGAGTTTCATCAATGTGTAAATACATACGAAAAGATTAATAGAAAACAACAACATCAAAGCAATGCCAGAATAAAGCCTCAAGCGCAGGACCAGCCACATAAAAAGTCCCATTTCGGTCAACAAGCTAGTATTATTGCCAAAGATATATCACATGTTACTGAGCTTTTAAGTAAGTTAGCATTATTGGCTAAAAGGAAGCCAATATTTGATGATAAACCCATTGAGATTGGTGAATTGACATATGTTATCAAGCAAGATATTTTCAAGATTGAAACTAGTATTCAAAATTTACAAAAATACATGAAGGGTGAATCGTCAATAACTGTTGACTCTCAAACTAGTCAATTCAGCAAAAATGTGCTTACGTTGTTGAATTCAAAGATGAAGAATGTTTCAGGAGAGTTTAAAAATGTATTGGAGATTAGACAAAAGAATGAAATAATGAACAAGAATAGGCAAGAAAATTTCCTATCTTCGGTGTCTAATAGTCGAAGGTTGAATAGTGCGTCACCATTGAATGTGGATAGAAGTGAGCCAACCAATGACTCCTTGAGTAACTTGAATGAGAATCCATTTTTGCTAGGCAGTACGCCACAATCCACACCCAACAATAATAAACTATCTGCGGCCGACCCTGAGATTACGTCTCCTTATGACAATGGGCAATACTTGTCCCTACCTGACCAACAACAACAACAAATGCTTTTAATGGAGGAACAAAATTCGGGGCAACAATATTTACAACTGAGAAATAGAGCAGTGGAAAGTATAGAAAGTACAATTAACGAAGTTGGGAACTTGTTTCAACAATTGGCTACCATGGTTAGTGAACAGGGAGAACAAATTCAGAGGATTGATGCCAATGTTGAAGATATAAATTTGAATATAACTGGTGCCCAACGAGAATTGTTGAAATATTATGCACACATTACAAGCAATAGATGGTTGTTTTTGAAAATTTTTGGAGTGTTGATTATATTCTTCTTCTTGTGGGTATTGGTTAGTTGATCAAAAGAGGGATTGACATGTTTGACGGTTGTGTAGAAGGCATAAGGTAGTTTACATCATTGTGTAAGTACATAGTTTGACACAGTTAAAAGGTCGTGCAGATGTTACTGAGATTGCTCAGAGGAAGATAATTTTTTTGTTTGTAAGTGTCACAGCACCACCATTCACTAGATTAAAATCAAGCAGTTGATATAACCTACCACGACAACATCGCAACTACTCCAAACTACTATTATTGCGTAGCTTTTTATTTGATTTGCAATAAACTGGATATATCCCTATTTCATTACCGTCAAACTTTTTTTAATCAGCAAAAGAAGAGTAAACTCTTATCGCTCACCATCCACAATTTTACCTAAAAAATAGAGGGCAATTACAAAGACCACTAATTTTGAAGTCCCATTATTACTCACTACCTTACCTAGAATCATTACAACAAAAAATGTGGGGATATTTCTTTGGAGGGAACTCTCAACAAAAGAAGGAGTTGCCCAAGAAGGCTATAGTGGAATTACGTGAACACATTTCAACATTGAACAAAAAGAAGAATCATTTACAACAACAAATGGACGACCAAGATCAACTTGCACGGAAATATGTGTCATCAAAGCAAACAACACTAGCCAAGAATGCATTAAAGCGTAAAAAAGGTTACGAAACAAATTTGATCAAGGTTGAAAATCAAATAGAAACGTTAGAAACTCAACTAGTATCAATCGAAGGAGCCAATTTGAATTTGGAAACTATGAAGGCCATGAAACAAGGTGCTAAAGCAATGAAACAAATACATGGAGAATACGATGTAGATAAAGTTGAAGATACTATGGATGAGATTAGAGAGCAAGTTGAATTGGCGGATGAGATTTCTGAAGCTATATCAAGACCAGTTGGAAACGAATATGTTGATGAAGACGAGCTAGATCAAGAGTTGGCTGAATTGGAAAATGAAAATAGAGAAGCAGAAAGGGAGAAAGTCAAGCCACAGAAACAGCCAGCAGCTGCTGTACCTGTGCAGAAAGAAGAACAATTACCATCGTTCCCTGCCGTTAATAAAGCTACACCTGTTTCACAAGATGATGAAGATGAAGCTGCCTTGAAAGCTTTACAAGAAGAAATGGGATTATAAAAGAAGTCCATGTTGTTTTGTATATTGTTCTTTGTTCTGCCCTTTCCAACTTTCAGTTCTTTCCTTTTTGTTAATTAAATCTTATTTTCAGTATACACATATAAGTTGAGTAATGATATGTATAGTGATTTGGGTACCCATGTATCATGTGTGTGTGTGTGTATAGAGTATTATCGTTTTACAAAAGAAGTTCCGATAAACGGGATTTGGTTACAAAAGATGAAAGAATGATATAGAGAGATGATGATATGATGATGATGCCCCTAGACAAAAAAAAGAAAAAAAAAAAAAATTTCAGAAATTCTACTCTTCTATACAGAAATTAACTAGAAATCCACACATATACTAATAGATACACTACCTACCTAATACGTTTTACCTACTGGTGCCTTCATTTTTAGATTGCATCTTACCGAAAAACTTTGTACATAGTCATAATTATAGAACATGTTGCAGGTGCTTAATAGATCATTACTACAAAAGTGTTCCAAAGTCAAACTACATTCAAGAGTTAAAAGTGCCATCAGAGAACACACGTCAGTAGCAACTACAGGAACGAATTTGATACCAAATTCACCGTTTACAAACCAGTTTCTTGAACCTTTGAAAGAGATCAACTATGCTAGGGCCATCCCGCAAACGGGAGCAAACAAGATCACAAATTCTTCTTATTTGGACCTAATACCTGATAAATACGAGATTGAGGAGTCAGAGAAACATAGCAAACATTACACGTCAAAGAATGATGATGTCACGAGGAAACCATACGAGAAGGAGATAAATTACCTAAGAAACATGCTAGAGTCATTTGCAGCCGAAAGTTATTTCGAACGAAGTTTCCAAATCTTGAAATCATTGTCTAAATTAGTTAACCAAGAAGAACTAACTCAATTTGGTAATAGGTCCTTAGAGGCGATTACGCGAGACCCTAAAATGAAACCAGAAGCAGTCAATAAAGTTATTGGACAAATGGAGGAATTTTGTAATTTCAAACCAGATGAACGCACTGAGGCCATTGTTTTGAAAAGTCTTGTACAAAATGAAGGTGACTTGAATGATTATTTCGCTCATTTGAAAGACAGGCGAACGATTAAAAAAATTCTTCGCAATACCGATGTAATTGGTGCTGACAATATGTTCAAGATATTTGATTCACGAGAGATTGATATATCATGTATTCCTGTGGAATTGATGGAAGTTTACAAAAGTTACAAATTGAATCAGCAAAATGGAGAAGTTGTTGAAGACACAATTAGACTACTGAAAAACATTGAAATCAATGCATTGGATAAGGAAAATTTGGCAGAATTGAAACCAGTTGACTCTTTTGGATTGAAGGTAGTGAGACATTCGTTGCTCGGTCTCAAACCAAATTCAGAATTGGCTCTTCACTTTGCCAACGAGATTGAGGAGATTGTAGCTGATCTCGACGAAGTTACAAAACAAGAAGTGAAGGACGGGAAATTAAATTATCATGACATTTATAAACGTTTGCAAACAGATGAGCAAAGAGAAAAATACAATGCCGCTCTTGAAGAGTTCAATTGGGACAGACAGAGACAAATTGAAATTCGAGGAATAGAAGGTGCCAAGGAGAAATGGAAGCATGATTTCGAAGAAGCACAGAAACGGGGTGATTTCAACTTGAACAAGAGTATGAATGCTCAATGTTATGACTGGTATCAAAAATTAATACCATTGATCAAAAAGGAACATGAATTGTGTAAAGCTTTGTTGCGAGAAGAAAAAGTAAACGTTCAGGATGATACCACAACTGCAAAGGAAAGAGCCTTTTATGCCCCATTTTTGATTAAAGTTGATGTTGAAAAAGCAGCTGTCATAACAATTTTAGAACTCTTGAAATTGAATGCCAATCGTGGCAGTCTTGGTGGAATGAGAGCTGCCAAAGCCGTCGGCTCAGTTGGAAGAGCCATTGAATTGGAATACAGAACAAGTAATTTGGCAGCACAGGAGTACAAAATGTCCATCAGTCGTAAAGTTGTTGGGTCCTCACAAATGAAGAGAATAGTTCGCAAGTCGATTGATTCTTTGGACGAAACAGACCCACAATGGGATCATGCTACGAGGTCAAGAATTGGTGGTGTTTTGGTTTCCTTTTTGATGGCTATAGCAAAAGTTAAAGTAGTAAGACAGTCACCAAATGGTGTCATTCAAGATTATCATCCAGCTTTTTTCCACAGTATGCAATTTGTTAATGGTCAACGAATTGGCGTTATCAAGGTGCACAATGAGATTTCCAAGAACTTGTCGGGAACTTCGTTTATGGAATCGATTCAACCACAATCGTTGCCATTGTTGGTTAAACCTAAACCATGGGAATCTTTTTATGGAGGAGTAGGATTGTATTCAAAGAAAGCATTGGTTCGAATGAAGGACGCGCCAGAGACTGAAGCATACGTTAGAGCTGCTGCGAAAAGAGGCAACTTGAAAGAAGTATTTGATGGGTTAAACGTTTTGGGAACTACAGCATGGACAATTAATAAAAAAGTGTTTGATATTATATCTCACTACTGGAATAAAGGAGAAGAGTTTCTTTCAATACCACCTGTTTTAGAGACAGCTCAATTCCCAGCAAAATTGAGTCCCGATGCTGATCCTTCAACAAGATTTGAACACGCAAAAGCCACTACCAAGGCAGTCCGCGACTTTTCGTCTCTGAGATCGCAAAGGTGTGATTACAACTACAAACTTGAGATTGCCCGTGGTTTCATTGGTGAAAAGTTGTATTTCCCACATAATCTTGATTTTAGAGGTAGAGCATATCCAATTTCACCCCATTTGAATCATTTGGGTGGCGATTTGACAAGGTCATTATTTTTGTTTTGGGAAGGTACGAAATTGGGCGAAAGAGGCTTGGAGTGGTTAAAAGTGCAATTGGCCAATGTTTATGGTGTTGATAAGGCCCCTATTCTGGAGAGAATTCAATTTGCCACTGATCATTTACAAGAAGCTATAAAATCAGCTGAAGATCCTTTGAATCATAAGTGGTGGACCAAAGCCGAAAAGCCATGGCAAGCATTGAGCGTTTGTTTCGAATTGGCTGAAGCTTATAAGCTACCCGACCCCACTGAGTTTGTATCCTATTTACCTGTACATCAAGATGGTACATGTAACGGTCTTCAACATTATGCTGCGTTGGGTGGTGATTTTGAAGGTGCCAAACAAGTTAACTTGTATCCTTCGGATAGACCACAAGATGTCTATACATTTGTTTCCAAATTGGTTCAAAATAGAGTTAATGCTGATGCTGAAAATGGTGATGATATTGCGATTTTCTTCAAGGATAAAATCACGAGAAAAGTTGTTAAGCAAACAGTCATGACCAATGTTTATGGTGTTACTTTTGTTGGTGCTTTAGCACAAATCAAGAAACAAGTTGCTCAACATTTTGGTGACGAGCATGATGCTCATATCTACACCAAATATTTAACCAAGCAAGTGTTTGCATCGATTAGAGAATTGTTTGAAAATGCCCATTTGATTCAGGATTGGCTTGGTGAAGCTGCTAAAAGAATTAGTAAATCAGTTTCGATCGATTATGGTGACGTTTCAAACAATGATTCTGAGCTCCACTCATCAGCAGTAATTTGGACAACTCCGTTGGGATTACCTTGTGTTCAACCATATCGTGTCAATGCGCATCATGCAGTTAAAACATCAGTTCAAAATGTTTCAATCACCAACCCATCAGGAACCTCAACCATTGATTCTCGAAAACAACAAGCTGGTTTCCCACCGAATTTCATCCATTCATTGGATGCCACACACATGTTGATGACAGCAACCAGTTGTGGAGAATCAGATCTACAATTTGCTTCAGTTCATGATTCATTCTGGACCCATGCTGCTAATGTTGATACCATGAATTCGATATTGCGTGAACAGTTTGTTCGATTACATACACAAAATTTAGTACAAATTCTTCGTGATGAGTTTGTTGAGCGGTATAAAGGATCTTATCAGATTTTGCACATACCATTGAATCATGAATTGACACTCAAGATCAAAGCCATTAAAAAGCAATGGGCAACGTCGATCAAGCGCGGAGTGACAATAAATGATGAATTATATATGGAGAGAAAAAGACTTGAAATGTTGCAATCGAATAACCCCGAAGAAGTTGAAGCTGCTAAAAATATGGAGACTACAATCAGTGTTACTGAAGGTTATGACCCTTATATATTTTGTCAACCAACAAAGCTCAAAGCTTATGATATTTTGGTTCCAATTCAATTTCCTGAAGTTCCACCAAAAGGTGAATTTGATGTACAAAAAGTGAGGGATTCGCATTACTTCTTCTCGTAGAGGAGATCATAATACGTGGTATTTTTTGCTTTTAGTTGGGTCTTTTTCTTTTCTGGATATTAGGAGTACATTCTACCACGTTTAGCATAGTTCTTGTAAATACATACACTACCAGTATCTTATATTTCTCAATACGTAGGATACACAAATGTCTATACAATACCCGAGCTAGGCATCAACCGTTGTTTTTCCGTCAATTGATCTTCCCTAGAATTTCAAATTCATCAATTAACGGTTGCAAAGGTTCCAATTCCTTTTTATCCAACAAATTAAATTCTTTAATAAAGGAGACAAAATGTGCAAAAAATGAATTAAAATGAGCCTCCAAACTTAAATGCACAATCTTGTCAAATTGATTGTAATATATAAATGCAAATATACGAAACATTTGTCGTGAGATGTTCTTGACATCCTTGATGAAAAATTGGGGAAACACAGCTCCAGTCTTCGTTGGAAACGTCTCTTGATCATTAATCTTGTTTGAGATCCATGTTATGACATATTCAATATACCGACAAGCAGGTAAATTCACCGCTTGTCCCGATCCATCTACCCATAAATAATTTGTCTGACCGGCATTCATGGTGGGGAATTCTTCAGGAGTAACAAAATCAGAAACCAACCCATAAAATGAATCCAAATTGCCAAAGAATTCAAAAATGTTCAAAGCCAACCATTCATTCAAGTCAACAAATGCAGGTAGTTGGACGATCGTCTTGTACGAACCTTTAACCAAAGCAGTCTTTACATACGGTTCACACATGAATAAAGGTGGTTCAGAAATCGTCAGCTGCAGCGTTCGTGAAGCAACTGATCCTCTATGTGACAGTCGTGGTTGTAGACTAGTATTGTTTGCTGCTCTAGAACGTTTGGAAGGCGAGCCTTGATATGATGATGCTGAAGAAGCAGATGCAGTACCGTAACCAGCTTGATTTCTTCCTGATGTCGATATTCCTCCTTGTCCTGTGCCACTCACTCCTCCTCCTCGTACAGGGGATGCTGAATGTTTGGATGGTGAAGATGGCGTTTTAATAGGTGATTGTGTTCTCCTTAGAGTATTACCGGATGCATTTGAATGTGAATATAGTGATGTTTGTTCATCTTTTTTGCTCTTTTTAGAGCTTCTACCTAGCCCTTTTATTGTATTGAAAAAGGACATTTCGTATAGTTGTTAGTGACTATAAGGTACTTCTTGATGCGATTAGAGGTGTAGGTGTAGCAAGTAGGTGTTATGACGTTGGCAAAGTCTCCTCCCTAGTGCAAGAGAACCGTTGGAAAAAATGAAATCAACGAAACAAACCAACAAGGAAAATTTTGAACAGCAAAAAAGGGAGATCTTAAACACAAAGAATTTGTAACACACATTCCTTGCAGTATGCTACACATGACTCGTCTAATGCTTAGTTTGATACTTTCACTACACATACACCCCTTCAATTCTATCTCTAAAGCTAAATACAAAAAATTCAAAGCTCTTTTCCTACCTTTAACTATACAAACTTTCCCAATGATTGACCAACTTTAACCTTTTCACCGACATCAATATCAAATTTGAAATTATCAGGAGCTTCAAATACTAAAACCACAGTTGATCCTAATTTGAACCCGCCCATATCTTGACCTTTAGACAAGGGGTATCCGCCCAATATTCTACTTGCATTGGTATAAGTAGCCTCATAAACTGTATTCTTTTTCAACTTCTTTTTCCGCTTACGTTCTTCAATTTCTTGGAAAATTGTTGATGCTGAATATTCCCTTTGGAGTAAAGGCTTGTTTTCCAGGTCTGATCCAGATGGCGATGCTAATGTAGACGACGACGACGACGAAGAAGAAGAAGAAGAGCCAGATGAGTAAGACCCGTTTCCATAAACTTCATCTTCATAGTACAGGTTGGTCTTTAAATCTTTATCGAAATTAATCACAATTGAACCAACATTTGTTGCTCCAACGGGAACCATTGAGAAGAATCCATACTTCCAATATCCCAACAAGGCCACTCGTTCATTAAGAACAAACAAACCTTGTAAAGTTTTTTGAAAAAATGGCGCCACTGAAAATAACTCACCAATAAAATGACGTCTCAAAGTGGCAACCCAACTGGTTGGCGAATGGAAATGATGGTAATCACCTGGTGCCAAGTAAATAACAGTAAAATACAATTGCTTGTGGCGGAATGATTCCATTGGATTGGGAGCCAATTCTTCAGCCACTGCTAGCTCTTTTGAAAACGAAGCTTTATCTCCTTTTGCCGTACCTTCCTTAACATCGGTGTAATTCAATTTATTCATGTGATGGGTATTTTCATTTTCTCCACCAAGAATATCATCCACTGTGTACGAAATCCCATTCAATTTAGCAAACTCCTCATGACGTTTAACTCTTGTCTCATCGTCTTCATCACCATCAAAGTCTTCAAATTGAGTTGAATGAGTAGGGGCAGCTAATTTTCTCGTTGTCGACATTCCCAACAATGCATCAATTGAATAAGTCATTCCTTTAACTTGCTCAATCTCACCCTGATCAATAACACCAAACTTCAACACTTTCCCATCAGCAGGACTAACAACGTCGTCATCAGAAATTGGTCGTACTCCTGGCTTCAATGTACGATAAAAGAATTCCGATAAATTCTTGTAACTTTTCAAATCAGGGTTTTCCATTTCATCCAAATTCACACCAAAGATTGCTGCATATAATCGATACAGTGGTGACCTAAGAAAAACCGGTAAATCGATTGAATTTACATATCCCCATAATCGGGAAATTGTCTTTAATGGAAGAGTCGAGTACGCATACAATTGCCAAGAATGAGGTCTAATTTTGTATGGATTCTCATGTTCTTCACCACGATCGTATTTGATCTTTGCGGCTACACCACCAAGAACAATAGTCAATGAAGTTATGGTCCACCACTTGATAAATTTCCTTCTTTGTTGCCTTCTTGCTCTAGCTTCTTTTGAAAAGAAACGTTTTTGAATCTTTTGAGTTTTGTTTTTAATCTTTTGATTTGCTGATGAAAACAGTTTTTTGGAAATTCTAGGAAATGGAAATCTAGTGAATCTATAGTATGATCTATTGCCATTCATCATGGGACCGTAGGCACCACCACCACCAAGGTTACCACCATTATTACTTCCAGATCTAGACCATGTACTATAATAAAACACACTTCTCTTTGGTCTAGGAATTTTGGGAAATTGATAGTAGTAGTAGCTGAAATACCTTCTTTGGTTTATTGGTTGTGCTTGTTGTTGCTGTTGTTGTTTCATCGGTTGTGTCGTTTGAGCCATTCGACTAGCATTGGACAAAGGTTGTAGAATGCTTCTTGCTTGTGGACAATTGTGCAGCTGTTGGTACATTGTTGATGAATTGCGTTGCCACTTCAGACCAAGCGATTTTGACCAGCTAATTGGTGTTGGTCTGAAAGCCATTAAATGTGAAAGGGGGTTGTTTGGCTTTTTTGAAGGAGGAGGCGTTAGTGATGTGAAGTTTAGTTACTGTTAGCTTGAGGTGGCAAGGGCGTAGGCTTTTGTGTGTGGGTGTGTGTATGTGTGTGGGGAGGGCGTCTCAAGTTTAGCAATGTATATAAGTTCAAATGAGTGTGTGTGTGGGTATTGAGTATCTGGATTGGTGGTGGGTTATATGAAATAATTTCCTAAATGAGAGAATTTTCTACAAGAGAAGTACTGCATATAAAGAAAACAATGAAGAGATCGTCAAAAACAAAGTGAATACGACAAGAGATGCAGTTCTTTTCTCACCACCCCTACTCTCAATCTCATTCCTTTCCTCTGATCCCATTGGTATGTAATAAGTCATCATAAATGTAGAGATCTGTAAGAGAGCGTGGTATATAATTAGCGATATATATACACATGTGCCTCCCACAACAGCTAGCACATTCAATAAGGTGCTAACGCCAATTCCAAAATACGGTCGTGTGATAATTTGTAAACAATAATACAACACAAAGGTACACACACATAACCACTATGCAACTTTGTTCCACAACTTTTGCTTCAATTGGTTGATAAATTGCAAAGGAATATAATGTAAATCATCATTATGAATACACATATTGGCATACCCAAATAATAATCTTAAATTCCATACATCTTCAATCGAATCAGGCGATTCAACACTTTTTATCAACCTCAATTTATCATCAATAATATTGAAAATAGTCAATCCGGAATACGACACTTTCTTCTTGGAACTGAACTCATTTATCCAAATCTCTTTACCGTTCAAATCTAACTGTTTGAATAATTCGCAATTCAATATTGAATCAGGGTCAATTTCAATATTTCGAGGCTTATTTTGCAACATTGATCTAACACTTGGTCTTAACAATTGATAATTTTGTTTCTTGTAAACATAAATCGTCAATGATTTTTCAAAATTTTCCAAAATTTCTGATTTCAATTGACAATCAATCACAACTTCAAAATAATCAATCGAATTGGTGGATATGGTTTGTATATCATTGATTTTGGGAAGTAAGCATGGTGACAATTTTTCAATCACTGTACCGTCTCTCATGGTTATGGTTATTGGAATTTTGTATGGCTCATTGGTACCTACCTCCTTGACCACCAAACATCGTGGAACAATAGCCAATGCCCAAAAATGCCTCAATGCTTGTAGATGAACCTCATATTCACTGTTCTCTTTTGGAAATATCGGGTACAAACTAGTGATTAAACTAGCAATACCAAACAATGAGTCATCAAATGCCATCTGTCCACCGCCAAGAAATAGGAAGCCCAACGCTGTGTTTATTGCCATGAACCCACCATATCCCATCGATTTACTAGTATCATTATGTAATACTCGTAATCTTTGAAAGACTTTTAAATCACCACTTGCCGCCATAATCAATGATGCACATAATGCCAAAATGTTTTGAATATTGATAGCAGTATTATAAGTAAGCTTCTCATCGTAATTTGTCGCTGGCTTGGCTGTCAACAACATCAACTTATCAAGATAATACAAAACGGAATCTCTTGCTTCTATATTAGATGACGACGCATACTTTAACGCCATTGCCAAACATGCACCACCCAAAACGTTGAAAAAAATCAACTCATCACTATCTAGCCTGTTGAACCCATCACTCTTGTTGAATTCACTCAACACCGTCGTGGGCACTTGCGATTCAATCCATTCACGTGTAGACCCAATTGTACTCCAAGTTATCAAGTTTGTGGCCATACATCGAAGAAATAGTAAATCTGGTCTGATGTAATCCAATACTTGTTCGGATTCAGGAACACTCAATTTGTCAGCTACATTTGCATTCTCCGTCTTGAGATATATCAAACACAAGGCTATAATTGCACCGCAACATGACTTATCCAATTCTAAACCCGGTTGATCGTTCTTCATAAAAGTAGCCAAAGCTTTCAATCTATCTACAACATGTGTATCATTAAGTCCCTTCAAATCATCACCCTTACCTAGGTTAACAAACCCCAACGCTACCCCCGAAGCTAATCTGTATCCTTCATGAACTTGCTCCACGTCATTTTGGAAAACTGAACCGGTAATCTGCGAAAGCAAAATCTCGCTCATCCTTCGGTGTTGTGTCTCCAAATAGAGTAGACCTATACCAATGAGTCCAGCTGTTTGCACCGTTATGGGTACATTTAAATCGTTGGCACCTTGTGGTAACAATGCAACAGCATGAACAGATAAAACTTTGGTCAACTTATTATCCATTGTACCGCGTAAACTAGCCGCCATACCAATAAGCAATCCAACGCTGGTTAAGGGATGTTTCGGGCCCAAGTAATTATAGATGTGCCATTCTTCGAGCTTCTTCAAGTGACCATTCAATCCTAACCCAAATAAGAAGCCTGCATGTTGTGAATTCAAATCCGGGGGTTTATTGAATATAATCCAACTACCTGAAATTCCCTTTGAGTCTTTTGCAATACTCAAGCCGGAGGATACACCGTTATGGAAATGACCCCACTCTAGTAGATTCTGAGAAATGCTATCCTCAGAAGGGATTATGGTGGTCATTGTTGGTGAAATCAATGTGTTCAAATTGAATTTCGGAATAGGGTATTTTTCTGTCAATAACGGTTTCCGACCGCCATAGTTTAGTGCAGCTCGACCCATGGGTATTGTCAAAGTTCGCACTGCAACAATACTAGCTAGTTTTCTTTGAAGCAAAAGAAGATCATACTCACTTATAGAGTCATTGGTTTTTAAAAAGGCAGTTTGCATCTTTGTTTGATGTAACAAAGTTGTTATTTCGAAATACCTTCGATCATGATCAAATATCAATTTGGTGATGCCTAACCGTTTAGCTTCTGATTGATCATCCCACGATGAGACAGCTTCATTTGAAGCAAGATCATGTGTCAATGACGCAATATTGTCACTGATTGGTTTTTCAATCGGCGTGTCACTGTAAAGACCATTTGATAATAATTTACTCAAATCCTCACGCCCAGTTAGCAAAAGCGCGTCAGACGTCCATTCAAAATTTGGTTGCTCTTGAGAGACCAGCAACGCCTCTTTCAAAGGTATAGACACACCCAAGGGAAATGTTTCAAGAGAAGTAACACCAAGATCACTCATCATATCAACCAAGTGTGCCGGTCCATACTGTAAAGACACAAGCACCTCGAAAAGCTTCAAAACAACATTCGTCACAGGTGTAACAATGGCGTCTACTGAGTCGCTCTCTTCAACCAATTGCGAGAATGATAAATACTGCACAATGTTGTCAGTGAATAAGCTGGCCAAGGATTCAAATAAGTTTGGAGGAAATGGAACAATTTGAAGCAGGAGGAATTTGACCGACTTATCAAGGTTGCAAGAAACATTGTAGTAGTTGACCCAAGTGTCGGGCCAGCCCATCCAAATAGTCAACTGACACAATAAAGTGCCAAGCATGTTCAAGTAGTGCTTCTTGGTAACATCCAACCTGTATTCTTCGCGAAGTAGGTGCAACGATACAACAATGTATGGTATCAAATCCTGTAAATTGTAGTTAACATGTGCATTTTCACGAAGAATTTTGGCTTGGGGTAAGAGGTTCGTGACTTCATTTGGAGTAAATTGAAGAGTGTCCAGAAAGGGGAAAGTCAACGACAATAAGGCCACAACTAATGCGTTCCACTCTGATCCACAATTGTTATAAGCGGTTCGCCAAAGCAGCCACAAAATTTGATTTACAGTTGATCCCGACAAGTATTTGAAGCATCTCAAACACGCCAGGATCAAATCAGACACTGGATCCAATATGATTTTCACCAACCGAATTGAATCGTCCTTCAATCGAAGAGCAACTTTGCCATCATTCGAGCTTATTAGCATGCATACAGGTAGATTTGTGTTGCATCCTGTACGCAATTCAAGGAACGGATTAACAATGAATAAACCATCATCCGTCAAAACAATTAAGTTGCCTTCAAAAGTGGAGTTGAAAGGAATGCAATCTAGGCACAGGCACTTGTAAATAGACAGAGACTTTGAATAAGAATTGTAGCTGTAAACGTGCAACTCTTGCTTCAATTTGTTGACCACAACAACCCCTTCTTGATTGTCAAAGGGTATACTGAATATCTTGACATGGTTTCGGCTAAGTTTGTTTTCAACAGTTTCAATCTTAGACAAGATGACGTCCTTGCGCAAACTGGAAATCGGTGGCTGCTCGGGATTCGATATCCTTGCATCAGATAATAAAGTGCTTGTTCGATTTTCCAGTATAAAGATCTGACTTAGTTTCGGTTCTGTGTATTTGCTTGATGAAGTCGAAATTGAGTAATGCTTTTTCTTTTGCAGCTTGCTAGATGGTTTAGAATTAAATTTTAGGTTTCTGCTTGAGTTTTTCACTTGGTATACATTGATTTCACCATCAACAAATGTAGTGCATAACGAAATACCTGTATCTCGTTGATCAAATGTTGTCACATATTCATAATTGTGAAAGGAACTATTTGTATCTGTATCAACAAATTTCAAACCAAGATCCCTGTTGATTAAATAAAGCTCCGTTCGCGTTTGCAAGACTAACCCCCTATCGTAGTCCTTGACCAATACAACATCAAAAGGTAGATGCAAAGTGTATAATTTCCCATTAGGATAGTAAAAGTTTATATACTTTTTGAAACAGATTGCCATTATTTGAGTAGGTTCATCCTTTATAAGAAATGAAGTGACACACGCTCTGATTATATCGTCATCAAATTTCAAAACACGACTGACTAAAAGGCCATGATAAACAGTTACAGTACTATCTTTGATCAACAACAATACATTGTCATCGCAAAGAACAACATTTTCACAATCAATTGGAAGCTCTAGCTCATCCTGATAGTCAATGACTGGTGTTGTTAACAGTTGTTGAATGCCAGACATGAATCTGAGTCTTTTGGTTGTAAAAAAACAAGTGTATCAGTCTTAAACAAAAAAAAATCAATTATAAACCGATGCTACCAGTTCTCTTTGAGCAGAGTTACCATAAGGAATAAACTGCTTTAACGATGAATTGACCAGCATCTCCACCGCTCAACTCTAATCCACACTCCGCATTTAGCCACTTTCTACATTCATTCCCATTCTAAAATATTTTCCGTTTTATGTATTAATAAACCAGTAAAATATCATACAAACCTAACAACACATGAATATAAAAAAAGGAACTATGTAATATTTTACAGATGAGTGATGATTGGTGAACCTTGCGAATGATATGATGGCGGCAAAGATAATTTGACAGGCAATGCGTAAGCAAAAATCTTGGTGAAGATATTCGCTTTTCGTGTTTCCCCCTTTCTCTTGACTGTAAGTAAATGATATAACAAAAATTTCCTTAACGGTAAGATTTTTGAAATCTTGCTCTGGCACCACGACCACCGAATTTCTTTGGTTCCATTCTTCTTGAGTCAGCAACCAACAAGGTTTTGTCGTAAGAGGCGAAAATCTTCTTCAATTCATTCTTTGAAGCTTCGTCAACAAATTTCTGGTGGTAAGCAACCAAACCTTTGGCAATAGCTTGTCTGATAGCGTAAACTTGTGAAATGTGACCACCACCAGTAACTTTAACTCTGATATCAATGTTTTGGAATTTGTCCAAACCAACCAATGTTAATGGTTCGTAAACTTTGAATCTTAAGATTTCTGGTTGGACCAAAGTGATTGGTGAACCGTTGATTTTAATTAAACCTTTACCGTTCTTGACGTGGGCAACGGCAGTGGCGGTCTTTTTTTTACCGAAAGTCTAGACAAAAAAGATAAAAGTTAGTATCCCATTGATGAGAAAAGAAACAAACTTGATGGGGCTTGAGGGGCAGAAGCAGCTTTCAAGGTGATATTCATGTAACGAATCTGCCTATTTGTTCAGAATCTTAATTATTCACGTAACCTTTATCCTCCCTGGACTGCGGTTTCTGCATTTGCATGATTCTGTTGTATCTTTCTAATCTCCTTCGTTTGCTCCCGTTTACGGGTAATGGCTCTCCCATAGTCTATGTTTCCCATTAACGTTGTTGATGCACTTGTACATACTTGAACTGATTGAGTTGACATAATTGTGTTACTGGACCTAGTTCTGTTGTTAGGGTTGGAATTTGAAATACTCTGAAATTTTTTTTTTGTTTAAACTGAGTGGCCCTTCCTTTGATCGTGAAGGTGTTTTCGGTAGCGTAAAGATCAAGGTACTGCATGCAAACAAATCAAGGGTTGTAACCCTACCTTTCTTCGCACTACCTTTAATTTTTCATTTGTTATACTCTCAGCACTGCGTGTGAACGTAACGAAAAAAAAAAAAAAGAGGAAAATCATCTTTGATCAAAGACTACACTACTGACCACATCTTACATCAACAACAATGGCTATCTCAAAGAACTTACCATTATTGAAGAACCACTTCAGAAAGCACTGGCAAGAAAGAGTCAGAGTCCACTTCGACCAAGCTGGTAAGAAGGCTTCAAGAAGACAATCAAGATTGAGAAAGGCTGCCAAGATTGCCCCAAAGCCAATCGACAGCTTGAGACCAGTTGTCAGAGCCCCAACTATTAAATACAACAGAAAAGTCAGAGCTGGAAGAGGTTTCACTTTGGCTGAAATCAAAGCTGTTGGTTTGACTCCAAAATACGCCAGAACCATTGGTATTTCAGTTGACCACAGAAGACAAAACAAGAGTCAAGAAACTTTTGAAACCAATGTCCAAAGATTGAAGGAATACAAATCCAAATTGGTTATCTTTGACAAGAAGACCAAGGCTTCTGAAACTGTTTCTTACGAACAAGTTTCCACCTCAGCTACTTTCCCAATTGAACAACCAGCTATTGAACAAGGTACTAGAGCTGTTGAAGTTCCAGAACAAAGTGCTTACAGAACTTTGAGATTGGCCAGAAACGATAAGAAGTACAAGGGTATCAGAGAAAAGAGAGCCAAGGAAAAGGCTGAAGCTGAAGCTGAAAAGGCCAAGAAGTAAATGATAAAAGAGTAAGGTGAGAGGGATAGTTATTACCAGGAAGGAGATGAACACGGATGATGAATGTACATTAATTCAGAACAGAACACCACCTATCATGTTTTTAACTATATATATACACAAATAATTTGGTTAATAAATTGGGGGTACAGCAAACTCATTATTGTAATTGCATGTTGTAATTTAGGAAACAGTGGAGTATGCAATAAGGCTCCCGCTTTCGCTTAGGTATTCACTTGGCCAATTTCCCCAACCAATCTGCATTCATCTCTAAAATTGTATCTCTACACACTCTTCCATCCTTAAGAATTGCTTTTATTATATAGAAACCCTAAAATCTATTCACTGATACACTGTACTAAACAAACTTCCTGATTTTCAATGTAATTCGAAATACAAATTCAATGGATTTGCGGCATCGTGACGAAAGCAACCACCTTTGTTGAATTTTTTGGAACAGCTTAATCGAATAAACCGAATCCCATGTCATCATCAGATTCTTCTTTAGCTTCTTCCTCCTTCTTTTCTTCAGCAGCAGCTTCACCACCAGCAGCAGCAGCGTCACCACCAGCAGCAGCACCGGTGGCAGAACCAGCAGCAGGAGCAGCGGAAAAGTTGAAGAAAAATTCCTTCAAGTCCTTTCCTTCCAAAGCCTTGGAGAACAAGTCAGCCCAGATACCTTCGACTTCGACGTTGGCTCCTTTGGTCAAGGTCAACAATTTTTCAGAAGTGATTTCGATATCGGAATCAGCCAAGATTAAAGCGGCGTAGGATAAAGCGGTTTCAGTTGACATCTTTTCTATAATGTAGTTGGTTGATTGTAATAACTAGAGATAATCAAATTAAGCAAAGCAGACTATTTCTTAGTTTGGTTGTGTAAAGGAAAGACTGAGGTGCAATGCGTAAGTGGCTGTTGCAAAAGTAGGTTTTTTTTTTCCACCGATTGGTAGGCGAGAGATGAAGAGAGTAATACGAGCACGTGAGTTTAATTAGGGCTTTGAACAGATTGAATTGTTGTAGACAAGTTGCTGCAAACTTGATATTTCAAAGAATCCCCATGTGAATACATTGGCATTTTCCTGGAAAGTTGAGCTCCACATCCAAAGGGTGTCTTGTAGAAGCTTAATTACTTTGCGGGATTATAATGAATTATAATGTGAAGAAGTTTTTGTGCTTCGGAGCTAATCAGAGATTGCTCTGTCAATACTAACCTGTACCTATGATTAAGATTAAATCTGAGTTTAGGTGGCCAATGCAGCCACAAGTTGTGTAATGGCTCTCAACATATATTAGAGGTTTTATATAAATTGGTTGCAAAATTGCGACAAAAGCAGAGAAAAAAAATTGTGTCAAACCATCAATTGTAGTAAAAGGTCTGCTAGTGTTCCAGCTTAGGGAACTTCACATCGACTGAATCGTCTTTAAAAACAAATGTTTTATACTTCAGGTTAAAATTGCTATGAACTTCTCTGCTTCTTCAACTTCTCCTCTTTGGCAACTTCATTTAAGGCCTCAATCAACACATCACTGGCATAATCATAATCATCCAATTCATTGTAGATTTGACAAGAAAACCTAGCCAATAGTTTACCATTATGGGCAATGCACGGCGTGTATGCTTTCTTAGCAAAACATTTGGCATAAACCAAATCAACATACTTTGTCCAATCCTCAATAAATTCGGGAACATCAATAGGCACTGGAACGGTAATCATAGTACTGATTTGGGTGGCATCTTTTTGATCCAATACCGGAGTTCCCCATTTCTTGCTCACCAATTCACCAGCTTGCACAGCTAATTCGTGACAATAATCATATATCGCTTTTTCCCCACCACAAACTTGTTGTCTAAACTCCATCGCGTATGGAATGACTTCAACGGAAGCAAAATTCTTTGTACCAGTGAAGAAGAATCTATCAACCAAACGATTTCTTTCGTCTTCCTCAGACAAGTCGACAGTAGAGGGCAAATATGAGTGACTTATTGGCATTGTATGAATATACTTGTGGTGTTTTGGATCAACGTACAACACAGCACAACCAAAGGGAACAAAATACCATTTGTGCAAGTTGCTCACATAAAAGTCTGGCTTGAGATCAGACAAGTCCTGTGGGATACATCCAATTCCATGTGCACCATCAATCAATGATAAAACGTTGTACTCGTGACACAATTTAGTCATTTCCACGTGAGGAAAGATAACCCCAGGCATAGATGAAATTGTATCAAACATGCACAACTTTGGACTTTTTTCTTTAAACACTTTCTCAAACATGGATAAAATCTCCTTATCAGTGATGGGGTAGTTGATTTCAACAACGTGGAAATCGATATCAAATTGATCCTTCAAAAACTTGACAGTGTTTCCACAAGCTCCATATACTGTACTCTGTATTACAATTGAATCACCTTTTTTAAAAGGATAACTTCTCAATACTGTATTGATACCAGTGGTTGCATTATCAACAATGGCCAAGTTATGGTAATCACAATTCAATATCTGGGACAATGCTTGTAAACTCTGAATATATTTGTCCCTCTGTTCTTGCTTCATGTACTTGTCGGGGTAGTTTGCATGGTTGGTAATTATTTCCAAGTACTTTTCGTGGATTGGGGTAGGTGTCAAACCATACGAACCATGATTCACTGGACACACATCTTCATTTAAATTGGTAAAGTACTTTGCTCTAAACTTTTTACCAAATTCTTCCATAGGCGCTTGTGGTTTCGATGATGTTAATGAAAGTTTATTGAGTAGTGCGGAGAGCATAATGGAAGGCAGATGGGTTTGAGAAAGAGACTAGGCGGGGAACTTATATCAACCCCCCTCTCCCCTTGATGATGACTAATAGTGTACTTGGTTTTGATGTAACACAAAAGGTTAAAAGATTGAAGTTGTCAAATGTTGACTCACTGGTTTCCATAAAATTTGATACGTTGAAAGGGTGAGTTTGGCTGCAAAAAATGACAAGTTGACTTTGCTTGAATAATAATGATGAGATTTCTCCTTGTTTGCTCTATCCAATTGTCTTATCGCAGTTTCAAGCGCTGGAGCCATGAAGTTTATCGGCGCGAAAATCAAAAGATGCTACCACGATGTAGTGTTAAAGTTACACAAAGTCAAGAGGACTCCGCTTATGCCCTAAACATCAGCAAAGTGTTGGTGAGAATTGAGCACCTAGTGTAAATCTGAAGCTTCAACTTTGGAGCGTAATATACCCGGTTCAATGGATAAAGGGGCTTCTTTTGACACAAAGTTTCGATATTGAAACACATCAAATGGTGATTTGCAAGTTTAACTATGCTTTGTTTTCATCTCCGTCTTAGATCGACTTGGCGCCATTATCCAATAAAAGCAAGTGGCAAGGGATAGAGCAAAGCTGACTGTGAATCGTTGAAATGATTTGTATAAGACCTTAGCAATACCCTTGTGGTCCAAAACGATTGAGGAATGGAAATTGACGTCATTTCAGTGCGACCACCTTGTCCATTCTACTACCACTCGCACGTTTCGTCAATCGCGTTTCACTTTCCTGAATTCCGACATTTCACGATAGTAAAGTTGTTTTTCCGACAATAGTAGACAAAGAGAGATAGACCCTTTATATGCACACTTTTATTGTTTAGATTGATTGCGCTACTAATCCTATTTTCATTCGTTCTCTTTTGTTTATTTATTTTTTGGTTCATTTAACTAAAGGTGTTACTGAATACGGAATGAAACTTACTAAAATGGGCGATACTTAGGGAAAACTTTCAAATTTAGTAGATACCAGGTACAATAGTCGTTTCCTTTGACAAAAAAAAAAAAAGAAACGTACTATTCCTCCACGTCGTATGATCTAAGCCACCGAGTGGGATTCGAGGTAGCTTTGTTTTCGACAAAATCCCAAGGTAGATGTCCAATCTAGCTCCGCGAGGCTCAATCTTGCGTCACAAATAATGTTATCATTTATGTTTTCAACTGGTTCTAGAAACGTGAAATCCGTGTGGTATTATACACGAAAAAAAAAACATAAAAAAAAATTGACGCGCAGAATATCTTTAGCGCGTCGTCTCTAACACAAACGACGCCAGGACTATATGGAGAATGAAGCAGAATGTGGGTGAAGGATAATGAACTATACGACTGGGGACAATAATCAACAATGAATCTCTTGACATGTATTGTGATTTTGTAAGCTGAAATTTGTTCCCTTAGTCGAGGTTCTTAAATCGCTGCAAAACTCATTCACGTAGTTTAGACCGATTGATTGGAGTTAAATTTCGGATTAATTCTTGTAACCCAATTAAACCGTAAACCGAAACTATTTATTGGCGCAGAATTGCATGTACTTTAAGATAGGCAGTTGAACACTTTCACGGTTCTTTTTTGGTTAAATTGATTAATGAAATTCTCAAGCGGATTATAAAGCAAACCAATTTAGCTCATAATGCATGTATACAATAACCACAATATAATAGTTTAAAAGACACAAATTGAAACTTAGCAAAAAAGTTACACAAATTAAGTGTAAAGTAATCAAAAAACTTGAGAAAGGAGGCGTGTATATAGATATCGAAGTCACGAATATGCTTCGAATCTGTATACAACTCCGCGGAATAAAGCTATGGAGTTTGGTTAATATGAATGAGGGCAGTACCGATGAACTTATTCGTCTTTGGTCTACTTGTTGACGACGAGTAATAGATACTTGTACATTGCTCTACACTAATCTCCTCACCCTTGCTATGGTTAAGAATGATGTAATCGAAAACAATAAGACCAATACTAGAAAGAAACAAGAGCACAATAACCCCCCTCCCCCGTACAAGGCTAGCTTTGTGGTCTGATATTACGTGCTAACCAAGTCACAGAAAGCAATAGAAGTATACCTCGGAAAGCTATACTCGTCGGATATCTTCATGTTAATAATAATTTTAATTTAGATTCACTAAAACAATAGAGCTGCGTCCAAAATGTTCTAGTTTATTGACGGAAATTGCCATCAAAGCAACTATAGAGAAAAAAAAGAATTCAAGACTCATGATTTCACATGTAAGTTGGATCACCAGCAACTATGCCCGATGAAAAGAAGCAGCTAGCGGAGAAGGACAGTGTTTGAATCAGGGAGAAGCAGCCCCCTTTTGATTTAGTGTAACTTTGGCTTAATGCAACTTGAAACGCAAGGCCATTCCGGTGCTTGGCACCAATAAGGGTTGAGAGAAGATATTGTACACTTATACAGACTCAACCTCTTGGCATGAAGTTTGGGTTTGGGTACCCTCATGGCTAGATTTTTCTAAACAAAAGAGATCTGGGGAGAAGTCTGGGAGTGTACTCTGCGTTTTACGAAAGTAAAGATTTCAGAAGTGATTGAATTGGAATGCTATTCCAAGTGATCACCAATAGTCATGCATAAAAATTAAATCAAAGCAAAGGAAAGAGAGAATGTCTGTGTGGAGGGGTTGAGCTGTGGTTACATTGGTGTCAAGTGCTACTATTGGAGTCTTGATTTCGCTGTTAGAATAGATATAAAAAAGGGGTGTGGGTTTCTTAATAAGCCAGCCACCTTTTTTATTCATGTGTGTAGTTCTGATTTTGTAACTCAATTTCACTATTAACACGGCGCTTAAAAGAAACCAATTACACATAACCACCACATGCATCATTCTCTAAGTACACAGAGCTCTATATAGAGTGGTACAGTAGTAGTACAATGTGTGTGTGTGTCTCTGTGTTTATGTGTGTGTGTGTGTGTGTGTGTCTCTGTGTTTATGTGTGTGTGTGTGCGTGTGTGTGTGTGTGTGTGTGCTAAGCTAAACATAAACAAAGCACTATGGCATACAAAAGAGAACAATAGATTTAAAAATAAATTAGAAAACAACCAAACACAAACAAACAAACAAATATGCACACAGATACACAGAAATAACTCATGACACATCCACAACCACTTCCTCCCCCCTGTGAACAATAAAGACCAACACTTGTGTGTTTAAATACACATAACCTATTTGAAACAAATTGATTAAACTTTACTTTAAAACAATATATGTAAAAGTTACAAAAACATTGCAACAGAGAATGTAGTTTTCACTCCTTTCATCGTACACACACGAGAAAGAGATATAAAAGACTTTACAGTTTCCCTTCCTTCTCGAAAATGCCATGATATTTAACATTTGATTCATTCGGTTTGCTAGCGACTTCGTTTAAAGAGGAATCACATTACTGCTTCTTGCACCCACCGCGTTCACACCTTGCATACAAAGAAGCATCACGTATTTCAGCTTGGCCATACATCTTGTAACATCGAAATACTGCAAAGCCACTTAGATCAATTTAACTATTGCCAATTAGACATTGGAAAATAGAGAATCATATCATTTGTGTTTTTTTAGTACATCAAATTAATTTATCCGTTTTCGGTTGAAATTGTATACGCTTGGTTTTTGTGGCTCGTTTTAACTTAAACGGCCAAAAGTATTGCAATTAAAACACATTATATTTCACAGACCTGAAGGATAGCGAGAACACTTCATTTACATTGGACTTTGTCATTTAATTGGTTGGTTTCTATTGCTATTTATTTTCTTGTTTGATACATTTCACCCCTTTTGTGCTTCTTGAGGAACTTTTGTTTTTGCAGTTTCTTAAATTTTCATAAGTGCCTTCTAATCACATTTTACTTCACGTTGACACTATCTTTATAGGGTCACATTTACAACAACCATAATAGAAAACGCAATGAGATCTTTTGCTTTCTTCACATTGTTCATTTCGTGCATATATGCATTAGCTATTACACCACAGAAAAGAGGAGAAAGTGTACCATGGAATTATGAGAAACAAATCACGCGTGGATTGAATTTGGGTGGTTGGTTTGTTCTCGAGCCATATATTACTCCATCCTTGTTTGGTTCTTGGTTGTTTGGGGATGATGAAAACAATATTCCAGTCGATGAATACCACTTTACAAAGCAATTGGGTAAAGAGTCTGCTAAACAGGTCTTGCAAATGCATTGGAACTCTTGGTATACTGAAGCTGATTTTGAACAGATTAGCTATTTGGGTATCAACACTGTTCGTATCCCAATTGGATACTGGGCTTTCCAATTGTTGGACGATGATCCATATGTTCAAGGTCAAGTTGAATATTTGGACAAAGCATTGCAATGGGCCAGAAACCATAATCTTAAAGTGTGGATTGACTTGCACGGTGCTCCAGGTTCACAAAATGGTTTTGATAATTCTGGTTTAAGAGACACCTTGGACTGGCAATCTGCTGACGGAAATGTACAAGTTACAAAGGATGTGTTGAACACCATTTTTGAAAAGTATGGGGGTGACAATTATGCTGATGTTGTTATTGGAATTGAATTGCTTAATGAACCATTGGGTCCAAGCTTGAATGTTGATGAGCTTAAACAATTTTATCAAGATGGATACAGTGCTTTGAGATCTACGGGGTCCAATATCCCAGTTGTTATTCATGATGCTTTTGAGGCTATTGGCTACTGGGACGATTTCTCCATTGGTAGCAATGCTTTTAATGTTGTTTTGGACCACCACCATTATCAAGTCTTTTCTGCCAAAGAGTTGGAACGTGATCTTGACGACCATATTTCAGTTGCTTGCAATTGGGGTTGGGACACCAAGAAGGAAAGTTACTGGACTGTTGTTGGTGAGTGGTCAGCTGCTTTGACCGATTGTGCCAAATGGTTGAATGGTGTTCGGAGAGGAGCACGTTATGAGGGTCAATACGACAACTCGCCGTATATTGGATCTTGTCAACAATACTTGCAGCTCGACAATTGGCCAGAAGACTACAAAACCAGTGTTCGCAAGTATATTGAAGCACAATTGGACGCATTTGAGTACACTGGTGGATGGATCTTCTGGAACTGGAAGACCGAGGATGCAATCGAATGGGATTTCCAAAGGTTGACTGCTGCTGGTTTATTTCCACAACCTTTGACTGACAGACAGTACCCTAACCAATGTGGGTTCCCAGGTAACTAAAAGCGATAACAACAAGGTTGTTAGTTGAGTGGGTAGAGAGTGTACCTTTTTATTGGTTAATTTTGGTTTGGTTTTTTTTTTGATAGATCAAAAAGAAAGGAGACAAAAGTAAGTTGGTTTTGGTTTTTTCTTTTAATAATTGGGTTTTTTGGTGTTGATCCAAGTGTATATTAATAGCTATTTAGGATTTTCTTGATTATACGTCACTGTGTTATTATGTGAAAAGGTGCCTCTCTATATGCCTGGTGCAAGGCTGGGAACTCTTGAGTGTACCGTTTTTGTGTCTTCTCTTCTCATGGTGAATTTCTCCAAAAAAACCACAGGAGATAATTCATGACCGAATCCAAACTGCATTAGTTTGAAAGCTAGAGTACAGGTACTGAATGAGTTTGCTTACAAAGGGATTTCTACTGAGATGCACGAGGAATCAGCTGTGTAGCCCCCATCGGTTTGTAAAGCAATCATGGCTACGATGCCCACCCTACAGATCAGTGCCGTATAGAAAAATCAGTCAAGCTTCGTTGCTACTACAACAGATGAAGCAAGACAGAAATGAAAAACAATCCGTTGATACAAAAGCGGGAAAGCCCAACACACTACAGAGGCCAGATACTACACTAAAGGTCACCAAGGAACAACTTTTAGCCAAAGCAAACAATATGTACTCTCGATTTAAAATTCGACTCAAATGGCTTTTGAAAAAATCGAATCGACCATTCAATACTGATGACTATTCAGCGTTCTTTTCCTGGATAGTTGTTGGTAACGTGTTTTTGTTCTTTGTGGCAACAACGACATTCTTCTCTCTTGTGATTTTTACGGCAAATACGGTGTTTGCACAAGAGTTTGTCGCTAGAAAGTTTGGAGAAATAATTACCAAAAATTCAAACATCACAGTCACGTTTGAGAGTGCAATTGTCCCCGGTTGGTCAGACGGGAAAATAAGTTTCAGAAAGTGCTTTGTTAGTAGAAGACCCAAAAAGATCGAGAAATTCACCAAGGGATCCCAAAAAGCGGAGTACGAAAAGAGTTTACTTGTTAATGACGACGTGGATGAAAGCGAAAAAGACATTTTTGAAGACGATGGAAACTACACTCAGTTTGATCTCACAATAGAGGAAGTCAATATTTCATTGTCATTCAATAAATGGGTCAATGGGACCGGCATGATTGAGACTTTGGAAATGAAAGGTGTGCGAGGAATAGTTGATCGTACCCACGTGCGATGGGATCCAGACGATGATGCCACTAACTACAAGAATGTGTACCAGCCTGGGGATTTCGAATTTGAAGAGTTCAAAATGGAAGATGTGTTGTTCGAATTGAAGCAGCCCAATGGGTTCAGGCCATTTGATGTTTCAATTTACAATTGCGAGTTGTCGAAATTGAGAAAACACTGGTTGTTTTACGATTTTTTGAACGCAGAGGTGATGAGTGGCTCGTATGACAACTCCTTGTTTACTGTACATAAAAAGCAACGATTGAGCGATTTTTCAATCAATGACGAAGGGAGAGAGAGTCCACTGAGCAAATGGAAAAGAGTGACTTGCTTGCGAGTAGACTCGTTGAATATAGATCATTTGAATAGGGGACTTGAAGGCCCATTTGGATGGATAACAAGTGGTAAGGTGGATATGATTGGTGAAATAATGGTTCCACGGGAGGATAACAACGATATTGGTGTGAAAGAGATTGTCAATATGATTGCCGACTCAATAACAAAGGAGGCTACGAGGTACAAAAATCCAGAAGTTCAGTCAAAGCATCCCGATATGCATACACGTTTGACACATGATGATTACACTGATATATCAAAGTATTTCGTTCTAGATCTAACCATACGTTTAAATAATGTGAGGGCAACGGTGCCATTCAAAGCACCTGAGTTGTCATACATCAATTATGCACTCATTAGACCAATTGTTGCCTATATCAACTCCAAAAACACATTTATCGAAATCCACAACCGAGTGGTAAAGAACATAAAAGATTTTGATGGCTCTTGGACCGTCTACGACTCGCTCTTGATGGATGATATTTCCGAGGAGGTTTATGACAATTTTGTTGATTATGTTGCTGATGAGGAGGCGAGACTAATTAGGGTCAAAAGGGTTGGCTTTTGGTCACTTCAGTTGTTTCTCCAATTGGTGCTTCTTGGTTTGGGCACATTGGCATAAATCAGCTTCCATGATTATCTTACATCTTCAAAATGAGCACCAATAATGCAATGTAGCAACATAGACTAACAATTGATAAAACCAATACATAATCGCCCCCTGTCTTGTACATTTCCATATCTTTTTCTGGATTGTAAAACACATCAACGTGCAGTGACTTGTAGACTCCAATAAAGTAAAGTATGCACCCATACACCGTATACATTGTTCCTATTGGTAAAAACTCCTTCGAAAAGAGTTTGATTATCAAAATTGAAAAGGAAAAACAACCAATTGCTGTCCTTGTATATGCCCCTTCATACGTCCTCTGATGGGCCCGTATGTCCAATTTCAAGTTATCTTCAAAAAGATCGATCCGGGATGGTAATCTGTCCCTCAAAGGGGCTGGCCGATTTTCGTTAGACATGAGTGTTCTGCAAGGGGGTGTGGCACACACCAACAATCACACACACACAAAACGTGGGATTACTTTTTTTGTTTCTCTTGAATCCAAATCTTTCTTCGATTACAAAACTTCATCAATATTTCCTTATATTCCCGCTTAGTACATAATGGCTGCCGCTAGACGTCTATGGGTAAAACTAAAACTATCATCCAAGTATCTTGCCACACTACCCAAATTTGATCCTCATGTGTCCAAATCGAGATTGAAAAAGATAGCACAAGAAGAGAAGAAGGGAGTCAGTCCATCTATATCGAGTCTGCAGAGGTCTTCACCGGCCCCAGAGGGCACAGGCACACCGGGCCCATCGAATAGTGCCAACAACACCGGTGCAGCTGGTTCCGGTATCAGCCAGTACAAAATCAACGTTGGTCTCAAGGGCGACTCAACTTCAGGGCTCACCATGAATAGTATAAATCCAGCCCTTTACATCCTAGATAAGTCAGGTAAACCATGCCAACGCTGGGTGAAGAAGTCGAAACAGTTTAAAAGCTTCACTGGGTTCAAGATGAAGTATACGAAATATGAGCCAAAGGAGCCAGGACCAAAAGACGGAAATAAGAGTGGAGGAAATGCTGCCAAGGAGGTTTCTGAAAGCGCCAAGAGCAATATCACAACTATAGCAAGTGAAGTAAAAGTGGAGACCTAAGAAGAAGAAGAAGAAGAAGAAGAAGATGATGATGATGATGATGAAGATGATGTGTACGTATTTGTATAGAGAAATGGTTTGTTGAAAAAAAAAATATTTAGCACACGATGTAGTACAACAGGTGACTCTGAGCGGAATGCTAATACGAAACATAGGACTAAGGCGATGCACTCGCAGACTTCTATCAACAAAGATCAAGGAGAGCTCGTCAACAAATACCAGTCATGCTATTTCCAATAGACAACTACTTTACACCACTGACGCAGCTTCACCCGGATCAATCTTTTTCTTACCACATGGAACTAGAATATTAAACAAGCTCATTCAATTTATGAAAAATCAGCAAATAAAGTACGGCTTCCAAGAAGTCGTTACTCCGTTGATTTTCAAAACCAAATTGTGGAAAAAGTCGGGACATTGGGATAACTATAAAGACGACATGTTTAAAGTTGTTGGGTTTGATATGTCTAAGGAAGAGATTACTGAGGGATCAATAGAAGAGCATGAGTATGGCTTAAAACCAATGAATTGCCCGAGCCACTGCATGATTTTTGCTAAATTCGATCGTAGCTATAATGAATTGCCTATACGGTATTCTGATTTCAGCTCATTGCATAGGAATGAAGCTAGTGGGGCATTATCTGGATTGACAAGAGTGAGAAGGTTTCATCAAGACGATGGCCACATTTTCTGCAATGTTAGTCACATTGACCAGGAGATTAAAAACACGTTGAATTTGATCAAGGATACCTATGGGGTGTTTGGAATTACAAAGATCGATTATTACTTGTCAACGCGACCAGAAAAGTACATGGGGGATGTCGATACATGGGACGAGGCAGAATCTCAATTGAAAAAAGTGTTGAACGAGAGTACGGGGGAAGGAGCATGGCAAATCAGGGAAGGCGATGGCGCTTTCTACGGTCCAAAGATTGATGTTCTTTTGACTGATGCGTTCAACAAAAAGCACCAAGTTGGGACAATTCAGTTGGATTTTCAATTACCTAAACGATTCGATCTAAAGTATGCTGCCGAAGATGGTTCAAGAGATAACCAACCTATATTGATTCACCGAGCAGTGTTTGGTTCTTTGGAAAGATTCTTTGCAATCTTGTTAGATCACTATCAAGGGAAATGGCCGTTTTGGATAAATCCGAGACAGGCAATGATTATACCGGTGAATGATTCACATGTTGATGCAGCTGAAAAGTTGCAGCGCAAATTAAGTGGAGACATCATCAATACAGATGAGCTGATATCTCCTTTAACTGGTTTCAATTTTCATGTTGACGTTGACAAGAGGGCAGCAACTGTGGGACACAGAACTAAAGAAGCAATCCAAAGTGGGAATTCCTACATTATCTTGATCGGTGATAGAGACATCGCCAACGGGACATATTCAGTAAGGTCCAGGGATGATAGGAAAGTTGAAAATTTGACAGGTGATGAGATTTATCAAAAATTTGTAGACTTGGAGAAGAAGTATCAGTGAATAAAAACATACATGTACATAGAATTATTTACAGTCTGCCATACCCCTTATTGATAAGTATCTTGTCTATCTCCGCCCAAAAGTCCCGAACAATCACCTTATCTTTGAACCTTTTTTCACCTCTATCGACTTTGATTTCATGAACGTTCCAGTCTTTTATTTGATGTGGGGTTGCCTCCCCTTGATAACCCAAGTAATAACCTTGATATTTCTGAAACAATACTTCTGGTTTAGAAAAATTGTACTTCGAAAACTGCCAGCTTTGACCTGTGGTGAAAATTGCAATGACTCTATTCCAATAATCGGGGTTGGTAAACAAATCAACATTGTCAACCACCATAATCTTTTGAGCCGATGAAACAAGTCTCTCCGAAGGATGATCGATGATCACAACACCAGATTGTGGTCTGTCACCAGGAGTAGGTTGTGTATAGCGTCCGTTCTCAAGAAACTCTTTGATATTGGATAACGAAAGAAGGGCTGTCAATGAGGGCGACACAATAATGATTGGTTGTTTCTTTGACCCACTTTCCTTTTTAGTTTCTCTACTGCTAGGTTTGGCACGCTTCAATTCATGCATGAACTTTTTCGCATCCGATATTAGATAGCTAAAGTCAATATTTTTAGACCCTCTTAATACCGCATTATGATCGACAGACTCCTTTTCAAACTGGCTGATTCGATCCATCTGCGGGTCATCAAGCTTGTGCTTTTTAGAGCTGATGGCATCGGATTTGGTGTCTGATTTTATGGCTGTATCTCTTCCATCTTCCTTCTCTTCCTTGACAAACTGACAACTGTCAATAGTTCCCTTTAACCAAGTGATCAAGTCGTATCTCTGCAAATACGCAAATGCCGGGATCCCGTGTTCAATAGCCTTGGACTTGTAGTCAACATCTGGGGTCTGTTCCTCAAGCCAGCAAAATACAACTGATTTCAAGTCTTGAGGCTCATCATCGTTGTAGAAATTTGTCGTCAAGTTCAAGTCATACTTTTTCTCATCATCATCACCAAATTGAACCTTGGTTGCTTCTTGAATAAGCTCTGTCTCTTGACCATTTTCGTTAAAGAGTTTGATCGGGTCTTTTGCAATGGCCGCATGACGTAGCGCTTTGAGAGCCTCTACTCCTGACATTTGGGTTTTGTTTGGATTGACAACTTGACTTCCAGGGGGATTCTTTTGGCATTTTTTTTTTGTGACAAAATTTCGACGTATTTTAGAAATCATGAGTAAAAACCTAGTTCGTCATATGAAATCTAATCAACACAAGGAAACCATTTCAACAAGTATAGACTAACTACATCGCTACTGGTTGTTTGAGCGCTATAGCTTAGTCGCACTGTTTCTATTATGACCGATAGGTCCAACATTGGAATCACACAAGTCACGCAATGGAGGGATGAGGCTCAACAAACATTGAAAAAGGCTCAGAAATTGTGCACGGCTGCCCAATTGTCATTGGAAAAGACGCGACAAGATTTGACTGTTCAATTGCCTATTGAATTGGATTCCGCAGAGCATTTGCTTGAGTCGTATCAGAGTCAGTACGAGCTTGTGGACAAACATATCAAAAACTTGAAACGATTGTTGGCTGAAAATGTGGACAGAGTGTTTGCCGACATTGAGGGTACACTAGAGCCGAGTTTAAGGCAATTGGACACCACCATCACAAAAATGAGGAGCATCAAAGTACCCTCATTTGTTTTAACCTCAGAGGAGATTGCACCGAGGACGCTACTTGATTTCATAGCCACTGAATCTATTGACATTATGAAGGAGAACATCAACATATACCGAACAAACTGCGCAAAGCTCAAGCGCTTATTACTGGATGAGTTTCAAAGTGGCATCTTGAACCCATTCCATCTCTTTTCGACTCAACACGGTGTTATCAATACGGAGTTTGATCGCTTGGGACCAATACAAATTGAATACAGAACTGCTCATGGGAACATTCTAGAGTCAAAAGGTGTTATGGGAACCACTCTCAAAGAAAATCAAGCATTAGAGAACGAGTTGGTGTCGCTTTTGCAAATGTTAACCAATCATTACGATCAGTGCAATAAAGCGGTAGAGTTGCTCTCATCCGAGAGTAGCAATGTCAATGTGAATATTGAAGTTTTGGCAACCGATGCTAACGAGTTGAGTGAGGTTTTCAACGATCTTACTTTGGTTTACGAAATCGTATTGACAAATGAATCAAAATCAAACAAGACGTTTCAGCAATATAGATCGTATATCGATACGTGTGGTAGTCTCTTGAGAACGGAGATTGCAAACATAAGAGAGTTCAAAGTGGCTAAATTACCCAGTTTTATGTTGTTACTAAACGAGTCCATTGAAGTATTACGAACATGTTCCATCACTGACGTGACACCTGCGGATTCATCACCATGCGAAATTTATTCCGAGACTATTGAACAATTGGTATACCACTATTCTCAATTTATTGATATTTTTGAAACAAAGTATCTCACCGAATTACACCACGAAGAATTTATATATCCAAGGAAGTTTTTGAAAAGAATAGATGGCTTTTTAAACGAGGAATTGTACCGCATGCAACTCGAGGAAACAAATCGTAGAAGATCATGGCTTGCTAAATATGGAGAGTTTATACCAAGAGAGTTCAAATTGCCCGGAGAGGACGAGATGCCCACAGTCGTGCAGGTCATAACTGAGGGATTGGAACGTATACAAAAGCAAGATGGGATTGAAAAATTCAACGATGGAGCGGAAAAGCAGTTGTTAGATTTGATTAGATCCTTAAAGCGGAAGTAAAACAATCTTACAGAGGAGAATTAGATAATAGTTGTTTAAGATGCAGGCGTCGTTAGTCTCTTCACGGTTGTGGCGCTAATCGCTCGCACAAAAAAGAAAAAAAAAAGAATCTCTCAAAGTTTCTCAGGTTACCTGTAGCGATCACCGAACAGTACATGGAGTCAAGACTACGTTGGGCGGTTTCGTTTGTAAAATCTGGGCAGGTACCGGACCGGGATGATCTCAATGAAAGTTTGGGTATCAAACAAACGAGATCGATGGTGCTGCCGGTGCATAGTGAATATAGTGACTTGGAGGATAGTGCAAATGATGAAAATTTAGAACAAGATGTGGATAACAATACAGCAATGACTATGGATCACGATAGCAGTTCAGAAATGTATGAGAATGAAAATGTGAGCATGGCAGATTCTGGAGAAGATCTTGACGACATTGACAGCGAAGAATCAGTCAGTTCGTCACTGGATAGCTCGACCATCTTAAGGCATAAGAAGCGTCATCCTGTTTTACCACCAGATGATCTCAATGCGTCAAAAATATATGAACAGTATGGTATTGGGGCCTTATTGATGAAAAGAATGGGATATGAAGAAGGGAAAGGTATTGGAAGTGGACAATCAGGTATAGTTGATCCATTAAATGCCAATCCAAATAAGGGCCGTTTAGGTGTTGGAGCAAAAGGATCTTTGCAATTGAGGAAAGAAAAGGGCGCAAAACTGCGAAGCTTTGATGATCACGATGTTCTGGCGTCTCGAAGATATGGCAATCGAAGTGTCTCAAGTGGACAGGAGGACTATGCATCGAAACCCAGTGAGCTTGAGGTGTTGACTTTTAACATTTATAAATTGACAACGGATTTTGGTGACTTGGGTGTCGACATTCCAGCTCATTTACGGGATTGGGCATTCTCGTTAAAGTCATTAGCCACTGATAAAGACATTGATCGCCTACGATACAAATACGGATATCTAGAAGACATATGGTATGAGATTTCTCTGTTGAATGAAGAGGAAGAAAACTTGAATGATCAATTGAAGTATGCAGACAATGATGCGTTTATAACAGCTCAATACGAGGAACTTCTTTCCATTGCAAAGCAATCGGAGGAAGCGAAAAAAGATGAACATATAGAGGAAGTCTTGGAGCTGTTGTTGAAGTTTCCATTGACAGATGACCTTGTTAAATCATTGGTTTTAACGATTTCAAAGCCAAAGATCGATTTATTAACCAGTATTCCGTTGGATGACTATGATCAGCAACAAGCTGTTGTTGTGCCAGCACTTAACAGATACACCACAATTTTGAACCCCCAATATGCCATGCTGAATGATTTTTACGAGTACTTGCTCGACTGTTTTGAATTAAAATTCCAGCAATTGTTACAAAGCAGTGATAATATTGATAAGAATTTAACCACGGTTGCGTCAATTTGGCTAGATGCTGGCAACTCCAACTTGAAAGACCATGTATTCCATGAGATTGTCAGATCTGTGATTGTTCCTTATTTTGATGCTCAAGTAAACAAATGGGACTTCTCCCCTGACACCGTTCCAGAAAACCTTTTAACACTTCTTAAGATTTTGTGTGTCGTTGGAATTGATGACGATTATTCTGTGGGTGGAGCAGTTGAGCATTTGGTGTCGAAAGTGAAGTCATTTTTGGTGTTTAAGAATCCAAGTTCATTTTGGCATGGGTTCTACGATGAATCAGTCGCAAACGCCAAATTGCAAATCACCTTCATTATGCAACACTTGGTGCCCGAATTTGAATCGTGTAAAAAATCAACAATGCAATCGATCCAAGAGACTTTTAAAGCATCGTTTGCTTCATGGGTCGAGAGCCTAACTTTCATTGATGTAACGCCGGCCATGTTTGACAATATTCTATACCTTTCGCTGTTCTTACCACAGGATACAAGGTTCACCTTCCTACAATATTTGGTCTTCAACAATTGGATTGCCACCATCATCAGAGTTTATAGAGCAAACCCACATGCCATACCCAATTGGTATACCACCTGGTATCAATTTTTCACTACGAAGTTGAAGAAAGAAAGTTCAAAGGAGATCATAGACCTAATTAAATGGTATTTAAGTAAAGCGTTGGCCATGATTAAATCAAATTTCGACCCCAACGTTTGCAAAGAGCTTCCACAACGAGAGGGGGAGCGTTTCCCCTCTGCAGCTCAGTTGCTTAAACCCATTGGACTACTAAATGTGCATGGTATTCCTTCATATCGACTTCAAATGAGGTTCCATGATGTTGTTTCAGACTATTGTTTCACGAAAAACATACAGCAAAAACAATTGAAGCGTGTCGTTCACAACGGTTTTCCAATACTTCGGTTCACCAAAGGTGGGATTACTAGATACGGGTATATTGAAGACGATGTATTATGGGTGGGTGACTCTGATGACTTCAACAAATGCAATTATGAACCTATTGCAGTTGACACATTAGTAGATCGTTTTTAGATAATTATAAATTGGGACTATTTTATTTGTTGGAGTTCTAGACGCGCAAATGCAAAAAATAATTAGTGTAGCCAAACGGAGTGATTCCTTTTTTTCCTTTTTGTAATTTTTTCCTTTTCTTAAAGAAAGAGTCAACGGATTCACGTTAAACCACACATACTAGCGCACAACAATGAGTACGATCTTGAGGTCATTCCTCGCGAGATCGAGACATAGCAGAGCATTCAAAATGATGATGATACATGAGCTCAAACCAATCATGCCTGAAATGCGAACACAGACGAGATTTTATTCCGATCCGTCAATTCAATCACATAGCAGGTTTGAAACGACAAAGGAGTTTTGGAGAAAAGCTCATATTGAAAACTCAAAGGAATCTGAAAAGGTATTGAAATTGTTGAGAAAGACAGGCGCCATTTCGATACTCGTGGTTTTTGCTTCCATAGGTTATGCCGCTTTTATTGAACACACACACAAGACAGAGGAAGAAGCACCAGAGATTGAGTATATACCCAACTTGAAGGAGGATATACGGTACAGGAAAAGGGAATAGCAGTGGCAATATAGGGTAGTGAATGTGATGAATTTATGAATACGGATTAAGCTGTTGTGTAGTTGCGTCTTTTGTCCTATACCGGGTCTAGACAATACCTCTACTCTCCGAGACCTCGAACCTCTAGATTGAGACTATCTTCTGGGAAGAACCACATATGAGCTGAAACATCCTAGTGCGGGCCACATTAGTGAATGAGCCACAGCGAAAGCACGGCATCTAGCTCAAACGATGAGGCTTTTTATCGACTGCATATAAACCGACCATGTCACGATCCCCACAAATTGAAACATTGGATGTGATGTCATGTCGCATTCATTTCGTGTCGTAGCTGCTAGCCGTCTAAATGTATGGACCCTTCTAGCCAACTGTTAAATTCACCCGTGCTATACTTCCCCCTGTTGTGCTCAGAATCGGTACAATAATTCCTCCCCCCTAAAGTATTACCTAATCTTGGAACATCATCGAAAAAATCATTAAAAAACGGTTACATCTTTTTTCACAGCAACCTTCGCAATAAAACTTCAAAATAGACCACAATGTGATAGGGTTGTTACACAAATAACACCTCCTACATAATACCAGATTCTTTTATTTGCTATTTATACTCGAGAAAAGTATCTCATGATGGATTTTATCTTCCTCTTGATTCGAGAAAAAAGTATATCCCACTCGATCAGAAATGTACAGACTTCTTTCTAAAACTGCAATTGCACGCCAAAGTACTACTAGATTAGCCAAATCTTATTCCACTAATGCATCTACGTCTTCGAGAATCAATTTTAAATTGGTTGCTGGTGTTGTACCAATTGCAGTTGCTGTTGGATACTTGGGCTTTTCAAATTACATAAGTAATGAAACTGTCCTCGGGGTTGCTGATAAGATCAGAAAGGAATTTGAAGAAGGTGATGCATTGAGTAAAGAGCAACAAGAGAAGTTTGCCGATGAACAACAAAGATTGCGAAACCAAAAGGAAGACAAGGAAATCGCCAAGATTGAAAAGCAACAAAGTTTAAACACAAAGAATGCCGGCGGTCTCGATAGCACTGATCCAGCTTCGGATTCAGAAACTAGGGAAGTTGCTTCAAAAAAATTGGACGACGATACCAGCAGACATGAAGCTAGTGACCCAAAGAATGTTGAAAAATCAAAGGAAACCAGACAAGATCTCAAGGAAAACTTTCATCCTGAAGGTAAATCACAAAAGAAACCAACCAAGAATGAAGGCGACAAAGGTGAAACTGCTTATAATCCGGAAACTGGTGAAATCAACTGGGATTGTCCGTGCTTAGGAGGTATGGCTCAAGGCACTTGTGGTGAGGAATTCAAAGACGCTTTTTCTTGTTTTGTGTTTTCCGATGCAGAACCAAAGGGAATTGATTGTATCAAAAAGTTTGAGACTATGAGAAGTTGCTTCAAGAAACACCCAGAGGAGTACAAAGAGGAGTTGTACAATGGTGATGAAGAAAATAGCACTGAAGTTGTAGAACATGTGGTTTTAGAGGTGGCCGAGCCAGCAGTTAAAGAGATTGAAGATGGTCTCGATTCAGGAAAGATCAAGCCAAAGAAGTAAGTGATGTGGAGTTATCTATTTAAATAAAATACATTTGCATCGTCTAACAAGCACATCTTTTTGGATCCTTATTCATTTCTCTCAACTCGATATTGTCAAAATCTTGTAACTTCTGGCGTTCGTAATCGGCTCCCAGTAAAATAGTTTTCCCCAACTCGCCTACTCTGATGAACAATGCCTCGACTGCTTGCAATTGTTTTGCACTCACTTCTATTAGATCCGACTTCCAGTCGTATACGTAATCACCAATATTAGTCTCCGAGGCAGTGTTTGTAATTATATCCTCAATTTCCTCCTTATCAACCACTCGGTCTCTCCCTCGATCTGTCTTGTTGCCTACAATAATAACACCTGGGTGTGAAACATGACAATGTTGCATAAATTGATCAAACCAGTCTTTCAAACTTAACACTGATTCATAGTTTGTGATATCATAACAAAGCACACAAACATCGGTACCACGATAAAATGCTTGTGATATGGAATTAAAACGTTCTTGACCGGCGGTATCCCAAATTTGCAAATTGACTCTTTCTAAAGGCTCATTCATAGATGATGTTTCATCGGAGGGAGTTGTCTCGTCTGTTTTAGGTGGTAGTTGGATTGTTGTTGTTAGGTAGTCACCACCTATTGTTGCCTTGTAAGCATTGGTGAATATGTGATGAACAAATTGTGAGCGTAAGCAAGTCTTTCCAACCCCCAGGTCTCCTAATAACACAACCTTGAGTGTAGGGGTAGTGAGACTAGTTTGCTGAGTGCTGGCATCACTTGGTATTCGTGCCATTAGCTCTCTTGGTTGTGTGTGTCTGTGTGAACACGCTACCTGATTCCGCCTCGCCCAAAAATTTCTTTTCGTGATTTCAATCTTTGCTACATATAGATCTCTCTAACTCAACATCATGAAGGTCTATTACATCGGTATATTAAACACTAGTGGAGACAAGGCTGTCGAACTAACTTCTGCAAGGGATTTGTCCCAATTTTCGTTTTTTGAAAGAAATGGAGTATCCCAATTCATGACCTTCTTTGCTGAAACTGTATCGCAAAGAACCCCAGCTGGACAAAGACAGAGTGTTGAAGAGGGCAACTATGTCGGTCATACATATACTAGATCAGAAGGGATTTCAGGTGTCATAATAACTGACAAAGAGTATCCAGTTAGGCCAGCATACACATTAATCAATAAAATATTAGAAGAGTACTTGTCTTTGCACCCCAAATCCGAATGGCAAAACCTCGATCAAACTAATTCTACATTGGCGTACCCTGAATTGGAAACTTATTTGAAAAAATACCAAGATCCATCTCAAGCTGATTCGATAATGAAGGTGCAACAAGAGTTGGACGATACCAAAGTGGTGTTGCATAAAACCATTGAGGGAGTATTGCAAAGAGGAGAAAAGTTGGACGCTTTGGTTGACAAGTCAGAGGCTTTGAGTAGTTCATCGAGAATGTTTTACAAACAGGCCAAAAAGACAAATTCTTGTTGTATAGTGATGTAGTCTATATTTACAATTGATGTTGGTTTTTCACTGCTTCAAATGCTTTCAAAAGTTTACGTCTGGCACCTAAGGCTGCGACACCTTTTTCTTCCAATTGGTCACTATTAAGCCCAATCAAGTCTTTCCAATACACATCTTTTAAGCAGTCTGTGTACTTGTGCAATCTAAGCAACTTTAGCCACGCTGGGATATTATTCAAAAGCTCAATACTTGCAACTTCATTAGGCATTGATGAGTTGGCTCCAGTTTGACTGTTGACAGAGTTGGTGGATATGTTTGCATGCATAGTGGTTGCTGTAGGCGACGTCACTTTTTTCTTCAATCCTGTGGTGGTATTGTGATTGGGCCTGACCGGTACTGATGCCGAATTTGCTCCTCTGTTGATGGAGTTTTCAAAATTCATCGCTGAAAAGTGATGAGCACCATGCTGAATGTGTTGGTTGTGTTGACTGTGCTGATTGTGCTGATTGTGCTGATTGTGCTGGTTGTGCTGCTGATTCTGTTGACCATAAGGTGTGCTCCAATTTTGAGGATGCTTCCTACTATCCAATGCCACTCTAGAATTTATCGTCGCAAGTGCCCCTAGTTTCAATGTATTAGACATATCAAGGTTTTCATCCTGATGAAGACCTTGTCCAGCACCATTTGAATAGAAAGGCTGGTTGAAATGAGTTTGAGCATTGCTTGCTGCCAATTGCAAAAAGTTTGTCTTTTCGTGTAAGTGTGAAGTAGGTGATTTCGATCTAAAGCCAGCTACACCCTGGTTCTTTTGCAAAAATGGGTCAGCCGAACGAGGGCGAGCAACCATGTCCAAATTAAGCGGGTTAAAAGTATTGGCTCTTTGCGGTTGATTAAATTCATTTAAGCTCAAGTTTTCAATATCAAGATCGGGATTATTTCCATACGGCGACAAAGGGTTTTGTAATGGTTGGTTATACACTTGCAAGTGTTGATCAAGTTTAGCCTGAAATGTAAGCAACACGTCAACAGGTAAGCTGGCACACAAGTAGTCAATCATTGAAACAGTATCCTGTGGACTAAGATTTTCAATCCAGTTGCTAAATACCAAAAGATCCAGGTACAAATTTGATTGTGGAACTTGATTCAACCCTGGTCTTCGAAATATATTCGCAAAATCGTGAGCTGACTGTGGTCTATCAGGAATGGATGGAGGTTGCAAAAAGCCACCTGTAGGTTGCGAGCTTTGTACTCTACCCGTTTGTGTAGCGTGCAGTGTTGGTATTTCCTGAGAACCTATATTCAACAAGTTTGATGAGACACCTGCATACTTGGATGCAGAAGGTGCTATCAAGTTACTACCAGAAGGACCACGCTCTTTAGTAATAGGCGGCGCACTTTGCGACGCCCTTGTTTGGTTCTTCAAGTCTAAATCCAACTCCGCTGTCAATGTTTCAAACTCGTGCTGAAGATTATATCCAACACTTTGTTGTCGCTGAGATGGAAACTCCGATTGGTTTAGCGGCTTAGCGTGGTCTAGCGGCGGCGGCGAAAGCACAATAGGAGCCGTCTGAGAATCCGAGGAGGTTTTTAACTTGCTGTGATCCATTCCTTTTGAATGTGTTTCCATGTTCGGGTATTTTGCTGCTGCAGCAAACTTTTTCTGATGGATTTTTTATTTTTCTTTTTTATTTTTTTTTTTCTCTCGATGCTTCTCTTCTCTTCTCGTTTTTCTGAATTTTCTACAGTGTCAGTTGCGGTAAATTGTTTGAGCTAGTCCGCTGTTTAATTGTTGGATCCTGTTAACAGGAGTGGTTCAAAGTCGAGAAATAAAGGGACTGTCCGTAAAATTTTGCCATGAGTCTAGGAAACCGACGGAAAAATTTGTCAACGCAAGTTTTTTCTAAGAAAGAGAGAGAGCGGAAGCGTTTCCATAGAGTGCTATGTTAAGACAGTGACAAATCGTAGGTGTAGATTCGCTAAGTGACTAGAAAGCAGAGTATAAACTGCTTCCAAGAAAACTGTCTGAGAAGAGCTTATACCATGTCTGCGTAACAATAGTAGAAGAAAAGGGGCAGCTTTGCTGACGCTAGAGTCCGCTACCAACTGCGATTTTGAAGAAGTCCGAATGGTGGAGTATCGTAAAGTAGTACTTACGATGATGTTGAATGCGGATTTTGAGGTTGTCGCCGTTTTCACTGGAATGAGTGGCTGTTCCAAGATAGCTCGAAATGGGGCTTTTTCTACCTACAATTTGAGATCCCTTTGTAACAAATAAGACCCAACGACAAAGAAAGAACTGATGGCTAGATCCCTATTGGGTTGAGAGCAAGTCACATCTGCACAATCTATGAATAAGTGCCACCCACGACTATCACTTTGAGTTTATAATTTTCCTTTTCTCCTATTGTGGGAAGAACTATTACCTTAATTCAACGGATAAATTGCAAACGTTTGCTGAGAAAGAACCAAAATAAAAACACCTCGAAGCCATATAAGTCGGTTCAAACATTTGTCCACCGAGGTGCACTGATACATGGTGTCGCAGTAACGTCGACGGTGCTATTACACGAGCTTGATGAGTTACGTGAAATTTCCAAGTGCAAAATCTGAAGTGGCCCCAATTTGAGCCGAGGATGAAAAAGAAAGCCATGTGCCACAAAATTAGGAGTTTTTCCGCTTTGATTTCCTCAAGTTTCGCAACAATAAAAACTGACGGTACATATTGTCTCAACAAGCCAAAATTCATTTAACCGGGAGAGGGTGAGAGGCGTAACAAAGGAGAGCAAATATGAGATACATATGAGCTTTTGTGATGCCTTGGGAGGGATTTAAGAAATTGCGAAACTTTGATGGCTGAGTCTTGTTAAGCTAGGATGATTGTCTAAAACGAATATGGAATTAGAGACTGATCAAAGCTCACCCGAATGAGCTTTGTTCCACGGGATATGCAATTATCAGCAAGGATAACTAATTTGTCACTCATCCTGTCGCAATCTGTCTGCTATTGCACCGACCAATCGAAACAATGAATGACTCAAAGTCAAGATTACAAAAAGGAAAATAATGTCAACTGCGCATAAAGCGTTTTATTCATTTTTCTTCCCTGTTCCCTTGACCCGTGAAATGGTGAGCAAAAGAGAAAATGGAATCACGTTAGTAAAGCATCAAATAGTAGCATGATAGCATACGATGTGCATGTAAATCCTCCTTAAAAAAGGGGCCAATGGATGATCAAACACCCTATTATTCTTACAGGTCTTGCCATAGTGGGAAGCACTCCGAGGAACGAAAGGAGTAGCAAGAAACCAACAACACTGCCTCCTTCCAAGAGTTTTCTTCTCTTTTCTTTTCTTTTCTTTTCTTTTTTTCATCATTCGGAAGACCGCCACAGGAGGTGTTGACGATTGGATGAAATTCGAATAGAACAATAGTATAGATAGGCGAAGATTATTCTCTTTTCTATTGTGAACTTTCTTTACTGATTCCGACTAGAGTTCGTAGAAAACCGGAAAGGCATAAAGCTTTGAGAAGATTATATTTTCCTTTTTTTTTTTCTTCCTCCCTCTCCAATTAGCCGCTATGCTGATGACCAAAAATTGGTAGCACAAAACTTACAATGAGCAAATGCGAGTGTGGCTTTTCCAGCAATTTTTTTTCTTTTTTTTTTTTTTAATTAGCCGTGGTTTATTCTACTCAAAAGTTGCGAAAATGGATAATTGGCCAATACGAAAATCTCTTCTTATGGGTTAGTTGTCTACACGTTGCTTTGACACAAATGGTATACAGAATGTGCTTGATTAAAAATTCTATGTAAAAAAAATAAGTATTAATAGACTGCTCTAAGAAGAAAGTCTTGAAGACAACACTTATGTTGCTTTTCGGGGAAGTCCTGTGGTGGAGTCAACTGTTGCGATATCACATTATTCATATCTTCAACCTGAACTATGTCTTCGGCATCTGTAAAATACTCCTCTTCGTCTTCTATATCTTCATAGTCATCCTCTTCTTCTTCTTCGTAGTCACTTGCGTAAGAGTTATATGCAGTGGCATCGGGTGTAATTAATTGCGGATTATTGTATTGGTGATCGTTGAAGAAGTCACAAGTGATGATCTGTTGCTGCAATTTCTTTAAAGTTACCCTCTCATTTGGATTCAATTTGAATATTGAATTCAACAAATCGTTAAACTGATTTGATATAGGAAGGATTGACGTCAAGATTGATTTGTTGCGATTTAAAATGTAGTTGGTGAAGACTTCACTATTTTCATTGAATGCTGCAATGGGCCATGGATTTCTAGAGCATGTTATGTTTATGAAAAGCACTCCCAATGACCAAATATCACCCGCCAATGTTGGCAAGTACATCTCACCAGCGTCGGTTGGAAATTGGTTGATATCAACAAGTCCTCTAATTAGCTTGCTGGATTTGTAATTTGTAACTCTTTCTGGTGCCATGTAGAATGAGGATCCACGGCATGCATTACACTTTATAAAGCTTGAGTCAATTGCAAGTCCAAAATCTATCAAGACTAGCTGTATTTCGTCGTAGTCAATGACTCCAGAGTCTCTCCTCTTGTACTCTTTATTATACTTGACCATTATATTCTCTGGTTTCAAGTCACAATGATATACTGATTTTTGATGGCAATACTCAACGGCAGCACACAACTGTAGCATGGCATTCTTCATTAATAATTGTTTCTGTTTATCACTTCGCCTTTGTTGAAAAATTTGTAGGTCGATTATGTTTGTAAACAAGTCACCTTGATCATAGTAATCTAGTAGTATGACAATCGCAAAGCCTTCCAATTCAAATACTTCATGTATGGTTGCAATATTAGGATGATCGTGTACTTTTAAATGTAATGCAATTTCAGTCAAGAACTGACAATCGTGTCCTTGACCCTTGATGTAGTCAAAGTCTATGCTCGTTGGCTTGGGGATAACATGGTTGTGAAAGTATTGAGAAAATTGTTGTTGTATTAGTTGCTTATTTGATGATGAGCCGAGTTTCATTGGTTGTTGCTTCAATACCATCTTGGCTGCAAATTGTTGTTTGGTGTAGATGTTTTCAACCAAATATATGAGACCATATGTGCCCGCGCCAATTTTGCGAACAAATCTCAATTCTTTATTGAACATGTAGCCATCTAGGCTCATGTTGACATTTGATTTCTGTCTCTTAGTTGGTTGTGGTGAGTCAAATATTGGCAAGTAAGTCATTGTCGATGAAGGGCTAAAAACAAAAAAAAAAGTAAATGGTGATTCTTATTATCATATGGGAAATTTAGATTGTCTTTTATAACCAGATGTTGCAATTTTAAAATTCTTATTTTTAATTTTTAATTTTTATTTTTTATTTTTTTTGTTCTTTTCCGATTTTTTACATTTGCAGCGTCTCTATTTTCCGTTGAATCGTTTTTCTAGAACCACAAATGTACATTGGGTTAAACTGTCGAATGTGCTGTTTAACTCCGGAACGTTTTGCTTGTCATCCGGGTTTCTTAACACCGCAGGTCATTTGGATCTTTGCACGGATATAGGTGTCTTCCGTGGTAGAATGATAGACCAAGAGGGGGTGAGATTTGGACATTTGTCTTTGTTCTGAAGGTGTGCGATTGACTGTGTGTCGCCTCGTCGTACCGCAGCAAAGATAATAGGTTGCATTTATTACGTGGTATGATTTATTCTTTTTTTTCTTTAAAAAAAAATATTAAAAATTAAAAACAAAAAAATAATAAATATAAAGTAACAGATTCAACTCTATTGTCTCTATCTACCGAGGAATAAAAATTATTACGAATAGCAAACCAAGCCTGATTCATAATTATATCCGCCTCATAGCTCCTTTCTCCTTCGTTGAAAGGCTATGTCGTCAACTCCGTTCCCGTTGTTGTAGATCAATCGCTGATCAGGTTTAAACTTCCCCTCCTTACAGAAGCGAACAACACAGGAAACTGTTGGCGTTGGCATGTGAATAACCAAATCATCTTTGTTGAAGCGAAAGATGGAATCGAAAGAAAACAATAGCAAAGATTTCGTTCATCTCGTCATGTCATGAATTAGTAAGTTGCGACATTGAATTCAACCTTGCATGTGAAGTATTTTGAAATCAACTACAATCTATACGAAGCTCTATCTTTGGCCACGTAACCCCTAACAATGTAGGTATTTGCCTTGTTTGTTTTGCGGAGATTAGTGGTCGTGAATCACAAGGTTCGTCAACTTCCTACGTCCGTGTTGAATGACCCCTACTTACTTCTCTTGCTGATCCTTACCCCGGATTTGCAAGTACCAGCCAGTGGCAGTCGCTGAAACCCCCTTGATCAGCTATGATCAGCTGATGCAGCTGTTGTAGCTAATGCATTTCTTGCCACTTTCGCAACTCTCGCAACCCTCCTACTACAACCTTTCCTAATTAGGCAATGTTGTTACTCTTTTTCCGCACCATCAATTTTAAGCAAAAAAAAAAAATATTCCGAAGACAAGCACACAAAGTTCGCATAACGGATGATTAAAATCATTCGACTTTCAAAGACGAGTGTGCATAGAATTCCAAAATGGAAATAACACGCGATTTTGGGTGCGGAAGTAAAGAATCCGCAAGCGATTGTTGCACTCGCTCGTACCCAGTGTAGGAAACTACCGGAATAGAGGAGTCGCAACTTGACTGGCTTTGTCAAAATATCAAAAATCACAGTTACTATATTAAATGCAAGCACGTGCTTGAACAAAGTTTTTCCTTATTTTAAGAAATCGTGCATAAACTCCGACATCTTGCACACCATCGTGCATTAACTGCGCCAGCCACATATTTTTTTCGTAAAAAAAATAGAAGTCCGAAAGTAACTCAAACCTATTGAGGTAAACAGTGGTTGTGTCATTAAGCGGTTAGAGGCAGCTATCTCTGCCGTGTAGAACCATTCAATCCTTCTTAGCATGTGAAAAAAAAAAGAAGTACGGAAAGCAATAAATTGTGTAAGACCATTAAAGGGAGGAAAAGAACCCTTTAAAGATTTGTATTCCAAATTAGTACACGCATGTGAAAATTTACAGCCACCCCTTGTTTACGATTCTTACCAAATTGGATTCGAAGCAACGGTTATGAGACTGGAGATAAGACATTAAGCGAGTGTACATAAGGTTCTAGACTACTTCTTTTCTTACCCCTGAAGTGCATGTGAAAAATCAAGCTTTACCAAACAACTTCCTGTTGCTGGTTTACTATCAATCACAGCCTCTCGTATTTCTTCATCGGTAATACCAGGAAATTCACGCTTATAATAAGCCTCTAAACTTTTTGTTAATTTAGGTAAGTTCTCTGTCGTGGTTAAATGCACAATTGAGCCACCCCAACCAGCGCCTGTGACTCTTGAACCATAGGCACCATTTGCTAGCGCAATTGAGCAAATTTCATTCAACTTGGGATTAGAAGACTCATTCAAAATATCAAGATCGTGTTGTGACTCATTCATAAGAGACCCAAATGTTTGCAAAAATTGTGATGCATCAACCACTGTTGATAACAATTGAAGCGTTTTCAAGACTCTTAAGCTCTCGCGATAGACATGAAGAGCACGTTCATACAATTTTAAAACATCGAACTTGACGGGAATTTTCTTGAGATATCTTGAGTGAAACTCCTCTGGGGTAAGACCCATTTCTTCACAACATTGTTCAACAGTATATCCCCCCTCTTTCGTTAATGTCTTTCCCACAACATCAATCATTTTTTCTAAATGGACAACACCCACATCCAAATCCTCGCCATCCCAGGCTCCACAATACCCATCCATCACTCCACGGAGTGAGTACGTATCAACATTCGAATCCTTAACTATACCTTCTTTACCTTCGACATTCAATTTCTTAGCCAACAAATCACCAGCAATAGCCATCTCCACCACTCGTAAATTGTAGTGGATCGGAGCCGTTTCATACTTGTTTGAGACCTGCAAACTATTTGTAATAACAAATGTCAAGTTTTTAACTGGAAACTCGAATGGAGTTCCTTTCAACTGTGGTTTAAACTGAATAAACAAAGCTTTGCCTTGTTCGCCGTACACCGAAGCGCATTGGTCCATTCCTCCATTGTTGAGACCAAGATAGTGCTCAGAAACTACAGTAATTCTTGTCAAATCAGCTTTACTAATGTCTTCAACACCATTTGCGTACAACACAGCCAAGGTCGATGCAACGCAAAATGCAGCTGACGAAGACAATCCACCTCCAGTGGGCACGGTTCCACTAAATGTGATATTCATCCCTTTCAACTTGGTCATTGCCTTTTCCTGCAAAAACTTGGAAGCAACAATCAATCCACATTTGAAGTAGTTGGCCCATGTGTGGTGTTCACGATCAATGGTAAACTCTTCTGCAAGGGAAACTGTTTCCTTGGGAAACTTGGCACTGTCAGTGTTGGCAATAACAATCATGTCATTATTGTTTGTGGAAACAGCAGCAACAACATCAACCTCAATTGCCATAGGCAATACTGGGAAATAATTGTAATCTATGTGATCACCAATCAAATTGACTCTTCCAGGGGATCTAGCAAAAAACTCAATCTCGTCATTAGGATACTTGCTTTTAAATGTTTTGACTAAGTTGGCATACCTTGACTTGTGAGCGGAAGGATCTGAATAAAACGACAAATCGTTAAACTTGGGGACCGACATTTTAATAATTTCAACAAGCTAATGTTTGAGTGGAAAGGAAAATCCGTAATTAGCTATTTATAATAATACATTTGCACTCAATGTTTAAATTCATTTTCGTGGTAGAGATTCAGTGTCAGCGATTTTTCGTGTCGGAGAGCTTTCACGGACAAAAAAAGAAATAAATAATAGACAAGGACAAACTCACGGCAATTTGTCAAGAAAATTTTTTTGCAAAATGTAACGTTACATTGGCATTTCCCATACAAATATCTCCTCACAAAAGGGACCCCCCACAGATACACAATTTCTCCGAGATCTCTCCACGACACAAAATACAATAACGCTCATAAGTAACGCTATTTGTTGGGTAAAAGTCACTGCGTTGAAGAAAAGATTGGGGTGGCCTACCGAAAATTTGTCTGCTTCCCCAGTATGTATCGTCAATTGTAGTCTCTTTCAATATGGCCCCTTGAATTCTCCATACTTAATACCGATGCAACGTTACATTTTCGGACGTCAGTCATTATTATAACAATCGTTATAAATAATACATCAATGCGCAATGAAAAAAAAATAAACTTAATGGATCTCACTACTTCATCATCAAACAATGGAAAAATACATTCTTGTTACTGGTGGCGCTGGCTATATTGGATCACATACAGTCATTGAGCTAATCAACAATGGGTATAAGGTGGTCATCGTTGACAATTTGTCCAACTCATCCTATGATGCGGTTGCACGTATTGAGTTTATTGTCAAACAACATGTACCTTTTTACAATGTCGATTTAAGAAACCGTGACGATTTAGACAAGGTGTTCAAAGAGTACAGCATTCAAGGTGTTATCCATTTTGCTGCGTTGAAAGCTGTGGGTGAATCAACAAAGATTCCATTAAAGTACTACGAAAATAATGTTGGTGGAACCATGTCATTACTTGAAGTGTGTGCTGAAAATGGGGTCAAGACAATTGTTTTCTCATCGAGTGCCACGGTTTATGGAGATGTCACTAGATTCGGCTCAAAATATATCCCAATTCCTGAAGTATGCCCTACAGATCCCACAAATCCATATGGTAAGACAAAATACGTTATTGAGCAAATGTTGAAAGACATTTACACCAGTGATGATGCATGGCAAGTTGCAATTTTGAGATATTTCAATCCAATTGGTGCTCATCCGTCAGGCTTGCTTGGTGAAGATCCACTTGGTATTCCAAATAATTTATTGCCGTACTTGTCTCAAGTTGCAATTGGCAGACGTGAGACGTTATCCATTTATGGAGACGACTACGACTCAACTGATGGAACTCCTATCAGAGACTATATTCATGTGGTTGACTTGGCCAAGGGACATATAGCTGCTTTGAACTACTTGAAGAACTTGCAAGATAAGGGATTGTATCGTGAATGGAATTTAGGTACTGGGAAGGGCTCCACGGTGTTTCAAGTTTACAATGCATTTTGCAAAGCTGTTGGAAGAGACTTACCTTACAAGGTGGTGGGAAGAAGACAAGGTGATGTGTTGAACTTGACAGCGAAATCAAATCGTGCTCATGAAGAGTTGAAATGGAAGGCTGAGTTTAGCATCGAGGATGCATGCAGAGACCTTTGGAAATGGACAACTGAAAATCCATTTGGATTCGAGATAAAGGGTTACAAATGGCAAAAGTTTGATGGATTGCAAAATCGTTTGCACGCAATACAAAACAAGGACTTACAAGTAAACTTTTGCAATCGAGGAGCATTAATTCAGGACATAAAGTTTGGTGACCAGCATGTTGTCTGTGGTTTTGACAACGCCAAGGATTACAAGCTAAACACAAATCCATACTTTGGAACAACAGTTGGTCGTTATGCCAATAGAATCAAAAATGGGGAGTTTGCGTTGGATGGTGCCACGTATAAGCTCACTCAGAATGAAGGCAACAATACTTTACACGGTGGAAGCAACGGGTTTGACAAACAAAACTTTTTCGGCCCAGTAGTTAAACACCTGGATGGTAAGTTTACCCTTGAGTTCAAGGTTGTTGACGTTGATGGAAATGATGGGTTCCCGGGCACTTTGGAGACAGTTGTGCAATACACCATTGAGGATTCATCGATTGAGATTGAGTATGAGGCCAAGTTGCTCCAAGGTGAAGCAACTATTGTTAACTTGACCAACCATAGCTATTTCAATGTCTCAAATAATGAAACTATTGATGGGACTTACGTAAAATCCTTCCTGGATAAGCGTTTACAAGTTGATGGTGAAAAGATTCCAACTGGAAAGATCGTCTCTAAGGCGATTCCTGAAACAATTTTGTCTGACGTCGTTTTGGATGACTGTTTTGTTGTCAACGAGGATACATCTATTGATACCAGAGCCGAAAAATTACACCCGTTGGTGGAAGTGACCCACCCAAATTCCAGCATCAAGTTTACAGTGTCAAGTACTGATCCAGCATTTCAATTCTATACGGGTGATGGTATTGATTGTGCTCAGTATGGCAAGAGAAGCGGGTTTTGTGTTGAACCATCGCGTTATATTGATGCTATTCACTTGGATGATTACAAGGGACAAGTGGTGTTGAAAAAGGGTCAAGTTTATGGCTCAAGAGTTAAGTACGAGTTTAGTATGTAGATATAAATCGATAATTCTTTTCTGCGAAAAAAAAGTCGAGTCAACATCGAGTCAACATCGAGTCAACACCATGAAAGTATACTCCATCCTTATACTCAACAAAGCCGGTGGCCTAATCTACCAAAATGAACTACAACCTGGGCTCTCCAAACTCACGGCAAATGATTATCTCGTTCTAGCGGGGACGCTTCACGGTGTTCATGCTATAGGTTCGAAACTTGCACCAACAATATCAACGACATCGAAATCAGAAGCAGCTTCACAAAATGCTCAAATATTATCTACGGGTAAACAGATGAGTTCGAATACCAATCGCACGGGGTTGAAAAGCGTCGAGACTGATTTATTCAACTTGTACATATTTCAAACTGTTAGCGGGCTAAAATTTGTATTGATAACAATGCCAAACTTGGATCCAATTGAAGTGCAGCGAACTGAGGATTTGTTTAGATATCTATACGTGGCATATTCTGATTACGCTATGAAGAATCCGTTTTATTCAATGGATATGCCTATAAAGAGCTCATTGTTTGATACGAAAGTGAAGGAAATATTGCTATAAATTGACATAATCTATATTTTTCATAGCTTTTAACCCTTCATGTAATGTCACTTTTTGCCTCCAACCAAGCTTGCGCAACTTTGATGTATCGATGGAGTAATCTATATCGTTGTAGTTTCTGTCTTTTACATATTCAATTTCAGTTGAATATCCAAACACTTTATTGATCACGCTGACTAGTGAGTTATTGTCAATTACTTCTCCACCCCCTACGTTGTAGATCCCAACACATTCGTTTTTGCGCCATAGTATGTCCATAGCATCCAAGAAATCACTTATGTATAGATACCTCCTCTCGTTAGTTCCATCCCCGTGAATTGGAACAGAACGGCTTTTCTTCCCACACTCAATCACCAATGGGATTAGCTTTTCTGGATACTGACCTGGCCCATAAATATTGTTTGGTCGCAAAATTGTCACCGGTAACTTGTAAGATTTCACATAGGCATTGATAATCATGTCGATTGCCGCCTTGGTAGCTGAATAAGGGTTGGTTGGGTTCAAAGGTGAGTTCTCAGTAGCTTCTTTGATTTCATCTCCATACACCTCATCGGTTGAAATATGAATAAAAGTATGTATTTGAAGGAGTCTGTGACATTCGAGTAAATTTTGAGTGGTTAAAATGTTGTTTTTGGTGAAAAAGACGGGTGAATCAAATGATCGATCCACACAAGACTCTGCAGCAAAGTTTATGATGTCAGTCACTTGATATTGCTTGGCCAATTGAAGTAGAGGTTCCACGTCCTCGCTCAAGTCTAGCTTGACGAACTTGTAGTTTTCAAATCGCTCCAAATATTTGAGCAGTTTGTAGTTGCTAGCGTAGTTCAACACGTCAACGCATATGAAGTAGTATTCGGGGTGCTTGCGGACCTCTCGAGAAAGGAAATTAAATCCAATAAATCCAGCACCACCTGAAACAAGAACCCGCTTTGTATAGTTTGTCATGTTAGTACTGTAGTTGTAACAAAACAATTCAAATCATTTGTCCCGTTCTCTATTTGCTTAGGTTTGATGTGTTATATGTTTTAGTTCTTCACGGCGAAATAGCAATAGATGCCTTCTCCATCTCCTGCCGAACAATTCTTCCGTGATTAATCTTTGTGTTGTTTATGAACCTCCAAAATGTAACGTTGCATCATAGTTAAGAAAAAAAACAGTGCTAAGTTTATTGTCGCTCACTACGTCACCCACGAAAGGAAGAAAAAACAGTGTCTGCAGAAAGTCAGACACAGAAATTATTGCACATCGGAGAACCTCGAAATTCAAAGATCTTTCTTACCCATGTGGCACCTCATTGCTTTTCCTATCGGACACGGAGGATTCTACTTCTTTGCAAAAGAGTCTGCTATAAATACCAGGTGAAACTTTTTCCCAGTCCTTTCCTTTTGCAATGTCCATCGATCATTTACTTAACCCGCTCACCTCAACACCAACGTACTTGGCCATGACTCAAACTTTTGACTTTACAAATCACTCGCATAGACGCTATAATCCATTGAACAACAGGTATGTTCTTTGTTCTCCCCACCGAGCCAAAAGACCATGGCAAGGTGCTAAAGAAGAAATCAAAAAGACATTATTGCCCGATTATGATCCTAAATGCTACTTGTGCCCGGGCAATATTAGAGCCACTGGGGATGTGAATCCAAATTATGAAACAACCTACATTTTTCCAAATGACTACCCAGCAGTGAAATTAGATCAACCTGATTACACTGAAGACGCCCAGAAGAACGGTTTAAAGAAGAAGCTTTTCAAAACACAAGGTGTCAAGGGCAAGTGCTTTGTCATTTGTTTTTCTCCCAAACACAATGTCACCATACCGTTAATGTCAATTGATGAGCTTACCACGGTGGTGAATACTTGGCAAACGTTGTACAACGACCTTTTATTGGAAACACAACAGAAAGTGGCACCTTACAAGTACTTGCAGATTTTTGAAAACAAGGGATTTGCAATGGGGTGTTCCAACCCCCACCCTCATGGACAAGCTTGGTGTTTGGATGTTGTACCTACAGAAGTGGAAGACGAACTTAACAATATGGAAAAGTATTACAAAGAAAACAGTTCACACTTGTTGGGCGATTACGTCCAATTGGAAATGCAAGAAAAGGTTCGTATTGTTGCTGAGAATGACTCTTTTATTGTGGTTGTGCCATATTGGGCATTGTGGCCATTTGAAACGTTGCTCATTTCAAAGGAACATTTGAAATCTATAAGAGATTTCACCGACAAGCACAAATACGATTTAGCATCAATTTTGAAAACATTGACCATCAAGTATGACAATTTATTCAATACATCATTCCCGTATTCAATGGGCATTCACCAAGAGCCGTTCGAGTGCTCGCATGAGCATCACGAATGTGCCTGGTTTCATATGCATTTTTATCCGCCGTTGTTAAGATCAGCTACAGTTAAAAAGTTTTGTGTTGGATTCGAAATGTTGGGGGAAGCTCAAAGGGATTTGACTAGTGAGCAAGCTGCAGCAAGATTACAAGAATTGGATGGTGAAAAGCATTATATGGAGTTAGTAAAGTGATAGAATATTGTATATGGATTTCGCAGTAATCAAATTCAAAATCTATTCTATATATATATATATATATATATAGATTTTTTTTTTTTAGCTCATCACAACCAACAGTGCCAAAACCAAAGATGGCTGAATTTGTAGAGTCAACACCAGAGGTAGACTCCGCCTCAGATCCCATAACAAAGGTCACCAAGCCACCACTTGATTCTAGAATTGGAAAGGACTCACCGTTCGTTTTTGGTCAAAGGTACCTCGAAAACGAAGACGATGTGTTCAACCACAATGCCTGGGACCATGTTGAATGGGGAGAAGAACAGATCAAACAAGCCCAGGAAATGATTTCAAAACAGTATGACCACCCGGTTAAAGACTTTGACAAAGCATTATACAATGCAAATCCAGCCAAATACTGGGACATCTTTTACAAACATAATCGAGAAAATTTCTTTAAAGATCGCAAGTGGCTACAAATTGAGTTTCCTTCGCTATATAAAGTCACTGCCAAAGATTATCAAAAGCCAACGACGATATTGGAGATTGGTTGTGGAGCTGGCAACACATTTTACCCGATATTGAATCAAAATGAGAATGAAAATTTAAAAATTTATGGATGTGATTATTCCAAAGTGGCAGTTGATTTGGTACGTTCAAATGAAACTTTCGCCGAGCAAAATGAAAAGGGGGTAGCATTTAGTTCAGTTTGGGATTTGGCCAATCCTGAAGGTAACTTGCCAGAGGGCATGGAACCTAATTCAGCTGACATTGTTATTATGATTTTTGTATTTTCCGCCTTGCATCCTGATCAATGGCAACAAGCAATCAAAAACTTACGCAAAGTGCTTAAAACGGGTGGTGAGATCTTATTTAGGGATTATGGAAGGTACGATTTAGCACAAGTACGGTTCAAAAAGGGAAGGTTGTTGGATGACAATTTCTACATTCGTGGTGATGGAACCAGAGTTTATTTCTTTACTGAGGAAGAATTGGAGGAGATTTTTTGCATAAATGGTCCATTTGAAAAAGTGAAGATTGCCACCGATAGAAGGTTGTTGGTGAATCGGAAAAAGCAATTGAAAATGTATCGCAACTGGTTACAAGGTGTATTCAAAGGATAATCATTGTTATATACAAAACATTGTCGGGGTATTTAAAAATTTGCCAAATTTCCAACAAAGAAACGCCCGACAACAGGCTGATATCTATCCCATGCGTGAATGGGTGAGCTATCTCATACAAATCATGCATTGTGTTCAGTATCAACTCAGCCAAGGTTTGGGTGGGTACTGCTGGCACTTGACTCATGATATCACTGCAGGGCAATAGTATCCGTATGGGTATCCCCTTTGCTGTTTTGACAAGTTTGTTATTGAAATTGTTGTAGTGGTGCAAGTTTCTCGTCACGATGGAGGATAAGTAGTTTTCTGAATCGTGCTCACTCATTTGCATAATGGCTTTAGAAGAACCATTAATGACAAATGTTGATTGTTTTAGTTGATTCTTTAACACTTCATTTAGACATTTGATATAATCGATAGCTCCATTGGTTTGTGTGAATGGCATGACATACTCCATGGGGTAAGTACCAACTCGTAGATTCAACTCCCAACTATGACTGCGGTCGCGACTGGAGTGGTGCGCTGGGAGGTACAAACAATCATAAAGTACACCAACCGGTATGTTCCATCTCAAGGGAACACTCTCAAACTCCAACCATACAGGTTCCTCTATCTTTGCATTAGTGATGGTTTCGAAATATGGGATTATTCGTGGATATAGTAGTGGCAAATATGAATTTCTAAATGCTTGCACCAAGTACTCAAATGTTTGTCCATTTACGATAAAGATGATTCTGATGTTAATTGAACCATTCCAAAGGCGTTTTTTGACCTCCGTTGTGTTCTCTATATTCGACATGAATTTGTCATAACTAAGGAATTCTCAAGCTATCAAAACTTTTTGAGTGCAGATTCAAATTTGTGTCGCGCATGAGCCAGCCTTCGTAAAACATAAAGTTTATTGTTTTCAATCAATGAACACTATTGTTTTTAACCCATCATATATCTCGTACTTGCTATAGATGATGCACTGAAGGATGAGGAGTGCCTATTGATGTCTATTGTGGAGTTGTTGCTATCTGCACATCGGCTATGTTTTTACAAAGAGGGTGTCCAGCTCCCTCCATATATATATATATATATATATTTATGAGACCTCCTGCTAAAAGTCTCAGTAATGCCCCACAGCTCCTACATGCTAGTCCCCAACCAATGAAGAATCACAAGCAATTACTTTCCATTAACGACTTACCACCGTCAATTCCAGCATTCAATATAGTTGACTTGGCCCATGCTGTGGATACATTCAGACCTTGTCTGTTCAACGATTACGAGTTGCCGCATGAGCTTCCAGTTTATGACAAGTCAACGGGTACGTTCAAGCGATTCATAAACAGGAACAGATTGCTGAGGAGAGTCGCTAGTGCGCCACCAATGGTTACGAGAAATGATAAGGAATTGCCTGTGGCACCAGATGCAAAGAGAAATGCGGTGCCGTTGGTCATGAACAAGGGGCCAGCCCGGCCTTTAAGAAACCCGCGACCAAGGATAGTGCTGGGACCACCGGTACCACCAAAGGAGCCACAGTATGGTATCATCTCATGGCACAAGCCTCCTGCGGTACCGTTGCGTCAAAGCTGCTCCAAGCGAAGATTCCTGCTGCAACAACTTTCGGAACTTTCTGCATCGTATCAAGTTGAGCCGTTGAAGCTGAGGAGTATACAAAGTAGCATGCATAAGATGCCACCCGTGTCTCCATTATCTCCAAAAGACACCCCTCTTGTGTATCCCGTGGATAATGAAGTTGATGATTTCCTTTCGGATGAAGCGTGGTGCTATCGAGATATGTACTGAATTTGACACACTGGTAGTACCCCTTTCCCCCCTTCTCCCCCTTCTCCCCCTTCTCCCCCTCCCTACTTGAAAGCCCTTACAACATAAACTACAATATATATATATATATATAGTAACGACGACATAATATATTCAACACATTTATATTCGCTTTATAGCTTAGTAATCAATTCATCTCCTTTATACTTATCCAAAATGTCTTCAATTCCATATTTTTTCGCAATTGCAGGACTGATAAAACGTCCACCCAAGTAGTGTACCTTGTTGGGACCACTTTTGATGAACCGTTCAGCACAGGGTTTTGGTGCTGTCAAACTAATCAATGCGGCGGCGTGGATATCGATATCAGTAGGTCCTTCATCAACGTCCCATCCTGAGGGAATGTCCACTGAAAACACTGGTGGTAATGAGTCATGATTTTGAGATATGTAGCCAATGACATCTTTGAATGGTTCTCTAATCGGTGGTTTGAATGAGAAACCAAAAATAGCATCCAAGATTACACCCACTTCACCTTTGTTGTTAAGCAACTGTTTTATTTCATCCAATGTGGATACTTCGCCTATCTCCAAGTTGTGCAACTGTTCCACTAGACGATTAATGAGGTCACTCTTTGTTGATTTTTTGGGATAGTAAATGATTGGTTCATAAGCACCCCATGTTTTTAAATGACGAGCAGCAACTAATCCATCTCCACCATTGTTTCCGGGGCCAACTAAAACCAACACTTTTTGCAAAGGCAGTGTGGGTTTTTGAGGAGGGTATTGTTTGTAGATTGCTTTTGCAACCGCTAAACCCGCAAGTTCCATCAATTGGTCAATGGAAAATGCGCCAGTTGACATCAACTCTTTATCAAGTTGAGCTGCAGCCTTTGCAGATAACGTTTTGAATGCTGCCGACATGTTGTGCGAGTATACTGTAAGTAGAGCTATCTGAAAGAAAGAGTTGTTTAATCCCTCATGTGTTAGGGATTAAAAAGCAACTGCGGAGTGAAAGTGTGTGTCGGCATAGTCATATGATACAAAGATGGTAGCGTCGAGATTGCCTCCCCCTTCCCCCCTCCCCCCCTTAAATTAGGAAAGTAAGGTAAAACCCCGTGATTGTCGTCCAACTGTAATTACAGTTCGACATCATGTAATACTGCAATACAGTGTACGATTACCAATGACATGTTCCGTGAGTATACATTGATGGTTGGTGTTGTGGCTTCCCATTTTTTTTTTTAGAAGTTTTTCCATCTGTAGTTGTACCCACCCAAGGTCTTTGTTTCAACGTGTCATACTGCATATAATGTTGCAGTCATATGACGTAACATCAAGAAACGCGACATTGTTGAAAATAACAAAAAAAAAAATAAAATAAAAACAAACAAGAACACCGCACAACACTACTACTATACTGTACTATATAGTATATACTATATACTATTACCTCTTACATACTGAATTTTAGAGTTGTTTATAATTCTTTTTCCTTTTTTTTTTTTAGGCAACTAACAAAACTCAAAACTCAAAACAACAACAACAACAAGAACGACAACAGAAAATTTGTCAAAAAATAAAAACACTAACACACTAACACTAATACTAACACTAACACTAACACACTAACACTAACACACTAATACTAATACTAACACAACACACACGAACAACCCTCAAAGTCAAAAATTAAAAACAAAAAAAAAGAAAAAATCAAAAAAAAAAAAATTTAGAACAAGGATCAACAAAGGGCAACAACCAGGAAATACCAAAGTCAAGTTACTGTCTTCACTCTTGTTGTTATCATATACCAGGATTTGCTACTTACACTACACGTTGACTGACCACCATTACACTTAGATTACTGCAATCAAATCAAACTAGGTGTACTACATTTTAATTGGTTTTTTTTTATTTTTTTTGATTTCCTAATTGAGAGAGAGAGGGAGTCACTAGACACGCTTTACATAAAATTGTGCCATTCGCCCTATCATGGACAACCTGTACAATTATCAATCACCCAGTTTGAGGAACGGCAATGGGCCTCATTCTCGCCATTCTCCAATCATCAACTATCGAAAGGATGCCAAAAAGGCTGTCAAGTTTACAATGATGGTTGTTGGTGAACTGGGAACTGGTAAAACAACATTTATCAATAGTATGTTGAATAAAAAAGTATTGGACCATCGGTATGAAAATACAACATCACTAGCATCTAATAAGGATTGGGAGACAAAGACATTGACATTTACTTCAGCCAAGTCAGTTGCTTTGCCCAATACATCAATGTTGACGAGAAATGAGTTTAATCCAAGCACCATTGATGAAGAGCCCGGTATAGCCTTGACTGAAACTAAAGTGGAAATTGTTGATGATGATAACCTCAAGTTGGTTTTGAGCATTATAGATACACCTGGGTTTGGTGAAAATTTAAACAATGAGTTGTGTTTTGTTGAAATTGAAAACTACTTGAAGCAACAATTTGATCTTGTATTGGCAGAGGAGACTCGTATCAAGAGAAACCCTCGGTTCACTGATACTAGAGTTCACGTTATGCTTTACTTTATCGCTCCAACTGGCCACGGGTTGAGGGAACTTGACATTCAATGTATGAAGAGATTATCAAAGTATGTGAATATTATCCCTGTTATTGGAAGAGCTGACTCATTTACCGCCAATGAATTGCAATATTTCAAGCAACAGGTTAGAATTGATATTGAAAAATTCAATGTACCCATTTTCCAATTTGACAATTTTTTGAATGAATACGATGAGGAGGAGGATTATGACTTGATACAAGAATGCAAGTTTCTTTCCAACTTGCAGCCATTTGCTGTCGTTACTTCAGAAGACTCGTTTGAGATTAGGGACAAAAAGACTGGAGAATCTAAAATTATAAAAGCCCGACAATATCCTTGGGGATTGGTTGATATAAATGATACTACCATCAGTGACTTTGTCATTTTGAAATCAGTATTATTGGGCTCACATTTGCAAGACTTGAAGGATTTGACTCATGACTTTTTGTATGAAACTTATAGGACCGAGAGATTAACAAAAGTCACTGGTGGAGGTGTTTTGGACGATGATGAATATGAAGATAGTGAATTCCATGACACGGTTGAGCATCACCAAAATGGTGGCGATGATAGAGGTGGTATATCCAACTCGACTGTCCCTTCGTTGTCCAACTTGGCACGACTTGCAAATGAAACAAATGAGGGCGATACAACTCATGGGGATGGGTTGGACAATCATTCTATTGGTTCATCTCATTCTTCACTCAAAAAATCAACATCAATGTTGCTCGATGACAATGCATCCACAAATTCATCACCATATTTACATTCACATGGAAACTTTAATTCAAGTACTTCTACTGCTACAACAGCCAATGACAAGAATCATCATCAACATAATAACGCATTTAAAAGGCTATCGATTGGACCACAAAGAAATCAATTGCGTCAAATATCTGAAACTGTCCCCTATGTCATTAGACATGAAAGAAACCTTGAGAGGCAAAATAAATTGGAGGAAATGGAAAAAGCTAGTGCTAAAGAGTTAGCAGCCAGGGCGGCATTGTTGGAAAAAAAGGCACAAGAATTGAAGCTTAAGGAAAAGAATTTGTTGAGACAATTGGAGTTGGCCAAACAGCGTAAACAGAGTGCTAGTGAAGTTTCATCGGCAAAGACGAGCGAAAATGTTGAAGTGGTTCATGACGATGATCACTTAAATCACGCTCACGAACAAGCAGATCATAGTAACAACAATGGACATATCCCAAAGGATGAAACTTTGACTGATTTGCATTCAATAGTGAGTGAGCAACGTCAGCATCAACGCTGATGACCCCACACACACAAACACACAAACACACAAACGCACAAACTTACAAACTTACAAACTCACTCACAGAAAAACACACATATCTCCTCCCTCACCTCAGAAACTACGGGGGAGACAATATTTCTATATACTGTTTGTTGTTATTTTTCTTTTGTATATTTTGAGCAGAATTAAAAAGAATACCATCAATTTGACAGGATACTGTGATGACATTAAAAATAAAACTGACTCTGGTGTTTCAATGGTGGTAAGGTATTGTTTGTACAAACCCATCCTTGTCTGGTCATACACTCTCTCAAATTTCAGAAAAAGATTATAGTAAAAAGTAAAAAGAAAAAAAGAAAAAAAAAAAAAAGTTGTCACTCTGCTGTTTGCTACAACAAACAAACACATAGATTAAGTAAGTTTTAGTAGTGAGTAGAATGGCAATTTATTAAACCAATATTTTTTGATGGCCAAAGAAAGAGAGAGTGAGAGAGTGAGAGAGTGAGTGAGAAAAACAACAAAAGAAAAGAAAAAAAAAAAAAAAAAAAAAAAAAAGACAAAACTAAATGAATACACCCATCAAAAAAACACCAATACTTCAAGAGAAGACTTAAATCCTGTTGAGTTAGACAAGAGAGGTTTCAATAGATCCGTTACAACAGGAGATTTAAGTAGTAAAACCAAGCCAGCATATATACACACCACTATAACCACCCACGCTCAACGTTGCATCATGGATATCCTTCAACTATTGGAAAACGCAATCTTGAGTCCTGATCCAACTCAAAGGACTCAGGCTGAAATTGAGTTGAATGAGGCTGCCAATAACCACTTTCAAGAGTACATCTCGCTATTAATCGAAGCCTTGAATAACGAAGATGCTAAAACGGAGGTGAGAATGTTGGCCGGTATAGGACTCAAGAATCAATTGGTTTCCAAGGATCAACGAACTAGGTTAGCGCAACAAGATCGTTGGTTGAAGCTAGACCCCGAATTGAAAAAGAAGATTAAAGATAATGCTATTCAAGGGTTGAAAATCTCCAATCAAAAAGTAGCTAGCACCGCGGCTCAATTGGTGGCTGCCATTGCTGATATCGAGTTGCCAAGGGGAGAATGGCCCGAATTGATACCACTTATTATCGAAAACACCAAGATGGAAAACCCAGAACACGTTAAACGTGCGTCTCAATTGGCAATTGGGTACATTTGTGAGAGTGCTGATCCAACAAATGCAAATATTTTATCTCAAGCTTCAGGAATTTTGATTGCCATCATACAAGGTGTACAAAGTAATGAACCATCGAATTTGGTGAGAATAACTGCATTGAATGCTCTTGTCAACTCCTTGGAGTTTATCAAGTACAATTTTGAAACCGAGGGAGAGAGAAACTATATAATGCAAGTTGTTTGTGAAGCTACGCAAGCCGATGATTCAGAATTACAAGCCAGTGCATTTGGTTGTCTCGCGAGAATCATGTCATTGTATTACAAATTCATGGCCCTTTATATGGAAAAGGCGTTGTACGGTTTAACTGTTTCCGGAATGCAAAGCTCAGATGAAAAAGTTTCATGTATGGCTGTGGAGTTTTGGTCAACTGTTTGTGAAGAAGAGTTGGAAATTGCATTACAAAGACTGGAGTTGGGATTGGATCCATTGCAAGATGCAGGTAATCCTGATTTAGTGTCGTACAATTTTGCCTTGATTGCATCTAGTGAAGTTTTGCCTACTTTATTGACATTACTCACTAGACAAAATGAAGACCCTGAGGATGATGATTGGTCAGTGGCAATGGCTGCTGGTGCTTGCTTACAATTGTATGCTCAAAACATTGGCAACTATGTCGTAGAGCCAACCATCCACTTTGTTAGTTCTAATATCACCAATACCGACAATTGGAGATCAAGAGAAGCAGCAGTAATGGCTTTTGGATCTATTTTGGATGGTCCAGATCACGACCAGCTTAAAAATATCATTAGCCAAGCATTAACACCTATTCTTGGATTGATTAGTGACGCAAGTTTACAAGTTAAAGAAACAGTAGCGTGGTGTCTTGGTCGTATTGCTGATATGGTTGTTGACGCAATCAATGTTCAAACGCAATTACCTCAATTGTTGGAGGCCTTGGTCAAGGGTTTACAAGATCATCCAAAAGTGTCAACCAACTGTTGCTGGACTTTGATGAATTTGATTGAGCAATTGTGTTCGGATACCAATGCTGAAACAAATATCATGTCACCATTTTATCCAACTATTATCCCAGTGTTGATGCAACTTTCCGGCAAGGGTGATAATGAGTATAGCTCTCGTGCATCAGCTTACGAAGCATTATCGACATTTGTCACTTATAGTGCCAAAGACACCATGGGGGTTGTTCACAACATTGCCACAGAAGTCTTGTCAAGATTGGAATCAACAATTGAATTGCAATCGCAAGTGTCAACCACGGAAGATAGAGGTAATTTGGAAGAGTTGCAAACCAATATCCTTGCATTGTTGACCACTATAATTAGAAAGTTGGACTCGGAAGTGATAAATGCCGCTGACAATTTGATGGAACGATTCATTAAGTTGCTCAATGCTCAAGAGTCCAATTCGCTTATCGAAGAGGATATTTTCATTGCCATTTCAGCATTGTCAGGTGCTACACGCGAAAATTTCCTAAAATACATGCCAGCGTTTGTACCATACTTGACTCGAGCATTGGAAAATGTTGACTCACCCACAGCATTCACCGCTATAGGTTTAGTAGGTGATTTAGCTCAGAGTCTTGGAATGCAAATTGGTGAATACTTGAATGGGTTAATGTCCATTCTTGGAAACACATTGAGTAATCCAGACGTTAAGCGCGAACTCAGGCCAGCAATAGTGTCAGCATTTGGTGATGTCGCGGCTGCTATTGGCTCTAATTTTGAGCCATATCTCGAGTACGTGATGAATATATGTACTGAGGCGGCATCGATTGAACCCCAGGATGGATCATTGGAGACTATTGATTACGTGTTTACCGTAAGAGAATCAGTTCTAGATTGTTTTGTTGGTATCACTGCAGGCTTCTCTGACCAGCCAGAGAAATTGTACCCAGTTGTTGGCGGTATATTACAATACATACAAAAGGTTGCGCTGGACCCTCATATGGCCTCAACTGAATCAGTAGCTAGATCTGCTACTGGTTTGTTGGGCGATATTGCTGCCATGTATCCTCAGGGCCAGTTCAAGCCATACTTTGAGGCCGAATGGGTGACTGAATTTATCAAAAAGACGAGATCTAATCCATTATTTGATGAAAAGACTAAAGATGCGGCAAGATGGGCTAGAGAGCAACAAAAGAGACAGCTACTGATCCCAGCAGCAATGGGCTAAGCCAAAGGCAAATTTATCAAGGCTGAAAAGGCATGGTTTGTGCAATCGCAAGAATTTCAACACCATTAAAAAGGGGGTGTGAACCTGTGTGAAATATATCAACCACAGGGCGTCTACTCCCCTCTCCTCCTTCTCCTCCTCCTCCTCCTCCTCATCCTCACCCTCCTCCTCATCCTCATCCTCTCACGAACTCTAATGTCCTCTCGTATATATATTACATACAAAATAAATAAATAAAAAAAAAAGAAAAAAATATGAAATAGTCATATACAGTTGTAGTTGATGTGAAACACGCGTTTGTAATGAATTTTTTGGTGCAAATTTTCAAAAATCATTAAAAACCACATTAGGCTATACATACCACTTGTCAATCGCATACCTGACATGTCGTCAGATATAGCTCCCCCGATCATACCCAGTCATATCCCATTCGATCAAACCTACGTTCTTTACGACCCTAATGATATCATATCCGTCATATCGGTGCAGTTCACATTACTACCTGTCTACATCATGGTGTTTTACCTCCTGTGGTTTCTCGTAACGAGAGAAATAGAACCAGTCATTGTTGTTGCTGGTCATTTGTGTTCAGAGATTGTCAACAAGGTCCTAAAAGTTTTACTCAAGAATCCGAGACCTGATTTTCATCGTGATTTTGGTGGTGATGGCAGTCTCAGTTATGGCATGCCTAGTGCCCATTCTCAATTCATTGGCTTTTTCGCTGCGTATTACATCTGTATTGCTGTGTTTAAGATTCCAAATTTGAAGAGATGGCAAAAGCTTACGTGGGCCATTATTTTGACTTGTGTTGGGTTGGGTGTGGCTGAATCACGAGTTTATCTAATGTATCACACTTGGCAGCAAGTTGTTGTTGGTGTCACTGTTGGTGTCGTATTTGGCATTTTCTACTTTATATTTAGCTCACTAATGAGGGATGTTGGGATTGTTGACTGGGTTTTGAGTTGGCCAATAATCAACTATTTCCATGTCAAAGATTCTTATCATCATTGTTATCAAAGTTTCAGCGACGAGTATATGACGTATTGGCAACAGAGGCGTAGAGTCAAGGAGTCAAGAAAGAATATATGACATCGCCGTTCCTTTTACATCTAGCACTTTATATATATATATGTATATATGTAGAGCTCTAAAAGTCATCCCATTTATCATCATCGTGTGATTTCGAATTGGAACCTCCTGATAAACTCTCATACTTTACGCCATCCTCGGACTTTTTATAACCAAACGCAACTGGAACGTCATCATCACCGTCACCACCCTTGTTTGATTTGGCCCATAATCCATTAAATCGATGATCAATAGTCTTGTTTAGTCCATTTTCATTCACTTCCTTGGTAAAAGTTTGGAAAGTTTCCTGTCCATATTTACCAGTTTCTTGCATCTTTTGTCCAAATTGAGCCATTGCCTTTTTGGCTTCAGCGCTGAATTCGCTTTGCTGTAACTGACTCAAACTTGGTTGAATAACACTTTGATTTACTTCCTGAACTGACTTGGCCACGGTCGACGAAAAAAGACCCCATCCCTTTGTGAAAGTTCCCAATGGGTCCTTTTGGAAATTATCAACTGTGAAATTGGAAAATGATGATCCACCTGCAGACGTACCATTGGATGCAGGTGCTGGAATATTGCCAAAACCAGCATATTTGCCTCCTTGTGATGGCGGAAGATGGTCTGGTCTTGATTCATTTTTGGCTCCTAAAGAAGCAAAATATGATTCGTTCTTGATTTTTTGTTCATCGGTTAATGCAGGATTGGCACGAGTAGATGTCGTCGTTGTAGCCGTCGTCGAACTAATACTATCCTTATCTGGTAATTTCTCACCCGAATGATCCTTTGCCACAAACTCCCTTCCTTCAACTTCACAAGTTAACATCTCCTTATAGTCTTCAGCCACATAATTGTCAAATTTTTGTTTGGCAGGCAAGCTCAAATCAACGCCATTTTCTTCAAAGTACTTCCTCAATCGTTCATTACCACCAATTTCCATTCGCAACGTCTCTTCCGGTTTGAATTGATCCATGGTTATTGATCGTACAAATGATATATGAACTCCCAATCCTCTGTGTATACCAGCACATTCTAAACAAATAAATGCGCCAAATTTAGGCGACGCCCATTGTGGGTTAGGTGCACCACAATCAAAACATTTCTTGTTTTCACCAACTTTTTGCAAGCTCAACAACTTCCTGCGTGAATCCGGATCTACTGACATTGGGGGAGTTTGGTGAGATGTTGTAGCTCTTTGCAATAGCTAGTGCCAAATTAATCAAACAGTCTTGAGTTTTGATCTCTATGAAACAAAATTTTTTTCTTCCATTTCATTTTCAGTGTTTTTGTTTTTCCTTGCGCTCTAATTTTATCAATATAGATAAACACACGATCCATATTATTGCTCGTAGCTGAGACGTCAATATGTTTCCGAAATTGTCTCATTTATTGGGAATGGTATTGTAGTACTGTACTTGTGATTAATTGTAGACGTCTTACGGTCGCAACATGCTGTAACAAAGTCGACACCCTTACTTGACACGTATCTTGTATGTGAGTGTCACAATCTCATTTGTGTAAAGTACACGACCGAGGCAAATACGGCTTAAGTTGATGTCATAAACACGAAGCAGTCTTCGTTTGTTGTTCCATCCCTATATAACGAGCTAACTCAATTCTGGAAAGGACCGAGACGACCCCCATCACATTCTACAAAGTAACATATCTAACATTCCATTCTCATTCCATTAGATTGTTTTCTACTTACTTCCCTACAACTTCATCTCCTTACCGTCTTGAACAGCCCTAAGTGAGACGGGGTAAGAAGCATTTCCTGCACCTTGACCGATGTGCCATGAACCACCGTCAACAACCAAAATGTCACCAGTGACAAAGCCACCAGCTGGGGAAAACAAGTAGACTGTAGCGTCAGCGATATCTTGCTTAGATCCCAATCTTTGCAATGGAACCTTCTTCTTGACTTGGTCCAAATAACCAGGTGCCAATCTCTTCATACCCTCAGTATCAGCAATTGGACCAGGAGCAATACAGTTGGATCTAATACCAAGAGGTCCCAATTCGGCAGCCAATGCATTCGATAAAGCATCAACACCGGCTTTAGCAGCACCAACATGAATTTGGAATGGAACACCATAGTAGTGTAATGTTGCACTGACAAAAATGATGGCTCCCTTGTTCTTTTTCAATTGTTCGAAACATGCTTTGGCAGTGTTGAAAGAACCAATCAAATCGATATTGACAACTGAATTGAAAGCGTTTGAAGATAAGTGAGTGAAATCAGACAAGAAGTTTCCAGCAGCACCTGCGATGACAAAATCAATCTTACCCAATTCTTCTACTGCCTTGTTTGCAGCAGCTGTCATTTGCTTGATATCTCTTACATCGACATTTGGCAAAGACACCACCTTGGCTCCTTTTCTCAATGCTTGCAATTCCTTAGCAGCAGCATCGGTCTTTTCTTTATTTCTACCAACAATTGCTGCATTTGCACCTAACAAAACCATGGCTTCGGTTTGAACTTTACAAATTGAACCGGCACCACCAGTGACAAAGACCACTTTTCCTTCGAAAAGATTTGGTCTCCAACTACCGTTTGTGACGTATGATTGATCTAATGTGGTCATTGTTATGGGAATATAATTATTGTGGTATCTGATGCTTTGATCTGAGTTTTCTTCTCTAAAGAAGAAATCGTTGGTCTATTTATATACCCAAAAATCTGTTGTCTCCTGAGGAAAATAAAAACCCCACAGTTTTATAAAAATAGCTGTCTTCCTTTTTATTTTTATTTTCCGCCATCTTAGAGAAAAAAGAGTAGAGTCTTTAACTTTACTACCAATACTTTTTGTGTGCACATATTATTTTTCAACGTTCCTCGGCATATAAAAAAATCTAATAGTTTGATTACAACGGATTTATACAGTTTTAATAAAGAACATTTATACATTATACGTTACAATCATTACTACCTAGGTAAGCATAGACCAACAGATTTGCCGGTGTGGCTCGGCTCAAGATAACGCATGAGCCACTGGGTGTACTGATGGCTTTAGCATGGGTCAATTTGCGACCGATGCTGTCGATTTTTTTTCAAAATCCGCACTACACATCATTAAAGAAGCTCACACAAAAAAAAGATTGTGAAAAAACCTGGAAATCATAAAGTCCGCATTCAACTATCGTGAGTTCCGCGTCCACTGGCTTCTACTAATCTCCGCTGCACATTTTTAAACTCTTCTTTATTAGCCGAGCTCTCAGATTGCAAAATGTCTTTCGGAGTCAGGCTACGCACATGCGAAGCCGAGGAATTGACAGCCACGCTTTCATCTAGGGGTCCGTTCACTTTCTCAATATCCGCATAATTTCTTTTCTTAAGTGTCGAGTCGATTGGCTGATGCAGATCTCGTGGTCTTTTCTCCCCAGCTTTAGAATCGGTTGAGGTCAATACTGGGTCATCTTTAGACCCTCCATCGGGATCAGATTGTGCTTCATTTTCCGGTTTGGTATGCTCACCTCGACGTGATCGTACTTCCAAGAGACTGCCACCAAGGCTTTCCACTGCAAGAGTGCTTGTAGTCCCTGGATTCAACTTGTCGATATCCTTACGACAGCTAAAACCATTTCCAATGAAACTTTCATGGATTCCTAGCTGCTCTAAATTGGTTTCACCGCATATTCCCAAAGATGCACTTTCCGTCTCATAAAAATCATTGGCAACCAAAGCTGCTATCGTGGGGCCGATTTTCATGCACGTTACAGATTGCAAAAGGTTACCATGGTGTTTGCTCAAATACCTTGCAATCTGCTTGAAGTTGCTTCTCTTTCTATAATTCTTTGCGTCGCTTTGAATACGGATGTGATTCAAAAAGTCTAAACATGCTGAGTTACACATGTCATTTTGAGCAGCAACAGACTCAAAATAGAAAAACAATGCCCTGAGAATATCATTTTCCAATAAGTAATTCGTTAAACCATCGTCATTGAGTAGAACAATGCTTCTCAAGCATCTCACAACGTGAAGCTTCAAAACCTTTTTGCACTTGGAGTTCAAAAGCTTGACAATACCATCAATGACCCTGTATTCAGTAAGGAAACTTTTGACAAGCCCGACATCGTGCTCTCTAAGACCAAATATAGCAAGTTCACATAATAGCAGGAATAAAGCTGAGTCAGTTCGAGAAACTGACTCGATTGCTTCTGTTGAATTACTCATTGCAGTCACCTTGGCAAATAACTTTGGGGCCACTTTTGTGTAAAAAAAAGTTAGATGATCGAACTTCTCAGCGTCATAGCTGTCATCTTTGTTAGCTCCGATACCATACTTTAGATTCAGATACACGTCTCCTTCTTCCTCTTTGACTTCTCTTTGTTCCACTCTGTCCACACCTTCTTCCGATGTGATACTGCTTCCTAACACATTTGGATCCAATAATGTCTTCAATGCTTCAAACGCTTGATATTTGAGTCCTAGATGCTCATCGTTGGTTAAGATGTTGGCCAAAATTGAGAAAAACTCTTTACTGAATGAATTTAGTTGAGAGTTGCTCACTGTGACTCCGACTTGTGCGACAAGATCATCATCGTCAGGTTCGATTGGTGTTGTCTCCCCCAGCGATGGCTGTACTGGCGGTTCAGAATTGTCAATCGCTCGCTCTTGGTCCTCAGAAGTTGCCAAAGCAACATTTTGCTCAATGATGTTGACAATCAATTCAGTACCCACATTTCGTATCTCAATTTCAGAATCAGTGAGGGCAAAGTTTACCATTGAAAACAACCCCGGCCTAACTAGCAGAGCGAAAAAGTCTTGTTTTTGGATAGATTTCGCTGTTTGGACATATTGGTGAAGCATCTTTATCCCATCACGCCTGAGATCAACACTCGCTTCACTCTCATAGATCTCAAATAATTTCTCAAGAATCCCAGCGCTTCTTAAGCAATTCAAGATCTTGAGTTGACTTGTATATATCAAAGAGTTCAAGTGACTTTGGCTCTCGTCATCTGAATATTTGACCAAAATAAGATCTTTTAAAATGGACAAAGAGTAATCTCTTTTGAAAAGGTCGATCTCATCTATAGGAATCACAGTTTTAAACAGCATATCTTTGAAAAGTGTTCTGTGTTTGGGTCCCGAATCGCTCGAGTCATATTCCAACATCCCCGCAAGAATATGGATATTTTTCTCCGAAGAAAGCATTTCTTCAAGCAATGTTGGCTCGTTGTACGACAACAATATTCTCGCAATGCCACTCAAGTGCTTCAATGCCACTATATTATCAGTAGACTCTGCGTTCTCAAAGATTTTCATCAATTTATCGAAATAATTGCTCTCTACCAAGTAGTCCAGAATGTTTGTCCTCCCAAATTGAGAGCTGGTGCCCTGATTCAAGATGTCAAGAACACGTTCTAAGTTTTCCTCATTCGGTAGTGCAGGGGGGTATCGTATTGGTCCAGTAACTAGCTCTGTGATATCCTCACTATCAGGGAGTTTGGAGATAACATAGTATAGGGATATGTGGGGGCTGTAATTACCCTGTTGCACCTTAATGATAAAATCGCACAAGTCAGCACAACCTTCTGATTCTTGAAAAGACAAGGCTAGATCTGACCCCGATGGGTCAGTCCAAACAATAAGGGTATCCTGCTGTCGTTGATACTGAATAGATCCTTCTAGATTTGATTTGAGAATCACTTCTTTCATATTGGCTTCTTTTCGCACGAGGAAGTAGGGGACTTTGGTATCTTTGTCAATTTCTCCCAGACAAAACCCTGTTCCATTATCGATCCAGTCTTCTCCTTTTAGAAGATACACTTTAACACGTCTTGGCGTCTTGCCAGCGGATTCGAGCCGTAGCAACTCTTCCTTCTTTGACTGCGTCATTGGAGTAAAATATTCATCATCTCCCTCGAGCTGTTCCATCACGACGAAATTGAAGGCCACTTTTATTGATGCTTTCGATACGGAGTCGAGTTTTTATTGATACTTGAGCTAGTTGCGGTGCTTGAGATCCCGTGCTTAACGATGTTTCGATATAACTCTGTATGATGTTTAGTTCCTACGGTTCCTCCTCCTTGGTGGGTGTTTTAGATATTTATTTTTTTTTTTGTTTTTCTCTATAAGTTTAGTAACATGCTCTGTATTTACGCGTTTTTGGGTTTTATACACAAGATCTAATCTTTGGCCTCATTTTTGCTGACTTAAACATGCAGCACTCGTCAAACATAGTGCACCCCATTTTCAGTGACTTAGAAGTGCAGCACTTGTCAAACTTCTTAACCAGTCACGTTGCTCAACGTCGTGCGTGTCCTCTACTTCTCCCCATTCTCCAGTCTGTAAGATAGTTTCCAAATTTCCCAACTCAATAATCTCTTCAACCGTTTTGTACCAGAATAAGTCATTGGAATCCCTATTCAATTGAAACACATCCTTCATTCTTGACTCGTCAGAAACATTTGACCTTAAAATAGACACTGCACATAAGAAAGATTTTGTTGTGAGAATGGATTTCTCTAAAGCAACAAATTCGAAAATGTCCAACTGATCTAACCAATCTATCACCACTTGTTGAGTTTTCAAACTTTGCTTGTTACCTCTCAAACCATCCTTTTCACAATCCAAAAACTTCAACTCAATTCGTTCATTTTCCTTGAGCAAGTTTTTGTTGACACCGTATTGGGTGAAAAAGTCATTGTACTCCTCAATCAACGGACGGTAAAGCTCCTCCTGCTTTTTCCTCAATTTTCCGTCGCAATCTTTTGCTCCTGCAAATATGAGACAAGTGTCTGTGTCGAGGTATTTCAACATGCTTAGCTTCAAATCCTCAAGGGGGAGCATTCCATCACCACCCTCATCTTCAATTCCCTTTTCATTGCTCTTGGATCCCAAATCGATTGCTCTGGCTGCCAAACCTGTCAAGGGTAACGCACTAGATTTCAAAGATATCTTGGGTAAATGTGTCCATTCATGTGCAATCAAGTACGCCAATTGCTTTTTATTTTCTGGCAAAGTCAACGGGAGACCCAATGGTGTGCGCAAGGTCTTTCCATCTAGTTGAACTTCATATCGACCAGTGTTTTTGTTATGAAACACGTGGCCCTTATCCCAGAATCTATTGCCTGTTTTTGAAAGTTTATTCGTCTCCGATTTGATATTGTGCTCAATGGTTTTGTCTCCTCCCAGAGACGAAAGATTGCTCAATCTATTCAATAACAAAGATGCCCTTGTGAAGCATCTAGTCCCGTGATAGGCAAGCCTTTGAATAGGCACTCTTTTAATCACCAACATTTATTCAATCGTTGTTGAAGGGGACTTAACATCAAAAAAGCATGGAGAAAAGAGGAAAAAAAAAATTGGCAAAACACTTTCTATCACATTCCACAGCAAATATGAATCAAGAAGCTCTACAAAAAGTCCTCATAGAGATGGACAATCAGCTAAATAAGTCAAGAGCTGAATTGTCTATGGTGAATTTACAGTTGGATCGTGTTCATACAAATTTAAATGTTATCAAGTCGACAAACTCAAGGTTAAATGCGTTGAATACTCCTGATGAAATAGTATGGCAAGGAGTAGGAAAAGCTTTTGTTGCAGAAAAAACTGGATCATATTTGGAACAGTTATCGAGTGACGAAAAGGGATACCAGGATACCGAAAAGAACCTCAAAATCAAGCAAGATTATCTACAAACTACACTTGAAAAGACAGTTGATAGTATGACAAAAATCGTTGGTGAAAAAAAGTAAAACTATGAATATATGTTTACACGAAATTATTCACTATCACTTTCCTCTTCAGCCCCTTCGTCTAAAACTTTTCGTTCTATATCATCTCTATCGTTTGCCTTTTCAGCTCTCATTCGCTCTGTTAGGAAAACATTGATTTGATCTTGGAGTGTGGTGAGGGATGCTCGTAAATTGCCCATTGGCGTATCATTCGCAGCGCTAGGTTTATCTCGATCCTGACCTCCGGCGTTCAAAACTATATCGGATATTTGCGTCGTCGATCCATTTGTTGTGTGCGGACCCTTACCAGGGTGGAAGCTTTGTGTTATGTCCCCAGAAGTATAGGTGGCTGTTGGCAACATTGTTTATTACTAAAAACTATGCAACAAAAACTAATTACGATCCTTTAATTTTTATTCTCTTCGCGCTGTTTGAATACGCATTGAATTTGATTTCAATTATCTCATCGGATTTAAAATCCAATGTGGGTATGTCGTAACAAGAACACGACATGAGATATCCATACAATACTCTTAATACCGTTTCATCGGCGATGATCAATAAGTCCCCACTCATTCTTTCCATCTCCAATATCAAGGGCTCAATTTTAATGGCTAAATCATGATACGATTCAGCACGTGAGAAACGGTAATGATAAGGATCTTTGAGGTACTGGGAATAAGCCTCAGGGAATTGCTTAGCAATCTCTTCTTCACTGAGCGTTCCCGCCACACCGGGGTTCTTTTGCGACAATTGAATCCTATGTCTAACTTTAATGTTTTTCTCTTGAAGAAACTGCGTGGTTTCAATTGTCCTTTTCTTTACTGATGTCCAGACCACCAATGAATTGTCATTCACACCGTCAGCGCCTGCGGCTGGTTGTCTCATTTCCACAGATGGCTCTCTTTGCAATTCGGGTTTGCCTTCAATTTTATCGAGATAATTCTTGCCCTGTGATTTAATCTGCGCTATCACTGTATCTGTCAAGTTCTTGGCATACTTTAACCCTTCATCATCCAATGGCGGGTCTTGATTGAAATCCAAAGTGTTTTTATAGCATCGTGCCAAAAAGACTGATCCCGATTTTATACTTCCATTCATAAGATAGAAAACCACTTTGTTGATCAAGTAGCCATAGTTTGAGTTATGCAACTCAATTCTTTCTCCAAAATTTATAAATTTGATGTAGGATAAATCTTTTTCCTCTTGGTTCAAACCCATCTCTTTATAAAATGGCGCAAGAGTATTGATTCTTTCACTATAATCTTTGTAAGCAGCATCATAGTCCCAGTTTCTGTAATCCGGTGATGATTTTGCTGCTTCTTCAATGTTTTTCATCACAATAGAATCATCAGTCACCAAGCTTTCGATAAACAAAACCTGAATTTTCAAATCTTTAAATTTCCGATGCAAATGCAATCTAAACTCTGGTATAGCGTTCACGGCATCATATATGGCAACCTGTCCCTTGTCATTTTTGAAGAAATTCAATATATCGTTAAGGCATTCATTGGCCACTTTTTCTCTCAACGCATGAGCTTTTCCGCTTTTTGGGCTTGGTACAAACAAGTCATGAGTCAAATCGTCTTCAGCACTAGCCCTCCTATAATCACCCAAGTGGAAAGAATGTGTCTTGACTCCTAACCATCTCAAGTATCTTGTCAAAGATACCGATAGGTGTGTTTTGCCTCTGCCTGGCAAACCAGCAAGGGCGATTATGATTTTCCCCGCGTGGAATAATCTTCCTGACTCTGTTGAATATAATTGTGCCCCTCCTAGTTCACTTAAAGGATCGATGTGTTTGTGAACGCCATCAATACCGGTGATGTCACTCAACCTTCTTGGTGGGCCACCCACTTCCAGCGGTAAATCGACCAAATTTGGTCGAGTGTTGTTGTGGAATGACCAACGCTTGGTTGTTCTCATTTGGTTCCTGGAGATGGGTTGAGCTCCAAAACCATGAAGAAGTTCTATATCCTCTTCATCTGATATGGCTGCTTCGTTTGTAGACATGATTGTGGGAAGTTTCTCTGGAGGAATGTGTCTGTGTGTGTGTTGTTGAAGTTGGGTGCCGGTAACAAAAAGGGAGGAATGATTAATTTGAACGGTTCTCCCGTGTCTATAATGCGACACTAATTTTGCGACATCGGTACAAAAGCAAACCACAAGAACGCTACTAAACAGCGCTTATAAATTGACATTGCTTCTGGGAGGTTAAGAACACTATTGTTTAAAACGAACTCCGTAAACTTTTAAGAACAATTTTCAATCGCAGATCATTTGAGTTATGTTACCGGTTTTATGGCTGGGGCATTTCGATAGAACGTGGGGACCGTCCCAAAACAAGATCAGGACAAGCAAAGCACACGTTTATGCATTATGAGAAGTTGATCAGATCCTTGTGAAAAAGCGAGATATGTCACCGTATGTCGAAACATGGGAAAGCCTAGTCTCTCTCCTTTGCATCATTGACACGTTATAGACAAGTCTACTACATTAACTGGTATGCCCTACTGTCACAAGTCACATGCCATCATCGCTAAATGATTCAACATGGCTCTTACGTCCCTGAGTTTATCAGTTAAATGTATGGTCAATTAACAACTGGATCTCCCATTTGATAAATGGTCACGTGCCAGTGATTATCTTTGCAGATATAATTCGGTAGCGCTTTTTGCGAAAAAAAAAAATTTTTTCTTCTCTTTTTTTGTCATTTCCATTTTTTTTATTCTCTCTCAAAAGTGGAAAAAATTTTCACTTTCAAAATCTTTGTTAAACTTCATTCAATACACAACAACTAATAGCAAAGATGGCTAAGATCTCACAAGGTATGTTTAGATGCGTTGAGATTACTCGATGAATACTGGTGATCATCCTGGACAATTTACTAACTCCCTCATAGACGTTTCATCATCTCGTTCAAAAGCCAGAAAGGCTCACTTCACCTCATCATCTGTTGAGAGAAGAGTCATCATGTCTGCTCCATTGTCAAAAGAGTTGAGACAGCAATACAACATCAAGTCCTTGCCAATCAGACAAAATGACGAAGTTTTGGTTGTCAGAGGATCAAAGAAAGGTTCTGAAGGTAAAATCAATAGTGTTTACAGATTGAAATTCTCAGTACAATTGGAAAAATTGCAAAAAGAGAAGTCCAACGGTGCTTCTGTACCTTTGAACATTCACCCATCTAAAGTTGTCATCACCAAATTGCATTTGGACAAAGACAGAAAAGCTTTGATTGAAAGAAAAGGTGGTAAATTGGAATAAATGTATAGTTGATTAATAAAGGTTCTGTGTACATTATTGATTTACAACAAGAAGGGAAAAAGGGCTTGTTAAGAGGACTGTAAACAAGTGATGTGATATTGTACTGAAATACAACGGTGGCCTACGTTATTGTTTTCTGTTAATAGAGCAAACGGGGTACTTTGAATTTCAAGAGGCAACGTCAAGGGGAGCAATTACTCTGATCAGTACACTTCACCTATAGTAGTATGTCTATCACTCTGAACCTATTCCTTGTCCTTGGGTGGTGGAGTTTCATTACTTCAATCCGAAAACTGATAACTCCACACTCAGAAAAACTTGTGTTTTAACGCAATAAAAAATGGTCATAAATTGATCAAGAGAAACTTCGAAACAGGCAATATTCAGTCTGTATGATTTCGAGCAAATGGATCCACCCGGTCCAAAAAAATACCACGATATCACAAATGTTAAAAATACACAGTCCAAGACGGGACTCGAACCCGCGATCATTAACTCCGGAAACTAATACCTTAACCAACTAGGCCACTTGGACTATGAGATTTGAGACAACATGCTTAGCTTGGCGGCGTTGACCACTAAGCCAAAGGGCAATGTTTGTAAGATGTGTTTGCGCAAATGTTGTCCGCGTGGTATCAATTTTTGACATCTCTCTAGTCTTTATCTGTATATCTGACGCCCTAAAGCCATTGAGGTTTACTTGCAGGGTATTCAAAACAAACGAGAAGATGGTACAAGCATATTTGTAGGCTTCCCAAACTGAATTTGAGAGTCACAACTTAAGGATATAGATAAAATTGGATTAGATTGTGTATGGCATCTTGCACCACGAAAAGTCCGCTTTTTTGTTGACAAATGGGTTTAGAACGTGTCCTTCTATGTCTCAAAAGACTCAAGGTGCCCTGCTAAGGTCCATACTCCGCAGTTGCCTCGTTGTTGTCTCAATTGCAGCGGCCTGGTACTTGGTAGCGTCGCCAACTCAAATGTATTTTTATTTTTTCATTTTTTTGACATCATTCAATCATACCTTCATTTCACATCGGTATACTTGATTTCCTCCATGAACGCGTTGAAACAAAACTCATTGCTTTTGAAACTGGTAAAATTCGGAAGGATACCTGCTGCTCGATTGGTATTGCCTGTCAGAGTGTTGTCAAGATTTTACCTCACTTCTTCTCCAGCCTCACATTCATTATTGTTCCAAAACTTCCCCGACCGCAAATCATCAATTCTTCGTTACTCAACAAAGACTGCCCCACCACCCCAGCCGCCACATGATAAGGATTTTAAAGGCAAGAGAATTCTCAACAGAATCACCCGTGCTTTCACCTTTTCATTATCGTCAGTCATTGTTCTCGGTGCTGCCGCAATTGCACTTTTGGTCATTTATCTTATACTTTCGGAGTTACTTTTACCTTCAGGAGATACACGCACATTCAACAAGGCTGTCAAACTCGTCGAACAAAATGAGCAAGCACAAAAGGCATTGCAATTTTCTGCTGGTGAAAGATTGAAAGCTTATGGAATCGTTGCTGCTGATAAATGGGTTCGTAATAGGCCAGTTCAAAGTTCCAAAGCTAAAGGCAAGGATGGCAAGGACCACTTGGTAATGAAGTTCCAAGTCGAGTCGGATACAGGTAGAATTGGTGTTGTTACTTTAGAACAAGTGGATAACTCATGGTGGAATACAAAGTTTGAGTATATGGCATTGGATGTGAGAGGCTATAGAAGAATATACATTATTGAACCCGAGAGGCCAGAAATTGCCAGACTTGGCAAAGGATCGGGATTTTTGGGTTTAAATTGGGGACCCAAGAAAGATTAAATGCGAAATACGTTTGAAAAAACGTTCAAAGGGTAGGGCCAATGTTGATGCATTCGAAGTTACTTTCCTGCTTGGGGTCGTGACTGGTTTAGAGTTTCTTTTTTTACTCACATCTTTTGTTGCTTTTTTGGATCTGGGCTTTTTATGGTCCTCCGGGGTCTTGGTGTACTGTTCTTCGTTGTCATCTTCGTTGGCGCCCATTTCATCATCAGCTTCAGCTTCGTCTTCTAATTTGTTGTTATCAACTTGAGGGGCCTCTTCATGGTCAGCATCATTCAATAAAGTTTGACAATTCCTACCATCCGTGGAAAACATCGTATTCAAATCAACAGAAAGCCTAGCAATTTCACCCCGTCCCTGAAATGTACAAATATCTTTTCTCTTGCCTGTTTGTTCATAGTACTTATTCAATGCATACGATACTCTTATCATGGGATTGCAGTCACTGTATTTGCCGTATCTTCCCAACCTACCGTTGGCGTTTATCTCGTCACAATCAACTTTGAAGCAAAGGTCTTTGAGTAAACTCTCCTCGTCGAATGAGCCAGTGTCAACGACAACACATGACAAGGATTGCCACAAACACTCACATTTACCGAAATCCGGGGTTGGTGGTAGCTCGAGTGATACTTTCCAAATATCTGATGGTTCGGAACAGGTCAATTTGGGGCGTTCCTGTACTTCATCTATAGGTAGACCAATAGGATTGACTGCATTGAATCTTGTCTTTAACGTTTCAAAATCGGGCAATTTTGCAATGGTGCCATCCTTTTTATTCTGAACTACTCCATAATGGTTAATCTCTTCAAAGTACTCGTATGCAATACCACCTGACCATGTCTTTCTCATTGTTGACCCAAACAACGCTTCTACTTCTGTGAATGGGCGAGGAGTTATAATATTGCAGCCAAATTCACTGAAAAAAACTGGTGTTGGGTAATTGGCAAACACTGCCGTCAACTCACGATATCCTGATGTCATGTAAGTCGAGTATCCACACCATTCATATACATTGATGGCAAAGAAATCAGATTGGGAATATTCGTCATTAAGATCACAAACAAAGTAATTGGCCAAATTTGCTCGGATTGAAGCATCATCATTCGATGCATACCCAACGGGGATCTGTCTGTATCCTTGATCATGAATGTATTGCTTTACATCTCTCACTGCGCTTCTAACAAATGGCACTGCATCAATATTCAGTTGAGAATTAGCGACTTCATTACCAGCAAAGAATCCCAACACATTGTCGTACTTGCTCAAAGCATCAACTACTGATCGATACCGAATCAAAAGCTCTGAATCCCACCTAGGAAAGTCTCTCCTGATGGAAACGTACGGTTCTGATAAATCTGCCAATATATAGATCCCAGCTTCTGCAAAAGCTTCCATACACACATCGTGGTTTGCATTGGGATTCACTTGATAAATTCGCACAACGTTGACACCAAGTTCTTTTAAGTATTCCAAATCACGCAAACAAGTAAATGGATTGGCCAAAGGGTCAATGTAGTTGGTTTCAGTGGTTGTGTCAAAGACTTCTCCTTCTTCACGGGATTTTTGATATGCGATACCTTTGATAAAAAATTGTTCCTTGGTTCCACTGTTGTAGAATTTGTTGCCAACGATTTTGATTGGGTAAAGTGGGAATGAGTCTTTTTCGTTCTGATTAACGACTCTGGTCATAACGACATGAGCGACTATGAGGATTGTAAGTATTAACATGTGCATTGTTGCTTAAAAGAATGGTTGCAAATTTGTGCAAAATTTATGCGTAATAAAAGTCTTTACTTGATATTTTGTATTAAAGTTGTGGATATAGTCATATACATTAAAATATTTCATACAATTGTTTGAATTCTTTCTTGCCTCTACATTCAAGCATGTAGATTTCTGTCTCACTTAGCTTGATTAAAAGTCCCGCCTTGCCTATCTTTTCAATGATTTCTCTTTTCTTATCATTGGGGATTACCCAGCTTATTACATCACTTGCACTGGTCAACAGTAAGTGATACACAACTTGCTGGTGATCAACAATCTTGTCAACACATAGATCCATCATTGACACAATCTCCCACGATGATGGACTATTGCGCTGAGAGTAAGATTGTAGTTGTTTTTGCAAACGAATAGTCATTTCAATCTGCCTGGCATGAATCGCGTTCGGATTATTCATCATACATGCATAGGACAAGTCATCGCCAATTGAATTCGACAATGAGCTTAGGCTGGTGAAGGTGGATGATTTGCTGGGATTATCCATCAATGACGAAGACAATGTGTTGTTTGAAGGTTGCTGGGAGGAGCTCAACGAATAATGATTGCGTGTAGGTGTAGTTATGGAATTTATTGAACTTTGAAGATTGCTGGCAATTTCAGAAATGAGCGCTCCTTTGGAACACCTAATCATTACTTGCATTGTTTCCTTACTAATTGAATTCTTTGTTTGAATTTGTATATCAGATCCTGAAGATGATCTAATATCTGTGCTTGTGTTAATGTCAAGTATCAACACAGGTTTGTCGATAACATCCTCAATGCTTTCATCGTATTCTTCTTTAAACACAAGAAACCAACTCTTTTGTGCCTCTTGATTGACAGCTATCTTTACAAAAATGCTTTCCGCAGCAGTAACCATCTCCCATTTCCCATATTGTTGCTTCCATTTGGAGATCTTGATTGCTTTAGGAGAAGAATCCGAGATGTAGACATCAGTCGTTGTTTCCAGATTAATGGAATTTTTCAATTCCGCTGGAATTGTTAAATTCTCTTGCTTGGTTGCACTGGTTACTGATGCATTAACATGTGGCTTAAAAAAATACGTGGAAGTTGATGATGGTAAAGCAAACGGAGCAGGAACACTGGAAACTGATCTGGTCATGGTCTTTTCCGGATTTGAGTCAATTATGGGAGAGTTTGTCTCGTCTTTAGTTACTGCAGGCTGAGACGATTGTGGTGTCTCGGTTTCCTCCTTAGTTGTCTGCGCCAAAGTTTCTTGTGATTCATTTAAATCCACTTTAGACGACTTTTTGAAGAAAGTTAGTATCGACTTTCTTCTTGGCTTCCTCTCTATGCATCCTCTAAAATTTGGTTGATATGACTGTCCAAACTTGGAAATATCAATAGCGGACCCACTTGACAACTGATACATTCTTGGCTTTTCTCCTAGATCTGGCGCTGATGTTGAAAACGTGTTCAGATACAACTTGGGAGGCTCGATCTGCTTTTCATCAATGATATCATTATCGGTAGATTGTACACTCTCTGGTGAGCAGTATTCCGCTTGATAAGATTTCGGTCTCTCTGCATCATTCAGGTAATCGTCAGAATATTTCCTTTGATTGATAATTTGAAACAATTTTTCATCATCATCATCATGATCATTATTGTCATCCACATTGACACGCTGCTCTGTAATCACCTTCTTCATAATTGGTAATGACTTGTCATACTGTGATCTCAATGACTCTGAACTAGCCCTGGTCTTTGTTGGAGAGGGTGCTGGCGAGTCATATAATTCTTTGAAAGAAGTGGGACTTTTTGACAATTGAGTAATTGCCTCCTTTGGTACAAGTTCTGCGTCAGACACAATATTTATCCCCAACCCTGACATGCTGTAAGAGCTTGATTCCGAATGTATCAAGAACTTTTCACTTATTGAAGAGTTATCACGTTTCAAAGGGAATAGTTTTGATAGGTATCTGGCCCACTTTGCACATAAATCATGGTCTTCAAATTGTATCAGCATTGATCCCTCTGCACCATTTGTGGACAGAAAATTTATTGCTTTTAAATCAATGGTTCCGGTCGAATGAGATAAGGATAATTCATTGACTCTAAAGGGAGGGTATTTCAACGTTCTGCGTGTTTTGCATCGACTGTCCTTTGTAATATCTAAAATAGCCAACGCATTGTAGTCGCCAGTGCCAATCAAATCAAGAAGCAACAACTCGGTTTCACCCCCATCGAGTAGAATACGAGCATGAGCAGTTCTGCGTATTATTTGATCGGTCTTGAAATAACTCGACACAAGTTCCTTTTGTTTGAGCACAGTTGAAGTGAATGATTGAATACCTGAGAACTGGATGTCGTTCAACTCCTTCGATTGTGACATGTACTCATGATTGTCATATATGGCCCGTAAATGTTTTGAAAGCGTTGCTAGTTTTTCAAGTACAAATGGATTTCTTAAGTATTGAGTACAACTGTTGATAAAATTTGAATAGTTCTTCAAATTGCTTATGGGACCAAGTAGTCTCTTTAATGTTGTAGTGTCATCAACAACCACAGTATTCAATTGAGTTGTGTATTTCTCAAACAATATAATATTGTCATCTTCTAGCCATAGTATTAATTCATTTATGAAGTTCTTGAATTGTTCTGTACCGTATTGCTGAAAACCATGAATAGCATGGATAACTAGCGACAAAAGCTGGTTGTTTTTGGTATATAAACCTCTAACTATTGAGGATAATGTGAAGGGGGTATTGGGTGGTAAGTTGGATTTCAATTGCTTTGCAATTCCAAGGATCTCGATCAAGTCATTATTCTCTGATGAAACAACTTGGTGAAAGTGCTCTAGTAAAGTCTGTATACATTCTCTTTGAGATGTCATTTGTTTTGGTTAGTTCAAGGTACTTTTGACGTATTGAGAGGTGCAACTGGCTCAATACTAAACGGGGTGGGAAAAGAATAGAATGAAAAAGCAAAGTGGTTCGTAGGCTGGTGGATAAATACAAATATATATTTGTGGCTTGGATTAGTGAAAAAGTATCTTTTTTTGACAGTATTGTTGAGAAAGACAATGGGATGAGATAGGTGGTTAGTGTTTTTAAAAACAATAAAAATGTGAAGTTGGATTAATATGCTAGTTTTATATGAATAGTATTATGTGTTGGGTATATATCTCTTTGTTGGTATGTTAGTGTTTTTATTTAACCCAAAGCAGTTAAAAAGCTGATGTACATCTTAAGACGCGATTATTATTGTATGTTGTGTTTTTGTGGTTTTGCGTTTTTGTGTTTTGCAAAAGAATTTATAATTTTCGCGTACTAATTTGCTGTAGCATGTATCCTATATATCATCTCACTGTCCCTTTGAGAATAGTTCCAATTGGTTTCCATCCACAGTTGTAATTCCTGGTTAGAATGTATTAATGAATTTGGTCTCTTTGGAGTTGAAATGACGTGACAATGATCAACTCGTGAATACTGAAACACCATTGTGCAAGAGGTACAATTCAAGGGTTGACCAGAATCACAACAACGATAAGCAACTGCATTAGTGAAACCATTGGCCAATTGTGACATTTCCCAGCATGAGCGGCATACTATGTACATTGCAAAGTCGCGAATCCGGCAAACGCAACTTAGCTGAGGAGAGTGAATGACCACGGCATTAATCCAACATTAGTACACCAACAGATGTAACACGTCAAGCGCTAACATCGGAAACGCGCAGCCGCTGGGTCATTGCTGTTATTCATCTAGTGCCTCTCGATCGGGTCTGCTCTTTTTGGAATACTTTGCCAACTTGAAAACGTGACATAAGCCATCAAATCTATCCTAGCTAGTACTCCCTTGAAACCACCCAGTCCAATACTTTTCCAATACCGGAGCCAGTCTTGCCACTTACCAACTTGATATCCCAATGATCTCGTTCAGGAATCATCTTCTCCAATTGCAAAAGGCCAGTAACAATTACCTTCAATCGGGCCAATTCTGCGTCTGGTATCAAATCAGTTTTATTTATGGCGATTAGCAAATACACCCCAACTAATCTATCTTGTTCAATGATTTTGTCACGCAACTCTCGATACGACTCTTCTATTCGCTCCAAACTAAGACCATCAATGACCCATAGAACAACATCCGTCTTGTCAAAGTAATTGCTCCAAAATGCTCTTAAGCTGGTTTGCCCTCCAATATCCCACATGTTTATGGTATAGTCTTTGTATGGCAATGACTGTATTCGAAATCCCATTGTTGGTGAAATGCTGTCTACATCCTCGTGCAACATATTTTTGACAATAGTGGTCTTGCCCGAATTATCGAGCCCTAAAACCAACATCCGAATCTCTCTGTCTTTTCTCTTTTGGTTTCTAATGATTGTTAAAAGCCCCATCTTGACTTGAGCATAGTGAGCCAGATAGAGACCTTCTAGATAGATATCAAATCAAACGGAAGAAGAAAAAATTAAAAATTAAGAATATAATTAGCCGCAACTTTAAGATGAATGAAATTTTTGCCATTGCTGCAAATAAAGAAAAATAAGCAGTTTTATGCTTCAAACGATGCTATATGGTAATTCAAAAAGGTCTAATAGTTAAGGTCACAGAGATGAACAGTCCACGAAAGCAAGGAACTCAACGGTCCATCTACGACTTTACTCAGAAGCAAGTAAGTGTAAAGAGTGAAGAAATCGTGACGCGATGCGACCAAGTAAAGGAAGAAATGGAATCAAATGATGATCTCATGAATGGGCTCGAGGCAAACTTGGGTCTGGAGACCATAGTCAAGACCGAGCCGACCAATACGCAAAATGTCGGCCTCGAAAAGGAGTCGAAAGTCCAGGTCGATCTTGATAACTCGATACTATTCAAAAAGCAAAGTGCCGACAAAGAATCCCAAGATGAGACCCACGCGTCTGATCCACATAATTCCAGTGTTTTTTGCCCTGTTTGTGAACTTGACATCTCGTCGTTAGACATTCGAGGGAAAACCGATCACGTAGATACGTGTCTTGTACGCGTGACGTTTGTTAATGAAAAGTCAAACATGACACCAACAACAACAACGAAGACGACCCTGTTCCCAAGTAAGAGAACACCTTTGTCGAACGAAAACAAAGAGTCAAGATCTTCAATTTCCAATGGAAAGAAAAGAAAGGTCGAAAAGGAGAAAATACGATACATTAATACTGAAACCAATACAGATAAGAAACCTAAAATTATCAAGCCACCAGCAACAGGCACAAGCTCTTCCAAGTCGCGCCGAAACGAAATTTCAGCATTGAAAACCATGACCTTTCCTGTGGAAAAGAAACTGGGGCTGAATTACCAAGTGTCCGTCGACGCGTTTTGTTTTGCTCCACACGCTGTTATTGATAAATACTTTTTAACGCATTTTCATGCTGACCATTATGGAGGAATTTCCAAGAAATGGGCCTATGACCGCGTTTTCAAAGACGACACCGACTACGATAATGATGCAAAGTACAAACGAATCATATATTGCACTGAAATCACCGGTAAGTTGCTTACATTGTATTTTTCAATTGATCCGCGTTTCATCAAGCAAATGGCTATGGATACCAGGTACAAGGTAAAAGATTATGGTTTAGCTGATGTTGCTGATGGAGGTTTCAAAAGCGTCGAAGATACCCCTGGATTATATGTCACACCAATAACAGCAAACCACTGCCCTGGTGCGGGAATCTTTCTCTTTGAGTCCATTGGTTTGGATGGAAGGATTCATCGAATCCTCCATTGTGGAGATTTTAGAGTCAACATGACAATTTTGGACCATCCATTACTTCGTCAATTTAGTGTTGCAAGTCAAAGGATTGAAGACTTATTGAGGATCGACAAGGTATACTTGGACACAACGTATATGAATCCAACCTACAACTTTCCCAAACAGGAGTTGGTATGTGAGACTGTTGCTCAATTGTTTGAACACTTGACGGTTCAAGAAGATAACAAATTAAGTAATACTTTGTTCAACAATTGGTTTGGAGTGTTGACACAATCGAGAATTACTGATTTTTGGAAGCCTACCCCAACAGTGAAGAAGAAGAAAAAGTTTTTAATTTTGGTGGGTACGTATGTGATTGGGAAAGAACGTTTGGCAATTGCTATACTGAAGAGACTTCATTGCCCCATTTATGCACTGAATATAAACAACAGAAAGAACAAGTATGATATACTACGAAGTTATGACGATGACTATTTAGATCTGGTTTTAACTGACGATGAGTTGGGAAGAGATTCTGGCTCTGAATGTATTGTTCATCTAGTTCCAATGAATATAGTCGGTTCGGTGCAGGAATTGTCCAATTATTTCAATCACAATCGGTACTACGAATCTTTTGAACGTTGTGTTGGCCTAAGACCAACGGGTTGGAGTTTTGCACAAAATGGAAAGTCAGAACCTGAACCCCTGGACACGATTCAACCCACTTCTTTAGGAGCAGTAGCAAAATTGATGGCAAATACCACGCTATACACGTATATGGATCACATTCTATCCCAAGTTCCTAAAAGCAGAGGCAAAAACAAACCGGACCAAGAGTTGTATCGAATTTATTCAATACCATACAGTGAACATTCGTCTTTTCGAGAGTTGGCTTATTTTGTGGTTTTCTTCAACATTGGTCAAGTAATACCCACTGTCAATTGCCACAACGAATTCAATGTAAAACGTATGGAATCAATCATTGGAACTTGGGAGCAGTTGCGTCGCATCCACACCGGATACCTTAACGAAACTGATGACACTGTTCCTCCGGAATTGATTGAAAAGATTCAAAGCTTGTCTTTAGATACATTCTAGAATACATTTTAATCTCTATAAAGTGGTTACAAAAATGTGCAACCAATTTCGATTTCAAGGTTTTTTTACTTTTGCCTGATACGCATTCAATACCTCTTCACAATCGGAAATCAGTTTGCATTCACTCCATTGAGCAACAAGATCTCCTTCCTCATAAGTATAATCGTTAGCATTGTTTTGCGAATGTGCAGCACAAATTGTCTTTGCTGGTACTAAAGTTGTTTTGCTTAACACAAATGGGTGCCATTGTAGAAGATGAGTTAGTGCGGAATCAGGTCCATATGGGAAGCTTTGATAATTCAAGTAGAGTTCGTTACTCCATATCTCGGTAACTGCTTTACCAACAGGGCCATTTTTAAGAATAAATGATGTTGTCTCAATCTTCTTGTCGGATTGAGTTAGTATTAATTGTGTGGATTCTGCTCTAATACTCTTGTAAGTCTTAATTACACCGGTTTTTGGTATCAAGGGTTGATCTCTCAACATCTGCGGATTTAATACCTCTGGATTAAGTAATTTCTTTTGAATATTCACCGTCATGTCCATTATGAGTCCATTCTCGTCTAGATACCAAAACCACTTGGCATGTGGGAATGCAAACATGGCAGCACGAACGCAAAACAAACGAACCCATTTCGATCTCTCCTTATCTGTCAAAGCAGAAATGGAGTTGAATTGGGGAATGAATTCCTGAGCCCAACGAACATATACTCCATAGTTTTGAAAATGGGCATAGTCAACACGATTTTGAACAATTTTGGCCAACCCGTTGAGAGAATATTTTTCGAAATCAACAGCAGTAACAATAATCACTTCAGGATAATTTTTTAAACTCTTTGGCTTAAAGACAATGCGGTCTTGATTCTTGAAAAAGTTTTTAGCCTTCATAAACTGATCCTTTTCATTTTCGTCTTTTTCTCTCAATTTTTGTACAGCTGGATCTGGGTTATCAAGAGCACTCAAGGGTTGAAGAACCACCTTGTCGCCTATTTTGGCTTGGTGTACAAGCTTTTGCGGTGTTAATTGCTTCAAAAGTGGTGCTTGTTCAACTGGTGGATAAATGTATTTTGACTGGTTTTCAATTACGTGTTTACTTGAGTACGGATGTGCTGGTGGGTAATGAGGTACTGAAGATGAATGGAAAAGAATTGATAGTATCGAGAACGGGGCAAATAGATACCATACCACAATGATCCCAAGTATTATCAAGGGTAGGCTTCGACGTTGATTGAGCCTGCTGAATGTCGCAGGTAAAGGTAGATATGACTGATTGGATTTACCATACCTAGGTTTAAAAGCTCCTGATTTACCAAACATAATCTCAGTTTCACCGGTCTGTTATTTGAGACTTATATTTGGATGATGGTTGATGTCTTGAGAAAAGAATCCGATGTCTGGGATCAATGTTTTTATTTTTTCTTTTTTTTTTTTTTTTTTTTTATTTTTTCTTTTCTTGATTCCACTACTTCTATAGTAGAGCACCTTTGGCCTTGGCTTTGGCGTGGCTTACAAGTTCTACATGTCCTACAACAAACCCCCGTACATTAGAGATACAACCATTCAATTGCTTGATCTACTTACTTTGGATGTTCTTTATTTATTCTATCTTCAATCACTTGCAATGCAATTTGCCGTCTCCTTTCAGCGACAGAACTGGCAATACTCTTGTTGCTCTGACCCACCTGTTCCAGCCTCTTTTGTGCTCTCGTATTACTTTGTTGAACAGTTTCATCATTGAATGGAGTCACAATTCCCAAGAGGACCGATAGTTCGTATATTTGATTGAATACAGGGCCAACATATGGTTTAGTCACTGCTGGGAAAAACTCCACCAACTGAAACGTATCTGATGCGTCACCAATTAATACAGAGCCCGTGCTTGAGTCATTATTTGCCACTGGCAAAATAGGCTCTGTATTCAACGCTTGGAAAAATCTCAAATAAATGAAAGATGCAAAAAAGCTCACTGTTGATGGGACAGCTGGGTAAGATGATTGACTGACAATTGCCGACCAGAGCCCTAAAATAATCAACAACGCAAATGGCAAATGTTTCACTCTGAAATTCACCAAGCCTTGAAACAAGACAATGTTGTGCTCCGGTATCAATTGCTTAAATACAACAAGAAAGCCAAAATAGTAAGATATACCTCCCCCTAGGGGAGTGTTCATATTCTTTGCATCTTCTCTTATCAAATTGGATATAATAGCAACCAAAACAGTAATCAAATTGGTCACTCCGCCAACAACCAAGACGAATTTGATCACTTCCATGCGTCCCCAAAATCGTTCAACAAATCTGCTTCCAACAAACAAGACCACAAACGAAAAGATGAAAGATATGACGGAAATTTCGGCAAAAATGGCCAGTATAAGTACCCAAGGGTTGAAGAGGGTGGTGCTGGGAATCAATTGAATAAAGGGTACTAATATATCATGAAAGTTCAACTCCTCCGATCCAGACGTTTGGGAGTCCTTGAACATTCGGTATTTGATTACAAACAAAAAGGCACTGATGGTGGTCAAAAGTCCTAATAAGACTTCTGTCGATAGTGGAATATCCTTGCCTCGTAAAAATCCCATGTTCAGCGATGTGTATCTTGTGTTGTGTTTGTAATTGAGTAAACTCACTAAGAAAGGTTCAATCTGGACTGATTTTTTTGTCTTTTTTTTTTTGCTTCAAAACTTGAGAGTAGCTAAGAACCATTTCAAGAGACAAGGTGGTGGTGTCATGCATGCATACCAGTTTACACGAAACAACACAAATATTACATGCATCACCATTTACAAAAATACAAGTAATTCTTCGAATTTATCTATAAATATCAAACATCAAAATAAAAAAACAATAAACAAAAATAGGATGGAAGCAAGGATCCACTCATGTACAAATAAGCATTTATCTGAACGCATTCGTAGAATATGCTGTCGTATGGCCAGAATACTTTTCACTCAAATATGACCAAGTATAAGACTTTGGTCTGTTCGTAGGACCGGTATCGTTGTTAGAAACGTTTCTTGGTTGGAACAAACCATATGCAATTGAGCCCTTAGATCCAATGTCAGCAAACTGATCAACCTTGATAGATCCAGAAGCAGCAGCTGGGGCAGCAATAATCACAACAAACAACAAGAGCACTGCAAAGTACAAAGTAACATATTTTCTCACCATTCTCTTTCTCAATCTAGCTTGTTTCAATGAGTAAATTGGTGGTCTAATCAATCTAGATGGTTTCAACCAGAACAACATCATTGAGTGCCATCTGTCAATCAATGGAACTGCCAATATAGGTAATTGACAGAACAAGATGATATGAGCCAACATGAAATCACCAGCAAACTCAGACATTTCGACAATCTTGGCAACAAATTCACGAGATGGTTGAGTGAAAGCCATCCATCCCATACCAGTATTGTACCACTTACCCGTCCAGAATGCAGTATTGGCCTTATCATTCTTGAACTCTCTGGTCAAGAAAGCTAAAGTTAAAAACTTGAACAACAATCTTTGAACGTAAATCATAGTAGCGAAACCCAACAACATTCTGGCAAAGTTGAAACCTTCCATAACCCACATGACAATAAAGAAAACAATATGTACAATCACAGCAATACCATGAGCAATACCGGCAATGACGGCACCGGTCTTTTTACAGCACAAGCCCATCATTGGTCCAGCACAACATGCCATACCAACACAACCAAACAAAACACCACAGTCAATAACAACAGGGGCCAAGGAACACACGATAAGTCTCAAAACAGAATTGACTTCTTGAACGTCTGTACTACCATCAATTTCGTATGGATACTGAGTGACACCGGTTTGAGCGTTGATAAATGTGAAAGCAACATAAAGACCAGCAGTGTAAATCAATGTTGGAAGGAAATCAGCAAACAAAATGTTAGATCTGTGAGCTCTTGATGCATCACCAGCAGCCTTTTCAGAAATATCACCAGTCAACTTACGTTTGAAACCGGTAATACGAGATCTCGAAAGCCTAACGTAACCAATCCATGAATTTCTGTGCCACTTGGTGTTACCTCTAGACAACCATCTAATAAAGTCTCTGTAATCAATGAAAAAGTCTTCCCAAGCAAATTGATGTGGGTTAAAGATGAATGGCGAAAACATCAATGAAGACAACGAAGCCCAGAACCACAACAATGGAGCTTGCCAATGAGCAACGGTTCCAAACAACAAAATCAACATCAATCTAGCACCCATATAAATTGACGAGTCAGCAAAACGGGAGTACAAGATGGAAAAGGGGATTCTTGAAGTGGCAAAACCTCTACCGGTTGAAATATACCTGGCACCACCAACAGTTAAATCGGTGAAAACAGATGATGAATAAATTTGGGCAACAAAAACTTCAAACATAGGTGACAACGAAATGAAATGTCTAACAAATCTTTGACAAGCTTTCCACACACCTCTTTCAATCAACTCTTGAACAACCAATGGAATGAACGAAATGAAGAACACAATAAAGATAGACAAGGTGTAACGTCTAATCCAGTCAACAGCAGGAGCAATGTTGTAACAACCAAATGGATACAAGACATCAGTGACTGGAACATCTCTATCATACGAACAAATAATTGACTCGTGTGCCAATGAGTTCAAGTTTGCCAACACCAACATAAAGACTTGCAAGGACAATTGAATAAACAAGTTATTGATATGGAAACCAGGATGTCCGTAGTAGAATGACAAGAACCTATCCAATGGCAATTGAGTTGACAAGTAGTAATATTCTCTAGACAACATCTGTTCACCCATACCGGCACCAATCTTGGTTGTGAAGTTCAAAATGGATCCGAAACCCATATCTCTACCTTTACCACATTGATAGTATTCACAATGCTTGATCTTACCACCTCTCATCATGGCATTCATACCAGCGTAAATATCTTCGTTCAAATGCAACCCTTTTTGTGCTTTAGAAACACCACCTCTAGTCAACATAAATGTAGCATTCAAGAAATCCGGGTGACCATAATGCAATTTACCTCCAATTTGAGCCAATGTTCTGGCAAACAAAGTACCAAAAGTTTGTTCCTTACCAGCAGCGACATCACCCAAGACACCAGAGTTTTCTGAAAAGATATATTCTCTAGCACCCAAAATAGCAACTGGAGCTTTCTTTTCGTGCAATGGATTTTCAGACTTCAAATCTGGTGAATATGGATTAACATGCTCAACATTCAATTCTTCAAACTCAGCCAAAACTGATCTAATCTTCAAACATTCTTCCAAGTAGTTATCTTGATTGGCATCAATCAATTGAATATATTCACCTCTGTGGAAAATAATTGCGTGATTCTGGTTATCGGATTTACCATCACCCAAGATTGGATTACCGGACAATTGAACTCTGAATTTAGGACGACGTCTACCATTTTCCAACATCTCACAATGACCATCAATCAAAGAAGAGTAAACTCTTGGTTCCTCGTCCTCATTCAATGCCGGTTCTTCATCCAAGAAAGCAATCTGTAAATCTGGGTAAGCACGCAACAAAAATTCTGCATTCTCCATTTCGTCATCCTTAAATTTGGACAATCTTTGCATGGAAACCAAAAATCTAAACTTTCTTCTGGCCATTTTCTCCAAAGCCAATTCCAATCCTTCTGGATCACCACCAAAGTATTGAACCAACTCTGGATTTTCAACCCTGTACAAAAGCTTGATGGCTCTAGCATAATTCATAAAACCGGATACTGTTCTGTACAAAGTTTGCGACCTCAAGGAAGCCCAAATTCTTGTTCTCAAAGTATACTCAGGTGCAGCAGATTTGAAACCAATACAATAAAATGGCAAATCATCAATCTTTGATTTCAATCCATCTTCAGATGCTTTTTCCGCATCTTCACCATTTTCATATGCAGCCGTTTCTTCTGCCAAAATCTTAGTGTCCTTAACAAAACATTCCCATTCAACTGGATGCAATTGTTTCAAATATTCCAACAAGGTGACTCTTGAAAATTGGTCATCTTCTCTAATAATTTCCCTCAATGAAAGCAAAATCTTTTCCGAATAGTGTGGAGTGAAAACAGTGAACGTGGGCATATTATCAACAGGAACAGGTTCCGGCATTGGAGTGGCCAACGATTGGGCAAAAAATGAAATTCTTCTTTCGGCTTCAGAATTTCTTGGGAAAAACTCCGTTTCAAAATTGTTGTCATCTTGGGAAGCAAAGAATGTTGGTGCTCTCAAAGTTCTCTTTCCTTCAATTTCTGATGGAACTTGATGGTACAATAACTTTTGCACATGGTCAATAGCTAACAAATGTTCTCTGTACATGGAGATAACAATGGCATTCCAAATTTGTGAGATAAGAACCTTTGGCTTGTACTTGATTTCCATTTCGGTGGTGGCCAAAATCTTTGAGTAAATTCTCTTTGGTAATCTGGTAAAGATGTTTCTCCATGGTGTCAAGATTGAGATACCCAAATAGAATGAACGACCAATGGAAAAGATACAATTACAGATAATGTACCACAAGTAGGTATCCAAAAAGAACAACAACAAATCGACAGCGTACATCAATCCCAACACAATCTTGGCTTGTTGTCTACAGACAATGTCACCATACCAAACTTCACCGGTACATCTCATTGTGGTCTTTGACAAGTTTCTAATAGCATCTCTCAATGACAAAGTCAAGAAGAAATAAGATTCAACCAACTTTGCTAGGAAAACCAAGACCCACAACAAATACGACATCCACATGTCCAATCCTCTTAACTTGACAAAGTTTGCAGTAAAAGTATGAGACGAGATGTACCTCCTCGACCTCTTGTTCATATACGAGGTGAACAAACCTCCCAAAGGCATGACAGCAAAGAAAACCAAAGTTGCAACAGCAATGAAGAATCCAACAACAGAAAGTGCATATGAGGACTTGGAGTATAAAGTCAATCCTGCAACTTTAAAAGTGTACACAACCGGAGCCAAGTTTACCAAAAAGATCAAAATCAAAAACATTAAACGACGAGTCAAGTGTTGAGCACCGGCCCATTCTCTAGGAACAAACATCCATTCAAAAATAGTGGCGAGAATTTGGAGGAATGCGGCAATAATACCACCAATGGCACAAGCTGCCCATCTTGATGAGGCAAGTGGCTGTTGATTAATGGTTTGAACATAGTTCTTGGTGTACAATGTTGGCGAGTTGTAAGCGGTATACATCCAATAAATACTTCCATGAATAATCCAAATTCTGTTAAAGTTGGTGACAAAATGCAACCAAGTTCTGATTTCTTTGTAAGTCTTGAAAAAGACATTGCTCCACTCAACTTCACCCAATCTTAAGTAACGTTCCTCCTTTGGAATATCAATCAATCTCGTACCATCAGTGAAAATGATTCTCGAAACACCTTCTGGGTACCAAAACAATTGGTTAACATCATCGTATCCAATAACCTTGTTGTGATCTTTTTCACGCTTAACAAATCTTCCCTCATAAATTTCATAAACTTGGGATCTAAGGAATCTGTATAAAGGAGTAATGACACGGTTCAAGTAGTCTCCCTCTGGAACTGGTTCTTGTCTTTGTTGACACAATGGTGATTCCAAATAGTCAACAGCTGTTTTGTAAAGATAACACAAACATTCTGGAGTAAAACGAACTTGGTTAGCCTCACCCCATAACAACAAGTAAAGAGCAATATCACGAACTCTTTCTTCAGGAGTCAAGGTGTTCATCTTTGCTTTCCATCTGATTTCAGCAGCTTCCAATGAATAGTCACCTTCCAATTCATTGGCTAAAGCATCAACATCTTCACCATGTTCTTCAGCTGCTTTTCTGGCCTTCTTGGATTTCTTGGAAGCCTTTCTAGCTTTTCTACCAATTTTTCCCAAAGTCATATTGGCAAATCCCAAAGTATCATCCAAATCTTGTTGTGATGAAAAAAACCACTTTCTGTAATTTGCATTGTCACCTCCAATGTAGTCAGCGTGTAAACTCAACAATGCTTGAGCTGGAGCCATACGCGATGATCTTGAATCCAATAAAGTCATAAAGTAATCAAACATATTTCTCATTGAATCCCTTTGGAAACCAAATTTGTTTGTCAAGTCAATGAAAATATCCTCAATGTGTTCAATCTTGATAGGTGCTTGAGGATCAGCTGACCATGCTGGATATGGTAAGTTGGACGACACCTGAAACTGAGTAGGATCATAACCTTGACCCTGGACTCCATAAATTGGTGTTGAGGCACCGGAAGATCTTGGATCACCACCATAACTCATCTGAGATGGAGTGTATTGGGTTCCATATTGATCATAACCCGGGGTACCTGGAGCTTGTCCATTGTAACTGAAATCTGAAAATGCTTCTGGATCAGCATTGTAACCTTGAGCATTCATTGGATGACCTCCATATTGGTTTGGATCATTGTAACCATCCATATCATAAGGTTGCTGGTGATATTGCGCATTAGGATCATAATAATCCTGGTGTTGTGGCTGCTGATTCATATCATCGTATGGTTGTTGTTGTTGTTGTTGTTGCTGCTGATTCATATCATACGGTTGTTGGTAGTACCCATCATTAGGGACACCACCACCCTGTTGATTAGGGTCGTAATAGTTATGGTTGTTATCGTTATACGACATCTGCTAATGTTAGTAACCCCACTTACTCTATGGCGATGTTAAGTATTTCAAAGTAAAGGATCAATATAGCAAAAACACGAGGATATAAATGTGGTTAGATTTTCGTTCAAATAAAAAAATAGGAAAACAAAATTCTTGATTTTATAATATAGCGAGTGATCTGGAATCGGTCAAATCTGGACCCCTTATTGATAGCGACAAATGAGATTTCCTTTCAAGATCTTGCTATGACCAAAAGACTGCAAAGTTGAAGTAGCAGTTAGATTGGAAAAATAAAAGGGTAAAAAGAAGAAAAAAAGAAAGAAAACCTTTTTCTCGATATCGTGTGTATATCAATGTAGTAATTTCAATAATCTTTTTAAATCCACAGCCCGATTTCAGATGTCAAAAATTTTCTTTCTCTCCTCTGTTGTTTTACCTAACATTTCTTTATTTTTTTTTTTTTTTTCTATAATTCTCCTTTTTTTTTTTCCTGTGTTTTGTAACACACTCCTATTGTTAAAAATAGAACTTCTCGAGAGAAATTGGTACAAAGGACACACACACACCACACCACATAAAAAACACAAACACAATGCATTATTTCCATATTGAAGCAACAGCTGGATAAATCGGGCGAAATGCAAGATGAGTTATTTATCGTCAATCATTGTGTAATTGTATATGATAACTTCTCTTTCTCTTTTTTTTTTAAAAAAAAAAAGTGTTGGTGAAAGGGGTTTTAGCAAACATAAAAATTTCTTTTTCTTTTTTTTTGATTCTGTTGTGTTGTGTTGTGTTGCTTTTTGATTTTGAGACACGAAAAAAAAAAAAAATGTAAAAGAAATTGGCTCCGTTCACGTGTAAAAAGCAAATGATGGTGATTGACATTTACGTTTGTCGAGATGGTAGTAGTTGTAGGCATGTCCCATAAGCTGGTGCGTAACGTAATTGGATATGTTGAAGTTGCAGGAATTTCCTTCCAGTAGAGACTGCAGATAGAAGCAGCTGACATTTATAAAAATGGTAGTGTAAAAGCTCAATCTCCTGCACATAAACAATTTTCAATTATTATTTTTCTGCGTTTCTCTCTTTCCCCTTGAGGGAACAAATGTGAATCAAATTTGAGCAATTGTACACTACTTGATGTGGAAACTCAACCCCCAGTATGAACCGATTCCGTTGGTGTTGTGTATCTGTATGTGTGTGTGTGTATGTGTATGTGTTTGTACGTCCTTATGGATTCTTTCTCTCGATGAATGTCCAACATATTGACATCCCATGTTCATGGCCCTTGAATATACTTTTAAAATCGCGTGAAATGAGAATATACATACCTCTTATCTATTTTTTGTGACTTTTCCTGTTCCCTGAATCTCTCTGTCTCTCGTTGTCTAGCAAGCTGTGTGCTTTCTTTTTAGCGAATGAAACGACCTCGATTAATTAGTTGATGAAGGGAATTGATCTGATTGAAGATAAAAGATGTGGCTGATGATGAATAGATGGTAGTAGAAAAAGAAGAAAGAAGAAAAGTGGCAAGCAGTAGAGAATGAAATGATAAACTTTAGATTTCGATTGAAAGTGAGAGAGATCAGGAGAAATCTGAGATCGGTTGGAAAATGTAAAAAAAAACAAGAATCCCACACAATTTGAAAGACAAACTATTGTTTAGACCGGGAAGAGTAGGACGGGTTTCAAACAATCAATTTCCAATCCCGGTCAGAACAATATTGCCTTCGAAAAAAAAATAGCAAAGGTCTGGTACGGTTTAGTCCATGCTATTTGACAATAGATGCTTCTACGTATCCCCCAATCGTTCTTAGTTTAAAGGGAATTTTTTTTTGTCAACAAAATCAAAGTCTTTTGCGTACGATTGAAAAATGTACCAAGGCTTAACTTCACAAGCAAACATTGCCTAGCACAATATAAGAGACACGTAAACATCCGACGATCGAAAACATACTGCACAGCATTCATTATATTCCCATGTTTGTGCCACAACACCACCAACCAACGTACCCACCAGATGTGCCACCTGTTTCAATCGATGCGGAAAAAGACCTTTGATTTTGTTACACATTCATTGTAAAAACGCGTTGTAGATCAACGTCGCCATCGCCAAACAATCATACACGCACATTTTAGCTCCATCCCTCGACCAAAGCCGGCTTTTAAATCCATCGGCAGTATCTGTGGTAAAACCTTACACGCGAGATTGAACTATGGAAGAGACGGATATAGAATTCAGACTGTAGACGTATATCCCCAGGAATTTGTCGCGTCACCAGAACGACGCTCTCTGATCTTTCAAGCGCGGTTATCCCCTTGAAACATCACCCACTATGGATTCAACCGATGTATGCTGGTGTTCCCCCGACTGAGGGAGCAAGTGCCGACTATCAGTGGTTGCAACCTCGAAACCTACACAGTTGAGTATTCAGTAAATCTAAGCCACATTGTAAGAAAAAAAAAAAACTAAAATAAATTTAGTGTTAAAAAAAAAGAGACACGATGAAACAGGAGCTCGCCTCCTTTCAAACAAATTACGCGTCATCGACTACCGACCTCTTCTTCACAATAGGATGAGTACACTATATATCATCCTTAAAGTTGTATTGCGTAAATTAGCATCGATTAGATGGATGCTACTACGAAAACTACTATGTGCCACACTCTCATCCCTAATAGCGTGTCGAAATGGCAAATGAGAATTATTTTATGGGTCGTGTACTTGTTGATCTAAAGGCAAAATGCACAGACTCTTATTTAAAATTCAGACTTTGCTCGAGTTTGCACCTTATTTTTGCATTGTGCTACATTCATATTTAAGTCGCCTTTGGAAATCGTGTCTGTGTCGTGTCTCAGTAAAATTAAAAAGAAACACGAGCTGCCCAGAAATGTATCGAAAAAGGCAATTACTTTTCTAAAATAGGAAGTTGTTGTGTTTTTTTGATAAATGTGCACGACTGTTAAAGACTCTATTGTCACATTAGTTTGACACATTTTGATAGGACAAACTGCAACCACGACGTTAGTAGCTAAGACATGTTTCCATTAATTTTTCCTGGAGGTAAAAGCTTCCCTGGAATTAAAGTGCCGTAGTCAAGGCGTCTTGTGCCAATATTGCATGCATGATCTCAAACGTATCTAATTATTTATGCTAAATTGTTTGTTTAAATTTCTCGCAAAATCTTTGGTTGCAAAAAAAATCATACAAAGTTGTAAGCTTGGGAGTCATAGGCAACTTTCTTTGGCAAAACAGCCACCTCTCATTACGCCAACTACGTGTCCAAATATCTTGCACATCTCGTGTAAATCTAAATAACAAGAATCCTACCCCAAGTGATTCAAAGCTTATCATGATTAACGTTAGAGAACCTACAATGTTTCTGAAAAAAGCCGACGTCTAATAAGGAATCGAAAATGTCACTAAATCTCTCATTCATTTAACATCTATTCGCTCCATCCAAGTGCAAGCAACTCAGATCTGATTTCATCCTCTTTGGAAATTTTAATCACTTGGGTGTCCTCCAAAGGCTCACCACTGGCTTGTTTCATCTTTAATTGCTCAATTGCTCTTAATTTCTTCAACAAAGATCTGATCTTCTTTTCCTCGACCGAAACTACACCTCCAATCACCCCTGATCCAGTCGCAGCAACTTCGGCATCAGTGCCGGACGAAGTTGGAGCGGGTGAATCTTCTTTCGTCTTTTTCGCTTCCCTCTTCTTTCTATTTTTAGCGGCAGCTTTACTTTCCTTTTCAACAACGGGTGCTGCACCAGGAACAGTTCTGACCCTGCCACCACCATTTCTCGACAAGCCTGGTGGTGGAGGTGTTCCATTCTTCATGTTGTTTTCAAGTTCCTTTTGGTACAAGCTTGAGGCGGAACTCAGTGCAGCACTTCCTCGCGCATGTGGTGGACGATAAGCGCCTGCAGGTTTCTTTGCAGCAGCATTGGCAACAGCCTCACGTTTAGCAGTGTACTCTTTAGCAGATTCGTGTGCCTCCGGAGCTGGTTCTAATGTCTTCAATGGAGGGAAGTGTGACAATTCCTGTGGTTTCCATCCAATTGAAAACAATTCCGGAAACTCCTTCAAATAGATAAGCTTCCCACTTGCATGCCAAACTTTCAAACCGTTGTCAACTCTCAACCTTGGAGACGTTGTAGCGGTCAAGATATAACGTCCACACGGAGACCATTCACAAACTGATGTGTTTGAAGCTTCAAATGAAACAACTTTAGAAAATTTATTCTGACGATCATACACATCAACGGTCCCTTGCAAGTTCCCAAATCCTGCAACCAAAACAAACTTGGCATGAGGAGAGTACAAAATAGTGTTTCTTGATGCTGTGGGCAAGGAATGAATGGCATTGCCTCTAGCATCAAAAAAAGTAGTTTCAGAAGGCATGTATCCGTATGAAACTGCAAATTCACGGGCAGTTGGTGACCATGTGATATCGTGAATTGGCCCTTCCTTGGTCAAATCAATTCTCGAATTATAAGATCCAGCGATCCCCAATAAGTAGAGATTAGTTTCTCCATAATAAGACTTGTTTGAAGTGTCGTGGTCAGTTGATGCCAATGCTAACAATGCAGTTCCTAACGAATTCCATTTTAATGAACATCTCTCCGCTTTGAAAAAATTCTTGAAGCAAACAGGTTGATTAAAATTGGGGATGTTATAGATGAGTACACTAGCTGGTTTTCCTGATTTCTCAGGAACAAACACAGCAACACTGGGGTTCTTGCCCGGAGAAATTTGAAAGTTTTGAAAAGTACCTTTTGCGTCTTCCAACTTGTACTTAAACGAAGGTTGGTTCATATTGATCTCAGAATCACTGTCGGCGACCACTTCAAAGAATTGAATCTCGCGATTATTCACACCTCTACTCAATAATGTTTCTTCACTAGTAAACTGAGGCTTCCATCCATTTTGGTGCTTAGCACTCCACTCAGCAATTATGGCCTTTGACTTTATGTTGAAAATTTTCAAATTCTTGTTCCAAGTCCCATTCTCCTTGTTCAATAGCACTGGCTTACACCAAAGACACAAGTATGTCCCCTTTGGTGAAAAGCTCAAATCGAAAACATCGGGTATCTCAATACGATGATAAAGCTGGGCTTGGCTAGATGTGTCTAAAATGACAACTTCACTTGGTTGCGTGTACGCAAAAACTTGCCCATTTCCTGAGTAGAGAGCACATCTGCACTCACCTTGGGCCTTCGGACTAGGGGTTATTTCCTCAAAGTCTTGTATAAGCTCCACTGATCTAGGAAAACGACCTAATAAAAGTTAGTATAGGAACTAAAAGTTGGGAGATTAACGCAATAGCTTGATACATACAAAATAGCTCGGTTGATTTCGACATAGCGTCTAGTGAGTACGAATTTGTAATATGGCTTCAAAAAGTATGTTGTACAATTTGAACAATTGCTGGATTGTGAGAAATCGTGTTTGAATAATTGATCTTCTCGAAGAAAAACCGGTTTTTTTTTAATTTTTTTTTTTCTCTTTATTTTCGCTTGACGTCTTTTGCGGCAAACTCACCATTGAGGGCGGGACTTCGTTTTGTCAACAAATGTGTTGTATATTAAAAAAATTATAACCAATCCTACTATATCTCAAGGTACTACTTTTTCTTTACTTCGCCAAAATTCAAATGCCCAGTCTGTTCGGCATGTTTAGATGCACCAAGCTCTCCCACTAAGATCAGATAACAATCCAAACAACGTACTCTAAAGGTCGTGGTGTTTGTACTATAGTCCTTCTCTTGCAACAATTTACACAACTTCTTCGCGGCATCAACAATGGGTTTCTCTCTATCGTCGCCAATTTGAAATACACATTCATCATTTTCCTTATTCTTGGTTGAAATTTCGTTGCTCAGTGCCAACACATCATAATGGATTCCACTGTAGATCAACATAATAAATCTGGATGGCTTTTTCTCTTCATTCTCTATCTGGATAAAATTTCCCAGCTCAATGTCAATGCAAGTGATTCGAACGTCATACCAGTCCGCCAAGATCCCCAATTCAATTGCACCACCCCAACTATCCTTCTTCAAGATCCATCGACAGTACTCCTCTCGAGGTCGACCTAACACAGTTTCGGAATACAAAGCTGGATCCCTGTTCACATATTCGACTACCACTTTACGTAGCTCCTGAGGGGGCGAGAAAGTAGTGTACGAATCGTGTCCTGATATTGCGTATGATATCGAGTTGAACAAACACGAGTTATCATCAGGAATGTTTCGTAGTATCAAGTACTTATTCTCCAGTTCTATGTACACTGCAGGAATGTCGTCCTTCAAGTCTCGTTTTTTGTTTGTCGCAGTAGGTGCCATCAGTTCAAAGCCATTGAGTGGCGTACAGTTGGTGTTTGAATTCAGGTCCGGTGATAATGGACGCTTATTCGAGGCAAACGTAATACTTAGTTGATCCCCATCTTTCACATTCTTGTCCTGTAACGTTGTCTTTGGACCATAAGCTAAGTCAATTGGTTTTGGTGGGAATCCAGTTTTGATCACACAAATTGACTCTGATGTATCTGTATGTAGGTCAGTGTTCGCTTTTATATCTGCAACAAAGTCCTGAAACAATATCTCAGGGTCAACCTTTACTGTGGACACACCGCATTCGGATTTTAGTTTCAACCTCATATGGAACTAGTTAATCTGTGTATGGGATTATGTAATTTTAAGAGTCGATTGCTGCTGTTTGAATGAGCATTCTAAGAAGGGCAATCTAAGCCGCACCTTATTTATTTTCAAAAAAACTCACCTACATAACAAAATCTCCACATTGAAAGTGTTGTAAACGAAGATCGACGGGGTTGCTAAGAATGTAATGAAGATGGCATGTACCTATATAGATTATAATGAGGTGAAACCCGAAGCGGTTTTGCAAACTCTTGATAAATAATTTCCTCAGCGTCTTGAGATCATACATTGACACAAATCTCCCTACTTGTTGCCCAATTTCATACCGCAACAAGGGTCAAAGCCATTCAATTCGAGAACCTGCAACCTAAATTTGGCAGATACGTTCTTAGAAAGTGTGTGAAAGATTCCACATCGTGATGAAAGGGAACACCCTCAAGGTGCAGATTTACAAGCAATCTTCACAGCACCGCAATTTTGAAAACATTCAAATTATTCCTTCATGGTAATCTCCGTTGTAGTAGCTTCGACGGAATCGAGTCCTTCCCCTGGTTGCGTCAGTTGCGTCAGTTGCTGCGGCTGCTGCTGCTGCTGCTGCTGCTGTTGTGTGCTTTGAAACTCATCAGACGGAACCCCTGTGATTATGGCATCCAAGCTGTCTTTCTTTTGGTTATTCGCAGCTTCGTAAACGACTTTATTTGCAGCTTTGTATTGTTCCAATTGTTTATATTTTTCGACAGACTGAATAAATTTCTCCATGTTAACTCCACCAGCTGCCTCTGCCTCCAACGGAGTGTACGGACGTTCCTTGAGTAGCTTGACTCTTCTTTTATGAATCTTGGATTTTTGATGCCTGTCCAAACTTATTTGATTTTCAAAATATTTGGCACATTCTATGCAATAATATTGGCCTAAACCAGGTTTATACTCATCCAACGGTTGATTCTTCAAGTTGTTGATGGATTCTGGAGTGGACAAATCGTTATATATAAGGTCCAAGTCCCGCGTTCTCCTCTTTGTTTTATATCTCTTGACGCTGTATCTTCCCATGTTTGTATATCGACTGTTAGTTGGTGGGAGGTTGTGCCTACCCCAAAAAGTAATCGCAGAGATGAGCTTTGATCTTACATCGCGCTAGGGGTGTAGCCCTGTTCACGTGACCAAAACACTGCGCTTCACTTTCTTTCGCACGAAGAAAGACAAAAAGAACGAAAAAAAAATTACCATTTTGAAACATTCACCTACTGTTCACATCAACCAAGGTTAATAAAGGTATGTCACCAAGAGCAATAAAGTAATAGAGTATATGGGAAGTTTCATAACGGGAGGTACAACGAAACCCGAGAACTCCGCAGCTTTTGCTTGGAGTGAGTGGTCATTCAAATCAGCGGGTACAAAAAAAATCAATTTCGATTTGTAAGCAAGAATTTTGCCTCATCAAAAGTGAAACCTATAAATATCCCTCCATATCCCGCTCATTTACGCACACAATCATTGGAACACCTTTTTACTAACAGTTACTTATTCAGACAAAATGGCTAGAAGACCAGCTAGATGTTACAGATACTGTAAAAACAAGCCATACCCAAAGTCAAGATACAACAGAGCTGTTCCAGACCCAAAGATCAGAATTTACGATTTGGGTAGAAAGAAGGCTCCTGTTGATGAGTTCCCATTGTGTGTCCACTTGGTCTCAAATGAGTTGGAACAATTGTCATCAGAAGCTTTGGAAGCTGCACGTATCTGTGCTAACAAATACATTACCAAGGTTTCAGGTAGAGATTCATTCCACTTGAGAGTCAGAGTACACCCATTCCACGTTTTGCGTATCAACAAGATGTTGTCATGTGCCGGTGCAGATAGATTGCAACAAGGTATGAGAGGTGCTTGGGGTAAGCCACACGGTTTAGCTGCTAGAGTTTCTATTGGCCAAATCATTATGTCAGCTAGAACCAAGGACTCTAACAAGGACGTCGTTATTGAAGGTTTGAGAAGAGCCAGATACAAGTTCCCAGGTCAACAAAAGATCATTATCTCAAAGAAATGGGGTTTCACTCCATTGAACAGAGAAGAGTACGTTGCCAAGAAGAACAACGGTGAAGTCCTCGATGATGGTGCTTACGTTAAATTTTTGTCAAGAAAGGGTAACTTGGAAGAAAACTTGAGACAATTCCCATATTTTAAATACAACGCCTAAGTGTGTATAACTAAATAGTATAAGGTATGAAGGAGTTTTTACTCACGTGGAAATCGAAAGCTGTAGAGCGGTCAAGCTCTGATTGCCCAATGGCTGCGTCATTTGCAACCGTGGGGTGAAGTTGCTGTTTCTACTTGTTGCAAAACGGATAAATTCTTTTACCCGTAATAAGTAGACAACTCAAAACGCAATGCAAAAGAAAAAAAATCACATGTGAATCCAAATGCTTTTGTATAACAAAAGTCCGAGTAGACGAGCATTTACTTGAAGACTTTAAACTTTTGTATTAGATTGCCCCCGATAATGCAATAGATGCATATTCAACAACAGTGCTTGAAGTATTTAATTGTCGTCAATTCCCAAAGTCCTGAAACACTTTGATTCAGTTCCTCCTCAGCCCAGTCGTTCTAAAATAGAGAAAGAAAAAATTATTTACGTGACTTGAATCACAAATGTCTTCCCCGGATCCACCAGACAACAATAGCAGTCCCATGTCGTCACCCTCTGACGCAAGATATGATACCGCCTTGTCTGACACAATTGATACGGTACAAGATAACGAGACCTGGGACGACTTATCGTCTCCGGAACCAGAGTTGACAATGATGTTGACGGAATTGAATAATCGATTACGGTCGCAAACACAGAATATTAGAAACTACCGCAACCACCAAACTACAGAAAGCAATAACAGTATAGACGATTCAGAAATAGGATCTCTATCGCAAAGGGATATTCCACAATGGCAAAAAACTGCGAAAAGAACTTTGGTGTTTATTGGGTATACAATTACTACAGTCCTATTTTCCATCATAATTTATTTACATTCCTTATTGGTTAGATGCAGCTATGACGAGGAAACGTCAACCATGTTGTTGGACGGCGTGTTCAGAGCTCAAGAGAAGGCAATAGATGACTACCATAGAAGACATCGTGTACAAGTTGAAAATGACGATAATTAAATTTTATAATAGACAACGCTTGATTTTGTTTCACAAATTGTAGCAGGTGTACTCAAGAGAGTAGAATTTTTGCATTTAGGGACAGTTGGTGGAAGTGTTTTTTATAAATACAATATAGTTGTTGAGTTGGCTCACAAAAGATGCAACTATAATGAAGCTCTACACGTAATTCTACGAGAATTGTATCAATCGAGACGAGCAGATGGGCCGCTTTAGAAGCAAAAAGTGTAAGAACCATCGCGTAGATCAGTTAGTGTCACTGCACACTGTGTTTTCTGGTTGACTTTTCATCTCAGATACGCGTTGAATTATGTCAGGTACGAAAATGATTATTTTTTTCTTTTTCTTTTCTTGTGTTGGAAAAAACAGCGAAACGTGTACTTTTCTTCTTGTCCCATCAACTTCATTGAAATACACACTCACTCAATTAATTATGTCCTTTGCTGATAGAGAAGATCCTTCTACCTTGGTTTTGTTTGACGTCGATGGTACTTTGACACCAGCCAGATTGTCGGTTTCCGATGAAATGTTGAAAACTTTGGCTGAATTGAGAAAAAAAGTTGTCATTGGATTCGTTGGTGGTTCTGATTTAGCAAAACAAGTTGAACAATTGGGTCCAAATGTGTTGGAGAATTTTGATTACTGTTTTAGTGAAAACGGATTGACTGCCTACAAGTTGGGTAAAAAAATGGCTTCGCAATCGTTTATTGGTTGGCTCGGTGAAGAAAAATACAACAAGCTTGTCAAATTCGTTTTGAGATACTTGTCTGATATTGATATTCCAGTGAGAACCGGTACTTTTATTGAGTTCAGAAACGGTATGGTTAACATTTCCCCAGTTGGTAGAAATGCATCAACCCAACAAAGAAACGATTTCGAGGCTTACGATAAAACTCACCACGTTAGAGAAAAATTGGTTGATGCTTTGAGAGAAGAGTTTAAAGATTACGGTTTGACTTACTCTATCGGTGGTCAAATTTCATTTGATGTTTTTCCAACTGGATGGGACAAGACTTATTGCTTACAACACGTCGAGGGTGAGCATTTCAAGACAATCCATTTTTTTGGTGACAAAACCTACAAAGGCGGTAATGATTACGAGATCTACAATGATTCTAGAATCACTGGTCACGCTGTCAACTCTCCAGCGGATACTATTAGAATTTTAGACGAAATTTTTCACTTAAATCAATAAATATAGAGATTGATATATACATAGAGTTTCCTTTATTTGACTTTGTAGTAAATCATCGAACTGTCCTCTCCTGCAGCGATTGCTTGCTCGACATTGCGTTTTCCGATTTTGTGATTGTCAAGTAATTGCAATCTTTGTGTGTTCATATCGTTGATAGATTTTGCAAGATCCAATTTGTTTTCTCCATCTTGTGGTTCGAGTAGTCTTGGTAATCTGGTTGGTTTGCATGCTTTGATTCTTTTTCCGTTTCCGAATTGGCCATATTGATTGGAACCCAATGCAAACACGTCCTTTGATCCTCGGTTGTCCAATACTATGAACATATGATCGCGACCAGGAATGGCATCCTTTATACCGATATTTACAACCGCATTCGTTTCCTCATCAAATTCCTTTAATCCAATTAACGATTTGATAATCTCCGGGTAAGAACATACATGGAGATACCTGCCACCACCTAATTGCCCATTGAGTCCGTTGCCCAAGCTCAAAATCGCGTTTTGATCATTGTATTTCAAAATAATGTAGCTGGTCTCCTTCGATGCCAAAACTCTGGTAACTTCAAAGTTTGTATCCTTAGCTCCTTTACCAAACACATTTCGGCAAATCCTTTTGTAATCCTTTTTGTCAAAAACTTTTCTTGGAATGGGTTCGATTTGAGTAGTATTGGAATCACCACATTGACCAAAAGTATTGTCACCCCAAGTCCACACACTATCATTAACATCAGCGGCTATATTGAAGTAGTCACCACTGGCTATATCTGTGAATTTCCTTGTGACTATACGTTTAAGGTTTCCTTCTTTGACAATCTCATTATTCAACAAGGTCATATCAATCGGCTTGTTTACGGGAATTTCCTTCTTATCGAATGGCGAATACTGAGGCCCAAACTGACCCATGTTTTTTGGGTTTTTGGAAGAGTTGACCACAAAGATTTGCCCCTGTTTGGTGAGGAACGATAAATGATTAATACCGGAGGAAAACTGAACCACATTTTTGACATCTAACTTGTTAAAAGTTTGAGACTTTAATAGTCCCAACCAGTTGCGTTTTAGCATAGGAAGGAATCCAGCAGCAGACTTTCTTGGTGTGTAGGCAACTTCTCCCTGACTAGTCAAATAGTAAACATAATCAGAGGTTGCGGTTATCTTATCTACAAGAAAGGGAAGCTTGACCTCAGTCACCGCATGTTGACCCCTTTTCCACTCTACCACTTTTCCCTTGTCTGTTATTGCGATTATGTGACCTCTCTCGATGAAGGCATCCTTCAAAAACATTCCGTCGAATGCTGGTATTCTGATGGGTATTTTTGTGTTGTCACCAAATTGATAAACCCCAGGTGTTACCATAGAGTCCTTTAGCTGAGTAATATTCTCATCACTCAACTCCCTTTCTAGCTTTTCCAATAAATGCTTGGAACTCTTTACATTCTTCTTTGGTGCATCACCCACCTCATCATTGAAATCTTTGTACGTGTAATTCATCAAAAGTCGATTCTTGATGGATTCGTAATTCATGAATATTTGATGTATCGAAACAACACCAACTAATGCAGCAACTCCATAAAATACCCCTCTCATCCTCTCATTAAATTCATAACGTTTCTGTTGATTTTTTTGCTTTGAGATGAACTCTTGATGTAGTTGATGTAAAGTTTCTCGATATTCGTGTGAGCCTGGTTTGAGTTTAGTGAGACGTGGATCATTCTCGATGGCTTCATTAATGTCGATAGTGTCTTCATTTGATCTCAGTTTGGAAGGTTCAGACTTGGGTTGAGTTTTGTCATCAAGTTCTTTTAAAGAGTCAAAATTGTACCCATAAGAGTACTTTGTTTTGTTCTTGTTGAACTCCTCGATAGATGAAAATTTATTGTTTCCTGACTTGAACTTTCTTAATAACGTTGCTCGGTTCGTGTTTGAACCTAAAAGACGGAGATGGCGTATCATTGGCTTGGGCAACATCATCATCATCTTCCTTTTGTTGTAAAAGAGATGAAACTAAGTGAGAGCAAAAAAAAGTAATTCTATTATTCAATCACAATTACACCCAAATACCAAGTCAATGAACTCACTCATCGGACCCCATATCAAAAAACCCTTTCAACCTCATCAACTTCTTACTACGATACGATGCATCTCATCCATTACGAAATTCGACACGAGGAAATTCGTGCAAATGTTACAAGAGAAAGGTGGATTTGATGCAAAACAAGCTGAAGCTGCTGTCACTGTTGTCAACGGTGCCATCAACGACGGTATTTATTCCATCACAAATAACTTAGTTACTAAGGAGACTCTTTCATCAATAGCATACCAACAAAAAGTGGATTTTGCAAAGTTGAAAGGTGAGTTGCAAACCATGGATAAATCCGAGTTTACCACATTAAAGAAGGAGCAGGAGAAATTGAGAACAGACTTGACAAACTTGAAGAACCGTTTGAAAGAGGAGATTACAAAAAACCAGGCTAGTGTCAGACTAGATTTGAACTTGGAAAAGGGTAGGATTAGGGAAGAAAGTTCAATTAATGAGTTGAAGATAGAAGACACCTTTAGTAGAATAGATGAAGAAGTAGCAAACATGCAGCTGCAAATCAAATCTGTCAAAACTCAAGTCTTACAATGGTTGATGGGTGTTAGTACGGGTACTTTAGCTGTTCTTTTAGCCGTAGGAAGGTTTTTATATTAGTTAGCGACATATGCCTCTTTTATAAGAACAGAATGCACGAATTTTGAAAGAATTAACACGCGAAGCAAACAATAATGAGAGAGCGTAAAAAAAAATTGAAAGCAGAAGAAAATCGAAAACGATACCGGTGTCGTCATTAAAAAGAGTGATCATCACTGAATTACAACAGGTGCAGGAATTAACCAATGAACTCCCTCTATAATCACGGTTTGAAGCAAACACAGACAATCACCAAGGACCTTGCTCAGTTTGAAAAAAACTTGTCAACTTCGCCTTTATCATTACAAGGTGCAATCACGACTTCAATCACAGCATTTAAAAAAACCATCAAGGAATACTCAGACTTGCTCGAGAAAAACCCAACTGACTCGTCATATGCGAAACATGAAGGCAGGGTTAGCAAGTTCACCCAAGAGTTGGAAAGTTTCACCACCAAGTTTGACAATTTGAAGAAACAACGAGAAATTTCGGTGCAAGAAGCAGACAAACAAGAATTGATGGGAAGGAGACATATCAATTCAGCTACATCTCAACCCAGTGACAACCCGTACGATCCAAACCAGCAGCAACAACAGCAACAGACGATATCGCAGCGGGAAGGTCTCTATAATGAAAACCAAGCTCTTGCGCGGGGCTCAGAGCAACTCGATCGAATATTGGAAATGGGGCAACAGGCTTTCGAGGATATTGTGGAACAAAATGAAACATTGAGAAAAGTACAAGCTAAATTTGAGGAGGGGCTAATCACTTTAGGAGTTAGTCGGGGTACGATTAGAAGTGTGGAACGAAGGGCTAAGCAAGATAAGTGGTTGTTTTGGTTTTGTGTAGTAATGATGCTAGTTATCTTTTACTATATAATAAAGTTTTTCAGATGAGTGTTGATCAATCATTCATAGATGTATTGTCTGTTCGTGGGGTGTGAATGCAATTTGGATTGAGAGGGGTAAAACTTAAAAGATGTGAAGTGATTTCAACATGATGAGACTTTCGGCTTTTGCGACCTTTGAAGCATGAGCGCCTATATTACTGAAGCTCGTCCATTCTTGAATGCCCCACATGTCGTAATATTGTGTATAATTTTACGATATAAATGTAAAACCAAATCAGTATTGTTCTCCTGACCGCCCCACTTTTATTCAATAGAAACACGGGAATATTCTTAATTTCCGAAATCAATTTCACTATAGTGGGCTTAGAATTTCTTGGTTATATACTTGCCAAATAGAGTAAGATATGCAAAAAGCCTCTCAGTCTCAGTGTTAGCCTTTAGCTGAAGAGGTGAAGTCAATTGGGAGTTGTATCGAGGGTATGAACAGGACGCTTACTGGGTACCCCCCCAAGGTTAAATGTGACCACAAGTCATCGATCAATCTTCCAATTTCAAACCTCGTAGCCGAAAATCATTCTCGAGGCAGGTGTAATAATAACTTTAGGTGACGAATATTGTCCATCTGACATGTCACAATAAACGTGGTTGCCTAATTAGGAATGCTCATTAGTTTACAAAAATGCTGCAAATGATGAGCTACCAACCAAAAAATTTAGCTTTATTGCCGTTTTGGGCAATAATGGATCACCGAGAAAGAACACAAAACTATCTTTTCTGTCTTTATTTCAGTAATGATAGAGACCCATTAGGGAAAAGCACATTGTATGACAACATGATTAGGACCATATAACCTGCCTGTGTCATGTACATATATAAATAGAGATTCCCATATGAAATAGGGCGTTTGAAGTTTCTTTGCTTATTATCTTTTGTCATTCCGCCAATTGATTTGAAAAAATTTGCAACAAATTTGAAACGTTGATTCACTCCTTCACACAATCAAGCACTGAAGACGCCAAAATTTTCTTCTTTGACAATTCATTGCTAAATTCAAAGCCACCGTCGTCACTTCAATATCATTCCACATGAAGTTTAGGCTCGTCGCTGTAGCCCTTGCTGCCGCTAGTTTCACAGAGGCAGCCCCAATCAAACGAGGCTTGCTTGAAGATTTGTTTGGACTAGATGGTACGACCACAACAACGGCGTTAGCCGGAGCTCAAGTTGCCGCTGCGGCCCCTACCAGTACACAAGTCACTGCGCCAGCTGCAGCACCAACCACTACAACCTCCAACACGGGTGGATTTTGGGCAAACCTATTTGAGGGATTCGGAAGCGGTTCTGACACAACTGCAGCGCAACCTCAAGTACAGGCAGCAGCACAAGTAACCACCCCGGCTGTTGCTCAAGCAATATCTACATCAGCGTCTACCCCCGCTTCTTCATCTGGTGGGTTTTTTGCCAATCTTTTTGATGACTTTTTTGGATCCAAACCATCTACTCAAGCTGCTACTGCTGCTGCAACTCCTGCTGCTGCCACTCCTGCTGCTGCCACTCCTGCTGCTACTTTCACAACACCAACTACACAAGCTGCAAACACTATTGTTGTTTCCCAACCCACAACCACATCTTCTCAATCCAGTTCTAGTGGGAACTCCGTGGAGGATTTGTTTGCATTCTTACTTGGAAGAAGCTCCTCTCCGGTGGCTGCTGCTACTGCTACTCAATCTACACCAGCGTCTGGAAGTTCAGCTAGTGGGTCGAATAGCGGTTTTTTTGGACTTGGCGATGAGTCAGATTCTGCAAGCTATGGAGCTTCCTCACAAGCAGCAACATCAGCAATTGTAACCAATACTTACCAAGGTGGCTCACCAGGAAAATATACGGGATCAATCAATACTGCCACTGCCACTGCCTCAAATGGTGGAAGCGCGGCAGGTGCCACTGCTGCAGCTGGCTCCAAAGGTATAACCTACTCACCATACAAAAAGGACGATCAATGCAAGTCAGCTTCTGAAGTAGCCGATGACATTGCAAAGTTGAGCTCCTATGAGCTTATTAGACTCTATAGCACCGATTGTTCAGGTATTGAAAATGTCTTGGCTGCCATGGGGTCCAGTCAACTACTTTATTTGGGATTGTGGAATATCGACACGCAGTCTGTCCAAAGTGGATTATCTGAGATAAAAAGTGCTATTTCAACGAGCTCTCGAGGATGGAGTCTGGTTCACACAATCGCGGTTGGTAACGAAAGAGTCAATGCCGGAGAAGCAACGGTTTCACAAATGCAAGATGCTGTTGACACTGCCAGACAATGGTTGAAATCAAATGCTGCCGACTACACAGGTTATGTCGTGACTGTGGACACTTTAGTTGCCTATGTTGCTAATCCGCAATTGTGTGAAATGTCAGACTACTTGGCAGTGAACTCGCATCCCTATTGGGATGGTGGAGTGGACCCAAGTGATTCTGGTTCTTGGTTGGAACAACAAATTTCAAACTTGCAAAGCGTTTGTGGTACCTCGAAGGATGTACTTATCACTGAAACTGGATGGCCAACACAAGGAGACGCTTACGGATCTTGTGTGCCATCAGTGGCTAATCAAGTAGCTGCTGTCAAGTCAATCAAAAGCTCGTTGGGATCCAAGGTGATCATGTTCACAATGTACAATGACTATTGGAAAGATCCTGGTGCTTATAATGTTGAGCAGCATTGGGGACTTTACGGGGACCCCTCAGAATAGATCCTTAATTGCAGCAATCACTGACTTTGATACCAAGCTGACTTCATTTATTCAATTCTTAATTATATTAGTATACTCAATACAAAAGGTTTTTTACAGACGTTTCTTGGTGCTCCTATCATCTATAAATCTTACACTTGTGTGTATGTGACATGCGCTACCGAATTTGGTACTCTTTTGTAAAATCAACAAACGACAAGTAAAAAAAAAAGAAAAACAATCTGGCGACACTTCTCTTCAGGATTGTCAGTGCATACCATCCCGCCCATTATGTCTGAAAGAGAGAGGAAAAAGCTTCTGACAAAGCTCAACACGTTGTTTGCCGAGATTTACAATCTCAAAGATAATGGCGAATTTGTTTACAAGTATTTCCAAACTTTGCCATCAAGAACGGGTACCGACTATTACAAGGTGATCAAGAATCCGCTCTCGCTTCATGCTATTGGTAGAAAATTGAAGCAACTCAAGTATATGGATGCTCAAGAATTTGTCAATGATTTAGCCTTAATCACTTGGAATGCGAGGTATTACAATCTACCCGGGTCAGATGTTTACAAAGATGCACAAGTGTTGGATAAGTTTATCACTGATGTTGTAATTCCCAAATTGAGAACCGATAAAGCGGTTCTAAATGGCACAGCCTTGGTGTACCCACATCTTGGTGAATTACCAGACGAAAGAGATCGGGATGTGCCAATAGGTACACCTAGTTACACGTTTAATCAACCAACAGTAGATTTAACTCAACAATCATTTGTTCAGGAGAATTCTCCAATTACAAAAACCGAGGAGTTTGAAATGAGCGTCACTCCACAAGCTGAACCAGCATCAATATCAAGACCTTTAGTGCGCACGTCTTTCGATAGAACACCTACACTCAATGCCCCTGTTAGGAATAAATACGCCAGACATCATCATAATCAACAGCAGGCGGAGAGCGGTATAAGAAGAGGACGCCCACCTATTATTGACAAACCTTTTGAAACTCGTATCAAGTCCGTATTGAAAGGATTCAAGAAATTACGTGACAGTCGAGATCGGTTGTTGATTAAACACTTTGACAAGCTTCCTGATAGCAAATTGTACCCTGACTACTATCAAGTTATAAAGGACCCTATAAGTTTGAATGAAATCAGGACCAAAGTGAGGAGTAGAAAGTACAGCAATGTAGATCAATTCATTAACGATTTGGACTTGATGTTTGCAAATTTTCAGCAATACTTTCAACGCGATCCATATAGTGAAGAATTCATGGACTATCAACAGTTTAAAAAGGAGGCGAATGTGATTGTGCAACATGAATTGAGCAAGAGCGATAAAGAAGTCCTTATGTCGACTTCATCAGCAAGCGATGGTGTTTTGCGTTTCCCATTGGAAACGTTAGAAGTAGGCGGATACTCGTACAAGATTGGGGACTGGATATTGATGAAAAATCCAGCCGACCCGGACAGACCGATTGTGGGACAAATTTTCCGTCTTTGGTCAACTGAAGATGGTAAAAGGTACTGCAACATGTGTTGGTATTATCGACCTGAGCAAACTTGTCATGGTGTTGACCGTTTGTTCTTTCAAAACGAGGTTTGCAAAACGGGTCAATATAGGGATCATTTGGTAGATGATATTGTTGGCCCATGCTATGTCTTATTTTTAACCAGGTATCAAAAAGGTGATTTGCCGGAGGGTGTTATACCTTCTACTTCCCCATGGTTCATTTGCGAGTTCAGATACAATGAAAATACACATGTTTTCAATCGAATCAGAACCTGGAAAGCATGTTTACCGGATGAAGTGAGGGACGATCCAGAACAGCCATTGATTCCATTACATGAGCCGCGTAAGTTGATCAAGTACGATTCTCCAATAAAGTCTACATTGGACCCTGGAGCAAGACTCAACGACCCAATACCAGATCCTGTACCCGGTACATCGAGCTCACCACCTATCAGAGGATCAGTATACATTACAGCACCAATTCTTAATGACGACTTGGGTCAATACACAACTAGTCCAAACACCGTACCATTGCCCGAACATGATGATTTGAAGTCCGGTAGAAAAGCATATTTGTTCACGCCAATATCACAATTAAAAGGTGGTGGTGGGGCATCAGGCGCAGTTTATGCGACAAGTCCGGCTTTGCCACATGGCTCTCCGAACCACGAGCCACCAAGACAAGCCATAGGACTGATGTCCAATTTGCCGTTGACTAGGTCTGCTATGAGTCCACCATTAGGTGATGTTACTCCTATGGGATCTGAAGGATCTTCTCGTTATCAATTACACCAACAAGATGACAAGCCTATGTTACCCGCTAGCTACAAATCTTTGCACGATCTGTTACAAGAGAACAAGAAGTTGCAAGAGCAGCAATTGCATCAATTTCAGCAACAACAAAGCCAACAGATTTTCAAGCGCGCATTGACTCCAACGCCAACAAGCTTTGTCCCTACTGGTACCAACTATTATAACAGCGTGCCAGCTTATTCTAATTTGTATGCCGGTGGTATTTTGTCCTACAGTGTGGATGCCGAAGAACTAGGTGATTTGAAGGAATTGGTAAACAAACGACAAAAGAAGAATCCTGACGGTGATGATGTTGAAGACGTTATATTTTATCGTGCGCCTCCAGTGCAGCTTACTGGTAGCAGGATAGTAACAAATCTGAATGTTGAACTTGGTCATTCAGCCAAATATTTGGCATGGAAGATCAGAAACGAGGCTGAAAGTAAGTAAGAGCGTGCAGGTTGCTGGCGTTCGTTTGTGTATTATAATGTTTAAAAATTCAGACGTAATTTCATCCTCTTTTTCGCTTTGCGCACTATCATTGGCACTAGAAACAGAAAGGGAGAGAGAGAGAAAGAGAGAGAAAGAGTTCACCCATAAAAGCCCACAACCTCCAGTGATTACTTCTCCTCCACCACACTCAAATGTTATGAACAAGCAACTTGCCGAATTTCAAGAGCACTTGCTCAAGTCGAAAAAAATAATAGCACTAGTAGGTGCTGGCCTTTCTGCCTCGTCTGGGCTCCCCGTCTTTCGAGGGTCGCAAGGGTTATGGAAAAACTACAACATGATTGACTTGGCTACTCCAGATGCTTTTTACATAGACCCGGGTTTAGTGTGGCAGTTTTATTCATGGCGAAGGTATAGTGCTCTTAGAGCAGAGCCAAACAATGGTCATATAGCATTGGCCAAATTATCACGTATACCAAATTTGAAGTATTTAACAATCCTGCAGAATGTCGACGGATTGTCGAGTCGAAAACGAACAGGTGACTCGGATGAAACTCATGTGCATGACCCAAAGAAATTATATGAGATCCATGGAAGTTTGTTCACATTAAAATGTACAAGCTTCATGTGCAATCAAGTGGAAAAGAACAATTTTCATCAACCATTGACACCAGCATTGGAGGATACTGAGTTTGAGTATTTGAACCAGAGAAAGAAGAGAGGAAGAGATGAGGATCAAGCATCGCAAGATAATGTGATTGATCCTATCTTGATAACCAACAATCAAGATACTTTCACTGCAACTTCTGCTTCGCCTCAGTTTCTGCCAGTGAAAACAATCGACGAAAAAGACTTGCCTCGTTGTCTGGTATGTGACGGACTCATGCGTCCAGGAGTTGTGTGGTTTGGGGAGTCTCTACCGTTGAATTTGATCACGGGAATTGATAGTTTTATTGAGCATGGGGAGCGACCCGACCTAATCTTGGTGATTGGAACTAGTGGGACTGTTTATCCAGCCAATAGCTATGTCGAGAGAGTAAAGTTGAAGGGTGGAAAAGTGGCTATTTTCAATATGGACATTGAAGATGACGTGGCAGAGGGTAGAGTTGATGGAACTTGGGGGTTTAAAGGTGATGCAGCAGAGTTGTTGCCCAAAGCTTTGGAGCCGTTGATTGGAAAGATTGAGCGAGGTAAGTGCGATCAAAAGTGTACGGAGTGACTTTATTATTGGCGAATGTATAATAAGAGGGGCTTTTATACGGGAATGAGATGGTGAGTTGTTATGTCTTGACAACTGTATGTCTCTACAACCCTTTAATTGTTTTGTCTCTAATAGAAAAAACGTGCAGCATCTCCTTAGTATACTCAAATAGCTAATCTCACTCTTCTATCTCTGTTCACCTGCTTCACAGTATCCGATTCACATTTGGAATCCATGTTTTCCCACGTATTGGCTTGTAGAACGGATTCCCCACATTTACAATCGAGGGTGTTCTGGATGCAGTTCCTGTTACTTCTTCATTTGAAACCATAGTCTTTGATATTGTTTCCGATGAACTTGATACTTTGGACGTGCGACTAAATGTATCGATAGATGTGATTGTGACTGATGGTTTCAACGGTGGTCGCCACTGTTGGGATGCAACTTTTGTAGATTTGCTTACTTTATTGAAACGTTGTGACTTGCTAGTGTTGGTGAAGTTATAGGTGAAAATGTCTTTACCTTTTAGTTGTTTTGCATCGAAGGATTTACTTCTAGTAGCAAGTGAAAGGGATAAATGCTGTCTGGTCTCAGGATTTATGTCAGACATTTGAGGTCTCTGGTCCGGCATAGGTGTCAATGCAGGCTTGATAAAATTCTCTTCGTCAGGAATTTGCAACGGTGAAGCTAAACTAAAGACTTTTTTGTGGCACTGTGGGCTTTGCTCGATACTCAAAAGATCTCCTAACCCCTCGTGATTATACACTTCCAATGGTTCCACAGGTCTCAAGTTTTCTGGAATAGGTAGATCATTGAAAGGTGATTCGATTGGCGGTGGCTCCAAATTGGTGTTGTTGGCTATTGAAAGGACCTTGAATTGTGCCCATTGGCTTTCACACAGCTCAGTCCACTGTAAGCCAGAAGTGCAGTCATTGGTGACCTCGTCACAAAAGCTAAACGGTTCGCAATCAAATTTATCGTCCCTTGTTGACGAAACTGTGTTTTCTTCCAAATGAGGTAAAGGTTCTGCAGAAGTATTGTTTGTGGTGATGGACGCGAGTGTGGGTATGGCACTTAGCTGGGGATATAATTGTTCAAAACAAATAGAAGTATCCAAAAATGCACTTATCATCTCATCGTTGTTGATTAGCTCCATAATTGTGGTTTTCAATGTATCGGTGAAACTTTGCGCAATTCAGTGTAGTCTCAACGAAAATGATGGGCAATTGACTGTTTTTATATCAGCACTAATATTTTGATTTTTACCCTCTTACGTATGGAGGTGAATGAGATTGTATGTAAGTATATGTATCTGTCAAAATTATTTCTTGTCGAATCTTGGATGTATCAGGTAAGGAGGTCACTCTAGTGGCGGTCACTCTCTTTTGCCAAATTTGCTTGTCAAATGATACAGAAGTCAGTCAAGTATGAATAGTTACCGTGCTTTAACTGGTTACCAACTTCAAAACTTCTATGGGAATATTTAGGTGATACTTTTATATAGGCTCTGTTTAAACCTGGTTGATTAGGCGAACCTTCAATGTTGAACTTAATGTGCAAAAAACAACTTTGCCTCTTTGATGTGTAGTCTGTGATTTTGTACTGTGGTCTTTTGCCTGCACCTTGTCAGGTTAATGAAGTTGCAACTGTGAACAACTATGTTGACGTCTGGCTCTCTGAATCGAAAGGTTAATTGGACGTGCCAAGTGTGGTAATTTTTTTTTGATTTCACTTACGACAAGAAAAGTTTGAGTTTTCCTAAACTTGGCAGGCGGTTGCACAACTGTATTTGATACAGTTCTTACTGCCTATATTGAAGGGATAAATGAGTGATGCTGTAACGTCGATGGTGACCAATTGTTATGTTTAGCCACTGAGTAAAATTATGATCAATGTAGCGTTAAAACTGTCTTAAGGTTTGACAAATCTTGGATAGTTTCACTAAATTGGTGATTAGAATTAATAATTCTGGGCGATGGTTGTGGTGATGCACTGAAAACTGGCCAAGGAAGTAAATGTGTCTTTCAAAATGTAGGGTGAAAGAGTGATGAAACTGAGTTGAAATTGATATTGAAATTGAGCGTTGAGATCACGGATTCGAAAACCTCTTTCAGCCCCACTTCATTAGGTTTGTTGCTAAGCTATATATGTCTCTCCTTTTTTTCACTTTTCCAGCACAATCTATTATTTTTCATCAAGAACTTTTTGTTTGATTACACAAAGCTGCTTTTGGTCTTTTGTGCACAAAACTCCTCTTATGATGTGTCACAAAGTTTGCAAATTACGACACACATAAAAGAAGCAATGGAAGCATCGATTTTATGACCAATATTATTGGTGATGATATTGAATTGTTCTACATTAAAGAAGATAGAAAGTGATTGTTTCCCACTAGTAATCACCACCTCATATACAGGCAATTGAATGCTTAACCTGGTATTTTCAGTTTGAGTGGTTGTCAAAATACACGCAGTTATCTTCTCATCTGGGATAAATGTTTTAGCGCCCATCGCCTTAGACTAAAGCAAGCAAAAAATCGAATACTTTATTGAAACTAAAAAAAAACCGAACTCAAAATGGAGTGATGAATGGAGAATACCTCTCATACAGAGGAGGACACGGGATGTAAGATCTCGTCGCATTTTCATTGAATAGTTGAGTAGGTGAAGGGTTCCCGAGTGAGTGATATCTGCCGAAGCCCCATTTCTCTGTACCGCGTTTTAAACAGCACCGATATGTGGACAAAATTTCGAGCAACCATCAAAGCTTTGTACATACTAAAGCAAGAAAAGGAAAAAATTTTGGATACACCATTTGACTATATGCAAGAGCGATCAACTGTCAAAACCTAATTTCGGCAACATCTTACATTACATATATAGATCTCTAAAGTATTTTCAAAAAATCTTTTCAACTTGATCATCCATTCCTAAGCTACGGAAACCCAGTGCAATACAGAAAAGTTGTCAACTGATTTCGGAAACAGATAATGGTGACCTCTAGTCACCACCGGGCCACTCTGATGTTCCGTAAATACTGCCGAAGTCCGAGCAACCATATTACGGTTTTTGTGGCTATTAAATGCTTTTGCACCACTCTTTCATAATTTCGCCACTTTCGTCACTTCAAAACTTTGTGTATACAAAGTGTTGTACGCCCCAGCAATTCATAGACATTGCCGTTCTGGCCCAAAGAGCGTGGAGCTAGTTGGTTCCAAGGCGAAGAAGGGGTGGAAGAGCATAATCTTAGGGAAGAAGCTCTTATTGTTATTGCGATTGGAGTCAAAATTGTCGGGGGAAAAAATATACAAAAGAGCTCTCTATTGGAGAGTGAAATGACGATTTAAACTTTGTCCCACAAAGTCGGTGAAAAAAAAGGAAATGCACTGGACGCTAATAACACTACTGGCAGCCTTTGCCCAGCCACAATAAAACGGTGTCGTGTTTATGGTGGACTAAAAGACCAAGTTTATGGTGGATTCAAAGACCAAGTTTGTGGAAAGTTCTACACTTTCTAGACTAAGTACTACTGTGTATTGGCAATTCAAATATACCAAAAGAAATAGTTTTGTAGTTGCATGAACAGTCATGAAGCGACGACCACTCAGCACTGCTTTGACGACAAGGTAAAGTGGAGCTCTTGCAAGTAGCAGTCATTGAACCATCCAGCCTCCACTTTAACCAAAACCGCGCCCCATTAAACCGCACATCTTATGAGTTTCACCCACGCAATAGTTCCTCATCGAATTTATCTTGCATTACTCTTTGCGGTACAGAGTCTGCCTCGGCAGGCAATCCAATTTGTAAATTGGCATCAATAAGCAACTGATTACGTACCCAAAGTTGTCTTTTTTCTTTGACTTTATCCTGTAGCTGGTTTGATACGATTTTATTGATTTTCAATCCAGTGTTTAATTGATGCAATAAAGAATCATGTAGTTGCTTTAGTTGAGACAAGTCTCTGACTTTATCAACATTTTCAGCTTCATCTAATATGTGGTCCTGTGTTTTGTACATTAATCCTAAAACTTTTGAATCTTGAGATAAGAATTGTAGTATTTTTTTACTATTGATTTCGGGAGTAGGTTCCAGATGATCTGACCGGTACTGCTTCTTGGCTATGTTTATAATATCGTTATTGACGTCATTTTCGTTGATGAATTGTTCATTTTCTTCTGATTTCAAATTTAAAAATTGTTTAATTCTGATGTCACTCAACTGATATTGTCTTGTGTTAAGTGGGAGGTTTTCCACATCGGCGATTGTGAATGTGTCACCGTCCTTGCTATTAACTTTTTTCAATAACTTGACGAATTCATTATCAAACCACCATGGCATTTTTAACTCAAAATCATCATCAATAATCCTAGCATACTCCCCATCGGTTAAACTCTCCAAATTAAAGCCCAAATCCAATTGTCCTCGCCTTGCACTCTCCTTTAACAAACTTAATTGATCCTTTATGTTGTGTAAATCATGAACTCCCTTTACATGCTTAGTTAAGGCATCTGATCTTGTGAAATGTTTCTCACATTCCGGTATAGGGCAGAAAAATGGCTTTTCGCCAGTATGTGTTCGACAATGTGATATTAGTGAGAATCTGCTTGGTTGTTCAGCCCCGAAGCGTGTACAATTTTCCCACATGCAAATGTTTTTCGGATTGGATGATGATGATGATGATGATGACGTAGGCTGAGGTCCTGTGGTAGGAGGCCCAATGTGGGTATTGTTGACATGATTGACTAGACTGGTGAGATTAGTGTGCTCCTTGTCATTGCATTCACTCCACTTACAAGTAAACTCTAAAATTGGAGATGCTTGATGGTTGACAGGACGGGGTGTAAATTCAACTTCTCGTGGTGCCGATCCTGTACCCGTATTCTGAACGTCTGCCGAGTCCGCTTCTGACATAGTTGCTTCTATCGACAGTTTAGCATCGCTTGGTTCTAATTTGATCTCACTAGCTCCATCCATTGTACATCGACTAGCAAAGGTATTGTCGTCGGTGGTGGAAAGAAGAATCATTTTTTCTTTTTTGCTTTTCTTTTTCGCAGTGAAACCTTGTTTGGCGTGTTTGGTCGCCGCACAAGGACTTCTTTGCGTATATACATTCTCATGTATTTCTATACATTTCTAACGACCCTATAATAACTCATCCAATCTGGCGGCAGGATTAGTTTCAATAAAATCTAGTGACACCTTATGTCCCAACAATTCTCTAATATTAGACACACCATATTTAATCATTGTTGGTCTTTCCAATGATAATCCCCAACCCAAAACCCTCAAATTCTTGGGCAATCCCATAGTCTCCAACATTTCTGGTCTAAACATACCAGAGTTACCAATTTCAACCCATTTCTTCAATCCTTTATGATATGCAAAGATTTCCAATGATGGCTCAGTGTATGGGTTGTACGCAGCTTTGAATCTCAAGTCATCAACACCCATTTTACCAAAGAAATCATCCATAAATCCAATCAAGTCACCCAAAGTAATGTCATATCCAGCAATGACACCTTCGACTTGATGAAATTCAGCTAAATGAGTAGCATCGACGGCTTCATTTCTAAAAACACGATCAATAGAGAATAATCTTGTTGGTTTAGGATCTTTGGCCAATTTGTGCAACATGGCGGCAGATATGGCTGTAGTGTGTGTTCTCAAAACCATCCTCAATGACTCTTCTGCTTTCCATGGGTACCTATACCCAATAGAGCCATATTTCCCATCTTGATGTACCTGTTTCACATTTTCCCAGTATATCTTATCTTCTGGCTCTTTAGCCTTGACCGGATCTTTCAAATAAAAAGTGTCTTGTAAATCTCTAGCAGGATGCTGTTGGGGTACGAATAATGTATCGAAATTCCAGAAACCAGACTCGACATATTGATTCGATGGCATTTCTGTGAAACCTAATGAAAAGAAAATTTGTCTGAATTCTTCCCTAACCTTGTTTAATGGATGTAATGCACCTGATTGTGGGTAAACTCCTTCTGAGTTGAAGTTGTAAGGTTTGAATTGAGCAGTTTTCCACGAGTTGTTTAAAATCATATCAGAAGTAATGTCAGTTTCGAGATTGACAATTTCAAGGGCAAATTTGGGACCCTTTTCAATCTTGTAACCAACAATTTTTGTCAAATTAATCAACTTTCTTTTTTTTAACTCGGTTAATTCCTTCTTGTCATCCAATGATCCATTTTCTTTTATAGCCTTCAATTCTTCCAATACTGTATCAGTTGGTAATTCTTTTACATTTGCGATCAATTTATCTCCATCTTTGCTCAACCATTTATTTTTGAAAGCTTTACCTTGCCCAACGGCCCCTACCGGTCCCAATTTCTCTTTCAATTCAGAAATGGATAAACTGTTTAATGCTTTCAAGACTTCATCCACCACTTGAACTTCAGGTGTTGCACCAGCTTCAAGATATTGTTCTGCTTCCTTGGTCAATACCCAATGATCTTGCTCAATCTTGGAGAAATTTACCATTTCTTTTGACCAGAGAGAGGCCAAGTTGGAATGTAAAGTGTTGGCATCAATATCGGCCAATTCTTGGACGTCTAGCGTGTTTTTAACAACCCCACTGTTTGAATCCACAAGCTTCAAAAGTTTCAACTGTATGTCTGACATCCTTGGATATTGGTAGTGAAGATTCTTTGCCAAATATCGACTAATCCAGAATCGTTTGACTTATGATGATTCATTAACTGAGAAAAAAAAAAAAGTGAAAGAAAAAAATTTATTCACATTTTTGAACAAATTGCACGCAAGAATTGTGTGTTGTGTGGGTAATGTGGTGGGTAGTATGTTGCAAAGGCTGGTGCTTGTCTGAAGTTGTACACATTAGTGTAGGTGGCAGTAGATAGCTGTTTGACATCGGGTTGAGTTTCTTCAAAAGATGAAGTAATGAATTTGTCAAACAAGAAAAGCGCAATTGTTTATCATACACAATGAAAAATGACAATTCGTATGTAACAAAGCTAAGATATATTGGACCTCTTAGTCTGTAAAGAAATCTGTTGTTTCTATTTTTAGATATATGCTAGTCTTGAACTAAGAGTCACGGGCATGAGTAGCATTCTGAAGAGGGGGAATCATTGCACAAACAATTCAATCTGTCTACCTACCTGGTAGCATTGGCTTTTATATACAGGCGTTGACGAGCAACGCCATAAAGTGTGCAATGCGCATTTGCTTAAGTCAAATTCTGTATACGTATGATCTCATAGTAAAACAAATGTATAAAATGATACGTGGCGAAGCAGATCACAGCCGCATACATTAGATACCGATAGAAGCGGTATTGATCATTCATTTGTTTGCTTTGCTTTTGTACTTTCCTGTGACTATGCGGTTAGAGCAAGACTGTTGTTGCTACTCTACCTACTCCGTAAATCCTGTCACAACTGGGCCGAGGTTGTTATGCATGTTTTCATAAATGGATTATTTGTGAAAGTTTCTGAACCTGATTTCACACGAGAAAGAGAGAGAGAGAGAGAGAGAGGGAGAGAGAGAGAGAGAGAGAGAGAGAGAGAGAGAGAAAGAGAGAGAGAAAGTTATTGAATCATTCCTTTTATTGGAAAGTTATAGATATGAAAATGTCGTTGTCATGAACTTCAGTAGTAAAGAGCTCCTACATAGCAATGAACAAATAGGTAGTGTCCGCATGATCAAAATTTATAGCTTTTGAATTTGGATTTTTGAGATCTCGAGAAGGCTTAACAATCAGAGTAAAGTGAAACGTTTTTTTCTCATATTGTAAACTCTCCTCGAGGGGCTGATTTAAGGAGGGAGGGGGGGGGAAATTATTGTAATTGTTTCAAGTCGTTGGAATGAGAATAACGTCATTCACTTTAAATCAATGAGGAAATGGTGTTTGTAAAAACAAGTGACAATAAATAAATGGCAATGCCGAGCCGCACAAATAGCAAACTAAATTAAAATTCTCTGTTTTACAATAGCAAACAATACACAAAAACCAAACGAAAATACATATATTACTACACGCACATACACACACATAGTACATTTAATGAAGAAAACAGTCATCCTAAACCACAAAAGTGTCTATATATATACAAAGAGGATCAAGAAAAAGGAACCTAAAGTCTATAAATAGTCATTGAAATTCCCACTTCTCTTTTTATAAACCGTTTTTTGTTTAACGAACATCCCACTTTCTACAACCACACACACACACAATGCCTTTCACTTGTTCAGATATTATCAAGATCATTGCTGCCATCATCTTACCACCACTTGGTGTTTTCATGGAAACTGGTTGTAACAGCAGTTTCTTTATTTCCATTATTTTAACCATTCTTGGTTACATTCCAGGTATTATTTATGCGTTGTATGTTATTCTAAGGTATTGATGAAGAAAATGGGAACTTAGGACGGCTGCTGCAAAGTGAGAAAAGAAAGAGGGAGTTTAAAGTTGCTACATGAGACCACAGGTGAGAGGTGGCGTTTTTTTTTATCAACCTCAATCATATTCAATTTTTTGACTTGACTAAATGATCTTTAAAGCTTCATGTTTTTAGGATTTTGCAATTGATTAAATTTATAATGAATTTTACTCCAATGGTTGACTATACTGTATCTGTAGGTTCCTTGTTCTGTTGCCGACTTTTTGGTCCCTCTTTGGTATTGCGCTACTCAAAATGAAATTGCTGTTGCACGGCTGATTGAAAAACGTGTAGCAACAGTATACAAGAGAAGCTTCGTGTGTTTCATTTACTTTTTATGTCTCTTGATAATACCATTAAATGGTTTGGTTGTTACTGGAGACCCTGTAATCATTTTTACTTTTGGGGGATCTTCACTAACAAATTCCCACGAAGCACACAATATTTTAAAGATTATGATCGGACAAAAAAAAAGAATAAAAACTTTCAGAAACATCTATATCCACTCCTCGAATGTTAAACATCACTTTTTGCAATTTTAGTAAGCGTCGAATGTTACAACAGAGTTTATAGAACGAGAACAACAAAGGACAGTGTGAGATAACATTCACATGCATTCAATATATGCCTTTTCTTTCTTCTTCTCGCCATAAGCAATTCCATCGTTTTCGCAATAAACATATACACACGCGAATTTTATTGAGCCCTTTAATATGTGTGAATATAACAAAGAAATACACGCGTAGTTACCCCCTCTTCTTGTGCTTGACTCTTGCATCCACATACACTTGCATGTCAGAGGGTGGTGGAACGAGACGCTTAGTGTATATATCTATATGGCCTCTTTTTGCCAAGAGCCCAAAGGTCTGGCTCCTCCTCAAGATGGTTTCCACCCCTTTTTGTGTAACTCTCTGTGAATTTCTTTTTTGCTCTTTTTTATTTTTTTTTTCCGCTTTGTTAAAATGGAATTTCAATAAAATCTAATAATATGTGCTTTTGGAATGAGATAGGAACTTACGTTTAAAGATTTACTATCGAGGGATTACCAGCACCACCGCCACCATCACCGCATCTACTTCTCAATTCACATTCGCTATAGCTATAAAAATATGCTACCCAGAAGTTCCCGGTCCAATATGAATCGGTTCCCCTTTCTAGGCAGACTACTGAATGCCAAAATCATCAAAGTCGTACTAGCAATAGTGTTGATATTCAATTTATTCTTTATAACTTCACTAATGTTTGACACAAGCAAGTCACGAAAAAAAAAGTCATACATGTCAAAGATAAAGCTACCGAAGCTTTCATCAGGTAAAAAGAATACCAAAGTAATAACATTGAAGCCTGGTCCTAACCATAAACTACAATATCATCAAGGATTAGGCGGTGCATCGTTTGATGATATTCCAAAAGTAATAGAGGTGAATAATGCTGATATAAGCTATACTGGTGGTTTAGAACTGGAGTCAAAGCAATTATATCCCGTTTCTGACAAACCGTATGAAGAGTTGGACGATGATGAAAAAATTTTGCATAAATTGAACCAAGTCACTAAAGACAAGGAAAAATACTGGTTGGGACACACTGAACTAATTGATTACGAAATAAAAGTGAATGTCAAGGATTTCTTGCCAGAAAATTGGGTCGATAAACCGGTTTTATTCTATGATCCGAGATTCACTTTATCAATTTATCTTTCAGAAATACGTAACCAGTACTTGACAAAAAACCCTGAAAACTCGCCACATTATAAGAACAGTATTGTCGTGCCATTTGCGTGGTCCGATTGGGTTGATTTAACGATGTTGAATCAAGAATTGGTGAAACCTGAGAATAAGAGGAAAACATGTGAATACATGAAAGCCACTCATCATATACCAACCAAAATCCGCGATTACTGTATAAATAATGTTGATATTGGAAAGAAAGAATTGGATGAGATGAAACTTCCCCTGATAGATTATGTACCTGGATTTGCAGTAAAGAAATCGCCCACAAATAAGGCATCCAATGAAGTGAGAATGTTGGAAGGGAAGTCACATTTATTGACATACGCAGCAAACCCGTTGGCAGTGATATTTTTGACCAAGCATGGTGTTTATGAGGCCAAAATTGATGAAAAGCAACGTATAGTTGATGGCACCTTGTTTGAAAATTACATCAACCGTAACAACATACCACGCGATCAAGCTGAACCAATCACATTAAACCCAGTAAAGGAGTTTCATTTTTTACTGGAACAAGTGAAGCCAACGGTTTTAGATGCTGAAGAAGATGAATATGGATTATTTGCAAAAGCCAAAGAAGGTTCTTCATCCAGCTCTCGTGAAATCTATTTACCTCAACTGGCATTTGATTATCAACAAGATAAAATTGATGCACAAATCAAACATTACGAAAAAAGATTGAAAATATTGCATGATTTAACTACAAATGAACTAACATTCAATCAACAAGTGATTAATGAAGTTCGATTAGAAAGAAATGAAAAAATGTATTACGATGGGTTAAAATTTGCCAACAAGTATTCGTTGAAGAAAGAACCAACTCATTTCCGAATGGCTAGATTGAATTTTGGTAATGAAGAGAATGATCATGATGCTGGATGGCATTATGAATGGAGGTTTTTCAACGGTGCTCTTCGATATTTGAAACAAGGGTGGACAGAAGAGGAGTTACTAATTCGAGAAAAAGTTTTGTTGGATCGAATCTTGCGAAATTGGTTTAAATTTGCCAGTGAAAAGGGACTTGTTTCATGGATTGCCCATGGTCCCCTTTTATCCTGGTATTGGGATGGATTATTATTTCCCTTTGATGAAGATATTGATATTCAAATGCCAGCCAAAGAATTGGCCAAGTTTTGCAAATTGTATAATCAAACATTGGTGATTGAAGACATCAATGAAGGATTTGGCAAATATTTCGTTGAATGTTCGTCATTTATCCATCATCGTGGTAAATCATACAAGGAAAATCACATTGATGCACGATTCATTGATATTGATACTGGATCATATATTGATATCACTGGATTAGGAGTTAGCAATGAGCCTGTTCCTGAAAGATATTTTGACCTAGTTGAACAAAATGAAATTGAAGGTTCAGTAAGACAAGTTTATAATTGTCGATTCCCTCATTTTTATTCGCATGATGAAATATCACCATTGAGATATACAATGCTTGGTGGGGTTCCAGTCTATGTGCCTAATCAAATTGAAACTATTCTTCAACAAGAATACAAAAAGGGTTTAACTGGATATGATTATGATGGATTTTTCTTTGTCGATGCATTAAACCTTTGGATACATCATACAAAATTGGAATTTCTATACCCCAAGAATGAAATTTATACCAATTGGAAAAAGAAACAATTGAATGTGCCTCGATTCACCGATTTGGTGCAAAATATAACTCAATCTCAAGTGGTTGAATTACTAGAAAGAGATGAAGACATACTATTGGAATATTATTTAACCAAAGATGTTACTGATTTACACAAGATGGAACTAACCCACATGTTTAATATGCCTGATGGAATTGATACCAAGATTGGTGATATAATGGGGATGAAAACGCAAACTGAGATCTCTCAGGATCAAGCTTACCACAAACTAACGTCAAATTTTAAATTTCAAATACCATTTAGAAGATCATTGTTTAATTATGAAATGATTGATCGACCTAGACATCATCACTAGAAATAAGAAGAAGAGGAAGAGGACACAGTTTTGCCTACATTAATATAGACCAGATATGTTTGTAATTTTATATGTTTTAATAACGATAACACTAATAGGAATTAGGGTTGGTTACTCAAGCAGTAGACTGTGGTTTTACGTCAAAAGATTCTGATATAACTCGTCGGACATAACCGTTCTTGTTGGTTGCAAAAATTTTAAATCTCTCTCTCTATCTTCCTTTCCATCTGTCTATCTCGATATATCTTCTCCAAGTCACACGACTTTTATGTAAAAGTTCCTTTGATGTTTGCGTTTTTGTGCACAATTCCAATCTTATTCTTTCATGAGGCACAGCAAATGCAAGAAGGAAAAGAAAAAAAAAATACTGTACAACCTTTGAGTTCTTATTTACAACCAAAGTGCAGTGCTTCTTCATACCCTAATATCTTTCAGACTTTGTTCTATAGGTGATTACAACAACCAAAAGGGTGCGTGAAGAACTACAAGAACAAAGAACACCCATACGGTAACTATACCGAAACAGATTTTTTTTTTTTTTCATTTAAACCAGTTGTTATTGAGACAGCAGAGATCGACACGAACTTCCCTATCAGCACCTCCTCTCACTCACGACTCACATAGCATTACAAATATGTTTGATATCAAACTTCTACGGAACATATTCCTTGTCATTTTATTCATAAACATCTTTTATTTTGTCAAAGTGTACCGACTAGAGGAGGAAAAACTTAAACAACTAGCTATAGCTCATGCTACTTCCATAGATTACACTACTGATGATCAAATCGAATATGACAAAACCAAGGATTATCATATGTTGGAGCCAAAACAAAAGATTTCATATCTACTAAATAAAGTCCATGAAAACCTGGATAATCGATATTGGTTAGCTGATACTTCAGTTGAAAACCCATCAGTTGTCATAAATCCACTTGAATTTCTACCGCCTCGAGAATACAATTATGTTGAAACGTGGCAAAACAAATCAGAACTACATTACGAACCGAGGTTCACTCTTGCTGTTTATTTGGATGAATTGAAGCATCAATTAAGATTGCATAACCCTACTAATGAGAAACTGAAAGATCACTTGATTCGAATGCCTTTTGCTTGGTCTGATTGGGTCGACTTAACCATGTTGAATGAGGAAATTTTAAAGCCTATTGATGAACGTAGAACTTGTCAATCTTTACAACTGCGTGCCAATAAGAAAACCAAATACCCTAAATGGTGTAAGAACTTGGTTGATTTGGAAGACGAAGAGGTTGAAGAAATTGGTTTATCAAGAGATGATATGCCAGGATTCATCGTTCGAAGCTCACCCATGAATAAAGCCCATCACAAAGAAGTAATGTTGCAGGGGAAAGGTCACTTGCTAACGTCTCAAGAGAATCCGATTGCAATGATATTCCTTACTAAAGATGGAACGTATGAAACACAATTGATGGGTCAACGTCAGAGGTTGGTGCGTACTGATTTATTTGAAAAATATCTACAACGTAGGAATTTAGATCCAATGTCAGCTGACTTGAAAGAAATTGAAATGAATCCACAGATTGAATTCAAATCACTTCTTGAAACAGTACCAGCACGTCCCTTGAATGAAGACGATGATATCTACAAGATGAGACAAATCACTAGACAAAAAGAATTCAACGCATCAAGGGAATTATATTTGGATAAGGACGCTTTCCATTACAAGCAAGAAGCAATTGATGAACAAATTAGTGATTACGAAGTCAGATTAAACAAGATCAAGGAGTCAGTCACCAATGAGTTAAGATACGATCCAGCTGTAATTGCACAAAATAGATTAAACCGACATGAGATAAATCATTATAATGGGTTAAAGACTGCAAACAAATATTCAGTTGAAAAAGAGCCAACGTATTATAAACTTGCCACTTTGAGAAAGGATAAGAGTAATAGTGACGCCGGGTGGCATTACGAATGGAGATTTTTTAATGGTGCTCTCAGGTATATCAAGGATGATACTTGGACTTTGGAACAATTGGAAGTGAGAGAACAAATCATTCTTGATAGGTTATTGAGAAACTGGTTTAGATTTGCTGAAGAAAAAGGGATCATTTCATGGATTGCCCATGGTCCTCTTTTGTCTTGGTACTGGGATGGTTTAATGTTTCCATATGATATCGATATCGACATTCAGATGCCTAGCTCCGAATTGAATCGATTATCGGCAAATTACAATATGACATTAGTGATTGAAGACGTTAGCGAAGGGTATGGGAAGTACTTGATTGATTGTGCAACTTTTCTACACCATAGAGATGTTGCGAGAAAAGACAATCACATTGATGCTAGGTTTATTGATATCGATACTGGTACATATATTGATATTACCGGAATTGGTATCAACAATGAGCAGCCACCACCAGAGTACGATGGTTATATCAGAAACAAGCAACGAAAACAGGAATCAGTTGAATTGTATATGGATAGGAGAAAGCATTGGTTGAATTTTGAGAAGATTAGTCCCTTGCATTACTCAATGATTGGTGGTGTTCCAGTGTATGTTCCAAATGATATCATGTCGATGCTAAACAATGAATATTCAGCAGGTACTAGATCGTACTATTTCGGGGGTTACTACTATGTTCCTTGCTTGAGATTATGGTTGCAAGTAAACAAGATCAAACCAATTTTCAAACCGGAGCAATATGAAGCAAAGACTAAAGTTCGTGAGCGCGAAAAGCTAACAGAATTGATTAAGAATATCGATGATGAAGGTAAATTGAGACTTTTGGAAATGCATGAAGATGTTTTGATTGAGTATTATCTCACTCACAAGCTCACTTCATTGCATGAAATTGAAAAGAAATTTATGCTTGATCATACATTGCAACAACTGATGTTTGATTTACTGGATAAAGTAGAGTATCATCAGTTGACATCGCGATTCAAGATGGGTTCTCCTTTGAGAAAAAGCTTGTTTGATTTTGAGTATTTCGAAAGATTTAAGCATATGAAGAAACCAGAGATTCAAGTTGACAATGTTGAAGCTGGTGAAGCCAACGTCTATATCGAAGGTCCGATTTTGCATTCAGCGTCAACACCAGGAGGAGATGTTACCGTTGACAATTCTCAAAATCGAGTCAATGATGAGCAAGGTGAGGAAGCTGCAAGTGGGTATGACAATGATGGCGGAGCCGACTTTGATGACGATGATGATCGAGGAGACTCGAACGACCCCGATGATAGAGACGATTCACAACAGGCAGCAAATCAGGCAAATGAGATAAAGAAAGCAGCTGCAGGAGGTGTTCAAAATGCACAAGAAAGAGTAGTTGACAATACACTCGAGGAAGGCAAAGAACTGTTTGATGATAGTGACAGAGCTGAAGATTTGCCAGAGATGGATGGAAGAGGAGACTTGTATGATTCTGAGTTATTTGGGGATGACGTGGGTATAGACAACATAAATAACTAAACTAATGCATTGTATTTTAATATGTACTTTTTCCTTGTAGTGAGAGGCTCTACTATAGATACGTTACTGTCGCGCCAAGGGGCGATGTTCCGAAATGAAGGAAAAAAAATCACAACCGTATAAAGTTCCCACCACATTGTTTCATCCTAACGACTATTCGTCAACATGCTTCATTCGACAAAATTAGTCTTCAGGGCTACGCCACAGGCATTATGCTTCCCCGTGCGGTCTTATTCACGTTATGTCAGAACTGTACCAAAAACTGCATCGGCAAAAACTACATCTAAACTTGCACCTTCCATCACAACTGAAGATGAAGTAGCAGAGCAAGACCCGTCATTGCAAGAACCACAAAGTGCTACATCAACTGCGTCATTTGCCTTTCATGATGCTCCACCTGAAACGAGGTCGGTTTTAAACTCTTCAACCAACAACAATATCGATTGGTCGGATTCTTATCATGGACTAGGCTCGCAACCATTTTCAAGAGAAATTGCTGATATATTATTAGCACCGATTAAAGATCAGGACATTGAGATCAAACCCGATGGGCTTTTGTATTTACCAGAAATCAAGTATCGTCGAATTTTAAATAAGGCATTTGGACCAGGAGGTTGGGGGCTAGTACCGCGTACCGAATCGCTTATCACGAAATCACAAATTTCCCGCGAATATGGCTTGATTTGTCATGGAAGATTGATTAGTATAGCTAGAGGAGAGCAAGATTATTTTGGTGGTGAAGAAAAAGTCACTACGGCATTGGAAGGATGCAAGAGTAATGCATTGATGAGATGTTGCAAAGATTTAGGAATTGCTAGTGAGTTATGGGACCCTGGTTTTATTAGGAAATGGAAGGCCAAGTATTGTGAAGAAGTGTTTGTTGAACACGTTGTTAATAAAAAGAAGAAAAAGTTGTGGAAGTTGAAGTCAAACAAGAAGATAGAATATCCGTATAAACAATTGTAAGAATGACCTTTGTTTTGATTGAAAAGGGACTGTATAAATATTGTACATAGGGGTGGTTAAATAAATTTTAGCAAGTTCTGTGTTTGATCTTTCTTTCAAGGTTTGAAAATACCACGTCCAACACCCAACTCCTCCACTGTTTGAGTAATGGGTCTTCTTTGCCAAACATCCCAGAATCCTTGTTTTGGCAAATCTTTGTTTTCATTAGCCAATTCATATTTGGCATCTGCAGTTGGACTACTTGTAGATTGAGCCCAGTACGCACGGTCAACAATAGTTGCTAATGAAGTACCCAAAGCACCCGTTATTATCTTGTGTTTTGGTGGCATAGATCTAAAAGCCGCACTCAAAACGACCGTATTGGCAGCAGTTAATCCCCAAAATGTATTCCAGCAATCATTCTTTTCTCTTAAATTAGCTACTGATGATTGTACACCTTTGGCAACTGTTAGGAACGTGATTGCGGCAATGGGGATTTCCAATTTGAAAGTGGTTCTTTTCCAAATATACAAAAAGGCGTATGATCCGACGGTTGAATAAAACCCAAATTTGAATAATTGACCAACTTCTTTACGGGTATCAATTGGATGCCATTCGGGGTAGCCCAAACCTTTACTGAAATTGGCTAATGGGTTTGGAAATTTGTTTCTGGCATCAGGAAGTGGGACAGCTTCTGCAACTTCTACCTGTTCTGACATGGCTGGTTGGGGTAGGGTGGGGTGTGATCGTATAAGTTCAAACTGAGTTTGGTACTTGATTATTTTTTTTTTTGTTCCGTCTGCGCCAATCAGATGAAAATTGTTTGTCAAAAAAGAGACAATGAGAAATGGTTGGGCTAAAGACGCAGACTGTATGTACTTACTTCCACTTTAGGAAGTCTACATCATAACAAAAACTTTTTTTTTTTTCATTTTTCTTTTCACTTCCGGACGATTTTGCAAAAAAAAAAATTAGAAAAGCCATTTCTATAGAATCGGGTTTCTTTTCGGCCGTTTTACATATACAACCTTTCCACCACACATCACAATGAACAAAGCTTTAACAGTAACAGCAGTGGTTGCTACAGTATTTGCGGGATACGCCGTATACTTTGATTACCAACGTAGAAATTCAAGGGAGTTCAGAAAATCATTAAAGAAGAAAGCCGTTAAACAGCAAAAGATCAAGGAGAAGGTTGAAAAGGAGACCAAAGAACTTAAATTGGAAACCGTCAAGAAAGCACTTTTGGAAGATTTGAGAGCTAATCCAATTCCCACTGATTTGAATGAAAGAGAAGCATTTTTCATGGAACAAGTGGCAACAGGTGAGCAAAAAGCTAAGGATAACGCCACAGACGCTGCCATTTGCTTCTACAAGGCATTAGCCGTATACCCTAATCCAACTGATATCTTGGGAGTATATCAAAAGACCGTACCAGAAGAAGTTTACGAATTAGTTGTTATGATGATTGCTGTATATCCACCTGCATCGGTATCAAGCATCTTGAGTAGAGGAGGTGCTGCACCAGGTGAGACAAAACCTACTGCAGAAGATTTGGATTAAGGTGGGGCAAGGGAAGTGCTTTGAAGTGTTTGGAGAGGTGTTTAATTTTCGCCGATACTTGCTTTCTTTTTTAAAAAAAAGTGGGACCTGTTATTGCTGCGCTGTATATATTCGTTGCTCTTTTGTATTTGAGTAGAAGTGAAGGAGAAGAATGGTGTTTAGATGATATGTTGTAGTGAATTGTTTATGTGATACTTCGTGCCGAGCTAACGGCCGACGGTCCAACTTGTGCCGTCTTTTCTTTTAGATCTATCTTCCGCGCGATCCAAAGACTTATCTTTTAGGACCCCTTTTTTTTGCAAAGCCAAATCCACCATTGTTTTATTGACAATTGGACTCAGTTAACTTTGCGATAGGAGCTTAGCCTCGTTGTGTTCCATGTTTCATTCGTTATATCATTTAATTCTTTCGCTTTCAATACCAATATTTGTTTCAGGGTTGTCTAATAGCACAGCCGACTTTCAGTACAAGGGTGTAAGTATTGGTGGTTGGCTAGTCCTCGAGCCGTATATCACCCCGTCACTTTTCAAGGATACGTTATCCCATGACGAAACTGAAAAAGATCTTCCAGTGGATGAATACCATTATTGCAAAAAGTTGGGCCACGACGAGGCAGCAAAGCGTTTGGACCATCATTGGAGCACATTTTATAAAGAGTCAGATTTCAAGGAGATTCGTGATCATGGATTGAATATGGTCAGGATTCCTGTTGGCTACTGGTCTTTCAAAAAGTTTGACGGTGACCCTTATGTCTCTGGGGCACAAGACTTCCTCGACAAGGCAATTGAATGGTGTTCAAAGCATGATTTGAAAGTCTTGATTGATTTGCATGGTGCCCCCAACACTCAGAATGGATTTGACAATTCAGGATTGAGAAATATTGGGTACCCTGGGTGGCAAAATAAAACAGAATATGTTGATCACACCATTGAAGTTTTGCAACAGATTTATGAAAAATACGGAACCGGTGAATATGCACGTAATTATAGCGACACAATCATAGGAGTTGAAGTTTTAAACGAACCGTTGGGTCCAAAGTTGAATATGACAGACTTAAAAAAGTTTTATGTGGACTCTTATAATGATGCAAGGGACATCCAATCAGTCAATAATACCCTTTTGTTTCATGATGCTTTCCAAAGTATGGGCTATTGGGATGACTTTTTCTCCAGAGGCCAGATCAAATATCACAATAGGACACTAAATAGTACGGCTCATTTTGAAAACATAGTAGTTGATCACCACCATTATGAGGTATTTGGAAATGTTGTTGCCGATAATGTCACTCAACACTTGAAGAATATTGAGAATTATGCCGCCTCAATAAGTAAGGAGAAACATCCAGCTATTGTGGGGGAATGGTCTGCGGCTCTAACTGACTGTGCACCATGGCTCAACGGTATTGGGTTGGGAACCAGATACGAAGGTACAGCGCCATATGATACCAAAGCTGCAGGTAAATGCTCAGAAGTCACGCGGCATCCATCCAAATGGTCTGGCAAACAGAAAAAAGATTACCGTCGGTTTGTTGAGATGCAACTCTACCAGTACAACGCTCATACTAAAGGATGGATATTTTGGTGTTGGAAAACTCAAGGAGAAGCTACCGAATGGGATTTTCGGGAATTGGCACGATTAGAGATTATTCCACAACCATTAGACGACTACAAATACATCAAGAATGGGAAAGATACCAGTGGTGGTAATATAGCTGGCCCCAATGGAGCTTTGGTAAAAACAATGATTGCAATCGTTGTGGGGTATATTTTATAGAAAAGCGTAAAGAGTGAACTGTAGCTGTCTTTCTTTTCTGTAATTGTTTTACGGTAGCGTTGGTGATCTCTATTACTCACAGTTTTATCTTCTTTCTCTATTTTTTTTTTCATCCAAACTGTGGACACACAACCAATCGTTTTGAATAAACGTGCAAAGAATGAGTAAATCAGTCAATGTTGCTATCATTGGATCCGGAGTGGTAGGATCAGCTTACATCAATCAATTGAAAAATTTAAAGACCAACATCGCTTTCAATGTGGTGTACTTGGCTAGATCGTCGAAAGAAGCACTTTACAATGACGACTACAAGCCAATTGATTTAGCTACATACAAAACAGCACCTGCCAAATCAGTTTTGAGCTTGGAAAAGTTGATCGCATACTTGAAGGGGGCCCACAAACCAACAATTCTTGTCGACAACACATCAAATGAAGCAATTGCCAATAGTTATCCAAATTTCATCAAGGAGGGAATTTCAATTGCAACTCCGAACAAAAAAGCTTTTTCATCAGCTTTAAAAATTTGGAATGACATTTTCTCTAGTGCTGAAAAAGAAGGAAGCGGTTTGGTTTACCATGAATCGACTGTGGGTGCAGGCTTGCCAATCATTGGTCCTTTAAAAGACATTGTGCTTACCGGTGACAAAGTGGAAACCATTGAGGGTATTTTCTCAGGTACATTGTCCTACATTTTTAACGAGTTTTCAACTCCCGAGAAATCTGGTGTTCAGTTTTCTGATATAGTCACCAAAGCAAAGAGTTTGGGCTACACTGAACCTGATCCAAGAGACGATTTGAATGGATTGGATGTGGCAAGAAAAGTTACTATTCTTGCTCGTATTGCTGGATTTGATGTTGAGAGCCCAACAAGCTTCCCAGTTGAGAGTTTGATTCCTAAACAATTGGAAAGTGTCTCCAGCGCCGATGAATTTTTACAAAAATTGCCACAATATGACGCAGATATTCAAAAAGTTAAAGACGAGGCATTTGCTGATGGTAAAGTGTTACGATTTGTCGGTAAAGTTGATTTAAAGAATGACAATGTTTCAGTAGAGATTGGAAAGTATCCATTTGACCACCCATTTGCATCATTAAAGGGAAGCGACAACGTTGTTGCAATCAAGACAAATAGATATCCTAACCCACTCATCATTCAAGGCGCTGGTGCAGGTGCTGAGGTGACTGCTCATGGTGTTTTGGCTGATACTATCAAAATAGCTGAAAGAATTGCAAATTGATTAGTTTTAGTGTGTATGGGAAGTTCGCTACGTAATTTGTGAAACATACTGTTCTTGCCAGCTAGATTTCGCATCACGAAACACCTCTCTTAAATACTGTGCATTTTGGCACGCAGCTCTAAAATTCAACATGACTTTTTGAGAGTCCAAGTGAGTTGTTCTGGAACTAGCTTCATAATCTCCTGAAGGCGACACTGAAGAATTGACTCTGGTAACATGCATGTTATTAGGAGCCATGAAAAAGTCGCCACTATCTCTCAACTCAACAATGTAAAACCCTGTCATGTGTATAAATTGCGCGTATTGAAATGTAGGTTTACCCCAACTATAAGTGATATCAATATTATCACGCAGGAAAAACGAAGTAGCGCGATTATCAAGTAAAAAACTCATCTTCTTCAAGAAGCACAAGTGATAGTAGTACTTGTTTGAGTTTATAATTCTTGGATCAGCGAATTCATCGTCAGATAAAGGATCCACTGATAACTTGACTTCAACAAATGAATGAAACGGACTCAATTTTGGTATCATGCACAATTCTTTCCAAGGAGTTTCAACCAATTTCAAACCATGTCTTTCGCATAACCGCGACCACGCCATAATTGTATCTTCTATAAACTTGGTGGTGGTGGTGAGCCATTGTAGTCTTATATGATAGCAATGATCGGGATTATGAACACGGTCATAATGTACAGTGATCACCTCCAGTCTGTTTGATTTTTTCAAAGGGTCTACGTCAAACTTTATCGCTTTGCTCAAAATGAACTTCCTATTTTTTTTCCCGGTAGAGTCCGCCATTGATGACACTTCCGAGCCTATGTTGTGGGACGTCGTGACCTTTACGAGCCCTTCTTGTCCTTGAATTTTCGGTGACGAGGTAGATTTTGACGTGATAGAACCTTCCTTTTTGGTGCTACTACTAAACCAGGAGCCTCGATTCACTTTGTCAACCTTTTCGAGATATTCCTCTTCAAACTCATAAAAGTAGTAGCCATCAATAAACCCGTGCCTCTGTTCGACGTGCTTGAAAACACCTTTAGTCAACAAATTTTGTCCATAAGTAACAGCCGCCTCTCGTGTATCTATATCCTCAAAACAGTCAACAAGCCATGTCACGAGCTCGCTTCCGATAAAGCACAGCAAATGTTTTTTGAAATGCCACGTTCTATCGACAAGTTTCAATCCAGATTGTGGGTTTTGCAACTCAAGTGCCAATTCTAATAATTTTATACTTTTGTTGAAACGCATATGCTCGGGTATCATCAACGTTGGTTGATTCCCCGTGAGGTCGTAATTCTCTGATTCATTGGATAAAAAGTCGTAGAGATTTCCAGTGTAAAAGTTAACGTCGGAGAACCGATCAGCAGTTTTTGGTTTGCTGTGGTCTTTCCTATACTTGCCCTTTTCAATAACTGCTATCAATTTTCTCAACCCTTCGACTCTTATCTCCTCAGCATTCAAATGTTCATTACTCAAATAGTATGCGTTTTTGGGTATCTCTGCAGGCATCACCACAAACTTCATCTTGTGAAATTCTTTTTTGTCATCAGGTAACGCATCATCAAAGCCTGCCAAAAACTGATCGAACTGATTCCAATTATACTTTTGTGGATATTGAGCAATCGCATCCACCTGTGATGGTGAATAATCGTCTGCATACCTAGTCCTAATTAAAGGAAAGTAAGGTTGAGAAACACGTTGACCTAGCGTAATCTTCTTTTCATCATCCTTAATTATTTTCCGGTATAATTGAACATTTAAATTTCCATTGTAATCACAAAATATACGGTGAATCTCATCATCCATGGACAAATATATCCTCGAGCCAAGGAAATTGTCATCCGGAAAGTATTTGATAATGGACTCAGCATTACCCGCTGGTTTTCTCTCCACTTCAGCTTTTTTAACACCATCTCCATAACAAATTTGAAAACCCGACATCAATCGTAGTTGTATCATCTCCCTCATTAATTCCGGAGTTGTTCGTAGCTCCAAGTAATTTTCACTATTCAAGTACACCGTATAATTTTGAAAAGTGTACTGCAGCTGTAATTGCTGCTGAGTAGGAAACACTCCTGTCGTAATAGGCAATGCTGCAGGTGCTTGAAAAGATCTCCATTTGATCAATTTACGCTGAATCTTGTCCGGAAAAAGGTTGCTCCATCTGCTAACATTTGATTTCTGAAGAATATTGTTTGTGATTTCTCTCGAAGGGTTGGAAATCTCGATCCAAAGAGAGTTATGAGGGGGAATTTCCGCAGATTCTGAGATTGCGGCAAACTTTTCTCTTGCGCCGGCTTTTGGGTCATTGATTTGCTTTCGAGATTTCTCTTCTCGTTTGGAGAATAAGGTCTCAGCTTTGATGATCCTTGGAGACTGCGAGTCTTTTCGATAGGTTTCAATTTGACTGCCTTCGCTAGACCTTGGAACGCTTTTCAACAGCGCCGTGGGTGAGGTTACTGCCTTCTCTTCGCTATACTTGTTAATGTTATACAATCTTGACAACGCAGATGTTTCCCCACTAGGATGAGCTACTGTCCCCATAGCAGCCGAGTTGGTTGTCAAACCATTTGCTGGGAGAAGGGAAGTTCGGTTGTTGAATATTAAGGAAAGTGTTGCCTTAGAATCTTTTATAGACGGTGCCTTAAATTTTGGTTCAGGAATGTTAAAGTCTATTTCTGACTCCACCTTTCGCTGTATAGGCAGAAAAATGGACTCATCGTACTTATCCATCGATTCGGTCAATGAGTCGCCTTGTCTCTTCAAATACAAACGTGATATGCGTGCATCACTCGCCTCGTTTTCCATAACACCCATCATTTGCAATTCGTAAATCTTGCACCTTGGAATCCACTGTGATATATCATCTTGCTTCTCCTTGAAGAAGGAAATGTCACACCATATAGGTACACAATAGCTCACTTTCCCATTTTTGATATATCGAAGTAATGGCGTTACGTGTAACGGAGGTTGGCTCAAGCACACGATATCAAGGCTAGTATCAATAATAGACATTTTTTTACTTGTTTCGAGGAGTAAATCGTAGCCAACATCAAATAATCCTGTTCCTGGTGTGATAAGGATAAAGTGGTTAAGTGAATGTTTTAAATCAGTATTTCTGAAACGGTCATTAAACAGTACCAAAGCTACATTCACCGCTTCTAGAAAGTTTCCCTTCACCGCGGGCAACATCTGACCTTCCAAGATATACCTTGATTCTTGTGCTCGATTCAACATACAATCACGTTTGAAATTTGCAAACTCGAGTCTCAAATTTGCCATAATTCGATCCCAATGAACAATGTTTACCTGATCCACGACAACCCTAAAGTAATCGCGACGTTGAGAAGGGCGTTCTCCAGGAAGCAAGTTTGTCCATGGAACATTCGTAAGGTCCACACTTGTGAATAAGACTATTGTAATTGAGTGATGTGTACCTTTGTCTCTCCAGCGTCGAAATATTTTGGGAAACAAATTATTCACCAATTTATGAAACATGATTTCCCCGTTTTCTTCAAAATTCCACATTTCCCTTGATAGTTGAATAAGTACAGTAAGCTTTGCACTTTCACTTCTATAAATAATTTTAGTTTCTTTGTTTATGTAACCAGAAAATACTTTCTTCCCATTCTTGTACATGTATCGAACAACACCTGTCCTGTTGTTGAGAAAGGAAAGTCTTTGCTCAGTGTGGCAACACCTATCAACCAACGAAGACGAAAATTGCCACATGGCATCTCTGGACAAATTCACATCTTTGATGAATATTTCCATAGAATCGATGGCTACCGCATCCAAGTTTGTGATTCGTCGTACCAGGACAACACTCCTTGGCGCTAGGTCAAGTAGTCTTTGGTATGGATTTGATTGTAGCGAAATTTGGGACTGTGATTGTTGCTGTTTTTGTCGTGCATCCAATGGTTTTAACTCTGGCGTATCTTGATGCTCCCGAATATTTCGTTGAGATAACTTAAACACTAGCTTCTTTGGTGACTGTGAATCTACACTTTGTAGTTCATACACCTCTCCAGGAGCAACACCTCCGGGAAAAGCATTGGAATCGAGTAATACATCCTCTTGTGTCGTTCGACCCTCATGAAACCAAAGAGTCAATTGTATTGTGGCCTTGAGTTCCTTATTGTTACTGCTTGTTTTATACAAATTCGGTAGATCTCTCTTTGTTGAATCGATGTTATGGTTGTTCTGGCGGTTTACAACAATGGAAGTTCCAGAAGATTTGTTGACTAAAAGTTGGTTGTTTGAGATAGCACGCTTCGACCCCACAGTTATACTTGATTGATTGGCACTCATTCGCCCTACGGGTACAATCAGCTGCGATGTCTCCACATTTTCGCCGTGAATCTTATTGGTTAATGCGTTTGATGACCTGGCATGTTGCATATTGTATTTACAGTCCCTACTAGTATTAAGTTCTCCAAAAAGTAATTTTCACTTTATAATTCAATTTTTCAGGTTTCCCCTGACCGCACGTGCATTATACGTACTCTCTATCTACAAAACAAACTCATCTATAAACCATTGATGGAACCTATTGTCGTCTGACAATTCAGGATGAAAAGAAGTGCCAAGTATGCGACCCTGTCTAACTGCTACAATAAGTTCATTTTTCTCCCCATCGTAGTTATGCAATTTGTACAATACTTCAACTGGGGCTTTATTAACATAATGGTTCTTTGACCTCACTACCTTGTCTGAAGCTGATCCACCAAGTTCCTCATTTTCCAATATCTTGGTCACAACTGGCGCCCTTATAAACACCGTGGGAAAGTTATCGCATCCAGGTATAAATCCACTAAAATCCAAATTTTGTTCAAATGAATCAACTTGTCGACCAAAGGCATTTCGACTAACTTGAATATCTAAACCTCCCAAGCATGTCTGATTTTCAACGGCATTTTTAATCTCTTTTGCGAGGAAAATCAAACCGGCACAAGTACCCCAAATGGACTTTGACTCATCAGAAACGAAGTCGTACAAATGCGGAAGCAAGTTTGTTCTTTCTGCAATATATGACATAGAACTGCTTTCACCACCTGGAATCACCAACGCATCGCAATTCTCAAGCTCTTCTTTGGTTCTAACTGCAATAATGTTGATAGAATAACTAGAGTATTTTTCTTCACTCTGTTGAATAACGGATTTAAAATAGGTGATGTGTTCTCTAAACGCTCCTTGAAGGGCAAGCACTCCTAATGTAACTGGCTTTGGCACAGTCATTGTCTGTGGTGGCTCTTCTTCAATGATAACGTTATCTAACTATACTTTGTCAAAAATTGACTCGGGCAAAAGCGTTCTCTTCTCTTCTCTTTTTTATTTTTCGATCAGATGCCGTGAAGCAGAAATCTCGGATGGACTTTTACTAACGGAAGTAGTTTATTGCAGTTGCTCCTAGAGGAGTGGCGTAGTAACTCTCGTAGCGGCTATGCAATTCCTAGGGAAAAACTTTGGAGAGATTGATTCCAATGAAACACAAAAACTAGTGGAACATTTAAGCGCATACGACTGGAATTGAGCCGAGAATCATTGGAAACTGAATGAATAAATGAGCTAGAAGGCGGAAATAGTTTGCCTTCTACGTACAAACTATGAGGCGTTTTATGCCATGGATACTCTAATGGGCCCAAATTGGAAGTGTTAACTGGTCTTGGCACCGGATCATTCTGTTACGACGAAAATGGCTCCAGCCCTTACCCTATACAAGCACCCCCACATGAAGGTTTGGTCCCTGTAATCGATACCACCGAGGTGAGGTATTCTCACACAAGTAGTGAATCTCCTTGCATTTCCAATAAACATAATATTAGGCAAATCGGGTTCATTTTTACTCCGCTGGCAAATACGAAGACGTGAAAAAAAAAAGAGTCAGAAAATCTGACTTCTTTGTGTCCCTTTCCACTTTTGTTTCAGAACCTTATATTTCTTCGGTCATAGTTTTTCTTTTAAATTTTTCACCTTTGACTACTATAGATATCGATTTCAGTTTCCTTTAGATATTAATTTACAAATCCACAGTCGACCAATTAGTCAATACCAACATATTACCATCTATTCACGATGTCAGAATTGAAAATTAAAGAAGGGTTAGCCAAGATGTTGAAAGGTGGGGTTATCATGGATGTTGTTAACTACGAACAAGCAAAAATTGCCGAAAGGGCTGGCGCTTGTTCTGTCATGGCTCTTGAAAGAATTCCTGCCGAAATGAGAAAGTCAAACCAAGTTTGTAGAATGTCAGACCCACATATGATTAAAGAGATCATGGAGAATGTCCAGATACCAGTTATGGCTAAAGTTAGAATTGGGCATTTTGTTGAAGCTCAAATTTTGGAAGCTTTGAAGGTGGACTATATTGATGAGAGTGAAGTTTTAACTCCCGCTGACACTGTAGACCACATTGACAAGAACAAATTTAACGTTCCATTTGTGTGTGGTGCCCGAAACTTGGGTGAGGCATTAAGAAGAATTAATGAGGGTGCTGCCATGATTAGATGCAAAGGTGAAGCTGGTACTGGCGACATTTCCTCTGCAGTCGACCACATCAAGACCATCACCAAAGACATCCAAGAAGCATGTGAATTAAAGACTGAAGAGGAAAGAAAAGCGTTGGCCAAGGAATTGAGAGTACCAGTTGAATTGGTCAACACCGTTGTGGAATTGAAAAGATTGCCTGTTGTCACTTTTGCTGCTGGTGGTGTTGCTACTCCTGCCGATGCTGCCTTGTTGATGCAATTGGGCTGTGATGGTGTATTTGTTGGTTCTGGTATCTTCAAGTCCCTGAATCCTGAAAAGCTTGCCACTGCTATTGTCAATGCTGTCACTCATTATGACGACCCTCTCAAGTTGTTGGAATATTCTACTGACTTGGGCGAATTGATGCCAGGTATATCAGTTGACTCTATCAAGGAGAACGAAAAGTTGGAAAAGAGAGGTTGGTAGTAAAGCTAGGGCAGATAGGATTTCATATGCTATTGTACTTAAAGCGTCACTTGTTTATAGTTCTACACGCAATTTGTGTAAACAATTTAAACCTTATTTTTGAATGTTTAATCGCTTCAAATGTGGGGCAAGCATTTGCAAGTTTGCGGGCTTACAAGGTTCATTGTTGACTTCCAAAGCCGGTACTCCAGACGTAACCCTGAGCTAATGCTTTCAACAATGAGATATCTCTTTAAGTAATCAAAAACGTAGAGGCTATATTCCATATTCAGACAAATTGTGGAAAAAAATCGCATGCTTTTCCTCGTAATGCAAACCCAACCTAACCTCACAAGAGACTCTCCCCCACCCAACCTTGGATGAATGCTTCTTCCCCAGCTGATAAATAGCCTAAACCGCTCAATATACTACATTGAAGAATGAGATTTCCGTGTGTGTTCGGTTTAAAAGTTGCCAAGAGTGAAAATCAGTTTCGTTTACCCAATTTGGAATTATCAGCGCAAGAGAAACTTTTCCACATTTTTGAAATCGTCACACATTAAATCGTGAAAAGAGGTGGCACCATACAACGATGCTGTCGCTTTTCTGCGAAGAACACAAGACTTTATTGGTTGGATAATGTGGGGGCTGACTTAAGTGAAACCAATTTTGATAAGCAAAAAAAATTCCGTTTTTTCGAGGAGCTTTAGTGCAAGTGGCTGATTCAAACGATTATTGCGTTTGTTTAAATTTCCGACCAAATTCCGTTTCTAATATTCCGAGTATCTTCAAAATTCCGTTGCATTCAACCAAAATGAAGTCAATGGTTTAAAGCAAGTTGATGATAACCAGCCTTACATGCGAGTCTAAACCTGGGGTCTTACGTTTCTTGCTAATGGTGGTGGCCCTTTGGCTTAAATAGAGCACTATCCTCCATGATGGAGCTGGCAATTTGAAGACATTCAAAGTAGATTCAATTTGTTATTTTGCAAGATGAGCTTTAAAAACCTATTCAATAAAGAAAGTAGTACTTCGGTTGATGTTGAATGCGTATCGGAGCCTGCAGAATCTATCTCAACTGAAAAAATCAAGTTGCATGGTGATTTTCATGATAGACTTGATGTGGAAAAGCATGGAGAAACACAAAGGAGAATTACTCCTCGTCATGTGAGTTTGATGATTATTGGTCAGTCAATTGGAAGTGGTTTGTTTCTTGGTGTTCGAACTCCTTTGAATACAAGTGGTTCTTTGTCGTTCTTTTTGGCTTTTACAATTTGGGCTGTCTTTGTTGTTTACCCCTTGATGCAAGTTGTTGGTGTCATTTGTTGCTATTTACCGATCAAGGGATCTTTTATTCACTACAGTGCTAGGTATGTTGACCCGGCTCTTGGATTTGCCTCAAGTATAATATATATCTACACATGCATGATGTTTGTTTGTCTTGAAGCCACAGCGGTTGCCCAGGTGATTGGATTTTGGACAGATGTTAATCCGGGCGCTTGGATTACTATTTGCATTGTGATATATCCCCTTATTGGAATATTTGGGTCAAATATTTATGGTGAAGTCGAGTTTTACTCATCAATCTTGAAATTGTTTATGGTCATGGGGTTGATGCTTTTTTCACTTGTATCCATGTGTGGTGGGAACCCTCGTCACGACGCATATGGTTTTCAACACTGGAAAGAAGGTGGTTTATTTAGAGAGTATTTGGTTGATGGAAGTACTGGTAAATTTTTGGCCTGGTGGAGTTCGTTGTTGTGGGCGGCATTTGCTGCTGGCGGTCCTGATGGCTTAGCAATGCTTGCAGGTGAAATAAAACGTCCAAGAACAACCATGGCCAATGCAGCAAAGAGAACTTACATTAGAGTCTACATCTTTTATATTGGAGGTATGTTTTTCCTTTGTTGTTTGGTTTCTTCAGTCAATCCAAAACTTGTTGCCCAATTACTGGAAGGGTCAAACTCTTCAGCAGGCTCGCCTTGGGTGATTGGAATTGAAGACGTTGGAGTCAAAGGTTTGGCATCGGTGATCAATGCAGGTATCATGATGTCGGCTTTTTCGTGTGGAAATGCCTTCTTTTATTGTTCTGCTAGGTCGATATATAGCGCTGCTTTAGGTGGTTACTTGCCTCGCTTTTTAGCCAAGTGTTTGCCAAATGGGGCTCCAATTTATTGCGTTCTTATCACGTTCGCTGTGTCCTTGATTTCATACTTGAATGTTAATGAAAGTGGAGCTGTCGTTTTCAACTGGTTTGTTAATTTATGTGCCACCGGGTTGTTGTTGACTTATACTTGCATATGGTGGTCCTATTTCCAATTCCGCAAAGCTTGGGAATTCAAACACAAGCAAAAAATGAAGCATCCAGAGTACCCTTACTTTCTATGTCCGCAATGGATGCATCCAATCTTTACTTATTTGGGGTTGGCATTAACTGTTTTGGTGGTTTTTTTCAATGGATTCTGGATATTCTTCCCTGGGCAATTCAATGTATCCAACCTATTCACAAGTTACTTTGCCCCCGTGTTTTTCGTGTGCTTGTTTGTATTTTGGAAAGTTGTTAAACGCACGCACTTTAGGACTGCAAAAACCGCTGATATCACCAGTGGTAAGCAACGCATTGATGATGAAGAGGAGGCTGAAGAGAAGGAGATTCGTGAACAGGAATTTGTTTTCTATCAAAATGCAAAGTGGTATCACAAAGCATGGCAGAAATTCTACGCATTTTGGTTTACATAGAATCTGACTAAGTGGTGGATGTGCTTTGAATATGTTTGTCAATTACTTTGTATACTCTGAGAGTGTGTATATTTGCACGATCCTGATGTCTTGAGCACTCGATTCTTGAACGTAGTATATCTCTCAAGAAATAAGCCTGGTGGGCGTCTCTCTAATTTCATGGGATTTGGCTCTAATCGATAGAGCTTGCAGTGGCGTGTAATTCAAGAATAGAAACATTAAATAATTAGCTTTCTTCCCTTAAAACCGCGCAAAAATTGGATCGAAATTGTTGCAAATTACTGATCCAACAACACCTTAGTTTTTCAAAAAAATTGATTCAATAAATCAAGGAGTGAAATTCAAATTTAAACCAGTGAGAAGCCCCTAATCATTGATCGATTGGTTTCTGAAAAATCTATCCGTCTAGGAATGTGGGTCTATAGACTTGGGTTACCTGAAATGCTACCACTTGAGTCTTCAAAATATACCCCCGCTCCTGTAGTATATCATTCATGAATGTTAATTTGTTCCAAAGTACAAAACAAGATCAGCAGTTTCATTAATTTAGGAAACATTCAGCCATACATCCTCTTTAATAATCCAAAACACCAATTAAAAATTTACAGATAAAGCCCATTATTACAAACAGTAATCACGCACAAAAGGGGTTTTGATCAATTATAATATTCAACCCATTTCATCTGGGACAATCATTCCCAAAGCAGGACACACTGGAAAAGTACATATGCGGAGAAATGAAGCATCACATTACAGCTGCGTTCATCGGCGTGAGAAGCTAGAAGTCTGCTTTCATTGTAGCCACTGAGCAACACAACAACACTTGAACATTTGGAAAGCGCGTACTCTCTGCAATTTATCCAACTGACAAATTGTGACAGTTTAGACTAGAGTCTTATAGTTTGTGCGCATATATGTTGTTAGTTTTAGTGTTGGTCTTTTTTTTTTCTTTTTTGGTTCTCCTTCAGCCGTTTACGGTTTCTAATTTTGTGGGGAAGATGCAAAGCGAGATTGCGTGTGCCCAAAATCACATCACACTGGTCAGTGTTTGATTCGTAGAAAGTTTTGTCCAATGCCCCAACAATATGAGCACCAAAGATTCAATCTTGACCAAAGGGGTCCCGAAGCCCTATATCAAGCACTGAACGCAAAAGATCATTGACAAAAGTTATTATGAATCAAGTCCTTTTTTCTTCTCATTTTTTCTTTAAGGCTAAGAAATTTTTCATCACAGAACTCGTATCATCATTGAACAATTATTATCAAAGATGCTGAATTTGACTACAAAATCAAGGTTTCCGCTTCTATTACAGGGAAATGGCATCTAATTCCGTAGGAAAAATTCCGAATGCTTTCAATTCCGTTTTACATCAATGGTTTTGGAAAGTGAAAACCAGATAACTGATGAGGCTATAAATATCCGTCAATGGTATCGAGTAAAGGCTTTAGACTACAACAACAGGCTTCCAATCTCATTATCTATTACATTTTGTCAAGAATGAGTGAAGAAAGAAAAGAGCATCCGGCAATATTTGATGTCGAAAGAGCATCAGGACAATCTGATTCAATCGACAAAGAGCTGAGTAAGATACAGTTCAAGGATTTTGAAGATCGACTTGACCCCAAAAAGTATGGTGAAACTCAAAGAAGAATGAATTCAAGGCATGTAAACTTGATGATTATGGGTCAGTCCATTGGCAGTGGTTTGTTTCTTGGTATAAGATCTCCTTTGCATACAAGTGGTTCCCTATCGTTCTTTTTAGCATTTACCATTTATGCAGTTGTCGTTGTTTACCCGTTGATGCAATGTATTGGTGTCATGTGCTCTTACTTGCCAATAAAAGGGACTTTTATCCACTATAGCGCCAGGTACGTTGATCCAGCCCTTGGTTTTGCCTCATCGTTGATCTACATTTACACCTGTATGATGTTTGTTTGTATTGAAGCTACTGCAGTGGCTCAGTTAATTGGATATTGGTCGGACCTCAACCCAGGAGTGTGGATTACCCTCTGTATCTTGCTTTACCCGTTAATTGGTATCTTTGGTTGTAACATATACGGTGAAGTGGAATTTTATTCCTCCATCTTGAAGGTGTTTTTGATCATGGCATTGATGCTCTTTTCCCTTATATCAATGTGTGGAGGAAACCCACAAGGAAGAGCATACGGGTTCCAACACTGGAAAGAAGGTGGGTTGTTTCGAGAATACTTGGTTGGCGGTGGTACTGGTAAGTTTTTTGCATGGTGGAGCTCTTTGATATGGGCAGGATTTGCTGCTGGAGGAGCAGATGGGTTTTCAATGATTGCGTCTGAAGTACAACGACCAAGGACTACTATGGCTACTGCGGCAAAAAGAGTCTATATCAGAGTTTACTTATTCTACATTGGTGGTGTCTTTTTCCTCAATTGCTTGATTTCGTCAGTAAACGAGAGATTAGTCGAGCAATTAGAAGCTGGCTCAGCAACGTCAGCCGGCTCTCCTTGGGTCATTGGTATAGAAGATGTTGGGGTTAAAGGTTTGGCATCTGTTATCAATGCGTGTGTTATGACATCAGCGTTTTCTTGTGGTAACGCCTTTTTCTACTGTTCCACTAGGTCACTTTACAGTGCCTCATTGGCTGGTTACTTGCCACGCTTTTTATCAAAATGTTTAAAGAATGGGTCTCCTGTTTACTGCGTCCTTGTTACATTTGCCGTATCATTGGTTGCTTACTTGAATGTAAATGAAGATGGAGTGGTAGTTTTCAACTGGTTTGTAAACTTGTGTGCTACGGGATTATTGTTGGCGTATATATGTATGTGGTGGTCATATTTCCAATTCCGCAGAGCATGGGAGGCTCAACACAAGCAAAAAATAAGAAACCCAGAGTACCCCTACTTTACTGGACCCAAATGGCTACATCCTGTTTTAACTTATGCGGGATTGATCTTCACCGTCTTGGTGGTTTTCTTTAATGGGTTCTGGATTTTCTTCCCCGGTAATTTTAGTGTTTCCAACTTGTTTACAAGCTACTTTGCCCCTGCTTTCTTTGTTTGTTTATTTGTGTTTTGGAAGGTGTTTAAAAAGACCAAGTTTAGAACTCCCTTGACAGCTGACATCACCAGCGGTAAGCAAAGAGTTGATGATGAAGAAGAAGTTGAAGAAAGAGAGTATGCCGCTAAACAAGCGGAATATGCTAATGGAACCTGGTATGTTAAAGCATGGAGATGGGTCTACAACTTATGTTTCAGCTAAGCTCATATGAGGTAAGGGACTTGTCCTTGTTGCTTTAGCATCCATTATCTCTATGCCATAAAAATGTATGACTTCTTGTTTGATAGTTTACTTTGCAGCCAAGTATTCTTGGCAAGCTGCTTCAAGTTGTATGTGTTACTCTATTAGTATTTTTCAATATACGTGAATATGTAATTGCTCCATTGATGGATAAAAATTAGTGAAATGGGGTCCTTGAAAGTATCTTCAACTTCTCTTACAATCTCTTGGATCGTTAAAAAAATACCAAGCACATTTCTCACTGGCTCATTTATGTCGTTCAGAATGTTCACATCTATTCAAAATGGATTTGGAACGGAAGAATTCTTCTACATTGCCATATCTAAAGCTATTGTCTCATCGTACTGTAAACTGTGCTGATGCGATCCTTCTTTCAGACTCACCTTCAACCTCACGTTGTTTCTACATTACATCGTTGCCAAATTAGATATTTGCAAATTCTAAAGCGATATTGCTATATAAAAATCAATAAATAAACACTTGCGTCGAATACGTCTTTCATCAAAAGATCCATCCCAAGAACTTCTCATAGAACCACTCTTTATCATACTTCTTTCCCTCAGCTTCTCTAACAGCTTTCCTTTCAGCATCCTCAGCTTCGTATTGTTCAAATTCAGCATCAATAACATCTCTAAATGTGTCCAAATCAACTTCAGTTGGTGATAACCATTTCGTCTTGTAAAAAAACTTGTATCCGAAGTAACAAATGAAAAATACAGGAAGAATAATGTAACCAGTAATGAAATTCTTGTAGGTGAAGGAGTCACCAAGGAAAACAGTAAAATTTTTGATCAATATGACAAGCACACAAACTCCCAAGGATACATAAGTTGCATATGGTTGTAAAGGTGAGCGATAAACTGTATCTTTATTTCTGTCAAAACCTTGTGCTTTCAATGCTCTCATGAACCCAATATGGAAAGTGAGGATACATGTCCAAGCAATCAACCCAGTCAATGAAACAACATTGACAAAATATTCAAAAACCTGTGCCGACCCAGATGATACATTCATGTATGCTAATAAACAGAACAAAAAAGACACGACAAGACCATAATAGGGAACACCTAACTTGTTGGTCTTTGTGAAAAATTTCGGTGCATACCCATCAGCAGCCAAGGAGTACAAAGCTCTACTGCAAACATAGACGTCTGAGTTTGCAGCTGACATGACAAACAACAAGATACAGGCATTGATAACATGATCTAATCCATCAATCTTGGCATTTTTGATAGCAATGACAAATGGTGAAGCTCCGGCGTTCGTTCCTGAAGCTCCCAACAACAAAGGATCCTTAGCAGAAACACACATACCGACGAATAAGATCGACAAGACGTAAAACACAAGAATACGGTACAAAGTCAACTTGACTGCTTTGGGGATAGCTCTTCTTGGGTTTCTTGTCTCACTGAAAGTGATGGCTACCAATTCTGTACCTAAGTAAGCAAATACTGCTGTAACCAATACTGCAACAAATGATACAAATCTTCCAGTTGAGCCTCCAATATAAAGATCCTTTGACGAGTCGGTGTAATGAAGGAAAGCACCAGGGTCGTTCCAGAATCTGAATCCAATTCTATCATGAGTTGGACCACCACCCAATGCAATAACCCACAACAATATGATCAATCCCAAACATGTGACGACTTTTAATGAACTCAACCAGAACTCAATCTCACCAAAGAATCGAACTCCAAGGAAGTTGATGACCATGATGACCACCAAGAATACTGTTATCCATACCCCTGGATTCACCCTATCTCGATCAATCCAGTATTGCATAGTCAACGCGCCAGCAGTCAATTGATTAGCGGGTAAAATCAAGTACTTTATCAAATAGGTGTACCCACAAGCAAATCCAAGTGCTTCATCACAATATCTCTTACCATAGTTTGCAAATCCATTCAATGGAACCCAACAGGCGATTTCTCCCAAAGCTGTCATGACTATATACACCACAAATCCAATGGCACCATAAGCCACCAAAATGGCCCCAGGTCCAGCGGTTTTCAATGCACTACCAGTACCAATCAATAAACCAGTGCTAAGTAAAAGAAGTTAGTATAAAGTCTCAGCCATATCATATGTCCATTGGGCTTAATATTAAGGTCCGCAAAATATGTGACTCGTGTAAAATATTTCGTGGGTCTCGAAAAAGCCATGTAAATCCCCATGAATTTGGAAGTTGTCCCGTGATGCGAATTTCTTTTTAGGCGTTTTTGTGTCTTTGCATCCTCGAATTGTATACAGGACTCAATATGGCTGTTTTCCCCACCATTGGAAGCGATTTTTGTGTAACAAAACAACCAAAATCACGGTAGTAAAAGTCCGACGCCAACTGACTAAAGAAAATTTTTCTTGTTTGTCTTGGTATTGCAACCCCTTATCCGATCAAAGTATCACCAGATTGTTTCAATATCTCATTTGATACTAGTACTTTTTGCCTTTTGGTGTACTCCACACTCACATATAAAAAAAACGTAAAACACGCTCTTCTTCACCCTAGACGACATTGAAAGAGAATTGAAAATACATACCCTAGAGCTCCACCAAGAGCAATCATACTAACATGTCGCGAATCCAAAGCTTGTCTTAACTTGTGTCCCTCTGCTTGATTGATTGCTGATGGATTTGACTTTGCCACGTACAAATCATAATCTGCCGTGTGTCTTGATACAACACTCTTCAACTCATCGTCATTTGAAAATGAACCAATGTTTTTTTCACTATGAATTGATTGTTCTCCGTCTTCCTCCAGTTTGTTATTACTTTTGAAAAACATTTATATATGAGGGTGGGGATGAAAAGTAATAGTAGTAGTGAACAAGAAAAAAAGTAGTAATAGTAATGTTAGTGTTAAAGACTGTGTGGAAACTATGTTTGATATATATACAAGCTGATGATGTGGAGGTTTTTGTCTCTTTTTTAACATATTTTGTTATATTTTTTTTTATTCAATTTCTTTGTGATTTATTACAAAAGAGTGATGGATATTGTACGAGATGTAAAGTGTGTAGTGTGACTAACTTGTATTACTTTTTTCGAAATAAGAATATGAAACACAAATCGCTATCTTGTTCCTTCACAAAAGTAATGGGTGAGAAAAATCAGGCGTCTATAATGCTATTTCTAGAGTTTTTAGTTTTTGCGTTTGTTATTCTCTTATTTGCACGGAGAAATCAAAATTATAAAAAGAAAATTATTATCGTATCAAAAACAAAGTTAAGGTTACAGTTTGAGTCGAGGGCGTGGCCAAAAGAAATTATCCATCGTTTCTTTAAACTGAATTCATTACTGGTCAGGGATGTGTGTTCAAAATGCTTTAATGTGTAGTAGTGTTATCTTTCTCATAGTTAAATTACAAGCAACATTGTATTCACTAGAGACAAAGAACAGTGACAAAAAAAGATTCTGTCTTTGTTCAATTTTTAGCTTTGCCAAGAAAATGTTTTAACAACTACAAAGTCGAGAGATAAATGGGGTTTGTGTAAATTAACACCAAATTGCCGTGCAAATTCAAGATACAACATCACTAGCTTATCAACCTCTATTTAGGAACAGTTGTATAATACTCTTCTGACTGATATTACCAAGTGAGCTTGCAATCTGTTATCGTCGACAAGTCAGTCATTTGTTGCACCTGGAGAGAGAGGGACGCTTGTCTACATCAAAGATTCTATAGCGTCTCCAACTTCCCAACAGTAACTTCTGTCGCAAAGTATACCTAATTCGTATACGATACTCACTCAGACTATGAGAAGCGGTCATTTATGTACAGGCTTTACAGTCAGTCTCTGTATTGCTATTTACGTGACATGGAAAGGATCAGCTATTTCTTTTTTTTTTTCCTTCCTCTATACTACTCAACAAAAGTTAAGCTTTCGGGGTATATGTTCTCTCGAATACAACTGCTCAAGCCAAGCTTTCTTTATTTTTGGTTTATACTCATCAATTTACGTATTATTCCATGACATCAACTGCTGTCCCTGTGGTATCAGCAGTGCAACGGTACACTTTTAGGAAAGGAGGCAAAGAGAAATGTGTCAAGAAGAAAGGTGTCATCAAAGCCAAGCAAAATAATATGCTTTGAGAATATTTGTATGTTACATTGAATACCATCTGTGGCCAATGACATTATCAACCTTTATATAAGAGGAACTGGAGCTTTTTTCTTACTACAAATTCGTTTCACAACCGTGGGCCAACAAACTACTATGTTACTCGAAAGTAGGCGCCAACCTAACCTATAAGACAGTGTTCTGTTTACAAAATGGTTAGCAGATACGATACATCCATCATTTTAGCATTCTCACGACAAACACGAAGACGTTTCCTTATTGTTTCTTCCCCACAATAAAAGCAAATCTTGATTTCTGTGAGATCTCGTTATAAGTTGATGACACAAACACTTTTCTATACGGCATTGTTGAAACTTTTTGGTATTTTCGTCATCAAATATTTTCTGCAAGGTCTAAATCACAAACTCCGAATTGTAGAAAGTGGCGACTAAGCCTATTATATTTTAGTATACTGTGCATACGTACAATGCTTCTAATGAAAAGTGAAAAGTGGTGGGGTCACTTTTGCCTTAACTCATTCCCAAAAATGCAAATCATGCGGGTGGAACTGCTCTGATCGCCCTTAGCAGCAGAATCGAACGCTAATGAGGGCCCCCGTATGAGGTACTTTAACACAGCTACTCGCTAGACCAAAAAAGAACTTGATTTCGAGAAGAATAGACATACTAATTACACCATATAATAGTGTCGCAGAAAAAATAGTGCCAATTAGTTTATATTCTAATTTTATTCGGCTATTGGAGGTTACTGACGTCACTGCAGTGACTGAGGGCTTTTTTTTTCGTTTCTTTTGCAAATGTTTTCGATATTTCTTGGAAAACATTTCACTAGGGGTGGGAACCCTGAATTTCTGTTGCTCAAGGGAGCTGCAATTACGACTTGAGCAACAATTTTGAATGAGCGACCCCGTTACGCATTCTGAGCTAATGTTTTTCATTACTGACAACCACAACGATAACGATAACGATAACGATAACGATAACGATAACTCCATTTCGCGTTCTTTGACCAACTGACTGCTAAAGTATCAAAGGTGTATGCGTGCTTCGAACAGTATTTCAACTTGAAGCTTTTATAGGGAACTACTTAAGATCTAGCCTTTCAGAATGACAACATGATAATCTTTTCAGACAAACACCGGGTGTTATGGAGCACTTCACAGCACGAGTAATTACGTAAAAACCAGAGGAAGTGACTGGATATATGAAATTAAGATAGGGAGTCACGTGAATCAAATTTGGCTTCAACTTTACAGCGTTTTTTACATTCAATAAATGTCGAGTACAACTTTTTTTACTCAACAGTTTAAGCAGCAAAAGATGGTGGAGCGAAGAGGGGGGCCGTTTGAATAATTAAGTACTCACATGACTTTGAAAGAAAGTTGAGTCTCGGCGACAACATTTTCTGTTCCTTTCAGAAGATTCTGGTTGTTGTTGTTTTATTTATTACACCAAGAAATTCATCACTCGGACCTACAACGAAACACCATCTTACTTTCTCACCTGTTGGTAAACAAGGTCGAGAAATTACTCTAACCGTACGGCGTTTTTTGATGGAACTACTAATCAAATGATTTCTTGGGTTGATATGATTTATTTTTTCATTCGGAAGGTTATTTTTATTTTTTTCTTGGGCCTCAACTTGCGAAAAAAACTATTTACTCCGGGCAGTTTGTTGCAGAGATAAGATTAAATTGGATGATGATGTTGGTGATAAGCGTCGGATGATATAAAAAATTTGCTCAGGGTATTGCTGCTCAAGATACGGTGCACCGGAACTTGATACATTAGAATTTTGTTGAAGTTAATTTTGGGTGAAACGAAAAAAGAGACGGTGGCTTCGAAGAAATTAGACCTGAGAAACTAAACTTCACAGCGATTACAAGTGTTCGTTTTAGCTGAGAAAGGCTGTTTCATAAAAATAATTAGGGCGTTATTATCTATTTCGTTCATTTTGTGTCGTAATTTCATCCACGCAAGGAAGAGGGGGATTTATCACCAATTTTTTGATAACAAAAAAGTTTTTACCCGACCAACTTGAGAAACCCAAAACAATTACAATTTTTGCACCTTTTGTGCTTTTTTTCGAGCTTAACCCGCAATATCATGGATTGTCTTGGCTTTTTGAGGCTACGAGTTGTCGCTGTTGTGAATATATAAATAAGCAAAAATGCCATGAATGGAAAAGAAAGCCGAATCTTTGAAGATTTCCAATTCAACTTAGACAAATTAAAATGGCCGGAGAATTTACCGACTCAAAGCGTGATACTGGTCTCCTGGAAAAAAATGTGGGGACTTTTGGTCAAGCAGAGGATTTAAAGAGTGTTGTATCAAGACATACTGAAGAGTATGATTTATTTGTTGCCAAATCTAATCCAACAGCCATTAACCAAGCTGATGGCCATAAATTAAGACAAGCTTTGGATTCGCGACATGTTAGTATGATTGCTCTTGGTGGAGCTTTAGGGTATGTATATACTTTCATTTGCTTTGAAGAGTATTGGTTGGAAAGAAGCAAAACTGTTTGAATAGCTCTTACAATGTTGACCTATACTAACAATTCCTTCTCTAGTACCGGTTTATTGATTGGTACTGGTAGTGCATTGAAAACCGCTGGACCTGGGGCCATTTTGGTGGCTTATGGTGCCATTGGATTGGTTGTTTACATTGTGATGACAGCATTGGGAGAAATCGCTTGTTGGGTACCAATGAATGGATTTGCAAACTATGGTAAGAGATATTGTGATGAAGCACTTGGATTTGCTTGTGGGTACACCTATTTGATAAAGTACTTGATTTTACCCGCTAATCAATTGACTGCTGGCGCGTTGACTATGCAATACTGGATTGATCGAGATAGGGTGAATCCAGGGGTATGGATAACAGTATTCTTGGTGGTCATCATGGTCATCAACTTCCTTGGAGTTCGATTCTTTGGTGAGATTGAGTTCTGGTTGAGTTCATTAAAAGTCGTCACATGTTTGGGATTGATCATATTGTTGTGGGTTATTGCATTGGGTGGTGGCCCAACTCATGATAGAATTGGATTCAGATTCTGGAACGATCCTGGTGCTTTCCTTCATTACACCGACTCGTCAAAGGATCTTTATATTGGAGGCTCAACTGGAAGATTTGTATCATTTGTTGCAGTATTGGTTACAGCAGTGTTTGCTTACTTAGGTACAGAATTAGTTGCAATTACATTTGGAGAGACAAGAAACCCAAGAAGAGCTATCCCCAAAGCAGTCAAGTTGACTTTGTACCGTATTCTTGTGTTTTACGTCTTGTCGATCTTATTCGTCGGTATGTGTGTTTCTGCTAAGGATCCTTTGTTGTTGGGAGCTTCAGGAACGAACGCCGGAGCTTCACCATTTGTCATTGCTATCAAAAATGCCAAGATTGATGGATTAGATCATGTTATCAATGCCTGTATCTTGTTGTTTGTCATGTCAGCTGCAAACTCAGACGTCTATGTTTGCAGTAGAGCTTTGTACTCCTTGGCTGCTGATGGGTATGCACCGAAATTTTTCACAAAGACCAACAAGTTGGGTGTTCCCTATTATGGTCTTATCGTGTCATTTTTGTTCTGTTTATTAGCATACATGAATGTATCATCTGGGTCGGCTGAAGTGTTTGGCTACTTTGTCAATGTTGTTTCATTGACTGGGTTGATTGCTTGGGCATGCATTCTTTTGTTTCACATCGGGTTCATGAGAGCATTGAAAGCACAAGGTTTTGACAGAAATAAAGATACAGTTTATCGCTCACCTTTACAACCATATGCAAGTTACGCTTGTTTTGTGATTTGCTCAATTGTGATTTTGATCAAAAACTTTACCGTTTTCCTTGGTGACTCCTTCACCTACAAGAATTTCATTACTGGTTACATTATTCTTCCTGTGTTTTTCATTTGTTACTTCGGATACAAGTTCTTTTACAAGACGAAATGGTTATCACCAACTGAAGTTGATTTGGACACATTTAGAGATGTTATTGATGCTGAATTTGAACAATACGAAGCTGAGGATGCTGAAAGGAAAGCTGTTAGAGAAGCTGAGGGAAAGAAGTATGATAAAGAGTGGTTCTATGAGAAGTTCTTGGGATGGATCTTTTGATCTGAAGATTGTATACAAAAGTGTATATGCCCATTATATATTGTCATGATTTTATGTTAATTTGTATTTTATGCAAAAAGTGCAAAGTATATTATTCTTCGCCGTTTTGTGAAACCTCATCGAATTTTATTTCGAAACACTTGATCTACTCAAAAAGCAACATATCATGGAGAACATACCAAGTAAACAGTCAGATTCAGCCATAGAAAATGTTCCCAACAACATTTCTACATTCTTCGAAATCGGTCCTACAAAGTATGGTGGAAGGGGCTGCTTTGCCAAGTCAAAAATATCGAAGGGAACCCAAATTCATTATTGTTCATCACCCGTTGGCTCCTCGATATCGAGACCATTCAGAAAGGAAGTGTGTACATATTGTTTCAAATATGATAATGGGGATGCCATGAAAACCAAACTCGCAAAATCCGTCTCTGGTAGGAAAGAATCGAGTGCACTTTACTTTTGCAGCAATGATTGCGTCAACAAATTTTTGGATCAAGACATTAATGACATCTTGTTAACTAATCTATTATCGGTCGAGCAAAACTATTTAATAGGACTTAAAAAGCCAGGAGTTGACGCGCTAGAGCCAGTGGGTGATTTAGATGAGCAAATAGATCGAGAATGGGAACGAGTTGAGCGATGGGCTGCTGAAGTAGACTCGACTCGAAGTAGCAAAAGAGTCAATTTCCTACCAAGAATTGATGAAAGTGAATACCTTGAAATCAAATACATCGTTGGTGTGTTGTTCAACGAGTTCAAAATATATAGTCAAAAGGAGCTCAATGATGATCTTTCACTAGAGATGTACTTATTTGATCTTCTACAATCAACTGAACGTGAGAAATACCACAAGTACCCGTATCTTCTATTTTCATACATCAACATATTCAAATTCATCAAGCTCACGTGTACTGCTGAGCTTCAACAATTTATCACAACAGACATCGTTAGATCGTTGATCGGCAAGAACTTATCCAATGCATTTGGTATATGGTCCAACACGACAGCCAAGGACGAAGATAAAGAATTTCTTGGGTTTAGCGTGTATCCATCAGCATCGTTTTTCAACCATTCATGTGATCCAAATATCATCAAAATTAGAGTACGTAATGATATGCGATTTGAAACATTGAGAGATATCGCGATAGGTGAAGAGTTGTGCATAAACTACGGAAACTTTCAAAATGAAGACGTCGAGAAACGGCAGTTGGAATTACAGGAATGGTTCTTTGATTGCGGATGTACAAAATGTCAACTGGAATTGACAGCTAAGTAAAGTCATAATTTCTATAAAATTGTTTAAACTCCTCGCAATCAGCCATTTCCTTGAATTTTGGTTGTTGACATTTGTCCCACTGTACGCGATCTAGTAGATTTAGCATATGCGCAAGTACCCTACGAGGAAACTGGATATCGAGTGGCTTACCTTTGACTAACTTGGCAATGTAAAATTTAAACTCTGATTCGCTCGTGCAAATTGTAAATTTGATATAGTCGTTCTCCTTTTCAATATCCTCAAGTCTGGGATCATTCTCCTTCGTAAACTCAGCAAACTCAAGGCTCTGGTTCCGTTTAAATTTTTCATTATTGATTTTGGTTCTATACTCTAACGATTTGGGGAACTTATCAAGTTGTGATTCATAAACAGGCAAGAATTGGACATTGTGATGAACATTATCATGTCGATTCAACTCAAAAAAGATCAACTTGAGAAACGGTTTTTGACTCGCAAACGCTTTCACCAATGTTTGCTGAAACTGGTTAATCTCTTGCCTTATTGGACCATTTCGATCATTGACATGGGGGACATGTTGAATTGGTATGATAATCCCATGACCCGAAAAGGATAGATCTTTGTTGGATCTAGTTAGCGGACCTTTTGCGACTGTGAGATACGCTTGTGACCCAATTGATACAATCATGTGTGTTTCCGTCTTGGGATTGCTTAGACAGAAAAAGCAATGTTCAGGTGTGACAACTTTCGCCTTCTTTACTACAACATCCACCCCATTATCTCTGTTGTCCATGTATCTCTTTTTTGTAAGGAAAGGATTATCCATAAACTTTGTCATATCATCTGGTTCTCCTCCCATTTTAAATGCATAGAACCATTTGTCACCACTTCCTTCTTGTGCCAAACTTATGAACCTGGTAATTTCACCGCCACGCCACTTGAAAGGTTGGATCTCACAAAAAACGTTCCCTTCATCTTTTCCTACAGCGAAATGATATTGTGGCTTGATGAGTTTGACAAGCATATCAATTGTTTCATCTCCAACTTGGGGAATTGATTTTAGGAAAGACAACGCCATGGGCCACTTGAATGTAAAAAGCAAATCTATTCTCGTCTTAATTTGGGTAATTTTATCAATGCTTTCTTTCAGAAGCGTTCCTGAGACAATCAACATTGTCGTCCCTGAAACCAACTTGATAATACTATATGGTGGTTTAACGTAGGTAAAGTTGTCAGCAATATCAATTAACGTGGACGTCAGATGTAAGGACTTTTCCTCTACCACGTTAGATATTCCGTTACATCCCTGAGCAAAATATGTGCTTTCTAGAAGCTCCGTTTGTGGAAGTGCCTTACCACTTGGTACGACATCTCCCATTAAAATAGTGGCTGAAAATGGCCCAGATTTCTTGTTTTGTGAATTGGCTTTAATCAATGTCTTATCTAAGTCATTCGGATTCGGATTAAGCACGAGAATTCTAGTTTCATCTGCCATAGCTGTAGTACTCTCTCGAATTAGTTTTCGAGTAGTGTGCTGCATCTCGCAGATTACCATATCAAGTGAGAGCTGGAAAAAAGAATCGAATCACGTGTACGATTTGTTTACCTTTTCTCCAAACCACTCCAAAAAGGCACCAATTTACCATCACTAAAGATACTAACCATTGACTATGAGCAGTGAACTGAATAGCATAAAGGTCATAGTAAGGGTGAGACCAATCCTTTTGCGAGAAGTGGACAACAATGTTGGGCTTCCTACTCAATCACTTGTGCAAATGCCATCCTCCGACTGTACAACTATTTTAAACCCCACCAAAGATGAAAAGAAACAATACCATTTCGATGAATGTGTATGGTCGTTCGATCCCAATGACGCAAACTACGTTGATAATCAGCGATTTTACAACAAGTCTGGACCCGACCTACTAACCCATTTATTTGAAGGGTTCAATGTATGTTTACTAGCATATGGACAAACCAGTTCAGGGAAAACCTATACCATGATGGGAGACGAGACGCAACCTGGAGTAATACCTTCCTTGATCAAAGACATTCTCAAGCAAATGGACATCTCTATCAACCAAAAAGTGCAATGCGAGTTGACTTTTTCCTACATGGAGATCTACAACGAACAAGTGATTGACTTACTCAGTAAGGACCAGAATGTGAAATGCAAGATCCGTGAAAACCCACAAACGGGCCCCTATGTTGAAAACTTGAAGGAAGTGAGTATTTCAAGCTATGCACAGTTTTTAAATTTCTTAAAGTTGGGAAACAGGGTCAGATCCACTGCTTCAACTTTAATGAATGATCTAAGCTCGAGATCTCATGCTGTAATTACGTTGACACTACACCAAACAAGATATGAAAGTGATGCTGGTGATGGAATTGGAAACGCTAGTGAGAAAATGACTTCGAATATCAAATTAGTTGACTTAGCCGGATCGGAACGTTTGGCTAGAACCAAATTATATGGGCAACAGCAGAGAATGAAAGAAGGGGCCCTGATAAACAAATCATTGACAGTTTTGGGGCGTTGTATCAATTTATTAGCACAAAAGAATAACAAGACAGTGGTACCATATAGGGACTCCATTTTGACATACATTTTGAAAGAGAATCTTGCAGGTAACTCCAAAACTTGCATGTTGTTCTGTGTATCACCCTTGGATTATGAAGAAACAATACAGACACTCAATTATGCCAATGAGGTGAAGAAAATAAAGACATCAGCTAAGGCAAATAAGACAAAATTGCCAACAGTGCCTGTTGATTGGAATAATTTGAAAAATGCAGATAGCAGTGTTATCGATTCTCTTCGTAATGAAGTGGAATTATTGACAAATAAATTGACAACGTTGGAAATGGAACACAACAACCTGTCAACTTTTTCAGACTCAACCTTGGTAGAAAACACGGAGAAAAGTAATTTAAAGAACTTGATGGAGTTCCTCGAAAACGAATCGGCAAAAGCCAAATTTGAAAACAAGTTTCTAAGCCAGCAATTGGCCAAGAAGAATAAACAAATAAGTGAATTGCAAGCCCAAATTGATTTCATATATCGATTTGAAATTGCAAGAATAAAACAAGATATGGCGAGGTCACACTTGATCACGAACATTAGCCACTGTCGTCAAGGTATAGACGCAGATTTGGCGTATTTTGACCCTGCTCTGTTATTCAAGCAGCAGTGAATACACGACAGATTTGATTTTGAATACAAAGCGTAGAGAGCTCTTTACCCTCGGACTTAAAGTATGTCGCGTACAAAAACCGCCCTGCACAAAACTAAAATCATTTGTGACCGAAAAAAAAAAAACAAAAAATCATTTAATCGTTTCCTCTCCCTCTCTCTCCCCCCTCCATCTGTGACAAAAACTGAAGCGCAATTTTGGAAACACCTTGGAAGTACTTTTGCATTGGGAGGGAAGCAGTATACGATAATGTCAGATATAGAGAGCATATTTCACAGCTCTGTTAGAGAGGCAGTGCAACTCACTGTTCAGAATAACAAACCATTATTTGTGTTTCTCGCACTGCCCGATTCCATCACGAACGAATCATTCTTGAACAAGTTTGTCACAAAGGACGCTGTTTCACTCTTGCAGAATAGTACAGTGCCATTGAAGTTGATACAAGGTAGTGTTGAATTTGGTTATTTTGAGCAGCTTTTTCAAAATTTAATCGTTCCCAGTTTTTATGTTGTGCTGCAAGGGAAACTTAAGGCAGTGATTACCAATGACTTTGCTAGAGAAGATTTTGATAAGTGCATCGCTGAGCTTTTATCATTAAATGGGGACTCTACGACCTCGATTGCTTTCGCTTCTGCGACATCATTAAACCAGGCAGCTTCATCCTCCTCACACAATCCACCAACAGCACGCCCCACTGAAGAAGAAAATTCTCCAACTCTGTTACCAAATGCTGCTCCTCTAAATACTCAAACATCCCAAACTTCCAGTCTGACTGTATTGGATGACCATGAACAATCTGTGATGAGGCACAGGAAAATTGTTGCACAACAAAGAAAAGAGAAAATGGCGGAGAAGCAACGTATAAGGGACTTATTGGAAGCCGATAAAAGAGAAAGACAAAGCAAAGAAAAAGCAGAAAAAGAACGTGTCGACGATGCAAGACGACCTTCGCAGAGTCTGGCTAAGAAAAACGACCACACGAATTGTCTTTTGGCGATTAAACTTTTTGACGGAAGTACGATCAAGCACGATTTTAAACTGGATGACACGCTCATCACAGTGCGTACTTATCTAGATGAAGAGGTGAAAATCATACCGTCTACAAGTAGCATGCCATCATTTGCCAGCACAACATACCCGACAGGCTACTCATTCCACAGACCAACTTTACCACGTATTACATATTCCGAAGAGCAGGAGTCGCAGTCACTACTTGAGCTTGATTTGACACCAAGGTCTATATTGATACTCAAACCAACTTACAATCAAACAAACTCAAGCAATGCTGCGCCAGGAAACGAGAAAGTGGGGATTCTTCAAAGTGTGTATAATTTTGTTGCCGGGATAGGAAGGGCACTCTACTCTTTCTTTGACTATGGGGTCGATGATGTACAAAGACAAGTTAGTTTGGATCAACCGCTTGCCCCACGCCAAGAAGAAGAGGTGATAGATCTTCACCAACCAATTGCAGCAGGGATTCTATCAGTCGGTGATAGAGGTTTGTCGTCGTCCCTTTTGAACATCGAAAGGGATGAGCGTGACGTGCTAATTGCAACCCCAGTAGAATCTAGAGCATCCAGTCCAAGGCCCGCTTTGAGTCGCGTGCAAACTATTCACGATGATACCAGGGATCCTTTGCGAGATACATATAATGGAAATAGCATCAATCTTAGGGATGACGATCAAACTACATAGGTTATTAATGGGGTTCGTTGCAATATATTGCTTTTAAACTGTCTTTCAAGACATTAAGTAGATAGTAATTTTTTACCTCTTTAGTATGGCGGAGATAACAGTAAAAAAAATAAATGAAATTAAAATAAACTTCCGTCAAGAGCGATATGAATCAACCCCATGCAACAAACTTATGGATAAAACAAGTTTAACGAATCTTTTGAGATTCCCAGGATATAATCAAGCTGTCATTGGTGATGCCGCTGTACTTTCTTGTGGTTGTTTGACTTCAGAAGCAGTGTTTACCAAGGAGTATACCGAATGTTGCCCCAATTGCCACGCTGAAGATGTTTCACTCTTAGCACCAGTTGAGCCACTACGCCAATTGTACCGATTTATTGACCTCCAAGGGCAGAGGAGACCATCAAATAGTGATCGAAGTCGTCGAAGTACTGTAAAGAAGAGTATCAAGGGTGACGATGGATCGACCCAATTGCCCTCCAAGGTGACTGAATCGATGAATTTATTGACCTTGTTTCACAAATATGCCAAGGAAGAACAACTGGGTGTGTCTGAAGCTGAATCTAATTCCACTGTTGCAGCAGTTGATATTGCGAAACTGAAGTCATTTGAGGACGCTTCTCGTGTGCTTAAGGGCACGCCATCCCAACACTCTGTCTCAGTATCGCCTCAGAATCTTCTTCACCAAGGCTCAGACTTGGTGCCTTCAAATTTACCAAAACAAGATCCGAATTTCGAAACCCTACTAGAGTATGTTAGCGAGCAAAAAGAATATAACTTTAGCAAGTGCTTTCCATTCCATCGAAAAGTTTGGTCATTTCCAACACTGCAATTGAAATTGAATTTGGGCTCGGTGAATCCATTCAAATTGGGTGCATTTGGTATTAAAAAATCTATCAACTCTTCTATTCACACGTTTATTGACTTCCACGCGGGCTTAGAGATAACTCGATTTGTGCTATTGAGTGAAAAGAAATGGGAACTATATGAATATTTGCTACCGTCTAGAGAAACCAGCATAGCTCATACCAAGCCTGTGCTATTATGCTGTGGAAAGCTGACTGGTGAATTCGGCGAGTCACTGAATAATCTTAAATCTGTTGATACACCAGGTGACCATGAAACAGTGAAATCGAACGAATTTGGCAACACTGCAAAAGCTGATAATCAACTACCGAAGAACAACTTGAAGAAACGATTGGAATCGTGGGACCAAACTTATTGTCATCTAACAAGAAACTTTCTAGTAATCTCGGGTACAAAGGGGGTTATGAGAGTAATCAATATAAGTCTGGAGGGACGGTATCAAATGGGTGAGCCAATTTACACGTATTTATCGAATTTCCCAATTAGATGTATCGCAATATCTCCCAATGAAAATCTTATCGCTTGCAGCATAACGGGGAGAGAAAGGATCTCTGACAAGGAGCAGCCGTTTATTGTTTTGCATAGGATGATAGTGAACGCTGAGCAGTGGGTTAATTTCGGCGATCCAATATTAATAACAGTACCTTATCGTGATCCAATTAAGCTTGTTGAATTCAATGCATTATCATCGCATATTATATGCGCAACAGTGTGGGAATCGAGATACATCATCATTAAGTTGAAAGATGGAGAAAAGGGATACCAGCGTCCCCGTTTAGTTTGGTCTGAGTTACCTTTCAAAAGTGGGTCAAGACAAGATGATGAAGGAAATCCGATATCCGGCCGAGAAGAATTATTAGGCACCGATGACGAACTAATGATGGCAAGTGAAGGTATCACAGAGGTACAGTTTGGAAACAAATATTCCAACACAATTATAATCACCTCTAATTACTTGGGATACAGGCCACCAGTGTTGATCCGCTTGCACGGTACTCAAATTGACTCTGCCAAGCCTAACCCAAGTAATGATAGTCTTAGTATAGAAAATTCCTTTTCAAATCATGACAGAGATGACGATGATAATGGCGACTATTCAATGTTGAAGTCGTCTGAAGTGCTTCAAAGGTTTTCGGAAGTGGGATCATCGATTCACGTGGCAGCAATATCCCCTAGAGGCGACGGCATTGTGTTTGCTGACAAAGACGGACATTTATATCTAGTATCAGCCCCCAATTTGAGTTCACAATCAGGTACAGGCCTGCCTAACAAGAAGACGGTTGTGTTGTTGGGAGAAGTGGCAAATGCAGAGAGGTATACTGAAGCTGCATCAATTCAATTTCTGGCGGATGGAGGCAAAGTGTTTGCAGTAGACAGAAAAGGATTATTTCAAGTTTTCGACTTCACAAAGGGCGTACCAGGAAAAGATTTGGATGTTGTCAAGTGTAAAATAATCAGTGTATAGAGGACTCAAATGTGGTTTTGTTATTTTCATCCTTTGCGCTGAATATAGATAGCTCTTCTCGCGCCACACTTTTTTTTTCCACTCGTCGTTAAAAGTAGAACGAATGCATCGAAAAAAAGAAAAAAAAAAAAAAAAAAAAAAGCTAAATGGACCAAATCGAACACACTCTCTTTACACTTTAAAATCACTCATCAATAATTATGTCTAACCCTACTCCTCCTCCTTCATTAAATAACGATATCTTGGAACTCATTGGAAACACTCCTTTAGTCAAACTAAACAGGATTCCCCAATCATTGGGTATCAAAGCAAAAGTGTATGCGAAAGTTGAGTTGTTCAACGCTGGTGGTTCAATCAAAGATAGAATCGCTAAAAATATGGTTCTCGAAGCTGAAAAACAAGGAAGAATCAAGCCTGGCTACACTTTGATTGAACCAACTTCAGGTAATACAGGTATTGGTTTAGCGTTGGTTGGTGCTGTGAGAGGATACAGAACCATTATCACTTTGCCTGAAAAGATGTCTAACGAGAAAGTTTCTGTTTTGAAAGCATTAGGAGCAGAAATTATTAGAACTCCAACTGAGGCCGCATTTGATGACCCAGAATCGCATATTGGGGTTGCTAGAAAATTGGAAAAAGAAATCCCCAACTCAGTTATTTTGGATCAATACTCAAACGAAGCTAACCCTGATGCTCACTATTATGGTACCGGTTATGAAATTTGGGAACAAACTGGGGGTAAGATAACCCATTTGGTTGCTGGTGCTGGTACCGGTGGTACCATTTCTGGTATGTCCAAGTATTTAAAGGAAAAGAACCCAAAAGTCAAAGTCACCGGTGCTGATCCAAAAGGTTCCATTTTAGCGGAGCCAGCAAGTTTGAATGATAGTACTGAAGGATATTTGGTTGAAGGTATTGGTTACGACTTTGTTCCTGAGGTGTTAAACAGAAAGTATGTTGACAATTGGATTAAAACTGATGACGCCGAATCTTTTAAATTGGCAAGAAGGATTATCAGAGAGGAAGGTATCTTAGTTGGGGGTTCTTCCGGCTCTGCACTCCAGGCTGCTTTGTTAGTAGCCAAAGACTTGACCGAGGATGATGTTGTTGTTGTCGTGTTCCCAGATTCCATTAGATCCTACTTGACGAAGTTTGCTGATGACGAATGGTTAAAGTCTAATGGATTCGCTGTTGAAGAAGATGAAGCCACAAACAAGACTGACGAGTTTTTGAATAATAAAACCATCAAGGATTTGGTTGCCGATAAGCCGCCCGTTGTCACCGTTACACTTGCTGACACAGTTGCCAAAACATTTGACCTTTTGCAATCAAATGGTTTTGATCAATTACCAGTTTTGAACAAATCGGGTCAATTAGTGGGGTTGATCACCTTGTCAAAGATTTTGAAATCTTTATCTACAAAAAACATTCAATTGACAAACTCAATCAGTTCAATCATTATAGATTTTAGAAAATTGGCCGATTTTGAAAAATCGAAGTCAATAAATAAAGAGTCTGGATTTACAAAGAGAAATTACGACATCATAACATTGGACACTAAATTAAGTGTATTGAACAAGTTTTTCGAAACAAACTCCAATGCCATCATTACTGATAAGGACTTGAAACCAGTTCAAATTGTAACCAAAGTTGATTTGCTTTCTTATTTGACTAAGAATCTTTCTTTTTAAATTTGGTGAATCCTTATAAATTGAAAATAATATATAATACATGACGAAGTTAATAGCCATATGTTTTCTTGATTTTTCACGAAAACTTCCATCTATTACCACAGTTTTCACATGTGCAAAATGTTGTCAAAGGCTCATCTGCAGACCTGGTTTGCATTTGATAGTAACTCACCTTCTTGTGCTTACATTTACCACATGTGAATCTATCAGTAACCGCTCTCTTTTCAGTAGCACCTTGCGCATCAAAAAGATTTTGTTTATGTAATTTTTCAATCTCTTTCTTCAATGCTTCAGGGGCCATTTCGTTGGGTGTCATTTTAATGAATTGAGACGCTGTGATTTGTTTGGATAAAACCCGTTCTCTCAACTCAGGATTCTTTTTATTTCGAAGATTCATTGTGAAACTTCTCAACTTGTTTCTATAAGAGTCATTGACTTTCAGATACTCACTTTTGAACACCTCACTTTCTATCTCTGAGGCAATCGTGATAATATGTTGAGGCGAATCGTTTCTCTCGACAGCCAAGGATGAGTACAACGCACCAACCGATGCATTACGAGTGGGGTTGTCATACAATGTAGTGTTGACTCCATCAGATTTTGCACTTCGTGGACCATTAAATGTCCTCCCGTTGACTGAACCGGTGCCCGATGTATCCGCATTTGGAGTCGTTGATGCAGGTGATCCTGAAGAAGCTGGAGTTGATGCTGTCGAGCTAGCTGCAGGTTTCTTTTTGCTGTTCTTTTCATTCTGAACCGCCTCCCTCCATCCCCTAATCATTTTTTTCACTAATGAAGATATCTCTTTGTTGTCATGACCTCTATATTTGTTCACCACCACACCAACCTTTGTTTCCCTCAACAACTTTTCCGTGGGAACCACTTCATCGTTTAAAATATTGAGTAATTTCAAAATTGTAGTATCCTCAGCAGATTTTTCAAGATTCGATATGGTGGACTTTACTTCTTTGGCATCCATACTTTCTTCCAAATACTAGCACAAGAGAGAGAGGGGGGAAAGATATCTAAGAAGAGAATTTGAAATTTTCTGTTCATGTTTTTTTTTTTGTTTCTTCTTGCCAATTCGTTAGCAGTGAAGACGACCAAACATCATCATGGATGGTAGAAGTACATGTGTATCGATTGGAAAATTTCCATTTGACTATACTGAAGAGCAGGTGTTGGAGATAGCGAGATCTGTGGGCCCAGTTCTTGACATAAAGTTATTATTTGATGAGTTGACAGGAAAATCAAAAGGGTACGCAATTGTAAATTATGGAGATGTTGAGACGGCAGGGTCTGCTGTACGAAACTTGAACTATACATCACTACCTAATGGGAGATTTTTGAAATGCGCCATTGTGAGTGATTATGAATTAATTGGAGACGAGGACTCTGCTTCCAAGTTGCCGCCATTACCATTGGGTATTCAAATACATCCAAATCAAAATGCATCACAGGTAATATCCAGCATACTTTCAAACATAGATTCTAACTCAGCTCTACAGATTTTGAATGAAATGAAAACCATGAGTCAAGAGAATCCTAAAGGTACCAAACTCCTACTTGAGAGGTTCCCGCAGTTGGCGTTGGCGATGGTTGAATTGGGGTTATTGACAAATACCACCAATCACGAGCTAATAGAGTTGACCTTGAACAAGAAACCAATTGAGTTGAAAAATTTATCGACTGATCATGTCAACCTACTACAGTCGGTTTACAACTTGCTGGACGATCAAATTAGTGAGTTAGACGAAGGTCAACAGGATATCGTGAAGCGCGTTAAAGTTGAAATAGAAAAGGGATCTTATGGTGATATTCTAAACACCAGTGACAACCATAATTGAGTTATATGTCTATAGTTTTTCACTGAATGAATCAAAAAAGTTGTTGTTATAGTAAAATCACCTGTAAATACTAATCTCGGCTCAATAAAAATGTGTTCCTCGGGTAAAAGAATAGCTTCAAAACCCAAACAAAAAATTTCTTCAAGCGGCTGAGAAAAAGTTGTCACACCTTTTGCATGTCTGATAGTTTCAGTTTGAATCACGATACAGAGGAAGAATGTCTTCACAGAGGAAAACCAGGGAGGAGTTGTTAGCTGACTTTGAGAATGATTTGGTCAAGTTTATTTCAATGTCATTAACTGTTGAAGGGCACGACGAGCCGTTGGTGTTTTCCAGAGATATGGATCCCATGCCGCAACGCCTTCATTTTATCTTACCAGAATATTCCGTTTATTACTTGACAATTAGATATAAAGTCAAACAAAGGCCATTAAAAAAGCTCACTTATCATCAAACGGTGAAGAAGGGTGTAGTCAAGGTTGATACCAGGGATTTGAAAATGATTGAGGATGCTGTGGTGAACGATCATGAGGATGACGGTGACTACCATGAAGTAACTTTTCCTGCTGGTGGTGTACCTGGAGGGTCCTTTTTAAGGGGGTTGTATCCAGCCAAGAGTACCATACGAGAAAATGGTGAGAAGATTTGGAGTTATAATTGGACAATCGAAATTTGTAAAAAGTCACAGAAGCCACTGGTTGGTGGATTTGATTAAATAGAATTATATAGAATGTAACTAATATCATTAAAGAAATCGTGCCAATTATAGTTGAACCATTTTCATGGTGGTTCGTCACGTCTATCCGCATCTCGCCCGAAACTTGGTGGTTGTGAGGACAAAAAAAACCAACACAAAGTAATTCCGAGTGCGCTTTTTTACATACATAGAGGATCTCTTCACATGTAAGCTACGGAATCAACGCGACTAGTAGGGGTTAGTTTCATAGTGGCAGATTATTCGAAATTAGGTCAACAGATTTCATTTGCTAATGCGATGGTGGATTTTAAATGAGGCGGGTGCCCCGGCATTGAGTTAGTAGTTTGCTCTCACAGTTCCTTCGCCATTGCCAACAACTTTTGCGGGTACTGAACATTTAGGTCTCATTCTTATGTTGACCAAATAGTTACTGCTCACATCCTGAGAAGACACACACCAGTTGAAAACCTCTGCTCTCTCTGTTAACTTCCCTGTTTTTTGCAATTTAAAATTACAAGTTGCACAAAAATTGGAAAGAGTAGTACGATCAAAAGGAAAAAGGGCACACGGACGCACACTTCCATATTTCCACATTTTGAACCAAACACTTTTATCATTTAACTCTTTAGTCACACTTTCCGTTATTCTCCTTTCATTGCCCCCCCTACTGACGACCACGACGTACACGACACTCATCGGAAAGAGCTAGACAGCATCAACCCAGATTACACTACATACAACCCCCCTCCTCACGCTCCTTAGTCCCCTCCTCTGAAATCGGAAAAAAAAGTGGCGCTTGATTCATCCTTATCACGTTACACAGCAACAATTTCTGATCAAAAGAGTTAACATTTTAACTACATCTACACCATTACCTTACTTTACCCTTTAAATTCATCACTTCCTACGTACCGCAGTTGATTTTACAATCATTACAATCATGAGCTCACCCAAAAGACGTATTGAAAAAGATGTTATGGCACTAATGATGAGTGATCATGATGTAACATTGATTGATGACTCGATCCAACAATTTTTTGTGATATTCCATGGACCGAAAGATACCCCTTATGAAGGTGGCGTTTGGAAGATTCGAGTGGAGTTGCCTGATCAGTATCCCATAAAATCGCCGTCAATAGGATTTACCAATAAGATATACCATCCAAACATCGACGAAGGTTCGGGTGCAGTTTGTTTGGATGTTATAAATCAAACTTGGTCGCCAATGTTTGGTTTATTAAATATATTCGAAAACTTTTTACCTCATTTGTTGAGATATGCCAACCCCAGTGACCCCTTGAATACAGAGGCGTCGAATTTGATGACAAAGGATGAGAATAAGTACAATGAGACGGTAAAGAAATATGTCGAGCAGTATGCAAGCCATATTCCTGACATGAATGGCGATGTAGAAAAAGATGGCGAAGATGACGAGGACGATGAGTTAAGTGATGTTGGAAGCTTATCAAGTGATGACGACGATGAAGATGGCGTCGCTGGTAATCTTGAAATGTGAGATGATATTCCTCCACTGCGTGTTGCCATTTGGAGGTTTTTGCTCCACAGAGTAAACCAAGAAGCTTTTTTACAGAGCAAACCAAGAAGCTGTTTCACTAGATTTTGAAGTACGTTTAATTACAGGCATCCTTTATCTTTATTAATGTTTCTCATGATTTTTATTTTTTGTCATTCAGGGGTTTTTATAGGTTATAAATTTGATTCATATTACGAATAGTATCGTGTAATTACTTACTTGCGCTAGACTCGCCTCTTGTAATCAGTTGTTGCTTGAAGAAGTGTGCATGTCTCGCTTTTGCAGTAAGAGAAATGTGTGCACTAAAAGTTTTTTGAAAAATGAGTGGAAGATTCAGATAACTCACAATTGATAGTTAACCCAGCACACAATATATTGCAGTTGGTAAATACTCCACGCAGAATGCAACTACCGAGTGATTCAGAAAAGCCAGCTCCAAAGAAACAAAGAATATCGAACGATGATTTGTACCGAAATTCTACCCAGTATGGAATATGGTCTTTTACACATGAAGAGCTCGCGAGAGCGAAATCCAATGCAAATCAACTGGGGGTAAAAGCAGCTAAGGAAAGGTTTCAAAAAGCTTATGATAAGGCCAAGAGTGATAATCCCGATGCATTTGCCAAGTTTCCAAATGATCTTAACGAAGAGATGATTAGCTTATTGAACCTAGAGGAAGAAACCACATATCTTGAATTTTATATCCAAAATATCACCACAACATGTAATTTTTTCAAGATGCCTACACAGGTAAGGCTAACTGCAGCTTCATTTTTCAAAAAGTTTTACTTGGCCAACTCAGTAATGCATTACCATCCTAAGAATATACTATACACCTGCATTTTCTTAGCCGCAAAGTCAGAAAATTACTTTATTTCGATAGAGTCGTATGTGAAAGCACTCAAGGGTGTTCAAACACTGGATATATTGGGCTTGGAGTTTATTGTGTTACAAAGCCTAAAATTTACGTTGTTGGTGCATCACCCTTTTCGACCATTACACGGCTTTTTTCTTGATTTCCAAGCTGTTTTGTTGCATCCAAGTCCTGCCATGTATGATGTATCAGCCGATACCATTGGAAATTTATACAATAAGGCTAAAGAGTGGTTGAATAAGTATTATATGTTTAGTGATGTTGCTTTCTTGTTCACTCCACCACAAATAGCTTTGGCGGCAATGTATGACTGCGACCGAAGAATCACTGATCGATATTTGAAAAGAAAGTTTTTAAAAGACGACAACGAGGATGAAAATGTTGGAGACCAGAAGGATGCACAAGAAGAAAAGAAGCAAGATGATGTGGAGACGCAAGATACAGAAAGCGTGGTGGATGCAAAACTTGGAGCTGAAACAGAAGCTGAAAATGGTTCTTTATCTAAGCATATGCACAAGCGGGAACAATACGAATCATTGGTTCGTACGATACGGAAATGCGCCAAACTAGCCAAAAATTTACCAGTAGCTGATCGAGAGAAAAGCAAGGAGATCGATAAAAAATGTTTCTTTGCCTTGAATCCAAAGAAGTTGATTGACAAGCGTATCAAAAGAATAACATCAGCAACTACGTAGGGAAGCTAGAGTTTTGTACTGTGCCTGTGGAGTCGAGACGTGGTGTTTGGAACAGCCTGCTGAACACATTTTCATCTTTAAGACTCCACTGAAGCAATGCTCAAAGTCGCTTCCTAACTAGGCTGTCAAAGAGTACATTAAAGTATATATTGTTTTCAAATGACCAGTGCAATTACACAGTTAGAAATCACATTTGAGCGTGTCTTTTATATGCCTTTTATGTGCCTTGTAGTAATAGTTCTTCGTTCCTGTATGTTTTCTGCACTAATCGCCTATTTAGAGCAGAATATGGTTTTCCGTTGGCTCTTCATTTTTTATCCGATCTTGTCCATCCCTACGAACAATTATTCATTCTGTCACACAAACATAATTCGATTGCTGCGTGTATTGTTTTTGACAGGCAACGGACTTCTCATTAATTTGCCAGATTTGTCTCCAATACAAAAAGAAAAGCAATTGGTCTCTTTTGGGGAAATGTTTTCCAAAAGACTTTATTCCACACTACAAGCATCGTCGAAAATGGCTTCTGTTTTGAAAAATAAAGACTTGTTAAAAACACAGGGATTTATCAACAATGAATGGGTTAACAGTTCCTCAAGTGATACCTTTGAAGTGAAAAATCCGGCATTAGAACCCAAAAAAGAGTCATATTTAGCAACCGTGCAGTCTATGAGTGGTGATGATTACGAGAATGCTATTGCTGCCGCTAGCGAAGCATTCAAAACATTTGGTAAGAGTACGGGGAGATACAGATCAAACTTATTGTACAAGCTTTACGAATTGATGCTTGAGAATCAGGATGATTTAGCAAAATTGGTTGTTTTAGAGAATGGTAAACCTTATGCTGATGCATTAGGAGAAGTCAAGTATGCTGCCTCTTTCTTTCAATGGTACTCAGAACAGGCTCCATCGGTACAAGGTGATATCTTGCAGTCGGGAAACGCAGACAACATCAACATATTGGCTTTGAAACAACCAATTGGAGTATGTGGTATAATGACACCATGGAATTTTCCCTTGGCCATGATTACGAGAAAGTTGGGTGCTGCAGTTGCTGCAGGGTGTACCACTGTTATCAAACCAGCCACTGAAACTCCATTGTCGGCCTTTGCTTTAGCCCAGTTGAGTGTTGACGCTGGTTTCCCCAAAGGTGTCATTAACGTATTAGCATCTCATGACCCAGCTAAAGTTGGTAAATTGATTTGTGAGCATCCAACCATCAAAAAAGTCTCGTTCACTGGGTCAACTAGAGTTGGGAAACTCTTGATGCAACAATCTGCTTCCACTTTGAAGAAGATCTCGCTTGAATTGGGTGGAAATGCGCCTTTCATCGTTTTTGAAGATGCTGATTTGGATAAAGCTGTCACTGGTGCAATTGCAAGTAAATTCAGGTCAAGTGGTCAAACGTGTATTTGTGCAAATAGACTTTTTGTCCATGAATCTATTTATGATGAATTCACTGCAAAATTCGTCAAACAGTTGAAAGAGAAAATTGTGTTGGGTAATGGTTTGGACAAGGATACGACTTATGGGCCAGTGATTCATCAAGGGTCAATGGAAAAGATCAGAAACCAACTTAAAGATGCTTTGGACAAAGGTGCCAAATTGTTACTAGGTGGTGACAAGCGTCCAGATTTGGGAGAAAATTTCCATGATCTAACTGTGTTGGGCGATGTTACTCCCGAGATGGAGATTTTCAATGAAGAAACATTCGGCCCACTTGCTCCATTTATCAAGTTTTCCAGCGAGGAGGAAGTTCTTAAATTGGCAAATGATACACCTGTTGGTCTTGCTGGCTACTTTTACTCCAAAGATTTGGATAGAGTGTTTAGAGTTGCAGCAGCATTAGAAGTTGGTATGATTGGTGTTAATACCGGTGCCATTTCCGAAGCTGCATTACCATTCGGTGGTGTCAAGGAGTCAGGATTCGGAAGAGAAGGATCTAAATTTGGTGTTCAAGATTACTTGATTATCAAGGGTGTTGTGTTGGGTAAGGGTGAGTAGACATAGAGTTACTTAGCAATCACGGCCAATTGGGATAGCTGTATATTGTATATTAATAACTCGACACTACTGAGTATAAAGGTCATTGGGTGTTCCAGTACTTGCATCATCTTTATACGCTTCAAGCTGGTTTAATACAATAGCAGTCTCGTCAGCCTCTACCACTTCCACATCATTGTCTCCCTGTGCGACAACAGCCTTAATTTCGGAATCATCTGCAACGCCTTTCTCGTATTCAGTGGTGTCGAGTTTCTTTACGTCCTCGATTTTTGCAACAAACAAGTTGGGAATTTTGAAATCCTTGGCAAATGTGTACGTGTTCTCTATGAGCCTGAACCTCTTACCATTTGAGTCTATCTCCTTCGACAATCTCGAGTCGAGCCCACTTAGATCCGTTCCACTTTTCAACAATGTATCCCACTCTTTATTCAATGCCGTGATTCTATCATTTTCGGCCCTTCGTAAATCAACCTTCGCCTCTCTTTCCTTTTCCACATCCTTGCGTAATTTCTCCAAAAAATCATTACGATTCAAATGTGATATTTTTGGAACCTCCAAACTTCTTTTCTTGAATATGCGTCTCAAGTTATCATTATTTTCAACATATTTGGCGCAATTAATTGACTTGAGTGTAAGGGAATATAATCCACCTTCCCTAGTGACTCCGTTGACTATTGAGGACGGAAAGTTCTTCAAAGTCATTACCGGCGTTTCGTACTTTGTTGGTGGAAACCGTGGAGTCTCAACCACTGATGGTCGCGGTATAGCAACAGGCTGGTTTCTTTTCTTATAAGGGTGTCTTCCCATTTCGTTGTGTATTGGTACGTTTTGTTGTAACTTCCAAAATGTAAAATGAATTTTGGTTTCTCATTGTGATGCTACCAAATTTAATCCATTTGAAGAGAGATCAATTTGCTCATTTAGATCCAACCATATCGACTATATAGGGTACACATCACTAATGGTCTCAAGTCTAGATGAATTAAGCAAGAAGGTAGGGGACACCAACCAAGGGCTAGCCTCAAGGAGCTCGCTAAGACCTCCGTCACTGTCACTTCGACCCCCACCAACTGTTTCAAATGGGACATTCCCTGCATTAAACTCGGCTCAACGTGCAGCAGGAGGAGAAGTTACAGCATCCTCACTATCTCCATCATTTACATCACCTTCATCTCAAGCACGTGCTCGACAAAAAGTAGTGCTACAGCCAGGTCACTCTCCGTTGGATTGGGCGCATTTGAATAGAACTCAACCTAGACACAAATTAAGAGGTGTTGATCCATCTACACCACCACCGCAATACGTAAAAATCAATAAAGAAGAGTTGAAAAAACACAAGAGCCGATCTGATTGCTGGACTTGTATAAATGGGAAAGTTTTCAACATAACTCCGTATGTCAATTTCCATCCTGGTGGAGTTGAAGAGATAATGAAATGTGCTGGTAGGGATGGCACTAGCTTGTTTAATAAATATCACAGTTGGGTTAACGTCGACCGAATGTTGGAGAATTGCATAATTGGTGTATACGTGAGTTAATAGACTCTTTTATTTCCCATTTCATTCTTCAAATTTGTGGTAATGAAGGAAATGTACGTGAGCTGGTTATTATCTGATCGAGACCGTAATCGTGATCCTCGACTGGCAAGCTGTTTTCCGGAACAATTTGTTCTTGTAACGCAAGGCCTATCAAAGCTGGTAATTTAGACCATTTTTGCTTGTAAGTTGATAAGAATTCATCGTAAAACCCAGCGCCGTGGCCTAATCGTTGTAAAGTGGTTGAAAATGCTACTCCTGGTAATAAGATGAGATCCAAATCCCCCAATTCTAATGCGTCCTCACCAACGGTTGGTTCGAGTAGCTGGTACTTACCTTGTGGTTGCAACTGTAAAACATCGTCATAGGTGGCAATCCTGAGCATGGAGAGATGGTTTGGTTTCCGATGCTTCACGGGCACTGTATTGCATCGGGGCAAGTAAACCAATTTGTTCAATTGAAAGCATTGCTTTAGGATAGGAAGAGTTTTAATCTCCAGATCCGGCATATTCATAAACACAGCTACTGATTGTGCATTTTGAAATGTGGGATTATTGACAAGTCTTGATAAAATGTGTTGCGACTGAGAAGCCAATGATTCCTGTGAGATTGTTTTGAGGCTGGCTTTGATTTGATTTCGTAGCTGTTTCTTTGCTGCTTTGACGGTCAATGATGCTCGCACAGTCATGGTTATGTAGAAGAGTAGGGAAGTCACTAGGGTTCAATTTTTTTCTTTCTTTTAGCTCCGCAATCTGCGGAACATCTAACCAGAGTAAAGATGTGAAAGTGCACAGCTACGTATCCACTACTCAAGCAAAGTTATTAAACAAGTTGAACCTATTTACACACACCTAGCCCTTAATACTACGGGTACGGCCCTCCAACATCTCCATTACATCTCATCTTCTTTTTCGAATTCTTCAAGTTCTCTAATCTTTCTTCCTGGTCCATATCGTTCTTGCAACGGCACCAAAATTATACCCAATGGACCTTGATCGTAAATGATTCTGCTCCACCTATTGATGACACTCTCATACCAATTTTTAAGCCTATCATCCATGTCATTTGGTTTTTCAGACTTTTTCAAATCCATTCTCAACCCTTGACATCTTTCTATATCAGTTGACTTCTTTTGTATCGAGTACATATCAATTAAATTGTTCAACACGTTTTCTAGTATAGGTGACACTTTTGGTGATGATGCATGATCATAGTACAATTCATCCAAGATCTCTTCTGACCAGTTGATTGCATCTTGTTTGAAACCTTGCGCCCAAAGTATTTCACTAACATGAGCCTTGATTGAACAAATGTGAGTGATCAAGTTTTCTCGATCGACATTGAACAAAGGATAATTTGACTGATTTGCCTTTCGAGTTTCCAATTTCTCCCGAATGGTTGTCAAAGCTTGTAAAGTCGACAAATAAATTGCTAGCGATTCATTCAATAGCACTGGCTTCTTCTTTTTTGGTACAACTTGCGATATTTTTGCCAATTGGAAAGCCATATCGTTCAAGCAATTAATCAACTCATCGGATATTTTACTATTCTGTTTCAAGGTATAGTCCTCATTGATTTGAATTGACGAATATGTCTTTGACAACATATCAATCGATCTCTGTAAAATTTGTATTCTGTCGTTGGGATCCTGGCTCATCTTTGCCAACAATCGGCTGCACTCAGATAATCTTTCGGCGTCTCCCAACTTGTAATAAATCAAATCATCATCAATAATCTTTCTCAACGTGGCAATCGACGTGTTCAATTCCCCTTTGGCTAAAAGTGCTTTGCTGTATCTCAAAATCATGTCAATGTAAAAATTGGCAAATCGGTTTGATTTATCGTACACTAAAACTTTTGAATCAATGATGGGGATATTGTAGTTTTCAAATTGTGATTCATCTATACTTGGATCCACTTGTTTTGCCAAGTCAAAGAGGATCTTGCGATAATGTTTAACAGCATAGTTTGGTTTACCCAAAACGTCATGTTTATTTATCGCCTTGACCGCTTCAATTTGATCTTCGAAACTAATTTCAAATGGTATAGTCTGTCGTTCATTTGCATCGTGGTATAAAAAGTAAAATGACCCTAGCGAAACCAACAAACCTCCGATATAAGCTCCTGCAAGAATGTTGATAACTGTACCATACGATTTTAATCCTGCAGCTGCATTAGTGGAAAGTTTAAGGGTACGTATCTGCTGTAGCTGCGAACGCGTGCATGGCGATGCGTATGAGCTTGACAAAAGTGGTCGTCTCTGTAGTTGTATTAGTCGTGATCTAAACATGGTGTATAAGCTTGTAATGTCTAACAAAAAAATAAAAAAAAAAATTTCAGCATATATTTTGAATGTTTCCTCCTCCATCAAAAAGAGCAATTGTGGAGAAAATGCTGTATCATCATGATCTCCACAAATGACAGTTCAGCCGGATACCCGGTATTAAAACTGAGCTTAACGTTAAACCATATATCTTTGAACTCGCACCCAGAAGAAGTGTCACTACGACAAACTCAATCGAGTAGATCTAAACATGATTATCATCATGAGGAAATCAAGGTGAGATCAAGATCGTTGCCGTTCATCCACAGGTTCATCACTAATTGGCTAATCATGGATCCAGTGTTGAAACGAAAGTATCAAACTCATTCATCCTCAGGCAAGAACTATGAAATTGAAAAGGATCCAGATGTGAAGTTTGTCTTCTTTTTCGGTGGTCGCCTACTCAGCATCAAAGGTAAACCAATCAATATCATAACTGGTGCGTTAATTGTTATTCCTGTAGTAATCTATTGCATATTTGAAGCTAAGTGGCAGTGGCACCATTTGCTGCCGGCAGTGGTGATTACATTCATCTATATTTGGTTGCTTGCATTTTGTCATTTCTGGAAAGCTGCCACAAGCGATGCAGGTATGTTGCCGAAAAACTTGCATATTCCGAAATCTATAAACAATGAGAAAGTTGATAATCCGCCGGATGAATATTTCAATAGCATTACATTGCCATCATATGGAAACACCAAAGATGGAGTTGTCGTCAAGTATTGTTCAACGTGTCATATTTGGCGTCCGCCAAGAACAAGTCACTGTGGTACATGTCAAGTGTGTATTTTGAACCATGACCATCATTGTGTGTTTTTAAACAACTGCGTTGGGGAGAGGAATTACATGTACTTTTTGTGGTTTTTGTTGTTGGCTTGTGTTGGGTGCATTTACCTACTAATTATTTCAATAGTGCAACTTTGCTATTATCAAATTGGAGAGGTTTCCGATGTCGCAAGCATGTCTCAGTCTGTGAAACACTTTCCATTAAGTTTGTTTTTGATAATTTATTCAATTGTGGCGCTATTGTACCCCTTGTTATTACTTGCTTTCCATTTGTTCTTGACAAGTCAAAACATAACCACCAGAGAGTACTTGAATAATGTTTACAAAAGGAAACACAATGATTTCGTTAATGTATTTGATACCCACTCAATTGCAAAGAACTTGTATATTAATTGGTTTGGTTCTTCACGAGGTGTTAATTTAACATTTCCAAGGGATAAATATCAACCAGGTGACATAAGATATGAAAAGATCGAACCCCTAGAATTGTTCAGTATAGAGTATGAAAGGAAATGAGGTGCATATTTTTATTAGGGATATGATGGGCATAAATTGTATGGGGGTAAATTTGGTAGCGATGTGGTTTTCCTCAGCCCTGTCCAAGAATTTCTTTTTTTTTTTCTCTCTAACTTTATATCTCATACAATAATTCACCCAAGCATATCATAAAAACATATATATGGAATAGCAATCAGAGCAACATAGACTCGTCAAGGACAACAATACCCGATCAACTACTACCTATGAACATTATATGACAATAAGCTAAATCAACTCAGTAGAAAAGTTATCAATGGTGAACCGACATTTGCATTTGCATTTGCGCCTGCCGTCGGAGACATCTCAACCTCATGAAGGTGTACTACGACAGGGTAGTCCCCATAGTGACCTATCCAACAACCTTTCATTTCAATCCTTGGATAATTATCGACTAAATTCACCCACATCAGACCATAATGAACCACAAGTAAGATCACGAGCACCTTCTTCACCGCCATCACCACCACAACCATTTCAGCGTCATCGTCATCGTGTCACTAGTATATCATCAAGAACAGCCACTAGTCCTGTTGCCCACTCGCACCATAGATTTCCTCATGCAAGACCATTGGCTCGTTCGCATCTGACTCGTGGATATATATCGCCTTATTCAGGATCAATAACTCGATCGCCGCTGATTGAATCTATTGACCCCATGGATGAAGAACATCAGAACCCTCATTTGATTAATGCAATACTTGCGCAACCAACAAGGCCAGCAAGTTTCGTGTCAACGTCTGCTCAAACTATGTTTACGGAGTCGCAACGTGGTGGATCAGTATTGAATAGAGCTACAACTACATACACCACTACTCCCAATACCTCGAAACCGCGTGCAAACAATATCCTAAATTTGTCACAGCGGGTATTGACTTGGTTGTACTCTATTTCATTGATCATCATCATTATTATCATGTTGGCATTCATTGCCGTCACACCCATTGATGTCATTGTACAAACTTTGAAAGCAACCAATGCTATTGCAGTCAAGACTTTTCTTGTTATTATTGTTTGTGTGGCGTTTTTATTCTTTTCATTGGTTATGTATTTGGGTAGAGTTTATTCGTTTAGAGTGGCCATGAATGATGTTTCATCAAAATCGTTATATATCCCATTTGAAGGCGACTATCCCAAGGATGTTTTCCATTATATCGATCTCAAGTTGAAACATAGTGTTGATGTTGGACGAAAAGCTGGTCCTTTGCATCAAAACTACCCTTTAAATCATTCTGGGTTATCACCGCCAGAATACATTCAGAATCGTAATCCTGGTTTGGAAGGGAAACTTCTACCACCAAATATTTCTTATGAAGATGTGTTGCAGAGTCTCAGTGACAAGTTCCAAATTGGCAAAGTATTCACAGTTGATGACCTACCGGTGAATTTATCAGTTAAGGAGATGTTGTTGTCTATTTATAAACAGATATTGGAGATTGAAGATCCCGGACATGTAACAAAAAACATGCCAAATATTCCCAAGTTGATTGCCACTTATGAAAAATGCCGCTTTGGAGGCAAGTTGATTGAAGAGAAGGATATGTTTACCTTAATGGTTGAAATTGACAAGTATGGGCAATTGTGTCAACATGACTTTCAACTGAAGTTGCCTCAAAAGAGGAGAATGATTAGATCCAGTCAATCGTCAAATACTTATGATGCTGGAGAAGGTGGTTATTTGTCGAGCAATGACTTGCGTTTTTTCAGTAGTGCCGTGTTTGATGACCTGAATGATTATGCTGCCCAGTATGATCAGTATGGTTATGACTACGACGAATATGATGACGACGATGATGAAGACGAGGAAGATACATCGACCACTGGTGACTGCTATCAACCTCAGCAGGTGACTGATATCGCTCAACTGAAACCGTTTACGTTTAAACCTCATTATCATGCATCCAAAGACGATCAAGATCGAAGTGGGCAGCTACAACACCAGCAGCAACAGCAGCAAAAACTGGAAGAGGAGTATGAACAATTATATCGTCCTTTGAGAAGACAATCAAGTATCAGCTCCTCCAAGTCGGTGATTCGAAACAAGTTGGCATTGAATCATAATGCTAGCAGGCACACATTGCTGCATTTGACGTATGATGGTGGCGATGGATTGGGTGATACTCATTCGTTGTTTAGACATCGTAGTGGATACGTTACCGATTCGGAAAACGAAGATGATTTTGATGATGATGGTGCTGATGGTGATACGAGGTATGCACCAGTTCCTCGCATACGTGTTCATGGAAGGGATGAAGAGGACGTGCATGACGGTACGAATGGTGATGATGGAAACGGAGACAAACAAGAAGAAGAAGAAGATGATGATGATGATGATGATGACGACGACGACGATGAGAGTTTTTATCGATTCAGAAGACGAAATATCCATCAATCGAGACCAATCACTCCTGATAGGTCACCCAATCGATAAGAACATAAACAATGTTGATCCGAGACGGGACACTCAGGACTTTTGAATTTACGCCATTACACATATATGTATTTATTTAATGATTAATTTTATGAACATTTACGCTTCTTCTTAATACGTAGAAGGGATAATGTGTAGCTTTTGCTGAAAGTTTATCCGGAGAGAAAAAAATAACCTTCTTTTAAAGTCCGGATTAAAACGAAAACCTCCTTGAAAAAAAAAAAAAAAAAAAAGAAAGCTAAATTAAAATAAACTTCTTCCTTCCAACCAACCAGCAGATAAACTCACAATTCATAGTGTAACAGTAACTATCGCTTCATTATAACCACTGTGTCTCAAACGAACTGCCTCACTCATTACGTCTTTCTACATTTACTTCCACAACTTTGTTGTTCATTGCACCAATTTTCCCACAAGTCCCGAGAATCTTATATATATGACATAAGCAAAGTAAAAATATACTTCAAAAACATCCACGAACACTCACTACAGTTTTAAGCAATGTCATCACCACAAGTCAAGTCACCCTCTCAAAATACTGGTTCATCTTTATTACCAGAAGACTACCTCTATTACTTGGACTATCTACCAGATTTACAAAAGTGCATCAATTTATTCATGACTTTCACGCCGCTCTTCTCATATGGATCAACATGCATATCAATCTACAAACGACAAACATCTTTGGGGTTCAGTATAGACATTTGTGGCACAATGTTTATGGCGAGCATATTGCGTATTTTCTACTACTTGTGTCAACCATATGAGATAACCTTGTTGCGACAATCAATAGTTATGATTATTATCCAGTTTTTTTTGCTTCGAATAAGTTTACGATATCGTCCTCATAATTATGATCCAGAGTTGCTCACTCCATTACCGAGATGGGATCAAGAATTTGAAATGAATTTACCACGCCGATTAAGTGCTCTGAATTATATTGTTGAACACAAGAATTATACATCGTTGGGGTTACTCAATCGGTTGGTTATGCAGTTGAATGATGGTGTTTGTGTAAGTTGGAGTTATTTCAAAACTGCGTTTAAACAAGTATTGAGATTATTTGACGTTTACTATAAACGACCAGGATTGTTTTGGCAATGGTTGGATCAATCTTCATATTGGATGTTTCTTGGTGGATTTACAACTGGTTTTGCAATGTTGACACTAATGTTCCATAATAATGTCACTTATGCAAATACCATTGGCATATTGGGTCTCTTCATTGAATCATTGTTGCCGATCCCACAAATTCTCATGTTGAATCGGATCCAATCGGTTGAAAATTTCAAAATCATTTTGCTCCTATCGTGGCTAGGTGGTGATTGTACAAAGATTTCGTACTTGTTATACGGCACCAATGACGTTTCGATTATTTTTATAGCTGCCGGGTTATTTCAAATGAGCTTGGATGTATATATTGCATTTCAGTACTTGTCATTAAAATATGGGGATTCATGGTTTAAGCAGCAAATAATGGGGATGGAAACTAACCCCAATAGGAAATCAGTTGATGATATTGTTGATAACTTGGTATTGAATGCTGCTAGCAATCCTCATGGAATGTATCCAAGAAGTAGCAACGGTGAACAAGAAGAAGAATATGAAATGAGTGTATTCGATTCTGAATGCAAGAGTCGATCAGCAAGAGGGTCCCCATAAGAGCCGCAAATAGAATACTAGAAAGCTTGGAAAAAAAAGTTATGTACAAGTTTTTAAATTCAATTTGTAACTATGTATATCTATGTATAGAGGTTGCATCAGAGAAAAAGTGTGCATCGCATTGCATCCCATCGTGTACTTAATCTGTTTCTCTCTCTCTCTCTCTCTCTCTCTCTCTCTCTCTCTCTCTCTCTCTCTCTCTCCCATTGCCCTCCTTATGCAGCAACGGCAACTGTGACCGGATGATATTCAACGTTTTCCTTTGCTTCATTAATTAACTCCAATGCTTCATCACCAACAATGTTATGCTTAATCTTGATATGTCTTGATAAGGCATCATTTCTAGAAAACGTCTTTTGTTTACCATTGCCCAAACCTCCTTTATATCTTCCTTCACATATGACACATCTATAAATCTTCTTCATCGATGCATGTATGGTGTTTTGATGTCTAATCAAATCATATGGTCGTGAAAATTGCTTATTGCAAGTTTTGCCTGTATTTGGATTGATCAAATCACAACGATGATCTGGATTATTGGCAGAAATTTCAGCACCCAACTTGTAAGGGTGTTCATGATCAACATCTTCCTTCTTGACTTTGATTTTTTGACGCCCTTCTCTATCAAAATTTTCATCATCATCAGAAACATCAACCATCATCGCATCCTCGTCATCTTCAACATCAGTATGCCCTGAAAAGTGGTCATCTTCTGGTTCTTGTTTGATATGTATTGTATCCACATTAGTCATTGCGGTAGGATCAATTTCGACAGGTGTAGATGCTGATGACAAATCAATAGACAAGGGTGAAACTTCGGAAACTATAGGTTGAGACTCCAACTCGTCTTCATTATCAACCTTGATAACCGCCTCGTCATGCAACTCTTGCAAAGCAGGATTACCCAAATCATGATGATTTTCGTCATGTAGCTCCAGTTGTTGTCCTTGTTGGTGATGCTGTTGTTCTTCATGTTGTTGGTTCTCTTGGTGATGTTGATGATCCTCCAACGATATATTTTTAAAAGCATCAAAAGTTGAGTACTCATTAGAATGGTTATTAATGATATTGTACCCAGAATTGCTCATGATATAATCATCAAATTCTTCATCAACATGGAAATAATTATCCTCATCACCTTCGTCATCAGATAAATCTTCTTCAATTTCTTCATGTTCGTCATCCAAATACAAATAATCATTTTCAAACCCTGGAATAATGTCATTTTCAAATTCCTCTATTGAATTAGCATTGATAATATCATTATTGTTACCCGGTGGAACATAAAATGCATCATCAAACTCTGAAGCGTGAATAACTTGACCTGGTGACACATCAGGATTATACAACAAGTAGTCTTCATCTATGCTCTTTTTCTTGTCACCAGTTGGTTCCAAATCGTCAATAGTAGTTATTCTCTTTCTCCTCCTTTGTGGAAATGATTGAGGTAAAGGTGGAGGCTGAGGAAAGGAACTGTTGCCAAAACTAGGGCTGTGTGATCTATATAATGAAGATTGCATGTGTTGTTGTTGTTGTTGTTGTTGTAGTTGTAGTTGTTGTTGTTGTTGTTGAGAAAATGCTTGCGATGGTCTTATGAATGAGTTTGGATTGGCATAATTTGTAAATGGGTTGATATAAGTTGGTTGTGAATCTTGTTGATACTCAGAGTCTGATATTAGTGTTGGTTGTTGTTGTTGCTGTTTAAACTGATCAATACCTTCCTTAGAAGTAATTTGCTCAAGAAATGAATCAGGAATATTTAGCATATTACCTAAATTGTTACTTGAGTTGTTTTGATTTACAGCATTATTATAAAAGGAAGAGTCTTTGGTGGTGGTGTTAAGTTGAGCAAAAGGTAGATTAGGTGATGAGCTGATTGAGTTTCTATTAGACGAGTTATGGTTGTAGTTGGTGGAAATAGTAGTAGTATTGTTGTTTAAAGTGAATCCATCGTTGAAATTGTCACCAGCTCCTTCTTGCTTATTATTATTAGTGGTGGTGGTGGTGAAAATGGGTGATGATGGTATCTGATACAACTCTTCATCCATCATATCAGTCATAGTTCTTTTCAACAGTGGTAAAACAGCTAATGAAGTCATGCTGTTGTGGTTGCTATTGATGTGTTGCTGTTTTTTTTCTGTTATGTTGTAACGTGTTTAAGTTGTTTAAATGTATTTAGGGTATAAAGTAAATGAATAAAGTTGTTATCCAGTTGAGGTATAAGGGAGTGGTATTGTAAGTAAATTAGATGATGGATGTGTATGGTTTGTATGGTGTATAGTGTATTGTATAATTATAAGAAGAAAGTGATGATTGTTTGCTAGTTTTATCTGCTCTCCTTTTCCGTATTATATTTATGTGTATATATATATATGGTATCAATTTCTTTTTTTTTTATTTTTTGAGGTAATTACTAAGAACATACACCACTAGCGGTTTATATACAGGAATTGCTAATGAAACTAACTAACTAACTAAATACACAACTAGACAGTAGCAACAAAGTAAAAGTTATTTTGAAAAAGACGTTAAAGATGCATGTGATATAGAATATATATATATGCAAAGTAGATGACTAGTAGTAGGTGGCAGTGGTAGCAAGTGTGACCCTATATGTATGTGTATATATGTGTGTGTGTGTGTATATATGTGTGTGTGTGTGTGTGTGTGTGTGTGTGTTGTGAGTCTTAGTGTGTCTTAGTGTCTTAGTGTGTGTGTCTTGTGTATTGTTTTGGGCTGTGTCTCACTTTGCAATAACAATACTTTGTATTGTGTAAGTAAAAATTGTTCCACCATCTTCCATTTTAGGTAATTAGTACACTACTACTTACTATTATTATATGCAGTATTACTTAAATTACTTACGCAACTCTGTCTCTCTGTCTCTCTGTCTCTCCGTCTTTGTCTCGTATAAAGATAATTATGTTGACACGTACATCTTGTTCAATGGTTTGAGAGACATAGATAATACTACTACCAATAGAAGTTGGTAACTAATACTAACAACAGCAGTTAAAAGATTACACGCTTCTCCCTTCTTGCTTCCTTTTATCCTCCCCTCCCCCCCCCCCTCTTATCCTCTTCTCCTCTTTTCCAATCACAAGAGGTAGGGAGTTATGTGTACATTTCCCTTCTCCTTCCCCTCCTTGTACAGTTGTTGTATGTGTTATGTTTTTTTTTTTTATGACTCAACACCCAACCCCACACATCATTCATCGTATAAACTACTCTGAATATATGAGCATACTCATATTCCACGTCCCCATTGGACTCGTCGTAATCAGTTTACTAATGAAACAGGCATGACCTTCTTTTTTATTTTATACCTGTTGTTGTTGTTGTTATTGTTGTTGTTGTTGTTGTTGTGTGTGATATATCCTTTCCCGCTTTCCTATATCCGTTTCTTGGCAATTTAAGTCATGGTACATAATTGACTCAAAGTATTGTTATCTCCGAAACATATAAAAAATCTCGGATCTATTACTCAATGAGGTAAAACACGCATCGGCAGCACACTTTTACTTTACATTACGACGCTTCAGTTTTAACTAGATTGAATTAAATTACCTTATGTAAAAAACATACAAGTACACGATCTTATTAGCAAAGACTATAGATTTCTTCTTTTATCCTTTTTCTTCAGCCCCAGTCTTCAAGGTTTCACTGTGCTGGTGATGGTGTGGGTTGAAGTAACCATAACAACATCAGTTTCAAACACTGTTACTGTCTTGATAAGTCCATGCTTGGATGTGGTTTTGGAAGCAGTGGATGTTTGCATAGTGGTCGACTCAACTGTAGATGTGGTTGATGGTAATGGGTCAATTCCTGGAATACCTGGGATTGGCTTGCATGGTTTACACTCTGGTGGCATACCTGGTTGTGGTGGTGGTCCATTGTATTGCACTGCTCCCAAATGAACTTGAGGAATCTCTCTACTCTTGTCACTGACAATTTCAAACTTTGTAGGGTCATAACCAGTTCCAATTTCAAAATGATGTGAATACAACCCAGTCCACAAGGTTAAAATACCATACTTGGCATCGTATTCCCATGCTGGTTTTCCTGACACTGAATTGTACAATGTAGCTGTAAACCCAATCTTGTTGGAAATACCAGTGTCATAAGTACCAAAACCTCTCACGTGGTATGTTAAAGGATTATTAATCGACGGAATTGCCATGATTGAAGTTTCACCATTGTTCAAGTACAAGATTTGATTCTCTGAAAATGGCACAGCATTGTTCATCAAGTAGAATGATGATTTACCCAGTGCAGTAAAACAACCAGTTCCCAACACACCAGCAAGCTGATGCCAATTTTGATTGGTAAAACAAACTTGTCCATTATTCACCAATGTCTTTGCATCCTTACCCAATTGGACAAAACTATCACTCTTCAATTTTTGATAAAAGTGAAGATATCCATTATTATGCCAATCTTCAGCCTTGATTGCACTTACGACTGAACCTTCACCAGAAGCAGAAAAGAACAAGTCACCATTGTTTTCAAACTTGTTTCCAACAATCCAAAATGTATATGTTGGAGCAGCTTTTAAAGCATTGAATGAAACAATACCATCATTGATAAATGAATGAATCAGATCTTTTAAAGTGGCCGATAAATAAATATCTGGCGCAACACCAGAAATGTACAACCCACCAGTCTTGTCAATTTGAATGTTTCCTCGAAAATTTGCATAAGCATTGTTGATCATTGACCAAATGGAGTTGGGAAAGACATGGACGTCTCCAAAACTAACATCTTGAGCATTCCAATCAATAGTTACACCACCATGGAAATCCTTACCCCAAACAGTGGCAACCAACAACCCCAACACCACAACCTGAATTTTCACTAAAACCAACATAGCAAAAGATCAATTAATAAAAATTTTGTTCACTAAAAGAATAAACGACTTATAAAGGGAAAACCTCAAATATAATCTTCAGTGATTGTTGTCAAACCTTTATTATTTGACTCTCTTTTTCTTGTCAATATTCAATGTTAGGTAATTTTCAAGGACTATTTATACATAATGTTTCTCTTAGAATAAAGGACAACCGTCTATTCATGATGGCATGTCAATATTGGAAACAATCCTCGTCTAAGGTTGAGACGTTTGGGCTCTCCCTCCTATTTGTGAAGGGCCGCCAGTGCTCACAACCATCACAGCTATTTCAAAAGTTAGAAAACCCAGCAAACGCGTGTAGAATGGTTTAGCTTTTGCATTGGAAACAGTGAATGTAGAAAAAAAAAAACACTTTCGTTGTTGTATATCTCCCTCCCCCAATAGGTCTTGCTAAAAAAAATTGCATGATGCATAAACAGCCGAGGAATAGCCGGAAACCATCTTGTAGACTAACTTGTACTGGTGCAACACATCCGTTGATTATTTTTGATTTTCGTCGGCACCGAATAACACCAACTCAAACGAGCCAAGCCAATTGTCAATTGTGTTTACCCCGGTCGGAAAATATTGGCACCGAACCAGATTTTTTCTCGAGAGAAAGTAATATAAAGATCCCCACCTAAAACATCCTAAGTTCTAAATTTAGAAATTACTGCGTCTTAACTGTCCACCCCGTCAAAGAACCGAATTCGTTTCCTTTCTGACTTTTGCAAAAAAAATTGCAATTACGCATATGTATGCATGCCCTAAAACCCTTAGGTGTTTTTTCTAGAAACCACACTTTAAAGTGGCTTTTCTCTTTCTTGGCGCTAATGCATAGAAGAAAATAAATCCTTCTCCTTCTAAACTAATGTCATTGCGCTAAACGATAATTCGGTTAACAAAACTTAATTTCGTATGTCATTGTCCATTTCCGTAATCACGAATGGCATATCAATAACACTAAATGACGATTATTCTGTACCTTGCGATGAACTCAATCACCAACAAAAGCATCAACGACACTCTTCCACTTTTGTTCTGAGACAAAATCTTCACCAATCACCAGTAAACATTCAAATTGGATAAATGTAATGTGAGTTCGGTTTCGGGGTCCGGGGTTCCTTTCTTTCACATGCAACCAACACTGAATAAAAAAAAACGATCGGCGCTCAACTCTTCATGCGTATACCTTTGTAAGTCACAGCCATACAAAACTTGCAGTAAAGATTTCAACAAATGGGCAGATTTTTTTTCACAATAACAGAATGCATCTGAAGGCAAGATCAAGATACTCGACAAGGAAAAGAACAAAAACGAGCATGACAATGAATCTCCACTTGACATTTGTGTCAGTTAGACGATGGCATTTGTTTACACCATTGACTGCCCTACTTTTTCCTGTACCATTTGCATGCATGTGTTTCCAAATAGGAAATGCAATTGACGAGTTTGTCAAAAAAAAAAAATTTAAAAAAAAAAAAGGGTTTTGACGCATTGTATACAAACCATTTGAAAACAATGCAGCAGCCGGAGTGGAGTTTTGTTAATTTTTGGTTGTATGTTCATGTTCGTGAATGGGGTCAACAAACACTTACATTTAACGAGTTGGGCTATAAGTATCAGTTCATAGTTGTTTCTGCATTGAAACAGTTGATGACAGATCAGACCATTTCTCGGTTGCATATTGATTCTTTGCTTCAATATTCTGTCAACTGTGACATACCAAGCTATTACTCCCCCTATTTTTTGCAATATCGTCTGTTTTCGATGATTCTATCTCTTTTCTTCGAACGTCAATTGAGTACCTTCTTATCCATCATTGCGCTATGCTTATTGCCGTATCAAGTGAGTCGTCATAGACTCTTCGACACAGTCTTCGTAAATTGGATCATATGGCAGCCCTTCAACCTCTAATGGATATGTACTGCAAGTTATTCAGCTGTTTGGGGATATTCGTCTCCACATTATTCAATGCTGTTCTATTCACGTGTAAAAGCTCCATCAACATTGCGGACAAAAGGCAATCTCTGATGGCCCCAATATTAATTACACTCATGAACAGCATCTTTTTCTATCGCTTCAATGACAGTCCCAAATCCTCTACCAACTGGAAATCATTTGTCTCACATGTTGCATTCTAAAAATAATTTCAACATGCTTTTGCTATCGGGACAATACATCCCGTCCTTCATAATAATGTTTGTTGTGTCTGTTGTTGATGTAGTACCCACATACATAGGCCACTAGTAGTTTGCTGTCCATAGCTGTAAACTTTAGATTTTATCTTTGTCCTCTAGTCAAATTTTGCGGATAGAGTAAGTAGTAGCGGAAGAATTCTTTGGCTTCAACTTATCAATATGTGGTGTGGTCGCAAATTGAGAGAAATCTACAATAATGTGTCAGTACATGTCTGCCATATGATATATATTCTAATTAGAATGAGTGTACGCATAGCTCACCATGTAGAGTTCAGGTCCTTGAAACCTGCTCATAATGTCACTGTGCTAGTGATGGTGACAGTTGAGGTAAACATCACAATATCTGTTTCCATAACCGTAACGGTCTTGATACGACGACTTTTGGAGGAACTGCTAACAGAAGTGGTTTCTGAAGGACTAGGTGTACCTGTAGGTGAAACAGGAGTTGATGATGTGCTCATCGTTGTCTCTACAGCAGATGTTGTTGTTTCCAAAGTCGTTTCAGTGGCAGCTGATGATGACGACAATGACGTTCTCAATGTTGTCTCAACAGTAGACGATGATGATGGTGCAGGCTTGGCAACTTCTGGTATGTCTGGGATTGGCTTACATGGTTTGCATTCAGCTGGTATGCCTGTTTGTGGTGGTGGTCCATTGTATTGCACTGCTCCTAAATGAACTTGAGGAATTTCTTCGCTTGTATCACTAACGACCTCGAACTTTTTAGGATCATAACCTGTTCCAATTTCAAAACTAGAAACATAAGGACCTACCCGCAATGTTAAGTTACCGTTTTTTACGTCGTATTCCCATGCAGGCTCGCCAGCGTCTGATTGACGTAACGTAGCAGTTAAACCAATCTTGTTTGCATTACCATCCTCGTAAGTTCCAAACCCTCTCACATGGTAAGTTAAAGGTCCAAAGTTTGTTGGGATTGCCATGATTGAAGATTCGCTACCGTCTAAATACAAGATTTGATTCTCTGAAAATGGCACAGCATTGTTCATCAAGTAGAATGATGATTTACCCAGTGCAGTAAAACAACCAGTTCCCAACACACCAGCAAGCTGATGCCAATTTTGATTGGTAAAACAAACTTGTCCATCGTTTTGCAATGTCTTTGCATCCTTACCCAATTGGACAAAACTTCCACTCTTTTTTGTTTGATAAAAGTGTATGTTACCATTATTATGCCAATCTTCTGATTTAACACCGCTGATAGCCGTACCTTCACCAGAAGCAGAAAAGAACAAATCTCCTGTGTTTTTGAACGTCTTACCAATGATCCAAAACGCGTATAACGGGGCACCTTTGATTGCATTGAACGAAACAATACCATCATTAATGAACGAATAAACCGGATGTAAAGCAAATTCTCTTGCAGTGGCAGATAATTGCATATCTGATGAATTGGTGGAAACATAAAGACCACCAGTTTTATCGACTTGGATATTTCCTCGAAAATTGGAAGCAGCATTGTTTATCATTGACCAAATGGTGTTGGGAAAGACATGGACATCTCCAAAACTAAGATCTTGTGCACCCCATTCAACAATGGTACCTCCTTTGAAATCTTTACCCCAAACCGTTGCAGCCAACAACCACATCACAACCTGAAATTGTAAAAATAATCGCATGAATGAATTGATAGTGAAACTTACAATGAAACCAAAATTGAACTACCTCGTTGAAAAGCTTGTATAAGTTATGGCACAACCAAAAGATCTGGTAAACGTTTTTTTGAGGTTCAGGTGGATCCCTTCTTTTCACGTTTGCGATTCCTAGGTTAAATCAGGAGTTATATGTATACATTTTCCCAAGATCGGTGATGAAACTCCTCTCACAAGCAACACCATTCTTAATTAGACGATGTTCGTCGTCTCTCTCTGTCTCCCCCTATTTTCAGAACGCAATGGTTCTTTCGAAAGCCCCAGAGTCCGAATTTAGCGGACTGACCCTTTGCCATTTAGGTTTTGCATGGAGTATAATTATTGCAAATCTTTGGTTGTCGTATAGACGTCCCACCCCCACTTTTAGTACATATAACCACGCATGGCAAAGTCCAAATAAAGTGCCAAGGAATAAAAAGCTGAAAGCCGTCGATCATGTGTCGATCAATTTTGTAGTTTCGGAAGAACTTTTTTTAATGCTAGTTATTTTTTTTTTGTTATAACTAAGAGCCTTAAGGGGTGGTACCAACATGTCAAAACAAATCCTTTGTCCAACAATGACCAGCTACTTCCGTAGCACCAACTTTGACGGCTGCTCTATATTTAGAAACACCGATTTATACCTATCCCCGTCGAGAACCGAATTAATTGGTAATTCAATTACAAATGTATGCTTTAAATTTCATGTTCTTGCTTGCTCAGGAGTACTCCCACAAGTCCGTCTTTGTGATTATGCAAAACCCTTTCCTCCAACTAACTGGTGCCATTGAGTAAATGGAGGAAACTCGGAACACAAATTTTGAACCCAAATTTCGATTGGTCGAACTCCTCATTGCAGGATCATTTATATGACAACATAACATAAGTTTTTCTTCACCTCAACTTTGCCAAGGTGCTTTTTAGTATCACCTAGCTCATTCCAAATGGGGACTCTTCAGAGTGGTCGCATTACCGATAATTTTGTTTAAAAAAAAAATGAGTTTGTTAGCCACCTCTTAACACTAGAACTCAAACAAACGTCGTAAGGCGACTTTGATATAACTCCTCGCACTCATAAACAACCAATTTGAGAGCCATGATGGTGGGCTTGAGTTTGCACTTGAATTTTCACATGCACCAACTGTGGGGGGAAAAAAATGCGCGTTTAGTTTGTTGGGTTCATGCTTGTTGCTTGTGGCAACGAATTGCATAGAATGTTGTCAACATGGGCAGTTTTCAAACAAGATGATACATCTGCAGTCAGATACACGAGAAGAACAATATATCTTCAATGTATCTTCAATGTCTTCTCAATGCAGCCACAAAGTTACCTAGACGATGGGTATTGTTTACACCATTGGCTGCCTTGCATGCCGCATTTTGTATCACCAGAATCCAAATAGCCACAGAATGTACTCATTGATCAATTGTGTACACAATTTGGCCATGCAATTGAGTAAATGTTGGTTTTGCTTGCTTTTTTTCTGTATGTCAAATTTTGTAAATAAACATCACCTTTGTTGAGCTTGTTGGACAATAATCTCTTGAAATTTGGATCTTATTGACTTATGATTTCCTATCTTATGCCCGTTTGATGTTAATGATAATATATCAATGCAATAAAGGTGCCCATTAGCAATCAGGCAATCCATGCAGATGTATAAAACCAGGTGAATGGTTATGAGGATTTCGGACACCACTCTTTTTTAGATCGTCATTTGCACCTAGTCATGGTATTCTATTTCTTTGTAGACAAATAACTCACCCTCCCCATACTCAACATCATGAGTTTACTCTTCAATGCCCTAGAATAAGTTTGTTGCCCTATTTCGTGGTTCTGATTGGCTAGATAAATCATCCTCCATTACTAGGGTATCACCTCAACTTTAAAGCATTACATGGTCTACATGTGAATAATGCACTATGGTTTTGCAATCGTTAAAGATCATCCACTCAACATCTTCACAATTGGAATTCTTCAATGTCAGATGAAGTGCTGTGAATACAGCCCCATTTCTAACGCATTGATATACTAATTTCCCCGATACTTCTATAAAACATCTAAATTACTTTGGCTGTGCCCTTCTAATATTGTGCACTCTTTCATTACAGTCTTCACTACCATATTCGCCTGCTCTATCATAAACACCGGTTTCCCATGTAGCAATAGATGAAGGATTACGCTAGTGTTTGGTCTGGCCTTTTTCGTCGAAGCGATAGAGGTTTTCAAAATTCTGTGCTCATTACTTGTTTGTGCACGTGACGAGCCTCGGCCACGTGCATTGATTCATTATAACGGTAATTGGCTCCCTTTGGTGTAGAAATCTCATTCTGGAGTGAATCCGCTCATCATAAGAGTACTACAAATGGGTGATAACAGAGTATGAACAACAACGTTTTATATATATAGTGGTAGAGGCATACGCGGGAATTGGAGTTTCTTTTAGCGCTTATCGCTCTTTAGTTCGGAGTTAAATTAGACAGTAAAAAAAGAAATTCATAAACTATAAAGAAGTGGTGATGATCATCTGCAATTCGTAATATTACTTATCTCAGTCAAGTTTCGTACTCCAACACATCCAGCGCGTACTACCAATGACCATCCAACCAAAAGTCAAGACGGGAGGTCCATTCACTTGGACTCAAATTCAACAAATTGTTAAGGCAAATGAGCTTGAATCATTCGCAAGAAGTGAAGAGCAATATCACAGTTATCAACAATTCAAGCATGATTTGTCATCACAGGGGATTACGATAAATGATCATGTGCTTAAGGATGAATTACAATGGAAACAAAGCGATATCAGATATCAAACATCTACTTCGTCGCCACCGGAGTATTCCACATTACAACCACAAGATTTGATTTTCTACAATAGAGACGATGAAAAGATTATATATAATAAGTTTCCTTACTACTTTGAAGATTCGGTGGTTCATTTATGCATTTGGTCGAAATTAACCATACCCAATGATGTCAATTCGCCAGTGGGAGATATATCACCATTGACCAAACGCATCATCGAGCGATATTTGCAAAAGACGTTTATTGAAAAGGGCGTCTCTCCCGATGATATTCTTTGGTTCAGAAATTGGTCGAGTTTACAAAGTATTCGAAGTGTCAGTCACATTCACGTACTTTTGCATGATGTTGATGAACATTTCATTCAGAAACTTATTGGCACTTCAGGAACAACTTTGACTTTGGAAGATTACAAGGAGATACTTAACGAATAGATTGTATAAGGCTTATAGTGGTGGATCTCATAGACGGCATTAATAGAAGTTGGTTCTACTTAGCTAAATTGTAGTACGTAGTTGCGAGGTTGTTTATGATAGATGATGTAGCGTGACTGTTATTGCAACCCTATGATCCGGAAACTTGATTCAATTTCAATTTGAGCTATTGTTGCCTACTCGTTCTAGTAGACTCAGCCATAATTGTTATGATGTCATTCCCAATCAAATGGTAGCGCTTGTTTTTGGTCTTGCGCTTTTGGCTTCATTTTTCCCTCAGTTTGTTCTCGTTTATTCTTGTTTCAACTGGTAGCTTCTCGCAAATTCTACAACATTCGATGATGTTCCAAACCCACTTTTTTGTGCAACCGATATGCCAAATTTGGACTTGAGTTTCAAATTACTGTTGAAAAATTTTGAAAAGTTTCAACAGGCAATTGGACTATAAATATATCATCAAATGTCTTTTAAAATTTCAGTTTTTTCTTGCCTTCCTTTTCCCTTTTCTCTTTCTTTAGATATTAATTATACCTATTAATAACACATATATACTACAATCATGTCTAAAGCTGTCGGAATTGATTTAGGAACCACATACTCTTGTGTTGCTCACTATGCAAACGACAGAGTTGAAATTATTGCTAATGACCAAGGTAACAGAACTACACCATCTTTTGTTGCATTCACTGATACTGAAAGATTAATTGGTGATGCTGCCAAGAATCAAGCTGCTATCAACCCTGCCAACACTGTTTTCGATGCTAAACGTTTAATTGGTAGAAAATTTGATGATGCTGAAGTCCAAAACGATCTTAAACACTTTCCATTCAAAGTTGTTGACAAGGGTGGTAAGCCAAACATTCAAGTTGAATACAAAGGTGAAACCAAGGTTTTCACCCCAGAAGAAATCTCATCCATGGTATTGGGTAAGATGAAGGAAACTGCTGAAGGTTACTTGGGTGGTACTGTTAAAGATGCTGTTGTTACTGTTCCAGCTTACTTTAACGATTCTCAAAGACAAGCTACCAAGGATGCTGGTTTAATTGCTGGTTTGAATGTTTTGAGAATTATCAACGAACCAACTGCTGCTGCCATTGCTTATGGTTTGGACAAGAAGGGCTCAAAAGGTGAACACAATGTCTTGATCTTTGACTTGGGTGGTGGTACTTTTGATGTTTCATTGTTGACCATTGATGAAGGTATTTTCGAAGTTAAAGCTACTGCTGGTGATACTCACTTGGGTGGTGAAGATTTCGATAACAGATTGGTTAACTTTTTCATCCAAGAATTCAAGAGAAAGAACAAGAAGGATATTTCTGGTAACCAAAGAGCATTGAGAAGATTAAGAACTGCATGTGAAAGAGCAAAGAGAACCTTGTCATCATCTGCTCAAACCTCAATTGAAATTGATTCATTGTATGAAGGTATCGACTTTTACACTTCAATCACTAGAGCTAGATTTGAAGAATTGTGTGCTGACTTATTCAGATCCACTTTGGACCCAGTTGAAAAAGTTTTGAAGGATGCCAAGATTGACAAGTCACAAGTTGAAGAAATTGTCCTTGTTGGTGGTTCAACCAGAATTCCAAAAGTTCAAAAATTGGTTTCCGATTTCTTCAATGGTAAAGAATTGAACAAGTCTATCAACCCAGATGAAGCTGTTGCTTACGGTGCTGCTGTCCAAGCTGCCATCTTGACCGGTGACACTTCATCCAAGACCCAAGATATCTTGTTGTTGGATGTTGCTCCATTGTCATTAGGTATTGAAACTGCTGGTGGTATCATGACCAAATTGATTCCAAGAAATGCTACTATCCCAACCAAGAAGTCCGAAACCTTCTCCACCTATGCTGATAACCAACCAGGTGTCTTGATTCAAGTGTTTGAAGGTGAAAGAGCCAAGACCAAGGACAACAACTTGTTGGGTAAATTCGAATTATCTGGTATTCCACCAGCACCAAGAGGTGTTCCACAAATTGAAGTTACTTTTGATATCGATGCCAATGGTATCTTGAATGTTTCTGCTTTGGAAAAGGGTACCGGAAAGACTCAAAAGATTACCATCACCAACGATAAAGGTAGATTATCCAAAGAAGATATTGAAAAGATGGTTAACGAAGCTGAAAAGTTCAAGGAAGAAGATGAAAAAGAAGCTGCTAGAGTCCAAGCCAAGAACCAATTGGAATCATATGCTTACTCATTGAAGAACTCATTGTCAGAAGAACAATTCAAATCTAAATTAGATGCTTCTGAAATTGAAGAAGTTACCAAGGCTGCTGAAGAGACCATTAGTTGGTTAGACTCTAACCAAACTGCTACTCAAGAAGAATATGCAGACCAACAAAAGGAATTGGAATCCAAGGCTAACCCAATCATGGCTAAGGCTTACGGTGGTGCTGCTCCAGGTGGTGCTCCAGGTGCTGGTGGTTTCCCAGGTGGTGCTGCTCCAGGTGGCGCTGCTCCAGAAGCATCTGGTCCAACTGTTGAAGAAGTTGATTAAATGTGATTGATGAATGAGGAGAAAAGTTTTGCAATAATGTCTGTTTTTTTAATGATAGAATTTAATGCACACAGCTAATATATTTTTATAGATTAAGCAAACACAATACAATAATATTACGATAGTTAACTAATGTTTGGTTTTCATTTCCGTAGGTTTTGATTGTTCTTGTCAGTATCATCACTGGTAACGTACCTTATGGCGTTACCTACATCGGGAGTCCTGTCATCGTTATGTAAATGTGATAAGCTTGCGTTTGCGCTAGCTCCTCCTGTGCCTCCTGCTCCTCCCGCCTTTCCATTTACTATACTCCCTCCTACCGGTTGACTTGCCAATTTCTGCATTTCCTGTATTTGAACTCGATCCATTTGCTCCACTGAGGTTGGTGGTGGTTGTGATTCTATACTATGTTGATTCACCCTCGAGTCATGATTGATCGTTTGTGCTGGTACATTGGCTGCTTCCTGTTCATTTTCCTCAGAATTTGCTACTTCAGTTACTTCTTTGCACTTCTCGTGATACGATGCTGAGCTCATGATAGGTGGAATGTGTGGAGGAGAAAAGAGCAGGCAGTGAAGTTCCGGAATCGGTTGAATGGTTCAAAAATCATTTTGTTTCCGCGGAGTGACGCAAAAATAAAGATTACGACTTCAAGTTGCGTCAATGGCTAACCAGCTGTAGATCATCATTTGTGAAGCCTATGCTCATGGTATCATCTTGGAGTTTGATCCTACTTGAGCGGGTGTTGAAGATAAGACGGAATTTGAATGCATCATATTCAATGCATAAATCAAGGAAGAACATTGTAGCGAGGTCGGAGAAAAACAGAGTATTTTTGATCATCCACTTGTCGTCTACAAATGCTTTGTTGGCTATCAATCTCTCGGGACTCAATCGGTCTATTGTAGCTGGTATATTGTTGGTAACGTCGGTTTAAAGTGGTCTTTGTGGTTCAAATTACTCAAAACTTCTACGCAGCCCAACAATGTCAAAGCGAGACACAAACGAAATTTTTGTTGTGCATTGAACTACGTCCAACAAAAATTCTTACACAGTGTAAGCATTTGTAACCAAGGCTTGGTCGATTGAGATGGTATATTCAACTGTCAAGGTTGAATTAGTGGCCAGTTCCTTCGACATATTCAGTCTGGCTGCATTAGTTTGTTATATTATTATTTTAAGGTTTAGATCTGGCGACTAAAGTAACTATTTTTAGAGAAAAAACTCCGACGATGCTTAATGTAAGATTCGGCAGCTACTGCGCGATTTAAAATTTGAGGTGGTTGCTGCACTGATTGAAAATCCTGTCGTGAATATGGTACTTCATCTAATAATCTCGCTTCAATTCGGATTATTCATGTACAACTGGATCGAGTCCATTGGTTTGTTGCCTTGTCTACATTTTAAATCCGCACGTGTTACCCAACAATTACCATCAACAAACTGTGCCTACTTTCTTCATTACCAATACAGTTCCTGTTTGAATTAGAGTCGGCTGTCAGTATTAAATACATCTGCAAATACAACTACTCGGAGGCAATGTCTGTACCAAATATTTGCTATTGAGTTCCGAATTGAAGACCTACCTAACTTTTTAAAATTAAGTATTGCCAACCCCTTGAATCTTGAAACTCTCCTGTCGTGCGTCGACGCACCCAACGTAATATTGTAAACATTTCTTACTATATTCACACTTGTCCTCCCCTCCTTTCTCTATTCCCTCTCTCTCTCTCTCCACAAAAATGAAAGTTATACGACGAAACCCTCCCTCCTTCACCAACAAAAAAATAAAAATGAAAAAAATAAATACTGAAAAAAAAATTGGGATTTGGATAACGAAATAGTTTGCACACCTTTTATCACTTTAGTATATTATTATCTCAATTGGGTTTGTAGTCTTTCATTTTGCAATTCGAACAGCTTTTCTGGTACTACAACCACTCCCAATCCACGTTATACCCAACAACAAAGATTTATTTATTCACCTAATTTTTCTACAATGACAGTTAAACCTACACACAATGTTGTTCATGAAGCTAATGGTGTAGATTTCAGAGAAACACCAGCTCAATTCTTTGCCAGACAACCAAACAATGGTCCAATTACCGATTTGCAACATTATAGGGAATTGTACCAGAAATCAATTTCTGATCCTGAAGGGTTTTTTGGTCCATTGGCCAAAGAGCTTTTGACATGGGACAGAGATTTCCACAAGATCAAGTCCGGTAGTTTGAAAAATGGTGATGCTGCTTGGTTTTTGGGTGGTGAATTGAATGCCTCATTCAATTGTGTTGATAGGCACGCATTTGCCAATCCTGACAAGCCAGCTTTGATTTACGAAGCTGATGATGAGAAGGATTCATACACTGTTACTTATGGTGAATTGTTAAGAGAAGTTTCCAAAGTTGCTGGTGTTTTACAAAGTTGGGGTGTTGGTAAAGGTGATACTGTTGCTATTTACTTGCCCATGAATGCTCAAGCCATTATCGCGATGTTGGCTGTCACAAGACTAGGTGCTGCTCATTCAGTAATCTTTGCTGGTTTTTCATCTGGTTCAATCAAAGACAGGGTTAATGATGCTAGTTGCAAAGCATTGATTACATGCGATGAAGGTAAAAGAGGTGGAAAGATTGTCAATATCAAAAAATTGTGTGATGATGCATTGGTTCATTGTCCAAGTGTTGAAAAAGTCTTGGTTTATAAAAGAACTGGTAACGAAGAGATTACATTGAAAGAAGGTAGGGATTTTTATTGGGATGTTGAATCTGCCAAGTTTCCAGGTTATATTCCTCCAGTACCAGTCAATTCTGAGGACCCTTTGTTTTTATTATATACCTCGGGATCTACTGGTACACCAAAGGGAGTTGTTCACACTACTGCTGGGTTCTTATTGGGAGCTGCAATGACCACAAAGTATGTTTTTGATGTACAAAAAGATGACGTCCTTTTCACAGCTGGTGATGTCGGTTGGATCACTGGCCACACCTATGCCCTTTATGGTCCATTATTATTGGGTGTCCCATCAATCATTTTTGAAGGTACTCCAGCATATCCAAACTATGGTAGGTTTTGGCAAATTGTTGAAAAACACAAAGCTACTCATTTCTATGTTGCTCCTACAGCTTTGAGATTGTTGCGTAAGGCTGGTGAACAAGAGATTCAAAAATACAATTTGTCCTCATTGAGAATGTTGGGTTCAGTTGGAGAGCCAATTTCACCAGATATTTGGGAATGGTACAATGAACATGTTGGAAAGAATGAATGTCATATTTCCGATACATATTGGCAAACTGAATCAGGATCTCATTTGATTGCGCCATTGGCCGGTGTTACTCCAAACAAGCCAGGCTCTGCATCGTACCCATTTTTTGGTATCGATGCTGCATTGATTGATCCTGTAAGTGGTGTTGAGATCGAGGGTAATGATGTTGAAGGTGTATTGGTTGTCAAGGACCATTGGCCATCCATGGCAAGAACTGTTTACAGAAACCACACCAAATATATGGACACATATATGAACCCCTACCCTGGCTACTACTTCACTGGTGATGGTGCAGCAAGAGATCATGACGGATTCTACTGGATCAGAGGAAGGGTTGATGATGTTGTCAATGTTAGTGGACACAGATTATCCACTGCTGAAATCGAGGCGGCATTAATTGAAGACACTAGAGTTGGCGAGGCAGCAGTTGTTGGAATCAACGATGACCTCACTGGTCAAGCTGTCATTGCATTCGTAGCCTTGAAGCTGCAAACCGATGACGAGATTGCTTTAAGAAAAGAATTGATTTTACAAGTTAGAAAAGTTATTGGGCCATTTGCAGCACCAAAAGCTGTCATTATTGTACAAGATTTACCAAAGACAAGATCAGGCAAAATCATGAGGAGAATCTTGAGAAAGATCAGTTCCAACGAAGCCGACCAGTTGGGTGATATTACCACTTTATCAAATCCACAATCAGTTGAAGGAATTATCAAGTCATTCGCTTCCCAATTTGGTAAAAAGTAGATTGATACATAGAGCTAGATTAACAACTAATACACTAACATTTAATATTTTATTCCCGTTCATCCAACAACTCTTTATAATCCTCCAAGGTTAAAGTGTTTCCCGGAGATCCAAGAAGCTTGTGTAGCAAACCGCCATCAACGTCATGTAAAAGCACGTGAATGTGACTGACACTTTTCACGCTTTGTAAACTTGACCAATTTCTGAACCAAAGAATATCATCGGGAGAGACGCCCTTTTCAATAAATGTCTTTTGCAAATATCGCTCGATGATGCGTTTGGTCAATGGTGATATATCTCCCACTGGCGAATTGACATCATTGGGTATGGTTAATTTCGACCAAATGCATAAATGAACCACCGAATCTTCAAAGTAGTAAGGAAACTTGTTATAAATTATTTTCACATCATCATCGTTATATAGGATGAGATCTTGTGGTTGCAGTGTGGAATATTCTTGTGACTTTAATATTGTCTGACTGCGAATGTCGTCTTGTTTCCATTCGAGTTCTTCATTCAACACATAATCATTCAAAGCTATACTTTTAAGCGAAAGGTTATTTTTAAATTGGTAGTAATTGCGGAACTGCTCTTCGCTTCTAGCAAATAATTCAAGCTTGTTTGATTTCACAATTTGTTGAATTTGTGCCCAAGTGAATGGGTCACCTGTTTTCACTTTACGTTCAATCGTCATGGTAATGGTGGCGTTTGTGTAGGGGAAAGGAGTGTAGAGCCACACAATAACTTCATGAAATTGCTCACTTTGGTGGGTTTAACGTCATTATATATACATATCATATCTTTCATCTTAATGAGGGAGTTTTAGTCATGGGTTAAGATATCTTTTCCATTTTGTGGCTTCTTCAATGCCCACGCATTTCTTGCAAGTTTTGAGATCTACGAAAGCAGGAAAAAGGAAAGAGTACTGAGACCTTTCTGAAGGTGGCAAGGGGAGTGTCCATGCTCCGTTCCACACTTGTAACTGTGTAAAATTTTACAGCTCAGGTCCACCTATGGACACTCTCATGAATGTTTTGCAACCTGTTGATATAAATGTAACATGGTTGCACTGCTACCACTCATGTAATGTTACATTGTAACAAAAATAATATGTCACTTGTCAAGGATAAAAAAGAAATATGGAGCCACATGGTCTACTGATAGTTTTGGAAGATTGTGGATCTTTTCTGAAACCATCTCGATATCTCTCTTTGGATGCAGTTTATGCCCGTCTGAAATAACGACTCATTTGCTACATTATTGTGGAATTAAGCTCAACTGCACACGAGTTATTCGCCGCTTTCACTCTATCTACAAAGAATATCCTCCGTTAGATTCACCATGACCATCTCCAGCAGCTGTCGATTTATTCTTTGGTGCTCAAGTTAGGCTGAAAACAATTTTAGAGTGGACCATTGCGCGTCGGATTTGTGTTTGCCATATCAGCGACAAAAATTATATCATTCTTTCATTTGAATTCCTCGCGATTCCCTTCAATATCTCTCATTGCAAAGCACAGCAAACCTTACACTTTGCTTCAATCCACAATACTACTCAATTGACCTCATCCAAGTTGCATCACTGAGATATCTCAATGGGCACTCACAAATTAATAATCCTCAGACATGGCGAGTCGCAATGGAATCATGAGAACAAGTTTTGCGGATGGATTGATATCCCACTAACTGAAAAGGGGAAAGAAGAAGCTGAGTACGCCGGTGAATTGATCAAACAGCATGGATTATCCCCCGATATTCTCTACACTTCAAAACTTATACGTTCAATTGAAACTGGATTCATAATACTCAAGGTACTAAACAAGCCATGGGTGGATCATATCAAAACGTGGCGATTAAACGAACGGCATTATGGGAAATACCAAGGACGTGATAAACATGAGGTGTTTGTAGAATTGGGAGAGGACAAGGACAAGTTCCAATACATTAGACGCAACTACAATGGATTACCACCATTAATTGATCCTGAGTTGGATACTTCAATCGATGAAAAATACAATGATTTATTAAACAGGAATATACTACCACGAGGTGAATCACTTTCAATGGTTATGGATCGATTGATTCCGTTTTTCAAGTATGAGATTTTCGATCATCAAATGGTGCAGTTGAACAAGACGGTTTTAATTGTGACACATGGATCTGTGGTTCGAAGTTTGATCAAGTACTTGAACAAGGTAAGTGATGATGATATACTGAAGATCAACGTGCCCACTGGGATACCATTGGTGTTTGAGTTGGATGATCGTGGTGATTTGGTTAAACCTTATTATTACTTGGATAAGGAAAAGGCAGAAAAGGGAATTGAGAAGGTGAAGAATGAAGGATTGAAAAAGGAGTAGAGCGGGGCATATATATATATAGAATTATGTTTAATTCAGTTTCATTTCGAAGTAATCGTTAATGTTGTTTGACTATGTCAAACAAGCTTATTCTCATCCCAGCTAGATGTTTTTAGCCACTGATCACCTATGTCCATCGTGTTTTGTAATTTGGCTATTTTTTTTTTTTTTCCACTTCGATCATCATGTTGGAGAACTCTGAACAAAGCCATGTCACAACACCCGCTACGAAACCTCCTACGATCTTTCTTGACCCTCAAGCTAATTCAATTGACAATAATATACTTTACGCCATCTCGATTTGACACTTCATCACAATTAATCATTGATGAATTGGCAATTTCTGAATATACAGCATCACCGTACAATGCAATTATAACAACAATTTTAAACAAGTTGATCACTTGGGATTCGGTTTATTTTAATGACTTGTTTGTCAATGATGTTGCATTTGAGCATCAATTTGTGTTTTGTCCCGGATGGATCAAGATGATTTCAAAATTACCCAGTGATAACTATTATCAATTACAATTGTGGAGTATTTTGATCTCCAATTGTTGTCATTTGGTTTCAGTTTTGGTGTTGTATTCCTTGAGTAAAATGGTGTTTGACTCGAAGGTGAGCTATATTGCTAGTTTGATGATGGTTGTAGCTCCTGCGGGTGTGTTTTTAACGACAAATTATTCAGAAAATTTGAGCAACTTGACTACATTGTTGACGATATACTTGTACTACAAAGCAGTGAATTTCAATAATGTAACCACCAAAAGCAACAAATCGATAAAAAGCATGGGGGTTTATTGCCTAAGTGGTGTTGTCTGTGCATTCAGCTTCACTATTAGAGCAAATTCGTTACTTGTTGGCATCTTTTATTTATTGGATTTGTATGACTTTAGCATCATTGATCAAGACTGGAAAACGAGTATACAATCAATCATCACTGGGTCCATTCTTGGGAGCACATTTATTGGTCAGAACATACATCACTATCGCACATTTTGTCCTCAAAGACAAGGTTGGTGTTTAAACAAATTTCCTAGTTTGTTTCAATATGCTCAATCCCATTATTGGAGTAATGGGTTTTTATCATATTGGACATTGAACAATGTACCCAATTTTATCCTCGTTGCACCTGTGCTTTTATGGAATATTTATTCCGTAAAATCAGCATGGAAATTGCTTCCCCAGTATCGGAAATTATTACCGCTAGTTGTCTTGAATGGTATGATAATAATCGGTGGTGTATTCTTTTGGAATGTGCAAATTCTCAATAGGATCACCAGTTTTTCACCACTAATTTACTGGCAATTGGCTTTCGATTACAATAAACCTTGGTTCAAGTATATTTTGGGGTATATTTTGACTTGGAATTTAATCCAAACAGCATTATTTGCAGCATTCTTACCACCAGCATAAAAAACAACGAAAAAGAAGAAAAAGAGAAAAGGATGCGCGCGCTACCGTGTGTGTCGGGATTTTTTTTCCTTATTTTTCAAGAAAACTTATTGCTGCGAATTTTTACCTAATTTGGCGTAGAGATACGCGGATATATCAGATGGGGGATAACAAAATAATGAAGTAAAAGCTCATTGGTATATATTATGTTAAAACCTTTCTTGGAGAAAATGGAAAAGTGCTAGCTATTCATAACCGCATTATGGCCTCCATAACAACAACAACAACAACAACAACAACAACTACCACACCCAAGGGATGGATATTGCTGATTCTAGCAGAACAACCAGTTGTATTATTAGCCATCCCACTTTGTCTTTTACTTGTCTATTACTTTAAAAAGAGAAATGACAAGCCAAAGTCAAGAGTGCCAATTGTGCATAAGCCATCATCAGCCTCAAAGATGGATCAACGTCCATTTGGGTATTGGGAGCCCAACCTTGCATTTCAAACACCAACACCACCTCCGTTTCCCAATTGGTCAGTCACAGACACCAAGCCAGTGCCTTATCGTGCATTTAAACATAAGTATACTATAACCATGGGCATAAGAAACATGGATTGGCATTCTTGGATTGAATTGGATAATCAGTGGAAGTATTACCATGATTTGAAATTGGAACGTTTTGCTAGAAAAGGTGATGATTTGTACAAGACCAGTTCCAAAGGAGTTGCTGCGTCATGGGAGTTACTTGAAGAGTTGTTGGAATATTTACCAGCTAGGTATCCTTCATTGTTCCACTATGATAAGGAGAAACAATTGGTAAAGATTTTGGCTACTGATGAAGTTTACTATGTGGGTGCAAAAAAGGATTGCAATCCTATTGTTATTGCTGCTAAATTAATTCAAGATGATATTGCCATTATGATTGAAAACCAAGATGATGGTCAATACTCATTAGAGCTGGGGTGTATTGCATTGGCGGGATTTTGGAAGATTAAGGACAAATTTCAAATGAAGTTGGATCAAATACACATGTCGGGTGATGTCCCCAAATACAAGACCCATTTGGGACCAGCAATGAATAAATTTTTCCGTCGTTTAACTGTTGAATCACCCGTATTGAGAAACAATTATTTTATTCAAACTGATAATCATTTGGATTGGTCTTCATCGATTGGATCAGAAGATGCTGATGATGAAGTAAATGTTGGATGGAATACTGCTCCTCGTGTTACTGATGTTCACAATTTGTATTTCCGAAGTGAACGTCAAAGTTTAAGACGATTACCCAAGACTGGTGCCGTGGTGTTTACTATTCGTACATATTTCATCCCCATTGTTGAATTGTGTAAAGAGCCGTATGTGCCCCGAAGATTGTTGAATGGGATAACCAGTTGGGATGAAGATGTCAATGAGTATAGAGGTTTCCACAAGTTTAAAGATGTATTGTTGCCATATTTGGAAAAAATGGCAGAAGAGCAAGAAGCAAATGGGTTGGATAGGATGCTGGAGCCACAAGCATATCCATATTGAGGTATAATAGGTTAGACACGTACATGTACTCATAGTGAGTTTTTTTCTTTTAAAATACGCATCATTTTGCCTTTTGCAACAGAGCAAATGTCACCACAATTTTGATCTTGTCCCAAATGTCTCACATGACCTATACCCAACAGAATAATTTATCAATTCAATTCTTAATCTCATTACTAAATTTGACACAAGACCCTCTCCCAAGAGAGCAAATGTCACTACAGTTTCAATCCAATAATAATAATAATTTTTTTCTTGATATATATATATATATTAACTACTAATACAAAAGAATTAAAAGAAAATATCAGACTCGTGTTGATGTATCCCCAAAGAAGTAAAGAGCTAGAATATTCCTTCACATTTAAGCTCTTTCACCTCTCAATCTTCTAGCCAATTGAATATCCTTCTTTTGAATAGTAACTCTCTTGGCGTGGATAGCACACAAGTTAGTGTCTTCAAACAAACCAACCAAATAAGCTTCGACAGCTTCTTGCAAAGCACCAATAGCTGAAGATTGGAATCTCAAATCAGTCTTGAAGTCTTGAGCAATTTCTCTAACCAATCTTTGGAAAGGCAACTTTCTAATCAACAATTCAGTAGATTTTTGAAATCTTCTAATTTCTCTCAAGGCAACGGTACCTGGCTTATATCTGTGTGGTTTCTTGACACCACCGGTAGATGGGGCGGATTTTCTAGCAGCTTTGGAAGCCAATTGTTTTCTTGGGGCTTTACCACCAGTGGATTTTCTTGCTGTTTGTTTAGTTCTAGCCATTGTTGATAAATATGTTAAAAAAAAAAAAAAAGAAAAAAAATGTGTTTACTAAAAAGAGAGAGAGAGCGAGAAAGTTGATGATTTTTAAATCAAATGTTTGTAGTAGGCGGCGCTGTGTCAATTGATAGATTTGTTGTTTGCACTATTATGTAACTCACAATTAGACATAGGCTTTAGGGTGTACGTTTTCACATTGAGGAAACTGTTATTCAATTCATTGTGTATGTCTTGATGTCGGAAAGCACAAAAAGAAAAAAAAAAGATTAAAAAAAAAAAGGAATAGTGCAAGAGAGATAATATGTGGACCAGAATTTACGTGTAAATTTCAGACCATCTATAAGATATAGATAGAGTGAATAGAGAAGAGAGCAGTGTCATAAAATATCATGAGAGAGTGTCATTTCTTGAAACAACAACAACAACAACAGAAAGAAGAAAAAGAAGAAGAAGGAGAAAAAATGACACTCTCATGACACAAAAACACGAATTTCAATTGCAAAAAATTTAAAAAAATTTAAAAAAAGAAAAAAATAACAAAGAGAGACGAGAACTGTAAAAACTTACATGAAGAGAGTGATTAAAGTGTGGTGTAAGTATTGTTGTTGTTGTTGTTGTTGTTGTTGTTGTTGTTGTCTTTTGTTAATTACAAAAGAAAGTTGGTTTTCCTATGAGAGACTTGCTCTTTTCACTGACCAATAAGAATAAAGACCTATCTTGTTTTCCTTGTGTTCTTTTCTTCTATTTTGTTTTTTGTTTTTTGTTTTTTGTTTTTTGTTTTTTGTTTTTTGTTTTTTGTTTCTTTCCAATGCAACACAACACAACACAACACAACACAACACTTAAGAGAAGAGAAGAGAAGAAGTCATGTGCCATTTGTGTATGTCTTTTGTTATTGTTGTAAACCGCCGAGACTTATTACTGCACACACACACACACACGCACACACACACGCACACGCACTCTCTCTCTCTTTCTTCTTTTGTTGTGTCCTCCGTCACCAATCTTCTCTTTTCCTCCTTCCTTCTCCCCCTCCCCCCTCCCCCTTCGCTTTTGCCTTTCTCGCTCTCTTCTTTCTTCTCGCTCTCCTCGCTCTTCTCGCTCTCCTCTCTCCTATTCTAACGATACAAGCACACAATACGCAACACAAAAAATAAATCACAACTCATGGTTTGATACAAACACACACTCTCTCTCTTTCTCTCTCTCTCTTTCTCTTTCTCTCTCTCTTTCACATAAACATTGTTTTTTCATTTCATTTCATTTCCACTCACATTCTTACTCGCTCTCTAACTCCAACTCCAACTCTCTCTTTCTCTCTCTCTTTCTCTCTCGCTCTCTTTTCCAACCAACCAAATCAATTCAAAACAATATATAGCTGACTATTTTTCCCTACACACAAATTTTTTACTTTATATATATCTTTTCTTTCTTCTCTTTCTTTTCTTCTTTCCTTCTTTTCTTTATACAAACAAAAGTTATCTTTTTTTAAAAAAAACTTAACTTAACCACACAACACACACACCTATAAACTATATACAACAATGTCTGGTAGAGGAAAAGGAGGAAAAGGATTAGGAAAAGGAGGTGCTAAGAGACACAGAAAAATCTTGAGAGATAACATTCAAGGTATCACCAAACCAGCAATCAGAAGATTGGCAAGAAGAGGTGGTGTTAAGCGTATTTCAGCATTGATTTATGAAGAAATTAGAATTGTTTTGAAACAATTTTTGGAAAATGTTATTAGAGATGCTGTCACTTATACTGAACACGCCAAGAGAAAGACTGTTACTTCATTGGATGTTGTTTATGCTTTGAAGAGACAAGGTAGAACCTTGTATGGTTTCGGAGGTTAAAATTTAAAAAAAAAAATAATAAAGAAAAAAAGAGAGAGAGAGAGAGAAGGGAGTAATAAATCTTTACTTTTTTGTTTTTTATTTCAGTTCGGCTTTATAGTTTGGGTATTGTTGTTTTAATTTGATATCTATTTATCGATTAAACTACAAATGTGTTTGTAGTGCTTAAGTGATGACGAAGAGATTTTAGGTGGGCTTTATCGTAATTTTCTCCTTTTACCTTTTTTTTTTTTTTTTTTTTAATTTGCAGTGGCGCAAGGTTTGGTGCGATTTTTGGTGATAATTTGGACAACTGGGTTCGGAAGAAGAAAAAAAATAAAATAAAATAAAATAAAATACAAATAGTTTTAACTGAGAGCAACTTAAAAACTCTAGGCGAATCGATAATAGAAGAACGGGAGCTCAAATAATATCACACGTAAAACTACTAATTCATACTTCTACTGGTATCATCGTTTTATTTCTTGATCTGAAGCTGGATATCTCCTCGTCTACTACTTCATTTCCTGCCAATTGCGTATGCATATCCTAATTTCTACCTTGATGCATCAAACCTCTTTCATTGACCTATATGCTGTCTCCCTTCTTAACTTCTTGCTCCTGTGTCCCATTCATACTTTCTTTATCTCCTTCGCTCTCTCCATCCTTCTTCCTCTCATTCTCTTCTTTAGCTTTAGCATCAGCTAATCTTATCCTATCACCAATCTCGCCTGAATCAATCACTTTCAAATCAACATCTTCACTTAGTATCCCCTTCTCTTGAGCTACTTCAACCAACTTTTTCAACTCATCGGTTGAAAATTGGCCATCAAGTGGGATTTTACCCTGAGGTACTTCCATACCATCTTGATCAAGCTCAACGTCACCTTGCTGCTCTGCTGTTTCCGCATCCGCATATTCGTCTTCATCATGCTCTGATACAGTTTCTGGCTCAGAATCCAGTGACTCCTTGTGTCTAGTCTCCGAAGGGTGTGTAGTATAATACGACTTTTCAATATCTTCTTTTGCTCTTTCTTGTTGGTCTTCTTCTTCTCCTTCTTCTGGTAATATTGGATGCTTCTCAATAAGTTCTTCAAGCTTGGTCGTAATCGACTCTTCAATAGAATCACTTCTTTGGTCTTGTTGTGGTGGTTGGGTGTAAATCTCGACTCTATCTGTACTCATGTTGCATTAAACTTCAAATTGCGTTGTTGTATCTACAAGTTTGACTTGAGTTTGATTCCAAATTTTATAATCTTTAATGCTATCGACTCTCTTTTCAAGTTGATATAAATAAAAGTTGACAAATGTGTTTGGTGCAACTTGATATATGGGCTGTGTTTACTTTATTGCTATTACATGATGAAACTTGAAACTTGAAACTTTGTTTTTCTTTACCTCCCCACATACCCCCTCCCCCCCTCCCATTTTGTGCTGTCTCAACGTTTCAAAGGGAAAAATTTGTTTCCTGCATTTAAATGACGTAATCAACTTTTCGGAACAATAAAACAAAAGGGTCGTGCATGGGGACAGTTATCCACAGTTTCGAATCAACTAGCTAGCTTTTGCAGCAAGATGGCTCCTGATTAAGAGCATCGGGCTTGCAGGGATTTGATAGCGGTTAGTTTACTTGAGGATCAAACTCATTATAGCGAGTAAATTACAATAGTATAATTTATCTAAAATTTTTGCTTATATTCAACAGATGAGAAACAATCAATACCTCATGACGTGTACAATACATTCCATTCAAGGATCCTCTTTCTTCTTCTCTTCTTCTTTCTCCTTCTTGGATAACTCTCTAATCCCATTCAAAAAATTCTCAATTCCTTCACCTTTGTAGTCATATTTCAAACTCTGTGCCAACAATAATCCAGCACCTTCATTAGCTCGTAATTGCTTAGTCAACTTCTGCTCACTTTGTTGGTAAAAACCACTTCTTACAACATCAATAATCTTGGACTTTGTTGGGTTTTGAGCTATGGATGGTGGTAGATATTCACCATACATTTGTTTCAATTGATCTATTGAAAGTTTGTCCAAGTGACTATCGATAGTTGATATATCCAATACAGATGAGATTGATCCTATTGGCATCTTAAACTGTGGTTGGGTTTGAGTGGATGGTACTGTACCTCGAGATCCTTGTTGTGGCTGTTTCTGCATTGACTCTGCTTTCTCCCCTTCCTTCTCTCTCTCCTTCACTTCCTCCTCCTCCACTTTCATACTACAAAGTTCATTAGTTAGCACAAATGTTCTCATTGCATTAAAAGAGCTTCCCTCTGTCACTCTCATTATACAAAAATTATACTTACTCGACATCCTCATCATCATCGCCAAGACTTATCAAAGACGATATCAGTTGAATCAATTTATTATCCTTTTCAGTCAACTTCCCAAGATCATCAACATCTCCAACATCTTGTAACCAATAAAGATACTTGGCTCCACTACTCAAAAATGTAAATGCAAACACTCGTCCAGTATTGCAAGATTTTATCGTCTTGATGGTGACATCCCCTGGAATCAACAACAATTCGTCTTTTTCAACTTGTTGCGTTCCATTAATTTGCTGCGTCTGGTCTTGTTTTGGTGTCCATGTGAAATCCAAGAAATCCGGTTCTTCAGCACTGGGTTTAATGGAAATTACTCCTTCATAAGGCAACGGTGTGCATCGGTTCGTATCTTCGTTGTATTGTACTTTACCCGCGTGAAATTTTAACGATTTTGATGCTGATGTCATTTTGATAACTGTAGGGAGATCTATGAAGTTCTAAAAGAATATGGGTTGATAATTGAGCAGACTGGTTCGTTTCCTTTTTGGTATTGCCACTGAGAAATTGAAATTTAACGCGGATTTCAATGAACAAAAAAAAAAAAATAAAAAATAAAAAAAAACAGAATCCATAAAATCGGGTGTTTATCCACACACACTACCAAATCATCATAGGTTCAATATTTCAATTGAAAACAGTCATAGATCGTCCAACCTCGTTACTGTAATTTATCTCACCGTTATAATGACATTCCCGCCTCCAGAAATAACAGACATTGTTCAAGAAATAGCATCAATACTACGATCTAGGAACCAAACATTGGCCATTTCAGAAGCTGCTTGTGGTGGATTAATATCAGCCTACATAGTCTCAGTCCCCGGTGCCTCTGATTTCTACATTGGCGGTAAATTACTATACTCATTGAAACAAAGATTGAAACTTTCAGGTTGGTCAGATGAAGAAATTGCCAATTATATGGGTCCTAGTGAACAAGTGGCTTTGAAATTGGCAAGAACGGCTAGGTATGAATTGGGCTCGACTTATGTTCTTTCTGAAACTGGGTTTGCTGGACCTTCGACTGATTTGCATTTATCCAATAGGGAAAATGAGAGTGCAACTCTGGCGAGTGAAGTGAAGAAGACGAGTAATAGTAATGGAAACGGAAATGAAAATGGTAGAGTTGTACCACATGTGGGTACGGTATTTCTTGGATTCACGGGACCCAATGGTGATTTCTCAACGGAAAAGGAATTTGGCAATCAAGAGAGATCAAAGAATATGAGTGATTTTGCCAAGTTTGCCTTGGAGTTTTTGTTGGAACAATTGCGAAAATAAATGCACGTGTTTCGGTAGTTAAAGTCCAATGGAAGTGTATAGATTTAAATCGATACGTAGATCATACCTTTGAATGTAATCATCTTTCAACTTGAGCGATAGAAGGAACCTACTGTAGGTGATGCTGTGATCTGCTTTTTGTAAATTGATGAGTTACAATACCATTCAGTAAAAGTAAGAATTGTGTGAGTTCACCATGTTTTATTTTTTTTTTTGCAACACTTTCACCTAAAATAGTATTTACAACTATATTTTGTTTGGTATATACTCGTAAACTAAAGCAAATGACAACCTCGAATACGTAAAACACATATCCAGTGCATTCATTTATAAGACAAAACTATCCAGACACGCCAATGAATCCGCTAGACTGGGTCTATACACATATTAGGCTCTTTGGTTGAAGATTCCTCCACCAGGTAAAATATGTGCCTCTAAAAGTACATTCTAAAAAATTGCTAAGCACTAGCAAAGTATACCATTGGAAACCCTATATCCCAGGGATTATTACCATACATTCAGATATCTTTCAAAAAATCGTACAACAGATATATCATGAGTGGTAGAAAATGATCACATGATTGAAATCACGTGCATTTTTGACGCGGTCCCTTGTTTTAGATTTGAATTTGTTACAACAATAGAAAAAAGGAGCCAGACAAAAAAGAAAAGTGCAATGTGAGGGAAAACAAAATAAAAAAAAAACAAAAATCGAAAAAAAAAAAAAAAGACAACACGAGTTGAAAATCCTTTTGATTTGAATCACTTTTGAATATCCACTCTCCCTCCCACCCCATTGTCAGTTTACAATATATAGGATACACAGGACAGCGATTACAAAGAGGTATCAATATATCGGATTAGTTAATTAGGGTCCACATATTTCGAACAAAAATAAAATACATACTTGGATCACCGAATCGTCAACATCAACAATAACAACAACAACACGATATAAATTAACCACTAAATCTTCACACACAATATGACTTCAGGTATGTAACAACAGACTGGCGTATATCTCTTATATCAAGCAAGTTATACTAACGTTTTGTCTCCCTTAGTAGTGGATCATCTGCACGGAGCACTCAGTTCAACGTCTCAAGATATCAAAATAATTAAAAAAGTTTTGAATGGTTATGTCGGTTTTGCCAACTTACCTAAACAATGGCACAGAAGATCTCTTAGGAGAGGTTTCACCTTAAACATTATGGCTGTCGGTGAAGCTGGATTGGGTAAGGCAACTTTGATCAATACTTTATTCAATCGTGATGTTATGGGAAAGAGTGGTAAGTTGAGTGAATTCGAAGATGATCAAGATGAAGATTTTGCCGATGCTGAAACTGAACCACTGGAAAAGGAAGGGGAAGCAGGAGTTAGAATCAAGAATACAAAGGCAGAAATTGAAGAAGATGGTGTCAAGTTGAAAGTCAGTGTTATCACTGCACCAGGATTTGGTGAAGCATTGAACAATATTGATTCTTGGAAACCAATTGTTGATGAGATCAATAGCAGATTTGATTCGTATTTGGAGGCAGAGTCACGTATCAATAGATCAACAATTGTTGATAACAGAGTACATGCATTTTTGTACTTTATTGAACCAACGGGTCATTCATTGAGAAGTTTGGATATTGCGTTGATGAAACAAGTTCATGAAAAAGTCAATTTGATTCCGATAATTTCCAAATCTGATACATTAACTGATGAAGAAGTTGGTGAATTTAAACGTGCAATCTTGGCCGATATCGACTATCATGGCATTAAAATCTTCACGCCCAGTGTATCGGAGAATGATGATGAGGAAGTTATTGCCAACACTACCGAATTGATCCATACTTTCCCCTTTGCAGTTATTGGATCTACAAATGAAGTTCAAACTAATGACGGTAGATTAGTCAGAGGAAGAAGATACCCATGGGGTATTATTGAAGTTGATAATGAAAGCCATAATGATTTTGTTAAATTGCGTCAATTGTTGGTGAGAAATTTCTTGGAAGAATTGAAAGAAACCACGGCAAATGTATTGTATGAACATTATCGTACTGAAAAATTGAGGAAAATGGGTATTGAACAAGATAATTCAGTTTTTAAGGAATTTGACCCAGCAACTAAACAAGAAGAGGAAAGGGCTCTACACGAGGCTAAATTAGCTAAAATGGAACAAGAAATGAAGGCCGTGTTTCAACAAAAGGTTAGTGAAAAGGAAAAGAAGTTGCAAAGATCCGAAGCTGATTTATTTGCTAGACATAAGGAAATGAAGGATAAATTGACTAAACAAATCAAGTTATTGGAAGATAAAAAGGTACAATTGGAGAAACAAAAGTTGTTGCCACAAGAACCATCACCACAACCTGCACCTCAAAAGAGTCGTAAAGGTTTCTTACGTTAAGGACGAAGGGGGAGCCGTGTGTGTGGGTTGATCATCAAGAGAAGAAAGAAACATATTACATCAAAGCTTGTGGTGTTCTCGGTGTTCTCATCTGTATTTTTTCCCAGTTCAAGTGATATATTCCATTTCCACTCTGTATAGGTAAATATGTAGAGGGCGAAATAAGGTAGATGCGAGTGTATACTAGGCAAAGTTGTGGTTTTGATTTATATTTTTAATCCATTTGTAGGCAGATGAACCCTTTTTTTTGTTATGCAAGGGGGTCAGTGAAAAGAGTAGAGGATACACACCGAGGTGTCATCTTGGTCCAAGTCCTCACCAGTGATGACCAAACCGTGGTTCTAATGAAGGCTAAAAAAAATGAACCGAGCTATAAAAAAAGTGTAATAGTCAAATGTCGCATGACGTAAAAGAGCTAAAACAAAAATGTCACAAGAAAGAGAACAATAGGAATTAATAATTTTCTTTGTTCTTTTCTTTTGTTTTCTTATTTATTTTCTCTTGTGGTTTGGTTTGCTCATTTTTCTTTTTTCGATTGCGCCCTTTAAAAGTTATAAAAAGAATTTGGAATCATCATTAATCATCATCAACTCATTTCTTCTTCATCAATACACTTTCATATTTTTGAATCATCATTACCTTACATCAATTGATTAGCTGTTAGCATATATTCTATCAATTAACCAATCACCTTCTTTCAATTAATTAAGGGATACATACACGTATTGAATTTGACAACCTACTATTTAAACCACAATTTATAAATGCCATCAGCAACAACTAAAAACACCCCAACTTCGTCAGCCAATTCTGCCCCCAAGGGTAAAGTAGACACTGAAAAGTTGTTGGAATTAGTATACACTTTACAATTTGCTTGGTTTGTTGGTAACGTGCTCACTGTTGTTGGTTTCATTGCCAGCACATTAACTTTTCTCAGAATTTTGCCATCCTTGTACAAAATAGACTACTTGGTTACGTTATTGGGAGTCTTGATCTCATTTGGAATCTTGGTTCTTCAATTGGTTCAAAAAAATGGTCTTAGATTTGGTATCTTGATTAGGGATGATAATACTCATTACATTTTGTTGGGAGGATTCTTACTTTTCCTCAGACCTTATGTTTGGTTAACTTTAGTTCCATTTGCCATTTTTTCAACTTTCCATGTGTTGGCTTATGTCAATGGATACATTTTACCTTTGGTTGGCTTGGACAAGAGCAATTTGTCAACAACAATTACCAATTTTGTCAGTCAAAACAATGCGAAATCAATTGAAGCAGCAAGCGGAATTGAATTGCTTACTTATGTTTGGTTACTTTTGAGAATGATTACTTTTAGAAAAAGATCATTGAGCCCTGTATTGGTTTACACTGTTTTCTTAAAGAAGAGATATGAAGTTAGTGGTTTTACAAGAAGTTATGTTAAATCAATTGCTGATGCTGGTGACAAGATTGTCAATGATGTAAATCATCCAGTATTGCGTGATATTTGGGCCCATATTAGAAATGTGTTTGGAATTGTTGACAAGTATAAGTTGGTCAATGATTACACTCAACAAGAGCAAAAGACCAAATAGGATGGTTGAGTTGGCAGATGAGAAGAGGAAGCCAGAAGCGAGAGTAGAGATTACGAGGGAGGGAGATAAATGGGGGAAGAAGAAGATTGTATACTTTCTTGTCACTAAATTCATACATGCTAGCCAAGAGCTAGAGTAATAAATGTCTCGTGTAGAATATGAAGAGTTTGTAGATGGACGAAAGTTTGAGTTAACGATGTGGTTCTGTGATGAAGATCACAGCTGACCTCTGCTGTCTCTTCCTCTTTCTCTCTCCCTCTCTCTCTCTCTCTCTCTCTCTCACAATCAGCATAAAAAATCTTGCAACACCAAATTTCGATCTATGGGCCAGTCCAATTAGTTCATTCCCCTCACAATGCGACCGAATAGTCGACTAAGCAAACTACTGTTTTATCTCACTGTTCTACTTGGCGGATTCTTAGTTCTCCTCACTTTGAAATCATATACATCAAAACTTAACGGTCCGGATGTACCTAGTTGTCGACCAGTTTGGATGTACCCATCTTACATCAAGATCCATTCATTCGATCAACTGCATACAAAATATGCATCAAAATATTCAATATATCTATACAGGGAACAAGGCAGGGATAAACTTCCTCCAGAAGGGAATGGAGATAACGATGATGATGTTGTCGGTATGGAATTGGAAGGAGTTCCAGTTTTATTCATACCTGGAAATGCCGGTAATCATCGACAAGCTAGGTCTATAGCAGCAAGGACATCGGAACTCTATGATGAATTGAGGGATGTCAATGGATACAAGACCAAGCTTGATTTCTTTACCATTGATTTTAACGAAGATTTCACGGCATTCCATGGAAGAACAATATTGGATCAAGCGGAATATGCCAATGAAGCAGTCAAATTCATCTTGGATTTGTATTCAACTAGATCTAACCCACCAAAATCAGTTATTGTTATTGGCCATTCAATGGGTGGTATAGTGGCGAGAATAATGATGACCTTGCCTGATTATTTGCCTGGTTCTGTTGAAGATATCTTGACGTTGAGTTCACCTCATTCTACATCACCATTGACTTTTGATGGTGATTTATCAACGATTTATTCGGCAGTGGATAAGTTCTGGTATTGTGGATTCACCAATTGTTCAACAACTACTGGCACCGCCAAGTTGAATCAATTGTCAAGTGTAGCTCATGAACGATTACAAAATGTGGCATTAATTTCCATAACCGGTGGCGCTTTGGATTCAACTTTGCCAGCAGATTACACAACTTTGGGGTACCTTGTTCCTAAATCTAATGGTTTTACTGCATTCACAACAGGGATACCTCAAGTTTGGACTCCGATTGACCACTTGGCTATAGTTTGGTGCCAACAATTACGAACTAGAATTGCATTAGCTTTGCTTGAATTGACTAGTTTGCGCGGTACAGTCACCCTTCAGGATCGAATGAGAGTTTATGAACAGTATTTTTTAACGGGATTTGAAGATTATGCAATGGAAAATAAACAAGTGGCCATTGTTTCAGAAGAGGATGTATTCGGAAAGGATGCGGATGATGGAAATACTGTGATGAAGCTTGAACCAGGCAGAATTTATAACGAAAAGATGCTTCGGTCGGTCAATGTATTCAAATTGAATAAGGATAAAGATGTTCAATTTACATTATTATCAAAGATCCCATTACAAATTATTGGCAACAAGAAGAGCAAATTATCAGTGGGTTTGTATAATGAGACGGGGGATGGTGGTATTAGAGATGTTTCTTCCTTACAAGCTACTATCCCCAACTTTGGCGAAAATGTGACAGATATATCTGATTCCTCGTATGATGGACCTACGCTGCCAATGTACAGCTTGGTATTGAACACTACCATATTGAAACCCTATTCTCATATTGTCATCACCCAGTCCAAGAATGAACGACACGAACTCTATTGTCAATTGTCAACTAATCCTTCCTGTCTCACGTTAGAAAGTAGAGGGGGTATTCTTTCAGAGTTGAGACTTTTCACAACTGGTCAAGATATATCCTGGTTAATAAATTGTGTAATGATGACAAATTTGAAAATCCCTCAAGCTTGGAGTAGCTTGTATGTTTATAAATTGCAATTCAAGATAGTTTTTTCGAGTCTGCTTGAAAAAGAACGTTTCCATATGTTTATTAGACAATGGACGGATGACCCATTTGAAAGCAAATGGTTCATCAATGTTGGTGAGGATGGTAATTATGAGCTACAGTTAACCATGCATGGAATAGCACCTTTTGTTCCATACAAGATTCAATCAGATTACGGAATGAATTTACAAATATGGCAAGGAAACGAGCCAGTACGTACAAGAGAAATGAATTCCAAATATATAAATATTAATGTGACAATTGATATCATAGCTAGTTTGAAACTATTGATTTTGAGATACAGAATCACCATTGTGGGGATTAATATTGCAATTATAAGTATGGTGATGATGTTGCAATTTGGTCAGTTTGGATCTACTAGTAAATACCCCTCATTCGGTCAAACATTGATTTATTTGAATGCAAAGTATTGGTGGGTTATAATGACGATGTTGGTGATACTTAATTATGTGATCAACATACCACTGGTGAACAAGTTGTTGCACTATATTGATCCCGTGGTTTTAACTGATTATAACAAATTTGTAATCAATGAAGAAGAATCAGGGTTCAAATCCAATGAATTGTTTTTGGGATTGAGTCAAGGTTTTACTATAATTGGGGTACTTTTGTACTTGTGTTGTAATTTTATCATTTGGTTAACGTGTGTTGCATTGATGCTAGTTGGTACTATGCTAAACTTTGTGATGTTAAAGTTATACCCTACTAGATTGAAGATTGGATCCAAAAGAGTTCAATCAGTATTGTTCAATTTACAAGTTTGTTTGATGGCATGCATTGTTTTGTTAATACCATGGTATCTCCCGTATCAAATTGTTTATTTAATCGGTTGTGTTTACCAAGTGATCAATGTGTTGAAGTATTGGCCAGGGAGAATAAGACTGAAAGATCCAAGTGACGAAGGTGTAGACGATACGACAGCAGCAGAGACGGCGGTATTCAATTATCAAGTATCTTGGTTGATATTGATGTTGTGGTTATTACCTATAAATATTCCAATCTTGATTGTTTTCATTCATAATTTGCAAATCAATTGGACTACACCATTTAGTAGTCATCATAACTTACTATCCATTCTACCAATTCTATTGATGACATACTATAATAGTAATGTCAAAATGGAAAAAAGAAGCACAAGAAAAGGGAGAAATATGGGAGATGGTGGTGATGAATTACCTCACTTGAGTACCAAAGTGATCAAGTTAATTCAATTAATGTTGGGGTACATTGTTTATTATTCCTTGATTTATGGAAGCAGACACACCTTTTATCTACACCATTTGTTCAACTTGTTGTGTTGTTTGGTTTGGATTGTTTTCTATTCCCATGAGAGTGCTGCAACAACAGGGGAAAAAGGAGAAAGACGATGAGTTGGAATTGAAATTAAGCTGACTCCATAGAGAAAAAGAGAGTACTAAAATATACAACGGTGATTGAGAATGAAATAGACTAGTTTGTCAACTCGTAGTATAATCATAAACCAAAAGAGTAAGAATACAATTGAAGTACGCTTCTTAGCTAAATAGAAAACCTTTGAATATTAATAATATACACATATAAAGATTAAAAAACTAAGCAATTTGATGACCATGACTTTAGTTTTTTTAATTCCAAATAAGACAGCAAAACAAAAACTAGAAGTGAAATAAAATAGGGAAAGTTAAAACAACAATAATAACCATCAGTGGTAGTATGTTATAAAGTTCTCCCTTAGTTTGAAGCTGATGAGTATTTGGTGACAGCTCTAGTACCTTCGGAAACAGCATGTTTAGCCAATTCACCTGGCAAGATCAATCTAACAGCAGTTTGAATTTCTCTAGCAGAAATGGTGGATTTCTTATTGTAAGCAGCCAATTTAGAAGCCTCTGAAGCAATTCTTTCAAAGATATCATTGACAAATGAGTTCATAATTGACATGGCCTTTTGGGAAATACCAGTGTCTGGGTGAGTTTGTTTCAAGACCTTGAAAATATATGATGCGTAAGTTTCCTTTCTAGCCTTGGTTCTCTTTTTTCCACCTTCGGCTGATGAAGAAGTCTTTTTAGCGGCTGGTTTCTTTTCAGCTGGAGCTTTTGAAGCTGGTTTCTTTTCTGCTTTTGGTGCCATTGTTGAAGTTGATATGTATAAAGATATAAGTGTGGATAAAGAAAGAAGGAAGTAAAAAGTAAATGTATTTTTTCTTTTGAATTTGAAAATGTGGAATTTAAGGAATATTTATGTAGTGGAGAGACTGATTGAAAGAGAAGGAAAAATAAACATACAAATCTAAGCATAAACTATACACATACAATAACTACAGTATAGAAAAAGACTAGTGATTATGTGACAGTTTGTAGTGGGTTTGTGTATGTGTATGCAAGTCTATCTGTTTTGTTTTGCCTTCAGAGGAGAGTTGAGAGAGAGAGGAATGATCGCGGAGTCTTGTTACAAGAGAGAGAAAGAGAGAGAGAGAGTGTGAGTGGCGCGCCACTATAGAAAAGGGAAGAAGGTCGTGTCATTTTGTGTTGAAAAAAAAATATTTTGTTCTATTTGCAGTGCGCGCTTTCTCTCGGTCTCCCCTTGTCTTATCTTCAAGCAAGTAGCAGATAGGAGTAAAATCCAGTCCGAGGTGCGTAAATTTCAGACTCCGGAGAAAATAATTATATGTCACAATGATGGATGATTATAGTTTTCAGTATAGGTGTTGAACACAATACTAAGTGTAAATAGTGGGAAACGTGACAAGAGATGTTATTGTCTGAGGAGAGGAAGGAGCAGAAGATGAAACACAAGAGGATGCAGATGGAGAAGAAGGAGCAGAAGGAGAAGAAGATGGAGGAGAAGATTACAAAAGTACACGACCATAAAGATTTAGACTACGTAGAACACCCACCCACACATACACCCAATTACCTGTGATAGTAGGACTACCGTGTGTGACGTATTGTGTGTTATTCTCTTCTTCTTTCTTTTTGTTACTACTACTACTACTACTACTACTACTACTACTACTACTGTTACGTACATACAAACTAAATATTGTTTCTTACTTTTTAACTTTTAGTGTTGATTGTTTATACACTCTACAAACACACTCCACCAGAAAAAAAATATAAAAATCAAATCAAATTTCCTTCAATCTTTAAAATCAATTCTATTCTTACTTCTTCTTTCTTTTTTTTTTTTTAACTAATCAAAAACTAAATTATACAAATTAAACAATGTCAGGAGGTAAAGGAAAAGCCGGTTCAAGCGAAAAAGCTTCAACTTCAAGATCATCCAAGGCTGGATTGACTTTCCCAGTCGGTAGAGTCCACAGATTATTGAGAAAGGGAAACTATGCTCAAAGAATTGGTTCAGGTGCTCCAGTTTACTTGACCTCAGTTTTGGAATATTTGGCTGCTGAAATTTTGGAATTGGCTGGTAACGCTGCTAGAGACAACAAGAAGTCTAGAATTATCCCAAGACACTTGCAATTGGCCATCAGAAATGATGAAGAATTGAACAAATTGTTGGGTCATGTCACTATTGCTCAAGGTGGTGTCTTGCCAAACATTCACCAATCCTTGTTGCCAGCTAAGAAGACTAAGGGTGGTGCTTCTCAAGAATTATAAGCTAGCCTACAGAAAGCTAGGATGTAATATTTTGGAAAAAAGAGAATATTCTCATCACGCAACAAGATGGGTTGGGAAAAGGAGAGAACAAATTCATCCTCAATACAACCTTTTGTATTCTTACAACCAATTTTTTTTAATTCTTTACTTTGATTTATTGGGGGTATGCCACCTTTAAATTGATTGGGGTAAATTCTGGTGTATATTATTATTATCATAATTATAAGTTACTTTTTCAAACTAACTTGAATGAGTAGACTGAATCGATGTAGTTTTGACTTGATTTTTTACAGTGCTGATGCTGTGTTTGTGAAAAGGTGTGGTTGATAGTTTGCCATTGCGGTTTTTTTAGGAGGCAAAAAATAAAAAATATCATCACCATTTGCATACAAGGGACAACGCATTTTTACAGCATTTGCAAGATGGAAAAGTTTTCAAATTGGAGAGATAAGGCAACTGGTATATCACCATTTATGCCAATCCCATTCCCCAATTCTACTCAGAACAAGGGCAACACTTCCAACAATAAGTACTCCACCAAATTTAATAAATGTATCTATCAGCTGGTACTATTCTTTACCAAATTGCCCCTTTTCTTGACAAAATTACCATTTTTTATTATTGCTTCGATACTTTATGCTATTACTGGTCTCCATATATTTTTGAGATTTGTATTCACATTCTTGTTTGGTTTTGCTCCGATAAGGTATGCCGTTGATGGGATTAAATCATCTCAAGTGGAGAAATTGCGTAGCTATGAACCTCAACGTGGAGATTTAATCATTGCCAATTACTCATCTCCTTTAGATGGGTACATTATTGCATCGATAGCTCAAACCACCAATATCATTATCCTTGTGCCGGATAGAGACGGGAACCTATTTCAGTATTCCCCATGGAGTTTGATTGATCATGCAGTAAATCAAATACAAGGATCTCCAGTTGATGATGTATCCAAGCTCAAAAACAAGGTGGTGGTGTTGTTACTCGAAGGCACTACATCCAATAATTCTGCATTGTTGCCTTTTATCAAATTGAATCCCAAATATACATGGGATGAATTTGCAAGAGTTAAATCAGTGGTTATCAAATTATATCCTAGCTATTTCACATTACCAATCTCCAATTGTTCAAGTTTGTATTACCTTTATCAATTGTTTACTGATTTTAGTAAAAAATATGTGAAGATTAAAATTTATCAGTTTGACAATACTCATAGTCAACAACAGTTGGATCTACCCAGAATCAGACGTTCATTTGAGCTTAACTCACTAAATTTAATTAACCAGGATTTGAGTATTGATGCAAAGGCGAGATTTATTGATTATTACATTACTCATGGGGCTAAGTAGGGCCGTGCTAGATTGGCGTTATTTGCTCTATAGAGAATGCGCTTTAACATGTTGTATATAGTTACCCGTACCATAGTTATCCCATTCGTTAGTGTCCTTCCTCTTTCTTTTCTTCACGTGTTGGACTTCGATCTCTATCGTTTTTGAGTGACAGCGACTTTTCTCTTACTCTATGCGATCGATGCGATCTATGTCTGCTAGTTCTATGCGACTTGTGACTCTTTTCCTTTGTCTCGTGGGTTGTTTCTGTTATAAATTGCTGCATAGGGTCAACGAATTCATCGTCTTCATTCTCTACTTGAGCTTCATTAGTTGCATTCTCTGCAATAGTTTGCATCGGATCAACAAACTCATTGTCGTCATCACCTTTGACCTCCTCTTTTTTTTCCTTGTTTTCCGATTTGAACTCCAATGCAATTGCTTTTGGTTTAGCTTCCCCACTCTCAATCAACTTCAAGTCCTTCTCTTCCTTCTCTTCCTTCTTCTTCTTGTCATCTTCACTTGCTTCTAATTCCTTCCTCACTTCATCATAATTGATCAAAAAATCATCCTCTTTCTCGCCTCGTCGCAATTTATAATAACTATGATCAACATGCAACATTCGATCACCGACTTTAATACCATTGAAATTGTCAATTGCCAATACGCAACTTTTAAAATTGGCGTATTTCAAAAATGCAAAGCCACGATGTTGCCCAGTCTCATGGTTCTTAATCAAGTTTAAGTGGGTAGGAATACCATATTGGCTGAATATGACGACCAAATCATGAGGTTTGATGAAATTGGGAATGTTGCTGATAAAGATGTAATTTGTATCTCGGTATTCATAATGCCATGAGGATTTGTATGAGGTTGCACTCGAAGCTAATTCTTTCTGGTTAATTTGGTTTATCCGTTTGATCTTGTTCATTGTGTGGGATGAGCAGTCGTGGGGTATATGAACTGAATTGGAATTTGGAGTTATATAGGTTTAGAGGTGTGCATATAAGCTAAAGACAAGATGAGTCTCATCGGCTTCACGTTTTTTTTTCATTTACTTTTTTTCACGACCCTATAGCACTTGAAGCATCTCAAATATTAACTGATAACCACAAACATTCATTAACTATGGCACGGTCTAGGGGAAATTCTAAACCGGTTCCAGTACCAAAGAAGGAAGAGTTAGTTTCGAAAAAGAGAAAACAAGACTCTGAAGAAGAGGAAGTAGAATCAAGTTCAGACGATGAGTTTAAAGTGGAAGGATTAATTGATCAAGAAAGTGATGATGATGATGATGAAGAGAAAGAAGAAGAAGAAGAAGATTCCTCTGCGGATGGAGATAATGATAGTGAAGATGGTGCACAAAATGGAACTTTTGAGGAGGATGAAGAAGAAGTGGAGGATGATATCAGCGAGGCAAGTCGATCAGACTTTGATTCCGAGGAGGAACTCAACAAACTTCTCGGAGACGAAGAAGATCCAAGTGATTACAGCTCAGTTGAATTCCCAGATGAGTCACAGGATGATTTATCCGATGTCAATTTGAAAAACTTGTCAGTTAAGGATCCATCAGCTCAAGAAATCAAGACCAAATATTCCGATGGCAGATTAAGAATAATCAAACCCGAAATTGAACCCGTTTATGATAGTGATGATAGTGATGCGGAAAATTTTAACACCATTGGTAACATCCCTCTTTCCGCTTATGATGAAATGCCGCACATTGGTTACGATATCAATGGTAAGAGAATCATGAGACCAGCTAAAGGATCGGCCTTGGATCAGTTATTAGAGAGTATCGACTTGCCACAAGGGTGGACTGGGTTGTTAGATCAAAACACGGGTACTTCTTTAAAACTTACTGATGAAGAATTGGAATTGATTCGCAAGATTCAACAACAAGAAAATACTGATGAAAATATCAATCCATACGAGCCTTTAATTGATTGGTTCACCAAAGACCAGGAAGTTATGCCATTGACTGCGGTTCCTGAACCCAAGAGAAGATTTGTTCCATCAAAGCATGAAGCTAAACGAGTTATGAAGATAGTACGTGCTATTCGTGAAGGTAGAATTTTGACTCCAGAAAAGGCCAAAGAACAACATGAAAAGGAAGATGATGAGCTAAACTTTGATCTTTGGGCCGATGAGACTGAAGTACCTGATCACATCATGAATTTACGGGCACCAAAATTGCCGCCACCAACAAATGATGAAAGTTATAACCCACCCGAGGAGTACCTTTTGACCGAGGAAGAACGATCCAAATGGGAGAATGAAGACCCCATCGATCGTGAACGTAATTTTATTCCCCAGAAATACAAATCACTTAGACAAGTTCCTGGATATCAAGAGAGCGTAAGAGAACGGTTTGAACGATCATTGGATTTATACCTTGCGCCAAGATTACGTAAAAACAAATTGAACATTGACCCTGAGAGTTTAATTCCAGAACTACCATCACCAAAGGATTTGAGACCATTTCCTATACGTTGTTCAACTATTTATGAGGGACACACTGGTAAAATTAGAACTGTTGCTGTAAACCCACAAGGTATTTGGTTAGCCACTGGGTCAGATGATGGTAGTGTTAGAGTATGGGAAGTGTTGACTGGTAGACAAGTTTTCAAAGCACAAATTATCAACAAGGAACATAACAGCGAAGATCATATTGAAAGCATCGAATGGCATCCTGATACCGATACTGGTATCTTGGCCGTTTGTGCTGGTGAAAATATTTATCTTTTGGTACCACCTATTTTCGGGTTTGATATCGAAAATACTGGTAAATTGAGAATTGAAAGCGGTTGGGGTTATGATACTTTTGGAAATAAGAAAAAGGGAATGAAGGTGGAAGCGGGTGACGGTGACAACGGTGATGATGACGATGACAATAACGGCAATGATGACGACGGTGATGCATCCACCACTATTGCCACTAAAAAAGATGTGGCTAAATGGATTAATCCTACAGCCACACAACAAGCACAATCAATATCAGCTATTATTCAATGTCGTAGAACCGTTAAGAAAATTTCATGGCATAGAAAAGGTGATTATTTCGTTACTGTTTCACCTGACAGCAAAAACACTGCTGTTTTGATTCATCAATTATCAAAACACTTGTCACAATCGCCGTTTAAAAAGACCAAAGGAGTAATAATGGATGCCAAATTCCATCCATTCAAACCACACTTGTTTGTGGCATCACAACGTACCATCAAAATCTATGATTTATCACAACAGAATTTGATCAAGAAATTGATGCCTGGTGTTCGATTATTGTCAACAATTGATATTCATCCTCGAGGTGACAACTTGTTAGCCGGATCTTACGACAAGCGTGTTCTTTGGCACGATACAGATCTTAGTGCTACGCCATACAAGACTCTCAGGTACCATGAAAAAGCGGTACGAGCAATCAAATACCACAAGGGTAATTTACCATTATTCGCCTCGGCTTCTGATGATGGAAGCATACATATTTTCCATGGTACTGTCTATGATGATTTAATGACGAATCCATTATTGGTTCCATTGAAAAAATTGACGGGTCATAAAGTGATTAATCAAATTGGTATATTGGATATTGCTTGGCATCCTAAAGAAGCGTGGTTATTTAGTGCAGGAGCCGATGGTACTGCTCGTTTATGGACCACTTAGGGAAGAGTTATTGTCTATACAGTGTGGGTAATATACAAATACAAATAAATTGTTACAACGTAGATAGTGATACACAGTGTCTGAAAAAGAGGAATGCAGGCAACCATTCCCAATCTATGCTTGTTGTTCCCTTTCTTTTCTTTCAAAGAACGGAGCAGCCCCACTGGGGATATATTCATTACCAACCAAACTTGTATTTTCATACTTTAATTGAAACAAATCATCCTCCTTTGACTCAAAAATTTGTGCCAAATTAGCTCGTATATTGTCAACCACACCTAAATTAAACTCAAATGTAACCCATTCCAAATCCTTCCAACACAAGATCCCTTCATCATCATAAATCATTGGGGTACGATAATGTTCAAATTGTTCCAATGTGATATCGGCAGTAAAGAGATATAGTCCACCTTTGCTTGCCAAATTAGCATGTTTCAAAGCTCGTTCAACAATAGTGCCATTGCTTCTTTTCCCATTGGCTTTAGAAGTTGTCTTTTCTTTCTCCTCCTCTTCTTTACTGTAAATTTCCCAAGTCAAGATTCCTCTGGGTTGAAAATGTTGCAACATTAACCCAGTTTCTTCTTGTGCTTCTCGAACCATGCAGTCTAATGGTGTTTCATTGGGGTTGATCTTGCCGCCTACACCATTCCATTTACCCATCCATGGTGCTTTGTTTCGATTGAGCATTAGTACCTTGTTGTTTTCTTTACAACGGATGAATCCGAGGGTGAATGAGGGCACGATTGGCATTTTGGACTGTGGTTGAGTGTATGTGGCTCGTTATATGCTGAATGATATAGGATGATGATGAGGGTTCAATGTTTCAAAGATAAGTCTCTTGTTTCCCCTTGTTTGTTCCTTAGATTTTCTTCTCATTTTTTCTTGAGCGGAAAATTGCCTTGTTCCCGAAGATTGGGAAAAATTTCATCTTGTAAAATCCGTGGAATACATTTTAAAATAGTTCTAGATGATTCTAATTCATTTGTGCGTCTACGAGACACCCCGAAATAGAGATTTATTTACAAGACATGCCACAAATGTTGTCTATTACTCTCTAACCCTGTTTTATCGGCATTCGAATATATGCCGAGTAATTAAGGTTTAACGCCGAGAGTCAGGGCCAAAGAGGACACAAAACCTCAGCGAGGAGAAGCTTCTTGTCGCAGAAGTCCCATTCGAATCAGCCGAGCATTAGGATACTTACAAACAATATTCTAATAAAACGTCTATTATAAACCATATTACAATGTGCACCTCTCTATAGCTGATTGTAAATGTAACTTGTTGTGGTTGGGCTTCCATCACATTTACTCCCTCCTCTCCTTGACTTCAAAGCTTGACACATTTGAAAACTTCATCTAAATCCATTATAGTGTCAGGCTCCAATTCAACAGACTTGCCATAATCACTAATCAAACTTTCCAATTCTAGTAGGTCGGTTTCATTTTGAAACAAACGATAGTCTTTATTGAAAAAAAATAGAATTAACATTGATTTTTTCAACTGATTTAATCGTGAGTTGGCCATTTGGAAATCCAAGTGAAATACAAACATGGCAAATATCATAATCTTGGTCAGCTCAAATTCATTCAAATGGCCATAACCGGTACCTATGCCAGGAATGATTAGGTTTTGAACCTGTCGTACTTGTTCTGCTCCATTACATACTGCATCTCTTTGGTGTTCTCTTTCAACGCCATACTCCTGTATATGCGATAGCAAGCTCCATATCGAATCAAACAAATGTCTAACTGAATGTATCTTCTCCGGTACCATCATTGTGGGAATTTGAATCAATTCATCAACTCCCAAGGTTTTGTAAATTAACGAGTCTCGATAATTGTAACCTTTATACGTGGGCAATTGTAACAAATTAGTTCGATATATATGATTGGGTATCAAGTAACCATTGCTTTGTCGTAATTTAGCATCTTGTATCAAGCGTTCAACTACTTTGTAATCAGAAACATTTGTCCCCAAAAGCATGCTTTGTAATAGATATTTGTCAAAACCCCCACCCATATAACTTAATGAGTTACCTGGGGATACCGTTGAAGTGGTGCCGCTAAGGCTGTGACTGGAAACAAAATCCTCAATGGTGCAAGCATGGAACTCAAATTCATTAGGTGATGATGATAATGATGAGACAGACGAGTCTGACGATGCTGGTGGGATCGTGGGTTTGAGAGATAAATTGTAATGTTGTACAATTTTGAGACAGGTCTGATAGTGGTGTTTCCAACACTGTACTATTAGCTGATTGGAATCTATTAGAATAAACTTCATATTCGTAGCGTTGGTGTTGACAAAGCTAGTGAATATTGTAATTGTTGGATGTTATTATATTTTGCGCGCGTCATTGCGCATTGCTTTTTTTAACATCTAACCTTGCACGTGACATCCATGCTAGATTTCTTTTTAAGGGACTACAAAACAAGTGTCGGAAAACAGCTTGTGGGTAAATAGTCATATCTTAACATGGCGCAACTATTAACAAAGAGAAGCTGAAAGTCGAATTACTACAACCGTCAGCTGTAGGGTGTCAGCTTATAGAAGATCCTGAATTGTATTGATGTTTTTTGTTGATCATGATACCAAAATTAGTTACCCTGAAGCCAACAGAGATGGTTTGGACCTCATTTTTCTCAGGCTAGATTACCACCGAGGAATACTAAACCATTAGCTTACATCTTCACTCTCACTAAGCCTTCTACTGGATGAAGCAAGGACCGAGACAAAGGCTCAGTTACGTTTTTTCATTTGAGTAGTATAATTATATCCGAGTAATTATTCTGCGAACACAAAGCGAACTATAGCTCCTCCCCCTACATCTCAGCACCTAAACTTCCGTCACATCGTTTTCACAATCCAATTTGCAGCCAATGTCGTGTCGGAGTTTCCGATTCACACACATGCACATTTATTTCCGCGCGCTTTAACAAAATCTTTTTAGACTGCATATGAAGGCACAGACCACGTTGCCTGCAGTATGTGAAACTCAGATCCTAACTATATCACAGCCCATACAAGAAATAGTTTAAGAGTCATGGAGTAGTCATTGGCGTTTCAAGAAGCCACACTATCTCAATATCGTGACAGATGTAATAGCGTGATTCTTGGTCCAAAACTGTTTAATTAAACTCCGAGAAAATTTGATAAAAAGTGGAGTGACACTAAACTTGTACATACATATATGCATGTGTACTGATCTTTAAGATTTTTAGATTGAACATGAAGAGAAAAAAAAGTGTTGGGCTAGGACCAGTGGCCCTAATTCAATATGATACGATGCAATGTGTAGGATCAAGGTATATCAGCAGTCTAAATTGTGAGACCACATAATGTTTTAGATTTCTGATCTCTCTCTCTCTCTCTCTCTTTCTCTTTCTCTTTCTTCATCCCCCTTTATTGTTAGTAGTGCGATTGTGAGATTTTGTGACCCATTGAAAACCGCCCTACGCACGCACGTGCGTGCTATTTATTTGTGTCTGGATTGAAACCACTCAAATCAAATCAAATGACATGACTCTTAGTGGAGAAAGAAAGAGAAGAGAGGGGAAGGTGAACCTTTCATATCAAATGTTACATTTCGAACATAAAGTAAGGGAGATAGGGAGGGGAGTAGTATGTGTGTGTGTGTGTGTGTGTGTGTATGTGTATTTGTGAGTGACATTGTAAAATAAAATTGAATGATTAAGATTTTTTTCTGAAATGTCGCATAAAAGACATTGTCGCACATTTTTAACTTCATCAGCCAATTAGCGGTTTCAATTGTTAGCTAAACTGAAAGGAAAACGTGTTTTGTTGGGTTAATACGACATTTTACTATAGTACGACATTTATTTTAGTAGAAAGAGAATTTTATAGAACAAAAACACTAATAATCATAGCATAGTTACACAAAGACACTAATTGGGTAATAAACCCATATATCCCACAGTTTTTACTCTACTTTGTTTACATATTTTCTAACGCCAGTAAAAACAACTTTATAGCAAAATAGAAGAAGAAAAAATTATTTTCTAAATTACCACACAAACCTTTTTCCCAACAATCTTCCCTCACTTCTTTTCCTTCTTCTTCTTCTTCTTCTTCTTCTTCTTCTTCTTCTTCTGTTCACTCTACAACTTCATTGTATTCTTTATCCGTATCAATTCATAACTAACTACACACAACAATGGCTCCAGCTGCTTACTCCGATTTAACTAAAGCTTCCAACGATTTGTTGAACAAGGACTTTTACCACTTGTCAACTGCTGCTGTTGATGTTAAAACAATTGCTCCAAATGGCGTTGCTTTCACTGTTAAGGGTAAGACTGCTAAAGACGATACCATTGCTGCTTCTGTTGACGCCAAACACGTTGACAAAGCTACTGGTTTAACTTTGACCCAAGGTTGGAACAATGCCAATGTCTTGTCTACCAAGATTGAATTGTCTGAATTATTGACTCCAGGTTTAAAAGGTGAATTGGACACTTCAATTGTTCCAAATGGTCCAAGAAATGCCAAATTGAACTTCTTCTACCAACAATCTGCTGTCAATGCTAGATTATTCTTTGACTTGTTGAAAGGTCCAATTGCTACTGCTGACTTGGTTGTTGCTCATGATGGTTTCACTGCTGGCGCTGAGTTGGGTTACGACATCTCCAGCGCCAAGGTTAACAAGTACTCTGTTGGTATCGGTTACTCCAACTTGACTTACAACTTGGCTGCTACTGCTACTTCAAACTTGTCTGTCTTTTCAGCTGCTTACTACCACAGAGTTTCACCATTGGTTGAAGTTGGTGCTAAAACCACTTGGGATTCAGTCAAATCATCAAATGTCAATGTTGAATTTGCTACTAAATACGCCTTGGATGGATCTGCATTTATTAAAGCCAAGATTGCTGACTCTGGTTTGACTGCTTTGTCTTATACTCAAACCTTGAGACCGGGTGTTAAATTGGGTTTGGGTGCTTCTTTCGATGCTTTGAAATTGGCTGAACCAGTCCACAAATTAGGTTTCTCATTGTCATTCACTGCTTAAAGAAGATGAACTGAAAAACCGTGATTCCGTACTCTCCAACCCACCCAACACCCACGTTGTATTCCATATATGTTTCTCCCTCAAAGAGTCTAAACAACACTATTATATTTTACAGTTTATACTAGATTTTTAGAGAAAGAAATTGTGTTTTTAGTTATTGAGACAGTTCATTGGGTGTAGCCGGCATTTTGGTCCGTACTTGTATGAATGTAAGTCAAAGGTGATCATGCTATGTTTTCCCCTCGCTTTTGTGTGTGAGTGCATCCTTATGCGCGGGCGACGATGTCTTTTAATGCGCAGCTGAACTAAATGGAGAAAAATTCATCAGTGTTTACGAAACTAGTTTTATTGATACCATCCCCAAACATGTCCAAGGAAGCAACCCCAGGAATTCAAAATAACGGGAAATCGCCATCAGCATCAACTGCTGTACCAACCGCAGCTTCGATAACTCAAGTATCACGACCATTCTTTACTTTACAAGAACTATCATATTTACACAGTCAAACCATTCCATCAACTTTGAAACTACAATATGCCACCACTAAGCAGCAAATCTATCAGTTCTTAAACCAAGCGATTAAAATGTTGAAATTCCCAATTCGGGTTTTAGCAACAACCATGAATTATTATCAACGCTATTACTTGTTTAATAAATTTGATGTTGCAAATCTGGCGATGCACATTGAAAATTCTCCCTACACCATAGCCATTACTTGTCTATTCCTTGCGAGTAAAGTTGAGGATTGTATCAAAAAACTAAAAGATGTTCAACAAGTTTGTAATAAATTGAGAGATATCAATGAAAATACATTGGTTGAAAGTAATGGTGCCAGTGTGCCCTTTATCGATTTGCAACGGAAAATCATCTTGAGTACCGAGTTCAAATTGTTACAAATCACCAAGTTTGACTTTAATCTAGGGAATAATCCAAGTTTTGCCATCAATGTTGATGATTTGCTAATACAATTTTGTAAAAACTTGGGCATCAATTATAAAATTTCCATGCTTTGTTGGTTGATCAATTATGATATTATTCAAACTCCTTTGAGTTTAGTTGTACCGCCTCATTGTACTGCTTTGGCCATCGTCATTATAGCCCTAAGTCTCAACCCCAACGAAATGAATTTACAACATCATGAAATTGGTGAAGATGATGAAGAAGAAGTAGTCAAAATTAAAAAAGTTCTTAGTGAATTGGATTGTAATGATTTCCAATGTCCCGAAGTCTTGGTTAATGAAGCAATACTTTACATATTGGACTACTATACTCATCAATTCGACAATAGTATCTTGCAAAATTATCTACCACCAGTAGATCCAGTCACGGGGAAGAATCAAATATTCAAGTTTTTGGATTTGAAGCAAAAATTTAATGATGTTGCAATTTTGAATGAAAAGAGTTGTAATTTCAAGTTGAATGAAAAGGATGGATATTTACAAAATTGGGATTATGGAGTAGCAACAAAGGGGTTGGTGAGGTTTATGTTGAGTAATAAGAGATCGAGGTTTGATGATGAGCAACAAATGAAGGAGAATAAAGAAAAGGAAGAGAAAAGGCAAAAGCCTGCTGAATATGAAAAGCTTAATAAGAGATTGAATGGTGCGTGAAGACAACCACATAATTGCGTAAACATCTATTCAAATTTGTAACTAACTGAAGTCTTCACCTTGTGCTTATCGGTGCTGAAACTGGCAAAATCTATCTCATCAACATTGTCACCTTCCAATACCCTTCCATCACCATTTGTATCACACCATTGTATAGGCACATTTGTATCTTTGTCAGTATACACCAAGACATTGAATGTATATTCATCATCTCTTAGGATAGGCAAATAACTCACTGACGATGTTATTTGACGTATAATTGCTCTTATTTCCTTTTGAATTTCACTCTTGCTCTTCTTTCCATCACCATCTTGTTCCTTATTACCTACACTTTCATTATTATTGATCTCCTCTGCATCATCATCATCTTTGGTCTCAATATTAAATTCCCATCGTTCTATACTTTCTCCGGTACTAGTGGACACAATGACCACAATCAACTTGGTTATCCTTTTACCATAGATCCATTTCTTCAATTGCTGCATGATGTTGCTGATGTAGTTTTTGACGTCTTCGTCATTGTTGATAACCATTGGCAAATCGTATTTTCGTACCGTGATAAAATCCTCAGCTGGGTATATGCCTCGTTGGAAGAGAATGCTGTTAATGGCAAATTCGAAGTAGTCAGATACGATCTTGGACGAGCCTTTTAGCGCTAGCTTGGAAGCTGACATTGTTAATTAAAGACGTGTTTGAACTTGTTGTTTGTGTACCCGTTTGTATCGAAGAAAAAGAAAATTATAAACAAAGAGAAGTTTTCCATTGATCTAAATTAGCACACACACAGCTAGATTTGCATACAACTATACAATGGTATGTACGGGATATACAATCAACAGTTATTTAACCACATATACTGACTGCCTCACATATAGCAACACGAAGTCAAACGAGTACATCTCAACGAATCGCAGAAGCACCAAAAATACCTTAAAGATGAACCCAAGATCAACCATTATCGTGACTTGACATCTTACATTTTTCAATTACGTGATTTACAAACCTATAACGATGAGAGTTTCAATGCCACAACAAGCTTGCTTCAGCTCAACCCTGAATTTTATACAATTTGGAACTATCGTCGAGAAATTATTGAAAAAGCCTACGGATCAAACTCTACCAAATTGGTGCAGATCTTAAACGATGAGTTGAAATTTGTCATGGCTCAATTACGCAAGTTCCCCAAAGTGTATTGGATCTGGAATCACCGAAGATGGTGTTTGTTCAAATTGGTAGATTTAAATCAAGTTAATTGGGAGTTTGAATTCAAGACGGTGGGGAAAATGTTGGAATTGGACCAACGAAATTTCCATGGATGGCAATATCGCAGATTCGTGGTTGAAAATCTAGAATTGGAAGAATTGAATCACCAAGATGAAAATGATGTTAATGGAGTGTTGAAATTGAATCTTGATGAATTCGATTACACAACTGCCAAGATTCTGATTGATTTTCTGAATTTCTCAGCCTGGCATAATCGAACTAAATTAATACCCAAAATTTACAATCTCATCATTGGAAACCCACAAGTGACACAGACTATTGATCATCCATCGTTCCACCTTTTCCAAACTCCCTTGTCAATCTTGAACAATGATTTGGAATTGATCAAAACCGGTATATACATGAGTCCAGAAGATAATTCAGTTTGGTTGTACTTGTACTGGCTTTTATCAGATGAATTTTTTGTCAATGCTTTTGAAGCAGACGACAGTGATGGTCAAAATTATAAGCAGCTACTTCAACAACAAATTGACTTGATTAATGAAATTAATGCATTGGAGAAGGAAGATACTGGACAAGAAAACGTAGGATGTTTGAAAGCATTGTTTAAAATCACTGAGTTGAAAAATGAGGAAGATGTGAATAAGGATGAAATGAGGGATATTTTGCAGAAATTGATCAAACTCGATGAGTTGAGGAAAGGAAGGTATGAGGATAGTTTAAGGCGATACGAATAATGTTTTCCGTGCAGGGATAAGCCGGTTGAAAAACGTTAGATAGAATGGAGACACCTGTGTGTGTGAACATATAAAGACTCCCCACCTCGGTTTAGAGTAAGTTTTTGAATTATGGGTAATGACGAGGCGGTGGGGGGAGTGGTGTGTTTTTGCGATGTAAGAAATCAGGAGCTTTACGTGTTTCAGGTTCTTTACTACAAACTTTGTATCTGCACAACACATCGGTTTCAGATTTTCAAAGACATGATGCCAATAAACCATCGTATGCCATTCTTAGAAATGATGCATTCCGAGTTGATGTTTCGAATCAAGGCACAAAAGTGGTTTGCGAATTATTCAAAAGACGATGCCGGGACCGTAATACCAATGTGATTGCTATACCAGTTATTGTCACAAGGTGACTCTTGTCAGATCACATTTCTTTTTTTTTTTCTTTTTCAGGGGAACAAGAAGAACAGTGTAGCAATTGACATGGTTCGGAACAACTTCACTCAACAATGAAACGTCTAGTCACAAAATGTTCTGTTCTATTTTGGCAAAAGAAAGTTTACTCCTCGATGTGAGAAACAAATTTCTATTTTCTAATGAAAATAAGAAATTCAGTGAATAATAACTTTTTTTTGCCTTGAAATTCGGAGTTTTGAAACAACGATAATATGAAGCAAAGTATGTTCAAAAGTGATTCTCGTGTTGTTATTTCCCCGAGTGTTTGAGTTGATTTTTTTGGGACTTTTCTTTTGAAACATTGCTCAGAAATAGGGGTAATAGTTTCAAGTCTTGAGAGACGATATTCTTTAACGAATGTGGGCGGATTGATCACATACCCACAATGAGGTTCGAATTACCCCGAATGTGCTAGAGAGAGTTCATTAACTACATCTAGTCAATCGCTGCTTCGACTTAACTTCACCTGTGAAAAGTGTCGAAGCAGCAGTAACGTGTTGGCGCTGTGTAGCGTTACTATGCACGTACAAAGGCATTACCAACTTAAGTCGACTCTTCTTATGACCTACGCGTTTACTGCCCAAGCAAAACCATGTTATGTCCAATTACCTTGTTTTCGATATTTTACCCAGTTCAGTCTAGAAAGGTGATCCACACCTATTCTCTGATCTTTGCCATGAAAATCACATCAAAGAAAAATTGCGCTCCCTGAAAAGTTATTCTGTTGCACTGGTAGATTTTTGATTGATAAAAATTTCCTTTTTTGGATGCAAAAGGGGATTTTTCTAAAAAAGTGTGTTCATTATTTTTCGCAGCCGTAATGAAGATCACACACGCTTATATACACCAGGCTATTCTGTATTTAACCATTATGTTTCAGCTTTCAACGAGTATGAACTCCATCTTAGATTATAAATAAGCATCGAATGTACCTTCAGTTCCCATCTCGTTTCCCATCTTTTCTTTTTCCTCATCATTATCAAAACAAATAGATCATTTTAATCAATTATCAGAAAACCAACAATATCTATTTTACAATGAAATTTTCAATTGCTGTTCTTACTGCTATTGCTGCTGCTTTAGTTGCTTCTGCTCCAGTCGCTTCAAAAGAGGCTGAAGTTCCTGCTCTTCCAGTTGATAACGTCCTTGAACGTGTCGTTGAAGCTTTCTTTAATGGTCCTTCAATTGATGCTGAGATTAAAGATAAGACAGCTGCTGATGTCAAGGGTGTTGTTGGCTCTCAAAAGAGAGAAGCCGAAGCCAAACCACACTGGACTACTTACGGTTACTATGAGCCTCAAAAGAGAGATGCCAATGCTGAAGCCGAAGCCAAACCACACTGGACCACTTACGGTTACTATGAGCCTCAAAAGAGAGATGCCAATGCTGAAGCCGAAGCCAAACCACACTGGACCACTTACGGTTACTATGAGCCTCAAAAGTAGAAAAGAAACCTTCTGAGAGAGCTATTCATTTATGAATTAGTGAAAACGTTGTACCTCAGAGTTGCCCTTTTTTTGTTGAAGTCAAACCGAATCTCAATTCTATTTATTATATTTTTTCAATTGAGAGTCTTGCAATGACGCTTAATTTAGTTAGTTTTTACATGTTCAAAGGACTTCATATATCCAATAAAATGGTTTTCAAAAGTTTGAATTCGTAGATCGTCTTCATAAAATGTTGTTTCTCAATATTGAGATTGCCAATGCACAGTTGCGAAAAAAATTGTTCCTGTATATAAAGACAAGTACTCTTTGTGTGCGTAACTTCAATATTTTTCCAGCGAAGATCATCTCAAGATGAAGATACTTCTACAAACCAACAGTATCTAAAGATGGGAAGTACCAAATCTAGAGGAAGAAGGGCAGAGAAGAAGGCACAAAAACTTGTCGACACAGACTTTTCTGAGCACAAGGATGTGGCCCAGTCTCAGCCGCATGAGGATATACCCAATACTTTCTTCGGCCTTGTTGATGCCAGTGAGATTGATTACTTCAAACAAGCGGAATCTACATTGAACATCAACGCTTTCGAAAGTGATGAGGATAGAGAAGGATTTATAAACTCGGTATTGGAAGAAGCGCAAGGAAAGGAGTTGAAATTGGTCACCAATCAAATATGCTCAAAATTAATGGAAAGACTTGTGTTGTTTGCCAATACGCAACAATTGAAGTCCATTTTTGAAAACTTTTCCAATCATTTTGTATCCTTGGCATTTCATAAGTATGCCTCACACGTATTGGAGACATTGCTTGTAAGAGCAGCTGCTTTGATTGAGAAAGAAATTTTGCAAACTGATGAAATAAAGTATGAGGAGGAAGATGGGGTAGTCATTGCAGATCGCAATGACTCTAAAACTGTCGAGGAGCTATTCATTGCTATGGTAAATGAGTTTAAACTGTACTTGTTGACAATGGTTGATCATCAGTATGCCTCACATGTTTTGAGACTTTTGATTTTGATTCTCGCGGGGAAAGAATTACCATCTACAACCGTATCAAACTCTGTTTTAAGATCCAAAAAGTCAAAGATTGCAAGAAAGATGATTGAAATCAAGGATAACGAAGATTTCAATAGAGCTTTTCAAACACCACTGTCATTTAAAGACGAGCTTCGTGATTATTTTCAAGACTTGACCAAGGATTTAGACACGAAAAAGGCGCGAGAATTGAGCATACATAAAATTGCATCTCCAGTGATGCAACTTGTGATTCAGTTGGAAGGGCTTGTTGACCGCGAACGTACAATGTGGCACTTAATCTTTGCCAAACAAAGTGACGAAAAGGATTCTGATGAGGAGGCATTCGTCGAGTATTTGCTATCCGATCCAGTAGGATCCCACTTTTTTGAAGCCATCATAAAAAGCGATGGCTCAAGACCGCAATATATTGAAAGACTCTACAGGCTATACATGAAAGAAAGAGTTTTGAGGTTAGCTAGGAGGTCAACAACAGGTGTTTACATAATACAAGCATTATTATTCAAGTTGAAACCAGTTGAAATTGAGTTTATTTTGGATCAAATCATTCCAGAACTTTCCAATTTGATTTCCATAGCTGACAATCAAAATTTGGATTTAGCTCAAAAGGTTATTGATGCGTCAATTCTGAGAGGAAATTACTTGAGAGATGAAATCATTTCCCAATTGTTTATCAAGTTTGCTCCAAACTATGATTATTCAACCCCACAAACGGACACTTCTACTGAGTTTATAGAAAACGTGCTACAGTTGACGGGGTCGACATTAGGAAACACAAGGGGCGACTGGCCAACCGCTGAAGAGAGAAAACGAGCATTATTTTTGGAGAAATTAATGGAACTTGACAATAGATTCGTCATTTGCACCTGGTTGAATTTCATTGCCTTGCCTGTAGAAAAGTTTGTGCAAATGTGTTTCCATGGTGTCTTTTCGCACGTTGTTGAGAACTCATTGGTGGTTGATAAAGAGGAATCAAAACCCGTTCAGATTCTTCGAAAAAGGTATCTCAATATATTTCAAAACAAGATAGTCGAATTGTCCTGCAATTCGTATGGATCGCACATAGTTGATAAGTTATGGGACTTTACAGTTTTATTGCCCATGTATAAAGATCGCATTGCGTCCGAGCTCATGAACGATTCGCACAAGGTGAAGGAAAGTCAATATGGTAAATTGGTTTGGAAAAATTGGTCAATGGAACTTTTTGTGAGAAAAAAGTATGATTGGAAACAGTTAGTCAAGGAGCAAGAACATGAATTTCTTGGAGGTGAAGAAAATCAGTCAACAAGAGCCAAAAAACCAATTGAATTGAAGTTGGAGAGATTGGCAGAAGAAAAGAGAATACAAGCTGAAAAAGCAGAAAAAGCCCAAAGTGGCTATAATAAACGTAAGTTGGATGAATTGACTGGTGCAACCGAGAAGAAGCAAAAATTACGAGGAAGAAGACGGGAATAACCGTTTGATTTGTACTTACAATGTATCTATTTACAGAACTTTAGTAGTAATGAAATACTCATTCAATACTTTTTCATCTACAGCAGTAGGACTCTCAACAACACGATCGGATCCGGATTGATTTTTTGGGAATGCAATCACATCCTTTATACTTGAAGTACCGACTACCATAGCACATAATCTATCGAATCCCAAAGCCAAACCAGCATGCGGTGGACATCCCATACTTAAAGCTTTCAACAAATGCCCAAATAACGATTGATAGTTATTGACTTTTAAAACATCTTCGAAAATGTATTGTTGCAATACCGAATCATGGATTCTTCTTGATCCACCACCAACTTCAACACCATTAATTACCAAATCGTAATGCTCACCTCGTACTTTCAAAGGCTCTGTCTCCAACAAGTCATAATCATCCGATTTGCACATCGTGAATGGATGATGCGTTGACTCTAGCTTGCTCCTGTCGTATTTGGGATATGGCACATTGATATCATCAGAAGTTTCTGCTGGGTTGAACAACGGAAAGTCAACGACCCATGAGCCAACAATTGTTTTATCGAAATCGTAAGTATCAATCAAACCGTTTTCGCTTCTAATTGGTCGTTGCCATTTTCCTGAAAATTCAGCTATGGCCAATTGTCTAAATTTTCCCAATGGAGTTGGATTTTCATAAGGAAGATGAGCCCTATTTGAAACTGCCAAGATATCGCCTGGTTGTAAGTTGAGAGTTTTTCGTAATTTTTCTTTATCCACCTTATCGTTCCATTTCATAAAACCTTTTTGTAAAAGCAATTCACACCAACTTTGGGCATCATCTTCAGATTTGATCATAAATATATACGGCCTTCTTCGCGAATAATTCAACTCACTCGTGAGCGACTTTGGCGGTTTTGAGGTTTTGATAGTGGGGTCAAAAGCACTTTTCAAAACACACGTTTCAACAACAGGAAAATCAAGATTCTCGATTGAAACAAAATACTCTTCGAGGCTAATGAAGGAGAGATTGGACCTTAAATCTGGTTTGTCAATACCATATTTTTGCAAAGCTGTCAAATAATTCAATTTTGACAATTGTACCCCCTCGATCCCAGCATTGATTCTGATCAACTCATCACTCCCATTTAAGGTGTATACATTGGTTTGCTTAACTTTCTCCCAAATACTCAAGACAACATCTTCAACAACCTTCATAACCTGGTCAGAGCTATTTACGAAACTCATTTCCAAATCTATTTGAGTAAATTCAGGTTGTCTATCTGATCTTAAATCCTCATCCCTAAAGCATTTTGCAATCTGAAAGTACTTTGTAAAACCAGAACTCATCAAAATCTGTTTATATTGTTGAGGAGACTGAGGTAATGCATAAAATTGGTTGGGTTGTCTTGTAGGGACTACGAATTCTCGTGCCCCTTCTGGAGTTGATTTGAATAATAATGGTGTTTCAATTTCAACAAAGTCATGATCATCCACAAGTACCTTCCGAACCGACTGAGCAATTTTACTCCTCACTCGTAAAGCATTTTGATAGAATGCAGTGCGTAATTGCAAGTATCTAAATTGAGGAGGCAAGTCTTCTGGTCTAGTTTGCTTAAGCTTTTCGAGTCTTGGCGCGTCTATATTTGACAGATTCAAAACCTGAATATCCTCCAAAACCAATTCCCAGCTTTTTGATTCTCCTTCTTTCGATTGCTTTGGTTGTACATATCCAGTTATACTGACAGACTCTTCAACAGTGAGGCTTTTCATTGTGTCCATGATCTTGTCCTTAGTTGAATCATTAGCGATGAATTGAACAGTTTCGCCATTACAGTCACGTAAGAATCCAAAACTTAAAGTAGGCCGTATCCTAGCCTTTCGGTGTATATGTCCATTGAGTGTAACTTTCTGCTTCTTGTTTATGAAATCATTGATATTGTCAGTAACAGACTTTATGCTATTTGTAGCCAATGGAAAATTGAATTTTGCTAGTGTTGATACCTTTTCTGGAAGGTGTGAGTAATATCGTCGACTCGCTTTAGCAAACACCAGAAGCATCTTATATTGGGTGAACTATGAAGATTACTCTTAATGCTGGAAAACTTGGGAAATTTTTTTTTTTACGACAATATCCATGAGCCGCACACATGCATACAATGATTTGAGAAAGCAGGAATCAATGGTTACCCTGGTACAAAAGCAGCAATGATGATGAAGCCCTTTCTTGATAAGAACTGTAAGTAAATGTTGAGGGGTAGACCACCACCGTAAGCTGGTACTGATGTTTCGTTCCGCCGTTGGTTAGTAGGTTCCCAGCAAACGTGCACCAATTATCGATATCTCGATACTTTCGACGCTTACCATCTCAAACTTTGCCACAAAGAGCTCAACCAATTGAAAAAAGAATGATCAAGCTCTTCGATTTTTGCTCTCGTCGGTGTACGTACGACTTGAGTTGAGTATATCCTTGAAATGGCAGTGTGAATATTGTGTCATTGAATCCGTTTTGTGTTATTTTAAAAGATCGTGAAGTAACATACGATAATTCACAAAATTTGTCGTACAACTTCTAGAGGTAGCTATGTACAATTAATGGGGACTATTCAGTTGGGGTACTTTGCCTGGGGCTTTATTTATAAACCCTTTTTCAATCAATTAATTGTCATACTTTAGGCTAGTTTTGGCTACTTCACAATCCTAACCACCTTTTGCGATTTTCAAGGCAGAATCTGCAGTGTAACAGTTGCTGATCCGAAAAACAACAAAGCTTCGAGTGATTGATTCTTTAAGAATATCCCGATTTTTGTTGCAGAAACCAACTTACTTGTTAGTTCAATTCCTTCGAAGTCAATGCTTTCTGAAAATCTCGTCAGCTATGTGTTTCCTAGACATGGGACTATCCAGATCTCAATCGAAGGAGTCAAAACAGAGGGAAGTGGATAATCTAATCTAGAGAATGGCCCCTAGAAATAGACACCAATGCCCGCTTTTCTTTTTCTTGTATACTTCTCTTGGCGTAACTTTAGGTGGTGTCTGGATTTGATTCACCACAAACCTTAAGGATATTTTTTAAAAAACATTGAACAGATGTTCATTTACAAAGTTAAACGAATTCGTGTTTTGGTGAAGAGATGTGACCTGATAACAATCTCCCCAAGTTGTGGGGTAAGTTCGTAAACAGTTTGAGCTTTTTTATTCAGCTGCAATCAATTGTGATGGCCGATGCAAATGGAACAAGCTCTTCTCAAGTTGAGGTCGAGGCACTCTGTTAGTCCACTACTAAGATAAGTCACTAAAAAGATTCGATGTGAAAAGTTTCGTGATTTCGAGGAGGAGATAGGATGGGTGAGTGATTGAATTGACAAGCTTTAATCGGAAATTGATTGCAAAGTGGTGTTTGTGTAATGTAACTAAAAAAAATTCTAAAATGATTGTGTTAGCCGTACCGAAAGAAGAGATAATACTAGGTTTCTAATACACAAGGTTCGTGATTGCATTGATATGTACGACTTTGATGATAACCACAATTTTTTCAAATAAAATAACCGCGTTTCAAAATATTGAATTAAAGTTTCTTATATTGCACGAATCTTTACACGTAAAGCTTAGAAATCAGGTAACGCTTACCACTGTTTTTGGAAAACGACCTCCGTAATGTTACCTCCTCCTGGGCCTTGAGTCATTCCCGGAAAAAGCTTTTCAAGAACTAGACTTGCTTTTGTCTGATAGAAAAATTATTAAATAGTGGATTCCGAACCATGTGAAAGTACAACCATTTTTTGCAAACCTAATATGAGATTTGGGTACTAGCTATATAAGCTATCGGTTTTCCAAATAGCCAATAATTCATTTGGAAACACAGTATATAGCACTTGTATTTCACCAACTACAATGACAACACCGCTTCGTCCGATTACCTCAGAGACTCCTGATCAACACAATAAACACATAGTCAAACCTCCTGCATTCACTTCGAAAGATATCAAAGAATACACCAAAACAAGATTTACTTCGTTATGGGTGGGTAGAAAAGAGTTGAGCAAATACCCATGGTATGAAATTTGCAACCCATTCCACCCTTTAATTGCATTGAACGCTCATCAATGGAATTTCTTCTTTTTAGGGTTCTGGGGATGGACATGGGATGCATTTGATTTCTTTATCACGAGTTTGAATGTGACAAATATTGCCAATGATTTACAAGTTTCTACAAAAGATGTGACATGGGGGATTACCTTAGTATTGATGTTTAGAACTGTGGGTGCAGCCATATTTGGAGCAATTGGTGATAATTTTGGTATGAAATGGCCCTATATTCTCAACATGGTGTTGCTTATGCTGATCCAAATAGGGACTGGGTTTGTAACCACATATTCTCAATTTCTTGGAGTAAGAGCATTGTTTGGTATTGCTATGGGAGGTATTTATGGAAATTGTTCAGCAGAAGCTTTGGGGGATGCACCTAGAAAAGCAAGAGGGATTCTTTCAGGAATTTTCCAATCTGGATGGCCCTCAGGGTATTTGTTGGCTGTTGTTTTCCAAAGAGCGTTTGAAATGACTGAGAAAACATGGCAGAATATGTTTTTCTTCTCAGCAGGAGTACCAGTGATTTTCATTACATGGAGGTTCTTTAATCCTGAAACATTTGTTTATCAACGTCAAAGAGCAAGATTTAGGGAAGGCGCCATTCAAAAGGAATCCAAAATTGCAGAATTTAGACATCAAGCACTGAAAGCTTTAAGAACTTATTGGATGATTATTATATATATGGTATTGTTGATGTCAGGGTTCAACTTTTCATCTCATGGATCCCAAGATTTGTATCCCACAATGTTGACTAGCGAGTACCATTATGGTCCTAACAGAGCAACAGTGGTTAATGTTTGTGCCAATTTGGGTGGAATATTTGGTGGTATAATCATTTCTCATCTTTCAACATATTTTGGACGACGTACACTTATGATTTGTGCTAATACCTTTGGTGGTGCATTCCTCTACTTGTGGGCATTTAAACCCACATGGATTACTGCTTTCCTTATGCAATTTGGTACTCAAGGTGCTTGGTCAGTGGTACCTATTCATTTGAATGAATTGGCACCTCCTCAATTTAGATCATTCGTTGTGGGAGTTTCATACCAATTGGGTAATTTAATTAGTTCAGCTAGTGCCACTATTGAAGCTACAATGAATGAAACGTTGCATGATTTGGGTAAGACAATGGCTATATTTGAGGGGGCTGTATTGTGTTATTTGATTCCTATTTTATTTATTGGCCCTGAACATAAGGGTGCAGAATTAGGAGTTGAAAGGGATGATAGGATGAGTGTTCATGGTGGCGATGATGATGATGATGACGTGGAAGATAACAGTTATGGAGAACACGATAAGAAGGATTCAGAATTCGAGAAAGTACCAGAGGTTGTTGAAGTTGCAAAAGACGGAGGAAAAGTATGATTAGAGGGTTTAATATGTAGCTTTATGTAGGGCCCATTGTGTCGACAAAATAAACTAAAATATTTCTTGGCTGCAAATTGTCATTTAGATGTCACACGATGAAAACGCAAAGGATAGCTTTGGAAAGGATCACAAAAATGAATCATCTGTCTAGAAACTATTGTAAGTAGCGAAGTCTTGTGGTGTATGGATCGTTATATATCATTTTTGTTCAAAAATACACACATCCTGAAACAAGACAAGGCTTAGCAGGGTAACAATTGGAAGCTCAAAAATCATGTTATACAACCATAAACACATAAGCTACACAGCCTGTCCATCAAGCTAAAATTAGTCCAGCTTGGGCATTACACGAAATCATTGAAGTCGGTGGATACTGAAGCTAAAGTGGAAGAAAATGCCCTTAAATTAGCCACAATTACACGTCTTTGAACATTGATAATAAAAATAATTTTGGTGCCTGACTGACTGACTGACCTTTATTTTTTTCTTTTAACTGGGGTACTGCATACAAACATATTAAACTTCACACTGTGTATTGTCATCAGTATAAATATAGATTCATTAAAAAACATAGTGGAGATACACAGGAATAACGATATTCTCATTTACCAACCACCATAACTGATATACTGTTTGTCATCGAGTCACGATTTATACCCTTGTAGTCATGCCCATACTCAGGAAAAGAAAGTTGCTATATATATTTTTAACTGCTATAGCGTTATTTTTACTATTGATTCAATCAAAATTATTCAATCATGAACAACTATCTAAAAACGATTGGTCACTCACATCATTTGGTGACAAGTTCGACTTCTCGTACTTACCGAACCTCAGTGATAGTTTGAAAAATACGTATAATCGGTGGAACTTGAAATCTTCAAACACAGAGCCATTACAAGCGTCAATAATCGAACCAAACAATGTACAATTCAACTTTGTCAATAACGCCAACAATAGGGGGACAAGGGAAGAAATTATCGAACGAAATGCTAAAAAATATACTGAACTAATGAATACTGAAGTCGGCAAACCTCAAGATGCATCATTGGTTCCACCACCTGAAGATAAACAAGCTTATACCCGAGCAAATGCCACCATAATTGCATTAGTTAGAAATTCAGAATTGACAAAGATCGGACAAAGTATAAGGAGATTCCAAAAACTGTTTAATGGTAAATTCAATTACCCATACACCTTCATAAATGATGAACCATTCACTGATCGCTTCAAACAAAAGATTAAAAAGTATACTGAAAATGCTCCAGTTGAGTTTGTCACTATTAAGTCGGAAGCTTGGAAAAAACCTAGTTCAATAGATGAGGAGAAAGAAGCTAAGGCCATGCAAGTAATGTATGATCATAACATTGCCTATGCCAAGAAGGGCTCTTACCATAACATGTGTCGTTTTTACCTGGGTCAGTTTTACAATGTACCTGAATTGCAAAAATATAAATACTATTGGAGAATTGAGCCACAAGTTCACTTTTATACTGATGTTACATATGATGTTTTCAAATATATGGAAACAACGGGCAAGATTTATGGTTTTACAGTCAGCTTGTACGATATTGAGGAATCGATAAAGACGCTATGGCCGGAAACATTGAAATTCTTAAACATGGGAGACAATTACAAATACGTGAATAAAAATGGCAGTTTCCAATGGCTAGTGGAAAACTTACAAAACCCACACAAGAACAAAATTGCTGGTGGCTATTCAACGTGCCATTACTGGTCCAATTTTGAAATAGGTGATATGGATTTCTTTAGAGGTGAAGCATACAATAATTGGTTCAAATATTTAGACTCAACTGGTGGATTCTATTATGAGCGATGGGGTGATGCACCAGTTCATTCAATTGGGGTTAGTTTATTTGCCGATAAATCCAAAATTCATTGGTTTAGAGATTTGGGGTATAATCATGATCCCTACTACAACTGTGCCAATACTCCATTCACTTCACATTGTGTTGTGGGTAAATTTAGTCGATATGAACATTTGAATGATCAAAACTGTCTCATGAATTGGTTGGAATATGATAAAATCAAAGATGTTTATAAGAGAACCTAGTTCAAAAAGAAAAAAATAAAGGAAAGCATAGGTTTAGTATTAAACTACTGTGAAACTACTTATTCTATATTATTCCTCTCACCAAGTATATCACATCGCCATTTTTCAATATACTTGACTTGTCCGAATTTCTCACCAAGCTAGGTTCATTCTTGGCTTCATCAATTTTGAAAATGTTTAATCGTTCCTCGGCTCTAGTAGTCAGATTGTTTATATTGGGGATGCGTGATTTCTCAGCAATTGAGTCCAATGATTTACCAATGACCCAATTCTTGGATACAAACACTGGTTTCTTGTCTTGCTCGATATTCATTGACGTATTTGGATCTTTGACATAGACACACCAAATGTATATTCTGTCAGCTAATGCTATCTTAGCATCGCCCTGAGCATTCTTTTTCAATTTTGCCATATCAGCATACTTATTAGAGATAACTGATGTGGTGGATGATTTCTTACCAAAGAGCTTCGAAATAGACGATCCTCCTCCGGCTGAATTCGTTTTATCCTTTTGTATATTGAGAAATCTTTGAAACTTCTTGAAAGCATTGGTGCCAGCCACATCTCCAACTCTAAATTGTGTTTCCTTTATAGTTGTCGGCTCGGGACTCTTTAACCTGGCATCTATCAATTTCCTGTCGGCATCTCTATCAGGAAACAATGATTTAGAGGATATAGTTGACGTAGATGACAAAGTACCATCGTGTGTTGGCGCCTGATTATAAAACTTATCCTTGCGTGGACAATGATGTTGTTCTAAAGTTCGATGATTGGAACAATACGTTTTTTTGCAAAACTCACATATGAAAGGTAGAAAATCTAGTTGGTTGCAATAGGAACAGTTTTTACCGATGTCCATTATGCCTTGGTCTTCCTTCGGCGGCGCTTGTTGTTTATCAATGAATAAGTTAGCTACTGATGACATGATCAAAAGATAGTGTGTGTGTGTAGATAAGCTGAAAGGTGTACGCGTAATGCAACGAATGAGAGACACTTGTCTTCCTTTATATACTTTGCAGTTTTCTTGTGTGTATTAATAAGTCGGTGGCAAAAAATGATGGCTGATGCTCTGTAATGGGGTGGCGGGCGGATATAGATCTGAATGACAATGCAAGGAAAATGGTAGCACTCTTCTCTTTCCTCTTTCTACATCGATCATCGCACAGAAACAAAGCACCTTCAAGGAAGACAATATTGTGTTTCACGCAGGAGCGAGTTGCAATGTCCTATGACCTTAACATACCATGGCCTTGTAACAACTATAACACAACACCCAATGCACAACAATGGACAGATTTGAAAAACACAATTATAACCAATTTACAATTAGGTGTTACTCATCAAGCCATCAACTTTTCCATTGACGAATCAATCAAGATTCCGTTCAATACACCTGATAAAATCAACCCTATATCAGTAACATCCATTCTTGATGAATTAAAACCGAAATTTCCCACGTTGAAATTATTCACACGTGTCACACTCATTGTCACTGATTCTTCCAAACTACAAGGTGTTGCTAAATTACAAAATCATTTTGATTTATTTGCCATTCAACCAACCACTGAAAAGGCTTTACAGTTGACGATACTAAACATTGAGTGTGATTTGATCAGCTTGAACTTGGCTAATAGGCTACCGTTTTTCTTAAAATTTAAAGCCATTGGAACTGGTGTGGCTAAAGGAATCAAATTTGAAATCAACTATAGTCAATTAATAACGGGTTCTCTGGGGTATTCATCCGACGTGAGTGTCAATTTAATCAAAAAAAATTGGTTTAATAATGTACTACAACTAATAAGAAGCTCACGATCTAGAGGATTGGTTGTTTCCAGTGGTGCCCAGAACCCACTTCAGGTGCGTAATGCTAATGATATTTTGATATTGTTAAAGACACTAGGATTAGATTCGAGTAAGGCCAGGAGTTGTATACTGTTGAACCCAGAAAAAGCTTTACTTAGTGCCAGATTGAGAATCAAGTCGTACAAACAGGTGATTAGTATAGGCAATGAGAGTTTGATTGGTAACACGAATGAGGACCTTGATAAAAAACACAACGCTACAGGATACAAACGGAAATTCAGTGATACCATGACGGGACTGTTGTTGAAAAAATACAAAAGTGGTTACTCGTAAAACAAGGGGCTGCAAACAAGAAGATCAAGCTACAATATCATGCCTGATCGTTCTAAAGTTCATTATTCATTACACGAATATATGCCAAGATGTCAACTAAATATAGATGACTTGATCGGTTTGATCTTACTCAGTTCCTCTTTTGTAGCTTCTTTCCTCTTCTCTTGCACCTTCTTTTCCGATTTTCGAGTTGGTGACGCTCGTGATGGTGGTAGTGGACGTTTGTTTTGGAGGAATATCGATGGGGGTTGGTGTGGACGTTTTTTTCGTAAGGTGTCGGAAACTTCGCCCAGCAGCGATGGCGGAGACAGACACGGAGACGATTGTTTCCCCTTAATGGGCATGATCTTTGACGTTGAAGGTTTCGTTGTAGTAGGAGGCTGCTGTTTTGAATGATGACGATCAAAGAATGTAGTTCGTCTAATTGCTGTACCTAATCTTGGAGCACGGATACAAGGGGCACAATCTTTCGTTTTGAATGCATTATACGGATCGTATTGTCTCATTGCTGGGCTACCAAAAATAATTGATCGATTCTGAGACTCCCTCATGGCTTTACCTAAGATGGTGTTCTTTGCATATGGCAGTCGTTGTCTTCGATACGCATTCTGAAAAGGCAGTCGGCATCGTACAGAAGGATCCCTTTTTATTTCATCAACAGTGACAATCTTATTCTTATCCTTTTCTTTGTTCATTGACTGGTTCAATTGTCGTAACCTCTTGGCCGAATCCTTTCTAAACTCGTCTCGTTGCTTGACATATTTATAGTATAACGATTTATAGGGCATTTTTTCAAATTTCAACTTTGTCAATTCCAAAGGACCTAATTCTGCTGGCCGATCGGAAAAATCTTTCACAATGAGCTGTTTCCATAGCTCATCACTGTGTGGTGTTAACTGGGTCGACAATGTTTCAATTTGGTCCAACTGTTTTGCTGACATTAAACTTAAAATTGATGCAAGTAAATGGTACGGTGTGGTACCAACATCTTGAAGTTGTGATAGATGTCGTTTGATGCAAACTTGAGATAGATGTAGTAGTGTCGGTAGACCGCTTGGATGCTTATAGTATCTTGGTTTGCGAGAGTTCATGTTTGGGACGTTGTAGGGGACAAAGGGCAATTAATGTTCTTCAGCCTTAGGAGGCGTGCTGGAGATGGAAATAGAGAGCGCGCTACCTTGAGGTTCTACATCAAACACTTATTACAACTGCGAAATACTACAACGTCACTGCCACTAACTTTACCTCAAATTACATATACTTTAAAAAGTATACATGTTGAATATGCTGTGAATTCGTTGTAGAGAAAACGATGATACTTACAATATTACCTCTCGAAAAATGTAATACATGGTCCTTTAAAAAGCGGATGATGGTGCGTTCGCAAACCAAAAGTGTATCAATTATGCCAAATGAGGGGGCACGGAAAAGTCTGATAAATAATTTCAGTCGGTAACAAGGTTAGAGGAGATTCTCGTTCGAGATGAACTCAACTTACCCCCATCAGTTTCCTAGATTGATAATCAACATTAATAGCTTTGATCAGCAAGCGTAAAGAATCGACGGTATTTACCCCTCTGGCATTGATCCCCCCCTTAGGAGAAGCAAATCGGCCTGTATGACCTTGATTTCTGGCAATCCGGTCAGGACATAATAACCAAAATATCTAGCCAGACTGAAGCCAAGCCCATAGGTCTTAACGCTTTGAAAGCAGTAATTATGGAAAAGGCATAAATTTCGCATTTTTGATTTGTTTTTGTTGTCATGTGTGCACTACTATTACTACATAACATTTCGCTTGTTCTTGCACGTGCAGACACTTTTGACACTTGCATAAAAACAGACACTCCCAATAACTAATAGGCATGATGTTAAAACTCAAACACACCCCCTTCTACACACTGCAAGAGCTTGATAACCTAGTAAAACTTTTTAGAAACTTACAATATACACACATAACAACTTTACAAGAAAAAGCCCAAATTTTTTTAATAACCAATTGATGACATGACTCCATATCCAATGGTAATCACACACAAATATGCAATAATCGATGCTGGCACACCTCTTGAAATAAACTCATTAACAGTCAAGTAAGGTCTTCCCAATTCATCTCGCATACTAATTGCAGTCACATTGGGGAATCCTGAAGTTGGTAATGCCATTGCACAAGATGCAATTAATGCAGTACCCAAAATTAACAAATTTGGATGTGGTTTTGGTAAAGAGTCACCAACTTCTTTAACCAATGGAACGATAATCAATGCTGCAACTGTATGTGAAACGAATGTGGCAAACACAAGAACAATAATTCCAAAAATGAGCAAAATAACATAAGCACTATAATCCATAATACGTTTTTGCAATGCAATCGCGATTGTTGATAAAAGACCAGATGAACCAACTGCTTTACCCAACGCAATACCACCCATTGCCAAGACAATGATTGACCATGGATAATTGTTCAAGTCGTCAACTGTAAGTAATCCAGTGGCGAAAAACATGACATAGGCAAAACAAGTGACGATACCACTTGAGCCCCAATTGACTTGAATTTTTTCAATTACACACCACAAAAGGATTGTAACAATTGCAATCAAAAGGACAAAATATTGTTTAGTGGTTAGTTTTTCTCGAATTGGTGAAATTTTAGCCAACTTGAGAGTATTGATTTTGAACGTTGAAATAAGCAACAACCAAATGAAAAAAACAGCCACAATTGTGGTTGGTAAACTAACTTCAAGCATTTGCCAACCTGGGTTTGGTGTCATTTCTTGCAATGCAATGACATTCTGTGGTGAACTGATTGGAGACAGCATTCCACTACAATTTGAAGCAAATGCAATTCCCAAAATTAATGCTTTGGTGAATGGATGGTCTGAGGGAATAGTTTTGAGCATTGGCCGTACCAAACTCAATGCAATAACAGGAGCGGCAGTATTTGATAAAAAGATCGAAAGAACCATTGAGATGATCATATTGGCAAGGATGATGTTTCTTGGTTTAGTTCCAGCAGCTGCCAAGATCCAAGATGAAAGGATCTTGGCCAAATTGTATTTTGATAACGCAGCAGCAAGTGTGAACCCACCAAGCAATATCATGATGGTTGAATTCCACATGGTGCTGAGAATATACTGTGCAGCATCAGGAGACGTCATTGGCTCATCCGTACCAGACACTTTACAGATTTTACAAGTGACAACAAGCAATGGAACAAACATGGCGGTGGTATGCAACGGAATAGCTTCAGATGCCCACAACATGGCACAAGCAACAAGCACAGCTAAACTTCTTCCTTGTACGGGGTCATTGAAAGTCTTTACTGACATTAAAATGGCGAACACCACTGCTGTGATGATGATTTTCAAGATTTGACTAGTGAATAAAAATGCAGGTACTGAAACAATTTTGCCACTGAGATATCTTGGAAGTTCAATTTCCTTCATCTTCATCTTCATTAACGAGTTGGCGATATTACCTTCCTCACCAATCTTGCTACTTTGTACAGCATTTTCATCCAAGTCTAAGTTGTACGATTGTTTTTCCAACGATAATAAATCCTTCCACACAGTGTTTCTTTCGAAAACTATATGATCACGTAAGTGAGACCGTAATTCGTTCTTGATTGGTTCCAAATCATGCTTAGTAGAATAAGAGTATAATCTGCCCAATGAAAATGCATAGATCCGCACAACTTGATCAAGTTTGGTATCGATGGATTCAATAGTGTGTGGCTGAAAGACATATGAATGCAATTGCAAAAAGTATTGACAAAAATCTTGAGTTATTGCATACCCACAAACTTTGTCAAATTTTTTACAAATTTTGGCAAACCCAACACGATTTAATTCAATATATGACTTCAATTCGGATAATCGAATGTACATTGCCAAACACTGTTTCTTTTTGGTGACCGAATACTTGTGGTTTTCATTAAAATGAGCTTCACCGAGTAAGACTGAGTCGGTATTACTATTCTTATCATCATCATCCTCTTCTTCCTCATCATCAGAATCATCATGCACAACTTGTACAGTTACACTTTGCTTTTCCAAATCGGCGCCATAATGATCTGGGTCGTGGCTGTGATGCTGTTCTATACTATTGCTGTGATGATGTTTAATTTCTGGCTCAGATTCCAAAGCATTTTTGATACGAAGCTGTTCACTTTCACTATTCAATCGATCATACAGTTCAAAAATGTCCTTTTCAATACCCTTGTAAAAATCATTAATCTTGGTCAATTCAATCAACAACTGTTTGGTAAACACATGCAAGGGATCAAACTCTAGAGAGTTTGGATTAGCAAATGATTCGTTGGGGTCGTTAATGAAATGTGCAACAACATCATCATCTTTAGTAAAAGAGGATGCACCACCATTTGATAAACTGACAACTTCAGCGGAATATGAACGCACATCACCATTTTCACCCACCCCTTTTCCGTCTTTGTCATTCTGTTCAAATTCGATGTGATTCAACTCGATATCGCTGGCACTGCTACTGTTGGTACTATTTCGAAATGGTTTATTCTTTTTAAGTTTTTGCAACAAGTTGAGTTTCTTGGCTAACCTATTCTTCATTCCTTCATTTGAATTTATCTTGGCATCAGAATCGTCATTGTAACTTGAACCTTCCTCAATCGAGTCACTATTACTGCTACTACTGCTTCCACCACTACCTTTAGATGAAGGTGAGTAATTAGCCTCAAAGTTATCCACCAATTCAGTTACCGTGGTTGTTTCTTTACCAACAATATAACCTTGGTCTTGATTCCCATTATAAGCAATTTGGTCTTGTTGCAACTCATAAATGGTTTTCTTCAACGTTGAATACTTCAAATAGTACCATTCAGGTACAGCGTTGAATTTTAAAGAATGTGCAAACTTCATTCAAGATTTTCAAGCGAATGTAAGGAAAAAGGTTTTTGGATATGGTTTATTTTTGATGGTTGAAAAGCCCTATAGACGAAACGGAAAATTTTTCTTGGATGGCTAGAAAATATAAAGTGAACTGGGGGTTTGTTGTTCCTGCTATTTCAATTTAAAGTTATTTAGGAAAGCCAAACGGTATAAACAAGAGTTAAAAAAAAAAAAAAATAATGTATTATGAGATACTGCATTAAGTAATTCATCGTGTGACTGTTAAAACTCATATGCAGCAGAGACATGAAAAAAAAAAAAAGAAAAAAGAAATTCAATGTGTTTGTGTGATAATAGTAATTCGGCGTTCTTTTAGAAACAATATTGGAATAGGGTTAAAAAGTGAAACCGCTGGAGATGAAACGAGATGAAACGAGATGAAACGAGATGAGATAAAATGAGATGGGTTCAGAGGTGGAAGGAAAACAACGTAGTGGAGCAAAGAGGGTGCTTGAGATGAGCGGAACTAAGATCGTGTGGAAGCTTCATACAAAAGCACACATTCAATTGGACAGAAGTTGAAACGCCGATAAAAGGAGAAGACAAAGTGCTTCAAAATTATTTCCTCAATTGAAATTAGAGGTATACGTCCATAAATTGCCCATTTGAAAACTTTGCCTCTCTTTTTTTTATTATTTTTGCTTGGCAAAAACACTCCCCCTCCAACTCCGACTACACCCTTTTACCCATTGTAACTTTCTCGAGCAAAATTATGATGACTTTGTTTATGAACGGATGGTAAATTCACGAAGGAAATATATATTTTTGCCCAGTTCAGCTGCCACCAATTTTTGAACCCTACTACAGCAAATCATGACAGCTTCCCAGATTTAACCATTTTCGATTTTCTTGAGTGGCGTTTTCTCTCAACAATCTTGGCAATTGGTAAGTTTGACGTAAAAGTATTATCATACGTCAATATTATTTCTCCGTTGAGTGAGACTGCAACTTTACGTGCCCCTGACGATTTAAAGTTTTTTGATAGATTTTGTAATAACCCAACTAAAATTAGACAAAATCCGTATTAAGGCGAGCTCTAGTACAACCCAACTCCTTCATCTAAGGTCCCGCTTCCTTTTGTCAGCTCCAAAGTCCTCGACAAAAAAGCAAGTACAATACCTACGAACTTTGGGTCTGACATTGACGCGACGTCATATTACTCGTTTAGAAAAGTAGTCAGGAATGGATTTTCCACCTTATAAGCAGAACCTACCTCACAACTTTCAAAGCATATAAGCTGAACCAATCGCCCTTTTTGAACCCTTGGTGAACGATATTTTCGCGGAAATTTTCAATCAACTTTACCAGCTATGAAAGTGGAAACGCAATTTTACTTCTCATGGAGCCACAAAGGTGGCTTCTAGGGGCCAAGTTGCCACCTAATGCAAAATCGATACGCCTTTCCTTTGGTAATTGACAATCTCGTATATCTTAAAACCAATCGGTAGCGTCGGCATTAACAGAAATCAAAGGAGTTGACAATATCGTATATTTGATATTGTGATGTATACTACATGAACAAACCAAGTAGATCACTTGATCTCCGGACACTATGCCCTTAGGCTCAGTTGGGATGTGTTATTCTCCCTCCAATTATTTTCCCATTTCTGATAGTACAAATTCTCGTGATCATTCGCCAACTTTGTGACTAAGAAAAAGAAAAAATAAATTGTGTGATAAACAGGTATAAAAATTTTTAACTATTAGAGATTCCAACACAAGCCTTCCCCCCGTTCCCCTTCCCGAGCATCAAATGATTCATCTATCATGAGCAACTTTCACGCAAACATTCATGAGGGTGAATATGTATCAGCTACTCGAAGTAAGCTACCCTTAAGTCATGAGGCAACAATTTCGGAGGCCAAGATACACAGTCCCAGAGCATCAACACCGATACGATTGAATAGTCCTCATATGTCAATGGCTGAACTTGCCATTGTAAATAACAATATACTCTCATCACTGAATTTGCACCAAAGTGATAGTCATCCCCAATACCCTTCCCCACATCCATTGCATTCAAAAAACAATGATAACGCCGCAGTATCAACATCTCCGACGCCACAGTTTTCCAATTTTGACAATGGGCAAGATTTTTCAATTAGTTCACCTCCGTTCTTGCCATCAACGCCGAATTCTGTTGATGTAGATGGTATGCCAGTTTCCATACCGGCAAATTTACCGAAACTTGTACATAAATGGACGCACACACATTCGATATTATGTTGCATTGCGTCACCTGCTCACAACTTGTTATTTTGTGGAACTCAAGACGGAAAGGTATTGATATTTGATATGCTCACTTATAGTTTAAAACATGAAATTGATCGAAGTGAAAACCCTCATCAAAATAGTTCAATATTGACCATTTGTGTAAACAAAAAGGAGGATACTTTGTTTGTTGCTGGATCGGATTCGTTAGTGAAGGTCTACGATTTCAAGACTGGGTTCCAATGCACCCATATCATTTATTCATTGGTCGATATTGGTGATATTTTCTCGCTTGCATGGTGCGATAACTCACAAACGTTGATTATTGGCGCCCAGAATGCCAGCATATTATGGTGCAAACTATTTGTTGCCAATGGAAATACGAGGAGGGTCAACTTGGAGAACTTGCCACATTTTAGATACGACAAATTTTTTGACTCCAAGGGACCAGGTGGCTCTCAAAATACTTTACAAACAAGACACGAATTGATGAGAAAAAATTCAAGAAACTCAACACCTGTGGATGAGAGTAAGCATGTGGTGAGCTTTATTGAGTGCAGACAACAGGATATTGTTAGGTTTGCTCACAATGGATATGTTTATTGTCTTGATATTGTTGACACGACAATTGGTCATTTTGGTGACGGGAAATTTCTCATCTCTGGTGGAGGTGATGGAGTTGTTAATATTTGGAAAATGAAACATTACGAGTTGCATAAAGAGGCATCACTACAGAATGATGAATCGGTATTGTCAATGACGATACAAGGTTCTTTGCTTTACGTTGGTTTGGGAGACTCGTGTATCAATGTGTGGGACTTGCTTACCTTACAAATGATTAGATCATTTGTATTCAATAAAGAGGGAATGAATGAGGTATTATCTTTGGGTGTCTATAAAGATGCGTTGTATAAAGCTTGCTCAGGTACGGGTTTGGTGAAGCTCACCATGAAGCACAAGAATGTTGCTGATAGTGTATTCATGAGCTCTGACCAAGAGGATGGAGTTATAAATACTGTTTCCACTTTCAAGTTGCACCACCAAGCATATTTGTTGGCAGGTGGGAACAAGTCTTTGACGTTGTGGAATATATCTGAGGATGATGACAGCGCCGATGATTTTATGCAGGGTTCTGGCTCAACAGTGGCTACTTTACCAACTTTGCAGAAAGGGATTCGCTTGGATGACAATGATTTGTTGTCAATGTTGAAAAAGTTTATTTCCTACAAAACTATTTCGAAGAACCCTCAGCTCTATCTTGAGGATAGTCGTCATTGTGCTAAGTTTCTATCACGATTGTTGACCAAATTTGGATCATACCAGACGAACTTATTGCCAGTGGAGGATGGTAATCCAATAGTATTTGCAGAATTCAAAAGAAACAGTCCACTACCATCCACCAAACACGAAAGAGTCTTGTATTATGGACACTACGATGTAGTTGACGCTACGAATCATGAAGCTAGGGATTGGAGTACAAATCCGTTTGTGTTGACGCCGAAAGATGGTAGCTTGTACGCTCGAGGTGTCAGCGATAACAAGGGACCCACGCTCGCTGCAATATACGCGGTTGCTGATCTTTATAATAGACAAGAGTTGGGTTGTGACGTGGTATTCATCATTGAAGGAGAAGAAGAATGTGGCTCTACCGGATTTCAAGCTGTGATTCAGCAGCACAAGAGTCTCATTGGCGAAATTGATTGGATATTGTTGAGTAACTCTTATTGGTTGGATGATGTGACCCCTTGTTTAAATTATGGTCTTCGTGGGCTCATCAACGCCAATGTCATTATTAAATCTGATAAACCTGATCGTCATTCGGGTGTTGATGGTGGCGTAAGCCGAGAACCAGTAATGGACATGATGCAAATTTTGACTACCTTGATTGACCCCGTGACACAAAAGATCCAGATCGATGGGTTTTATGATGACTTGTTGCCATTAGGTGAACTGGAGCAGGCATTGTATAATGAAATCAAGAACAAGTTTCAAGAGAGTGTTGACATTAATGTATTGCAAGCCAAATGGCGTCAACCATCATTGACTGTTCACAAGATTCAAGTTTCCGGGCCGAATAACAACACAGTGATTCCACAGTTGGTCAATGCTACAATATCAATGCGTATAGTTGCTAATCAGAATTTGACCACAATTAAACGGAAATTGATTGATCATTTAACCATAGCATTTAATAACTTGAAATCGGATAACCATTTACAAATTAACATTTTCCATGAAGCAGAGCCTTGGTTGGGAGATCCGTCAAACAAAGTGTACCTGATTTTGTACAAGAACATACAGTCGCATTGGCAACAAGATCCCATTTTCATTCGTGAGGGTGGTTCCATTCCTTCAATCAGATTTCTTGAAAAATGTTTTGATGCGCCAGCAGCGCAGATTCCGTGTGGACAAGCTAGCGATAATGCTCATTTAAAGGATGAAAAGTTGCGCATTGTCAATTTATTTAAATTGAGACAAATATTGAGTGATACTTTAAAAGAGTTGGGAGAGGTTGAGTAGCTCGTAATTCATTATTTATTGAAAATACACGTAGTATCGTACTAGCACTATCACTTGGACTCACACACGTTGAGTACATCAAATGATACTAACGTTGACACTGGGTTTTATCTTTCGATTGAAATAGCACACGCGATGAGGTTTGGAACTATTCAATTTTTTATTCATGTCATGGACCACTCTGCTTTCGTAATCATCATTTACATCGCCTCTTTCCTCGTCATCATCGAAGCTTTGATCCATCTCAAGGCTCAAGTCACTATAGTTTGTCAAATCAACATCTTCATCACTCCAAAACCAGGTACAATGGCCCTTGCTATGCAGCTCTCGACTTGAGTTTGACGTAGTGGTTACCGATTTGTTATCCATATGTTCTTGCCGTAGTGAATTTGCGTCTGAAGTACTTGCCGAGGATGATGACACTGTTGTTGTGGTGGAATTATTCCTTGGCTGGGTAGTGGAGTCATTTAGTCCCTGGTACCCGCTTCGATTATTGTTTAAATCCCGAATAATTTGCAACAACTCAATACAGGATTTCTCATCATCATATCCAAGTTTCATATAGTGATATGTTTTGTCACTTGATTTCGCCACAATGGGGAAATTGGTCAAAATTTTCGATAATCGTTGACGTTTGTGTATAAGACCCAATGCAGCTGTAGGCGGTTGACAACAGAATTCAGCAAATTGGGCCAACTTTGAATTGAAACAAAACACCGTATCAAATTTGTCAGCATACTTCAGCGACATTGTTGTCTCATCAAGGATTGTTATTGCACGTTGATCAATGTTGAGATGATTGAGTATGATTAAAACCTCATTTATTTCCCGTTTGATATCATTTAAAAGTATGCATGTTTGATTTGTTATATAAGTTGAATAAACGTAGAAGGGAAGTATAATGTCCCATATGAAACAAACATCATGCAAACTCACATTTTGTGGGATCGGGATGAGTAATTGTTTGGGAACATACAATGATTCTTGAAGTCCACCATCCAAATCTTCACCGTAAGTTAAGCTACAACAGCAATGGGAGTCGTTATGGATACCTTCTAAGTGGCACGTAGTGTATGGATACACCAAGAACTTCACTCGTCGAGTCTTATTGTGGCTCTCAAAACTATGCTTCTTGACAATGATCCGTTTACTTGGTACAACGTTGTACAATTGATGATGAAAATCCGTTGGATAACTTAAAGCACAAATTTTGACATCAACTTTAACATTGGAGTCCTTTTGACTGGGTTCACAATTGTAATGCGATGAATTGCCGTTAAATTTGATTGTTTCTAATATTCGGTTGCATTTGATGTCGTATACTCGTCTAATTGGCAAATGCGACGATTGTGAAGGCATTTATGCATGTAGATGAGGCAAATGGAGAAGGACCCTGTGATCGCGCTTAGGATTGTTTTAATTATAACTTTGTATTGGCAGGGTAATATGGACTAGGGAGGATCTAGCTTGGGAAATTGCCTTTCACTAATTGACAATGAATAAACGCAGTTCAATTGGTAACAGCTACTATCGGTGGTGCAACTTTGACGTTCAATGGAAAATGTGAAGATTGTGAAATCACATTTAATTTAACCTGCAGATTTAAGCTTTATTAATTCTAAGAATTTTAAGAATTTGTTTTAGAACTTTAAATCGATTTATAATTGATCACCAATACCACACAGGCGTTGGGTTGACAGGGGGAAAAAAGTGAGGGTGAATTGTAACTCGACGAAAAAGATCGCCTGGGTATGCAGCGGATTCACGTAAAATTCTCTCAACTAGAAAGGACAAAGACAATAGCCTAACCGTTGAACATGATGCACCCATTGTTTTTTTTTAAAAAAAATAAAAAAGAGCCTGAAAAACAAAATCACATACATAGGTTGTTACCCCTTATTGTTTCGGGATTGCATTTACGCGCCAATCTTAAAAATCCTTGATGCATAATTTCCGCAAAGCGTTTGGAAGCTTCTTGAGTCGGCTAAATTCATAATAATAAAAATACATTTCATCGTCAATAAGGATTTAGGAAGTGATTGATGTTCTTTTAATTTGTGCAAATTAGGTCGAGCGAAAATAGAATGCGAGTTGAGGCATAATCTTTGCCAATTCCCTCCAATCACGACAAGCTTCCCTATACAACGTGAACAAAAACGTCGGTGTATATTTGTGATCTTTGTAATAGCAAGCTTACGACACAAAATTTTGGAAAGCCTTTAATGCCGTGTGAAAACTACCTGTTAACTCCTCTTGTGTAGTTTATACAACCGTCGTCTAATTTTTGGAAGGAAACAAAGAAAATTAATGCTCAAGTACAAAAAAATTGTGGAAAAACAAACTTTCAGCGTGCTCTTTACTATTGGTTACATGTCTGAAGCTACTTGCTCCTACTCGAGCAAAGGAGTCTTTGTCATGGAACGATCCATCTATTTCAAAGAAGCAGCGAATTGTGTCTCCTCCTGCAGTACGTCGTATCTCGTTGATGATGAGGCGAAATTTCACCAGCACCTCGCAACTATTGTATCTCATTTTTGTGTACATTAGGAGAAAAAACATTTTCAATCCGTCTCCAATATTGTACCATCTCGACAACCATATTCACACAATGGCAAAGGGAAAAGTAAAAATGTGGTGAATTCATTAGTCTCAATTTCAGTTGCACTTTTTGGTTAATTGGCGTATTTCCTTTTGTAACCAATGACATCACTCTCTCTTCTAGACAATAAATATTTAGTAACCGCTTTTTGTCCAACCTTAGAAGAGTCACATGCGATGTATTAGTAGAGCTATTTGCGTTGGCTGCTGATCTAATCTATGCCTAATTGTGCTGCACCATTTGCGCCATGCACAGAAGGTCCGCCAACTTTCATGGTCAATCACAATCAATAGAGATTGTTGTTCAACTCATACGTATATGTATTATAGCTAAGTAACTTTGTCAAATTTACATCTTGTCTCGCTCGGCTTTTCTTTTCCTTTCTTCCTCGTCCAATAATGATAATCTCATCGCTTCATTTATCATTTGCTGCTCAACTAACGAGTAATCAGTTGCATCATAGCTTGAACCCGTTGTGCCCGATCTCAATCTAGAGTTATTATTGCCCCTATCACCATCGCCTTCGTTGTCATTTATAATTAAATTACTAGCATGAATTGCACTGGCAGTGGCAGCTCGCCTAGCTAATTTGTTTCTCGCACTATTCAAAGTTTGTTCCCAGTTAGGACGAATCTGGTCAATGGTAATGACACCTGGAGCATTTGCTGCGACTGAACTTCGCCTGCTACGTTGTTTGCCCTTTTTCTTTTGTGGCCATAACTTATTTTGCATCGAATTAGGTGGTGGTGGTGATGTGGGAATGGGGGACCCTATACTCTTACGATTGCTCCTTACGGGAGATGGGCTGCTTGCAAAATCATCATCCTCAGCAACCGCCTCATCGTTGGCATTTGTGCCATCACCTTCTTCATCCTCTAAAATAGCACCAGTGGCTTTGTAATCCCCCGGTAGAATTCCACCTATCCCTGTATGTATATCTAATGGAGCGTCATATGTGACTCCAAATTCGGGCATGGCACAATAAGGACAACTGGCCGGCTCAGAAATGAGGGAATGCGGTTGCTCTCCCGCTTGATGGTTCGATGGGTCATCGTGTGGTGGATGGGGGTCCAAACGTTTGATTTGTACAAAACATTCAGTACATATAGGTTGTAAACAACAGCGAGAGACGTTTAAGTGTTTCGGGTAGTACAAGAAACAAATAGGACATTCACTGGGGTTTCGATACAACCTTAGCCATAGATCCCTACTAGGTATTCGCTTGGATTTACCCTTGGAATCAATATATTTTTGCTCTTCATCCTTTTGAATTTCCTTCATTCGTGAAATTAACAGCTTCAACTTGGCTTTTTCCTCTTGTCGTTTATAATAATTAGCACTTTTGTGGATCTTGTGACTATCGGCATCCTCTTCTTCTTCGAACCCATTCAACTCGGTTGGTTCTTCCAACGCATGCAAAGGTAATTGTGATAGCAAGATACACAACTCGTCATCGGTCCAACTGTTGTCAAAATCTTGCAACGGTGTAAAAAACGGTGACAATTCACGATTGACAATCAACGACCGCACTATATCAGTATCAAAATCAAGATTTGATTTGTAAGTTCCATATGGTGCCAAATAACCACCATCGACATTTTCCTCTAGTCTTACAATCAACTGGCTATAATGGTGATATTGTTTTTGATCTTTTTCTTCTTGACGTTTGGCTTTTCGCAATTCAGACGAAGCGGATCGCTGGTGATTATTGACAAGTCCAGTGAGACCGCTACTCCCTTTCCAAAGATGTTTAGAATGGCGACCATTTGAAGAAGATGAAGACGATGTGCCAGTAGTAAATGTATTGGAACTCGATCCTCCACCATTATGGAAATCAGAAACATTCGAGCTTGACCTACTTCTCGCTTCCTTCGTTGGTACATTCCCCATTTTTTTTGATAGAGCGGGCTGATTGTTATTGGGATTAGTGTAGTGTGATTGCTGGAGTGAAAAGGAAGAGAATGGTTGAATTCTTTCTTCTTTGGTTGTGCTAAGGAAAAATGAACAAAAACCTTTGATTTGTAAATTGGAAAAGCGAACAAGAAGAAAGAAAAAAAAAAGGGGGGCAACGCAATCAAATGAAATAACGCGGAGCAATGATAACGTGGCTGTACTAGGTAGGTATAGTGATTGATGAACCAAGAAAGATCCTATAGTCGATGGTGAATTGATTGGAAATTAAGCGGATCTGAATATATAGATATGTATGTATAAAGTGTAAATGAATGAGAGAAAAAGGCTAAACGACTTGTGGGTGGAAATTTTTTGAGTTACTTCAACTCAGAGAGCAGCTCGCTCTTTTCTTTCAAAAGAATTTTACCTTTTGTGTCGGCCGATAAATAAAAAGGTGAAAGAGTCACATGACTATTACCAAAGATAGACAAAGTGATAATGAGTGTTTAATCTTGGACAAGAGTAAAGTAATAAACGTATCTGAGGCACTGCCTCTATGTAGCATGAGTACGGAGACCAACTGGGGCCAGAAGAGGATGCAAGAAATTATAATCCAAGATGGAAAGACGCAAGTTCTGAGATCTTTGATTTACTCGATCCATGAAAATGTTCTAGAAAAATACGTAAGCTTTCGGAGTCCTTTAGTTCTTTGTTCCACCTTTCGCAAATTAATTGCATACATCACGCATATTTCAACCAGAGGGACGGGCCATTACAAATTCGATTCTACACACAATGGAGAAAAGTCGTGTGTATGTGGGAATTGAAAACAATAGGATTTTGTTGTTTGCCACAAAGAATCAGTTCCAGATCTTTTTACCGATACCCGAATAACATGTGATGACTTTTATCATTTAGCACTGCTCATGAAGCGCCTTGGCTCACCCCACAGGAGACAAGCTTCACCCTACATTTCATATTTGAACAGGCATTAAAATTATAACTACAACGCATAGAAAATTACATTCTACTTACATCTAAGTATTTCTACAAGTCTCACCTTCCTCTGGTCAATCCAACTCCTAATCCAACTCCTATCATGGCCAACACAATCAACACCCAAACCAAACCAATCACAAAACTAATGATTTTTTGCAGCTTTGTGAACTTTTTCACATAAACTCCCCGATTAGAACTATTCACTTTATAGCTAGTCATTCCACCATAATAAGAACTTTGATTATCTTTACCATCGAATAATCCCAACGTAGTAAGAAAATAGATAGGGGGAGCAACTAGACCAACAAGCATAAGTAATGAAAATTGAAGCATACTATAGGGAATAAAATGATACGGCGAATCATATTCTCCTTCTTGTTTTTGTTGACGAGGAAGATAAGTTTGATCTCGGGGATAAGTAAAGTTATTAGTGTGCTTCTCTGGGTCCATCATATTCGTAGATGGTTGCCTATCATTGAGAAATAAGTTTCGCTTGGGTTGAGATAAAACCAAGGGCTGTCCAGGCATCTGTGGATCTTCTTGAGTAGGTCTTTGCACACTTTGTTGTTGTGGGATACCACTTGACAAATCTTTCTGATTGTCAAGTTGTCTATCCAAAGGGCTCGATGTTGACGAAGTGTGGGATGATCTTGTGGCTGATCGGGTACCCACTCCGCTAGAACCACTGATTGATCCAGCTTGTGATGTCTCTGGTTTAGGTGTAAGTGCTGCATTAGCATCAGGACTATTAGACTCAGATCCTGATCGTGTCAGGAGAGCAACCTCCTCACGAGCTGCTTTTGCTGCATTTTGAGTGTTTTGACTATTGCGATTCTCATACACAGACCATCGATTTTTTGACTCATCATAGTCCTTGTTATGAATCTTGTACAACATTATCGGTAATTCATTGGTTGCGTCCAATCCTGCAGTCATATTATTGACAGTTTGACTACTATCGATTCTTGGAAGTCTTTGCTTCGATGGTAAATTAGGATATATGTTTTCAGATGATAAATTTAAAGGTGTCTCCATGGGCATTGCTGGTTTTGAGATATTACCCAGCATCGAAACGGGTCTGGATCCCACTACTTTACCTTCTCGATACTGACTTGTAGGGCGTTGAATCGAATCAGAATTATCGCTACTCCTTGTCTGATCGTATGAACTACCAACTAAGTTTCTCAATAACTCACCTGAAGACATGGATGATCGAGCCACACTAGAATGTTTTGTATCCTCACTCTTCAACATGGTTTCATCAAATGTATGCGTATTGCTGAAATTAAGCACATTAGTCTTGTTGGCAATTGTTTCCTCGTCGAAATGATACTCATCGCCACTGATGGAAATGCTATCATCCGCAAGTGAGTGTCGAAGGACCGAAGGGTGAACTTGTGGGGACAGGTGACGACCCCCACTGCCACCTCCACCACCACTCGATGATGTGTTAGGCAACAGACCGGCTATTGCGCTATCATTGATCGAACTTCTGTTGGTATACTCTGTCGACGAACTGTGCCTATTGTCAGAATAATTTACTCTTGGGGTAGCCAATGGTGTAATTGTTGGCTCGGGATACTTTGATTTTGCACCATCATCAACTTCACTGTCATCACTAAGGGTGATGGATGCTCTCAACGAGGATCTATTTGTTTCAGCATTGGTAGTTGTTGTGGCCGAACTCGTATGCCTTGCTTTGCTCTTTATTGGTTCAATTTGATCACCATGGACTCTGAACCGCAACAGCACAGCACTGCCTGAGCTATCTCTGTCTGATCTTGGTGTTTTGGGACTACTTTCGTCGGAAGGAGCTGAGACTCTTTTGAAAATCGTTGGTGATTGTTGATCTACCCTAATGTTTCCCTGTTTAAAGTGCTCTTGAGAAGCCTTAGCATCAATGTAGAGTTGTTGTTTGGCGGAAGGTAGGCGGTCGCTACTTGGACCAGTTTTCGTACCAATTGATTTAACGGAACCTTGCCGTATAATATCGGACTTTAATTGCTCACTTTCATGTAATGATAGCTCTCCACTTTTCGGTCTTAGATCCGATTCGAGAAACATACTTTTTGTTCTTACATCCGAATCCCTATTGTGGTACTCTTGTAAAACTGAATTGACAGATTCATCAAAAGTTTCGTCAAATAGAATGGGAGACTCAATTTCCTCAGGATCACCTTCTGCTTCCTGGTTACTACTTGTCCCAGACTCTTCGGATTCGGTATCAGCAAAGTCGTCAATTGTTACTCTTTTTCGAGCAGCAGATGTGTACTTGGTGGGCGTTAGTGGTGGATTTGCGCCAGTATCAGATAATCCTGATGATCTGGAACGAATAAACTTTGGTCGAAGGTTGAAATTCAAAAGTCGACTCGGAGATTTTGTTGGAGTCAAATCCTGTATGGCAGATTGAATAGTTGCTGATTTCAGTTCCTTGGTAACTTGCGGTTCTAATTCTGGCTCTTCACTTATACTGTCAATTGAATATGAAGAAAGTCTGTTTTTGAAAAGAAAGGTTTTCAACGATTTGGTTGGTGATGTGAATTCTGGTGTCAATTTGCTATCCGAGGATGATGTTGACACCGTTTTCTGTTGATTCGGGGAATAAACATCGTCAAATGTTTGCATAGAGGAAGAAGTTGATGGGGCATGGCTCTCACTTGGTCTCGTTGGTTGTTGTACATGCTGGCTTTGTGATTGTGATTCCGTAGGTGGTCTTCCCTGTGATGGATCAAGATGTTCAGAATCTTTCTTGGCGGCACTGTCACGACGGTCTTTGGTGGTGTCCTGACTTTTCAATTTTTTCATGGTTGAGGGTATTATTATGGGGTATCAATAAATTAAGAAAAACAAGAAGGAAACTCGAAATGGATTAAATTAATTAAAGTGACGAAATAAGGGGAAGCAGGTGGTGCAAGACGTTTGCACTTTAGAATAACGAATGAATGAATAATAGTTGGTAAAACAAAAGTTAGCTGCTTATCTAACAATGATTAACAAAGGAGTGACAATTTGAATGTATGCTTTTGGGTAGGTACGATAATGATGATCCGCCGGATATAGTAGACCTAGCTGACAGGTGATTGTCTGTAACCCACAGTTGTGTATGAGGAGAATGTGGTATTTGGTTTCCTGTTGTTATTGTTGTTGTTGTTGATTTTGTCCGATTCTACTGGAGACGAGCAGGAAAAAGAAAAATTTTCTAGTTTTAAATTGTTTTTCCAAACATAAAAATCTTAATATACAAAGAAGAGGGTAGAAGAAGAGAGTAAAGGTATATATGTACGTACTCGGTAATAGAAACATTCGTGTATCATGGTCAGCGACAACGAAGCTCAATGGATGTGTGGAATTCCATAGTGTAATTACAAGTGTACGAAACTAAACGTAGATTAGTGAATGCATCACGTGAAGTGGAAATTATGTTGATCAATTGATTAATGTGCGTATGAGAGAGAACGCGCAGGTTATTTATTAGTTTAACAAATACCCAACTCTTCTAGCATATGACCCTCTACTAAAAAATCTCTTCTTAAGTTCTTGACTGCTCATTAAGCATTGGTCTTCCTGTTGAATACGTAACTCGTCCATGCATTAGTAAATCCCCTTCTAATGAGACTGATAATTTTTGATATTGTACTTCTCTGCGGAAACAAAGTCCAATTCCGCACGATTCTAGATTGGTTAAAGACGTCGTCTAACAATAGACAAGAAAGCCCCGGTTTGTCAAACTTTTTTTGTGTTCGTCGGTCCATATTGTGTTGTTTGTTTTGGTCAAAGTTGTTGTTTACAATTGTTCCTGATTTGGACCAAAAGCAATGTCTATACTCTTTTTGTGCAATAGAATCTTTGTTTCTTCGCTAACTTGAGTACCACCAAAAAAGACTGACATATTAAATTGGTGCATACTTTTATACTGACAGGTATATAGACTAGGTGGCTATCTAATTCTGTGTTGGCCAATCTTTTCAAATTGCTTAATTCAAAGGACCATCGACGCTCTATTCACGAGGGCACAAAAGTCCTCTCTGGATTACACAATAAGGGAAAGCCGCGTGCATATGCCAGATGTACCCAAATATCATAAAGCCCTACACAAATAAGTTTGCTGTGATCAACAACTACTTTTCTCTTTTTATTACGCAATCATACTCTAAATATGACAACTATACCAAAGATATAAAAAAGGAAATAACAAACGTTCAGAGTCAACAATGCCGTGCAAACACTGTAATCTTCTTGAATATTAATAAAAATGTAAAAAAATCTGAATATACTATTAAATTAGCATATGGGATAACGAAGAAGTGAATTGAAATTTGTGGGCGAATTATCATCAATATTGGAAAAACCCTTTTCATCAACATTGGTTTTTGAATGTAACACAATAGTTTATTTGACTTTCCAAAATTGACTCATTTTCTTTGAAGGGGTGGTATTAAAATAGATTGAAAGTCCAGGTATTATCAAACATGAAAGTATTGGGCTCCATTAAACTTTCGCAAGCTTAGTAGTTTGATCTTCTTCTTCTTCTGACTCTTCTTCTCTTTTTACATGGATCTGCACTACCAACATTTGAAGTGACCGAACCACTTCCACTACCAGTGCCACTTCCACCATTACCTGTAGATGGAGTAGATGTACCACCAGAGCCGCCGCTTGAGGAACCGCTACATTCACCAGCCAAGGCTGCAAATGCAGTTTCAGCAACCGTTTGTAAAGTATCCCATTTGAAGAATTCTTGGAACAATTGAGTAATCAAACCAGATTGTTTCAATGCACTGATGATTGATCCAAGGTCAATCAAGTTGTTGGCCAACATAGCCTTAATCAAATCGGTAGCAAATGGAATGTAGGCAGAGTTGGTCAATACATCCTTGACTACTGAAGTAGCCAAACCTGACTTGTACAATGAATCCAATAAGTTGTTGACCACATCATCAAGATCTCTCTTGTCAACATTGGCAATGAAGGCTTCAAGCGAATTGTCATTGACATCTCTAGTAATCAACGATGAAACACCCTCGGAAATCTTTTCTTCAACCTTTTCAGCCAAGTTGCTAATAACTTCAGCAGCAGCATTGAAAAGTTCAGCATATAATGAGCAATCACTAATTAAATCGTTGATAACATTAACAGCCAAGTTGGATGAAACCAAAGCATTCAAAACTGATTCCAAGGAAATCAAACCACTTTTCATAACAGCAATCAAGACGTTGACAATAATTGGTTCAAAAGTTTCATTTGTGACAAAGTATTCCAAAATTTTGGGTGCCAATTGAGATTGATTGATAGCAGTCAAAACATCGGTGACAATGGCGTAATCTCTTTTGATAATTTCCATATCGATTGCATCCCTCTTGGCTCTGTAGTTGTCAATGTGAGCCGATAAAGCAGCCAAGTCTGGTTCTCCATCTCTCTTGACGGCAGCGAATTTGCCTGGTAACGAGCTCAATGCTCTTTCAACATCTTGTCTAGCAACCAAGTTTGATTTTTGTTGGTCAATGGTTGCAGCGGAAGCAGTTGCAGCCAAAACGGTGGCCATAGTAGAAGCAGTGAATTTCATAACGAATGTATTAAAGTGAAGGAACTAAATGTGGATGACGAATATGAAGCTGATAACTTAGTACTTTTCGGAGGTGAAACACTCAATGATTAACAAAATAAGAATGGAAGCAGGAAAAGGATAAAAAAAAGAAATAACTTTTCGAATTTATAAGGACAATTTAGCTTTCATTTATAGTTACCAACATATGTCTTTTGACAATGGAAAAAGAAAAATCCCCTCGAGAATTTACGCAGATTGGTTTCAATTGAACAATCGGAAGACCTCAATAACGAACCACTAAACGAGAGCTTTTTGGGTAAATAATTTGTGGTGGGTTATGTTTTATGAGTGGATGAAGTTGCATAGTATTACTCTATATGGGTATAGATTTTCCAAATTTTGGTTAGAACATTTCCTAATCGGGAAATGTGCACAATTTACTAAACTTTTGCACGTTTTTTTTTTTTTGCAACAACTTGCTTTTATAGCTGATGTGTGGATGTAATTATCGTTTTAGTGTAATCTTACTCAGAAACAAAATTACCTTTTTGGATTTGTTGATTGAGAAAGCAGATAGATGACAAGACGAGAAAATGAGAAAGGGTTGTACAAACTAAAGCCACCACTTAAACGAAAGACATGAAGGCTTACAGGTTGAGAAGCCACGCAAACTGTAACTGTAACGAACGACGCCAAGGGGCTTCCACCCTAAGCATCGCAATTGACACGATAACTACAGTGAAGCCTTCGTGTCTCTAAATATGTGCTGTTGAAACGCTCTGCAAGCAAATGGGGGTCGAGGCTTCATGATTCGTTTTTTGACAACTAACCATTATAAACCTAAAAATAGCGGATGCCAAACTACATGTGAAGATTATTTCCGAAAGTTTGTATACCAGAAATCTTTTATCCCCTACGCCGTGGCGACGTTTGACTGGATTGGCATGGTGCAGAGTCTACTAGTGCTGCACATATCAGTTCAAAACAACTTAGCAACAGCTAATAATAGCACAGTTGAATGAGAAGTCTTATGTCTTTCTTCCTATTTTCGATAATATATTGTGCATGAATTCTTTTTCTTAGGTATTTGTGCATAAGCTTGGATTTGTGTAACACCGATCTTCTTGGCGTATTTACTCAATACGGACTTGTTTTTTTACCATGAAGGGTAAAGAGAGAAAATATTTGGACCACAATTCAGACAATAATACAGGATACATACCATTTCAAAATTCTACCCCATATTTTTGGCAAGTTGTCATTCATTGTTTGGCAAAGTGTTTGACAAGAGCGGATAAATATTAAAAGTATCGCCAATATCCGTTATAAATAAACACAGCTGTTACAATCGAGTATTGGCAGATGGCCCCAAACTTGAGCTGGATGGTGAATTTCTGTTCAATTACACGAGACTCATTGTTCGTTCATTGAGGAGTTGAAACAAAGCTACAAATGTGCGGTTTATCGTGATATTACATCCAAATATACTCACTGAGATTACATACAAAAAAGAGGTAGCTCCACATCACTACAAACCCCGTGCCCCACTATTACTTCTTTCCAAAAAAGCTCATCAATGAAGTCTGTGTCTTCTTCTTGCCATCGGTATTTGGCTTCTTTACTTTTGAGGTAGTAGTGGATGGAGCTGTACGTTTAGTAGCAACGGGTTTCCTTGTTGGCTTTGTCACAGATTTTGGTTTACGCTTGGTCACCGTGTATCCATCTTCGTCCACTTCTTTGACAGTTTCCGTATCGTTTTCGGCATCATCATTATTCTCTTCTTCAACAAACAACTGCTCCTCTGGTTCATCGTTTCCTGGTTCAACTTCAAGTTCATCATCTTGTGGATGCTCTTCCACTTGTAGTTCACCAACTATTTCTCTACGCTCTGTTGCTTTTGAATCCGCAGCATCATCGTTATGAGTCACATCATCTTCATCACTGAACTGAAAAGTATCCTCATCTCCATCAAATAACTTTTCCAAGTCCGTCGTTGGAGGTGGTGCATGTTGACGTTTCGACTCTAGATCATCATCAACTAGATCATCTTCCTCGAGATCTTTATGCAAATTGCCCATTATGATCCTTTCTTTCGGTTGCTTTTGCTCTAGCTTACGCGATTTGTATTGATATGTAGGGGCGGGAGGTTCAATTACAGCCCTCCTCTGATCAGTGCTAGATTCTTGTTTGCGTGATGCATACACAGGTTTCGATGGTTGACTTTGTTGTTTTCTCGAAACATAAGACGATGATAGACCTGAACTTTTGACCTCTTTCGGTTTTTGCTTGTCTTCTGAGTTTTTTACTGTCGATGTTGCAGTTGTTGGTGTTGGTGTTGAAGTTGTATCTACCACATCTTCAAGTGATTTGGTATCTATTGGGGGTCCAACAATCATTCCATTCTTTTCGTATTGTTGAACTTTACTCAATTGGCTTTGTACCTTCAACTCTTCTAAAGCAACCTCATTGTTTGTGATGTTTAGGTCTTTTTTTATTACGCAGAATACGTGGATTGTGGTTATACTTGCAAACTTTTGCACATCATGTTCAAGTTTGCCTTCATTCTCCGAATACTTTATAGCCTTGACACCATCTTTGCTGACTCCGGTGATTACAAATGAGGCCGAGACTTGTTCACTGTTCTTGGTGTAATATTCATATAAGGTCTTTTTAGCTTGTGATATCGGTATATTCAACACACGCGAAAACTTGTGATACGAAACTGGGTGGGAGTTGAGTATTACTTCGTTGGCTAGATACTCAACTTCGGATACAGGTGCTTCCATCGTCATGGGGCTTTGACTCGGCATCAGGGGAAACGTGATGAGTGTTTGTTTTAAAGTTACTGTGTTTTTCTTTTTTTTTGCTCGACTTGTTGTGACGCGTAGAATATCGACACCTAATTGGCAAGACGCATAATCAGAGTGACTACGACAGTACTAGTTGAAAAAGAACTCACTAATTCATTCAATAAATAACCTATAATAAAAACTATATCAAAAGAAGTAAAAACATCCATCTAAAGCTCATCCTTTGCTGGCGAGCCTGCTTCAATTTGTTTCTTGTGTTCCAAATAAGTTGCCCTCTTTTTCTCTCTAGCTTCAAGGTTACCGTTCAATGGACCTTCGATCATCTCTGGAGTAACACCATTACTAATCAAGGTTTTCCACGTCTTGATATTTTCAAATCCATTTTGAGCAAATTGGTAATCAAGTATGGCCTTTTGCACATCTTCCTTGCAATTAAGAACAAATGGTCCGTATTGAACAACTTCCTGATCCAACTTTTTACCACCAACTAGGATGAACTCTAGTTCATTGTCGTCTGTGTCTGTCGTGGCTGTGTTTTTTCCTGTGATGTAGTCGCCATCCTCATTAAAGAAAACGTTTTGAAACTCGTCAACTTTGGTGTCTTCATTCAACACCAACTTGTTGCCTTTCAACACATAAAGGAAATAATTGAATCCTTTTTGTAATTCCTGTTTGAACTCACCACCAGCCCTAACTTTGAAGTAGTAGTAATTGATTGGAGTGTATGCCAAGTCTTTGATGGATTCAATTCCATAGCTTTTACCACTAATCACTTTAACTGTTACTTTACCATCATCAGCTTTAGCTATAGGGATTTCCCATTCTCTCAAATCTCTATATCTTGGTTCAACCTTTTTTAAATTTTTTGGCAAATCGACCCACAATTGCATTCCAACGGTTGGAGATCCATCTGCATTAGGAACTGGCATTTCTGAATGCACCACACCCTTACCAGCAGTCATGAATTGCATATCTCCAGCATATAAAATTCCTTTGGATCCGGTAAAGTCTTCATGAGCCATGGCACCGTGCAATATCAATGTGATAGTTTCTTGCCCTCTATGGGGATGCTCAGGGAACCCATTTTTACCAGCACTCGAAAAATGATCAAGCATCAAGAATGGATTAAAGTTTCTTTGGTTAATGACACCAATGGATCTACGCACAGTAGCCCCAACACCTTCAGCTTGTTGTCTAGCTGTAACTATTTTAGCAACTGTTCTTGCGGCCATTGTTGAGTTTGTATCGATGTTTTGTAGTTTTAGTTGTTGTTGTATACCTTCGCTTGCTGTGATTATACTTGGAAAGTAAAGTAAAACTGTTGTGATCAAAAAAATCGAAATTGCAATTGAAGTGGGGAGAAGGGACATGTATTTATACTCGCGGGCTATTGCAGGATATATGCCTTTAAAATGCTAAAACCTTGTGCGTATTATTAACACAGCTTATAAATGCACACTCTGTTGATTGATGTGGAATCTTGCGGGATATATAAGAATGTTGCAGTGAGAATTAGTAAAAGTATAAGTTGTCGAGTAATACATGACTAAAAGACAACTTGACTAATAGAAGGCTATTATGGAGTGTGGAAAAGTCATTTCAGTGGATTCTTGAAGGGTTACATTTTTATTGACATTTAGTGTAGTAGTAATTTATTACTAAGGAATATATCAATGACACAAAACTGCTTTGTCATTATTTAGTAAAAGAATTCGAAATCGTAAATATGCACCTGCATATAACTCTAACATTTGTAATTCAACACTTTGGACTCAATTGAAAAGTTTACAAAATAATCGTTTCACATGATGTAAAAGTATCTGGGCCCTGGCTTTGTACTTGAAACCCTTTGCTCACTATACAATTTCTTACTTTGTTAAGATTGATCGATCTTTCACAAAGCGAAAAGAGTTCTTGTTACTTTTCACATTTTGCAACCAAATCCTCCTATATTTTTGCAATTTCATCGATTGACATGTGGAAAACATTCACAAACAGTAGAAAGTGTAGGGCATACTGACCTTGAGAAAAGGAGCAACTCTGGTGGATTTTATTCATTCTCTTTCTGCCAACTACCATACTACTTGTTTTCTATAACAAAACTTTCCACAAATGTTGGACCAAAAAGAAAAAGCGAGATATGCAGCAGCCTTTCCGAGTGTGCTTTTCTAAGGTGGCATCTGTAAAAGACCAGAATACACGAATGTGTTAATTCCATACTCTGCTCGAATGCACTGAAGCGTGGCTCATCTATAATTCTATATTCCTCTCCAAATCCATTGTGCATATGAATTTCGCGGCACTACTTTTTTGCGGAAAAATATCTGTCAACACTATTACCCGCTTTCCATTTAACACTTCTGCCAGCATTCTTCAAATCTTATAAAAATCTGTTCTTCAATGAAGAAAGCTTCTATCCGCATTAATATCAAAGGCTCTCAAATCTTAATTCACACCATGGGACTAGTTGAATATTTTGGTCCCATCCTCTTCCATTCGTTATTTTACTATTTTTCAGGCATATACGGATATGGTCCCTTCGCACACACCCAAACCCAAAAATTTGCCTTCTGGATGGTGATTCTCCATTTTGTTAAAAGAGAGTACGAATGTTTGTTTGTTCACAAAAGTTCCAAGAGTTCTATGCCTGTCTTTAGTGCATCTAAAAGTTTGCTTCACTATTGGGGTACAGCTGGAATTCTTCTCGGTTATTTTCTTTATGTACCAACAACCTATTACCTGAATAGCAACAGTTACTTGTTCAAAGTCAATAATTTACCCAGCTGGCTCAACTATGGAATATTTGCAACTTGGGCTTTTGCCGAGTTTTCAAACTTTAAAACACATAGAATATTGGCCAAGATCAGAAGAGGTGGCAATGAGAAAAAGTACGCAATTCCTTTTGGTTACGGTTTTGATCAAGTTTCTTGTCCTCATTACTTTTTTGAATCATTGGGGTGGCTCACTTTTTCTTTACTAGTGGGACACTGGTCCGCATGGTTTTTCTTTATCACGGGAACGGGACAAATGGTGATTTGGGCGGTTCAAAAGCATAATTGGTATCAACAGAATTTTGGTGACGAGTTCATAAAGCTGAATAGAAAGATTTATATACCATACATTATATAAGTGAAAAAAAAAATGCTTAGCGGGGCACTGTTCTGGTTGCAAACCTTGCGTTTAATATGATTTTACTCTCGGTTTCGTTCAAAGTCTCAAAAACTGTGGCAATTCTTGTTTCTTTCCCCGAATGGCTTTTATGGAACCTATCTTAGTGAGGTTGCAAATCAACTCATTTTTCAAAGAGCATCAAAGAAAAAGACACGTGCCAAGCAGGTGAAAAACACGTGAACGTTTATATTTGTAAACTAATCTGTACCTTTTTCAAATAGAAATAGCTCTTATGGCCAAGTTGGTAAGGCACCTCACTAGTAATGAGGAGATCGTAGGTTCGAATCCTGCTGAGAGCAGCTATTTCTTTTAGAGCCCCAAATAACTTTTTTCTTTTTCTCCTTTCTTCTTCCTTGTCGTCTTGTGATTATAATTCCGGCCCTGATTATTAGATCGTTTCGACGTACCCAATTGCGGTGCTATTCTTTTGTCCTTACCTGTGGAAGCTAAACTTTGCCCACCTCCCCCTTTGTGTGTTTTTCATTTTTTTCATTGCGGCGAAAATTTAACCTTTAGGTCTTTTTCAATCCCCCCAAAAGATCTAATTGCACCACCACCAATGCTTCGACGCTTGTCAGTTTCGGCAATAGAACCCTTTAAATTACATCCTGATTTCAAATTCAAGTGTGGGGTGGAAATACATACTCAGTTGAAAACCAAGTACAAACTTTTCTCGTTATCCCCCACAGGGTTCAATGACAATTGCAATACAAAAGTAAGCTACTTTGATCTTGGACTTCCGGGAACTCAACCCAAGTTGAACCCAGAGGCCTTGCATCTAGCTCTTAAAGCATGTGTGGCATTGAATATGAAGATTCAACCATTTTCAAAATTCGATCGAAAGCATTACTTCTACCCTGATCAGCCATTGGGTTATCAAGTCACACAGCATTTTCATCCCTTGGCAAATGACGGAGTTTTAGAGTTGAATGAGTTTGACAATGCTTCTGGGAAGATTGAAATAGAAACAGTACAATTGGAACAAGACACGGGAAAAAAGTATGGTGATATAATAGACTATAATAGAGCTGGGACTCCATTGATTGAAGTTGTCACTAAGCCCGATTTCAAAGATATAAACCAAGTATATGCTTTTATAAAAAAGTACCAGTTATTAGTGCGTCACCTAAACATCTGCAGCGGAGATTTGGAAACTGGAGCTATACGGGTAGACGTCAATATTAGTGTCAACGATAATCCAAGAGTTGAATTGAAAAATTTGGGTACAACTGGCGACATAGTAAGTGCTTTAAAGTATGAATACACTGAACAGGTGAAACGCCTACGTGCTGGTGAACGGATAGTGCAGGAAACAAAATCTTGGGATGGGTATGTTACAAAGGCATCACGAAGCAAAGAGAATGCAATTGATTATAGGTACGTGCCTGACTCAGAGCTTCCTGGTATACACTTGAGTCCTGAAATAGGTGATGAAATAAGAGCTTCGATGCCAGAATATCCTGATCAACTTTTGTCACGTTTAACATCTGAACCTTACAATTTGCAATTAGCGCACGCTAAAAATTTGCTCATAGAGCCCGAGAATTTGCGCTTTTATGAAACTTTCTTTGACAAGTTAAATCATCCAGATGCAAATAAATGGATGTTTCAGGAGCTCATTACTGCATTTGCCAAACTTGATAAAGAATTTGATGTTAATGTCATTAGCCCAGATACCTTGGTTGCAATCGCCAGATCCGAGTACTCATTAGTCTCGAAGAGGCTAATATTGAGATATATAGTTGAGAACCACGCCTCCCTAGAAATGGCAATCGCCAACTTGAATTTGGCATCAGACTCACAAGCTATCAATATTGATGAATTGTGTCTGGAAATTGTCAAGTCGAATCTGGATGTGGTAAAGAGAATACATGATGGTCACAAGAATGCGATACAAGTTCTCGTTGGTAAAGCAATAAAGGTTACAAGAGGCAAAGTGCACGCCAAGGTAATCAAGGACACATTTGATAAACTCCTATAAACTATTTCTTCTGTTTAACTTCATACTTATATAGGAAATCCCCATTCAAACTAGAATCTTCGAGTTCAAGGATACCAATGTTTGGAGTTGGCTTGGGTGAGTTCAGTTTCACAGCTTCTCTACCCGATTCCAAGTCACGTTCACCCTCTTCGACGATACCCAACTCCTGCATCACTTGACTGAATTCGTCCAAGACTGTTCTTTCACTATAGTTGGTACGTTCACTAAACTGAGACTTGTTGGATAAAAGTTTCATTGGAGTGGCATTGTGTGTACAAGTCATTTCTTTTGACAATGGCTCTCCGGTTTCAGTATGTGCCGTACCGAGGAATGATTTGTACATTTTCAAAGCATCAGTTCCTAAACCAAACAAAAGGAATGCGACAATCGATAATGAAGAGTTCACCAATCGATCAACAATAGCAAAGAAGCCAAAATCAGCGTAATAAATATCACTCCAATCTGGACCATGAACCTCGTCCCAGTGGAAAGGGTACTCTATGTATGATACCTTCTGGGCAAAGTAGTAGATAGAAAGTGGAGTCAATGCAAACACAATCAGAAAACTAAATATCAAAAGCCTGGCAAACCTTTTTAAATTCAAGCCCGAGTTCGTACATTTGAGAATATCCTTGACATCTTTTCTCTTTTGAAAGTACTTGTACAATGTCAATACCGCAAAAAATAAAGCAACAAAACTCCAAATCAATGGCCAAATAAGGTACAAACCAATCGTTGCATTTGTAGGCGAAAAAACAGTGATACATCCTTGGTATCTAACAATTGCGTATCTTCTCGATTGGGTAATGTAAATGAAAACCATAATCAAAAGAGGTGTAATCAAGCAAACTGATAAATCAATGCAGATCTTTCTCCAATTTTTGTTGTCCATAAAGAGTGGGTTCTTTGCACATAAGATAAAATACAAGTTCATTGAAAGACATGCAATAGCACACAATTTTCCAAGCGACGAAGCTGCTTCAACCTTTGTGGTGATATCACACCACCCTTGACCATCATAAACACTATCAAAATTCTCACCACTCCATATCATGGAATTGATAAATCCAATCAAGCTTACCAACATTAACCATGTTATTAAAAGAATTGCTGGGACGTTTCTTGACTTGACATGCCATGAAAATGGCGGGATTAATAAAAAGAACGCAATAAAACTGAAAGCTGCAATACCAGCTGCCCGGGAATCCATAGTTGTATGTTTCAGGATCCACCTAACGTTGCAATTATGGTCTATCTGACTCAATTAAATACGTTGTTAAAAATTGCATCAAAAAGTTTCCCATAGATTTCAAATATTGGCCATTTGCAGCCAAAAGTGGAAATAATTTTTTTTTTGAACCGTACAACAATACTACTTAAACAGAAACTTAAAACAACATGCCGAAATCTATTTTACTCCTTTTTTTTCAAAACTACCGAAACTTCAAACATGGAATCACCGCCTGTGATACAAATTAAACTACTTTGCTTCAATGATATTAGATCAACTATAATAATTCATTCCCTTTGGGAAAGTCTAATTACTGTATAATAGGTTGCAAGGTCTTGTTTGAAGAAACTACACCATCATATTTTTGGTTCAAAAATTTTAAAAGCCCAATCACTTTGGTTTTCAATTCTTCTGAAGAAAATTGCTTTCTCGCGTCAATATTCTCCTCCCTGCCCAAAGTACTTTCATTGATTAACTTAATTCTCTCATCATCAGCTTCGAAAACACCTGCAAAAATTTCAACAATCTTTGGTGTATGCGATACAATACTTTCATTACCAGACTCGTATAATTTAATTATAGCCTCGAATATTGGCGTGTTTTCTTCGAAACCAGTCTCTAAAGGAAGATGTTCCAACAATGGACCAATAACGTGTTCCACGGGAACAGCTTGTTGATTTTTCAAGATCAATCTTGCAACACAACCACAAGCGTTTGCGTATGAACGATTGACAACATCTTTAGCTTCTTCATCGTCAGCGGAGCTTGCCTTCTTGTCCACCTTGTTCAACAAATGGAAAAGCAATTCAAGTATTTGTGGATAGCTGGAAGACAAGTCCACTGGACTGTACTCGACAATCAATCCGATACCATATGCGGCATTTCCCTTGACTTCGATAGACTTGTCGTTGGAAAGTTTGTCAACAAAAATGGGGAGTAACTCTGCCGAGAATGGATTAGCTGACTTCATACCACCAACCATTTCAGCGATTGCACCAATAGAGCCAACTTTCATTGGTTTTGACTTGCTACTAAACTTGGCCAAAATGGTGTCCTTGAACGAGGAAAAGATTTTTACAAAATCCCCTTTCAAAGCAACCGACAAGTTCACCAATACTTCCAATGCAGTTTCATTGAGCATTACATCAGTTTCGGAAGACTCATCTTCCTCTGGCATCTCTTCCTCTTCCAACTGACATGGGTGTTCCTTTTTCAACAAATTCATCAAAGAAAAACATAATTGCTCCAAATTCGATGTGTCACTGGCATTGTCCATGATGAAAATTGCGCCCATAACATGTAAGGCATCGGCAACACTATCAAGGATACATGCTACCATCGTGGACTCGAACTCGGCTTCTAAAAGTGGAATTGCCAAATCTCTTACTTGCTTGATCAAAGTCAAAATGTTAGGGTCAACATATGATTGTTGCGGAGCACCTTTTGGAGCTTCGAAATTCTCACCTTGAACAGCAACAAACATGGCTTTGACAATTTTGAATATACAATTTAAAGCGGCTTCTCTCATACCAAATGAATTTTCAACTTGCTCACCCAAAGCAGTTAATGAAGGTTCAACATACTTGAAAAATTCTTTCCCAGTTCCAATAGCTAATTCACCGAGTGCAACAGAGGCAATTTCTTTTTCAATGGTGATACCGGTATGCACTTTCAAAGGATCCTCATCTTCATCGTCTCCACCAAGTTCAACTTCCCCGTCTTCCCCTTCTTCGACATTGAAGGTGAATTCTTCTTGGGACAAACAAGTCAAAATCTGAGGAACAATCTGGTCCAAAAATCCTGCAAATTCTGCACCGTAAACTTTAGCCATATTTGCAATGAAGGCAAAGCCTGATTCTCTAATTCTAGGGTGTTCAGAGTTCAAGGATGTATAAGCTGCTTCGACTAATGGTTTGGCATACGATGAAAATGCAGTAGAGCCAACAGCCCTAGCCATAGTTGAGATGTTTTCAAACGTAGTTGCCCTCAATTCTATCTCATCTTCACTCATACCTTCAACGGAATTTGAGTTGGAGATGAATGGTTCTAATTGCTTGATTGAACCTTCAAAATAAGGAGTAAAACTTTTACCGCTTGCGAATGCAGTTGAGCCGATGGCTGAGACTATGGCCGTTTTCAAAGTGGCAGTGTTTGCTTGTTGCAACATGTAGAATAATTTATGCATCAAAGGTTCGATGTATTTACCCATAGCATCATGGCTCATAAACTCGATTAACCCATCCAACGCAATGCAGCCATACTTGTATGCCATAACGGAAGAAGCTGAGTCAATGATTTCAATAATCAATGGCAACAACTCTTCATGGTAATCAGTGACAATATCTTGAAGCTCTGTAGTCAATTGCGACAAAGTTCTGAGGGCAGCAACTCGAACAACAAGTTGCGAGTCCTTCATTCCGTTGATTAATATTGGAATGATTTTTTGAATTCTAAGTGAAATGTAGTCAGGAGCACCAGCCGAACAAACTCCAATGGCTAAGATACCCGCACGTCTCTCAAACTCATTTGTAGATGACAACAATGCATCAAGCGATTCAAACAATGGGTCAATGACTTGAGATGGAGGCAACTCGGCACCCAAAACTGCAAGCAACCTCAAAGCCAAGGAAGGTGGTGAGTTCTCCTCATTTTCGTTTTCTTCATCTTCATTTTCCAACTCGTCCTCAACGTCAATTTCCTCGGATGCAACTTTCAACCCGACCAAAGTAAGTGGTGGACCCAACTTATTGGCAGTTATTTTCGCTTTTCTATATGAAACACACGAAATTAAGAATTGCAAGCCGAAGATTCTGTATTCTTCGTCCAACTGGGTATTTGCAACCATTTCACTGATCATCTTGATCAAGTCCACCAATTGGTCGCCGAGCAACTTTGAATCGGTGAGTACTAAACTGTTGAAAACACTGAAAACCTGTTGAGCCAGTTCGCTGTCATCGGATGTAACCACTTCTTTCAAAACCTCAACCATTCCTGGCACTGTTGCTTTGAAATTTTCAACAACTTGATCTGAGAGTTCGTCATCATTCTCAATAATTTGGGAAATTGCATCCAACGATAAAACCGAGTAAACTCTAACTTCTTTTGATGATGGATCCCCGACCAAGTTACCAAATAATGAAACAAAATCGCCAATGTGAGGAAGCAAGGCAGATATGTCCGAGCTCAACAATGCGTAAAGAGTGAAAATTGCAACCTCTTTAACTTTTGCATCATTTCCCTGGATAGCATTAACCAAAGTCGGTAACAAGTCTTGCCACTCATTGGCGTCTAAGTCTAACTCTGCAAGAGAAGCAATTAAATACGCTGACACATTTCTAAGACGCTTGTTTTGTTCACTAAAGGTACTTTTCAAAAGTGATTCTCTAATGCTTGGCTTCAAAGAGGCGTCAACAGATTCCCAGTTATCAGCAGCCAACTTTCTGGCTTCGACAGCGGCTAATTGTTTGACTTCATCTTGATTGGATTGCTGAAAGATTTGCAATAATGCTGGCAAAGCTTGAGAATTGGGATAAAACTCTTTAGTCAATCTTTGTGAAGCTTGCTTAATCACCGAGGAGTCCGGTGTCAAAGTTTGCTTCAAGGTCTCTTCTAACGACCCAACAAATTGTGAATCCATGTTTTGTAGATGGAAGTGAAATGAATAATGGAATGGAATGTTTTCGATGATTTGATGGAATCTTTTTTTTTTTTTCCCATTTCTATTTCCACGTTTTAGCAAACACAAAACCAAATGAGATGAGGCAATGAGACGAGCAAAGATAGAAGGGAGTGAGAGAAAGGGTGTTTATAGATTTTACGCTCTTACAAATGTACTACATTTCTGTCTGAAAGTACTCAATCCAATACAAGTTCATTTACATGATATCATTGATGTTCATAGGCATCTCTCTAATTCTCGTTGAGTAATAGCTTTCAATATCTCTCATGGTTGAAAGATCACTTTTAGTTATCAAGTTAATCGCAGTTCCTTTCCTACCAAATCTTCCCGATCGACCTATTCTGTGGATGTAATTTTCCTTGTCGTTTGGTAAGTCGTAGTTTATAACCAAAGAGATTTGCTGCACATCGATACCTCTTGCCCAGACATCGGTGGAAATCAAAACTCGTGAATTGCCTGTTCTAAAATCACTCATAATCGAGTCTCGTTCATCTTGTTTCATGTCCCCGTGCATTGACAGCACTACGAAGTTTTGTTTTCTCATTTGATCTGTTAACCAGTTGACCTTCATTTTAGTATTACAAAATATTACCGCTTGCGTAATTGTTAAGTTATCATAAAGATCACACAAGGTATCAAACTTCCAGTCTTCTTGTTCACATTGTACGTAGTATTGTTTTATTCCCACTAGAGATACGTCATCTCGCTTGACCAAGATTTTTACCGGGTCAGTGGTGAATTTGCTTGTCATTTCCAAAACTTCAGGTGGTAGAGTAGCACTGACAACCACGACTTGGGTATCAGACGGAAGTTGCTTGTAAATTTCGTAAATTTGTTCTTTAAAACCTTTTGTGAATAGTTCATCCGCCTCGTCTAAAATCAAAATCTTGATATGTCTTGTAGAAAGATTTCTTCGCCTGATTACATCCAATACTCTACCCGGAGTTCCACTGACGATTTGTTGACCGTGCTGTAGCTTCTTAATATCCATTCCCACATTTTTACCTCCAACGCAAGCGTATGTATGAACATTCATATAATCTCCAAGATGCTGTACAACATTTTGAATTTGAATCGCCAATTCTCTGGTAGGAGATAGTATTAACGCTTGACAATCTTTTGATTTTGAATCGATCGCTTCCAACATTCCAATCGAGAACGTAGCTGTTTTACCCGTTCCTGATTGCGCTTGAGCAATAGTATCGCGTCCCGCGATTATTTGCATAATTGCTCTCGACTGGATCGCCGATGGGGCTTCAAAGCCATACGAGTAAATACCTTTCAAAAGTTCGGGTTTTAGTTTCATACTTTCAAATGTACGGTGAACTTTTATCCCCTTTGTTGATTTAGGACTAAATTGCAACTCTTTGTCCACATCCTTATCAAACTCGTCCATATTTTGTTGAAGTGCTTTATCTTGCAATATTTCCTTTTTTGATTTATTTTTCTTTAATTTCACGATGAGTTTTCATTCTTCGTTCCTCCATCATGTGTGAACAACTTTCAACTTCAATCTTGGTATTACTAGGCGGCGGTCATGCTGCTGGCAAAAGGACAGCGGCTCTCTCGATCAAAGAGCAGCTACAATCAATGATGGGGGAATCACCACTCGATGTGTTGGTAATCAATATGAATGAATACACCGATCACGAGCAATCATCCGTTGACCCGAGCCAATTCCCCAGTTCAAAGTCAGCAGCGATCACTGTGAAGAAAGAAGACAAGCACAAGGTTCCCGTTTTGAAGCCATCCCGTTTCAACTTTCAAAAGCTAAAACATGATTTGAGAAATCTAGATCACGAAAGCAAAACCCAAAAAGTAGTGTTAGTACATGGACTATACGCTCTTTACGATAAAGATCTACGAGATATGGCTCACATAAAAGTCTTTATAGATAGTGATGCTGACACGCGGTTGATCCGGTGGATCAAGAGGGATGTTCTTGATAAAGAAACCGAAAAGTTGGAGACAGTCATCAACGCTTACTTGTTGGGTGCTCGCATTGAAATGAGTGATTACATCTTCCCGACAAAGGAATTCTGTGACGTGATTATGCCAAAGGGACCTGAACCAAACTCAGTCAGTTTAGTCATTGATGGAATTTTGCTCTATGTGTCAAAGAACTTACAACCTCAGCGCATAGATCTCCCATTAAACTACTTAAGACCTAGCGAGATAGGAAACTTTGAAAAGGAAAAGTTTGATATTCAAAAGAACAAGTTTTACCAATTGAATTGATTCATGGTCGAAAGACACGAGAGAAAGAGAGGTTTGCTCAACTAAATTGAAATTTTATACGTATAGTATTGTACACCAAATTTAAGCATCTATATCTACGACATTTGTGATAATATCCAATCTTTCACGACTCACCCCTGCTTTGCTGAATAAGTCAGATAAATACCCCTTTGGAGGCGTTTGAGTAACAGAATTAATCTCGATCGCTTTAGTGAGACTTTTCTTTACCAACTTTACGAGCTCTTCAATTGGAAACACTATGTCATTGGAGGATAGCTTGGGCCCATAAAGAGTAAACTCATCACTCAATAGAGCGTAGAATGGCTCCTTCGAGGTTTTCGATTCATGGAACAACTTGTCAAACAACAACTCCCATCTCTTTAAAATGTCATCACTATTTTTATAATCGGCAATTTTAAACACCAAGAGCGACAAATCGTAATATCCCAATGGGTCAATGTAGGTATTGAACAAGTTACTGATTGGTAAAATCTTGAAATTCAAGGAATCTACAGCATGGTCCTTATTTTCCTTACTGATTCTGGAATCAGCTTCAATTCTGTTGAGCAAACTCAACTGAAGGTTTGCCACGTCGAAAAGTTCATGAATGGTTGACGAAAGCTGAATCATTTCCAGTCGCAAATTTGGTGGACAGACGCAGTTACAAAATCCGTTTGCTCTCGACAAGTACTCAATACGCTGAGTCAAATCAAGGGTGAATTGAGATATTGACAAGGCGTATAATATTTTTGCAGCATCATAGTATCTTTCCCTTTTAGCGTAATACAACCACAATGTATTGCTCAAAACAACACTACTCTCAGAACGTTTCTCCAAATATGGCAAAATATAAGGTGTATTGATATCCAACAATCGATCGCTTATACCCTGATCGATGAACCAATCGTAAAATGCATATTGAAACTGTTCATTTTTGGAAGCAAAGCACGTGTCGTAAGCTGCATCTCTGATTTCCAAAAAGGAGTTGATAAGGAGTTGATTATTCGACTCCACGACTTTCAATGCTTTCGTATCAATCTTTTGCAAAACGGAAAAAACAGTATCGTATAGTTTCTTAACCTTTGACTCGACCTCTGATTGTCCGCGTTGCACCAAATTTTCACCCACCTGATTATACGCAAAATTGGAAGGTTTAACGTTATTTCCCAATTTCTTAGCGATACTCAACAACATTCCAATCGCGCCCGAGTAGTATTCAAGATCTGCCATTGTGTCCACCGCATTTGTGATGTGATCAAATGTTAACGTGTCGTAAGCCTCTTCAAACAAAAGAACAGCGTTTCTCAAACACTTTAATTTTAGTTCCGAGTCTCTGGCGGCAATTTTTTTGGCTCTGGTAAGATTTTCTATAGCCTTGAATATGAAAACATCGTTTGTAGAGCAAAACGATCCGCATCGAGTTTGTAAAGAAGACGCAATTAAATCAATTGATCCACCCCTACTGATACTGCTGTTGATTATTGAGGACAAAAGGTCTTTAATCAATATCTTGACATCCCTTGAAGGCAACAACAAATCCTTGAATGCAATTGTCAATAGATTTGCTTGGTTTGTAAGTGAAAGAAAGGAAAAAAGCGTGTTGAAATTGTTCTCGTTTCCTTGAAGTTCCTCAAGAACGACCATGAGGAATGAGAATGCTTCCTTCATGGAAGTGAGGGATTTGAAAATTGAAGTGAAGGCAATACTTTCGGCCCTTAAACACACTTCATTTTCAAATTGATTTGGATCAGAACTGTAATTGGGAGCACTCAATCCTTGAATGTTACTTTCATTCTGAACAAAAAAATCAATCAAAACCACAATGGTTCCAATGAAATACTCAATTTGATTCTTATCAATGTTCAAACTTCCGATAACAACCTTGCTGTCTTTGATACTAGCAATTTCAATCTGCCCCGTTGGCGTCACTTTGATACTGGGCAATGCACTAAACACCCTCTTATCCCAAATGTCGCGAAGAAATCTTCCCAATAATAAGCAAGTACCGTACAACCGGTCGCTGAGTATCACTTGATCCACAGTGGGATGTGGAGTGTAATTCTGCAACAGTGCATGGTGAGGAATCAAGCTTGTTGGTTGGGAGATAAACCTGCTTTCGGTTAACCTTGCATTGTTCCCACAAGTTGAAAACAACACTTGAGCTTTCCGTTGGAAAATGTCGTTCGAACTGTACTGTCCATAAGAACATGCCAAATACAACAACGTTGAACAAGTTTCCTCGTATCCATTTTCCTCGATGAAGTTTTCAATAACTTCATCAGTCAAGCTTTTCAAAATTTGGTCCGAGGTTTTGAATTGGTATATCATGAGACCAAAGTTGGTCAACACGGCAAATCTCAAAGGTTCCTTAGTATACTGGCTTGCTGCTACGTTTGCATATCCGTTTGGTGTATTAGTAGCATTCATTGATGGCGTTAACTGGACAATATCCTGAATGTAAGTATAAAGGGCGTCCTCGTTGGCCGTATATTTGACGAATTCAGCATCCTCTACAAGCTTATTGTTCTTTTTGAGATATCCGAAATTGGCAGTGGATACAAACAATTTATCCGACTTTTTGGTCTTTTTCGCACAAAGAAAAACACCCGGACTGATAACTTTGGCAATCTTTGTGTTTTTGAGAAGCTGGGATTTTTGCTGGTTCGCAATTACTTGAGAAATGTATTGCCTATCTCTCGTAAAAGCGTCGAGTTCATTGTTGATTGTGGGTATTTCTCGCGCGGGTGGGAACTTGATATTGACAAGATTGAGCTTCAAAGCGTGTGCTGCAGACAACGAGGAGGTGAGTAAAGTGGAGAATGTTGCTGTTGATCCCAACTTCAACAAAATTCTTGAACCATTGCTTGTGATTGCAATTAGCTGCACAGTAGTGGACTCTTCAGGGGAAATTCGATGGATGCTGATGATTTTGAAACGTTCAAACACCTTGAAGTTGCTGGCGTCAACAAAGATTGCAGATGCTGATTTGAAAATTTGACTAGGAGTTAAAGTGCTTCCCTCAGTGAGGTGATCTTGTTTGGACTGAAGCTTGTAGACACGAATAACTGACTTGTTCGAAAGTGAGTACAAAATATCTCTACTTCCGTCTACCTCCAACTGAACCACTTTCTCCGGGATGTTTTTTGCTGTTGAGTCTGTCGTGATGGAGGTCCCCGAAGCAAATCCAAATCCCAGGAATGGGATAACGCTTGTGAATCCAGCTTTGGTCAAACACACTTTATCACATTTGTTTTTGGTAAACGTTGACTTACTTGAGTAGTCCAACCTCCAAATGTTTACTCCATCAGTCTCTCCACTAAAGAATATATCGCCAGTCTTTGGATGTACCGCAAAATTATCAACTGCCAAACCATGAGTTGAGACAGAAAGATCGAGATTCACAACTTCCAAATTGTTAAGACTCTTGTCGTACTTAACCAAAAATATTTGAATATCGATTGTTGTTGCAACAAGAAGCAAATGGCTAATTTCTTTTGAAAATACGCCTTCTTTTGGTTTCACCAATTTGACAGTTAATATCGAGTTTTGAATTTGATCGATAGTGAGGAATTGTGACGACTTATTGAATGAGGATTGGGGAATGCGATAGTTCCAGAGCAACAATTTATTATCAACAGCAATCCATGTGCGTTCAATTTCTGAAAATAGACCAATTTTAGTGGTACACTCAGTGTCATTATGCTGCTCAAAAAATCTATCTGGTAAATCAATCTGTTCAATCTTTTCAAAACGGGAAAAATCTTTTAAGCCATTCTCATAGTCAAAATAGTAATTATCCAAACTTGACTCAGTTTTGCTGAGACCCTCTGAGTAGAAAATGTCGTGTGGAATGCTCGAATCAATCTTGTTTATATTGGAGATAAGCTTGGAGCCTAGTTGTAACGGCGGCAAACTGGAAAAATCAGGAATATTGATCTTGTAATTAGCTTCCTTTACCTCCAAACCCACAGGCTCCACAAATCGTTTTGACAATTGATTTCGTGAAGAGCTTGAAGTTGTTGGGTTTGTTTGGTGCAATTTCAAAGATCCATCATAAGTCGTATCGTTAGAGCGAATTGTCGGCAATATGTACTTGTCAGTTGATGAGCCATTGTAACCAATGAAACTTGGAAGTAGGCTGACCATGGTTTGGCTCTGTTTATATTTGATGAAATATGGTTTGCTTCAATTGTTGTGAAAAAAAAAGAAAAGAAAATTGGATTTGGACAAACGACGATGAAGAAAAATATGTTTCGGCAATAGAGTTGGAGAAGTTACATCAAACATCAACAAGAAAGGGGGTAACGGGGTATTTAGAAGGCCTAACGAGTAAATGAAGGCTTCTTTACGTAAGATTTACAGCTTGACCTGAAGGTGGCACTGTTTTATAGCAAGGAGCAGTATATCTATGTTTGACGACACGACTCTGAAGCACGATAAAGGTGTCCTCCATTCTCTCCACCCATTCCCAGTCATTCGCTCTTTACCCGTTTCATTACGTTGCCGCCGTTGCGTGTAGTCATCATAATACCAAGTCAATATTTGTAAGGCTCTCGCAATTTTTGGCAAATTTATGCGCACAAGGCACTAAATCTGAGGCCAAAAGCTAAATTATTACACAGTTTTCTCCTTCACATTCATACAATCCCATTACCAAATCATGAGACACATTGCACTCTTTTCAGTACTTGCATGTATTGCATTTTCAATCCCTTTGTTTGATATTTTTCCTCAATGGTTGGATGCCCTTTCCTTGCTCAGCGGAAGTGGGAGCCAAGATCGTTTGCTCAAGTTGGGACCTGATGAATACAGACTTGCATCAGAGTTGGACAAGTTGGCATTAAAAAGGGAGAACAAGAGATTTATCGACATGACAGAACAAATCCCTATTGACGTTGCTGTTGAGCAAGGTTTGGTGGCTAAACCCACTCACACCTTGTGGCAAAGATTGTTCTTTATTGGCTCGAAGCAAGTAAAAACTTTGAAGAAATCAATTCCAGTGTACAACTATCCCAAAAAAACCAGGTTCAATTCTGAAATTGAGAACTTATACAATTGGATTGATATTGATGGTGTTTACGATAACTTGAGCAATTTCACTTCATTTTACACAAGATATTACAAGTCGGAGAGTGGAGCAAAGAGTGCAGCTTGGTTGCATGATCAAATTTCAGAATTGATAGCTCCATATAAGGAGATCAAGATACAGAAAATTCATCACAAGGGCTGGGATCAATTTTCAATAGTAGTTTCAATCCCTGGAGAGGTCAAAGACAAGGTTGTAGTTGGAGCCCATCAAGACTCAGCCAATTTGATTTTGCCCAATATAATGAGAGCACCAGGTGCAGACGACGATGGGTCAGGTACTGTGACTACATTGGAGTCTTTGAGAGTAATTCTCGAAGCCTACGGTAAAGGTAGTTATAAACCGTACAATACATTGGAATTTCATTGGTACTCTGCCGAAGAAGGTGGTTTGTTAGGATCTATCGACGTATTCTCGAGATATTCTTCCGACAATGAAGTCGTTGTTGGTATGCTACAACAAGACATGACAGGATATACTCAAGGCAGTATAGATGCTGGAATCGAGCCTCACTTTGGTTTGATTGAGGACTACACCAGCGTCGAATTGAACAATTTTTTAAAGTTGATTATTGGCACTTACAACTCCATTCCTTACCACTCCAGTGAATGTGGTTATGCTTGTTCAGACCATGCTAGCGCTTTGGAAAATGGATATCCATCTTCGTTCCTCATTGAGAGTGAAATGAAGTATTCTAATAAATATATCCATTCGGTAATGGATACCATCGACAGACTTGATTTCGATCATGTGAAGGAGCACATCAAGTTAACCATTGCGTTTGCCTACGAATTGAGTTTAGCTAAAAAATTACACTAAAGGTGACATAGAAATATATTATACCAATACAAGAATTTAGGGATCTAGTTATTCTGTAGCTTCGGCTCTATCCTCATCTGTTCTTTTACCCCATTGCACAATCTCTGCATGTTTTTGAATGAGAGAAGTTCTGGTTTGAACTTTTTTCGTTTCTGGGTCTTCAAATTTGTCGAGTCTCAAAGTTACATCAACAATCATCTTGTTTCCAACCCTCAATGCTTTCTCAGCTTTTTGTAATTCTCCTTCATCAAAAATGGTGATATTGTACCAATCAGTAATAGAATCTTCACCTTTTCTAAACTTATTCACGGCTAAGGAATACCTGACATATTTTGTTCCATTGGCTGACTCTTTAAAGTCGACATTTCCAACTCTACCAAACAATTGACCGTTGGCAAAGTTCTTTTTAGGAATCGTTGATGTAAATGATCTAGTGAATGCTCGCAACATTGATGATTATTAAGAGGCACGCGGTGGTGGGGTTGGTATCTTTTTGTTGTTGATATTTCAAGAGTTTTTTTTTTGTTGTTTTTTTTTTTTTTGGTTGTAGAAAAAGCGTGGGTTGTTACATAAAATCTGCGCGTCGTGGTTCGAGGACCATATCAGTTTCGATAATTGCTGAGAATCCTAAAGCATTGTTATATGCATATCACATATTAATGAGTAATGCGAAATATCAGTCTTGTAAGACCTTGGTACTACCTTTTTGGTTTCTTAAAGTTTAAATTAGGAAAAACCAAGTCACACAGTGAAACAGACTTGAAACGCTTCAACGGTTTTAGGTTGGTGTGTCTTGGAGGAGGCTCATCAGAAACACGTGATGATTTATTTGGTGAAAATCCCTGATTTATGTTGTGGCTGATCTCTTCAAGACTTTTGCCACGAGGAGGAATTGAGTTTACAGAGCCTTGTGACCTTAGACTGTCATCAACAATTGAATTACTCTTTGTGTGACTTCTTGTCAAGTCATGACTCTTTTGTTCCACCGAGTTGGTGTCATTGAATTGAGTATTTGATCTCTTACTGAATAGCGAACTTTCCATTAGATCGATTTCCAACTCATTAGTCAAATCATGAGGTTTTAAAACTAATGTGGGGAAATTTATTGATGTCTCATTCGCAAGGTTCTTTGTGATGACTGCGATTTGATGCTTCTCAGTCGGCAAAGTTTGTTCTTGTTCACTTTCAACTGATTGAAACAACAATTCTAGTCGTTTGTTTCTAAGATTAACCTCTGTTACGTTGGCGGAGTCAGTAGCATCATTGCCATTAAACTCTTGCTTTATTAGCCACTCAAGGGAAAATAGATCAGCTTTTGGTTTGCTGGGGACATTCAAATAATTCTCGTTTTTGTCATTTAAAGCCTCTAACTGCTTCAATTGAGATGTTGTAACCATACCCGGGTACGAATGAAGCTGTTTCTTGTCAATACAATCTGGTGTTTAAGCTGGTACTTTTTGTTCTTTTGCAACACTAATTAAATCTAAAATGCGATATGCTGATGCTGGTTGTACACAAAACCAGAGAGTATAAAAATACGTGACATTTGTTGAAAGAGTCTGGATCCACACATCAATATAAAAATAGTCACATACAAACTTACCACAAAAAACACCACCTTCTATTTGAATACTCAACCTAGCGATGAAAATCAAAAGTAGGAAAGGGGGATTGATTGGTGATATAAGTAAGACGTGCATATTCAGCCTTTACTTGAAATACTTGAACTTGAAGTGTTGTGATTGATATATGTTCCATATATATTCTGGAATACGAATGTATTGTGTGTGTACTGTGTGTGTACTGTGTGTGTACTGTGTACTGTGTATATAGTTCGTTTTCTTATCAAAATGTATTTGTTATCTCCAATTCTCTCTCCTATCATCAATCATTATTGCTCATTTATATTAAAACTCACAACAAAAAAATCATTCTTTCTTTCTTCTCCCCTTTCTACCCCCCCCCCCCCCCTCCCATCTGAGTCCCTTTATTTTACCCATTCAATCATTGTCATTCTAGATCCCACCAATCGAGAAGAAACCTACACGCATTTGCATATTTACACCGTTAAAGGTATGTATACAATACTGAAGCAATGCCATACGTCATGAGTTTATTTTGGTTTTGTTTTTGTTTTTTGTTCTCCCTTTCCTCCCTTTTTTTTTTGAGTATCTCCACAATCAGACAGACTTGAACGCCACTGTTTTTAAAGACGTTATTTGTGTACTACCAGTGAAATTACACATTGCATTTCACCAACCAGTTTACTAACCCTTTGATAGTTGGATTCAATAAATGAGGTCACAATTTAAAGACGAGCATCCCTTCGGTATGTATTAAATCCTCCCTTCCCCATGAGTAACCTTGGACGTCAACAATAACTAACCAATTCATTGTAGAAAAGAGACAGGCTGAAGCAGCAAGAATTGCTCAGAGGTTCAAAGATAGGGTTCCTGTCATTTGTGAAAAGGTTGAAAACTCCGATATTCCCGAGATTGATAAACGTAAATATTTGGTTCCTGTTGATTTAACGGTTGGTCAATTTGTTTACGTTATCAGAAAAAGAATCAAATTACCCAGTGAAAAGGCTATATTTATATTTGTCAATGATATTTTACCCCCCACTGCAGCTTTAATCAGTACAATTTACGAAGAGCACAAGGACGAAGATGGTTTCTTGTATGTCTTGTATTCGGGCGAAAACACTTTTGGAGAGAAGGTGCCTATCGATTTAACTGACTTGGATTTCAACAATCTTCTGGAAGATCTTTAAAAAGAGTGGAAATGACATATAAGCTGTGCTTTTGTTTTTTAAAGTAGTTTAGGTTTCTTTTTTTTTTTTTGAATGGTACTCCGAATTTACTAAAAACGTAGGTGAGAAGGAAAGCTCTAATATAAAAGAGTTGGGTTTGATTTTGGTTTAATCTCAGGTTATACAAGGCGCGGTTTGCCCATTTTATAAACTGGGAGTGAGCCAAGCGTGTTACCTTCACCCGTAACATTCTCAACAACCAAATGAGTTTAGAAGACTCAAGCAGGGCCCATAGATCAACTAGCCAATGGTCAACATGGCAGTAATAAGTTCAATAATAACTACTTTCGCTTACATTGTGGTCCAAAAGCTCTCAGCAGCTAACTTCTCGAAACTCTCGACTGAATTAGCTAAGAAAACGTACGCTCTTGTAATGGCAGATTAATGCTAACTCGACTGCATGAAGCAATCACACTCCTTTACTCAAGAAAGGCACTAACACCAGTTAACCTTCGACCGGTTTACGCCAACCTATTTATATATGGGTTGTATACGGCATCTTGCCAGTGAGTAGTTGTCACTCCCTATGTACGATGGAATACATTATTGAATAGAAATAGTCTTTAGGGCTGCAGCCCCGAAACAATTTCTTGAACGTGCACAACAATTTTAGTTTTCTGCCTTTTCGTTTTTGCGAGTTGAAACAAAATGTAAAGAAAAAAAATCGAAATTTTTCACTTTACAATTATTTCTTCTCATCACCACCAAACCAGATCAAATCAACAATGGCTACGTATGTGACATTGTCAAACGTCCAGCACTCTTTTGCAAGAGGCTAGCTGAGACGAGGATAAACAACAAAGACTTGCTTTTGCTTTTCACGGGAGTAGTCGAAAGAAGTTTTTGATCTCCTTGTGACCCAACCATGGGAAAATTAGATTGTCTTGCAGCTTTAATATATCTTCGTTTTAGCCAATGCCTGATACATCTATTTTCCTCTGAGTTTTGAGAATAGACATTGAATACGAATTGGAATGAACTTGGCCGTTCAGTTCTAAATTCATGTATTGACCTTTCCGGTTTCAATACAAGTGTTTGATGTATTCGAAAATTGTTTTAGAGGAGAATTGTGGTGAACCTTGCAGGGTGCTGGAAAAGAATGTATTTTTCTTTTCCAAATACTAACTTGAACATTTTTAGTTTATTAAGCTCTATCGCCAAGGCTATCAAGCCAGAAACTCAACAAAAGAAGGAAAAGGCTCAACAAAAGACTGCTGAAGAAAGAAGTGTTGCCAAGAAGGCCAGAAGAGTCGTATGTACAATTACATTTCCATCCCAATCCTTTTTTTTGCAGCACCTCGAAACTTTATTATTTTTGAGGATGAAAACCAAAACCAATGTATAATGGCTAGCTTCGGCTATGTTGTCTTTCAGTTAACCATCTTTCGGGACTGAGAAAATATTCAAACCGAGGTTTTGCAAAAAAAGAAAATTATGATATGCGTGACGAAATACTAACTTTGAAACTTTAGTCCAACAAGGAAAAGAGAAAGGTTATCTATGACAGAGCCGCCAAGTACCAAAAGGAGTACTCTGATGCTGAAAGATCAGTCATCAAGGCCAAGAGAGATGCTAAGGCTTCCGGATCATACTATGTTGATGCTCAACCAAAATTAGTTTTCGTTGTCAGAATCAAGGGTATCATGAAGATTCCACCAAAGCCAAGAAAGGTTATGCAATTGTTGAGATTGACTCAAATTAACTCTGGTGTTTTTGTTAGATTGACAAAGGCTACTTCTGAATTGATCAAATTGGCTGAACCATACATTGCTTACGGTTACCCATCATTGTCTACCATCAGACAATTGGTTTACAAGAGAGGTTACGGTAAGATCAACAAGCAAAGAATTGCATTGTCTGACAATGCCATCATCGAAGCCAACTTGGGTAAGTACGATATCTTGTCTATTGAAGATTTGATTCACGAAATTTACACTGTTGGTCCAAACTTCAAGCAAGTTAACAACTTTTTGTGGCCATTTAAATTGTCTAATCCAAATGGTGGTTTCAGATCAAGAAAATTCCAACACTTTATCCAAGGTGGTGACACTGGTAACAGAGAAGAATTTATCAATGCTTTGGTTAAACAAATGAACTAAATGCTGAGATAAGTTGCTGCAATGGGAGGCTTCCTATTTTTTCTTTGTTTCTTCTTCTAGGAGGATTGTAAATACTTAATGAAATGATTTTCTATCTTTCTGGCTATACTTTTATGTAGTTATTTTTAAATGGATATAAACGAGTCTTGTCAATTGTGTCTATTACCAGTCTATATAATCGTACACAAATTTCTCTATTGTCGGTACACTACTCAACAAATCAATTAACCCTGGTGATCGTATCCTATCATTAATGTAAACGATGCCGGAACCTTTACCAAGAACGAATGGAAGTATCATTGACAATGATAGGTAAACAACCTGAACCACATTCACCACAATCAAAAACAAACAAATAATACTTAATATTGATATCATCAATGCCCTATTACTCTTTAACTCGTGCCTATACTTTAAAAATACGTAATTCTGTTTGACAATTGGTAAATTCAAAAGGAAATGTTTGATCGATTTTGAGTTGCTGTTCTCAACAGGTACCTGATTTTGTAAAAGCCGTATCAAGTCATTTTGTCTTGCTATTTCCCTCTCCAACGTTTTAAAAGCCAATACTGTTTCCTTCTCTCGTTGCTTATATTCAATACATGCATCTTTGTATTGTTTACAAAGCTGCGTCAGCTCGATTAATGCAGCGTCTCTATCAGCCAATTGGGCAACCAAGGACGCTCTATTATCTCCTCCATTCTTGTAAAGCGTGGTCAAATCAGCAAGTCGTGTTTTCAATCTATCAATCTCCTGTTCCGATATCTTCAATTGAATATCCTTTTCGTTGTTAGTTTGTCGCATAATTGCAATTTCCTTCCTCAAATTATCAATTTCTTCATCCTTGATTGACCTTGCTCTCAGTTCAATTTTATTTTGAGAATTCCTCCAAAATCGAAACGCATCATTAGATGATGATTTAGAATCATATATTCTTTCTCTCACAACTTCATTCGATAATCCAAACCGATCTTTTAGTAAACTGGCAAAAGACTCAGCACCAGTCACAGACAAAATAAACCTTTTTGCATCTGATTTGGTGAATTTCAAGTGGGAGCTTTGATTTTTGAAATGGTTTATGTTTTTCAACTCAGTTGAAGTGAATAATGATTCAATCTTTAACACCTTTTGTACATCGTTAATAAGATTGAACAATTGCGCCATATCAATCTTGTCTATTTTTCCAAAACATTTGCTCCAACTTTGATCTATTAGGTGGTCTAAGGATCTATCTAGAGTGGGATCTGATGTGTATGTCGTGGTTAAGCTAGGCATACGTATTCTTTGCTGGCTGAAGAGTAAGAGAATGCTTTGTTGACATTTTTTAAAAACAATTGAATTTAAAGAGCGCGTTTTTTTACTTTATCCAGGTTAACTGCATTTAGTACATTTTCTACTTCTGATTACTTACCAACACACATCCGTGAAACCAAAACCGTTTCAATTTGTTGATACAGAAAGAACCCTGCCTTCCGAATCATCCTTGATCTCGGCAACACTTTGACTTTCTTCGGCATGTGCCAACTTGTCATTCTCTAAATCACCGTTCATCCTGCCCTCATTGTCGTCAACGAAGCTTTCATTCCGCTCTGGCTTTGCAAATGCTGACTGTTCCTCGATTTTTAACTTTTGGTGTTCCAGTGACACCAGCTCCTTCATCAAACTCTCAGAAATAGGTTCTTCTTCGATTTGCGGCGGTGGGGCAATCGACAGTGCGTTGCTTAATGACTCGTCTTTATTGTCCAACGCAGACGATGGCTTAGTCAAATGCAAAATATCCTGATTAAAGGATGAATTATAGTACCCATTTTGAGTATCGGCTTCAGTAGTTTTCCTTGCTGGCGTGTAGAATACAAAGTTGAGCCGCTTGTCAGGATTGGTGCCTATTGTCCCATCTTCTGTGGAGACCTCGTTGCAATCTTCTTTATCATTGCCCTTCAGATTAATTGTGAGCTCTTCATTCAAAGTTGTCACAGCTGTTTGTGAATTTTCTTGTTGAAGTAAGTTCGCTCCTTCGTTAGTTTCCTGCTCTAGCTCTGGCTCGGTCTCATCCCCAGAAACAGTGGAAACACGTATGTCATCAATTTGTTTGCTTCCATTCAATATACTTTTCTGTGTACACCTTGCATGCTGCAAAACTTTCATAAATAAATCATCAATATGCAATCCACATCCATACAATTTTCGCAACACAAAAGTCAACTTTTCCAATCGAATTTGATCATTTTGTTCAATTAAGATCTCATCAATGTTGAAGGTGTCACGGTAGGCTTTCAAAAAGTTGGCCAATTCACCTACGAGGGTAACTTCATTGATAGGGACAGCTCGCAATGATTGACCACTGTCGTATGTCTTTATCACCTCATTCAATGTTAATTTGTTCGCAATGAACTTATCCTCATCTTGGCCCGAACTCAATAATAAACACACAGGACACTTATAAACATCTGCCTTGTGATTACTAATGTCTTTGACGCACTGCACGTGATACCATTCTCTGCATTCTTCACACTCTACCATTGTTCCATGTTCATATTCACGACATACGCAGTAATACTTTGGATCAGCTTGCTCTTCATTGCGACTCAGAATTGCAGACGAATCTTCAAATTTGTCATCAATGGACAAACTATATTCAGACTTGTACGAAAGCCACTGTATCTTTTCAACAAATTTAGTATTGAGAGTAAACTTGGGGTTTATGTGGTCATTAAATGAGATATCAGTCATTGTGGTAAGGATTTTGATATTGTTGAATTTTTGCCACTCCGTATCTGCCCACAATTCGGCTTCCTCTAGCGCTTTTTGAATTTTACTCGTCTCAAACTTCAACCCGCTGTCGATGATTCCATTGTACAACTGCTTCAACTCGTGGTACGGCATCTTGTCCGCTGTTTGCTTTTCATTAAACAAACTGATGAGTTTCAAATTCGTATGAATCTTGGACAACTCCGTGTAGTTGTCGCTAGAAAGAAACAACTTTTTCTGGGTAAAACTGTAAACAATTGATTTCAACTTCTCGAGATCCAAATCATGCACATATGTATACAGTAAAAAAAACTTTACTTCATTGTCGAAAACAACGCTGTGATTCAATATCTCTTCAATCAGTTTAATAAGTTCCAAATCACCTTCCGATAATACATCCAAACCCTTTTTATAGAAATCTCTCAAATCAGCAATTGAAAAAACCTCCTTTCTATCAGCAAAAGGGTCAACTCCCTTTTCAATCAAGTTGTAGGTCTTGATCCATCTTAATCTATCCCTGATTCTTATGATAAAGTCCAACGACGGAATGTCCAAACCAAAACTCTCTCCAAGACTTATTAGATCATCAAACTCTTGTGGCGACCTATTCTTTTTCGAAATTAAGGTACGACTAGCTTTGTCAAAGTTCTCAATTTCAGTTTTGAGCTCTATAATTTGATCAATTTCTGGACAACTAATATTCAAACTTGGAATTTTTTCAACAATACTCAACAACTCGTTGAAGGAGTATGAACGCTCCTGCTGGGACGATTCCTGTCCATTTCTAATACGTTGCTGATGCTTAAGGGATAAAATGTTCTGACAGTCTTCGATAAATTGGACTGCACCGGAAGTGAAAAATCTCAAATTGTCCAAGTACTCCCGAAATGATTTCAATCGTTGCTGATCAAATTGCTGATCACCAGCAACTGATGTAGACAATATCGAAGAATTTATTCTATCGCCCTCATTGAGTAGCAACTTATATTGTTTCAAGTTAACTTCACCGTCTCCTGCCATCAATTCTTGATAGTTTCGAATCCATGATTCAAAATCCACCGAATACCCACTCAATATTTTATGAAAATTTTTCAATTTTTCATCCGAGTGAAACAATTGTAGCTCTACCTGATACTTTTCCATAAATTCGGGCAAATCTGAATACTTCAAAAAGCTTTCCATTGACACGATCATTGAGTCCTTGGACTTGATTTCGGTGAGTATCACGCGCGAGGGGAAGACGGCACTATAGTCGTCATCCGCCGTTATGTCTGATAAGGACTCATCGTTTACACTCGTCTCCTTAATTTTCAACTTTCTGATCTGATCTCGCAATTTAATTTCATCAACATACAACTTTTCATAAAGTTTTGCAACTTTGGCAAAGACTTCGGAGTTGAAAGAGATACATGTCCCATTGTCATAAGTTGTAGCCACAGTCACGAGTAATTTGAAAATCAGAAAGTTGGGCAATATACCTTGCTTTGATAGCCATTTCTCGCCTTCTATCGCGTGCTCCAACCACAAACTTGAAGCAAAGTTTGTTTCCTCTGTGAAGTTGAAACCATACGACTGAGCTGACGAGTAAGTTTTGGGGAATTTGATGACAAACTCGCCTGGGTTCTGCACCGTTGTTGTGTATCGAATGTTATGCTTATTGAGCAATTCTGGAGTTATTCTTAAATCCTGATTATAGATGAGCTTTTCGTGTTGACGTAATTTCGCAAGGGCTGTGTTTCCATGTTGTAGCTTAACATCCGGCTTTGTGTTAACAGAGTTCTCTAATGATTTGATTAGCACATCTGTTTCCATTTCGTCACCATTTGACCTAAACATAACCGCACAAAAGTTTTCCACGTCAATGGGTTTATTTCGGTTCAACATGGACCTCGACGAGGCATTTTCACTCACATCTTTGACTAATTGTTCAAACTTTTCGAATTCTGATTCGGGTATGAAATACCATCGTTTTGGTGCCCCAAAAAAATGATAATTGATGAGTTGTGTAAAGTGGTCCTCACATGTCCAGTTCTCAGTGCTGAATGTCATCCCAACATTTACTCTCGTCCCGGTCAATTCCCGGTTTCCAATATCTGACTCGCTTAGTGTCCCGAGTATTGCATTGGGTAGAGTTGAAAAGTTGTGGAGGTTCCAAGGGTACAATGCTGACTCAATCATTTGATCTATACTGTTGATCTTATTATATTCCCAGGGATTTTGATGTGAAAACCCATGAGGGGTAGTGTTTGGATATTTCGCATTTATCGCTTGCTTTGCGTGTGATAAGCTCAATTGGTGATTATTGAGAGCATTTTTGAAATTTGACACATCATCACCTAGCTTCACGAATCCGGATCCATGAATAGAACTTGGTAAATCTTTGCCCATTTCGAGCTCAACCCCATTGGAAAACACCAGTTGGATGCAATCATTTCTGGCATATCTCCAGTAAAGATTTTCAAGCTCTTGAAACGATATACAATCGCGTTGACCAGGTTCTGAACGAAACGAGTCTTTATTTTGTTGAATGACGTATTCTTGAAATTTGATATCCTTTTCCATAAACTGTCGTAAAGTGTAAGAAGATGCAGTTTTAGGCATTTCTGTTGAAGAGGGTTCATCTTCGTGGTTTTGAATATAAGACAAACTTGCTTGAAATGAAGTCTGAGGAGTTATGAATGCATTAACGGTGTCAGCTGCCTTTTTATTCCTCTTTTTGTCGTTCTGCTTAACCACAAAAGTATTCGGTTGCTTTACGTCTATAAGATGTGGCGAATTAGCCAACAACCCTTTTGCAACTTTTGTCTTGAACTGACGTTTGAATTGCTTCGCCGATCCAATTATAAGAGGAGCATCGTAACGATTGCCTATTTTCGTTTTTTTGTCAAAGGTATTCGACGGTTGTAGATTTCGCTTCCCATTTGACAGTAATGTATCTATGACATGCTCTTCCTTGACCATAACCGTTCTCTGATTAGCAATATACAACTCATACGGATACAAGATTTTTTGATAAGAAGCCTTCAACGAGCTGCTCAAACTAGTCATTATCTTCCCTTTATAGCCCAACTCTCGTCCAATCTGAGCCCATAATTTTTTATTTATTACTTCGATAAAACCACCACGAACTATTACGGACTGGTATAATTTAAATAAGTCCAAGGGACGTTTGTCAATCATAGGTAATTTGCTTAGATGAGATTGTAAATTACTGGCTCCGTTTTTCTCTTTCTTTTTTGTCCCTTCAGAATCCTCAAAGTGATAGTGTTGATCTCTTTGATGAAATTCGAGTAAATCACGATAAAACTTGAGTCTTGCTAAAACCTCGTCTTTGCTGGGGTTGTTCAATACCTTGTTAGTGTGGAACCAAAATAAATCAGAATTGACTTGATTACAGGTCTGAAATAAAGCCTCATGTTTTGCTGGCAACTTGACCTTTACTGCACCATATTGTCTCCCTATTTCCAGGAGACTATCAATCAAATTCATGGGCTTTTTAGCCAACTCTTCATTGAGATGCAATAAAGGAATTTCATTTGCATCCTCGCTAGTTGATGGAACAATATAGAACTTGTTTGGTATCAGGTCATAATTTATCGGTGGCGAGGTTTTTGACTTTTGTTGAGATATGTTGAATGGAATGTAGTTGAAATTCGAAAATTGACCATTGAGTAACGCTTGGTGATGTTCATCGTTGCTAACTTCGAGATGTTTCAAATCTGGTAAGCTTGAAGTATCAAAAAATCTGGATGTTTTGGGGAAAGTTGACGTCTGACTTGGAATTGTTGTGGAAAGTGGCTTGTGGAAGGTATGTACAGTATGAGAGCTCCCACTATCTTCCGGATACAATGTCATGGATACTCTTACAGTTTCATGTGTTCAAACTAAGGCAGGTGGTTGTACAGAATAGAACTTTGTCGAGTGGTGGTAGTGGTCGTGATTATATCAGAAAGAAAAAAAAATAGAAACCTTTGAAAAAAAAACATCGAACTTTTCGAATCTGTGTTTGGACCCAATAGCCTTGATAGGGTGAAGTATCTTGCATATGTTTGAAAGCATGTTGAGATAGGGTTGTATCTCATACCAAATAATTTCTTAACACGCCTGGCTATCATTGTTTCACTAGTGAATACAGGGCAGGAAAGAATGTCACTTATTATTGATTAGTGTAAGGAGGGGCGGGGGTGAAGTAATCTCTTTATATAATGATAGGAGCCAATGTCACCCCAGTCATTCATATGCGCCTGCATGGAGGATGGTGTCTATTGAATGATTGTTGCGTCCAATTTAAAGGGGACTTCACTTTGGCACCACTGATACATATAATGTCTTCAAGAAAATAATTTCAACGGTATCAATTGTAGTTTAAAGTTATATAGAGTATACATGTTTATACAATCATTAAACTTATAACAAAGCAGCTGCAATAGCAACCAAACCGGCAGCAACACCAGCAGCATTCTTAACACCAGCACCTTCGTACGAAGTAACATCTTGGTAGACGGTTGAGGTGGTGTCAATCTCAAGTGGAGCTGATTTAGCTGGGGCAGCTACAGTTGGAGCAGCAGTTTCAGCTGGTGCAGCCTTTGATTCAACAGCGGCTGGCTTAGTTTCAGCTGGAGCAGCCTTTGATTCGACAGCAGCTGGTTGAGATTTAACTGGAGCAGCCTTTGATTCAACAGCGGCTGGTTGAGATTCAGCTGGAGCAGCCTTGGTAGGAGCAACAGTAACACATTCTTCTTCTTCACAAACAGTCTTGGTGACACATATTTCTTCTTCACAAATAGTCTTTGTGATGGTGATTTCATTAGTGGTGTAAGATGTTGGAATGATACATTCTTCAGTAATGGTGACAGTCTTTGCTTCTGTAACTTCAATTTCAGTTGGTTTACAGATATCAGACTCTTCACAAACAGTGACAGTTATAGTGGTTGGTTCTGGGCAGTAGGTGGTGTATCCAGTAACAGTGACATCAACAGTGACAACAGTACCGTTTTGGTAGGCAGCAGCTGAAGCATAAGCAGACAAGCTGGCAACGGTGGCTAAAGAAGAAAATTGCATTATGGAAAATTAACGAAAGTAGAAAGTTGGACTTCTGAACAAATGTGAGTTGATGAATATAAAAAAAAGGAAGAAGAGACAAGGGAAAACTGAACTTACAAGATGGGAATTGAGTAAACTTATATAGGCCTCAAAAGAGTTTCAGGAATGTTTAACTGCAAAAAAGAATAGGAATTAGTACTGCACACAGCTTTGGCACAATCAAACGATTTTTCTTTTACACAAAATCATGTATATGATTATGTAAGCATGCCATATGCAAGTATCTCGATTAGGTAGCTGCACTGCCTAATTGGGAAAATCACTTGACGGATTTGTTCAATTCACCGCCCAATTCACACCACGCCCAGCCAAGCAAAGTATTTAAAAAATTTTATTCCTTAGAATCCCCCAGTTATTTTATTGTTAAGTATGAAAGCAGCATGCATATTAGGAAACTGATTCGTCAAATCAAGAATTTTTTTTCACACCACCACCCACCTCCTCCAAGAAAGTTCGCAAGGTACTACCGGCAGAAACTGTAAACAAAAGAGGAATGTGGTGGAAACTTGGCCCGGTTGCAGAAAATATTTTAGTTAAACTGTTGAATGGAAAGGCATTAATTCAGTGTTTTTGTCATTGATGATCTCAGAGCTTGTTAATTCTACAGCACCATCGATAAGCCAATATTCCTATTGTCCTTTTAAAGGATCACACTCGTAATTCTCTATTGTTCTCCTCCTTTTTTTGAAGCCTTTAAACCGCCCCACATATGCAACTAATTTGCAATTAAACAATAGAGAACGAGAGAGTGCAAAAGGTAAAAAAACGAGAGCTTTACGAAATGAAATTTTTTCTCCTCAATTGAACCAGTTCCATCACACAAAATCATACTCTTTCAAAATCAATTTGATAAGTGGCATAGCTGATACAAAACACGATTGCGAAGGCGCCGTTTACGATGTATTTCGAGGAACCAAACAACATCACTGCGGGATGCGCGTGTCAGAAGAATTGATGTCAACAAAAAAAGATTTTTTTAAAATTAGTCGGAATTTGGCGCGTGCTTTTTGCATATTATAACACCACAATCACCACAACTAACTAACCAACTAGCCACTCTAAATCAATTTTTTCTGTACCGCACACTCTGTGCAAAAGGCTGTACAGTTCAGCCTGAAGCGGGCAAGTCCTTCCGGCCACCTCTCCGAGAATGTTTTGTGCAGATGTATCAGACTTGAATGTGAAACATCCTAAGGGGGATGGCATCTTCGCATCAAAAACGATCGACAATTTTGAAGCAGGGCTTCAGCTTTGGACATACGATAGCACTATTCGACAAAAACAAATGTTTAGAAGGATTGTTAACATCATCGATGACGAAAGGTAAATATGATTATCTCTCATTGGGTAGTGATTCAAAAGATTTCAAACTTCTAGTTCATTGAAGTCTAAGAAAATAGCATTCAATGTTTTGATGTTGTTTCGATCCAATATTTTCTGGGCATTGAAGGGATCGCATTTCTTTGATCAAGGATGCGCAGCAACGAAAAAGAGGTGTCATTATACAATTATCAATGCTTATTATTATAAGCTGTACAAAACTTTTAAAATCAAAATCGTCTAAAAAAGGTCACTTCCGTTTAGATCGAGAATCTAACTAAGAAAAACACGCGTTTTAATTCGCTATTGAATCGAATCAACGAGTCTAGTATCCAAATGTGTAATCACCTTGGATCCAAGTATTGAGCATTGATAAGGAGTTGCTTGGCTGATCGTATGGAACCATATGTCCCGCATCATATATTCTCAAGAATGTAAATTTCTTGTAATTTTTGACTTCACCAGCTGGCTTCTTTTTCGATTGAGTATCAGGTGATGTGTCGTCAGCTGATGATGTTGTAGCTTTAGCGGGAACCCAAGGTTTCAACGGTTGATTTGCAAAGGCTTCGCCGTGTTGATAGTCCAACTTATTCGCCCATGCGTAATTTCCCAACCAATTGCAAATATAGTCTTTGTCACCAGCATAAATCAAAACGGGGATATCATGATCCAACAATTCGGCAACATATTGTTGGAAAGGCTTAAACTCGTCTCCATCCAAAATGAAATTTCTAAACACTGTATCATCACATGAGGTAAAAATGTCAATGTTGGACGCACCAACCGCTTGCTTGACATAATCCAAGTTCAAATAGTCATCAACATAGTCCATCTCCACATAACAGTTACCTCCTTCCTCGGCACAAGGCTTTCTAATGTCATATGGGTTTAAACCTGTTTCAATATATGGTTGCAAAAGTTTGAGGTCGCAGTAGTACTGGGCTGGAACACATGAAAAAGCATTTTGAAATTTGTAGCACAATTTTGCCAAAGTTGCACATTTGGGGTAATCGCGTTCCATTTGATCACATTGCTCCTCTGTTAAAACGGGTTTGTATCCACCTTGACCGCATGCCATTGGTCTATACTCGCCAGCTTGAATCAATGGATCTGTAATACCATTACCAATCAAAACTGATGCCAATTCAAATGAACGATCAGCATTATTGATAATTTCGCTAGCAAATCTTGGAATGTAATGTCCAGCATAGGACTCGCCAGCAATATGGAACTTGTTTTGAGTAAATTGGGGAAATTTCTGGAAAAACAATTCCAAGAATACATAGACATCCTTGGCTGCAGTCTCGGTGTTTCTTACTTCATCACCACCAGAATACGAATAACCAACACCTACCGGTTGATCCAAAAAGATGACTGACGCATTCGAGTTCCAAGAGTATGGATTGTGAACTGGTTGCAATGTTGAGTTGATTGAAGAAGGACCTAATTCAAAAAACAAACCTGTAGCACTACTACAACCTGGTCCTCCATTCAACCATAAAACTATTGGATCGTTTTTAGGATCGTTTCTACTCTCGAAAAACCAGAAAAAGTAGTGATGATCAATGCTTTCGACGTCAATATATCCAGTGTATTGTTTCACAGTATCAAGACCCAAGATTTCTGGATTAGTGTTCTTAATTCTCATTGAATAATCACGAAACTTGTTGTTGGACAAGATTTCAAAGTTTTGCGAATCCTCTGGCTCTGATTTCAGTTTCCGCATTGGTGATGTCACCTTCTGTTTGTATTGCTTATATAATTGGGAAATTCTTGAAGGCGATAAACTAGCCCGCATATCTCTCCAAGCATGAGTCAAGATTTTGGGTGGATGTTCCATTTGATGGTAAAGTTCACTCAACTCATTGTCAATTGATGATTGAGATCCAGAATCATCATCATTCACCAATAAAACTTGGTCATTCTTGCTGCCAAAAAGACCGCCGTGGCCACCAAAAAGGGCCAGACTTGTTGATGCAATTGTCAATGCTTGAACTAAGGTGGAAATCTTCATTTTGAAATACAAATGAGCTCTCTAGTTGAAAAAATCGGCACTGTGTTTAATTAGAAATATTTCTTTGAAGTAGTGACTAGAGTATTTGGTTCTTAGATAAAGTAAAGTTGAATTTGTAGGTCCTTTTAGTCGAGTGGCGCCAACTCTAGAACGGAAAAAAGAAGATAAATGGAGCGGAATTGTAACTCAATTGTTACAGATAAGACAACTCATTTGAACCAATCGATACCACGATTGGAATTTGAAATGTAGACGTTCTGCCACAGGCTCTCACTTATATGCTATTCAATTGTAGACCTATACACCTCGGAGTTGTATAATATACACCTTCAACCTCATCTTCATAGTAGTAGTAGTGGTAATTATTCACCAACAGACACTACCTTTACTCGTTAAATTTTTTTTTGTTTTCATTCAACTATCGGTCTTTGGTAAACTATCACTTGAACTTGGTCAGCTGCAACTAATCCACAATGCCATCACTTGTTCCTATTACCACGAGCTCTAGGACGGTTATTCCGTTGAATGGTTCTGGCCCAGACGTGTCTGCGTTTGGTTTTGGTCAGTATCAAAATATAGGATCCAACTATGGCATATATGGAGGAGGTTACAACCAACAACAAACCATTGGTAGCAATCACCGAGGTATCAACGAAAAGCAGAGGATAATAATGGCATTGAAATCGGGAATACCATCGGAAGTCGATTGGGCGTTGATGAGTTTAGCGAGAAACTCAATTCATCCTTATTTGCTGTTTGAAGAAGATGCCTTCATTGCCCATGAATTGATCAAATATTTGTGCAAGCCATTTCAGTTGATTCATGATAAAAAGTTCGACCTGGTAAATCAAAGTATGATGACACATAGCTTGGATGCCTTATTAACTTTGCGAAACTCGGTTCAAGATTTGAGCAACCAGCAATGGTTGTCACAAGTTGCCAGTTTCAAGAAACAGTTGATTGAAATTTTAAGGATCTTGTCAAATTGGTTCTTTCAGCCCGGAAAACAAATAAAAGAGCTAGTCAATATTGAGGATCAATTTGCAGAGGCATTGCATTACTTAATCGACTTGTTAGAACCTTTGACGTGTTACTATATCAACAATTCAAAAAATGACGTACTTTTCAACATATTGATGCAGGTACTTTATGTGACTGAGGACAAGGATTTGTTTATAAACGCCCTCAAATGTCTTTCTCACTTGCTCATTACATGGCACAAGAACTCGAAAGTTTCAGACGATGATGATGATGATGATGGCGACATGGACAAAAACACTCAAGCATTGGAACAAGATGATGATGATACCAAAGTCACCAACAATTGTGTTGATGCTATAACCGATCAACAATTGGAGCACATAGTCAATACGTTGCTAGTTGGTGACAATGATTTGAACAATGCAGTCTTGGATTTTTTGAAGATGTACCTTTTCTCAGAGGCTTTGCATCAAGAGTACCCCAATTCTGTGAAGGATTCACAACGCTTAAGATTAAGGCATTTGTTACAGTTGAGCACTACTAAAGCCAACTACGAGACACTTGTTAAGCAGCTTCCCTTACTACTCGTGTCAAACCTTCCATTAGCAGAACCTACCGAACCCCAACCTGTACCAAATACAATTCTCACAAGACGCACTCAGTATTCAATTGCTCCACTCGCGGCGCCGGAGTTGACCAAAGATTTGTATAGAATAATGCTTCAATTCCCGGAACCAGCCAGAGCAACCACGTGGTTACATTGTTGTTATGAACCAACAACGAGTGAAGAAGTTGAAGTTACTCAGATTTCAATTTGGAAATCGTATGAGACACAGTTTCAGGAAATTTGGAAAGTTGATGGGAGGGACAGGAACCCCAATTTGCATCCATTGTTACCTGCCGTTGATTTCATCAAGAATGTTACCAAGGCGTTCCCCAATGCTGAGGCAAAAGTTTTGACCGTGCAAACTGAAGGGGAAGAACAACCTAGAAAGAAGTTCATTATTCAAGGTATTCAACCTAGACAATTCCCAGTGAGTATAGAAACAGGAAACTACGAAGCATTGAAATCCTTTTCGGAAACATCCCAGCAAGAAGGTGTTGCCACTTTACCAATTGGCCATTTTGATTCAAGGGGATTCGAAAACTTTGTTGCTTCTGAACTGGAATTAATCTTGAGCGCAGAAAATCAGGTATCTTTATCGCATTTAAATTCAATCAATGAGACAAGTCGCGAGATTTTAGAGTACATATTTCAGGAGATTGTGGAGAAGGAACATGACCATGACCATGTGGCTTCTAATCTTTTCAGATTGCATAATAGCTACTGGTTGCCAGATTTGATTTACGCAAATCCCTCTCTAGTTGAATCTGGAATCATTAATAGTAAATGGCTACAGTATCTTTTATAGACGTGTGTATTGTTATTCGTGAAACATTGGACTAAATGTACGTTGTTAGCAATATGTGGTGAAAGAATGGTCTGAGGAAAAAAAGAAAAAGATCATCAAATGCCAACTCTACAAAAGCAAAACAAAAACGTCAGATTATACCGAAGATGGCTGGCAAAAATCAACTTCCATTCCATGTGCGTGCTACTGATGTAGTGCATAGATTGACCGTCCTAGGGTTAGCCGGATTCTGTATCATTGGTGGAGGTTCAATAGTGTTTAATATTTGGGCAAATTCCGATTTTGCTCCTTGGAATAAGAAGAAGTTGAAGTTTGAAGAGGAGCAGTATCATCAAACTAGAGACGTTAGCAACCCAAACTCGTCACAGAATGAGTAAAATGTTGGCAAGGAGGTTTGCTAAAACTTGGATGTTTATAATGGAGGTTTACTTGAGCTTTTTTACATGTACATAGGATAATTGAATACACACAAGCTTACAGAATCATCGAAATGTAAATATGTCTATCGTATTCTCTATTAACTTTTAACTCGCTTTCCAATATCTACACCATCATCTGTATCCATTTTCCGCTTTCGTATGAGGTCATCTTTATCCTCATCAGCATCCTCTTCTGCAATCTTTTTCTTCTTCTTCTTTAGCGGCTCCTTCGCATGACTGAGGTGTAGCACATTTCTCAAGTACTTGTAATTCTCTTCATTGAAATCGTTAAACTCAGCTTTATTGATTGGGTTTATTATCACCAAGTCGTAATCGAATGTGAATTTTTTATTGCAGACTGGACAATTAGTTTCAATCTGATTCGAGGTTTCAACTGTCTTGAGTGACTTTTTCAATTCCTTCAAGAACTTGTACGATATGACACAGCCACAAGGTCGTAAATATGAATACGACGTCTTGTCGTCCAACTCTTTTGTGACTGGGCATTGGAAATGAGCTATATCATTGATGATATCCCAAGTGATTTTGACTGTTTGTAAATCCTTCAACGACTTTAAATGTTGAAACTGTAGCTGAGCCTTTATCTTGTCGAGTTTGCAATCTAGAAAGTATTGTAAGATCTTTTCTTTGATGTATAGTTTGCCCTTGAAATCTCCAACTATGGGATTGTTTTTGTACAAGGGAAGTCCTGATAATGCACAACTTTGTAGCAATATTTGTTCCTTATTTTCCCCCTTGTCTTCAGCAAATGATACGAATGTTGATTTCGAGTTATGTAGTGATAATATGTCTTGCCTTTTGGCAATTGTACCACCGTCGTTACCCATTTCTTGGATGTGGAGTTCCCCTTAGTGATGACTTGAGGATGGTGATTTGGAATCCATTGGAAAGCAATTGGAAAAAAGAAAAAAAAAAATAAACAACCCATCAACCCAGTACAACACCAACTTATATTGTTCAACATGTCACAACCTCAAAAGGTAGACCTCAATTCGCTTCCACCTCAGCAATTAGTGGAACTTCGCAAAAACATTGATCAAGAAATCAGTCACTTCACACAATCTCTACAAGCTTTGCAAACAGCACAATTGAAATTAAAAGATTGCATAACGAGTATAAACACTCTCGAGAAATCCAAATCTGACAACATGTTGATACCGTTGTCAAGTTCATTGTACATTCCTGGAAAAACAGTTACCAAACAAGACTACTTAGTGGATATTGGTACTGGTTATTATGTGGAGAAAAAGGCAGAGGATGCTAAGAAAGTTTATGATAAGAAGATTAAAAAGCTAGACGAAGATGCAAAGAAGTTGAGAGACATACTTGTGCAGAAAAATGAGTTGCTAAATGGTGTTAATTTGATATTAAGGAGAAAAGTGATTGAAATGGAAAAACAGCAAGAAACGAATGCCTAAAACACGATACAATAGTTCAGTTATTCTTTTGAAACTTTGTTCAATATAAATGGCTCCAGAAAAACTTGCTTCAAGTTACGACGTTTCACGGCCCCCATTCCTGGTATATTGCCCAACATCTCGTTGTTTTCTTTACTGCATTGCAACACCATCTCTCTGACTGATTTGTAGTTGGCTAATAGATTCGAAACATCAGTTTTGTTTACTGATTTTATCCCTGTAAATGCCTCAACTACATTTGAATTGTAATCCGCACCTTTGAACCCTCGAATACTCTGTTTTGCCAGGTGGGGCGCGTTATCGAAATGTTTGCCTAGAGCAATATAATTTCCCGCTTCTTCAAAAGACCAGGCCAACACCAATGACAAATCATGCTTGATGCAAAAGTCTGACAATTTGCGCAACACCTCTTGATGTGAATCAATATCAACAACTACTAGCAAAACGCGTAGGTTGTTATCTTTTCGATTCTCAACTATACTTGAGCCTTTGTTTAACCTTTTCAATCTAGTCCAAATATATTCTGGCCTTAATTTGTGGTACTTCAAAGATAAGAATAGGATTTGGAAAGTCGGACTGATGTAATAGTCAGATAAAATACTACCATCAAAAACCCATGGCGTCGTCTTCATCATCGACTCGCTCAATAAAGGATTCTTCTCTTGTGATTTGTGGACAAGTATATCGGATAATCCGCCTGACCTAGGCTGCTGCGGTAGTCTTCCTGGTCGCGTTTGATTACTAACGTTGGAAGATGTGGGTCGTGATTGTGGTGGTGGTGATGATGAGTGCTTCGACTGTGGAGGAGCAGGTGAAACTGGTTTTGCTGTCGGCTTCTCCAAGGTTGCTCTTTGTGTTTCTAACACATTTCTAGCTGTTGTTATGTTATTTGTGGTTGGAGTTTTAGACGGACGGGCAGTTGGAGGTGATGGCTGCTGCTGAAATTGCGATTTTCGTTGTATTGTGATGTCATTTTCAGAAAAGTCACCACCATACTCATCTCTCATGCGCTTGACTCCGGCTAGAATACTTGCAAACGATGTAGAGTCGATGTTGTCGGAGGGTTTGTCATTTTTTGAGCTGTTAGAGTCGGACATTGTCTGGAGTAATGTAGCTTTCATTCGTATAATTTTGTTCGCGTTCTATCTTTGCGACTTTATTCAGCACAGGGCAGCAGAATTTCCACGCCTAGCACAAATTTCTCCCGTATTGTCGCTCGAATTTATCCTTCAGAGGAAGAGTTTGAATGTTCTTTTGGGAAATATCTTAGAAGGAGCAGTGGGAGCATTTCGAGCCACTGGAGGGTACAATCATAATTTTATTGTACCAAGTAAAGATGAATTCACCCTCAAAATTGTAAGTACTTGTTTCACATGGAGTGCCTAAATTGAGCCATCTTTTTCCCGATTGCAATGTGCTCGTAGAGAACTTTTTAGTGAGGTAATGTTGCCTCAGGAATCTACTCTACATTATGTTATTTGCAACAAAATGCGCCGATACCGGTCCGGAAATTTTCAGATCCATACAAGTATATAAAACGTCTAGATACCACTTGTTGAATATACACCATCTAAAAGTTGAATAGCAAAACACCCGAATATCTTATCATGTCAGCATATTCTGAAACAAGCTTCGATACGAAACGTTATGACGACTCGAGACCTAATTACCCTGAACCATTCTACCACGAATTGATCAAATATCATAAAGAGAAAGGTGGTACAACACAGCTTGCTGTTGATATTGGTTGCGGTTCAGGGTTTGTGACTTTTAAGTTACTTGAATACTTTGATCATGTGATTGGCACAGATCCATCGTCCAATATGATATTGCAATGTCAAAGTCATATACCTCAATCTTCAGAAAACAAATTTATTGAATTTAGCATTGGATCAGCAGAATCGCATCCGTCAACAATCATGCCCAACTCCGTTGATTTAATCACAGGGGCTGAATGTTGTCATTGGGTGGATCATGCAAAGTTCTTTACAGAATCTGCTAGGGTTTTGAAACCAAACGGTACTTTAGCGTATTGGTTTTATAAAGATCCCGTTTTCGTTGGCTACCCAAAAGCAAATGCAATTTACGAAAACTACACCTACAACTCTTCAACAGCGACCAACCCCAATGAAGCATTTGAAAGATATATGGGCCCTTATTATCAACAACCGGGTCATGATTACTTACGGTCATTGTTGAAGGAGAAATCTCCACCACCGGATTTGTTTTATGATATCGTAAGACATGAATACATTTCCGAACGTGATGGTGCACCTACAGGGACTGAAAACGCTTATGTTACTAAAACACCTTTATTTATTTGTAAAATCATTGACATGAGATGGTTTTTAAATTATGTTAAAAGTTGGAGTGCATATCACATTTGGATGAAAGAGCATGGCGATAAGTATGATATTGCGGAGGTTTTTGTCGATGAGTTGAAGCAACAAATGGGGTGGGATGATGATACTAAAATTAAAGTTATTTGGGACACCGTATACACTTTCGCTAGAAAAAAGTGAAAAGGGTATATGTGGTGTGTAGTCCTTTGGATAAGTCTATTATAATAAACTGATGCAAAAGGTGTAGTTGCAAAAAAAAAAAACACTGATGGACGAAACACAAATTGTAAACGATATACACGTCCACGCCGTAGATTCGTGGCTTCGGGGAAAGGTTATTCCACTGCTAGTGGCAAAGTGTTGCTACAGCTACTATTGTCATTGGTTTCATCATGGATTAACTCCCCTCTAAGCAAATAGGAAGCGTACAATTACAAATGTGCATGAATTATATGCAGGTACATAGTTTAGGTTTTAGTAAAATCTTATTAAATTATTTTGTGTCATCTATATTTTGTTCTAGAGGGATTGTTCTTGCCCTTGATACCACGATTAATTCATTTGAAAGGCATTGTGATCATTAGATAGCCTTCTCTGTCTCAGTCAAACGGAGCTGATTGTGATACGATCCGTTTAGTCACATATTACTCAACTGTTTTTACTAGATCAATTACTGAAATTTCATTTATTCTTATATATTCTGCCAAATTCCACTTCGATTTAGCAATCATAGATTGGTTATTTCAATTAGTAATAGATATATTTACTCAGGACAAGCAATTAAAGGCATATATCCTGCAATAGCCCGCGAGTATAAATACATGTCCCTTCTCCCCACTTCAATTGCAATTTCGATTTTTTTGATCACAACAGTTTTACTTTACTTTCCAAGTATAATCACAGCAAGCGAAGGTATACAACAACAACTAAAACTACAAAACATCGATACAAACTCAACAATGGCCGCAAGAACAGTTGCTAAAATAGTTACAGCTAGACAACAAGCTGAAGGTGTTGGGGCTACTGTGCGTAGATCCATTGGTGTCATTAACCAAAGAAACTTTAATCCATTCTTGATGCTTGATCATTTTTCGAGTGCTGGTAAAAATGGGTTCCCTGAGCACCCCCATAGAGGGCAAGAAACTATCACATTGATATTGCACGGTGCCATGGCTCATGAAGACTTTACCGGATCCAAAGGTATGTTGTATGCTGGAGATTTACAATTTATGACTGCTGGTAAGGGTGTGGTGCATTCAGAAATGCCAGTTCCTAATGCAGATGGATCTCCAACCGTTGGAATGCAATTGTGGGTCGATTTGCCAAAAGCTTTGAAGAATTCAAAACCAAGATATAGAGATTTGAGAGAATGGGAGATCCCTATAGCTAAAGCTGATGATGGTAAAGTAACAGTTAAAGTGATTAGTGGTAAAAGCTATGGAGTTGAATCCATCAAAGATTTGGCATACACTCCAATCAACTACTACTACTTCAAAGTTAGGGCTGGTGGTGAGTTCAAACAGGAATTACAAAAAGGATTCAATTATTTCCTTTATGTGTTGAAAGGCAACAAGTTGGTGTTGAATGAAGACACCAAAGTTGACGAGTTTCAAAACGTTTTCTTTAATGAGGATGGCGACTACATCACAGGAAAAAACACAGCCACGACAGACACAGACGACAATGAACTAGAGTTCATCCTAGTTGGTGGTAAAAAGTTGGATCAGGAAGTTGTTCAATACGGACCATTTGTTCTTAATTGCAAGGAAGATGTGCAAAAGGCCATACTTGATTACCAATTTGCTCAAAATGGATTTGAAAATATCAAGACGTGGAAAACCTTGATTAGTAATGGTGTTACTCCAGAGATGATTGAAGGTCCATTGGATGGTAACCTTGAAGCTAGAGAGAAAAAGAGGGCAGCTTATTTGGAACACAAGAAACAAATTGAAGCAGGCTCGCCAGCAAAGGATGAGCTTTAGATGGATGCTTTTACTTCTTTAGATATAGTTTTTAGTATAGGTTATTTATTGAATGAATTAGTGAGTTCTTTTTCAACTAGTACTGTCGTTTATCTAGGTACTCTCCTCAATGATATCTGTTTGGTATATATTTTTGTGTTCAATCAGGTAAAAGTCGCAACTTGGATAAAATGGTAATTTTGTATCAAAAGTGAGCAAAAAAAGTTGTCAATTGAGTACTATTCTATTTTGTCTTTTTGATTTTTTCCCCAACCAACAAACTTGTGTGTATCTGGCTTAAGTGTGGTAGAATTACAAAGGGAATGGAATAGTGTAGCTTTCAAATTAAGCTGGCCAGAGGGGACCTTACAAAAGTTGACAGGTTACCTCATGAGTGAAAACAAATTTGCAACCACAAAATTAGCCTTCATGTGATTTTTATCAATTTCGTATTCCAGACCAGAACGGCTATTTAGGAAAAAATTCGTTGACTGGCGCAGTCGTTTTCCTCGAATATAGTATGACTGGGTGGCCAAGCTGGTTAAGGCGTGCGACTGTTAATCGCAAGATCGAGAGTTCAATCCTCTCCCTGGTCGTTTAACTTTTATTTTTTTTTTTTATACCTCTTTCCTTTTTGCAATTGTGTCTATAAAAACCTCGTTCCTACGGAAAGTTGACTATGACTTACTAAGGATGATTGACTACATTTAGTTTGGCTAACCTCGTCTTGGTGTTGGTACTTTTTTCATTTTCGTTTTCAATTGCGTCGAATGTGGAAAACACCCCTCCGATTAACGAAAGCTCCAATGATTCAGTGCAATCGTGTCCACGTAATCCCAACGATTCGTTGTATCACTACACCAGTTCAAGGAATTGGAAGTTTAGGCCACACTAGACAAAGAGAGTAATACTTTTTTGTTTCGGCGTTGCTTCTTTTTCGTAGCACACGAAGGATCAGAGGTGTGGAGTTAAAAGATCACCTATTTACATCTTACATGAACTTTACTTGTTGGCAATGTTTCTCTATAAAAAAACAAACTCTAATCATACTAAATGGAAACAGAGCATAATACAGCTCTGCCAATAATGTTATTCTTTTCTAATTGAATTTGGTTGCCATTTCAACAGCAGCAGCACCCCAGTCTTCTCCATGATTGTGCATTTTATTAGGAATCAATCCTGCTCTAGCTTCAGCTTGTTCTTCAGTTAAACAAGTTAAGACACCGAAAATTACGGGTATTCCCAATTCAAAATTCAACTTCATCAATTGATGCGTTGTGGAGTCACAAATGTATTCAAAATGCATAGTTGATCCTTTAATCAATACACCAATGGGGATTATAGCATCCAATGGTGTACCTTTTTCCTTTTGTTGTTGAAAAAATAACTTTGATCCATAGGGTAATTCAAATGATCCCGGTACTGTTTCAATTACAATATTGTTTTCTTTCACGCCCAATTGTTTCAATTTTTTCACGGCTCCTTCGACTAATGAGTCGATAATCTTTTTGTTCCACCTAGCGTGAAGGATCCCAATTCGTAATTTGGAACCTTTGAAGTGGAAAAGTTAGTAACATAGAAGTTTTGTTAGAATGCATTTGGGGTGATTTTTTTGTTGACATACCATCGTATTGTCTATCTAATTCTCCTAGTCCTTTAACGGCCATTTCTATCTTTCTTTTACTTTCACTGATGTTTAGATGTAGTGTAGTTAAGTTTTGATTCAATGGATTGTAATACAGTTGTATATTTATAAGTGAGTGACGGTTTTTTCTTTTAAAAATTCGTTCATGGGGGAGGATTTGATTAATATGCAGGATTTGATCTTTTATTGAAAAAAACAGTGTAAGACATTTTTATTGAAAATTTTTTTTTCGGCATTCACCTTAATCACTTCCAATCCAATCAAAGATCATTGGATACATCGATTCATTGTTTTTCAATCAATGGTGATTAACAATGGTGTCATATTGGTATGCATTCTATTCCCATAGAACAATGTCGAAACTTAGTTGGAAGTACACATTTTCCTTTTTTATTTTGATGATGATTTTATAACACTGGAACTTATTCTTTGAATATGATTATCCAAAAACAATATTGTTGAAAATAGTCTTTCACCCCTATCTGAAAAATCCAACTGAGTAGTAATAGCGATATTGAGAATGTGGAAGGTCTTGTACTAACAAAGTTGCAGTAAGGAAGTAGTTTAAGGCAAATAATAATTCCTTTCAAAAGAAGGCATGCGTACGGCATCGCCAGTGTCAAAGTTGAATCATACCACCTCGTAACTTGCCTTGCACTTGAACATGCAATGGTACACAATAGTACCTTTTTTTTTTTGGGTTCGTGAATGGGAGAGGAGGAGAAGGGGAAGAGCTTTAATCTTGCTTTCATGGTACTCTGTTACATCTCTACGAGTCTTTTTGAAAGTCAAATTCTTGGGCCCTCTCTCACTAAATCGTCACATACACCCCTGTTACTGTAACGCGTAGTGTTTGAGATAACCTTAATTCGGGAGCAGTTTTGGTATTTTAACCGAATGCGGAAACCACTTTGTTTTATTACCTCGGAAATGTAACCCAGTTTTCTACGGTCGTGTGCAAGTGTAATACAAAGGCTCAGCCGATCAAAGCAAGAAATCACTTTTGCGATAACCGGAAAAACATTGATAAAAAGGAGTACAAAGCAAAGGGCGAAGGGAGACGGACTCAAGGGAGGGAAGGAAGAAATGAAGGCAACAAAGAAAATGATTATTTTCTATTCCGGTACGGTACAAATCGGATCTAGCCCCTCCCATCGCATGAGAACGATCTAAACGACGAGCAGAGCAAAATCAACATCTCTACAGTGTGTAGTACATGTGATAGAAAAAAAAAAAAAAACATCAGGTCACCAAAAATAAAATGCATTGTCTAAAAGTTTGAAAGAAGGTATTGGGAGAGTGACTCAAGTTTGAGATGAGCAATGATGATTCCCAATATCCGAGAGTGGACATAGCAGCAATAACTTATATGGTGTCTGATTTTCTCAGTATTAGACGCCACTACCTTCTGGTGATTACTAATACGTACTCATAGAATACTATCATACGAATTCAATAGGAGAACAGTATAACGCTGAGCTGTGTCTATTTGTAGTACCTCTTTCGTAACTGTAAAAGTGTGTTTTTCATGTACAGAGAGGTGTTATTGTATTATTTCTTGCTTTCATTTGGAACGCAGCCGTTACTCCGTGGAATAAAGAATGAAATGTACAATTTTCTTGTGTTTGTTCCTTTTGCATTCTACACCACAGATTAGAATTGTTGTACAAATGTTACAACATTCTGATTTAAGCTTATTCTTTCCGATTCTGTCGTATATACACTCAATCAATACGGTGGGCAGTAGAGTAAGTGAGTAATTTTTGTTACAATAAAGAAGGAAAGAGGGGAGAGATATTTAGTATGAATGACATATACAACTCTTTCTCTCTCTCTCTCTCTCGCTCTCTCGCTCTCGCTATTTGTTTGTTGTGTACCTTGTTTTGTTTCGGAGTACCATGAGATGTACTGCATATAATAATAATAGTATTAATAGTATTAATAGTATTATTATTATTATTATTATTATTATTATTATTGTTGTTGAAATCTGTGTGTGTGTGTGTCTCTCTCTCTCTCTCTCTTATCTATCTAATTCTTACTCTATATATATATATATATACCCATACACAATATTCCAGAGCAAAAACATTGTTAAAATTACTAACTCATCTCAACTCATTCCTTCTTTCTTTCTACGTATTTGCATACACACATCTTCCTCACACCATGTCAGTTAATCCAAGATTCAAACTATTCAGAGGATATACTTCTTCTGGCCAAGCCACACATTTAAATTCTCAACCACAGCAACAACAGCAACTTCATCATGACACGACGCCACAACTGGCAAAATCCCAAAACACCAAAAATAAAAACAAAAACAACACACAGTTTGAAGCAACTTCTAGCATATTATCAGACTACGATGACTTGGAAGTGATTGATGAAGTAAATGAAGAGTCACTGTATGTCTTATTCAATCCAGTCTCAAAACCCAAAAATGAGTCAGATATACTTTCATTGACCAACACATCTAATGGAGAATCAGAAGCAGATACAGACCAAGAGTACATAGCTGAGGAAGTACAAGAGTTGAGACCGCAACAAAAAGAGGAGGAAAACAAAAAAGAAGAAGAAGAAGAAGAAGAAGATGTACAAACTGATACTGAGAAATTATCATACAAGATAAACAGCTGGTACAACTCAAATATCGTCACATCGAATCAAGAAATTGACGAGAATGTTGCCAGTTGGAACTTGGATGAAGATGAGGAGCTAACAAGTTCCAATCTACTGCAACAGCAACAGCAACCGCAACAGCAACCGCAACAGCTACAACCAGAACAGCAACTGTTGGACGAGAGTAAAAGATTACTCACAGAGTTTTATGGAGATGATCTCTTCAAATATCTTGATCAGGAAGATATAGCCAAAGTGAAAGGATTCCACAATATGATGGATGTCAAACGGTTCCTCTTGGAGAAGGATGTTGCACCAAATGATTCATTGCTCAAGCAAATAATTTACAAAATTCTCTACGTCAAGGATAAATCACCCAACTTCATTGATACGTCTCAGCACACTTTTAACATTGGCAACACCAATTACATCAATTATTTGATGGAAGATGTACATCAAAAACAACAACAACAACCACTTTCATTTGGTGGTAGTTTTTTGGCTGCACCTTCAACTTTTTCAGATACCAACACTGGTGGTGGATCATCTTTGATTATGTGTGGAGGTGTTGGGTTTGGTGACAAGACTTCGTGGAATGATATATAAAGTGCGGGGAGGGAGCCAGTTTGATAGCACGTGAATGTTTGAAGAGTTGTACTTTGAGAGATGAATTATGAATTAGAATGTTGCTTTAAGTATAATTTGGAAGAGGAGAAGTTGCATTTCAGGAGGGGGACGCTGTTATCTTGATTTTGTTATTTGGTTCTGGTTTCCGGTTTTTGGTTTTTGGTTTTTGGTTTTTGGTTTGCTTTTCAGTTTTTCTTTGCTACTAACAAGTCTTTATATCATTGTAGCTATAACTATTAGATTTTTTTATTTGTCTTCAAAGGATGCCTCTATGTAAATGTAACCTCTTTGGCTCTACTTCCCCTCCTCTTTGTACGTCTTCTCACTATCATCTATCTTTGTGCCATAGGGATGTTTTTGGACGACGACATGAAAAAAAAAAAGAGAAGAAAAAAATCTGCGCTTTGAACCAGCCTTTCGAACCAATTGCCATTACAACTACAACAAAAACCACTAGTCATCATGAGTGGATGTATGTATTTGCAATAAAATATCTGGAGGTCACGGTACTCAATTGTGTGGCCTCATCAAATGTTTGGCTTTTCCTCCCCCCCCTCAAGTACTAACTCCCCTTTTAGTTCGCCTTCTTGACTTGGTGAAATTCTTTTTACCTATCCTCCCTGAAGTTGAATTCCCATTTGAAAAAACCAAATTCGATGAAAGGATAGTGTTTACCGTAGGATCAGCATTGATTTTCCTTTTGGGCCAATTACCAATTTATGGATTGATCCCTCAGGCTCAATTTCATTTACAAGATCCATTTTATCAATTTAGACTGATTTTCGCCATGGAAAAAGCCACATTGTTGGAATTGGGATTATTGCCCATTATCACTTCGGGGTTTTTGTGGCAATTGGGTGCTGGGTTGAAATTGATTAATATCAATTTAAGTTTACGTTATGATCGTGAATTGTTTCAGAGTGGACAAAAATTGACTAGTTGGGGCATTGCCATTGTTTTCACTTTGGGGTTGATTTATTCAGGTTATTATGATGATGTTATTAGAGGTTATGATTTGGTTCCTAAAAACAATGGTTCATTTTCCTCATCTTCATTATCATCATCATTGCCATTGGGCTCGTATTTTATCATTTTTTTGCAAGTTGTGTCATGGCAAGTGATTGTCAGTTTATTGGTGGAGATTTTCGATAAGGGGTATGGTTTTGGATCTGGAATCTTGTGTTTTTTGACATTACAAAATGCCACCAATTTCATTGCTGATTTAATTGGATTGGAAATGTATCCAGTTTTAAATTCAAACAAATTTGAAAGTCTTGGTGCATTGATGAATTTGGTTCGTCAATTTTCCATATTCAATTTGAAATCAACTAGTTGGCAAATTTGGCATGCATTCACTAGAATTCAATTGCCTAATTTAACTCAATTTTATATTGCTTTTGCTTCAGTGTTTGTTGTTATTGCCTTGCAAAATTTCAGAGTTGATATACCCATCAGATCAACTAAAGTGAGGGGTATGAATCAAATGTTTCCCATAAGATTGTTGTATACTGGTGGGTTACCTTTATTATTTGCTTATTCAGTTGTTGCCAATATTCAAATTGTCGGTTACATTTTGTTTTCAGTATTGGTGAAATTGGGCGCACCTCCATTGGTAATTACCTTGTTGGGAAACTATATTGTTCAACCATCGAGTAATAGATTGGTTTTAACTGGTGGTGTATTGTATTACTTGTCACCAGAACTGACCTTGTTAGCATCCTTGGCTTCACCAATTAGAACTGTGACCTATTCATTAACAATTGTTTGTTTATCAGTGTGGTTTGCATTCAAATGGAGTTATATTTCCGGATCATCACCCAAAGATGTTGCCAAACAATTTAAAGATCAAGGCATTTCCATTGCTGGTAAAAGAGATATTTCCATTGCAAAGGAATTGTCAAAAATTATCCCCACTGCTGCCGTAACTGGCGCTTTTGCTCTTTCTGTATTGGCAGTTGCTGGTGATTATTTGGGTGGTTTGGGTAAGAATGGTGCTATAATTATTGGCGTTTCTTCAGCTTTTGGAATCTTGGAGGAATTCATGGTTGAGTATCAACAAGCAACCGGATCACAATTCTCAAGTGCACTTTCTGGTGCTCAATAGGTGAGGAGATACAAACAATGACAAAGACACCCACACCCACACCCACACTTTGTTACATCGTTCCCTGCATTGCGTTATTTACTTTTTTGTAAAAATTAGTTTTATTATATTATTCATCATATAAAACTGCATTATTTAGTTTAGGACTTTGTCTAGGTATATTGCCATTGCCAATACTACTGCTAGATTTTGTCGAGCTTGGAGTTATCGATATCAACAGAGCATTCTTATACTTTGCTTGTACCTTTCCGCTCTCTTCATCATTACTTCTGGTAAAATATTCATCTTTCGACAATACAGGAGAAAGATGAAATTGCTTCATTGTGAATTGAGTATTATCAGCATGACTCTTGTCTAGTTGAGCAATTGGTTTGAAATGGGTTGGTTTTTGAGGTGATGGTGATACATGGTTAACAGTATTTGATTGGGCTGAAGCATTTGCATCGGTTGCCAACTGAAATATAACCAACGAAAATACGGTTCTCATCAATGAACTAACCCATAAAGCCATAAACTTTACTGGTTTAATCACAAACCATTGAACGATTAAGAAAGGCACCATTAAAAGCAATTTGAAATATAGTTTAGCAATGTGGATGGGTAATTTGAAACTAGTCCAAATAATTGCATTCATCAAATGACGAAACGGATGGGTAAAGATTTTCACCAAGTGGTCCATGACTTGAACATATATGCTCAACAAGTACTTGTCAATCACTTCCATTAAAAACACTTTGAAAATCTCATGATCACTAGATCTAAACTCATTCATTAAAAACGCCAACTCGGTAACCAATACTTTTCGAACAGAGCTAGGGTTGTTGAATAAATCCAGAATTGTGATTTCATTGCGAATCGATTTCAACACAGATCTTGTACATTCCAATATTGTTTTATTTGCAAGACGATGCTCGTGTTGTTCAAATCGATTGAATGAAGGTGGCTCCAAAGACTCAAAAATGAAATCGTCCTCTTCAACTATTGTTTTCAAAGGCGTTTGCGAAAAGGAGTGATGTTTGGGTAATGAAGAAATGGGTGCAAACTGAAAATGATTATTCTCAGTTTGCATTGGTGAAAACAGTGGTGAAGCTTTTGGTGGTGGTGCACTCAAGGAGAATGACGAAATCGAATTGTGAAACTTGGTAACCACTTGCTGTTCAGTTTTAGCATTATTCAGAAGGGACAAAAGCAATGAAGGTGGAGGCGAGTGGTGCTTGGTTCGAGATTGTAGTTTTCCATTACGCAGTAGCTCTTTTTGCTGTTGCTGTTGCTGTTGCTGGTGCTGCTGTTGCTGATGCTGGTGCTGTTTTGGCTGACGATAAAGTTCACGTTGCAGGCTCAGTGTTTGTGCTTGATCCCTATTATCCAATTCCTTTTGCAACTTGACCAAATCCAACTTTAACCTATCAAATTGCCTATTATGAACTTGCAAATGATCCAACAAGATTTGATTGGTGAGGTTGGGTAAGAAATACTGTTTCAAATCAGTAAACCACGTTTGGAAACTAGGACTTTGTGTATACAATGGGCTGTTACTATTGCTCAAAGATGAATACTGCAATGAGTCAGTGAATGTGATAATAATCCTGAAAATAGACCAAAATTGCAACAATGCAATATTGACATTGTTGAAAACCATCTTTTTACGTTTCTGGTCAATAATGGTGTATTTTCGTGTCCATATGAGCAAAACCGAACTTAAAAGTGACGAAACCAAACAACAAACCAATGCCATAATTTGAAATGTGTTGATTTTGCGAACCATCAAAACCACCTTATCGGTGTTTTCAATAGCAAAATCATCCTCATTCAATTGTTGTAGCAATTCTGTTTTTGTCGTTTCCAATTCCTTCATCCACTTGTATGGCCATTCAAGGGTAAACCTTACTACCCAGCTAATTAACACAACAGTCAATAAGTCAATGACAAAGTTTCCAATCTGCTCGTTTTGAGGCACGGTTTTGGTATTGATTGGGAAGATAATTGATGTCAATGTGGGAAGTATAATAACGATATAAGTGAAGATTTTGTAGACAACTTCATTAGATTGCGAATGTAGGGTGACACTTGCCGTTAGCACTGATGACTTCTTGTTGGTTAAATCTTTGTCAGATATGGTTCCTGATTTGGTTGACGAAGATGAAGGATAGGTGTTATGGGATGCTTTTGACACCTTACTGCTCAGTTTTGAAGACTTTGTGTGATCAGACAGAACCTTTTTGGCACTTGTTGTCAATTGAGACGTGGAGGATACTGCTACTGTACTCTCCTTTGATTCGTTAGTACTCATGGTGATGATAATTGTTGCGATTGATATATGTGGGACTGTTATTCGATGTGTTGCAAAGACGTGTTAGCTGCAATTACATAAACTTTTCTTATGTGAATAATGCACCTATCGTGTCAAAATGGAGTGGTATGGTGTAGTCTACTCTAAGGGTAGCTCTAGTAATATAGACTCTAAGGTGATGTTTCTGAAATGTGAAGTCAACTCAGTGGTATGTCTAAATGAAGTGTGGTAAAATTATTTGGGTGATTTTGGTTGTAAAAAAAAAATACAAGTGTGCGTGTAAGCGAAGGGGGAGGGGTGTGTATGATAAATTTTGGTGATACCTCTTTGTCTTTGACGCTTGCTGTTGGGGGTTGTATAATAGTATATCTCTCGAGTACTCTTTCGCCTTCTAGACGTCAGGTTTAGCCTTTTGTTTATAAAGTAGAAGAGTGGAAAACTTCTTTTGAAATTTCTTCGCCCCCTTGATTGTTTAAAGATGTGTCTCAGGCTAAGTTAGGAAACAACAAGCAACGAGTGATCGGATCTGTGACAACGTGTATATATAGAGGCCTAAGTAGTTGATGGGGTTTTACAGCTCACAACAACAACTGGGATGAGGATTGTTTACAGTATATATATGTCTTATACTGTTGTTTACTACTTGCGTAAATATACAAAACACATGAAAGATGTAGAAAGAAATAATAAAGTAAAGTAAACCATTCCTTTAAGGCCATACGTTTGAAGCTTTTAAAAGCTCTTTCTTCTGCTCTACTCTTTTTGAGTATTGAACACAAACAATCAAACACGTGCTTTGTGTCTGTATAGATGTATTGCATTGTCTTGGAAACTACTGAAAATCATGATGGTGTTGATGTTGTGCTGATCTTGTGTATATTTACTTTTGTTACAAAACAAGGGTTAACAATAGGCTTTACAACCACAAATTGTTTTTCTGCACAGTCTCTTTCTTAGTTTTGTGACATTTTGCTCAAAAGTAGCGTGTCTTTGTCTCACTTTTGTATATTACGACACTTTAAACTTTTTTGTCTTTACTCAGCACTACTGGAGCATGGTTATTATCTTACCAAATTATCACATGGGTTTGTCACTCTCTTGAGTGTGTACTCTATCCAACCACTTCAGGGTATTTTGGAAATAACAGCTATGGCAATTTGGTCGAGAAATATGTCTCGAGGGCTAATTTTTTTACTTCTTTGGTTCTAGGCCTCGGGCTATAATAGAACCAAACTCACGATCAAAAAGTCGAGAATGTATCTCATTGTTTATAGTTTAAACAATATTTTTGGGTAGCATGATTTACGATGAGGCGGGGAGGTAGAGAACAATTTGCCTTTTTGAATTCATAACCCATAAAGAGGTAATGAAATAAACAATAAAGGACGAGCCTCATTAGTAGTACCATACAACAGAACAATCAGATCTTCTATTGCAATTTAAAGCAGTCTCTGAACTATGCTTTATTTTCATTCGATTGTCACATGCAAATCTTTCAATTTTTGTCCACTTTGTCTTTACCAAAAGAGTGCAAAATCAAAACAAAATGATAATTGTTGTTCTATAAGCGACGCACACAAATGCAGCAACTCTCAGACATTGAGTTCTAGTTTTGAAATTATTAAAACCGCTTCTCAAATAGGTACTTCATTTGATCCAACTTCACCCTATCAGGCTTCACTTTGTGGTGCTTATAGATTTTGCAATACTTTTTCTCTGTCAAAAACAAACCAGTCCTTCGAAAACCATGCTTTATTATTTTTTTCCTCATCCTCGCAATTTGAATACTTGAACAAAATTCGGCGGGCTTGTAGTCGGGGGTTTAAACAGGAGAGTTCACCACATAAATACTTTGTAATCAAAAACGGATGAATGGTTTTGAGAGAATTAAAAACCAGAAAGTCCAATGCATACAAAAAATGTGTTGAATAAGGTGGTAAAAAACAAACATGAACTCTCTTGAAGGTGGACTTGGTGTGACAATTTACTCGTCGGTAACGTCCTGAGTCTAGTCTAGATACGCCAATGCCCTCTTCAATCACTCTCTCTCTATATGTAGCTTTTACGATGTGCACCTGCTTTCTTTTTACTGCCATGGAAGAAGCGTTTAATGTATGAGCGAATCTTTATGTTGTAGAATGTGTCTCTTACTCTTATTTGGGCACTTTGAGATTGCATATAGAAGATCAAGACAAGAATGACTAGTGTTCCTTCAAACAACACGCCGTATAAAAGGAAGCATATCTTTGGCTGAGCTGGAGTGGCTGGCCTAAACCTTTTAAGACATTGTGTGTGAACCGTCTACCACTTTGACCAATAACGCAACAAAGAAGAAATGGCATGAAAACCACATTAAAAAATGCTACAGTCGCAGGAAATTAATTTCCTTCGTTTTTTTCAAGTTCTTCTCCTGGTTCCAATTTTTGAAAAGATGAAATTGACAATAATCACATCATAAAATTTCCTAGGAAGTTCTTTTCAAAAGTTGCTTACAAGCTAAAAGAGATATGTTTGGGGTTGATTCTCGGCGGAAGACGTCGCAAGCGCATGAGGATACATCAATTGAGAAACAATTTCTTAGTTGGGGGTTTAAGGGAGGTTAAGAGGTGGCATACTTTTATCCTTGCAATCTCCCATTGCATTGCGTTTGGTGTCTAGATGCAAAATCTGTCATTTATGTGATAGACATGTGTTGTCGTATAGTAAAGTTTAAATGCACACAACCAAATTAGCAATTTCAGCAATTCAATTGCTTTATCCTAAAAGAAGGTATTGGTGAGTACTAAATGGAATAGTATAATGATCATCTCGATACAATGTAGTTTGAATACTTCTTCCAAATAAGTGAATCCAAAGGATTGCGCAATACTCTCTAATTGCTTCCGTTCAATACCTTCATCCACTAATCGGAAGAAAGGACTTGGGTCGTTATCCTTAATAATTCATGTATTCTTCTTGTTTTCCTATATACTTTGTTTTTTTCTCGAAACCTAGACTTTTTTCTTTTATATATATATATCCTTGCACCCTCATTTAGATTCCATTTGTGAATTATCATATATTAATCATGAATATCAAATTAGCCAAATTTCACACTAATGAGGATTAGGTAAGGAACTTTAGTCGTATAACGTAAACACACAAACCCAACCCTTTAAGTGAAAGTGTGTTTACTGTACGACATATGCCCCGCTGGATAAGCTTTACTTTGTCCTGTGATGAAGTCATCTTGTTCTAGCAAAGGGTGCTTTTTTCAATCTCTTTTCGATAGAATCCACTAATGGAGCTTCCTCGCAACGATCTGAAATTGCGTCTACCGTTTTGATGAATCATGAAGGTGAACCAAACGGATCTGTGTACCTCCATTCTGTAGGTAAAACAGGCATTGAAGTAAGTCCAATCATCATTAGCGATAAATCTCCAAATTTAAATGTTTGATCTCATTCATTCGTTCTTTATATCACTTCTTTTTTCAATATATTAACTAAATTTAGAGATTGCAATCTGCTTTCTACACTACCACAAGTGTGGACTCACAAGACACACCTTAATTGAGACATCTAAGACTTGTGATTATTGTAGATGTAGCCTTGGCGCTAGCTGGTATCATGTTTTGGGGCTTTCAATCAGTATTGCGCTGAAGTTGCAAGGTAGTGTGCATGATAAGACAGGCCATCAATAAAAGATTGGACAATCCGACTTCTTACAATAACGTTTTGTATAATTACCATGTTAGTGGTTCGCAAAAAGATCCAGTAGTTTGCAGCCAGTCAACTCAGACCCATTTTCATTGCTCTTGAAACTGTCTCAGGTAATGAAATATATGCACATCGGTTATTCTAGAACACAAAATCCTGATGCTTTCAGAAACTCCCATTCCCTTCGTTCATGACAAAAAACCTCGGTTCGAATCATGTAAGAAGAGTTGCGACTGGGACACCCTCTCTCCCCCCGTAGTGGTCCAGAGAAACTTTGATGACCTTCGTACCCTTTTCGATGGTTAATATCTATCACTAAAAGTGAAACCTTCCGTCGGAATTTCCAGATAAATCTATGCACAATTTCTAAAGTTGCAAATTTTTTTTCAGTTCACACATTACGCAAAGTGGCAGTAAGCTTCTTTTTCATAGTAGTTGATATTCGATGATGTTCTTTTTAATGACTCTAGCCTACAAGATGTCATTCAAAATTGAACGGTCTTTACCCCTATATCCATTAAACTCACAAGACAGTTATGTAAAGTGTCTATCTTCGATAAACAAATGCGAAAAATTTCTTTTTTTTTCCACTTACCTCTCCTTTTTCGTTTTTTGTTCACTTGTGCACACACCCACAGAAAATTTTTCTTTTTTTTTTTTCACTCAACTTTTTGCCACAGCTTTTTCTTGATTCTAATCCACAGTATATAAAGAGACCACTTTTCACCCATTCGTAGCAAACTCGTTTGACTCATTTCATTTCAAACTATCTCTTCTTTTTGCCAACATGGTTTTAGTACAAGACTTATTACACCCAAACCCAGAAACTGAAAAACACACTTACAAGTTAAAGAAATTGGTACAAGAGCCAAACTCCTACTTTATCGATATAAAATGTCCAGGATGTTTCAACATTGCCACTGTTTTCAGTCATGCTCAAACTGCTATCGCTTGTGAAAAATGTTCTAATTTGTTGTGCACTCCAACTGGTGGTAAGGCAAAATTAGCTGAAGGTTCATCATTTAGAAGAAAATAAAATCAAAGAAGATTCATAAAATGAGAAGATCTTATTGATCGTTGGTTTAATTTTGATTTTTTTGCATTATATTCATATTCAGTTCTTGAGTACTTTCCATGATAGTTTATCGTTCCTGACTTTAATTTGGTTAATTTATGTAGCAGTGGTTGACTAAAGGAGAGAGAGAACGGCAACATGGAAGGTATTATGATGGAGAAGGCGCAAGTTGGAGTCAGAAAATAAAGTTTTTGGTAGGAACTTTTTTCGATTTCACACAGCACGCTTTTTTGTCTAGGATGGTTATTTTGGGATATTTCAATAGGGAATACGCATTGGAGGTTAGATTGAGTAGCGGGTAGCAGTGTGACTCAATTTTCCATGATCTATTTGTGTTCTTTTATCTTCAAATCAACTCAAACACATCGATGATGACACGAGTGAATTGAATTCAGCAGCGATTTTGACCATTAGCAATGGCTTACTCAAATGGGACTTTTGGGAGGGTCTTCTTTTTGTGGAATATTCATTAGCATTTTGGTTTGACATTAAACATATTGCATTTGCTAGAATTGTGGTATATTATATTTGTTTGTTTGCTTTTTTATTTTCTTTTGTATTTATTGCATCTGGTTGGTGTATACCTTATTACGGGATTTAATAAGAATACACAATCTATCTTTAGTATTTTAATGAACGATATCAAATTAAAAGAGATAATGTAGAGAATGGTAGAAACAGTTTTTATATCCCAAATAAATACCCTTCATTTCCGTACACAGTGCTTTTTTTCCCTCTATATACAATCACTTACCCTCGTACACTTCCGGGTTGATATCCAAATGCTTTCCTTGTTTCTTGTACGAACGACTATTTTCCAACTTGTCTGCCATCATCTCTGTTGCTAAAAACCCATCATCAAACTCACTTTCACTAACACCAACTTTCTTTTTCCAAATCTTGCGCTGTTGCTCCTTTTTAAATGTCTTTTTGTGTGTCTTGTACAATGTGTCCAATTTGGTTTTGATGTCCTTTGATATTGGTTGTCTTTTGGTACTTGTCTTTTTATCCAATGCCCACAAATCACCCAATTGAACTTTCCTTGCATCATGGTAAGCTTGCTTCCCCAAAGATCGAGGAACCTGCCACGTCTCAACATCTCCTTCATTGGAACAAACAGTTAACTTGACATTTTTCTTTAGCTTGTCTGGTGTTCTGATGATTCTTGGCCAATTGTTTATATCATCTTGATCTATGGGCGAATTATCATGATTGCTGAAATCACGTAAATCATTGATCCGAGAAATCGATTCATCAGTATTGTCACTCCTTTCAACAATCAAATAAGAATAAGATCCATCTTCAGTATCTCTTCCACCAGGTCTACCTTTACCACCAAGTTTCTTCAATTCACCACGGCTGAGAGTACCAATACCATCAATTGAATTTTTGTCCCACTTTACCGCTAATTTCTTACCCTTTTTCAATTCCATCGTGTAATCGGGTCTTTCCACGATTTTAGAGAATGAACAGAAATTCAAGCGATGCTTATGCGATGGGATTTTGTAGTACTTTGGATCGCCTAGTTGCAAAGGACATTTTCTGTGATGGGGGCAAGGTGCGAGAACCTTTAAATGATAATCTATCTTGTCGAACTGAGATTCACTTGTAGCATCAGCGGCAGCAGCTGCTTTAACATCAAATACTTCAAAGTTTGGATCATTTTCTTCGTCAAATGCCAAATCATCGTTATTGAGTTTACCAAATTTTTCATCCAATTCACTCTCCATAATACTTCCTTGTTTTTTAAACTCTTCCTCTTCCTCCAAATCTAATCTTGCCAACATATCTTTTTCAAATTCAACATCTTCTTCACTAATCATATCATCTTCCTTTTTCAAATGTTGTGGTTTACCACCGGAACCTTTAACATATGGACGAGGAATTTTACCCAATTCATGAGGAAAATTTTCAGGACGTATCATCACTTGTCTTGCCCTCGAAATAGTCTCGAATCCAACCGAATTTCCTCGTTCAACCAAGATCAAATGCCCCTTTGGTGCAAGTAATCTCAAAATCATTCGTAAGTTCTCGTCGACATCATTGGGGAAATTGTATTCCCTTGTTAACAACGAATGATGAACAATGATTAAATCATATTTCTTTGTCACCGGCATAGTGTCTCTCAACTTGGTACGAACTTCGATCTTTTTCGCGTCAATGGGTCCAACATACTCTTTAACCTCCACTTGCTCTCCACTAGGCTCATTGTTTATAAAACTCTCATTCGCTTGCCTTGACAAAATAATTTTGGCTCTTTTTTTCATCTCGTTGTTTCTTCTTCCAACTATGTAAGCATCTTTTTCCTCTGGAACCCACACATCGCCCATAACTTCATTCAAGGCTACCATTCCCGTTGCTGGTCCGTATCCAATATCCAATACTCTTCTTGGGTTAAACTTGTCTTTGCCTACTCTTTGCTTCAACTCCTGAATTACTTGCTTGACATGGCTATAGTCTTGTAAAAAAAGAGCTGCAATATGTGCATTACAATCAAGCTCACTCAGTGGTGCTTGTTGAATCTGGTTTTTTTGCAAGTTTTGATAAACCGAAACGACACGTTCTCTTAGCTTCGCCGGTATTGTGGTGCTCAAGATATTGTTTTGGATCGTTTTAGCGATTTCAGGTGGTAAAATTGTGACAGAATGATCCACTCTTCCTTGAAGCGTGCGAACATCTAGCCTTGCTTCTAAAGCGTTCTTCCCTTGAATTAGCGTACCATCTGAATTTCTAAATGGCGATCTATCTTCAAACTCAAGCGACTCGTCAACTCCTCCAAGATGACTTGAAACTTGTTCTTCAGGTATGTACTTTTTCAATATTTCGGCCCTTGATCGATCCTCCGTCTTTATAAAATCATAGTTGAACTGTCCGTGATCACGTTTGGTTTGTTGGAGATGCGGTAGCGTATGCTGACTCCGTATAATAAACCCTATCCTATTTCTTGTCAACAAGGCTCTTCCTCGATTCAAGCTCATCACGTACGGGTTGTAGAGAGAAGATGAGAAAAGGGCGCACCAAATAAAATTTCTTAGAAAAGAAAGCTTCTCAGAACAAAGGAAAAAAAAATATGAGGAATTGAGAGTTCAGACAATCTCAATCGACGACTACACTACTTTTTATCTTCAACACAAAATAATGCTTAGGTCCATTTCACTAACTACTTCTATCCTCACTGCTGGATTGGTTGCTACACACAATTGCTCTGTCATTAGAAACGAGTCATCATCGAGACGGAATTTTTATGAAGACGACGCTGAAGTTGTCCCTATTCCTGGAACTGTGGTTCCAGCACCAGCTTCTGAAGTCGAATCATTGGGTGAAAATAGGCTTATTGACGGTATATCGGTACGCACTACAAGCTCAAGTGAAACTTTCTTCAAAACGGCAAGAGAGTTTTCTGCAGCAAGAATATCTGATTTATCAAATTGGGTGAACAAAAACTACACTAAATTCAACGACACAGAAAGATTTGTCACATCCACCGTTAGCGAATTGCATTATAAAAAGGAGGACCTTTTGCCTAATGGAATCTATGTGATAGTGGCAGCCTTGGCAGGAACAATTGCCGCAAGGCCCCGAGGAGTCTTTGCTAAAGTTACATTTCCCGTGATAACCGGTTTGGCAGCATTCAAGTACTTTTTACCTGTAACATTTGACAATACGAGAGAGTTTACATGGAAGTTGGAACAAAAGAATGTTCCACAAGTAGCAAAACAACAAGCAGAGGCATACAATGGTGTTGTTGGATTGGCCAAATCAATTGAAAATGGTGCAGAGAATGGTATTAAACGCGTGGAAAATGGAGCACATTCTTTGAAACAGCGCATTGCCAACATCACGGGGCTCAACTTGGATGAGGAAGTCTCAAAAAAGAAATAGATCAACTGTGTATACACATTATAAATCAAGCCCAATGTGCACGACTTTTTCTCACATAGATTTTTGGCTGCGAATTCTTCCCCGTTCAGCATAACCAATAATAAAATTAAACACATCTTTATTCAATTATCGATAGACTCTTCTCGCCATCAAATAACAGGAGCTAACATGGTGATAGATGACAAGCGACCAGCAACTGCACTTCACCGTGTTCTCGAAAAGGTTGTTTCTATATCCGGATTTGGAGCATCTGCTAGTACACAACTGCACAATGACAACACCGTCACCGATGATCATTCAGCAAAGCTCTCAAGATCATCGGCACACAAGATACATCAGAAATTAAGTAAGCTCATAAAGTTTAACGTAAAGACAAAGAAGTTGGAGCAAGAAATTCTAGGTGACACCAATCTTTGGGCTGATTCGATCCCTACGCAAGAATGTTCACTGATTATTAAAGATTTCAATTTTATCTTTTCAGCCCAGACTTGTGCAAGTGCTCAATTGAATGAAAAATTAGAGAAAATAAAGTTGAGTTTATCCTTTGTTAATGAGCGTGAAAAGAAACAGAAGGAGTTGCTCTACTCAAAAATCAAATTGGAGAAGCAGTTGAAAGAGAATAAGGCCAGAGTCGGACCTAAAGCCTCGTCAACAGTATTGATTCTTGAAAAATTGGAGGAGGTGGATTGCAGCTTACAAGTAGTTGAACAGCAATTTGTGCGGTCAATCTCCAATGACTTGAAAGAAAGCATTATTGATTACATATACACATTGCATTCTACATCACGTAAATTGAATGATGTATGCGAGGATTTTATTGAGTGTATGAACTCTTTGGAACAGGGCCAGTCCATGAATGGGATAGAACAAGGCAATATAACCAATGGGTTGAACCATTTGTTGAGAGATGGCGAACTTGGGAAATCATCACCAACGAGATTAGCAAAATTGGCATTAAAGAGAAAATCTGCTCACTACCAACAACCTTATAGTGACAATGATCAAATCAAGTTGAAAAATTACGATATGCCTACACCGCAATCGTCGTGCGCTGCTGAATGCAAAAAAGTACCATGTATACATATCGATCAAGAAAACAATACTCAGCCACTAAAGTCCACTAACAACATTGTCCCAGCTCCATCACTCCCTTCACAAGAGCAAATCCCCACTACCAAACGTATATATTCCAAGATCTACCCACCTCAAGCACAAACAGATTTGCCTTTCGGAGATGTGTTCCGCAATGATCCCCTTAGGGACAATTCAATTCTTGATGACCATTGGAGTTGATCGATAGTAGGGAACCTTTAGATTTGTTTTTGTTATTTGATTCTATATATGCCTCTATTAAATGCTGTTTATATACATAACGCCACTATTCATTAGCTACGTTCCCGTTTTTAAAGAATTTTTTACCCACCTCATATGATGAAATCATAATGGCACATGCCGGTGCAATTTTCATTACTCTTGGACCAAAACCCGAGTACAATGCACTAACTCCCTCATTTCTATAAATGTTTGCCAAGAATTTAAACATGTTCGTCTTGGGCTTACGCTTCGTATCCCCGTCATCCATAGTTATTTGTAGCCTTGTTTTACCAACGTCAAAAGGGTTGGTGAAAAAAGCAGCAATGGCACCGGATATAGATCCTGACAAAAAAGATGTTGTAAACACTTTCCAATCATCAGCACCACCACCAGTAGAGTTGTTGAAATCCGTCTTCAATGCACGAGCAATATTTTTCTTGCACACTTCATAAGAAGACCAGTAAATACCTGAAAAGGGTACATCTCTCCAGAGTGTGATCTGCAATCCTTTGAATAAGGTAAACACACCATTTTTTTCAACCAATGCCATTGAGTCTTTCAAAAGATGACTCAATACGTGGGATGAGTTTCTCGAATCACTGGGGATTGACTGCAATTGCGTCTTGATCAATTCCGCCGGAGCAACAAATGTCGCTGACATGATCCGAGCCAATGCCCCACAAAGTAATGGATTGAATGACGAGTATCCAAATGGTGAGTGATCTCGAATGTACTCGTACCCAGTAAAATAAATTATATTCGATGGAATCGCCATTAGCAAAGTCAACGACAATCCACGCCATAGAGTGGCAACACCTTCATGCTTTGCTATTGTCGAGAACCCTTGAAAAGTTGACGTTATACGAGTGCACTGTTCAGTCCCAGGACGACAATACTTGTTGTGGATCCAAAATAACTCTGGTGAAGTGGCCAAAGCTGCCGCCTCATGTTTCGGTAACTGCTTTACAAAATGTTCAGGGTAATGAACATGACAACAAGGTTCATTCTGCGGTAGGATTTCTTGTTGCTGGATTCTAATCCGTATTACATCAAACGGCGTTACAACCAACGAGGTTATAAGACTCCCCGAACAGGCGCTAATCATTCTTTGGGTCACGGAAATATTCTCATCGGTGATGACTTTCAGATCAGACCTGATATTTTTCAGCATGTTATCACCAAAAGATAAATCGTTGTCTTCGATCCCTACAGCTAGTTCCGATGAAAGTGACATTTAATGTGAGGCACTATGCTGAGCTGCTCTAAAAGGATGGAAGGGGGGATAAATCACACGAATGTAAGCTGTGTAATGAAGTGTGAGCAATCTATTTTTCGTCTTTTGTTCTGCCTCGAAATAAGCTTCGTAATGTATGACGGATTCGCCTCTTCGCGAATCAATTGCTCGGTACATTTTACCCGATTTATGCCTTTTTATTATTTTTTTTCTTTCTCGCTGCCACAGTCCCTTTTTTTATTTCCCACTTTTTCACTGTCCACTTAGATGACACAATTGCAAACAATTTGCGATTCCGGTTAACTGCAAATAAAACGAGACAATATTCTAATACACACACTATACATAGAAAAGTCAACTCCCGATGTTGAAGTTGATGTTGGTGTTGATGCATGCATTTAATAATCACTAATCACATCTGTACAAGTATATACATTAATATTAGCATCCTGAGTGTAGTTAGTAGCGAGCATCATTCTATGCGGATGGAAAGTTACCCCAGAAAGATAATTTATACCCCTGTTTGTTGTCAAATACTTTTCGTGTGACGGATTTCTCAATGTGGTTATGTCATCACCTGCAGTTGACCAAACATTCACCGACTTGGACCCTGAAACTATGACCGGCGCATGTTCGTGGACATCTATGCTGCGGATTTGATTTCCAGGTGTATTGAAAGTCAAAATAGGGTCGTTTAATCTGATATCCCAAAGATTGACAAATCCATCGGATGAGCCACTGACTAACTCCCTAAACCCTCCTCTTTGCATATGCACATTCTTTATTGACCCGTAACCAACATTATTGAAAGGCTGTCCATTTGGTTGTCTCGTCAGTTTCCAAGAGCGAACCATTGACTCTCTTGCATCAAGTCTTTGATCATAAACTCGAATGCTACCATCATCAAACCCAGCAACAAATATGTTACCGGCAACTTGGTCAGAGGTCAAGCTAGTAATTGATGACGAGGACCTAGCTGGAATATCCAGCACGCACAATTCCCGTGGTGCATCCCATATACGGATAACCTTAACATCTCCACTAACTAATAGCGATCCTCTCGATTGTTGCCATTCGGAAACTAGACCGGAACTTTTAGATGTGAGAAGCAAATCAGTCAAAGCTCTCCAGCCTGTGACCAACTCGATCTTGTTGGAGAAAACATCAGTGTTGTTCTCTTCGTAATAGTCATGTTTTTGATTTATCCTGTTACCATTATATGGAGCACGATTCTCACTATCGTCCTCATCTCCATTGTCGTATTTTTCATCATTGTGGAAATTCTTGTAAATTTTCACGACGCCATCTGATGAGCCCACATACAATAACGGTTGATCATCTTCATTCAAAAACTTCAAATCGGTAATCTTGGTTCCAAAGGGGTTGCCATTAGAAAACTTTTTAACAATTCTATTTTGACCCCAATCCCAGACGGTCACGTTATCTTTTTCATCACTCGCAACTAAAGTTTTCTCAAATTGGGTAAACTTGATACATTTTGGTTGCGAAACGTTATTCAACACCTTGACATTTTTATTCCAATCACCACGTAACGCCATTTCCTTCTGCGGCTGTGTTTCTTGAATTATCATTTCATTTCGATTCCTTCGCCACAATCTTCTAACATATTCCTCTGAACCAGGTTCATCGGTCTCGTTCTTTGACATTTGAGGCTCTTGAAAGTATTCACAGCTGTACTCAAAAAAGTCGGATTCAGCCGGCAATTCTGGCCATTCTGTGAGATCACGAGGCCTGTAAAAAGCAGATTTAGGCTTGTACTCAGCACCGTACCGACTGGGAAGGAGACCCGAGTTCAAAATACGGCCAAACCCTTTGATATCCGATTCTTCATTGATATGAAAGCTCTTTAACAACTTCGCCATGGACAAATTCTTAATCTTCGATGTGATAGATTCGCTATCACTATCAGTGGAATGGTCATTAGATGATACAGCCCTTGTTTTCAAAGATGAGCCATTTATAAGCAAGTTGTTTTTTCTGTTGATTACTGATGCACTCGAGACTTGTCGTTTTTCCCCCAAAAATTTACTTACAATAGGTGTTCCCGATATGAAGCCTTCGCTGATGCTTAACGTGGACTTACTCAACAAATAGCCTTGCATCTCCTTCACAATCAAACCCAATTCACTATGGTTTAAATTCACCATCACATAATCAATGACAATTTCAGCAAAGCTCTTCACCTCACAGTGAGGATCTTCCGATAATATCAAAAGCGCCTTCCATATTGAGCTAAATATAGACCCATATGCTGGAGAACGTTTTCTAAAATCGTTCAAAATATTGGGGTCATCAAGAAGCACAATCTCCTCCTCCAATTGGTTGAAGGCAACAACTAAAAAAAATTTAGAATATGCTTTGATAAATTTGTTGATGAAGAACACCATCTCTTTTCGCACAATGGGGGACCCATCGCCTAGAAGTCCTAAAACGATATTAGCAAGCTTCAAATCCTGTTGTCTCATCTCATCCTTCTTGGACTCGGCCGTAGAACTATACAGCGATGGTCGCTGTTGCCCTTGCTGTGGTTGGCCAAATAAAGGAGGAACGGGATCGGAAAGAAAGTTTGTCAATGCAACAACAATTGAGGTACGAACTTCTGGAATTGGATCATTTGTTAGCAACGACAACTGATTTATATGGCCGTCTTTGAACGCCACCCATTTGCCATCGGGGTACTTGTTCCACAATTGGGAAAGAAGCAAGCTGCACCACTGTCTCAATAAAGGGTTTTCACTCGTTTGAATGTACTTTATGCAATTGGTGACAACCTCACTCGAAAAGCAAAGCCTTTGCCCATTTTTAAAGTCTTTTATAAAAAGGGTCAAAATAAATGCACTCATAGCTTTATGATCATCGTTGATTAACATTGGTCCAGAAGTGGCTGATCCTGCGCCCCCGTGTCCATTAGCCAGGCTCTGGGGCGAGTTGTTTAAAATCTGATAGAAGTAATTATAACCCTTGTCTTTACACAATTCTTGTTGAGTACCTTTATAATCAATGGCCATTATTCTTGCCCATATGAATATCAATACTGGTTTTAACTCTTGAGCGGGGCTCTGCAAAAGCTTCAACACATAGGGGAATATTCCAATTGACAAAGACAAATATACTCCCCATGGACCTAAATCCAAAAACTTTGAGAGCAAAATCAACGCTCTTAGACGATGTACTTGGGACAACAACACTTGCAAGACTATTGGTAGCTGTTCCGGTGGTTCTTTTGTCGATGGACCAGTGTACTTTAACCAAATCTCAAAAGCAGTTAATTGCTGTTCAAAAAATGTGGAGTGCTGATAATTGTTCAAATTTTGCGTTGTTGCTGACAGCACAACCTGGGCGGTGCCATTTGGGTGAGTACTAGATTGTGTGCCGCTGCTGCTGTTGCCGTTACCATTCGCTATTATCACACCATTAGGTATTAATGACAGCGATTGAGTCACATTTTGAGTCGTCGTTGGCTCTTCCTTGGACGTTTTTAACAATTGGGAAAGAACTTGGTCAATAGCCAAATCCCAAGAGTCCCACATTGGATGGTACTTGACAGAATCAGGTAACGGCGGATCACTTATGGGATTGCAATTCAAATGGGGCATGATTCTCTTTGCTAGTAAAAAGTTTCGAAACAATGCAGCAACCATTAAATCTTGACGAAAGAGACGTTTGAAAATTGGTCTTGAAAGCGAAGTCCATGCTATTGTATCAGTTATTGCAGTGAATATCCAGTTAAGTTCTCCCAATGGTGTCCTCCTATCAGTCAATTTTCCCGGTACTATTACGTTTCCTATTTGATTCTTCGGTAGGGAATCATAATACCTCTTTTTAAGCGAGCTTTGCATTATAAACCACTTAATGCTAATGTCAATAGGACAAGTAAGACAACAAGTGAACAAGTCGGCAGGAAGATCAGGACTCATTGGTAACAATTCATTGCTTTTGCATGCTGCCAATTGAATGCAATCAAGATACGCAGAAGTTGGCGATGGTGCACTAACGTCATGATTACCCTCATTGTCGTCATCTATCCGTTTTTGCACAAATTTTTTAAAATTGTAAACAATATTACCAGCACTGTTGCAATCGTACACGAATATCACAGGAGCGCCAAGCCAAGTTTGTAAATCATAAAGCGATATGGGAATATATTGAGTATAGCCACGGTTGAAAACCCAAATTTCACCACTCGTTGTTGGTTGTGGTACACCGTGTCCGTTATAATGAAAAAGAATTCTCTCATCTTTAGCATTCCTTCTCAAAGTGTTGCAAAATCGTTTGACATCTTCGACACATGGGTCTAATGATTGCTTGTACCTAGTTCGTAATGAAAGTGTTTCATATTGTGATTGCAAGTTTTTGCCGATATTTTCGATTGCCTTTTTTGTATCCGTAAAGGTTGTTGGGTCACACCATGCTTCGAGTTTGGCACATGGATAAGTCTTCATTACGTCAGGAGGATCAACGCCCAAATTAAGACACATTACCAATACCGCACTAATAGTCTTTTGCCTTTCCTTCATGATTTTCCAATCATGTATAGGCTGGAAATTCTTGTAGTACTTCGTGCTTTCCTTCATCTCCTTGGTTAAAGGATTACCCATCGTACTATGTCGTTTATCATCAAAATAGATATAGAAAGTGTTTGCGAGTTGGCTCAAAAAGTTTTCCGAGTTGTAGTCTTCACCGAAACCATGTCTCATTTTGTCGTTCATGTGAGTTGTTGTTCGTCGATTACTCTCATGTTCAACTAGTTGTTGCGAATTAGAGGGATTTTCTGTTACCATGATGGGAGTAGATAAAATCAGCAGTTCAACATGAATAGATGAGCGGGGAGCAAGGGGGATGGCCGCAACTACCCAAAAATATGGCAAATTTGCTTACGATTTCACTCCGACCTCAGGCAAGTTTAATTTTTCAATTTCGTGTTCGAGAGGAGGTTTTAGCGCTACCAAAAGCTGACAGTGGTGAATTACTTGCTTGATTCAATGAACAATAGGTAACCCACTTGACCATTTTACTTCAGAATTAAAGGCTGGCAATTGAAAGATGAAGCACGAGCTTGGGGAAAGTGGATTTGGCTTTGGAAAGTGTCTGGCGAGAAAATACCATTTACATTACCTAACTAGGCTCCGAGACTAGCATTGTGACTAGAGCAAAAGATGCCAATTCATTGGTAACAGCTATCGCCCCCTCAGTGTTGACAGAGTACGTACGTTGTGTATCGTTGAACTTTTATATTCAAGTTGATACTCTGAGGAAATGGCACAGTTCACAGGTGCTATGATGTGCTCAAAAAAGAGCTTGAGTACACGTCCTTTTTTATGTCAACTGATAAGAGAATGATGGATAGATAGGGTGCTTCCACAGCGGTGAGTGTTTGAAGCCAACAGGCAAGAATTGACAATGCTTGATAGATGCAGAGAGAGTAAACAAAGTAGCATTGTTTTCTCTTGTATCAAACATGTTTTATTTATTCGTGGTTGTCTTTCCTAAAAAAAATATTGTTACTACTACTCTTGATGATAAGGGAGAATGTAGTTACATAGATAAGGATGAACTTATTTTTTCTCCTTTCTTTGTAATAATATCCTCAAAACTATAGTATCCCCAAAATCACTGCGTGGTTTGATTTTCTTATCCCTTTGACTTCTTTCCTACTAAGAAACATCCACACACCTCAACTAATTTATTGAAGGTGAAACATTACATCTATTATTACAGTTTATCAAATCACATTAGTATATCCGGTGTAATTGTTTATTGAATCGAATGAGCGAGTCCCCTTCCACAGTTGCCCCTGAAATGATCTCAGACGAACGCACTTTGTTGTTTGAGGACCAACAAGAGTCCCATATTAAAAGAGTATCCAGTAGAGGTGGAGACCGTGTGGCCACTATTACAAACTTGTTTTTCAAAAATAAGCATTTGTCTAAACATCACGCCACAGTGAGGTATGACAAAACTATTGGATTCACAATTGAAGATACCAACTCAACTTTCGGAACTGTTGCTAACGACAGAGTTATCAAGCACAATGTCAGAGTACCATTAAGAGACAAGGATACTTTGGGGTTCATTTTGTCCAAACCCTCCCTGAAAATCAAAGAGGTATTCAAGAAATTTGAATCTGAATTGGAACACAACAGCATCCCCCTCTCCGAATTTGACCTGCCAAAAATCAGCATGAAGTTTGTTGTTGCTATCAACAAATCTGTGTTTAAATTGATTCCGCATGCTAGCAATGATGCCTTTGCTGGGAATGATTTGACAAATGATGGTTCTACAACTAACCTCTCAACGTTTGAAGCTACTGGGTTAGAAAATTATGAGGTGGATGGTGAACGTGAGCATCATCATCATTCTGTTGCAGAGAAAGAGAGAAAGGCTCCCCTCATTATCATTGACCATGATGAGGAACATGAAGGAAAGGCTGGTGATATAATAAAGTTGAGAACTGAAAACGATCCATTTGGCGCTTCCAAGAAAAATACACCAGATGCTCCAATTGAGATCGAGAGCGAACTTGATGAAACTTCGGGCGAAGATTTCGATGTTCGTCGCTATGGCAACCGAGACCTCTCCCAATTTGAATTGAGTGATGTCCTGGTTTCAGCATCAAAGGTTAGTGAAAACAAGCACATCGACAATCAATCGAAACATAAGTTCAAATCTCCGACTCCGGGGAAAGAGCACTCCGATTGTGATGAGGTTTCTTTAGGTGAGGCAAAGGTGAAGGAAGCAGAAGAGGAAGCAGAAGAGGAAGAAGAAGGGGAAGAAGAAGGGGAAGAAGAGGAAGCAGAAGAGGAAGAAGAAGGGGAAGAAGAAGGGGAAGAAGAAGAGGAAGAAGATGACGGGCCACCTAGTGAATCCGATATTGTTTACGAAGTTGAAGAGGTGAACTTCGCAGACAACGGCAAACAAGTTAATAACGAGGAGGAAGAAGAAATGATAAAAAAGGAAGACAAACCCTTGGACAACGAGGCATTTACTTCAAGGGCCAAAATTACACCCTCAGTCCCAAGTGCGTCCACCCCTGAAGCATGTATTAAAGATTATCTTGAAAAATCTGCATCAGAGGACAGCCCACTGACTGAAAGTACTGATAATGAATACAATAGTCAAGGATATGCTTTTGAGGACATTGATTCAGATTCCGAAAGTGGATACAGTTGTTACAACGTCGAAGATCACAAACTGTGTCACAACGATGATCCAAAAGCTGATGAAAGTGACTTGGATCATTCGTGTTCTAGCTATGACAGCGACGACTACGACTACGATCTTCCTTTGGACATTCCATTGGAAGAGATAAGTCTGGCGGAAGAATCTGTCTGTGTACGCTCTGATTTTGAAGACAGCTTCCGTGGTGATGAAAAGCTTGCCCACAATCATAAAGCTGGTCTGAAATCCTCAGAAAAATATTTGTATGACCATTTAGAGCATTGCTATTGCTTTTCTCATGTATCAAACGCACGAGATGTGAGTGGTTCTGATGAAGAATTCATCTGCGATTGTTCCGATCAAGGGGAATATTATTGTGAGGAAGGTGGTAATTGCAGCGTAACCACCAAGAAAGACAATCATTGCAAAGGGGTAGCATTCGACAGGCAACCCGAGTCATTAGTGACATCAAAACATTTTGGAAGCGCTCAGTTGATGATGGAAAGTGGGATGAATAATGACCAGCCTAGGTCAAGTATACTGAGTTCGAGAAAAAGATCGTACAACAATATGGTGGATGGAGAAAGCTTAGAAGGTAGGTTGGGCAATGATTACTCGAGCAACGGTGCTGGTGGTGATTGTAGTGATGAAACAAGTGTCACCGATATGCCTTTACGCAAGAAGCATATCAGGGAGGATTCTAAAGTTAAAACCATTGCGAAAGAGGTGGCGAAAGCGTTATTTTATGTAGCTGCTACAATTACTGCCCTTGGGATCTATGGCTCAAAATTGGAAGAGAATTAGGATCACAAGTATTTTATGGCACAGTTCAGTGGGATTAAGTAGGTTGGGTTTTGGTAGGTTTAACAACCGGTGGTTATTCAATTCGGCGTCTGCTATATTTCTATGAAGGTTTATAGTTTTGGTTTATTAGTTTGATTTTTTTTTGAAGCGTATATTGTTATCTACTCATTGATTTTGTAGATTGTGGTGCTCTTCACACCATAGGATTGTGATAATAAGAGTTGCCCGCCCAAAGATTATTGAAATCACTACTCATTTTGCAACCTTCCTTTTATACACTCTTTTCTTCTTGGGTTCTGTGGCACTAGACTGAGCGGGAGTGGTGGATGCGTTCAAAGGTTGAGAATTTACATTTGGAGAAGGGACACCTTGTGGTAGCGGATTTGCAAAATGTTGTTGCTGTGGTTGCATCAAGTTACTATCAAACTGGCCATGCAAATTAGGTATGCCACCTCCAGAAGCAATAGCCCTTTGTTGTTGTTGTTGTTGTTGCTGTTGCTGTTGTAGCTGCTTTTGCTTTTGATAAAGCTGAAACTGTTTCAATCTTTGAAAATATACCGGGAATTTCTGCAACAATTGTTGTTGCAAAATCTTGACTTGTTGCATTGCTTGCTGTTTTTGTTGCGGGCTCAACTGCTGGCCATTGGGAGCGACACCTGTTTGACTCATCATTACCAATGCATTCATTTTCTGTTGTATTTGTTTGTAAACCTGTTGTTCCTCTGGGGTCAACGAACCCTGAAAAATTTGTTGATGCTGTTGTTGTTGTAAGGAAGGCTGGCTGGGCACTTGATGCAAATGCAGCGATGATTGTAAGTTGTGTTGTCCCATGGAGGTTGGAGCTTGAGGGACATTTTGTGGTGGCAAAGCGCCCGGTCCCAAGTTTGGTGTACCCATTGGAATTTGATGCGGTGTAGTTGCCAGACTCATAGTCGGCGGCTGTTGTTGTTGTTGTTGTTGTTGTTGTGGTGGTGGTGCACCAGGATTTCCCGTCAATTGCATATTATTATTAATTGACGGCACTTGCTGGTTGGAGTTTGAAGGAACGTACGATGTTAGAGGAGCTTGTGGCAATGAAGTTCCTGCTGGCAGTGGATTAGAAACAGATACTTGATGTTGTTTCACATCCTTTCTAGCCCGCTTCCCTGCTGGTTGCACCCCAGGTTGCTGTCTCTTGTCACCAACTTGAGGTGGACCAAGTGGTTGTTGGCTCGAGCCGGTCGCGAATGGAGCCATAGGCTCAACAGGGCGAGAAGCAACATTTGACAGTGACACCATATCCCCTTGAATAGAGTTTGCTTGCGCTTGCAATTTAGCTTCTTGCTGATTCTTTTCGATTTCCCTCTTCTTGCGAATTTCCTCAATCAATCTCAAACGCATGAACTGACCCGTAGTTCTAACAGGGTTCAGAGGAATTGCAACGGTTGTAGGAATAGAAGATGCGCTCGCAGCTTTCTCACCCTTCTTGCCCTTAGAATCAGCTCCAACAGACCCTTCTTTACTTGTTGATTTGGTAGGAGGTGTAGTTATACTCAGCGTGGATGAAGTGCTTGGCATTACTGGGGGTACAACAACCAACTTCTTTTCTTGCGTGTCTTCAAAGCGTCTACTACTGTTTGACAACAACAACACCAACTCTTCGTACTCAGAGGACTTATGCAAAACCAATTCATCTTGGTGAATTTTTCGGAGAGGAGCTTCAACACCTGGCCTGTGAGAAAATTCTATTTCTGATTTGTCGCCTTCCCTCATCTCATCTGTATCAGGCTTAAGATAATCGTATTCGTAAGGGTTCACCTTTACAGAAAGATCCAAATCCCTTTTTGTTAATGCCAAAATTTCAGACTCCATTTGCAAGGACAAGGTGTCGGTGAATTTTGTCAAAGCAGAATCTGTATGATACAACAAATCATAATAAAGGGAAAGTGGTGTTGGTCTGAGCAATACCCGATATGTTCTTGGTTTCGAAACAATAACGGGTGCATTTTTTGCATCCTTTGATGGCGACACATTAGCTCTGAAGGTAGAAGTTCTGATCATATTCCGATGGTCGTATACTTGCAAAATAAGACACCCATCATAAGATTTGATGGAGAAGTCTTTCAACAACTCGCTCAATTCAACTGGGATTTCTTCTTTCAAAACGTGATTTATGAAATTCTTAATCATCGGAGATGTTTTGGGTATAATTTGAGAATCTTGTGAGTTGTTGAATCGGTAGTGATTGTCAAAAATATGCAAGCTCAAGGAGGCAGGATATTTAGAATACTTTCGTAGTATTTCATCAGTTGTGGATGCAAAGTGATAGTTGCGAAGATCGACCTTTTGTTTCTGCAACTGTTGGTGTTGTTGTGGTAGTAGTTGTTGTTGTTGGTTTTGTTGTGGGATTTGACTCTTCGAAGGGATGCTCGGTTTGTTCTGAATCTCATTTAAGCTAAAGGGTCCCCTATCTGCGGCTATGGATGTCCCAGCTCCATTGGAGATTTCAAGTTTGGTCATGCTTTTGGTACAAGATTGCAGAAGCAAATGAAGTTGTTAATCGGCTTTTTTACCTTCGTTAATATATATATATGATTGTGTTCTTGATCTTTTTTTTTTGTCAAGTTTCCATCAAAAGCCGAAACGGCACGTGATCAAGGTTTTTGAAGTCTGGAGTGTGTCCTGGTAGACATTTATACAATGGGAGTGATTCGTCGTCTTCTTTTCTGTTGTGAATACCAATCATGCCCCTACAAACTTGTTCATGTACTTGTGAACGGATAATTGAATAGATCTACAGTTTCTATAACTAAACACTACTGCGCTTTTCTATTGATTGATTGCACGATTTTGCATCAACCGCAACACCGCTTTGATAGAGTTGGCATTAACAACGCCTATGTTAAGCCTTTGCAGATACTCAAGTGAAAATGCATACCCTCAAACCAAATATTGTATAGTTTTGTACAAAGACTCCCTCTCATCCTCACTAAACAACCACAATCCATATATTTCCCCGGAAATACTTCGTATAATTATCAAGTTATCGTTGAGTTCAACCTCCATTCCTGAGTCCGGTTGGATTCCCAAGGAAAAGCATTCAGGGTTGGTTCGATTTAATATAATGATGCCGTAATTGAATGCATGCCGTTGTTGGGTCTCCGAAGAGGATGCTCGTTCGGCATCAGTACTCTCACTTCTCTCGTACAACGCTAGAGCTCCTTGATAATCTGTCTTGACCCACTCCTCGGACTGTTCGTTGAACTTGTAAAGTACGCAATGTGATGTGTGACAAATTAATTGTTTGATAGCAGGATCATAACGGCTAATGACATTGAAGTTGAGTGCACTGGTATACAACTTAAGCGCATCATCTCGTGTTATTTGCTCTTGGCTCATATGTGTATCAACAGTGGCCATATCCCTTGCTTGTACTTGTGAAATGAAAATTATTTTGTTTGGATTAGTTTGTGCCCAACTAAGTCAACTGTGCGGCGCCACCCTTTTGATATAAAAATCCTGTCCTCTGTTCAATAGCAATTAAAATTATACCGAACCCTTTTTCTCCTTTGAAACATTTACTAATTGCCAATTGTTGACAATGCAACATATTCTCAGACCAGCTATTAGACAATCGGCCAATCAATTCAAACAGTCATATAGATTCTACGCCGCTGTGGGTGATGCAATCCCTAAAACCGTTGTTTTTGAAGGTTCGCCCGGTAATGACGTAAATTTGGCGAAAGAGACCGAAAAGGGGAAATCTTTACTTGTAGGAGTTCCAGGGGCATTTAGTCCAGGTTGCACACAAAAACACATACCCGGTTATATCAAAAACGTTGAAGAATTCAAAAACAAAGGTGTTGACAATATCTTTGTATTAGCTGTCAACGATCCCTTTGTAACTAAAGCATGGGGAGAAAATTTGTTGAAAGATCAAGCTCCGGTTCGATTCTTGGCTGATAGTACCGGCGATTTCACGAAGGAACTCGACTTGTTGTTCGATGCCACCAAGGTTTTTGGAAATGAGAGATCAAAAAGATACGCTTTACTTGTTGAAGATGGTAAAATCAAACAAACTTTTATTGAACCCGACAACACTTCGGTTGACGTATCAGATGCCACCAAAGTCTTGTCAAGCTTCTAGAACCTTCTTTTGTCTTTCTTTATAGATCAAACTTTTTAAGCCTATTGCGTTTTTTGTCAGACTGCTTCTTTTTGTTGAACTTCTTTCGCTCTTTGAAGTCTTCTTCCAATTGAATCCATTTAGCCTTGTCTTCCTCTTTGACATCACTTGAAAAATAGACCTTGGATTTGATTTCCTCCAAGAGCCGCGAAAAACAGTTGTTTGTATTTTGGTCCCTACTTCTGCTCGTATCACACTGAATCAAAAGACCGTTGGATTTTGTAACATAACGGATTGGCTTTTCATGAAGTTGCTGACGTATGGGAGACGGGATCCAGTAGCACTTCGAGCTTTGTAACCACTCGCCTTCATTCAAAGAGACAGTAGCTTTGGATGACGTTTTGTTGACCTTTTGTCCTCCAGGACCCGATGATCTGCTGTATGAAATGTTGAACAAGTGTCGTGGAATTTGTGAACTATCAAATGATTGTAACCATTCTTTGGATTTTAGGACATCTGAGGAGTTGGAATAAAAACGAGCAACAACTTGGGAAAGGTGTCTATAGTGAGACCGAGAACGACGTACCCACGGGCGCAGTAGCATGCTCTTCAAATTCTTCGATTCAAAAATTAATGCTCATTGCTGTGCCTTGACGTTGATCGTTTGAATAGATTGATTTTTTTTTTTTTAGTTTTCTTTTCTTATTGAACCTCCACCAACTAGCTTTAATGGATCTGGCTTTGAATACTAGAAGCACACAATTTGTGGAGCTTATAAATACTTTGGTCATAAATGAGCTAGAAGGATATAGTGGTCACTATGATGAATGTAAATTTGCAGGGTATACAGATGCAACAACTGATTTGTTAAATTTTGACGATGCTCAGTTTAAGTTTGAGGATCCAGAGGGTTTGGAAGAAGAAGAAATCGCAACGTTCAATGACGCCACACTTTCGAGATTGAAGGAGAGCCTCTTGAGTTCAAGTTTTCAAAAAGCATTGTTATCGACAATAGAATCCGTAGTCGATGATGAAAACAACATGTCGATGAAAAAAATTTCCCTAACATTGGACTATTTGATGTGGATAGCGCTTAAAGTGGACAAGACGGCAAAGTTGACGTACTACTATTGCTTGGAAGCTGTTCTGAACCAACTTTTCTCATTTTCAACTGATCAAGTGGAGTCTTTGTGGACATTCGTGGAGGCAAGATTACCAACAATTCAAACACAATTATTTGAAAACACTTTTGCAGAGAGGATTGCAGTTCTCCTGCTTGGGAATTCGTTGACTGACAAATACAATACTCTGATTACAGGACTGCAAACCAACTCGACATTGAAGGATACACCCAATGATAGATTTCAATCCAGAGTACGATTATTTATGACTCAATTGCTTGCGATTGACGACAATACTGGTCTCAACAAATACTTCCATATACGAAACTCGGTTCCTCCACACATAGAAACCAAAGATGTGTTCCTTAGCGATGTTTTGCAAATTCAAAAAATATTCAACAACCCTTTATTTTATCTCAAAAAGAACAATACAGTGGAGCTCAACAAAATGACGGAGAAGATATACAGAGTTTACGGTCAGTTAGTTGAAGAGGAACTGCGATTCAGAGAAAAGCATCCTTTTCCGGAGCAATTTCTCATGGTGAAGCCAAAAAGCGAATCTGAACGAGAATATTTACGTCAAAAATACACAAAACGTGTATACACTCCTGAGCCTTATCTTGAGTCCAGTTTCCAAAAGGGATCAAAATCAAACGAGCTGCAAAATGCTGATTACAAATTTCTTTATCACCAATTGGAGCTTTCAAAGGTTCGAGTGCAATATCTTTTGATGATTTATATTTTGTCAGTGTTTTATATTGAGATGACCCCTAATCATAAAACCGAGTTCATAAAAACTATTGGCGCTCCAATAACCACCAAACACATAACGGAAGATTCACCAGGAGTTAGTGCCCTTAGAAAGCTCATCGACATCAAGAATGAGCTACCTACAGTATTGAAAAATATTGATCCTTCGTTGCCTTTTTTGCTTTTACATTTGGGTATTGATGAAAAAATCTGGTGGAAGTGGTTGCTTCATGGTAAAGATGAGCAGAATAAAGGCTTCTTTGTTGATAAGATGTTGCTGCCTGAGGTACTCAGTGGCCAAGAGGACGCATTTCAGAAATTGTATCCCTTTAAAAATAAAAGAAGTTTCAACACTTTCGTGACACCACAAGTGTCGAAGAAAATGCGTACTGGGAGAGGCTTAGAACAATTAAAGCAAACCGCTCAAGTTGATATTGATAAGGCTATGGAGGAGCTTGAGGGTGTTGAGGGAAAGCTCAAGGAAGAACCCACAGATGAATGGAAAGACATTAAGTCTTCACACTCATGGAAATTGCTCAGACGGAAAAGATGCAATTGATTTTTTTATGTGCGTGAGGCGAGTGCACAGTGTGATTTGCTATTGCTGCATAAGCATACCAAGTAGATATAATGTACAATATTATTTAAAGAGTAATGATACCTAATGTAGACGCGAAGTGTAATACGACTCTGGCAAAACGCGTGCAAAACATTTTGCGCGACACTTTTGAAAAAGATTTTGTGCAACAATACAATATTCATCTCTCGAGCTGATTTTCAAAATTAGGATATCACATTTGCATTCGTTTACACTTCTTCGCATCAATAGGGAATGGCACCCGTCCGAAGATCCACAAGGAATTCTAAATCACGAACAGGGTCTCCGAAAAAGCAAGGGAACCCGCAGACAGGAGCAAAGAGGCGAACTAATAGAAGAAACAAATCTGCTGCCTCGAAAGGTGAGATTGTACGCGAAAAGTCCCCAAAGTTGGAGTTAAACTCATCCCCAATCAAGCAAAAGAATGATCAACAAACGACCCCTACAAAACAAGTCATTTCTAAAAAGGGAAAGAATGTCTTGTTTTCAGATGATTTGGTTTCTGACTTACCAAGCACACCCGAGAGATGCTCTTCACCAATCCGGTCCATTTTGAAGCCCGTTGAACCCAATTCTTTGAACAGAGCTGCCGATCCAAATGACACATCGCTTTGGGATGCGACGAACAATGCAAGGACAATCAACCCAAAATGCTTTGAATTTTGGCTACCGGGCACAATCATTCAGCTACCACTGGGCTCTGAAAAGTTGCCCATGCTAGTGGAAGGATGCATGTCGGTGTTGGATGATGAAAAATTTGAAAGGAGGTTTGAGGTGTATGCAGCATTGAATGGCATTGTTAAAACCAACCCGTCCGCAATATTGCTTAAACTATTCGCGAGCTCTAAAAAGAATGAGATTCAGCAAGCATCGCTCCCGCTTGTGGTCCAAGTCCTTAAAGACATCAGCATTATTGAAAAGAGTATATTCAATCCCGAATTGGACAAAGAAAATGACTCCCCAACCAAGGGGGACCCATTCAAGGTTCGTGTTGTCACACAAGCGTTGAAACTTCTCAATTTTGTCTTGTGTGATACTGAGTTGAATAGTTTTGTAACAAACGCTGACATATGCTGGATTTATGATCATGCATGTACGGCGCTTGTTAACCCCAGGATATCCAAAGCACTTGTTTCACCGTACCTTAATATAATTAAGGATTGCAAATTGAGTAGCAGTTGCAAACGCGACTTGTTTTCCCATCAGCACATTCTTGAAAAATTGCTTTTTGCAGTACTTAATGTTAAAGGTTTTCCAAGTGTATCATTGGTAACAGAAAGACTAATCTGTTTGAAAAATTACGTATTGAATTTCCCGGATTTCATGGCCAAAAACATTGACCACTGGTTTGAGCCGTTGCTTTTGAACTTGTGCAACATGATTCATCCCTTGAACGTGAAATGCCTTGGAGTAGGTGTGCATTGTTTATTGGAGGCAGCAAAATGCTTTTTGGATTGTACCCCCGTCCACACTTGTGTGTTGAACAAAATGTCATCACGGATTGCCCTGAGCGTTCAGTCTTTCACATCAAGTCAAGAGTTTTCAGAATGTATGAATCAGCTCCGTATGCAAAATGTAAAACTAGGTCAATTTGTTGTTTCCAAATTGCAAGAGTTGATACGCGCAGAACAACATAAATTAGCTATGGACATGTGGATGGCCCTTACTCTATTATCTAGCGTGGATGCTTTTGATGAGTCTACATATTTGGAATCGTGGCTCAAAGTACCAAATTTTTGCTTCAGTTTAGGCCCTCCTGCAACTGCAATTGCTTTGTCTTATTGGAGAGCAGTATGTTTCAACTTGTGCAAAAACAATCTAGATGCATTCCGCACATGTATTGACCGTGTTCAACGACCAATATGCAAAGGAGATAACCCCCTTTATGCCACACACACATTGAAGTCAAAAACGACAGTCATGATGCACGTTTTTGATAGCTTCCCTTTGCTGGAGTTACCAAAAATTGTGATTGACTCACTTGATAATGTTTTCTTAGGCTACTTATACATTTTTCTCAGTCCAACCATTCTCAAACTGTGGACAAAGTACTTAGCTGCTTTTTGGGATAAGATTGTTCAACCAATATTCAGGAAATTCTACTTAGCAAAGGAAGCGGGCCCATATGCAAACCACTTGGGTTGCGAAGTTTTACACACACTTTTCAGAGTATCAATGCCTCATCCAGAAAAGGAATTCAATGAAGCTCGAATACTATTCAACGATCCAATTAACTTGCCACAAATCAACCCACTTCCGTCAAGGTTTGTTCTCATCAAGTTTGACAAGATGATGCAGAACATGATCTCGTTATTCGAATTGGACACAATAAAATTTGAGCAGAAATTGGGCCTACTCAAATCCTTTTTAAATAAAATAAAATTGGTGGTAAAGAAGGAGCAAAGTCCATCAGTTACTACTTATGATCTCATCGATAACCTCCCGTTATTGTTAAGAAAGTTGTTGGGAACCCAAGCCGTGAGCTCAGAGGTTCTTGTAAGAGTCATTGTTGTAATGCATGATGTGTTTAGTCCATCTTTACTAATTAACTGTGACCTCGGATCTGAAAATTATGACAACAACCTCAATGTTTATTTGCCGATTGTCGAGAGTTCCAGCGCACTACCATTGGAAGGAAGGATGACAGTGATAAGGCTCATTTTGCAGTCTTTACCTCAGACTAAAGCATTGATATTAATCACAGATATTCTTGAGTTGCCCACAACAACGAACGATACGATCCAAATCATTATTGAACTATTGAGTAAGACAAATATTGTTGCAAACACAATTGATCTACAATTATATGCCATGATTTGCAAATGCATAAGTTGCAACTACGAAGTTTTTGTGAAGAAAATGATTCAAGCAATTGTATCCATTCCGAATTCTGAAGAGATTTGCAGATGCTTAACTTTGTTACATATCGATGAGTGGAAATCAAATGTCGCTGACCATGTGCTTTTATTGCTACGAAATGCACCTTCAAAGTCGATTCACCATTTTGTAGCAGGGATTATATCACGGCGTCTTGAGGCATCTTTGGTACAATCGTTGGCGTTTATGACAAAGAACGATTTTTCTAGTGAAATGTTTTTGCTCAGTGGAAATCTCTTTGATTTGATAGTCAAGGATAAAGCGAGTCTTTTTGAATGTTGTGTTTTATTGAAACAATATCTTAAATTCAAATGCCAGCAAGGGGGAAATGATTATTTGCTTATCGATGTCTTGGCTGCTGGATGCAGTAAGCATCTAGACATAGACATTACTTTCTTAGAGAAGTTGGTAGACTTCTCTCACTTACCCTTAAGCAGCAGGGAGGTGCAGTTGCAAAAAGCCAAATCTAGTACAGAAGTGCTTCTTGAAACCACTTCCCTGGATAGTCAAGATGAACATTCTCGTGGCGATATTGACATGATCGACAATGATAGCATGGACCAAAGTTCTTTAGGATTGATAACATCCCTGAGCCAAGAAGTTGCCGGTGATATACGAAGCGAGGATGCAGTGAACTTGGACAGGAATACGTTGAAGATGATTGTCAAAACAAACAATTCCCTCAGGGAGGGTAGGTCGAGAAGTAGCATGGCTATAGAAAATCTAATCGGAAAAGAAGAAGAAGTCATCACGAGCAAACAGTGTCAATCTGAGTCTAGAATACTGCCACATTTGAGGTTTCCCGAAAAGCTATCCAACGTTGCGAACAATGCTAATGGACAAATACACTCAGCAACATCAAATACTCAGGGAGTTTCCAATTACGACACAAGTGAAGAGCGAAGGTATAGTCAAGTCGACGAAAGTGTCCAAACGCCGCTGTTAAGTGCTATTGAATTAGTGAAGCTTCTTGCTGAGAAATCCAGCCAAGAATTGAACATGTTTAGTCCTCAACAAAAGTATGAATTGGAATCAGAGTTGTTGCGGTTTATGATTAAATTGCGTCAGTTGGAATAAACTCGTCCGATTTTCCCATCTGTCTTTTGATTTAATGTTACTTGATCGGTTGTTATATTTGGTGTGTATCATTGCACTAAGTTTCTGTAAAACTATACAATTCGTAAATATAGCCGCACTCGTCTGAGATTCTTCAAAATTAAATCAATCCTATTTTATATTCCATTTCACTATCGACGACAAAATCACATCAAGAGCTCACCTATTCAATTCGAAGCTTGTACTGTAACCTTACTTGGCTTTCTTCCTGCAATTGAGTGCAATGTCAATCATTCCGTACAACCCGAACAACGATGTTTTGTACCACAACCCTGACGATGGGGTTCTCATTCTTCATGATACTGAACAGAATTCAATTCAGTTGCTATCCACACTAGATGTAGGTAACAATGGATCCCGGTTCAATGCAAGGTCATCGTCAAGTAGGTTTGATAACAACGGGTTTCCTTCTTTCGCTGACGATGCTGATATTCGAAAGTGTCCAAGTTGTGGATTTACATGGAACGAGTTTGAGAGTAAGAATTCAAGACGAAGAAGTTCTGTGGGAGCACCTGCCATTTCCGACACAAGTAAGATTCATGAGTTCGCGAGAGCGTATCCCAAGCCTTATATGCGAACCGACTATTTCAAATTATTGGCTTCGATGCCCCATTCCGAGGAGGCAAAACAGAAAGCCAACACTAAAGGCATCCCTTCTGGAATCTTCAATCAAGGGTACTTCAGTCGATTTTTCAGAAAAGTTGGTCACAATCCGTTGGGATCTGGTGCTCGAGCACAAGTTTACAAGGTTGAGCATGTTTTCAATGATATCGCTTTGGGAACCTACGCTGTGAAGAGAATAAGTATTGGTGATAAATTTGAACATTTAGAGCAAGTCTTAAATGAAGTGTTGATACTATATGAGCTATCCGCAAAGAGTGCTGGAGAAAACAATTTGATTAGGTACAATCATGTGTGGTTGGAATTGGGAGAGTTGGAAGACCTGAGTTCGTTTTTTCTACACACTGGCTGTTCGGATCCAAGGGGTAGTGGAAAGGTTCCTTACATGTTTATATTACAACAGTATTGTGATGGAGGTCATCTCGAAGGAATCATTGAAAAGAATTTTCCAATCGAGGAAAGTATGAGCTATTCTGAAAAAGTTAAATTGGAGAAGAAGCGAAGAAAGCTTCAAAGGTTGGGAAAAGAGGATGACGAGAAGCCCAAATGGCTTACCATTTTTGAAATTTGGAAATTTTTTCACGACATCGCTAATGGAGTGAATTATTTGCACAAGAATGGTATCTTACATCGTGACTTGAAACCATCGAACTGTTTGGCTGAGGAGCAATACGCTGCCATTGATGTGCCAAAGTCATTTGAATCAATCGATCAATTTGAAGAAAAGATGTTCGAATTGCCGAAAATTCTAGTTTCTGATTTTGGTGAAGGTAAATTTACAGAAAAACACAAAAATACGAGGTCAAGGAAAGCAAGTAAGAGGGAAGGCAACACTGGTACTTTGGAATTCACAGCACCGGAGTTATGGCAATGTTCGAGTGATAGTAGACTCATTAATGAGTTTTCATACGACAGTGACATCTACTCTTTGGGCTTAATACTTTGTTATTTGTGCCTTGGCACCTTACCCTTTGCAGACTCACTCAGGGGCGAAACGGATCCAGAAGTCTGCAGAGAAATCATACAAGATTGGTACAAAACTCTCTCGCGCGAATCATTTGGATCTTGGTTTGAAGAGATTTTGCAGAAGCGAAAGAGAACCATGGATGGTTGCATGTCTGATTTTAGAGCCTTGATATATAAGATGATCAAGAGTGATTCTGGTGAAGAAATCACTAGAATAAACTCCAAGGAGGTTCTTGTGTGCTTGAATGAAATAAAGTGGAAATGGCTCATCAAATCACCTGAAGTTATTGGAGATGAGGCAAACAGGCGAAATTACTCGCTTTCGGCTGAGGAAAAGCTAACATTGTACCTGCCAAGGAAGACGAAGGCTCCATTTGCGAATGAAGATTTATTTGAGGTGGAAGAAGATGAAGACCTAGATTTCGAAAAGGAAAATGAGACTGATCATTTGAATTTGACAGAAGAGGAATTTGAGCCTCATCAAGCTACGTTGCTCCCTTATGATCATGTACGGAAAAGAAGTGGCTTTTCTCTAGGACGTCGTACAACGTTACCACTCTACAGTCTCGAGCTTTTGCTATTGGAGTATTTGTCACTATATTCACCTCACTTTTCTCAAGTTATCTTGAAGGTTGCCATATATGTCACAATCACATTGGATCTCGTTTTGGAAGAGTATAATGTCATAAGATCCAGTTTGTTTGTGTTGGTTTTTGTTTCCCTATGCATAGTCTTGGCATATTCCATGGGCTTTGAGCGTGAATAATTTACGGCAATAGAAATCTGTGTATTCGTATTTTACATATCGAAGCCTTTCAGTCTCCAATAATCTCTTTTGAAGTCTTTATCTACAACGGGCTTTCTTGGGAGCTTTGGCTTTTTCGGTTCAGTAGCAGCAGTAGTAGCAGGAGCAGCAGCAGCATCATCATCTCTTGTTTTCTCCTGAGCTTCTGGCGAAGATTCTAAACTCAAATATGACTCCACTAATTTTTTCGTATCCTTAGCCTTGTTCGTGATTGGTGTTTGCTTTGAAACAAGGGTGGGTTTCGTGGGTAAGGGAGTGTACTCTTCTTCACTCTCCACTGTCATATCTGAAAAGTAATACTTGTCATTTCCTTCCAACCCATCACTTTCTAAATCCTGTTCCGTGTTCGGGTGTTCTTCATGATGAATAAGAGCATCATTCCTCACCAAATGCCTCTCATCAACAAAATTTCTCTCCTTTCCTTTGTATTTGATGATATCCCCAAGAATCAGTTTGCCCAACCTCTCTCTATACGGTGCAGCATTTAGTTCATAGCACTTGGCAACAAGAAGCTGATATGCACCACCAAAAGCCTTTTTCAAATCCCTGAGATTATACGATGACCGAGTAATATTGTTACTAGAATCAGCAGGATCTTGAACCACAATCGAAAAAGTATTTCTTGCGGTACTCAAAATGGGATGTCTCCCTTTCAACAAGTAACGCGGCAACTGAGTTTCTGGGTCAATCGATATAATGAGGTTGTCATAGGAAAAATTGCGCCCGTATAGCTCAAAAAATTCAATAAGTAGCACACCTAAATTATCTGGAGCATCCATGGTATTTGTTGAAATTTTTGGGTGCAATTGCATAAAGTGATAGCACATTATGATGGTTGCATACCCCCCAAGACCACCAACATGAACATTGTTAAGTTTTCTCGATCTTAGAAATTGCTTGACAACCAAAACTAGTTCGCGCAACCCTGGAGTAGCAAGTAGCCATTTTCTTATCCGTCGAGCAGCGTCCAAACCATTCGTGCGTTCGAACGATATATCAACAGGTAAATTGGAATCAGGGTCAACAAATTTGATAATTGGAACCTTGGCATTTGCAATGACCTCCACGTTTTTGGCTAAGTTCTTAACCCTGAGAAAAGACGAGAGTTGATAGAGCCTCGACCTGTTTTCGTAGTCACCGGTGCTAGATATGACCACCATATCTATATCAGATCCTGGTAGATATAAATCTGTTGCACACGAACCAAAAACATGAGCCTCCGTCCCTGGCCAGAAGGAGGATATTTCCTTTTTTAGTGTATTAATGACGTTATTCCGTGTGATAATCTCGGCTTTTGAAGGTGAGATGTATCTAACAAAATCCTTCATTTCCATTGTGAGCCAATCGGCAATCTCCTTTTGTGTGGAATGGTCGTGATCCTTTATCCAAGGATATGATGAATTTGCTTCTGCCAGTAGCTCGTTTGTATTCTGCGAGTCATGCTCTTCATCGTGTTCATCGTCCTCGTCTGAGGACAGAAAGCCAAATTGGATAAAATCTTGATTGGTTGTCAACTCATTACTCTCTTGGTTTTCATGGCTGCTTTCAGTCAGATCTTTTATACTTTCGTTACTATCGCTGTCCCCACTGTTCTTCTCAGCATCACTGTCAACCAAGATCAACTCCTTCTCAGGTGATTGGCTCTTCCTGCTGTAGTCAAAAATGTAATCTGAATCCGAGTCATCATCCAGGTGAGGAAGCTTGATGAAGTTATTTTCGTGTTTTGGGCTTGTGGTGGCTGCAACGACATTGTTAAGCTTCTTCTGCCTCTTTTGGTCTCCTTTGCGGTCACTCCTTTCTCTTTGACGCTTGTTGCCCATGCTTTGGATCACACAATGCTTCTACATGTTGTGCTTCGGAAAAATCGATCAAAAGATGGCCTCAAAGATGGTAGCACGCTCTGCAAGTAAATGCCCATGAGAGAACAAGCGCATGGGCAAAAAGGTAGAGAGAGATACGAAACAAAGTCATATATACTGTATCACAAACGATTTCTATTCATGTATGCATTGATTACATGAGTGTCATACCCCTTTCCAATCATGCGCTCAACAACAACTTGACATCTCTCTGGAGGAAAGCAAATTCCTCATGCCATTGTCATCGCCCTGGTTCTCAGAGTACTGTCGTATGTATTCGTCACTTATACTGTCCACTATTTTTGTGAATAGCTGTGCTATACCGTCGTTAAGTTTAGAACTCGTCTCGTCATACGAAGCAATGACATTGTGTTTTGCCATGCACCCTCGTACCGCGGCATCCAAATCTGCCTTGTTACCTTTGAATAGATCTGCCTTTGTTCCAACAAGGCGTACCTCTACACCGTTTTCTGCCGAAGAAGAATTATTTAGTTCTAACTGCTGAATCCAAAACTCAGCTGTCTCCAACGTTGATTCCACATTGCTCATGTCGAAGCAAACCAACGCTGTCTTTGCATTCCGATAATACATTGGAGTGAGAGATCTATACCTCTCTTGACCTGCAGTATCCCATATTTCAAGATTGATCTTCCTATCTGGTTTATCGGGTGTGCTGTAGACTTTAGTCGTGAACGCCGCTCCAATAGTATTCGATGTTCGAGTATCGAAACGATTCGATGTGAATCTGTGAACTAGGGAAGTTTTTCCCACTGATGATTCACCAAGGACTACCACCTTATAAGAAGGATATTGTTTATTTTCTGACATTTGGGTAAATCAATGTTTCTCTAAAGTTGATGGATTATTATTTTAGTGTGGAGACGGAGATTATGCATATATCGAGCAAAAGTCTTCAATAATCGATGATATGTGAGTCCTTATAGCTAAAAACAATTGCGTTATAATGCAAACGGTGTTTACTCTTTGTCAGTGCTGGTAGAAATACTAGTGTAAACAGCAATGAAACTTTATTTCGTATTTCTATCCGAGTTTGCACGTGCCGTGTGTCAAGAAAATGTAAGTGACAAATGCGCTTCTTAGGTTCATCTCATTCTAACGTGTAATCATCTGCCATTTTTTATTGCCACTGAAGAAGCACACCTCGCTTGTATTACATTTCAAACAATTTAATTTGATCCAAAATAGCTAACAAAAGTCGCCCAAAGAAGGTTAGAGCTCCTTACAAGAGCTACAAATCGAGCTCCATTCTGGCAAAAGCTGATGATGATGAAGAGAAAGAAACAACAGTACATGCCACCAATACGAATAAGTTCAGGAATGGAATCGACGTTCGATCTATATACCATATACCAGGTACAAACCCAATTAAGGGAAAGGTTTGGCCCTTGAGTAAATTTGAAAAGATTGATGTGTTGCATTGTGCAATCAATGGCCAGAACTTAGACTACGCTGGCGTACAAGATCAAGAGCAACAAGCAAAGATGATGTCGTTTCCCTTAGAGATCTTCTATAGAATCTTTCAGATCCTTGATTCATGGGGCATGTTGCACCCTAAGTTTATGAGAGTTTGCAAATGCTTTTACTTGATGATCTTGCCAATACTTTATCAAACACCGCATTTAAGAGCTACAAACTTTTTCAATTTTGTGGAGACATTGTCAAATAACAAATCACTTGGAAATTTTATACAAACGCTCGATTTGGCTTATGTGATCCAGTCTGGGAAAAATGCGTTTGTTGCTCGGTTATTGAAACAGTCAAGAAAGAATTTGGAAACCTTTGTTGCGCCACAAACCAGTTTTGGTTTAGCACCTTTGATAGCTTTAAAAAACTGTCAAAACTTGAAGGTTTTGGATTTGAGGTTAGTCTCAGAGACTGTGAACTTGGCACAGCTTTTCCATTCGATTGAGAATTTGTCCCACTTGACCCATTTGTCTTTCCCTAGGTCGTCTATAGAGATTAGTGACTACGAAAACATTTCATGGCCACCGCATCTTACATTCTTGCGACTATCGGGTGGAATCAGCGACGACTTTTTATACCATTCAAAATTTCCTACACTGATAACCAACATGGAACTTGCACATTGCCCTGCCATATCAGATTTAGGTTTGAAGCAAGTGCTTTATCGAATTGGTCCGCAATTAATAACTTTAAAGGTACAATACCCAATGCCGGCATTGAAACAGAATACGCTTGATGAGGTGTTTTTCTTTTGTCCAAACCTTCGCGTGCTTGAAATTAGTGTTGATTATGTTTCTTCACTGTTTTTCGATGAACAATACTTGGGATATTTGGATTTTCTAAGACCATTGAGAACATTGTACATTAACAGCAGCGGGATGCTAGGTACTCTGACAAGACTTGATCCCATGGACTTGGCGGTGGCTCTTGATGATGGTAGATTGCCTTTGTTGAAGAATATTCAGTGTACGGCTAAGCTTGGATGGGACCCGAAGTCTGATGCTGTCGAATTCATTGTGAATAAATTAGATGAGAGAAAAGGCGGGTTGTATATAGGATACTAAATGGTGTTAGATGATGTGTAGAATTACTTATATTATGTACTACCTTGGTTTGCAAGAGAGATTCAAGTGAAGTGAACATGGGTGCACAATGCCCACAAGACTTCTCTGGAAGGAGTAGGTGACGTGAAAACGCATCAACGGGGATTCGGCTTTATCTCATTGCAGTGGCGCAAATTGCTCGTGTCAACAAAGTGTGCTTTATGTGTTGTACAGCTTGATAAACAAAACCGCGAACAAATTAGCTTCGCTTTCTCTAAACACCATTTATCCATGACTTTACAGATATTCCTACCTTCAACCGAGATCCACAACGAAACCTTGCATGAGGACTTGAAACGTACTGAAGCAAGGCGTGAAGTCTACTTTTACGAGAGTATAGAAGGATACATCGTCTGCAATGAAGAGAAGCGAAAATCAGATGTTATAGCCTTACATGCCAGCGTCCACACGCAAGAATCAAATAGAGATGCGAAATACGAATCAAACTTTGCTGAGCAAGATATTAGTACCAGCTTAACGTTAGACCTGGCTAATGTTGTATTTCATAGCAAAGAGATAACAGTTTGGAAGTTTAATCTCCCAGCCGTTCAACCACCAAACAAACGAGTTTCTGGGCCAAACCTACAACTTTCTTGTCGATTTATCGAGCACGCTGAACCAGGACTGGTACAAAATGAAGCTTTTGGTGATATAGTGTTGCCAGACTATAAACCATATACACAAGATATTGACCACCTGGATACTTTAGCGCCCGGTGATTCAAAAATCACCCACAATGAAACGGAGACCAACGGAAACAATGCTGTAAACGAAAACACTGGTCCCACAGCAGAGCTAAACATTCCAATAGTTATGGCTCTAGTCATAAAAATGAAATCGACTAAACCTGCTGGAAGGAACGGCATGTTATTGGTTGCTTTAACTATCGAGCGTTCAGAGGAAATGGCTGCAGCCCGTAAAAGAGTGGGAGATAAATTGTACTTCAATATCGAGTCCTTTGACCTAAGTTTGGATAGCTGTGCAGCCACCCCAATGAATGAGCAATTCCCATTGCGTATGGCATTCGACGACTCGGTAAATATTGTATACAAATTGGACAACAATGAGCAAATTGGAAAAGAGTCCACAAAGCAGGTATCCATAACAATGAATTCGACTGTTCAACGGAATGCAGACGGTGTCTATAAAGATGTAAGTGACCCCATTCGAACTAATTGGAGACCTTGCTTGGACCTTGGTTTGATTGCCCCACCAATCAATAACGCATTGAAGACTAATAACAATACCCCACACCTTCAGTCACAAATGAGTAATTCAGTTAATGGTTCAGGCAATCGGCAAAGGGCCGCGTTGAATACTCTATACAAAATGGAGAGTCCTACATTTTCAAGTTTAAATACAAATTCAGTCATTTCTAACGCAAAAAGAGCTAAACTGTTTGTGGCTAGAGAGGCTTCATCAGTAACGGTAAATCTATCCACCAATATCAATTCATCGTTGGCAGGTTTGAGACTTACATTTATAGGAAGATTGGACATGAAACAGGGCGTGGCGACGAAGTGGAAAATGCAGGCTATTAACAACTCAGTCAATAGATTGAATTTATCATTGCTTGTTCAAAATCCGATAAATTTCAATCCCATATACAGCAACGCCGCCCCGAACAACAACTTTTCATCATCAAACTTGCTCAACAACGGTAGCGCTCAAAAGGGCCAGGATATCATAATCTACAACAAGGCACAGCTCTACTCATTGTACAATACATTAAAAGTCAATGCTGACGCGAATGGAGTGGTAATAATGAATAATGATGTTAGAATTGGACCTTTGGATCCACAGACCCTGTTTGAAACAACCTTGACTTTGGTTGGTAATACCAAAGGTATCTTTAGTTTGGATGGATTGAAAATATTTGACGTTGCAACCTGTGACGGATTAGATTTTGGTAAACTTATAGAGGTTTTTGTAGTTTAATTAAAGTTGGACATTTATATAATCGCATAGAAGTATTCTTGTTGAACTCAAAGCTCTGATTGTTGACATAATAGAGGAAGCTTTTTCACTTTGCTCTGCTCTGAGTCGTTGGTATTTTCAGTCAACAAATTGGTGGTGGTAGTGTGGAGGCTCGAGTTACACAAAGTCGCCTAATTTTTCACCTTAATTTTGTAACCTGAAACTTATTGATGCCACTTGGCTCTACAATTAAAATACAACCACTCAATTAAACGGCACATAATTTTGTTAACTATATATGTATACATCTTTTCTTATTGGCATTGTTGCATACATCATTTACAAAATCACCATCACCATGTCAACCAATTTCGACAAAATTGTTAACGAACAACATTACCCTCAATGGAACCAAACACCACAAGAAGTGTTGCAACTTGCCAATGATCTCGCAGCAAAGGAGAAAAGCTTGTTTGATTCCATAGCATCAGTGGAAGATCCAACTATCGAGAATGTGTTGAATCCATTTACCAGGTTCCATAATGAAGCTGAATTTCCAACAAATCAAGTCCTGTTTTACCAACACGTTTCCGCTGACAAAGCTTTGCGTGATGCGTCAACCGAAGCCGAGCAAATTCTCGACCAAAGCTCAATAGAACAATGGTCAAGAACTGACGTTTACTCCGTGCTCAAATCTTTGAAGGAAAAGAACCTTCAATTGGATCCCGAAAGCGAACGGTTTTTGAATAAAACAGTGTTGGAGTTTGAGCGTAACGGATTGGCACTTCCATATGAACAAAGGGAAAAAGTCAAGAAATTGCAAGTTGAATTGAGTGATTTGAAAGTACAGTTTGCCAAAAATTTGGGAGAGGATACCGGTTGTGTATACTTTACAAAAGAAGAATTGGAAGGTGTACCTGAGGTGATTTTAAAACAATATGAGGAAGTTAAGCAAGACGGACAACCACCAAAATTCAAAGTGACATTTAAATATCCTGACATTATTCCATTGTTTCAACATGCATCAATTGGTCAAACCAGAAAGACTGCAAATATTGCATTTGGGAACAGGTCTTCTGAGAATGAGGCACTTTTGACAAAGATTATCAAGATTAGATTTCAAATCGCAAAAGAATTGGGATATGACTCATATGCAGATTATGCATTGGAAGTGAAGTTGGCAAAGAAGAAGCATACTGTCTTGGATTTCTTGAATGACTTAAGGACTAAGTTAACGCCTGTGGCTGAGTCTGAACTACAAGTTTTGAAGGATTTAAAGAACAAGGATTTAAAAGCACGTAATTTGCCAGTTGAAGATGAATTTTATTCATGGGATTTTGCTTATTATAACGAAAGGTTGTTGGAAGAAAAGTATCAAGTTGATAGTTTGAAAATATCCGAGTATTTTCCTTTGCAAAGTACCATCAAGAAAATGTTGGGATTCTATGAAACCATTATGGATGTGAAATTTGTCAAACTTGATCCCAAACCGGAGGAAGTTTGGCATGAGGACGTGGAAATGTATGCCGTGTTTAAAAATATCAAGTTCGGAACCTTGGAGTACGTTGGGGTTATATACTTTGACTTACATCCAAGAGATGGGAAATATGGACACGCGGCTAATTTTGGTATAGGTCCAGGGTACGTCAATTCAAACGGCACTCGCAAAAACCCTGAGACTGTGTTGGTTTGTAACTTTACAAAACCAACAAAGACTAGGCCATCATTGTTAAAACATGACGAAGTTGTTACATTTTTCCATGAGTTGGGCCACGGTATCCATAATATGTTGTCTCAGACAAAGTATGCAAAGTTCCATGGAACGAATGTGGAGCGTGATTTTGTTGAAGCGCCTTCCCAAATGTTGGAGTATTGGGTTTGGTCAAAGAACGAGCTCAAGCTGTTATCATCTCATTATGAGACAGGCGAGCCGATTAGTGATGATTTGATTGATCTGTTAATCAAAACCAAACACGTTAATACCGGCTTATCCAACTTGCGCCAATTGTTTTTTGGATTATTTGACATGTCACTTCATACTATCGAAAGCGAAGACCAGATTGACAAATTGAATCTATTCGACACTTGGAATACTTTGAGAAGAGAAATCACATTACTTCCTGATGGAAACAATCCCACAAAGGGATACTGCTCATTTGGCCACATTGCTGGAGGATATGAGAGTGGTTATTATGGGTATTTGTACTCGCAAGTTTTTGCTGCTGATATTTACTACACCCTTTTCAAAGAGGATCCAATGAATACGGAAAACGGTATTAGATACAGAGACATTATTTTGAAGCGAGGTGGTTCAAGAGAAATTATGGACAACTTGGAAGAAGTTTTGGGAAGAAAGCCCAACTCTGAGGCGTTCTTGGCTGAAATATTCGGCAAAAAGTCTCATTTATAGAATTCTATCTAGGTTTCTATATACACTTTACAACTATGATTCAAAAACTTCAAGTTTGGAAGTTCCTTCATCCCATGAAACTTCCGAGTAGGTGATTTCCTTGATGGCATCAATTACGTCTTTGACCGAGCCTCTAACCTGTTTTGTTGAATCTCTTTCTCTCAAAGTGACTGATTCGTCTTTTACTGATTCGAAATCAATGGTGATACCAAAAGGAGTACCCAACTCATCATTTCTGGCATACCTCTTCCCAATTGATGCAGAAGAGTCATCAACCTTGAATGGGATTTTTTCCTTTCTCAAAACATTTGAAACTTTCTTTACAATCGGTTGAAGTTCGACACTGTTAGATAATGGCACCAATAACACCTTGGTTGGTGCAACAATTGGTGGAAGAGACAACACACCTCTTTCAGCATCGTCACCTCTGGCCCAAAATTGATGTTCAAAAATTGAGTAAAGTATACGACCGATACCAAAGGAGGGTTCAATAACGTTGGGAATGTACTCTCTAATATGTTCGGTTCTCTTTACCTTTTCGATGCTAATAAGATCCGAATCCAACTCAATATTTCCTTCAATACCCTTGATTTGAACGTTAATTTTACCGTCCTTTTTCAACTCTTTACCCAAGTCTTCTAATTCACATTGAGTCCTTGAAACAAGCCACTTTTCAACAACACCAGCATCTTTTCTAAACCTTGGTCCAAACTTTTTCTTTGCGATTTCAATCTCAAATTTTTCAACAACCCGTGGTTCAGCCAATGGTTGCCTAACAACAAGTTTCTCGCCAGTTCTTGCTGCATGAACAGATAAATCGTAGGCTGATCTATCGGCACAACCGACACACTCAATCCATCCATAGGAAGTTTCCAATTCGGCATCCCAGCAGTCAGATGCGTAGTGAGCCATTTCGTTTGACATGTGCTGTCTAAATCTCAATCTAGAAGGGTCGGTACCAATTTTGGTCAAAAACAAATAGATTCTAGCAATGAAATAACCCAATGTTTCATTGTCAACCATACCAGAACCGACTGCCTCTCCAATAGTCTTTTCTATAAGTTCATTTGAACCAGATTCTTGAACTCCTTTGGGCAAAAATTTCAATTTTAAGTCCTTTACTGCGTCAAATTTCGCATGGGACTTATCTTCAGGATCAACAAAGTGTTCGATTTCTGCCATCAAAAATTCACGAACTCTCAACAACCCAGCTCTTGGTGCGATTTCATTACGGAAAGACTTTCCAATAGAGGCAGAGGCGAATGGCATCTTGTCGTTGTTGAACTCCAACAACTTACTGAAATTTAAAAATTGACCTTGCGCAGTCTCTGGTCTCAAATATGCTTTCAAATTTCCAGATGGCCCAATTGCAGTATCGAACATCAAATTAAATTCAACTGGTGGTTCCAATTTACCTCCAGTTCCGGGATTGGTAATTTCAAACTTTGTAATCAACTCCCCCAATTCTGGACCAGAATATCCATCAATTTGAGCAAGAACGTTTTCGTACTCCTCGACAACTTTATCATCCAATTTAACGTGTTTGATTTCCTTAACCTTCTTCTTTCTCTTCTTTTTGTTCTCATCATCCTCTTCCTCATCCTTGATGTTCTCTCCTCTTGCTAATTTGTCTCCCTTTAATCTTGATTCCAATACCTCCTCAACCAAATGATCCGCTCTGAAAATTTCTCCACTTTTCAAATCCTTACACATCCAATCAGAGAATCTGTCCACATGACCGGAGGTCTTGAAAACTTCATACGGTGTCAACATTGTTGCTTCCACTTCCAACATGTCCTCCTCCAAAATGAAATGTTTTCTCCAAGCATCAATTATATTATTTTGGAAAGCACACCCTGGTGGACCGAAATCGAACAATCCTGCAACACCACCATAAATTTCAAATGAAGGTGCGTAAAAAAATCTTCTTTTCAATAGCTGTTCCAACGATTCCCTTGAAAAGGGGACATTTGTTTCCTTTGCACCCGCCATTCTCGACACTCTTGATAAGTTTCTGATAAAATTGAAGGCTCTAATTTTGACCAGTGTTAGGTTTGCTATGACTAACCAAAATGTGGCCGGACTTTCGATTTTTTTTTTTTTTCAGCCCATTTTTTCCACTCTGGCATTAGATTTTAATGCAACTTTGCACGACATAGAACGTGAGATTTATTGGTGATACTTTACTCGATTTGGCCATGTGTTGCTATGCAATGTTGATAGCTGGCTATGAAATTCTTAGTGAATAGACGTAGGTCAATTTCATCCTATTTAAGAGATACAGATGCCATTATCTTTTCAAATGGATCACATTGTATGTGTACTTCTTGGTCCACGGACGGAAAGAAAAAAAAAAAGCTAGGTGAAAAATTTCAGAAACCACATCAAAGTCTTCTTCAATCAATATTCTTTAACAACCATGCCTATGCGTTTGAGAGCTGAAAAGCGTATGAGAAAGTTGCTTCTCGAGCAACTCAAGGAACGTCAACAACATGGTGCCAGGATTGCACAGGGACATAAGACTAAAGATGACTTAATAAAGTTAAATTTGGGTCCGCAAGTGTTTGTTTTCAAAAATTTATTCAGTGGTCAGATATTGTATTCCCAGGTACCTGCTTACCATCAAGAACAAATAGATGCACAATTTCTCAATCCAAATTGGCAAAATAGAAAACCTTCCAGAAGACAAGATTTATGGAAGATAATGTGTGTTGCAAATTTTGACAATTACGAATATGCAACTGCAGCGTACCAAGGATTGCTAGATCTCAGAAAGGCAAGGGACATATCTCAAAAGAAAAAATCCAACGAGTTACGGAAGAAGAACGATGATGGTAACGTGTGGTTTTCAGGACAGTATAGACCTACGTATTCACAAGAAGCCGTAGCGGACTTGGCCCATGTAATTGATGAGTTTGAATTGGAAAAGACAAAATTATTTTGGGAAAATGAATGGAGAAGAGGAGAAGATAAACATTGGAGAGTCGACTTGGTTGAGCATGACAAATTGCCCGTGTTCAATCTCAAGCATCAAACGGTATTGTTGGATGTTATGAGATCCAAAGCAGTTGAGGCGTTTGCTCAAGAAAGGGCGAAACAAGCAAAGCTTGGAAGCGAACAAGATTCGGACGCTGTATTTGCTTGAGGGAAAGGGAATAGCGTGTAAATAGATTGGTAATTCATCAATGTAGGAGGAATTTGTTGTAAACGATTACTTATTACTACTTTAGGGCATGTCACGTGAGTCGGTTTAACTTTCCCGCTCAGTGTATCGGATATTTCAAATTGTGGCATCACTCGAAGAAAAAGTGTGTCAAACATATCCGATCAAAGAGTATGATTATGAGACACTCAATCCTCACGCTTTGCGCGATGCTCCTTCGTAAGTTTAATGACTCAATACACTCACACATACACACACTTCGATTTAAAAAAAAATTGTGTACGTATGCATCTTTTGATTCGTAAAAGCATCATCGGGCCACAATTTTTTATTTTTCTTTTTTAATGACCGCCACACTTTGAGAAAAATTGAAATTCCACATTACGGACGGCCGCTCTTGAAGCAAAAAGAGAAAAAAATAGAATAGAATGGGAAAATTTTTGTCAGCTTCAAAGCACAGCAAATAAATCTGGACTCATCGTTCATATAACGCAATGGATTTCTGTTACAACAAGCTGATGGGGAACGGTGCTGTTGCTAGTAAGTTCAAATTAACGAATATGGTTCAGTTGAACCAATCGAACGTGAGGACACCTATTGCTCCAAAGAGGAGTTTGGAGGAGGCTGAGAGCTCCACGATTTCACAAAGTACGAATGAAAGCAGCACTAAAGATACTGAATCCCCATTGAAAAGCATGGAAAACCCCTTAACTCATCACCCCAGTAATTGCAATCGTTGCTACAGGTTGAAAAAGAAATGTTCGAGAACTTTTCCCAAATGTTCCCATTGTGAAAGGACAGGCTCAGAGTGCGAGTACGTTGATAGGACCAAAAAGAGAAAGAAACCGGCGGAAAAATCAGGGCAGGTGAGCAAGTCAGATGGCCAATTAATCCATATTGCTAGTGCGGAATCAACGCAAGCCGGAGTGGTTGCTCATAAATTGATATCAGTGTCTTCCTTGCTCGTGCCTGATCAAAGTGATGACCAAGTAAAGAATAGAGAAAAATCCAAGCATAGAAAGATAGCAACGGCCGCATTAGCATCTTCTGCTCGTCGAGCACAAGATAAGGAAAAGCAACACGAAGAGAAAATAAACTACAAATCCACTCAACAACCAACGCTTTCCAATATTCAAGAAGAGTTTATCACCATGAAGGAAATTAAAGAGGAAAACTTGCCCTTGATTTTTGCGCTCAATTATTTCAACAACTTTGGTCACAAGTACCCGTTTATCAACAAATATTTGTTTCTCGAGAAGTTGAAAAAGATTGACTTTGCCAAGGATTCGATTGTAAATTTGGACGTATACTTACTTTTGAGCATTGGATGCATTTTGCATGATGCTAAGACTCAATCTTCCCACTATTCGGAATACTTTAAAACAAAGAGCATATACAGTATCATAGATGTTTTGGACTTGTCATTTGCATCCTATAACGAAGAAAGCATGCATCTTTTGTTATTGTTGTCAATATATGGTTTAACAACATTAAACAATGAGATGGTATGGAACTTGGTGGGATTGTTGAATAGAGCAATTTTGAAGTTTGATTTGTTCAAGAAGCTCGACAATGTCCTGATTGAGCGGGTATTTTGGACAGTGCACAATTTGGATAAGGAAATTAGTCTTGTTGCCATCAAACCATCGCAATTCCCAAAATACACCTACTTATCAAAACAAGATATAGATAACACCTTTTACGAGGAAGAGAATTTGTCCCTTGTGAAACACTACATTGCTCTTGGCAAAATTCAGGACTCTATAGTTGATGCTGTTTTATCCCACTCAAACGAAAATCTCAGACAAATTTCTCGTGATTTAGGATCATGGGTCTCAAGTTTCACCAAAGACATTAGCTTGAAATATGTTTCACAGCCCAATTTGCAGGAGCTTATACCTTGGGCTAACATACAAAGTTACTTCTTACAAACAGTCATGGACCAAGTCTCCACAACCAAGAGTTTTCAATTCCCATCTAACTTCATTTTCCACTCTTTTACATCGTTGATATCCGCATCTGACAAATCAATGACAGCAAATAATAAACACAACACTAAACTTGCAATAGTTTCGTCTGGCATCTGGTATGCTCAGCTTTTTGACGTTCTAAATTACAGCACTGATTCGTTGGTTCATTTCTTGAAATCTGATAGGGCGGATGCCGGCTCTAGGGTAAAAGAGTTTAATGAGTTTCTACAGCAGGATTTGAATTTGTTAAAATATATAAGAGGGTTTAGATCATTGCTTCATCTAGAAGGTTATCAGAAATTGTCGACAAAGATCAACGAAACGATTGAGGTCTTGGAACAGTTGAGCATTGTCTTGCTAGGGTTTGAGGAAGATGGAGATAATCCGAAAGTGTTGAGTATTCTTCAAGAAGTCAAACAAAAGGTTGGACATTCTCTATAGATTGTATTTTAATATATGTTTTATGAGTAATTGAATCAGCTAAAGATTAGTTTTGTGTTTACATTCTATCTGCTTGTCTTTAGAAGAGAGGGACAAAACTTCGAAACAATGATATGAAAACATTGGAAACTTTACAACACCTTACTGTACAAGGACATTGTGTTTGTACAATCACTTTAGCCGGCGTTTTTCACACCTTTCAGTTGTCGCCACATCAATAATGCCATTCAATGCCATAACAAAACGTTTATTTTCTAGTACAACGAAAAGAGCTCAAATCATAGCGTCACAGATAAAATCGAATGAGGTGAATGCAGACAAAATTCTCCAGCGCAAATATCGAATTATTGATCACGAATATGATTGTGTTGTTGTTGGCGCTGGTGGAGCGGGGCTACGAGCGGCTTTTGGTTTAGCAGAGGCTGGATTCAAAACTGCTTGTGTGTCAAAATTGTTTCCCACCAGATCGCACACAGTTGCTGCACAAGGTGGTATAAATGCAGCTTTAGGAAACATGCACCCTGATGATTGGCATTGGCACATGTATGACACAGTTAAGGGGTCAGATTGGTTGGGTGATCAAGATGCTATTCATTATATGACAAGAGAAGCACCGGCCTCTATATACGAATTGGAACATTATGGAGTACCATTTTCAAGAAATGACAAAGGTAGGATCTATCAAAGAGCATTTGGTGGCCAGACTAAAGAATACGGCAAAGGTGGCCAGGCTTATAGGACATGTGCAGTGGCAGATCGTACTGGACATGCGTTGTTGCATACTTTGTATGGCCAATCATTAAATCATGATTGTCACTTTTTTATTGAATTTTTTGCAATGGATTTGTTGATGCAAGATGGTGAGTGTGTGGGTGTAATTGCTTACAATGAAGAGGATGGTACTTTACATCGATTCAGAGCACATAAAACGATTATAGCAACTGGTGGGTACGGTAGAGCTTACTTTTCATGCACCTCTGCTCACACCTGTACGGGTGATGGATATGCAATGGTTTCCAGAGCTGGTTTGCCATTAGAAGATTTGGAGTTTATTCAATTCCACCCTTCTGGTATCTACGGATCCGGTTGTCTTATCACTGAAGGTGCAAGAGGTGAAGGTGGATTTTTGATCAACTCCGAAGGTGAGCGATTTATGGAGCGTTATGCTCCCTCAGCCAAAGATTTGGCGTGTAGGGATGTCGTTTCTAGAGCCATCACCATGGAGATCAATGAAGGTAGAGGTGTAGGGCCAGAGAAGGATCACATGTACTTGCAATTGTCACACATTCCAGCTGCTGTTTTAAAAGAACGATTGCCAGGTATTTCAGAAACTGCACACATTTTTGCTGGTGTCGATGTCACAAAAGAACCTATTCCTATCTTGCCCACAGTTCATTACAACATGGGAGGTATCCCCACCAATTGGAAAGGTGAAGTTATCACCAAGGATGCTGATGGGAAGGATAAAGTTGTTCCAGGGTTATTGGCTTGTGGGGAAGCAGCGTGTGCATCAGTGCATGGTGCCAACAGGCTCGGTGCAAACTCGTTATTGGATTTGGTTGTATTTGGTAGAGCAGTTTCGCACACAATAAGAGACCAATTGACACCTAATACTCCATTGAAACCAATGGATGCTACTTTGGGTAAAGAATCGATTGAAAATTTACACAATTTGCGTACTGCTAATGGTTCGAAATCGACAGCAGAACTCAGATTGGATATGCAGAAGACAATGCAAAGAGGTTGTGCCGTGTTTAGAACACAAGACACTTTGGACACTTGTGTGAAACACATCAATGAGGTTGACAAAAATTTTGTCAATGTGAAAACCACTGATCGTTCAATGGTCTGGAATAGTGATATGGTAGAAACGTTGGAATTGCAAAATTTGCTTACATGTGCCACCCAAACAGCTGCTGCAGCTGCAGCTAGAAAAGAGTCAAGAGGCGCCCATGCTAGGGAAGATTTCCCGGAAAGAGACGATTTGAACTGGTGGAAACACACATTGACTTGGCAGCTGGGGTGTGGATCGGATGTTAAAATTGACTACAGAGATGTCGTTAAGCATACATTGGATGAAGCTGAATGTAAATCGGTGCCACCAACTGTCAGAGCTTATTAGGAACACTTGTACATAGAATATGCGCTACCATTGTGAATTTTTTACGGGACGAAAAAGAAAAAGTATATTCAACACAGAGAGATTTATTTAATCGCCACTGAATAGTAAAACTCAATTTCTTTCTCTCAAATTTCACACAAACAAACATGCCACCAAAAGCCGATTGGGACAAATACGTTGCTCCGGCAGAGGATGAGGAAAAGGAGCAAGAAAAGATTGTGCCATTGTCAGAAAGCGATATTCAAGTTTTAAAGACGTATGGTGCAGCTCCATATGCATCGACCATTAAGCAGATTGAAAAAGACTTGAAAGATGTCGAAGAGAGAATAAAGGAAAACATAGGTATAAAAGAAAGTGATACAGGATTAGCTCCGACACATCTTTGGGATGTCTTGGGTGATAAACAGCGAATGCAAGAGGAGCAGTCTTTACAAGTTGCCAGATGTACCAAAATTATAGAGCCCGTGCAACAAGTGGTAACCACACCGGGATTGCAGAATGCCGATACCAGATCCAAATATGTCATAAATATCAAGCAGATTGCCAAATTTGTTGTTGGATTGGGAGAAAGGGTATCACCAACCGATATTGAAGAAGGAATGAGGGTTGGTGTTGATAGACACAAGTATGAGATTCAATTGCCACTACCACCAAGAATTGATCCCTCAGTAACAATGATGACAGTGGAAGAGAAGCCAGATGTGACGTATAGCGACGTTGGTGGATGTAAAGAACAAATTGAAAAATTGAGAGAGGTTGTTGAGTTGCCATTGTTGAGTCCGGAACGATTTGTCAAGTTGGGAATCGATCCGCCAAAGGGTATTTTGTTATATGGACCACCAGGTACTGGTAAAACCTTGTGTGCTAGAGCAGTAGCTAACAGAACCGATGCTACATTTATTAGAGTCATTGGGTCTGAGTTGGTACAAAAATATGTTGGTGAAGGTGCTAGAATGGTTAGAGAATTATTTGAAATGGCCAGGACTAAGAAAGCATGCATTATATTTTTTGACGAGGTTGATGCAATTGGAGGTGCTAGATTCGATGATGGTGCCGGTGGTGATAACGAAGTGCAAAGAACAATGTTGGAATTGATTACCCAATTGGATGGGTTTGATCCAAGAGGTAACATCAAGGTTATGTTTGCCACCAATAGACCAAACACTTTGGATCCTGCATTATTGAGACCAGGAAGAATAGATCGTAAAGTTGAGTTTTCGTTACCAGACTTGGAAGGACGTGCCAACATTTTCCGAATTCACTCGAAAACAATGAGTTGTGAAAAAGATATTAGATGGGAACTAATATCAAGATTATGTCCTAATGCTACAGGTGCGGAATTAAGATCTGTTTGTACTGAAGCTGGTATGTTTGCCATTAGATCGAGAAGAAAAGTTGCTAATGAAAAGGATTTCTTAAAGGCAGTTGACAAGGTTATCAAGGGTAACTTGAAATTTAGTTCAACTAGTGAGTACATGCAATATAATTAGTATTGATTACAATGGGGGCATTACAAGGAAAAAACACAAATGTGTCTTCTTACTTTACTCTATTTCCCTAATCCCACCATGAAACACATCCAAGACCCGAGAGTTGACAGGATGCAATTATACTATATGGCGGCACCTTATTCGCCGGTTCTTCGATTCCTATGGCTTCATTGGAACTTTTCGGTTTCACATTGTAAAACACCTCTTTTTCCACCTTGAATCGAATTTTTTCATCAACATCAATAAACAATTCTGTATCAGCTGAATTCCATACCCAAGCCAGTTCGCTTTCTTTAAATTCACAGTCTTCAAATAAATAATCAGCCGGGATCCAAATATCATCGAAAAACTCTAATCGTACCTTGATACCAGTAGCTTTACATTCAGTCACCCAACCAGTCAATACTTCACCAACAAATGGTTTGAATACAATGCATCTAAATCTTACTTCAACATATGATCCGCCATCTCCTGGTTTTAGTAGTCCGTCTTTTATATCGAGCAAATCCCATATGGTGATAACGACCCCTAGCTTGGGGACAACTTTGTTGGCATATTTCTTGTTGAGCTCGTCGGTGATTGCATGTTGAATAGGGATGTTGAATGTGTGTGGTGGGATCCGTATTAGATCATTGATTTCTGATAGTATAAACATGAATGGAGGGTTGTGGGGCAAAGATGGGGAGGAGGCGTCGTTGGTTGGTGTTGTTGATGTCTGGAAGATGATCTTTTGGTGATGCGATGAAGGATGTAAGGAAGAAAAAAAAAAAAATAAAATAAAATAAAGTTGACATAAACTGGAGTAGCTAACAGTGTTACTCGACTACATACGCAATGGCTCCGAAAACAGGTAGTCCCTACAGAGTGAGCAAGCCACAGGTGAACGTATTGGATGGGAAACATATTAGTGCTAAGAAGGCGGCAAGTTATCTACATTCTGTTCGTCAACAGCAACATCAATTAAAGGGTCCACCCACTATCACGTCTCTGACAACTGGCACCGGTGGTGCTCCAGCCACACAAGAGCCATCATGGAACCCGAAACATTTCCGTTTATTTGTTGGCAATTTGGGCCCTGATGCCACTAATGATCTTTTACGTGGTGCATTTGGTAAGTACACAAGCATGAGTAATGTGCATGTTCCCATGGACAAGCATACAAAGAAGCCCAAGGGATATGGCTTCGTTGCGTTTGCTAATGCCGATGACTACCTACAAGCTTTTAAGGATATGGATGGAAAGTATATTGGACAATTCCCTGTCCAATTGAAACGTGCTGAGTCAAGTGTTCCAAAGAAACACAAAAGTAAGGGCAGAAGGTGAGCTGAAGAGAGAGAAAAAAAAAAAAAACTGGTGGTGATGGAAATATTTACCAGACATCAGTTTGGTATTACTGCCCACTATGTATCGCGTTGGATTCAGGAACCTACTTATTATAGGGACAAAAACACACCCTATAGCATTTGCTCCCATACGAAGTCGCTTCCTTCCATTGACAATTGCTAGATTCAAATCAAACCTACCTCAATCTAACTCATCAAACAATGGTAATAAAAAAGACAATGAAGCCCAAAATGGTACTTTAAATGATTCACAATTGCCTACAAATCCAAACGCCGGTAAGCAATTACCTTCGAAAAGTGAATGGGAGAATTTGAAACTCCATATACCTGGCGAACAAGTACAAACCAATACGGCTAAAGACCGTGTACCTAAATTCCCACTAGGCAAAGAAAATGTACCAACATTATTGCCTCGACCTGGTGTGCCTCAAGTGGGTAAACATTACACTTTTAAACAAGTGATTAATATTTTGAAAAACAAGAAGCAACCAGAACTCATTTATGAAAGTGAACCACATCGATTATATTTCCTAATGTGTTTTTGTTTATCAATAATGTTTACCATTTATGCTTGTGTTTTATTTGAATGGGCATTTTGGATATCACGTAAGGAATATGATGAAAATGAAAAAGAAGAGACTAATGAAGCATTGAGAAATCGAGATTGGGCGCTTTCATTAGCAATGTATTTGATTCCATCAATCACCATGTTTGTTGCTGCTGCTGGTGCTGCCATTTTCCCCACAAAATTAGTGAGAAGAATGTGGTATTTGCCTGGACCCAAAGAATACATCAAGTTTACTTCGCATCCATTGATTCCAGGTAGACCAACGCCGGTGTATACTGTTCCTTTGGAAAACTTGAGTCGTCGTAAAACCGCACGTGTTTGGACCGGTAAAGGATTTTATGGAACGTCTGATAAAGGGTTCTTTTTCTTTGTGTTGCGAGAAAAAATTTCGTCCATGAAACTGAAGAGCTGGGTTATTGATAGAAAGGGGTTTTTCTGGTCTGATGGAAGAGTATTTGATTATTTATTTGGCAAAGAAACGTTGCAAGAAGCAGAAGCAGGTGTACCTTATGATGCACAAGTTGGTATCATTAATCGTGAAGTGAAAAAGAAGAAGGAGAAGTTGAAGCAACAACATGGAATGTTTTGGAGGTATAAGTTGATGTTGGGTGAAATGAAGCTGGATGTGAGAAAAGTAGGTGGGTATTTGACTGGTGGTGAGACAAAGGGCGGCAAGAATGAAAGAAAACAGTTGCCTAGAAAGTGATGCGTTGTGTGTGTGTGTGTGTGTGTGTGTGTGTATATATATATATGTATATATTGTAAATAGACTATTGTTCATGATATGTATTTAAGTTTACATATCTACATTGTTGAACATGTGTTGCCCTAAAACAAGGCAAAATTATTTCAAATGTTCACTATTGCTAGTCAATGGGGACGTAAAACATGTCCGATATTAGTGCACATGTGTCTGTTTTCTTGTGCCAACGTTCAGCGATGTATATATATATATATATATATATATATATATATATAACTGTGGTATAGAGTCCTGATAAAAAGTGTATATGCAGATGTGTCAAAGAAGATTTTATTTTTGCGTCACACAACACAACACAACACAACACATGCGCATAATCACCCAAATCTATGAGCCTAAGAAGAGAAGCAATACTAAATAACAAGGCATAAAAAGGAATGTGATGAGGTTTAAACCACAATTGGATTAAGATTGGCAGCAGTGTATACTTGCTTTTAATCGTCTACAGTTTGTTAAGTTTATACTTAGTATTGTATTGTATTATTCCTGCATATAATTTACTGATGATAAATGGACAAATTAACATACACAATACGCACACAGAGTGTCTTCTCCTCTTTTATTTTTCTCAAGAGTTTGTTTATATGCAGTACTCACTATCAAGTCTAATTACACCATTTTATATCTCGCCTCCCCACCCCAATCATCCACCCCCAATTGATAAGGCTTTATTTGCACCAACGAAGTTGGTAATTGGTAATTAGATACTCATAAGATTATGCTGTAATACTTTTGTTGTTTGACCTCACATTCGATTGTAGCTAAAAGAATGAATGGTAGTGTATATGTGCACAATTATATGTGTAAGAATACGCAAGAAGGTATTTTGTGTTACTATTGAAGTAAGAATTTCACTATGTCTTTGTCTTTGTCTTTGTCTTTGTCTCTCCTTCTGTCTCTCTTTTTTTATTTTATTTTTTCAACAACAACAACAACAACAACGAAACCGACAAAAGCAAAAAAACTTTCCACTTTACTTTTCTTCATTTAATTCTACCTTGTTTTTTTTTTTTTTTTTTTTTTATTCGCCACCCACTTTTTTCAATAAAGGAGACTTTAATTGTTTCCCAAAGATACTACATTCATTTCATAGAAGAACCGTTACTAAGCACCGGCAATTGATACAACCTATAAAACATTGCTAAACAAACAATTCACTTTTCATTATTCCTTTTGAGGGCTGAACGGAGTTTTTTTATTTTTATTTTTCGAATTTTAATTTAATTCTTTTTTTTTTTCCTTTGTTTCGTTTTGTTCACTTGTGCTGTATTCGGTCTGATCACATAGACACGCCACTACTAAACTAAGTCCACATATCTGCAAAATCTACATTTGCCTTATAACGTTGTATATCAACCATCATATATCCATCATGGTATCAACAGCAACTTTGAAGAAACATACTTCAGCTAAACCATCTACTCATACCAAAAGAAAGTTGAATGAGTTGGGTGACATTTCCAATACTCCTATCCATAAACAACAAAAGCAGCAACAACAGCAACAACAACAACAACAACACAACCACCCTCGTCATCATAGTTCTCACAATAGTTCATGGCAGCGTCGACAGCGACAACAACTGACTAACCACTTGAAATATCTTGGGGATGACGACATAACTGCACCAAAAAATAAGAAAACAGCTTCTGCTTCTAGTACATCCACCCCTGATAAGCCGATAACTAGACTGAACCTGAAACTTCACCTTTTGCCACAACACAAGCAAGAACAAGAGGCAAAAGAGAAGCAACAACTAAAATGCAAGATTAAGCGCCAACTTCACCACACTACGGAACACGACAACTATACTCATCGAGTAAAACAACAACGGCAAAATTCACAAACACCACCAGGTATGAATCTGGAGGAAGAGTATATGTTGCAAGAAATTACCGCCAAACCAGACTACTTTGACTCTACAACATCGACCCATATGAATGACTGCGAATCTCAAGAACAGTGCTACCAACATAGGCGTAGCAAGTCTGTCACTTTTAAATTACCACATGATGAAGTAAATGGTTTTGAAAGTTCACCATTGTTGACACCCAAGAATGATGATGATAGCGATGTCGAGGAAGAAATATTAGCTAGGCACAAGCAACAGTTGCATTTGCAAAAGGAGCAAGAAATGGTATCCGTGTATCCATCGACTCCGCCAGAATCGTTCCAACATGAAGAAGAAGAAGAAGAAGAAGAAGAAGAAAGAAATGTGAAGATGGATGAAGTAGAAACATCACCATTGGAGCAGATTTTCTCACCCCAATCCCAAACAATAGCTCCGGAAGCTAAATCTGAATTACAACCGAAATTTGAACAGCAACCACCACCACCACAACAACAACAACTGTCTGATTTAGTATCAAACAATACCGACTATATAACCCTTGCATCAACGTTGCCACTAATTCAAAACCAACGCAACCAAATTGAACAAGAAATTGTACAATTATCACAACTAAAGTCAAGATTCAATACATCTTCAAAAGAAGAAACAATTGCATTTGTAACAAAGCTATTACAAGGTGAAACTGGATTACCTAAACCTACACCCATTGTAACTTGCCCCTATATACATTGGGAAAAATATCATCCTACCTTGTCCCGTGTATCAATGGATTTACAAGCAGAATCAAATAACTCAAATGGAAAAGATCAACCATTTAAGTTCGTCATTTAGTGTGCATGTGTGATTGTTTAGCTTTTAGTGTAACCCCTACCCCCCCCCCCCCCCACTTTTTTTTTACCCAGCACTTGTGTAAAGTATATAAAAAATGAACAAAAAAAGACCACCAAATTATGGCCTAGCTTTCGTAGACATGCCAAAATAAAAAAATATTCCCTTAAGATCCTATATAGCTTGAAAATAACTACTTACACAGCAAATTCAACTTCAACCACTTTTCACTAAATTGCTATTCTCGTCATCGTCATCACTATCATCAACCAGAAACGCATTATCAGTAGTGGTCTGTGTAGTTGAACCACCAGAACCAGCACCAGTACCAGCACCAATGGTCTTGTTCCCACTAGCAGAATCATGATGAGCTCCCTTTCTAGAGTCATCAACTACGTCACTTGACATTCTAGGACGACGAGGTAAATTAGGCGTGGTTTCTGGATCTTCCTCTTCATCATCATCATCATCATCATCATCACCATGGGCATCATCTTTTTTCTTGCCTCCTTTCTCCGCGTTCCCGCCACGACCAATTTGCTTACTCTTTTTCGCATCCTCCAGTTTCAAATTATCTTTATCAGTAATGGTAATTTGGTCTTGGAAATCACCAGTAATGATCTCAGGATCTTCATCAAATCGAGCACGATTGGTTTTGTTTCTCCAGTCATCATAGTATCTTCCACCACCTAAATTGCCAAAATTGTTGCCACCATCACGATGTGATTTGCTGCCAAATTGTTGACGTTGTGGTGGACGACGTTGAGAACCGGTAGCGCCGCCACCGCCACGTCTTTCATTGCCATGATCAAACTCATCATAGTCAAATTCGTCATTGGCACGATCGTATTTGGAATTGGTTCTGTTGTTGTTATTGTTGTTGGCTCCACTGCCAGCATTATCGAATTTCTTAGCAAGACCTGAAACCCATCCATTAATTGTTGTTCTTGCTTCTTCTAAACCTTGAGTAAAAGTTTCTTTTATAGTTTCAAATTCATCTGGTGATTCATCGTCATCATCAAATCCATCATCATCATTATTACGACGACGTTCACGACTTGAACGTGATCTCGCTGCCACACCTGCTCCCCCTCCTCGATTACTTCTTTCTCCATGATGTTGCCTTTGTCTTGCTTTTTCCTCACGCCTACGTCTTTGTCTCTCATCTTCCAACTCAAATTCTTTTTGCAATTTACGTGCCAATATCTCATCATCAGTAAAAGTATGCGACGTATCACTAGGAGCTCTACTTCTGACTAATCCACTTCCAAAAGCTGCACGTGGATTACTTGTAGGTTGATGTTGAGGATAAACTGGGATATCGGGTTTGAAAGTTGGATCAGACAAGTAAAGTAATGCACCAAATGCTGGTTCGGGATTACCTTGAGATGCAATAAGCACAGCTGTGATAATCTTGTCATCAGTTTGTGGAAATGCATCTTTTAAATCTTGAACAATTTGCTCAACTGGGTCCTTGGGTCTTTTTGGTGGTACTGGTGGAGCTGCTTCCTCAGTGGTAGTAGAAGTGGTGGTTGAAGGGTTGGAATCGGTAGATTGTGCCTTGTTTGTTGCATTTTTTGTCGCAACATCCTTCGGTTCGTCAGCAGTAGAGTCCTTCTTCTCATTATCATCACCAAGTGGTATATCTTCAATAGGTGCTTCTTCTTTTGCATCGCCTTTAGCCGTGTCTTTGTTTTCTGGCACCTCCTTTGAAGTTGCTTCACTAACTCCGCTGTCTTTAGTCTCCTTTTTTCCCAGTTTCGTATCATCAATTGAATCCAATGGTTGGGCAGATACTGCCTTTAAGTCGTCTTTCTTAGCCTTTGCCATATTCGAAGTGCAAATGATATAGTTCAAGTATGGTTATGGTTTTGGTTGTACAATGGTTCGTTGACTTGAGCTCTTTTTTTTTTTTTGTGGCGAGCAGTTTCGACGTCATTTTTCTGGAGATTTAGGTCGATTATTGCGCCGCACTATAATGTTTGCAAACTCTTGAGGTTAACACCAGACCATCACGATTGATTGCTACAAGGTTCTTGGATGACAGAAGAACACCGCGATTTCTTTGAAATTAAGTTTGGTGGTGTCTGACACATTATCATAGGATCTCCTATTGATGAAAATTTTGGCTATAGATTTGTTGCAACTGACGTGTACAGTAACCGTAGTTGATTTCTACAGTAATCGAAAGAGGGAGTCGAGCTTCTTGGTGTGTGCTTGATGCTCTCTTTGTTGTCTGAGTTGTTTACTGGGTTTGCCAATTTCGTATTGAACCAGTAGCTACAAAGTTTGACCACAGTACACGCCCTCCTCCATCTCTCTCGCATAAAATTATTCTAGTGAAATTTTTCACCCTTCAATTATCTTTTGATTCCTTTTTCCTCTTCTCTTTGATAGTATTTATTTTAAATAACTCCGACAATTGCTAGAGCTTTATATTTGTAATATAGATGAATATAGAGTGTGGACAGCGGAGGAATATCAAAGAAGAAGGAATGGGGAATTGGACAATTAATGTTCATACCCCATCACCCTTGGAAGAATCTGTCATTTGAATCGAATTTGAATATGATTCGAATTATTTTATCTTTTCAAGTGCAGACTCACATTTGAATGGTCAAGTTAAAAGAGTTGTAGAGGTATTTATACATTGTATTGCGATTATTCAAAATTTTGTTTCCAATCAATCTATGATACAAATTATCCCATGTGAGGGTTGATATTCTCAATGGTAGATGTCCCTTCATCGAGATGGATGTCTCAAATTGTGCAGTACGAACCGTTTCTTTCCTTATAATAGACAATTAGCCCTCCGTTTTTGCTTCTCACGATGACGCAGATGCCAATTCTTCCCTCCTTTGTTCCTTAACCTGTTGCAATTCCTTTCTTCTTCTAATCAAATCCAAATTTTCACACTCTTCCCAAGAATGTTTGTCATGTTTACAATCAACTGATGAGTTGGCCGATTGTCTGATTAAACAAGTCTGATACAACGCGAAATAAGCAGCACATCTATCTCTCCATTTCAATGGAACTTTATACTTCTGGCAATCGTCTTGCGAAACTAGACAAACATTGAGTTAGTAACCCATCCATGGATCAGGTTTCGTGTTTGCGTACATACGAAGCGGTGGAAACTGTGTTACTGACATTTGTGAATATGTGTATATACGTATGTAGATTTTTCCAGTAGATTAGAGCTCGAGACGGGGGTATCTCTTTGGTTTCTCTTTCAAAATTGTATTTGTCTTTCGCGAGTGGTAGTGTACATTTGGCCAAATAACCCAATAGAAGAAGGACCAATAATATTTGTTGCAAAGTCATACCTGTTATGTGCAGGTTTGAAGTAGATAAATTGCAACCAGTAACAAATGCTAAGACGTCACTTGTGGTTGCTCTGCAAGAGTTGGGAGATGATGCTATATAACAGATTCCACACCAGAGAAAGATATAACTACCAATAGTCAATCGCATTAGCGTTGTAAATGCATTTACAAAATTTCAACTTTTCATTATCAATATTGTACATTCATACATTTATGGAGATTGGCAAGAAAACAGTTTGAAGCACCTCAGCCAACCACCAAAACTCTTCCGGTTCATTGCATTCCTTGCGTGTTGTTGCAAAACTTCTTTCTGAAACACTCTTCCACCGGTCTTCCGTCTTATTCATTTAAAGTACACCATTATAATCAACCGATTTGTTAGATATTATCCTCAATATTACACACGTTCCGTAGATTCTCTCTAATGATGGTGTTCCTTGATATAACTATCCAATCTTCCTTTTAATAGGTAATATTGACACTTGTAAAACTCGTCTTTGGTCTTGTTGCAAAAAGAAGTACCTTTATCAAGACACTTGTAATATTCAATCAAGTTAGAAGCACATTTATCCCTGTAGTAGAATGGAACATTATGATCATCCAATTCTTGTTGGGAAGCTAAAAGATTTCGCTAGTTAGTATTACGGAATTCTCGTGTAAAGTATTGCTTCATCCGCCAAATGCGAATACGATCGAGTGGTGCATGTCACATACGTATAGATGATGGAAATGTGTAGCTCTCTGATGATCCCATGGTTTTAAATGTATATATGCAGTCAATGACGAGCTGTTGGTGTACTGCGAATGAGATTTTGTTTAAACAAAAAATTTGTTTTCTGAAAAGAGTGTAGTGCTACCATGTGAGCTTTTGTTTTGGCAATGGTTGTTGAACAGAGAAGGTAATTGCTAGTAACAAGAGTGTGTGGGAGTTAAATGTAGTCTCGAATAAATTGCCGGTAATTTTATGTAGCTCTTCAGATGTTGGTGTCCAACATTCAGGTAAAAGTGATTCATGGAGGAACCAATTCAAGGTGTTACACATGCATTTGCTTCGAAATTCTGTTCTGGCTCCTTAGGTATTAAGATATCGAAAGATAGTCTTTAAGTCTCACTCGCCATTGATACGTTCTGGAGTATCAAATGAAGTTACTTTTCGTAGCATATACAATTGAAAGTTTTTCATTTTTTGCATCATTTTAGGTCAAAGTATGTATGTCGAATACTTTTGAGATTGAATTACCAAAAGTGAGACTAATCTGGATGATAACTATCAAAAACATATTTCTAAACTTTGAATCTTCATTTGAACGCAAAAGGCTGGCCATCTTTTTGCTATTCTATCCGTTGTTTACAAGAAACTTCTATGCTAGGAACGCATTTGCTCGGCTTGATCACCCTCATCTTGTACTGCGGTAGTCTATATCGTAAAACCCATGAGGCGTGAATTAATTTTAGAAACGGAATTCAAGAAGCAAGCTGGTATCTACAAAATCAACATTCGTGTCATCAGCTGATTTTCTTGAGCAAAACCCTAAGCCTTGAAAGCACAGAGTATGACTTATCCGCGGTATTATAATGAGGGAATTATGCCCATATATAATGCTAAATGGCTTGTCGAATGATAATTGGTTATGAGATATTTGGGTCTGCAGTTGTACTTGATTGAGCAATAATATCAATTCTAACGGTTATGAGCCGTGTATAGGTACACATCTAATATGGTGACACCGTATCTGCACGATAATCTGCCCCCATTAGAATGCTCAGGTGATTCCCTAAAGTATAACTATCCAGACCTCAGATGTTACACCGATTTATCTGATTGGTGTGGGATTCGGACACAAAAAAGGTACAGGTGTCAAAGCTAATCGTATTCTGAATAACAAATGCCAACAATGTGTGAGCAATATTCAAATAACCCTTTTGAACCTCTATTGTAGTTGTCTTTCACTCTCATCGCATTCAGCTCTGTTGCTCTTCCTATTAATAAATAGAACCAAATTCAGAAATAGGAAAAAAAGCGCAATCAGAGAGAGCTGAAATAGTACAAAAGGATTGAGCAATTTGCTAATTATATGATTACTTAGCGCATTTTGCATACATAATTCCCTCTTTTGGGTTTTATTTTCTTACTTGGAGTCTAAAAACAAAGCAAACGGTGTTGAACAAATCTCAATGTAAGATTTCTTAAAAAACCACAATAGGGAGACACAAACCAAGAATAAAGAAGCCAAAAAACTGTGTCGTCGTGTGGATGTTTCAATATATGTTTTTAAATTGCGTGAAAGGATTTTATGCAAAGGATTGTACGATTCCACTGTGATTCGTTGCATAATCGAGATTATGCAAGATAGGAGTTAAAGAAAGATCAAAGATTATCAGATTTCTTTTAACTTTAGTAAGTCTTGCATCCATGATTAGCCGTGGGTAACCTAAAAGGTTTTGTATTACTTATCACTGAGTGACGAGAAATCCCCAACTCTATTCAACAAACCATTGCTACTCTTTTTGCTGAGTTCCATACATCGTCTTCCAGATGGGCGAATTTCATACGAGTGAACGAGTTTCACGACAGAGGCGGACAATAGCGCCTCATTCGCACATTCGCACATTGCCACAATTTTTTTGGGCGTTTTCCGGCATGCAATTTCTCGCTATTTCATTGATACCCATCAATTTTCGTCCTTCTATCGACACAAATTCAATTGGTTGAAATTGACATACAAAGTACATGTGAGACTTTGCGCAAACGTTTACCGCATTTTAGAAAGTCAGTACCATAAAGTGGAGAACAAGGGGGTACGAGCTTACGTCATTTGGGAGAGTGCGAGCAATTCTACATTGTATAGGCTGCTATTGTAGTAACGTAAACAATCAGGGCGATTAGTTTATAACCAGAGAACAGCTTTCGCGCACAAACATTTGGCTTTATTGTGCAATCAAATCTATTTATATATCACTTGGGTTACGAGCCCAACATTTTTGCACATTCGTATTGTCGACACTTCGTACACGGTTCAATTACAAACGATGGGAATATTCTCTGATCTGAAGTCAATGTTGTGGGTCATAACTAGCAATGCAAAACACCTTGCGAGAATGTGACAGGGTTATACCCAGCAAATACACACATAGAAGAACCTTATTGTTCGGAAAGCCTGACAAAAGTCGCTCATTGCATTTCAGATTTCTTCCCGGGAGAGTATTTTTCCACATAGTGAGGACAATAAGCATTGTTCTCAGCGTTTTTTTTTCATTTTCTTTTATTGTTGTGGGATTCTCCACCAATAATCTTTGTCACGATATGCCAAGTGCGACACAGTTGACACAATCTTGGCTATTTAGGGAGAGCTGCATAGATTATCCTGTATGGGTTGGAAGAATAACACACGAAGTTGGTTCCGGCACTACCTTGGCAAAACTACGAATACTATAGCTGAAGACTTTCAGTGTGATCGATGTGAATCCATTCCACGTACCGCCAGCTTTTCCGGTGTCATTGAAAGTCCGTATAAGCCCGTTGATTCGTAATCCGCAGGTTTTGAGGGGTGAGGTGGCCCACGTTACCTGTAAATTTTGCGCACAACTTATTCTGAGAAACAATAGATGTTTTATAACATTAAAGCGTTGGAGATTTCTTATTGCTTCGATCCGATCCTTACAAATTGTAGAAAGACAATAGGGAAGTTTACATGAAATTAGGTATGTGTTGTACCCTTGTTCTGCATATTGTGTTCTCTTTTTAATGTGGTTCGACTCTGTCCGAGCCGATAAACTGTGGATTCTCTCCTATGTTATCCACTACAAGTGTATCAAGCAATTCCTTACTGCAGAAGTTACAGCACCGGACCGAAACGATTTGTTTTTTTTTTTTTAGTTATATCAGAGGTTATCTTTGGTTGCTTCAATGAGGGATAACTCTACTAAGGAATGGGTTATGAGATCTGGCACGTGCGATAATGAAATTGGAAGAAAGTAACACAAACGTAGACTTACAAAAGTCCAAGACGTCAGGACTCAAGACCCAAAACCAAAGACCCCCGAATAGTACCTGTTAATTGAAAAATGTGGTTTCCCCACTTCTTATATTCTCCCACGTGTGCATGCTCAAATTTCAAATTTAGTCAATTGTTTGGGCTCGCTCGCCAAGTTAATACAGCGACAAGAAAAGTGTGTGAGGCGAAAATGGATTAGTGACACAATATCTAACGAGGTGTAATTGAAAGGAGTGGCATACACACTTCACTGGTATTCATGACCAACAGTCCTATTGTCATGGATTAAAGTGTAGCGCTGGAAGGAAAAGAATAACCCTGTTGGCCAAAATGAAAAACAACGCACAAGCGCAAATCTCCGCTATTGTCTAGAACAATTGATTGTAAAAGATTTTTATACACAATAAAAGGGCCCAAGCAAAGAAATTGAAATCCCAATTTCTTTTTCCTTTTCTTCCCAAAACAACAAAGGAGCAAATCTGTTACATCTCAGTGTGTGTGTTTATGAAACAAACAAAGAAAAGTCTCATAACCATGTCACAGTGATTATAAAGTGTATACGAGAAGTAAGGATGCTTTCTAACTTTTATACATAATACAACTCTTTTCTTACGGTTGTGGTTTGTATCAAGGTCTGAAAAATACGTCAGTGGAAACCTCAGACAGAGTCGAAGACAATATTTTCGATTTACAGTCGGAAATGTTGGAACCTTATTTCACAAGATTTTGTTTATCCGCCCGAAAATTTCATGTAGAGGAAGAAATATGGAAAAGTTACACTAAATGTCAGAAGAATAAAACGGTTGTCTGAGACGCAGAGAAACTTGTCCCGAATGTGAATAAATAAACGTCGCTCTGGTAGAGAGATCCTACATTTACAAAAAGAAAGCAAAACAATAAGGTAATGTAGAGAGTTGAGTGCAAGCTATATTTGGGCGTTTGCAAAGCAACATAAGAAATATGGGATGAAAAAAATGGAAGAAAATATCAATACAAGTTAAAGTATTATTTACGGTTACAAAACCACATTATACACCGGGTAGTTATGGAGATCTAACAAACTTCTTTTGTATTAACCTAATTGCATGTAATGTAAGCAATACTATATTCTCTGATATTGGTTTGATATTGATCAGAAGCATAGCTCCTATGTATAGCTTCTTGTTGTCGAATAGACCCAAAATTGTATAGCTAATGACTAAGTCCATTTCACAATAAACCCTTCACGTCTAGATCCACTTGCTCACATTTTGATCTGTTACGATTAGCAAAAGTTTTTACCCCTGCAACAAGAAAGAAAAAGAGCCATGCACAACCTAAATAAGGTTTGGGGAGATAGGGTTGATCGTACTCTTTTTTATTTTTCTTTCAGATGCATATGATTGAGACGCGAGGGGGGGTTTGTAACAGCAAATGCACAGATCTTTTTAACGTGATTGATAACGATGCATGTTCCAGTCTGGAATTTACAAACCTTACAGAACTCAACAGAAAAGGACAGCACATACCTTAATCACATTTTCAAAATCGAGTTAGATTTTAGCCCGCCTAATCATCGGCTGAAGTTCAGCCTGACAGACAATCGCTAGCAATTCCTAGCCAATAATGGCGGGGATTCGCTTTTTCCGCTACTATTATTATTATTATTATTTTTATTATTATTGTTATCATGATTATTATATGAAAATTTGGTTCTCTTGCATGTGGTTTTGTCTAATTACAAATGTGTCAAGGGTTATTGCGCTGATAATATTGGAAGTAATACACTGAGTGATTTCTATTCTTGAAAGAAAAGTATGGTTTGTTCAATGTATCATGGTACAATGTAACCCGTTCCGTGAATCGAAAGTTAATAGCAAACGTTAAACGCAACTTTTCAATTGTTTCTTTTTTATTTAAGATGCTTTACGTGAAATTCAAACTTGATTTTTGATTTTAAATTGTTGGAGTTAATGCACAATTTCTTATGTTAAACAACAACACACTTGCACAAAGTGATTAGAAAAGCTTAAAAAAATATCCGTGTCTCTTGTGCAGGAAGGCAGAGCAAAATTTTTATTCTCTCTGACATATATGCAAGAGGTGTTGATTGTTAACACAGAAAGTTTTGCATTTTGTGGTTTGTGTAATCAGCAGCCTCTATAATGTATAAATAGAAAATCTAAAAATCACTACAAAATTCTTTTAGTTTTTGCGTAACACTATTCCAAAATTAAACCCAGAAAGATTATGTTTCTTGTATGAATTTAGATTTAATACTTAACCAAAGACATATATATATATATATATAAGTCAAACACTTTCCACTAGATTTTGGTTCTTGGTTCACTGAAATACGGCTGAGCTTATCAATATCTATTCCGCCAACGTCGTATAAACACCCCTTAGTATCCAATCAATGTCAGCTACTACTACTGCAACTGCAGCTGCACCTACAACTACAATGTCAACGGCCTCAGTCAAATTGCCTTCTATTCATGAATTAACAGGCAAATCTACAAGGGAGTTTAATAATAAACACCTTCAGGGTAATGCACTTGCTTCTCCTAGATCCTTCGCAAATGTTAATGGACAACCACCAGTTTTGCCTAGTCTTCGTTTAAACACCGATTTCAATGAACCAGTGGCACTCAAAATACCACCAATCAAACCAATGACACCATCTAGTGTTGCGCTCAACAATTCAAACAGTAGTACGCCGACAGCACCAGTTCAGAGTAACAACTCCTTTACAAAGACAGTTTCGCTTGGCTCACCAGCTATCAATTACCAAGAAAAGCAGCAAATCTTGTTATCAAAACATGAACCTGCTGTAGCTCAAGCTCCTATTGTATCTGCTACCACAGCTCCCCAGTCGGTTTCCGCTACTTCCACTGTTTCTTCACCCACCTACCATTTTCAACCAAGCCACCAACCACAACTTTCACAACAACTGCAATCAGCACCGGTTCCACCTTCATTTCAATCACCAATAGAGTACAATGTCGCACAGGGTTCCCCACAATACCACCAACCTTTAAGATCTTTCTCAGCACCAGTTCCTCAATACCTTCCGCCTCATGTTTCGTATTACTCAAAACCTCATTTCGCAGTTCAACATCCCAACAATCATGGTTTGCAAATGGGTCACCCTTACACAATTACTGAAGTTGTACCTAAAACAACAAACAAATGTCATAGATGTGGTACCACAGAAACACCGGAATGGAGAAGGGGACCAAAGGGTGTAAGAACATTGTGCAATGCGTGTGGGTTATTCCATGCCAAGTTGGTTAAAAGAAAAGGTGCTGCTGTTGCTGCTGAAGAGGTGTTGAACAATCGTGTAACCAAAGGCAAAAACGGAAGAAGAATTAGTTTTAGAAAACTGGTGGGTAAGATGTCTACTATGCATCATCACAGAAGCGAGAGCGTTCACGAATTGCAAGGTTTGCAACAGCATCTACAACATTATCCTGCTCAATTTGCAGTTCTTCATCACCCACACAGTAACTCAGCAACCAGTCCATTACAACAAGCGCCACTACATGCCAACAGTTCGCAAGCTTATCAAATTCATCATCAGCAAATACAACAACCCCCATCGAATGCAAACTATATTCCCCAGGGTTACATGCCATTGCCACCACCGGCAGTACCGGTGAATCCAACCATGCACTTCCAAAGTCAAGCCCGGGCAATGCCTTTGGTTCATCAGTAAAGATTTGGCGGCTGGTTTTGAGGGGGGTCTACGTTCACTTCTATCGAGTTTCTTTATAAATAAATTTTTATAGCGTTAATGAACAGTTTACGATAATGGATTATTGTAGTGGTGATACACTTTATTGCTCTATGAATTATGGAGTCAGTCTGGCCAATGATTTGTAGGTGACTTCGTTGGGACCAGACATTACACAAAGCTGAACTAAATTTCATGACAAATATAATTATAGGGTCTAGAATGAAACTCAAGAATGGAAAATTCAATTACGAGTGAAATTCGTGGGAAAATTGCTCTTCCGAGATGGACAATAAGTTTCAAGAGAAAAGAACATAATACTATTGTGACGTATTCACAATACGAAGATAATTGAGGGGTGTGTGAAAATTATTTTGATTAGCGGATAATCCCTTGTATCAACAGGCAAAGCCTATCACCCAAAACGGGCCTGTCTTGTTCTCTAAGCGCATAATATATCCTACAAGGCGGTTTATAAAGAACAATTGCAAAACAATTGTTTCAAATTGTGGCAGTTTTTGTAACGCGGTAGTACTCTTGAGAAATCAAAATTGTAGGCTACGACCCAATTCACAACAAAGCGCAAACCAACGTCAAAACCCATGACGAAAGTAGCTGGCGTGGGCTCATACAGTCTCAAGGGGAACTGTGAACGCCTCTCCATTCTTTCTTTTACCTGAAACTGTTCATATACGATATTTTCATTTTCCTTCTTTTTGACATCAGCAAGTGAACATTTTTTTTTCTATTTTTGTCACCTTTGTTGCCTAATAGAAACATGAAGCGATGAATTTGAAGAGAAAATACAGAGTGGTTGCGAATAACACGAGTTGCAGGTTCAAGAAAATGATTACTCTTTTGTAACTGACACCAAATATCTCAACTGATTGCATTGTCTTTTTTAGTTTTCTCTCATAAGCTGGTAGGATGGGAAATTTCTTGTCATAAAGTTTGTGCAATGTTGCTTTCCGTCATTCAGGCGTTTTTCTAATTTTCAAAACACAAAATTCGAAGAGCTAGAAAATATTTTCGGATCTGAATCTCAAGATCCTAAAGATGGAAGAATAGACAATTGTTCCGGACGAGGTTTCCTATTGTTGATTGTAAATGTAGCAAAGACCCCGGTTATATTCTACCTATGTAAAAATGGAAAATATGACGGGAGTCGGAGCTTTCCAGGAATGTAAGAACCCCGCAATTGCATCGACAATCTCTGAATCAGAAGCAAGGTACAATCAGCATTTTAGATTGTCACTATTTAGACGAAAAATGAATGATCAAAACGAAACAGACAATCTTACCCTTTCGTGTAACTGTAGCAATAAAGGCAACGATTGCCGGGCGATCTAAAGCCACCTTGCATTTTTTTCTTTTTGTTGCTAAGAAAACCAGACCACTTTTGTACTTTTGGTAACAACTGTTGATGCCTATACAAGTGCTTCTCTAAAATCCATGTGCGCATTTACGCATAGAATCTTATTGTTTGTGAAGCCACAAAACCACAAAATACAAAGAGAGAGAAAAATTGTTTAGATTGTGCCGAAAAATTTTCCTTAAGCAAAATAAAGAGAGAAGAAGTATTCTTTTTGAATTTTGTTCTATTCAAGGCTGATTGGTGCATAAATTGCATTGATTACTCAATCGCTTAATTCAAAGGCGGAAATGTTGGGTAGGCGTACGCCTGAGAAAACAATTTCCCCTAGGATGGACTCTCCCTCCCTGCTCTCCTCACTTTTGCTCTTCTTCAGTCGAAAGAAAGAAGACCCAACAAAAATTTGATTAGCACAAAACCGGGCACAAATCAGTCACTCCCCGACAAACTTTTGAAGATTCGATTTGCTTAATTAGATTGTGCGTGGAAAGGACATCTGGGTCCTGAATGTCGTCCAAACAAGACGAAATTGGGTAACATCGTCAGGGTCCCTTGTTGATTCGCGAAAATGATGCTCTATACTAAATCATCGCCTGATTACTCTGACATTCTTGTAGGAAACACATGCAAGGAATGACTGACTAGCGCAATAGTAGTTGAGGCTCTCTCTTGCGCATTGCGTGAGCCACATTCAAAACTAAAACAAAGTAGCCAATGAGTTTTGAGGCTCGGTTTCGACTTTGCAAATCAATACGATCTTCGTCATCAGGGGTCTTCAGTTGCAGGTGGATTCAACTGAAAAGCTTTTCGTTCAGACATTAAAATCTCGTGTCGTTTGTCAATTGCCCGACATAACTTTTTGGAAACAAAAGCCACCGGAAAAGTATTTGTCACTAATTCTCTCCATCCCCCCTTCCCGAAACTGTTCCGAAATTGTTTTGTGCTTACATCTTGTTTGTTGAAAAATAAGTCAATTGACATATTATGAATCGGATTTAAGATCTTTCTTTTTCTCTGTCGATCACTGCAATCGATTAAAGAGTAAAAACTGAGAGAACAAAACAAAGAAAAGGGAGGTGCCTTTAATGCAGGAGGGGTAAAAGATTCTGCAATCATTAAAGACTGTCCAGGCTACATGGATCTTTCTAGATGCTCCAAAGGGGATTTTTGATGTCGTCAAAGCAATTGTCAAAGTAAAATTCCAGGATCAAACTCAAGTGAAAAACCACCCCCTTATTTCTACAGTACTGCAGAAGGAAAGTATGAAAAGTATGTGCGAATTCATTTATTTACAACTTACACAAAAGTGCGCCTCTTTCTTCCTCCCGGAGCGGAGATGTCACATTTCCGTTGACTGGTCCACATAAAACAAGAATTTGCCGGTCACATGAAAAGATTGTAATATAAACGTTTCACATTGTTGCTGGCTGGAATGTTGTCACGGCATATGCAAATGCGCACCATGTTCCCTTCCATCCCCCCTTGCTTTTGTCGTTTAATAAGACGATCTTAGATCGTATGTTGAATCTTAGGTGATTGAATGCAGACGGTTATGAGCATTGTCTTTTGAAAATCTCGTCACACACAAATTTAGACGCTCATGCAATATATGCAGAGCACGCCTCTTAGATGAACAGATACCGAGTACCTTCTCACTTCTGGGTTATCTGGTTTCGTCAAGTTCAAGTTCACGATTTGTTCTCTTGCCACAGATACATATTCAACCATTCTCCACAATTCAAAATTTCAGATTGTGGCAAACGTTTGCAAAATCTCATTTTAACGCAAGGAAACCAAATCTACAAAAGCATTGCTATATCAGCAAACAATTGTAACAGAAACGAATGTGTTTATGTGACGATCTTTCACAAGCTAAGAAAAAAAAATGAAAACAAGCAGGCACAACGATTAAAATGCATCACACCACAAAATGCAAACACGTTTTAAATATATCCGCCTGGGTCTATAAATAAAGTTAGCGTAAATGATCAACTTCGTCAAGAGCCTTTATGCATGATTTAGCAAAAGTGGAGAAAGATGATTCGGAGTTTTGCTTGCATACTTTTTTAGCAATTGTTCAAACGATTTGACTCATGTCGCCACTTTTAGGCATGTGATATGGGACTATTGTAGCAGATTACTTCTAGACCGCCTATCTCAGAGCTTTGGTGCATGGAATTCAGTTCCAAAACAATGTCAGGGTTTGGCCTGTAGGGCTCATACGTCTTATTGCCAGAGGGTCAAGCTAACAAAATGACCCGCTTTTATTAAGCGCAGTAGCATGTGTGCTTTTCTACTTGGGTTTCGGAAAACAGCTTTTCCGAACGTTACACAGAGACGAGACTAACTCAATACTTGCTCTAAGAAAGCTCTTTAATAAGAGCTCAAAGTACGGCCACTTATTGCATTGTTTTTTCTCTTATTTTACCGCTCAACTAACATCTGCTGCAGTGAATCGTCAGGATAGTCAATTAAATTAATTGTTTACACAAAACTACTTCTCTTACTGCATGACGCTTGAATTTATCTCTACACAAAATACGGTTCTTAGTAACATGTAATTCGTCTAATCTCAACCTGAAACACGGATTTAGGGGATAACACATTATCCACGTTGTATACTCTTTTGTATGCACACAGAGACTCAATGTCAAAAGATTGTCATATTGAGCAACGATTTCGTTAATTGTGGTTCCGCAGGTCGAACGGTTGTACCATGTAAAGTCCTCCCAGCGCCATAAGTGATGGAACCACCAATAATCCACCAACACACATCTTCATACTATACGTCTATATTCTATTACTCTATAGGTATATCGTGCTTCCGCAACACGTGCTTTACAGCTTCTTCAACATTATCAAACACACCCACAGTAGGTTTGGCGATAATGCCTTCATAATCCTCATCTTGAAAAACACCAGTCCTTAATAAGATGGACTGCCATCCATTGTCATTTGCTCCTTTGATGTCCGATTCTGGATTGTCTCCAACCATATAAATATCTGTAAAAGGTGATTCCAGTGGAACTGAACCAAGCAAAGGGAGCACTTGCTTCGTGTCAAATTTCTCAGAGATCAATTTTAGTCTCCAATCAATCAAGACATGGTGAGCGAAATCGTATTGCAATTTAAATGGTTTCCCCATAATCAATGAATCGAGATTGTTTGGTGGAAATAGCTTGTTGGTGGTGTTGTATAATGTCTCCGTAATGATTCTGAACGCTCCTTGTCCAAACCTCGGTAAGGGAAAGTCGTTAGCGTAAATGTAATCATTGTTGCTAAAGATGATGGGGATTGATGGTTTGGTTCTATCTTTAATACTTTTCAAGCTGCGTTTAGTGCCAATCAAACCTCTATTTGAGTTCAACAAATCTTGAACAACTTGAATATCAGTAGACATATCTCTAGGATCATTGAAGACCAATATCGCATCTATAGGTTTGTTTAAATCAATGTCAATGGCATATTCGTCTAAATCACGTTTGGTAAACATAGCATGAGGTGACACTGCTTTATTAGCCTTGACAATATCGATGGGCATGATTACATCTTTAAACCCATACTGTTCAGCTACTTTTCTCGCATTGTCACCATCTCCACCAACCACCAAGACTCGATTGAACTCTGGATCTTGTACTAATGCCTTCATTGGAGTATGGCTTTGCACCACTTGCAATGGCGAAATAGCAGGACCTCCAGTTATTTGAGCAACTTCTTCAGCTTTTCGAGATTCCAGCACTCCACCACCATTGGTCATCAATATGTAAGGAATCTTCTCTCGATTGAGTAACTCCAACGTTGGTTTAGCTTGCGGGATGGGCTTTTTTCCTCGTATAAGAACACCATCAATATCAAAGACAAAGGCAATATTTTTGTTTTGTTTGAATAGAATGGAAGAAGTATGGAAGTGGGAAGCTAGCGATGCTCGCCTTGTGGCATGTACCTGACGTTGAATCCGACCGATGGCTAACATTGTTGATCAGCGGATTGATCTGGGTAAAGTTGATTTGCCCGATTTCGCGGTCGGCAAATAAAAAAAAAAGTGGCTCCCGTTTGTGAGCTGCCACTACTACAATTACTCACTAATATCCATTTTATGTATTATTCATCTACATTATACTGACCCTCCATTTAAACACCAGTCTCTCCCTCTATCCACTTGCAAACCACACAATTTTTTCTCAAGCCACAAGTTTATGCATCCAGCAATTGCAATTCCCATACCATCACTTACACTAACACACCCCATACTAAACTCTCGTTTAGTTTTTGGTACACCTTCACTAACTGAAACAAACGTATTGACATAGGAAAAGCCTCCTAATAAACCTTCATAAAGGATTAGTATTAATAGTAGCCATATGGATGTGAATGGAAGGTCGTACATCGATTGAATTATGGTGATAACCACGTTGATGAATTGTAGTAACGAAAGCATATAGAGCTTTCTAATTCGTATACCAAAAGATATGGAGGATCTTGAAATGAAAACCCCCAATTGGTATAGGAATCCATAGACGACATAAATGTCTCTGTAGGATGTGAATAGCCAACGCGGAAGGTCCTCCAATGGGTATAACAAAGTTGGCGCAACACCTTGATTAATCACGTACTCCGAAATGTACACCGTGCTAAGTGGAATCATGAAGGGCACTATCAACGGCTTGATTTTTTCGAAGGTGGCACTGAAATGTCGAGTGATGGAGGAAGTAGCATGTAAGTCCCGACCAACAGCGCCACCGTCCATTCCAATTTCTTCAGCGGCTTCATCAAACAATGTGTTTTCAATTTCATGATACTCATGATCAGGTGGCGGAAGTAGCAAATAATAAGTGGCCAAAAACCCTAACGGACAAATGGCAAACATCAACAACACAATGGTGACTGATATGCCCATCATATTGGTCATTAACATAAACAAAAAGCTACCGCAAAGTCCTGCACCACCCGTGCCACTGGAAAAACCCCCAATTCCAATTGAGCTATCACCCGTTGCACTACCGCCAGTGTAAAAATGAGTTAATTGCAAAAAGCTAACTTCCCCCATTCCTGATGATAACGACGCTAGCATTATACCAAATATCTTGATTCCAATGGCCAGCTGTGAGCTCAACGAAATTAAAAGCATGCCGCTACTTGACAACCCAACAAGTGAAAACAACCTGGTTTTGTATGGTATTAGATGAATGAAGAACGGCGCCACTAGTTTAAAAGTGAACGATGGCATGATATCCGCCAATAGCACCACTCCCTTTGGCGTTGCCGAGCCCACAAGATCAACAGCGGCTGAGAGGATTATGACATACAAGATGTTGTTGAGCAATCCAAATATAAAAAACGACGTAAAAATCTTTGTTTGGTGCAGTAATGATATCATTGTTGATGATGTGGCAAAGGAATGAGAATGTGCACAGGGCGTATGAGCTCCTGTGTTGAAATGATATACTCGTTGCGGATATCTCTTGTCGGTGAAAGATATTCCCTTGAGAACGTGAATGTAAATAGTTACACAAATAGGTACACGCAATCACGTGACTTCAATTTTAAGAAGATAAGCTCAACTGCGGTTTGAGAAGCTTTCAAGTAGTTCCTAAAGGGGCAAGATAAATGCACATTGTGCCTAGTTTGCAATCAGTTCGAGACATTGCTTTTTGTTTTTGACCATAGAACCTTTAACATATCTGAGGTATTTTTTCATGCAAAGTTGAAGTTAAAATCAATTACCACTCGATTACGCTATACGTTTTATTGAGGTGATTTGTTTGCTCTAGACTCGTTCCTTGGAATAGAGCACAAGCTTTTCAGTTACGTAGCACTCTAACCTGTGATGTGTCTATAGAAAAAGTGAAATATCTTAAGTCCTGGAAGTGTTTTGTTTTTGTGTTACTACGATGTTAGTCATTTTCGGACTACTTATGAAGCAATGCACGTTTTCAATTTAAAAAATACATGTAGTTCATCTGACTCATTTTACTTTTTCATTTGAAATACTTTTCAACACAACCTACTTCTTGGATTTATATATCTTTTCAAGAGTTTCCTTTCAATCACACTTCATACGGTCAAGCTCCACGACTATTGAATTTTTCACAAGAACCTACAAAATCAATCTTTGCATCTCTCATTTTGAAACAAAGAAACGAAAAATTTTTTTCTTTTTCTTTTTGCAATAGTTTCCACAATAGTTACATCTTCCATTGCACATCCCACCCAACATGAGCCACACACCACTTCCAGCCGAATACGACGACACAAGGATTCTTGGTTACGACCCATTAGTGCCACCAGTTGTATTGCTGAATGAAATCAAAGCTTCATCAAAATCGTTAGATGCAGTCATTAGAGGACGGTTTGAGTCAACTCAAATTCTTAAAGGGAAAGACGATAGAGCATTGGTTATAGTTGGTCCATGTTCCATTCATGACACTAAAGCTGCTTTGGAGTATGCACACCGCTTGAAAAAATTGAGTGAAGAGTTGAAGGATGATTTATGTATTATAATGAGAGCTTATTTGGAAAAACCTAGAACTACTGTTGGATGGAAAGGTTTGATTAACGATCCTGATGTTGACAACTCATTCGATATCAATAGAGGTTTGAGAATTTCTCGTCAGTTATACTCCGACTTGACTGAAGTTGGATTACCAATTGGTTCGGAAATGTTGGACACGATATCACCACAATACTTTCTGGATTTTTTGAGTTTTGGTGCTATTGGTGCCAGAACTACTGAATCTCAATTGCACAGAGAGTTGGCATCTGGCTTAAGCTTCCCCATTGGTTTCAAAAACGGCACTGATGGTGGTTTAACTGTTGCTTTAGATGCTGTACAAGCTTCCTCCAAGGGACACCATTTTATGGGCGTGACAAAGAATGGTACTGCTGCTATCACCACAACTAGGGGTAACGACTCTTGTTTCATAATCTTGAGAGGTGGTAAAAAGATTACAAACTATGACGCTGAATCAGTTAAAGCAGCTAAGGAAGCTATCAGCAAGTCTACTGATCCAAGCATCAAATTGATGGTTGATTGTTCTCATGATAACTCAAAGAAGGATTACAGAAACCAACCGCAAGTATTGGATGCCGTTGCTGAACAAATTAGTCACGGTGACGATTCGTTAATTGGTGTTATGATTGAATCTCATATCAATGAAGGTAAGCAAGGCATGCCACCAGCTGGTCAAAATAAAGACGTATTGAAGTATGGTGTCTCAATCACCGATGGATGCGTTTCATGGGAAACTACCGTTGACATGTTGACCAAATTGAGCAAAGCAGTACAAGCTAGAAGAAGCTTGAAAAAGAACTGAAATTAAAAAGTATAATGTGTATATATATATAGGATGATTTATTAGAAGGTTTATGGTAGAGAACAAACTTTGTAGATTCAAACACTCGGTTGGTAAGTTAATCGTCTTCTACTCAAGTCCATGGAGCATCGTCTAACGCCTTGTGGACGACTTCATTACTTTCAGGTCTTGCCCGTCCTGAAATTTGACATAAGAACTCTCGGATGGGACCATTACTCAAAGTATAGCCATGCAGTCTAGAATACGGGTTCCTCTTTTCCTTTTTACTCATTAATACATCCTGAACGCCATACCAATCCTTCCGAAACTCTTGTACTGCGTTTCTGTACTCACTAGAGCGCAAGTCCTCAAAGTACTTGTCCTTTTCTTCTTTAGTTAAGTGATTGGGATTAGGGCTATTTCCAATATAATATACCCGATCACGAGGAAATCTTAGAGCCTGCGACAAGTGTAGGTTTAAAAATCTCTCCCTCTTAAACTCAAACCCGATAATAGTGATATATTCAGGATACCGTTTGAACACCTCATAAAATCGACAAATCAGAAATATGACATTCTCGAAGGAATCACGTGCATAGTTTTCAGTTGTAACCCGATCGAAACCAATTTCTTCTCTCACTTGCTTTTCAATAATTGCATAGTAAGAAAACGCCTCCGATATTGGACCAGCTTCCTTCTTCGTTTCTCCACCAGAAATGATCAAATATGCATGGAAATTTTTTTCCAATTCTTTCAACGCAATATCTAAATGTTCAAGAAAGCAAAGATGGTCGTTTCCTTCAAGTTGGAAATCAGCCATGTGCCATGATTGTTGTCTATGTGGTAGCTCTCCTAACTTGTAGACTCCGTGGCATGGTACAATTATCAAATGATCGACATCGTGAGTCATAGCCGCCTAGCAAAGGAAGTTGAAATTTTTAGCGGGGAACTTTGACAAAATTTGTGAAAAAAAGCGCGACTGCAAACCCAAAACCCAAAAATCACATTGTCACAATATTGAGGATCCAGCTATGTCAAAAACCACAGTAAAAACAGTGTTGCCGCCATTGGACGCTCAAGCTGAATTTGATGTTGTTAAAATAGACAAACAAACATATCGTGGTGTCAAAGCATTAGGAAAGATAAGCAAAGAGATTAGGGGTGTTTACGGAGGCAACATTGCAGCACAAGCTATCTTAGTTGCATTGAGATCTGCACCAGGATACACGCCAAATTCATTCCATTCGTATTTCTTGAAAGCTGTGAATGATGAAATCCCACTCATTTGGAAAGTAGAAGAAGTATCTTCGGGGAAATCATTTGCAGCAAGGAATATACTTGCATCACAAAACGGAGTCGTAGTGTTTGCAGCAATGGTTTCATTAACCACTAAAAACTCAACAACAAAGACAAGCCATAAGAATAGTACCCAGATGGACTACAGTATTGCTCCAGGAAAGACGGTGTTAACTCAGAACCTCAGTGGTGTACCACTGACATATGTGGCATCACCTGTGTTTTTATACCTGAGATTCTATGAAAAGCAGATGGAGAAGGACACGTATGCTTTTCAAGTGAGATGGGGAATCAAGAATGATCCAAATTACCACCAGGAGTTAAAAAATATTACCCCGGAATTCAAATTTGTCGGTCTTACCGCTTTGACAGATTGGGCTATAATTGAGTGCCTAGTGGAACATTTGGGGTTGAATATTTCTCCGCAATTCGACACTTCCCTCGATCACAGCGTCTATTTTCACGAAGATGACTTTGATATTGATCAATGGTTTCTGTATGTGTTTAAGTTCAAGTGGATTGGTAATAATAGGCTCTTGTTCAAAGCTGATATGTACACGGAGGACAACAACAAGCATGTGGTGAGTATCGTTCAGGAGATGTTTTATGTGATCAATTCCAAGTTGTGAAAAAATGCTTTTGATCTGGGTACCAAACATTCCTCAACGGGCAATTTGCAACCGTACACTTTATTAGAATTTATATACGTCTAATCATACATTTATGAATCATGTTCCAGCCCCCAAAAGCGAGTAGATCCCCTTAAGCTAAAATATGTTGGTGTAAGTAGTGATAACATTGCACCAACGCCAACCAATGACAATAGGCAGCAATCACCACAAACACATGGAATATTTGATGTGAATGTCCAATAATGTCAAATTTACCAGCTTGAGGGTTCAGCAACAACAGATGCTCATCTTCTTCAACATGAGTCAATCTTTCCGGAAACCTAGCAGCATATAATACAGCACCCAAGATGTAAAACAATCCTTCCAAAATTAACCATTTCACTCCAGCTCGATCCAGCGTAGTAGCGGCACCAAATTTGTAGACACCGAAAGCGACTGGCAACACACCAGAAAGGCCAAATAGGATAAACATTGTTGACCTAAATGGTCGATAGTGATTCTTGGAGAATTCCGGATGTAACGTAAACACAGTGCAAACAGTTCCAAAAAACAATGTTAAAGAAACAAATATCCATTTTTCTAATGGTTCATCATAATAGGCAAACAAGATAATTGAAATCAAGGAACATGTAATCAATATGACAATGCCAAAGTAATCCAACTGGTTTCCAAATTTGCTGACCTTGTGTGAATGTGACTTCAATGTATGAAACACAGACGACATAAACATGCAAAACGTACATGCCAAACCAAACTGGATAAAATTAAGCTTTTCCCAGACTCCCAAGTAGTTATCATACATAGCAAGCTGAAAGTTAACATAATATAGAATCAACCAAAACGAGATACTTGAAGGTAACAAATGAGAGTAGATGTTGATTGTCTCATTGTGCCAGTAGCCCAATGACTTGAAACTCTCCAAATACAGAGAAGTTCCTCGGACGTAGCCAGAACGGATGTAATGATTATCTTGTTGCCATTCATCTAATTCGTGGTAGTAAGCCAATCTTCTTGCAAGTGGATTTCTCGACTCCAGTTGTGCGACAATTCTTGGCGACGTTTGCGCCGGACCCTGTTTGGGGTCAACACTTGATTCCTGAGTTTGTCTTTGTCTTATGGTGGACACTTGTTCTGATACCATTGAGCGGGAATGAGGAGAAGCGAGTGGTTAGCGGGGGTCTATGAGTTCTGTTGAGTATAGTTTATGCAGAAATTGTTTCATGAACATTTTTGTGTCACTATGACAATGTTGGGTAACCGATACAAAGAACCCACTGAAATGCTCTAGCACTCGTTATGTGAAACTTATCTCCACTCGAATAGATCTCAACACTACAGCCAGAAAGTGACCCATCTCATCAGGAGTCATTGAGGATTTTGTTTCCAATTTACGGTTCATTTAGTACTAAGTTCTACACAAAATCTATATAAAAGATGGTGGTATACCTTCACATATTTCAGAATACTCGTTTAACTTCTCTCCAACATTGATGACACCAGCAGGAATGGATTTTCTCCTTAAACGATCAATTCTTTTGTCAAAAATATCACCAATGTAGAAAATCTTCCACTGCGATTCAGGGGAGCTCATACATCCACAACAACGCTCGAAATACCACTTGTTCACGGGATTCACTTTTCTTGATCGCCATATTAACTCTAGCGGATGCGATTGTAGAATAATCTTGAATATGATATCTGCTAAACCCGGTAAGCCCTGGTTTCGTTTAGCAATAGCGAATTTGTCCAAGTAGGCAATATTGTGGCCATTGTTTTTGCTCTTCTCCCAGGTTATTATAGCTGCTCCGTCGTAATCACCCACGAGTATGAATGTAGCTAGGCTCTTGTCAATGCGTTTAAAGTATTCATCAACGTGAAGATTTTTGCCAAATGAATCGTTCAACAACTCAACCAACCTGGATTTGTCAACTAATTTATCTTTGAATAGGTTTTCCATCGAAAATTGTCCACTATAAGTATCTTGCTCAAATACTTGTACATTTACTCCCTTTTTGATGATAGTGGTGGATACTTGAGGAGTTCTCTTATTCAGACTAGGCAAAGATGAAGAAATGATTGACCTATCAGTAAGCACATTGTATATAATGGGATTCAATTGATCGTTGTTGATAGACATAATCTCTGGTGTGGTGATGATACCAGTAGTTTCATCATTACCCGATCTGTCACGAATGAAGCTTAGTATATTATTCATACTATTCAAATTGGTCACATGCAAGCCTCGTATTTTTGGATTTATGTGTCCAACGTAAAGCTCAGATAAAATATCTGAATATTCTTGTGAAAGGTTGATAAATACATGACTTGTTTGATTTCTTTCTATAGATGGTATACCACCTAATGGATCAATCATGACAATCTTTTCGATTGACAATAAGTCAGTAGTCCTCTTTTCAATCAAAGCAGAACACAATGCAAATAACAACGGGTCACTTTTCATAAACTCCTGAGTACACGTATTCGAATTGTATGCAATTGGTTGTAAGATCGGGATAGTGCCTTGGTATAATGGAATCAAAATCAGTTCCAAACTGTCCATTGATAGTTGATCATCTTTTCTCGTAAATAAAGACCTTAATATGGTTATCTGGAAATCTTCCTCCTCAGGTTTGCCAAGACGGTTCAACATCTTGTTAGATTGGTCGATGATATATAGCTCATTATTCTTGAACGAGGAATCGGGCAAATGATCAAAATCAAGCAAGATGATCGGCGATATTCCCAAATTAATCAATCTCTTGAATGTTTCAGCTATCCCCACCCATTGTTGATTAGTAATTGTTGTGAACTTGATTTTGAAAATGGCCAATCGTAAGGGAATCTTTTGCAATTTCTGTTCATCTTCATCATATATGTTTACAAATGGATTCTGACGGTTTAAAAACCGTTGAATAAATAATTCACGCTGATTTTCCTTCTTATTCAATGGAACGATTTCAGAATTGGCAAAATCCAAATTACTGAAATCAAATTGATTTTGGTATTTAGTGAGGTAGTTTTTAGCTTCTCGTTTTGTTGTTGTTGATTTCAATATTGACAATATTAGGTTTCGTTTGGCATCGGTGACTGCTTTATGGGTGTCTAGGTTGGATATAAATTGTCTATTTAGCGTCTTGAGTTTACTCATAATTGGAATGGGTCCCCAAAACATGAAAGTAGAGATCAAATGAAAATTTGTAAGCGCGGTTCTTATTAAATCTATACAAAATAATACCCAGGTCAGCAGATCAATCAACCTATGATACTGTACAATACGAGCATTTTTCCTCTCCACATCATCGCCCTACTCGTCATCGGAAGCATCTGCCATGTTTTCCTCATTGGTCCCAGCATCATGTTTCAATGTGGTGTCGTGTAATTGTCTTAACTTGTTCATCACTGGAAGAACAAAGGGTCGAATTTCGTTAATCTCTAACAACGATAACCCATTCAAGGCAATATTGGACTCATTCAACTCCTTCAAACCTTTACGTGACTTGATTAATCGAATCTCCCGCAAATCTTGAATGATGGATCGTAGATCAGATATGGAGTCTGGTAAATCATCAGATGCTTTAGTGAGAAGTATCTTGGAGAGCTCAAGCCAGTTCCAAGGTAGGTCACTGAATTGTGTCGGCTTTCTAATTTCATCATCGTATTTTTCCTTCAAGTAATTGACATTGAGCCATTTAGGTGGAACTATGTTGCATTTATCCTGGTTCTTTAGGATAAGCGCCACCCAGAGTGGAACTTTCTCTCTTCTCATTGCCCGTAAGTTTGGTATTGTTGCCTAAAGTGTTGTTAGTATCGGGCTGCATGTCATGAAATACAGTATTCACATACACCAATTAAATTTATTTTTTTAATTGAGTATCGGGGAAGTATGGTAATTAGCTCATTCTCGGCTAAAAAGTTGATCTCCGTAGGTGTCAAGTTGCCTTGTAAGTGAGTCGGTAAAACCATGTTGCGCAGTGTAAAGAGGGAAGAGGATCGCGTCTCTAGTCAAATCTATGATTTTTTATTTTTTACGATTTTTCCATTTTGCGCATGTTGAATAAGTGTATCCACCCAAGGAACTCTACACAATTAATTCTACTTCTTTAACCTACTTTGCTTCAACTTGTAAGTAGAAGTCTTACCTTCTGCCATAACCTTCTTCCTCTTCACTGGCTTTGGTCCTGCTGCATCTCTAGAATAAGGATCAAAAGATCTCTTCTTTTTCTTTTCGTGCTTTTTTGGATCAATGAGAATTTTATCAGCATTGGCATAATCTATACTTGGCTCATCTTCCTGAACTGGTTGGTTGCTTTTCTTTTTAGAGCTCTTGTTAGATTTTCGAAGTACAATCAATTGTTCAGGGTCAATGTCTTCATCCTTGCTAAATAATACTTGTTGACCTGTTTTGGATTTCTCACCGGAAGAGGAAACATTTGGTGTTTCACTAGGTTCGCCAACTTCCTCCTCTTCGGATGCATCTTCCAATTCTTTTCCAGAAATCGACGCAACACCATCAATCTCACACAATTTCTTCCACACAAATTCAAAACGCTGGCCACATTCTTTGTCAAAATCATGCTTTTCAATGCCGGTATCAGTAAATTCATAGGTTTGCTTCCGTACGCCATTAACACCAGGCACAACTACCGATGAATTGTTATTCAATAGCGATCCATCGGAAAATAACACTGACATATTCAACAATAGCTTTTCCAATAATCCATTGACAGACTCTATATCCACTTTTGGCTCCTCTGCTTCCACCGTTAATTGATTGCTCCATTTGTCAACAATCGCCCAGTCATTCTGCTCACTCTCTTTCAAAGTATCGTCAATCAATTTTGCCAACTCTCTTGCATTCAATCGAACGTGTTCCGAAACATAAGACGGTACATTGAGAACCTTTCCCACATCAACTGGAGATTCCAATGTTGCCAATGAGACCAACAATTGGTTTGGCATGATGTATCTTACTGACTCGTCCTCTTTCCTCGCAATCAAATCTCTCCATTTGTACAACTGTTCCACTACAGGTCTCTTGAATGCTGGTACATTGTATTGATACATGAGCGATCCCCATGGTTCTTTAGGATTTGCTGCCATAACTGGACATGACACCTTACTTCCTAGATTGTTTGACAATGGTCTGAATTTCGTGTATTCGAATCTTCTCTTTGCCACTTGTCTTGAATCAAACAATACTTGAGCAAGTTTGTCACTATCAATCAATTTATTTCGAAGTTGGTCAAAAATGTATAACAAAAAATGGGTATCTGATCTGGCATAGGCCAACATTGGCTTAGGCAATGGCCTTATTCTCCAATCAGCCAATTGATATTTCTTTGAAGTTCTGAAATGAGCAAATGTATCAAGAAGATACTGTAAAGAAAATTTAGAAAATCCCAACTGTCTTGATGCATGATAGGTATCAAATAACGAGACAATGTACAAGCCTAGATCTCTTTGTAACCATATTATATCCATGAATGCACCATGAAGCACTTTGATGATCTTGGGGTCAGTAAACACTTTGTTCAACACAGACAAATCATCTCTCAACACCAATGTATCTATGATCCAATCTTTTTCACGATTTGAAATTTGCATCAAACAAACAATTCCATAATAGGATCTATAGTCATGATGTTCCAAGTCGACAGCTATTTCCGTCAGCTGCTGCAACTCATCAATCATTTTGTTCAAGCCTTCTGTCGTGTCAACCCAAATTGCACTTGTGCTGCTCCAATCTTTTGGAGGAACAGGGTCTGATTTTGACAAAATAGATTTAGGATATGGTTGAGTATCAATTTCATACTCGTATGGGTGCGCATAGAATGGAGGATCAACCACTTCTATTGAGTCTTCATAAACTGGCGCTGGGTTTGTAAGCTTGTTAACTGACTCCCACGGTTGTAATGCATTGGGTTTACCGGTGATTTTAGGCTTGAATGGTTCTTGTTCTGAATTATCAACAGAAACTTTGAATTTCGATTGTGGTTTTTCGACTCTTTGAGCTTGATCATTTGATATAAGGCTATTCCCATCTTCAAGGTATTGCTTCTGCTCGCCACCACCAGTTTGTTTTCTATTAATCTGGTCAAATGTATAATCAATCTTTTCAAATATTGAATCAATGACATTACTGACGGGGTTCCATGATGACTCACTTGATATGTTTTCCTGACCAAAACGTATTGGATCAACTGGGTTCGTTTGGGAGGAAGCAGTTCTAAGCAAATCATTGGTGATGGTTAAAAGATTCCTCCCTCGTTTATCAATTTCCTCGCTGATATTTGGATCCACTGATTTGTAGAAATTCACGTCTTGAGCAGCCAATGCAGTGGCTGCACGTATAGTGCCCATGAGGTTTGGAAGCACATTTTTGAATAGATCCTGGTCTTCTGTCAGCATTGTCTTGAGGTTATAAGGTCGGCAAAGATGATCTAGTTCTTTCTATTTGAAGAAACAAAAGAAAAAAAATTGCAACGATTTATTGTTATTGTGTATTTTGCTGCGGGAATCTTTACTCATCGCATCGTAACAATTTTTACAAATTACCATTCTTTAAGTTAACTTGTCTTCAACGTGTACCACCCTCAAAAGATGTTTACCTGCAATACATGTAATTTACAATTCCCAGAGTCAAATGACCAAAGGATTCACATGAAATCTGACTGGCATCGATACAACTTGAAAAGGAAAGTTGCTCAGTTACCACCCATCACGGAGGAACTTTTCAACTCGAAAGTTGCTTCGATGCAACCACAGACTGAAACAAAGGAAAAGACATCGACAAAAAAGGAGCAAAGGCGAAAAGAAAAAGAGGCATTGATGCAACAAAAGCGAATAATTTTGGAGCAAGCTAGAAAAGCAATGTTGGCTGAACAGGAGGCCAAGGGGGAAGCAGAAGGAAAAGATCAAAGAGGGGAATTAGATTCTCTGCTGACTGGGCCAGCCGTACCTGAGCAGTTTGAACAAAACGGGTCCAACGACGAGCCTGAATTAACGCCAGAACAGGCTGAAGAAAAAGAATTTCAAAAGAAGCTTTCCAATAAAGTTGAAATACCACCAACGACGTGTTTATTCTGTCATCCCAAATTGAAACAGAACTTTCCCACAATTGAGGAAAATACCGAACACATGTTCAGACAGCATGGTTTGTATATCCCCGAAACGCAGTATTTGGTTGATAAGAAGGGGTTGATAGAGTACCTTGCTGAAAAGATTGGATTTGGATTTTGCATAGCTTGCAATTATCAAGGAAGAAATACAGAAGCTGCTAGGGAACATATGCAAACAAAGAGACACATGAGGATACCATATGAAACTGAGGATGAGAAGTTGGAAATTTCAAATTTTTATGATTTTTCATCCACCTATGATGATGATGAAGTCGATGTGGTTGTTGAGGACGGAGAGGGAGAAGATGGCGATTGGGAAGATGTTAATGGGGGTGAAGGAGGAGATGCGGACAGTGATGAAGAGTTACAACCATCTGACAGGGATGCAATTTATCAAGATGGTAATGAATTGATACTTCCATCTGGTGCAGTTGTCGGCCATCGTTCCAATGCTAGATACTACAGACAAAACCTTGCTCCAGAAAGAATATTATCCGAGGGTCAAGGTACTGTTATTGCAGCTGAGACTAGACATATGTTGACTTTACAAGATAGAAAGGAGTTGGCTAGTAAGAAGAGGACATGGAGGAACGAAAAGAAGAGAGAAGATGTCAATGATAGAAGAGCTGCTAAATTTATCAATAATCAACCGCATTATAGAGACCAATTGTTACAATAAGGGTAATAAATACAAGTGTCTATTTATTTTCATTCTATATGGTCAATATAAGACCAGCACCAATCAAATCAATCAAGATGTTGATCAAAATTAACCAACTGGCAAAAAATAACAATTTTGGAGAAAACACCGTCCACACAAACAAGTGGAATCGTAAATTAATACACGAGGCCACCAAGTTTGTAGCCGAAACAGTGTAGAATAATAAACTAATCAACGATTTAGTCAACAAGATTCGGTATTTTAAACGCGGATAACTCGTGAGATCAGTTGGTGAAGCACCTCTAAAACTGGCCATTCCAGGCTCAAAAACTAATTGTAGCGATGTCACGGACCAAAAAATGGAACCAGCGAAATTTGAAACGAAGGTGAGTAATCCGACAATTACAACATCGTATGTTTGTACACCATTATAGGCATTTGACAAGTCCACAGTAGCTAATGAATTTGTATTTCCCATTGAGAAAAATGTCAAATGTTGCAAGCACAATGTGAGAAACGTTATGCAAATGATGTGGTTGTCAATGACAAACTTTTTCTCATTCGTTGATGTTTGGTAAACTAGCTTCGCAAGTGCCAATTTCATTACAAGCAAAATCAAAAATATGGGTATGTTTGCATGTCTAGTCTGATGTATCAAAAACAAAGTAATAATGTTTGCGATATCAGTGATTGTCCCAGTGTACCTTTTTTGTATACGACGACCAATCAATACCAACACCAAAGCACCAGTAGTTGCCATTGTCATGTAACTAGCCAATTGAACACTTATGCCTTGAAGTTGTAACTTTAAATCGATATCCTCAATATTTAAGTTCTCCGTATTGACATCTTGGCTTTCCAAGATCCACACCAAAAGCAATTTGAAAATCCCAGGGGGGGTATGGCCATCAATAAAATACAGGACTAGCTTAAACAGAAACGATACTGAAACTGCCACAAACACGCAAAGGTTGATCATAGTGCCTTCCAATGTTAACGCGGGAGCTTGCTTGGTTTTGAACACCCGCAAAAGCCAATTCAAATTCCCTTGTAAGCAGATACTAACAGCAGTTGCAAAATAAGTGAGAGTAATTAATACCCAAAGAAGATTTTGATTGTATTTGAATAAGTAATTTGCAATTGTACCGTCTGAAAACCATTTTTGTCCACTATTATTCCAAGCTTTCAAGATTCGACTTGACAAGAGTATTGTCAAGAACCAATGCATTTTGGACTTTGTCCCAAACACTTTGAAATAGAACGCACCAAATGCAAGTAAGGACAAAGATGTGGCAAAGTACCAAATTTGATGTTCCTCTTCGATCAAAGAAGAGCCATGAAAGTGTATCGAATAGATCAATGTAAACACTTCAAATGAAATGACAAGGTACGTAGTAATTTCTCTAAATGAGAGAAAGTAAAGATTGAAAATGCCAGTAGTGATCAATGCTGTGAGTAAAATCATTCCTGCTCCAATGTAAATGTGCTTGTAGTTATAATTGATTGCTGATGACGCCATATCCAGCTGCACTTTTTCCAAGAACGAGTAATATTCGTCTACTGCATGATCACCATTTTGCATACTTTCCCATGCCATCCAAGTATTCCCAGTTGGTCCATTTTTCGCCTTGTATAAACTCATTATCTGAAAGCAATTTTCAAGCAAGATTTTGCCTCTTTGGCTCTCTGGCCATAGCTCGAGGATCTTTCTAGCTATGACACCTAGAGAATTCTTAGGAATAGGGAAACTGAATAAACTTGCCAATGTGGGGACGAGATCAATCTGAAAAATTTGGTCATAGTAAGTGTAGTCAGATGACACCGGTAACGGAGCTTTATCATTATGGGTATTGAATTTATGAGAGATAAATGCCAACGCGGCTGAAGTTTCTCCAGCAGATGATCCTCCATGGTTGCCCACTTCATTCATGCCATGATCTCCCATAAATACAATCAATGTATCTTGATTTTTTTCCGTGTAATTGTAAAGTCGTTGCAAAATTAGATCCATTTCTGCTTGTTTGGGTTTCATGAATGTTGAATGTGGTCCCCCCTTGTGTCCGATATGATCTAACCCGAGATAATGTAGTATCAATCCATCCCAATTTGAACTCAGCAGAAGTTGATGATCCAAATGACGAGTGACATTGTTATCCACCTCAGTAAAATCACTAACAAAGAAAGAATTGGTACCTTCAAATTCACCAAACTCATTGGGAAACAATTTCAACCAAGTATCATCACCAAAGAAATTGATATTCTTGTTGAGCTGTTTGAATTGGTAAACCCAAGAATCCTGTGCATGTAATCCTTGTGAATCATCGTAATCATCAGCAACGTTCAAGATGGCATCGAGAAAGCTTGGGGTGCCTCCAGTAGTAATACCTTTGAGTCGAGGTAGTGTCACAGTTGGTGGATTGGAATATGCCGTAAATGGTATAGCATGTCCCGTATTGATCAATTCATGTAGAAACTTGAAATTCGATTCGTCGCTGAAACAAAAATCAGCACGCATTGCATCTACCACCACCAATATTAGCTTTTTAAATTGAGGTTTACCATTTTGGGTCAAGAATGGTGTTTTGTAATCTAGACTTGGTTGAAGAAACGTGTTTGAGCCTGGTAGAACAATCTTTGAGGGAAAGAACCCACTGAGAAATAGCACGAACCCAACAATGTTAGTGAGCACCAATAGTATATATACTTTCCATTTTAGATTTATCGATCGTATCATGAGTGGTGACGAAAGGTTGACAGAATCGGAGTTGTGCACATTTCAATCTGTTGATTTTTCAGTAAACACAACAATAACAACACAACAACGCGCAAAAAAAAAAAAAAGAAAAAATTCACGAACAGTAACAACGTTTAGTGGTTAAAATACGCTAGGTGTTATGTGAACCTGTAGCATCATCAAACTCAAGTGAGTTTCAATAACACAAGAAAGTCGCATTTCCAAGTTTTTGTTGTAATGACCTCTTTTTTTGACAATCTTGTCAGTTCTTTCAACACTAACTTTCTATGAGGTGAAAAGCGCATCGGCTCCTTCCTGAAATGTAAGCGGCGCATGCCCCAATGGGGTAATAATTTTAAAATTAGGACGCAAGTTAATAGTAACTTTTTGTACAACTCCACCTTGGTACTTCAAAGGTGGAGATTTATAGCCTGAAATGCATGATGTATAGCTCTTGTATATCGGCGATGATATTTTGAAGCTGGGCATACCACCACTGATGCGCTCTCCCCATTTGTTAATACAGAGAGTTACCAGTAACTTGTTCAAGAAAAGAGAAGACACACGAGGTTATTGGCTGAATAAGTGATTGACTAGATTGCAGTCTTTGGTTTTTAAGTCCTTCATTCACTCTTATTGCTTTGTTCAAACGTATAGCACATCATTATCTTTTGTACCTTATTAATTTGATTTTGCAATAATAGCCACTTCCTCCCCCTCTCACTCACTCACTTCACTTTGGGTAAAGAAATTTTTTTTTTTCATCATCATCATCACACAAAAATGAACTGAAACCGGAAATTTTTTAAAGCTTATCAAAAGGACGAAATGAAACAAGACAATATAAATTAGAATTTTAAGAGATATAGATCAAAAGTGTAACACAAGTCCCAACCACCCGATCTTTTACTCTTTTTTCTAATCATGATTTTTTTTTTTTTTCATATTCTTAGCCCGCTAAGGATTTACTAGTGGAAACTTCCAAGCTACACTGCATATATAAGGAAGACAATATCCTTCACCTTCAACAAAGTTCACGTAATCTTTACATGTCACATAGTATTAGTATCAAAATCCAAAAATGAAGCTAAAGTCTAGTCAAAGTGCAGCCACTCCAGTGGAGAGTGAATTGGGGATGCACCCCATAGTATCACAAGTTCACGTTGATGCTTTACCCATTAGATCAATACTATCTAATCAAGGTATCACCATCAATGTTGATCATGAAGTAGATGAAGATGAAGCCATGATATTAGCCATGGGTTACAAACAAGAGTTGAAAAGAGAGTTTTCATTGTGGACAGTTTTCTCTGTTAGTTTCTCAATGTTGGGTCTCTTGCCCTCAATTGCGGCCACTTTTGATTATCAACAATTGGTTATTGGCATGTCGCCAATACCTTGGTTAGTGGCAATGATTTTCATTACAACGGTGGCATTATCAATGGCTGAAGTTGCATCTGCTTTCCCTTGTTCTGCCGGTACACCATATGTTGTTTCGCAATTGTCTCCACCAAAATACAAGTCATACTTAACATGGTTTACATGCTGGACTAATTGGCTATGCCAAATTACCGCCGCTCCTTCAGTATGTTATTCTTGTGCCAGTTTAATCTTGGCATTGTATTCATTAACTGATTCTAGTTATACTCCATCTACGGGTCATGTATATGGCTTATCTACTGGAATTCAAGTTGTTTGTGGTTTAATCTGTTCCATGCCGGCAAAATGGGCTGGTCGTGTTAGTTCGGCTGGAGCATTTTGCAACATTTTGTTTTTGACTATAGTGTTTGTAATGATTTTGGCGGGCAACAAGAGAACGGAATTGAATGAAGGTGTTTCGACGAAATTTAACCCCAATGCCATTGCTTGGTCATTGTATAATCAAGCTGAATGGCCACAAGGTATCTCATTCTTGATTTCGTTTATGGGTGTCATTTGGGCAATGTCGGGATATGATTCACCTTTCCATTTAGCAGAAGAGTGTGCTCATGCAGCAGTCAATGTCCCCAGAGCCATTGTCTTGACCAGTTCAATTGGTGGTCTTGTGGGATTTGTGTTTATGATTGCCATTGCATACACTGTGGTTGATCTTGATACAATAGCCGCTGATCCTCAAGGGTTGGGACAACCATTTGTTACATATTTATCCCAGATTGTGGAGGAAAATTTAGTATTGGCTGCCACTTCATTCACTGTCGTCTCATCCTTCTCAATGGCTCAAAGTTGCTTATTGGCTGCTTCAAGAGTAACTTATGCATATTCAAGAGATGGATTGTTTCCTGGCTCAAATATTTGGAAACGTGTTTCGCCATTGACTCAGACACCCATTTGGGCAGTTGTAATCAATGTTACTCTTGGCCAGTTGTTACTTTTGTTACTATTTGCTGGCGATGTAGCAATTGGAGCAACATTCTCCGTTGGTGGTATATCAGGATTCATTTCATTCACAATGCCCACTTTACTCAAGATTACATGGGCTAGAAATACGTTTCAGCCCGGACCTTGGAACTTGGGTAAGTTTTCTGAACCTATTGGTTGGTTATCAGTTGGTTTCATTGCGTTGATGATCCCTATCTTGTGTTTCCCAACTGTCAGAGGCAAAGATTTAACACCAACAGAAATGAATTGGACGGTATTGGTTTACTTTGGATCTATCTTTATTGTCACCATTTGGTTTATTGTTGACGCTCATAAATGGTATAAAGGTCCCAGAAGTAACATCGATGAAGCTGACATTGTTTACGATGATGATGATGCTGGTGCTGGTGGTAGTGGCGGTAGTGGAAGTGAAGGGTATGATAAGGTGCAAGTTATTGATGCGTCGGAATCGAATTCGCGGAGTAATGAGAAATGTTAGTATAGAATACAACTTTATGATAAATGTGAATTTGATGTAGGACAAAGCAGATTGAAAGCCTTTGCCAGTAAAATTTTATTGCGGAGAAAACCGAGGCTCCATTTTACCACACTTTGGGTGCAAAATTTAGAGCGAAGGGGATCCCATACATTTTATTATATAACACATCAATGAGAAGAAGAGAAATGAGTTAGTTTCGTGTGGTCTATAAAGAAGACATCAACCACTTTATTCGATCTAGTAAATGCAAAAGAGTGCAGAACAATTACAAACTTGTAAACTTTGTCAATCTATAATTGTTGCTACTTTTGTGTAATGAATAAATTTGATTTTTCTTGAGGGGAATTATGAAAAATATGCCAAAACTTGTTTATCTTGACAGATTAAACACGTCTAGTTTCAGTTGAATGCCATTCAGACGGAGTATATTGCTTGTAGACGTATAACTAGGCTAACATAGTGAGTATTGATCACCCTTCCTTCAAATCAGATTACACACTATGTTCATTTTCAAAAGGCAAATTTGTACTTATCGCAAGAGTAAAGTAAGATAACAAAAATGATAGGATTTTTTTTCTTTATGCCGTTCATTTAGATGTATACAAACATCAATACCATTTCATTTTTTTTTTTTTACCCATTGTACTGATAAAATGAAATTTACAAACAGTAGATATAAAAGTAATGGAAAATCCCCAAACTTTATAAAACACGAACTTGAGGATGTTTACTCAGGGGTCTACGGCGACATAAAATGACATCCAAAAGTGAAAATGCAACCTCAGTTACCTCGAAAGTTCACATCAATGACTTCAACATCAATGACTTCAACATCAATACAACGTTTCCGTCAACGCACGGCATAACAGTCAATGTTCACCAAGAGATAGATGAAGATGAAGCAAGAGTTAGAGCCATGGGATATAAGCAAGAGTTAAAACGTGAATTTTCCCTTTGGTCATTATTCGGCATGAGTTTTTCACTATTGGGTCTTTTGCCATCAGTGGCGGCAACGTTCAACTATCAACAATTGGTTATTGGCATGTCTCCATTACCATGGATTGTTGCAATTGTATTCATCACTTCAGTGGCCTTGTCTTTAGCGGAAATATCATCAGCGTTTCCTTGCTCAGCTGGTGCTCCATATGCAACTTCACAATTGGCACCAGTTAAATACAAGCTGTTTTTCGCTTGGTTTGCTTATTGGACCAATTGGTTCTGCCAAATCACAGGGTCTCCTGCTGTCAGCTCAACTTGTGCTAGCTTGATGTTGGCGTTGTATTCATTCAATTCTCCAACGTATACACCTAAACCAGGTCACGTGTTTGGATTATCGACTGGTATTCAAATTGTTTGTGGAGTAATATGCTCTATGCCATCGCGGTATGTGGCCAAGTTTTGTTCCTTTACTGCTTGGTGTAATGTTGCATTTTTGATTATCGTGTTTGTCATGATTTTGGGCGGTAATAAAAGAATGGAGCTAAATAATGATGTGACAACCAAGTTTAACTCAAATTCAGTGGCGTGGTCATTGGAAAATCAAACCGAATGGCCTCAGGGGCTTGCTTTTTTGATCTCCTTTTTGGGTGTAATTTGGGTCATGTCTGGTTATGATTCTCCTTTCCATTTAGCTGAAGAGTGCTCTAACGCGTCAGTTGCTGTGCCAAGAGCAATTGTAATGACAAGTATCGTTGGTGGAGTTATTGGTTTTTGTTTCATGATTGCAATTGCATACACATTGGTTAGCATTTCCGAAATATCAATGGATACATTAGGATTAGGTCAACCATTTGTTTCTTACCTAGTACAGGTGATGAAACATAAGATAGTTGTTGCTTCAACCGCATTCACGACAATTTCATCCTTTTTCATGTCACAGAATTGTCTATTGGCCTCATCGAGGGTTACATATGCTTATTCAAGAGATGGATTGTTGCCTGGGTCACAGATATGGAAACGGGTTTCACCAGTGACTAGTACTCCCATATATGCCGTAACAATCAATATAATCATTGGTGAGTTGTTGCTTTTATTACTTTTTGCCGGTGAGGTTACCATTGGTGCTATCTTTTCAGTTGGTGCCATTGCTGCATTCATATCATTTACATTACCTACATTACTCAAATTAACGACAGCTAGAAACACATTTAAACCAGGACCCTGGAATTTAGGCAAGTTTTCACAACCAGTAGGGTGGGTATCAGTGGCATTTGTTACCATGATGATTCCAATCTTGTGTTTCCCCACAGTCACAGGAAAGGACTTGCATGCCAAGGAAATGAATTGGACAGCATTGGTTTATTTTGGTCCTATGCTTCTTGTGACTATATGGTACTTTGTTGATGCCCACAAATGGTACCATGGTCCTAAAAACAATATCGATGAGGCTGATATTGTGTACGATGAAGAAATAATTGAAGATGGTAGTGAAAAAGGTGGATGAAAAGAGGGAGTGGTATTTGAAACGATTGGGAAACAAATTGGCTCAACATGTGTATTAGTTCATAGTGCAAAATTTAAGATGAACTGTTAAAGATGCTGACCACGAGACTGTAGTTATATTCTCTGGGTGCAAAATCCTTTGAACACAATGCGAGAGAAGGCAAAAAAAAAAATCAATCAAAGGATCATCGCTTGAACATGAGAAATTGGTAATCAACAGCACAAGATGAGTTCTTACTATCCTAGAGGAGGTGACAAAAGGGGGAGATACAACAACAATAACAACTACAATCAAGCTAGAGGATACAACGACGGTTACAACAACAATAGCAACTACAATCAAGCTAGAGGATACAACGACGGTCACAACCACCACCACAACAACACTTACAATCAACCTAGAGGATACAATGGCAGTCACAATAAAAATGACAACCATGATTCAGTAATAACGTGTGCATTCTACAACAAGATAGGAGCCTGTCGACATGGTGAAAAATGTTCCAAAAAACACATCAAACCAACAACCAGCAAAACTCTATTACTAGCCAACTTGTATCAAAACCCCAAACTAAACAAGAATGAAACCGAAGAACTAACAGAGAAACAAATTCAAGAACAATTTGACCTCTTCTATCAAGATATTTTTATACATTTGGGTTCTATGGGTGAGATTTATGACTTGGTTGTATGTGAGAATGAAAATAATCATTTAAATGGCAATGTCTATGTTCAATTCAACTCGGCCCTGGACGCATCTTTAGTGAATACCGCGCTCAATCAAGAATGGTTCAATGGTCGACCTGTACATTCAGATTTATCACCAGTTGATAGCTTCCCCGATGCTCATTGTCGTGCCTATGATACAAATTCATGTGAGAGGGGAGAAATGTGCAATTATATGCATATACGGCAACCTACGACATCGTTGAAGCAGCTGTTGTATAAAGCGCAGGATAAGATGTATAGTGGAGTCAAATTGGAAAAACTAAAGAAACAATTGAGTGAAATGCAGCAACTGGGAGCAGAAACTGTGGTAGTAAGTGTCAACGCTGAAGGAAAAGAAGAGGAGGGAGAAGAAGAGGAAGAGGATGAAGGGGGTAATGTTCCTAAGCAAGATGCTAGTAAATTACTCAATCTGCTTTTCTGAGTGTCTAACATAATTGTTTGCGTGTGTTTTAGGGTTGAACGCTATAGATATATGTATTAATGTTGTGTAGTTGCATTTCTAGTCTTTTTGGGTTATAATGTAGTATGCATTTGGTGGTAAGTCAATATCCATTGTTCTATATTCATTCTTGCCAAAAAAATGTGATCTTGAGGATCAATTGTTTCATAGAAAGAGAGACAACCGAAAAACTTTCTCAATGTATATCTAGAATAGATACTTTTATATTCTTCATACTCCCAATAGGATACACCGGCAAGTATTACTACTACTGCTACTACCGCTGTTCGTCGTATGTATCATCTTATCTATCACACTCCCTCATAGATTTTGTTCAGCCTTGTCTCCCCCAAGAATCGGACACGAAAAAAAAAAAAGCTTAAGCGAAAATTTTCCAGCATATTTTCATCAACAGGAATATGTTTATAACCAATCAATCACCATTGGCTATACCCAAGTTGTATAGGTATCTACTATCTACAACATACAAGAAGAATAGTCTATCTCATCATCAATTGCAAATTACGCTGCAATTGTACCATAAACCATTCATAATATCCACATTCTCCATATTTCAACATAATCGAAAAATGTCGTCGTCTTCTCAATTACCGTCCTCGGATAAGGATAACAAGAAAGAACAACAACCTGGGCACAACGACAACAAACATTCACACTCTCATACACACTCTGCCTCAGAGGAAGATCATGGTGCCGATGGCCATTCCCATTCACATGGTGCTGGAAGTGGTTTATTGCATCATCATCATCATTCTGCTCATGAACCAAACGAATTTTTAGCCGCAGGCACTGCATCTATAAAATCAAACCCAGCAGTCCGAATCACCTGGATCGGTCTTATAGTCAATGTCGCGCTAGCTGTGTCAAAAGGTATTGGAGGGGTTGTATTCCACTCGCAAGCATTAGTGGCAGATGCTATTCATTCAGTTAGTGATATGCTTGCTGATTTCCTAACTTTAGCTACTGTCAATGTTGCTGCTAAGGTTGGTACACCTACCAAATTTCCCTTTGGGTATGGTAAAATAGAAACTATTGGATCATTTACCGTTAGTGCCATTTTATTGTTTGCCGGTATCTCCGTGGGGTGGTCGTCATTGTTGCAAATTTTTGAATTTGTTCTTCCTACTCAATTGTACGAAATCGCTGCTAGTATTCACATTGGACATAGTCATAGTCATGCTGAACTTGGTGGAGCAACATCATCTTCGTCACATGATCATCATGGACACTCCACTCCCACCGGCGCAGAGTTAACCACCCACCGAGAAATCCCCAACATCAATGCAGCTTGGCTAGCAGCCGGATCGATTGTTGCCAAGGAAATCTTATATAAAAAGACGATGCAAATTGCTGTTGAAACAAACTCAAAAGTTCTTGTAGCAAACGCATGGCATCATCGAGTTGATTCACTTACTGCTATAGTCGCATTGCTCACCGTTGCTGGAGGAGTCATGTTCAACATTGCATGGTTGGATTCGGTTGGTGGGATGGGTGTGTCGGTTTTGATCATTAAGGCTGGCTGGGATACGTTGAAAGAAGCATGGTATGAGTTAATTGATCGTGGTGAACAGCCAGGTTCTGATTTGTACAATAAAGTTGAGACCATCATCTCACATGAATTACAAAGTAATGCTCAATTGAATCAATTCAAATTGAAACAATTGTCAGTGTTGTCTTCGGGGGCCAATACAAATATCAATTTTGTCTTGTTGACTCAAAACAAGTCTATCGACTTGATAACTTTGAACAAGTATGAAAAGACATTGACTGATTTAATTAAACAAGACGATAGGTTTGTGAGAAATGTGCTGATCAAGTTTGAAGTTGCCGAGGATGATAACCAAGTAGGGGATAACAATCCAGATGATAGAGATGATAGAGAGGATAAATACGTACATAGACATTAGGCATTGAAATCATGTAAACTTGTGATAATGAAAATGTCTATTTACAAAAATTAAGAATATCTATATACAATAATGTTATTTCTTGTTCTTGTGCTTGTTCTTCTTGGAAGACGTCTTTTTATGCCCCTCAATAAAGTTCAAAATTTCATCGACCGATTTATTAGCAATCGAAGGATCAGGTTGTGGTGGCGGTGCAACATGCCCCTTCTTTGAATGTCCATTACTTTTACCATTTGCATGAGCACCATTAGCAACGGCTGATGGCAGTTTGACTTTAGGATGATTTACCGACTTTTTTGCCAGTAAAGAAGATGCGATTTTCTTTTCTTTAGCTTGTTGAGCTTTAGTATATTCCACATACAATGCAATATTGGCTTGATATTTACCAACTTGTTTTGTCATTGAATCATTTGGGCCAAGTACCCTTTGGAATAGCCTATATGCAGCATCGAAATATTCCTGTGATTGAAAGATCTTATCGGCCGAAACAACAACATTACCAATTCTGAAATAAATCAAGGCCGTGATTTCCGATTCTTCACCATTTAATTCTTTACTATACTTTAAAGCTTGTAACAACAATATTTTTGCTGATTCATATTGCTTTGCCTTCATCAATGCTTCCGAGGAGTTGATTAATGTATTGACAATTGCCGGATGATCGACTCCGTACCCTAATGACCATGTATCCATGGCTTGTTTATACAATTTCAATGAGTTAGTTGACAAGTCATTTGCACCTTCGAAAAATGCTTGATTCATATAGGCGGTGATTGTATCATGACTGTCAAATCCACACGATCGTTCACACAATACAACTGCTCTTCGGCCAATCAAAGCAGCATCGTAATCCATACCCAATTCTTGGTATACTTGAGCCAATAAAGTATAAAATTTAGCAGTTTCTGGATTAACTTTACCATAAATGGATTCATGGATAGCTGCTAATTCGGTAAACATTGACATTCCAACTTCTTTATCACCAGAAACTAATTGAGCACGAGCACTGGCAAAAATTTCATCAATAATGGTTGATTTGTACGATGAGTCTTTAACAACTGGAGTAAACGAAATGATATCTTCAGCAATAAATGGTGTTTCGCGTTTGATTGATTTGGTACCATGTTGAGATTGTGGTGCGGTTGTCTTTTTTTTCGATTTCTTAGAAGAAGATGACGAAGTAGGTCTCTGTTCAGCAACATCGAATTGAATTTGTGCCTGAGCTGCATCAAATTCCTCTTTGGTGAATGTATAGTTGTGTGCTTTCCATTGAATACCAAATTGGAAAGCAATTTCACGCAACAATTGCTGTTTACGAACAGCCTCATCAATCCAATTTTCAGGCAACTTAAATCTAAATCTAGCAAACACTTCACTGGTCACCAACTGAATAACATCCTTGCTGGTCAATTTCGTAAAAGAAAGTTCCTCAACAGAGCAAAATGAAGCATATGATTCATCCAAGTCAACTTTTGGATCTTTAGTTATTGCACCACCGAGTAAACAGTTGTGGAAATGGGCTACTGCTGATGGTACAAGGAATGTTGGAACCAGTTTCACCAATTTTCTCAAAACGTGTTTTGAAGCTCTTGCAATCACCTCATGAATGGCGATCAAATAAGTTGCATTGTAATTGGCAACCGCTAACTCATAAGTGGCTTTCGATGGAGGCTCTTCCTCTCCTTTTTCCTCATCCTTCTTCTCGTCATCTTTCTTTCCATCATCTTTCTTCTCGTCATCTTTCTTCTCTTCTTCTTTTTTCTCCTCCTCTTCTTTTTTCTCCTCCTCTTCTTTCCTCTTTTGCTCTTCCTCTTGTTTGGCCTTCGCGGTCAACTCAGCATTCTCAGAAACAATCTTTTCAAGCTCTTGCTTGTATTCCTCTCTCTTAGTGATCAATTGTTCAGCAATATATCCCAAATATCTCATGTTGATACCATGTCTGTGTAATTGCTCAGTCAATTGTTTTCCGTCAAATGGGGGTAATTGTTGTCTGACACTATCCAAAAATTCACCAACCAACTTTTCCTTGATGAATCTCGAAATTTCCCTTACTTCATCCCGATCTTCTTCCGAATCGAATGAAGTGGAAAATGCATCGGGATTGAACAGAACTTGATCAGTAGGTAATGCAATTTGTGGTTTCTCTTCACCAGCACCTTCCTTGGCGTCAAATTTACCTTCCTTTTCCAACTTTTCGGTCTCGGCTTTGAAAAGGGCAGATACTTTACGCTTCCACCATTCATTAACTGCCTCGTGTCTAATCAAAGCCTCTCCATGGGGATAAGATTGAGCATCCGCAGTGTTGAAATTTGATTCAATAAACTCAATATCACGTGGGACAGTACGGTACAATTCCATTACATATTTTCTACCATCGGTGCCTGATAATCCTTTGGTGTCTTTCGAAACAACCAATTCATTCTGCGATTGAATTTCATCAGATACCTTGATCTTGTGTGGCTTTAAATGGAAAACTTCTCCAACTTGTTTCAATGGTTCAACGAATGATTCATCTTCAAGAATTTTTGATCCATCTGATGAAGAACCATACTTGACTTTTTCTTGAATTTCTTCTTCTTCACCAACTATAGCGTCCAAAATACCAGGAACTGGCGCTTGACACACGACTCTTTTACCCATATAGTCCACCACACAAGTGAGTAATGTAGATAAACCTTTGACGTCATGTCTATTGACTATTTTAACACCAGCAAGATCCTTGGAAGCAACGTATCTTGAAGCTTCTTCTGCACCAGTATTTTCAAACCCGTCAACTGTAGAGGCTCCAGTAGAATAGAAAACTCCATTTTTCAAATAAATGTATTTACTCTCATCCTCAGTTGGGTTCATTGGTGTTATGTCCCCCTTGATTATATGCATTGCAGTCTCTGTAGCCGATTTGGTAAAATCAAACAATGTCTTTTGAATAAGTTTCTCACGAACAATACGCTCTTGAAAAGTGGTAGATGGTAGTTCTTTAATACTTTGAAATTCATTGTTCCACTCCTTGATGAAGTCAGAACCATCTACACCATTGTCAATCAATGGTAATTGAGATCTGGACACATCAGGAATGTTTTGCAAACCCGATGCGTCGACAACCCAAGGATGAGCAAGGAAAGAGTTGTATGGCAAAAGGTAAGATTCTGGATAAGCACTTGCTTTAGTTAAATTGACTTCATTATCAACAATAGTGGAGGTAAATAAAGGTGATAATGAAGATACCAAATCAAACAATAACAAATTCTTGAAGCACTTGCCCTTTTCGTTCACCTTAATATCAGGATTAAAGTTCATTGTTGATGATTTGTTGACAAAAAACCCTGAAAAATGGCACGTAATGTGGAAGGTTTCATTTTCCAATGTTTGCAAAGTCAAATACAAAAGATCACCTTTAGATTTTTGAAAATTTGGTACTGGAGACCATTGAGAGACACTAAGTGATCTGATAGGTAATTTGATCACGTCGCTGACCTTGTCAAACGTAGCTTGGCTCACTAAATCAACACCCTTTGAAATCCCAAATGAGTCGACAATTGAACTTAATTGGTCTTCTTCTTCTTTCGATAATGGTGTTAATTCCTTACTTTCAGGGGTGTCCAGATTTCCATTTTGAGACTCGGACTCCTCTTTCACTTTCAATTCGTCCAATTTGATAGCATTGAATTTGGAGACACCGCCTTGAGAACCAATATCACTAGCAACCCTATCAATATAATGAAGACCAATGGTATCTCTGAACTTGTTGATTTGTTCATACACTGACGCCAAATTGTACGCCTTGGCTTTGATTTGCATCCGTAATTGTTCAACATCCCCCAATTGTAATTCATTAATGATTTCAGCAAACGAAACAATTTCACCAAGACTATCAACATCAATACCATGGACATTTAACGAATAGTTTGTCAAATTTCGAGTCGTAGGTAACACGCTCAATGTTTGTCTCAAATCGGCAATACTTTCATCATAGTGAGACGAGATTGATATTTCCTTCTCTTCGGTGCTTACAACGGAAGGTAGCACTATTTTCAACAAAAGATCCTTTGGAGCTGGTGCCTCTTCTTTTGGGGTCTCTTGGACCTTCTCAGCCTCAGACATTGTGGAAACTCTCTAAGATTGTTGGATAGATTGGCCAATCGAAGTTGAAAATTTTTCTATTTTTTTTTCCTGCGTCTGTGCTCAGAAATCTAAAACAACCAGTTCAACATTCAAATACTGTCTCATTCACCACCCTCAACATGAGATTTGCTTACTTCAGGAGTATTTGACTTGACTTCAGGCAACCGGATGGGATGAGTTGCACAATGTATTGCGCGATATAACAAGGCATTAGAATTGTTGTATCACTTATACAGATTTGAAATCGGTTTTGCATCCAATAATTAAAAGTTGACGCAGGTATTGTCAAGTCGAGAATGAGGAAACTATTATCATGTGAGCTTGAAAAGACTTTCTTCAGGAGTTAATGATGTCGTGCGAAAGCCGTCCATGAATGTCATATCTGCCTCAAAATAATGCTTTCCCTCGAGTGTCTACCTCATGAAGCCTTAGTAGAGTTTTTCCATCAACTCAATCAGCACGAAGCATTGGCGCTTGCATCATTACATTCCAAGTTGTACCACGTTGCCAATCCCAAATTGTACAGAAACATAGATGTGTACGCATCGTGGCCGCTAGAGGAGCAGGATCCCAGTAGCAGTGCTCTGCAACAAACTTTCCCTATCTCCTAGAATTTCAACCAACTGCATGAGTAAGATGTATTCAATGATATCATATGATACATTTCAAAGGCGTCTAACGAAAATGGACAAGACTCAGGAGGTATATCATTTCGAATTGTGTTACCATAATATGACTATTCTTGATTGTACTTTCAAACACTTCACAAAAATTCATCTTTTCGAATTAGTTGCCCTATTTTATCAGACTACATTACCAGACCATATTGATTTCACCCAAAAATATCTAACTATCTACAATCGTACCGCAGTTTACATATCCCCAAGATGTCCAGGCTATGACTTTGCTCCTGAACATGAGAATCTCAAACTGATTAGGATCGACGACCTTTATGCACACAGATATTTATCTCATTTACAAAAACATTCTCACGTCGAGGATGCGAGCTCTCATCCTGAGAGTAAGTCGAAGCACTCGCATCTTGGGGGTTCAAGAATGAAGAAGGAATTCACTCGATTGTTGAGAAAGTTCGATGGATGGAAAAAGCTTGTCCGTACAAAACTCAAGGGAACGTTCTTGGCCGCTGCCGATTTTGAAAAAGATTGGTTTCGGTATGCATTCACGTCAAGAATACCATTCTTTACCGGTGAATGATGTCATTATTGCCGGGTCAAGAAGGGACCGGGTAGCAGAAGAAGCTTCTAGGGTTTCGTCATGAAAGATGTACAACTTGCGCTGGCATTGGGTAGAGGGGACTGATTAGAAGTGTTTAGAGGCAATTTAGTTTAGTTTGAATGTTCGTTATACCTCATCACTCATTGTCTTTGAAACTTTCCAAGTAGTTGCGTCATTTGCATACCAATATGTTGTTGTATTGTCCATCAGTATCATGTAGTTACTCTCTAACGACAATAACCGCAGGTTAACTCGGCATCTCGCATAATTGTTAAAGTTGCAAATCTTTGTTCCGTTTTGCTTTCCTTCCCACGCGGGTCTGGAAATGATGATTAATGGCGAAACAAAACTGAATTCCTTTTGGAAGATACACCGAAATAGTGTGTCAAGAGAGAGACAAATAGCTCATGGACCATTCAGAGACTGCTAGCGACACTTTGGGAAACACCACGAGTACCCAGGAGCTAACCCCGGAGCAACATCAACGAATATTCCTTAATGATTTGCCTGACGAGGTTTTGATTCACACCTTTTCACAATTAGAACCATTAACGTTGAACGGTTTACGACTAGTCTGCAAGAAATGGAATCACATAATCAACGATAAGGAAACCTGGACCAAGCTGTTTTGCAAAAGATTTGGCATTCCGCCATCAGCATCGTCATTTCCAAGTGTTACACATGGATCGAATTGGATGAGAGAGTATTTTGCGAGGCTACAAGTAATACGTAATTGGAAAAGAGGTGTATCGACTCATCAGACTTATCGAATGGCAAATAGTGAACTCCGAATAGGTGGCCTGACATTGTGTGATTTCAAGATGAATAAGCTTGCTGTGTTTGACCAAATACTGGGGAATATCAGTATTGGCAATCTTGATAGTGGGAAAACCCAAAGCTTTATCCCAGGAATGATGAACATGGATATATTGAGCTATGATATGAATTTCAATTACCTAGTGATGGGGAAGAAGAATGGAGGTATTGTTGTCAAGAATTTGATCATCAGCACTTCATTAAGTCAAAGAGATAGTGTGACTAATTTTGATATGGGAGATGATGAACGGAGTCTGGTTACAAGTGTGGTCATAAACTCAAATGTGGATAAGAACGGAGGTACTATCGATGTTCTCAGTGGGCTGCTTGATGGGCATGTACGGTGTTGGACTTTGCATGGCAAACTCAGGAGCAAAATGAGGTTGGATGGCCCTGTTATAAACATGAAGTCCGACTTCACCAAACACATCATCGTGAACACTACAACATCAGTTTACGTTTTGAAGCTTGAAAATTTGGAGGTTTGGGCGCATGCGAATTTGGATATCCCTGTATGCAACGAGGAGGCAATACATGTTGAACAGCTTGTTAATCACAAAAACTCTTTTGATGTTGATTTCGGTGGAGAAAGCATAATCATAACCCATGGGAAGAGTGTTCGTGTTTATGATTTCCATTGTGCAGGGATACGAAAATTAGATTTTGAAAACGAAGCAATCATCTTGACCCAGCTTCAGACAGTAGCCAAAAGCAATTTGCATAATGTGAATGCAAACGTTGTTGGTGGCGGTGGGCTAGTTTGTGGAAGTCTTCTAAGTGACGGGAGTATTGTCATTTGGAATGTTCGTGAAGTGTCCACCCACACGATAGAGCCACTACTACGCTTCAATCCAGAATTGAATCATAAAAAGATTCTGGGTCGAATACACAACGCTGTGTCGAATGGGCAACTACTAGGTGTTACTACTTTTGCTTTGAATGCATCGGTAGTGGCAGTGGCGGGATACAATGGGTTGACGTGCATCTATGATATCTTTACAGGCAAATTCTTGAGAGAAGTTTCAATCAAGTTTCCCAGAAGGTTTGATAGTATGCAACATTTTCCGAAAATGGTTGAACTAGTCCAACTCAATCCGGACCAGCAAGACACTAATGGTGTGATAGTTTGTGGGGATGTGATACAATACTTTGAGTTTGGCAAGATAAGTAGCAAGAAAGCTGGTGTGGGTTCAAAGAAGGCAAAGCAAGTAAACATAGGATCACATGGGAAGCATGAGTCAAAGAAGAAAATCAAAGATGGGATGAATGAGTATCATCGACAGTTGCATGTACGGAATCAGACTGAGCAGCTTTTTGATAGATACAATGGAACTGAATTTGATGATGAAGAAGAGGAGATGAGAATAGCATTGGCCATGAGTGAAAATATATATACCAACAGGTCAAGCCAAATAGACGTGGCACCAGATGGCAACAGTGATACTGCTCAGGACCTCAACTTAGCTTTGGAGCTTTCAAGAGCTGATGCTTACACTTCGGAATTGCCAGTGGAGACTGGTAATCCAGTTGAAGAAGACAGTGAGGTTGACGAGGAATTGAAACGTGCATTAGAATTGTCATTAATAGAGCATTGAGTAGTTGTTTATCAATGAAATGAAGTTAAAGCTACGCTTACGTGGGTATACATTGCACTGACGTTGGGCATAAAAGTAGTTGTGGAGTACTGCAACGAAAGGTGGATCGGATATTTATCAGTATTCAAATGTCTTACAGAGAAAGAGTGAAAGGGAAAACTTAATCAGTCTTCCCTTTCCCACTTTTTCTTCTTTTTTTTTGCCAAACATGCTTACTTACAAAAAGATAGATTATATTGTCATCAGTGCCCTCTTCTTCACTTTTATGATACTACATGTGGACTGTTGTCTACTGTTGCTTCCAAATTGTATATTTTCTGTATTGCTCTCGTGGTATTTGTGAGATTTGTATCCGTTTTTCAATATATATATACAACCTCAGATTCGGTTTGCCCTCTTTCCCCCTTCAAGACCTAATTTTACCAGTGCTTCGTATCCTAACGAGTATTTTGGTTTAAACTAGAATCTGATCGAAGCTTGTCCTAATTGACCCTTTTACATGACTTAGGTAACAATACTACAAAAATGTGGCCCCTTTACACGACTATTCTATTCAAATTTTCACCTTTTATAAAAAAAAAAGAAACATGGAATTACTAATTGTAATCCACTTCTTTATTCTCCCCTCTAGGAATCATTACCCTTCTGCTTCCCCATCACCGTTGTCAATCATATTGGAACGGTACTGCAGTGCGTTAAGACTTCTTCATTTCATCGTTCTCAGATTAACATTTATTGTCCCGTTAGTTCGTGATCACAATAAATCAGCAAATCATTACTGTAGGAGAATACTAATCGTCTATGTCATCGATAGCAACTGCTCAAACCACAACCAAGCCCAATCAAGATGCCCAAGAGTATATTGGACCGAACTTGAACGTCACCTTGACATGTCCTGAATGTAAGATCTTCCCTCCTGACTTGATTGAAAGGTTCAGTGAAGGCGACATTGTGTGCGGTAGCTGCGGGTTAGTGTTGAGTGATAGAGTAGTCGATACCAGATCGGAATGGAGAACCTTTAGCAATGACGACCAGAATGGAGACGATCCATCTCGTGTTGGTGATGCAGGTAATCCACTTTTGGACACGGAGGATTTATCGACAATGATTTCGTACGTCCCTGATAATTTCAAGGCAGGGAGAGAGTTGAATAGAGCACAATCCAAATCTTTGGTGGACAAGAAGGATAATGCTTTAGCGGCAGCATATGCCAAGATCTCTCAAATGTGTGATGGTTATCAGTTGCCAAAGATTGTCCAGGATGGGGCTAAAGAAGTGTATAAAATGGTCTACGATGAAAAGCGTTTGCGGGGAAAGTCTCAAGAGTCAATCATGGCAGCGTCGATTTTCATTGGTTGTCGTAAAGCCAAAGTTGCTCGTACTTTTAAAGAAATTTGGGCATTGACCAATGTACCTAAAAAGGAGATTGGGAAAGTGTTCCGCATTATGAATAACATCATACGTGAGAAAAATGAAGCCAATCCGCAGTCAGCTGCATACTACAGCCAAGACAATATTCAAACTACTCAAACTTCAGCTGAAGATTTGATTAGAAGATTCTGTTCACATCTTGGATTAAGTTCACAAGTGACGAATGGAGCTGAGTATATTGCTAGAAGGAGCAAAGACGTTGGTGTGTTGGCTGGAAGATCGCCCACGACAATTGCAGCTACAGTTATATACATGGCATCTTTGGTATTTGGCGTCGAGTTGCCACCATCAAAGATATCTGATAAGACAGGTGTTAGTGATGGTACTATAAAGACATCTTATAAGTACTTATTTGAAGAAAAGGACAAGTTGATGGATCCCTATTGGATCGAAACGGGAAAGGTTAGTTTGGAGAACTTTCCAAAAGCTTAGTTCAGCGTATAGGTGTAAATTTTGTTTAATGCAAGGAGCGTACTATCACAAAAATATGATGTGACTTCTCTTTCTTCCATTTAGGCTTATTCTCTCGGGTGTTCAACTTTTCAAGGCCAAAAAGAATGAACTTCATTAGGACCTTGGCCACTAGATCTGCGGCAAAGTTTCAGGACGTGGTGATAATCGGTGGGGGTTTAGCTGGGCTCCCCCCTTTATCGACGTTGAATACCTCACCAAAACTTAAACATTTGCAATGCACCTTGGTAGAAGGGCAATCGTTGGACCCTGTACGAGAGTTTGAAGTCAATTTCCCAGAAAACTACACCAATAGAATATTTTCATTGACTCCAAAATTAATCGAATTTATGGAAATATATATATTAACAGGCTAAGTCAAATAGACGTGGCACCAGATGGCAACAGTGATACTGCTCAGGACCTCAACTTAGCTTTGGAGCTTTCAAGAGCTGATGCTTACACTTCGGGATTGCCAGTGGAGACTGGTAATCCAGTTGAAGAAGACAGTGAGGTTGACGAGAAATTGAAACGTGCATTAGAATTGTCATTAATAGAGCATTGAGTAGTTGTTTATCAATGAAATGAAGTTAAAGCTACGCTTACGTGGGTATAAATTGCACTGACGTTGGGCATAAAAGTAGTTGTGGAGTACTGCAACGAAAGGTGGATCGGATATTTATCAGTATTCAAATGTCTTACAGAAAAGGTAAGCGATCGCAAAAGCTTAATCATTCTTCCCTTTCACTCTTTCTGTCTTCTGCGCTCACGAATAGAACTATTTAGCGACGGGACAGATTGTACTGTCATCAGTACTCTCTTCTCCATCGCTGTCTCCACCATCGTCAGTAGACCGTTGTCAACGGTTTCTTCCTAACTCCGTCCGTTCAGCTCCTATATGCAGGGCCGATTCTGAAGAGAAAAATTTTGTTGTTCTTTTTGCGTCCTGTGTCTACAAGATTTAAACCTATCATAGACTATCAAATTAATATCAAACGCATAACAAGCAGAAAGAAGAAAAAGAAGGGAATTTCATCCAAAGGTGTATTTAAACTATTCCGGAATTACTAAAGAGATCATAGATCGATCAATAGAGACTACTACTGAGCACTAGAAACATATTCTTTATGTCATCAGACACATCAATATAGACAATATCAACAACTATTCACTTGCATACAATACACTATAGACACATGGAACAATGGTGCTCCCTTCTTTTATACGGCTTGCTAGAATATCAACTAGACTTCGTCATGCTAGAATTCATTACTCCAATCGTCATCGTCAACCATTCTTTCAAGCATCGTTCCCTTATCTAAACACTAGTTACTACTACCAAGGGTTACTGAAACGTCATGAATTTTTTCATAAAACTCGGTGGTGGTCGAGAGCAGAGACCGGATCCACAAGTCAATCGACTACGTTCCCCGGTATAGCAGATGGTCATTATGGAGTTTACTACTCCATGTACAATCACGAATGTGAACGAAAAGACCGTCAACGGGCATATGAAAATTATATCAGACGTTACATGATCAAGCAAATGGAGCGGGGTGATAGGACAAAGTTCAAACAGTGTGTGTTTATGAATATGTGCAAACATCATCATCATCATCATCATCATTGGTCAAAGTGTGGTGGTGGTCATAGGCACAGATGGAATCACAGATCACATAAACATTATAGAGGACTATTCCATGTTAAGCTTTTGCTCCTTGGGATAGCAGCTAGATTTATAATTTCCAAAGCCATAAAGGATACTCAAATTGGCTTGGAGAATGTAAAGACCGCCACGTATAGACTAACATCATCGTGTTACGTCAAACCCGCCGGGTATTTCATCAACGCAGGTGCAAGCTTTCATTCGTCAAGTTTGTCATCTTCTAGATTGACTGATTCCCGCACAAATGGTGATGTGTTCTCCATTGGTCTTTCAAGGAGGTCATTCACTACAGTTTCTCAAACACTTTTCCAACAATTAACCAAGACGTCACAGAAGTCGCCAACGAAAGTTGGAGTGGAGGATTCATTCGAAAACGGTTTCTTGGAGTCACAAATCGCCAATATAACCAACGCTTTTGAGAATTATGGAGATAAGAAAGACCTTGACATAATATATCCCTTGTATCAGTCTATCAAGCGTAATGGGCTAACTTTGCCTAGCGTGGAGCTATACAACATGGTCTTGAAATCCATCATTGACAGGTTTATTGATAATGAAGTCGAAATCGGTGCCATTGAGAGAAAGTTGACCAATTTGCTTACAGTGTATCAGGATATTCTTTATGCAAATTTGAAACCTGATGATGAAACTTACAATTTAGTTGTCAATGCAATGTTGGATAGTACTTTGAAGTGTTCACTTGTGCAATGCGAAAACTACATCGAGTTTAACGAAATATCCACGAAATCCAAAGAGTTTGCCCAAATTGCATTTGAATTGGTGGAATCTTCTTCGAAACATGTGCTGTTCAAGAGTGTATTTGATAAGGTTGTCAAATTATCAAAGTTGTATCCTGGTCTTGTCAGCGAACTGATTGTGGGATCTTTTGTGCAAATGTTGGACAAAGTAGATTGTGATGAGCCTGCTTATTGTCTCAACGTGTTGGAACTTTCCTCATTTTTGAGCCAGTTAGAATCCTATGACGAGAAACAAGCATACACCATCATTGGAGAAACGTACAAGAAGATCAGTAAACTAGACAATATCGACGAGTATGCGGTGTATCAATCGTTGATAAATGCTTTAGTTTACAACAGCCAGTTGAGTTCAGCTAGTCAATTATTGGACAACATATTGATGGATTACAAGGAGTCATTACAATTTTCCAATCGTCCATCTAAGGCAAAAGTGAGCTATTTGATCGCCGCTTTTTTAAAAGCATATGCAGTCAAGACCAATGCGGTGGATTCTTTGGAACTATTGAAGAAATTTCAACACGTACCGTACTTGCCTGAATTGCCCATTTGGTTTTACAATTTCATCATTGTCAAGTTACAGGAGTTTCCCGACAGGTACGATGACATGTGGGCGTTGTACAACCGTGTTGCATTGAGAAAAGATTTTCAGTCAACTTCCACCATAGACATGATGAAGGATACAAATGGATTGTCATGTCGGGATGTTCTCCTTGGTCTTGCTATTTGTAAAGGTGACCACGAGAGGGTTTTCCAATTGGTGAAGGAAATCATGTTGAAAGAACACTTGATTGGCGATTCCCAGGTTTTGCGTATGGTCTTGGACTACTTGAATAACGGAGTTGTCAATAACAGATCACAAGGTGAATATTTCAATCAATATTACCTAGGACTACTTCATCTGTTGTTACTGATACAAGCAAAGCATTATCAAACCTCGACGAATCTCAATGACTTTGTGTCCGAGTTTGTCCAATATTTGACAATTTCAGTTCCCAGTCAACTCGCTGGTCATGATATGGCATTAGCCAGTATTTCCAACTACAATGTACAGTTGCTTATGAATTCACCAATACCAATCAAATGTGTTGAGTCATTTGATCTCCAATCGGACAATCTCTATGGGCTCAATGTTATTGCACGTCACTTGTTGCAATATGCAGGTGCAGACCCGGATATCTCACTCAAGGTTGCTGACTTTGAAGCTCATTTGATCAATCAATTTGAAGATCCAGGCAATCACTATCTCGAATTGACCAATGATATTGTCGAACTAAAGAACGCTTTGAAAACCCATTTCACAAAAGTGGTCGCCAATTTGAATGGATGTTCCACTCCAGCTATTGATAGAGCTTGTCAATACTTGAATTTGGTAGGTGAAGGTGCCACTGAGTCAGTCAAACTTTCAATCGACCAGGATTTGAGTTACTTGTTGAATATCAACTATGAAAAGGGAGTTGCAGCTTTTATTGAATTGTTTGGTCAAGGTTACACCTTTGATGTAAAAACTTGGAACGCGCTTTTGAATTACAAGTTCGTCAATGAATATTTGCCAAGGATTGATGTTGCATCAATGTTGGACAGAATGTGGATGACGGGGCGCGAGGACAAGAGTAAGCTATCTTTACTTGACAGATTGATAGCTTACAATGATCAACACGTGAATGGAGAAGTACTTGCGTTTTTGGTGCGTGAAAACATCTTCTTCACCAAATTGTTAACCAGGTTGTTTCAATCCAGTATTGGGTCTAGCATTAGTGAGTTTAATTTCGAATTGATCTATCTGAACAATTCAGATGTTGAGTGGGTGACTGCATATTTCAACTATTTGAAGCATCATGGATACTATGAGGAAATTAAGAAATGCAACAAACTTGTACACGACAAATCCGAAGAACTAAAGATGTTTGAACTTGAGGCTGAATCGGAGACTAACCCACGTGGTTTCTCCGAGTTGGCGGAAACTTTGCAAGTTGCTCCTGACAATACCAAACTTATTGAATTACAAATAAAACACGAGCTAAAGTCTGGTGTCAAAGCCAGCGACATTTTAAGCAGAGACTATCCATCCAACTCGCCTCAAGTGATTGAGTCGTTGTCATTTGTTAGGTTTTTGGATTCATTGCAACAACACAAGTTCGAATACGCCAGAAGCAATTTCGTTTCACTTGATCACATGGCAAGCTCTTTACTTGCGTGTGGTAACTTGCAACAAATGAAGTATATAATCGAGAACAATGCAATCGAAGACGCATCCAAGCTAGTTTCAAGCATGTTGCGAATGTTGATTGATGCAGTACCTCATGCTACGGCAAAGTCAATCATCAACAGACTAATGGTCTTGATTAAGTTCTACAAGTTGTTGAGTATAGGCTCTATCATACCAGTCGAGCAATTTTTACAAATCATCACCTTGTTAAAGTTGACCAAATCGGACTTGTTGTCAGTTTTAACCAATAGAATAATAATGAATCGTAATGGAGATGTTGGTGGTGTCATTTCCAATATTGTCAATTTTTATTTCTTGGAAGTTCAGTTGTTTGATAAAGAATCAAAACAACTAGTTTATAATTGTTTAGGGACGAATTAATGAATGTTTAATGCGATGGTAACCCGTTAACTAAGCTTGCCTTTTGTTGTATCTTACGATGTCAAAGGGGATATTTTGTATACGTAGGCATTCTCATAATTGCGATCCGGCGTTCGGTGTATATATTTGTTGCATGGCCAATGGAGTGAAGAGTGAAAGAGGCTTGAGTTTCTTGATTCAAGCTTACTTAGCCTCTCAGATTGGAGGCTAAAGTTGGATATGAAAACTGTCGACTCTTGTACTATTTTCTGCTGCGAGAGATTCTACAACTTTTTGACTTTGTACATATCATCTAGTATAAGATCTAATCTATCTATATATACATACATTCTCCTCTAATGACGATGTGATCGTTTGATTTGTTTTCTATCAACTCGTTCATAATACAACATGTAAGCCGAAGTCTCCTCGGCCAACACCGAAGCTCTCGACACTTCACTCACCTGACCATCACTAATTCTCCAATACGGGCTTGAAATCAAGGAGCTAATCTTCTTCATTTTGACTTTTCTTTGTGGCTCAGAGGTGGCGGAAGTAGCAGATGCATTTGTATTTGTATCAACTTCGTCGCTGTTGATTTGATGTGATAACGGATGTTGACGGTTGGTGCCATGTCCATTATGACCATGTAATGTACTGTGGTTCCCGGGCAATTGTTGTTGTTGTTGCTGGTAATGCTGATCTTTGAAATTGTGTTGTGCAAAAGCGTCTTCAAAGTTGTTGCTACTCTTCATTGGATCATCAACGAGAATTTCCGCTGGCGTGTGTAATCCAGTTTGTAAAATCTCCTCCACATTTTTGGGATTTGCTTGTATAACCGAGGGGCGTCTACCCATAAGACTTGAAAATTTAGATCTTAGTCCATCATCATCCTTATCGGATCCACCACTGATTGAGCGACTCAGTTTTCTCATTGAGCTCTTACGCCCAAGCGAAAACGATGATGTTGAAGAGTTGTTGGTGGTGGAGGTGGAGGTGGAGTTGGTGTCATTGCCACCTTTATCTTGTTGTGCTGACTCTACTGGAGTGGCTTCACAGTGCACGTTGCCTGACAAATCCATGATTTCTGGTGACAATTTAAAGATGTTGCCATCCTTATCCTTGACAAACAATGGCTTGTGTTTGTAACATTCGTAATGTCCCTGGGTATGTGAACCCAAATGTTTGATAACTGCTCTTAATCGATACTTGTACAAGTCATTGTCATTGAACTTGAATTTTCGGAAATGCTGGGTCAACTTTTCCGTTTGCTGTTCCGATATAGGAGCCGAGTTGATTGACGGTTGAGCCACAATTGGTGTTTCGCCAGTTCTCAAAGTTGTTGCAGTTGTCATTGTTTGAGCTGCTGAATCAGTACTGGTAGCTGAAGATGCGACATCATCATCACCGTCACCGTCGTCTTCGTCATCTTCATCGTCATCTTCATCGTCTTCAGTTGTTCCATTCTCAGTTGCTCTTCCATCATCAGTTAAAATATCCTCCTCATCTTCATCAATAGGTCCTTTTTCCTCAAAATCGTCTCGCTGAACATCTTCATCTTCCATATCATTTTCATCTGTAGTCAACACGGAGGATGTTAACTTGTTCAATAATTTTTCTTCATCGTCTTGGACAATTGACTGGAAATGTTTCAAGCGTTCCAGGTATTCTTTCCCAATTGACAAGGTCATGCTATCTTTAAACTCAACTCGACACGAATTTCTAGTGACTGATTGTCCATCAAATGCCGATCTTGATAGATGAAGACCAAAAATTTTAGGTGGTTTAAGAATATGGGACTTTTTCGAAACTGTTGATGTAATTTTGGAAATATCAAGACCATTGGCATGGTATGATTTGATGTAATCCTCCAACGATTGTGGCAAATCTTCATTTATACACAAATGTGGGTTCTTATCTAAATCGTTGATTTGTTGTAAAAACTGTTCTTCTTGTGGAGGCACTTGTCTTGGTTCACCATTATGATGATTTGCATATGCATTCTCATTAGCAACAATCTTGTCCAATCTACATTTGATACATTGATAACCTTCAATAGTTTCACTCTCATTCTCCTCTAATAAAGTCTCCAATTTAACCAATGGTTGCATGGGTAATGGTAATGTTAACATTACGAATGGAGTGAAAGTTGGCTTTGAGACTCCATGACAAGTCAAACAAGTCATTTGACTCAAAATCAAACCATCAAATGGGAACTCTGGTACTGAAATTTGTTCCAATGTAGTATAATCATGTGGTGATGGTTGCACCCCTTTAGGCACCACTTGATGCAAGTGTAAAGTGATGAATTTATGGAAACTTTTTATCTTTAAATTTTCATTCTCTAAAGTCTCATTAATCAATTGAGTCAATTCCTGAGCATCATGTTGACTTCTTGAAATTTTGGCATTAAAGATTTTCTCCAACTCATGTAAAAAAGTCCAAACTGAAATGGTTTTTGATGTCATTTGAGTTTCTTGCAATTTCTTAATCATTGACGCCATAGCGATATGCAAGGGAATATCAAATTTTTGATTTGATGATCTGAACTTATCATTTTGTAAAGATTTATGATGTTGAATTCTTAATTGAATCAATTCTTCGATATTGATATTGTGTGATTTGATGAAATTTACAAGTTGATTGAAACTGGTGATCAATTTGTTGAGATATTCAGTTAATGAGGGTAATGATGAATACGCTTGTAAAGAAGAATTGGCAAAACAGTCATTTCTCAAGTTGATTAATCCAGTAGTGTGTTTATCAGGACGCTTAGTAAACATCTTATTACCGCTATTGTTCAATCCTGGTAGTGATGGTAAAAGGATATACAATGCAAGGGCAGTTGATACAAGTATTTGTAAAAGTGTGTTTCTCTGTTGTCGAGTCCTTCTATACCAAAAGTTTATAAAAGGTTGTGGTAAAAGATACTTGAGTAACAGAGGAATAGGTGAAGCAAGTTGTACTTGTGAGTGATGAATATGCGTTTGAGTAGTGATATCTTGATTAGTAATAAGTTGTTTCAATTGTGATACAAGGTTATCCATTCAAGTATACCGAACTTTTGAATCAAATTACTGACTATTTGTGAACTAAATGGATAGGAAGTCCAACAAATAATAAATTGACGCCCAAAGAATAAGAGGAGGAAAAAAAAAGAAAACAAAAAAAGAAAAAAAAAAAAAAAAGAAAAGAATGTTGTTTTTCCGAGTTTTACCATGAAATCGGCGATTAAATATTATTCGGATCTCGGGTTTTAACAAAATGAACGATTTAATATAAACAAATACTGTTTGAGGGTGAAGACACGCAGTCATGGCTTTGCCGTCTCACTGTAAAAGCTCACACCTTACCCTGTGTGTGCATGAAATGGCAGATGACTAAAATTAGTGGGGAGTGGGGAAGGTGGCAAAATACGTCATTGAAGTTACGAGGGAGTGAGTGAGTGATTTTCCAGTGTCGCAGATTTTGTGTCACGATTGTTAATTAATGGATACACACAAATCTATGCCACTGTTCTTTACTATAGTTGTAGCTATATATACATCATTACGATGTATACCTTTCCTTTTGTTACTAATATACCCATGCTATATAATTGAATTGAGTTTTTTTTCTTTTCTCCCCTCAGAAGTTTATAATCTTCATTGTAGCATATCCTATAGTGACAATTATCCCGTATGCAATCAATGAACTTGGTACACCTCTCGTGATAAATGTACTCACAGTCAAATATGGTTTTCCAAACTCATCAGTCATACATATAGCAGTAACATTGGGGAACCCGGATGTTGGTAATCCCATTGCAGCTGAACACAACAATGCACTAGCCATAATCAACAATCTTGGATGCGGTTCTGGCATATTGTTTCCAATTTCTTGTACTAATGGAATAATTATCAATGCCGCAACTGTATGAGACACAAACGTGGCCATAATCAAAATCAATAATCCAAATGTTAAAGTAACACCGAATAATGAAAAATCTTCAACTTGTTTTTGAATTTCAACGGCAATTGTATTTAATAATCCTGATGATGCAACTGCTTTACCTAAAGCAGTACCACCCATTGCCAATACAACAATATTCCAAGGATAGTTGTTGAAATCCTCCGTAGTTAGTAACCCAGATCCGAAAAATAAAATAATTGGAATCAACGATATTATCCCCATCTCACCAAATATTCCCGTCAATTTAGATGCAAAACACCACAATAGTATAGTGCCCAATGAAACTCCCAGGATGTACCATTGAATACCGGTAAACTTATCATCAATCATTCTAATGGGCACCAAATGAGTGTTTTTAGAATTACAATTGAATGTAATCAATAAAAACATCCAAATCAACAACAATGTCAATACACAAACTGGTATTGATATAACAAACCATTGACCCCATGATGGTTGTGGCTCAATAGCACCAATGGCGATGATATTCTGGGGAGATGCAATGGGTGAAGCCATACCTCCCACATTTGAAGCCAAGGCAATACCCAAAATCAATGCATTGATGAATTGGGAACCTTTAGGTAAAGTACGAGTAAGTGGTGTAATCAAACTCAAACACATGACTGGGGCAGCAACGTTCAGTAGAAATGCCGATGCAATTAATGCAACGCCCATAATGGTGAGCAATACCACTGATGGGTTGGTCCCGGCTTTTGACAAGATCCACGTTGACATTAACTTAGCAATGTGGTATTTAGACAATGCTGCTGCTAAAGTGAACCCACCTAATAACAACAAAATCACCGAGTTCCACATGGTACTTAAAATAAATTTGGATGCGTCAACTGAATCCATTATAGAGCCATCATCATTCTTGATGACATTGAGAAATACAATCAATAGAGGTATCAACAATGACGTCACAAACAACGGAATAGCTTCAGTAGCCCAAAGTAGTGAAGCACACACCAACATCGCAAAACAATTTTTCTGTGCAACATCATCAAATGGAGATATATTGAGTAAAATAATTGTTATTGTTGCAATGATAACCAATTTGACAAGCACAGGGTTCCCTATTGATATATTAAACGAGCTCAAACTCCCACCACTAGCTTTCAAATCAGTTTCTTTATCACTAGTGGCACCTTCTGCTCGATCCAACAACTTGGAATTCGCCGCATACGTCTTTCTCTCTAACCCAATCATATCTCTCCACACAGTATTTCTCTCCCAAACAACATGCTCTCTTAAATGGATTGACAATTCTTGTCTTGCAGTTTCCAAGTCATCACCATGATTACAAATTAATGCATACAATTTAATCAATGATTCTAATCTCTCATTGACTTTTTGCATGGTGCTTTTTTTGAAAATATACGAGTTTTCTGGCAATGATTCTAAGTATGACTCTTTAATATTGGTATTTAATGACTTGTCAAATTTCTTCAAGGCCTTTTTGAAACCAGTTTGATTCAACTCAATATATGATTTCAATTCCGATAATGTAGTGTACAAGCCAATGGTTCTCTTTCTGAGAATGATTCGACTTTCCGTGAGTAAAAGCAACTGTGGTGGCAATCTATTATCGGTTGTTGTCATATTAGTCAACTCATTCCACAACTGTTGTGATTTTGGTGATCTCAAATAGTCATCTATTGATTTGGTACGGTGCAATTCACCACCATCATTGGTGGATCCACCTTGAGGAACTACCGGTGTCGATGCAGCTCGTTTCACTTGTCTCCCTCTTGGTTGTTGAGACCCAAGAACACGATCTCTTTCCAACTCCTCAATATAATTTTCTTCATGGATATCAACTCCCTCATCATCATCGAGATCATCATCACCTTCTCCTTGTGTGAATTCTGTATCTGGATCGGTAGTATTTGTAATGTAATTGTCATTTGAAGTTGTCGAAAATCTTCTTATTCTATCATGTCTTGGTTTGAACTTTTTGTTACCAACATGTTCCAAATTCTCAGCAATTTCTTGCTCAAAAACTTCAATATCATAAACCAAATCATCAATACTCCTAAATAGAAATTGTTCTTGTTGTTTATAAAAGGAATCAATCTTTTTCAATTCAGCATTTAATGCTGCTTCAAATACACGGACGGGGTTGCTATCATTGTCATCCAAGTGAGCCGTACTGGAATAATGTTCACCTACTAAATGAGCATTCTCCTCTAAATCTGCATTCTCATCAGCATCTACATGGGTGTAGTTTCTTCTTAAGCTATCTCTTTGTAATGAATATATCAATTTCTTTAATGTCGTGTATGCAATATATTTCGAAGACCATTCCGGGACAGCATTAAATTGTATAGAATGAGAAAACTTCATCCTGTTCCCAATAAACTATGTAGCGGAATATGGGATAAGTGGCACTGAAAAAAGAAGGGGAATATGTTTGGTCAGTTCGGAGTTTGACTCAATGCTAACGTTGTATCTTTTTGCAGGGCTTTTGGTACTGGCCGGGAATTGGACGATGAAGGGAAACGAAAAACCGAAAGCTTATTATCGCGTTATTATCCAAAGTACACGACCTCACCTTCGAAGAATATGATAAATGGTTGCAAAGGGCAATACTCCACAATTGATGGAGGGCAGTTTTACGAGTTAACAGTTTGGTATTGGTATGAGAAAGCAGTGCTCCTCGAATAACTCAAGATAGAAAGTGTAAGCTACATTTGTTTTAAACAATTTTGCAACAATTTTGGGTCAAAATAAAAGTTGTGGTCGAAACTTTTACTGAAGTACTAGTAGCTCCGCTTTGATAATTTTCACAAACGTTTTGAGCCCAGTGAAATAGGGACCAAGGGGAAATTGAACCATAAATCAATCTCTGGACAGAAGGCTACACCAAGCCCCTAAGTTAGAGTGTGCTACCGACCACCTTGCTCCTGAGGATTATACATTTTTCATTACTAAAAAGTTTATTTAGTTCTCAATTCAGTTTGTTACTTGAAACTGTTCCGACTGTGGGGATTTTGGTTCAAATTAGTAGATTTGTTGGTCTTGGTGTGCGTATCATGTTTTTTAAAATTGTGACAAAAAATAAAGCAACCATAGAAGAGGTACAATAAGAAAATAAAATCAGATACTGCATCTAACAAGTGGCTGGAGACACTTTTGAGGCGCAAATTTCAACATTAAAAATAAAATAAAAGAAGGACCAAAGTCAACAAGGTAGTCACAGACGCAAACATACACATATACCTTAGCAGCCACTGATACAAGCCAAGGTCATCATTAAAGTAATCACCACTTGAAAAAATCCAACACCAGAGTTTTGAATCTTATACACTATTTGTTGTCTTCTCCATATTCCAGAGTAGCATCACAAAATAACCATCTTAAACTTTGCATCAATTGAGTTAACACCTACATTTCAAAAATGGACTTTTGCTTTTTCCTTATTGGATGTATGTAGAATCATCCAAATAGAAGAATATGCGTTCTCAAGCTTATAAGGAATTTTCAAGGGTTAGATTTCCGTCTGTGTGTGTCGCCCTAGTCTTGATGAATATTCTTCGAGGCTCAACACGAGCCGAATGAATAACTTATCATATGGGTTATCTTATAGATGTTCATTGCAGAAACCCCCTTGATACATGTTCCATATAGAGCCTTCATTACTAACATCATTACTTAGTCAAGGAATTCAACAAACAATTACCAGATGTAGGCAACATTGCTTGTTACTGTGGACGTTGTCACAATCAAAGTGCTCACGCTATACGTACAATCAACACAGTCACGTTGTTTTTCATTCCTGTGCTCCCATTTTATTACTCCAAGAGGTTAAAATGCGGTATATGTGGTAATACTGGAGATTTGGATAAACAAGCTATTGACCATTTGAAGAAAGGGCAGCCCGTAGCGATAGGTGGATAGAAGGTTCATATATACTCATTTCTTTTCAAATAAATGGGCGGATAATGAAATACATTTCCTTCTTTTTTTCAATTTGAAAGTCCTTTTTCAAAATATCTCGCGATGCCCAAAGGGATTACGCACATAGAAAAGTTGTTCCCGACGAATCTGTTTCCAATCTACGCTTTTGTGGGTAAATGCTTTACCGAGGTAGTCGTTAGGCAGCACTTACTACAGAGCCTCATCATGATTGGATGTTTGGGTAAGTACTACCTCGTTGCATTGTGACTTAAAAAAGTTGATCATAAACTCAACAAAACAACGAGCTTGTCAACTTTAACCGAAGGCCATTGTGACATATTATAAAACCAACAGCGGTGAGAGTCAAATACGTTTGGGTTGTGGAGAAAAATTCCACAAACTGGAAAAAGTTGATGAAATTTTGTTGGCAACTTTGTGGAGGGTGGACATTCAAACGAAAGGAAAAAGAAACAAAATAGCACCACTTCGGAAGTATGGAGTCCATTGTTTGAGAGCTTGCCTACCGTTTTGGGATAGCTTCGAGTTTTACCATCGCTTTCCGAAAGTAAAGTTAATTTTGTCGTGTAGTTGAAAAAATTGACAGGTATCTCTGATGTCTGATAAGATGGTCATCCACCACTAGTTTGTACATAAACCAATAGTTATCTAGCTAAGCTAGTTTAGGCAAAATGAACCCCATTCGTAAACAATACCAAGAATAGATTTGAGTAAGGGGAACTAAAGCCCACTCCACACACAAAAATGTATAAATCTGCTTCAAACTCCACTATCTGGCCTTTTACTCTAAATTAATCCGTTTTGTGAAGGGTTTCTTGATTTAAACTTTTCGGAACAATACCGAAAAAATAGAAAAAAAGAAACTAAGTAAACAAAATCGTACGAGATGGGGCGTGATACTCCGTTTAGTTTATGAGGTACAATTGAACGTTGGTTGAGCTTATCTACCACAAAGACGTCGTGCAATTTTCAGTTCGGTGTTTCAAGTGGTGAGGCTCTTCCCCACTTTACTATGTTTGTTGCTTTTTGGAAAAGGTTGGGCAATTCATTTTACAATTGAGGACACATTCAGGCTTACTCAGTTTACTTTTTTCACAAAAGAGTTCAAAATTGGTCGGGAAGGGTAACAAAACTCCACAATTTTTTGTATCAAGGCGGATCTCAATGTTTCAAGGGCGATGAGGGGAGAGTAGTATCTATCATACGAAGGTCACATTGAGCTGTAATCGTTGGACGAATGAAACCAACAAAACCACTGTTGCGAATGTTATTGATTATTAACTGGATTAATCCATCTAGCCGCACTATCTAATTACAAACAAAATACGAGGAGGGTTTTTCCACCTCCACATTGTGTAATAAAACTATATGGGTTGATTTTCCAGCCTGTGTTGTCGTTAAATGTTGCCTGGTTACTCAAAACAGTGATTTGTAGTGGGGTAATTGGTACATCAAACTGGGGTATAATGTTGGGGAGATTTTGATAAAAAGAGCACAAACTGGGTGCTTTGATAAGCGTCCATTCCAAAGCTCAATTATCTGAGGCGTACAAAACACGAAAGCAGTATCTTCATCCATCTTAGAAACTTATAAATATTCTGGTGAATTTCCCAAATTTTTTCAATTCGATTCTCAAACAGATCATCAATCATCAATACCACAACTCCATCCACTTCCCAATATGTCTTCCAAAGTTGAACGTATATTTGCTGGTCCCGCTTTAAAAGTGGGAAACTTCTTAGACAAATTCCCCAAAATTTACAATGTTTGGTTCATTGCTAGTATTTCCACCATTGCTGGTTTAATGTTTGGATTTGATATTTCATCAATGTCGGCATTTATTGGGGCAAAGCCATATGCTGAATATTTCAACAACCCTGGATCTACTTTGCAAGGATTTATCACTGCTGCTATGGCATTGGGCTCTACTTTTGGCTCTATTGCATCATCATTTGTTTCTGAACCATTTGGTAGAAGATTGTCGCTTTTGATTTGTTCTTTGTTTTGGATAGTTGGTGCTTCAATCCAATCTGCTTCTCAAAATACATCCATGTTGATCGCTGGTCGTATCATTTCTGGATTAGGTGTTGGTTTCGGCTCATCAGTTGCTCCAATTTATGGCGCAGAGATCTCTCCACGTAAAAGAAGAGGTGCAGTTAATGGTCTTTTCCAAATGTCCATTGCTATGGGAATCATGATTATGTTTTACTTTTGCTACGGTGTTGGTCACATCAAGGGAGTGGGAAGCTTCAGAGTTGGTTGGGGATTCCAAATTGTTCCTGGTGTACTCTTATTCTTTGGATGTTTCATCATTCCTGAATCACCACGTTGGTTGGCTAAACAAGGTAGATGGGAGCAATCAGAGATGATTGTGTCAAAGATTCAGGCTCGTGGTAACTCTGAAGATGAGGAAGTTTTAATTGAGATTGCTGAGATTAAAGAACAATTGTTGATTGACAAAGAGGCAAAGTCAGTTGGATATGCTACATTGTTTAAAAAGAAGTTTATTCTTAGAACTTTTACTGCCATTTTTGCTCAAATTTGGCAACAATTGACTGGTATGAATGTTATGATGTACTACATTGTTTACATTTTCCAAATGGCTGGTTACAGTGGTGATGCAAACTTGGTTGCATCTTCTATTCAGTATGTGTTGTTTGTTGCTTGCACAATCCCCGCATTGTTTTTCTTTGACAAGTTTGGTAGAAGGCCAGTGTTGATTGTTGGTGCTATTTTGATGATGATTTTTCAAACTGGTCTTGCTGGTATCTTGGGTACATATGCCGTGCCATGGGCTGATTCAGGTAATCAATCAGTCAATATCAAGATCCCAGCAGAAAACAAGGCTGCTTCAGCTGGTGCCATTGCATGTTGTTACTTGTTTGTTTGTTCCTTTGCAGCCACTTGGGGCGTTGGTATTTGGGTTTACTGTGCTGAACTTTGGGGTGATAACAGAATTTCCCAAAGAGGTAACTCATCGTCTACATGTGCCAACTGGGTCATTAATTTTGCCATTGGAATGTATACTCCATCTGGGTTTAGAACAATTAGCTGGAAGACTTATATTATTTATGGTGTTTTCTGTCTCGCTATGGCCATTCATGTTTATTTTGGGTTCCCAGAAACCAAAGGTAAGAGATTGGAAGAAGTGGGACAAATGTGGGATGAAAAAGTTCCAGCTTGGAGATCAGCTTCATGGACTCCAACTATCCCACTTACTGGTGACTCTGAACTGATTAGAAAGTTGAGTGTTGAACATGTTGAATATACTGCATCCAAGGAAAAGGAAATTGTCACTGTTAACGAAGCTAGCTCGGCTGAATGATTGTGTTTACGAATAGTTTTGCGAACGGTTTCAATTGCTAAATTCGTCGTTCTGTATAGATTTATTTCAATATAAGTTCATTTACTAGTCACGCATTGCGGAATAAGCTCCACTTGTTACTCCTTCTGTCGTGTCTCTGTGTTTTCGAGAGCTTTTCTTTGGGGCGAGCTTAAGAAACGACTTTGTTCTATACTCAAGTTCGAAAATGACGTAACACCTTACCAAAACTCAAAATATGATGTGAAATTTCGTAATATAGGGCACGCGAGGCGCTTATTGTTGATGTTGCACAGAGCATAACTACCGCGATAGTTGTATCATATAACTTTGAATGTCCCATGAGGGTGGTTTTTACAACAACGCTGTGTTTTGACCACAAAGAATACGGGAACACCTTTACTCGAAACTGTCACCAACAACCATTAAGGAGATACTCTCCTCCCAATACCTTCACTAGCGTCTTCCTTTTCTCGCGATTACGGATTGATCATCCAAGACGTAGTCGGATAATAAAGAGACTTTTTTTCCACTTTGGGCGAGTGGCTAAAGCCACACAAAACCGGGATAATTATGTATTCCAAGTTTTGTGTCAGCTCAAAATTAGTATAATTCTTCCAGGGAATAGATTGGCTACAGAGTGGGGTATCAATTCTCACTAATGATTGGTTGAGGGTTGAGCAGTTATAAAATGGGGTGTTTTGATAAATGGTATGCTACCGAGGTAACCCTAGTTACTTTTTGAAGGTGTTTTCAAGCGTGTATGGTTAGGTTGCGAACTAGCCCAAAGCTTTCACCATCTGTTGGCTCGTTATAAAAAAAAATTACTGGGGGACATTTTAAAGACAAAAATGTGTTTAACGACACATTTTGTGTTCGCATAGCCCATGAAACCCAGCTTCTTAACAGTTTATCGAAGGAACAAAAAAGGACTCCATTTGGTTGGTTGAGAAATGACAATGCCTCTTTTGAAGACTCCCCTCACCTATACATAGCTTCCCCCTTTTGCCAGCGCCCTTTGCAGGAGCTGTTCTCTCCTTCTTTTCGAAAGCGTGCTTACAAAGTGGGTAATATTATCACACCATGTGGGATTTACCATTGTTTTGCTATCGAAAACTATAATCTTACCGAACTAGTTTTGGAACGAAAAAAAAAGAAAAAAAGTTGCAAAAACCCATATTAATGATGGAAAGTTCAAGCCACATAATAGCCCTTGATACATCTTAGCAATGAACCTTATATTAAATGAATAAGGCTTGGCGGGGAAGTACACCACTACCTGGTGAAGATTCTTTTGCAGAAAACACAAAGCCATAAGTAGGTACCGAATGGGATTACGTGGAACACACGAAGGGCTAAGTACTGTGGAGATTGAAGCTATATACGAAATCATTGAAGACAATAGGGACAATCAATCCCATTCTTGAAATATAAATATCACTCACGATCTTCTACTTCAGTTCACTATTTTGCTTGTAGCATATTCAACACAATCCCCAAACATGTCTTCCAAATTTGAGCGTATGTTTTCGGGCTCTGCATTGAGGCTAGCCAACTACATCGATAAACTTCCCAAGATCTACAATGTTTACTTTATTGCCAGTATTTCAACTGTTGCCGGTTTGATGTTTGGTTTTGACATCTCATCAATGTCTGCATTCATTGATGCAAAACCCTATGGCCGCTACTTCAATCATCCTGGCTCAACATTGCAAGGATTTATCACCGCTTCAATGGCTTTGGGGTCCATATTTGGATCGATCGCAGCTTCTTTTGTTTCCGAGCCATTCGGAAGAAGGTTGTCTCTCATGATTTGCTCATTGTTGTGGATTATTGGTGCCGCTGTCCAATCATCAGCTCAGAATGTTGCTCAATTAATCATTGGTCGAATCATTTCCGGATTAGGTGTTGGATTTGGGACTTCAGTGGCCCCTATATACGGTGCTGAAATTTCACCCAGAAAAAGAAGAGGTACAGTAAATGGACTCTTTCAGTTTGCTGTTGCATTGGGAATTTTAATCATGTTCTTTTTCTGCTATGGTGTCGGGCACATCCAAGGGGTAGCTAGCTTTAGAGTTGGTTGGGGATTCCAAATTGTTCCTGGTTTGCTTTTATTTCTTGGGTGTTTTGCTATCCCCGAGTCTCCACGTTGGTTGGCTAAACAGGGTAGATGGGAGCAGTCAGAGATGATTGTGTCAAAGATTCAAGCTGGAGGCAATTCCGAAGATGAGGAAGTTTTAATCGAAATTGCTGAAATCAAAGAACAATTGTTGATTGATGAGGAAGCCAAATCCGTCACTTACTTCACCTTGTTTTCGAAAAAGTATCTCTTGAGGACAGTCACAGCTATGTTTGCCCAGGCATGGCAACAATTGACTGGTAATAATGTGATGATGTATTACATTGTTTATATTTTTCAAATGGCTGGATATTCAGGAGACAACAATTTGATTGCATCATCAATTCAATACATATTGTTTGTCGTATGCACTGTGCCCGCATTGTTTTTGTTTGACAAATTTGGTAGGAGACCATTACTAATTGGTGGTGCATTACTGATGATGATTTTCCAATTTGGACTCACTGGTATTTTGGGTAAATATTCGGTTCCATGGCCAGATTCTGGGAATGAGTCTGTAACAATTAGAATTCCAAGTGATAATACCTCTGCAGCTAGAGGTGCTATTGCATGTTCCTACTTGTTTGTTAGCTCTTTCGCAGCAACTTGGGGTGTTGGTATTTGGGTTTATTGCGCTGAGGTTTGGGGTGATAATAAAATCTCGCAAAGAGGTAACTCATTGTCGACTTGTTCCAACTGGTGCTTCAACTTTGCCCTCGCCATGTATACACCCACTGGATTTAAAAACATCAATTGGAAAACGTACATTATCTATGGTGTATTTTGTCTCGCTATGGCGATTCATGTTTACTTGGGGTTCCCAGAAACCAAAGGTAAGAGATTAGAAGAAGTGGGGCAAATGTGGGATGAAAAAGTTCCAGCTTGGAGATCAGCTTCATGGACACCAACCATTCCAATTGATCCAGATTCAGAGTTGGCAAGGAAGTTGAGTATTGATCATGTTGAACATGCTGATTTCAAGAAGAAAGAAAGAGTTGGTGTAGACAACACCAGCTCAGCCGAAAGTGGCGAAGATTAGCCGGGAGCTTATACTCGAAGAGACGCTTTCATGTTGCACACACTTCAATTCGTTAAGAAATACACACTTTTTTTTTTTAGTTTGATTTTATATACTTTTGTTTAATGAAATGATGAGTAATCGAGTTGATGATTGTTCGTACTTGCGGAGAAGTCGGAACAATTAAAGTTGAAGCAAAAAAAAAAAATAAAAAGTTGCAAAATCAATGACTAAAAACAAGAACGAAAAAGCTTGAAGAATTGTGGATGACATAGAATACGAGAGAAATTCGACTCGGAAACGGAAAAAAAAGAGTGTCTAATTGGATACATTATTACAGTGTATATCTTTCATTGATGATTAGTTCTCTAATCTCAAAGTTTTTGAGTTTTGCTAGTTTTGGCCGTGACCTCTAAATGAGTTAAACAATCAGCGTCTTAATTATACTACCCCTCTAATCCAGCTAGAGTAAAGATCTTAAAGTTTGAGTTAGTTTCCATTTATATGTCAGCCCTGCTAAACATACTTGTGACAATCACGACCGAAAATCCTAAAGCACCCCAATTTTCTACAATGTAAACTCAAGCTAATTGCATGTGATAGAAGTAAATCGGCAAGTTATGCCATTTGTATGGGCAAATAGAATTCCCGTTCTTTTCGTGCATCCGGTTAAAGCGAAATCAATTGGCACACCGCATGTGGCTTAAGCAAATAAACAATCCGGTATTCCGTACTTCGCACTTTGGATCTGCCGCTTGTTGATTAATTAACTACATAGAGGAGCGAAACCTTCCCCAAGGGCTTGAAGTGAAAGAAAATCATGCCGAGACTCAGAGTAACCGATGTTTAGATCAAGAAAATGTAAACTTAAAATTTAAACGTATGATCTATATTGTCTAAATTGTAATTTAAACAATAGAAATTTATGCACATCATCATTGAAGTTGTTCCTTAATATGTTACAATGGTCATGTAAAAATTCAACTGAAAGGGATGGTGAAAATAGGTTAGCGCCGGATGCTCTTTTTCTTTGCCCTCTTTTCTTTATACTCGCGGAATGAATGGTTGGATTCGATGATGTGATTTCTTCCTCTCTCAATGCACCTTGGGAGCATTTTGCGTAACTTGCATATTATACCACACCAATGGAGCTGTAACTTTCCCTGTCTTGTCGACCGATTCTAACTTCGTAGCAAATAAAACCACCTCAATTGAGCCTATCCCACATCAGTGATTGTACCCCGTGCCTCTTAAATGCTCAATCATTGCTCTTCAAACTATATTAATAATTACGTACATGGCTGAAAGTCATGGGGTTATAATCTTTTGTGTATTGCGTTGCGGGATTTTTCTCTCATTTTCCTCCCTTTTTGATACAGTATCTGGTTTTTGTGTTTTTGTGTTTTGTGTTTCTTCCGTGACTTTCTCTGTCTTCTACACTGATTTTCTCAAACTTCTTTAACTTTTTATCCTAAACTTCCACTGAATTCTTCACAACTATGACTTTCTTATTCACGTTATGTTTGATAATCATTAAAAATCATGGGTATAAATAGGGGTCGCCTTTTACCCCTATTCTCCTATTTCAAATATCCATCTTTACCCATCAACTATCACCCAAACTAATTTTCACTACAGATAAACTTAGCCTTTTTTGCAGCCACTTGGACTCATACACAAAAAAGATTAACTACTCTTACAGCTGAAATTACACTTCATTATTTGAAAGAGATTTATCCCCCACTACGCACCCCACTATCACAACGAAATAATGAGCTTTACACAATTTACTGATTTGGTCAAACGTAACCGTGCCGTTGACATCAATCCACCTCCATCAGAATCAGACATTAATTTAACCAGCCATGGTAGTGACTGGTTGTGGGCTGCTTTTTCAGTGTTTGCTTTGCTCGCAATCTGCCATGGTTTCATCTACAGCTTGACTAGCGTACGCAGAAGCGGAATCAAGAAATCATTATTGACGATTCCATTGTTTACCAATGCTGTGATGGCATTCGCTTACTACACTTATGCTTCAAACTTGGGTTACACTTGGATCGAGACTGAATTCCATCATGTTTCCACTGATAGAGGCTTGTATGTTCGTCAAATCTTTTACACCAAGTTTGTTGGATGGTTCTTGTGCTGGCCATTGGTGTTGATCATATTCACTGTCAACACACATACCTCTTTGACAGACGATAGAGAGGACATTTTGAAAAAGATCGTACAAGTGTTTTCATCCATCTTCACCCGGTTTTTGTCTATCGAGGTGTTTGTGTTGGGTTTGTTGATTGGTGCATTGATTAGATCCACTTACAAATGGGGTTACTTTACATTTGCAACTGTGGCATTGTTGTTTACCATTTACCTCGTTTGTGTTGACTTGCACAACAGCTTCCAATCGATTAACAAGAGCATGATTGCAAACCTTGTCATTATTTTTGAGATTGTTGTCTGGATCTTGTATCCAGTTTGTTGGGGATTGTCAGAAGGTGGTAATGTCATCCAACCGGACTCAGAAGCTGTGTTTTACGGTATCTTGGATCTCATCAACTTTGGCTTTGTCCCAGTCATCTTGACCTGGATTGCCGTCAACACCATTGATGAAGACTTCTTTACCAAGATTTGGCACTTCCATTTGAACAATAATGTTAGTGTTGATCGTGATGCTGAAAAATCAGTTGGTGACACAACTCCAAGACATTCTGGTGACACTACTGTTGCACCGGCAGGAGTCCACCAAGAAGAGGAGGAACATGTTTAGAGGGGGACAGGTTTCGCGTTGCTTGATTTTCATTTCTCGTGGGTTACATTTATATGCTCTATGATATAGTTGTATACATTTAATACTTTAATATCCAACTCTACATACTATTGATGCATTGTGATGGGTGTGAAGTGGTTGTAGCTGTCTTGTGCCGAATTCCTTTTTGTACTCTATTTCAATGCGCAATCAAAGTTCGGATAAAATCTCGAATTTCATCTTTTCCATCATCAAAAAGAATATTTTTCAGCCACATTTTCGTCACTTTCTCCCACTCTCATAGCTTTATCCAATGCCGCCAAAAGCAACTACGTCGTCCTCGTCATCAACTGCCAAAGTGCAGCCAAGCTCACCAGTACAACAATTGACATCGCTTCTCAAGACACAACAATTCTACTGGTTCTTGGGTCATGTACTTGCTATTCTATTCTTTGTGTTAAGCTCATTGACGGCTATATTGTTTAGACAAGCGGCTTCTTTAAAGTATTATCGTTTCACCTTGTTGTCTATTATTGTCACCTACTTGATTGTGTTGAAACAAGTGTACCTCAAACGCTCGGCACCAAAAGCAACCCCTGCCAGATTGATCAGAGATGAAAATGTCCAGTATTTGAGTTTGGCAGTTGTCTTTTACATTGCCAGCTACATCCTTGATAACCAAGCACAGACTGTGTTGTACTCATACATCATCTTTGCTGTGTTCCATGCACTCACCTATTTCCAGAACAATTTGTTATCAATTGCCGTTCCATCGATCGCCACTCAACAAAGAGTCAATTCAGCTATCAACAATTTTACCACTAAGTTCAACCAACTCGCAATGTCAGCTGCTGCAAGTGTTGAGATCGTATTGGTTGTGATGACAGCGTTTGACGTGTTGATTAGCACTTTTTTGGTGTTGTTGAAATGGAATGTGGTACAGTATGCCACCAAGGTGTTTCTTTTGGCTGCCGTTGTCGTGTTTAACAAGTTGAGATATGACAGTAACCAGTTCACTAAAGCTGCAGTTAACCAGTTGGATCAAAATGTAAATGGATATGTTAACCAGTTGAACAGTCCTTCCTTGACGCAAAAGTATTTCGGACTCAGAGAGAAAGTTGTTCATTACTTGAAATCGATTCAAGTACCAAAGGAAGTGAAGAAAACGCAATAAAAGAAGAATACGAATACGGGAGGGATGTTTGATTAGAAGACTATTATGGTGTAAATTACCTGTATATGATATAGTTGAAATATTCGTCTTTAATTCGGATGTCTGTCATAGGATATGTAAAACTCATTCTTTATGTAATCTTTTAAGCATTCTTTGCGCGACAAAGTGGAAACTCGATGCCTTCTTATGAATAGTGTTCTACATTATAAGTATTCGTGAAAAAAAAAATGAAAATAAATCTCATCTCGTTTCACTCACCATCACCACTACATACATGTCCAAGAAGCTTAAATTAGACAAGATGGCTAAAATCTGTACTCATTCAGGATCATTTCATGCCGATGAATCTTTGGCAGTGTATATGCTCAAGCTTTTACCTCAATTTCAAAATGCAGAACTTGTGAGATCAAGAAACCCAGAAGATTGGGAAGCTAGTGATATTGTTGTTGATGTGGGAGGCATATACGACGAAAAGAAGTTTTTTGATCATCATCAACGTGAATTTAATACCACGTTTAACGAAAAGTACCAAACAAAGTTATCATCAGCTGGATTAGTTTACAAACATTTCGGTAAAGATATCATCAAAGAAGTCTTGGGGTTGTCATCAGATGACAAGAACGTAGAATTGTTGTATGATAAGGTGTACAAAGAGTTTATTGAAAGTTTAGATGCCAACGATAATGGAATTAACAATTATCCCAAGGATGCAGAACCAAAGTTCAATGATAGAAATATCACATTACCCTCTATAGTTTCAAAATTAAACCCTAGATGGAACGAGAGCTGTACTGATGCAGATTATGATCGTCAATTCAATGTTTCCAGCGAACTTATGGGTAAAGTCTTTGTCAATTTGTTAGAAGGATATGGCAAGGGTTGGCTTCCAGCTAAAACAATTGTAGAAGACGCATTCAACAAAAGATTTGAGGTTGACCCTAGTGGTGAAATATTAGTGTTGTCACAGTTTTGCCCCTGGAAAGAACATTTGTATGCTATTGAAAAGGAAAACAATGCTGAAGGTGCCATCAAGTTTGTTTTGTTCAAGGACTCCAGTGGTAAATGGAGAGTCTCAACAGTAAGTGTGACTTCAAGCTCATTTGAGTTCAGATTGGGTTTACCTGAACCGTTGCGGGGATTAAGGGATGAAGAATTGAGTGAAAAAGCAGGTGTGGAAGGTTGTATCTTTATCCATGCAGCTGGATTTATTGGAGGTGCAAGTACTGAAGAGGGAGTATTGAAATTAGCGAGAATATCGTTAAAGAAGAATTAAGTGATGAAAAAAAAGGCGTGGATGCCCTTTACGTGAACAGAGGTTTGCCTGATGTTGCTGAAGTGTGGTCTCAAAAGCGCTATGCGCATTCCGGTTTTTTAGAACTCTCAGGGAGTGCGCTATGTCAAGATTTGTATGATTTGGTCGAGATTCATCCTTTGAAAGCGCATTTTAGGTTAGAGAATTTTTCAAGGCAAAAGGAGGTTCATAGCGCATATCCTTGCATGTTATTAGTCACGATTATTTATTTATAGAGTAACTCGATTTGAAAAGAATGTCATCATTGCCATCCGTATACAAAGATGAAAGGATTGCGCTTTTCGAAGCACATGTTGCCACGTTTATGCACTTGTATGGATTCCTCGGGCTCGCTACGAGAAATACATTGGCCGCAACCTCTAATTCTAGAGACGCAACGTATTCAAAAATGATGAGATGCTTGGTTCCCGAATAATCAAATCACTGCGCTTATCATCACGAGTCTCAATGAGCAGATAAATGGGCACTTTTCAAACGTCGATTTCTCTCTACGGTGAGTTTTTAGACCACAGCGCAACCACGTCACATTGTATTTGAAAGAATGACCACAGCGAATGGATTCGGATTGAACTGAAAAGATTTTGCGCTCGTGAGTCGTGTGATCGTATGTGTGTGCGAATTGGAACAAGGAATAACCCAATAAGGTAAAAAAGGCGCAATTCACCAAAGGCGAAAGCGAATCGGTTGCGCTTTAGAAAAGAGAAGAGAAATTTTTTCTTTTGCACTTGCTCAGCCGAGGATGTAGCTTTTTCCCATGGAACATTAACCTCTGCTACGTCGAATCAAAACAATCACAACAAGCTAGAAAAACGAGTGCCGTTTAGTGGATATTATTCAGCTCAGTTCTAGCAAGTAATATTTTATTTATAATCATAAACGTGTGTGAGCACTTCATTCGTTTTTGTCGTGGCTTCCATTTATTGCGCAATATTTTGTCCCCAATGCGCAATATCTAAAAAATGAATTAGTAATAATTGCTAGTGTTGGAAAATGATGTTTTGGTCAAGAAAAGAGGAAAAAATTTCTATTTGTACTAAATGCGCTTTCAATCGAATATATAAACCTTACATTTATCCCTACAAAAAGTTACCATTACTCGTTTCACTCGTTTCTATTGTAACCATATGTCAAACTATACTGTTATATAGCATAATTTCACAGGCTAAAACAAATGAAAGAATCAAATGTGCTTGAAATCCCTTTGGATCAAAGGGTTGGCTTAAAAGTGCGCAATTTGAGTGTTGCTGTAAAGTCAAAAGTTAAAAAGAAGAGCCTTCGTCATGCAGACGAAAAGGATAATTTTAATGCCAAATCGTCTAGAATACTCAACGATATTTCATTTGATGTCAATAGTGGAGAGTTGATTGCATTGATGGGTGGATCAGGTGCTGGAAAAACAACTTTATTACATACACTATCACAACGGACTAATGTCAAGAACAAGAAGTTGGAGTACTCGGGTAGTATCGAGTACACGAGAGCAAATGAATCTATAAAGCATATCAAGCACGCCTATTTGCTTCAAACTGATTTTTTTTTACCTGGGTTGACTGTATTGGAAACTTTTCAAACACAAGCAGACTTGAGATTACCACCTCATGTAAACCAAGAAGAGAAACTGAAGTTGATTGATTATATTATTAATGTGTTAGAGTTGGGTCATTTGAAAAATACCAGGATTTGCCAATTTTCACTGCATGCTACAACGTTATCTGGAGGTGAACAAAGAAGAGTAAGCTTGGCTATTCAACTATTGTCTCGTCCATCAATATTGTTTCTTGATGAACCAACCACAGGATTGGATACTTCGTCCTCGTTGAAGTTAGTGCAATTGCTACATAAGCTTGCTTCGAACACATATGGTATCACTGTCGTTTTGTCAATCCATCAACCAAGACCAGAAATTTGTGACTTGTTTGACAAAGTGTGTTTATTGACCAAAGGTGGTAGATTGGTATATTATGGAAATCTCAAAGAGGAAGCTCATCACTATTTTTCAAAATTGGGCTATGCTCCTGAAATGAATCAACACATCAGTGATCACGTTATGAGCTTGTCAGTGAAGGATTCAAGTACGGTGGAGAATGAGCTGAGATCGGCGGCAAGAATTCACCACTTGGTTGAGACATGGAAAACGGACCACTATTATGAATACAATAGCACTCCCAAGCAAGACCAAGCTCAATTTATGAAAAATTTAAATTTGTTTGCCACGCCCAAACAAGACCAAATCTCATTTATGCAGGAGCTTGTGGTGTTGACAAAACGTACATTCAAATTGACCTATCGTGATATTCAGACGCTTTTAGTTTTGAATCTTGGATTTGTGTTCCTTGCTGTCACACTTGGATGGATATTTTACCGTCCGAAACATGATCTCGCTGGAATCAGATCGTTAATTTCTGTGCAATACGTAGTTTTGGAAGTGGTGGGATTTTGCGCTATGTTTATTGAGGTGGAGAGATTGTGGAATACCGATGGTGCATACTTTTACCGTGAATATCAGGAACATGTTGCCAGCATTCCTGCTTTCATATTGTCTAGAAGATTGGCCAAGTTTTTCTTGGAAGATTTGCCCATGACAATCATTTGGTCAGTTATCACATTCTTTATGTGGGGTCTAAGGGTTGGAAATGGTTCTCATTTTGGAATCTACTTTACTGTGACTCTACTTGTACAATTGGCTTGTATGAGTAGCACATTGTTGATTTATGCCGTGTCGTCGAGTTTGCCCATGTCGACAATGTATGTCAACTTGCTTTATCAAATTCAAAATTCAGCATCTGGATATTTTGTTAATGCCAAGACAATGCCTGTTTACGTTAGATGGGTAAAGTATTTGGCATATTTTTGGTATGGGTTTGGTGCTTTAGTAGCAAACCAATTCACTGATTGGGTCGGTGATTGCCCTTATGAAGATGAGAACAGTTGTGCTGAGTATGATGGTAACGTACAATTACACACTTGGGGCTTCCCTCAAAATTGGATCGCTGAACCAATAGGTATCTTGATTGTATGGGTGACTGGATTTATTGTTCTTTCAGGAGTGGCTATGAGATTTAAGAATCTCGATGTTGGGATGGCTAAGACCAAAAAGAATAAACTTGGAGATGAGGACGAATCCCATGATAGCAACCACCAGAGCGAAGAGATCACCGATGAAACTTTGGGTAGTGAGCAGGAGTTTCAGTCAAATCAAATAACCACTGCTAGTGAGATTGTTGAAGATAGATACCCTATAAATATCGAGCTACACAATGTGCATTTGTCAATCAAGGAAAAGAAATTTTGGGGAAAACAAGTGGGTACCAAGACCTTGTTGAACAATGTAAATGCATTATTCAGGGCCAATTCGGTCAACTGTATCATGGGACCCTCAGGTAGTGGTAAAAGTACCTGTCTCAACTATTTATCAAACAGATTAGATAGATCGGCATCGTTCATCTCATCAGGGGAAATCAAAGTGAATGGTATTCAGGATATTTCCCGTAGTGAATTGAGTCGCATTTCTGCGTATGTTACTCAACACGATAGTTCATTGATTTCCAACTTGACCGTGCGTGAAACATTGTACTATCAAGCCAAATTACGTTTACCTTTGGATCAACACTCAGCCATCCCCAGGATTGTTAATAAATTGATTAGACAAACTGGATTAGTTGATTGTGCCGATACTTTAGTTGGTGATGATTATACCAAAGGGTTATCTGGTGGTGAAAAGAGAAGATTGAGTATTTCGATTCAACTCCTTTCGAAACCGAAAGTGTTGTTTTTGGATGAGCCAACTTCAGGATTGGATTCATCTACAGCAAAGGCTATTTTCAATTTGTTGTCGGAATTGGCAATAGAAAATGGAACAACGGTGATTCTTACCATTCATCAACCAAGCGAAGAAATATTTTTAAGTTTTGGCAGCTTGTTGTTTTTGGGTAAAGGAGGTAATGTTATTTACAACGGTAGTGCTCATGGAATTATTCAATACTTGGCGAATCTTGGTTTTGCAAACCATGGTAAATTAAACATTGCCGATTACATATTGGATTTAATCAGTCATGGTTCTGAAGATGAAGATGCACAAGCAGTGGACAATAGAATCGAAATGTTGATTAATAATTGGGCGTATAATGTAAACCATCACGATGAAAAATCGGCCACCAATGGTCAACGTCAAGTGATTGACTTGTCTCAGTTTTATTTCAGAAGGTTACCATTCATTCATACATTCTCCACAGTTACCAACAGACAATTGTTGACATCATTCAGGTCAAAGGATAGCATCATTAGCAGAATTGGTCAAACGGTTTTCCTCACTATTGTTCATACATTATTCTTTGCCCCATTGAAAAACACTCAAGATGGTATCAACAATAGATTAGGTTTGATTCAAGAAGTGTTGAATTTGTACTTTGTTGGATTCGTCAACAACATTAGTTTATACCCGTTTGAAAGAGATTTGTTTTACCAAGAATACAGAGATGGTATTTACGGGGTGACAGAATTTGGAATTTCGTACTTGTTAAATGAGTTGCCAACAGAAATCATCCCATGTTTCTTCTTTTCAGCATTGATCGTGTTTGTGTGTGGATTACCACGTAATGCCGCCATGTATTTTGCCATGTTTGCCACTGGATTTATCTCTATCAATTGTGGTGAGTCGATTGGTATATTGTTCAATAGTATATTCAAACATATGGAAGTGGCTACAAATGTGTTATCCAATCTTATTATCATTGCTGTTTTCATGGGTGGTACAATGTCATTACACATGCCTCATTTTTTCAAAGCAATGAATTATTTGAGTCCAATGAAGTATGCTGTTTCCATATGTGCTAATTTGGGGTTCAAGAATCAAACTTTTTCATGTGGCTCAGTTGGTGAGTGCAGTTTGAGAACAGGTCATGATGTGTTAAATTACTACAATTTAGAGGCCAATATAGGGGCAATGTTTGGAGGAATATTTGCTTGCTTTGTTGCCTATAGATTGATTGCAATTTGCTCAATCTATGTCAGAGTCAAATGGTTTTGAAGAATGAAGGATGTATATAAATATTGTATTATATTAATAGATGTTTTTTTGCATAGATTGTAAGATATCTTCTTTGTAAGCAATTTCCAGAATCAGTTTGTGATATTGTATAGCTTTTATCATATTAGCTGATGGAGAAAAAGAAGGAAAAGGCGGTTTCGTTGAGAAAGTACGATTATTACACAAAGAGGGGGAGCTAAGCTCGGAGGTGAGAGTCCGAAGTAGCTATCTTTTACCTCATTGTCGTAATATCTAAACTATGGATGTTATTTCTAGGGTACACTATGGTCCACTAATTGTGCAATTGAACACAGCCAAGTGCCAAATACCCAATGTAGTCCCATGTCTTCACGAACACTTTAAAGTGTTGGAAGTCCGGAATCCGAAGGAAGAAAGAAGGAGAAGAAGAAAATATTTTGTTGAGAGTTTGGTTTTGTGCAATCGTTGATAACCATCAGCACGAGGTTTAGTAATTTGCAAAGCCATAAAAGCAGATTGCGTAGGTGAAATGTCAGCCACTGTTCTCCTCATATCATTAAGTCTCAATGTTTGTCATACATCAAGAACTAAGATGATGTTTGTGCAAAAACACTGACACAAGGAAACATTTCAATAGAGTAATTGATAAAGTTACAAAAGCCAAAATGATATTTACACAAAGAAAGGTGAAGGACAGTTCTTCGCCTTGGGTTCTACACGTATGTACAAGACTGTCGTCACTTCTTTCAATGTTTAATAGTGAGATGTTCTTCGGATAATGCCGTAACTGTAAAAAAGCTTATGGAGTGATTACAAAGTGTAATATTTAGTTTATGGGTTGACCATGTATTATAATATTTTGTTATCTTTTTCTCCTTCTCTTTTCATCCCTTCGTAAAAAAAGCCACAGAAAAGATCATTATTTTTGTTCAACAAATTCAGCAACAAAATAACCAATATATATATACATCTTTCCTTTGCTTCTTGAAAGGGAATATATTGCTATTAGAGTCTTTAACTGACAGCATATCAGACTCAGAACCTAGCAGAACCTTATTTACACGAGCACAGAGTACGGAGAAGAGGAGGATTAAACAACAGTATCAAGAATAAGTCAAAAACAACAATCATACTTTGTTCTTCTCCATCACATAAATGTATCAATACATTATTGAAGCACCAAGTGATGTGAAATCGGTGCAAATCACCGGAACGTTTGATAATTGGTCTAAAAGTCTTCCGGAGATCACATCACCTCCATTTGAGCAAACAATTACACTCCCTGAGAAACAAGATATCATTTTCAAGTTTATCATTGATGGTAACTGGACTACTCTTGATTCGTATCCAGTTGTGGCGGATGAAAATGGAAATACCAACAATATCGTCCATGCTGAGCACTTGATTTTGGTTGAAGAAGAGGAAGAAGAAGAACCGGAAAGGGATGATAGTTTCAAACTTGATGACGAGGGAAGTGCGGTTGTTCAAATCGATAATCCGGTAGCTTTAGCTGTTACTGATTGTGATGAAACAGAAACGAATGTTCATGCAAACGAGGCAGGAGACAAGCAAGGGAACGAAAGTGAACAAATTCCTACCCAATCTCAGCAAGTTCCTGCTGAATCATTCCAAGTAGAGGAAGACATCAGTGAATACGCTGTTCCAGAGAAGCTTAAGCAAGGGCCAACTGTGACTAATAACAATACAGGTATTGATCCCACCTCGTCATCATCTTCATTTGCTGCAGTATCAAGTCCCCCCACTTCATCCGATTTTGAGCATATCGGGACGTCACCTTCCCCGGAAGAGTCGACACCACATGAAGTTGGAGACAAAAATGGAGAACATCACACGAGCTCAAAATCTGCTGACTCAACTCAAAAATTACCCACGGTTGCATCAACTGTCAGTTCCAAAGCAAATGCTGTTCCGGAAGAGAAACCGGAAAAGCCTACATTATTAGCTCACCCCTCGGAATCTACACTTAGAGCACCTACCTCGTCTGGTACTCAAACACCCGTTATTGCTTCCAGTTCATCATCCACCACATCACCAAATGAACACGAAGATTCGCCTAAACACACACCAAGAATTCCAGGATCGTATGACACCAGGCCATCGGTGGAAAGGCATGGAAGTGGAAGCAAGCGCGAAGGTTTGATCTCCAAATTCAAAAACTTGTTCAAGTAAGTGCCGTGGAGAAAGAAGTAAGGTAAGGAAGATTTATAGGGCAAAGCATGATCACATTCTAAATATTTTGGGGGTGCATATTTGCCCCATACTTAATACGTGCTTTCTACTTGCTGTAATTATATTTGGCTGTGCTTTTTATTTGGGTCTTTGTATTTAAAGAAAACATTGTAGTTATCCTCCACTCTTAACCTGTTGATTCATCATCAGTTTGCAGACGGGCACAATCAGCACAATTCAATCGTATTTGTTCATCGTTTTCGTATCGCACCCACACACACACACACACACACACACACACCATCTTTAGGACACCAACTGCCCTTAGTTCTTCTTCTTTTTCTTATTCTTCTTTTTGGACCCACTTGGAGCTGGTATATTCTCTTCTACAACTGGTGTATTCTCCTTAGTTACAACAGCATCATTGGCACCAGTATCCTTTTTGCTTTCCTCAACTACAGGTTCAGGTACGTATTTTGTATTTGACATCAAACTGGCCAAACCCAATCCATTACTATTGACACCTTGTGGACCCAACACATTCAATATACGACTAAATTCCTTTTGTTTTGTGGTTTTGTATTTCAAGCATTTACCGGTATGAGGTTCGTATAGTTTGATATTTATTGTATGCGTTGGTGGTTTGTGTTTAGTGCTAGACGATGCATCAGCGGTTGTTGTAGATGGTTTGGATTTTTTGGAAGATAATTTTTTGGCGGTGTTGGAATATGTTATTGAAAGTGTGGTCGATGGGAAGTTGGCTACCAAATTCGTGGATAATTCAAAGAATTGATCTAGATTCTTGATTGTAGGCATTGTAGTATAAAGGTTGTTGTGCGTGATGATAAAGAGTTCCCTTTGCAATTGATTTGTCGAAAATTTTCCCATCACTGGAAATTTTTTGTCTGGCTTTACCTCTCCCACTTACCTTTACACAACTAGAGTATGTAATATGATTCTCTTCTTTAACGTCGATTACACAACTATCTACCTATATCTAACAGCGGGACCCTTTTCTTGTCTGGCTTTCATCTTCTGTTGACGTTTACTTAATCCAGAATTGTCTTTCTTTGTAGACGCTCCTGTAGTATCGTTGTCAACACCACCTTGTTGGCCATTACCACCTGATTTCCGGAAGAATGGCAACACAAATCCACTGATTTTATAGACGGCATATCCAGGTATCATGGCATACCCCCACCATACTTTATTGCTTCCTAAAACGATCATCAATACATCTAAAATCCACGTCAAGTAAATAACATCAAAACAGTATTCAAATAACGAACCTTTTTGCAAGATATCAGCTCCAGATACGAGCACTTTTCCTTCGGGACCAATTTTGGGCAATCCAGATGATTCTAATACATATTGGAGAATGAAACTAGGGATTGATAACGAAATGTAGGTGAATGAACTCGATGGACGGCCAAAGTAAAAGATTGCGAAGATGGCGATGAGATTAATGGTTGCAGCAATGTATCGTAATTGGTACAATATAGATTTATTTCTGGCGGCTAGCTTTTTCTGACTATTTGCTGACATAGTGAAGTGGTGAAGGGGTACTATCGAAAGATTTTGGTTTTTGAAAAATGTGACAATGAAAAATGTGAAAATTTGTAATTTGCGAAGGGTCCAGTGTCGGTAACTTTTGTAGGACGTTCTATGCAAGTGGATTGTAGCACCCTTATTGTAGTATATGTCCACATTTCAAAGAATATTTTACGATATATTACAACGATACTGATTTATATATGACGTTCATACAATAGTCTAGTAGTGTGTGCAAGAATTCTTCTAGAAGATAACATGGGACTACCCTACTACATCACCACTTATTGCGTTTTCTTCACTTCCTTTGGTACTTGAATCGATTTCAAGTAATGAACAACTTTCTCTCTGAGTCCGAAATACTTTTGCGTCAAGGAAGGACTGTTCAACTGGTTAACATATCCATTTACATTTTGATCCAACTGGTTAACTGCAGCTTTAGTGAACTGGTTACTGTCATATCTCAACTTGTTAAACACGACAACGGCAGCCAAAAGAAACACCTTGGTGGCATACTGTACCACATTCCATTTCAACAACACCAAAAAAGTGCTAATCAACACGTCAAACGCTGTCATCACAACCAATACGATCTCAACACTTGCAGCAGCTGACATTGCGAGTTGGTTGAACTTAGTGGTAAAATTGTTGATAGCTGAATTGACTCTTTGTTGAGTGGCGATCGATGGAACGGCAATTGATAACAAATTGTTCTGGAAATAGGTGAGTGCATGGAACACAGCAAAGATGATGTATGAGTACAACACAGTCTGTGCTTGGTTATCAAGGATGTAGCTGGCAATGTAAAAGACAACTGCCAAACTCAAATACTGGACATTTTCATCTCTGATCAATCTGGCAGGGGTTGCTTTTGGTGCCGAGCGTTTGAGGTACACTTGTTTCAACACAATCAAGTAGGTGACAATAATAGACAACAAGGTGAAACGATAATACTTTAAAGAAGCCGCTTGTCTAAACAATATAGCCGTCAATGAGCTTAACACAAAGAATAGAATAGCAAGTACATGACCCAAGAACCAGTAGAATTGTTGTGTCTTGAGAAGCGATGTCAATTGTTGTACTGGTGAGCTTGGCTGCACTTTGGCAGTTGATGACGAGGACGACGTAGTTGCTTTTGGCGGCATTGGATAAAGCTATGAGAGTGGGAGAAAGTGACGAAAATGTGGCTGAAAAATATTCTTTTTGATGATGGAAAAGATGAAATTCGAGATTTTATCCGAACTTTGATTGCGCATTGAAATAGAGTACAAAAAGGAATTCGGCACAAGACAGCTACAACCACTTCACACCCATCACAATGCATCAATAGTATGTAGAGTTGGATATTAAAGTATTAAATGTATACAACTATATCATAGAGCATATAAATGTAACCCACGAGAAATGAAAATCAAGCAACGCGAAACCTGTCCCCCTCTAAACATGTTCCTCCTCTTCTTGGTGGACTCCTGCCGGTGCAACAGTAGTGTCACCAGAATGTCTTGGAGTTGTGTCACCAACTGATTTTTCAGCATCACGATCAACACTAACATTATTGTTCAAATGAAAGTGCCAAATCTTGGTAAAGAAGTCTTCATCAATGGTGTTGACGGCAATCCAGGTCAAGATGACTGGGACAAAGCCAAAGTTGATGAGATCCAAGATACCGTAAAACACAGCTTCTGAGTCCGGTTGGATGACATTACCACCTTCTGACAATCCCCAACAAACTGGATACAAGATCCAGACAACAATCTCAAAAATAATGACAAGGTTTGCAATCATGCTCTTGTTAATCGATTGGAAGCTGTTGTGCAAGTCAACACAAACGAGGTAAATGGTAAACAACAATGCCACAGTTGCAAATGTAAAGTAACCCCATTTGTAAGTGGATCTAATCAATGCACCAATCAACAAACCCAACACAAACACCTCGATAGACAAAAACCGGGTGAAGATGGATGAAAACACTTGTACGATCTTTTTCAAAATGTCCTCTCTATCGTCTGTCAAAGAGGTATGTGTGTTGACAGTGAATATGATCAACACCAATGGCCAGCACAAGAACCATCCAACAAACTTGGTGTAAAAGATTTGACGAACATACAAGCCTCTATCAGTGGAAACATGATGGAATTCAGTCTCGATCCAAGTGTAACCCAAGTTTGAAGCATAAGTGTAGTAAGCGAATGCCATCACAGCATTGGTAAACAATGGAATCGTCAATAATGATTTCTTGATTCCGCTTCTGCGTACGCTAGTCAAGCTGTAGATGAAACCATGGCAGATTGCGAGCAAAGCAAACACTGAAAAAGCAGCCCACAACCAGTCACTACCATGGCTGGTTAAATTAATGTCTGATTCTGATGGAGGTGGATTGATGTCAACGGCACGGTTACGTTTGACCAAATCAGTAAATTGTGTAAAGCTCATTATTTCGTTGTGATAGTGGGATGCGTAGTGGGGAGTCAATATTTAAATCTGATGATGTTTTGATAAAATAGTTGCAAAAAGCGTAGCAAAATATCAAATTTGATTCACCTATGTTTGCGGCCTGCATTGAAGATCTACAACAACGGGGAAAACTCTTTCTATTTATATAATTGGGGGAGGGCATTGCATCGTAAAGAAACAACTCGGAATTGCGGGTATCTGAACGATGAAAAGGGTATTCGAAAGTCACAGAACAATTGGAATATGCACAAAATTACTGATGTTGAAAAAGACGCACATAATTCACGTGAATGTATGCACAAATTCAACACTGCAAGATTCTATCGGCTTTACCACATAAGGCTACGTTAAGCTATATTTATTGGCTTTCCAAAATAACCGTGCGTCATTCACCCACTGGTTCCGAGCCAACAATTGTTTGTTTACCAACTTTGTAGGGAACTGTCTTGTATAAGTTCGTGACCTCATGCATAAGAGAAAGGTAGGCCGATAATGCCCTTTGTTTAGGGTTTTTGCAACTTAGTAAAAGATCATAAGTTTAAAGCGGCTTTTGTTTATTGATTCTATTCGGAATTCCATTTTATACACGAAAAATAAATTGATTATATACTGTCAAATATTTGGACTTAAATTAGCTGATCGATACAAAGTGCAAAGTCTTTCGTGTGATCAGTAACAATGTTCGTGGAGTTATTTCATCGCTTTCAACAAAATATCCGTTGAAATGTGTAAGAGGAACACACGGATGTATGGGGCGCATATTACCTGCAATGGCAAGTTTCCTTATAACGTGAAAGCGAAGCGCCCCCTTTGGAATACACAATATACTATCATGTTCTGTTAAGCTTCCCACATTTCCATTTTAGCCCTGTAAGATTAATTGTATGTTTATTCTCTATTTTAACTGAATATTTGTATCTTGTTAACCATTTCAAAATTCATATTTTTACTTCTTGTTTCTCTTTTCCCAGGAACCAGCAAAAGTGCACTGGAAGATAGAACTCTACAATGAATTTCAACTTCTAATACAATGCCTCGATTTTACATTTTTCAAAAGTATTACGTTACTGACTCACACATTCGTATACCAGCCGCCTTTAAAATGGAAGTATTTTTTTCAGTCATCGCACATCTTTCTCTCAACATCATTTCTTATCACCCTGCTATTGCCACTGGCTGGCCATTTCTCAATTGGTTAATTCCCATATCATCCAAGTCGCCCGTATTTCCGCATATGTTGCACACTAATCGCTTCGAAAAGGAGTACGGAAGCACAGGAATGAAGAAAAGTGTCACGGCACTTATCGTGCGCACGGCAAAGGCACTTTGGTTGTGACAACGTCCGCAATAGCATGGGATATGTCCCACATCAGATAGTTCATTGTTGTAATCTTGAACTGTAGTAAAGTTAGTATGATTGACTAGGAAGAGCCCCAGCACAATTTGCTGTTGCACTTGCAACGACTCCAAAAAAGTAGCGACCCGTACATACACCCTATGAGAAAGAAGCAAAAATCCATGACGTCCGATTCAGTTTTTCAAATTGGATGTGCAATGATTGATTCAAATTGGATCTATTGGTGCACTGTCACAGTCTTCTTTTGGATTAAATCACTAATTCGAGAAACAACGCTATGATGGATTACTGAAACTTTCAATAACCAGTTGAAAAGTGTTTTTGAATATTTGTGGGTCGATTCAAAAATTTGGCATGATTTCTTCACTAATTGTCAATTTTTCTGGTCCCGTGGTTTTGTGTAGCGGAATTTTTTCGGAGTTAGATCAAACCGAATAAAGTCTCCCGTAAACAACTATATCAAATATCTAGAAAAAGTGTACTACAATAATAAGGAAATACAAACACGAAACATTCATCATTAGTATGGATTTATGAAAACAAAAGTATTAACTATAGGTCAAGAATTGAATCAGACTCAAAATGAATCAAAACTTCTCTCCTCAAGCTGAGTGAGTCTCAACATCATGAACCTTTTCATCGGATTGAGAGCCAGTCTCTTTGTGTTCAACACTCAACTTTCTTGCCAACTCTGAGTCTGGATCAATTGGAATGGTTGGTGTCCATGAAGCTGATCTCCATGCGGGAATGTTTTCTTCCCACATTTGTCCAACTTCTTCCAATCTCTTACCTTTGGTTTCTGGGAATCCAAAGAAAACGTGAAGACCCATGGCAAGACAAAAGACACCGTAGATGATGTACGTTTTGTAATTGATGTTTTTGAAACCAGATGGGGTATACATAGCAATTGGGAAGTTGAAACACCAATTAGCACAAGTCGACAATGAGTTACCTCTTTGTGAGATTCTGTTGTCACCCCAGATTTCTGAACAATAGACCCAAATACCAACACCCCAAGTAGAAGCAAATGAACAAACAAACAAATAACAGCATGCAATAGCACCTCTAGCCGCAGGCTTGTTGCTATCTGGAATTCTAATTGTGACAGATTCGGTTCCTGAATCTGGCCAAGGAACAGCATATTGTCCTAAAATACCAGTAAGACCAAATTGAAAAATCATCATGAAAAGAGCACCAAGCATCAATACCGGTCTCCTACCAAAGTAATCAAAACAAATCAATGCAGGAATAGTACAAACGACATTCAACACGTATTGAATGGAGGAGGCAATCAAGTTGGTATTTCCTGAGTATCCAGCCATTTGGAAAATGTAAACGATATAGTACATCATGACATTCATACCAGTCAATTGTTGCCAAATTTGAGCAAAGATTGCTGTGAGTGTTCTGCGAAGAAACTTCTTTTTGAACAAAGTGCCATAACCAACTGTTTTTGCTTCTTGGTCAATCAATAATTGCTCTTTGATTTCAGCAATTTCAATCAAAACTTCTGGATCATCATGTTTACCATGTGATTGAATTTTAGTAACGATCTCTTCAGCTTGTTCCCATCTACCTTGTTTGGCTAGCCAACGTGGTGATTCAGGAATGATAAGACATCCAAAAAACAAAAGCAAACCTGGGATGATTTGTATAGCCCAGCCAATTCTGAAACTAGCAACACCATTGATCTGACCTGTACCATAACATATATAAAACATAATCATAATACCAAGTGTGACTGCAAATTGGAAAAATCCGTTAACAGTACCTCTTCTTTTACGTGGAGAAATTTCTGCACCGTAGATAGGAGCAACTGATGAGCCGAAACCAACACCCCAACCAGAAATAATACGACCAATGATTAACTGGGCTCTGTTTTGAGATGAAGATTGAACAGCTGCACCAATCATCCACAACAACGAACAAATAATGAGTGATAATCTTCTTCCAAAGGGTTCAGAAACGAAGGCAGAAGCAATGGATCCGAAGATAGACCCCAACGCCATAGACGCTGTTATGAACCCTTGAATTGTAGACCCTGGGGTATTAAAATAGTTTTTGTATGGATCTGAACCAATAAATGCTGACATTGATGAAATATCAAAACCAAACATCAACCCAGCAATGGTGGAAATACTGGCAATGAAGTAAACATTGTAAATTTTTGGGAGCTTGTCCAACACGTTGGCCAATTTCAAGGCCGGGCCTGAAAACATACGTTCAATTCTAGACGACATATTTGAAAGTGGTAGCTGTGGTTGCGAAATATCAAAGATGAAACAAAAAATATGGTGATCAGAAACCAGCAAGTGTGGGAGATTTGTACGTCTATTTATATTGAAAAAAATGAGAAAGAGGGGACTTGGTCATGTATGTTATGAACTTTCTGAAGTTAGTGGCTCTCTTAGCTTCACGTCTATTGTTAAGCTCTATAATTTTTCCTAAACAATAAAATAAACAATGCTTTATTACTCTTTGTCTATTGTTTTTCCCCACCACGTCTCGAGATCTAAATAGACTAAATGCAAGAATTTATCCCAAAACAACACAAACTAGGAATAAATGCTACATAAAAAAGGTCAAAAAAACACACGGCACTGATGCAGGATGGGTTAAGTCTAATATGCACGTAAAGTGAGTGAGTACAATTTTTCTTAAATATTTTACCAAGACTAAAACTAAAGCTGGAAAACAACAACTTCAAAATGCCGTAACTGGATTTTTTAATACAACAAGGTTAGCCCGGCTCGGTTTATAGATATACCTGAGTTTTATTCGTGGTGGCACTGTACATGCCTGGGAGTATGTCGGGTTCCTTGCATAAGAAATGTATGTACGCGCGCCCTTCTGGTGAGGCTGTAGTTTGGCCACACAAAGCAATCAAATCTCCAAAAAAGCGAAAGATATTCTTTAGATATGTTTATAAAAAAGCCCTCCTCTCTACCCAACAAAAAAGCCGATAAAATCATTTCGGTGTTTTACAATTATTCCGGAAACAAGCAGAGTGTAACCTAAATTTTTTAGACGCAAAAAACAACCGGGAATAAGGTTGATAGATAATTTCTCTAGTTTTTGCGTGTTTGGGTTGCGTTTGGTGTTGCTTTTCTGGACCATGCTTAGCGACGTCCGGCTGCTTTTCACTTTAACTAAAGAGTCTTCGTAGTTGAGGCTCGGTTCATTGATGCTTTACACGGTATCATCCAGCACCATCTTTATGAGGATAGTCATTTGATTTCGGATTTTTTTCGATTACCAAAGGTAACCAGCAAAAGGACACAAACTGCACATTTGTTTTCTTTTCGATTGTTTTACTATTTTTCTTGGCATTTTGCACTAAAATTTCTCCATTCAAATCTGGAACAACTTTGCCCATGGAGTTGTTAGTTGAACAATAAACAAATCCCTAGAACAATAAACACGACATGTTGTTGGTACTGAGGATGCAGACGTGAGCTCCAATTATGCACGATTTGTAAACCAATTTTCCTCAAATTGGAAAGCTGGGGAAAAATTCGAACTCAAGTGGAGAAATATCGTACCATCCTTTTTTTCTTGTCAACGGAAGAAATTCAAGAGGCTCCAAGTAGAAGCGGAGTGTGATTGCTTCCAAGAAAATTGAAGGAAAAAAATCGAACAGGAAGATATTCCGTAGGTGGGCGTCCTTTGCTGATTTTCCCCTCACTCGAATCTAGTCTTTGCAAAGAGATGCCAAATGATGCTCCCAGGCACGTTCGTTCAAGGATCTCGTTAATATCCCTAGCAAGTAGATCCAAAAGACAATAGGCTTCGTTTGTTTCTTTTCCGGTGTTCTGGAATGCAATGGATGTGTGACAGAAAGGGAAATTTTGTGGGGGTTTTGTGTTCTCCTTTACCCCAATTTTAGAACAAAACGCGTGATGCTTTCTCAAAACAACAGTAAGAAGAACTTTTCATATACTCATTAAATCCACACAGTCGTATGATATAGCCACCCATCTACAATGCTAGGCGTGGACTGATTACGGTTACGCCCAGCTTTCAAGGATAATGGCCGAAGCAAGTATTCTCGCCAAAATTGATTGAGCAAAGGGGGTTGTTTGTCTTTCGAACGTTTCCATCTGCAAACCTGTACAAGCACGACGCTATCTCAATTGTTGTTGTCTCTTGCCAGTAAGATTCACTGACGTTATCTCGTTTTGTAATCCCCACAATGGTGTGAAAGATTCCACCTCTCTCTCCCTTGATTCTTTGTTTGTTTGCCAAACGTTTGGCGATTGTTTATTTTGCAAAATTTAAATTTAGACGCTAAATATAACCACATACTGAGTAAAGTAAACTTTGAGGGATTTTTATTGAACAATGCAACCTATAAATACATGCGGCTTGGACTAAAATTACATAGTTGACGACTGCATGCATTGTCAAGTGCAACCATGTTGTATTTCTCTCGGAATAATTGTTGCAATATTCACACTCGTAATTCTATACTCTTCAGCATAGAGCAAAGTGATTGAGAATTTTTTGTGCTGAAACTCCCCGCTTCATTGTAGTTAACCCGATGACGGGCGCCTAAGATTCTGATTGTTGACCTCTTTTCTCTAGTAAATATATTGGCTTCTATACCCTTGACCAGCGAGCATAACTTTGTATGTGTGAAACTATTCAAAGATCGTGACACAAAGGGTCGAATGGTATCATATACGAGCTTTTTACATGAGATGAAACCTCATTCAGGTGAAGTTTCCTCCTTCTGCTCTTGTAGTAACAGCTTTGAAGAAAATTAAATTTAAATTGCAATAAACACATGTAAATGCCGCCCTAGAGGTGTATAACTAGAGCTTCGGCCATGCCATCTCTCATGATTTCACCATTTTCCTTCAAGCTTAATACGTTTTCACCTTGTCAGACTGTTGTTCCTCGATATGTTCCTTATACTCAAGGCTTAACTTGTGTCCCATCTCAGAATCAGAAGCAATGGGAATTGTAGGTTGCCAAGTAGCTGATTTCCACGCAGGAACCCTCTCGGCCCACATTTGTCCAATTTCCTCCAACCGCTTGTTTCTAGTTTCTGGGAAACCAAAGTAAACGTGGAGCGACATTGCCACGCAAAAAACACCATAAATGATATAAGTTCTCCAACTGATATTCTTGAACCCTGATGGTGTATACATTCCGATAGCAAAATTGATGATCCAATTGGCTGCCGTAGACAAAGAATTACCTCTTTGTGATATTCTGTTATCGCCCCAAATTTCGGAGCAATAGATCCAAATACCAACACCCCACGTCATGGCATAAGAGCACACGAATAGATAGGAGCATGCAATTGCTCCTCTTGAAGCAGATTTCTGACTATCAGGAATCTTTATATTTACTGTATCATTTCCTGAGTTAGACCAAGGTTGCGAGTAAGCGCCTAAGATGCCAGCCAATCCAAATTGGAAAGTTGTCATCAACAAACCACCAGCTATCAACACTGGACGTCTTCCCCATTTGTCAAACAATATCAATGCTGGGATGGAGCAAAAAACATTCAACACGTACTGGATTGAGGATGCAACTAAATTGGTGTTTCCTGAGTATCCGGCCATTTCAAAAATGTAGACAATGTAGTACATCAACACATTCATACCCGTCAACTGTTGCCATATTTGCGAAAACAATGCGGTGAAAGTTCTCATAATGTACTTTTTCTTAAATAGGGTGGAATACCCAACGGACGATGCCGACTCTTGAATCATCAACTGCTCTTTGATTTCAGCAATTTCAATTAAAACTTCTGGATCTTCCGAGTTACCCTTTGCTTGAGTCTTTGCAACAATATACTCAGCTAGTTCCCATCTACCCTGCTTTGCCAACCATCTAGGAGATTCTGGGATGAAGAGGCATCCAATGGCCAAAACCAACCCCGGAACAATTTGTAGCCCCCAAGCAATTCTAAAGCTCGCGACGCCACGTATTTTACCTAGCCCAAAAGAAATATAAAACATTATCATAATTCCAACAGTTAAACTTAATTGGAAAAACCCATTTACACTTCCTCTTTTCTTCCTTGGCGATATCTCTGCACCATAAATAGGTGCTACTGATGAGCCAAAACCAACACCCCAACCAGCGATAATCCTACCGATGATTAATTGAGCTCGATTTTGTGATGACGATTGAATAGCGGCACCAACAATCCAAAAGAATGAGCAGATCAAGAGTGACAATCTTCTTCCAAAGGGTTCAGAAACAAACGCTGATGCTATTGAACCAAAAAATGACCCCAAAGCCATGGAAGCAGTAATGAAACCTTGAATCGTTGAGCTTGGGTAGTTGAAAAAGTGTCTATATGGATCTGTACCAATGAATGCTGACATGGAAGAGATATCAAACCCAAACATTAACCCTGCAACAGTGGAGATACAGGCAATAAAGTAAACGTTGTAAATCTTGGGAAAAGCATCTAATTTTTGGCTGATTGCCAACGCTAAATTCGAGAAAAGGTGCTCCGAATTTGTAAACATGGTAAATGTGGTTGCAAAGCTTAATGCACTCTTTGCAAAATTCCAGTGAAAGGAAAACGGGAGGGAGACAGTGCCTATTTTATATTGCAATTTTGCCAACCCTGGCTCTTGTCCAAAAGTACAAACCATGAGAGGGGAAAATGAGCCATAAACCTTCATTGAACAAGTGGATATCTTTCATCTTCAGTCGAAGTTTCGGACTTTGCTAACTCCGTATGTGACCTAGTTTAAAAATAGGACTTTGTAAACAAGGAACTGATGGTTGGTCATACAATGATGCGGAGAAACTATCTGTGGCTTCAATTTTCTATTGGTTCTTGGAGCCACAAGACAACTGTACGTTTCTGTTGCATAAACGGCAAAGGTATGTTCTTGCATAGATAGAGTGTCCACGTACTATCACACTAGAATGGAAGGCCAGAAAACAATTGTTTGAAAGCAACTTTGGTTTAACAGAAAACTAAGTCAAAAGTGTTTCAATGTCGAATTTACAGCTCGCATAATATGACTACAATTGAGCACGATCAATGAAGTCAATAGCCAGTTTTGACAAAGGTTTGAACTGAAAGGAGATTTGGGATTTTCACCAAGAAAATGCTTTGCTGCTGCTTTAAAAACAGTTGGACAGATTTTACATGAAACAAGGGTGCAACAAAATGAATGATTTCCCTTTATTCTTCCGAATCGGGGATTAAAAGAGGGGGTTTGTGTTGACACGGCATTTCATTGGCAACAATGAATAGGCTCGAAACTTGCGGAGTTTGAGATATTGAATTCTCCAAAAAATAGACGCTTATTGTTTTTCTTTTGCTGAAGTGCCGTATTAGTAGTATGTTCCATAGAAGCTAAAAATCCGACCCCAAACGTTTGTCGGATAATTTATTATTAAAGATTCGGAAAATTACCACAAGAAGAAATAATCTCGAGAAAACAATCAGATTAATTTATTGAGCAATTTAACTAGAGTAACACGGTGGAGATTTCACAAAATATTCCTTGTACAAGTGGTCAAACTAAAACTTCAGGAAATAAATACAAACATTGCTAGGATTAGAAGCTATACACGATGAATAAGAAAAGAAAAATTCATTATTTCGTAACCCATTTAATCCAACACTAACTCTGATCATCATCAGTATTTGAGTTTTCTTCCAAGAGCTTCTCTTCATTATGTTCAACACTCAATTTCCTAGCCAATTCAGCATCTGAGACCAATGGTACAGTTGGTTGCCATGAAGCTGACCTCCAAGCTGGTACTTTCTCTTCCCACATTTGTCCAATTTCTTCCAATCTCTTGCCTCTAGTCTCTGGGAATCCGAAAAACACATGGATAGCCATAGCAATACAAAAGACACCATAGATGATATATGTTCTCCAATCAATATTTTTGAACCCAGATGGAGTATACATCGCAATTGCAAAGTTCATAATCCAATTGGCAGCAGTGGAAACAGCATTACCTCTTTGTGAGATTCTGTTATCGCCCCAAATTTCGGAGCAATACACCCAGATACCAACACCCCAGGTAAATGCATAAGCACATACAAATAAATATGAACAAGCAATGGCACCGTTGGAAGCAGGTAACTTCGATTTTGGAATCTTGATGGTGACGGTTTCGCTTGGCGAGTCAATCCATGGAACGGCATAAGTTCCCAAAATACCAGCCAAACCAAACTGCCATGCCGCCATCATCAATGCACCACCAATCAACAATGGTCTTCTTCCAATCTTATCCAAGACAAACAAAGCCGGTATTGTGCAAACGACATTCAACACGTATTGGATTGACGACGCCACCAAGTTGGCATTTCCTGATTTACCAGCCATTTCGAAAATATAGACAATGTAGTACATCATGACATTCATACCAGTCAATTGTTGCCAGATCTGGGCGAATACAGCAGTAAATGTTCTCATAATGTATTTCTTTCTGAACAAAGTAGCATATCCAACGGATTTAGCCGCCTCTTCAATCAACAATTGGTCCTTGATTTCAGAAATTTCAATCAAAACTTCTGGATCTTCTCTATTACCATGGGCTTGAATCTTGGAAACAATAAATTCTGCTTTTTCCCACTTATCTTGCTTTGCCAACCACCTAGGGGATTCAGGGATGATGAAGCAACCCAAGAATAAGCATAGTCCAGGAACAATTTGAATACCCCAAGCAATTCGAAACCCAGCAACCCCGTTGATCTTGCCTAGTCCGTATGAAATGAAATACATAATCAAGATACCCAAGGTAACAGCAAATTGGAAAAATCCTCCAATCAAACCTCTAACCTTTCTTGGTGCCAATTCAGCACCATAAATTGGTGCAACCGAAGAACCAAAACCAACACCCAATCCAGAAATGATACGACCAATGATTAATTGTGCTCTGTTTTGAGATGAAGATTGAATAGCAGCACCAACAACCCAAAATAAGGCACAAGTCAAAAGGGATAATCTTCTACCAAATGGCTCAGAAACAAATGTGGAGAAGATCGATCCAAAGAATGAACCCAAGGCCATTGATGAAGTAATAAATCCTTGAATTGTTGAGCTAGGTGAATGAAAGTAATTCAAATAAGGATCAGTCCCAAGAAATGCTGACATCGACGAAATATCAAAACCAAACATCATTCCCGCAATGGTGGAAATGCTGGCAATAAAGTAAACGTTGTATATTTTGGGTAAATGGTCCAAGGCTTCATTGGCTTTTAAAGCTGGACCGGAAAATATCCTTTCTATTTTAGCTGACATTGTTGCTGTTGTTATAGGGCTAATGGAAAACAAAATAGGTGTACTATATATGAGCACCCTTTTCTTCAATGGGAATTTTGACGCCTATTTATAATCTTGAGCTAAAGAGAAAACTGCACCAAAGTCCCTTTGTTGCTTCTCTTAGATATACTTCCGATTCATTGTGTCCGACAAATTTTTTGCAATACATCATAGGGTGGCTTTTTTTTTTTGCAACATCATTGTTTTTCCCCCACCGGAATAGATCTAAACAATGGAGGGAGTGTGCTTTGTGAACTTAATGGGCAAACATGTGATCACAAGTCTCCACTTTGAGCAGAAGACAATGCCTATCTAATATGCACACCAGTGTTAAAGACTTGAAAATAACTGTTTCGTGTAATCGACTCAAAAATGGTTGGATTGTTGTACAATTTCCTTGTAAGTTTCTATTGTTTTGAATACGAGAAAAGCAAAAAATAGTGTCAGATTCCAAACAAATTGTCATCCGGCTAACTGGCTCCGAACTGACAATTCTTTCAGTTCTTATTGCACAATAGGTTGTTTACAAATTGCCGCGCCATTGACAGCCCCGTATAGTTTTTCCGTAGCATCGGAATCGCGCGTGCCAAGAAAAATAGATTTTTTCCTGTAATGACGTAAATGTGCATCAAAGGAACCACAGATGAAGTTAAGCGATAGTAACGGTGTATACAGCACAACTACATTAACCGGGGGGTTGCCGCTTGTACAAGAAACGAGGGGTGACTCTATATGGAATAGGAGCTGCCAACTAGATCGAGACTTGCCTTTGTTAGTGGTGAAAGCGATTTCGTTTGTGGTCGACACATAACGTGTGGTCCGCATTAATTTGCATGCACGTATGGACTTCACCCTGAAACGATAGCCTACAACTCGAAAAAGTTAACCAAAACAAATTTATCATTAATAAAATAACCACTATACAAAAGTAAGTTAAACAAGAACTGAAGTCAAAATCACGTAACGAAAATCAAAAACAAGGGAAAACCAATAAGAATATCAACAATCTATTTTTGTTCTTCATCAGTGTTTGATTCTTCCTCCATCAACTTCTCTTCATTATGTTCAACACTCAATTTCCTAGCCAATTCAGCATCTGAGACCAATGGTACAGTTGGTTGCCATGAAGCTGACCTCCAAGCTGGTACTTTCTCTTCCCACATTTGTCCAATTTCTTCCAATCTCTTGCCTCTAGTCTCTGGGAATCCGAAAAACACATGGATAGCCATAGCAATACAAAAGACACCATAGATGATATATGTTCTCCAATTGATATTCTTAAAACCTGATGGTGTGTACATCGCAATTGCGAAATTCAAAATCCAATTGGCAGCAGTGGAAACAGCATTACCTCTTTGTGAGATTCTGTTATCACCCCAAATTTCGGAACAATACACCCAGATACCAACACCCCAAGTAGAAGCAAATGAACAAACAAACAAGTACGAACAAGCAATGGCACCATTAGAAGCAGATAACTTTGATTTTGGAATCTTGATGGTGACACTCTCACTTGGTGAGTCGGCCCATGGTTCCGAATAGCTACCCAAAATACCAGCTAAACCAAACTGCCAAGCAGCCATCATCAATGCACCACCAATCAACAATGGTCTTCTACCAACTTTATCTAAAAAGTATAATGCAGGAACAGTACAAACGGTGTTCAACACGTATTGAATAGATGATGCAACCAAGTTGGCATTTCCTGATTTACCAGCCATTTCGAAAATATAGACAATGTAGTACATCATGACATTCATACCAGTCAATTGTTGCCAGATTTGGGCAAATACAGCAGTAAATGTTCTCATAATGTACTTCTTTCTGAACAAAGTAGCATATCCAACGGATTTAGCCGCCTCTTCAATCAACAATTGGTCCTTGATTTCAGAAATTTCAATCAAAACTTCTGGATCTTCTCTATTACCATGGGCTTGAATCTTGGAAACAATAAATTCTGCTTGTTCCCATTTACCTTGTTTAGCAAGCCAACGTGGTGATTCAGGGATAATGAAACATCCCATAAGCAACAACAAACCAGGGATAATTTGAATACCCCAAGCAATTCTAAAACTGGCAACCCCATTGATCTTACCCAACCCATATGAGATGTAAAACATAATCAAGATACCCAAGGTAACAGCAAATTGGAAAAATCCTCCAATCAAACCTCTAATCTTTCTTGGTGCCAATTCAGCACCATAAATTGGTGCAACCGAAGAACCAAAACCAACACCCAATCCAGAAATGATACGACCAATGATTAATTGTGCTCTGTTTTGAGACGAAGATTGAATAGCAGCACCAACAACCCAAAAGAAGGCACAAGTCAAAAGGGATAATCTTCTACCAAATGGCTCAGAAACAAATGTGGAGAAGATCGATCCAAAGAATGAACCCAAGGCCATTGAAGCTGTGATGAACCCTTGAATTGTGGAGCTTGGTGAATTAAAGTAGTGCATATATGATGGTGTACCAATAAAGGCTGACATTGATGAAATATCGAAACCAAACATCATACCAGCAATGGTTGAAATACTGGCAATGAAGTAGACATTGTAGATCTTTGGCAAGTGATCTAAAGCTTCGTTGATTCTCAAAGCAGGGCCTGAAAATATCCTTTCTATCTTAGCAGACATTACAAATAAAGTGATGAGTTAGTAGATGTGTTTGATGAAAATGTAAAACTTTGAATTTGAATTCTAGAGAGAAGTGGTCGCCTATTTATAGACTTTATGGCTCCCATGTGTATATACTCAGTTTTAGCATCATCAACATTGAATTGTAAGAACAACAATACCAACAACAACCACACTACATTTGGTGAAAAGAAAGTTTATTATTGTGCGTTTTGTGTATACGTGTAGTTTATCCCCACCGGATTAAATGAAAACAATAAAGAAATAATCAGACAATAAAAATTGTGCACTACGTCGTAGTGAAATGACACAAATCTCCACGCGTAACTAACCAGCATCATGCACAAGTCGACTATGAAATTTGTCGTCACGTAATAAAAGAAGCTTAATAGATGAATACGCATCATGCAGACACTTTTTTCTTTTTGTTGCTTATTGTTTTTTTTTTTGTTTTTTTCCCCAATTGGTGGGGTTGAAGGTATTATAGCACTCGGTGCATATATAGAAACTCGGTGGTGGTGAAAATTTTTCCGTCTTCAGTTAGATGATAATCTTTCCGAGTAGTAGAGCCAAGAAAATTCTCAAAATTTAGTTTTTCCTCCCTATGACAGAAAACAGGTGATCTATTATTCATATTGAAAAGGATCGGAACGAGACCCTTAACGATGATGATGACGTCGTTGGCACTTGGCATTAACATACATCTTGCATAGAACCTGGTTCTCAAATCTAAAGTGCTTGTCAAGGGTGAAACAAAGTACTGGGGCGAAAGCCCCTCATTGATTTACCAGGAAAAAATCTCACGTAGCAATGTTTTAATACGGGGAATGTAGTGTTTTTTTTTTTTTGTAACGGTGTTATATCGCATTAACTAAATTTTGGATTCTCCGTACACTATACACACGCACACAAAATATGACCGATACTTCCAGCGCCGCCCAACAAAGCGAAAGGATTTTCCTTTGTTTCAATTTATGTGTGTGTTCCCGATATACTTCGTCTAAAGTTCCACTTCATTGTAGATGTGTTACATTTTGAAGTTACAAAGTTTATGTGTTTTACAATAGCAACTAACACACGCACCGGAGTTGGTTCTGATGGCACCTAGTCTCAATTTTTGACGAATTCACTCAAGACTTGTTGGACATCAAGCACTTCCGACCACGAAGCTAATGGTAGATTGGAGTGTTTTAATCCCGACTGTAAAACTTAATTTATGTACGGTTTAACGTAGGCGTAAATGTATTCAGAGAAAAAAATAAAAATCCCTCATTTGTGTAATATAATCAATATGCAGACATCATTTTTAAAAGTTGTATTTTCAATTTGTGTTATGTAAACAACACGAAAAACGTTTGTGTCTGGAGTAGATTTTACTTCAGTTTTTAATTTAGCAACAAAAACAGTAAAGCGGGGAGGGGGGACAGATTTTACCACTTGGTACACACACATCAAACGTAAGAAACAACACATCTCCTTTGTTCTTTCTTGGTACTGTAGTCTAGTGTCGTTTAGTATGTAGTGACTTGGCAACGTCTCTCAGTGGCAGATTTTGACATTCACGACTTTTTAATGATTCATGTGGGAATTTTTTTGATTCTTTTATCAAGCATAGTAAAACAATTCACGTCAGTACTTTTTTTGTTTTCGTATTGTGTATTGCGGTTACAAACCGCATAAGGAAAAATTCAAAAATAGTTTTTCTTCTTTTTGTTTAACCCTTTTTCGTTACCCCAATTTCAGACACTAATTGATTAACAACCAATTAAAGTTTGTGAATCGTACAAAACGGAATCAATTTTACGTATATGCCGATTGCTCACCAAATGCTTAGTGGGTAGTGCACTTACTTCGGATTAAATGTTGGGAGGGAGATATCCCGTAACAGACCATCAATGTGATTCGCCATGGTACACAGCACTTGCTGGTTGCCATTTTTTACCCCAACAGAGAGACAAGCTCCGGTTATGAGCTCTCTCTCTGTATTAACCCTGCCTTATTTTACAGATCGGCTGCGTATCATCGCTTGAGCACATCTTAGTAATTCTCCTCTCCTTATTTCTCCCCATGGGGATGATCATGTGCCCTCCTTGCTGCGTATGTATGTTTGTGAAAACTTTCAAAGATATGGATCACAATTGTGGCAAGCAGGGATTTTCCTCTTGCACACTTTTAGAGTAATTCTTCCATCCCTCTGTACATCCCTCCCCCTTTGAGCTTTGTAGTTACGCAGTAACAAAGGTGAAAATACACGCGGCATTTAAAGCCACGCGATGCAGTGAGAGACGAATTCATGTAACACATACGTCGAGAGAGTGAGAGTGTGTGCTCCGATGCTATATCTACAGTTGATCCGTAACTGTAGTAGAAAAGTGTCAAGAAAAAACCTCAACTATAGACTGGCATAGTTAGTCCGGGCAGAGCTCAACTCCAGCTCAGTTTTCGTTTTGTTCTCCAAGAACTGTACCACAAATCACATATCTGATCATCTTCACCCGAATACAAAGCATTTGGCTCTAACCGAAAGATCTTATTAAGACGTTGTTTGTTTTCGTAATTGCCCTTATGTCTCCTAGTCCCCGCAATCGACCGTATATTCAAAGAGTCTATTAATTATTGTTTTTTCTTTACTTTTCATTTTCGGAACAATCTCGAACACAAGAAAAAATTGTGTCTGCATAATTTTTCCGTACGGCACTTTTTTCAGAATACCAAAAGTACTTTGTGTGAGTTTTAAACGATCTTCAGCTGGTGGGGAAAAAACGAGGCTTTCATTTGTACAGCACGCACGCCTTTTACCACCAGTGAAACATGATGAGATCTAACAAATGACGACAGGAGGCAATTACGAGTCATTACATCATTACATTTCCGGAGAGTTGAACTCATACGTTTAACATGAGTTCGTTTATAGTTGAATCAAAAGTATCTTTATTAATTAAAAGTTGTTGACCGGAGAAATCTCTTTTCACTTGGCATTCGGAACGATCTTTTGAGTCAACACAAAAAGTATTTACTAAAACTGGGGGGGAAAGCTTTGAAGAGTGATACTTTTCTTTTTTTTTTGAGTTTCCCTCACGATACTTTTCTTACTAAGTCATTACTCATAATGCTTGAGTGACACTATATAGGATGGTTACAAATTGGTTACGAGAATGGCGTGTTCTCTCACACTCCCCACACACTCGCACTAGCTCCCTCTCCACAAACAATATCCCCACGTAAAGTATATGTACACTGAGTTAATTTGCCTTTGCAAACACTCTCATAAAAGTGCAGTACTCAATTTGAGGGATGCAAATTTGTTTATACGTTTGTTTCATCACTTACTTCCAATACGTTTCACCCAAGTATTCAGACGATATAGCTTCAGTTTGCGAATTTCGTCTCCTTTTTCTTCCCCACTTTTTTTCTGGTATCACGAAATCACTCGAAATGGATTGCTTTTGAAGTTTGTCAAAAGTAAGGATCTGAGATGTAGTCACAAGACGCGTAAGGTGCGAGATTCCAAGTAAAACTTTAATACATCTTGCATTACAAATCAATATTCGTTTGAAAAACTGATACAATACCTATACTATGTATCACCTGTGTGACAAATTCATGAATCTTCTTGGTATATCCCCTGCTGTCTGCGACTATTACTCAAATCAACCAAAGAAACAGTGGGAACTTTTCAAAGTCGTATAACTTGGTCAAAACAAATTGTTGAATTTTTCGGTGGCTGAAAACTTTAATAACAGTAATTTTTTTCAGCATTTTCTCTCTTCGTAAGAACCTATTCTTCCCACCCATACTTTGGAGCCTCTCAAAGTCCCCATGGTCTTAAAAATAAAGGATGGTTTACCGATTTGAAGAACGCTTGTTGTAAATACATGACTTACTGAGTGTGAACTAATTTTGTTGTATACTTAATTGCTTCAAACAAAATCTATATCATTCTTTGATTAACACAAGAAGTCTTCCTAAAACTGGCCCTTTATCGTAATTGCCGTGAGTTCCAATCACAGTGGTTATGAAAAGGGGCAAAAGCAATGGTGATTCTGTTTTTTTTTTGCTTCTTTTTGTAACGAAGACAGGAGAGGAAGTTCCCTTGAAGTCTGTCAACACGACAAAGTGTTTGTGAAGTGCATAATCTCATGGAATTTGGGTTTGGCGTCAGGGTCTTTTGTATCCCACCTCACAAATGCTCATGGTGTACTCACTGTATTGATTACCGACAAATTTTTTTACAAGTTTGAGTATTTCCCACCCTAACAATGGGAAATATCCTGGACAAGTGTTGAAGATGCAAAAAAGCATCCAAAATTATGCATTGATTGTTTCAACATATGTACTTTGGTATTTTCTTTCGTCATATCAATAAACCGTTCTCCTCAAACTTTGCTTTTTCGTTTGTGATGAGAGAAATGAAAGGTGAATCAGTGTCCAGTGGTTTTCATTTGAATCGAAATTCGAGAAAACTTGATGGATTAGTTACATCCGAGGTCGAGGACACTTTTCAGTTTATGATTAGTAAAAGATTTGTTACGAAAAGGTTCTATAACGAGTTAACATAAGAAATGTAGAGTTATTTTCAAACTTACTCTGAGAACGATGTCCCCCTTAACTCTGTAAATACGCCAGACAATCTTCCTTTTAAAATCTCAAACTATTCTTCACATTCTATAAAATTCTCCAAAACATACAAATCAAAACTGTTCCCAAAAGACTCCAAACTCGTAATAAGTAAAAAAAAAAAACAAAAAACACACCTACCCTCAAACTCACAAGTCCACCCCGTCTTATTTGCAATCACATTTGCAGCTCGCCCTTCCTTTCCAACCAATACTTCTTATTATCACTAATAATTTGACAAGTATAGTTCAAACTAGGATAAACTTGACTAATATTATTAAACAAATTTTCAGCAAATGTACCAATAAAGAACAATTGTCCCAGTGGGATGTTTGGTTTGTTTTGCAAGATTTCATTCAATTCAAATGGTAAATGTTCATACTCAATTTCATTTTCTAGTTCAAGAAACCATTCTGCTCCTTGAGCGTCATCTGTAAAGGATGCAATTGATGATGTGGAGATTGATGATCTTGTGGTTGTATCGGTATCGATATCCGCTTCGACATCGGCATCATCACCATCATCGTTGCCATCGTCATCATTGTGGGATGAGAATCCCGCTTGTTGCTGTTTGTTCAACAATTGATCAAGTTGATTAACTTCGTCAAACTCACGTTGCAACACTACTGCCCATTGTGATGAAACACGTAATGGTCTAGTGACGTTGGATATGTCGGCACATTTGATGAGTAAAGCAGATATCAACTTGATCTTATTGTCATTGCTCATTGGTTCATGTTGTGAACCAGCGCCATCATCATTAAAACCTTGTTTGGTACTAGCACTGAAATTCTTCAATTTCGACATGTATTCGAAATGCTCTCCCATATCGGTAGCCAAGATGGACGACACTATCAAGTCATGCAAATTCAACAATGAATCTTTTTCGATTTTAATTTGTAATAAACTGGGCCAGCATACATTGAGTACTTTATTAATGAAAATCGATGCATGATATGATTCCAATACTGAACGATCATTGTAAACTAATGATGTAGGTGTCCTGTTTTTGATCATAAATGCATTTGTAGTTCCCGGATGGCCAACATCATGGCCCAATGCCGCAACCAATAACCCCAAAGTTTGTATCAAATTCAAACTTGGTTTAGATATGTCCTTGACAGTAGATGCAGCTGAAACTTCTGAGCCAGTGGGTGAATCGGATCGATTGAAAGACGATGTCGAGCTCCTGCTTCCACCACCACCCACCGCCTCCAATAATATCTGGGTTAAATCAACCAGACTGAAAACTCGGTTAGTAGCAATCAACTCAACATCATTGGCACTCTTTGATAATGCCAAGTTCTCCACTTGGTAAGGATCAATAATAAATTGTTTAAACTGAGGTAAACAACCCAACCTGACAAGAAAATGAAAGCAAGCTTGCAACACATCAACAGCATGACGGAAATTATGGAAAGGATTGCCTGATCTATAAGTATCTCTAACAATGAAAATAATCGCCAACAATTCATTTCGATTGGGGAAATGCAAACCCTTGACAAAATTGCCATCTTGTTCATGTTGTTGTTGCAAAACTTGATGTAATGCATAATTAATCATTAAATAAGCACAATAAACTAAATCGTCGCTCGACAATTCATGAGCTGGGAAAGCCCAATTTCCCACTGTTGAACAAAGATATGATAAATGTTCCTCATTGTCAGTGTTTGACAACAAATTGAAAAAGTCAATTTCCTGCAACACCAATTGTTTCAATTTGATTAAATGTTGAGTTGCATGGTGAGATCTAGTAATGTTTTTGTACAATAGTTCAGCCATTGTCGGTATTCTGTGTTTTGTATCGAATGCATTTTGGACCATTGTTGTGCCTGACCAAATTCCAATACGAGATATTCTATGGTACAATTTATCGATAATGGAATTGAGCTGATGTTGTAACAAAGGGTAATCATCATGGTCATGCGGTATAATGACAATGTTTAAGTGACTAAAGAAGTAGTCGAGTAAAGTCACTCTATCTTTAAACAGAAGCAGTTCCAACAGTGTATGAGTGGTATGTTGGTGATGACGACTTTGATACAGCTGCAGTTGCGACTGCGACTGCGACTGCGACTGCGACTGCGACTGCGACTGCGACTGCGACTGCGACTGCGACTGCGACTGCGACTGCAGATGATACTGTTGGTGATGATGATGATGATGATGATGGTGCTTGTGATGATGGTGATGGTGCTTGTCCTCCTTCGAAGAAGGAAGTATGACCAATATAGGATGGTTTATATCTGCTTCTTGACTACCTTTCTTGAACAAGTACTCAATCAACGACTTGAAACTGGCAAAAAACTCATTGTGCTGTTGTTCATGTGTTCTGTGTTTTGATTTCACTTTGAAATTGGGAATATCCTTATACAACGATAGTATTTCAAGCATTGTGTGGTGTTGGTAGTGTTGACTTACGACTAGGGACTGTTTAGTACCGAGGCAAAGGTCAAGTCAAGAAAAATGTAGTATAGATATTCTCAAAAAGAGCTCAATATTTGACAGTTGAGTAGCAGCAAACTGGGTATGTGTGTGTGTGTGTGTGTGTGTGTGTGTGTGTGTGTGTGTGTGTTGTAGTAGAGTACTTTTGGTAGATTCGTGGTCCCAGGTAGTAGTAGAACGGGGAAGGTATTCTCCAACTTGATATAATATATATATATATATATATATATTTGTATGATTAATGAAATGGGATGGGATAAGTACTCTTTTTTTTTTTTCTATTTCTTTTCCTTTCTTATTCAGTGAGTTTTGGTCTTTAGGTCACGAGACTCTCTTCCTTTTGTTGTATCTTGCTCTTGTTCTAGTTCTTATTCTCTATAGGTGGATTGATTGATGAAAGATCTCTCTCTCTCTCTGTTTTACTCGCTCTTACTTTCTCTTCCCAAAACAAAAAACAAAGAGCAAAAAAGAAATTTTTTTAAAGGAAAACAAAATTAAGTTTCCGATTGAAGAATAAAAATTTCTTTTTTGTTTTTTGCTCTTTGTGTGTCTTTGTGTGTCTTTGTGTGTGTGTGTGTGATGTGCTACCAGTTGGTCTACCCGTTAACCACAACAACGTTTAAATACTTTATACAAACGTAGAGGTTAAAAATTGCAACCCTACTACTTAAACAGCCTAGCTAACTGTCTAGTGTTCATCAAAAGTATAAGCACACGTTCTTTTTCATAATCTATAAATAACTAGTTAACCAATGCATATCCCTAACTCTACACTCTCTCTCTCTCTCTCTCCTTCTCTCCCGTATTACCGTCTCACTACTCCCAAATATATCCCCACCAACACAACCAATCCAGCAAAAACCACATTCATTCTAACAATCCTCTTATTTCGCTTATTCTTATTATGTACATGAATCAGTCTATTAATTTCCTCCAACAAGTTCAATTTGTCATTTACTTCATTCTTCATCAATTGCTTTTGTTGCATAATCTTATCCTTGTAACGATTAGTTGTTGCTTCAAGATTGTTTAAATTTGCATCAATCTCATTCAACTTTGATAAATTCTCACCAATTATTGTGTTATTGTTATCGCGTGTTTGTGACAATTTGTTAATCAACTCTTGTCGTAAATTGTGCATGGTTTTATACAACATATCCAAATATTGAGATACAAGATCAAGTTGTATAATGGTTGCTTTAGCTGGATTGGTTTTGGCATAAATCATGGCTTTGGTTTTAATAATCACTTTCTCAGAAATGGTGGATAGAATCTTGATTAATTCCTCGTACTGATCGTCATCATTGTTATCATCGCCTACAACTTTGTGCTTGTTGTGTCGATGATGTCCATTGTGTTTTTGATTATGATGTTTGCGTTTCTCCAATTCTTCCAAAACATTATCAATATTGATCAAATAATTAACAAGCTTATCATCTTCAATAACGTGCCTGGTGTCATACTCGAATCTGAATCCACCATTATGCAATACATTATTTACCAAATCTTCACTTGCATGTGCAGGGAAAGCAACACCATTACCATTTATACTGTTATTGTTAGTGTTATTGTTGTTCAATACCAAGTCCGATTGCTTCTGCTGCTGTAGCGGCTGTGGCTGCTGCTCCTGCTGCTCCTGCGGCTGCGGCTGCTGTGGCTGTAGTTGCTGCTGTGGCTTTATCTTTGGCAGCTCATCTACGATTTGTTTCTCTCGATCTTTCAACTTCTCCTCTTGTTTCTCCAACCTCATTTGTTTTTCATCTAGATTTACTTCACGATCAAGCAATTGTTGTCTTTGTGCCTCCTTACTAACCTGCTCCATTGTTTCCTTGTCTTGGTTTAAATCATCAGGCAGTTTTTTCCAATCGCTACTACCACCACCACCACTACCGCCACCACGTGTAGCTCCTTTCACTGGTTTCAATGGAGTCAACGCACTCAAATTGACATGACTATTCAGCAATGACGAAGGTAATAAATCCTCATTAAAATACCTACTCCCATTCATTTCACTTCCAGGTGAAGGTGGCACTTTTTTAGACGAGCTCAAAAACTGATCAACTAATCGATTCTTTTGCTCCTTTCGTGAATGTTCCATCTTATGTGCATGCAAACTCTGCGTACTAACATTGGCACTGTACCCACTACCATTACCATTGGAATTGCCATTATTATTGCTTTTCAAGTCTCTAAACCAGGGACTATTCAATAACCCAGGAGTATCACCAACAACAGACTGCTTCAGTCGATCGGATTTCCCACTTGTTGTTGAATGTCCCTTCCATTTATTCCTGTCCAAATTAAAGTACCCGGTACTACCGCCACCATCATCACGAGAAAGTACTGGCGGTGTAATCCTATCTCTATCAAGCAACATACGTAGATTATCACTCGACTTAGAAAGTGTTGGCGGTGTTGTTATTGATGATGCTGACGACGATGTTGATTTACGTTTGTGGTGACTGTATCGTGGTGTTTTTATACTGCTATCCGATCGATTCTTATTACTCATGGGAAACCCTGTTGGCGATTTCTGCAGCTCTTGATTAAGTCGTTGTGTTGCATATTTTTGCAGGGGCGACGACGACGACTGAGTTTGTTGCCAAGAATTGTTGATAATGGGGTAATAGGACTTGATGCTTGAGGTGTCAATAACCGGAGCAGTCCCGTTACTGGAGTTTAGATCTTTAAACTTTGTTGATATTCGTCGGTCTTTACTTTGCTGCTCCGGTTGTGTTGGGGTCACAACATTTGTCGAACCATTATTAGTTTTGGTGGATTCATTGTCCTTGTGTTGGTCATTATTCGTACAGTTTTGCAGTTGAGAAGGTGTGGTACCATTTGATTGCAGTAGTCGTAGATTCGACTCTGGTTCTGTTTGAGATGATGTATTGATGTCTTCTTTGTTACTAGACATTGTGTGTGTGTGTGTGTGTGTGTGTGTGTTGCCCACGTTCTGATGTACTATTTTCAGTCTGCTCTGCTTGGACACATTTGTTACAGTGTGATAATTCGAATTGGTGTTAATGGCTGGCGTCCTCCCCTTTCACTATAGCCACTGAAATAATCTCTTTTAAGTGGTTGCTGTTTGTGTATATGTAAAGATCTAATTGTATCAAATACCTGTCAATCGAAATATCAATGTGTATGTCTCTGTCTTGTTACTAAAAATATTTCTTTACTCGTACTTGTTGGCACTTTGTGCAACAATCACCCAGAAACACGCATATAACGGATATATTCATATTTAGTATACAAAACATAGCACTTAGACACATACTCCTCTACTTACTCCTCCTCTTCTTCTTACTTTGCAGCTGATCCTCTTCCACCAGCACCTTGGGCAATCAACTTCAATGTTTCATCACTAATCTCAACATCAACCAACGCTTTCTCACCTTTGCCTTGTGGGTTTGGCAAGAATCCAATCTTGATCAAATAACTAATATAAACACCCATCTGATCAAGAGTCACACCTTTCCCAGCACTCAGATCTACACCAGTGTAAGCTTCATCTTTCTTCAATGAGGCTCTGGCATTAGTATCATCCAATTCTGGTGCTTTAGTGTCTTGTGGTAAATTATCTAAAACGAAATGCAACAATGGAAACAATGCACTTTCCTTCAGCTCATCTACAACAAACGTCTCCAATTTGCTAGTCCAAACGGGGTAATCTAATGGGCTGATGTCATATCCATACGATTTCAAACATCCCAAAAATTCATTAAATTGTATTCTTGGGTGGCCAGTTACTTGAGCAACGGTTAATGCAACATCACTAGGTGGGCTCAATGCAGTTGATGTAACTACTCTAGCAACATGATCCACAGGGACCATGTTCACGTTATTGGTAATATCAGGATAATAACCCAACTCAGTAGCTCCTTTCAACATTCGCAATAAAAAGTCATCGGTATTGGATGCACCGGTTTCAGTGAATCCAGTGACATAACCTGGTCGTATGATGCAACCACGTAATCCACGTTCCCCAGCACGACGGACAATGTACTCGGCAGCCCATTTGGATTGGCCGTACCCATTGCCTAACCCCTTAGCTGAACCTTCCAAATCATCGGATTCTGGAATACCATCTTTACCTTGTTTCAACAACTCATCGGATAAGTTTACAAAATAATCAGTATCAAGCGTTGATGTCGAAGACACAAATGCAAAATTTTTGGGCTTGCCGTCACCAGCCATGTTGAGGACATTGATTGTACCTATAACATTTGCATCACGTAATTGAGAATATGGGTAGACCCAATGAACAAATGCACCATTATGGATGATGACATCGATGGTGTTGGTCAATTGTTTCCACTCAACATCAGGCAAGCCAAAATGTTCCTTAGAGAGATCTCCAAGAACAACTTCAATTTGGTCCTTCCAAGAGTCTTGCCAGATACCGTAAGTGACTCCAGTTTGACGGATTCTCTCCAATCCTGCCTCCTTTGATGATGCTCTGACGTGAGCATAGACTTTAATATCAAGTGTTCCCCTTCTTGCTTCTAATAAATCGCGAATTATAAATGAACCCAAGAATCCAGTGGCACCGGTAAGAAAAACATTTATTGATTTTCCAGGCAACTCTTGCAACGAGTCATAGTTTGCATGCAAGGCAACAGATGACAAATTTTTGGCATCTTGAGCGTAATCAATAGCAACTTCTTTCTCGCTGTCATCCTTGTCTGCGTCTTCTTCAATTTTGTTTGCTCCGGCAAGTTCAAAATCCTTGTTCCCCTTGAGTACTTTTTCAACTTCTTTAGCAAATTGCTCAACTGTTGGGTTTTTGAAAATCACACCAAGTGGAATCTCCACATTTAACTTCTTTCTCAATTCAAAAATCATTCTCGTTCCCAAGATTGAATGACCTCCTAAATCAAAAAATGAATCGGATTTGCTGATACTCGATGGACGGTTAGGCAAAACTTCAAACCAAAGATTCTTAATTTGTTGTTCCAAATCAGACAATTCCTCTTGCGCAGTAGTTTCTATGTCCTTGGCAGATTGACTCAATCTGGACACGGCAACAAGTTGAGCGGTATCTGGGAATGGCAACTTGGGTTTATCTACTTTACCATTTGGATTCAATGGTAGTTTGACAAGGGGTACAATGATTGTTGGAATAGCATACGATGCTAGCTTCTTTTTCAAGTATGCTTTGATATCCCTAATCAACTCTCTATAAGCAACCAATCCTTTAACAATTGGATCTTTTGCCTCTTCGGCATCCTCGTCAAACTCAGATTTGTAACTAGACAATTCGGGTGAGTCCCTTGGTACAATATAGGAAATAAGTGTGGGCTCTTCATTTTTATCTCTTCTCACTAGCGTGACATTCTCTCTCACCAAAGGATGCTGTGACAAATGGGTATCAATTTCACCCAATTCAATTCTAAACCCTCTAATCTTGACCTGATCATCAGCTCTACCACAACACTCAACGTTCCCATCGGGCAAGTATCTTCCCAAATCACCAGATCTGTACATTCTATCTCTTGGGCCAAGCCACCCGGCACTTCTCCATGGCTCATTGGCACTATTGGCTTGATCTTTTTCAATCCATGTATTTGGATCAACATACCAGTTAGTGATGAATTTTGCTGCATTCAAATCGGGCAACCCACGATACCCTTCTGCCAATCCTGCAGCACGTACATAAATCTCTCCAACTTCACCAACACCACATGTTTGTGACCTGTCGTTTCTGTTCACCACCAAAAGCTGGACATTTTGCATACCAGTTCCAGCAGGCATAACATCCTTCAAATTTTTCAAGTAGTTGGGATTGGCTTTTCTACTCTCAATTTCAAAGTAAGAAACAGATCGTTGCGTTTCAGTGGTACCATACATGTTAACAATGTAGACATTCTCTGCCAATGTTTGCAACCTCAAACAGTCTCTTTTGGTCAAGATATCACCCACAAAGAATGCATGATGTAACGATGGGATTGCTGTTGTTGCCTCTGCGCTCAATAATTGTCCCATGGCTGGAGTCAAGTGTGTCACTGTTGCACCATACTCTGCCATCCATTCCGCCAATTTACCTGGGGTACCAATGTCATCAGCAGTAGGCACTAACAACTGTGCCCCTAAAAACAAAGGGGTAAACATATCTCTTTGAATTGGATCATGCGCAATACCGGATAACATTGTAAACTTGTCATTTTCAGACAATCCGAATCTTTTTGCCATCCAAGGAAAGTAGTAGGCTAATGAATAATGACGACCAAGGACACCTTTTGGAATACCTTCTGAACCCGAAGTGAAGGACAAGGTTGGATTTGAATCAGGACCAACAATAATTCCAGTTGGTTGATCCTTAAACTTGGTATACTCTTCAAGAACATCCTTTCCATTCAACTTGCCCCCAACCAAAGACCCGTCATCATTGATTTTCAATTGCGGGATGGAAGTAATAACGTCCAACTCATTGTCGATGTAGTCGGTAACCAACTTGTCCAAAGTCCCTGCTTTTTCCAATCCGATCAACCCTTTGGGCTTCGCAACAGAAAGGTAGATATTTTGTCTTGCTGGTGGGTATGCTGGGTCTATAACTGAAAATGTTGCTCCTGCTTTCAAAACTCCCATTACTGCAACCATCAAATCAACACCACGATAAGCATAAATCATAACGATATCTCCCTTTTTGATTCCAGTTTCTTTCAAATAATTACCCACTATGTTTGATGCTTGATTGATTTGTTTATAAGTAAAGTGTCTGGTTTTTGAGTTTGGATCCATAAAGGAAGCTGTTTCCACTACACAAGTCTTTTCAGGGTGCTTCTCAGCATTCGATTGAAAGATATCTTGGATCGCACCACGATATCCTGACCAGTCCAAGTCGATGGTAGGATCTGGCAAATTGGCTTTTTGAGATGGCGTTACTAAATTCACTTTAGTAATGACAACGCTGGGGTATCTCAAAACTTCAGCCACAAAATGGGAAAACTGTTCACGGAATATGTTGATTCTATCATGGGAATACAACAAGGCATTATAAAAAATGGTATAATCTGTTCCATTGGTGTATATGGCTAAGTCTCTAACCGACCCTTGTACAGTGGTATTCAACTGCTCATTAGGATTTGAGTGTTGGTACGATACTTTGAAAAGGCCAGGGTTGTCTTCCAACTTTTTGGCAATTCTAATATTTTCCGAAACCTCAGTCAATGTTTGGTAATCAATCTGCTTGACATTGTTTTCAAACTCTTTTCGTACCTTGTCTGCCAACTCACTAAACTTCAATTCTGGTGTCAAGTTCAACCTGATGATGAATTCACGAGATCCAGATGACTCATCGGTCGAAATGACTATGTCCTCATCACCAGTCAATCTGTAAACCAATGCAGCGAATACTGCTAATCCGGTGGTGAAATCAGAGACTTTATCAGCAATGGAGAAGCTCAAACTGCTTTCAACTGATTTGTTGTTTGCTGGTTTCAAATAGTCATGGGGGAGAACTGACAATGTTGGGTTGTCAAGGTATTTAACCCAAAAGTCGGACATGTTTAGTAGGGCTTGTTTAATGAGTAAAGTTGGTGTAGTAAGTACCCTTCTAGTTCTTTGAAGCGCTTACAGGGAAAAAAAGTGAAAAATTGCCAGAAATGGAACTGCATATAATTTATATAGACAGAGGGAATCGCCTTACAAATCTCTATGACTCAATAAAAATTTCAGGTAGCGTTTGTCTTTTATACAATGGATGCAAAATGTATTTTCGATAACGACGAAAGAATGAAAGCAACGACAACAGGTACATATACACCTTCAATTCATAAACAAAAACTGTAAATCATCTGGAGTCAATTTGCTAACAGCAGCCTCATCGTGGTTGATGGTAGCATTGATCATATTTGCCTTCTTTTCTTGCAACTCAATAATTTTCAGCTCAATACTGTCTTCAATACAGAATCGGGTAATCCTAATTGGCCTCTTTTGTCCAATTCTATGAACACGGTCCATAGATTGCCATTCAACACTAGGGTTCCACCAAGGATCCATCAAAAACACTTGTGAAGCTTCGCACAAGTTCAAGGCAACACCACCTGCTTTTAATGACACCAAAAACACCTCAACTTCAATATTGTCCATGAAATATTTGATTGTGTTGTCACGTTGTTGTGGCGACATAGACCCGGACAATTTCGCAGTTTGAAATCCTGCTCTCTTTAACCTCCACTCAATTAAATCCAACATTGAGGTAAATTGCGAAAACACAATGGACTTTATGGTGTGCTTGTCGGACCTGAGCTTGTATAACTCCTCGACAAGTGCTTCGATTTTGGTTGATGATCTCCATTCACCTCCATGGGAACCCTGTTTGATTCTGTTGACAATTGAAGCCTTTGTAAACAACTCTTCATCAACTTCAAGTGCTGGTTGCTCTAAATCAATTGACAATCCAATGTGACAAACAGGACATGTGAGTTTGCTGTTAATACCGTCGAACGATTCAATATACTCTTGAATACACATACGGCAAAATCTATGATGGCATTTTGACTCAATCGGCTCTTCGGCTTCGTCGTCGCATAGTTGACACATAATCACCCCATCAATATGGTCAGCAATCTGGTTTGTGCCATATCTCTTCAACACCAAGTCGGGGTGATCTGCCAATTGTCTCATTCTGGTGATCAATGTAAAAATATTGGCATAATTGTTCAACACCACACCCTCAGCGACATAGTCATTGAACTTTCTTTTGGAATCACTGTAAAGCGACGTGTAAAGATCTCGCTCTTCTTCGTTAAACCTGTCACGTCTAATTTCAACAATCCTAGGTGGCAATCCCAAATCGTCAGCCCTTTCGATTTTGGTTCTCCTCAACATCATATTGTCCAACAACAATCGCAAGTTCTTGAAACTGTCCATACCATCACCTTCTAATCCAAATTTTAAAATATTCTTCAACATAAAATGGTTAAAAAAGTTTGTGTGCATCATCCCAGGGTGTCCACAAAAGTCACAAGTTCTTCCGTTGGAGAACTTCCAGTCATTACTAGCACATTCACATTTAGTGCAAAAATACTTGTGGAATGGTTCTAGTTTCATATACCTGATCAAAGAGTATATTTCACCGATTCTGTTTTGTAAAGGTGTACCAGTTAAACACCATCTCTTTTTTGTTTTCAAGTAGTTTGCGGCCCTCGAAGTGTTTGATGTTCTATCTTTGATGTTGTGGGCTTCATCCAAAACAACTCTATAAAACTCCGTTTCATGCAACGCTGATTTTTCTTTAACGAGATTCCCTTTCCTACGAAACCCATATTGTTGTTTTCTAAAAGAAGACTCCAAAACTGAATACGAGGTAAGAATGACATCGTATCCCTCCAACTCACTAACCTTGTTCACTCTATTCCCGCCATGAAATAACAACACCTTCAACTTACCATCAGTATGTCTCTCAATTTCGTTCTTCCATTGCATTAAAGCAACAGTGGGACCAACAACCAAATTCGGCTTCTTGGTCGTGTCATGCATAAACAAACCTATTGTTTGTATTGTTTTACCCATACCCATCTCATCAGCCAAGATGCCTCCTTGAAATCTCCCTTCTTCTTGCTTTAAAAGCCAGTTCAACCCTTCCAATTGAAATGGCAACATCTTTATTGTCATACCAACAGGATGTTCAGCACGCTCTGGTTTGATGGGTTCATAGTTGGCCAAGTCTGTGAAGACAGTTCGCAACTCAGGGTGATTTGTGTAAAGGTTGTTTGTAGAACGTTCGTAATGCGATATTTTAGGTTTTGCTGCTTTTTTAGTCCTAGCCGGTGCCCTTTTCCTCCTTACTTGCTTTGGTTTGGGTGCGGGTTCTTCTCTCGCGGGTAGATTTGCCAAAGGCTCATCATCAGAAGAGATTTCTATGACAACTCTGTCGTTAGTTGCATGGGTGGATGATCCCAAATATTCAACATCGTCATCATCAGACGATGCCGTGTCTTTTTCATCCTCCAAACTTAAGGTGAACTCTTCGTCGTCATCAGAAGAAGACTCATCGGCTTGAGGTGACACCCTTTTCTTTTGGTTGCCATTGCGACGCGTTGGTGTGGTCCTACGCGTGGCAACACGCGATTTTGTAGGTGCTTCCACATTGGCATAGGTATCGGAATTCACCTCTTCATCACTTTCATCATCAGTTGGTGTTTCGGTATATGTGATGCTCCTGGCTGTTTGTCTTTTTGGTGTTTTTCTTCCGGTGGTTCTTCTTCTCTTGTTATCAGTGTCACCAACCACAAATCCACCACCAATATCACTAAGATCAGAAACTGGTTCCAGGTGATCGCCTTCATCATATGCGTTGTTTAGTGAACTCATACTTTGTAGTCTGTTTCAAAGTGTTTGCTTTGCTGAAGTTGCTAAAGGTTTTAAGATGAAATGAAAATGTCTGAAATTTTATGGCAAAATTAACTACAAATCTATTGCACAAAAGGGTTTGCAAAAATAAAATAGCTGTAGTCGTTCGTCATTTTGAAAAATAATTGCTTTGTGTGCAAATATGTCTCAAATATGCATCTCATTTAAAAGAGTATTGGAATAGACATTATTGGACCAGCTTGTCTCATAAAACAGTCACCATAAAACTTACAGTGTAATTCAACTGTTCTATTACCCTTTTGAGACCCGATACTACTCACAGTACTGCTGTGTCCATTTTTATACGTACAATTACACACACCTGTCTAAATGTTTCCTGCTGCTGCAGCTTTTTCAGTTCTCTCTGCATCAAAAAGGAAATCGATATACGACTTGTCAAACATGTGGACTCTAATAAAACCATCCTCTCCTCCACTGCTGTAACCAGTACCATCTGGGTGTACCGCGATTGTATTTAATGGACCGAAATGACCCTTGACACGACCAATCTCCTCCTCAAAGATCTTGTGATAAAATCTGGCTTCGAATTTACCTTGTGATTCGGCTGTGGTAGTAACATTTCTTGCTTCTTGACCTCCTCCCAAGATTACGAAATCTTTCAACGGCGTAATGGCTGCGGTATTCATTGGTGCATCGGCCTTGTAAACTTTTAATATTTCAAACGTGTCAACATCAATCAAAGTAGCGCATTTGTCCTTAGATGAAGTTATAAAATAGGATTTATCCTCTGGTGCAAATTGAATGTCAGTGACACTTACTATTTTTTCCTCATTGTGTATACCGTGTGCTTGAATCTTTTTAACCAACTCTCCTGTTTCAGCATCGTACTTGGATACAAAGCCATCATTGTGTCCAGCTATTATGTATTTACCGTCGCCAGACCATCCAGCAACAGTGGCCTTGGATCCATCCTCCTCTCTTTCAATAACCAAGGCTGGATTTTCATTTTGCTGAGTCAAGGTGCTTGGATCACGGTTTAGGTCATACACAGATATCGTCCCAACATGTCCCATTACTTGATCGGCAATTGCTAATAATTTCGATCCATCTGGTGAAAAGGCAACTCTTCTTACAGGTGAAGGACTGTTCCAAGTATAAACACATTCTCCAGTTTCAACCTTCCATAACTTTATAGCCAAATCACCACCACCGGTAGCACATAACTCAGTCTCTGGATCAACGTCGATTGACCAAATTACACCGTTATGTCCCTCCAAAGTTCCTAATCTTTCTCCATTTGATGAGTACCAGATTGATGCAGCATTATCTTTGGCCACAGAAAAAAGTAAATCACCTTCTCTGTTATACTTCACTTGCGTTAAAGAACGCTCGTGTCCCATTAACTTGATTGGTCTCATCGTAAACTATAGTCGTAATGGTGCTAGGGGGAAGGGGGGTACGTGATGCTTAAAAGTCTAACCTTTTTCAAAAGTGAAAAATTAGAAAAAAAAATTTCGCCAGAAACGATTTCGGTCGTGCAATACTGCCGAAGTTCATCAACTGTGATACAAGGATCTTTTTACAAGTGCATAAACATTGTGGAAAGAAGAAAGATGCGTTCGGTTGTGAAGGCTCTTCCGTAAACAATGAAGTTACCGGAACTCTAGCCACTGCACGGAAGTACGAGGGAGTGATATTGGCCACTGTAGTGTTACTAAATCATATATTCATACCATAAAAATACTTATTGCAATGTCAAAAAGGGGAATAGTTGGTCTCAACAAACGTCTTCAATGACTCTTTCCTTCCCGTCATGGTCGCCATAATCCAATTTCAATTTCCTGTTGAATAATTCCAACAACCAGTCAAAGCACAACTTTGTTACAGCAGGATCATATCTTCCTTTACTATTTTCATCTCTAACAAAAGCATGTTGAGCATCATTGATTTCAATAAAGGTCAATTGGACATTATTGCGTCTCAATTCACTTCTTATCAAATCTCTTCCCTCCAAAGGAACGTGATTATCCTTGTCGCCAAAAATCATCACCAACTCTCCTTTAATTTCACCACACCTTTTCAAAGAATCATCATTCTTGCCCTTGCCAAGTGCATGGATATGGATATCTGTGGCAAAGAAGCACACTGCTGCCTTCACACGTGGGTCCAATGCAGTTCTAAATGCCAAGTGACCTCCCAAACACATACCGGTTGCTCCAATGCTACCATTACATGTAGGTAAACTCAACAAATAATCAATGGTCAACTTGGCATCTTCATCGTACGAGCTCAATTCTTTTTCAATCTTGTACCTATTACCCTTGTCAGTACCTTCATCATCATAAGCCAAAGCTTCTGGACCTTCAAAGTTGTGGTAGACTGAAGGACAAGCAACAATAAATCCTTGACCGGCAATGTCTCTAGCGAATCTGGCAACTGGCGGTGTCACTTGATAAATCTCACTGTATACAACTACCCCAGGAAATTTCACTTTTGGATAGTTGGGAATCTTTGGATGAAACAAAAAGATTCTCATTGTAGTCCCATCACTGGTTTTGACGTCGGTAAATGAGTCTTCGATCAACATTGTGAGTTATTGAAAGGTCAATTGAATATGGGTCTTGCGATCTAAAAAAAAAAGGCGTAGACCGAGTGGTTGTTGAAAAATCGTCCCAAAAGTTGGAAAATGAGAAAAATGACAATGGCAAAGCGGGTTATTAAGGTTTTTTGGGTGATTAATATAAATAAGGAAATGAGTGTTAATTCATACTTTGATTTGCATGCACTATAACACATGTTGTAACTAAACATGCCGCCTTGGCCCGTACTCCCTTACCCAATCAAATAGTCTGCACAGTTTTTGTATTTCCGATGGGAAGGCCGAGTAAACAGACATTGCCCAAAACATTGCAGATACGGTCCTCTACTCAATACAGGGTATTCAACTCGTCACCCTTCTTTATAACACGATTTCCATCTATTATAAAGCTATTTACAAGCAGCGTCGTGGACCTCTCATTTCTTTTGCAACTTGGCCAACCTTTCAGCTTCTTTCTTAGCATCAGCTACATGGAAATAGTTAGTATTGATTTACGTTCTTCCTTTTCCAGTATACATACCAGCTGCCTGTTTTATTCTCATCCGCTCAGCGTCCGTCTCCATGCGTTTATTCTTATCGCCTTGTTTTTGACTTTTTTTGGCTTCTTCTTGTTTCTTGAGATTTTTAAGTCTCGCAAGCTCTCTTTGGTTACCTCTAGCCATGATGAAACGTGTGAAAGCAACTGAGTTTGGTGGATTGCTGAGTCCAAGTGGTCCTGTATTGCACTCGAAGTACGTCGTCGTGGTGGTGGTGGTCAATGTTTCGCCAAAATTTTGGCCACGTCGACATAGATAGCATGACTCAATTATATGCAGGATTTGACTACAAGAACTGTACTAAGTTTTACGTTCGATTAACTTTCTCTCTCTATACTTATTGTTCTTTCATTTCCGTTATGAGTGAACGGTCTTTTTTGGGATCATATGGAGTTAATAGAAACTTGGAGAATTTCTTCAAGTTGTCCACTCCTCTAATTTCAGTTCCAAGTAAGGGCATTTTTACCAAATGGTAATCTTCATACAACTCAGCCATTTGATCCAAGTACTTCTTTTGCATCTTCCATCTACTCACACACCTTTGGCAAGGGTGTTCATCATCGTCGGCGAATAACAATTGGTTGACAACGATTGAGTTGACATCCATCTTGTATGACATCAATTCTTGAATCATTCTTTCAGTTTCATACAATGACAAAAATTCGGAAATACAAACGCAGACAAATGTGGTCAAGTCTGGATTAGTGAATTGTTCATTCACTTCGGTCACATTCTTTTGAACCTCATTCAATTTTTCAAACATATCTTGTTGACCACCTGCTCCACCTCCCAACATACTCATCATTGGACCCAATTTCCCTGATAACTGCTGAAACTTTCCCAACAATTTCTGCAATGTAGATGGTAATTGCAAAAAACGTAATGTGTGCCCCGTTGGAGCAGTATCGAAAATGATGGTTCTATATGAAATTTTGTCCTTGCTGTCATTTTCATTGACTTTTTGGTTTTTGATATGTTTCAATACTTCCATGAATGACAATGCTTCATCAATACCAGGTATTGATCCTGTCATATCATTCATTATGCTTTTCAATGGATCGTTTGGATCGTTGTTGTATTGTTGTGCTTGTTGTTGTAAGTCGCTCATTGCAGCTTCTGGGTCTATTTCCATACATGACAAATTAGACAATCCTTCGACTCTTCTTGCCTCTTTGCCGAATTTCTGACAAAATGCATCGGATAAGTTATGGGCTGGATCAGTAGAAATTAAGAGAAACTCGGAATCTGGATGTTGCAATGCCAATTGGACGGCAATTGATGAAGAAGTGGTGGTTTTCCCTACACCACCTTTACCACCAACGAAAATCCATTTCAAGGTGTCTTGTTTTATCAAGGATTCTAAAGTAGGTTCTAATTCGAGATCCATTATGGTTGTTGAACTTTTGGTGGCGTATCAAGAAGCGGATTGTGAAATTTCTTTGATATTTTCATTTTTCAGTTGAAAAGAGACAGCGTGCACGTTTTTTTTTCTATGCACTTTAAAATCGGGAATTGCTTTAGTGCTACCAAATGAATTCAAGATTGTGATAATGTTTGACTTGATAGTTGGCACTTGGGTATTATGTGAAAAGCAATAAAAGCAAACGACTAAAGCTAAAATTACTCTATTACCCAATCAGATTTGTTGTTTGAGAGGCGAGGGGAGGAGGGGCGGTAATGTAAGTGCAAATTTGTAACGCACGAGTCTAGGAGCAGCGATTTGTTTTCAAAAATTAGGCACTGTTGAACTAGAGCAAAATGAACCAAGACTCTGATCGAAAAGACACTGAGGTAGGTCCCTTACTCATTGCATTGAACTGGACATCCATTTCCAATGGACCATGAACTAATGTAACTTCCAAATGATATAGCTACGTGTTCTCCATCAAAACAAATCCAATAATGCCACACTGACCATTCGCGACTCCATGTCAGCTGAACCTTGCCTCCGAATACCCGCCTTCCTTGCAAGGGGACCTTTCAACTGCTTGTCTAAACAACTGCTTGTCTGCTAATTCAGCTGCTCTGAATTTTAACAACATGGTAGCACTCTTTTTCTCTTCCTGCATATTCTCAACCAATCATTTTATTTCAGTACATAAGCGATTACCCCGGGAGAGAGATTTATACATACACACACAGAAAAAAAAAAAAAGAGTTCACACCATAATCACCCCCCACCTCCCCATTCTATTATTTATTCCTTCACATCATACTCATCACCATGTTGTCTCGCCTCGGAGCTGGCCAAACTAGTAGGTTATCAACCAGATTCATCAGACCCTCTTTAATCAGAGGTATAAAGACTATCCCACAACCACCAGGATTCGTTGTTGGTACCGTTAATGATGCATACGTGGGACCAAAACCACACAAGTTGGAAGGATCATATCACTGGACACTTGAAAGACTCGTGAGTGCAGGGTTAGTCCCTTTGGTCTTGGCACCAATGTTTACTGGAGCATCAACTTTTGTCGACTCAACTTTAAGTGCATTGTTGTTGTATCACTGTTATGCCGGTTTCCAATCCTGTATCATAGATTATATTCCAAAAAGAGTTTATGGATCTTATTTCAATTACGCCATGTATCTTTTAACATTCGGAACTGGTGTTGCTGGTTATGGTATTTACGAAATTGAAAAGAAAGAAGGGGGAATAAGCACAATCATTTCCAAATTATGGAAAGCTTGAGGAGGATCCATGAATTGAGGGGAAAAGGGAAACATGCTTATATGTATATTCATATCTAATTCAATAGACGATATAAGTAAACTCCGACAAGTAGTACAGATGTAGCTATAGCAAAGCTCAGTATTGTAGTTTTGTTTTCGCCAGACAATTTAATTAATGAAAGTTTTTCTTGATAATTTGTAGCTGGATCTTGCTCTTTATTTAACAGAGTCGAGCTGGATGATGCCAGTGATGAAATTTCCTCAACTTTTGGGAAGGGCTCAACATCATCAGGAACATGGTTGGTTGCAATAACTGATGATAGGGAAAGGTTTCCTGAATAGATGTCTATTGAAGAGCGACGACTATTGGTGGGGCTAATTTGGGCATCGCTCTCGTCAGGGTTTCCTTCGTGATCAGACAGAGGCGGTGTTAGCTCTATAGCGTCCTTGTGTGTAGTGCCATTTCTAGAATCTAATGATTTTGCACTATCTCTAACTGATGGTGTACGCGACAAGTCCATGATAAACCCATTAATGGCATCGGAAATTAGATCGTGTCCTGATTCGGGTAAGTGGTCCTCAGCAGTTGAATTTGAAGTGTCTTTGATTAATTTCACGTCGCTCGCTTGCTTTTCATCAAGGAGTAGCTGCAAGTTGTCACGCTCTTCTTTAAGTTTTGCAATAGTCACAGCAGCAGACGAAGATTCCAACTCTAATCCTTGCACATGATCCTCCAAAGTCAGCACCTTTTTCTTTAAAGCCGTCACCTCTTGCTCTTTTGAGCTCAAATCTTTGCCAATGACTTCCAATTTGGTTGAGTGATCTAATCTCACTTTAGCTAGTTTCTCCTCCAACTTACTTGTCTTTGCTCTCTCAAAATCTAGGTCGTCCTTCACTCCTTGTACTTTTACTTTGTATTGCTGTTCTAGATATGCTTCATTAAGCTCGTCCAAATTCTTTTGATAGTTCAACAAAAATGTTCGCAATGAGCTTAAAGCGGACGCCTGTTGTTTCACCTTGTTTAGGTTCAACATTAAACTATTGACCATGATCTCAAGAGCTCCTGTATTGGTAATTTGGCTGTTGTTGTATATGCCTGCATTTGTCGACGAATACAACCCAAGTAAATCATCTTCAAGTATAGGATTTATATCTCCAAAAAATGCGCTATCAAAACTATCAGAAGCATGTTGTTTACTTTTCATTCCGTCGTCGTTTATCTTGCGATATATCTCCTCCATAAATGATAAGTGTTTGAACTCTGGGGTATCAAGCTGTGACTTCTTTGCCAACTTGAGATCAGACTTGGTGTTGGCGATTACATTAATGTTGTCAATTCGAAGGCTGATTTGTTTGTGTGTAGATTCGGCTTGAACATTGAAACCAAGACAGACTATATCACCAATCTTGACCTCTGTTGGTTCATTCCCTAGTCTTGAATCATTTAAATATGTACCATTCGACGACCCTAGATCCTGAAGCATCAATTTCCCCGTAGTTGGATCTATGTATATTTGGGCATGATTACGGGATAAAACTCGAGAGTCAAAATACCCATTAGTGACGTCTGGCTTATGCTTTGTTCCTGTGGGTCGTCCAAGTTTGGTTGTTTCGGGAAATATAGCAACAGGAAGATGTTTCTCGACAAAAGTGTCATTCAAAGGTATTAGGGTTACATAGTATTGCATTTGAGCCCGTTTCCGAGGATGAGAACTAGCTGATGAATTGGAGTTTGATACTGATGAATAAGAATATGGGTTTGTTTCCAAATTATCTCGCTGCGTCTTTGCTTTCATTGGGTAGTTGACAACTTGGGATTTTGAGTCGGATCTTTTCCTTGAAATCGGGGCAGGTGGTGCTGTTTCCTTTGATGATGTTGATGAGGTGGTGTTGACATTGCTAACATCATTTGTTGCTTGAGGTGGCTTGATGTGGATAATGCCACCTTTTCGGTGTTCCAAAGTAGGGAATGGCAGGATTGTGTCCACATTGTATTTGTTAAAGTTTGACTCAGATGATACGTCACTAGACGAATTGGATCGATGGCTGATGCTAAGCGATTCGCCTAAATCTTTTGACGATTGTGTCATCATTGATGTAAAAAGGTTTGTGAAGATTGCAGTTGTGACTAATGTATGACAATAATACCAGCTTATTGTTTATTACTCAGATATAGCCTTTGATTAGTGTTTATGTTCATTAGTTTAGAAGTTGATAAAAATTAGTGAAACGATGGTGATTCGATCCCCTTGTTCGATTGATTCTTTCTCTCTCTCTCTCTCTCTCTCTGTTTTGCAAGAATGGGAAAACAGGGCAGTATATGTACAAGCTTTGCCCTATTTTTATCAATACTCTGGGAGTGCCTCTAGAAGTATACGTTATGGGAACTATCGTAAAAAGGAGATGTGGCGTGACTATGAAGTGTGTGATTTTAAAGTGTGTGTACTAAGAATGGGATTGATTTCCAATGTCGTTTGAGCTTGTATCAACCATCACATGAGAAAAAAACTCAACTCTCGCGTATAAAATTTCAAAACCCACAACAAAAAATAACCGTAAACAATTTTACTTCAAGGACGATAATGGCACAGCCTCCTTCGTATCACCCATATAACAATTTGCAGAACTGCAACAACTCAATCAAAGAGTCCATTGAACTACTACGAAACTCAAATCAAAAGTTGAAGGATGCTACCACTGATAGTGCACGCTTGAAACATATATTGTCAACAAAGAAGATATTTGGTTTGGTACCCGAGCTAGATTTGGATGATGCAAAACAGAGCTACTCTGAGACCATTACCCCACAAGTCAATAAAAGGTTTGTTAAACTCAAAGAGGAAACGAACAGGTTGGAATTGAGACTGAAGGAGTTGGCTCAAGAACTTAATTTGGCAAGGGAGAAGCTCAAAAGTTATCGCAGTGGACGCGAGGCATGGGAACTAAATGTAGAGGAGCTTCTGCAGGATTCAAGGTACGATAGACAAAAACTCAAGCGGTTGAAGGATTTGCAAAACATGAGATCAAGATTGCAATTTAATGTTAATTTGATGCAGACGTAAAAATCCTTATGAGTATCCAATAGAGACATTGCTTTTTTTGCTAGTCCTACAACAGGTGAGAATAGGGTCCCCATTTGCAATTGAAAGACGGTTCTGCTCTGCTATTGTCCTAGGGAGAGTTGGTGGGAAAAGGAAGAATAGAGCCATTCGACGAGACTCTTTTTTCAATTCTCATTGATGATGCAGATGATAAATGTTGTAATTTATATCTGAACAACATCAATATGTATAGTTAGTAATATAATTTAGTTTCAATCCGTTTCGGAGTTAGAGAGCACTCTCTTGTGTGATATTGTAACTCTTCTGTGTGTGAGGGAACACAACAAAAAAAATAAAAATAAAACAACGACGATCTCTATCACACACAGACACACCCCTTCTCAAAAAGACAACTGTATTCAACCCCTATTACCATCAACAATCATACTTGCCGATATCTTTGTTAGACGATGAAATCCACAATTATTGCATTAGTAGCTGGTCTCTCGTCAATGGTTGCTTCTAAAAACGTGTACAATTTACATGCTCTAGATGACGTCGACCAAGCCTCAAATGACAAGCGTGATGCAAAAAATGTCCCCAATCTAGAATTTTTGAAAGAGTTATCAGAAAATGGTAAAAGAGATGCTGAACCGAAGAATGTAATCAATTTACAAGACTTGAAAGTTGGCGTTGATGATGAGGATGAAGGTAAGGAGAAACGAGACGCTAAAAACACCCCCAACTTGATTGATTTGAGTAACAAGTTTTTACAAGAGGAGGGATCAGACAAGGTTTTAAACAAGAGAAAGAACACTTTTAGAATTTCAGATTTCATTCATGAGGAAAATCACGGCAAGAGAGATGCAAAAAATACATTTGATATTGCCAAATTTGCCAAAGCATCCAACGGGAAACGTGATGAACAAGAGATTCTCAACATTCCGAAAGAAGCAGACGCAAATGACAATTTCGTTTTCACCTTTAACTCTGCCGATTGCTACAACAACTTGTTGCAATCAATATTACCACAGTTAAAATCCGTGTCCATCTTTGCTGGATACATTAGAGACAACAAGGACCTCAATTCCAAAACAGAAGCTTTGGATTCAAACATGTTGATCATTAGCCCAACTGATGATGCGATTGAAAACAAACTTTCCAATTTGAAACCTTGGGAATTCCCCACACTGTTGGATGAAGCTACAACTGAACAAGACCAAGACAAAATCTTGCAAGACAATTTGCAAAACTATTTGGATGGACACATTGTCGTTGCTTTCCAGGATAAAATCAACATTGAAGATGGCGACCAAGGCAAGGAAAAGGTTGTCGTTACCAAATTGAACAATGGTGAACTTTTGGAAATTAAGCAAAATATGGTGAGTCAGACTTTTTCAGTTAGAGTTGCAGCAAAGCACAAAAAGTGGATCCCAGTTGTTACCGTGAGACAAGTGGAAAACGGATTCATTTTCGTGATAGATGATTCGTTGGTTAAGCCATAAAGGATGTTTCAAACATCGACGAATGGCGTGTTTTACGTTTTACTTTAGTTTATTTCTTGCTGGTATTTTCTTGTTTAGCTGGTGCTTTCTATTCTTTTACTTCATTGACTATTTCATATAGTTTCAAATTCGATTGTTTTATTTTTTGTACTGTACACATATCTCTATAACAAACCTACAGAGCTCCCCCCCCCTTTCTACTTCAAGATGGTTACACCGGTATCTTCCTTCAGTTCGTTACCAACTTTGTATTCAACTTTCCATTTGATTTTCAATTGCTTCTCTTGAGGATTTTCAACTACAAATTCCTGTGAAATACCTTCATTGGCGAATCCATTGATGAAATCAGCAGATTGTGGTTTCAAATCGAGCCTGCATGATTTCGGAACAGCTAGCATGAATTTGACTTGGCTGATTGTTTGCGATTGGACATTCGAGATCAAGGCCGTTCCTTTAAACGAAGAAGAAGATGCTTCTTGTACTCCAACAACTATTTTAAGGCTACTTGATGAACCACTAGATTGGTTAACATTAATTGTGTTGATATAGTTTGATTGCTTTTGCAAGTTTGATGGAGTGGTACTGGGGAAATCAAATCCAAACGGGTCCAAACCTTGAGCTGGTTTGTTAATATTGGTGTTTGATTGCAATTGTGGTGATGGGGAATTCAAATCACCCAACAAATCAAAGTTTGAGGAGCTCGATTGTGTTGTTGGTGTTGGCTGATGCAATTGGGTGGTGTTTCCTCCCAACGATATCGAGCCCCCAGCGCCATACAAATTCAACGGGTTAACTTTGTTGCCATTGGTGGATGCAGCACCAGCTGTGTTGTCGCCAAAAGTCAAGTTGGATAAATCACTCAACAAATCATTGTACCCTTGCTCCTTACTTGCATTCACGTCTTCAGGTTCATCATCGAAATCAATCAAGTTCAAATCAGCAGCAGCGACACCTGCTCCTCCCCCTCCTGAGATGTTGAGTTTACTAGCTTCCTCTACTTTACCACCCTTTAACAATTGGTACTTTTGTATCACTTTGTTGACATTATCATTCAATGTCAAGAGGTTATTGACCTCTTCATCGCCTTCCTCGCCTTCTTGGTCTATTATTTTACTAATTATAGGTTGTGAGCTTTTCACTGAGCTATAAAGCTCAAGCAATGCTTCATCAGAATCATCTCCAATTTTCCCGCCTGAACTTTCAATCGAATGCAACATTTCACCCAAAATTTCAACTTTTCTACCCAATCTAACTATATCATCCTTCAATTGTTTCTTATTCTCCTTCACATTATCGTCTTTGAAACCAGCCATAATTTTCATCAACTTATTGGCTTCTTGCAAGTCTTGTGGTCTTCCTCGTCTAATCAATTCTTGTAATTTTGCTGAATGCACCTCTGCTTCTTCCTTTTGAATATCCTCCAAGGATTTCAAATTATCACCTGGGTTCAACACAGCAATATCTTCCACCTTGACCTCAGGAAATACGTATCCCTTATTGGCCAACAACCTGTGCATATCCCTAATATAAGTGAAGTCTTCCTTGTATTTGGAGGTACGACAAATTGTTTGGTACCATTCCTCGATTTGAGCCAATATCAACCGTTGAACACGAGAGTATCTCAATGTGGGTCTCTCGGGGAACCTTTTTACCAACTCATTCAAAAACTCCTTTCTCGAAATTTGCAAGTGGAAAGGGTATCCACAATTTTTGACCAAATTATCCAACAACGCCAAGGCCAATTCCGAAGTTTGTGGATCCCGTTGGCTGATCAACTTGACGACAGCAATGGCTGCATCTCTAGGTGCTGACCCCTTTTTAGCATTGACATAATCACAAATCTCCAAATTGAGTGCTAAATTGGGTTCGTCGTTTGATGGTCTGCAAGCTCGGTAAATACGACGTAATAGTTTCGGGTTAATCTTATCAAGGGAATAGGATGACGACATTTCGAGGAGGCGACAAATTTGAATTGTTAAATAGAGAGCTGAGTGGTCAGTTTCAATAGCCAACTAGGTTGTTTGATCTTAAGATGTGCTGGTATAATTATTGATTCAATTGGGAAGTTGATTGAGTCGTTGTCTAGAGAGATCCTCTTGTGTTTGCTCAAATAGAAAAAAGGAAAACTTGTCCGACTTTTTTTGTCGTTTGTTTCGACATAAGTTTTGTGCAAGGAGGGAAAAGTGTCACTTTAACTAACTGAAGAGTGATAGCACCTGAAAACCTGACCCCAAGAGGTTCGCACCAATGCAGAATTTGGATGTAAATGACGGAGGGAGCGAGACTGTGCCCGATATGAGTAAGCCAAGCAAAGGAACTGCTACTGCTACTCCAACAGACCCTGGTCTTTCACCCCGAGTGCAATCACAAGACACTGATCCTTTGGAACTACACAAGTTGTCATTGAGTTATGATTACTTGATGTTCAAAATCAAGGACTATATCAGAACACTAACCGATCAAACATATGAATCTGTGGTTCAAAAACAAGATCGTATCAACCATGATTATTTTGACAAACAATTGAATCTACCCCAGCAGTATGAAGAGATTGACAAATTACTCAGAACCTGCAATGATCTAGAGCAAGAGTTTATGAAAATCGATCAACTCGAAATATTTGTACATGATTTCAAACAAAGGCTAGATGCAATAGAGAAGGAGTTTGGTAAAAAGTCGTGATTTTTTTGCAACTACATGTACAATATACTAAACTTTGGTGCAGCTACACCTTGTTCGCAGGATCATGTGCGGTACTACCAAAACCACCGCCATCGCCATCACCACCCACAGCAGCGTAAGTTCCTTTGTGTTGGTTATGTCCAATCTCATGATCGACCGATGTAGTTGCCGGCGCCGATCTCGCAGTCGTTGCTGTTGCTGCTGCTCCATTCCCATACTTTTTAATCAAATGCTTTTCCAACAACACGAAATTTCTCGAGTTACATTTATACAAGACATTGATGAAATCTCCGACAACCGGAATTAGCCCAATTCCAAAATCAAATGAAACGTTGGCCATCATTTGTGCTTCCAAGCTCTTGGGTAATCCACCCTCAATTTCACGAGCGAGCTTCACCAATTGCAAAGCGAAAAACAATGCAATAACATCGCCTATACCTGGGATCAATCCAATGATACCTGCCCAACCAAGACGTAATCCACATAAACTCAATTGCAAATCCAATCTATATGCACGTTTTTTGAACTTGTTTAATATCTTTAAATCATGTTGGGGAATAAAAGATGGCAACTTTCTTTTTCTTTTGGCGCCTTTTCTTTGATAAAAATGTAGTTCCTGTTCTGGGATTTCCTCGAAATATGGATCGTCTTGCTCTCCAAAAGTTACGAGATGATCAAGATTTGCCTTAGGGGAGTTAGGTTAGTAAATAGGAAAGGAGAACTCAATTAGTATAGTGAACGTGGACACTTACTTTTTGAAGAAAGTACTTGTAGAATAGTTGTGACATTGAATAGTAAAGAGGGTGATGAATATGGTGTTTAATGAAGTGGATTTCCAAGAGAGTGATATCTTTTTATTTATGCATTGCTACTGCCGTGTAAACAACTGAAATTTTGTGAAACAGTCGCAACTTTGAATTTTGTTTTTTGATAGTTGGCACATGACCCTTTACAGCGAATAGCTGCAAAGCTACTTAATTACAGAATCTACACAAGTAGCCTAACCTACGCAACCTAATTCAACTATAGACTACAACATGCTCCAGCAATGGATACCTCATCACTTCAACCCTTGTTGCTTCAACTCTTTTTCCTTCCTCTTCATTGCAAAAAACTCCTTTCTCATATTTCTCAAATCTGGAGGTGGTTGAATTCCCATTTCCTGTCTGAATTCATTGATATCCTTCTCCAAAATCTTTTCCCAATACACGTTAATCAAAGGCTTGGAAAACAAACCATTTTGCATTGCCCATGGATAATAAATTTCTCTCAATCTCTTTCGTTGGCTCGGTTTCAATCTCAATGGAGCAAATAATGCACCTAATCCACTCATTGGTATACCAATATTGAGAAACTCAAGAACCTTGACTGAAATCTCACCCTCGATAATGATTGGTAACCCAGTGATTGCATGGTAGAAATCGTGACATTCACGATACCGTTGGAAAATATAGGCAAGCTCTTCATTGTCGATGTATTTAACAGGTACTCTGGTGTCGGGACTAACACCTTCACGGTCTAGCCACACAATATACTGTTTCCCAATCGTGTTGTCAGGTAAGGAACGCAAATAATCCAAATCCAACGATGTTGAAGTAATGCGTGGCCGTTCACGAAGAATTTGTCTACCAGTCTTGTCACTCAACATTGTTCTTTGTAAGCTCTTCAAAACTGGTTCAATAGCAGTCGATTCTCCAAGAGCAACAATAAACTCATTTCTCTCTGGGTGGAAGAATGATCCAATTGAAGATCCGAGAAACATCAATGCTTTCTCAAAATTGTACAATGGCGTATGGCCAGGGTACTCTGGATCTGGACGTCGAAAAGCTGGTCGTTTCTCTGAATTGAATTTTTTGTTTGGGTCGTCATAATGTAATTGACCATTTTCCATTTTGGATGCAAGCACATTGTTTTTTGACCAAAGAACAGAGCCAAATAATGTGGTTGCTAAGGTGGTGAAAACAAAGGTTCGTCTTTGGGTGCGAGGTAAAGATGATAGTAGGGAAGACCCTCTGGAGACACGTGTGATCATTGCTTTGGGGGAAGAATAGAAAGTGGTGTGTGTTACAGAAAATGAGTGGAATGATTTGCTTTTGCAAGAAGTTTTTTTGTACGATCGAATGTTCCACCTGCAAAACCTAACTTATTATATATCATTATATATAGCATAAACTACCTGATCCAATAATCTAATACATAATAGCAAATTGACTTTGTTTGTTCGATCAAGCTCTTCATCCTTGGCGAATATAATCAAGACCCGCTTGATTTTGTTGCGTAGAAAATCCGGATGTTGCTGCTTCATGAGGGGGAGGTGGTTGAATAACTCAACGATATTGTCGACAACAGTGTCGAGTGAAATATGTTGGTCTTCATGGGCTACTTCCTTGTCTTCTGAGTAGAATAGCTTTATTCTCAATTGGTCGATAACTTTGCTTATGGTCTCTGTGGAAATGGTTTTACTCATATAGTGCATCAAAAAATTCAGAACAACATTATTGATACCATTCTTCAATCCCAATATGCTCAATATAATAGTCCTCATTGATAATGCTAGAGTATACACCAACGGCCAGGTTTGATCAACCCGGAATAGCGTACCGAGGAGTACAAACACTGAGCAGTTTATCACATCAAAGGGAGCATCGTATCCAGAACATGACTTCAATGCCAGAACCAACATAAACATCAGCTGGTATATGGTGCATGCCAAAGCCACGAATTGGGTTATTACCGATGGGCCAGAAACGGTAGCTTGTGCTTTGGAGATCTCCCGCTCCTTCACCATAGACAACAAACTTGTCACAACGTTGTTTAACGATCCTAGGATGAATTCCGATGAGGAGATCTTTTTTACAATTTGAGCCATCACCAAATCACCAAGTATCAAAATCAAAAGATCGCTAGTGATCTTTGAAGTGAATAATGCATCCTTAGCATTGTTTGTCATGGCTTTTTGTAAGATCTTCGTACCCATTACTCTCAAGTATAGAAGTTGCTGCTCCTCCTCTTGAGCATCAGACTTGTGATCGAAAATGATGTGTTGTTGAGAAAGGTAGTTGCCAAGCACATCTTTTGGATCCTTGGATGCATCATAAGCTAAACTGTTTTCTGTGTCTGCGAGATTGTAGTAGCCATCAACAACTTTATAAGAATAGTTCCCATTTTCATCATTTGCAAACTCCTTCAAATGGGTATTCAATATCAGAATCAAATCATCAGCCAAGTGCAATAGATCACAACTACTCAAGCACGTCACTCTCAGTGCCAAGTCTCTCACCAAAACAACTAAAACATCGTCATAAACAGCTCTTAAAAACTCCACATTGCTAGTGTTTAATTTGGTCAAGTACCACAGGTTGACAAATTTCACCATGATGGTTGATAAAAACAAATGAAGTGAAAAGTTGACATCAAGGTCCCCATCGACAATTTTCGGCAATCGGCTCTTTATCCTCTCGACCAAACTGGCATTGCGCAATGGGCGAAGACCAGGAGCGTAAATTGAGACAAGAAATTGCAACTCAATGCGGTTGTGTTTGGGTTCGTTATTGGTTGGTAATCCAGTTGTACGTAACTCGTTTCGAAGTATATCTTTCTTTGTAATGTACGAGGACGATTTCTTAGTCTCCTTTTCCAGATAGTAACGAGGTGTCTGCAAAAGCTTGATGGGCCCCAGCTCTATATTGGCATTGTGAGAAATGTTTGCTTTTGCAGGTGGTGTTTGAGTTTGTGATGAGATATTTCCATTTAGCAGCGTTGCTGACGACGGCAGAAAAAGAGTCCCATGGTCATGAGAGGTGACGTTTGTTGTAGTGGTTGATATTATCGCCGACACCGGTCGTGATCGGGGTTTTATCTTATCCTGATATCGATCCATTAATGATAGAGGGTTTTATTGTATGATGCGGGATCATAAGTTTCAAAAATAGTAAACAAACATTTACAACACTGTGATACAAGTAACGATTCCCCGCTACGCATTTTAATGAGTCGGTATTACCACACTATCAACAAGGCTAATCGTACGCTTCAGCATATCCATTTCCCTGGTATCTCGACATTCCAGCATGGTCTTGACATTCAGTCTGCATTAATGGAACAAAACCTTAACTACAAAAGGTTAGAGTCAAAGATACGACGTATAGAGAAACTGAATTCAACGTTGTCCTTCAATAAGCAGGCGCTTCTGTACAAATTACACCAACTTCAGCCGCCTGCCACTGTACTCACATTCCAATTTGAAAATGTGTACGCGTCAGGCTTGAAACTGAAGAAGCAAATTAGTCAGCAAGATATTGAAAATTTTACTCGTTTCGGGTGCAAGTTTTACCAACTAGAGCGTGGTGGTCAAGTTACATGGCATGGTAAAGGACAGCTTGTGGCGTATGTTGTGGTTGATTTAAAATCATTTGTCAAACTTTCTGCCAAATGTTTTGTAAATAGAGTGTTGCTCCAATCAGTGGTTAATGTGCTTGCGAAATTTGGAGTACAGGGTAAGATACTGGATGAAAACCCTGGAATTTGGGTGATGAATAACCATGGTGAAGAAGAACGAGAGGACAAAATTGCCAGTGTTGGAGTTCGAGTACGTCATGGTGTTACTGAGTTTGGTATTGCTCTAAACATTGACCCTAATTTGAAATTCTTGAATACGTTTGAAATGTGTGGATTAAAGCTGAAACAAGCCACTTCGTTAAGGAGGGAGTTGCAAAAGAGTAGTGGACAGAAGGAGGATACACTTCCCAGTATTGATGAAGCGGCAACTTTATTTGCTAAAGAAGTGGCCAAGGCGTTAGAGATGGAGAACATAGACAAAATAGTATTATAGATGTACACCCTTCCATTCAGGAAAATAGTTCCAACAATTGTACTCTTTTTATTAGGCTACGCAAATTCAGCTTTTCTAAAGACTGAACAAATATATATATATTAAAAAACAAACATTAGAAGAATATCACCAAATAATCTATTCAAGACTGATATCTTTCTCTCTATCATCAATCTCTCTCCTCTTAGAACAATGCGGCACCAACACCAACGAAAATAGAAACAACGGTGGCAAACAATCCAATTTTGGAGGATGAAGAAGCACCATTAGATTTACTTGAAGAGTCGGATGATGATGAGTCTGAGTCTGAGTTTGAAGATGAAGAAGAGTCTGATCCAGATCCACTTGAGTCAGATGAATCGGATGAATCGGATGATTGACTCTTTTTCGATGATGATGAAGATGTAGTTTGTTGATCTTGACATTGGAACTTGTCACCTTTAACATCACCTTTGGTGTTCAATTTGTTAAAAGCAGAACATGACAAGTCACCATCAATCTTCAAGATGAAACCACCAGCAACCTTAGTCAATGAGTCAAAAGTACCATTGTCAAATGAACCATTGATGTTGACGGTACCACCAATCTGAGTAACTTCTGAAAAGGCATCCAATGATTTCAAGTTGTCATTGTCAGAAATTTGCAAAGCACCACCAATAGTTGTCAATTTAGGGAATTCCAATTCTTCCAAATCTTCATTCTTGTTAATGGCAATGGCATTACCAACTGATTTCAATTGAGCCAATTCAAGTTTTTCAAGGGAAGATGAAGTGACAGTGATTGAACCGTTGGCAACAGTCAAGTTTGGTGCATTAAATGAGTTAACTTGTTGCAAAACAATGTTTTTAGCTGAAGTCAATTCATCCAAGTTGACATCAACCTTGTCAGCATTGTATGAAATATCAAGAGTGTCAGTGACTTCCTTCAAACCTGAATCAATAGAATCAATATCGCCATTGTTGTTGACATTGAAAACTTTCAATCTGTAAACATTGATACCAGTCAAGTGGTTCAATCCAGTATCGGAAACAATAATGGATTCGGCAGAAGTCAAACCAGCAGCTAAACCAGTTGATTCCAAAGCTGGCAAAGCAGTCAATTCCAAAGTACCAACAGTAGTCAATTGAGCCAAGTTCAAGTTGGACAAAACAGTACAAGCATTGATTTCCAAATCACCAGAAACCAATTGCAAAGTTGGTGCATTGATGGTTTGAGCCTTGGTGACGTTTCTAATGGCCAAGTCACCGTATAATTGTTGCAACCCAGTCAATTCAACTGAGCCAAAGGCGTCACCATTGATGACAATGTTACCAGCAGCAGTTTCACATGCAGCAACTTGAGAAACTTGTGATGAAGCAGTAGCTGTGAAGTCTGAGAAGGAACAGTCCTTATTTATCAGCGGAGTGGCTGTAGTTAAAGTAGAGTCTAAAGAATGGTGTTAGTATATGGTGTCATATAATGAGTTGTGGCCACCTCGACGTGTAAGGGAAAAGCTGGTTTCGTATTATCTATGGGTCGACAAGAATAAGAATCAAATTCTGAGCCAAGCTCTTTCTGCGAATTAATGCACGGCCAAGTGACGAAATTCAGGACGAGCTGATAATCCAGCCACTACTTTTGGTCTTGCTTTGAACCAAACACATTATTGAACTTTGATTCGATGATCTCCTAGGTTATTCGACGAAAACCCCCTTGACAAGAAAATACGTCAACACGCACCAAATAATAATAAAGATAACCACAACAACAACAACAAAAAAAAAAAAAACACAAGTTTGGTTTTTAAGATGTTGGATACATACTGTTGGCAGCAGAAGCTAATCCAGCAATAGCTGATACAGCTAACAAGTTCTTCAATTGCATGATCTTTGAACAAAGTATATTTGAATTGAAATGTGGTTGAAAGGGAAGAAGAAAAAAAAAAAGCGAACGGAATGGGAAATATAGGTTGTGATAAAAATCAGAAAAGAAAAGAAGAAAGGAAGGACAGAAAAAGGGTTTTTAATTTTTGTTGAAAATATTTTAAAAGCTTAATGTTGAAATTTTGAGATTTGTGAAAGAGAGAGGCAAAGGAGGAGGAAAATGTCGCATATCTGTTTAAACTGCCTATGCTTTTATCCGTTTTGTTATAAACTAAAACATGTTATAGTGTTATTAAAAAACTACTTGATTTAGTTGTACAAACACATATATACTCTCATGTTTTTGTGTTTGCATATGTTTTTTTTTTTTGTTTATTTTTCATTTTGCTTCAATTGGAGAAAGGTATCTCTGTTCTCCCAAACAAACAAGCAAAAGACATAAACAAAATAAGAGAAAAGCAATTAGAGTAACCGTGTCTTTTGCTTGTTTATCTAGAGGTATCCTCATTTTTCAAATTTCTCAACTACATTCCGTCGCATTCTCCTCGAGAGAGCTCAAATCAAAAAAAAAATTTCAGCGTCAAAATCTATGTCTCGCCTTCTTTCTTATCGTTTTGTGTTCAGATCGGATGTAAAAATATTATAACAGGGAAACGACATTCTGAAAGGAGAGCGTTACACAAAGCTTAACTTTTGATGAGAGACATTTTTGTTTATCCAGTCAATTACGCCGGGTTTAAAATGAGAGACATTTTTTTGGCGCCTCGGATTAATTCATATATAATGACCCACATGGTCGCTGCTGTGAGTAAGGAGGGGGGTCTCTACCAAGAAAATCCCAAAGCTACCTCTAGTTGTCAATCTATACATACAATAAATTGAGACACACTAGTACATCGAGAAACAAAGGTGTTTTGCTAAAAACGAGGGAGAAGTTAAAAGGCGACAAATCAAAAATGTCTCTTCCCTCGTCCCTCCTCGTCGCTTTTTCTATTTTAACATAGCCTCATCGATATTTTTGACTGTTTTGCCAATTTTTTGTGTCTTGAAAACTTTTTTGAATTCATAAACAACAAAACAAATGAACAATGCATACACATATACACACCACCCGTAGTAAACAACACAAGCAATAATAGTGTGCATACAACTCTGTGAATTGCTCTTGCTGGCCATACACAAAGCGTTGTAATCCCACCACAAAAATTTTGCCTGTGCATTAAGTTTAGCTTATTGCTACATATGTATTGTGTATTGTGTGAATCTGCAAAAGTATCACTCTACGAACAAACGTATGAGGGTAGATAAAAGGAACCATGCGCCGAGTCAGTTTGCTTGCGTCTGCTATTACCTCTCTTGTTCTCTTCGAGGTTTTTACATAATGGGCTGTTTTTATTTGTTTACCATTTTTTTTTTTGGCCCTTTGTTTTTGTTGTTGATTCGCCTTGGTGCATATGAAATTCTCGCTAGCCTTAGGTAAAACATCTTTACAACTAGCTATTTATTATGGCTGCATTCATTGCTGAAAGCAACATGCTTGTTATCCCTCCCCTCTTGCTGCACCAACTAAAAAGAGTCACCAGCAGGTCATTGATATATCACTAAGTGTGATCCGTAGTTTGTAGATCGATCAAAAAAACTTTGTTGACATTGTCTGTTATTTAATTTACTCGATTTAGTAATTCAACACAAACTCAAGGCAAAATGTCGTCAAAATTCTTGTTTTTTTTGGCGTGTGTAACCATTTTGACACAAAAGGTGTCGACAATAAAATATACCACCACTGAGAAGAAAAATCCTCCAATGTTTTGCTGTAACAAACATTATGTTGTACAAATGAGAGAGAGGCGGCTAATTTGTAACTTTGGTACAAACATTGAGCGATCGCCAGGAACAATTTGAGGCAAATGCCGTTGTAATCCGACCCAGAAATGTAGAAAGCTACACTACTTTGCGCCATCTTTGTCAATTGCAAAAATGTCTCTACAAGTTTACAATCAATCAAGCTGTTGCCATTGATGCTGGCTAAGGATCAACGAGAAATTGATCATTCAATAGCAATCTAGCGATCCCGGCTTTTCCGTTTGTTGATCCCCACGTGTCTGGGATCCTGATCTCTTTGTATTGAAGTCTTAATCCTCTGTTGACGTATGTTTGTTCCTACAGCCAGCCATCTCTTTTTGTTTTTACTTTTTTTAGTTCATGCAATAGAAAATTTAATTCAACAATGCAAAAGCTTATAATTCAGATACGAGACAGTAGCCAAGACCTTTCTTGTAACTAAAAATAGACTATAGAAAGCAAAGCAATAATAGTGTTGTTGCTGCTGCTGCTGCTGCATTAAACTAAAGCAAGAACCAAATCATTTGCGCCCCCCTGAAAATACAAAAAAGAAAAATATGGAGAAAAATGATAGAAGCATTATTTCAAGCATAATCTTGTGACATCAAATACATGGAACAACCTCTACACTTTTGAACATCTACTGCCGCGCCCTCTAACAATAATCTGGCATCACAATGTGACATTCCATGATGTGAAACCAACCAATTAAACTAGGGCTTTAGACGACTTATATACACAACCACAATAGATCGATCTTCTACGGTGTTTGTCCACAATGACACTTTTCCAGGCAGAAGGGAGGATAAACTTACATTTATTCAAAGCTGTATTATAAAAACAATCGTCTTCTCTAACATCCATTATCTTTTCTGTTGCATAGCCTCCCTTTTTCGAAACAATGCATGCTAAAACAATTCTATATTTCGATTCGAATGCAAGGAAAAAAAAAAAAAAACGTCGTCAAAAACAAGAAATAATACTACGATCCATCCATTCATATCCACAAACGACTTGGTGTTCCTGATCTCAATAATGATTCATGCCTTTGTTTGTCACCCACCATCCCCAGCATGCCATTCCGGAAGAAGAATTGGGCAGGGAAACTGGATTGTCTTTTACTTTCGGTCAATTGAAATTCAGCTTTCGTGAATGTCACAAGTACATTTTGTGTAAAATACTCCAAAAGTTGACATCGTTTTCTGAATTTAAGTTTTGACGTGTTTTCGGATATACACCATCTGTAAAACCGAATTGCGTGTAAGCGGATTGCCACCTCTCGTGTAGAGGGGAAAAAGGGGAGGGGAGTTGCAACGTTATGAGCTCTCACTCTCTTACTCGTCATCACTCCTATCTCTCAACCCCACTCTCCTCAACTGTATAATACATTTTGTAGAATCAAAAGTATATAGTGCCCCTTCTTTCTTATCGTAATCATTGTATCGAAATCACAGGCTAACGCTACGGGGTTTCCCCCTATTTCCCTTGCTTTTATTTTCCAAAATTTTTTGCAACAGAAGCAGGTTAAATAATTGTTGGTTCATTTTTTTCGCAGCCACGAAGCATCTACCCCCAAATAAAGTTTTCGCCCATACATAAAACTCATACAAACCATACTCTATTAATTTCTTTAAAACTACCCTATCTATATTCAAAAATACAAATTATGATCATTGGAATTCAATTGTTGTTCAATCATTTCCGTCCAAGGTGCAACAAAGTCTAATCCAATAGTTTGATTATTCATAAACCAATCCATAACTTCTGAATCACCAATGCCCATAATACTATTACTGTTGTTGTTGCTACCAATATTGTGATTGCTGTTTGGGGCTGCACCTGGGCTGTTGCCATTTTCTTCTTCACGAACGTTTTCTCCTCCCCCTTCTCCTCTTACTGAAGAGCTCACCCCACCAGAGTTGGTGTCTAAATGAGCAGTATCTGAAGAGGAACTTGATGAATGAGTTGCTCCTGATTGAGGAAGCGCGTCGGATGGTATTTCACTTGTAGCTGTAGCCCTAGCCGACGCTGTTGTTGGTGTTGTTGCTGAGTTTAGTAACATTGGACTGGTTGGTTTGCCAGTTACTCCAACTGCAATAGGTGCAGATGTAGGCACATTTGTTGGCTGTTTGAAATACGGGCCATATGGAAATGCATCCAGCTCTTCATATGGTTGATGTTGTGGAGTCAATTGTTCAACTGATGAAGAAGATGCCGCTCCTACTGCTACACCCTGAGAAAGGTGCAATTTAGCATTGTAGCTAGACGTGGTAGTTGGTTGTCCTTCTCGATCATGACCACGAAAAGTGGTACTATAATGATACCCACCACTACCACCACCCATGTGCTCATTATCGTCCTGCTCTTGCTCATTCTTTTTATTCTTCATTTCGGAATACAAGTACATCAAAATATTGGAGTACCGCGTACACAAATGCAATTCATCGGGCGAACAATCCCTCAATGTCAAAGCAGCTCGATGAATCAGTGAAGAAATATCATCAATACTAATCAAACTGAATGACAACACCGTCGGATCATACGTATCCCTAGTGGTTGCAAATGCAGCTGCTGCTGCAGCTGTACTACTACCACTACTAATGTTGTGATTCCTTTGTGCCGTTATTGTCAAGTAACATTTAACGATAAATGCTACAGCACGAACTAATCTCGTTAACCACCGCACAGGCATAAATCGCAACATTTTAAATTTGTGGATACGATGAGCAGCATTCAACATTTCATTGGCGGCATTAAATGCTTGTTCAATAAACCTCGCTGATCGAGATAATTCATCCAATTTTAATGAAACGCGGTTTTTCTTACCCATCATTGTCCTTGGTGATGGACTCAATGCCAATGAGTATATATAAAGTTTAACATAATTAAATTCGAAAATAAATGATTCCTGTTTGATCGATTCATTGATTTCTTGACATGTCTTCGATTTGGGTTTGGTCCATTGATGTTGGAAATTAGATACATGTTTGGCCAATTTACCACTTGTTGGAACAAGAAATTGTTTGTATTTACGACTCCAATTGTTGATCAAGGGACTGATTATATTCAACACTGCCAAATTCTGACGTTGTGATAATTGACCCAATTGAGCCTTGTATCCATAAAAGGATTCATGGCCCAATGACATGATCTGAAGTAATTCAATTTGTGCCTTTTGCGCTTTGGTGAATTTAAAAGTATGTTCGCTAGCAGCACGTTTAAGTTCTTCCTCGCTCATCTTCATGATATTGACATCATCATCGACATCTTCACCATATTCGGTGTCTTCTTCACTGATTTCATCTTCATCCAAATCAATCTCTGATAACGAATGTGCAAGCATCGAACGACGAGAAATATCCATCACCGAGTTGATTTCAGCAATATGCGTCGCAATTAGCGTCTTTGAGCTCATTTCCATAAACCCCATGTCTTGGGCTAAACGAACCGCACTTCCAATCAACATCCACGCCATACGATGGCTTCTTCTCATGGCACCCAAACCAGCAAGATTTTGACCACCAACAGCTGAATTCCCATCAGCCCCATCAACACTGGAAGACTTCGCACCAGCAACCCCGGCAAAGGCGGTTCCAATACCATCGCTTCGCGTATTCAACCCACTCCCCACAATTCCACTCTCACTTTCAATACCACCTTCTTCTGCCTTATTGGCATAATCCGACCATCTCCAATGAATAGCACGTGGATTCCACTCAGTGAAAAGTAAAAATGCAAAGATGGTTCCAATTGATCGCGTACTTGCCTCAGCCCAAACTGTTTGTGAAATTAATCGCTGCACATAAAGCCACAATCGATCATGAACTTCGATATTTCTTGGTACATTTCCATTTTGTAAGCTACTGGCATTATTCTCAAATGGATGGTACCGCGATGAAATAGTCAAAATGGCGCAGAGGAGTATAGGATACCCCGACAACACTTTCAGCGAGTGGAGGAATTTAGGAATATGCGGGAAATATGGATGCATGGTTGAAAAAAACAAGTTGATCAAACGCTCCGCTTCATCTTCAGTGAGAATACCATGTGGAGCCGGACCAATGTACTCAATGCTCGATGGTTTTTTGGATGCTTTTGGGCGTACTGCATAGCCACTCTCAGCAGCTGGCATTGTCATTCGCTTATTCCTAGTTGGATTCATATACGGGTAGATTTGGGCCTTGTTGTTATCGATTGAATCGTGACGGCTCGAAGAGGGTTGGTACTCTTGTTGCTGATTGGGTTGCTGGGTCGACAAGGAGTCATGACGGCTCACTGAGTGCGAGATTTGGACACTATTATCGATGCTGGCACGATGGCTTGTTGAGAATTGTGATTGTGAATTCTGTGTCTGCATATAAGGGGAAATTGGGTTTTCTGGGTGTAATTGTGGCAGGGTATTGTTATCATCAATACTGGCTCTATGACTGTTGTGACCAGTCATGGCTTCAATTTGATCGTATTTGGCCCTTGCATCAATATTATCTCTCTCGTCAGCCTTGGCAATTGTTCCTGCAGCACTAGCCAAGAATACTAACGCGCCTTCCATTGTGGCAAAATGGTTACTTTGCTGCCCTGTCTTTTGTCCTTTATTTTCACTCGCGTCGTCTCCTGAGGCGGATGTCGCTGTTGTACCATGTTGAGCAGATTCGTAAGCGCTGGGGCTCCTGTGGTGGGTACTCCCTTCACGCAAGATACTATTGATACCCGGTAAAGACTGTGGTGAAGATCCATGAAGATTTGTTGAATTAGTTGTCTCATTGTTGAAATCCAATTCATTATTCCCACGAGAAACAGATGACGATGCAGCATCAGGAGACTGGCTTGTCTCGTACTCTCCCATATGATTTAATTTTTGTCTTTTACGTCTCCCACTCAACACATTAGTAGCCCCACCACGTTTGCTCTCCACAAAGACACAATCCTTCCGCTCACGTAAACATCGAGCACACTTACCGTCATGAGGATTGTCAACAGGACCCAAATCACATTTGACTTTACGCACGCGGCAATTGAGACAAGCACGGTAATTTCTCTTGTATTTATGTTCTTGCGACGGTGGTAATTGATTTAGCTGCTGCTGTTGTTGTTGTTGTTGTTGCTGTGCTAAAGATGTTTGCATATTGTATGTTTGATTCGTGCCGTGGCTAGAATCACGTTGATGTCCCATGTAATTGTTATCACTGTGCATGATTTATGTGGCTGGAGAATGCTAAAGCGTTGCCTTCGTAAAACAAGCTTGTAAATAGGTGCTCCAAGAATAAATTGTTTCTCTGTAATCCCCTAAAGGTGTTAGACCTACCCTGATACTCGGAGGTGGGAGGGGGATTCAAAGGAAAAAAAAATATTTTGTGTAAAGTTTTTACATCTCCACCTATAACCGGCACAGAGAAGGCAGTTTGATTAGCCTATCTACCCACCACAGCAAGCCACAGTACACTCATTTTGGCAGCCTCTACGGTCACCTTGACAACCTAATACAGTCGCTTTAACATAAATTAGAAATAAACAACTTCAAACAAAACTAAATAAGCCAATTAGTGAACAGCACAACACACACCACTAACCTCAACGCTTGTTAATTTGCAATTTCTTAACCTGTTCTTCCAAACTCTTCAATTTTGATTGCATTTCCTCCAAGTCTTGGTTCAACCTGTTTCTCTCATTGATGATATTGGTCTCCCATTGCCTAAATCTTTGTTCTTCAGCCTTGACCTGCTCAGTAAAGAATTTCTTTAATGCATCCTCTTCTTCTTTAAACTTTGGATTGTACACCCTTCTTGGTTTCTTGATTGAGGGTTTCTTGATGACTTCGCCCTTTTCATTGATCAATTCTTCAGTTGATCCGTCTTCACCGCCACCATTCAATCCATTATTTTCTCCTTCGTCGCCACCCAATTTAATTGCACGGAAGGTTTCATAGTGTAGCTCATTTGTCGACAAAATCAAATCCAACATATTTGTTCTCAACAATAAACTCCTTAACTTCTTGAAATCACAATGTTGATCATTTTCAATTTCAACTACACCCCAGGGGTATTTTCTACCTCTTGCGAATTGACCAGGGGCAATTTCAACATCCTCTTCCGAACCAATAATGGAGAATGGCATCGCTTCAATCAACTGTTTGGCATGCTCCGCACTAGCAGGGTCGTCTAATTCCAAAGGAGGTGTGTAGATGTTTATATCCTGAACCTCAATGATTTCTCTTATTCTATTCTTGAAAGTATCCATTTCTTGAGGTGATAATGTGTCAGCTTTGGCAATGACTGGGATTAAGTTAACTCTAGTGGACAATCGCTTCATGACTTCAATATCCAATGGTTTCAACAGATGGCCAGTTGGTCTAATAAAGTAAAGACAAGCATGTACTCGCAAGTCCTTTTTAGCGAGTCTTGAAGGTTGTTGTTCTTGCCTCATGAATGATTCGTGTTGATCGTCAATAAAATCGATAATAGGGACCCACGAATCATTGTTATTTACATTGTTTCCAAACCCTGGTGTATCAATTATATTCAATCTAATTTTAAAGTTTTTCTCCTCTAAAATTGCTCTAACTATATCAATCTCCACGGTTTGATGTGATGAAGTGAATTTGTTGTGTCTATTGCGAGGATCTTGGTGTGGTTTCAATGAAGTTTGGAATAAGGTGTTGATAAATGTGGTTTTCCCTAAACCACTTTCACCCGCCACCATGATGGTGAATGTTGCCCCATCTTTGGAAACAATCTTGTACCTGTAAGGAAGTTAGTATCTAGTGGTTCATTCGGGGTGGCGAATCTGACATTCTTCACTCGTCAATCACGTTTAAACAATTTTATTGGTTGTAAAACTTTTACTTTCCAAATCAAAATAAATAGAATAGTGTCCGACCTGCGGGTAAATGAAGAAAAAAAAAAAGACATACCTTTGATTTGGCAAATTGGCAACTCCTACTGGTTCTGGCATATTGCGAGGGTCAATGTGGGTGGGTGGGTAAACAGGTGAGTAGTGTGTATTTGAATTGGTTTAGACCCTTTCTTGTTGTTTTTTCCAAATGGTTTTGATCTGTGAACACACTGTTAGAATTTTTTTTCTTCTGTGTTGTTGTGTGTTGTGTGTTGTTGTTGTGCTTTTTTTTTGGTGTTACACGCATTCTCAATCATAACAAATATTGAATTTAGAAGTCGTGTGTGGGGGATCAATTATGACGCGTAAAAGCCATGATAGAAGATCTTTTTCTTTCCACAGGTGTCAACATCTCTCTACAAAAGATTAGCTTGTACGACACAACTAATGACCAATCGTAGAGGTCGAGCACCATCTGACTTTCACCACTTACCAACAATTCTACACTCTACAACTTTCTCTCTTATCTTAATCAAAAATTTAATTCACACAGATACAATAACTATAAAATTTACATTAACTCTATTCTTGATCGGGTTTAGCCTCTGAAGATGCGGGAGCTTGTTGACTTGATTGTTGCTGTTGTTGTTGTTGTTGTTGTTGTTGTTCTTCAGTTTGCGGAGCTTCAGACAAATCAGTCCATAAAGTCAAGTTATCCCTCAACAATTGCATAATCAAAGTTGAATCCTTGTATGAATCTTCAGACAATGTTTCCAAATCGGCGACAGCATCATCAAAGGCTTGTTTGGCCAAATGGCAAGCTCTGTCAGGAGAGTTCAAAATCTCATAATAGAATACAGAAAAGTTCAAAGCCAATCCTAATCTAATTGGGTGTGTTGGTGGCAATTCAGTAACAGCAACATCAGATGCAGCCTTGTAAGCTTCCAATGACAAATCAGCAGCTTCCTTACGTTTATCAGCTACAGCAAATTCAGCCAAGTATCTGTGATAATCACCCTTCATCTTGTAGTAAAATACTTTTGATTCTCCACTTTGAGCTGATGAAATCAAATGGTTATCCAAAACAGAAAGAATGTCTTCACATATCTTTGACAATTCAGCTTCAATCTTGGCACGATAATCTCTAATCAAAGCAACTTGATTTTCATTACCTTTAGATTCTTCCTTTTGTTCAATTGAAGAAACAATTCTCCATGAAGCACGACGAGCTCCAATAACATTCTTGTAGGCAACTGACAACAAATTACGCTCTTCAACTGATAATTCTTGGCCAGAAGAAGCAACAGCCTTCATATTCTCAACCATTTCTTCATATCTTTCAGCTTGTTCAGCCAATTTGGCAAGGTAAACGGAATCTTCACGTGAAACAGTCATTTTTGATTACAGGGGGGGTATTGTAGAATCGACAGGGGGTGTGTGTTTGTGAATTGCTTGTAATATCAAAAAACAAAAAACCGGAAACTATGAAATAATGTTAGTAAAGTTGTCAAACTAAGTTGAAATGAAATGTGGATTGATTGATTGATTGAGTGAAGAGATCCTTGTGAGTGTATGTGTTCAATCCTTTCCAGCAAACAAATGTTGTGCGATTAACATACAATTGATAATCAACGTGCGTTTGGCGAGTTAACTGGTGAAACAAAAAATCAACTTCTTAGATGATTGATATATTCCAGTGTGTTGGTTGGATGTGGTGGTAATAGGTAAGTGTGTGTTGACCGTCTGTCGCTCTTAGGTGAGTGAGTCGACAATTTTTTTGCTGGAAAGGAAAAATTGAAAGAAAAAAAGGTCGTGTCTTTGTAGTAAAATGGCGAAAAATTAAAGCTTGACAAAACACACATAAACTGTAAACAACACAAGACTTTGTAGGCAGTGTGTAACATTAGAACACACACCATCTGGTTTGAAGATGTGCAAAGTATGTGTTTATATGTAAAAGATGATATTAACTCTTTGTAAATGAACTGATAGGTCTTAGAAATGGCCCACCCGTCAACCCAATTTCGTAAATCTCATGAACGTTTTTGCTAGATTTGTCGACAAAAGGGGGCGATAAAAACAAAACTCCCGTCCAATCAGTTGCGGACGATTGTGCAACGTAACGCAACACACAAATAAATCTCTCCGTATCAATCAATCACTTCATAAATTTAATTGACGTTGATATGTCTGAATTGTACATACCTTTGAGTAACAGTTAAATTTAGTTAAAGCTATGTCTTTCTTTTTGATTTTGATGTAACACTTAAAACTGAATTGTAAAAGAAAAAAACAACAATTTGTCTTTCTAGCAATTTTGTTGTTGTTTTATTTTTTGAACTATAAGACACACTCTCACTCTATCTATATGCACAACAGCCTCTTTTTTTTTTATGTCACACTCACTACAGATACGTCAACCGGATTAACCATCTACAATGACAAAGAACTTTACGAAACAAAAGACACAGGAGAGTCCGAACTGCCTCCCACCGAATATTAACCCTATTGCACTAGAGATTTACTGCTACTACACAAATTCTAATCCATTTGCATTGACTCAACTCCCAAACTGTTTTGAATCAATTTGTAAGGATTTACATCCTTAACTTTGATACCAAAACGACTATCTTTAGTCAATTGTACTAAATGTGTAATCACTGTATTCAACTCAGTTGACAACTTGTACTGAGAGTGTATCCAATTTACTCTGGCAGTCGATTCTCCTCCATTCAATCTCAACACTTCTTGAGTCTGATTATTGATCAACACAGTGGTGGCTTCTCTAACATTAGATATATTGTGACCTTTTTTCAACAAAGATTTCAACTTGATTGACGATATGTTCAACTGAGGTAAAGGAATCTCCATACCTGGTAATACTGGCTTAGCAGCATCAATACCATGCTTACCTGTTGGATTTGTAGTTAGCAAAATCTCCTTTAATGGGACGAATTTGGTGATTTGAATAGGTTTACTTTGTACAAGGTGACGATTACTCAACTCAGCTGCACCCAATCTAAATGTCTTTAAATCTTCTCGTAATTGATCAATTTGTAATCTAATCTCGTCTTCATTTGCATCAACTTTGATGGGGAATGCTTTACTAGCAAAATCCAATTTGAATGGGTATACGGAGAACGATTTGTCAATCTCACCCAAAAGCTTTCTTGATGTTTTCAATTTCAATTGATGAACAATGGCAAAATCACGTATAAATATTGATGCTTTAGAAGTAAAATCCTGTTTATTATTTTTGCCAGTGAAATGGTCAATTTCTTCAGTAGTAACAATTCCCAATTCCTCCGAGTTGACTCCACATAGACGTATATCGACTTGATAAACTTCTCCTGGAACAACAACAAATTCATCAGTTGGTATAGCACTAGAGTTAGCCGTTGCGATTGGTTTTGTCGTATCCTGAGTAATCAAATCTGTAGATTGTGTTGATGGCAAACTTTGCTCCAAGAGACTGGCTTCTTGATGAGATTCATCCCAAACAACACCTTTGAAATCACGTTCAGCAACTATCCCCTCGGCTTGACCAGCTAAAAACCTTCTAATTCTCCTCACTTTGGAACCAGGAACAACAATACAATTGAAACAAGCAGCAACAGCATCAACAAGTTGACGTATTTGAGTACCAGTGATGGTATTGCCACTATTTTTGAGCTGGTTAGGAAGTTTCTCGGGTGACAATGAAGCCCCAAGCAATGCGACAACAGCCTCGGTCGCAATGTGAGTGGCACAAATGGCATCGGCGTTATTTCCCAACAATGGCCCATTTGGTTTCAATTCTGCATTTGTTGGGTAAATGACCAAAGTATGGGTCAAATTGGAGGTATAACCATCAATCTGGACACCCAAACTAACAGTTACAACATCTCCCTCATTTAAATATAACCCTCTTTCGTCATCGATTTCAGGTGCAAATCCAATCAATAATTCATTTACATTGATGGTTGTTGGTGATGCAAGACCCTTTTCATCAACTTTCTTCACATACTGCTGAGATAACAACTCAGTCAAAAATGAATCGGTCAATAAACATAGCTGTTGGATTGTCAATTTGGCAGTTGTGCCCAAATGATATGAATTGTTGATTAACGATGTAAGATAAGTCAATCCTGTTTGAGTAATTTGACCTGCAACTCTATATTTTTCCACTACATCCTCATTAAGGATATTCTTTTGCTTGAGCAAGATATCAGCATCTTCTTGATGTACTGCGACTTGCATGATAATGTTGTGTTTATAGTCGATGCGGTTTGTAATGCTGTTAAGGAAAGGTTTTTACAAAAGAACTGAAGAGAGAAACGATCTCATCTCACTAATTTTTCAAAGAAGAGTGTGAGAGAAACTTGTGAAAACACAAAAACCAAAAACACTTTTTGCAGCTACAAAATACACACCACTCTATGGAGATTTTCGATTTTTCTGAGAAAGAATGGACCCGGCTAGGTGCTATGATACGAGTATAGAGTACTCTACTTTAAGTGGTTTTAGTAATTCAATTTTTTCTGGTTTCTTGTCTGTACCGAATTTTGGGTAGATTTTTTGCCAATTTCTGTGCAACTTGGTGGTGGAATTGATGTTCATCGTTTTTAAAAACACCTACCAGAAACACATAGACCCAGAGATGTTAGATTCACGACATATGCCTCCAATTTTTGCAAAGAGAGCTTGCTCACGAAAGTGTGAACATTGAGATCGAAATGCGTAGGGCGTCGGCTAAATTGGCATGTCTATGTAGGAGATTTTTGAAAACAAAAATAAAGCAACTGCACAAATAAGATGCGCCTACTAGCTCCGCCTCTTGGGCCAGACGAAAGCATTCCTAGAAGGGCATCGACTGGTAATCAAAAATTTCTTGTTACGAATGATGCCATGGTGAGTGTTAACATCACTTGCAAATATTAGCAAAATGATTTTACGTGGAAAATTGACCAAAAATTAAATATGCGACATCGATTGGTCACCACACACACACAGCAATTGTTGCGAAACCAGTGGCGAAATACCTTCATACAAAGTGAGTAAACTTTGCACGATATTGACTTGTTCAAGTTGACTACAAAACACTCACGTAATACATCTAGCTAACCACCGATTTTGTAAAGACCTTTTTACAAACCACACAATGTCATCCTGGGATCAAACAACTTTTTCATTATCACCCAGATCCAAAGGGTGCTATTTGGTAACCAACGAAGTATACGACAAAGTACCACAAATTAAAGACTATGAAGTTGGGATATTGAACTTGTTTTTACAGCACACCTCAGCTGGTCTTACCCTCAATGAGAATTGTGATCCAGATGTCAGAACCGATATGAATACAGCTTTGGATAGGATTGCTCCCGAAGGTAATCATTATATCCATGCTGATGAAGGTGCTGATGATATGCCCGGTCACATCAAGAGTTCTACTATTGGAGTTAGTTTGAGCATTCCCATCACAAATGGGAAATTAAACACTGGTACTTGGCAAGGTATATGGTTATGTGAATTCAGAACCTACAAACATTCCAGAAGAATTGTAGCCACTATCAATGGAAAGAAAAAGTGAAGCTATTTCTAGAATATTGCCATTGGTGGGCAAATGTTTCGTTTAGTGTACCAGAATGAATAGATTATTTATTATTATACTTTTCAATGGAGTAGCATCGTAACACATCATCAATCCCTCTCTCTAATTCCAGCTGTTTTGATCTAAGTTGATCCAATAACTTTTCTGTGTCGTCAAAAGACAAATTCCACCAACCATTATGTCGATAACACTTCTTCTTGTCTCTGATGCAAACTTGATTTCGAAACCAGTCTGGGTCATCATCTTTCGAATTCACATCATCATGACATCCTCCTTCTTCTTCTTCTTCTTCTTCGCTCTCGTCATCATCATCCATTCTTCTTTTCACTTTTGTTGAAATCTGTTCCAACAACTGTTCCGAGTTGGCAATTTCTTTAACCAAATGGTGCTCTCCCTTATCACATAGACACAATTCCACACGCTTCTTTTGTTTTCCTTTCTTAGACTTGGCTTTGGTTTGCTTGTCGTCTACGGTATCGGGGAACACCAGCGTTGACAACTTCTCATTGATTATTTTAACATTTTCCTTCACTTCCTGGAGCTTCTCTTGCTCATTTAATTGCATTTTCATCCTCTCCTTGACGCCTTCTATTTTCTTTTGCAAGGACTCAATCTGTTTTTGTACATCAAGTGGGAATTGGTCAATCTTGGTGGCATCTTGTCGGAAAGTTCTCACCTCTTCGAGCTCAGGAAATTCTGACCCCAAGGAATGGAGTTTATCCACGTCGCCATCTACATGTGTCAACACCGTTTTTACAACACCATGCCCAAGCACGTTATTTTCAAGCAATAACTGCTGCATATACTGTTTCCCATGTTCAGAACTGCAGTATTTCGAATTTTCCATAATAGGTTCATAGCAGTCGTCTAATCGACATTTACGTTTCCACAAGGTGACACCTTCCCCTTTCCATGTGCAAAATTTGCAATAAAACTTGGCAATCAAATTGGAGAGTTCGGGTCTGATGTTCATACATTCAGCATGAAACCATTCTTCGCATCCATCACAAGCAACCATCAACTCTCCTTCATCGGGTTTTCGACACACACAGTATAGTTCCTCGCTATTGAGGTCATACTTTGGGGCATTTGTGAATTTCTTGTACTGTTTGGCAATGTCTTCACTCGACTCTTCTATGTCCTTCATCTCGGTCTTTACCATCGCATGTTTCTGCCTCTTGGATCCAAAAGACAGTTGCGATGACTTTTTTCTCTTCACATGATGGTGACCATTTGGCTCATTGTGTGTATGTAGCTCTACTTCACTCATTTTCTCTATAAGGAGTTGGATATTTGTTTTCACAAGTAAATTTTGAGAAAAACGCGTCTCTTCTTATCAGTACCAAACGATGGAAGAAGTATGTCCCATTTGCTCTAAACCTATACCAAAATTGCTACTAGAGCGACACGTCAACAGTTGCTTGGATACCCAAGAGGTGAAGCCTGGTGCTGACAAATTGAGTGCCTCTATTGACTTGAAAGTGAAGAAACGCGATGCTTTTAGCGCCCTCGGATTGAAGGCGTCTACAGATGTGCCAGTATCTAAGAAGAAGAAACCAACTCAAGAGGTGAGAAGTACCCCAGCACAAGGACCGAGCTGTGTGGAAGGCTCTACGCCGAAACAACCTACTGAAAATTACGTAGAGAACAATCACCTGTCTCAACCACAAATTCCCCAGAATGATGTTTCGAAAGAAATTGCGGAGCTAAAAAGACAAGTTGGAGTCCCACTAGCACATATGATACGACCAAAGGCGTTGAATGATTTTATTGGGCAGGAAAAGTTGTTAGGCGAAGGTGCACCATTAAGAAATATAATCAAGTCTGATTTAATCCCGTCTTTCCTACTATGGGGACCACCAGGATGCGGTAAAACCACTTTAGGAAGAATTATAGCAAAATCAACAAGCTGTAAATTTGTTGAGCTTTCCGGTGCTAGCAGTGGAGCAAAGGATTTGAAGCAAGTATTTACACAAGCCGAAAATCACAAGAAGCTAACACAACAACGCACTATTCTTTTCATAGATGAAATTCATCGATACAATAAAGCAGTACAAGATCTACTTCTTCCAGTGGTGGAAAAAGGTGTTTGTACGGTAATTGGGGCTACAACTGAGAATCCATCTTTTTCTCTCAACAATGCATTATTGTCAAGAATGCAAACTTTTGTTATGGAAGCATTCAGCAACGAAGCTATTGTGAGAATCTTGAACAGGGCTCTTTTTGAAGTCAACAGAGCACGCAAACTACTATATGATTTGCCGTACATGACTCTCGAGAAGGATTCTTTTGAGTATATTGCCGGGTTATGTATGGGAGACTCACGTGCCGCTTTGAATGTTCTTGAAACTGTAAATGCATACTTGTCCGCTGATAGGTTTGAGGAAAAGTCAGATGATGGTGCTGCAGTGAATGTCACTGTTGATGATCTCAAAAAAATACTAAAGTCTAGAAACTTTCACCAGATGTACGACAAGGACGGTGATGCGCATTACGATATCATTAGCGCGTTCCATAAATCTATTCGAGGGTCAGATGCCGATGCTGCTATGTTCTACTTGGTCAAAATGTTGTCTGGTGGGGAGGATCCTTTGTTTATTTTGAGAAGAATGACAGTCATAGCTAGTGAGGACATTGGCCTCCGAGATAGCTCATGCCTTCCATTCATTGTTGCCGCCAAGCAAGCTTTTGAGTTTGTGGGGATGCCAGAGGGTGAGATCATATTGGCACACTGCACAACAAAGCTTGCTCGAGCGCCCAAATCTACAAAATCTTATCGTGCATTGAGATCTGCTCAAAAGTTGATTAGCGAAAGACCAGATGTGCTTCAATTACCTGTTCCCATCCACTTGAGGAATGCACCGACTCGCTTGATGAAGGATATGGGCTTCGGGGATGCATACAAGTATAATCCCAATTATGAAAATGGTGTTGTTCAACAGTCTTATTTTCCCGATGGCATGGATCGCGTTACCTTCCTCGAAGATACACATCTAGGCACTGCTAGGGATCCAGATGTCCCCAATGAGAGATATCAACAGGAACAAGCTGCAGTAGATGATTACAACGATTATAAGCAGTATGTAGAGGAAAAAGCCCGACGCAAACGAGAATTGGAGAAAAGTGAGGATTTAAAGACAACAATGGCGTGCTCACAAAGCAACAGTGACACTGAGTGTGATGAAGCAAGTGATTACTCGGACGATCCGGATTGTAATAACAATTTTGGAAAGTCTTATGATGAATTTTTGGATAGGGACTCGCAACCGGATTATTTTAGTGATGAGCTTAAATCTCTACCTTGATAGAAATAGAAACAATTAAAGTTCTCGCCACAAAGTAATGTCTACCCCCCTCTTTTTCTCCATACTTTGAGAAAGCAATTGCATCATGTGTGGCAGGTTTGCTCAAAGAATAGTATGTCAGCTGCTTTTTTAACCTTCCAAAGACATTGGCTAACATCATTAGAACCCGAATAGCATTCCAAGTGAATTTTATGAAACGGTTTTTGGCGAGGAGACTAGTGACATCAATGAGCCATCTACTGGAGTTTACGAAACTGACGTACATGAAGCCAACGACAAAGTGGAAAAAGTTCAACTAGATTTGACAAGGGTTTCGCAATGGACACCTTCATGCAATATTGCACCAACCGATACGGCTTTAATGGTTTATATGACGGAACCCACTAAGGACATCACGCAGAATTACGTTATTGAACCGCTGAAGTTTGGGTTAGTTCCTTCATGGGCCAAGCCAGTTGATTCAACACCAGTCAACAAGGGGAAACAAAATGAAGGGGAAAAGTTTTCACGTGAATTGGGCAAGCACGAGAGTAAATATTTCAATTGTAGGAGAGAGTCTCTTGCACAACACCGCGCCGTTTGGTCGTCCTGCAAAAAACACAGATGTGTAATACCCATCCAGGGATATTTTGAGTGGCTCAAAACAAAAAATGCAAAAGTTCCTTATTTTATTCACTCAAAGACTACACCATTGATATTCCTAGCCGGGCTTTACTCCCACAATTACAATTATAAAGAAAACTTCAATGTCAACAACGAATATTTATCGTCATTTACCGTGATTACAGCGCCAGCTGAAAAATCGGACAAGTATGACTTGTCTTGGTTGCACACGAGAAAGACTTTGATTATCGAGCCTGGTTCCAAAGCTTGGTTCCGATGGCTTGATCCGACGACGGACTGGGATGATTCATTGATCGAAGAGGTTTTGAATTCAAAGACAAATGAAGCGTATGCTAACATAGAGGGATATCAAGTTTCTAACGACGTTGGAAATCCAAGTAATAAGAGTGAAGATGTCCTTAAAAAAGTAAACGGGAAAAAAAACACCTCTGTGTCAGACTTTTTCAAGAAGGAGTTGGGGGTTAAGAAGGAGCAAAAAGGCTCACAACCAGAAGGTGTTCATATAGCAAGCAACATCAAAAGAGAGCCAACAAAAACGGCCAAAGAACCAGAGATAAAGATTGAAAACGATGCAGCTCCCTCAAAAAGGACAAAACAGGGCAGAGACGATAACCCCAAGAAAGTCAAAACTGAAGCAAGATAGGCGTTTATACAATATAGTGTGTTGTAAGTAAGCGACAAATTAAAGAAAAAGTCAAGAAAAAAATCCTGAAAATTTTATGTTCACTTTGCAAAAACATCAACCAATGAAGCAGCTTCGCAACTGTCCCATCCTTCGCGGTGTTAGGTCATATTCCTCCTCACAGGTCACCAAACCGGAACTCTTTCTCAACCCACATGCTTGGCAAGGGTTACCAGCAGATCAAATTTTTCAATTACATCAAATTAGAAAAAAGTATCTTGGTGATGCATACAACCCAACCAATGAAGAAAGAACCGCCATTTTATCGACAATCACATCACTAACAGCTAACAAACCTGCATTGGACTATGCTTTTGAAATTGAAAATTTCAAGGAAAGGGTCATGAACAATACCCCAATGAAGGATCGAGGTAAACCACAAAAATTGAGTAACATGTTTGTAATAAACACAGGAGCTGAACCACATCATGCTAGACGTATAGAGAATTTGCACAGAGTTTCAGCTTTTGAAATGCCGTTGTTGTCCAAGTATCGCCAACCATACACACCAAAACCAAAAACACAAGCTCCCATAAAATTGACTTACAATTCCGATTTTAGTGATGAAGTTTCCAATAAACACAATAGAAACGTTATTTTATACGTTGAGCTCAAAGACTTACAACTTAACAAGGAGCAAGAACATAAATTCAAGATACTTGCCGGTAGAAGGTTTCACCATGGGTCTGACTCATTCCAATTGAAATGTGAGAGATACCCACAAGCAGCTCAAAATGTTCGTTGGTTAGTTGACACTTTTAATAAGCTATTGAAAGAATCAAAGGATCTTAGTAAAGAAACTTTTGCTGATATACCATTGGACAAGCGTCATATGAAAACATGGACCACGAAACCAAAACCAATGTTTCCTGAAGAATGGAAGAGACCAAATGATGCTCCTACAAAGAGACACGAAATCATCAACGAACTTGTAGAGTTGAGTAAAGAGAAGTTGGATGCCGACCACCTTGCTAAGATTTCACCCTAAATAAGTAGCTCTTGTAAATAGTCAACCGAATGGAAGAAATATAAATCTATCATGTTTTGCGTGCGCATTGCGCAAGAGAAAAAAGAACAACAGAAAAAAAAAAAATATCAACAAAAGCTGCGAAGCTTTAGCCCAGATTTCGTAGATGTTCATATTGAGCCGCAAGCGAAAACACTTGAGAGCTAAAAAATACAACAATTAACGATGACAGACACACACGACGCATCAACAACATTAGATGACATAATTAACGAGCTAAAACTAACATACGATGCATCTAATGGTTTATTGGATGGTGATTCAATTCGGAACATTCCCAATGTAAACACATTAACCAACTTGAACAAGTTGTTTAGCAATTTGAAAAGCCAATTAAGCCAGATAGAAAAGAGCGATGAAACAGTTTTGAAGAAAATTGAGGCAACTCAAGGCGGTGAAGATGAAACAAAGAAGCGTTCTAGTGAGGTTTTAGAAGATCAAGATGATAATGACGTCAAGAAAAGAAAGCTAGATACGACAGCAGAGAATGATGTAGAAGAGCCCACAGGGGAAAAAGAAAGGCTAAACCTGAAAGACGATCCTGTACCCCCAGTTCAATCAGGGTCTTTTTCTCGTGATAACGATACCAGACTCAGGAATCCCAAATCTGAGTATGTGGAGCCTCAAGTGCTATCGGCTGAGGCAATCTCAGCACTTGGGCTATATTCCGAGGATAATCACGGCTTGGAAACACATGGAAAAGAGTATTTGAAGAAGAAATATGGAGTAGCCTCTTATCCAGAGAATGATCTACAAGACTTACTACCTGGAAAGATACCAAACATCGATTTTTCCAAAAACAAGCCACCCACAAATCAGGTTCAGTTTAGCACTTTCCAATCTTACATAGAGTCCTACTTTCGTCCATTTTCAAATGACGACTTGAAATTTCTTGAGGAGAGAAATGTAATCCCACCTGGGTTTGAAAAGTTGGGCTACGACCCTGACGTGTCACCTTTTATCATTCCTAGATTGGGTAGATTTTATGCTGATGTGTGGGCTGAAGAAGATGCCACTTTGGCAGCCAAACTCAACTCTCCAGCACTTCATGGTAACCAAAATGATGGCTTCAAAGCCAAAGGATCGATAAACATGTTGAGTGATGATAAACTTTACACAGAAGAAGTCTCATGTGGTCCCCTTTCAAGTCGATTGCTATCAGCAATACTAAGCAATCATGAGGTGGCGACTGAAGAGGACGAGCAAGGGGGCGGCGGTGGTGTGAAAAGTGAGCTCGGATCTAACCATTCTGACAGTTTGCTCGCTCAAGACGAGGTGGCTACCCAATTAAATAGCAATGAAGATTACAGAATAACCACCGATGCAAATGATTACCAGTCAATCGAGGATAGACTCAAGCGTGAACTCAAGTTCATTGGTATATTTATGAACTTGCCAACCAAAGATGATGGGAAAGCCAAGGCAAATAAGTTATCAGGACGGATACCCAAAAAACTGTCGATAAGCATTGTTGATAATGATGAATGGATACGAAATAAAGAGGATGACGAAGTTTGTGCCGAGATAAGGTCTTTGCAGAACGAGTTACGAGAAGTTTCAAGTAGAAACAGGGCAAACAAAAGAAAGTTGTTCCCAATAGTTCAAGATAGTATTGCATACCAGGAGTACTCTACAATCTTGGAGGACCTAGATAAGCAAGTTGATCAGGCATTCATGAAAAGATCAAGAGGCAAAGGTAAAAAGAAAAAGATTGATGCAAATGCACCACAACAGCAAGCTGTCAATAGCGGACTTCGAGCACTTTTGGAAAAACGAAGAAGATGGATAGACTCCATTGGTAAGTTGTTCCCGCCACCTGAGATTATGAAACGTGAACCATCGGAGCTGGTGCTTATAAAAGAGGGTACAGTTGATGTCGAGTTGAATGAAGAAGAAGGTGATAATACGGGTCCCAACGCTGTGGATTTAATTACACAATAGAGATGTATAATTTTGTAACTATTTACAGAAAAAAGTATTCTATTTGAAATCCATTCCTCTATGAATCTCTGAAAGAGGAGGCAAAGTGTTCACATTACCAACAGCTGCCAATGCGACAGATTTATTCTTTAACCTGTAGTTAGCCCAGTTTACCACATCGTCTTTGGTAATTGATTCGACTCTTGCAAATACCTCCTCAGGAGATAATCTGTAGCCGGTATTGACTACTTGTCGTCCAATATCTTCGGCAATAGCAGTAGAGTCATCCAATGCCAATAATAGCGAAGCTTTGAGTTGAGATTTGGATCTCTCCACCTCCTCATTTGTAATATGTCCCAAACTCAATCTTCCCCATTCTTTTTGAATAGCATCAATAAGGATCCTCAAATCGGTGGTACTGTCGGCAGTAAAGTAGACCCCAAGCAAACCGGTATCTGCATATGAAGTGGTATAAGCCATATAGGAGTTAGCAATTGGGGTTTTGTTAGGGCCACCAGTTGCCGCAGTGACAGCTAAAGGCGATGGTGAATTTGAGCCAACACCAATGGATCTATCCCAGGTACCTATAATACCATTGGCCACAGAAGCAACAAAGAAATCTGGAGCTGACCAGCTTACACCTTCCACAGCCAATGCTACATGAGTAGTAGGCATTGAATTATCTTGTACTCTAATCTCCTCCCCATAGAAAATAGGTAAATCGTCACCGCTTTGCTTGAATGGTTTATCACTTTTGCGGATATTGCTAAAAAACTTCTCTCCTAGTTGAACAAGCTCTTCGTGCTGAACACACCCAACACCAATCAATGCCATTCTGTCTCCTCTGTAGTTGGTACTAATATAGTCTTTTAAATCATTTCTGTTTATCGTCTTAATCAAATCTCTTGGACCCAATATGGTTCTTCCCAAATCTTGATTCTTAAAAGCAACTGAGTGCAAATGGTCAAACACCACCTCATCGTACATTTTGTCAACTTCATCGCTCTCTTGCAAAATAACATATCGTTCATTCTCAATAGCTCTTTCTTCCAACTTTGATTTAGTCAACAAATCACTCAATATATCGACATTTTGATTCAAGTCTTCCGCTAGACATTTGGTGTAATAAACAGTATTTTCCCGTGATGTGTATGCATTGATTTGCGACCCCAAATTCTCAATTTCCAATTCCAAATTTAGTTGAGTTCTGCGGTTCGTTCCTTTGAAGGCTAAATGCTCCAAGAAATGGGCAGTACCACTAGATTTTGGATTATCGGCTCTCGATCCTGCATTTATCCAAACGCCAACTGTAGCTGTCTTTGTGCCAGGCATTGATTCACTGGCCACTGTTAGCCCATTAGGTAAGATTGATGTTTGATAAGTTGGGGCTGGTGCAGTAGTCGTTGCAAATAATCGGCGTGGCAATATTACCTTTGAGTGTTTGAATGTGCGTATAGTATTAAGCATCTTGACTCGAAGCAAAAGAATGTTGATGCTTATCTGATGGGGGATTATTAATTTAAGTTCCAAATTTTTATGAGTCTAAAAAATAAAAAGAATCAAGAAAATTCAACTGGTAGCACACGACACCGAAAAAAATAAGAACAAAATTAAAATCTTTCTGTCAACATGGGCCATACCATTTACTTAAAACTGTTTATTCAGTGAATACTCAGCACCACTCTTTTTTGTCCACGATGGCCCATATTTCCCCAGCAGTGGTAATAGACAATGGTTCTTATACAACCAAAGCAGGTTTTGCTCTGGATGATCTACCTTCACTCGTTTTCAACACAAATTATATATTGGACAAATCCATCAACAAGGTGATTGTGGGAGATGATGAGATGGACAAAAACTCACAGTCAGCAGTGTCCACATTGCTAGAAGATGGTATAATTTATAATTTTGATAACATCGCCCATAATTGGCGTTATGTATACGACAACATAGATAATCATAATCTGATAGATGCCACTGAGTTCCCCTTAGTAATGACTGAACAATCATGGAACACAATGAAGGCAAAGGTGAAAACATGTCAGATTGTATTTGAGGAGTTTGAAGTACCTTTGTTTAGTCTTGTCAAAAATCCTTTGAGTCAATTGTACCGGTGCGGCAAATCAACAGGGTTGGTTATTGATGTTGGATCGAGTGTGGCTAGTGTTACACCCATATTGGATGGAGTAATACAAACCAAATGCTCCTTCCATTCCAAATATGCTGGAGATTTTCTCAACTTGCACATTTTGAATTACTTGAAAGGAAAGGTACAATCTGTTGACGAATTATTGCCGGCTTCTTACAGAACTGCATCAGAATCATTCAAGTCGTATTACATGTCAACTCATGTGTTACAAGAATACAAAAACCTATCGTTGAATTACCAAGTCACTAACCTTGAAGTTTACGATCACAAGTTTTTGGATGTAAGTGACCAACGAAATTATTTGGAAAACTTATTTGATCCTTACTTGAACAAGTTGCCAAATATCAACTTGCCTGAACCTTCACTTGACGTGCCATCTTCTCAAGGATTGACCAACTTGGTATATATGGCCATCAGAAGCCTTGAAGCTTCTTTATTACCCAACAGCGACGACCCAAGATCACAATCGCAAAATCGATTCGCTAGATTCATGGATATTTTCAAGCAATTATTATCCAATGTTTTGGTCACTGGCGGTGCGTCATTGGCTAGTGAGTTGCCTGATCATATAATCAACGACATCAAGGCATTGATGCAAAAATACTTCCCCACTTATCCGTTTTCATATCATGTTCAACAAATTAGACCTACTCCAAACAACGATAATGCTGATATTTGGGATAGACAGTTTGGAAGTTGGCTAGGCGCTTGTAATTTGGCTAGTATGTTGAATGAGAGCGACGAGAATTCAAGTAGTGCAAAAATTGCTTTGGATAATTGGTTTATCTCCAAATCAGATTACGAAGAATTAGGAGAGGACTTGATACTTGAAAAATTCAAGTAGTTTTCAAAACCAAAAAAAAAGTGTATCATCATATATAGTTACTATAAAAAATGTATTAGTTTCAGAATAAGACAAGTGAAAATCTATTCCTTCCAAGATACATACTTGTTGTCGTACTTGGCGGTTTCGCCATGCAAGTCCAAAATTTGTTTAATCTTTAAATCAACACCCAACTTGTTGCCGGTGGCTGATTTAAAGTGCTTGAACACCTCAGATGGTGTTGGTAAATAGGTTCTGTTGGAGCCATCATTACCGGCAATATAAGCAGCCACTTCTTTATTTCTAGGCAAACCAAAGTTTAACGGATAGTCTTTGTAATCCACGCCAAACCATTCTTTGATATAAGGTGGTTTAGGCAACAACTTCAGTGTCTCATCTGTTCTTGTGAGGATATCGGAAACATATTTTGCAGTAACAATACTAGGGTCGTTCCATTCAGGAAAGAAAGGGTCCTTGATCTTGTCAACCAATTTATGGATAACACCTTTAGCGAAATCATTCTCCTTTGGTGGCAATTTTTGGATATTTGTTGCTGCAACCATTTCCAATGTAAATTGTTCCTTGATTGAATTTTCTAAACCACGATTCATCAATTCAAACCCGATTGCCAATGAAGTCCTTGGCTTTTGTAAAAGTTTCTCCAAAGTCTTTTTAGCAAATGGTGATGAGTCGCTGTGTTGTTTGAAAAAGTCCAAAACGTCATTAATATTCTTTTGTGAGAATGCCTTGTTGTTCAACTCGAGTTCATCCTCAGTCAATGAGAATCTGTAATCTGCTGGCAATTTCTTTTCGCTAAATTCATTTAAGATGTCGTTCACCTGTTTGAAATATTGAGTGTTGCCCGACACCAACGAAACTTTTGAAACATCATCAATCTCAGGAGGTTGCAAATTAGCCAATCTGATGATCACTTGAGGAATCTTTTCTGATTTGATGTAGTGTGTTGCAAAGCCAGAAAAATAAGCATCCAAACCTGACAAGATGGTACCGGTCAATGCTGTGTAATATCCAAACTTGTTGTCCAATCTTGGCAAAAAGAATGTTGTTCCTACATCGGGAAAGAACCCAATATCCATTTCTGGCATTGCCAATTTTGTCTTTTCTGTAGCAACACGGAATGGAGCATGAACCGACAATCCAACACCACCTCCAAATGTAATTCCATCCATCAAGGAAATGTATGGCTTGGGTAAAGTTGAAATGATATAATCAAGGTTGTATTCCTTGTCGAAAAAGTCGGCACCGTATCCGGGGTTACCCTTGACAATTTGGTTGGCACATTCAGCAACATCACCTCCAGCACATAATGCCTTTGGAGAGTTGGTGGTCAAAATAATGACATTGTTCTCTGGTTCTTTTGCATACTTTAATAAGTCAGGAGTTATCAAGTTGACCATTTCGGTATTTAATGAGTTCAACTTCTTGACTCTGTTCAAAGTGATAATTCTGGCATGACCCCTTTTCGAATGCAATACAACTGCATCGTCCGATCCTGAGCTCGAAGTTGGGTTTGCTGATATTTGAGAGGACATTCTGATTTGTTTAATTGATGAGCGGTTTATCAAATTGCTGGCTATTTGCAGTTTGTATATGTACTTGGGCGACTGACAATTTCTGATCATTCAACTAGCTCGATGATGAAGTGAGTTGGTCCTTTTTTTTTTTATATTTTATAATTGAGTCGATACCGGATATTTCCAAACGGATTGAAGGAAAGGTGTCGTGGAGAGGGAAAAAAAAAATTAGACGCTAAGACGGAAATGTGGAGAGGTGGGGACAGAGAAAAAAAAAATCCGTGGATAACCGCCTTTTAAACCATTTTATTGTGGCGCTATTTATTATCAGGGCCCTGCCCTATTCACGAGGTTAACAGCTTTAAGGTCCACTCATACTACACTTCTAAAACAGTAGCATCTCGTATTGATTCAAAAGTAAGCATTCTTCTCTTTTCTCATGTTCTTCCTTACTATCTTTAACAACGCGATGTCGTGGGTACTGCTTGGGCAACTCATAATGATAAAACTTGCCTGATTGATACGATCCTATCAAGATTAAACCACCATAAAAGCCAATTGCAACTTTATTGTGATTGGTATTATTGTTGGAGGCCCAAGCATGTTCTGGTAACCTGATATATGCAAAAGAGCGTCTCGGAGGCTCCCAAATAAGATTATCCAAGTAATCTCTATAAGGGATTTTGTTCAAAATTGAAGTTGTATAAGGACTATGTATGAACTTGCTTTTGGTTTTGCTAAACCATGATTTCTTGTTCTTTTTATTTGTGTCTTCCTGTTCCTGAGATGGAGGGTTGAGCGACTTGGAAACGAGTAAATTTGCAAGACTTTCATTGAGCTCCTCTGATGAAGATCGATGATTATCTCCATCACTTTGGTCATCGTAATCACTGAAACTATTGCCATGATCTGCTCCGGGTGCATTTTCATCATTACTTCCTGCTGTCTCATCGGATGATGCTTCTTGAATCAAATTGAAAAAATGAATGGTATTGGATTCTGACCCGCAGCCCAAAATGGTTTCGTTGTTATTGAAACAAAGCGAATTAATTCTGGCAACATTATGCCCACGACGTAGATTCTTGACCAGACTTAATACAACTTTGCCATCCTCTGAAGTGGATAGGTCAAACACTCTCACAATCGTACCCTTGACTGACGCGCTGGCAATTTTATTACCTTTATGAGACACCGATATTTTGCTGATTGAAGAGTCATGAGCTTTAAAGATTGATAACGGCGCCAAGTTCAATGCATCGTAAACCATGAGCCAACCTTCACTGTCATCTTGTATGTTCTTTAGTGTTATATTTGGACCTGCAAATAAACTGTTGCTTTGTTTGACTTTTGGAGTTAATTCTACATACTCATCAAGGTACGCCTGTGGATGTGATTGTTGAAGATTGCTCAGATCTGTTGGGTGCGTTGATACATTGCTGTCTCTTTTGGGCTTGATAAATACACTATCTTCTTTGATGGCACTCACCGGAACACATAGCCAAGATTTGTCATCAATACTCAAATCCCCCACAAATGTGTCATTGGTTGTTGGACTTAGTTTCAATACCGAAAGTAGTTTGATACAGCTTAAATCGTATATATGGAGTTCCCCATTTTGTAATGCAACAACTAATCTCTTTCTGTTCAACTTGACATCAAAAATACTAGCTTCAAACTCCAAATCGACTATTTTAAGATTCTGTTTGAGGTTAAAGACTTTCAAGTATCGACAATCATTTTCTTCAGGCACAATAATAGTTAAACTAGTTGAAAATAACATTTTCAACAACTTTGTAGGATGTTGTTCACTGGAAGAGTCCTCTGTACTCTGTTCATTAGTGTTGGAGCCGTCTATTGAATTCGATAGCGTCCTGCGAAGCTGAGTCTCTGAAGATGAATATAATTCGCCAAAGGGTTCACAATTAAAGACCTTGTTTCCCGTGTGGGTTGCAACCGATACTAGGGAAAAGTCGGGATTAAATGAGATATCATTGATTGTGGACATGTCAGTAATTTTACCTGCAATTGTGTTAAGTGATTAGCCGAATCAGTATATGCTACTCGTAGTCATATGATTTTGTTACAGTTTGATGATTTTATATATTTTGCTTTTTGACTCGCGCGTCTGGATCAAAGTGGGAGTTCCAAAACTTGTCCCCTACCCAAGCACGCAAGTATCTTGAAGATAAAAACTACATGAGGTTAACAAGAGTATGATCTTTTCTTTATAAAGCAAGTTTGAACACTTGCAACAAATATATACCCTTTTGTAGCCCACACGCACAGAGAAATACTAGCTCATTCATCTGCAACCTCTTCCAAAGTAACCTTTCTCTTACTTTGCTTTGCCCCATTCGACCCATTTTCAGCTGCTTCAACACCAGTGGCTTTTTTTCTCAGTACTCGTCAAGATAGGCTCCACCTTATCGCCACCTTCAGCAGCAGTAGTCGCTGATTTTGAATTCTTTGACCTTTTGGACTTCTTCTTCTTCTTAGGTTCCTCCCATCCATATAGCGGTACAAAACTTTCAAAGAATCCACAATCTTCAAACAAATTTGGGAACAACCAAAATGGTTTGGGGAACGCTACTAATGAAATAACGTATATGATAAACCTCACAATGGCGGTAGCAAATAATAACCCTATCAATCCCAAGGCCGCCATTGATAAGTACCACACTCCTCTTCTCATAAAGTTGGGCCATAAGGGAAACAATATGACGGCGAAAATACCAGCGACTGCCAATATACTGTACAATAATATATATGGGTTAGGTTTAGTGTACAACCATCCATAATAATAATTTGCTTCAACAACAGCCTTTTCCGATCTCTTCAATGTGGGCTTATCGCGGTTAGGTTTCCATCCCTTAACAGCTTTGACTTCTGCATAATGTAATTTCTTCAATGGTAGTATCATTTGATTTTGAATCAACATAACAAACACCTTTTGTACATCCACCTCATTCGTAACTGGTGGTAAACCATTTCTTGGATTCTGTTGTTTAGTCTTGTAGTCATCACTTAAAAGGGCCCTTTCGAATCGCTTGTATTTGAAAAACTCAAGATCATTCTTATTGTCCAACAATCCGATTCGTTGCTTCAATACGGGATTTTGGAACAAGTAATTTGCCACATTGATTGCAGCGGGTGATTTCTGAGTGGAGGTTTGAACCTGAACCTGGCCCGCTGGAGGTGCTGCACTAGACATTGACGAAGATGGAGTTAAGGCAATCAAGCTCGTGCTATATGGCTACGTATAGTGACGAATTGTTTTTTACTTGCACTTTTACTGTTTGCCTTTTTTTTTTTTTTTCAAACGTCACCAACTTTGTTTTTGCGAATTGCACCTATTTGATTCTGAAACGCTTACACGAAAGAGGAGGTCAGTAAACACAATCAATCAAACTCTATTGTCTTTGTAATTGAATAAAAAAATTAATGTAAACATTAAAAAAGTTCTACCCTAGTTGAACCTCACTTGGCTGCTGCCGTGGTTCCATTTAGTTCAATACTTCTCTTTTTCCTCAAAGAGGCTTCACGTATAGCATCCTTCGACTTCACTGAACTAATACTATTGGCAACATGTCCTCTATCATCCAAATCTACAGATCCAGCACTCTCAAATAACGACACAGTTCCCGCCAACAAACCCAACGTTTCAAGAACTTGTGCAGGTTCAGTCAAGTGTGCAGTGGCTACTGTCTTTTTAGATGCTGGCCCAACTGCGACAGGGAACACCCCATAGGTTCCAAATTCATTCTTGGTAACATTATCCAATTTCCATTGGTTTTCAATCTTGTGCAACGACTTGAACATATCCTCATCTGTCAAGTCATCGCCTAAACATAACACGAAATCAGGCAACTCTTCATGAGATACTTCTTTATTCAACTCTTCTTCAAGTGATTGCTTGGTTCCGTGTGGGTGGGTGACGAGTCTCTTCACAATTTCACCCTTGTTTAAAAACTTGGGTCTAACTTCGATATTTGCCTTACCAGACATAACCTCAACGTCGTATTCAGTGGCAATGGTGTCGTTCAATTCATCGAGGCATTTTTGAGCTTGGTAAGCTCCTAATTCTGGATCAGCTCCTCGATAATGCCACGTCAACGCAACTTTCTTGATTTCAATGTTTGATCCTGGTGTTTGCTTGGTGTATTTCTTAAACACATCTTCAACTTTTGGTTGCCACGACATATCATAAGCTTCGGCTAAATTGACCCACTCTTTGGAGCCTAAATCTTTGATAAAACAGCCATGCTCGGCCGATAACCCAACATGTTTCCGACCCATCCATTTCTCCAAAAACGCCTGATCTCGACCAGAAATGATCCAAATTTGATTCTTGGGGTCAGAGGCCAATATGTCCAATACTCTGTTCAATTTGTCTGAGGGAATAGCCGCAGCAGGATCCTTCACAATTGGTGTCAAAGTTCCATCATAATCAAATAAAAACAACCTTCTTTTTGAGTGAGTGTAATTTCTCAATAAAAGTGGTCTATTCAACGCCGGTGTGTAATGGCTGGAGTGAGTAATTATTGAGTGGTCAATTATATCACGAATAAACGTTGATGTCCAATTTTGAATCGTATTGGAAGCGACTTTCTTGTAAAGTGTGCTTTCCAAAACCTCCTTTTCATGGTCGCTGAATGATAATGCATCGTTGATGGTTTTTGACACTCCAACAGAATCCCACGGATTAACCAAGATTGCTGAGTTCAATACAGATGCAGTTCCTGTAAACTCAGACAAAATCAATGGAGAATTGTTGTACTTTTGGCAAATGACAAACTCAAATGCAGTTGTATTCATTCCATCTCTCACCGAGGTAATCAAACATAAATCAGCAACTCTCAATAACGCCAAGTACTCCTCTTTTGGAACTCTCATTTGGTAGTGCAATACTGGCGTATGATTCAATGTTCCGTATCGCGAGTTGATTTGATTTATCAACTCGGTGGCTTTTTGCTCTACATTTGCAGAATGACTGTACCCTGGTGTTGAAACTTGAATCAACACGACTTTTTCTCTCCATTCCGGATACATTTCCAAAAACATCAGAAACGCTTCAAGTTTTTGAACAACCCCTCTCACCCTATCCAATCTATCTCTTCCAACAATAATTTTTTTATCCCTGTACAAATTTCGAATGGCTTCAACTTTTTGATCAATACCACTTGACTTCGAGAAAGCGTCCAGCTCAATTTTTAACGTATCAATACCTATAGGCAATGTCTCTACCGAAATTGTAGTTCCATAAGCAAAAATTTGGTTTTTTGTCACTTCACATCCCAAAACTCTTGCACAACAAGACACAAAATGTCTTTGAAAAGATTCAGATTGGAAACCAATCTTGTCAGCACCAAGTAAACCATCTAGCAATTGACTTCTCTTGGAAAGACACCTGAAATATTCAGAAGATGGGAACGGAACATGCAAGAAATGTCCAATATAAGCATCAGGGAATTCCATGCGTAGCAATTGAGGCAACAACAACAAATAGTAATCATGAATCCAAATGACATCACCGGGTTTGTAAATTTGTTTGATCTTGTTGGCATATGCCTCGTTGAATTTTACATAATCGTGCCATGCTTGAATTTCGTCTTTTCCATCCGACGGAGTTCCCAGAAAGTAATGAAACACTGGCCAAATCACACTCTCGGCATATTTTCTCCATCTTTCTTGATCACGTCTTAATAGCCAAATTGGATGGATATTTTTCGACCCTATCGCCTTTTGAAGCTTCTTTTCAATTTCGTCCTTATCTTCATCATCAAGATACAATGGATCGTCTTCCAAATTATCAGCTGTAACGTTGACAGTATTTTTCACTTTGTTTTTCAACTCACCTGTCCAAGCAATAACATGAGTTTCCCAATCGGTATGCTGTTGTAAAAAGCTTTGAGATGAAAATAAAGCCAGGGTACCATGCACAATGTCGACATCCCAATAGTAACGATTGGTTTCGGAGTCATAGTTGCTAACAATTTGAGTAGGCAAAGTTGTCAGTACATTTAGGATACGACCGGATAATTTCACTTTATCATTATTAGCAAAATCTTTCGGAGATACCGCATGGATGTTGGCCGGAGATACTTTCAATTGACTCAACTCAGGCATTTCGGGGAAAAAAAGCTAGTGTATTTGGAATTGTCTGTATTCTAATGGTTCTCTAGCGTATCCAAGTCTTATGTGAGGATGTTGGAATGATATATGTACTATTTTTGGATAAAAGAGTACTGTTCTTTTTGTTTCAACAAATTAAGATTATCGTTCACTTTTTTCTACTTTAGATTGCGGTTGTTAAAAAAAGAATGCAACAATTATTTCTTTTCTTCTCTCTTCCCGCCTTTACCTATACATTCCGTAATTAGCCACACACACACACACACACACAATGCAGAAAATGGGCTAGGTATATAGTAGTACATAGAGACGGGAGAGAAAGCAACGACTCCTGGATTGCAAACAGTCACCAAAACTAATCATGATAATGATGTAGAGAGTAAACCAATGGTGTAAAATCATGACATAATGACAATTTTTCGGAAACGTATTTTGAGCAGTTTAAATAATTTCCGGTTACACTTGAATCTAGTCCTAACGCCTCAAAAGTAGAATAGGACAATCACTGCTCAAAACAATTGAGCATAGAGTATTACACCAAAGATTACAACACAGTTGGCCACTTGGCCTCCAATTTTATGAACAAAAGTTTCCGATTTTTTTTCATTTCACAAAATTATCAATAACAAATGTAAACACATACACCACCACCACCACCACCACTACCACATGTAATAAAGGATTCAGTTTTCTCCAATACCCATCAAAAGTTTTCAACAAAAAGCCCAACCTCTCTCATAGCCGTCGGATAAATATATCCCTAATAAGAAAAAAAAATAATTGACCGGATGACACAAAAAACAAAAACAAAAGGAGAAAAAGAAGATAACTCCCTCATTCTCCCTATTTTTATATTGCCGATTCCTCATAGCATTAAATTCATTCTTTCATCAAAGCTTAAGCTTCCTCACTACCAGCAGCAGCTTCTGCTTCGGATTTCTTATACTCTTCGTAAGCAGTTAAAGCGTCTTCAAAGTGGTTGTTAAACAATTCATCGTCGTCCAACAAATCCAAAATTTCTTGGTTTTCCAATCCCAACATCATACCAGTAATCTTACCAGCAGCTTCAGGCTCTTGAGCTTTTCCAGTAGCAACAATTCTTGGGTACAATTCTTCACCCAAAATCCTCTTTTGTTGTTCTGGTGGAACGCTAGAGATGATAGCAGCCAATTCTTTAGCTGGAACCTTGACACCAGCTTGTCCTGGGTAGTAACCTCTTTGTTGCTGCTGTTGTGGTTGTTGTGGCTGTTGTTGTTGTTGTTGCTGTTGTTGAGCTCTTTGATCTTGGAATTGTGGTGGGATACCATAGACTGGCACTGGTTGTCCATTTGGACCTGGTCTTGGCCATTGTTCAGGGAATGGTTGGCCAGGTTGTCCTCTTCTCATCATCATTTGTGGGTTTGGTCCAGGGAATGGAGCAGCATTGCCTCTACCACCCGGTGGGAAGAATCCTTGTTGACCATAGTACATTGGAGGCATAAATTGACCAGGGAATCCACCTGCAGCAGCAGCATTTTGCATTCTCATTTGGTTTCTTGCTTGAATCTGTTGTTCCAATTGAGAACGTCTAACATCCTTACGTTGAGCTAAAGCGACATATAATGGTTTACCATTAATCATTCTTTGGTTCATCTCGGTGATGGCCTTGGTGGCCTCTTCTGGAGTGCTGAAACAAACAAAACCAAATCCTTTGGATTTACCGGCATCATCAACCATAACCTTGGCAGAGGTAATAGTACCAAATGGCTTAAACTCTTCTTCCAATTTTTCAGAATCGATTTGATCATCCAAGTTTTTGATGAACAAATTGACTCCTTGATATTTAGACAATTTTTCCAATCTAATGGCTTCGTATTGTTTCTTTAATTCTTCAGTTCTTTCTCTCTTCTTTTGAGCTCTACCAACGTAAATCTTTTGACCATTGATTTCCTTATCGTTCAAGGCTTCAACTGCATCAACAGCGGATTTGTGTTCTTCATAATTGACAAAACCAAAACCTTTTGACTTTCCATCTTGATCCTTTTCCAAGTAAATGGAAGTAATCTTACCATATGGAGCAAATAATTCTTCAAACTCTTTTTCAGTGAATCCCAAATCAATGTTTTTGACATAAATGTTTGTATAGTTTGCCTTCATTTCTTCAAACTTGGATTCACGGTCCTTCTTTGAGACATGTTTACCAACGAAAACCTCACGATCATTTAACAACATACCATTGACATTTTCGATGGCAGCTTCAGCAGCTTCACCAGTTTCATAATGAACAAAACCAAAACATTTAGATTGTCCCATATCATCAGTAGCAACCTTACATGACAAAATTCTACCAAATGCTGAAAAAGTATCGTGTAAGGCTTTGTTATCAATAGCAGGGTGCAAGTTTTTGATAAAGATGTTTCCATCTCCGGATCTTCTTGCTGATGGGTCTCTTTGAGACCACATAATACGACATGGTCTGCCTTCAACGAGACTATAGTTCAACTCATCAATAGCCTTTTCACCATCTTCAAACTTGTGGTAATTGACATAAGCATAACCCAAGGATTTTTTGGTAACAGCATCACGACAAACTCTAATTGAAGAAACTTGACCAATAGGTGAAAAAATTTCAAAAAGAGTTGCTTCATTGACTGATGGGTTTAATTCTCCAACATACAAAGAAGCTGAGTTTTCGGCAACACCACCTAACTCACCTTGTTCTTCAGAAGAAGGTTCAGCGGCAGAACCAGCACCAGAACCAGCAGCTGGATCTGATGGTGCTTGTTTGTTTTCAGCAGGACCAGTGGAGGATGAGTCGATGTTCAATTTCTCCAAAGACTCTTGAAGTTGATTAGTCTCAGCAGTTGACATGGTTGATGTAAAGAAGGTGAAGTGGTTGTTTGAACTGTAAAATAGTGTAAAAAGAGTTGAGTGAAAAAGGTGTTTAAAGCAAAATTTTCACAAATTTTTTTTTTTTTTTTTTTTTGTTGTTTCGTCTGCACTAGTGTGTCTTGATGTTGATGATGAACAAGAAGAAGAAGAAGAAGAACCTTTGAACCCGCGTATCAAAAAACTCAAAACACCGTAAGTACTACAATTACATGTTTTCCTTTATCGCATTAGAGCACGAGTTTGAAGGAGTACATTTCAATTCGATACATCAGAGTACTGTATACTATAGGATTGCAGATGGTATATGCATCTTGTACAATGGTTGGTTCTACTGTATGGGCATCTATCAAAATTCTTTGCTTTTTGTGGAATTTGTTAAAATTTTTTTTCTCGCTCTTCTTCTTCCTGACACGAGCATTTACTGAATTCTGAATTGAATTAATCCACTCTACCATCCATTACGCAGGATGCAACACCAGTGAATCAGTAACTACTGACTAATTAGCAAAAGATACTCACAAATTATTGTTAAAAGTACACAATACAAACATTCATTCTTTCTACTTATTAACTATTCAACGATGAAAATATCTCTTCCTTTTCTTTCCCCTTACTCCTTGGTCTTCAATTTCAATCTTTTATACATTTCACTGATTTTACTACTGGGCACCTTACTAGGCCAGTATCGTCCAGCATATGACCAAAGGTTCTTTTTAAACTCATTGGGGTCTTCAGTGGTCTTTACCTTTTGCACCTCAGACTCAATGTGGTCACCAACAGTCATTAGCTCATCACGTAGCACTTTAGCCCATTCATGCTTATCTAATCCTTTATTTCCCTTTTGCAACTTATGTAGGGACTTGAATATGGGGTATAATGCACTTTTGCATGACTTCTGAACAGTTTCATTCATGCTTTCATAATGTGAATCCTCTTTGTGGTGGGGGTGGGATCCTGGCGATGGTTTGGAAATACTGGGCTCTTTTTCATGCTTAATCACCATTGGATGTACAGATTGTTTTCTTGAAACACCATGTGATCCATTTTGTACATTATGGGAATTTGGCTTTTTAACTTTACCTGGACGAGAAGTGTCTGGGGTTTCGGATTTAATTGGTCTCTTTGATTTACCAGTAGAATTGTCCGCTCTTTTCACTTTCCTCTTTGGTTCTGAAGCGGGTTCCGATGCAGCACCAGCAGCACTAACAGCGTCATCATGTAAAAGAGAGAATAGATAATCAACTCTTCTACCCAAGTGGACAGCTCCTGGTACTTTTTTGGAATTTTCACTAGCTGGAGCATTCTTTGTTGTTGGTGCTGAATCCAAATATAATTTATTTTGAAGTCCCAACAATGGATCATCTCTTATTTGAACCCATGATCCATACCCAAACTTGTACACACCAGCAAGTAACATGGCATCATCTTTTGCGGTCCATTCGCAAGACCACGCTTGAACTGCCTTTGGATGTCTTGGTAGCCGGAGATCCAATGGATTGTCATTCGGAATAATCTTTCCAAGAGCTCGCATATCGACTGGTCTATTCAACACTAGCTCGGCATTGATGTTTTTAACCCCTTGGTACTCAAAAAGCACCGCTTTCTTCTCCTTCTTCTTTGCAACCCACAAGGCTGTTTGGGTTTGATCGGCATTGTTGGGATCTTCATTTTGCTCTTTTGCCTTTTTCTCCAATTCAGCAAGTGCGTGAGTTCTTCTGATTTCCTCTTCCTTCACTAGCTTCTTTGCAGTATTGACAATCTCATTATATGCATGCTTGATGTACACTGGGTTCTTATTGCTGATACTTCCTTCTTCGACCAATTGATCCCATTTTCCAGCAAGATCTCCCCATTTCAATATCGATCGATAAATTCCACGTATTTCCTTTTCTGATAACTGGTTATCGGTTGCCCTTCTCCTGCTTGTAGGTTTCAGATCATCTGCACTATCTTCCACGTCACTAGGTACAACTGAACCATTTTCAAATTTCCGCACTGCAGCTTTCCTTTTGGAATACATGGCGATTTGTTGTTGCAAGTACTCCTCGTCAGCCTTTTTCTTTTCTTCGTCTTTCAACTTGGTAAGCTCGTCTTGAGGAATGATGTCATCCCATTCAATGTCTGCCTTGTAATCAGTAACCTCAAACTGCTTCAAAAACTCTTCGGAACCCAAGTTTGATTCACCCAATTCAGGCGTCGTCACATGATCTTCAGCATGATTCAAAACTTCATCCAAATTCAAATTTTCCAATTTCTGCTGATTGTCATTATCCTTAAACATGGTACTGGCACCAAACTTCAAAATTTGCGAAAGCTCACTCGTCGAGGGTTCTGTTTTGCTACTCTTTTTCGCATTAGGGTCAGTTATACCCAATGAAATAATGGCATACTCCAAAATCATCTTTTTCCTAGCTCTTTCCAAAATTTGTTCCTCAACCGTATCCTTGCTGACGAATCGGTAAACCAGGACATGATTTTTCTGTCCAATTCTGTGCGCTCTTGCCATGGCTTGTAAATCAGCTTGTGGGTTCCAATCGGAATCGAATATGATTACAGTATCAGCCGTCATTAAATTGATACCAAGTCCACCAGCCCTAGTGGATAATAAGAATGCAAAATCTTTTGAATCGGGTGCATTAAAATGATCAATTGAAATCCTTCTTTGAGCAGATGGGATACCTCCATCCAATCTTTGAAATTGATAACCTTTGATTGACATGTAATCACCAAGAATGTCCAACATCCTCACCATTTGCGAGAAAACGAGGACTCGATGGCCCTCCTTTTTTAAACGTGACAACAATTGTTCGAGCAAAACCATTTTACCAGAAGACATGATCATTCCTTTCAAGATGTTTTCTCTAGTATGGGATCCGGCTCGAGCAAGCACACGCTCTTCAGCACCATCAAACAAGTAAGGATGATTGGATGCTTTTTTCAATTCACTCATAACATTCAACAAGGAGATTTGTGACCCCTTGTTCCCGGCATTCAAAGCTGCATAGTTTTTAGTGATAATATTCTTATAATAATCAGTTTGAATATCTGAGAGCTCAACACGTAAAATCCTTTCCGTTTTCGAAGGCAATGAGGTCTCAACATCCTTTTTCAAACGTCTTAAAATATACGGTTTGATTTTCTTTTGTAAATCCTTGATATACATCTCCTGCTCCTCATCAGGGGTTTCAAAGTCAATTTCTTGCTCAATGTCAAACTTGCCCGGCATCAAAAAGTTACACAAGGCTGCGAGTTCCTTTAAATTGTTTTGGAGGGGAGTTCCAGTAATCAAGAGTCTATTGGCACAACGGAAACTTTTCAAAGACTCATACAAAGATGAATCCGCATTCTTTAACCGGTGTGCTTCATCCACAGCCAAGAACTGCCACTTGAGAGAGCCCAATTCTGCTCGATCTTTCAAAATGTACTCATAGGTGGTCAACAAAACATTAAACTTTGGTTTCCCATTCGGCGTATACCATTCATAGTCTCGGATGGTTCTCCTCGCCTCACCATTACCTAAATAGTAAATGCAATTAATATCGGGAGACCATTTTTCAAACGTCTCTTGCCAAGCAGGTATAGTTGACAATGGAACAACAACTAAATGAGGCCCATTTTGACGTCTCGCGTAAATCAACCATGATAAGAATGCAACAGTTTGAACTGTTTTACCCAATCCCATCTCGTCTGCCAAAATACCATTTTCATTTCTTGACCAAAGAAATGCCATCCAATTGAGTCCGGTTAGTTGAAAGTCTCGAAGCTCGCCGTTTTTGATAAAGACTGGTTGTTTCACCAATTTTTCAAATCTTGGTCTTTGCGATAAGGGGTAGTTTGCTGAAAAATTGGGGAGTATTTTGGAATTCAATCGTTGTTGGTATTTGCTCACTTGCTCTGGTGCAATTTTGGCTATCTCTTCTGCGTCTTCCCACGAGCATTCATCGTAATACAATCTTCTCCACTTTACAAAATATTCAAGCCGACTCTCACCATCTTTCTCGGTTCTTTGACTATCAACGATTCTCTCAACATGCACATATTCCTCTTGTTCATCCCTTCTGCGCTCTCTCTCGATATCCATTGCTTCAATGTCCTCTTTGGTAGTCAAAGGGTCATTTCGGACTTCGTTGTCGTATATTATAAACTGCTTGATATAATTGTCAACCTTTCTGAAACCTTTAAACTCTTTCAAATCGTTGTAAGTTTCCCAAGTATTGTGCAAATGCGAGGCATCAGTCCATTTGATTTTAAAGAGGTAATCCAATTTGGGCTCATTTGTCACCTCTGGATTATCAGGATTCAACTTGTGATCCATAACTAGATCAATACCTCGTTCATCTTCAGGAGCAATGGCTTGTTGATAGTAATAATAGTCATTCTCCTCATCATCTTCGTCAAAATCACTTTCTAGCAAATCGGCATCGTCATCAACGTCAATCGTGTAATTTACTTGCTTATTATTTCTCGTGGAAAACCTCAACTCTGGTGTACTGTATGCTGAGTCTTGTGACGTTGTTTTATGCTTCTTAGTCTTTCTTTTTGATGAACCACCAGAAGGTTTTTTCTTCTTTTCGGCAACAAAATCATCATCATCATCGTCATCGTCAAAGTTTTCTGCGTCATCGTCAACATCAACATCATCTTCCTCCAAGTCGTCATTGTATTCATCAACTACCTTCTTTCGCTTCCTCCTCGACGGATTTTCGTCAGAATCAGAATCCGATTCTATAATAGAGGGGCCTTTTCGCTCTCTGTGGGATCTTCTTAAACCGTAGAGTTCAGGGTTGAGGGAAGCTTCCTCCGGCACCAACAATTTCACCATTGTCAATCTTGAATGAGAAAAAAATGCCACGAAGCCGGCTATGGTTTGGAACAAGTTTGGTTTGTCAAATGAATTTCTAACAAATGAGTTAGTCCTGTTATCTCAAAGCTTGCCGATGTCCAAATACTTGTTTGGAATTTGCAACCGTGATTTGATTGCAGATGGTTATTCAACAGTAAATATGGATCAAAATGAAAACTGTGAAATAAACGGGGCACAACTAAATTGAGTGTGGGACAGTTGTGAAATGGCAACCAACTTGCTACTACTGCCAGTGCAATTATCACTTAATTTGGCGTCTGATGGAAAAGACGAATTGTGATCTCAAAGTTGGATGTACAAGGAAAAGAAAAGAATGGGAAAAATTTATTGTATTGGCCCAACGACAACAAAAATCTTTTAAACGATTCGGAGGAGAGAAAAAAAAAACGTGTTATGCCTAGAAGGGGAGATTTAGAGGTGATTCGTCTCCATAGGAGTCGAAGAGTAATGTAGATCTACTGCAAATATGGCAAAATGAATCTTTCAGAAACTTCGAAAATATTATCATGTGGACAATAAATTCATTATATTGGGTTTGTATGACGTTATAAACACTGCCCGAGTGTTACCCACAACGGGTGATGCTAAAGGAACATAAACTGTTTGATTTTGGCTCGGTAGTTTTTCAAAACCTCATTTTGCAGCCATTACAACGAGCAACAATTGGCTCCTAGTGAAGGTGTTTCATCAATCACGAAGCAGCATATTTCTTTGGTTTATGGATCTTTTCTGTTGTCTGGTAGTGATAGTGGATGTAAAAATGTCAATCAGGCGATAATCAAATTTGCAACCATCGAGACCCTTCCATCTTCAGCAATGTTATGCATCAACATTTCCGATTCCAGCAAAGATTCCACCGGAAAACAATTTGGAGGTCTGAAAAGCCATTGAATACTTGATGGTAGTGAAGTCAGCTTGGACACGAAATTAGCTCAATCTAAGCCTGAGTCACCGAAAGCACCATCACATAATGTTCTCACATAATATGGAACAAAACAACAGAGCCACACTGATGATACCACCAGCGTATCTCCTAGCAGTCAATCAATCAACTCATAAAACTAAATGGTCTTGTTGTGTAACACTTGGACTACTATTAGTGCCCATTGACAATCATATTCAAGTACTTTACCCTGTAGCAAAATGTAATCAATGAAAGGAAAGTGTACATCAAATGAAAAAGAATAAAAGAAAAATTTGTTGAGTTTTCTTTTTAAGAAAAAATCCCTCACTCCTCACCTTCAAACAAACAAACAACACACAAACAAACAAACAAACAAAAAAGACGAGAATAGAAAAAGAGTTTGCCAATTTACACGACTTTGAGTATTTGGGTGGTAGAGTTGGTTTTACAGATGCGTGCTCACTGCTTTGATTGATCGTCTCCGTATGAAAACAATTTGGAATATGACTGTAGTTTTCATGAGTTCCATGCCGGTATATACCCCATCCTTTTCAGGCGTAACAAGAGCAATAAAATGAATGGAAAAAGAAGAAGCATTTTTTCAATTTGCACAGTCCACTTAATTATGACTTCTAGCTTCACTTACTCTGGACATTCATGATCAATCTTGATTGCTTTTGACGGACAAAGCAACATAGTGTCCACAAATGCTGTATATTTGCTTTTGTTGGTATCTTGTCACAACAATATATTAAGCCAATAAAGATTGTTCATTTACTAATCATTTTCTGACGCCGCACGTTTAAACCTTTTTTGTAAATTCTCTTTGCAGTTGTATACGTGGTAGCTCAGCTGTAAAAAAAAAAATTTTTTTTTCTATACTACTCTTTGTTTATGAAAAATTTTGAGATGTTTCATTAAGTAAAAGATAGCCCTTATACACAACCAGCACAATGAGTTCCAAGGGTAAAGGAAAGAACAATAAAGGAGAAACTAGTTCAAAGAATGAGAGAATTGCTATAATATCCACCGACAGGTGTAAACCAAAAAAGTGCAAACAAGAGTGCAGAAAGAGTTGTCCAGTGGTCAAGACGGGGAAGTTGTGTATCGAAGTCACACCTGCATCCAAAATCGCATTCATATCTGAAACATTATGTATCGGGTGTGGTATCTGTGTGAAGAAATGTCCCTTTGATGCCATTACAATTATCAATTTGCCAACCAACTTGGATGCTGAAACTACCCATAGATACTCAGCAAACTCCTTCAAATTGCATAGGTTACCTACACCAAGACCGGGACAGGTTTTGGGTTTGGTAGGTACCAACGGTATTGGTAAATCGACGGCATTGAAAATCTTGGCTGGTAAACAAAAGCCCAATTTAGGTAGATATGATGATCCACCAGATTGGGAAGAAATTTTGAGAAATTTCAGAGGTTCAGAATTACAAAACTATTTCACTAAAATCTTGGAAGATGATATCAAAGCCATTATCAAGCCACAATATGTTGATAATATTCCTCGTGCGCTAGCTAAATCAAAAGTCAAAGCAGTCGGAGCTATCTTGGATTCAAAAAATGAAAGACCCGACTCGTTTGAGTACGTTTTAAAAGTGTTGGAATTGAAGCATGTGTTGGAGAGAGATGTTGAAAACTTGTCGGGTGGTGAATTACAAAGATTTGCTTTGGGTATCACTTGTGTACAAGATGCTAACGTTTACATGTTTGACGAGCCATCTTCATACTTGGATGTCAAGCAAAGATTGAGAGCTGCCGAAATTATAAGATCGCTTTTATCTGCAACAACATATATTATTTGTGTCGAGCACGATTTGTCGGTTTTGGACTACTTGTCAGATTTCATTTGTATTCTTTATGGTGCACCATCGGTTTATGGTGTTGTTACTTTACCATCATCTGTTAGAGAAGGTATAAATATCTTTTTGGATGGTCATATACCTACTGAAAATATGAGATTTAGGACAGAATCGTTGCAATTTAGATTGGCGGATGCCGCCGATGACTTAATCTTGGACAAATCAAACTCATTGGAATACCCAAGTATGACCAAGACTCAAGGCGATTTCAAATTAGAAGTTGAGGCTGGTGATTTCACAAACTCTGAGATTCTAGTCATGATGGGAGAAAATGGAACCGGTAAAACTACATTTTGTAAGTTGTTAGCTGGTGCTATATCGCCCGACGGAGGGAAAGAAATTCCTAAATTGAATGTGTCAATGAAACCTCAAAAGATTGCACCAAAGTTTACAGGAACTGTGAGACAATTGTTCTTTAAAAAGATAAGGGCGTCATTCTTGCATCCTCAATTCCAAACTGATGTCGTTAAGCCATTGAAAATTGAAGATATTGTTGATCAAGAAGTGCAAACTTTGTCAGGTGGTGAGTTGCAAAGAGTGGCCATCGTATTGGCATTAGGTATACCTGCAGATCTTTACTTGATTGACGAGCCTTCAGCATATTTGGATTCCGAGCAGCGTATTATTTGTTCCAAAGTTATTAGAAGATTTATTTTGCATGCTAAAAAGACTGCATTTATTGTTGAGCACGATTTCATCATGGCCACATACTTGGCAGACAGAGTTATCGTTTTCGACGGTCAACCATCTAGACATGCATTTGCAAGAACTCCAGAATCCTTGTTGACGGGTTGTAATAGATTTTTGAAGAATTTGAATGTCACTTTTAGAAGAGATCCAAATTCTTATAGACCAAGAATTAACAAGTTGGATTCACAAATGGATAAAGAACAAAAATTGTCAGGAAACTATTTCTTCTTGGAAAACACTGAGTTGTAAACAATGCGAAAGAGATGACGAGTGAGGTGGTCAGTTCATTGAACGGAGGAGGGGTTAACGCACACCTGTGGCACAGACATACGAGGATGGCTAATTGCGGTCTAATCCCTTGGCCACTTTCCAAACCCCTTAGTGCATAATTATCATTGTGTTGGGGCGGTATTTCTAGCTTCAATATGCTCGACTCACGCTTAACTGGCTGGCTCAATACATATACCTAATAACACGTTTTATAGATTTATTGAAAAGACACTTTGTAAATCATTCTGCTTTAGCTAGTGGTTGTGATAGATTCGCAGCAGTTCCAAGAAACTCACTTTTTCGGAGTTGAACAAATAGAGTTCCTCCGCTCTTCTAGACCAATTGATGTTGTTAAGTTTCAAACGGCTCTTTGTCAAAGTTGGAATCAGATGTTTATGCATTATACACTATGCAGTACTTGTAGCAATTCTAAAAGTGGCTTTGTGGTTTTGTGGCTTTGTCCCTCTTCTGCCTTTTCCCTTTTTCTTTTACTCTCTTTCGGCACTTTTGCTAGCACAAAACGGTACTTACGTCAAAATCAAAATCGGAAAGAAAAATTCTTGAAATCTACAGCCTCATCCAAAACTAAACTTTGTTGAAATTGGTAAAAACTACTTCAAGTTCACGTACTTTATTTCTTATCACAACAAAGGCACTCTTCAACCAAGAGGGCTATACCACTGCATAGACTGTGCTTTTTAATTTCCACTTAGTTCGATGAAAAACTGTTGCTAACCACAGGAAAAATGTTTACTCAACATTTGCATCTTGCATTATTCGACATAAAATTGAAATCCCAACATAAAAACTTGTACTTGATCAAAGGTAGTGAGTACGATGTTGAGAATTTGCCATTTGAAGGTAGCGTTAAGCTATCGTTGAAAGAAGACATACATATCAAGAAGATCAAGTTGGACCTTGTTGGTGAGTTTTATTACGAATACTCTCTGAAAGAAACCCATGAACAATTTTTAGATCGATTGTGTGTTTTGAAAGTTGATTGGAACAATTTGCTCACTGATGATGAAGGAAAGATATCTTTTGGAAATTATGGTGATGGCACAATTCCTTTATACAAGATGAAGAAGGGGGGCGCTAGTGACAAAGGTTCGGCTTCTGGTTCAGGTAGCAACTCGGGAACATCTACCCCCAGACCTTCATATGGAAGAACCAAATCGACTCCTATGATGAACTCATTTGGAGCAAAGGATTCATCCAAGATTATTCAAATTCCCAAATCGGGGATCGATGGAACACCGTTCAAGGAGTTGAAGGATGCACCAGGCCATTCGTTTTTATTACCGAAAGGAAACTATAGCTTACCATTCAAAATATACCTTCCTGCAAATGTTTGTGAGACCGTTGAGGGGTTACCTATTGGAACCTTGTTGTATAAGTTGCAATGTTCCATTGAAAGAGGAAGATTTGAAAAATCACATCAAACGAGCAAGCATATCAGGATAGTTCGTACATTACATCCACGAAACATGAATTTGCTTGACTCGATCGATGTCGATAATACTTGGGTAGGTAAGCTTCAATATTGTGTCAGTATGCCCAAGAAGGCTGTTGCTATTGGGTCAACAATTCCTATTCACATTACAATAATACCTATAGCCAAAGGGTTGAGTTTGAAAGCTATCAATGCGTGTATTGTTGAACATTATCATATTCAAATTGGCAATCAACGGTCTCCTGAATATGAGAGGTTGTGTGGTAAACAAGAACTCACGATTCCAAGTAATGCCGATTTGGAGTACGATAGATGGGTGGTGAAAACGCACTATAAAGTTCCCGATCACTTGAGGCAACTATCACAATCGTGTGATGTAAAGAATAGCATGATTGTTGTGAAGCATAGATTAAGAGTGGCTATTCAATTGAAAAACAAAGAAGGCCACACCAGTGAATTGAGGGCTAACTTGCCGGTTGTTGTATATTTGAGTGCAAATATCGGCCATGTTGTTGGTAGGCATTACGATATTGACAATCATCATGGCACGTTCCAATTGGACTACAAAAGGGAGGATGTGTTGTTCCACAAACGGGACTCGGCACCAGCCACGCCAGCCGTCTCTGATGATGAATACGAGGATGAATACAACACGGAAGATGAAACAGACAATGACTTGGACAGAGAAGAAAGTGCACCACCGCTTTACGAAAAACATGTTTTTGATAAAATTTTCGATATGAACTTGCCCCAAACACCACTCGAACAACTCAGATCGCAAACAGGATCCCCAATTGGATCTGCCAACAACTCCACAACCAATCTAAATGGGTATTTCGATATACCAATACAAAAGGCATTTGAACTCAATAGGAAAAAATTGACAAGAAAGAATAAAAGCGTTGATTTTTCTCATATTCCTTCGTACAATGAGGCGTTGGATGATGATGACGATGATGATAGCTATATTCAAGATGGATTTGCGCCGAGCTATTCCGATGGCGGCAGTGGCAGCGGCAGTGAAGACGCAAGATCCAAGTCTGGGTCTTCGACACCAAATAAGATCATGGCTAATAGTAGGCACAATAGGAGTACAGGACATTTGAAGATACCTTTAGGGAGCCACTCTGCATCCCATTCCAGATCCAGCTCTGGTATAAAGTTGGACAAATTGGGATCTGAGTTTGGATCACCAAGATTGACGAGTAAATTGTTTAAAAAGAAGGAAAAGTGATTTGAAAGTACTATGGGGGAAGGATGGAGAGAAAGAGAGAGAGAGAGATTTTTTAGAGATATAGACTAGAGATTTTGAGTTATAGAGTTGATAGAATTTGATATGAAATCAATGTGTGAAGTGAAATATGCTTGTTAATTTGACACTTTTTTCAAGAACGCTACATATAGAATACGATTGAATTCTGAACTATGAATTCGTTATTTACGACTTGAAAGATGAGAGAGCCAGGGCAGCTTTGTTCTGCTTTAACTTATTAAAATTATCCTACAGTAGTGGGTGCGGGTTAATCGAAAAAGTTTGGCTTCAAATGAAAATAGTCGGGTTTCAAACGCTTAGGAATCATTACCCTTTTGCTTCCCCATCACCGTTGTCAATCATATCAAAACGGTACTGCAATGCGTTAAGACTTCTTCATTTCATCGTTCTCAGATTAACATTTATTGTCCCGTTAGTTCGTGATCACAATAAATCAGCAAATCATTATTGTAGGAGAATATTAATCGTCTATGTCATCGATAGCAACTGCTCAAACCACAACCAAGCCCAATCAAGATGCCCAAGAGTATATTGGACCGAACTTGAACGTCACCTTGACATGTTCTGAATGTAAGATCTTCCCTCCTGACTAGATTGAAAGGTTCAGTGAAGGCGACATTGTGTGCGGTAGCTGCGGGTTAGTGTTGAGTGATAGAGTAGTCGATACCAGATCGGAATGGAGAACCTTTAGCAATGACGACCAGAATGGGGACGATCCATCTCGTGTTGGTGATGCAGGTAATCCACTTTTGGACACGGAGGATTTATCGACAATGATTTCGTACGTCCCTGATAATTTCAAGGCAGGGAGAGAGTTGAATAGAGCACAATCCAAATCTTTGGTGGATAAGAAGGATAATGCTTTAGCGGCAGCATATGCCAAGATCTCTCAAATGTGTGATGGTTATCAGTTGCTAAAGATTGTCCAGGATGGGGCTAAAGAAGTGTATAAAATGGTCTACGATGAAAAGCGTTTGCGGGGAAAGTCTCAAGAGTCAATCATGGCAGCGTCGATTTTCATTGGTTGTCGTAAAGCCAAAGTTGCTCGTACTTTTAAAGAAATTTGGGCATTGACCAATGTACCTAAAAAGGGGTTTTGGAAAGTGTTCTGCATCATGAATAACATCATACGTGAGAAAAATGAAGCCAATCCGCAGTCAGCTGCATACTACAGCCAAGACAATATTCAAACTACTCAAACTTCAGCTGAAGATTTGATTAGAAGATTCTGTTCACATCTTGGATTAAGTTCACAAGTGACGAATGGAGCTGAGTATATTGCTAGAAGGAGCAAAGACGTTGGTGTGTTGGCTGGAAGATCGCCCACGACAATTGCAGCTACAGTTATATACATGGCATCTTTGGTATTTGGCGTCGAGTTGCCACCATCAAAGATATCTGATAAGACAGGTGTTAGTGATGGTACTATAAAGACATCTTATAAGTATTTGTTTGAAGAAAAGGACAAGTTGATGGGTCCCTATTGGATCGAAACGGGAAAGGTTAGTTTGGAGAACTTTCCAAAAGCTTAGTTCAGCGTATAGATGTAAATTTTGTTTAATGCAAGGAGCGTACTATCACAAAAATATGATGTGACTTTTCTTTTTTCCATTTAGGTTTATTCTCTCGGGTGTTCAACTTTTCAAGGCCAAAAAGAATGAACTTCATTAGGACCTTGGCCACTAGATCTGCGGCAAAGTTTCAGGACGTGGTGATAATTGGTGGGGGTCCAGCTGGGCTCACCCTTTTATCGGCGTTGAAAACCTCACCAAAACTTAAACATTTGCAATGCACCTTGGTAGAAGGGCAATCGTTGGACCCTGTACGAGAGTTTGAAGTCAATCCCCCAGAAAACTACACCAATAGAATAGTTTCATTGACTCCAAAATCAATCGAATTTATGCAAAACCGCATTGGCAATTGGGAGTATGCCCATCAAGACAGAATTCGCGAATACGACGGGATTATTGCTTACGATTCGCAAGATGCTTCAGCACGAATCGAGCTTGACGTAACTTCAATTGGCAAGGACACCCTAGCAACAATGTGCGAAGTTATTAATATCCAAAGTTCATTATTGAGAAAATTGGAAGAATTGTCAGCGCATGAAACAAGCGGCATTGAAATTTTGGACTCTACTAAAGTGACTGAAATTATCAATCCGTTGGAAGAAACACAAGATTTGGAGAATCATGATTTAAACCAGCCTGACGCTTCAATAGGGAACCCAAAGTTGGACTGGCCAATAGTGAAGTTATCGAATGGAGAATCGATACAAACGAGATTGTTGATTGGTGCTGATGGCTACAACTCCCCCGTTCGTAAGTATGCACATATCGAATCCAGAGGTTGGCAATATAATAGGTTTGGAGTAGTTGCTTGTATAAAATTACAATACGAGGATTTTAGATCGGTTGGGTGGCAACGTTTCCTCACTACTGGCCCTTTGGCCATTTTGCCATTAACAGAGGATAATGCCACGATTGTTTGGTCTTCTACTCCAGAACTCAGCAGTTTATTGTTGAAGGTGAATGAGGCAATTTTTCCTCACTTGATAACTGCGGCAATGGTGTTGGAGGAAGTAGATTTAAATTACATTTACAGTGTATTGGAGGAAGACCCCAATGATTTTTCCGTACTAAAAGATATTGAATGGAGGTTGGGCAAGTTTGACTCAAGAACATTGGAAGAAAAATATCCATTACCCGTATTAGAGCTTGTACCCAACACCAGAGCTAGATTTCCATTGAAGATGTCGCACGCGGACACTTATATCGCCCCAAGAGTGGCTCTTGTGGGTGATGCTGCTCATACAATCCATCCTCTTGCAGGACAGGGCTTGAACATGGGTCAATCTGATGTAGCTGCTTTGGTGGACGCCTTAGAGCAAGGTTCCAGTAGGGGCATGGACTTGGGTTCGACTTTAGTGTTGGAACAGTATAATGCAAACGCCTGGCCTGCAAATCATGCTATGTTGGGAATATGTGACAAGCTACACAAGATTTTTTCAACTGATTTTTACCCGCTAGTTCTTGCTAGAGGTGCAGGAATGAAAGGATTGAACATGTTTGGTAGTGTTAAAGACGTCATGATGAAATTGGTGAGTGGTAGATGAATGAAGACGAAGTTTTTACTCGTGGGTAATTCGTAAAATGTGGCATGTATTTTTTGTAACGTACCCAATGGTTTCACATGACAATCTACGTACAAATTCACCGTCTCTCTAGATTTACACTCTTTCGCAATCATTTGTTCTGCAAAAGTAAATTTGTTTTTTTTTTTAGCAACCGAAAAGTATTCAAAAATACTCTTTAGCAAACTGCAATTTCATGCAGGGCTAGCAGTTTTCATGAGAGCATCTGTGAGATATTTTTACACTGTCATTAGTCCGTTGAAACAACAACAGTCTATAACGGCCAACTATCGAAAACTACGCGAGCATTATGATGTGCCGAAGTACCCTATAGTCTTGTGCCATGGTTTTTCCGGGTTTGATAAATTGACATTGCTAGCCAAGCCAGACTTGGCCATTGGCGAAGCTGTCAGTTCTGCCAAGGATGCAATGAAAGATGACAAGCAAAAAGCAGAAGATGCAAAACGACTGTTGTTTGAATTGGAGTACTGGGCGGGTATAAAAGAAGCATTGCAGAAATTAGGATCAACTGTGTTTATCGCAAAGGTCCCAGCTTTCGGTGATATAGAAAGTAGGGCACGGAGCTTGGACAGGTTCATCACAAAGCAATGTAAGATCTTAAGAGAAAGTGAGTCCAAATCAACAATTTATACAGACGATAGACATAAGGAGCATGAAACATTCAAAGAGGAAGGCAAACCTATTAAGATAAATCTCATCAGTCATTCCATGGGGGGCTTAGATTCTCGATATCTTATATCAAAAATTCACAGAAACGACAACATTTACAAAGTGGTATCACTTACAACCATTTCGACTCCTCATCACGGTTCTGAATGTGCTGATTTCCTTATGGACCTCGTTGATAAGAACCCATTGTTGAAACAAATTTGTCCTAGATCAGTATTTGAACTTACAACATCATCCATGGCAAAATTCAACAAGAATGTACCGGATGATCCTAACGTCCAATACTTCTCCTTTGGTGCTAAATTCAATCCTCGCTGGTATAACTTATTCAACATAACGTGGCAAATTATGAATTACGAAATTGGCAAAGAAAACCCAAAGGGTCACAGCTCCACTACCAAAGAGTCACATTTTGCCAATGATGGCTTAGTAAGCGTTGATAGTGCCAAATGGGGGACTTATATCGGTACATTGGACCAAGTGGATCATTTGGACCTCATTAATTGGACGAATAGAGCACGAAGTTTCTATGATAAAATTATGTGGGCACAGGATCCCCCTTTTGACCCTATAGCATTATACTTGGACATTGCAGACAAGCTAGCTAAAAGAGGACTTTAGTGTGTGATGTTCATTTCTTTTTCATAAAAGTTTAGATATATACATATACTTATTCATTAATCGTGATAGCTTTAATAATCAGGAATTCATCCATACCCCATTGACTGTTAAAACGACCAACTCCACTTGATTTAACCCCTCCATGGGGCACGGTTGTCTCATCTGAAACAGTAGGTGCATTTATATGAACTCCCCCGATTTCCAACTTTTTGGCAATATTGAGGGCTTTAACAATGTTTGTAGACCAAACCGAACCCTTCAATCCGTAATCATGCTCATTTACTTCTTCGATAACATCTTCGACAGCTTTGAATTTGTGCAATGTAAAGACTGGTCCAAACGATTCTTGAGTGTAAATGGACGCCTCAGAGTTTGCATCCTCCAAAATCATAGGCTCAATAACATTGGATTTCAAAATGGCATCTTTGTCAAATTTTCCGTAAACTAGTTTTGCACCTTTGTTCAAAGCATCTTCAACTAAATCCAATACTTTATCTCTGCCTATTGCATCTCTTTGGCTCAATTGCTGATCCTTATCCTTCGAAAATTCTTTCGCTGCCTCAATCAACTTGGACTTGAACTTGTCATAAATCGTCTCGTCGACAAACACTTTGTCTGTACTCATACAAATCTGTCCTCTGTGAGCCCAAGCTCCAAATAATATGGCATCAGCGGCCTTGTCTAAATTTGCATCAGATAAAATAATGGACAAGTTTTTTCCTCCTAATTCCAACATATATGGAATTAAGTATTTGCCACACTTTTCAGCAATCTTGCTTCCTACGAATGTAGAACCAGTAAAGTTAACCTTCTTAATAGCACCAGATTGTAATACCTCGTCGATAAATTTGGAATTCTCTTCAGGTTTAATATGGACCAACTGTAATGCTTTAGGTGGGACTCCTGCATCAAGAAAACACTTTACCAAAAGATAACTTGACCTAGGAGACTTTTCACTTGATTTGTGAATCACAGAACATCCAGCAGCCAAGGGTGCTAATATGGACCTACCTGCTAAAATAACAGGCGCATTCCATGGTGAGATGGATAATACAGGACCTATTGGTTGTTTGTATGTGAACGCCAAATCGTTGTCAGGTGATTGAACGATATTTCCTGGTGATCGAGACAATTGGCTCGTGTATTCCTGAAGTTGACCCACGGTTCCGTCAACGTTGAAGTCTGCAAACCATCCGGGGCCACCAATTTCCAAATGACTTTCTTTGAGCTCCTCTTTTCTTTCTTTCAAAAGTTCTTTAGCTTTGTTGAAAATTTCAACTTTTTTCTCAGTTGGGAACGAAGACCATTCATGAAAACCTTGTTTTGCATTGGTAGCTAAGTCATACATGGATTCATCGGAGATGGAAAACGGTGAAAAGCGATACAATGGTCGGTTGGAAGCACTGGTTACCAAAACCCCATTCTCGTTGTGATAGATGTCCTTTCCATCAATGATTGATGGATAAACTTTGTCGGTTTCTGTCTTTTGCATTGTTCAGTGATGTTGAAGAATGGTAAAGGTTAGGGTTTTGTCCTTTGGAAATGCTACGTAGTCGAGGACAAATAAGGTTTAATTTATATAAACGAATAAGTTTTTGGCTTTAGATGCAATCTCCTCTTTTTACGTGTTCTTGCATGGAGCTCGATGAGCTCTTTGGCCTATCTTTGCATCGAAAAACAAAACACAAAATCACAGCGATAACATCGGAATTATAAATTTAAGATGATGACACATCGCTTACCCCTCGGTTGTATAGATCCTATCTGCAGAAAACGATAGTGGGGACGAATGTAAGTGGGTTTGACTAAAGTACAAAACAGTTCACCATAATTAGTTCCAAATTAATGTTATGCGCCATTTTTTCTTTACTAATATGTTTGTAAAAATTGTCTGTCAAGCAAAAAAAAAAAGGTGAAACAAATAAAAACAGGGGAAAGAAAAGATGAAATTCGGAATTACCAAAAAGGGAAATTGAACTCCGACAGAAAATTAACCTTTACTATTACTTAGGATAAACTATTTTCCTATATTAACTGTTCGTTGAGGGAAATGTCGGTTGCAGAAAGAAACAACTACCGCATTCACCCACTTTTACTAATAGCATAATAAGGGCAAACACTCATAGTAACTCACCCAACAAGTGCTTGCAGTTGTTGCAGTAACTAACAATCTCATCGACTCCATCTACTAACTCGCGATCTTGTTGGAAGGCGTCACCCAATCTATGTGCTTTTTTTGATTTCCGGCTGATCTTTACTTGAGAAGTGACATAACCTTGCATGGAGTCACATCTATCAACCTCATTTAGCAACCAATTTACAAATTCCCTCTCGGCAATTTCTTTTTCCTTATTTTGCAATAATCTCAACTCTACTAATAAATTATATCGCTCAAGACCGATGGCTCTGAATTCGGACCTCATCCTAGTCTCTATTTCTTGAAGATCGCCCTTTCGAGGTATACCATCATCATTAAACAATCTCGATAAATTTTGGTAATTCCATGTAAAGGATTCCGATTCAAATAGTTGAAACGGTTTGCTGCTTGATATCGTCGAGTTCAATAAGCTCGCTCGATTTTTGAACTCGTCCAATACATCTTGTGAATAGACTGCTCTTTGCAACAACAATGGATTTTGCTTTACAAAGTCTTGAGCTAAAGAATTACCCCGGTGTACTGTCCAGTAAGTTACACTCGTTTTACCCAATAGGAAGATATTGGACCCTATCAAGGCAACAATCATAGCGACATAAATTTGGTTTGCCTTGAGATTTTCAAATGTAATTTTCGTGAGTTGAATCGCCAAGGAGATCAACCAAATGAACAAATCTCTCCAAAAGGCAAAAATTCTATGCACTAGCAAGTTCCAACAATCATCTATTCCAAGTTGTATAACTGGAACTTCTGATGGTATTTCTTCCGTTTCGGGGTCGCTAGTGTGGCTCAATTTTCCATATAAATAAATGGCTTTCACGATTTGCCCATGAGAGCCTACAGCTTTAACAGCACTCCTCAATTTTTGATTGATTTTGGACACCTGGTCTACATTGACACTTCTGACAATCTGCTTGATGAGTGGATTCCAAGGCGAATTGTGTTCAAATACGGTTCGTGAATAAAAGTACACCCTTGTACGTTTCCCAGCTACACCCGCCACAACGTATTTACCCACAATGGCAAATGGTGAGCCCAAACAAAAATCAAAACGTGAGAGCGTATGAGTAAAAACGTAATAGGTGTTATCTTCCATTTTGTCAATCACCTGCTCGTATCGCAACTGTCTCGTCTTTCCGTTTAGCAAGACTGGCCTAACCCCGTGTCGATACAACTTATCCGCGTTCATATTATCCACCCTCCATGGTTTTGTCACCTTAAAACCGAACTTGAGAGTTGCAGTTTCCCGGTTGAATATGTCTGATTCGTCACCTAATAAAGCATGAAAAATGGCTTTGGGCGGCAATGAGTACGTTTTCTCGCCAACAAGATAAAACTGCGGGGTAAAGTCAACTTGATACGATGTTGCCTTGCCACTTGTATTAGGGGATATCGACGCGGTATCTCCTCCTATCAACAATCGATTATTTATCAAAGTCTTGTTTGACAAGTTTTTTGTTAGTTTGTTAATCTCTTGAATAATTGCGCTATCATGTGCTTCTTGGTGAACTTCATGCTCAATCCCTTCAAAAGCTTTCAACACTTCTTGGAGATTTTTCGGACTGTCACTGACAACATTGTCTATAAGATAAAGATATTTCCTTCTAATCATCTTTGCATCTTCCATAAACAACTTTAATCTAATGACTCCATCAACGGTGTAAACTTTTAAAGTATCAAAGTCGGCTTGACCTGAGACTTCCATCGATACACATTCACCAATGTATGCCTTATACAAGGCAACGAATCCCAATGCCTGCATGTAGAAGTAAATGTGGTGCGTAGTTAAAAAGCAACGACCACTTAACTCTTGCCTGGAATTGGGAGCCCAAATGCAACAAAAAGACATGACACAATACTCTCCCGCTTCAACTACATTTTCAAACAATGCGCGCATTTGAATGTCAAATGTTATCAATTCTCTAGGGTAAAAATGTGGATAAGGCACGGCCGAGCCTGTGTATTTTTCCTGATATTCTATCATAGATTGGTCTTTCATTTTGCGCTGTGATGGAAAAACATCAGTGTGCTCAACCGCTCCTTGAAGATAATAGAGCCCCCAATTCACGGACCCCCATACATTTGCTGTCAACGCATGAGGTATGTCAATAGCTCTGAAACTGGTACAAAATGCAACAAAAGACTCCTTGGTTTTGTCTGTCATAAATGGTGGGTGGACTCGAGGCATATCAGCATATAAATTTACGCCATACATTTTCCCAAATTTGTCAACGTTGCGCATCATCGAACTAGAGACTATTGCTTGCCCAGTGGAATTGACAACCTTCACGCTAGACAATTCCTGGTCTATGGTGGTATTTTCTGTGGATGCAAATTCCAAAAAAATTGGCGGAAATCTTGTAGACGCAACTCTGAATAAATCGTCATCTGGTGGCAAGGAAGAAATCCGATCTTTCTCATTATCAAAAACCTTCAACCACGATTTTAGTTCAACAAGCGACTCAGCTTGTAATGTGACTGTAAGTTCGCTAGTTTTTAAATCAAAACAAAATCTTCGATCCTCATTTGGTGCATAACGCATATTGCAAAGAAAAATACCTAGCTTATCTGTTTCCTGTACCGAAGTTTGAGACGCACTTAACAAGTACATGCCAAATACTCCATTCTTTATGAAGCACCATCTCCTTACCCATATTGGTTTAGCACTCTTTTCTGTCCAAGTTTTCATAAACAAATAGCCATGCTTTTCAAACGAGGGTTCATCGATATCGTGCAAAGATTTGTAGCTTATTGTTGAGACTTTGTAATCATTGGCATTCAATGAAGGTTGAAATTGTGCACTTGAGCCATCTTCAACCTGCTTGCGTGCAAGTAGCATATCGTTTTTAATCTCTTTAGAGGCAGACGCGATTGAATAGCTCCAGCTCTGAACTCTTTGAATCAGTTCGTAATTCCTTCGAAGAGGGTCATTAGGTTCATTTGTGGCAAATGCGGCATACTTCTTCTCCCAAAGACTGGTCACCAATGATACGAGTAGTCTATCCAATACCGCACTCAAATTTTGCAATTCACAAACGATATCGAGAGATACATGTAGATACTCTCTGCGCACCTGGTATAACTGCTTGGCATCTTCCATGACCATTACTGCATCTTTTGATTTTGTTGAACTGGAATACACATTCACATACCTATCATACTTTCTTTGGCTCATGTCAAATTTTCGGCGCAATTCGCGATATTTGGCTACATTGACAGTTCTAAACTGGTTCAATTCATTCAAAACAGTAGGGTTTATGGTCAAAGCAAACAAACTTTGACCCCAAATTTGTTTTAATCCGGCCAAGGTTGCTTGTAAAGCTTGGGAACTGTATTCTTGGTCAATAAATCCATCTTGTAAGAAACTTGGAAATAAGTATTCTAAAAATGAGTCGCAAAACGTTTCCACTTCTTTGATATATCTCGGCATCTTCTTTAATGAAGAACTAATTGCGAGCAACCATTGCTCTATATTCATCAATTGAACGTCCAAGTGGTTTATGGAAGCCCGGAAACTGGGACTATCCAATGCTGCTTCCTTAAAGTTTACCGAAATTAACTTAAATTGTCTCAAAATTTGATGCTTTGGGTTCTGTTTCATCCTCCCGGACTTCATTGGTACTTGCGATGGTTGCGACTTTTGCTTGTGAGTGTTGAGTGACGTGGACTTTTGAACATTGACCGACGGGCCATTCGATGCTGCTTGGGTCGCACGTGCCAGTCCTTGTGGCAGCTTCTGGTTGATTCCCATCCCTATGCTATAAATAGAAAAGGATTGCTGTTGATTATATTTGTTCTTTTTTTTTTTCGGGGTCTATAAATCTAAAGCCTTCTGTGCTGTGAGTAGAAAATGTTGAGCGCAAAAGCTCTCGGTTAAACTTACGGAGATAAAGGGGTATCGCACACAAACTTCTACATTTTATATCCCATTATCGCAGATAATGTGCAGATTAAATGCTATACAAATCAAATCTTATATAATACAAAATTCTCTATTTTTTTGGTTTGTACATGACTGGTTCATTCAATGGAAATGTGTGTATACCTTTTCCTTGGTTGGAAGAAGATTTTATTTGTGCACGGCTGGTTTTAGCATCTTTTGAGGGATCGTAACCCAAAATTGGTCCAAAAGTGATTTCTTTCGACTTGTTCTCTTTATCTCCAAAAGTTTGGGCTGGTTGTAGGCGTGAATACAGTTTGGAGCGATGTATCGTGTTGGAATTGCGCGCCAATTGATTCCTGGGATGTGGTCCTGGTTGGTAAGGTGCCTGCGGTTGCAAGGGCTCCTTTTGAAACTGAGTGGTGATTGCCAGCGCACTTGGCGGTATACCTGGTGGTGGGAATGGGGCATTGTGGGGTACATTTTGTTGAAATTGAGAAGCACTATGTTGAAGTTGGGGGGGCACTTGTTGAGTCTGGTTTCGATGATGTTGATATCGATGTTGGGCATATGACGGTTGTGCCAGATTGTCTACAAAGAGGGGCCCCTGTGTTTGTGTTTGGTACCCATTGTTGGCCATTTGAGATTGATCGATGCTTATATTCACCCTGTCAAATCCTTGCGAGTCGCTTGAATAAAATTCACCCAGCTGGATATTACCCGTGTTTTTTATAGCACCATTTACATCTTGTTGAATATCGCAACTAGAGCCAAGACAATTTTGAGACTGAGCCTGGTATATTGTAAATGGATCGGCCATCTGTTGTGGTGGTGGTGGTTGTGGGTGGAAATGAGTGAACTTCCTCTGATTTTGAAGTTCCTTCAAAGTGTTCCTATTCAATTTGTTCACAATGCTTGAATTGTAAACAGGGGCGGACATTGGTCCAGAAATGATATTGTGATTCTGATTTGCCCTGGTAATGTCAATCTTTAGTTTGTTGGGTGTTTGTTTATTTTTCATTGGTACTTGGGGAGTGCTCGATAATCTACCGGGAGGGGACGAATCAGCAATCACAGTTTCGTTATCGTCGGAATCGACAGCAGTCTGGAGATTGTTCGAGCTCACAATTGTAATAATAGATTCTCCCTTTGAGCCATCCACATGGAAATCATGAATCAAATAAGCATGTATATGAGACTTTTCCAAGTCTAAGTTAGAGTTCGACTCGTGAGTGTTGTGATAGATATATTGAACGACTTTAATATCACCATCTGACTCTATTGCGGATCCATTGATCAAATAGTTGAAAAAGCCAGCAAAAAAAGTCTTCACAAACGGGATTTTCAAAGTATATGATTTCGAACCTTCGTTCAAGTATCCGCTAACCACATCGATAACCAGAAGTAGCTTTTTCCCACCCTGAAATATCTCAACAGAACTGTACCAAGTAAGCATGGGCGCTATGTTACATCCTTCGTGATGCACTATTATTGTCAATGTTGATTCGAACCGAGAAGGAGTTATACTCATCACGTTTGTAAATTGTGGGGACCATGATTGGGGCATCGGTGTGGATGTTACTACGTCTCTAACGTGTAGATTTAGTGAATGTTGACATATCCACACCGGTATTTTTCGTCTGTGGAGCCTGCTCACCATATCTGGATCCAACTTTTCCGCAATCTTGTGCTCACAATTTATCCACTTTTTAAGTTGAGTGAATACAATTGACTGTCTATTGTCTTGAAAACACATTTTAAAATCCTTTGGGGTAAGCTTGTAAGAAGTAGTTGTGTCAAAAACGTCATCCAAAGGTGATGATGTTAACAAAATGTTTAATTCATGATCGATTAAAGCGTCAGTGTGTGCCGACTCTGGTAATTGTTGGCTATTGACCAACTCCTCTAAAGGGGTGCGTATCAATTCCTCGAGTTCATTAGTTGAAACATTGGTTTGCGGAGTTTTTGTCTCTCTTGTTAATCTTCCTGCTTTGCTTAGTCTAAAAATCCGGGAAGATATCTGTTTAGAAGTTCTTAGGATACCAGTTCGGTTAAAAATCATTCGCGAAATGATTTTATTCTGGGACGTCTTTTTAAGAATGGACATCTCACTGGCAGCTCCGCTTGATTTAAACTTTTGGTACTTGTGAAATGATTTGATCAACACATCATCCAATTCCAAGCTCCAAACTTCGCTTGCTGCGGAAGAAGTGGTTGAATGTGCATTGCTCAACCTCCTCATAGATATTGGTGAGTCCATCGTTGAATCTATTGTAGTAGCTATTCTGTTATTAGGTGTATCTGTGATATCGCTCAACTTCCTTCTCTTAACTGAACTCTCATTGATTTCAAGAGATTGTACATTATCTCGGGCTGAAACAAGGTTAATTGGTAATCGACTGGTTTTGCTGTCGGCTGTTTTTGCTGGTGTTTGAAAAATCTTGAAGTCGTTATCATCCAACTCAATTCTTTTACTGTTGTGGTCAATCTCGTGGATGGACGTGAGATTTGATTGGTTTTGTTGAGTTGTGTTTATGGACGACCACACTTCCTCCTCCTCCTCCTCCTCCTCTTCATCCTCATCTTCATCTCCATCTTGCTTTTTACCCTTGTCTTTGCTATTCCGTGCATCTTTCGGGGTATGCCCCTGGCCCTGTTCCTGATGTCCAGCATCAGCTGATTGACCGACCGAGTTTAGTGAAGCTAGAAACTTGTAGTGGTCTTTGCATGGTGTGTTATTCTTATCTGTGGTGACTCTTTCTGTAGACCTTGCAGAGTCGAAAAACCTTGTCGGTGAAACACCACTAGGAGTATTGAAGTTGAAAGTTGGCGAAAAGCTCAAACCAAATGGAAACAGAGGGGTAGACAAACGATTCAACCCATGTGGAATAGTTGATGCGTTAGTGTGTGCCGACTTGCTTCTCGGCGTTTCTGGTGGTACTGTATCTAGTACAATTGAAGGTGGATTTGCGGAGTTGTTGGACATCTTTTAGTTGAGTAATGGTCAAGTTGTCTGGTGATCCCGTTGTTCCAGGACCGCGATATTAAAACCACTTTTGTAGTAACTGTACTAAGGAGAAATGCAAGATATGTTTTTCAAATGAATCCTAGTACTCCGCTCTTCTTGCTGACCTTTTAAAATCAAATCTGAATGTAGGTATACAGTTGGAAGATTGGTTTGCTCAATTAATTGTTGGTATATAAATATATATATCTTTCAGACTTTAGTTAAAGAGAAAAACACGCAAAAAACAATTTAAGTTCGCCCTAATTAAAATTCTACACTTTCTTTTTTTTTTTTGTTCCAAGTCTTTGTGATTCAAGCAACAACATGAAATCGTACATTACGCGTTTTTTTTTACTTTCTCACGCGAGAATCAATCGGAACATAGTCTCCTTTAGAAACTCGATATACGGGTAATATAAGGCAATCAAACAACTATATGTAATCAATGTACCTAGCTTAATAAGAGACCCATCTATAAACATTTTCAATAACTAGCAATAACGTCTCATTTTTCAAGAGCTCGCTCGATTTCTTCCACCAAGGCGTGGCTCAATCCTGGATGCTTCAACTCAAAGTGATTAATCGCATCAATAAGTCGCTCAACACCTCGTTGTGTTTGTTCATCCTTACCCCTAGCAAGAACTTGACGCAAGCTATAAAGCAAGATTAAGCTTTTGTCTTGTTGTTTGGGTGTCACAACTGGTGCTGCTGCTGCGTAATCTGAACTTGCATTGTGTGACCGCAGATTTGAATACACGCTTTCGACATCAGCATCATCAGACAATATTCTTTCAATTTGTTTGACCTTAGATGAATCAGGTGTCATAACATCTAGTTGCATTTGTAATGTACGAGTGAATTCCCACGCAATTTCGCGTTTAGGTTCAAGTTCAGTGGGAACATCATGATCAATATTCTCAATCAAGTCACAATTTAACTTATGACGAGGATTTGCGTAAGTTTTGCGATTGAAATAGGCATTCTTCCTGGTAATCATTCTCATCAACTCTTGTCTTATATTACCTTGTAGTTCTGTTATAAACTTATGCTGCAACAACTCATGACAATTTGGTCTTTGCTCGGGGTCTGAAGTAACACAGAGTTTTACAAATTCTTTAATTCCATCGCTGTAATAACCCCGCAATTGTGGTGGTTTCTTTTTAGGAATGTCAAACAACACTTTCATGGGATCATGTTCTGCCAACGGTGGAGCGCCAGTAGCCAACTCAATAACAGTAATTCCAGTGGACCAAATATCAGCTTTGTAGTCATATCCTTCACTCTTTTTGGTACCTCCTCTTTTTGATCCTCCCCTAGTTATCACTTCTGGCGCCATCCAAAAGGGAGTTCCAACAAATGTATTTCTTTTTTTCTTCGAAAACGTGATTTCAGTGCTGACTCCAAAATCCCCAATCTTGACTTGACCATCCTCAGTTAGCAAAATGTTTGCCGACTTAATATCCCGATGAACTTTGTGCTCTCCATGTAAATATGCTAATCCTGTCAATACTTTTTTTATAACGTATCCAACAACATTTTCAGGAATCATTTTCTGAAACTTTATCAAGTCCGAGCATGATCCGCCACCACAATACTCCATTACAATGAATACATTGGCATCATGTGTGAAACTTTCATAATACTTTACCACATGTTGATTTCTCAATTTGTTCAAAAACTGAATCTCCCTAACCGTTTGCTTTACATCGTCACTGCCAGAATCTTCCAAGTTAATCACTTTGATGGCTACAAACTCTATTTTTTTGGCCGTTAATAAAGTGGCTCGATAAACGTCTCCAAAATTTCCTCTTCCAATAATTTTTAAATCGCCATATTTGCAAGGAGATTGAGGCGAAGGAATTTGCTTATTGTCTCTCCTAGACAGCATGTAACCAACCATTTGATGAGCCTTGTTTTCCTTTGCTGTGTACTGAGTTGGTGTTAGATAGTGGAATATCAAAAAAGGAAAACTAGTTGTAAGCATATATTTCATGTTTGTGGTTTTTGTGATAATATTTGTGCGTTCGGCTTCTAAAGACTCACAAAAAAAAAAAAACCAAAAAGGGCGCATTAATGACACAAACCGAGCCTTAACTAAAACCATTCAAAGTAACGCACTTCATCTTCCAGTACTCAATAGCCTCCGTTGATAAACCCACATTAGCGTTGGGAGATTTTGGAGACCCAAGATTGGTGCAGCCATTCAGCACTAAAAGCTCCGAGAGAACAAAATATTTCACTTTGGCATCATCAGTATCAACCTCCATGAACTTTCGCAAGCTGTACTCAAATATGGAAACCACGGTATTCTCTTCTTTGTTTGATGGTTTTATTTGAATGTTTAGGTTGACGTCGGCCCCACATAAAATTGCTTTTATAACATCGTGTACTTGTATTTGTTGAATTGATTTGATCAACAAATTATTCACATCCGGTAATACCACTAAATATTTCTTCTTGTAATACTTGTTTCTAATAAAATTTAATCTTGCTTCATGACCAGTATTTGCATTAATTCGTGGACCCGATAAGTTTTCTTCCATAAATTCGTTAATTCGTCTGTTATTGACAAATCTCAATAACATCTCCGTCTCCTTTGAAAAGTTGTCAAGAGTCAACGACCGGACCTTGCTGATATGCGACCCAATATTTCGATGGCATGATGCGCAATTCACGCACATGCAAATCAAGGAGTTTATGGAAACCCACTCAACCAGCTCTGTCAGTCTGCAATCGATACACATATCATTGTCACTGTCAGGTATGTTTCTCACCAAACTCAAATGAGAAGATTCTGCAAATAAATCTCGAGAAACAATTGATACAGGTGACACACTTTTGTCATAGCTGTCTCCAGGAATAATCGGTTTAGTAGTGAAATCTGTGAGTACTTTCCCTAGACTCTTCTTACCCTTCTTTTGCGTAGTGCCGAACCTTTGCTCTAATCTTTTTGTGTCTACGAGCTGACCAGCATTGTGTAGTGCCTTGACCCACTTGTTTCTATCATCATTGTCAAAGGCCTGAAATACATGTCTTACCCCTGACGATGTCAAAATCTCAAAGCAGTATTGTCTTTTGTGGTAATTGACAACTTTAACACTAGACAATGCAATTTCAATCGGAGCACTTATGGGTGACTTTCCTTTGCGCCAATCGGAGTACTCCGTCAACTGCCCATCCTTAAGAACAACCCACTCTTTATGCCAACTGGAATTCTTTTGACCACTAAGCACAAAAAGAATACCCGACTTGTCTGAATCACCAGTTTGGGACTCGTTTGGTGGACGCACATCGGCAAATATCAAGTCAAAGTTATCCGTTGTAATCATAAACTCGTCTATATTATCATCATGGGAACTGGTGGAAATTTTGGAACCAGAATAACTGAGGCTGTTATGTCGTATCAAATTTGTTAATTCTTCGTTGGATTGACAAGCTTCAATTTTTTGTCTCAACTGATACTTTTCACTGTTAAATCGTGTCAAGGCAAATAAGTAAATTTGGTAATTGGGTGAAATCAAATCAAAGTTGGCGCTATCTGAAAACATGGCAAAATTCATCAACTTCGGGTGCGACTTGTTGTAGGGTAAATTCATGAATTTGAAGAGCTTTTCCGCTAAATTATTGGCGTATTGGTTATTGGAAATCTTGCTGAGTTGGTTCAAATAATCAAACTTTGAGAGTTCAAACTTTTTCCTTTTGGACAAGAGCTTAGAGTCCGGTCTCTCTTTCTCGTTGGCCAAATATTTATTCATCCATGCGTAATACTCCTTAGAATCTGCTTCAAATTGTTTCTTGATTTGTAAAAGCTCGGACTGGCTTGTGGTTTCCAATTGTGATAAAGGAACATTGTCTATAACTTTTGTGAGGGCTTTACTATCGCAAACTTGATCAAAAAAGAAGCCGAGATTTTTCTCGAATGGCTCGAATAATCGTACGAAGGCGCGCTGGAAATCTTGCTTGAATCCAAATGCCTCGATAAGTTGTGAGTTGAAGCCAACAACACGGTTTATCCCCTCTACAATTTTCGACTTCGTGCTTGCCACTCGCCTCATACTTGATTCCAATACCCGAAAGTCCTCTATCAAATTCAAGTAATTTCCACGCATTTTGGGAATAGACTCCTCTAAGCTGCTTAAATGTTTTCTAAATTCTGGTCCATCTTCGATACTGAAACTAAATTCTCTTCTAAAATCACCTAAACTAAAGCTCTTGGATTCAGGCTTTGTTTGTGGGGTTGTAGTTGTATTTGTTTCTTCTTTGTGATCTTTGACGGTTGCAAGCTTGTTCACCCATACGCTGAAATGAAGAAGGTAGGAATACTCCTCTGAACTGGGATCGTGTTCCCATAAGGATATGGATATCTTTTTGTCATTCATCGTCGTGGAATCAAAAGAATCATTGATGATCAACTTTTGAAACTCAGAAACACTATCTTCGATTGGCAAGTTTTTGCACATCAATTTTGAAACATCAATTGTGGACCCAGTTGCATCACTTGCCAACTCTCGCAACGTAGACACGTCATTAACCCCGGAAGATTTGACAATCAATAAATTTCTGTCACGAAACCCTGCCGTCGTTTTGATTGAAACATGAAGTTTGAACTTGTTGAGGTGTGGGTCAACTTTTATAAGCAAAGGATAAGTTGACTTTTCACTCTCATCCACGTTTTCAATGTAGCTGATGGCTTCATGACTCTCCAGTCGCTGGTGACAAATCTCCCCCACCAGTTTATCCTCGCGAAGAGAAACTCTTATACTTTCTGCATCGTCCTGGCCAGTGAAAAACAATTTATTGAGCAGAACATTCGCCTTTGAAACCTGGTAATAAGGGAATGCTATCTTTGATAGGTGGTCCATTGAATGATAAAATTGAGATATTTGAAGAAGATTTGGGAGGTTGGTTCCTAAAACAAGTAGAATTGTGTACAATTTAATTTTTTTCTTTTATGTTTTGTTACCCTTCTCTGATTTTTTGGAACCATTTTTTGATATCAAACAGAGATAGCAACTAATTTCACTAATAGCATAGCATTGAAAATCAGCCTTTACCAAATATAGACTGTTGCTCACCCCCACCTCCTGCATTATCCAACCAACAACTTTGTCTGGAACAAATAATCACAACTATATACATACACACACACACACGCATCACTGCATCATCGAAACGACATCTCCCCTATACAATGAGAAAGAGGACTCCCGCACCTAGGAAACCTAGGAAACCTAGGAAACACACGACACTGCTGCTTGGAATCAAACAGCCTCGAGCAACTACCGTTACTGGTACTATTGTCATGCTCGATGATCCAAATGAACACGATGATGTCAACTCAATGAAGAAGTCAGCCACCGGTGTCATTTTGAACCCTCAGCCGCATGATTCACCCAATGATCCATTGAATTGGTCAGTATGGAAACGCGATTTGTGCTTGTTGATTATTGGATTTGCTAGTTTCTTGGGAGGTGGCCAGTCTCCAATACTAGCTGCGGGATTGGGATCTTTAGCTACTGAGTTTGATAAACCCTTGACGACAATATCCTACTTGGTTGGTGGGTTTATGTTGTCGTTGGGTGTTGGATCAGTTATCGCTAGTCCTACAGCTGTGCTCTATGGGAAAAGATTGGTATACATTGCTGGGACATTTATATTTGCAATGGGTGCAGTATGGGGAGGCGCAGCTAATAGTTTTGGCAATTTGATGGGGGCAAGAGTGCTAACTGGTATTGGTGCTTCCCCCACTGAATGTTTACCTAGTTCCACGATTGCCGAGATTTATTTTGCTCATGAACGAGCGTATAGAATTGGACTTTATACAATGTTGATGTTGGGTGGGAAAAACATCATCCCTCTATTGTCTGCATTGGTGTTTCAGTATTTGGATAGACATTGGTTGTTTTGGATCTTGGCCATGTTTTTAGGATTCACCACCATTATGATTATTTTATTTGTTCCCGATACATTTTGGGATAGGACGCCAACACCATCAAAAAGATCCATAGCTGAGACTGAATTGGCACAAAATGTGAAATCGTACCATCCACCTTCACAAAGACCCAATGCGTTTGCGTTGCAGAGTAATCGTCAGCAACGACCCAGTTCATCGTCACAGGATATACATAGTCTTTCGTCATCGGTTGTTGATTATACTGCTCAAGGAGTAACCGAAAAGCCTGTCGCCATAACCGAATCAACTCAACCACCAGTTGAATACCAAAAGAATAGTTACTGGAAAGACGTGAGAATATATCAAGGGCGTTTTACCAAAGATAGTTGGTGGATGGTTGCATTACGACCATTTGTGTTGTACACGTACCCCCATGTCCTATTTGGTTCCTTTATTTACTCGTTGGCCGTTGTCTGGCTTATTGTCATTTCAGAAACAATTGCCGAAATTTTCAGAAACCCACCTTATGGATATAGTCAACAAACAGTGGGTCTTTTCTACATATCACCATTTATTGGTGGAATCATTGGATCGTTGTCATGTGGATTGATTTCAGACAGATTAAGTCGATATTTTGTTGCTAAGAATAGAGGTGTTTATGAACCAGAGTATCGCTTGGTTATGATTATTCCGTCCACATTGCTCATTGCTATTGGATTGATGGGGTACGGATGGTCATCAACAGTACAAGATCCGTGGATTGCTCCAGTGATCTTTTTTGGAGCCATGTCCTGTGGCTCATCCATGGCATCAACTACAGCAATTACTTTTTCCGTGGATTCTTACAAGATGTTTGCTTCAGAAACGTTGGTTTCGTTTAATTTTTTGAAAAACTTGCTCGGTTTTTGTTTTTCATTATTCAACAATAAATACGCGGCACAACAAGGTTACAAATCAGCATATGTCACGTATGGAGGTATTCAATTGTTTGTCAGTTTGTTTGCTATACCGTTGTACATTTATGGTAAAAAGTTGAGAAATTGGACCGATGAAAAGGAATTGATGAGAAGTTTGTATCATGAGGATAATGTACCGCCTAGTGTTTCATCGAAAAGCAAGTATGACTATGATGAGTCAATTAGTAATGTCTCAAGTGAAGAGCGTGCCAGGAGTATGCATGAGGAGGCTAGATAGAGAGTTTGCCTTGAAAAAGTTTGCTCATATCCAATTTAAGTTTACGTTCAATTCTTCATTATTTCGTAGGTAGATATCGACCCTTTCTTGTAAAGTTTTGCCATTGAATTTCATTCCATCCTCACTCACTTTAGGCATACCTAGCCTTTCGATGATGCATCCGCTTGCGATATTCCCACATACTCCACCTACTTCCCAATCATGTTGGCTTAAATACCACCCCATCATGAACCCACCGCAAAACGAATTTCCACCTCCTGTAACATCAATCACATCAGCCTGGTTTTGATGATAGGCGGGTAGTTTATATAGCTTGCCAGAAATAGTCCTAATGCAACATCCATCTGCACCACAACGAATAACAGTCCCTGAGTTGGCCAACTTTTGGTATTGCGTAAACTTTGAGCAAAGTTCTGCAGCGTTCAATTTGTTGCCATTGGAAACGAAAGCAGAAGCTTCATCTAAATTAGGAGTGAATACGTCAATCAACGATAATAGGTCTCGTAATTTCTCATAGTTCGAAGAAATGCAGTCATCAGGAAAGGGCTCGTAGATATACTTTGCTGTAGGATTCACCTTGCTGATCTTTTCTATTATATCTCGGCATCTCTCGATTGTGCAAATCAAGTGATAACAGTTGCTATATTTCAATTCATCATATTGAAAAATATCCTCAACTTGAATCCTTCTCTTCTCAGTCTTATAATGGAAATGACGAATTCCCTTGATGTATGTGTTGACACCTCTAGTAGTCAACCGATGATAATTTCGTCTGAATACAACACCTGTTTGCCAGGATTCTATTTCTTCGTGAACCAGAGAAGGAAAATCTGTCCCTTCGTCAATGATCCCACTGATTTGTTGGCTTAGTTTCGGTGGTGACACTATGCGTGCTCCGATCATGGCATAAGTACCTGCTCCACCAATGATATTGGCCTGCTTTGGTGCTGGCGGGTCTATGTAAAGATTTTCATCTATTATGAACATTCCCAAAGTAGTGAAGATCGTCATTGTCGGTAATGGCAAAGGTGGTTCATACAATATGATAGAAGATAATGCAATTTGTTTTTTCTTTTCTCTGTTTGATTTGTTGCAAAACTGTTGAAGTAAAGTTAAGCTGCAATTTACGAAATAAATAAAAATTATCTACTCTACCTTATGAGCTGCTGACTACTCTTGTTCATCGTCATAATCAACCATATAGAACGATTGGATTAGACAAATCAACGCAAGAGCACCTAGCACAAGCCAAGGTACACTACCAACCTCATGTTCGTTACACCAAGTCATAAAATGTCCGAAAATTATTGGACTAACACCTCTAGCTAACGAGTTTAAGCTCAAGCTTGACCCATTGATTAAAGCCCGGTGTTTCTCCGGTGAAGCCCTGTGAACTAGGATCATTGTTGTGGGAAAGGCTACTGAAACTGAGCCACAAATTACCATACTTGTGATGTATAAAAGACCAGTAGATAGCTGTTTGTTGTTTGATAGGTTGTATTCCGGTGTAGCAAATAAAAAATAAGGTATTATAGCATATGCTAGAGGCACCAAGGAATACGACATTCGTAATATGGTTATTGATTTGAAATGGTGATCTAATACAGGAAACAAGAAGATCACTGCAAGACTTCCTATTATCCCTGTTGATGATAGTAATGCACCTATGTCATTAGTCTGCCACCCAAAACCACCCACAATTGTGAATGGAAAACTTAACTTGTCCACCAGTAACTGACTAGCTAATAACACTGGCATAAACTCCGAATACAACACTGTATGGAAGCAAAGTAAGAAATTGGACATCACTGTTTGCACAACTGGAACAGTGAAAACTTCTTTCGTGAATGACTGGCTCACATTTGCCGATATTGAATGTCCGTCGTTGGATACCACGGGGCCAAGTTGTTCCGATGAGTACCTTCGTCTAGCCGCATCTCCAAATCTACGCGATATCAATGTATTGTCGATTTCTTCTTCATTCTCCGCACCCTCCTCGTCATCCCCATCGACTGCAGAGTAGATTTCAGAAGGTTGCAATAGTTCTGTTCTTTCGTGAAGTTGCTCAACGTCGACAGAAAGTTTATCCCAAAATCTTATTGGAACATCCAACCCTAATCTTTTCAAAATCCAATCACCAACCACCAACCCATAATCCTTTCTGTTTTTAAACTTCTCCGAAGTCTCTTCCAAGAACAAGAACCCCATAACAAAGCTGAAAAAGAGATATCCCGCCAAAACAATGTTTGACATTGCGTAAGGATGTTTGTTGACAAAGTCATTGTAGTTGGTTAGCTCGGGCAGTCTCGCCTTATGAGGTCTTGTAAACCATGAACTGCTTCCAATTAAAGGTCCAATAATCAGGCCAATCCCCCACATCACCGACAACGCTGTAAACGCCATATTCTGGTGTTTCTTTTGCACCGCAACTTCACCGATAGCTACTCTCATGACTGCTATGTTTCCATTCAATGCACCCATTAATGATCTCGCAATCAAGGCCATGGTGAATGTTGACGAAAAGCCAAATAAAAGACTAGAAAGAGCGGTGCCAATGACACCAAATAGCAAAACTGGCTTCCTACCGAATCGAACCGAAGCTTGTGCATATTGCACTGAAAATAGAAATTGAAAAATGGCAAATGAGGCTGATAGGTAACCGGCGTATGTGGCAATTTCAGCCAGGTTATCAGTGATATTAAAATCTTGAATCATGAAAAAGATGTAGGCAAAAATCGAAGTGAAGACCATCGGCTCACCGAGTCTGATTAAGCAAATTAAAGTGAGTTGCCATGTAGGAAACCCCTTCATTTGTTCCCAGAATCCTTTTGGCATGGCTGATAAAGTTGTGTGGTGTTGTAAAAGAGGTTTTTGATTAGTGAGACACTATTTAATACTCAACTGGCTCTTTTTTCACTGGAATTCACGAAGGCGGCAATGGTAACGATCAAGTACAGGTGATGTATGTGTATATATTCATTTAGATTCTGATAAATTTTACTATACATGACTAATCAGGTTTATTTAAATTGCAGATTGAAACAAAAACAATTTTTCTATTGTTCCTCAATGCCTAATTTAGATTGTAAATTGCGTCACTCCAATTGAAGAACTGGTCGGTGTGATTGGGAAAAGCTGCTAGTGTAAAAGAAAAAACACCTTAAGTGGTGATGGTCAACCTTTGAGATGTTAGAAGATCACTGTTGTAAATTTTTTTACGTACCTTGTGGATCCCATACAAGGGCATTAAATTTAACTGTGGCACTTTAATAAATCTTCACGTGAGAGAATACTTGTCCGTGATTATTAGAAATACCTCAATTTGGTGAAATTTAGCCCGCTTGGCCAAGTGGTAAGGCGCTCCACTCGTAATTTATACTGAAATGGAGCGATCGTCGGTTCAATCCCGACAGTGGGCATAAATTTTTTTTCGTATGCCTAAAGTAAGGTATGACTCTTTTTTCAGAAGGAATCTTGTAGAAAACTTTATCAGATGTAAGCTTGCTTTCCGCGCCCATTGAAGTGACGCTCAAGCTTTGCGGAAAGTCGAGGGACCGCTTTGCACATATATCTTATTTCTTTCTTCCAACGAAGTTTCCTCGTTTTTTTTTTTTTGACCGAGAAAGTTGCAAAATATCTTGAAAATGTTATGACTTGTCAAACGCTGAGCTTTTCACAAACTTAACAAAACAAAATCAATCCCCTATTTTATAAAGGTTTATTCAATCTTTTGAGTCACAGTAACGGACTGAGCTGTAACATCGGGTCGATCTCAATTATGACAGCCGCAGGTGCACATATCCACTCAGGGTAAATATGCTTGCCTTGTTTCTATAATGAACCCCTCTTGTAGAGATGTTTTGACTTTATCGTACATAGTGACTAGAGTGTCGCCGGTCGTCAACCATCATTCTAAATGAGAAAGCAACTCGTGTCAGTTTTTTTAACGAAGAGTCAGTTTGACAGCAAAAGTGGTGCTTAGATACTCATAACTATTTCGCGAAATGACCACGTTCTTCGCCCTCGTGGTCGTCTTTTAATTAATCATGTTATGTATCACTAATACTCCTCAAATGTGGAAATTCTCTCTCGCGCACAATTCTAGGGGGTATGGTGATACATAACAGTTATCTTATCAAAGTTTTAAACTTCGTAACATATGCACCCCTGATGATTCAAAACTTGGTTACCTTGTCGATTTATGGTAGTATCTGCGTAGTAGTTAGCAACTGGAGATCAACGGTTTCAAAAAGGGGTGAGAGAGATACTTACAAACCCAACGCTGTCGTCTTGGCACAAAAAAACTACACATCAATTGAATAAGTTACTCATGATAATGTTTAACCCCCCAACCCCTTATAGCTTGAATTTAGTTTGTAACCGCGATTCGTTGTGAACACCATCAAAAGCGTGATAGAGCCTCAACCCGAGAATCCAAAATTCATGATCACATTTCTTTAATGTGTCAGGTGTGTATTTCTGGTATAGCAATACACTTCTCCCAGCATTTTTTTTACTACATCCATTACCGTATTTGGGGTTTGAACTTCATTCAAAAATTTTTTTTTGGTGCTGGCTATTTTTGTTTTTCTTTTTATTTTTCTTGCAGATTGAAATATTATTTTCTGCATTTGTTTATATTGTTCACGTTTGTGTAACATGCAGTGGCGACTAAAAAGAAAACTCTTTTTGATTTGAATTGAACTTTGAGGTTGATCTCAACCAAATTCATTCCCAAAAACAACTCCTTCGAACAAGCCACTTGGTAACTAGGCACCACCCAAATTTTGAAAAAAGTGTTCTCGAAATTTTAGTTCGATCAGTCTTATGCGCATATACTCTTGGATAATTGTCTTGCCGATTCTAAACCAAGAGCCAGCACAAACATTCAGACTAAATGCTATCCCTCAAAGTGACCAGTCTCTGTTTACTTAAAGCTATAATGTAGTCATAAAACATCCACAAAACTCAAGAAATCAAAGGTGATTTATTTACGTTGAGCTCGTATTCATAGAACGCGCTTGCAATAAGAAAGGCTTTTGTGTAAAGAAACAGAAAGTCTCAATTTTGTGTGAAAGTACAATTATTTTCTGATCTTATTGCAAACAGAGAACCAGTAGAGCACAGTGCATGCTGGATTCATAGCGTTTAGGCATCAAACTATATAAACATACTGAAATAAGCCAATGTTTTCAATGTCAATTACATATATTCCCCGATTTCAACCGATTTCAACTACCAACTACAATAGTCTTTCGTTTAAACAATTTATATTCAAAGTACTCTTGAACCATGAATTTGAAAGTATTGTTGATAGCTGTTTTGCCGTTCATGGCAGCCAAGGTTACAGCAGAGACTGAAGAAGATGAAACATTGACAGTCACTAGGACACACTTTGTGACTAACCCTTGCGCCAGCTATTTCGCCAGCAGTCTATTACCAAACAACCCGGAAGGATTGACTACAGGAATTCCTGTTGTTTTCGTTCAAGTTCCAAAAGCCAATGCGAATCAAAAAGAGAAGATTCAAGTAACTTCCACTATTACGCGTACCAATACCCACATAGTCTACAAGACTGGAGTGCCGAAATCAAAAGGTGGAATACAAAGCAAGACAAACAACGACGCTTCATGTAGCACGATCACTGCGTATTCAACAATCACCCATGAAACCTCCACTTGCTCGTCTGATAAATGTCAAGTCCATACCTACACAACTGTCCTTCCAAGTGTTTACACCATCACTGGAGACACCACGGCAGAGGAGACGTCCACGGCTAAAGTAAAATCGAATCCGGAAAGCCAAAAGGCAACTAACAAGATCCAGGGGTCACTCAGCTTATCAGGTGTTGTTGGAGATGCGTCACGCGATACACAACTCGCCTCTCCCTCAACCACCTCCGTTGACGTTGCCGAAACCACCACAACGTCAACTATATTTAGTGCCACTAAAACACCAGAAAGCACTTACAGCCCCTCAACTTCCTTGGAGTCATTACCTACAACAAAATCAGCTCCAGTAACTTCACAATCAGTTGTTTCAGAAAGTAAATCAGTAACAATAGATATTTCTTCGATAACAGATGATGTCACAATTTCAAATAACGCAACCGAAGTATCAACAATCAATAGCAACTCAACAAGTGCATCTCAATCAACGTCCAGCAATCCTTTATCTGAGTCATTACAGCCGCTTGAGACCACGTTGTCTACCATTCTCATTAGTGCTTCCGCCACCGGGCCATACTTCAACTCATCAATAGTGTCAACCTCATACTTGACAAGTGCCATATCTACCGAATCATTTGAAACATCCATATCTAGCTCGCAATCACCGTCAGAAGAATCATCAGGTGAATCTTCTTCCACGCCCACCTCCTCAAAAGAAACTGAAGTTGCCATAGCCACTGATACCTGCTATTCAGGAGATTTGTTCTCACCTATTGATACCAATGCACCACCTTCAATCTTCCCCAGACAGCAATTACCCTTATCAATCCCATCGGGTGTGAACAACAATGGTGCACCTATACAAACTAACAAGTTTTATGCAAATTTATTCCTAGGCGATCAAGACTTGATGGTTTATACTTATCCTTATGGATTGTACTGGAGCAAAGAAAGCTACTATGGCTTCGGGGTTCAGCACACAAACGTGTCCGATCGAGTATTTGGATCGCAAAATACAAACAATCGTGGAGTTTCATCTTATTACTTTAATCCCACCAACAATGGAGAAATAATTCTCTCAGCTACCGAATTTGCTCACAGTTCAATGCATATGGGACTCAGCGATATGACAGAAATGGCGGCTAAAGTCAAGCTCTCAACCACTGCCGGTCAAGATTTGAACTATCTCGAAATTCCTATCGTTCAAGGTATGGGATTCGTCACAGGGGTTTACAACGGTAACTTAGTTCCGGAATTGAATTCATTGTATGGCTTCAGAACTTTGGAATTGGAAGAGTCTGACGCTTTGCTATCAAATATATTGAAATACAGAGCAACTCTATTTAATGGAGTCAACTGGTTGATTTACATAACGTTGCCAACAGAAAATGACGATTTTGAACTCATTGCAGAAGACTCATATCACTTAAAAGCGTCAAAGTCTGTCGATGGATTGATCATCCAAGTTGCTATTGCCCCCGAGACTTCAAAGGATCAATTTTATGACGCAGCTGCAGGAATGTACGTAACAGATGCCTCTATTCAAGGGAGCGTTGTTTGCTCATCATCAGCATTATACCTGTTTGTATACGAAACATCCGGTTCTTCATCCAGTGGCAATCCAATCGTATTCACTTTGCCACATCACCTCCAAACATTGACGACAACGTCCGGGGCAACAGGAATAACTGTTTCTTCCCAAACTAAAGGAGAAATGACTGCATTCTTGACCAAGAAATTATCATTTTCAGACACAATTGATAAAAATATCAAGTTTTTGCCATACATTGCTGGAAAAACTGGCCAATTATCATATTCTAGCGACCAATTGACACTTCTTGCCACTTCAGCAAATGACGAGCTTGCGGTAGACATTGCAAGCACTGTTGCGAACATGAATTCCAACTATTTTTCGGGTAAAGTTCTTGACAAATATGCACAAATTTTATTAGTGGTTAGTGAAATTATTAATGATGACGCGGTAACAAATGCAACATTGGCCGAGTTGAAGGATGCATTTGAAACATTTTTAAGCAACCAACAATATTTTCCATTGATGTATGATACAAAGTTCGGTGGAGTCACCTCCACTGCCGCTCAAAATGGCGATGACGGTGCAGATTTTGGAAGCGCTTTTTATAATGACCATCACTTCCACTATGGATACTTTGTTCACGCTGCTGCTGTTGTAGGTCATATTGACAAAAAACTTGGTGGTACATGGGCTGAAGATAATAAAGATTGGGTCAACTCTTTGGTAAGGGATGTTGCCAACCCATCAAGAAGTGATCTGTATTTCCCCGTTTCAAGATCATTTTCGTGGTATGATGGACATAGTTGGGCGGCAGGATTGTATGAAAGCAATGACGGTAGGAATCAAGAGTCAAGTTCGGAAGATATTCACTTTGCTTATGGAATGAAGTTGTGGGGAAATGTGATTGAGGATTATGCAATGGAGGCAAGAGGTGGTTTGATGTTGTCCATAATGAGTCGTGCTTTCAACTTGTACTTCTACTACAAGTCAGATAACACCGTTCAGCCACAAGAGATACTTCCAAATAAGGTCAGCGGTATATTCTTTGAAAATAAAGTCGAGTATACAACGTACTTTGGCACTCCAGACCAACATCCAGAATACGTCCATGGTATTCACATGTTGCCAATAACCGCAGCCAGTTCATCAGTAAGGATACCATCGTACGTGCAAGAAGAATGGCGGGATCAGATTTCAACGTTCATTGATAACGTAAACAGTGGATGGACGGGAATCTTGAGGTTGAATCAAGCAATAATTGACCCTCGATCGTCGTTTGAGTTTTTTAGCTCAAAAGACTGGTCGGACAGGTATTTGGACAATGGACAAAGTCGTACATGGAGTTTAGCTTTTTCAGGTGGTGTTTTATAGTTTGGTTGTATAGTACTTTCGTTATATATTTTAGTGGTAATTCAATTCGTTTTCAAAAACCAACTTTTACTTTAGAGAAAAAAAAACAAAACTTGTGAGAGACGTTCACTATTTTGGACACTCGTAAATTCAAAAAGAGTTAGTGTTGATCAATTCACACGATGTTTTCCTTTGCAAAAAAGCTAGTCGACCGCTTGGAGGGCCATACTACGCAAGAATCTTCACGTCATGACTCGTATTTCAAAAATGCCACTCAGATAAACAACAAAGGGTTTGCACTTCGAGTATTGCATGTTGAACCTCACTCAACAGCACATTCCAAAGGGTTTGAATCATGGTTTGATTATATCATCAGAATCAATTCGCACGAATTGCCAATGCAATATCCCATGGCCAACTTCCCATACTCTGTCAATGAGGATGGCAGTATAAACTATGGTTCGAACACATCATCTGAACAAGCAGCTGCAGTGAACTTTAATTTGTTAGCGCAAGAGTTGCTGACTATAGCAAAAACAAAACAAGAACTCACGCTCGATGTATGGAATGCCAAAGGTGGTGTGGTGAGGCAAATTAACGTTCCGTTGGAGGAATTTTCCCAAGTGGAGAAAAGCGCTCAAGATGATGGTGATGACGACGCTTCCACTATCAACTTGTTTGTCGAAAAGTTCAAAAAGATTGGCTTGACGGTGGAATCGCAACATTTGAACACCGCCACGTATGTTTGGAGGATTTTAACTACTCACCAAGGGTCACCAGCTTTTAGGTCTCAATTGGTCCCCCAATCTGATTTCATTATCGGATGCGATTCTGCATACTCCACCGATGGCTCTGGTAAAGGGCTACTTGCAAAGGGTGGCGAATCACTTTTGTCCAATACCGTATTGAACTATTACAATTACTACCACAATCAAACCCATGAAGAATACATTCCAATAACACTTTATGTGTACAACCATGACTATGACATATTGCGCCCTGTTACGGTGAACTTATCTCGCAATTGGGGAACTGGGCAAAGCCAAGGAATTCTTGGATGCGATGTAGGCTATGGTTTACTTCACCGTATCCCAGAGGTTATTGGTAAGTTTGAAAACAACTCGGTAATTGACGATGTGTTGTTTGAAAGCAATCAAGACACGGAGTATCAAGGTGATGCAGGAGCCTCGGCGGTCACACCTCAACCTTTCGACTCCAATGCCAACATCATCAACACAGCTCCGCCACCAATGGGCTCTGTCATGTCTTCATCGCACCCTCCAAAATCATCAGGCCGAAAAAAGAAACATGTGTCTGCACTCAACTCTGGTGAATCATTGAGCGATTACATGAATGAGGAACTAGAGAAATCAAAAAAGTTGGATGATAGCTCAAAGCCAAAAACTTCCACAGACAACGTACCCCCTCCACCAACGAGTAAGTAGATGAAACCCATTAAGTCGCATATAAAAAAACTCTGTTGACGTAGTTGAATTTGCCCATACATTGTAGGCTTCCTAATATATGCAACCGTGGATAAGTTCCATCAACAACGCGGAAAAAAAAAAGGGGACAGCTTTGTTCAACCCCACTAATTAAACCCCGGATTTTACCAATAAGAACATCACCAATGGTTACAATTATTGTACTAGGGGCAGGCGTCGTTGGTCTCACAACTGCCATTGAACTTAAGAAATGGGACCCAAGTTTGGATATTACTATCGCAGCACACCACTTTCCTGGAGATCTTGACCCCTTTTACACTTCACCATGGGCAGGTGCCAACTGGCAATCGTTTGCCACTGGTCAAGATGTTGAACTACAAAAAATTGATAAACCAGGCTACGATAAGTTTATGCGGTTAGCTAATAATGATCCAAGAGCAGGTGTTTGGATTGTTGACGACACATCGTACTACACAAATTATGAAGTAGCTGCAGCCAAGGGTAACTTTCTGAGTTTCATTCCCTGGTACAAGAACTTCGTTAAAGGATTCAAAATACTCGAGGAGGATGACATTCCATTTGACGATATTTCTTTTGGCACCACGTTCAAAGGTGTCGTCATATCTGTTCCAATATACCTTTCTTACTTGGTTCAACAAAATAAAGAATTAGGAAACAAATTCAAAAAAGTCCCCTATATCAAAAACATCAATGAGGCAAGAACTGTCACAGATCATCCCGATTATGTCATTAATGCAACTGGGTTGGGGGCTACTAAAATTAATGGAGTAGTTGACAAGAAAGAGAACTTTCCTGTCAAGGGTCAAACGCTTTTAGTAAAAAACAATGCCAAATCAACTATCTCCGTCCAAGGATTCCCCGGGTTACCTAACGAGATGCTTTATGTTATGCCGAGACGGGATGGTGGCTCAATTATTGGCGGATGTTTTAGACCAGAAGACGAATCCACTGAGGAAGACAAGGATTTGACAGCGAGATTGATAAGGAGAGCAACCAAATATGTACCCGAATTGGTGGATCCCAAATTTAAGAATAATCCAGCGACGATTGTGATTGAAAGAGTTAATATAGGTTTCAGACCATTCAGAGAAGATGGACCAAGGATTGAAGTAGACCCTAAATATAAGTGGTTGATTCACGACTATGGAGCAGGGGCTGGTGGATACCAGGGAAGTGTTGGCATGGGGCGCAAGGTAGTGGAAGTTTTGAAAAAGGAGTTAGGAAATGTGAAATCAAAGATCTAAAACTTTAAGGATATACAATGCGCTATGCGTGACAAATGATTAAAAATTATGAATTAACATTCTCTATATATGTAGCAAGGTAAGTAAAAAGATAACTGCATTTCTCGAGTCCTTTGGGGCGATTCCTCTCTACCTGTCTAATCAAACGCAATGCTAACACTGGGACCGAAGTCATTCTATCAATTAACAGTCTCTACTCCTCGCTTCCAGCAATCTTAATGGCATATGATACCAATCAATCTATTGAATAACGATTTGCCTCCTTGTTTGGCATATTTCTTTACATGTTCTTTATCCGTGTGCTCAGAAACGAATCCTGCAGCTTTGTTTTGTTTGGCCAGAAGAGGAGTTGGTTTGTCTGAGTAAGTGTGAGTCTTGACATTGAGATCTGTGTACCCATGTTGTGACGGAAAGAATCCTTTGTTCTTTGGCTGTTCTGGAATGGACATGCTGTGTAGATTGAGGATGTTTATTAGTTTGTGCAGAACAGTGGTAATAATACTTCTGAACTGGTTTAATTTTATGATTGCTCTAGTGTCGATATCGTTATCTTTTGCAATTTTGCGAGATAAAATGAGAACGGCTGATTAACCAAAAGTTGCATCGAGCTACAAGACAATGAAAAAAATGAAGCGAGGGAAGTGACAGATATCACTGCGCTCTTTCAATATTAGTACACATAAAGAGACTAAACCAACCACCTTCGAAGTGTCACATACATGTGAATTACACTCTAATTGTGGGTTTTGGACTATACAGTCCAGCCGAAAAATGGTAGCACCGCGTATCAATCCAATATTCGAAGCGAAAATTTTTCTCCTAAGGTTGTTTGCAAGACATCTATTATTTTCAGTTGATCAGTGATGAGAGCAACGCAGGTACTTAATTTTCAAGCTTCAGTTCAGGCCACTTTAAGAAGACCATGGAAAACGTTTAGAGATGGAACTTTATACTATGGAATGTTGAAATCTGGGTCAAAAAGACATCCATTAACAACGAAACAAGGTAATAAGCATTACTACAAAGGTACCCGCTCAACCGGTATAGGTCATTTGGACAGCCGTGGGAGGTACCACATAGATTGGAACAAGGTCAGGACATACGTAGTTCCAAGTGGTCTAAATACTACAAATTTGAAGGCATTAGTTTCACCCAATTCACCTCAATTTATTCAAAAAGTAGAGGGGTATAAAGATAGCTTCAAAAGTCCCGAACTAGCTTTACACAATGCCATCAACTTTATCGAAAATGGGGCAAATTATTCTGAAATTGATTTAGAAAAAGAAGGATACCTAGAAAAGATTGTGCATCCCAAGCTAAAATCAGCCAAAGAAGAAAACCTTGATGGTGAAGAGCAAAACTAAAACGAGACAGCTTTCTGCTTTGTATATAGTCAATTAGAAACCAAAACGATGATCATGAAGATTATACCAAAATGTAGATTAATTTTGTGGTGGAAAAGAAAATCAAAAAGCCAATTGCAAAAGGACGCGTTGACCTTTCTCTTCAACAACACTACTTTTAATATGACTGACGACAACGCTGTGAACACGACCAATCCATCGGCAGAAGTTGAGCCTCAGCCTCCTCAAGACACTGCTGTGCCTCATGATGACTCCACGAATGGAGAACAAGACTCTCTGCAAATGTCACTCCCCATGTCCAAGATCAAAAAGATTTTCAAAATGGACCCAGATTTTTCAGGAGCAAGTCAAGGTGCGATTTACGCCACGGGATTGGCTACAGAGCTATTTGTTCAATACTTTGTTGAACAGGCCAGTCTAATGGCAAAAGTGGACAAGCGCAAAAAGATACAATATAAAGACTTTGCTAATGCCGTCGGTGGTCATGATGCTTTGAATTTTTTGAGTGATACGATACCCAAAACTCATGCAATAGGTGACCTAATACAAAGAAAAAAGGTTAATACGCTAGAGTCTATTCAGCCAAACCGAAATCCAGAAGAAAGTAGGCCAGCTTCAAAAGCGCCCGCCAATGTTGTATCAAAACCTGATCCAATACTCCCCAAAGGCCAACAAATTCTCAATTTCGGCTCTGCTTCTAAAGAGGAAACCCCCGTCAGGAAAGCAGGAATAAACGATTTAGTATCTTCTCAAAGCGAGAGTAATTCCGGTGATGTACAAGATGTTGAAATGAAGGATTAAAACTATGTACATGGTATAGATTTTGTTTTCAACACTTCCAATATACATTGCGTATCTCGTGAAAAATTCAAATTCTGTGGTATTTGAAGTCCGTAACATAATTTAAGTATTTCAAACCTAGTCAAGTCAGGTATTGTCTTTTCGTAATTTTGAGCACCCACGATTAGAAACTCCACTAAAGACTCTTTTAACAAAGGGAATGATTCAAGCGTGACTAGTGCTTTCTCTGCAACAACAATGCCGGTTTTTTGCTTCACCTTCAGCGACTTCTTTATTAATTCCGAATGTTTCGAAATAAAGCTCCACGTTTCTTGAAATTTGCTGCTAAAAAAGTACTCCTTCTGGTTTTTGTCCTGATTCAAAATCTCGGTAACAAATTTTAGCGACTCAATAGTGATGTTGATCTGTTCCCGAGAAAGTGTAGTTCGCAAGTCAACTACAGTTGACAATGAATTGGACGCCGTAATTAATGTAACTAAGACGGACCAGTTACTTGCCATCGTTGGCAAGACCAACTTGTAATCAGTACAAAGTAATGGAAAGATAAGCCGAAGTGTTTTAATGATTTGTGCTTTCAAAGTATAAGACGGTTGAGAAATCAATGTAAAGCCGTAATTGAATATACGTTTCAAAACGTCATAGATTACTTTCGGTATCGGCGAAATCCAAGGTTCTTCGTTCGCCTCTATGTTTTCTTCATCTTTTTGCTCGCCCTCTTCTTCGTCGTCGGAATCACCACCTAATTCATCCATTTCACCAAATGGCTTATCGTCTGTTCTCTTGAAGTATTCCTTTCCAGCATCGAATTCAGCAAGTGGATCAATGTGACTTTTATCTTGCAAAAAATGCATCAATTGTTCTTTGCACATCATCCCCCACGGCTTGAATGGGGACTCGTTGATTTTATGGTTCTCAATTGCCCTGTCATTTTTTATAAATGCTTGTTTGACTTGTTCCACGAGCACTTCAAACACTACGAAAAATCCTTCCACCAACTGATTATACCCGTGATATGAGTCTAATATCACAAAGATATCAGAAAATATATCAAATAGCTGGTTGCTTTCCAATAATTGCATTCCCGCAATCTTGATTAAGATTATCAATATTCCAGGAAGCAGTGGAGTCAAATTACTAGCCACAGTCATTTGCATACTTATGGCGTCAACCAAATAATCCAGATTGTCCAAGATCAATTTTGTCAACGAGCCGTCATAATAACAATCCACAATAGCTTTGAGGGTATGTTGGGCCTGAGATTGAATTTGTGGTTTGTTTGTCATCGTCAAGAACTGAAACAAGCATAGCAAATAGTCCATGAGCACATCAGATCTAAATGAGGAGGGAGATATTGAACCAACAACACATCTAACCGCTTCAATAGCTGAAGCATACGCTAGCTCATCATCAAAGTTCGCGAGATCCCCACTTTTATCAGCAAAAACATCCAATATCTCTTCCGCTTTCAATAGCAAGAGATACGGTGCTTCAGTTTCACCTGAAGTGTCATTTATAATCACGTCCGAGCTTTCAACATTCACAAACTCAGAGAGATCAAAATCGTACAGCTTTTGCAAGCTTTCTCTAGCAAAATTCGATGCAAGCCACAAAGCAACCCCCTTTTCCAAAGCACTTGAGTTCATCGAGTCTTCCAATAAACCTTCTAAATCCAGCAACTCAAGACCATTTCCACCTCCGTACTTCAACTTGGATAAGAATGAGACAAACGACACTAAATTGGACTCCAATACCTTTGAGCCTAGACCAATGGTCAAGCCACCTTCGGAAGTAAATGAGTTATGATTCCATTCCGAAGATAAGAGCTGAAGTTGGTGCACATACAGAAGCCTACTGGCAGGCTTTGATTTCAGTACTGTTTTGATATTTTTGGCATTGATATGACCAGGAAGCTCTATATTGTCTAGTTGGTTCAGCGTATTGACATCAACCAATAACGAAGGAGCCAGGGACGAGGAGTTTGGACGCTTTGAATTTTCCAATTTTACATAATCCACTGTCATCTCCAGCAACAACAGCAAACACCGTTTCTTTAGCAGTTTCAACTCAGTAGAATCACTTTCTTGCTTCCATGATAATCGGCCAAGCATTGCAAAATGAAGCTTGATGGCATCCAAGTTTAGTGTCACTTTGTCTTCATCTGTTGAAAAAAAAACCACTGATAATTTGTTATCAATCAAACTCGATAGCTTCCCTCTCACTACTTCGTAGTAGGCATTACATTTGTCATCATCAGTTTCAATAACCTCCATAATCCTAGAGCAAATTTGCACAATTTTTGTATTTGAGTCCTCTTTTTCCCAAGACGATGCAAAAACCAGTATTGCACAAATATCTAAAACTAGAGGGATAAACTCGTTATATAAGGATATAAAGCAGCTGCCCATGACTGATGTAATGAAATTTAAAACTTCTTCACTAAGCTCAGCTCTTGTTCGTAAACGATCCTTGTTTCTTGAACTTAGTAGAAGTGACTTGAAAAGAATGACCAAGGTAATCTTCAATTGTTTCGAGGTTGCTATAAGCCACAGCATAGTCCTATGCCCATGTTCTTGAATTGAAATATCGCTCCTTTCGGAACCATCAAGTGTCTTCTCATCCTCATCCCATACCGTGGGAATCTCCGAAAGGTTTGCCACACCGTCCAAATTCAAGTTTGCATGTAGATCTCTGTCATTGAAAGAGCTACATATGATACTGGACAATAATCGCAATATTTGGATAAACAATCGATAATTGATGTTTGAGTTTAAGGAGACGAAATTGGTCAATCCCGAAACTATACCAGGAAGAATGGTTGACTTTTTTTCCGAATCTAGCTTCAGAACCGAATTTTGTATTAACTGGCAACAATCAACGAGGACACCAACAGCCTCTTGATCACTTGCTCGTGTAGAATTGAGTATTTCGAGTGCCAAAATAATGCTTTTGCTTAAAAAGTGAAGTCTTCTTTCGGCTTCCAGAAAATAGGAATTGTTAAGCGAATGCACCACCTCATTAAGCGTATAAACCGACGAAGCCTTAAATCTTAATGACTTGGCATTGATAGAGCTTGAACTGATATTCGAGTCCCCTCCAATTAGAAAAAGAACCAACGGAAACAACTGGTCGAAAAGGGAGTGATTGACATTGAACTTCCAACAATGTTCCACCAAGTAACCAATTATAGACAAGATATGCTGTACAATTGCATCACTCAAGTCCAGTTTTTTTAATAAGTTTGATATAGGGAAAAAGATGTAGTCAGCAATGTTCGGTAAAAGTATTAGTTCCGCTCGTGTTCGACCGTCTGGACAAGCAGATTTCAACTCATCTTCAATTGCCGTTAAAAGGGAGACTACTTTTGATTCATTGATAGTAGACATGAGTGCTTCTTGAGTAAGCTGAACGCAAAACGGTTTTACCTTTTGAAAAACTTGCTGAGAAAATGCTCTTTGATCTTGACCATTGGTAGTGTTTTGAAGTGACATACTCTGCCGTTAGGTGAATGATGATCTTTGGATAGTCACTAGAATGCGAGTTCAATTCGGTAGATATGGAGTGTGCATATAAACACCCACCTCTTACACAAAATGCAAACACCACTTTTCTTCATTAAAAACCAGTGAAAATTTTTCCTTCTTTTCTTTCAATCCTCTTTCCATCAAAGCATTCATTGCGCAAAACTCACACTCAACCACATTTAAATGTATGTTTGTCACTATCAAACCAGTTGCCACTTAGAGCTTATTCAAATCAAGCTTCAAATTTGAGTTTTCATGGATTGTGCAAGAAATTATTTGGTCTTTGATTGTTTGATGCATAGTTTGGAGTGTTGCATTCCCAGTGATGATGCCACATAAAACTTTTGATCGCACAATACGCCAAAGTTAGTTTTAGCTTCTTCGGTGTTGATTTACCACCTTGTTTCAACACGCAAGGTATCATCAAAGAGACCTTATAATACCCCTGCATTTTCGACATGGCTCATGACTCCAACTATTTTCTAGTTTGGACACTCATGTGGCTTTTTTTATGAAAACTCCAACCACCCCATACTAACCTTTGTGAATAGAATGACCAGGACATCAGTATTGGCAGACGCCTTGAACGCTATCAACAACGCCGAAAAGACAGGTAAACGTCAAGTATTGATTAGACCTTCGTCCAAAGTTATCATCAGATTTTTGACTGTAATGCAAAAGCACGGTATGTACAGACTTCAAACAGATCGTCATTTCAATTTTTTTTTTACCACACCGAATTGATAACTGGATGGAATGATCGGTGCTCAGTCCCTTTCTGTCTTTTAAGCTTTCGGGATAATAAAGTCAGGAAATGCTTTCTTACACGATGATAACTTTTCCTGTAGTTTTCACTCGTTTACTTTTCCTCGACAACTTTCCTCAAGTGATGATTTAGAGAAAAACTTTTGAAGGATTTAGTACTAACTTTATACAATAGGGTATATTGGTGAATTTGAATACATTGACGACCATAGATCAGGAAAGATTGTTGTGCAATTGAACGGTAGATTGAACAAATGTGGTGTTATCTCACCAAGATTCAATGTTAAAATCAGTGATATTGAAAGATGGACGGATAACTTGTTGCCCGCTAGACAGTTTGGATATGTTATTTTGACTACTTCTGCTGGTATTATGGATCACGAAGAAGCCAGAAGAAAGCACGTCTCTGGTAAGATTTTAGGATTTGTGTATTAATGTTAGTGAATCTAATTGTAAAACTTTGGATATAACTTTTTGTAGACAATGTGGAATTCCAACTGCGAAAAATTTCATCAGAAAAGTATGCTTTGCGATTAACGCACACAGAGCAGAGTGTCAAAGAGTCGCTTGTGCTAATGGTTATACCCGAGTCTGTACAATTTGCCTTGTCTACATTATCATGGACCCTAAGAGCTGGATGTCTAGCTCACATAATACACGAGAATGTCTACGAGTTCACCGAAACGAGAGGTGAATCGATGCTCCCCACGGTTCAGAACCAACACGACTATGTCCATGCATTCAAGAAATACAAGCTAGGAAGGAATTTGGAAATGGGCGATTGTGTCGTTGCGATGAAACCGAGTGATCCGTCACATAGAATATGCAAACGCATTACTGGTATGCCAGGAGACATTGTATTGGTTGATCCATCATCTTCCTCATTCTTGACAAATACCCCTACAGAAGCGACACAACATGATGGGTTTAACAAGTTCATAAAGGTACCCGAAGGACACGTATGGTGCACTGGTGATAATCTATGCCATTCGTTAGACTCAAGATCATACGGAGTGCTTCCAAAGGCACTCATCACAGGAAAAATCGTGGCTGCCAATTCAATGAATGACGGGGTACGCGGGTTCTTCAATTTTAGATGGATAAAGAACACGTTTGTCGATGAAAGTTTGAGTAAAGAGTAGCTTTAGCATGAGTCGTGAATACACTCTATAAAAAAATCTGATCTATTGTTTACCCAATGCACGATTTTGAGCCAAATATCTCAAGACGCTTGATCCAAAATAGATAGCACTAAGGCCCAAAATGAAACTGTAAAACAATGTTGTGAATATTGATTGGCCCAAGTAGTATTTGAAAAAGTTAAATTCAAATCCAATCAAACTGATCAAGAAAGCAATGTTTTGTAACAATTGACCACCTGTAGTTGATTTGAGTGTTTTGAAAAGGTCATTCAATCCAATGAAACTAACCCATGATATGAGAAGCGATAAAAATGTAGCAGAAGCGATCACAATAAAAGCAATGGGTACAATTGGGTTAACGGTCTTTGCATCCTCTTTGAAAATGTGATGAATCTCTGGCTGGATGCCAAAGCCAATTTTTTTTTCATTCTTGGTAGGTTTAGTTATCTCCAAAGAAGGTTTAATGTCAACCAATCTTTTGATCAAGTTGGGTTTTCCAGTACCATCTCCAATAATGAGACTCAAGGTGAGTTGGTTCCTTGATAACAAAACATTAGGAATTGAGCTTGCTTTGATACTGTATTTAATGCTAGCTCCACTCACCAGTGGGACATAATGAGTAGCTAGACTTGATTTTTGAGTATCGCTCAAACTAAGCATAATTTGTTCAGGTGGGCCATCCAATTGGTCATTTTTGAGCTTTATATCAATGACATCTTTTCCAGATTCAATGGGCAATACCTTAATCTCTTGTGTATCGATTTCACCAAAATGCACGGTTTTGCCACCACTGGATACTGTTCCTGTCACGGCTCCATAACTCAATGCGCTGAAAACTAATGTCAAGAGTGGGATGGTGGTGGTGGAGAATTTCATTTTCAATGCAATGTGGGAGTAGGAGTGTGTTTCTGGGTATTAAGTTCGACGTGGATATGAATTTTTTTTCTTTTTCAAGTAAAAGGGACACGCACCAGCACAGCACTCTCTCTATACCTCTCAGGCGAATATCAAGCCTTCCAAGCTGTGACCTGCAACAGTCTCCTCCTGCTGTAAATATGAGAAAACTATTCTCACACCACCAATAAACTCTATAATGAGAAACAAGGGCACAAATACGATGCCTATGACAAGAGGTTAATACCAGAACTGTAACGATACGATACATCCATGAGTAAAGCCAAAGTTAACATACAAACCGCAATGAACAATGCAAAGAACACGGCCGTTACTATAGCCAATGTGATTGCAGAAACTGCAAGCGTCTCTTGAGGAGCGCTTAATTGTGAAGTGGTAATCAAGGTTGTTAATTGGTTTGTGGAATGTATAGATCGTGAGTTATTGTATTGGGCCAACAGGATGCCAATTGAGAATACGTATATCTCAAGTGTTATTGAATGAAAGGAGTCCGTGCCTGTATTCAATTGTTTCCTATGCCAGATTCAAACTTTCAAGAGTAAGGAGTTGGTTTGTAAATTTTTTTGCAACACATTTCGAAATTGTAATTAAAGATAGGAATGGAGAGACACATGACAAATTAATGAGGCTTGGAAACACTATCAATAAATGTCTATTGGAAGACCATCACCTCCACACAATTGTGAGGAAAAATACAGGACGAAGATATAACGTAAGAGATATTTCATTCTATCATCTTCACAAGTCTAGCTCAACAAAGGGCTGAAAAAAAATTCGACCTCAAAAATTCAACCTCACAAAATCCATCTCATCTACTGTCATTTTCACCACCATGCAGTTCTTCAGTTCCAAGTCGTTATTGTATATCCGAATCATTGCCCATTTCGTAACAGCTTACTACTTGGTCCAGAACCCAGAGGGACTCGCATCAGCAGGATTTATAATTCTTATGGGCCAAGCAATGCAAGTTCCAATCCTTCATTTGAGTTCAAATAGTCCAGTATTGGGTATGTTGGCAGTTCTCGTATCAACCCAAGCAATAAGTGACTTGGTTCCATTGCTTGCAGAAAATTGGAACCATTTTGAAACCTTGGTGCCAGTGAGATTGTTTTGTTACTTTTTAATCACTGCTTATATATACTTTGTACCAACAAGCAAAGTTAGCAACAGTGTAGTTGCTACATATTCAATGTTTGAAGTTTGGGCAAATTTTCTCATTTATAACAACTTGCGAGATGAAAAGTACTACAGAATGAAGAAGTTTGTAGAGGAAAATGCCGATGCTATAAAAAAAGCACAGGACGAAAGGGTGATTGTCATCGAGGATTAGTTTGTACATATAGTTAGACAGAATTGAAGTCACATATCAACCATTCTAATGACTCCTTCAAGTCGTCGAAATCGTAGTAATCATTCTGCAAAACATTGACACCATTCATATTATTTAGATATGCATCCATCGAATCAAATCTAGTGACTGTCAATTTTGCAATCAAGTCGACAAAAACTTCGTTACTTGTTACATTTATAGTCACGTTCAATACATTGTCAACCTTGTTTTGCACCGTCCAAGTGAAAAGTGAGTTTGGAATTTCAATTGATCTTTTAAACGGATTCGACAGTTTAGTTTCCAAATTGGTGTATTTTTCGAGCTTTATGGTGGGTTTCAAACCATAATGGTTGGACAAATTGACCAAGATTTGTTTGACCTCATGTAGATACTTGTTATGGCGCATGTTTCCCAAGAGTGGTCGCAATATCAATGGATGGGAATTGCTCTGCTTCCACTTTGTCAAGGATGTGGGAACTTTCTGCTTCAACTTTAAATTATATTTGTAAAAGCAACAAAGCATCAACTTCAAGTAGATTAGTATTAACTGGCACTTTTTATTGTTGATGGAGGACATAGAGCTTACATTCTGATAATAATTCTCTAACTCCTCTTCATTAGCTTCGTCATAAAGAACATTCTCAAATTCAACAATCTCATTTTCAGTTTCGATTGACACTTTCTCCGCTGTCACCGATACATTATAGCTAAACAATATCGAGGCTTCCCTGCTTATTTGGTAGAACAAATCCTCTTCAAAAAGAAAGAACCTGGCCATTTCTATTTCATTAATGATATCATGAGATGATTTGCTATAATTATAGTCAAAAGCGGACTGACCGGTTAGCATATAATCGGAATCAATCCTGCTCAAAACCCGTACACGCACATAACGATACGTTTTGGCAACGAGTTTGTTACCAATGGTTGATAGAGGGTGAAAAGATACTTCACCAGTTTGCACATTTTTGCGAAACAACGCCAACCCTTTATCTTGAAAATCAGACCCAGAATCCCCATACCCATACTTGACCCCAATTGCTCTTGCATTGTTATCGGGGTCCCTCAAACGAAACAATGCTTCATCATTAGACCATACCAAGCATATCATGTTCCAGTACTTATTCTCCTTTTTCACTTGCATGGTTAAATTTTCACTAGCTTCTTTGAACAAGTCCTTGATTTTGGACGTTGCTTCGGTCTTCCATCCATGCCCAATCTTGGTGGAGCGATTGGTGTCCTTTTGTAGCGTTTCTACCTCCTCTTTTGCTAACTTGTCCGAGTTGAGCGAGTATGGCTTGATTAATTTTTGCAAGTGTGGTGACATTGTGTTCTTGGCAATATTTGGCTTGACGGATGCAACAAGTAACGAAACGAAATCAAGCGAAAGAGAAGTTTCATTCAAAGCATTGTTGATACTCTTTGTAAGCTCCAACTTTTTGCTATTAAACTTCTCTTGCACAGATTCTTCTTGTGAAACTGGAAGAGCTCCAGAAACGGTCGAATTTAAGCCATCAAAACCATCAAGAGCTTCATCAACGGTTTTGGAAGATTCGAGCAGCTCAATTTCATCAACAAGAGACTTCTCTGTGATGTCAACAAATTGCTTTCGCTCTTGAAGAATTCGTGGTATTAGTTCTTGTAAGCTCAAATCATTTCTGAATTCAAAATGTTAGTACAACCTCTCTCGAAATGAACGTAATGTTGAGTACATACTCATCTTTGATAAATGGGTCAGGATGGCCGTTATCATTGAGGTCAAAGTCTAGATAGAGCGAATCATAGCTCATTTTACTCAAAGTGCACGAGTGCCTGATTGAGTGTTTAACTGATTTTTCAAATGGAATTTTGAGCGCGACAAGTTTTGAAATCTTCTAGGTTAAATTTAAAGAAGGAATTTATAATCCCACTACACTTCATCTATATCGCCCTATATCAATCCATGAAATCATCCAAATCACCTTCCTCTATGGCCTTCAACAATTCTACTTCGTCACTTGGTTCTACCTCCTTGTTGACTGGTTGTTTGTCATCATCATTGGGAAACCTCATGGATTTCACACTATCATTGTGCAATGACAAACAAAACTTGATTCTGTGGTCAAATTCTGTTTGGGGTAACCTTGTAGAATACACATCCAAGATTTCATTCGATTGCATGTAGCCTTGTTGGTGGTTAATCGTCGCTTCAATAACACCATCTCTTATTGCTTTGGACACTATATATTCAGTTGATTCCTCGGAATCCAAGTGTAATTTGATGCAAATATCCTTCAAAGAAATTTTTGAATACGACAAGGAGATGATTCTGATACCAGTTTTAATGACATTTTGACGTAACCTTGACACTAAAGTGAAATTGTCATCTCTTTTAAATGCATCTTCATATGTCTTTAACACTTGTCCAAACAACTTCAAGTCACCCAACCTTACAGCTTTGGTAACATTAAAGTATGGCTCGTAACTGCCTGTCTTGCTTTTGAATGTTTTCAATTCTGGAATTTCGCCCATAAGCAATTCAATGATTATATTCAACTTTGTCGCTGCTTGCATGAATCCATTGGTCAGTTTGGTTTGAGGTGATTTTCTAATCGCCGCAATAACACACTCATGAGCAGTAGTGTAATCCAACTGAACGGCATTGATTCTTGCCAAATAGTAGTAATATCTTGCAACTAAAGCATTAGCTGCATTTTCTGGAAACACAACCTTCTCCACAAGATTGGAAGCCTGCTGAATATCGTGGGACAACAAATAGTTTCTTAATAGTAAAGTGATGATTGAAGCTGTGGTTTCTATATCGTGCCTCAAACTAGCTGTTCTCAAACTATACAACAAGTCAGTACGCACTGGCAACAAATCATTAGTTAATTCTTTTCCCCTGCTAATGTAGAACCATACTTTTGCTTGAATAAAGTCCAAAGAACGTCTATTGTATTGATTCATTAATTTCACTAAATGGGTGCTCAATTCATTCAACTTCTGCAATTGATCCGTATCCAACAAATAAACTTGGATAAGCAAGTAGATGTACAATTCCACTTCCGGGATAAATGTCTGGACTTTATTGGCATCTGAATGGTCGATGGGTGATGCGTTGAAAAGCTTAAGTAAATCTTTCTTTGCGGGGTTGGAGTCAGGAAAAGTATTGTTGATTACCGTAGGCAATGCCTGTTCATGACTTGGCAACTTCTTTCTCAATGGAGCAAAGTCACGAAGAACTTTCGACACATATCGATTGTCAAATAAGGTGGCAGCTTTTTCCAATAAATTGAATGACTGTTCAATTGTTTGCACAATTTCCCTCGTTTCGGCGGTCGAGTCGTACTCCTCGCCTTTCATTTCAACATCTCTGGCTTCAGACATGGCGTAATGGGACAAAATGTTTGTTGATAAGTTGGTTACCCTTCAAGTTTGTCTGGTGGCAAAGCGACAATTTTCCAATTCTTCAAAAAGAGTTTTTCTTTTTCTGTTTTTGGTTACGACACGCCAGGCCATATTTTGAAAGATATGGAGAACATACTATGAGTAAGGAGCCTTGGTTACGCCTCATAATGCAAATACGGGGAGGCTCTTTTGCCATAGAGGATTTTACATGATTTAATCAATATGAAAGTGTTACTGCCCGGAACTGTAGTACCCGATTTCTTCATTTTGTCGGCATTGTGACGCCCAACTCTCCTATATAACCAACTCCGTCAATCTTTCTCAGAAAAAGAACTGGCTCCACACTTTTTCTTCTTCTCAAAATTAACTACTTTCACAAGTTTAACTAAGAAAACATGTCTGACTTGAAATTGGCCATCCCTCCCATTCCTAAACAACCACAATTGGTTCCTGTGTTGACATTTAATCTCAGATTAGCTTCGGATCCTGTGCCCATATTCACCAACTCCCAGATTGACAAGACTTTGAATTTGGCAACAATTACAAATGGTGAGATTACAGCAGTTGAAAACGATTTTGGGTTCAAGTTGGAAATTAACCAAATTTACGGGACTGATGATTTGAACATCAAAAACTCAGTCAGTACATCGTACTTGGATTGCAAATTGTATGGAAAGACACCGAATGGATCTGGTGTGTTTATCTACTATGGCGGTAGGGTTCAACTAGACGACGCCTCGGTTGGAGTGCTCTCTGGTAAAACAAAGGAAGCATCGGTCGATGATAGTTATGTTACCTGTAACCCGGTTTTCACCTTTGACGATTCAGTCGAAGAAGAATACAAGTGGGTTTTGAAAGAAAATTTGATTGGTAAAGGAAGATTCGGTAGAGACGATGATGGGAACCTCTATGTTCAATACTACATCTACGTTCTCCGTTAGACCATATGTACCAGCGGTATACAAATCACGGTGAAATTCAAATATAAGATTAAAAAAAAATTATCAAGAAACCTGTAAAAGCCCAGAATCTTTGTAATATTTCACCAATTCTCAATCCAAATACATCTAACAACAAGAATTGGATTGATTAGATGTCAATGATTCACCTCTCAAATTAACGTTTGTCTTACCCTTATTACCCGCAGCAGTACCTACATTGTTGTTGACCATATGTGCCTTAATCTGTCTTGCCATCGTGTAAAAAGCTTGCTCAACATTAGTTGAGCTCAATGCTGAAGTTTCCAAGAATGGAATGTCCAATGCATCAGCAAACTCTTTAGCGGCAGTATACTCAACAATCTTTTTGTCAGATAAATCAGCTTTATTACCAACCAATAACTTCATTACACCACCTGTTGCATAACGATCAATCTCTTGTAACCATTGTTTAACATTGTTGAAACTTTCTTGATCGGTAACATCGTATACAATAATTATACCATGGGCACCGCGATAGTAGGAAGATGTAATGGTTCTGAAACGTTCTTGACCTGCTGTATCCCATATTTGCAACTTAATGGTCTTACCATCTAGCTCAATCGTTCTAATTTTGAAATCAACACCAATCGTTGAAATGTAATCAGGGGTGTACGTGTCATCGGCAAATCTCAACAACAAACAAGATTTACCTACACCGGAATCTCCAATCAACAATAACTTAAACAAATAATCGTACTCGTTGTTCATGATTTGCGAATGTGCTTGTTTTCTATGTAAAAGTGTTTATATTCTTTGATGGAAATGGGCAAAAATGAGTTGGGAATGATTCAACCGGAGGGGCTATCGAGAAGAAATAATTCTTTGATAGCTTTCGTTTATTGACTGTGATGAAGAGTTTACTTCTTGTGACAGCTTGTCTGTATGTAATGCTTGTGATTAGTAACCTTGCACTAAAAGATAATACTCAGTTTGCGTTGCTGTTCCAAACTTTGAAATAAGTGGTGCTCTCTCTGTTTTGTTTGGTAAATCCTTTTTTTCTGTTGTCTCTTTTTTTACTTCTCGTTCTCTTTTTTTTTTTGTCTGTCTTTTCTCTCTCTCTCTGTATATTTTGCCTGAAATGCGGTGACTTTTAGACTTTACACAATAATAAAGAGACAGGCTTCCATTCGGTGGTGGGTGACAGTTTGTGTACTTAGGTTTCCAGTCTTGATAGATCTGAAAAATTCCGAAAGAAGTAGATCATCTGTATGCAAATACGTGTGTATACTAAGTATCTATGAGCATACACTCCTACAAAGACAGAACTAAATTATCCTCTATTCAATCTTATCAGTTGCTTTACTTGCTTTTCTAGTCGAGCTTTTTCCTTTAGCTTTCTTTATGGCTATTCTAACCATTTTGTAAAACCAGAAAATGTTCAATACATTCAACGCAAAATTCATGGTCAAAAGTGCTGCTGGAGTAAATATACTAACCTGGTCCAAAGATGCCATCATATCTTTTGCCAATTGACTAACGGCATAAAGCCCCCACACAATTCTGATCAAAAAAAACACGAGAATCAACAATAGTCCGTTGATTACCACAAATTTATCGCTAAATGTACCCTTTGGCATACGCGAGGCAAACCAGTTCATATTCACAAATGGAGTACTCAACTCAAACGAAAGAAAAGCCGCTGCCCATGGTTGACAATAAGGAACAAATCCACAGCAAAATGCATACATTGCAGCCACTGCATGAAGCAGAAAACCGATACCAAATAACTCGAAATTCCTCATACATACAAACAAATCCCAAACGAAATAACCAGCAGTGACAGCGCCCACCATGGAACCAAATGGAGTAGACCCCAACAACGAATTCACAGGGTCATTTAACCTATTCTGCCAATGTGGGTTGTTCAAGTGGTAGATCATAAGCACAGTAGAAACCACACATTGAACCATTGAAGTCACATGAACATCAAAATCAATTCTAGTGTTTCTGGGTAGACTTGTGTATCGAGAACCCAAATAGAATGTGCACAACGGAGACGACAAAGATTGAACCGCGTAGTAGAATAAAGCCGATAATACCAATTCGTGCCAGTGAGCTTGGAATATGGTTTGTGGGTTTGATGGAAATGGTCGAAGTTTTTCGAATGGATCTAGGATTGCAGTTGGTAGGTAAACAGACATAATGATCAGGTATAGGTGATTTCAAGTTGTTTCGGTAGTATTCCCTGACTATGGCGCGATTGAATGATTCAAAGTCTCTGTCACCTTGTAGTTGATGTGTAAAGGAGAGGGTCCTGTGAATTGTAAAATTAATTCCGTCGTCCTACAATTTATTTTTCTCTCGGTTGTGCTGCGGAGTTATGAAACAAAAGATTGGGACAAGTTTATTTTTCAGCGGAAAGAGATAGAAAAAAGTACGAAAGATTTAACCGACATTTTACCGTGCGAGGTTTTTTTTTTTTTTTGTTGGGCAAGCTAAAAGACAGGATCAGGTCGTACGAATATTGATGATACCATTTCGGAATCTCCATCTGTTAGAGCAACGGCGCCTTTCATGTCTTTGTCGTTCGCTAAAACATCCCGTGATCGCAGGCAGACTATCCACTGATCGGCTTCATATACATATACAATCTAGTACAAATGAACTCTTTTAAACTGTTATCTAACCCTCTCTGGAAACTTCAATTAGTCACTTTTCTTATTAACGGAACCCGACCCCTTCGAGGCTTTCTTTCTGGCAATTCTAACCATCTTGTAAAACCAAAATACATTCAAAACATCCAATCCGAAATTCAAAACCAAAAGAGTTGCCGGTATAAGCTTGTTAATTTGATCCAATGAGTAAGTCATATCAATAGCCAACTGAGCAATGGCATAAAAGCCCCAAATGATTCGAATAAAGAAAAACACAACCATCAACAAGAGACCATTAATGATGACAAACTTGTCGCTAAATGTACCCTGTGGCATACGTGAAGCAAACCAATTCAAATTGACAAACGGAGTACTCAATTCAAATGCAAGGAAACTTGCTGTCCATGGTTGACAATAAGGAATCAATGTACAAACCATTCCAAATAACGCAGCACCTCCATGAAGCAAAAACCCCATGCCAAAAATATCAAAATTGTAAACACAAACCCAGATATCCCATACGAAATATCCAGCAGACACAGCACCAACCATGGATCCAAATGGTGTTGACCCCAATAACGAATTCACGGGGTCATTTGACCGATTTTGCCAATGGGGATTATTGAAATGATAAAAAGTAAGCACAATGGACACAATACATTGAATCATTGACACTATGTGAATATCGAAATCAACTCGAGTTCTATCCTGCAAGCTTGTATATGTTTTTCCCAAGATGCGAGTAGCCAAGGGTTTCACCATTGCTTGGATTGCAAAGTAGAATATGGCGGAACCGACAATCTCATGCCAGTGGGCTGCAAATAAGTTGGTGGGGTGGTTGGGGAATGGTCTGTAACTTTCAAACGGGTCCTGGATAACTATGGGTAAGAACTCCAACATTGTTTTGGGTTTCGTAGAGGGTGCGAGAGATGTAGATCTTTGAAGCAGACCAAATTCTGCGGAAAAGAGAAATAATCGTTAAATTTTGTTTCTGACAAAATGGTTGGGTTTTTGTGTTGTAACAATCCAAACTTTTGTCACTGGCGACATCTTTCCATAACAACGATGACCTGATTTCCGGGTTTATCACTAGCTAAATGACGCTTTTGAAGCAATTGTGTCGGTGGATGGTGAATCACGTCGGTTGTGAAGCCATCTCAAGGATTAAGCCACCCAAGCCTCAAACATTTTACAAAAGGTATATTACACAAAACAGCGAGTTCCAATTGTTTCACACTACTTAAAAAATAAAAAATTGTTATCATCATTGCATAAGTCAGGTGAGTGTAAACTGGTATATTTGCAAGTCCTTGAAGTCTCTTGATGGGTGATCTCACTTTATAATTGCCTTTTTATCTGCATTGCCAATTGGGTGCTGAGGGTGCTGACCCAACATTAAAACTTAAGAGGAACACAAGACGCGTTGGAAAAAAAAGAAATAATGAAAATGAACTCAGTGGTGACGCTGGTCATACGACGACATACAACTGTATTGTTTTCGCAGCCAAAATTTTTACTACGTAGTGGCTGCCAATGCACTGCTTATGAAGATCATTCTCTTCAACTTTGCAGAGCATATAGTCAAGTGAAAACTGATTCGGATCAAGATCTGCAAACTCACACACTAATAATAGTTTGCTGTTTCGTGTTAGTTCAGCAAAGGTACATTGACGTTACGTGATCACGTTATAGCTCACTTTGATGGGGATCGGACGGTAAAGAATTCTACAACAACGACTAAATCAATCAACTTTAAAATTGTAATAAATGTAAACTTAAACTGGATATGAGCAAACTTTTTCAAGGCAAACTCTCTATCTAGCCTCCTCATGCATACTCCTGGCACGCTCTTCACTTGAGACATTACTAATTGACTCATCATAGTCATACTTGCTTTTCGATGAAACACTAGGCGGTACATTATCCTCATGATACAAACTTCTCATCAATTCCTTTTCATCGGTCCAATTTCTCAACTTTTTACCATAAATGTACAACGGTATAGCAAACAAACTGACAAACAATTGAATACCTCCATACGTGACATATGCTGATTTGTAACCTTGTTGTGCCGCGTATTTATTGTTGAATAATGAAAAACAAAAACCGAGCAAGTTTTTCAAAAAATTAAACGAAACCAACGTTTCTGAAGCAAACATCTTGTAAGAATCCACGGAAAAAGTAATTGCTGTAGTTGATGCCATGGATGAGCCACAGGACATGGCTCCAAAAAAGATCACTGGAGCAATCCACGGATCTTGTACTGTTGATGACCATCCGTACCCCATCAATCCAATAGCAATGAGCAATGTGGACGGAATAATCATAACCAAGCGATACTCTGGTTCATAAACACCTCTATTCTTAGCAACAAAATATCGACTTAATCTGTCTGAAATCAATCCACATGACAACGATCCAATGATTCCACCAATAAATGGTGATATGTAGAAAAGACCCACTGTTTGTTGACTATATCCATAAGGTGGGTTTCTGAAAATTTCGGCAATTGTTTCTGAAATGACAATAAGCCAGACAACGGCCAACGAGTAAATAAAGGAACCAAATAGGACATGGGGGTACGTGTACAACACAAATGGTCGTAATGCAACCATCCACCAACTATCTTTGGTAAAACGCCCTTGATATATTCTCACGTCTTTCCAGTAACTATTCTTTTGGTATTCAACTGGTGGTTGAGTTGATTCGGTTATGGCGACAGGCTTTTCGGTTACTCCTTGAGCAGTATAATCAACAACCGATGACGAAAGACTATGTATATCCTGTGACGATGAACTGGGTCGTTGCTGACGATTACTCTGCAACGCAAACGCATTGGGTCTTTGTGAAGGTGGATGGTACGATTTCACATTTTGTGCCAATTCAGTCTCAGCTATGGATCTTTTTGATGGTGTTGGCGTCCTATCCCAAAATGTATCGGGAACAAATAAAATAATCATAATGGTGGTGAATCCTAAAAACATGGCCAAGATCCAAAACAACCAATGTCTATCCAAATACTGAAACACCAATGCAGACAATAGAGGGATGATGTTTTTCCCACCCAACATCAACATTGTATAAAGTCCAATTCTATACGCTCGTTCATGAGCAAAATAAATCTCGGCAATCGTGGAACTAGGTAAACATTCAGTGGGGGAAGCACCAATACCAGTTAGCACTCTTGCCCCCATCAAATTGCCAAAACTATTAGCTGCGCCTCCCCATACTGCACCCATTGCAAATATAAATGTCCCAGCAATGTATACCAATCTTTTCCCATAGAGCACAGCTGTAGGACTAGCGATAACTGATCCAACACCCAACGACAACATAAACCCACCAACCAAGTAGGATATTGTCGTCAAGGGTTTATCAAACTCAGTAGCTAAAGATCCCAATCCCGCAGCTAGTATTGGAGACTGGCCACCTCCCAAGAAACTAGCAAATCCAATAATCAACAAGCACAAATCGCGTTTCCATACTGACCAATTCAATGGATCATTGGGTGAATCATGCGGCTGAGGGTTCAAAATGACACCGGTGGCTGACTTCTTCATTGAGTTGACATCATCGTGTTCATTTGGATCATCGAGCATGACAATAGTACCAGTAACGGTAGTTGCTCGAGGCTGTTTGATTCCAAGCAGCAGTGTCGTGTGTTTCCTAGGTTTCCTAGGTTTCCTAGGTGCGGGAGTCCTCTTTCTCATTGTATAGGGGAGATGTCGTTTCGATGATGCAGTGATGCGTGTGTGTGATTGTTTGTGAGTGTGAGTGTTATGAGCTAGTGTGTGATTAAAATCAGTGGTTTCTGTAGTCTAAGTATGTTTCTTGTTTTTTAGTTTGTTGTTGTTGTTCCATGTTTATTGGCTATATTTAACATATTTAACATACAGGCGGTGTATATGCTTATAGTGGTTGAGCTGTAACTAAAATAGACTGCCAACAAACAATCAAACCAAGAAAAAAATAAAAGGAGACACAAAAACAAGATAAAATTATGAAACGGATCAAACTAAAAGGAAAGTAGTAATATGTAGTAGTATGTAGTAGTATATAGTAGAGCTTCGTATAGTATATGCTCTTCAATAATTACGTCACACATGTAAAACAAATAATTCCACGACACAGCACACGGACACGACACCACGATACTTTTTAACTTTTAGAAAAGGCGGGGAATTTTAAAGTGTGTACCTTTTTGTTTTACTTTTTGCAACCAAATACCATATCATTTACAAACCAAACATTACATACACACACTAAAAGATTGAGAAGTAGGCGAGTAATGCTGTAGTAATGAGCTTACTCAAATCTTAAACATTTAGGATAAAAGACCCTCTTTGGTGCCTGTCTTGGAGAAGTCTAACTATCTTCAAAGGCACTCTTTCCCACACCAGCAATAAAGTTTAATGAAGATCAATGGCATTAAAGTAAGACAGTTGAGCCCCTAGTCAAAAATTAGGAATAACATGAGAACGATAAATATACAAATAGAAATCGTCGTTTCTGCAAATGTGTTTGAGCAAACACGTGACATTCCAATTGTAGGGGTCATGCGGTTGCTATCTAGTGTTGACCACCTTTTTCTTCTTTCGTATTACATTTAAAGCCAAGATTTAACATGAACAACTTATTAAAAGACGCGATATGGTGGGGAAGGATTGAGGAATGATGTTGCGAGAATATGTTTTTATGCTTTTACATTGTTAGTGATCTTAACAACTAGAGTGCCTGTACTGCTTGTATATGTTTTCTCATCCAATTACCATCAGCCACTGAACTCACATCTTACCTGAACTCATACTCAAATTGAAGTAAATTGAACGTTAGGTGGATATCTAATTTTGCCTTTTTTTTTTTTTTTTTTTCCGTTTTCCAATTGTCAATGGTTTTTATTAAACCAATCCACTCCCCTCTCTTCTTCTCATCTTCTCCTCGCAAAATCCCCATTCTGTATAGCTCATTAGTAGAGGCTTCAATACGTTTGGATATATGTGTTTGTATGCATCTTAGTATCTACCATTGTTCATCGTAGAGTACTCATACCCATACCCATACACATAGAAATTTATACAAGGATTAAAACTAGTGCGACACACCTCATTAGATCAGCTTTAGTGAGTGCTTTTGCATTGACATGTGCCATCACACCACTCAAACTGAGATTTTGTTCCAATTGAGTGTGACCACCTTTCGGCACTTACTCTACCACAAAAGAACCATTCCTTTTTGGTGCTGTTGATTGTAAATATGAGCGTGGGATATTGAATACTATTTGTAAACGCGATTCTCAATTGTAGAGAGAGAATACTTCAACCACCAAAAGAGGGAAAAAAAATAAAAAATAAAAAAAAAAAAAAAAAAAAAAAAAAAGAAAACGAGAAAACGAAATCTTTAATTTCTGGTAGAGCAAGAGAGAAAGAAAAAAGTTCAATTGAACCTTTCTCAGCAAATTCAATTTTACTACATCCCAAATACTACAACCACTACCACCACTACTACCGCCACTACCATCACTACACACATATCACCAATAATGTCTGGACCTCCACCAGTAGTACGGGCTATTTACTCAAACGTATGTATATCTATTCCCCCCCCTCAATTTCATTCCTATGAGACTGCCCTTTTTGCTTTTCCATGATAATCTGACGCGTCCATACATTGGCCTTTTTTTTTTTTGACAACCAAAAAACCTAAGCATTGAAGGATACCATTTTATGTATCAACATACGTATACTAACATCGATGATTATAGACCGAGGTTTATGAATGTGATATGAATGATTCTCCCATAATGAGGAGATGTAAAGACGATTGGGTGAATGCTACACAGATTTTGAAATGTTGCAATTTTCCCAAGGCCAAACGAACAAAAATCTTGGAAAAGGGGGTTCAACAAGGATTACATGAAAAAGTTCAAGGAGGATTTGGGCGTTTTCAAGGAACTTGGATACCTCTTGAAGATGCTCGTAGACTAGCTTGTACATATGGAGTTACTAGGGAATTGGCACCCGTTTTATTTTTAGATTTCAACGATCCAAATTTAGTCATTCCAGTGAAAGCCAAACCACCACCAAAGGAAAATACAAATTTGGTCAAGAGGAAGTATGTCAAGAAACCAAAACAACCAGGTGATACACCAAAGAAGTACAAGACTGGGAAAAAAGCAGCTTTACAACAGGCGGCAGAGGAGGCAGCAGCAGCAGCAAATGGAACCACAGCCGATGGAGTAGAAGCAGCTGAATTACTGATGAATGAAATACCGCAATCTGCTCAAACTTCATTTGTCTCCCAAGATACCAATGGTGTTCTTTCGAGACAAAACTCTTATGCTGTTGCTTCAAATTCATACCCACAAATGTTCAATAATGGACAACAGGGAGTCAGTGCAAAACCATTGCCACTCTCAGCTCCACAACAATTTGACCACATGGCATTGACACCTCATAGTGCAGGCATATCCTTCTCGCAACCAGAATATCAAGCTGTCAATGGTAGTAGTAGTAGTAGTAATAGTCTACCCAACTCACAACAACAGCATGGATATCCAAATCCACAATTGACACTGCGGTTTCAACAATTCCCCCCACAACAATTTCCGCAGGTGTATCCACCACCAAGTAGTAATGTGAGACAATTCCCAGTACCAGTACCAATACCCAACCCAATTCCACAACAAGTGTATGCCGAACACAAAGTACTATCATCACAATCGTCCAATGAGTCAAACTGGTCATTACACCAAGATCAGAAAGAAAGCGATACCTCAATGAATTCAAGTGTTGAGGATAGAAAGCTGTACAACAATGGAAACAATGGTATTCAATTACCACCAGATGAACCAACTCCTGGCGATGACAATAGTTATGCGGCACAGCTCTTAAAATTCTTCAGTGAAGATAGTGCTGATATTCCATATTTTGTTCACTCACCACCATCTGATTTCAATATAAACGAACCTATTGACGACGAAGGACATACACCCTTACACTGGGCTGCATCTATTGGTAACTACGAAATGATTCATATTTTGATGAGCAAAGGGGCCAATCCATTGATTGTGAACAATTTTGGTTTGAATCCATTATCAAAACTAATTTCATTCAACAATTGTTACGAATTGAGAAATTTCGACAAGGTTTTAACTGATTTAGAATTATGTTTGATCAATACTGATATAAATGGCAGGACACCACTACATTATCTATGCCAATATGCCAAGGTGAAGTCGAAATTTGAAAGTTTGCAATTTTATTTGAATTCCATTTTAAGTAAATTGCAATTCTTAACTGATCAAAATCAACTGAGGCTGGTTAATTTGATGAAGAATGTACTAAACCATCAAGATGTACGAGGTGACACGTGTTTACATATTGCAATCAAATCTGGTTGTATCAGTTTTGTTCAAACTTTGCTTAAATATGGAGCAAGAGATGATATTGAAAATATTGATCGAGAAACAGCAAGAGGTTTAATTATGCAATATAATTTGATACCAAACTATGCCCAAATTGGTGCGGCACAAGAAGCATACCAAACACAATTATCAATGGCTTACTATGACACTAGGAAAAGCACGCGCAATTTGCAAGATTCACAAGCTGCTCTAGTTTCAGGATTGGCAACCCCCATCCAACCAAATTTCCATCGTGTTGAAACACCTGATACTCAAAAGACTACAGTGCAAGATGATGATGCAGAAGAAGATGATGATCATCGAATGGCTAGAGTCGATAGTAGACACCTTGAAGCATTGAATGATGATGATAAGGAGAACATTTTCATTGAGAAACCTGGTGACAACATTTCTTCGCCGGGCCACAGAAGCCATGTCACTTCAGCTCATCAACCACTAGCTGTTATATCTGAAATTGAAGCTGCTGGATCACCTTCATCCATGATTGGTGCTCAACATTTAACAATGACTCAACATTCGCCGCAGCCGCAGCCGCAGCCGCAGACGCGGACGCAGACGCAGCTACAGTCTACCAGATCTACTCATCAAACTAATTATGAAAAATGCCACTATACACTGCGTCGAGTATTAAAGAAACCCAATCCACCCAAATTGGATGCTGATGGTAAACTCATAAAGCAAGAAGGAAATGACAATCCTCCTCATCTTCCATTTGAAGATTTATCAACAATGATTTCGGGAATGATTGGGTCATTATCGAGCTCCTACAACGAAGAATCAAGCCGATTGGACAAAGAACTTGACTCATTACGATCATCAATTGCTGCAAAACAAAGTGAAGCCAACAAGAGTGTCAGCCATATCAATAATTTACTTCTCAGTTCAGGCATTGAAGTGAAGAATGAAGACGAAGTCAATTCAATTGAACAAGCACAATCAGTCATTAATAAACATATCCTATATTGCCAGGAAAGTTTATGTGAAAATGAATTGAAAATTACTAATATCATGCAACGCAATCAAGCTTATGAGTTGGCGTCATTGGTGCAAGCGGAAGAACAAGCAATCATTGATGCCAAACAGAGCAATGGCGGTGACAACGACAATGACAATGATGATGACGACGAAGACGATGAGGACCTTGTAAATGAAGAAAAATTCAACTTGTCTATCGAACTAACCCAGTGTCAATTGCAACGAAACTCACTTGTTTTGCAAATCGCTCAAAGAACCAAGATGTTTGGTATTGATGATACAATGTACAAGTATCGCAAGTTGTTGAGTTTGAGTTGTGGTGTACGCGTTGAGGATATCGATAGTTTGATTGATGGAATTGCTGAATCCTTGACTGGAGGTCATTAATGAATGAAGAAAAAAAGAAGAGGCCAAAAGGTGGAGTAGAGGATCTTACTTTTTTTTACTGTATCCTATAATGTCACTTTGTTACTGTATCGTATTATATTGTATTGTATTGTATTATATAGTTCTATGTCATTCCTTTTGTTCACATTTGGTTATAATTTCGAATAACAATAATGATATCCAGAGTAACACCCTCGGGTGAAGGAGTCTACCGGGAAATAACTGACAACGAGAGGTGGGGAGTTCAAAAATTGTATCATGTTTGTGGTTTAGGTCTTTCTAGAGTGGCTATCGTATCAGTCAACTCATTAAACAACTTAAACACTTTATCAGCCTCACGTTCATTTCTATTCGACACCAAACTGGTAGAACTACCACCAAACTCAGTATCAGCAACATTTCCTTCTCCATCACTCCCCAGCTCTAGCACCAGTCCCAGTCCCAGCACCAGCACCAGTTTCTGTTCTTTCTCTTGATCTTGATCTTGCACTTGCCCCTTTACTTTCAAGCTACCCAACACCCAGCTCTCTTTCAAACTCCTCAGTATCGACAATAGATCCTGACAATATCGAATAATCTGGATCGCATCACTTTCAATCGTGAGTGATTCAACACTCAACAATTCCTTAGGTTTGGCATTGTTGGTTAGTACTTCGATGATGTTTTGAAATTTGAAAAGAATTTGTTCGACTATCGAATCGATTTTTTGAAGGAGGGTTATTGATTTCGGTTGCATAGAAAGGAACGTGGGGATGATGTAATGTAATGTAGCGTCTGGTGGGATTTTGAGATTCTTTTCGAGTTTTGTTTTTGATTTCGCGCATTTGGGAGAATGTGCAACACAAGCACTTTTAATATCATACCTATTACTATCAATCCCATAAAAAGCCTATTAAGTTTCTAAATAAATACCCGTACAAACCTCCAAACACCCCAAACACACCAAGCTATAGCCTTGTATACATTAACCACAACCCAAACCAATTTCAACACACCAACAATTATATTCTCAAGTATCAAATACAACATACGATAATTCATTGTTGCATCGGTTGTCAAATCCAGCTTCAAACTCAAACTTGATTGATTATTAGCCATTAAAGATTGTTCCAAAATGTCTAATCTTTCAGTAGTCTTTCTCAAATCCAATGACAATGAAGCATTGATTTCCGAAATTGCTCGATCGCCAGCACTTAGCAACGTGTCAATCTTGATGGAATAGTTATTGTTGACCATGTGCAAGATTGATTTACTTTCATCAAGACAGCCACGTTGTAAATCTTCAAATGCCGGTAAACTTTCGTCAGTGATTAATGACATCAATTGCAAGATTTCGTCAATTGAATTTGATTTCACATGATCTAGTTTGTGTTGTACCAGTTGTAAATAGTTGGGGTAAATGGATAGCAAGTATTGTAAACGAGTGTAACACGATTGTCGTAAATAGCTCAAACAACTAAGCACCCTGATTAAATTCTGCTCTTGTTGATTGATTATCGTCCCAGTGTCGATTTTTTCAATCTTGGATGATAGTTTATCATCATTGTCATTGGTATTGGAACTCACTGGTGACACGTCACTAATGGAACCGCCTCGTTTTGTTGGGTGGATTTCAACTCCTTGCAACTTGGATTGAGCTATAGGGTCAGGTGTACTTTCCTCAATGCGGATGGTTGGGGGAACAACAACACCATGATTATTTGCATTGCTCAAATGTGGCTCGGGTTCAGGTTCCAAGATCAAAGGTACATTGAGTTGATGTTTATTGTCATCATGTGATTTAGTTGGGTCTAAATTGCTACGTGTTCGGTTCAACTCGTTTTCCAATGGTTCCGAGCCAGTCAGACCACTACCGAGTTTATCGTCTGAAGTAGTATGATGTTTCAGTAAATTAGATGAGGATGATTCACCATGATACAAACGTTTCACTTTTGTCTTGAGTCTGTGTTTATGATGGTGGTGACGATGTTGTTGGTGCAAAGCAAGGGGGTCTGTGCCAGGCGCTCTAGAGTGTTGTGCATCACTCTCTGAACTAGTTGAAGTATCGAGCGAAAATTTCAGTACTCTATGATTTGATTTATCTTCAGCATGATCGGTATTCGACTTGCTGCGTTTTACTTCATCATCAGAAATTTCAAACAATTTATCATGTAATCGTTGTCTAAATCTATGCTTCTTTCGACGATGGTTGTAACCATTTTCAGTAACTTCATCAGGAAACCAATAGTTCCCATGAGGATCCTTCAACTCATTCCAATGATGAACTCTCCACCTTGCATCCCCAATATACTCTTCCAATTCTATGGCCCACAACATCTTCCAATCCTTTTTAAGGTGATGTCGATGACCTGGTAAATTATGCTTGCTAAACACATTACATGCGAGTGGTATAGTTTTTAAATGTAATGGCTTCGGATACTCGTGATACTTGGCTCTGATTTTTCTATTTCTCAAAATTTGAAGTGGATTGTAAACCCCCTCCACTCCAGGGTGTAAATTATGGTCACCATTTGCTTCCTGCCAATCGTGAATACGTTGAATGTGGAGATATTTCACTCCCAACATTGATTTCACTTTTTCTGCTCGTATAAATGTACTACGACTGATCTTGGTGTCTTCAAAAGGAGAATCATGATGAAGTGGGTTGGGATCTAAGTTCGGTGCTGGGTCAACAACGTTGCATTCTGCTTGAAGTATGTTTCTCGTATCTAGAAAAAGTGAAGCAAGTGCACCGGCTTTTTTCACATCATCTTTAGTAATGATTTCCTGAGTTGCATGATGTGGCTTGCTTTTTAGTAGTGTATCATCGGTTGTGGTGTCTAATGAGTTTTGTACAAACAGATCAAGGTTTGCGTCAGTGGTGTATTTCTTGACTTCGTCACTTTGTGACCCATTAGCAGAAAGAGGTTTAGGTTGATGGTTTGGTTTCGATGAAGAAGTTACCCTTGGTCTAGTGGATGATGACGTTGGCGATGATGATTGCTTGATACTTGAGTCGATGACTGATAGTCGTAGTTGAGATAGTGGCGAGTTTGTTTTACCAGCTGAGTCCAGAACTTGAGTTGTCTTCAGTGACATTTATAAAATGCACCCTTGTGGTGGTGCAAAACGTGGTTTTGTTGGGGTTGGACGGAATAAGTTATTGGATGATGCTGGCGGTGAGTTCAATTGTGTAATGGAATCGTTCGGTTAAGGAGCCTTCGCCTGCTTCCTGTTTTTTTTTTTTAATTGTGAAATTTTGCAACACAAACTGAAAATCTCCTCTTTATATCTCCACTTTGGGAATACATAGTAAACACAACGGATGTAGATATGTACACCTATAGATAGAAACAACCCAAAATGTATAAAAAACTTGGGGGGGGGGGGGGGACATAATCACTGATTAAGAAAATATTGCACTCTTATTGTATACTAGTCAATCGTGTGTGATGAATATATCACATCGCATTAAACATTCATTAATTCGTCCCTAAACAATTATAAACTAGTTGTTTTGATTCTTTATCAAACAACTGAACTTCCAAGAAATAAAAATTGACAATATTGGAAATGACACCACCAACATCTCCATTACGATTCATTATTATTCTATTGGTTAAAACTGACAACAAGTCCGATTTGGTCAACTTTAACAAGGTGATGATTTGTAAAAATTGCTCGACTGGTATGATAGAGCCTATACTCAACAACTTGTAGAACTTAATCAAGACCATTAGTCTGTTGATGATTGATTTTGCCGTAGCATGAGGTACTGCATCAATCAACATTCGCAACATGCTTGAAACTAGCTTGGATGCGTCTTCGATTGCATTGTTCTCGATTATATACTTCATTTGTTGCAAGTTACCACACGCAAGTAAAGAGCTTGCCATGTGATCAAGTGAAACGAAATTGCTTCTGGCGTATTCAAACTTGTGTTGTTGCAATGAATCCAAAAACCTAACAAATGACAACGACTCAATCACTTGAGGCGAGTTGGATGGATAGTCTCTGCTTAAAATGTCGCTGGCTTTGACGCCAGACTTTAGCTCGTGTTTTATTTGTAATTCAACAAGTTTGGTATTGTCAGGAGCGACTTGCAAAGTTTCCACCAACTTGGAGAAACCACGTGGGTTAGTCTCCAATTCAGCCTCAAGTTCAAACATCTTTAGTTCTTCGGATTTGTCGTGTACAAGTTTGCTGCATTTCTTAATTTCCTCATAGTATCCATGATGCTTCAAATAGTTGAAATATGCAGTTACCCACTCAACATCTGAATTGTTCAGATAGATCAATTCGAAATTAAACTCACTAATGCTAGATCCAACACTGGATTGAAACAACCTGGTCAACAATTTGGTGAAGAAGATGTTTTCACGCACCAAAAACGCAAGTACTTCTCCATTCACGTGTTGATCATTGTAAGCTATCAATCTGTCAAGTAAAAATAGCTTACTCTTGTCCTCGCGCCCCGTCATCCACATTCTGTCCAACATTGATGCAACATCAATCCTTGGCAAATATTCATTGACGAAGTTGTAATTCAAAAGCGCGTTCCAAGTTTTTACATCAAAGGTGTAACCTTGACCAAACAATTCAATAAAAGCTGCAACTCCCTTTTCATAGTTGATATTCAACAAGTAACTCAAATCCTGGTCGATTGAAAGTTTGACTGACTCAGTGGCACCTTCACCTACCAAATTCAAGTATTGACAAGCTCTATTAATAGCTGGAGTGGAACATCCATTCAAATTGGCGATCACTTTTGTGAAATGGGTTTTCAAAGCGTTCTTTAGTTCGACAATATCATTGGTCAATTCGAGATAGTGATTGCCTGGATCTTCAAATTGATTGATCAAATGAGCTTCAAAGTCAGCAACCTTGAGTGAGATATCCGGGTCTGCACCTGCATATTGCAACAAATGACGTGCAATAACATTGAGCCCATAGAGATTGTCCGATTGGAGATCAAATGACTCAACACATTTGATTGGTATTGGTGAATTCATAAGCAACTGTACATTGTAGTTGGAAATACTGGCTAATGCCATATCATGACCAGCGAGTTGACTAGGAACTGAAATTGTCAAATATTGGACAAACTCGGACACAAAGTCATTGAGATTCGTCGAGGTTTGATAATGCTTTGCTTGTATCAGTAACAACAGATGAAGTAGTCCTAGGTAATATTGATTGAAATATTCACCTTGTGATCTGTTATTGACAACTCCGTTATTCAAGTAGTCCAAGACCATACGCAAAACCTGGGAATCGCCAATCAAGTGTTCTTTCAACATGATTTCCTTCACCAATTGGAAAACCCTCTCGTGGTCACCTTTACAAATAGCAAGACCAAGGAGAACATCTCGACATGACAATCCATTTGTATCCTTCATCATGTCTATGGTGGAAGTTGACTGAAAATCTTTTCTCAATGCAACACGGTTGTACAACGCCCACATGTCATCGTACCTGTCGGGAAACTCCTGTAACTTGACAATGATGAAATTGTAAAACCAAATGGGCAATTCAGGCAAGTACGGTACGTGTTGAAATTTCTTCAATAGTTCCAAAGAATCCACCGCATTAGTCTTGACTGCATATGCTTTTAAAAAAGCGGCAATCAAACAGCTCACTTTTGCCTTAGATGGACGATTGGAAAATTGTAATGACTCTTTGTAATCCATTAATATGTTGTCCAATAATTGACTAGCTGAACTCAACTGGCTGTTGTAAACTAAAGCATTTATCAACGATTGATACACCGCATACTCGTCGATATTGTCTAGTTTACTGATCTTCTTGTACGTTTCTCCAATGATGGTGTATGCTTGTTTCTCGTCATAGGATTCTAACTGGCTCAAAAATGAGGAAAGTTCCAACACGTTGAGACAATAAGCAGGCTCATCACAATCTACTTTGTCCAACATTTGCACAAAAGATCCCACAATCAGTTCGCTGACAAGACCAGGATACAACTTTGATAATTTGACAACCTTATCAAATACACTCTTGAACAGCACATGTTTCGAAGAAGATTCCACCAATTCAAATGCAATTTGGGCAAACTCTTTGGATTTCGTGGATATTTCGTTAAACTCGATGTAGTTTTCGCATTGCACAAGTGAACACTTCAAAGTACTATCCAACATTGCATTGACAACTAAATTGTAAGTTTCATTATCAGGTTTCAAGTTTGCATAAAGAATATCCTGATACACTGTAAGCAAATTGGTCAACTTTCTCTCAATGGCACCGATTTCGACTTCATTATCAATAAACCTGTCAATGATGGATTTCAAGACCATGTTGTATAGCTCCACGCTAGGCAAAGTTAGCCCATTACGCTTGATAGACTGATACAAGGGATATATCATGTCAAGGTCTTTCTTATCTCCATAATTCTCAAAAGCGTTGGTTATATTGGCGATTTGTGACTCCAAGAAACCGTTTTCGAATGAATCCTCCACTCCAACTTTCGTTGGCGACTTCTGTGACGTCTTGGTTAATTGTTGGAAAAGTGTTTGAGAAACTGTAGTGAATGACCTCCTTGAAAGACCAATGGAGAACACATCACCATTTGTGCGGGAATCAGTCAATCTAGAAGATGACAAACTTGACGAATGAAAGCTTGCACCTGCGTTGATGAAATACCCGGCGGGTTTGACGTAACACGATGATGTTAGTCTATACGTGGCGGTCTTTACATTTTCCAAGCCAATTTGAGTATCCTTTATGGCTTTGGAAATTATAAATCTAGCTGCTATCCCAAGGAGCAAAAGCTTAACATGGAATAGTCCTCTATAATGTTTATGTGATCTGTGATTCCATCTGTGCCTATGACCACCACCACACTTTGACCAACGATGATGATGATGATGATGATGATGATGATGTTTGCACATATTCATAAACACACACTGTTTGAACTTTGTCCTATCACCCCGCTCCATTTGCTTGATCATGTAACGTCTGATATAATTTTCATATGCCCGTTGACGGTCTTTTCGTTCACATTCGTGATTGTACATAGAGTAGTAGACTCCATAATGACCATCTGCTATACCGGGGAACGTAGTCGATTGACTTGTGGATCCGGTCTCTGCTCTCGACCACCACCGAGTTTTATGAAAAAATTCATGACGTTTCAGTAACCCTTGGTAGTAGTAACTAGTGTTTAGATAAGGGAACGATGCTTGAAAGAATGGTTGACGATGACGATTGGAGTAATGAATTCTAGCATGACGAAGTCTAGTTGATATTCTAGCAAGCCGTATAAAAGAAGGGAGCACCATTGTTCCATGTGTCTATAGTGTATTGTATGCAAGTTAATAGTTGTTGATATTGTCTATATTGATGTGTCTGATGACATAAAGAATATGTTTCTAGTGCTCAGTAGTAGTCTCTATTGATCGATCTATGATCTCTTTAGTAATTCTGGAATAGTTTAAATACACCTTTGGATGAAATTCCCTTCTTTTTCTTCTTTCTGCTTGTTATGCGTTTGATATTAATTTGATAGTCTATGATAGGTTTAAATCTTGTAGACACAGGACGCAAAAAGAACAACAAAATTTTTCTCTTCAGAATCGGCCCTGCATATAGGAGCTGAACGGACGGAGTTAGGAAGAAACCGTTGACAACGGTCTACTGACGATGGTAGAGACAGCGATGGAGAAGAGAGTAATGATGACAGTACAATCTGTCCCGTCGCTAAATAGTTCTATTCGTGAGCGCAGAAGACAGAAAGAGTGAAAGGGAAGAATGCTTGAGTTTATTATTGCTCACCTTCTTGTAAGGGATCTGAGTTCCGATATACTTCTAATCACTCCCAAACCTGGACTCACATATCAGATTCACCACCACAGTTTCCGTGCTCAACACTTCTGAGATGTCTATTTACGTAAGCGTAGCTTTAACTTCATTTCATTGATAAACAACTACTCAATGCTCTATTAATGACAATTCTAATGCACGTTTCAATTCCTCGTCAACCTCACTGTCTTCTTCAACTGGATTACCAGTCTCCACTGGCAATTCCGAAGTGTAAGCATCAGCTCTTGAAAGCTCCAAAGCTAAGTTGAGGTCCTGAGCAGTATCACTGTTGCCATCTGGTGCCACGTCTATTTGGCTTGACCTGTTGGTATATATATTTTCACTCATGGCCAATGCTATTCTCATCTCCTCTTCTTCATCATCAAATTCAGTTCCATTGTATCTATCAAAAAGCTGCTCAGTCTGATTCCGTACATGCAACTGTCGATGATACTCATTCATCCCATCTTTGATTTTCTTCTTTGACTCATGCTTCCCATGTGATCCTATGTTTACTTGCTTTGCCTTCTTTGAACCCACACCAGCTTTCTTGCTACTTATCTTGCCAAACTCAAAGTATTGTATCACATCCCCACAAACTATCACACCATTAGTGTCTTGCTGGTCCGGATTGAGTTGGACTAGTTCAACCATTTTCGGAAAATGTTGCATACTATCAAACCTTCTGGGAAACTTGATTGAAACTTCTCTCAAGAATTTGCCTGTAAAGATATCATAGATGCACGTCAACCCATTGTATCCCGCCACTGCCACTACCGATGCATTCAAAGCAAAAGTAGTAACACCTAGTAGTTGCCCATTCGACACAGCGTTGTGTATTCGACCCAGAATCTTTTTATGATTCAATTCTGGATTGAAGCGTAGTAGTGGCTCTATCGTGTGGGTGGACACTTCACGAACATTCCAAATGACAATACTCCCGTCACTTAGAAGACTTCCACAAACTAGCCCACCGCCACCAACAACGTTTGCATTCACATTATGCAAATTGCTTTTGGCTACTGTCTGAAGCTGGGTCAAGATGATTGCTTCGTTTTCAAAATCTAATTTTCGTATCCCTGCACAATGGAAATCATAAACACGAACACTCTTCCCATGGGTTATGATTATGCTTTCTCCACCGAAATCAACATCAAAAGAGTTTTTGTGATTAACAAGCTGTTCAACATGTATTGCCTCCTCGTTGCATACAGGGATATCCAAATTCGCATGCGCCCAAACCTCCAAATTTTCAAGCTTCAAAACGTAAACTGATGTTGTAGTGTTCACGATGATGTGTTTGGTGAAGTCGGACTTCATGTTTATAACAGGGCCATCCAACCTCATTTTGCTCCTGAGTTTGCCATGCAAAGTCCAACACCGTACATGCCCATCAAGCAGCCCACTGAGAACATCGATAGTACCTCCGTTCTTATCCACATTTGAGTTTATGACCACACTTGTAACCAGACTCCGTTCATCATCTCCCATATCAAAATTAGTCACACTATCTCTTTGACTTAATGAAGTGCTGATGATCAAATTCTTGACAACAATACCTCCATTCTTCTTCCCCATCACTAGGTAATTGAAATTCATATCATAGCTCAATATATCCATGTTCATCATCCCTGGGATAAAGCTTTGGGTTTTCCCACTATCAAGATTGCCAATACTGATATTCCCCAGTATTTGGTCAAACACAGCAAGCTTATTCATCTTGAAATCACACAATGTCAGGCCACCTATTCGGAGTTCACTATTTGCCATTCGATAAGTCTGATGAGTCGATACACCTCTTTTCCAATTACGTATTACTTGTAGCCTCGCAAAATACTCTCTCATCCAATTCGATCCATGTGTAACACTTGGAAATGACGATGCTGATGGTGGAATGCCAAATCTTTTGCAAAACAGCTTGGTCCAGGTTTCCTTATCATTGATTATGTGATTCCATTTCTTGCAGACTAGTCGTAAACCGTTCAACGTTAATGGTTCTAATTGTGAAAAGGTGTGAATCAAAACCTCGTCAGGCAAATCATTAAGGAATATTCGTTGATGTTGCGCCGGGGTTAGCTCCTGGGCACTCGTGGTGTTTCCCAAAGTGTCGCTAGCAGTCTCTGAATGGTCCATGAGCTATTTGTCTCTCTCTTGACACACTATTTCGGTGTATCTTCCAAAAGGAAGAACTCAGTTTTGTTTCGCCATTAATCATCATTTCCAGACCCGCGTGGGAAGGAAAGCAAAACGGAACAAAGATTTGCAACTTTAACAATTATGCGAGATGCCAAGTTAACCTGCGGTTATTGTCGTTAGAGAGTAACTACATGATACTGATGGACAATACAACAACATATTGGTATACAAATGACGCAACTACTTGGAAAGTTTCAAAGACAATGAGTGATGCGGTATAACGAACATTCAAACTAAACTAAATTGCCTCTAAACACTTCTAATCAGTCCCCTCTACCCAATGCCAGCGCAAGTTGTACATCTTTCATGACGAAACCCTAGAAGCTTCTTCTGCTACCCGGTCCCTTCTTGACCCGGCAATAATGACATCATTCACCGGTAAAGAATGGTATTCTTGACGTGAATGCATACCGAAACCAATCTTTTTCAAAATTGGCAGCGGCCAAGAACGTTCCCTTGAATTTTGTACGGACGAGCTTTTTCCATTCATCGAACTTTCTCAACAATCGAGTGGATTCCTTCTTCATTCTTGAACCCCCAAGATGCGAGTGCTTCGACTTACTCTCAGGATGAGAGCTCGCATCCTCGGCGTGAGAATGTTTTTGTAAATGAGATAAATATCTGTGTGCATAAAGGTCGTCGATCCTAATCAATTTGAGATTCTCATGTTCAGGAGCAAAGTCATAGCCTGGACATCTTGGGAATATGTAAACTGCGGTATGATTGTAGATAGTTAGATACTTTTGGGTGAAATCAATATGGTCTGGTAATGTAGTCTGATAAAATAGGGCAACTAATTCGAAAAGATGAATTTTTGTGAAGTGTTTGAAAGTACAATCAAGAATAGTCATATTATGGTAACACGATTCGAAATGATATACCTCCTGAGTCTTGTCCATTTTCGCTAGACGCCTTTGAAATGTGTCATATGATATCATTGAATACATCTTACTCATGCAGTTGGTTGAGATTCTAGGAGATAGAGAAAGTTTGTTGCAGAGCACTGCTACCGGGATCCTGCTCCTCTAGCGGCTATGATGCGTACACATCTATGTTTCTGTACAATTTGGGATTGGCAACGTGGTACAACTTGGAATGTAATGATGCAAGCGCCAATGCTTCGTGCTGATTGAGTTGATGGAAAAACTCTACTAAGGCTTCATGAGGTAGACACTTGAGGGAAAGCATTATTTTGAGGCAGATATAACACAGGCGTGGATATCACCGGACAAGTCAAGTCTTGTGTAATCTCTTTGCCAATTCCTTCTTCAATAATTCCCTCATTGTCGCCGTTTGACATGTTGGCGCTAATTTCCTGAAACAATGCATGGAAAAGTCAATTTAAGACAGGGAGACCGCCGTCATATCGTTATCGTGCACGCAAATGGTTGCTAAATATGGAATGTGCACTGTATGACCGTCATCGTGACTCTATCGTAGTGTGTTCGCTGAACTCATAACAATCACCTTCTTATACTCCGATTGAGATATGCTTTTTTTTCCTTGTTTTCTTGTGCATTTTGGCACCTGCACTGGAAGTTCAAGAGATTGAAAATTGTGTGGCTTTGAATATTAATGGATAGGTTGATGTTACACCATCGGATGGTGCAAAGACCAGTATCCTTCCATTCTATTCAGTTTCGAGCTTGCCGCTCGTAGATTGTGTAGATCGAGATTTTGAGCAATCGCACGTCTATTACATGAACGATGTCGATGTCACCTTTATTTAGAGTTTGCTTCAAGCTCATCATTTTACAGATATTTAGTGAAAGCCTTTCTCTTGAAACCAGCCTGTAAAAAACTCTGGAGTCTGTTGCGTTGACTCTCAACACATCTAATTGAAAACTTTGCATCTTCGTGATAGATTGGTTCGAGGATCGCTACGCTCACGGACTCGCTTGCACCGTAAAACCCATTCTCATCTGACGTGCATGAATAGCTAGTAATGACTCTTTGACTTCAATCAATCCTTGCCTCGTATTGGAGTAAATTACATAAGTGATGTTCTCTATTGAAATCTAGAGGTATTCCAGTAAGCGTTTGAAACCCGACTATTTTCATCTGAAGCCAAACTTTTTCGATTGACCCGTACCCACTACTGTTGGATAATTTTTATAGGCTAAAGCAGAACAAAGCTGCCCTAGCTCTCTCATCTTTCAAGACGTAAATAACGTATCCATAGTTCAGTATTCAATTGTATTCTATATGCAGTATTTTTGAAGCGAAAGTGTTTTGTTGTTTCTCTCCATCAATTTTTCAACACTCAGTTTTTTTATAAACCACCACTTTGCCAACCCAACACCTATTATTGATCCGCCACAGATCGTATATACTTTTCTTGGATATCCATTGTTTGTGAATCGTACAACCACAAAGTATTTTACACAACTTCCCAATTTGCCCATATTTTTTGGATTTTTTTTTTTTTCGCCAGTGAAGCATTTTTCAAAATCCGATTGTTCCAGCGTTGCCACCAATAAAATATTATGAGTTCATCATCGATCTTGCGAAAGGAATTAACAGGATATAATGTTTTTCTAGGAAGACGAATTCTATCGCAAAGGGGTAGCCAGTTTGCTCGGTGTGGTAAAACAAGATATCCATTGAGTCCTCAATTGCATGGAAATTCCGCTAATTGGATTAGACTTCAGTCGACAGCTCCACCACCACAGACACCGCCAACTAAGGATCACAACCTTGTAACAGACCAGAAGAAGCAGGCTGCGTTTTCTAAGGGCGAATCCATTGCTGAAAGCGATAATGCAAAGGAGCAACAAATTGACACCCAAGCACTTGAAAAGTTGGAAAATTCTCCAACGAATGAACTTGTACAAAAGGAAGAAAGCAAGGACAAGCCTAAACCTACTCTTTGGGAAAAAATTAAACACGAAGCCCAGCACTATTGGCTGGGTACCAAATTGTTGGGTTATGAAGTCAAGGTATCAACGAAATTATTGACGAAATTAATTGCCGGATACGGTTTGAGTCGAAGAGAGGCTAATCAACTACAAAGAACGATTGTTGATGTGGTTAGATTAGTTCCGTTTGCAGTGTTTGTTCTTATCCCTTTTGCTGAATTACTTCTTCCGGTTGCATTGAAACTTTTCCCTAACATGTTACCTTCAACTTACGAATCTAAGAAGGATCGCCAAAATAAAAGAAATAAGTTGAAAAAGACAAGGAATGCTGCTAGTGAATACATTAAGCAAACGATGGAACAATCTGGTTTGAAGCTTTCAAAGAAAATTACTGATGCAGAAAGAGAAAATTTTGTTCAATTTTTCCATGCCATATCCTTGGGTAAAAACCCAACAAGGGAACAATTGATTCAAGTCGCCAGGTTATTCAAAAATGATCAAGTTTTGGATAACTTGAGTCGTCATCAATTAGTTGCCATGTGTAAATACATGTCTTTAAGACCATTTGGAACTGATTCCATCTTGAGATATCAAATTAGACATAGATTGTTGACAATCATTAAAGATGACAAGGCCATTGATTATGAAGGTGTTGATTCATTGTCTCTACCAGAGTTGCAAATGGCGTGTTCTCAAAGAGGTATCAAAACGAGTGATGTTTCCCCAGGTAGATTGAGAGAAGATTTGGAAACATGGTTGGATTTGAGATTGAGACAAAAGATTCCTTCCACTTTGTTGATTTTGAGTAGTGCTTACACTTATGGTGATAACCAATCAACTGATTCATATTATGATGCATTGTTGGCTGTGTTGTCCTCAATTCCTGATGAAGTTTACAATGTGGCTAAATTAGAGTTATCCGATGACTCGAAATTGAAGTTGAACATCTTGAAGGAACAAGATGAATTGATTGAAGAAGAAAACGAAAGGGAAAAGGGTACTGTCAATAAACTTAAGGATGATATCAACTTGGACGAATACGAAGATACAGCTTCGGAGGGTGTCAATTACCAACAAGACAAAGAAGAAAAGGAGCTTGAGGATGGATTGAATAAGGAATTAGAGAATGACGATACCAAGAAGGAGGTGCACAACAAAGCTGTGGAAGATCCTTCTGCTCCAATTCGCTCTGAAAATGCCAAAGATGAGGAAATTGAGAAACACGATGACGAAAAGGTTAAAAAGGAGAATAAGTAAAATGAGTCGCAAGACAAGTAGAGCGAGCAATAGAGTTGAAGACCATCTCTTACTTTACTCATGGCGTATTTATATAAACATAAACATATAGAAATTTCCAGATACTATCTAAAACTGTACATTAAAATAAACGCATCTATTTCTTGGCTCATATCGTTTTCAATTCTTACCTGTGGATCCAAATCCACCTTCACCTCGCTCAGTGCTCGTCAATGCTTCCTCAGTAATTTCTTCAATATCAGCATTAACAATTCTTTCTAAAACCAATTGAGCAATTCTATCGCCCTTTTTAACATCAAAGTTCTTTTCAGAATGGTTGAACAAGACAACTTTAACTTCACCTCGATAATCAGCGTCAATGACACCTGCACCAGTTGAAATACCATGTTTGACAGCAAGCCCCGAACGAGGTGCCACACGACCATATGTACCAATAGGCACAATTATAGAGATGTCAGTACTGACTAATCCTTGACCATGAGCTGGGATTTGTGCATCTTCTGAAGAATAGAGGTCATAGCCAGCAGCCAATGCTGATCCTTTTGTTGGTAATTTGGCTTCGGAGGATCGTAAGTAAACTTTGAGGCTTTCTGTAGCTTCCAACTTTTGCCTCTTGGCTGATTCCGTTGTCATCGTTAATGGGGTTGTATAAGTATGTGTGTGCTTTTCTGGTAAAACTTGTAGAGTTGTTGAAAAGGTTGAAAAAAAATGTGTGGCATTTTCAGACGCGTATGGATGTGAGTCGCGTTGACCTGAACAGCAAATACATTTACGTGAGGGGCACCACAATGGTGATACTCTATGTCAAAATCTTGAGAACAAATTTATTACAGTAGAGGCAGCTCGCTCTTCATTGATTGTTGCTAGACATGTCAAACCTGTGAAACGTAAATTTGATGCAACACGTATCTCTCTGTCGATCAACACTGAATTGTTTATTAGCACTATTCTACTCTCGTCGAAACATTCCCAGTATTTCAAAGTTTTCATATAACCGTACAGCCAACACAGTCAATATTCCCATTTGATTCTCATTCAAACTTGTATCCCCTTGAACACCGGTGTTTGACTCACTTCCTCGAATCACACACACTTCAGGCTCATTTATACTTCTTCCTCCTAACGCCATAAGGGAGCTCTGATAATAGATGCATTGAAACAAGATCAATTGAATGAATAGTATTAGCAAATCAACAAATAAAAGTTGAAATAGTCCAAGTTCGATGATTTTGCTCCATGCCGACGCATTCGGCGATATATAAGGTACGTTTTCTCCAATAAATGAAACAAACCACCAAGTCCCGTACTCTATTGTGGGTAGCTTTTCTCGATTCACTAAAGAGACTCCCCAAATGGAGATAAATAATGTATGATACACAACCACAAATAATGTCTTGACATACATCATGTAGCTATATTCAGGAAGCGTACGCTCCAAAGTATTTCGTCTTGTCTCAGCATCTGCATTTTCGAACAATATATCCAAAACTGTTCGTGAATTTGAACTAGTGATGATTCTAGGGTTTAGCGCCAACAAGACTATGATGTGACTTAGAAATGGGATTAAGCACGCATAGTGACAGTATTTGATAAACTGATAGAATATTAGAATATAGCATAACGCTTCAAGTTGATACAAGATTTCATGTTGGTATTTGGTTTTACGGTTGACTAATTGATTGGAGATGAATTTAGATTCTATTTGGTGTTGAACTGTTTCATTGACTATACTCATTGATCGTTTGTTCGGAAGTGGATCTGAACTGGCCAAAGGAAACGCTCCCGGAATGTTGAAAGACAGCAGATGCGACATGATTTGGAAGTTGGGCTGGTAGATGGTTGGGGGAAGTGTGATTTCGACTGTTCCTTCCAACCACCCTTTTCCTTTTTTTTTGTGACAAGAATTTTTGTAAGTGCATTGCTTTCGTCATGAGGAGGCAAACAAGCAAGTCTACAGAAAAAGCATTATCTACGAGAATCCTCTAGTTTTACTATGTGATTCTTCCTATTGAATTGATCTTTTATATAACTGATACATAAAAGAAAGGTTGAAATGAAATGTTGTGACTCTTTTAAGCGAAAAGAGAACCAATATCAGCTGGCATTTCTGTAATTTGAGTGGAGTAGAATTTTTCAATTTCTCTCATCATACCAACATCCTTATTAGTGACAAAGTTGATAGCAACACCCTTTCTACCGAAACGACCACCTCTACCAATTCTGTGGATGTAGTTTTCCTTATTGGCTGGCAAGTCGTAGTTGATAACCAATGAAACTTGTTGAACATCAATACCTCTAGCTAACAAGTCAGTAGAGATCAAGATTCTGGAAGAACCGGATCTAAATTCTTTCATAATGGTGTCTCTTTCTCCTTGTGGCAAATCAGAGTGAATAGCTGAGACAGTGAATTTTTCTTCTCTCAACTTGTTGGTCAAGAATTCAACCTTGCTTCTGGTGTTGCAGAAGATAACAGCTTGTGTGACGGAAATAGAATCGTATAAATCAACCAAACAATCAAATTTGAACTCTTCTTCTTCAACATTGATATAAAATTGCTTAATACCTTCCAAAGTCAATTCATCCTTCTTGACCAAGATTCTGACTGGATTGTTCATGAATTTAGTAGTAACTTCCAAGACATCTTGTGGCATGGTAGCAGATAACAAGACAACTTGAGTGGTTTCTGGCAATAATCTGAAAATGTTGTAAATTTGTTCTTTGAATCCAGATGACAACATCTCATCGGCTTCATCTAAAATAAACATCTTGACTTTATCGGTTCTAAAGTATCTTCTTTCAATCATATCAAAGATTCTACCTGGAGTACCAACAACAATTTGAGCTCCAGATTTGAAAGCTTCAATATCATCACTAACTGAAGTACCACCAATAGATGCATGGACAGTAACTTTCAAATACAAACCAATTGAAGTGATAACACTCTTGATTTGCAAGGCCAATTCTCTAGTTGGAGCCAAGATCAAAGCTTGAGTGGATTTTTCATTTTCATCAATTCTTTGCAAAGCAGAAATGGTGAAAGTAGCAGTTTTACCAGTACCGGATTGAGCTTGAGCCAAAACATCTCTACCTTCAGTGATTGGTAAGATAGCTCTCTGTTGAATGGCGGAAGGGGTTTCGTAACCGTAGCCAAAAATACCTCTAACGATATTTGGCTTCAAGTTTAAGTCATCGAAACTGTGGACAACATTGTCGTAGTTTGATTCAATCAAACCTGAATCAATTTCAGTAATTCCGTTGGATGCCATATTTGGGTGAATATAGTGGATTGCTTTAGGGGAAAGGAAAGAGAGCAGAGCCTTTATGAAAATTGAAAAAAAAAAATTTTAAACAACGAAGGAGGAAACAAACAAAAAAAAAAAAAAATTTTTTGATGAGATCTTTTCTGGACAAGCTTACACGACACGGTTTGATATTGTGATTCACGCACAATCAATCAGTCACATTTAGACGCTAAGAAGAGGGTAAGTACGTGTAATGTTTCAATAAAGACATAGGTTATCAAATTAATCAAATACTCGTTCTGGTCTGCTCCCACCTCTAAACTCCCAAGGGAATAATTTTGGTGCAGGGGTACTATCCTCTTCTTCCTCAGCCACAACATCATCCCTATCCACAAATGTCTCGCCTGCACCTTCCTCCCGATCTTCATCATAAACTTCTTCAAAGTAATCAGCACTTACATAACCTTGCCTTTCTAATGACTCGTTCACGGCGTTAAAATCGGCAACTTGTCCAGACAAACGAACTGCTTCGGGTTGTTTTGGTGTAGTGTCATCAACTTCATCGCCTATATTGACCTTCTCAAGATCGCGTAAGATGTGTTTTGGAACGTAATCGGATGACGAATCAAACACCCTCTCAGGCTTGACATATCTGTGACCATAAATGTCAGGTTTTTGAAATGATGTGGATTCTGTTGGTTGCTGAGACAGGTCAAATTGTGAAATGAGATGCTCTACAGATTCATCGCCACCAATTGCGTAAGCACCTTCTTGTTGTGGATCACCCCTTTCTTGGTTGCCATCCCATTCATTATCATACAGTTTCATCAATTGTTCTTCAAATTTACTGCTTACACTAGTCTCTGTTGATCTACCACTTTTTGGTGGTGGCTCTTTAGAAGGGTCCCACATTGAGTCAAGACTAGGTTTAATATTGTCTGGCAAATGCTGGTAATTTGCTGGGTCCAATAATGCATACGGATCAGTTGAGCTTGTATGCTTCCTTTGCATAGCATGAGATTTGATATCTGGTTGTGGTTGATCAATTCCACGCGAGTGCAATGCAGAAGGTGGCTGCGATTGATCATAAATTACCTCATGCAATGACCTTTCACCAAACTCATCTATCCACAATTTCCACCAATCTTTATGTATTCCGCCTACTGTGGATGACGAAGACCAAGGCTTGTAAGGTCCAATGAAATGTAACACTTTTATCTGTGAGGCATTGGCTACAACATACTGTGTCGCAGCAAATTCATAACGCAGTAAAGTCTTTGATGTCAGCTCCAAAACCTTTTCATCATTGCTTTGTTGGTGGTGTCCACCGTCTGCATAATCGACACTTTCAGTGGCAAAAGGTTCCCCATGGAAATGCTTGAATGCAGGTAAGTACTCGTATGCCGATGAAGGTGTAACATTGTACAAGAACGGCAATTTTATCCAATTATTGTCAACGTCCTGTCTTTGATCCACATTTGTCTCAGTATTATCAAACAATTGTACTACCCAGTCCGGCTGAGAATTAAAGTACTGATTCAAAAGACCTTGATCGGCACCGTCAAATGAAACATTGGGATTTTCAATAGATTCTTGAACTAAAGTAACCAATTCCTCATAAGTGTTTTGATTTGGTCTTAATAAGAAAACTCCAGAATTGAAAATATCAGGGAAACCGGAATCAGGTGCAGCGATGATCTTATCTTGCGAAAAGTCTAACTTTAAAAGATCGGCAACTGATATAGCATTATCAGCAGGAAGTAAAGGTAATGTATCTGCATCCAAATACAACACTTTTTCATATTCATCCAATGACCAAAGCTTGATCTTAGTGAATGTCTTTCCCAATTCGGGTCTTCCGAGATCATTCTTCAATTTGTCATAGATGGTAGATTTCAATGGTGCAACGTCAATTATTGCCGTATAATACTTGTTTAGCTTGTTCAATTGAGGCGTGGTGAATTGGGACTTATCAACCAAAATCCCAAGAGTGTAATCATGATTGGAAACTTGCTTGATTTTTTGTAATTGAATTCCCAAAACCAATGCACCAGCAAGGTAATCTGGACTGTAAAGGAGGGTGAAAATAGCGTTGGTCATATGTATGATGATCTATCAGTTTCTCAAAAAAGTTTGTGGAACAAAATACGAAGTGAAAAAGGACTAGGGGGATAACCTCACTTGACAATAATTCTGAAACAGTCTGCTGCAGTCGTATCTATGAAACAGTTGAAAGGTGTTAGTTGCAAAGTGGAGTTTCTGGTCGTTGTCCGTTGATGTTGAATAAGGTCACTCCCTTAGTTCCTTTAACCTTTTGATTTTTGTTGTGGATTACTCAAAAACTCAAAATTTACGAAATATCTCTCTCACTCTCGCTCCAAATTAAATCGAAATCAAAACAATGCAATACAAACCATACAATACACAAAAATAAGAGGTTATTGTGGTGTGTTGGGATATAAAGCTGTCATTACTCACAAACACTTGGTCACCTCCAATACCTTACATTTGTTCAAGTGAACATGTACGATCATAAGCTGTAACCTCATACGACGGCCACTGGGGTAGTAAGATAATGAAGGTTCTATACTTAACCATGATAATTTATCACGCTTCTAGCTTTTTTTCTTCATTATCACAAGTCTAGTGGTCATCTTCAACAGGGCCACCCTCTAAATCTATTACTCTCTCCCTGTCGTGCCAACGATGATAACATAACAATTCCTACTCCACTACAACAAGTTCTACCTAAGCTATTTTGTACATTAAAAATCTTAAACATCTTCCACAACGACTACACAATATCCCGAAATATGGATAAAAAAATCAACTTAACGAGAGTATGACCAGACATTCTTCAATAAACCATCTTGTTGAGCCAATCTGTTCAAAGAGTCATCAGCTTCACCTCTTCCTCTAACGTAACCACTCAAAGTGTATGAGATGTTTTCACCTGGAATAGCTCTTCCTTCTTCATCAACTTTGGCAATTGAGATTTGAACTGAAGCATGGTCCTTGGCTTTAATGATTCTGTTGGTGGCAGAACATTTTCTTGGGACGTATAATTCGACCTAGAGTAAAAACGTTAGTATTAAATTCACAAACTCCGGTGATACTATCTAAAAGATCTGGTGGTGCTTTGTAGGGTGGTTTCTCTTATTAAAATGTTGTGATGAATGGGAATATCTTGCTCTTGATGATGAAGCAGATTGTGATGACTGATTCGCATGTCTTGTATCCAATCTCGTTCGCTCCATTTCAAATCATAATCGTGACATTTCCTATTGATATGAGCATATACCTGGCTAGATTGGAGTCCTGTATTTTCCATTGTAAGTGAAACTCAAGCTCTTCATGGCTGTTGAAGGCCCCTCATTTGATCCCTTGTACACCAATGAACGCACATCTGACAAAAGCTCCCTTCTCTCTCAGACTCTCTATCTCACGATATCACATACTAATTGACCTTTATCGTTTTCCATGTTGGCTTACTATGTGGTTGTATTACTATGCTAATCACTTCCTTCACTCTTTTCGAATATTTTTTTTTCTCTATTTTTCAGTGAGAGAGAACTGTTGGAAGGTGCTACATCACATATTCAGGTCTACAGCCCTAACTCACAGTAGAAAAGAGAAGAGAAACAAAAACAAAACAAAAAGAGAGCGTCAATAATAATCCTGCTAGCAAGGAGTGTCAAAGTCATCGGGTGTCTATCTGATTGACTTATGCATCCTATTGATTTATAAAATTCTGGTACTTAGTGTTCCCTTTTACAGGAGCACAATCAACCCAACGATTTTAGTCAAGGTAATGAATAATAGGAGCAACACTCATGTGTGTGGCAATCCTTACAATTCGACATTCTTACCTGTTACATTGTTGGAAGATCAAGGAAATACTGCCTTTTACTTGATTGTCATCGTTTTGATGTCTGATCGAGTGCTTTTTTAATCAAGTATTCAGGATTCTTCTTGAGTTGAAGCTAATCTTGCTTTTTGTATTCTTTACAAATTATACATTACATTAGTTTCGTAGTATAGGATCCAACATTTATCAATCAAATATTCCTAAAAGACAACAGAGGAACTTCTTTCAATTATCTGCTACCTCAATGACAATACTGCAACTGATTCGACGTGGTGCGTTTGCGGGAAAAAGTCAAAACCTTTTATACTCTCAACCTCGTACTTTGCTCCATTCTCAGTATTATTCAAAAACCACTCTACATCTCTTGCTTGTGAGTGAACATTACATGAAATGTAAACAATCTTTGCTGGGTTGCAAGCACTCAATTGGTTCAAAAACACGTCATCGCATCCTTTTCTTGGTGGGTCCAAAATGACTGAAGTTTGCTCTGGTGGTGTATTTATATCTTTGAAAATCTCCTCTGCTTTGCCCACTATGAATTGGGCATTCCCGATATTGTTGAGCTGGGCATTATGACGGGCAAACTTGACTGAATCGGCACTTACTTCGACTCCAATCACTTTTGAAACATTCTCTGAACATGTTATTGAAAACAAGCCTGAGCCACAATAAGCATCAACGAGGTAATTGGGTTCAGATTGTAACAAATTGGATTTCACGTAACTGGTAACCAACGGCAATATGGAATTGTTGTTTTGGAAAAATTCACCAGCTGAAAATTCGAATCTATACTGATTGATGATTTCTTGAACAACTTGACGTGATTCAGTAACGCATGTTTTCACCACAATTTGGTCCTCCGCTTCTATGGTAACACTGGAAACATGTCCATTTTCATCCCTTGATGCTTCTCCAAACTCAAATGTTCCCTCCTTCACTTTTGTATCTTCGCGTAATAAGATTGTTGCTCCCTTATCGTAAGTCTTGTAAGTTTTGTCCAACCGTTTGCGCTCATTTTGCAAGCCCATATTCACAATCTTGGTCCCTATATCACATTCCTCTATGTCCAATATAGACCCCACTGGTCCAAAGTCGCTCTTTCTCCATGTCGGTCTGCCTTTAGCTCCAAATCCAAAATTTGGCCGATGTTCCAAATCGGCACCGGTCTTCTTTGTAGCTATATCAAAATGCGGAGTTAATTTGGTTCTATAATTGTATTGCAAAGGTGAGTGCTGCGTTTCGAGAACATCAGGTAATTTCTTCAAGGTAGTTAATGTTGGAGCAAAGTGCTTAAATGCATTAACAATCGTTTCTCTCTTTAGTTTCAATTGTTCCTCATATGCAATATCTTGAAATTGGCAACCTGAGCATTTACCAAAGTATCGGCACCTGATCAAAGAGTTATCCCTCATTTTTGAAGGCGATTGTATGGTTAGCAAATCAGCTTCAGCAAACAATGGATGTGTTTTAAATATTTTGATGGTGACTTCATCACCAGGTATGCCGAATGGTACAACAACAACTTGTTTTTCCTTTGATGCTTCAATATGCGGTACCAATGCAAGAGAATCTCCATTAGAGGTGAAACATAAAACCGTTACATTTTCAACTTGTCGATGATATGAATCTTGAACTTCGGGATTATTGAGAACACCTTTCATGTCATTTGAAACATCATCAAGGGTGAGGTTGTGCTCTTTACACAATTCCCTTATCTCATACTCTAATACCCCAAATGGACTTGTTGAATCAATTCGTTTATGCTTGTACTTTTTAGTCTTTCTTCTCTTCCGTTGTGGTTTAAGTCTTTTCTGGGGCTGTTCAGTCTCAGGAGGTGGAGTAATAGCTCTCTTTCTGTCGTCAGCTACAGGGGTCATATTGCTAACTGGGGGTGGAGAAGAAGTTTGTTCTATCTCAAATGTATTATGTTTGGTGCCAACAAGTTAATGGTCCATATCTCATCGTATGCAACAAGTAAAAAAAAAAAAAAAAATACTTCTGGTACACAAAGTCGCTATCGAAGCCGCACTCATTAGAAATCATTGTTTATCGTACATTTATTGGTTGAGCAGTACACCAAGCAATAAAGGACACTTGTGTATTTCTTTCCGCCCATCGTAAACACAAAAAATTTAATTATACTAATACATATATAGCGATAACTGGTCTGTAAAGAAAACATGAAAAAGAAAAAAAAATTTAACCTTATAGAAAACAAAATTTGAACCTTACATTATCTCGTGTCAAACTGACCCTTTGAATTATTCATCCTCTGGTTCCGTGAATTTGGCAGGAATGTTTGAGCTCATCCACAGTAATGGTCTTTTTTTCAATGAGCCATTCTTTTCAAAACTTCGGTAATCTTCCAACTCAAGTATAACATCGTCTTCGCTGTACCCTTTACTTTTACCAACTTCGATAGCTTCGTAAATCTTTTTACGTCGAAGGAAAGTACGGGATTCGGTTTCATTCCTCCACTTTGTACCATATTTGGCTTCGAGCGATTTCAAGGGTGGTTTCCCATTGACGCCGTAAGCATATTCTTTCCAAATGTCTGCAATCAGTTTGAGACTTCTTTCCAATTTATATTGAGGTATTTCTGTCTCTTCTATATCGCCGGATTTGATATCGGATGCAATTTTCCGCTTCTTTGATGGGTGTTTGTGTAAGTTGTTGCCTTCCGCATTGTTAGTTGGTGCATTATGTCCATTTCCAGCGCTCGATCCTGCTTGTTGTTCTAATTCACCTATGCTTTGTTCAATATCATTATCATCAAAAGAAAATGCAGTGTTTGTTTGTGCTGGTATCGACCTCGTATGCGAAGCTTGCTGCCTCAATGTCGATGTCAATAGACCACTATTGTCACGAGATAACAAATACTGCGATGACGAGTCATTTCCATGAGTTAGAGCTCCAGTTTTATCATCATGTAGCAACGGAGGTACAGGAAGCATGTATGAGTTAGAATACGAATTCGGTGTTTGCTGAGTGTGGGTAGCCTGGGTGCTGTTAGCGTGTAATTGTTGTTGTTGCGGGTGTTGTGCTAAAACTGGCGGTCTTTGTGATTGGCCTGGTTGAGCCAAGTGTGATTGATGTTGAGGCATCGTTTGTAATTGTTGTTGCGGCGGTTGCGTTGACGACATCAATGAGTGTTTACCTTGTTGTGATCGCTTGAGTTGGTGGGAGATTTGTGCCAGGCTCATTGGCGATTTTTCATAATTTATATTTCCATTTAAATGATTACGCGCTGTTGAAAAAGGACCAAGCTCAAATACATAGGGTGATGTTGAGTTTGAATTTACCCCTGGAGATCTCAGTCCAAGGTTTTTTCTCCCAAGATCAGCTTCATCATCAAATGCTTGGTTGTTGGACAGTTGATTTTGATTTTGATTTTGATTTTGATGTAGATTATGATGGTTTTCGTGGGAAATTGTATTGTTATTCGTAACATTCATATGACTCTGCGACAGCAATTCTGGATTTACGTGTGGCTGTGATGGAGGTGGTTGGTGCTGCTGTGAAAGGTGTTGTCGCAGATTTTGTAGTTGTGGTTGCTGTGCGACTGATGGGACGCCGCCAAGTGCTTGACCGTTGATAGCTTCTATCTCCTTGTTCAATTTTGTTAAATGTTTTGTAAACACTTCAAACGCTTTGAATTGGTTGTTTATGTTCCCCACAAATGGTCCTCCCATTGCGCTTGTCTGTCCGCCATTTTGTAGCGTATAAACCAGTTGCTGAATTTCCAGAAGACTTCGCTTAACTTCATCAACAGAATCTGATAGGTAATTTATCTTCATCACTAACTGGTTATTAATATTGTTTTGTTGCTGAAGCTGGCCAATCAATTGATAGAAGTCACTACTCGATGGCTGCCCAGTCAATGTGTTGGATGAAGGGTTCATTTCCATTGGTTCATTTTCTGGGTTGATAGACTCGTTGCTTGCATGTCGACTTGTACGAAGTTGGTTATTCCTCATCAGCATATGTCCATTGGTATGGTCATCAGTATCAACGTGATGGTTACTGTTGCTAGATGTTGACGCTCTGGTGTTGTTTAATACAGAATTGGCGTGGTTGGTGGAATTACTGTTATGGAGATTAGGAGTATTACTTGATTGTGGATCAGATACAGACGTGCTTGCTCCTGTCGAAGTTCCTGCTCCAGAATTGGCTGTGCCAGGTCCAGATGTAGCATTGCTAAAAAAAAGCTGCTGTCCCTGTTGCAGGTTGTTGAAAGAATCATTCATGGTTGACGCCCAAACTTGAATTCGTTAGAAATAACTGAAAGTGCAAAATCTCATGTAATGAGTTTTTTTTTTGGTAAAGAGAGAAACTGCCAGACAATTTTTTTTTTCTCACTCACACTCACTTGGGTTTATATCACAAAAATGAGAAAGAGAGAGAGAGAGAGAGGCACTGAAATAACCTTTAAAACAGGTAGAAATAGTTGAAGGGATGTACGACTACTATTATGATAGGGGCTAGGGGTGGCTGCTTGATTTGTAGTGCTGCATTTAAACTTTGAGATTATGTTCTAGAGATCTTGAAATAATTACGCAACAGTGTGCTTTGCAGTACAACGCTATCGACAAAGTTTCCGCTTTTCAAATTTTCAAAGAATCGGATATCTAAATACGGAGCTGTTTATTCTCCCGCTAAGCTACCATGCTGAATGGTATTCAATTTCATCACCCTTTCTATATATACATATATATCAATCTAAATAGTGTAAAATGAGAACTGAAATTTTGCATAAACCGATTTATTTTTCTATTGTTTTGTTTTTGTGTAATAAAGGCTATCCACTCCTTTAAAAAATGGTTCAATACGAAGTTAAAGACAACTGCACTTTCGCAACTAAAACCATGGCTTGTTTTCAATTCTAGTTTATCATATATTTGTAATGTAACATTAGTATACGTTATTTGTAATCTATGCAATGCTTCACAAATAAAGGTATTTAGCGGCGAAATAGAAGGCCCACACCGAAGTAGTAGCCACACCTGCATAAACAATCAATCGACCTACAATCTCCACATCGTATCGATCCTTGAAAACACCACTTTTGAAATTGAGCTTTTCCAAGTTGATTCTTTTCCCCTTCTTACCTTTGTTATAGTCCATGATCTCATAATAATCTATATCGCTGCTTGGTCCATATGAGTCAAGTTTGCTGCGATCAGATACCCCCTTTATGAATTTGTTAAAGTTTCCTATTTGGTCAACATCATTAGAGATGGACGTGGATCTGATATGTCTCACTGGGTCCCTTGTATGTGCTGTGGAAATGTAGTGCCTTCTTGGTAGATAAACTCCAATAATTTTGTACACGGGAGGTAAAATGGTGTATATAACTGGTTTTGATATTGCTTTCCAAGTGACAACCAAGCCAACTCCAAGGAAAAACCTAGCAACTATTTTCAATGCACCACCATCATTTACAAATGGGACTAGATAATAATCCTCAAAATTATTCAAATTGAAAAAATGCAATGTTTGGTAGCCGACAAGATGGCTCAAGTCTAATCCAATCAACACCCCAACAAACGCAACTGAATCATCAAAGCATGGGCAGTCGTCAATAGGCTCGGGGTATATGTGAATCATGAGTAAATACAAACCCAAAATCAATGCAATACCAAATATGTATCCATGACTAAACAAAAATGTGTCCCATTGTTGACCCAAATAGAATCGAAACAAGAATACAGCCAAGCCAACGCCCGATCCAGTAAAAATGTCAAGAAACCCATGCATACCAGTGTATAATCTTCCAAATATTAGAGAAAAGTAATAAACAACAAGTCCAGCAATGAGGCTGTAATATGTTTTGGAATCAAAAGCGTTATGATTTTGAATAATGTTGCTCATAACAACCAAGGTAACTGCAGTAGCATTAGCTGCGTGTGACGAAGGAAACCCATACTCTTGAGTAGTATAACTAGACATGGTAATTCTATGCAATGGAGGTGATCTCGGCCTTGGCAAACAAAAATAATCTTTCAAAAACCCAGTCAAGTATATTCCCCATCCCAAAACATGAACCAAGTCTCTAGCCATCTTACTAGCTCCGAACCAAACTGGGGGCGGCAACATTAAGATATAAAAGGTATGGCTTGCCAAATTCGCAGTCCAAGCAAAATAAAAGTCGAAAATTGGGTTTCGCAACGTGGATTGTAGCTTATATAACACATCGGTTTCGTAACGAACTACGGGTAACATATAGGAACGTAATTTGTATCTAAATGGCGACAATCGTTGTTTGTAATGATCGTCTGCTTGATTGCCTGCATCGCCTGAATGGTCTTCCAACCCCTGATCCATTGGTGTACTATGCGTTGACCCATGTGGTTTATCTCTAAATTTAAGTTCCTGCTTCACCTCTACTTCATTTTCAACTGATTGAGGCATCGTTAGATCCGGTACAAATGATGATTGACAAGTAAGCACGACTAGAAAAAAGCAGCACGATTGTACAACAGTATTAGCTTCGCGTTTGATACGGTCGAATATGTGCAAATAGGCTCGGAAATGAGATGAGTTCAATTGTTTCTGCAGGTTCCCCTTTATCTTTTCAATGTGTGGGTTGAAAAATGGTTTGTATACTTTTCGGATATAAGCGTTTCTTTCAGTTTTTCAAAATTCTCCTTTTTTTTTTTCTGGTGTGTCGTCATCGTCCAATGCAAGAGCAAGTACGCGTCAATGGACCAAAATTGCGAAAAAGATAGGAGGAGAAAGAGAGTGATAGCATAGCCTTGCTATAATGCGCCGAGGGAGAGAAAAGAGAATAACAAAAAAAATTAGTCTTAAAATATTCACGTGACCACACTCAAAATTGGAGGGCAGAGGTTTTTGAAAGAACTCTAGTGTCGTATCCCAAGTTTATTCTTTCTACTCTAATCTATTCCTTTTCTTTTACAATATAATGCATTTTTTCTTTTCCATTTTCTTACGCTCATTGATAAAATCAAACTCACCGTTGTTTCGTGAATCACCATTGAAACTTCCATATGGATTGCTTTGGTATGTGTCTTCGGTCAATGGCTCATCAATCAATACACTTGAGCTTAATGATCCGTTTTGTTTGTGACCTCGTTTACTGGAGGATGCACTACTCTTGTTTCGTAAATGCCCATAATTACCACTGGAAGATGCTCCCCCATTTGAACGTCTGAGTAATTTCCTCTTACTACTAGCTTGATATTGCTCTTGTCTTTCCATCTCCTTTTGATAACGCTCAAGAGCTAGATTGAATACTGCCCTAACTTGATACATCTGCTTGGCAGAACATTCAATATACGTAATAGCGCCAATCTCCATAGCAATTTGAGGAGGGAGTTCAGGTTGAATATTTCCCAGTAGATCGGATTTGGTTCCTACTAGAATAATTGGTACATTAGGACAATAGTGCTTTATCTCTGGAAACCACTTGTCCTTAATATTGATCAAGCTTGTAGGGTTATCCATAGCAAAACATATCAATATTAAATCTGCATCACGATAACTCAATGGTCTTAAACGATCGTATTCCTCTTGGCCAGCTGTATCCCACAATGCCAACTCAAAAGACTTGCCATTGGGAGCACTTAATGTTGTGACGTAGTTTTCAAAAACGGTTGGCACATAAATCTCAGGAAACTTGTTTTGCGTATAGCTCACCAATAAACATGTCTTACCAACGGCACCATCACCAGTGACAACAATTTTCATGCTATAGTCCAGTTTTTTACCCAGCATTGGCATTTCTTTGTAATTTGGTATCGTTGGGTCATCTTTGGTTACAATTTTCAACTTTGACTGCAGTTGGTATAGATCGCTTAGTTGTTTTTGTTGCTCCTGTAGAGTCTCATAGGGGTTGAAACTTGGCAGTGTTTGGAATTGAGGTGATGAGTGCTTCGAGGGGGACATCGATGAAATGAAGGACAGGCGTTTCGATTGCATGGTGAAGTGGTTGTGTTGATGTGGTTGGGTATCTGTTATAATCTGAAATGTCGTATTTTAGTCGGGATTCTCTTTGAATGAAAATGTTGTAAAAAAGTGTAGGAAACTGGTCTGTTAGAGATCTCAAAGATCGAACTGTGCCTTAACTTGCTTTTCTTTTTTATTTTGTTTTTGATTTTTTGTTTGTGGCTTTGATTGTTTACATCACACACAGAGATGCATAAATATACTAGAGAAAATTAGATCAAAGCCGCTACTCTATTTATATTCCCAAATCACAATTTTGAAAATAAAGAGTGTATTCGGACAGTCCTATGTTTTGAAGTCATGTCACTTTGCAGGTCCCCAGGTCAGGCTTCTGCCAAATCCTTTAACTTTTGTGATGTCTGCGTTAAGGTCCCACAGTGTCATGAAACTTTAATTTACTTGTCTGCACTTTTTCGAATATATTGCGTTGAATCTGGCACAAAACCGGTCAATCTTACAGATCGAAAAATAAATGCTAAAAATAGCACTCAATGGTAAATAAGGTATCATTGTAAAGTAATGAGCTATCTCTAAGCAGTATATGGGAGACACAATCTTGTTCCGTTTTCCTCTGGAAAAGTGTGAACAAAAATGTGATTTGAAGGAGATTATATTCAATTGTTTGTCTACTCTATTTTTATGCCACTATTTTTCTCGAGATTGTTGCAAATAGTTTGGAAAATTGACTTTCACCACGGCTAGTGTTTGAGTTTGATATTTGCTCAAAGTTTCACGGTTGACATTTGAACACATCCACAATTGAATGTGTTATAAACCAACTTTGATCTTATGCAAGGTATCGAAATTTGATCAATTGTTTGCTCCTGAAATCCAAGACTTCGCCCCTTGAAGATGTAAAAACAAAAGCTTCCACACTAATAACATCCTACATTCTAAAATACCACACTGACGAATACACATGAAAATCTTATCATCGTCTGCTTTTTATCAGCCTGTTCTTGAATGCTTAGTCTTTAAACCGCGCTACCAAATACACTTGCCCGGGATTTGCTTCGGGTTGATGGAAACAAACACCCTTGGATCAAACTACATATACCATACTTCCCTCAGTCACTTCCTCAACAACACTTTCCCCTCTCGCGTCACCGCATTGCTACATAACCCTCTATCTTGTGTAAGTCTGCAGAAAAAGATTATATCTCGTGGACCCTTTCAATGGAAGTTCAACAACCGAGTGAATTTAATGTTTTGAAGCGATAATTTTTCTGTTTTTCCTTTTTTTCTCCACGTTTCTTTGCCCCACTAGCCCGCGCGATGAGAAATGGATAAATGGTAGCTTCGAACAGACAATTGTTCCGAAAGTTACTCCATTGGTCAAGTTAACGGCCCGCTTGTAGCCCCCAACTTGCACAAAGCGCAAATTCTTGGAGGTTATGAGCAATCACAGAACAATGTAGAAAAATCCATTGTGGCGTTGGTGACACGCAGGTCAAGTTGAGAATGACTTGTTGCCGATGATTTTGCGGTGAAGATAAAGGACGAGGAAAAGCACAAAACCAAAGCCTAATATGGGCGAATGGGATCTAGGTAAGCTTTCGTCAAACTTTACTGTTCGTGTAAGATGTTACAATCGCCAAGAGAAGGTATTCGTGGTATATGTTTACAATGACAAATGGACAAACGTACGTGTTTGTTGAAAATGGAAGTCCGTTGATCAAGGCTATAAAACATATATAGAACCGCAACCAAGGCGGGCACCTCGAGATTACACACAAACATAATTGGAACAATAGACTGCTGGAGCTCTAGATTAAGTGTAGGTTACCAGCATTTGTGTGCTTTGTTATGTTTTATTGTTCTTTCTGTTGTTGTGTAACAAAACAAGAGACACGAGGGAAAGAGAAAATTAATTCTAGAAAATTTTGTTTGCTTTTTAGCATGTGCTCTTGCTCTTTATTTTTTAACTCATTCTGAAAATTTGAAAGCATTAAATACACTCGTGGATAGTTCTTCTTCGACACACACACCATACACCAGTCCAGTTATCACATATTCAAACACCAATCATGTCACTAACAAAGAGAGTATATGAACTTGCAGTTGTCACAAACTCATTCATGAATATAGCGGAAGGTTCTGCAAAGATTGTTTCCCAAGATGTATGTGACTTTTACCGCAACAGCAAACTAGTAAACAGTATTCAGAGCCATTGTGACTCAAGCAAACCAATGTGGGATGAAGCCCAAACTTTATCACAACAAGCTAGAAGACAAGCTGCAAGGAATACAAACAACAACCCATTCAACGGGTTTCAACAAACACGACCATATTCAACTAAATCTTTTTACCCAGGTGAAAATGTCAGTCTAGACACTGACCCTGTACCCGTCAACACTAACGTCCCAGTGAAACCAAGCACTATTGAGCCAGAGAAACCAAAGTTGAGGGAGTTTGAACTAACACAAAGTGAAATTCCCAGCTCAAGATTAGCAAGAATTTTTCATTATGGGTCATTGGCTGCGAATATGAGTTTGAATGCTGCTACACAGGGTTTGAAGCATTACGCATCGGGCAATACTTCTCCAATGACTATGAAATCGTTATTCTTATCCCCAAAGAACATTGAAAGTATGGCTAGAAAATTTTCGAAAATGAGAGGTGCCGCTTTAAAGATTGGACAAATGCTTTCATTCCAAGACGCCTCGATATTACCTAAAGAAGTACAACAGATTTTACTTCGAGTGCAAAATTCGGCACATTATATGCCACCAGGACAATTAGAAAGAGTCATGGTTGGCGATTTAGGAAAGAATTGGCGTGAACGTTTGTTTACTTCATTCGATGATGTACCTATTGCCGCAGCTTCTATAGGTCAAGTTCACAATGCCGTAACTGAAGACTTGACTCCAGTTGTAGTAAAAGTGCAGTATCCAGGAGTGGCCAACTCGATAGATTCTGATTTGAACAACATGTTGATGATCTTGACTGCATCTTCGTTATTGCCAGCCGGTTTGTTTTTGGACAAGACAGTGGCAAATGCTAGAGTTGAGTTGAAATGGGAATGTGACTATATCAGAGAGGCTCAAAATTTGATAAGAATGAGGGAGTTTTTAAAAGACGATGAAGTATTTGCGGTTCCTAGAGTTTTCCACAATGCATGTGGTGAACATGTTATAACCATGGAAAGGATGAGAGGAACGGAGATTGTCAAGGGTAATTGGGACCAATCCACCAAGAATTGGATCGCTACACAAATTATGAGATTATGTTTATTGGAGATTAAAGAGTTTAAATTCATGCAAACTGATCCAAATTGGGCCAATTTCTTATTTAACGAAAAGACCAACAAAATTGAGCTTTTAGACTTTGGTGCTGCACGTGATTATAGCGACAAATTTATTGTCAACTACGTCAGATTGTTGCGTGCTGCCGTCAAGAAAGACCCAAAGAAGGTTGAGGACTTGTCTTTTGAATTAGGTTATTTGACTGGATTGGAATCTCCTGCAATGACCCAAGCTCATGTTGATTCAGTTATGTGTTTGGGTGAAGCATTCTCACCAATCGACAACAATGGCCATCCATTCAATTTTACAAAGCAGACAATCACAGATAGAGTAAAAGGAAATATTGGATTGATGTTGAGTGAAAGACTAACACCACCACCAGAGGAAACATACTCCTTGCACAGGAAATTGAGTGGTGTTTTCTTGCTCTGTGCTAGGTTGAATGCAACTGTCCCATGTGAAGATTTATTTAGGGAAATTGTTGGTTACGAAGATTAATGAGGTTACGTAGATATATAGATGACAAAGAATTAATGTTTTAATAGTTTTCATTTCAAACACGAAAGGAGTTTTACGAATAGAGTTTAGTATCGGGTATCGTTATCTCAAAATTCAAGGGGAAAAAACAAAACGAAATATTATTACTCGCAAATGACCACAATCCTAAAAAGCAAATGCTCAGCTTTGATGTACGGAGAGACAAATGATTCAGTACGGAGTTCTGAAAGTTCTCAATTAATGGATCCAATGGAGCTTGAAGTAGCCCTGCCGCAACAAGATTCTACTTCCAATGATCATGAATTGTATTATAAAGCTCGTTCAGACAGTTCAACTCCGCGTAAATTGATCAACCGGCAAAACTCAGTCATATTGGCAAATACTGGTGAAAGAGTTCACAGGTCCATTACATTGACACTACCGCAAGATTATGATATACTGCTTGACTCAATTCCCGGCTACAGGCCCCAATCGAGATTCAATCAAGTGTTGCAAACTGTAAAACGAATGTACTTCGATGAAGTTGTTCGAAGTGTGTTTAAATGCTCAATGGCTTATTTCCTTGCTTCATTGGGGGTGCTCGATCGATCATTTGATGATTTCTTAGGGTCAACAGATTCAAAACATGTCATCGCTACGGTGGCTGTATATTTTCACCCCTCAAGAACAAAAGGTTCGATGAACCAAACATTGTTATTTGTAGTCATTTCAATTGCATTCAGTGTCACCGTGTCAATAGGTTGCCGCTTTCTATCGGCGGTGCTATACGTTGGAGGGAAGGACGAGGCGAGCCATATTTTGGATCTCATTATAAGTTCAGTGGCGTTGGGTGTAGTTGCTTTTATGAAACAAAAGGTGAATAAACAAACATTCAATACTGCTTGTTCCTTGGCGTGCATAACTATCGTGTCGTGTATTGTAAAAGAGGGCAGTGCAAGCTCCGGCAGTATTCCATTAGAGAGGATTGAAGCGACATTTAAAGTTGTTGTTACCGGTTGTATTATTTCTTTTGCATGTTGTTATCTAATTTGGCCCGTCAGTGCAACAAAAGAATTGCAAAATACCTTAAATGATTCGTACAAGAATTATTCCAAATTGTTGTTGGTCCTTACAAGACGATTTGTGGCGGGTGAGCAATTAAATGCAAAGGATGTAGCATTGATCGACCAGTTGAAAAAGCATGTCAAATCAACAGAGCTGTATCTAGAGGAGACAAGGTACGAGCTTTGCTTGGTGGGAAGGGAAGCTGAATGGGAGTATTACAAGACTTTGGTTCGTTCCACTGTGTTGTTGGCGCGGCATTTGCAGGCATTGAGCTCAGCCACAAGAATGCAGTGGAACTTGCTCAATAATACAGCAGAGGAGAAAAGTGCTACAGAAACGTTACGAAGTTTTAGTGGCGACGACTTTGGAAGCTCTTCGTCATTGCCCAACTTCAATTCGACGACACGCACAGAGGTTGAGGAAACAGATATGGGGTCTTCACTTCAACTTTTTGATTTGTTTGTTTATCACTTGGCACCATCAATAAAATCTTTAGTCTTTACCGTAAGAGATGTGCTAAACAGTTTTCCTTTAGGTAAATACATTGACGCCGAATTTAGTGATTCCACAAATTACCAACATGCTTTGGCCAGCGCCATAAAAATGTACCGCAAACGACAAGATTTGTCGTTTGAGCATATTTATAACCAAGAATCATTTACACAGAATGCCGAATTCTACTTTAAAGCCGACCAAGAGGAAGTGGCCGCATGTTGTGGAAACTTTGCCACGCTTTTGTCACAGTTTGCAAGTGAATTGCTCGAGTGTTTAAAATTATTTGATAAGCACTATGAAGCACGATCTGCTCCAAGGTCATGGTCTTGGTTGCATTTCAAGAGGGCAAAGTTTACTAAAGATCATACTAATGATACCAGTCTACATGCCGCGTTGGATGATTTGCGTGAACAATACGGATTGAAAGAAGAGGAGCCACAATTTAATTCTTTTGCTGAGCGCATTAGCTACGACATTTGGAACCGATTAAAGTATTTCAAACGTGCTGATGTTCAGTTTGGTATACGTGTCGGTTTGGGTGCTGCTTGTTTATCTCTATTTGCATTCCTTCCAAATACCAAAGAAATCTTTGAAAATTGGAGACTTGAATGGGCATTAACTGTTTATTGTATTATGATGAACAAATCATTGGGTGGAACTTCCATGACAGTCAAATGGCGGATTATAGGGACATTCCTTGGTGCATTCGTTGCGTTTTCAGTGTGGACGATATTTGACGCCAATGTATATGCTTTGGCCATGGCTGGCATTTTGATTTCGATACCCTCGTTTTACATTATTCTCTTTTGGAAACAAAACAATGCTTTCGGGAGATTCATATTGTTGACGTTCAACTTGACAATGTTGTATTCCTATAGCATGCTTCAGAAGGACGCAGAGGACGAATTTGAAGGAGGGGAAAACCCAATTATTGGAGAAATTGCCTTTCATCGATTTGCTGCAGTTTCAATTGGTATAATATGGGCATTGACTATGGCCACTTGCTTCTTACCCAACAGTGCAAGATCAAGATTAAAGAATGGGTTGTCTATCTTGTGGTTGCGATTGGGCGTCATTTGGAATAGTGATCCATTGGAGTACAATCCAGAAACCATGGAGTTGGTGGGTTTCAAAGCGGAAGAAGGTACAAACAAGATCTTATCCGAGTGTGAAACGTTGCTCAAACAGGCGCCGGTCGAGTTTCGATTAAAAGGACGATTTCCTACGCAAACATATGCAAAGCTTATTAAAGAAACCTCGGCTATAATTGATGCTTTTCAAAATTTGGACTTGTTGATAAAAGCTGATCCCAAACTCAACAGTAATGAGGAGTATGTTTTAAAGTATATCGAAGTTGAGCGCGGCGAGGTTGAACAGAGAATTTTCTTGGTTTTCTACATGATTGCCAGCGCCATGAAGTTGGGATTTTCATTGCCTAAAAAGTTTGCCTCCATTGAACATGCAAAGGATCGAATGTTGTATAAGCTAAGTGAAATCAGACAACAACAAGATAATGGGCTTGAGTTGCGAAATGACGATTTCATTTTGTTGTATTCGTATATTTTAGTTGCGTCTACAATATCAGAACAATTGGATAAGATGTTGGTCGATATTAAAGATTTGCTTGGAGAAATTTCAGAAGATAAGTTTAGATTGGTGTAGGGTGGAGGCGTAGTTAGTAGAGATATAGTTATAGCTTCGCTTTGATGCCCTTCGTAGTATAATGCAAGATGAGAAAAAATGAAATTGAAATAAGTGGCGAACAAAAATAAGGAAGAGAAAAACAAAAACGAAATATAAATTCACAAGATTACATTACAAATCGTACTGATCATCGTTTACGTCATCACCATTACACCTATCACATCGCTATGCCACTTGACATTTCAAAGACCATTTTAGAGGAGCTTAGGCCCGGGTTAGAGAGCGAACTCGTAAATCGATACCGCGTGGATGCAGAGGAGGCAAAAGACATTGCTGAATACATAATATTCTTGATTCAAACTAAGGACACCAAAGAACAGGTTTATACAGAAATATTAGATGTGGCGGAGTTCCCAGGAGATAAAGGCTTTATGGATCTTGTTTTCGACGAGATTGCGAATATTCAACGCAGGTACCAACAAGCTTCTGGAACGAATGGGTCCAGTACAACTAGTGGGGGAGATACACATACTCCATCCCCTGCTGATCAAAATCAAGGAGATCGTTATGTCCCTGGTCCAGGATCAAGTGCTCCTCAACTACTTCGTGCAACAAACTCGCCAGTGGCTCCCCCACCAAGCGGTATCCACACCAAGCCGCGTCCATCAGGACCCACACCACCAACTGGACCTAAACGATTGTCTGAACAGGAGAAACTTGCTTTGAGAAACAAAAGATTTGGCAATGACTCATCTGTACGTAATAACAAGGGGGGAATAACGAAGTCAAGGCCAAACGAACGTGGGAATACAAGGAGACCACCTCAGGTGACAGAAAAGTTGGAGAGGTTTATCAATTCCAGAGACAACAACAACAACAAGGATAGCAACAGTCAGGATAGTGTAACAAAATTTGCGCATCATAAACCAAAAGGAAGGTGCCCCCGTTTCCCAAAATGTACCGTCGCAAATTGTGAGCTTGCTCATCCAACTAAGAATTGCTTCAATTACCCCGACTGTCCAAATCCACCAGGAACTTGTAACTTTTTGCACCCAGACCAGGATCAAGAGTTGATTACCAAATTAGAAGAGTCACAGAAGGAGTATCAAGAACGAAAAAAGAAACTGATTGAATTGCAACAAGGAACTTGTAAGTTTGGTGCAAGATGTGCCAAGGAGGGGTGCCCATTTGCTCATCCCACACCCGCAAACCCAGAAGCTAAGATCGACACCTTGGAGTTTTGCTCTGCTGGAATCAACTGTCAAGACAATGAATGTAAAAAAGCACATCCAAGGGCACCAAGTTCTTCTGTTAAACCATTGCCATCAATTGATGAACTTGCATTGGAGCAGTGTAAATATGGCATGAACTGTACCAATTACAAGTGTGTTAGAAGACATGCAATGTCTGCTGTCCCCTGTCGTGCTGGTTTAGAATGCAGAAGAGTTGATTGCACATTCAACCATCCTTTTAGAGAAATGTGCCGATTTGGAACTGCTTGCCATATTGCCACTTGTATGTATCAACACCCAGAGGGAAGAACTATGGTACCTCATACATGGACAAAGAATGATGGCGCACAGAATCAAGTGAATGAACGACAATTTGCCGTTGGTGAAGATCAGGTTATGGAACAAGTTGCTCAACAATGAGAAAGAAAATACATTTGTGTAAATTTACCTTTTTAGCGCACTATATAGTGGTTTAATATTTTAGGGTGTTTGCAATCTGAAGGGGATTGGCATAGTTTGTTGTATAATGAGTTACATTGTAGAATCTACATTCATAAAACATCTAGCAAAAGATTGTGTTAGATTACACTATACAAATTTAGTATCTCTTTTTACCAGCAGCGGCTTCTTCAGCGTAAACTTCCAATGGAGATGCAACCAATGGAGTTTCCTTCCACAAGTTAGGAGTCAAGAAACCGTAAGTGTTACCGATGGCAACGAAAGTAGCCTTCAAGGTATTTTCAGTAGTTCTGGTGGAACCATTGGATTGGGTATAGACATCTTCAACACCGGCCAATTGCAACAACTTCTTAACAGCTGGAGAAGCGACAATACCTTTACCTCTTGGGGCTGGGATCAATCTGACAGTGACGGAACCACATTTACCAGTAACTTTACATGGCAAAGAGTGTGGTTGACCCAAGTTAGAACCCCAGTAACCTCTTCTGATTGGAATGATTGACAATTTAGCAATGACAATAGCAGCCTTGATAGCAGAAGCAACTTCCTTGGCGGTCTTGATACCCAAACCGACATGACCGTTGGAGTCACCAATGACAACAACAGCCTTCATTCTGGTTCTTTGACCAGCTCTGGTTTGTTTTTGGACTGATCTAATCTTCATGACTTCGTCCTTCAATTCTGGCAACAACAAATCAATGATTTGGAATTCCTTAACTGGCAATGAGTGCAAGTAGATCTCTTCAACGCTGGTGATCTTACCTGCCTTCATCAATCTACCCAATTTGGTAACTGGAGTCCATCCCTTTTCTTCTTCTCTTCTTCCTCTTCTTGGGCCTCCTCTTCTTCTACCACCGAATTGTCTTTTTGGAGCTTCTGATGACATTATGTGAATGTTGTGTACTTGTCGGAATGTTACGTGGAAAGCCGGGGCGTTGGTTTTCGATCGACGAGTATTGATGTAAGGTAGGAGTGTAATTGGTATCTGATATCAGCTGAAATTTTTTTTTTGTTACCTCTGGTGAGAAAGCGAGGATGGAGTGGTAGAAGCCCTAAGTTTTTATGAGCACGTGATTAACGTGACTAAAAAAGTTGCACTAAGTGTCGTCAAGAATTGACGCTACATTGTAATAGTGTCATAAATTACATGGTTGTTGTGGTGTGATATAGGAAAGTGTGATGATTGAGCACGTCTTTTAAGTAAATAAGGTTACGAGGAGCCTCTTCCATCGCGGGGACTGTAATTCGCCCCTCAAATTCAAAATCCGTGCGTTTTTTCACGACACCGTCCGTAGTCGGTGAACGAAACAATTGACGGCGAGAAAGTGCCTTTACACAAAGCTTAGAAGCAAACTACATTCTTTTCTCTTGAGGCGCATGCTGCGGAGTTGTCGCTTCTTTTGGTTAGATGATATACAGGCGAACTCGGTTGTTTCTCTTCACGTCTGCAGGACCAAAAGACCGCGAGGGTCTACATTGTTTGTGTGACTCGTTGCGTCGGAGTGTATACTCCAAAGTTTCCAAGATGTCACAAGACTTTGCATGAAATCATGTGTCGTAAATTTTTATCTCCTTGTTATTGTTTGTATTTTATTTTTTCTTCTGGAACAACCGAGTAGAATCTCATTTGCAAGGGGTGATAAGAAGAAGAGGTGGCAGACGATACACTGAGCTTTCCCATGAAGACTAAAGAGCACTCAATTATTGAGAATAGTTTCGATGCTCTCTCTTGGTTCCTTTTACTGAAGGTGGTTTCTATAACATTTCGGGGTAAATCTCTGACATATTATTCTCTTCAACTCTATGATTGCTATTTTCTTAGTTTTGTCCCACATTTTATATTTTTTTTTTAATTGAGAATCATTCGTTGGTTTCTAAAGACTTGAAAAGGCACATATATAAAGTAACACATCGTCAATTTTTTCTCTTTCTTTTCAAAGTTAATATCCAAGTTCAAGAAAGTTTTCTTATACGAATTATCAATTCGGACTGCAGTAGATAATCTATCAAACAACTTATTCAATCTTTCAACTTTTGACATCCGTTATACACACGGTTATTCACAGCAATTGATATAACAAACGCACCAAAAAAAAATGGCTAACAGCAACCCACCATCCCACGAACAACTTAAAAAGGATCTTAAAAAGGATGCCGAAAACACCAAAAACAGAGCCGCTGCTGATGCTAAAGAATTGAAGGATCAAGGTCAAGCTAAGGCACAAGAATTGAAGAAGGAAGGAAAAGCTAAAGCTCAAGAAGTGAAGAAGGCTAGTGAGGAAGAAGCTGAAGATTTGAAAGAAGCCAGCAAAGAATTGTACGAAGCCGCCAGAGAAAGAGGTGAAGTCATATACGATGCTGCTCAAGAGAAAGGACACGAAGCTCTCGAAGCTACTAGAAAGGAATTGGACCGTTTGGAAGAAGAAGGTAGAACTTTGTTTTCAAAACTCAGTGCATCAATACAACGAGGTGCCAACCAATTTGGTCAATTTTTACAAAGATCAAGTCAAAACATTCAAGCTGGTGTTTCCCAAGCAGCTTCTAGAACTGCCATTGAATTACAAAACCCAGTTGTTGTAACTCAATTATTTGTCATTGCTGGTGGTGCCGCTGCTGGTTATTTGGGTTGGATTGAAAGATACAGAATCAGAAGTGACCACAATCTTGTTGTTGGTATTCATGCTTCCGTTATTACCGGATTAGTTTTACTTGATGGATTCTTGTTCAACAAGTACTACCCACAATACGACAAGAAAAGAACCACTGTTCGTAAGTAAGGGTGCCCTTTTGTGCGGATTTCATGTGAATCAAAGTCTTGTATTTTGACATTTTCTTAAATTGAATATATATATATATATACATAAGTCTGAAGTGGTGAGTGTAGCATAATAGCCTTTTCGTTAAAATAGTATATGTGGGTCCGCTTAATGGTGGAGATACAGATAGGAGAAGACATCACGCATCAGACATACAGCAAGATGTGGGTGCGTAATACTTTGCAAAACCCTCACTGGATGAAAACTTGATTGGCTCTACTTTTCTCCCGCTTGTGAATCATCTGGATAATTTTTTTTTTGGTTTCGTTTTCTTTTTGCAACTGGGATTATCTGGAACTCCGAAATCTCATAGTGAAGTCCGTTGAAGAGAACGAACATTGACACAATTATCCTTCCCCTCCTGACAGCTGAAACACGACCAACTTTGGCAAAAACGTTGGAGGCGATGAAATTGATATAGAGGAGTGGGTTATAATGCGAGTTCTACTCTTTGAAGGGGGTATATTATTAAGGTTTTCCTGAACCACGATTACACCTCCTACGCCTCCTGTATCATAACACACGACTAGGAGCTTTTGTGCCCCCAGACGTCCAAGGTTCTTCGTAAGCCAGGCATACTTAACGACACATCGCCACAGAACTCACTGTTTGCTGGGCCAGCATTTATCAGTGTATTTTCATCGTAATTGTCAATTTCTCGAAACCCATAGAAAAAATATCACATGCATTTTGAAACAGATGCTCTATGGGTATAAAAGGGCAAAGTCAAGATATCAAATGCTGACTCCACGTTACACGTGGAACTAATGTCTACCATGATTAGTCCACTTTCGATGACTACACGTTGCAAGGGTGTAATATAGAACGCCTATGGACGGGATTTAACCTCGGCATTAGATGTAATTTTTATTTGTATCACAAAATTAATGCAGTTTAATTGGAGAGTCCTCTGTTATGGAAGAAATGATACCCCCCACTGTTTCGTATCACGCAATTGAGAGTTCCTTTTTTATTCCACATTTCCGGTAGTCTCTTACTTCGCTTCACTTTGGGCTATGTAATGAGTATTGTGTGGGTGTGTACAACCTTGCTCTGCTTTAAGTTTTTGTTTTTGTTTTGTACTTGTTTTTTGTTCGCGCACAAAGTTATAAGTACACCGCCTAAAATTTCCGAGACTTCCTTTTTGGGAAACTCCACTTTCAAGCAACAAAGAAACAACAGGGCTTTAAGACTGGTACATATCACAAACACCATTCACAAAACTAAAGGGATTTTGTCGGGTCCTAAAATACACGTACCAAACAAAGTGCTTTCTTTATTGAGCACCCTATTCTCAAAGTCATCTTATTAACCTTTAACGTAACACTAGATTCTGGTCGCTCAGATCGGAAAATGGATTATCCGACAAGGTAGATATCTCGTAACCCTCTTTTTGCTCAAAGTAATCAAATCAACGTTTTGATTATAGGTTTTATGTCGATCATTAAAGAAAAAAAGAGTGATTTTGTGATCTTTGTTGTTAACTCCTTCACTTGCATTATGCTCAAAGGCTTTTTTTTTTCTTCTTTTCCAAATGCATAATGCGAATTGTGCTAAAGCAACAACAAATTTAAAAAACTTTAGATCGATTTCGTTTCTTGGTGCAGGCCCAAACTAACGAAGACTTTCATCTAGAAATGGAACTGTATGAAGGAAAAAAAGGCCTCACTAGTTTCCCCGTAAATAGCAACGTCCTCTGAGATGGACTTTCCAAACATGGCTTTCATGAAAAGTGTTTGTTAGGTTATTTTTTTTTGAGCTCCGCCTCGTCATACGGCACCAATTTTTTTATCATTGCATTATTGTGGACTGTTTGTTCCTATAATTTTCGAGTTTGTGTTTTGTATTTTATATAGAGAAAATGCCGTATTATATTTGTATACACGCCAAATTTTGTTTTGTGAAATAGAGAAGAATAAAGTTGGAGATTTTGATACAAAAAATGGGTGATGATTAAAACCGTGATGATTTCCGTTAAGTGAAGAGTTTGAGTACGATAAGTAATCGATAGGAGACAATAACGGAAAAGACGTGAAGCATGCAGGTATGCAGATTGTTTGAATCTTTCTTCTTTAGGATTACCTCCTTTGTTCTGCTTCTTTTTGACGACTACGAACACTGCCTCGTTGATCTACCGTTCAAGTGACTGGATGGGCATTCACCAGTCGGAAGAGTTCCCTACCTCGGGACTATAATTTACTGCTTCTAATCGTAGGAGATTGTATGCACCTGACACATAAAGGCCCTCTAATGTTATGCAATGTTTCGCCCACTTGTAATTGGCTAGAAAGTTCTCCATTCTCACAAAAACCAGTAGTGTATGATCGTGTTCCCCTCTAACAAACCCAAATTGCCTCGCCCAGAAAACGTTTATTTTTTCTGCAATGTTATCCTTGAAAGCTTTTAGTTCCCTCTATTATTAGGCAACATGCTGCATGAACAAAGGGTATACGCCATTGAGAAGACTAACAATATTGTGTCCTCCTTTTTCGCGACATTGTTTTAAATGAAACGTTTACGTTGTTATCCCCGGTCGGTTAAAATTAGTGAGGTGGAGAAGCTATGTGTGTGCTCCAACACTGTACATACGTGTCGCATCATTGGTGACTACCAAGCTCTACGGTGTCTTTTCGTTGAGCAAGTTTTGTGCCCTCTGTGGCAGTGCTAGTAATCAATGCGATCATATCTTTCACTACCTGCATGCAATGGGTTACGTAACTCGTTTTTTTGATCATGATACACGATTCTATACAGTGTGTCAAGGCTCTGTTTCTATGCTATTGTTCACATCGGTAAATTGCGCGCTTGTTCTTTCTTCTCTCCTTCGCTTCATTTTACTTTGATGGTATATCCGATCCATTGTTAATGCGGTTAAGACATATTCCGTTCAAAACAATACAAAGGGTTAACTTAACAAACCATTGCAGAAAGAATTGAAAAACAAGTTAGTAAAACTTTCCACAGTTACTTGAGACTCTACTTTACGTCACTGTGGCTCAATTGCGAATCACTGTGTATTGCTGGCATCGGATTCGCTACCAGGGCTTTTTTTGAAGTCAGATGCCGGTATCAGAATTGAGATAAAGTCGATTACAGACGAGTCAACTCATCCCTTATCTACAGACAACTTTTTTTTTCACATTCTTCGGCAAATATCGGCGCTAGGATCATAACAATAAGAACGAAAATCTTGTTCCACAAATAACAGGAAAAAGTTGCCAAGTTATTCTTTCTTTGTGAAGTTCTTCTATAACGAAGTAGTTCAAATAACCATTGCACAATCTACAATGGAGTAGTAGAGACTAACAGCGGGACCACATGGGTACGTCACGTACCTACACTTTCTCGGTGATTCTATTTTGTGCATTTTGACGTGAAATAATGTAGCCGCCGGTTTTTCCGTCAACACTGCATATTTGGCTGCATATGAGAAGAGCAAAGCATTAAATCTCAGTCATGCGAGTTACATGATTTTGCATTGATCGGGTGCTCAGCTGCGGCATCTTTATTAACAATCAATCTTGCTTGAGCCTTACGTAGTAACGACATCATGCACAGACACTTTGACCGGGGCAATCTCTTTTTTTTTTTTGCAATTATTTTCTAGTTTAATTTTTCCGGTTCTATATGCTGCTAAAATATTATTAAAAAAAAAAACCTCTTTGGGAAGGAGGCTTTTATTGTTGACAAGCAAGTAGAACTCTCTAAGCCATGAATCCTTCACATGGAGAAGGGGGTGCAATACAAGATGGCATTCATTGCATCGCTCGTTTCTTTTCTTGATATCTCAGAAGAGAACGGAATAAACGGTAAGGCTTACTGCGATCGCCTCTGACTTGATTGAATAAAGCTAAGACCCTCCCATTTCATCTGTAAAGTCTGAATTGTTTGAGAAAGAGGGAAAGGAGACGGAGGGTCGAGTAGTCTGGTGTGCTTGCTACACAGGGAACTAAATCAACAAACTATCATAATCTAACCCTCAAAAGTGCCAAATTATGAGCCCTTGCCCGCCTCGTACATATGCAAAATTTTGTATCAGTTTTTTTAAGTCAATCTGCATAAACATAAGTGCTGTTTGCTCCTCGTGCATATTTTTGAAAAATTAAGCATTTGTACATGAATACTTTGGTTTTTATACAGCTTTAACCGTTTATGCATTATCCAAAAATGATAGATTAAAAAACGCCGTACGAGATAGATTTAGTTTTTTAAACATCTTGCATAAATGACTTTAAAAAGCGAAGATAAATAACAAACTCCAACCATGAATGCTTGCAAAATAATTTGTGTGGTACTTCATTTTTGTCCTAGTAACATTTATTCTATATCCTTCAAATTACCCCTCCTTTTAACACCGCTATGTGCGTGCTGCATGACGTATTATACTTTACGCCATACTTCTCAATGAAGAAGTATTTCCGATTGATGTAAAAAGAAATAAAATACACAAAACACTACTTTTCAATAGCAATCGAAACCATCCTCAAAGACTCGGTTCTTGGTTGCTTCAATTCGTAGACAAGTATGAGGAGTATTTGTCTTTTTGGAGGGCGTTTGCAAGCACAGTTAGCACAACATTCTTTGCTGAAATTGAATGTTGAACAAAATCGGAATGCCAAAAAAAAAAATTAGCTCGATTCAACGGAGAGATGAGGAAAACTGCGCCTAGTTACATTTTTTTTCTTTTTAATTTTTTTTGTTCTCTTGATCACAAAACCACTCGAGTGCAATTTACGAACCGGAAGAATTATTGGTTGAAAGAAAGTTAAACCGGTTCCGAGATGGCCACTAAGTTTGTCCAAAAACATTGCATGTGCAGCACAGATCTAACTAGGTGATTGCTACCAAGTTCAAGCGTGGCCATCAGATTGGTGACACTCAAATTGATATACGTATCGCTTGCGACCAACGGCAAAGACGCCCTCATAACCAATCTTCGTTTGTCAATTCCTTTCAAAATACTTAGTGGGCCATTTGTATTTCACGCACAAAGATCAAGCATGGATTCATATTCGGAAAAAAATTCTTTCAAGATGTGATATGTTTTATTCCTTCCCCTTTGTATGACGCAAACCATTGACAACCTGTTTTGCATATGGTTTTAATGCATGGTCTAAAATGGGAAATTGCAATAGACAGGAAAAAAAAAAGGGAAACAAAAGTCAACGTTGGTGAAACCTTTTATTTCGTCATTGGGTGTGTATTCCTTCGTTTTGTACACTCCTCTATTTTGTTTTTTGCTCTATTGTGGTCATGTTCAGCTGATTTAAGGAGGCTATACGGTATCGTGTGACATCATCTACTTCAAATTTAAAGTTTTGGGTCACGGAAATGTGCACTTTTGTTGCATATTGTCCGCATGGGAGTTATTGGGCCCGTGAAATGAAGAGAGTATTCAAAGAATACCACTTGAAGTTGAAGTAGCTTTGATTGCCACCACACATTTTTCCGCCTATATTATTCCCAGGAATGCACCCTAAACGAGCAAGTCAGTCTTGACATCAATCACTGCACAAGCCCTAGGAGAAGACGTTTGCGAGTCGGTTCGTCATCACTTAAAAAAGCTGGATCGGAAATGATACCCTCTTGGGTGAAACAACAAGACACATGCAGGGATTCGTAATTTAATTTTGATATTTTTCGTTTCTCCAGACAGAAAGACTAAGTGGGGAAGCTTAAATTGGTTTGAAATGAAAGAAGGGCAAAAGAGTGTTGCCCTTCCTTCTCATTTGTGACCCGGAAAAATGCACATAGATCGATCTGAGGGAAGATGGTTTTGTTCAACCAGCGACAATTTGAATTCTTGAAGTGTAGTTCTCAGTGCTTCATTTACAAGGACTACATAGGTGTTTGTATGAGGGGCAATGAGCAGTACAGAACGAGATATGATGTACTACGGAAGACGCTAGGATCAGGATCAATCGCTCTTGATAAATAAGTTTTAGCATGTAAGTCAAGGATATCCAATAATTCGTTCTCTGACAACCACAAAGTAAACCAGTATACAAATCATACGTAAAACTTTTACTTAAGTCAGACCGCAAAACATCCTTAGAACACTTCAACCACATATCCGTTATTTAGTTGCCGTCCCGCCCGCCTTTGTTTTGTTATTCAGCTAAAGCTAAAAAGGTTGATCAAACAACCTTTTGCCACTTCCACCAGAGACGAAAAGAGACCAAACGAAAAGAACCGCGTTGCATAATTTTGAAATGGGTGAGAGTTGCTTACAAAAGAGGAACATTTGAGCTTCGTCGTCGTCGTCGTCGTCGTCGTCGTCGTCGATTGCTGCTTCTGATCCTCTCGTATTTTGAGTTTAGAGTTTTTAAGCAACTTTAGACGAAAAAAAATAAGCTTTTCAGGTTGCAAATCGGAAAGAAAAAGTATAAACTTCCCCCCATATACGGTGCATTGAAGAAATGTCAGAGGCAACTCTTTGAACATCAGTAAACGTTTCCAAAGATAACATCGTGATGCAAAAACGGGGAAATTCATTGTTGTGAAAACATCCGAGGCTTAACAAACATTGTTTATCACTTAAACTCAGTTCGTCATCTTCAAAAATGTGACTTTACGTATTTTTCTATGTCGTCATCCTGATTAAAGCTTTTTTTTCTTTTACATTGAAGTTGACTCTGTACAGATTCTTAAACTGAGCTAAGATTGCATTGCCTCCTTCATAGATCACGCAGATATATGGCTAAAAGCAAAGCGAAAATTTTTTCTATTAAAGCCTATCATTTCTTTGTTCATCTCCTTTATGAGTTACACAAAATGTAAGAGTGTTTACGTGAGAATATTATTATTCTTTCGCTCCTTGTGCAGTGCACTACCCATATCGAGGTTTGTGTAACTATATAATTTTCACTTACATAATCTGCAGCAGGGACTAAAACCGAACAAAAAATACATGTACATACAAATTACATATGAATATATGTATAGCGCTTTTGCAATCTTTGTATCACAATAGAAGGAAATGTGAATAAAAAAAAAGAAACAATCCGAATAATAAACATTCTTGAGCGTCTATTGTATTCTCTTTTTTGTAATATTAGCAAACTAAAAGAGTTGAATTTATATGTATGGGATAGGTGTAGATGCATAAGGCTGCTATTGTTAATAGCATTTGTGTCCCGCATTTAAAACCTGCTAGCTAACTTCTTGTACTTATTATTGTTCTTTACTGTGTGTTGTACTTGCGTTGCGTAATAGTCTCTTTAGTTTACTCAATTAGTTTAGATATATATATATAGGGGAACCATTGTTTTTGCAATTTTGACGAATTTTTCATCAATTGTAGCACATCTACATCCAAAGATCGAGTCATTCATCAAAGTCGAAAGAGGTCAGTCCTGTCTACGATCAACATAGCCTTTAGTTTTCGTGGATTATAAGAACATTTGAATATCTTCACTTCTATTGCGTTATCGATTCATTTCTCCACCCGTCCCCACTCCTACCACCTACTGCTACCTTTGATACCTGTGGGAATCGGAACTGAAGACAATTAAACATTCTCAAAGTACTCCTAATCAATTTTTTGCTGTTTGCACCACATACACGGATACACACCCTTCACCTTTCACGCTTTACAACGGGTCAACAAAAGTCCTATGTTCATTGCTAGTTCACCAATTTTACAATTCAATCGCTTTGATATGCTAGATCCTAATGATTACGACAATTCTACAAATAATTCAAATTTTTCTACTTATGCAATTGATGAATCAGTCCATGATGAACCGTCAGCACAAGGGTTTTCCCTAAATCCTGCTGCCGCTAACTACTTGCTTGGTGAGAGTCATCATCCTGACTTGTTCACGGATGATTCAATTACTCCGGGATATGTAGCAGCTGCCAATGTAGGTAACGAAGATGCCTCATCATACACCAACAATTTGTACACCCAGTCCATTAATGTGAATTTAGGTGAAGTTACTCCGCAAAACAGAGCCTACAATAACTCAAGCTCATTTGTATCTGTCAACAATCAACAGCAACAGCAACAACAGCAACAACAACACCAACTTCAACAATATCAAGGCTCTAACCAACCTATCGATAGCTTCCCCTACCAATCACCATCTTCTCAATACCACTACCCATTGGCATCTTCTGTCTCCTCATCAATCCATTCATTCACTCAACAAATTGATGCTGGCCACTCTTCTAGTTATAACTTCAACTACCCAACGAATGCATCTAGCTTGGACAGTCAATACCCGCAACAAGGTTCGTTGACTACTTCAGTGTTTCATCAACCACCACCACTACCCATTTCATCTTCATCTCCACCACAGTTTGTTCCCCCACTTAGTGGTTCCCAATCGCAGTCGGTTTATTTTGACGGAGTCAATGCTCATTCACTTGGAGGCAGCAGCAGCAGCAACAACATTAGTGGCGTGCACCCACCACATCCACCGCAACCACCACCATTGTCCACAATGTCAAGCTCCTCAGCCGATCAACTCCTGTACACTAGCTCTCCTGGATCAGTCACAACTACTCGTCAGCAAATGCCTGAAAAGCAGCTAAATAAGAAATCACCTACACAAAGACAGCGTCGTACCACGACACTGAAAAGAGAGAATAAGTCACCCGTACTCACCACATCTACATCATCAATTATTCAACACCCATTACTGGATAGAAAGAGGTATCGTGTATTACGTGGAGTTTCTGCTGGTGGTAGTAGCACACGACCACCTAAAGAGGCACTCAACAGTGATTCAATTTTTCTACCGGTTGAGCTAAACTTGGTTGGTGCTTCAGTTGAGGATATATGTTGCCCCAAGTGGTCAACACTGGAAAAGCAAGATCGTCGTCGAGTTATTCGTATTGAACGAATTCAAAATGGACCACAATTGACACTCAATTTCAGCATTGTGGGAAGTGCTGATGAAAACCCAATAACTTTGCCAGCTCCACCCAACGTTGATGTTGTTGAAGTATCTTGTTTAGAATGTGATGTCCGCACCAATGATGACTACGAATCGCAATCATCAGATGATGAGACTGGCTATACCAAAACCCAAGGATCTAAAAACAAACGATTTGTCAATACTGATCCCGAAACTGGCCGTAACTTCCAATACTATATCACATCAGTCGAGGTGATTGAGATTGTTGAGTTATTGATTGGCACTGCTTTTGCCGATGCTAGTGAACGAAGAAGAGAGCGTGGAAGAGTCAGATCCAACTTGGTTCCCTTTTGGTCCAAAAAATCAATAAGCTCACGAATGAGTGATTCATCTTCGGTATCATCAAGTACTTCCTTAGGTTCCAATTCTGTTTCATCGACTAGAGATGGTAGTGTGTCATCGAATAGCACTATCAGTACAGTAGCACCAACAACAGCCTCTACAGCTACCACCGCCGCTGCCGCCGCTGCTGCTGCAACTGCAAATCTTTCACTTGACAATGACGCAAATTCACAACCTACAAACCAAGATTACCGTATGGAACTCGCTAAAAGAATAATGGCTTACGATATTCGTAAACCAAGAGGTTTTGATAAAGAAGTGAGGATACTAAGATGGGACAAATTGATACCAGCATTGAAACGTGCCTCACATAGTTACTACACGGAAATCCCTCCGGGTGACGAGTTGCATACTCTGTTTTCAAACTTTGATCTTTGAGAGGGTGATTATGCTGCTTATTTACTCTACTAGGGGAGATGATTTGATAGACTTTATCCTTTTTTCAAAAGAACGTTTTTCACTGTTTTATAGTTAACTGTTAATATAAATTTTAATCCTAAGTTATCAAAATAACGCCACGTTCGTGAACTCTTCTCTACCGTATAGATCGTTTAAAAAGATGCACACAAGCAAATCATATGGTGGAGCATATCATTGGGAGTTCGATTTTCGGAACCGAGAGTTGTTTTGATCGGTCGTAAAACTGTGGCCAAGAAATTTTAGGGAACAGATTGCAAATTCACCGGGCCGTAGTACCGAGATTCCCAAAATTGCTCCCTTTCCATTTATACCAAACCTGCCTTTCCACCCCTCTACATCTCAATTTAAATAAATGTACCTTGATTCAACAACCTACACACACTATACTTTAGAATTCAAATCTTCTTTCGGCTTCTTTCCAGTTAACAACGTTCCACAAGGCTTTAAAATAATCAGCTTTGACATTCTTATATTGTAAGTAATAAGCATGTTCCCAAGCATCAATGGCAACCAATGGGATTAAGCTTGGATCAGTAACAGTGTCTTGATTAGCGGTAGTAATAACTTCAATTTGACCACCATTTTCCTTATTCTTTACAATAAAAGCCCAACCTGAACCTTGAATACCAGCTAACTTGGCATTGGTAATTTCAATCAATTTGTCAACTGATCCAAATTGTTGAGCAATTTGTTTACCCAATGCTGAATCCTCGCTAGGAACTTGTCCTCCACCAGCACTTTGTGGAGCCAAGTTCTTCCACCACAAGCAATGGTTGATGTAACCACCACCATTGAAATTGATGGCTTTTTGCAAAGCAACGAGTTTCTTGACTTCACCCTTGGACTTAGCTTCAACAGCACTTTCAATTGACTTGTTCAAGTTGTCAACATAAGTCTTGTGGTGTTTGTGGTAGTGAAGATCATTGATTTGTCCACTAATGTATGGCTCTAAAGCATCTAATTTATAGTCCAATTCTGGCAATGAGTATTTAGTTCTAATGGAACCAATGGAAGCAACAGTTGGCTTAGCAGCTGAAGATGTAGCTTTTAATAATGTACGTGAAGAATATTTGAACATTGTTTGGTTGTATCAATTGATTTGTCAAAAGTAGCAATCCTTGAAAAGAAAAGAAGTTCCCATGTGTGCGGATTTGAGGAGCTTTTTAACCCAAGGAAAAATAAAAAAAGAAGAGAGAGAAGCTGTTGAATGTCAGTTTTGATTTTTGTGACATAATTGACGTAACTGCACATACAACACATACAATCATCAGAGGATGACAAATAGATCAAGCATTAATGTCCGTTTCGAGGTTTAGACATGACGTCCTTTACTTGTTAGAGTTGCCATCAGAATTCACTCTTCTATACGAGCTGTAATAGTTTCTTTGCAAAATGCGTTATGTTATAATATTTACATTCTTTCAACTGGTGTAAGACCCAACAAGGTCATACCATTGTAAATCACTTGTTTAGTTGCTGCATACAATGCCAATCTTGCAACAGCCAATTCCCTTTCTTGTCCTGATACCCACAAGATATCGTAACATTGTGAAACAATGTGGGACAAGGTGAACAAATAAGTTACAATGGTCGATGGTTCCATGTTTTTCGTGGCTCTTTTAATGATATCCGGATACTGAGCCAATGTTCTAACCAATGAAGCAGCACATGGTTCAACCAACAAGTCAAAGTTTGCAGTCTCCAACTCCTTTTCAGTAATGTCATTCTTTCTTTGCATTGAACATAAACGTGAATGTGCATATTGCAAGTATGGACCAGTATCACCTTCAAACGAAGTCATACGATCCCATTTGAATTCATAATTCAAAATACGTTTGGATTGGAAATCCTGAATCATAACGGCAGAGATACCAACCAAATCGGCAATCTTTTCTGGATCTTCGATCTGCTTGTACTTATCTTCATTCTTCTTCATCACATCATGCATCTTTTCCTTTGTCTCTTGAAGGATGGTATCCAAAAACACAACATTACCCTTACGAGTAGACATCCCTTGCACCATACCAAAGTTTATGTGCTCCAAATTTTGAGCCCAATCGAACCCCATTTGTTTCAAGATTTCGAAGAATTGAGCACAATGCAAATCTTGTTGTGAAGCAACAACATAGATCATCTTGTCAAACTTGTAAGTTTCATAACGTTTGATAGCTTCACCAACATCCCTAGTCAAGTAAAGAGATGTACCGTCGGATTTTTCCACCAAAGCTTTACCCAATTTTTTGTTGAATTTACTCAAGTCAATCAATTTAGCCCCACGATCAACATGTACCAATCCTTTTTCTTCAAATAACTTGGTGGCTTCTTTCATCATTTGTTGTGGAACTTGTGATTCACCCGAATAGTAGTCATAAACAATATTAAGACGAGCATACGTGTCAACATATTTCTCAATTGAAAGGTCTCTAAATCTTTCCCAAATTTTTAATGCTGCTTCATCACCATCCTCCATTCTTTTAAAAAATTCTCTTGCTTTCTCGTTGGTGGAAGATTGAATTTTTTTCTCATCTTGTTCTGAAGCATCAATTGTTCCTTCTTGAACTTCTCCAGTAGCTTCATTAGTTTCATTTCTGACGTCATTGTTAATCTTGACATAAACTTCAAATAAGTGATTAATTGGATCTTTTGCTAATTCTTCTTCGGATCCATATTTTTCGAATCCAATGGCTAATAAACCAAACTGTTTACCCCAGTCTCCCAAATAATTAATCCTGGTCACATCCCAACCAATCTTTTCGTACAAGTTGGAAACAAATCCTCCAATAATTGTTGATCTCAAATGGCCAGCATGGAATGGTTTGGCAATATTCGGCGAAGAAAATTCAACAACAACTTTTTTACCTACTCCTAATGGCAAATACCCATAGTCAGTCTTTCTTTTCAAAACATCAGAGATAACCAAATCAAAAAGAACCGACTTGTTGAAGAAAAATTGAAGAAAGACTCCCTGTGGTACAATTTCACTGATAAATTTCCCTTTGTTGAACTTTTCAGCCCATTCTTTTGATTTTTCATTTGGATTAACACCTTTCAATCTCAATTTGGGAATTGGTACAATAAGATCACCTTGATCTAGCAACTTTGGTGTATCTAAAGCTTGAACGATGATTTCTTTATCGATCCCGGAAATACGATTCAACTCATCACCAATGTAATTTCTAAATACATCAACGACATTATAATCAGGATATGTATCCTTTGCTGGTTCTGGTTGATTCAATCCTAATTTGGACAACTCTTGAGTAATAGTACTAACAGACATCGATCTTTTGAGCAAAACGGGAGACGCAATTCTTGGAATAGATTTCAAGTAAGTTGTCGGTTTAATGAGTAATCTCAAAATTTGCATCAATGAGATGATATTCTCAGAATTTTAAAAATTTTTTCTTTTCTCTTTTTGGCTCAAATATTAGAGTGACAGAGAGATAAGAGATAACGAAGTGGGTGTAGGATATGTGGAAATGTAGAGTGGCAGTAGACAAAAAAGAATGTGGTCATAGAGGAAGATCTGTTATGCTTGGTGTATACTGGACAGTTACGATTGTTGAAAGTCATGATGTATCGTGGACAAAGCATCCTGGCTCCTCTTCTTCCTTGTGACAACTTTGTTGAACCCTTGCCCAATAGCTCTGACAACGGATTTCATTATTCAAAGGCACTTTACCCAATGAATACTATTTGACTGGTGTACTTTTTCTTCACCACGTTGCCTTCGTATTTGATTCCACTTTTTTGTGACTCCAATTTTTCTCCAAAAATATAAAGTTTCACTTTGTTCTTTGAACATCGCCCTTCACCATGGATTCAAATATTACACGTTTAATAGAAATGGGGTTCACTCGTGAACAGGCCGAAGTGGCATTGGAAAAGACCAACAATAACCCAGAACAAGCGATTGAATATCTTTTTGGTGGAGGCACGGAAGAGAAACACCCTGGTGAGGCTCAAATGTTTGACGAGGATTACAACGTCAACAATGATTACAACATAAATAGTGGTACTGTTGCTATTACAAACCCTCAGGATATACCACAGTTTCCACTTCTGGAATCACAAGAATATGCATATAGTAGTGGTTGGGGTACTGAGTCAGAGCAGCTCGACTTGAACGAGTGCTTTCTCTTCCAAGATCCAAAGGCATTCTTGAGAAACAAGGAGAGTATGCCCGCAGTGGTCCCTAAACTGGGCAACACGCCAGGAAGATTTGTGATACCATTGTATGTGATCCTTTGTCAAATTCCCGCGTTCGATAGGATTTTGTTGAGTAAGGACTTGCGTCAAGAGTGGAACGAGACGTGGTTCACTGATGAACCGGAGGAAGCAACTTCTACCCAAGATGAAAATGAAACATACATTGCGGCAATTCAACGACTCATTGGATTTTTTACACCTGCAAGTGAGCGTTCCTTTATTAGCTCAGAAGGATTCTACAACAAAGTGTCGGAAACATTCAAAGCGCATGAGTTTGAAGACTGGGATGAACTATTGACAATACTTGGTAAGGATTTAGTGAAAAGTTTAAAGCTAGTACTGGAACATGAGTTTGATCTTCTCGATTCACAAGCAGTCGATCAAGAAGGGCATATAAAGATATTCAAGACTGTTAACATTGATAGTGATTGTAGAGAGCCCACGTTGGTGGATTCAATATGTAAATTGTTGTGGTCTCCCGAGTCTTATGAAATTAAAAGCATAGCACCAATATTGGGAATTCAAGTTTCACCTAGTGAGTCAGGCAGACAAGCACCTTCGTTGAAAGTTGAGGAATCATTCTACCCAGCTCTTTTCACGTCCAAATACAGACCGTTGGTAGAACAGATGGATGCGAAAAGAATACATTCAGCAAAGCAGAGGACCATCATCACGTCAAGAATCATGTCTTTAAGCTCCTTTGAAGGAAAAAAAGTCAGAGGCTTTCTCGATAAGGCCAAAATCTATATGGACCAAGTTGGCGAAAAAGAAACTTACGAAGATCTCACAAAATTGTCAGAATCTATACGAAATGAATCAAGTCAACTAAATGAGACCTTAAAGAAAACCAATAGCGAGTACGCCAAGCTCGACACCACAAACCAGGATAACACTGTAGAGGAGATCAAAAAGGATGATACCTTGGATATACCATCCAAGTACCAACTTGTCGGTGTTGTATTTTCAGATTTGCGCTATGCTTACCGAACTGCAAACAACGATTGGGTATTGTTTCTCGCTGATGCGCCAAACGGAGTTGTCATTGATTTTCAAAGCACGCGTTGTACTTTTGGAGAAGTCAGAAGCTACGTTGAGGATGAGCCGAATGATAAGTTTATCTTTTTGGTGTATGCTGATGAGGGTACATTACGTGACGAGCAGCTTGAACTTCCACCAAACTTGAAGAGTTTTTTCTCCAAGGATAATGAGTTTCTACACAACCAAATTGAAAAAGCTGAAAACGGCAATGTTGAAATTACCCAGATTGATGATTCGTCTCATGAAGACGTGGATAGAAAGGACTCTGATGGTGAAGTCAAGCTTGACTCTACTAGTGAAGTTAAGCCTGACTCTGCTAGTGATTTAATAGATATATAGGTACTGCATATAATGCACCTTTCACTCTACAAAACCCCGAAAATCAAAAAACTCAACTTCACTTTCTTTCATTCTAGAAAAGATTATTCCCTCCTCCCACTCCACTTGATCAATGGACTACGCTGACGATTTCGAAGATAACAACCCTTTCGCAAGACCAGAAGAAGAAGAGGAAGAACGGGTACCTTCCGGACCTCAAGTGGAAAACTTTACACCCCAAGAAGCACCTGAAGAAAATGTCGAACCCACTAATCAAGAGACCTCAGTCGCGGGAACTAATCAAGACCTAATATCCAAAACCGATTTACGGAAATTGATACCAGAACGGTTTGCTCAAAAGTACAGTCTACGCATAAAACTTGTTTCCATTGAGAGAAACAAGCCTGAAAATCCAATTTTGCGATTATCAGTTCAGGTACAGGGACTTCCTAAATTCAGACACAAAGAGTATGAGGACGTCCGTCGTACCTTCAATGAGGTAGTCAAATTCAACAAGTATTTGGCGGTGTCGAATTTGGAAGTGTTTGTCCCCGTAATTCCCAGCTCAGTCACTTCTTACCCCACAGGCGGCGAAGACGAGAAAAAGCAATTGATGTTTGTATGGCAAGAGTGGTTTGACCGAATCACTTCAAATCCAATTCTTATCCGAGATGAAGAGTTCGTATTTTTTGTTGAAAATGATTTTGGATACAGTGTTATAAACAGCAACAAAAAGTCCTCAGTTGCCAGTGGATTGATGAGGAAAACTTTGAAACAGTTTCCTGTTCCTTACGATCCATATCTAGAGTTGGCAGAGTTTAGACCAACCATCAAGAGTGCTTACTTGTTGTGTCAAAGGTTATACCGGCTACTCGATAAAGTTTCCAGAAGTGAAAAGCAGTTATCCGTTCATGTTTATGACATGTCCAACAAATTGACATTGTTGTCGCAATTTGAAACCACCCACCCTGGAATGAAAAATATGTGGGAGAAGTTGGCCAAAGTTGTCCAAATACAATCTGACCTTTTACTCGTGGAGTCAATTGGTGAAATGGGCATTTTGGGTGATGCGATTCAATACTTTGTTAATGATTTTTACGAGATTAAAGAGGCACTAACCAATAGATATTTGATTATGCGAGAGCTCATACAGGCAGAAGCACAAACCAATACAAAGCACATATACGCAAACAAAATGAAGAACAAAGCAGCTCTAGATCCTATCAAAGTCGATGATGCGCTAAGATCGCTAGAGTATGCCACCAAAGTACAAGAGCTGCTAAGCTTACAAGTCAAGAGAATCTCAGGGGAGATGCTATATGAAAAGGATGAAATTATTGATTTCGCGCAAAAGAAGTTTAAAAGCTTGCTCAAAGCTTACACCCTACACAAAATAGATCATCACCGTAAGATTTTGAAGAATTTTGAAGCCATTCGATTGGATGTTAGAAGTGTTGACGAAAGAGGTGGCTTATCCCGTTTGAATCGTGACAATTTGGCCAGCATCAAGCACAATTTACTCCAATCACAAGCTCCTACAGGCGATTCATGGTCCTCAAGAACGTTTAGGTCATTGGAAAAAGAAGAAGAAACGAAACAAAAAAGTCAGCCTCGGAGGTTGCCCTTACAAGCAACATCTATGGATGCAAAAAATGCTGCTAGTTTGTTAGGAGTAGCTACGTTTTAGTTGTAGATTTAGTTTGTATACTTGTCTTGGAAGAGTGAGAGAAAGAATGAAAAGAGACCCTTTTTTTCGTGAAGAAATGAAAAACTCATAACAACCGCACGAACAATAGATTCAAAACACAAGTTAAGAACAAGACGACAAAGCACACGTTCAACGTAACCCTTAAAAGCAGCATATATAAGTTACCCAGCGATGGAAAAATGCCTACTCCTCTCACACTCTCACAACGTGACGTTGAGCGTACCATACAACGAATAAAGCTGTCAAAGATTTCACATTTGAGAAGCCTTTGTAAACTTTTGGCACTAGGTTTTGGAGGTACAAAAGATGAGCTTATTAAAAGAGCTTTGCTAAACCTTGAGGAACTGAAAAATGTTGATGAAGGGGTACGACTTGCAGCTATAAATGAATTAATGAGAAGAATTGAGGAAAACGAGCAGTTAATCACTTATAATGAATTGTACAACTACTACAAAAGTATAGGTATTTCACGCGCTGGTACCCCGGTGTCCTCTTTGGAGGGTGGATTACATCTTCAGGACTCACACCCGGTAAAGGATCATCACATCAACTTTGTTCAAAGTCCATTTTTTGAATTAATGAAGCCAGTTCATGTTTCACCACAAGCGTGTCGACCGAAGAAGAAGAGAACCGAATTGAATATTCAGTTTATGTTTAATGCTGTGGAACATAGATTATTGAAAAAAGAAGACCCTAGTATACGAATTTACTTACTTTGTGGTCGAAAGATGACTGATGGACGAACATCCGATAACATCAAGATAGAGTACCCAAGTCCGCATTATCTAACGGTGAATAATGAACAATTAGACAACAGAAAGTATGGGGGCCTTGTAAATAAACCGGGAACAGCGAAACCAGTTGATTTGACGGAATATTTACTTGGCCCTCCTGAGTTGAACAAAATTCGCATAAGTTATATGGATGACACCTACACTTACTATGTTTATTTATACTTCGTGAAAATAATACCTTTTGAAACTGTTATTCAAGAGATTCTTGACCATCCCAAAATTCCCAAACAACAGGCAATTGAGATCATTAAGAAAAACGTAGAGGACTTGAGTCGAGATGACATTGAAATGAAGGATATCTTATTAACTTTGAGGGATTCATACACTTATGCCAAAATCAATATTCCCATCAAAACGAAAAACTGCAAACATCTCGAATGTTTTGATTTGAGATATTTCATGATTCAGCAGTACGAGTCACCAACTTGGGAGTGTCCGCGCTGCTCAGAACCGCTCGATGTTTCTGATTTGGCAGTTTGTGAATATGCTGAAGAAATCGTCAATACTATAACCGAAGACGTTGATTATGTAAGGATAACAAGAAATGGCTCATGGTGCCCATATGACGAGAAAGAGGAATTAGCGTTGAAAGCAAAACCAGAACAACCAAACCAAGAGGTGAAAGCAGCGGAGACTGAAGTCAAGGTGAAGTTAGAGTCCGGTGTTGAGGTCAATGGTAGACACGATGTAGTGATCGTATTGAGTGATGAGGATGATGATGATGATGACGAAGAAGAAGAAGAAGAACGGCCAACGGCTGTTACTATAGTTGAAGAAGTTAATGACTATATTGAAACCAAGCTTCTGTTGGACGAAGTTTCAAACAAGATCAAAGTTGAAGGTAAAGCTCGAGAAATAATTGATGCCCGCAAGAATATCAATCAACAAATTGATGAAAGTAGAACTGAAGGTTTGGCAGTGATGCAAAATCAACCCGATGTACCGTGTGTCCACCTTCATCAACATCAACAACAACAGCCACAATCGTTGCAGCTACAGGCCCCTCGGCAATTTTTTGCTAAGTCAGGTAATGGCACACCCTTGTTTGAGGTACTGAAGATGCAGAATTCACCCCCTGTGCATGTGGTACCTCTACCAGGGACCCAAGTTCGTACAACATCAACTCCATTAGCCAGTGGCTCCATAAATATTGGAACTGATGAGACAAGCTTTCTTAACAACAACCCGTTAGATCACGACGCTTTAGTTTCTACGGAAGTTTCCAATTCCGGGGCGACCACGGGCCAAATTCATGCAATTCTTTCAAATCATTCTCGTGCCCAAAATGAGAGCAAGATGATGCAACTAAGAAATAATAAACAGCAAGACTTTGTCCAGAGTGGTAATAGGCGAAACGTATTAACTTCAGATCAACAAAACATGCAGCAAAATATTCAAGTGTTGACACAGCAGCAGCAGCAACAACAACAGCCATCAATATCGCTGCAGCCACTACCTCAGGAGGCATTTGCGCAACACCCCCATCAACATCAGCATCAATCGACAGCACTGAACTTCTTCCAAATGAGTCGTTCAATAGCGCAAGCGCGATTGCAGGTTCAACAATCGCATGCACAAAATTCATCAAATGTAGAAAACAAGCATTCCATCCCTCAAGTGATAGAAGTTAGACACTTGCGAGTATCTGGTACACAGCGGATTCCTCAAAATGGAACGACTTATCCGCAAAACGTCCCTGAAATAAACAATCTGATATTGTCACGAACTCCTACAGTTAATACCCACAGTGTACATCATTTTGCGCCTTCTTCACCCAAAGATCATAATACTAAGGTTGGAAACGAAGGAATATCGCAAAAGGAGCAGAAAATCGGGAAATACCAGACTGCGCGAGAAACACATCACGATGAAAATGTTGGACTAACGAGCAACGACAGACGTCATAAACATGAAAACGAAATCGACGATGCAACGGATCAATCTTTGAAGAGCTTAGGCTTGCTTCCAAATCGAGACTACAATGGTAGCACAAAAAGTAAAGCACTGAGCACGAATAGGTCATTGAAGAATGGCCATTTCATACATGAAGGCAATATCTCTGTTGAAATGATGAAAAGAAGTGTAGGAAAGATTAGCAACGATTCGACTTCCGAACCACAGTTTAATCCAACTGGCAAAACTAGCACGTCAGCCGGTAACGCTAAGTCAAAAGACACTTTTCTCAAGCATCGGGTTGACGTGATCGGACAATCATCTTTCCCCGATGGGCCACAAGCAATCCAACATATATCGGCTAATGGTGCTGAAATTAAAGAATTTATCACTAGGGACAATACCAATATTTTCAACACCAACCATGGACAACAGTCAAGTCACAATACAATTAAAGTGCCATTTACTAAAATACCACCAGCCGTGGATTCGAAATCCAGCACTTCAAAACAACCTCAATCAGCCCATGACAAAATGCAGAAACAATATTCTGCACTTTTTATACGCTCGCGCAGACCACATCCTGCAATGAGAATGTCTTCTGAGAAGAGTGTAGATCAGGCGAAGGAACATAAACGTGTAGTGGGTGATCAAGTGGGGGTGAAGACGGTGGCTGCAAAGTCTTTGCTTAATGAGTATTTAAGGGACTTAAATCCACCGATTGGGGCTATTGAGACTGAATCGCACGATTCAGTAACTGGAGAGTCAATTAATAATGGAGATGCAGACATTGGTAATTTATATGTTGAGGACGAAGAAGGGTTATCAGCAGAAACGGACAGAGTAAATAACGATCCAGAGTACCCCATGAGCCCAAACCTCGAGACCAGTATGCTCTGCACAGAGGCTGTCTTTGATAACACACGGCCATTCCACTCGTCTACTACCACTCCAGTTTAATAACAATCGTTCACCTCAAATAAGCTGGCACAACGCCATCCCTTCCTAGGTGAACAATTACCAGGAAATCAAGCAAAGGAAATGCAAAAACAGGGAGTCCATCGTGAAGCAATCGAGAATGGACTGTTTTCCAAAGCAGCTTTAAAAGACTTGGTCTATGCACAACTTGATAATATTTTAGTTCAATTTGATAAGAAAATGCAAGAGTTTCTAGAGCGTATCAAAAGTGAGTCAACCTCACGTCTTGTGCAATTAGAGCTCAATTTAATTCAACTCAAAAGAGATAGGGAGCAAGAGAAACAGAAAGTCATTGATGAGTTTATTGCAACTTTCTTCGACAGAACGGGGAAGGCAAAAAGTAGTTATGAGAAGAAAGGATCACAAGTTGCCACCGCGTCAGGGAAGGCCGTTGAATCGTTAGCTAATGAACCACGGGTGCTTAATATTGGATCTGAGAATGAGAGCAACACAAACACTAAAGCGTCCACAGGAGTTAATGATTCTCAATCAATTGAGAGACTATTTTCTACAATTGATGAGATGCGCAGCTCATTACATCAAGAATCAAATGTGTTTACTACGCATCTTCAACCTGCACCTCATCATAACCCTGCTAAGATAAATCTTGCCGAAAGTGATATTTTCAAGTCACGATAACACTCATATCTTCACCCATCGATTACCGGTGATGTGCAGGAAGGATCTCAACAACCACTCAATGCCTCTGATGATGCTAATCAACAATCACAACACAAAATGACAAACCCGTTAGCTCAGCCAGTTCTCAATCCATTGCGACTGCATCTCCTTCCTGAACAATCCCCAAGTTTTGACTCTTTGTCACCTTCGTCATTACAATCTCCATTCAAAACCAATTATGGTCCTGGCGCTCAAACTTTGTTGCCAAATTGTCCCAGCACTCCGACCGAACATCTTTGAAAAGGTCAACTCAAAATCGACGACTCTTTTTTTGATGACTACAAAACTTCAGATTTTGATATACCTGCTGATGGCATGAAAGAGGATTTAACTATTTTTCAAGAGGAAGGAGAGGACATGAAAGTACAAAAAATAACACCGTTGGTGTAACATCTCAAGCAACCGGAGCGGGGCACAGGTCGGGTCCAAAACAAGTTCGATCATTGTTTGGTGAGATAGAAACTTCACCTGCCAAGAAACAAAAGTTGATAGAAGTGTTGGATTGTGAATTAGGCAAGGGTAAATTAATTGATGAATTTTTAGTATTTGAAGATTACACACAAGAACCTACAGAAATGAAGCAAATGGAGGAAGAATGGGCACAAAAGTTGAAAAAGAGAGAGAGAGAAAAGGATTGAGCAACTATATGTGTCCATTGGTAGTTTGAAAGACCCGATGATTATAGATTCTAGTGACGACGAGCAAGGGAAAATAAGGTAATAAAAGATCTGATTCCTTGTTCAGTTCGAGTGTCTCTATTTTTTTTTAATCACAAAGGACTTGGTCCTAGGTAGTCCTCTTTGATACTACCGATCGCATAGATCTCGTTAACATCTGTTCTTGTCCCAACAATCTTTAATCGAACTTTTGATCCTTTCTCTATATTTTCGTCAGGACTTGAGTAAGCTGGTGGATTGGCCGATGGATTGAATTTCATATCTGATGGTATTAGATGGGTACTAACAAAGACCGACAATGGTCCAACATCAGCAAAAAAGCCCATTTTATTAACAGTGGTTACCACACCATCAACAACTTCACCTTTGAATGGTTTCCAAACAACTGCCCTATACTTTACCTCAAACTCAGCCATCCCCGTGGTTGGAATAATTCTTCCCTTCCCAACATCGATATTCATGGAATCTAGCACGCATACGATGTATCCGAATTGACCAGTGCATGTACCTTCGACATCACTCAATAGTTTGTCTCTTAAGAATTGGTCCATTTGAGGGCCGAAATATGATGGATGCAACGTTAGGTTTAACGATAAATCTTTCAAAAAAAACATTTTGAAGTTATGACTCTATAGGTTAGAATTATACATATAATACAGAATGAAATGTGATGCTGTTCTATTTTTTCCTGGTGCAATGTTGTTGTTGTTCACCCCCAGAACAACGATGATGGTGAAAATTTCGACTTCTTTTTGTTTTTTGGTTTTCGTTTGAAGTAGGAAACGAAAAAAAAAAAAAAATTTCACCTTTGGGCTCACCTACTTGGGGAGATATACTTTCAACGCTTCAATGTCGCAAAGGATTGGTAACGCAGTACTGGCACTTACTCGAGTTTGGCATCATGTTGATGTTGCAGCAGATTCGAGGACTCTTGGTAGGTTAGCTTCACAAATTGCCATTACACTACAAGGTAAGCATAAACCTACATATACCCCCAATAGAGATCACGGTGATTATGTTGTTGTTACAAACTGTGCACATTTGAAAATCACCGGTAACAAGTTAAAGGATAAAACTTATTGGCATCATACATCGCGTCCGGGAACGTTAAACTTGATCCCCATGGAGAGAATGATTGCAAATAAAGGATATGGTGAGGTGTTGAAAAGAGCCGTTAAAGGAATGATTCCAAAGAATAAGCACAGATTGGTCAGAATGGACAGGTTAAAAGTATTTGATGGGGATGAGCATCCATACAAAGAAAATCTAATAGCATTTGCGGATGAAATGAAAGATGTTAGAGCCAAGTTGGCCAAATTGGAGGAGAATGAAGCTAAGAGAGCTGAACTTAGGAAAAAGTACTTGTCACATCAAGTATAGAGATCATGTACATATTTATATATCTATCTAAACTATACACGAATACTGGCTCCAGAACTTTCGGTGTACAACCTTGGAGTAATATTCATAGCCATAAGCTCTTGAAATAGCAATTTGGCCGCATATGGAATATGAATTTGGTAAATGTTTGTCTTGTTTTTACAAGAGCGACATTCAAATTGATTCTTTTTGAGATTGGCAATAACCGTCATTAATCCACAGCTACCACATACATGCACTCTGAATGCATCGGATGCTTCCATTAATCTCTCTTTAAGGAAACCAGCGGCACCATGAGCAATCATACAGTCTCTCTCCATTTCTCCGAAACGTAAACCACCATCTCTAGATCTACCTTCTACGGGTTGTCTAGTCAAGACTTGAACGGGACCTCTTGCTCTAGCGTGGATCTTGTCGTCAACCATATGTCTCAATCTTTGGTAATAAGTAGGTCCGAAAAATACTTGTGCCATAAGTTTCTTACCCGTATGACCATTGTACATAACTTCAAACCCTCTCGATTGATAGCCATGCTCTCGCAATAATTTGGAGATAGCCTCAGCAGTAACATCAGTGAATGGTGATGCATCACCTTCAAGTCCAGATAAGGACGAAACCTTGGACAACAAACACTCAATCAAATGCGCGACTGTCATACGCGATGGAATAGCATGTGGGTTAATGATTAGATCGGGGACAATACCTTCAGCTGTGAAAGGCATATCCTCATGTCTGTATGTAACACCAATGGTACCTTTTTGACCATGTCTAGATGCAAATTTGTCACCAATTTGAGGTACTTTTGTTGTTCTCATTCTCACCTTAACAAATTTGGCTCCATCGCCATTAGTAGTCAACAAAACTTGATCAACAATACCTGACTCTGTACTTCGCAATGGAGTGGATGCGTCTCTCTTGGTGTGGTATTGCGTTCTTTGACCCAATTCTTCGGTATCTGGAGGAATAGGTGTTGTTTTCCCAATAATTATATCCTCTCCACTAACTCTAACACCAGGAGCAATCAACCCATCGTCATCCAATTTTTCATAAGTACCATGCTTCAATCTCAAAGTGTCTGACCTCGAAGGCTTCTCAAATGTCTCTAAAGCTTTCATACCTTGACGTTTCTCCAAATCCATATAAGATCTGAAAAACAAGGATCTAAAGAATCCCCTGTCGATTGATGATTGATTCATAATCATTGAATCTTCCTGATTATAACCAGAATAACATGCAATAGCAACAATGGCATTTTGACCAGCTGGCAACTCACGGAATTTCAAATGCTCCATGGCTCTGGTGGTGGCCAATGGCTTTTGTGGATAATACAAGATATTAGCCATGGTGTCCATTCTCACAGCATAATTTGTCAAAAAGACACCCATGGCTTGCTTACCCATCGCAGATTGATACGTATTACGTGGCGATTGATTGTGATCAGGGAATGGAATAATGGATGCAGCAACACCAAGAATCATTGAAGGATGTATCTCACAATGAGTGAATGTATGGGTATTACTACTGCCCGTTGGCTTAATTCTCTTTGCTGGGTCTAGTTCTTGTTCCTCCATTTGTAAATCTTGCTGCTGGGTTTCAGTTAAATTACTCTTTGATGCTTCTAGATCATCAGGTGTCATAGCAATCATGATTGTTTCCTCTTCTTCAGCATCCACGTATTCGACTATACCTTCCCTTACCAAAGACGACCAAGTGTACGATGGTTCATCTTCATCGCCATCGTACGAAGATTCAAGTAATCTATTAACATGCTCTTTTTTCAATTTCAAATCGCCTTTCGTTTCTGAGTCTGGGTTGTCATCAACAATAAACAAGGGACGATAAACCCTACCAGCGTCGGTGAAGATTTTCAATTCTTTTTCTCTAATATCTCTAATGATGGAAACTTCGGGTGAAATGTCTCCATTTCTTCTGAGATCGCGCATGTAATCAACCAATGATGCTGGTTCTCTATGCACACCTACCCAAACACCATTCACAAACACTCTAGTTGCATCCGGTGAGTTTGATGGGACATAATCTTCTAATGGCTCCAACCCCCAATCCCTCAAGAACGACAGGATTGGTTCTGATGGAGTACCAACGGATATACACGACATTAATGACAAATTCTTAACCAAACCACACGCTTGACCTTCGGGAGTCTCGGCAGGACACACTAAACCCCAATGAGTATTGTGCAATTGTCTTGGTTTAGCAATTTTACCATCTCTTCCAATAGGTGTATTTGTTCTTCTTAAATGTGACAAAGTGGATGAGTAAGTGTATCTATTCAACACTTGCGAAACACCCGCTCTTGAGCTCATGGCCTTTTTCTGTTCACCCCAATTACCTGTAGCCAACGAATATCTCAACCCATCAGTAATGGTTTGCGACTTGACTGCCAATGTCAAATTGAATTCCTTATCATTTTCAACACATCTTTGCATATAGTTGTAAATGTCCTTTGTCAATTTTTTAAACAAAATACGGAATAAGTTGGCTAATAAAGGTCCTGCTAAATCTAGTCTCTTTTTACCAAAATGATCTCTATCATCCGGTTCTTTTCTTTCCAAAGCACAAAGCAATAATCGATTAACCATGTAACCAAGGAAAAATGCCTTTCTCGTTTCAAATCCTTCTTCTTGGGTAATGTTTGGCAATAACTCCTTTTGCAAAATATCTTTAGCATACTGTATACGCTTCTCTCTCCTTATACCCAAAACACCTCTTCTACCTATGAAATCGAGCGCCACTTCTCGTTCTTGAATCACAAACCCTTCTTCGACACAGGGTTTCAACATTTCCAACATTTGCCAATCATTGGCATCATAACATATGTGTTCCAAGATATCCCCATCAGGGACAACACCGAGTGCCCTAAACACGATAACAATAGGGATATCCTCTTTGATATATGGTAATGTCGCCTTGATTGTTCTTGCAGACAGACTCTTTTCATCACGGCCATAGAGCTTGATTTGCATAGCTGAGATCAATCTCGACCCCTTTTCAATAGCCGATCTGATTTCAGCCACGTGAGAAATTGGAGATGGGGCAGCTTTTTTGAAAACTTGAACAATGTTTGCTGCACTTCTTTCTTGCGCAATCAAGACTTTTTCAGAACCATTAATGACAAAGTAACCTCCCATATCATAAGGACATTCCTTCAATTCATACATTTCGTGTTCACCCAAGTCTCGCAACATGCAAAATTTTGACCTCACCATGATAGGTACTTTTCCCAAGTAAACTTGACTATCACTGTCTTCTCCTTGCACTATTTGCTCCTTCCATTCAAGCTCGTTGTCCACTCTATTGTTATCGTCGGATTCAAAAACCTTCTTCGACATATCGACATATAACGGAGCTGAATATGTGAGATTACGTAGTCTTGCCTCTTGAGGAAACATCGGATGAGTAGTACCATCACCTTCTGTTTGACTGGGTTTCGAAATGTACATTTTACCAAAAGTGATCTCATACCTCTTGTTCTTACTATCCTTCTCAGATGTGTGTTGAGCTGGTTGATCCAAGATCAAATGTGAGTCTTCCCAAATTAACTCTTGTATCGTTGATTCAATAAATTCATCAAATGAATCCAACTGTTGAGACACCAAACCTTTCTCTTGAAAGAAGGACGTAATCACAGTCCAACAATCCTCTGGAGTGATACTTTGAGAGTCATCGTACATGTACGGGTCATATTGATCTTCTGACATCGTGACGACGAAATGAGGAGCAAGGGGCAAATGATGTAGATGTTTATGGGACTGGGTCTTTTTTTTTTTTTTCATTTGACTTTCTCTCTCTTCAACAACTTCACATTTAACCTAACACGACCTTTTTTTCTCTGAAAATTTTCATCCTCAAGAGTATATACATATAGCATCTGCTGCAAAAGAATGTCCTATCTAAGAACATTCACGAGGTCGGTTCATCATAAACTACCACCTGCAAAGTACCCCAAAATTAAAGCGGATACTGTTGAGCTTAACCCACCAAAATATGGCTTTCGCAAAGTGAGACCACCAATTTTGGCACAATCGCCAACTACAACATTATTCCCAAATTCAGAGTTAGCAAAACTATACGTTGAACATGGGAAACCAATACCTAATAGATTTGTTAGTCAAACTGATTCAGAAAGAGCACGTGCCCAATTTGAAAAGTTTCAACAAGATTTGGCCATGGATGAACCTCATTTTACTCAAGGTGAGAACAAAGTTTACCTTCCGGGTGGAAGAATTTGTCTTTTACGTCCAAATGCCAAGCATACCCCGTATCAAGCTAAGTTTTTGGTGCCCAAGTCAATGAATAAAATGGATTTACGAGATTATTTGTGGAACATTTATGGATTAAGAGCATTGAATATAACAGTACAATTACAACCAGCTAAATGGACAAGAAATATTAGCGATTTAGCTAGACATAGAGTACCTCAATTGAAGAAAATGACGATTGATATGGCAGAGCCATTTATTTGGCCGGAAGTGCCTCAGAAGAAGATTGACGATTTGAAATTACAACAACAAAATAGTGAAGAGATTGTCAAGCATAATATGGCTAGTGGTGCTGATAAAAATAAACCGTTGGAGGCATATGACGGGTTGTTTGAAGAACCAAGTAAAGTGGAAAGATTTATTCCTAAACTGGCTAAAAGAGGAAAAAAGTTTGACGAGTTGCACCAGGCACGTAGTCAAGTGTCCAATTACCTAGGATTGTAAATAGAAACAAAGCTAAAAGAATAATTCAATTGAAGTAAGAATTCACCAGAAGTAACCCTTTTTCTGATAAGCTTCGGTTGCCTCGGGTTTATCAACAATGTCAAATTCCTCGGTATTGTTGTCGGGTGCTTCTTCAGTAACCACCTCTCTAGTAAAGATATTCTTGACCATATATATTGAGCCATCCAACATACTAGCATAGCCATATCCAGTTGTAGTAGCAGTTGTTGTATCTGTATCATTGTTTTCCCTCATTGCAAGCGAACTCAATTTCAAAACCGTCTTAAGATCGAATGGATTGGACACAAACTTCTTAATGGCTTCCTTATTTGATTCAAAATAGGGTTTGACGTATTGAAAAAAGAGCCAGGGTGCCCCAGAAGCTTTCCTGTCATCACTTTCAACCACCATTGGAATGATCAACCAAATGTGAAAGACAACCTTCAACAAGGAATATCCTGGAAGATATGTAATGAAAGGCAATACACTTTCAATAGTTGTTACACCCCCGAGGATGACCCAGTATATCAGCCACCGTTGAAGGGCATTTATGTGAGGAGGCAAATTGGGCTCATCGATGCTATTTATAACGGCAATTGTTGAAGCAAACACCGGATACACAAGCGAGATTAACGTGCTTGAAAAAAGTTAGTACTAAGCTCTGAAATGTCTCATTTACTCTTTGTCAACATACTTTAATATTCCAAACATTTGGACTTGACTGGATTTGCAATCAGCACGGCAAGAGCGGTGTAGGAAGCATAATCATTTTTTTTCTTTTGAGAAAGGGAGAGGGGTGTGGGAGATAATAGTGGGGAGTAGTGTACTTTTACTCAAAGATTAGTATTTCGTTATCTATTTTGCTTTTGTGGATGTATTGAATCAAGGGCAAAAACTTGTTTCAACCTGGCCCAGCTTCGCATATGGGTCACTTAGAAACGGTATTACCAAAATTAAAAGTGTCGTGTAGTACTGAGTTGCTGATTATTCTTGTTACGGCGGATTATCTTGCATAATAAACGCCCGATATAATAAGCCGCTACTAAATATGTTATACAATTGTCGAACTAAACGCCCAATACAAGTAGCTCTCGCGAGAAACAACTCTTTTCCTTCAAACTTTGAACCCACGTTTCTCCAATTGTTCAATGTTCCAGTCCCATGTTTCTTTGGCATACTCCAAGTTTCTAGCAATTTTGCTTGGTTTTTCAGCAACACCTCCAGTAACAAGAAACTCTCCATTATCTTGTTTAGGGTTCAACTTTGGATCCATCACTGCTCTTAATGTAGCCAAGGAGCCTTCCTCGTTACTAACACCAATAGTCTTGTCGGAAATTGCAAAAATGGCATTGGCTGGGTATTTAATTATAGGCACTTGACGCCAGTAATCATACAAGTTTGTACCCAAGATGACACCAGGGTGGATTGCAATTGACAAAAATTGAGGATACTTGATGGCCCATTCCTTGGTGATCTGAATCTCGGCTGTCTTGGCAATACCATATCTAACCCAGGTAAAGATACTACTGGGGAATGTGTTCAACTTGTTTTGATCTGGCCTGAAATGCTTGTAGGAGAAATTGTGTCCAATTGACGATAAATTGACAATTCGAGGTGTTCCTCCAGCATCAACAGTTTTTCTTAAGTATGGAACCAATTGAAGAGTCAAGAGGAAATGAGCAACAAAGTTTACTTGGTACTGAATTTCATAGTCATCTTTGGTCACTTCATAAGGTACTCCCATGACTCCAGCATTATTTATCAACACATCCAACTTCTCCTCCTTGGCAGCAGCAAACTCCGCAACTGCTTTGGGGATTGATGACAAATCCATCAAGTCAATGTAAATGTGATGTAGTTCACCAAAAACATAATCTGTTTTACCTTCCTTTGTTGCTCTTGCTTGTGCTTCTTTTTCAATATCCTCAAACGCCTTTCTGACCTTCAGTTCAGTTCTTCCTGCCATATAAACGACGTATCCATGGAGGTACAAATGAAGTGTTGTGTACCATCCTATACCTGAGTTTCCACCAGTGATGATCACAACTTTCCGTTCAGTCTTAGGGTTGTAGTAAGGTGCGGTCTCTGGGTTGAAAAATTGAGATCTAGTAGGCATTGTTTAGGGTTGTGGTGTGTAGTGTACGTAGAAGGAGATTTCTGTAAATGTTTATATAAGAATTGTTGTTGTTCCTAGCGAAGAGCAATTGGGTAATATCTCTGCGCATAAGGCTGTGAATCTTTTGACGTATTTGGGACATTTTTGTGGTGCGGAAAAGAAAAAAAAAAACGTTTGATTTATTATTTTTTACCCGTGATATGGGGAGAACACTCAACAAACTAAGCCTTGAGGGATCAGTCAAAGAGATGGCATGTGATAATGTAGATGTGAGGGGGAGTTATTGAATGAAGATGGAGCAGAAAACGGATAGATCCCATAGATGTAGTTGTTTTGACGACTCTTAAGCGGACGCGGTTGATGCATTCCATTCTCCATTTCTGTAACAGTAAGGGGGAGACCAAGTCAAATGCAGTTGTTACGACTGTACTTCAATGACCTGGTGGTACTCGCTACGTGAATAGTTGCATACATTAGTGTTATTGTGTTTTGCGTAAGAGCTTGCGCGAATTTTGATGCAAATTTGTGCAAATTCGTGTTGAGAAATCTTTTGTATGGAAGCTTCTGAGGACGCAATGGCAGTATCGTTCAACATCCACATTGCTTCCATCCAATCGAAGCAGTATATGATCGATCTATCCATCTCCACACTAGTACACCAAACGTTGCATTTGCAGAATGTTTTACAGAGTGCAGTAATGGTAGCGCTTCCGGGCTACTTTGCATTTCCCCTCTTTCTGCGAATAGCAAATTGATTCGCTGGAGATTACGTCTGTTCTCCACTTTTGGTTTCACAGCAGAAGCAACATTTGAGAGCAAAGGCCATTGGGTTAGCAGTGAAAAGGAAAAAGAAGTGGGAGACCGTAACAGACGAACAATACAAGAGGAAGCTCTCCTACAGTGACAAGTGACAATACAGCGTTAATGGGTGTTTGCGATACGGGAATTGGCCCTTTGTACACCATCGCGGTGTTGTTCTTGTTGCACAAACTTATGGCCCCCGTATGAAGAAGAACACATCCACTTTGTGTTGCTATATTGATTCTGCAATGGATTGCAATTCAGTTGATAACAAACTGTTTGAAACTAAAAATCTAATTAGTGTCGTCAATTATTTTTTATTGGGGTAATCGGATATTACACAAAGAAACATCTTTCTCTGAAACTCCGAACAAGCTACAAAACTATAATGAAGAAGCCACACGAAAGGCGGTCCTGAGTGCATAACAAATAGGAGATTGTACCATAGGGGAGTGATGTATCAACAAGTTGGTGAACAATTGGGTCTGTTGCATCTACCATGGAAAGGTTGTCTCTTTGTTCTTTGTTGAGCTTCCATTATTAGATTCTCCCTGCCACTTCTTTCAGTTTATGCAGTTGGTTATCTAAAGTGCGGATCTATTCCATAAATCAGATGATATCCCACGGGGGTATCTAGATGGTTTGTATACTTGTTCCTCATGATTGCTATTGTAGAGAACCTATTACTTTCACAAAAAGCCCACTCACTTTATTGCCCCAGCCTCTGTAATCTAACTCATCACACTCCCCTCATTGCTTTTCATTTTACGCTTCCTTCCCCTCCCTCATTTAAAATGTTCTTTCTTTTCTTTGTTACTTGATAAACTCCTATCTTGTTAGATAGTCTTGTAACCGATTACACGACCCGATTTCCTGTGCATTTATTTTTCATATAAAAAGGATCATCAATTCCTTGAGATCAGACTTCTAGGGAATATTCCCAATCGTCCTTCAAATTTACATTTCTTTCATTACTCAATTAACTATTCCCACTTTACACAATATACCCAATCGTACACTATCCATAACAAGACATACACACAACAAATCTCATCATGTCAGTTAAAGCATTAGGAGCAAGCACACTCAGAGGCATCTTCGCGAAACCAAACACACTTGGCAAATCAGCCAGCACAATACTCAACTTCAAACTGCTGCCAAAGGAAAGCTTACTGAATATCATTACGCGAAGCGACAAAGAAATTGGAGGGTTTTCAGACGTCAATTTTGATTACGATGCAGTAGAAAAGTGTGCACATTTCCATGGCAACTTATCATTGGACTTGCCAAAGGACAATCCACAGGTCACTAGGTCAGGATATGCCATGTTTAGAACCAAGGATCAGCCACTGAGCATTGTGTGGGGAGATAAGTACTGGGACTGGAGCGACTATAGTGCATTAGCTTTGCGGGTCAAAGGTGATAGAAGGAAATACATTGTCAATATACAAGCCAACACTCCATTGGTGACGGACTTGTTTCAACATCGGTTGTTTCTTCAGAATCCAGGACACTGGGAGACAGTTGTGATTCCACTTCACGATTTTGTAATGACCAATTGGGGTGTCATACAAGATGGATCAGAGCTTAACAAGTCAGAGGTAAAGACAGTGGGTGTTGGGTTGCTTGATAAACAATATGGTCCTTACTCGTTAAAAATTGATTGGATCAAGGTCATGAGTGGATTTGATGTGTCGGAGATTGCCAAGGATGAGAAGTTGACCATTTTGAATGACGATGCTATGGATGAAACGCCACTTTACGGGCATGATACTTTTACCAAAGAAAATCACTAAGTAAGCTCTACTGTATAGTTTCGTTGATTTAATAAATTATTTCAAAAAGAGTTTTGTGAAATGTGTATTTCTTTCATACTTTCAGTAATTAAATATACTCTTGTAGTACAAACTTCGACTTCCTAATAAATCCCAATCTTTTTGGCTAATCCACATTTCATTGACAACTTTCAATCTACTGTAAACTGAGCCACCTTTCCAAGTCAACATCAGGGGATCAAATTCACGTGGCGTTGGTAGAATCGTGATGGGGAGTACCGAGCCTTGGCTGATTAGCTGGTCAATGTGATGTAGATCAAGTGCCTCTGGTGACAATTCAATTTCCAATTCTTGATTGGCTTCCTCGGAAGAGGGCATTGCTTGTTTGGCTTGACTTATGGCATCACTCATCAATTGTTTGAGATAGTCAACTATCTCTTCAAATGATGTTGTTGATAAGACACGAGGTCTCCAAATGTTCAATCTGTCAGTTAAGACCAAGTCGTAGCCGTTGATCTTGGCTAATCCACCACCAACAATCAAAATGTTATCGTAAAATTTCTTCATTTTCGTAAAGTCACCACAAGATAATGTTGCATTGGTTATTGACTCAACAATAGCTTTCTCTAACGGTACATCAATAAGTGCTTCCTCGTCGTTTTCCTCATCATCTCCTTCAACCAACTTCACGAGAAGTTGCAGCTCTTCCATATCACAATAGTTTAAACTTGTTTTCAATCTTGTTTGGCTTTTGCTGACAGGGTTATTTGGTTTACCGGTGTATTGATCCAAAGCCTGTGGGAACAAATGCTTCAATGTGAGATTTTGGGGCTTAGTAGAACTGTTCAATGAGGGGCATTTTGTAGATTGAAATAGTCCCGGAAAGAATAGTCCCATAGGAGCCAACATGACCTCGTCAAATACCTTGAATTCATATTTTTCAGTCGACTTGAATGGACTTCGTTGATAAAAATTGTACAACTGTATTGCAATATCAGCGTCCTGAAATGTGATGAAATTCTCCTTCAAAGATTGAGCCAACTGCCAATCATAAGAATTTGCCAAGTTAATATCACGATACGGGAACCAGTTTTCCAACATCAATTTAACAAAAGTGTCAGTGATTGCGTCGCCACCATAATTTAACAAAATTCTCGAGTCATTAATAATCATTCCTTCATCAACGCAGCTAATTTTTGTGGTTTGAGCACCAACATCAACTATGCATGCAGTCGAAGCACCGGCGCCAAACGTAGCAGCAACAGCTTCTTGTAGAATACCGATTTTTCCAAATCCAATGAAGCGTAGCAACAAATCACACCAAGTTTCTACATATGATTTGTCATAAAGATCAGGTATAACCAACATGATCTTCAAGTTGGCGAGATTGGAGATTTCCATTTTTTGCAATGCATCTTCAATTATGTGCACCAAATCCCCCAACAAATCTTGACGTGATTTATAATCAGGACAGTATTCATTGAAAATAGAGTTGATCATTGGGTAACGAAGTTTCCAGCCTGGTTCTAACTTCAACGCTAATGCCTCATCCCCTGTGTAGTAACTATGTGCAGGATCAGGGCTGATCCATTCTTTTTTATTGGGATCATTATGGTCTGCTATAGTCTCAGGCTCTTGCTTTTTGTTGTAATTAGCCACTGTTTCTCGTGAATTGGGCAATATTCTCCGCTTATAGTATCTCATTCGTGCACGAAAGTCTTTTGAAGCAGCAAGTCGTTGCAGTTCAAAATCTTCATCAATGGTCACCTTGTCACCTTCGATATGCCTTTGTGGAAAAAAATCAGTTTCGGATGTGGCTTGCGTTGTCTTTACAGCTATCACATTAGGAATCACTAGCGGTACAGCATCAGTAGCACGTCCGATACGTATATAAGCTGACCCAGGTTGCAAAACAAGCACATCTTCTCCAATCCTTGCCTTTTCTTGTCGAACCTCCTCGGTCTCATTTTCCCCTTCATCGTCGTCCTCTTCATCATCATCAGCTATGGCTGTAACACCACCGTTTTTCAGTTTCAACTCATTCTCAATATTTTTCAAGTCAAAGTCATCAAAGTTTTTTATTTCCTCCAATTTCTTCAACTCTTCCAGACTACCTCCACTTTGTTTCAATTTTTTCAACTTTGTTGCCAAATCACGTTCAAATCGCCAATTCCTGATGAATCCAACCTGTTCATCTTTCTTCAAGTATTCAGTGAAATAATTTTTTTGGTTAATCAACGGTATAGTCCGTACACTGGTCAATCCAAATCCGTTTTCCTGTTCAAATCGACCTACGCCTGAATTTTTCAAATTTTGAGCCAATGCTGCTGCTGCTCTTTGACGGTTTTCTCGACGACGTTTTAAGGCTTCCGCACTCAGCTTTTTCGGTGGTTGGTGGTGTGCTCCGCTAGATGATGGTTGTGGAGTCGTTGCGCCGCCTGTATTTGTTCCCAGTGGGGTTCCATTCTCGCCACCCGGTGAATTAGGTTTCAGCTTTTTCAATACAGGCTCTTGTTCCAGGTCATGATAATAGTCCGGTTGAGACGAAGGGAGAGGTGTCCCTGCACCCGATTCTGTATACGGTGGCGACGTTGGTGGGTTTATAGGCTCCAGCATAGTGTTGATGATGTATATATGCTGACTTGATGATTTGACTATGGCTTTTGGCAATTTTTCATCTTTCGCGGTGCACAACCAAGGTAAAGAGAGAAAAAAGTAGAGCGAGTAGTACTTAATGAGAGAGACAGTTACTACGCACAGTGCGATTAAACTGAAGCTCACACAGCTCAATTGGCTTACAGTAGAGACAAAGTACTATAGTCAGAGCAAAACTTAAGCTCCTATAGCCACGCGAAGGATGATACGTGCAACAATATGGCAGCTACCCCTCTTTCATTACTAAACCCGGCGAATGAAATTGATTTTGCGTAAAAAGACGAGAGACCTCGGAGATGCGTCAATTTAATTCAGTCCCACGTTGGTATCTGCTGCAGCTACAAAATACGCCCTCTGCAGGTAGATGCTCCCTTTAAGATAGGGATACATCTATCTCCACAAGTCATAAGTCCTATAGTGTTACCTAGTTGGAACAGTCTCGGTTGTAAATACCACCCGTTTTAAACCGGCTTTAACTAAAAATAATTTCTCTCAACAAACGACACACAACTACAATAACGCAACACAACCGGACGAAGAAGAAGAAGAAAAAAAATAACAAAGAAAAATTCATAAAAAAATTTAGTCGGCCAACAAAAAATTCGCTCCAGAACTTTTTCAACCTTAGATTTCTTCTAGATCCCATTCCCACCCCCCGTCAGATACATATTCCATCATGTTGAGTAAACAATTCATTCGTGGTTTCAAATCGTCACCAATTGTTAAAAACTATGCATCAACAATTCCAAACTTGAAAGTTACCAAGGATACTAAGGTTATCTACCAAGGGTTCACTGGTAAACAAGCTACTTTCCATGCTGAACAAGCTATTGCTTATGGAACACAAGTTGTTGGTGGTATAAATCCTAAAAAGGCTGGTCAAACCCACTTGGACAGACCAGTTTTCGCCACTGTTGCTGAAGCTATGAAGGAAGCTGGTGCAACTGCTAGTGGTATCTTTGTTCCACCACCACTCGCTGCAGGTGCTATTGAAGAAGCAATCAGTGCTGAAATTCCATTGGTTGTTGCTATTACCGAAGGTATCCCACAAAAAGATATGGTTAGAATTGCCCAAATTTTAAAGAGTCAAGATAAGACCAGATTAGTTGGTCCAAATTGTCCTGGTTTGATTGCCCCAGATCAATGTAAGATTGGTATTATGCCATCCAATATACACAAGAGAGGTAAGGTAGGTGTCATCTCGAAATCTGGTACCTTGACTTATGAAGCCGTTGCTCAAACTACTGCTGTTGGCTTAGGTCAATCTTTGGTTATTGGTATGGGTGGTGATCCATTCCCAGGTACCAACTTTATTGATGCATTGACTTTGTACTTGAATGACCCAGAGACCGAAGGTATTATCTTGATTGGTGAAATCGGTGGAAGTGCCGAAGAAGAAGCCTCTGAATTTTTGAAACAACACAATTTGACTAGACCAGAAGGTGCTAAGCCAGTTGTTGGTTTTATTGCTGGTGTCTCCGCTCCACCAGGTAGAAGAATGGGTCATGCTGGTGCTATTGTTGCCGGAGGTAAAGGTGATGCCAAATCCAAGATTGCCGCTTTGGAATCCGCTGGTGTTGTTGTTGAAAAATCTCCAGCAAGATTAGGACACTCCTTATTGGCCGAGTTCAAAAACAAAAACTTATTGTAAGTACCAGCTTTATAGAGTAACAGAAAGAAGAGATAAAGATACACATAAAGCAAGGTGTTTGTAGATCCTATATCTTTGTTAAAGGAATAAAAAAGTAGAAAAAAATTAAAGAGAAAAAAAAAAAAATTCAGCTGAAAATTTTCCAGTCTTATATAACCAACAATCACCAAATGTTCAGATCACTAATAAGACCTTTCAATGCACAAAGAAGTACGCTTTTGAAGCCATCTAATGCTCCTGTGACTCTTCCTATGAGGAGTTTTTCGCAATCAATTGTCAACTACAAAACAAACACTTCCACATATACCAAAGAGAATGTACATGACCTTAAGACATTTCTCACGTTGATCGGACGCAACTGCGTTGAGCACTTGGATTTGTTTGAAGGTGACTTGAACAAGTTTATTGAAACACCAAGTAAGAAAATGAAGGACATGGGTATTGATACTAGAACCAGAAGATACATGTTGAGATGGAAACATAAATTTGTCAACGATCTAGAACCATTAAGAGAACATAAACGAGGAGTCAAAAAGAATGGTGGTGAAAGAAAAGCCAAGACTGTAAAGGCAAAGAGAAGGGCATTGCAAAGATTGGAAGATAAGGAGAAGTTTAGTCAAGAGGAAATGGATGCAGAACACAGAGGTGAAAGATTATTTTAAGGTGATAAATATTCGCTTGTAAATAGTTTCAAATAGCTGAATTCGATGTGATTAGTTGGTGAAAGGTTTCTTTCGTCGCAGTCAATCGCAAGACATGCTGTGGATGTTGTAGTCATAGTGAAATTGAGTGTGTCACGTTTAGGTAGCATCGTTTTGCACAAAAGTACTTTTTGTTTACCTTTTTTATTTTTTTATTCCAGTTTCTTGTTATGAGCGTTTTCGTACCAAACTTCATACACTACAGGGAAAAGCAAGCATGGACCCATTGGATCAAGTTCTACTATCCTACATACAGTCACTGCATGTTGAACCGCTCGCAACTTCTCGAAAAGTCAATCTTCCAAAATTCGATGTCAAATCACTTGAATTTTCATGTTCAAGGGCACTAGATGAGTTATTGCCAAATATTGATATTCAGCATGTGCAGTCTATTCACGTCAAATTGCAGTTTCTATACTCCATATACGAAAGGAACTATACCAGGTGGCTAGAAACTGTGAAGAAGCATCAATTGTTGGTGGTGAAGTTATTTGAAATGAAGCAGTACGATATGGTGTACGATCAATTGGAAAACACGTATCAACAGATAGCAACACGATTGAATTGTTCCGTCAACAAGATTGATCTATCAGCTTTGGTGAATGGGATTCCGGTTGTTGACTGTGACCCACAGTTGACTCAACTTATCATAGCATACCATTTTTTCACCCTCCAATGGCTTGCACACAGTCTTGCAAAAAACAATTTGACGAAGGCTGAAAGAATCGAGATAATACCAGGTATACCTGCTTTGTTTCTCACAACGAGTAATCAAAGACTTTGGATAAACAAAGCACCTCTGAATGAAAAGTATACGTCAAATTGTATTAAATTGATCAAGGCATTTGCCAAAGTGTTAGGGAAACAAAAAATGCAGTTCAAGTTAGAACTCAACTGTTTAAAGGTCAAATTGATGGAATTTACTGGAGATAATGACATGGAAAGCTTGGATATGCTACCTGGGATGGAAAGATTTATACGGGATACAAAATGCATAGGATCTGAGTATTTGCAAAAGTCGATGCACTTGGATTTAAAACAAGCAGAGGTAGTAAGATTGGCGAACTGTGTTTCAAAAACAAAGAGCTCTTCAAAATCATCGCATGACATTCCATCTACATCAAAAGTAACGGATTACGACTCAATCAAGTCAACTCTTGACACTTTCACAGATTTACAAGAGGTTGATTTGCCAATTCACCGCCTACTTTTGCTTGACTCGGTTACGTTGTTTTGTCAGGCGAATTTAAGTCCCCACTTGGTACCCATTCTCGAACAATTGTACCAAATTTTCAAATGCCACGCCCAGTATAAGAGAATTCGCAATGTATCAAACTTATTGTTCAAATTGGGAAACAAAACCAATGATATTTATCTATTGGAATTGGCCATCAATTATGAGTTCACAATCTTGCAGCATCAATCATCGGACAAAAATTTTGAACTCTTAGTGGGGAAATTAAAACTCATTCATCAATATAGTCCAGAAATGATGAAAGTGTTACTAAAAGCATGCGAGTTGTCTTCCAAAATTGACTCAATCACAATCGAGTTACTTGTGGAAATGTTACAGAGCAACGTTGAACTTGTGGAGTGCATGAATGAAGTCGACGAACAATTTCGTTTCAACTTGGTGATCAAGCTAATCGAGAATATGGGCAATTGTAAGACACAGAAAATGCTAGTATGCAATTCACTCGTGGAAAAGGTCACTTTCCTTAATGACAAATTGACACTGCAGGTACAAATAAGTTACTACAATGTTGCTGGAATCGAACATTTAAACTTGAAGGCGCCAAAGAATTGCACTTTGCTTGCATTTGTTGGCATCGAAATGGCCAAAATGTGTGGTAAAGATTGGAGCAAAGAAGTGTTGTTTCGTGTTTGTGAAAAACTTGAACATTGGGCCCTGCACTTTTACGAAATTGAGGAATTTGAGGTATCGATAGTTAAAAATGCCATATTGTTTCTTGAATTCAACGGATTGTACTCGGAAGTCAAGGAGATTACTAAAAACTTGGTACAAGTTCCAATACTTCACGACCACCTCAAGATTTTCTTACATTTCCATTTGTGTCATGTGTCTGAAAAGTTATCCATGCATTCATGTTGGGGGGATTCAATTTACCAGCTTCAGCAATTGATTAGTCTGACTAAATACCTTCAGTTCCAGGATGTAGTTAATTACAAGATGGAGAGCATCAAGTACCACATCGCCCACGATTTCGCCACCTCACAAGCCAAATTCAAATCATTAGTGGCAGTTCTCAAGGAAAGACCTGAATTCAACCCCTCCCTGTCAAAATCATTACCTATTTTGGACAAGTTGAGAAATTTCCTTCTATTGGCGAAAGTCCAGCTTCTTGCAGCACGAATGAAGACCAAGGATCGCGTCGGCTCACATTCGTGTATCAAAAAAGCAATGAGAATACTTTACTTGATTTCAAAAAAATGTCCTTCTTATTTGAACATCTCGGTGGCAAATGAACTTATTTGGGAAACGAATCATTTATTGTTTGATCTGTATGAGCTTGCCATTAACTCGTTGATTGGTCTTGGCCTCTCAAGAAACTTGCCCGCTTACTTGAATGAATGGAAAAAGCTAAACGATCTGGTGGAAGCACCATTGATTAATCAAGTAAATAAATACAAGATTCAAATTTTCGGAATGCTCCTGAATTCGGATAAATTCGTGGACGAAGCTGAAGATGATCAAGAGTTTGTCAAGTCAAATCCCAGTGTACGTCAACTCAAGTTCATAATGGAATCATTACGCGACAAACATGACATAAAAACCTCATTACATGATGAGAATCATCATCCCACGTTGCAACTTTCCCCATACTTCCTGTATATAAACTTGCCTGATGATCTTCAACAACTTGAGGATTCCTTTACTTGTTGCATTCGCCAATTGAATGATTTCAAAACGTTTGGTTCATTTCCTGACCATGTTCAGATGTTTCCATCAATCACCAATGGTGAGGTTACATTACATCCAGATGCTCTGAAAATATTCATTGAGTTGGGCAGAATCAAGGATTGCTTATTAACAAAATTACAACATACGGAATCTAGTATCTTTGAACAGAAAAGACGACTTTATTTATTATCACAATGCACTCACTTGATATCTTCAATCAGCGCTTATCGCGGAAAGGACTTATTGTATCAGTTGTATTTCATTCAAGATCGGATCAAGTCAAGACCATTTGCTGATAATAAAAGGCTCGCGACATTGGAGGAGAAGGAGCTTGCCCCAGATGTTCACGAAGAAGAACCTGTGCCTTATGATCAACAATTAAGCCAATTCAAGATTGCTTTGAGCATGTTACCACCCAACTGGAATGTTGTTACTATTGATATTTGTGAACGCACTGGAGACTTGTTGATTTCGAAAATACGAGCTGGAAATCTCCCCACTTTTATACGTCTTTCAGTGACAAGATTTAAACAACGTGAGTCGGTCGGAACCTTAAGGTTTGACGAAATGAAGAGAGAATTTAAGAGAATATTCCAAGAAAATCGAAAGTCGACTCTTTACTCAACCACATCGTTAGTAAAGACTACTCAGGATCGCAAAAAATGGTGGAAAACAAGATTTACTTTAGATTATGAATTGCAAGACCTTATACTGCATGTTGAGAGGTTTTGGTTTGGTGGGTTTCGTGGTATTTTTGAACCGGTTGGATCAACTTTTGGAGAATTTAGACTCGATTTGATAAAGATCTTGAGGAGCCATATATCTGAAAAGATTGAACATTCCATATCGTTGAATGAGGTCGTATACGAATGCTTTTACGGATTGGAAAGTTATGATCGCGCATGTATTGACGACCTATTAGCATTTTTGATGGAAATTTTGAGCTTCCATTTGGATGTTGAAGCCACACGTGTCAATTTTGAAAAGTTGCACGAATCAATTGCTAGCTTGATTGATAAGTGTCAGAATAGGCAATCGTCGGACCACATTGTGTTGATCCCGAGTGCCCGTTGCTCATTCTTTCCCTGGGAATCTTTGCTGTTTCTAAGAAGTAAATCTGTCTGCCGGATGCCTAGCGTATCCATGCTTGTGGATGCATTGAACCAGCAATCTCGAGTGAAAAAGAACGAGGTTTACTACCTAATTAACCCCGGTGGCGATTTGAAAACCAGTGAGCAAAGATTCCAACCTGTAATTGAAAAATGCAAAACGTGGAAAGGGTTGGCCGGTGTCAAGCCCAATGAGGAAAAAATTGTCGATGATATACTTGACTCCAAGTTGTTTGTTTACATTGGACATGGTGGTTGTGACCAGTATGTCAAGCCAAGTGCCTTATTTTTGGCAACGAAACATACTCATTTACCCCCATGTTTATTAATTGGTTGTTCTTCAGGTGAATTACAAGATCATGGACGTTTTGAACCACTGGGTGGCATATTCAATTGGCTAAATTGTGGATCGCCTCTTGTGCTTGCTAATCTATGGGACGTTACTGACAAGGACATTGATGCATTCACATTATCGATGTTTAGCAAATGGGGACTCATTGATGAAGACGGAGAAAAGATCAATATTGCTGAAGCCGTAAGATTGAGTAGAGAGGTGTGTATACTCAAGTATTTGAATGGTTCAGCTCCAATCATCTATGGTTTGCCGTTGATGACAAGTTAAGGACAATAAAAGTTACCTAAAATTACTACTACATTTTGCTTTCTCACTTTTTCTAATTGTATCTCTATAATCTACTTCATAAATGAAATTAAATCATCCAAAATTGCAACTGTTTCAGCTGGATTCGCAATCCAAACAGTACATGCACTCAATCTAGCTTTGAAATCATTAGCACCCAAACTCGCAAATTGATCACCAATGTGCAAACTCTCAGATTTCGTGATGGGGCATACATCCAAGTCACCCAGCTGACAAATATATTTCTGCAACGATTCTACACCAAGTGCCTTATCACCAATATCGACCCAAACATCACTACCTCCATTGAATGCGCACACTTTGATTTCGCTCAAAGCAAGTGATCTTGGCGATTTATCGGGTGCTACTTTAACCTCTGTCAGTTCTGCGAGATCTGACTTGGTCTTTGAAATAGTTTGTAAAATAATGCTCAACTTATTCGAGCAAGAAAGAACCATTTCCTCCAACTGCTCACGTAAAATCTTGCATCCAGCATTTGGGATGATACCCACTGATCGTTCCTTTTTAATTATTGAAGTTGTACTTTCAAGGTTAAACTTCATACGAAGATGTTGTAAATGATCGTGAATGGTGTGCATTATGTAATCGATTTTGTTAATATCCCAATTCTTGACTTCTGGTAATAACCAGTCATCACTGTCAATGAATTTCAACCCTTTCATTTCGTTATTGTATCGGAACAAATAGTTTGATTCTGCTCCCATAACAAGTAAGTTTTCTCGTTGATGTGGTGTCAATATACAATCATTATGGTTCAAATAATTAATCAAACCCTTCAAACGTTCGTAGTATTTGTCAGCACCAGCTTGTGATGGATATCCAGCGGCGGTAACAACACCAACAAATAAATCCAATTGTAGCAATGTCACCAACCGTTTAACCACGGCACTTGACTCATCCAAAGACTGTCCATCTTCGTACAACGTAACATCTCCATCAAATGTAATCAACTTGATGTGACTATCGGTTTTGTTGTGGTTTATATTGGTCAATGCCATGATCTGTGCTGTATTCAAAATCATACGCACATCATTAAAGGAAGGGCTGACTAATCTCCTCTTACTTATGGCCCTTCTTTTATCCTCTACTAAAAACGCTTCAGCCAAGGGTAATCGAGTGAAAAACCTCCCCAAAGAAGGAACTAAATTTCTCAAACGACTTGTTGCATTCCGAGTTGGATCTTGATCATTCAACTTATCAATGACTCGAGTGTGATCAATTAACGTTTCCACATCTTTAAAGATCTGCAAATAACGATTTTGGCAATCTTGAGCGATTTTGAATTCATGGTTTTTGTAATATCTCTCCGAATCCTCTGGAAGATTGTACAACTCAGGGAATTCAGTATCAAAACTCTCAATATCTGCATGCAACACAAATGGGCAAGCAAGTAGAGCCTTGATCCATTCAATGAATTCATCTCTACGATGAGACTTAAGGGCGTATTCAACTCTATATCTTGATGTCATTGCTTGAGGTAAGAGTAACGAGGAGGGGAATTCTTGTGTCAGCAACTTTTTGGAAAGGTCTCGGATATGGTTGGCTTTTGTGTAAGCTATGATGAGACCCACGTTTTACAAAATCATGGAAAAGCTGTTTATGATAATTTATTAATTCAACAAAACTATACAGTAGAGCTTACTTAGTGATTTTCTTTGGTAAAAGTATCATGCCCGTAAAGTGGCGTTTCATCCATAGCATCGTCATTCAAAATGGTCAACTTCTCATCCTTGGCAATCTCCGACACATCAAATCCACTCATGACCTTGATCCAATCAATTTTTAACGAGTAAGGACCATATTGTTTATCAAGCAACCCAACACCCACTGTCTTTACCTCTGACTTGTTAAGCTCTGATCCATCTTGTATGACACCCCAATTGGTCATTACAAAATCGTGAAGTGGAATCACAACTGTCTCCCAGTGTCCTGGATTCTGAAGAAACAACCGATGTTGAAACAAGTCCGTCACCAATGGAGTGTTGGCTTGTATATTGACAATGTATTTCCTTCTATCACCTTTGACCCGCAAAGCTAATGCACTATAGTCGCTCCAGTCCCAGTACTTATCTCCCCACACAATGCTCAGTGGCTGATCCTTGGTTCTAAACATGGCATATCCTGACCTAGTGACCTGTGGATTGTCCTTTGGCAAGTCCAATGATAAGTTGCCATGGAAATGTGCACACTTTTCTACTGCATCGTAATCAAAATTGACGTCTGAAAACCCTCCAATTTCTTTGTCGCTTCGCGTAATGATATTCAGTAAGCTTTCCTTTGGCAGCAGTTTGAAGTTGAGTATTGTGCTGGCTGATTTGCCAAGTGTGTTTGGTTTCGCGAAGATGCCTCTGAGTGTGCTTGCTCCTAATGCTTTAACTGACATGATGAGATTTGTTGTGTGTATGTCTTGTTATGGATAGTGTACGATTGGGTATATTGTGTAAAGTGGGAATAGTTAATTGAGTAATGAAAGAAATGTAAATTTGAAGGACGATTGGGAATATTCCCTAGAAGTCTGATCTCAAGGAATTGATGATCCTTTTTATATGAAAAATAAATGCACAGGAAATCGGGTCGTGTAATCGGTTACAAGACTATCTAACAAGATAGGAGTTTATCAAGTAACAAAGAAAAGAAAGAACATTTTAAATGAGGGAGGGGAAGGAAGCGTAAAATGAAAAGCAATGAGGGGAGTGTGATGAGTTAGATTACAGAGGCTGGGGCAATAAAGTGAGTGGGCTTTTTGTGAAAGTAATAGGTTCTCTACAATAGCAATCATGAGGAACAAGTATACAAACCATCTAGATACCCCCGTGGGATATCATCTGATTTATGGAATAGATCCGCACTTTAGATAACCAACTGCATAAACTGAAAGAAGTGGCAGGGAGAATCTAATAATGGAAGCTCAACAAAGAACAAAGAGACAACCTTTCCATGGTAGATGCAACAGACCCAATTGTTCACCAACTTGTTGATACATCACTCCCCTATGGTACAATCTCCTATTTGTTATGCACTCAGGACCGCCTTTCGTGTGGCTTCTTCATTATAGTTTTGTAGCTTGTTCGGAGTTTCAGAGAAAGATGTTTCTTTGTGTAATATCCGATTACCCCAATAAAAAATAATTGACGACACTAATTAGATTTTTAGTTTCAAACAGTTTGTTATCAACTGAATTGCAATCCATTGCAGAATCAATATAGCAACACAAAGTGGATGTGTTCTTCTTCATACGGGGGCCATAAGTTTGTGCAACAAGAACAACACCGCGATGGTGTACAAAGGGCCAATTCCCGTATCGCAAACACCCATTAACGCTGTATTGTCACTTGTCACTGTAGGAGAGCTTCCTCTTGTATTGTTCGTCTGTTACGGTCTCCCACTTCTTTTTCCTTTTCACTGCTAACCCAATGGCCTTTGCTCTCAAATGTTGCTTCTGCTGTGAAACCAAAAGTGGAGAACAGACGTAATCTCCAGCGAATCAATTTGCTATTCGCAGAAAGAGGGGAAATGCAAAGTAGCCCGGAAGCGCTACCATTACTGCACTCTGTAAAACATTCTGCAAATGCAACGTTTGGTGTACTAGTGTGGAGATGGATAGATCGATCATATACTGCTTCGATTGGATGGAAGCAATGTGGATGTTGAACGATACTGCCATTGCGTCCTCAGAAGCTTCCATACAAAAGATTTCTCAACACGAATTTGCACAAATTTGCATCAAAATTCGCGCAAGCTCTTACGCAAAACACAATAACACTAATGTATGCAACTATTCACGTAGCGAGTACCACCAGGTCATTGAAGTACAGTCGTAACAACTGCATTTGACTTGGTCTCCCCCTTACTGTTACAGAAATGGAGAATGGAATGCATCAACCGCGTCCGCTTAAGAGTCGTCAAAACAACTACATCTATGGGATCTATCCGTTTTCTGCTCCATCTTCATTCAATAACTCCCCCTCACATCTACATTATCACATGCCATCTCTTTGACTGATCCCTCAAGGCTTAGTTTGTTGAGTGTTCTCCCCATATCACGGGTAAAAAATAATAAATCAAACGTTTTTTTTTTTCTTTTCCGCACCACAAAAATGTCCCAAATACGTCAAAAGATTCACAGCCTTATGCGCAGAGATATTACCCAATTGCTCTTCGCTAGGAACAACAACAATTCTTATATAAACATTTACAGAAATCTCCTTCTACGTACACTACACACCACAACCCTAAACAATGCCTACTAGATCTCAATTTTTCAACCCAGAGACCGCACCTTACTACAACCCTAAGACTGAACGGAAAGTTGTGATCATCACTGGTGGAAACTCAGGTATAGGATGGTACACAACACTTCATTTGTACCTCCATGGATACGTCGTTTATATGGCAGGAAGAACTGAACTGAAGGTCAGAAAGGCGTTTGAGGATATTGAAAAAGAAGCACAAGCAAGAGCAACAAAGGAAGGTAAAACAGATTATGTTTTTGGTGAACTACATCACATTTACATTGACTTGATGGATTTGTCATCAATCCCCAAAGCAGTTGCGGAGTTTGCTGCTGCCAAGGAGGAGAAGTTGGATGTGTTGATAAATAATGCTGGAGTCATGGGAGTACCTTATGAAGTGACCAAAGATGACTATGAAATTCAGTACCAAGTAAACTTTGTTGCTCATTTCCTCTTGACTCTTCAATTGGTTCCATACTTAAGAAAAACTGTTGATGCTGGAGGAACGCCTCGAATTGTCAATTTATCGTCAATTGGACACAATTTCTCCTACAAGCATTTCAGGCCAGATCAAAACAAGTTGAACACATTCCCCAGTAGTATCTTTACCTGGGTTAGATATGGTATTGCCAAGACAGCCGAGATTCAGATCACCAAGGAATGGGCCATCAAGTATCCTCAATTTTTGTCAATTGCAATCCACCCTGGTGTCATCTTGGGTACAAACTTGTATGATTACTGGCGTCAAGTGCCTATAATTAAATACCCAGCCAATGCCATTTTTGCAATTTCCGACAAGACTATTGGTGTTAGTAACGAGGAAGGTTCCTTGGCTACATTAAGAGCAGTAATGGATCCAAAGTTGAACCCTAAACAAGATAATGGAGAGTTTCTTGTTACTGGAGGTGTTGCTGAAAAACCAAGCAAAATTGCCAGAAACTTGGAGTATGCCAAAGAAACATGGGACTGGAACATTGAACAATTGGAGAAACGTGGGTTCAAAGTTTGAAGGAAAAGAGTTGTTTCGGAAAAATCGTGTAGTTCTATTTGATTTGTATTATTTTCAGAGTAGATCTTGTTATCAATGAGTAATGATGTGAAAACATCCAGTAGGACAAAGTGCTTGCCCGATTATCAATTTTTGTAATGCCACTCTGCTTGATCATATAACACAAGAACATTTCTTCAATCAAATATTTAAAACATTTTAAATACGCACCTAATGCCATAATTAACAATTACTAAAGAACTTTCTATGAAGTCCACATCTCAACAGGTTATGAGCCAATATGCACCTAATAGACAATCCATCGAAATCGCATTGACGGAGATGTCATTGCATATGCGATTTCTGGAGAGATACTTTAAAAATTCGCTTCATCAGAAATCAAAAAAGATAGGCAGGTTTTGACTTGACGTTGCCAGCGGTCAAAATCTTGAGCAGGAACTGGTTCTAACTACCAATATTTTACTTGTTTACGTAGTGATGTATTTGGTAATTAACTTCAAGGACACATTTTCTTATTGATTCTAATTGTAAAAGGAATTGAACGCGATCGCGTTTCGATGACAAGAGTTGTATCTTTCTTGCGTCACCCGTACTATCTGGACTGCACATAAAGCTCGTATAAAGAGGAAAAAGAGAAGCAAAAGGATACACTTGATTTCTGTTTCACTTTTTTCCAGCTTATTTATACTTGATGTTTCTTTTTTTGCCATCATTGGGGTCACATGACCAGATATGGGGTCACACGAAAAGTACAACCTATCATGCTTTAGATCTTACAGTCATCTTTTACGTACATGCGGTAGAGTTTGGTCTAGTGATCAGACTTGTCTTGCATACCGCCAATAGCACGTATTTCACAACTACAATTTACAACATATACTAGTTTTTAAACCGTTGAAATACCCATTAAAAGCTACATATGTAAAGCAATCTCTATTAAGCAATGAGACCTTGTTGAGCTCTTCTTCGGTCTCTTTCTTCAGTAATAGATAACTTAATACCTTTACCTTTTGGCAATGAAACCCATGGTTTACCGTGTTCTTCACCGATAACGAAAACGTTATTCAATCTGGTAACGAAGGTGTTTTCCAAAGCATCTTTAATGTGAACCAAATCGAAACCTCCTTCGTGTTTTTCTCTGTGTACAATGACACCAATTCTTCCCAAGTTTCTACCACCAGTAACCATAACCAATTTACCAGTGTCAAATTTCAAGAAGTCGGTGATTTTACCAGTAGCCAAATCAATCTTGACTGAGTCGTTAACCTTGATCAATGGATCTGGGTATCTAATGGTTCTACCATCGTGGGTGACAACGTATGGGATTCCCTTCTTACCCAATTGGACTCTCTTGACTTTACCCAATTTGTAAGTGGCTTCTTCAGCTGAGATTCTGTGGACAGCAAATCTACCTTTGACATCGTAAATCAATCTAAAGTTTTCATTAGTGGCTTCCAAAGTAATGACATCCATGAAACCAGCAGGGAATGTAGCGTCAGTTCTAACCTTACCATCAACTTGAACGTGTTGTTGCATCAAAATGGCTTTAACTTCTCTACCATTCAAAGCATACTTCAATCTGTTTCTTAAAAAGACAATCAATGGTAATGATTCTCTCAACTTGTGTGGACCGGGTGATGATTTTGGAGCATAGGTTCCGGACAATTTGTCCAACATCCAGTGGGATGGAGCTGCTAATCTTTTTAAATGTTTCTTTCTAAAAAAAAAAACAAAGTTAGTATACAACGGACACTTCATAAAGTGAAGAATGAAGAGGTAAAAAGTTACACAGACAAGGCTCCCTTAAAATTCCTAAATCAAATTTTTTTCAATTTGACTGGCACTGCCATGATGATTTTCAAAATCCTCATGGGCTTACTTTCTTCATTCTCCAAATTTCAAAGTCTCATTTTACTGAAACTGATTTGGAAGAATACATACGGGCCTCTTGCCATATTGTGTGTGAATGGATTATCTAATGAAGAGAAGATTGAGTAGAAAAAGGTGAAAAATTTTTCGTTCTCGAAACTTTTTCCTTGTGTGAAAGTTGAAGAATTTAATGTCGCTACCGGGTATATACCCGGTAGCGATGAAGGCTTGCAACAAGGTAAGATCTAAATAGTATGTTGAAGAGCTACTACCATAACGATTCAGTGTCAAGATTTAGGTATATAACTGCTCATTCATATTCTCAATATACTAGAGCAGAGTTACGATAAGTTTCGCAAAGACGTTGCGATAGCAGACAACTAGACCTAGACCTTTGCTATGAAACAGATGCGACGTCATCAAAATCAAGTTGGGTGTGCTCGTGGTAAGTGTCATGTTTCGTAGTGTGAAAAGAAACTCCTTTTTATGTAAATCTTGGAGAGATTTTATAACACTCCCTTTAGTGCTATCTGCAAAATTAAAAGAGTGTGCTTTCTACAGCATGTGAGTGAGACAATTGCCTTTTGTAATAAAGCAGTTTGTTATAAAAAAGACCATCAAAGCCCCGTGATGCTTTTATTTTTCTTTTGAACTCCAAGGGTTGTTTATGCTAAAGCTTACAATAAATAAAGGATGTAAATTTGGTATATTCAATTCGGCCTTTACAGTTGCGCGCACATGACCCCCAAGTTTAATCTTCGTTGTTTTTGTTGTTTATCAAAATTTCTGCATGCCATCAAAAAGGATTGTTTTCTCTAATTTAATTTTTTTTTTGCCTTCTGCATTGCTTTTAACCAAAAACATTCAGTTTTGATTACATACAAACACCAATCCAAGTACAATGTTTAAAAAATTACAAGGGGGATTATCCGTTTTAGGGTTTGAAGAACCTTACTACGGAGAATCCGCAATCCATCCAGTGACAACCCGCGTGGATAAAAAGTCAGGTTCAGTCCACCGTTCAACTGAAGCCACAGATTTCAATTGGCAATCACCTCCATACACCAATGTCGAGACGCAAACGTTTTACTTTACCGACTTGGCATCAGGAAATGTTGGGTTTGCCCAAATCATTCATTCAAATGTTATGGGTGTTCACACAACTGCTCAATTCACTTTCCGTCTTTACAATATTAATGATTCCTCAAAGAATATTTGGACAAGTACCAAGTTGGAGAATTTCAAGATTGTTGATGGATTCAATTTCGAAGCTGACAATTTGAAATTTGAAATGATTGATGGTAAGAAATACAAGTTGAGATCGTTTGTTTGTAATGAGTCGATTGTTGAATTGGAAGTTGAAAGATTGACTGATGGTGTTATTTTTGGTGATGATGGAATGACTTTTTATGGTGAAGATATCAAACAACCTTGGGGTTCAATGAGACATGTGTTTTGGCCTAGATGCACCGTCAATGGCCGTATTTTGACAAAGAAGTTGGGTGAAGTTACAATCACCAATGGATATACAATGTTTGTCATGGCTTTGCAAGGTATGAAGCCCCACCATGCTGCTAAATCTTGGAATTTCATGAATTTCCAAAGTAGTAACTATGCTGCTGTTCAAATGGAGTTTACCACACCCAAATCGTATGCTAATACTAAAGTCAATATCGGACTCGTCACTGATAATGAAAAAATTCTATTTGCCACTATTGATAATGAAGTTATTCATTTGAGTCCTGAGGTTGATTCAGTTGGATGGCCCGTTCCCAAAAGTATTGAGTTCAATTATGTCGATCCATTAAATGGAAACACCATTGCTAAAGTTACCGGTCCTTTGAAAAACCTTATTGAACGTATTGATGTTATGGCTGAAATACCCCAATTTGTGAAAAATATTGTTAGTGGTGTTGCTGGTGCCAAGCCATACATTTACCAATACAGTAATGAGTTTGAAATTGAAATATTGGATAAGGAAAAAGATCCAAAGGGTGGAAAAGAAAAGGGAATTGGGTTTACTGAGGTTACGTTTATCTCAGAGTAAAGAGAGGTGCTAGGATTTAGATCGAATTTTGAGGTTAATTGTTAATTTGTTCTACCCTAAGTCAAACTCGTACAAAGTATAAACTATTCTCTAACTCTACCCTACTCTAATTTTAACTCTAGGTCTTTGTGGTGGTGAATCTTCTAATCAAGTTGAAAACACCACCAATGGAGTTCCAAATACTAAAGAAACCACCAGGACCACCAACGGGAACATTTCCCCTTCTACCAAACCAAACATTACCATTGTAACTTTGTTGAGCAGCAGCAAGCAATTTATCCTTACCATCGGTAAATGGTGGATATCTCGACATCATCATCTTTTCAGTCGACAATTTCGTTTCTATAGTGGTTCTTTCATGTGTAAAATACCTAAACGAAAATTTTCCATGATAAGCTCCGTAACCCGATTCACCAATACCTCCAAATGGCGCATTAGATAATCCAACATGCATGATTACATCATTGACAATCAATCCACCTGATCTTACACTGGTGATGATTTGTTGCAATTGGCGGTTCTTCTTGGGTGAAGTTGAACCACTAGTAAATACATACTCAGCCAATGGAGTATCGTGTTGTCTAACAATCTCTTTGATGGCGTCGGATAAGTTGTCGTAAACAATAACAGGCAAAACAGGACCAAAAATCTCTTGCTGCATTGATGAGTCGGACCAAGTAGCATTATCAATAACAGTAGGTGGAATGAATCTAGTTTCTGAATCAGCTTGGTTCAATCCTCCAACAACTATATCTCCCTTGGTGTTGGCAATCATCTTGGTGAGGTTTCCATAAGCACGATCATGGATGATATGAGTCCAATCCTTGTTGGTTTTATCCAAGTTGGGGTAAAAATCTTCCTCCAAAATCTTCTTGATTGCAGCAATGAATTTGGAATGTAATTTTTGAGGCACCAAAACGTAATCAACGGCAACACAAGTTTGCCCGGCATTGGTGAATCTACCCCAGGCAATTCTTCTTGCCACAGTGGCAATGTCCGAATCGGTAACATCATCCAAAATAACACCAGGAGACTTGCCTCCCAATTCCAAAATACAAGGAGTCAAATTCTCGGCAGCCTTTTTGGCAATAATTCTACCAACAGTACCGTTACCAGTGTAGATAATTTTGTCATACTTTTGATTCAACACTTCAGTAGTTTCGGGAATACCACCATTGATGGCTACAAAAGTGTCTGGGTCCAAAACTTTGGTAAATATTTCGGAAAACAAATTAGAGAAGTTAGGAGTCAATTCCGATTGCTTCAATACAACGTGGTTTCCCGCAGCAATAGCACCAACAACAGCAGCAAAAGTCAATACAAAGGGGTAATTAAAGGGAGTAATAACAAGAACAACACCCAATGGAATTCTCTCGATATAAACTGGATTCAATTGCATGGAAAGAGGTAAACCAGTCACCTGTTCTGGTTTCATCCATTCATGTAAATGAGCCATAGTATGAACCAATTCATTCAATCCGGTTTCAATTTCCAACACTTTTGATTCAAATGGAGCACGATAAAAATCTTTTTCCAAAGCTTCAACCAATGCATCTTGATTATCCTTGACAGCAAAGTAAAGGTTTCTCAATTGGTTCAATCTAAATTGGATATCATGAGACTTTTGATTCAGAAAGAATGAATCGGTGACTTTTTTCACCTTGGGAGCAATTTGATCAATTGGGGTGTACCATGAATTGGATGTAATTTTATCAATTTCAGCATATGATTCTTCAATTTTGTATGACGATGCGTTAGAGATGGTAGACGTGGCTGGAGTCATTGTAGTTTAAGATATCGTAAAGTCTTGTGTGCGTATACTATACAACTGTTTGGAGTGGCAAATCAAATAAAAAAATTACAGATAACTTTTGTTGGGGAAGTACTTATATAAAATAACCTTTGTTCAGGGGGGAAAGATTGGTATAAAGAAAAAATATCACAAGGGATCATCATATTGTGTAACTCGTATAACAGCAAATATTTGAATCTAGTTGTGCGCGGGGATAAGCAGAAAGATTTGACGGGTCGTGTACTTTTGACACACACACACACACACACTTGCGGATAAAAACAACAAAACTAAATCTGTTTATCCGTCCACCGATATCTTCTTCCTACCCGAGAATACTCGGTGTACTTGCTCATTTAGGGGATTACCCGATATCAATGTTTATCAAGTTTATGTGACTTTTTGGCAAGTAGTCTCTTTACCCCGATTTGTATTTAATTTGGTACGCTAAAATAAGCTCACTACCAATTACGCAAGAACTTCTATAAAATATAAGGGGTTTATATTTGTCGATAATTTAACGACGCAGAATATCAAGCAAATGCAGTAATGAGACTGTTGCTGGCACTTCTCAAAAAAAAGCTCCTCTTTTCACTATCGATGGGTTAGAACATGCTTGTGACTGTGTCACTAGCGGGTTTTTCATTTCGATTCTCACCAATATAGTTTAGTCAATCTCGCCCACATACAAAATTGTGTTATAAAGTCATTTATCGTTAGACCTCAACTTAGGTGCAGACTTAAAGAAGGGACAAGATCCATCTCAATAGACCTCTGAAACCTTTGATAGTTTACTATCCTGGGCCTAATCACGTAGTTTCTCACGAACTTCATTGTGTGGTCACGGTTAAGCCTGGAAAAAGGAAAGTCAAAGAAGGCAAAGAAAAAAAAAAATAAGAGGAAAAAGGAAAAAAGAAACTGACAATATTTCGAGTGGCTCTAATCATCAAATCACCCGACAGCATAGCATTCCAACCGAAACAAAACCATTCGATTCGTCTCATACTTTTAAATCGAAAGTCACTTGGAAACTTCTACTGTGATTTGTGTCAAGCTATTTAGACTGGGGCTCAGTACACACCCACCCATTATTTAGTAATCATCACACGCACTATAAACAACCATGACGTCAAAACACGAAGAAGAGGATGTCAGCACAACGGTTAAGCTACACTTGACACGAGATGAGCCCAATGTCAATTACTTGCACCAACCAGTTCCCAAAAAACCTTCACAACTACAAGAAAGTGATTTAGTCAATAACAAAGACTCGAAGTCAAAGTCTATGCACCACCACAACAACAGTCACCATTCACTGGCATCTACCTCCAGTAAGAAACTCCCATCTTTAGTGGTTAAACAGGATCCAAATTTGAAATCATGCTTATCTCAAACATCATCCAAGGCTGATCAATCATTGCCACCTCCTCCACAAATTCCAACCACACAACAACTGGACACTACACCTAATCAAAATCAACATCCCCAGTTTGTTTCAACTGACGACATTAGTCCTAACCAGCATGGACTAGCACCAGGCTCGCAAATTGAAGAATACACACCGATTGGATTCAACTCTACTCCACTCATTTCATCTCAAGGCAGTGTAACATCTAGTTTGGTTTCACCACCGCCTTCAACAAAGCCAGCTATGTCGCCACCAATATTCTCATCACAGTATAGTAGCCTGCAGTTGCTGCAACAACAGCAACAACAACAACAACAACAAACACAGCAACAGCATCATCTCCATCCACCACCACCACCACCATCAGCAGCAGCCACATCAGCAACAACACAGCAACAACCCCAGCCTGGAGTGTCGCGAATGAATTCACTAACGTACTCTCTGATTGACGATAAAAAATTTATCGAATCCACACGACAATCAGCCAATACATCTGTAACGGAACTTAAACTGCATGATGAGGATGCAATTACTTCGTCTGATGACAGCAAATTGCATTTGCTAATAGGTATCACTGGGTGCATTTCGATCCACAAGAATATCATTCTTATAATTGAAAAACTATTTGAATTATACACTCATGAAAAGCTTGAGATTCAGGTACTTTTAACCAAATCAGCAGAGTACATTTTACTGGAAAAGTTACACAAATTTGAAGAATTGGGGGTGAAGGTGTGGTTTAGTGATGATGGTGAAAAGTATTTTCTTACATCTCCGTTTCAAAAAGTTTACTCCAAGGCTGTTGCTCTGGGACAATTGCCATTGAGGAAGCAAGTGGGATCACATGTTTTCCAACAGTATAATTTATCGTATGACTTGCAAAGATGGACCGATGTTTTGTTGTTGGCGCCATTGAGTGCAAATACCATGGCCAAATTGATTAATGGTTTGGCTGATAACTTGTTGACCGAATTGTTGCATGTATGGCCCATGCCACAAATTCACCACATATCAGAACAACTGCGACTTTCGTCACCGCCACCAACAACCGCAACAACTAACCCCACCCCCACCACCTCAGCCACCTCCGCCACCTCCGCCACTGCTACCGCTGCCACCACGCAGCAAGAATTGAAAAAGGACACAACTATCATGTCAAACAACTTGATTGCTCCCAAACCCATAGTTGCTGCATTGGCATTGACAAATTCAATGTATTCACATCCTATAACTAAAAGACAGTTGAGTTTGTTACAAGAGACTTACCCAAATATGACTATTTTGAAACCAGTTGAAAAATGTGTTGATATGGATGGTAATATTGCGATGGGTGGCATGAGATCATGGCGAGAAGTTGTTGATTTCGTATCGAAAAAGTTGGGTCCACCACCTCAAGAGGATGAAGATGACAAAGATGAAGACGGGGGAGAAGATGATGTGAATGATGATAATGATGATGATGAAGGCGAAAACGAGGATGAAGACGAGGATGAAGATGACGACGAAGATGACGACGAAGATGACGACGAAGATGACGACGAAGATGACGATGAAGATCGCAAGAAAAAAGTCAATCTGGTCAATCCAGTTAAAGCCATACCAAATCCTAAACCAATCCAGTTAAAGTCTCTCCCCAAGACTCTGTCTTCAGATGCCCCACCTACATTGGTAAAAGTAGTTACAGCTCCATCGCAATCAAGATCAAGTGAAAATGTGACTACAAGTGACAACAAATCAAGTGAGAGGAAAAGAGGCAACACCATCACGCGAAGAGAGTTGGCTGAGCATGAAAGATTGGCGTCACAGAATGCCTTGTTGAATACAGGTATTGGTAAAGTGGGGTTGTCATAGGTTACATAGAATTGTTTTTCAATACTGAAAGATGTGTATGAATAGTATATCTTCTTTTGCGTTGTTGTAAGTTACAAAAGGTTTAATCAAGTAATGTGTGACACGCATACAACTATTCATTTCTTTAGTTAAATGTGTTAAATGTCGCAAAAGACGTGAATGTCGTGAAATTGGAATACACGACGCTGACAAAAGCTTATAATCTTTGTGTTTGCTATTCCAAATTAGAATAATTATAGTCACAGGTACACGCTAAAAGAAGAAAAGGGGGTGCAATCACAATCACCATTTTTGCTGAACAGGGGGTGTAAAAAACAAAAAAAAAAACAGAAAGCATAAAATTCCGCTCCATTTTTTTATTCTTTTTTTTTTTTTTAACCAGCAAAATGGCATCACCCCTTGTGTATAATCGCAATCGAAGCAACATTTTGAAAGAAAGATCACACTTATGTGTAGAGATATTTCGGTGTACCATATATGTAGCTATATAGACAGCAAAGTTGTGTTACTGTAGAGCTAGGAAGTGGAATGGTGCATGTGGGCAATATACATTTTGGTGTCTCTTTTAGGGTACTTTTGATTTGTTTTGGGTTTGAGCCTGGTTTTTGATATTTTGAAATATTTGGTGATAATTTTTATTTATTACACAAAAGACAAAACCAAACTACTAAACAACAACGAGAATTTTTTCTCTTTAATTTCCACGCACGAACAAAACCAACGAACGAGAACAAAAGCCAAAACCTGCTGAGAGAAAGGGAAGAAAAAAAAAAAACTTTCAACGTCACAACATACTATTCAACCCCAGTGACGGCACCAACAAAGAAGCTAGACTTGTCAAAGACACACACACACACACACCCTATTACACTTTCCACATTGAAATCATAGACATTCATTTTTGCTTTCCTCATAATATATGTCTGTGTACAATCAAAGAACCCATCAAACTCGTCTTAACGAGTTGTTGGATGCTATCAAGACAGAGTTTGACTATGCATTAAATGAAGCAACTAGTTTCAAGAAAATCGAAGATGAGTACCATTTGAAATACTCTCAACAAAACACTGAATTGCAACAGATTAGACAAACTGTTTATGAGTTGGAAATGGCTCATAGAAAAATTAAGGAAGCTTACGAAGAAGAGATTTTGAGATTGAAAACTGAATTGGAAAATAGGGATAGACAGATGAAGAATGGATATCAGCAACAGCAACAACAGCAACAACAACAACAAGCACCTCCTCCACAACAGGTGCCTCCGCCACAACCCCAGCCTGTACAACAACCACCTCAGCCACAACCAGTTCAACAACAGCAACAACAACCACTTCAACAACAACCACTTCAACAACAACCACCTGCACCTGTTCCACCACAACAACAGCCACCACCAGTGCAACAGGTTCCACCACCAGTTTCATCACAACAAGCAATTCCAACCCAGGCTTCCCCTGCAGCACCTGCAGCAACAGCACCTGCTTCTACTAGTAATGCATTGACAATCATTGACAAGTCTCAATACATTGTTAATCCAGCTCAAAAAGCAGCTCATGTTAAAGAAATACCTCCATTTTTGCAAGATTTGGATGTAGCTAAAGCTAATCCTGATTTCAAGAAGCAAAATCTTGACTATTACGTCTTGTATAATCCTGCATTTGCTCGTGATTTGGATGTTGATTTAATCCATTCATTGGACCATTCATCAGTTGTATGTTGCGTTCGTTTTTCCAAAGATGGTAAATTCATTGCCACTGGGTGTAATAAGACAACACAAGTTTTCAATGTTGAGACTGGCGAATTAGTGGCTAAATTGATTGATGATTCATCCAATTCGGAAACTAAAGAAGAAGATACTCCATCATCTAACGGTGATTTATACATTAGATCGGTGTGTTTTTCACCTGATGGTAAATTGTTGGCTACTGGTGCTGAAGATCGTTTGATTAGAATTTGGGATTTAACTACAAAGAGAATTATTAAAGTATTGAGGGGTCATGAACAGGACATCTACTCGTTGGATTTCTTCCCTGACGGAGATAGATTAGTTTCTGGATCCGGTGATAGATCAGTTAGAATCTGGAGTTTGAGATCTGGTCAATGCTCATTGACTTTGAGTATTGAAGATGGTGTCACTACTGTTGCTGTTTCACCAGATGGTAAATTAATTGCTGCTGGATCTTTAGATCGCACAGTCCGTGTTTGGGATTCGACAACTGGATTCCTTGTTGAGAGATTGGATTCAGGTAATGATAATGGAAACGGACATGAAGATTCAGTTTATTCAGTAGCTTTCTCAAACACTGGTAATCAAATTGCTTCAGGGTCATTGGATAGAACTGTTAAGTTATGGAATTTGGATGGCAAACTGGATAAAAATTCAAGTTGTGAAGCCACTTATATTGGCCACAAGGATTTCGTCTTGTCAGTTTGTTGCACGCCAAATAATGAATATATACTTTCCGGTTCCAAAGATCGTGGTGTTATATTTTGGGATCAAGCCTCGGCTAATCCATTGTTGATGTTGCAGGGACATAGAAATTCAGTGATTTCAGTTGCTGTCTCATCGAATTTACTGGCCACTGAAGGTATTTTTGCTACTGGATCGGGTGATTGTAAAGCCAGAATTTGGAAGTGGACAAGAAAGGTTTAAGAGGAAGGAGAGAGCAGTTGCAGATGGATTTAAAATGATGTTATATGAGGGAAGAGGAGAAGAGACAAATTTCAAAATTTGTTTTCTTGGATAAAAGATGGAACGTATTAGTTTTGTATTAGTAGTAATATAAGTTTATATTCATACAGACCAGCTCGTATAAATTTTGTACGAGAAAATGTGTTGGAAAATTTATTTCATCGCGTCATCTGGCAGTCAACATATCTCATTAACGTATCCAATTGTAAAACAGTCATGATCTATCAAGCATCAGTGACTGCTCCGGTCAACATTGCCGTATGTTACCTCCACAGCATCAACAACATTTCAAAGACTCATTTGTACTAACTTGCTTTCTTTTTCCATTAGACACTTAAATATTGGGGCAAACGGGACAAACACCTAAACTTACCCACCAACTCATCAATTTCTGTAACTTTATCACAAAATGATTTACGTACTTTAACTACGGCATCAACATCGCCTGATTTTACCAGTGACAAATTATGGCTCAATGGTAAGTTGGAATCCTTGGATACACCACGAACTCAAGCATGTCTCGCTGATTTACGACAATTGCGGGCCGAATTAGAAGCAAAAGATGACACCTTACCTCCAATGTCCACTTACAAACTACACATTGTTTCCGAAAATAATTTCCCCACTGCTGCCGGGTTAGCTTCTTCCGCGGCTGGATTCGCAGCATTGATTAGTGCCATTGCTAAATTATACCAGTTGCCTACCTCACCATCCGAATTGAGTAAAATTGCCCGTAAAGGGTCAGGATCAGCGTGCCGGTCTCTTTTTGGTGGGTTTGTTGCCTGGGAAATGGGCCAACATCCTAATGGATGCGATTCACAAGCGGTTGAAATTGCACCCTTGCAACATTGGCCAAGTTTGAAAGCGGCCATATTGGTGGTTTCTGATGATAAAAAGGATACACCAAGTACATCAGGGATGCAATTAACGGTGGCCACGTCGGAGTTGTTTCAATGGAGAGTGGATCATGTGGTCCCTGCGAGATTTGAAGCTATGAAACAAGCAATCTTGAATAAAGATTTTACCAAGTTTGCCCATTTAACAATGCAGGATTCAAATCAATTTCATGCTGTTTGTTTGGATTCTTATCCACCGATTTTCTATTTAAATGATACGAGTAAACGCATTATCAAATTGATTGAGAAATTGAATGCTGATGAGGCAAATAACGATGGGGATGTCATTGCTGCATATACTTTTGATGCAGGTCCAAATGCTGTTGTATATTATGATGAAGCTAATGAAGAAAAAGTGTTGCTGGCTTTGTATAGGCATTTTGGTCATGTTGATGGGTGGAATAAGAAATCCTATCAACAAGAGAAGGACCAACAATGGGTTGGTGTATCGAGAGTTATTTTGACTTCGATTGGGGAAGGTCCTCAAGTGACTTCTGAATCATTGATTAATGAAAAAGGGTTACCAAAGAGTACAGAGTGAGGGGGGGAAGAACCCAACATCGGTTATATATACTCGTCCTCGTGGTTGCAAAAGTTTATTTAATTTAGATTTATAGGTGATGTGATAAAAGTATGCATCTTTACGAATCTATAGACAGTAGCAAATAAAATAAGGCAACGTAGAATGATGAAGACTTAGCCTAGCTAATTGATTCCACCACTAAGCACTAGCTTCCTCCTCCTTTCCTAAATATAATCAATCAAATCCTTCAACAACTTGTCATCTCGCTCATTAAAATCGGTTTCCAAATACGCTTTAATATTCATCTTGTAATGACTCAAAACCAGTTGCAAATGATCAACTTGATTCAACTTCAACTTTAAATCTTGTTCCATCTTGGTGACATTTTCCTGTAGGGCCATTTGTGCTTGTTTCTTACGTTGACGACATTTGGAAGCGGCGATTCGATTACGTTCCAATAAACGCTCCTTTTTCCAAGCGGCTGTGCCCATTATGGGTCCGTTGTTTGGATTATAAATGACTTCGTTGTTGTAGATTAACAGGTGGTTCGGTGGGGGTAAGCCTGCAACTGGTGGTGAGAGGGAGTGCGATTGTTGTTGTTGTGGTTGTTGTTGTGATGGTGGTGCTGCTTGTGAGGCTGCTGCAGTAATTGGTGGTGCTGATTGTGCTCGTGGGGGTATGGATGGTACTTGATTATGTTGTGCGTGTTGTTGCGGTGGTATTTGTGCTTGTTGTTGGGGGTTATGATGTAATGGGTGCTGAGGCTGTGGATGTTGTGGTTGCGTTGTCAAAGGAGACTGTTGCAGTTGTTGCAGTTGTTGTTGCGGTAAACCTAGCTCTATTTGTCCAAGTAATTGATTAGAGCTATTTGCAGTTGCTGGTGCGATAGTATTAACTGATGTAGCAGGGATAGTACCAACAGAAGAATCATTATCACTTGCAGGAGTTATACTAGCAAATCCATGCTGGGCATCGCCAAGAAACCCAGCTTGTGGTTGCTGTAGCTGTTGCTGTTGCTGTTGTTGTTGTTGTGGTGGTACCTGCGACGGAGCTATCCCCAGTTGTTGTTGAGTAGGAGGAGTAGCCGATCTATTCAACTCATAATCATTAAATCGTTGCGTAAAATCATCATCCAAAGAACTAAATTCATCAGTGTCGAAAAACGCTTCATGATTCATAATTTGACCAATTTGACCATTAGATATAGAGATTCTTCTTCTTCTGGGTACACCATCTATCGAGTAGGGCAACATAAAAGTAGAATCAAAAATGGGTGGGTTAGTTATTGGATACGAATTGAAATCAAATGGATTGTGAGGTGGTAAATTCAAATATGAATGGTTGAAACTCTTTTGTTGTTGAGATTGTTGCTGTTGTAGTGGTGGTCTCTGTTGTTCAGATGCTTGTTTCTTGGTGGGTTGTGGTTGTTGCTGTCGTTGTTCCTGTTTGATATCCATAGCATCATCTTGTATAGTTTGTGAACTGCTATGATGGTGATGATGATGAAGTGCTTGTGCTTGTCGCTGCTGTTGCTGTTGAATCTGTTGCTGCTGCTGTTGTTGTAACTGCTGAACCTGTTGCTGAGCTTGCTGTTGAGCTTGCTGTTGCTGTTGGTACCTAGCATTTATAGCCTGCGCCTGCGCTTGTTGAAATTGTTGATGTTGAAGCTGTTGAGGGTTTTGACCTGGGTTCAAATTGAAAGTGGAAGAAGACATGCCAGACGCCACTTCTGTACCAGAAATCTCGGGGAATGGTACCGGCACTTGATGCTGTTGGGTCTGCTGTTGTAGCTGTTGCTGTTGTGGTGGTGGTGGTTGTTGTGTTGGTGGTATAACACCATCTTGTGCTAATCTTGGAGCGTGGGGGTCAAATGCCATGGTATAATTATTTGTCAGCATTTAGGGGATGAAGTATGATGACAATATTTTTGGTGAAAAGTTGAAAATGTGACTACGGCGATGATTTTGTACAGTATGTGGTATGGTGCAGTATAGTGGTAATTGTTTCAGTATAAGTCTCTATATGTGTGTGGTTGTACAACGTGTGTAATTAAATACAACGTAAGCTTTTGGTAATTACAATTTTTGTGGTGTGTTTCTTTTGTTCTTCGTTCCTTGATTAAAGAGAGAAGGAGAAAAAATTTTGCAACGTTACTTCTTCTTCGGTAACTCAGGTTAAAATTTAGTTTGTGCTGTTGTCCAATAGAGTGAAAAGATGGCGAGTGAGTGAGTGAGTGGGTGGGTGGTGGTGTTGTTATCTCCTGATGTGGGCTGTAAGAATAAAATCAGTTGTTGTACTATTTCTAGTGACGTGTGTCTGAGTAATTGTATTAGTCAATTCTTTGTCTTCCTTCTTCTTCTTGTTCTTGTTCTTCTTCTCTCCTATTTAATTGTCTTACTTTTGTGTGTCTAATTTATGCATCTATATATATGTGTGTGGCTTATTTATTCATTCACAGTTAATATAATACTACACTTATAATACATCAACTCAATATGATTTGACTAACCAAAAAGGTTTGTGAACATTGCTTATCAAATGCAGTGGAAGAGAAGCAAATAGCAATTACAATGTGAGTAGAACCCAAGAAGAAGGTGATTGTCTATTGGCTATGGTAATTGTGCGTGTACTCATAACTAAAAAGTTTAAAACGAAATAATGTTGTCTTTGTGTTCAATATAAAGAAACCTTACGATTATCAAACACAGCAACTACTCTATACACTCTATACTTCTCATTTATCATCATGTGTTTGATATACACGTGCATACTTACTCTTGACAAGCATTTCCTGTCGATGATGTAATTGCTGGCCACATCAAATAAAATAAACATACTCAACAACTGTAATTGGCAAGGTCATTATGGTTCTATCTAACCATAACTACCCCATGAGGATCACTTTCAAAATTATAAAATCAGAGAATAATGCACTCTTTGCTCTTCTCTATTCATACCCCCCCCCTCTTTCTATTACATTTGTACTGGTTTTCAAACACTCATATCGTATATCAAAAACTTCGTAAAATGTAACCATGTTTTTAACACCTATTGCATACATACACCCGTACACGCACACACACACACATACACGCACCTAATCATGTCTCATGTCTTAGAACCTAACCTTCCCTAATTAAATAGATTGTGTTATACGTTTACGAGAGAGCCCATGTATCATTACTAATCCTGTAAAAGTATGTGTGGTCTCAAACTTGTTAGTTCGAAATTTGAAGCACCAAGGAAAGTCGTCTTACGTTAAAGACACGAATGTGCCCTAGAATTGACCATCAACAATAACTTATCAAACCTGGCATTAAGGAAGAAAACTGTTATCCTTCTTCTTTGAAAATCTACTTACCATCTTCCACGATGCTTCTCCATAAAAAGGTGTCAAAATTTTTGAAGAAAAATTGTTTGCAACCAATAGTGTTGTCAATGATCAACTTTGCAATAGCACTTGCATTAGTCATACTTCGAACCAAAAGAGAAACGAGATGCAGTGTGGATGGTAAGCTAATCCACAACCCGCACTGACATGAGAAAATGCAACTAACTTTGACCCTTCTTCTTTCTACCTAGAAATTATTAATACACTTCAAGGTTCAATTGATCCCAAGATTGAAGATTTACTCAAACAGATGGGTGTTGACTACTACACTTATCATGTGGGTAACCTAACGAGAACCAATACGCCAGTCTACATGGAAATAATCAAATATTTTCTATCAATAAAAACGTCTAAATTTCATGATCGATTGGTACGCAAGTTTCTATATCGTTTGAAACATCGCAAGCTTAGCAAACCACTTCAATCAAGCATCAACCAATGTTTGGAGATCATAGATACCACATCAAATAACAACGCGCATCTAGCTTATTTTTACCACTTTTTGTTGACTTGCCCTCCTAAACAATTGATTCCTTATTGTCTATCCAACATCTATAACTTGTTGGACAAGCAATCATTTGTGAACAAAACTGTACAAGGAATAATCACCTCACACAAATTCGCCCCATTAAAATTAAATATCCATCATCACAAACGTAAATTCATCATCTTCTTTATCTCCATCTTGTTGCATCACAAACACTCATCAAAGATATTTAAAGCATTGTTGATAATGTGCAACGACCCCTTCATTTCACATATTTCCATGAATTCTTGTTAAACACATAGTTGGCTCCACTGAGCAACGTAGTGGCACCCACAAGCAACCCCAAACCCTCGAATGCAACATCACCAATAACACTTTCCAAAAGTGGCTTATATACTAAACTTCCAATATAAAGCATTTGCAAAGCGGTGTTTAATTTCCCCAAAAAGTTTGGATGAACACTTATGGTTGGGTATTGACCAATACTAACAAACTTGTTTAATGTCCTTGGTGGCGCTAAACTCTGGAATCTGTAATAAAATGACATGAAACTAAGCATAACATCTCGCCCAATTATGATAGATGCAAGAACAGGTGGGATTGAATGAACATAAGCTAATGATAATGTACACACAGTCATGAGAAATTTATCCGCCAAAGGATCAACTATTGATCCCACAACTGACTTCATATTGAATCTTCTCGCTATATAGCCGTCAATAAAATCAGTAACGCAAGAATAAGTGAATAGCAGTAGAGCCGTAATGGGGCTCCCATAAATGATGTGGTATCCGATAAAAGGGGTAGCAATAATTCTGGTGTATGTTAATACATTCGGTACTGTCCATACTGATGGATCAAATAATGATTTGGATGATAGTTTGGTTGGTTTGGTGGAGTTAAAGCGAAGACTCTTGAGTGGTGATACAGATGTGAATCTTGGTATGCATACTGAGCGTAGCTTGAATAAATTGGGAGTGAGGGATCTTCTGACTAATGGGTGGATGAGCATAGCTGAGGGATCAGTAGGGGTCCAAATGAACTGAGAATTTGAGTTTGGTTCGGTTTGGCTTGGTTTGGCTTGGTTTGGTTTTTTCTTTTTTTTTCAACAATTTCATATCGCAATTGATGAAAACGCGGTTTGTGAGTATTGCTCAATGGCAATTACAATCGCAAACCGAGCGACCTGCACGATGGAAGGACTGGTTCATTTGTAGAGGGAGCGTCGTAAAGAGAACAAATAAGTACAGAGTTGGTTTGTTGAATGTATGGTGTTATATACGTCTTAGTATCCACCTGCATATTATTATCAATACAAACCTTAAAATCTTTTTATTCTTTTTTTTTTTTTCCTTCTTGAATCTTCTACAAAACTCATCAATTCATTTTGGATCCACCATGTCATTGAAATTACCACAAGCACCCAATTCGGGTTTATTCAAGAAGGGTTACTCTTCCTACTCCAATGAAGATGGAGCAATAACAAGAAACGTGGAAGCAGTACGCGAAATTGCCTCAATTCTACAAACCTCAATGGGTCCTAGTGGGAGAAACAAAATCATTGTCAATAAACTTGGGAAAAAATTCATCACCAACGATGCTGCCACTATGATCAATGAATTGGAGATTGTCCACCCTGTAGTCAAGATTCTAATCATGGCTTCCAAGCAACAAGAATTTGAAATGGGTGATAATACCAATCTTGTCATAATATTGGCAGGTGAGTTTCTCAATGTTGCTGAAAAGTTGTTGAGTTTGGGGTTGAATGTGTCTGAAATCATTCAAGGCTTTAACTTGGCTAACAAATTTGTTATGGAAACATTGGATAAATTAGTTGTTGATAAAATTGCATCATTTGAAACTGATTTGATCAAGGCTGTTAAACCAGTGATCTCGGCAAAGCAATATGGAGTTGAAGATATAATTTCCAAATTGGTTGTCAAGGCGGTACAATCAGTGGTTAACCCCAAAAATCCAGCTAGTTTTAATGTGGATGGTATTCGCGTGGTTAAAATTATGGGATCTAGTTTATCACAATCAGAAGTTGTTAAAGGTATGGTTTTCCCTAGAGAGCCAGAAGGTTCAGTTAAAAACGTCACCAAATCAAAAGTTGCTGTATTCACGAGTCCAATTGACATATCAACTACTGAGACAAAGGGCACGGTATTATTGCACAATGCACAAGAAATGCTTGATTTTACAAAAGGCGAAGAGCAACAGTTGGATCAAATGTGTAAAGAGATCAATGATTCTGGTGCAAAAGTTGTTGTTGCTGGGTCCAATGTTGGTGAATTGGCCTTGCACTATTTGAACAAGTATGGAATTTTGGTTTTACGTGTTCCCTCGAAGTTCGATTTACGTAGAATTTGTCAAGTTTGTGGAGCTACACCATTGCCTAGATTAGGTGCACCAACACCGGATGAAATGGGTGAAATTGATGTTATTGAAACTAAGGAGATTGGTGGTGATAGAGTAACGATATTTAGACAAGACGAATCGAGTTCAAGAACTGCGACAATTGTCATTAGAGGTGCTACGCAGAATAATTTGGATGATGTTGAAAGAGCCATCGATGATGGTGTTAGTTCAATCAAAGGGTTGTTGAAAGATAACAGACTATTACCAGGTGCAGGTGCAATTGAAATTGAGTTGTCAAAGCGTATCACTCAATATGGAGAAACCACTCCTGGGTTAAACCAATTGGCAATCAAGTCGTTTGCTAAAGCATTTGAAGTTGTGCCTCGAGTACTTGCTGAAACTTCAGGGTTTGATTCAACTGAAGTGATTAGTAAAATGTACGCCGCTCATGCTGATGACAAAGATACTGATGGTTTAAGGCAAGGTTTGAATATTGATACGGGCGATGTTGAAGATACTGGGGTTTTGGATGTGTTGGCAACGAAAAAATCGGCAATTGATTTAGCAGTTGAAGCTACTAATACCATCTTGTCTATCGATCAAATCATAATGGCCAAGAGAGCTGGTGGTCCAGTTATGCCACAACAACCAAGACCAGGAAATTGGGATCAAGATGATTAGATGATGCACAATCTACATTGTTCCAATAGGGTGGGCTTCATAATTGTTAACTTCTTTTTTTCTATATACTTTTTCCGCCTGCAATGAAACGAACAATTTTGCTAAAATCTTTTTCACCATCAGTTTCGACACCACCACTTACATCAAATCCCAATATATTGTTTATATCTTTAGTATCACGAATATTTTCTGGTGTTAATCCACCGGCCAAGATTGCTCTCGTAAAGTACAAATTGTCACTAATGTATTCCCAATCAATAACCTTGCCCTCTCCACCCTGAGCTGAATCAAGTAACGGTAAACTCAAAGCCCCACGTTGAATCAACACTTCACCATCATTTCGCAACTGTTGTGTATCTTGAGGCACAACGTATCGCAAAATCCACCCAAATTCATCATCATCATCTGCGACAAAGTCGAGCTTGGGTTCTGATCCATGCAATTGAATAAAATCTAGTCCAATTTCACGAGCAATGCTCACCACTTCATGACGGGATTGATTTTGGAAAACACCCACTAAGAAAGGTCCATTATCAAGCACCAACTGCGATACGTAGTTGAAGTAATCTACTGGTGATGCAAAATCTTTGCGCTTGTTATGTAGATGACATTTCATTTGTTGAATCGATTGTGGACGTTTATGTTTTATGAATTGGGCAATTTGTTTGGCAATTGCAATATCGATTGTACGTGATTTATTGGGGACTAGAATACATCCTACGAGATCTGCTCCGTTGAGGACTGCTGTTTCTGCTGCTTCAAGAGTTTTCACGCCGCAAATCTTGACGAGTTTCATTTTTTGGTCGCGAAAAAGGGGGGGGGGGAGATTGTGTTTGGTTGTTGATGATGTATTTCTCTGTCGATGATATCCATCGTTTATTTTTTGTTTTTCAGTCAGAGATAGTTGCAAATTACACAGGATAAGTTTAAAATAGAACATCATCTTATCATACACACCTCTTATATCCCACCTCAACGTTCTTCTTTTCTAAACAATTTGCCAAAATTGCTTCTAAAGTTTTCATTAAATTTACTCACGTGCGTTTCACCTGTTAATGCCAACTCTCTAATATTTTTTTCAAATTGATTCATTCGAGGAAGTAACTTGGGTGATTTTATATCAGGTGAGGATAGCTTCCCAGAACTATATCCATTGTTGTTATTGTTCCCGGTGGAGCGATTAGCTGCTGAGAATGGACCAGGGGTTGTTGCACTCACTGGAGTTGATGATGCTGACAAGTTATCCAAGTCATCCTCTAAATTAGTCAACAATTGATTATTATGATGTGATGTAGTATTTGCGTCACCATTTTCGTCATCATTGTCAATCGATAATTGTAACTTGTAGTTTTCAATGTACTTATACTGTTTTGATTTTTCGATCTTGGCCAAATTTAAAATTTTGGTAAAGTTAGCAATTGATTTACCACCAATTAACTCAAAATACAGTTCAATGAAATTTTCCACTGGCATATTTTGGGGAACCATCAATATTTTCAATATTGATTCTAATTCATGGAAATGAGAATTGACAAATTTGGTGTATGATTTAGTTGTTTCCTTTTGTGCCAAACGAGGGAAATTCAAACAAACATCCTTGAGTGTTATAACATCAAGTAACAATTGTTCCAACCCATTCGTTGTCAATGGTTTAATAAATTTCAAATTGTTGGCGATTGTAGTCACAAGTAACTCCACCAATTTATCATTGAAATTGCGTACATAACTATCACGAATAATCAAGGGCAAAATCAATTTCAAGTTATCTTGAGTAATTTTTTTAATATCAATCATGTATGAAGAGACATCGTTGACTGAATCCAATTCTTGCCAATTGATGTTGAAGAATTCTCGCCAACATGGTTTATAATCATTAGTCATCTTCACCAAGAGGGCTGAAATGCTCTTGTTTACAAGTTGAAGGAAAACATCGCTGTTTAATGTAGGTAGTTGATCTTTCAACTCATCAGATACAACAAGCTCCAATTTCTCATTCAATTCATCAATGTTCCCCACCATATAGTCACCTGTATTTAGTAATAAAGTGAGATACTTGATTGCGTCTACTCCGGCAATATCATCATCATTACGAGGAAGCATTGGTGTCAAGATTCGGTTGAGGTATTCAAACAAATATTTGTTAAACAATCTTGCCAAGGAAGTGATGATTTCTCCATTGCTCAATTTCAAAATTTGTGATAAAAGTTTGTGATAAACTTTAAAAAGCTCAGTTGATGTGATGGAGATATTAGGTACATTTGCCGTGATGTCTTTGGCTAATTCCAGCGGTAATTGTGAAGTAGAAGCAAATTCAAGAAATTTAGCACTCAACATCTTATCTTGTTCTTGTATCCATATGGACAAATACGGTTCAAAAACGGACGATATGTTAAACTCGGAACCGTCTCGAGGATATTCAGCATTGAGTTTCTTTTCAAACTCAATAGTCTTTGTCAAATTGTCAAGTAATGTACCGGAATCAATTTTCTTGTTTTGTAAAGTACTGGCGAGATCCAGTTTGGTTATCTTGCAAAACTCATCAATGATGTCCATAGTTACATTCCAATCTTGTGGGAAAATTGCGTACTGCTTTACTTCATCCAAAATCTTGTTGAAGTAGATGAATCTTCGACCCAAGTTTTCAATTGATCCCGCTTCATCGGATTGACTGAAAATGTTCTTTAAATCTCGTAGTTGTAGATTGTGAAACCAATTTAGCAATTTGGTCTTGTTTTTGTCGTCAATCATCTCCAACGTTTTAGCTCCATAAAGTAGATTCTGCTCCAGTTTTGAGCCACTGCCTCCTCCTCCTCCTCCTCCTCCTCCTCCTCCTCCTCCTCCTCTACTATCACGTTTTAAAAACTCCTCAAAATCGAGAAAAATGTCATCGACTAGTTTATTCTGAGTAAACATTGTCATCAAATTGATTTCATTAATCAAATCAATTGACTTGTAAGGTTGGAAAAATTGAAGTAGTTCCTTCATTACTCCTAACCTTTGATATATCTCTTCATAGTTTCGCGTAGGGAGAATCTCTTTTAGATCATTATTGACATTAACCAACATTTGCAACCTTTTAAACACCGTCATTGATAATACAAGATTCTTTTTGCATGAATCCAATTTTTGAATCGAACTAGTCATTGATGCAATTGTGGATTTTGTAGAATTTGCACTATCTTTCACATCCTTGATGTTTGTGACTAGTTGTTTTATGTCATTATCTATTTCGGTGCTCGAATCATACTCCGATTTCAATGTATTGATACGACCATTTAGTTGTAGTTTGTATTGATGTATGTGAGATAACGCTTGTGGCAAATGATTCAAGGTTTCTGGTGTGTCAAAGATATCATTAATATGAGTCACTGGATCATAATCATACAGATCCATCGTTGGAAGCGCGTTGACAATTGGCGATGTGATGAATAATTAGCTGTTGAACCTCCGATTAGACTCTTTGTTGATATTGAAAAAGAAAAAAAATCGCAGTGTCGCATGATAGACGGAAATGGCACTGGATAATTGCCACGCCAATAAAAGTAGGACATTCAAATTTGCGACAATCAAAATATGACGGATGGTTAATATTTCTATCCGCTTTTGAACATAGACATTGTGGGGTAATGCACAGTTTGTCCACATCCCATGTCTATACCAAAACAAGCATGTATCTGCAATGCGATTCGTTCATTTTAAACACTAATTATGCAAATTTTTTGACTTTTACCGATGGTTGGTTTTGAGTATTAACGACATGATTGTTAATAGGATTATTTTGCAATGGTTATAATGCGAAATTTTTGAAAACCGAAGTCGAGATGGCGATTAGTCGAGTTTTTGAATGTCTCTTTCATATGGCAGAATCCATTCACCAATTGTTCCGATATTTGCTTTGATTTGAAGTGAGCTCTCAGTCAGTGATGGTAGATGCATTGCACTTTCCTAATTTAGCAATTTCTCTTGTCTATATGTTGTTCGTATTGTGCGTCAGTAAACCAAATTTTGCGACATTTATCTTCAACATCGCCGTGCACGGAATGGTTGCTAGTGAGCTAGCTCTTGCAATGGGACCTACGAGGCAAAAGAGGAAGTGTAAAGTGTAATCGAGGAGAAGTGAAAGTGTTGACTGTTTGAAAGCATTTAGATATCGGAGAAAGTTCATCAGGGCTTAGTGCGACTTCCATGCAATTGTGCGTTTACTTTCGTTTCCATTTAATGCTGCAACAATACTAATATGGGAAAGACTTATAAAACATTTGTCGTTGGACCACTGAGACCAAAACTTGTCAAGTCTATTCAAGTGGTTACCCTCAGACAGATCTCTCGTTGATGAGTGTTTAGGTTTTGTGTGAGATGCAAAAAGTTGATTGTGTCGTATAATTTTTAATATAACAAAATTACCCAATTAGGAAGTACTTTTTTTTGTCACTAACAACACAAAATTCTTCAATATTGGAATTAATAAGCTTTCTCTTCCTCGGTACAAACGACTAGAGACTTCGAACTATTGATGACAAAGTGCATTCTTATAAGGACGACCTTAGCTGTGTACACAGAGTCCCTAGGTGTTGCTTTGAATGGAGAACCGCAAAAAATAAACAAACAGAGTAAAGGGCATATAAGAAACAGACACATGTTGCAAATTGGACTGTTTAACCGATTGATTGCAAAATTAAACTTTTTATAAGAACATTATGCGTGGGACATTGATAACCGTCTAAGAAACTGCCTCTCCCCCTGATAATTACTCTTTTGGGTGATTTTTATGTCAACCAACATTTAAAGTTTGTACACCAGTACGTCCAAAAAACAAATGGTCTAATGTAGAAATATTGTAAACAAGCTTTTGTGAGTAGACTGTGTATACAACAATAAAGAAAAGAATGTAAAATTATTACCAGCATACTTTCAACAGCCCGATTGGGTAAACGCCAGATGAGTTAACGGAATCACATGCCACAAAGAGTGACATAAATGTCGTGGAGAGACAAATTTGTGCGTACAAAAAAAATGTCTGACTTTAAATGTCGTGGAATATTTATTTATTTCTCCAAAGTGCTGCTTTGTGTAATAAACAACAATAAACAATGTATGTACTACACTATACCCTTCTTTATATAATGAATAGGTTCTGTCCCCATTCCAATTCAAAAATATCAACAACAAAGTAAAATATACACACACAGCCTACCTCCAACACAGACTCAATACACCACATCAATCTCGTATTTGTGTATCGACACCTTTTCAATCACAAAACTCAATCAATAAATCAATTGCCTGATTTAGGTTTATTAAATTTTTTACTTCATTAGAATCAAAAATTTCCCCATTTTGTTATTATTACCCTTTTTTGACGCCAAAAAGAAAGAATTTGTACAAAAAAACCAAAAAACAAGTTTAATCAAAAATCAAAGAAGATCAAAGCATTGTCAATAATAACATACACAAGAGCAGATCTGTGTAACATTAACAATCGGGTATTCGAACAGATATATATATATTTAATTCAATTGCCGCCGTTCCCTTGAAGTTTTGTTTGTCCCCATGAAGAAATTCAGATTTGGAAGAAAGAATAGTACAGCTACTTCAACCACTTCGTCCAACAAAAACTCCCCAAGAAAAGAAAAGATCAGAAGCAGTCGTACTTCTAAATCATCAGCATCATTTCAAGCGCCAAATTCCCCACCTCACTCAGGACACGAAAAAGGAAGGTACGGACACACTTTTGCTGAAGAAGATTTAAACGACGATCATCACTCATATTCACATCAACAAGGAAGCAAACACAATATGCCGGTCGCTCAGGATCTTCATAGTTATACCCTGGAACCATTTGGCATCACCACAGATCCATCAACCGTTCCTTACAAGTCTCGTGCTCCACCACATTTGAATGTCACTAATCCATGGAATAGGTTCAAGATTTTTGATTCACCATTCCCTAGATATAGGCATGCAGCTTCGGCCATTTCAAGTGATAAGAATGAAGTGTTTATCATGGGTGGTTTGAAAGATGGATCGGTGTTTGGCGATACATGGAGAATTGTACCTCACGAAAGTAATGATGGTGGTGAAGTGTTGAATTATTCGGCTGAAAATATCGAAGTTACTAATAATAACAACCCACCTGCTAGAGTCGGTCACTCATCAGTGTTGTGTGGTAATGCTTTTATCATTTATGGCGGGGATACAGTTGAAACAGATGAACATGGGTTCCCCGATAATAATTTCTACTTATTCAACATCAACAATCATAAATATACCATCCCTAGCCATATCTTGAACAAGCCCAATGGTAGATATGGACACACAATTGGCGTTGTTGCAGTAAACAACTCGTCATCGAGGCTTTATTTGTTTGGCGGACAATTGGAAAATGATGTGTTCAATGATATGTATTATTTTGAATTGAATTCATTTAAGTCACCCAAAGCTAGTTGGAAAATTGTTGATCCCGTAAACAATTTCAGGCCACCACCATTGACCAACCACTCAATGTCGGTATACAAGGATAAGATTTATGTATTTGGTGGCGTTTACAATAATGAAAAAGTTTCCAATGATTTATGGGAATTTGATGTTGAAATGGAAAAATGGCAACAAATTCAAACTAATGGGACTATTCCATTACCAGTTAATGAACATTCAGCATGTGTTGTTGATGATAGATTGTACATTTATGGTGGTAATGACTTTAGTGGTGTCATTTACAGTAATCTTTATGTATTGGACTTGAAGACTTTTACTTGGTACAAGTTGTTGGAAAGCGCTGAGGAAAATGGCCCGGGACCAAGATGTGGACACTCAATGACCTATTTACCCAAATACAACAAGTTGATAATTATGGGTGGTGATAAGAATGATTATATTGTTGCTGATCCACATAATTTCGATACCTATGAGACTTTTAATGGTGCAGAAGTTGGAACAATGATTTACGAATTGGATATAAATATTGTTGATCAATTTATGTCTGAACCTATTGAGCGAGCAAGGAAACCAAGAAAAGCTGCAGCTTCTGCAGTTGGTGCTCAGGCTAGCGAAGGATTTGATCGTCATTCAAGAACAGGTTCAACTGGTCCTGAAGATTATGCAACCCCACGTGCATCGCCACCACCTCCAGATCGTACTGACTTGAATCGAGGATTATCAACAAATACAATGAATCGTCATGCTGATTTCGTTGATGTTGATACTCCTTCAGGTACAATCTCACATACTGATCATGAGGAAGAAGAGGAGGAGGCGGAAAATATTGTACCACATGTGAATCCATATGAGCAAGTTGATCGTGAAACTAACAACTCTCAAGCAGGTGAGCCAGTTAATGGACATTTGGTAACGGACGATGAAGAAGGTGATGACGATGAGGGAAACTATTTGAGAAGAAGATCACTTGATCCTAAATTCAACCATGATCATGAAGATGTGGTCACCAATGGGGTTTCAGGAGCTGGTGTAGCTGCAGCATTTGCCGCTGCTGGTGCTGCTGGAAATTCTGCTGGACATGCTTCAGTGTTGAAGAGAACTTTGGGAGGTAACTACGATAATGATGACGATGATGAAGACACAATCGAAGAAGCATCTAAAAACAGAAGATCCAGTTTTGCTGATAAATCATATGGTCTGACTTCTCACTACCCTGATATAACTAGCGATCATGAAGCATCATCATACGCACATGATAAGAGTTATAGTAGGGATACAGAAGACGAAGAGGAAGATGACATTATAAAACCAATTTCCATCAACAGAAGCGTCCGCTCGACTGAGGCTGCAGCCCCCTTCAACTCAACCACCTCATCATCAAATGACACAAGATTGAATCGAATCATTGAAGATTTACGAAATGAGTTGGATCAAGTTAAATCTTCAACTAGTCAACAATTGCAAACCGCAAATGACAAGATCAATTCCTTACAACAACAAAATACGCAATTACAATCGGCCCACAAAAATGACATTGATGTTTACACACGTCAAATCAATGATAAAGACGCTATGATTAACGAGTTGAAACTGAGCCTTGATCCAAGTGCTTGGGATCCCGAAGCGCCACAAACTGCGACAAATTTATCAGAATTGAGTCGATACAAGTTGGAAAGATTAGAATTGAATAATAAATTGCTCTATTTACAACAAGAAAATAGCAAGTTGCATGATCAATTTGCTGAATTTGAACCATTTATGAATAATCAAATTGGCGAATTGGCCAAGTTCCAAAAAGTGATTAAAGTACAAGAAGAGCAAATTGAAAAATTGTCATATCAAGTTAAAGATCAAGAAGTTTTGCACAAGGAGATTAATGATTGGAGAACGAAATTTGAAAATTTGAATTTGGAATTTGAAAATTATAGAGCTATTCATAATGATGATGATATTGAGCTTGAACAAGATGATGAAGCATCATTTGCACAAGGAGGAAGCGCAAGCGGTGACAATAGGTCTATCTTATCCCTGGCTAGAACAAGAAGAGATATTTCCACCCAGTTGGAAAGCTTAGTCTCGTTATGGAATGTCAAACATCCCTCAGCACGTGAAGTTTCGCCTACAGCAACACCAGAAAATAACCCCGTTGTCGCTAAATTACAACAACAAGTTGATGACTTGTTGCGTATCTCTAAGCAAAATGATGAAATTAGCCATCAAGAAATTTCACAATTGCGTCAAGAATTGACTCAACGTATTAATAATTTGAAAAATTTGGAAGATAATTATCGAGAATCATTACAATCGGTAAATAACACATCAAAAGCATTGAAGTTGAATCAAGAAGAATTGAATAACCAACGCAACTTTATGGATAAGTTGATTAAGGAAAATAATGAGTTGAAGATGTTTAAATCTGCCCATTTGAAAAAGAATAATGGCTCGTCAACAGCAACGCCAGTTTTGGATGATGCATTTACTGATGCATATGAATCTGTCAATCCTGATGACGTTGAAGATGATGAAGGAGTCATTAGTAATGCACATTTCAATATGAAGATTAAAGACCTCGAGGCTGATTTGTATATTATCAAGCAAGAGAGAGATCAATTGAAGAACAATGTCACAGCATTGCAAAAGCAATTGTATTTGGCCCAAAATAGTTAAAGCAGAGGAGAAAGCTTTGATAATACGTGTCTTGATTAGTACTGTATGAAGAGAAGTGAACTGAAGGTGCATGTTGGTTGATGCTTGGACAATTATGGCTCTATTTCATGTATGACTGTTTGTGAAATTTTTGTATACCCCCCTTGAGTTCATCGAATATGGATGGACATTTTCTAATTTTGTATAATTTTGAAAGTTTTTTTTTTATTGCAAAAAGGAGAGTTATGTAGAAAGGAGGATCGCGTGAAAGCAGTAGCATTTAGAGGGGTACAAGAAAATGAGTCTTTAGAATATCATCATCATTATTTAAATATGTTTCTGATTCAACTTGTTATGATTATTGATTTTGTTGTCCCTGTTGTCTTTGTTGTGATGGCGTGGCAATGTGCGATTGCGATTGCGAAAGTAATTGATCATTCTCGGCATTCATGTAATTAGGGACATGGTCAATTACCTCATCATTGAACAACTGATGAGCTAATGAGCTCGTTGGATTAAGATGAGTCGATGATGAAGGAGCGCGAAAGTGATCATTTTGGGTACGTTGTTCATTATCGATATCATTATCATTGTTTTGGCCGGACTGTGATTGTGGTGGCGTTGGTTGATTGTATGAAAAGAAACTAATGGGGGCGTTTGCGCCGTCGAGTGCCAGAGGGTGGTTTCCTCCATTATTACCGGGATATTGATGGTGGACTGTTTCATGCTGATTCTGTTGTACCGTTCCATGGCTCTCATCACCTTGGTTCACATTTCTTAAAGACTCCTCCTCCTCGTCCTCGTCATCACCATCATCCACATCCAAATCTGGTGGTGCAGAGGGCAACAAACTGAACTCGTGTTGTTGCATCCTTTGCTTCTCGGATAAGCCAGAATTCTCACGTAAGTTCAGCATGAATTCATTCAGTATAGTTGTGTGATCTTCATTGTACAAAGGTGCATCTCCAACATGTGACTCATCTGCATTGGACGAATATGGTGGAGTTTGAAAATGATTCAATTCGGTGGATTCGGGTATTGAATTTATATATGGGTAACGCTGAGGCGAATTTGTAGCTGCAATGGCCGATGTTGACAACGTTGAACCACTTGTTGCAGCTGAATTTGCACCAGCGTTGTGTGCTCCCGGTACTGATGAGGAAAGTGGCGTGGCATGGTTGAAAAAAGATGGTGAATTTGATGATGTCGTTTGTATTTGCGGTGATGGATGGCCCGATGAGTTGAACAACGCTGGTGACATGTTTGAGTTTGATAACGAGGATGAAGAACGTCTCGATACAGTGGTAGTTGTAGGTTCAGTTGATGAAAGAGTTTGTACTTCTTCATTCTCAGGTTGCAGCCGATGAGTTCCAATACAAATTTCACTAGTCAATTGGAGAAATTTCTTTGATCGTTTGAATCGATCAGTATTGATGAATGTAGACCGGTCCTTTTGATGTTGTATCGTTGAATTGAAATTGAATTGGAATGATTCGATTGATGTGGTATTTTTCTGTTGTTGGCTTTGATGATTATTGTTTGTATCAGGCAGATGTCTGTCGGCCACAAGATCAGGATCGACATTAACTGAACGACCAGATAGGTTAATTAGTACTTCAATGAAATATTGAAATGACACCAAAGGACACCCTGTAATTGTGGGGAATGCATCTGGTGGTACTCTAAGTGATGTTTTAACTTCTGAATTCAAACTCACGGGGTCAACATACAATGGTAGTACAGTTTGCTGTAAATCTTTTCTAAAGCTCTCCACCACTCCATCTGGACCATTATCTAGTCGACAAACACGAACAAAAGTTATAATTATCCCATTGAGGTCCTGTATCTTTTTCAAATGATTTATTGTCAATTTCACTGGTATGGATTCACCTCGTAGGTATCCCCGTTGCGGTACATCCAAGATGACTTTGATAGTAGATGGTGGTTTATTGACACTTAGTGTCAGTCTATCGGGATGTTGCCCAAGTTCGGCAGAATTTGTATGAGAGGATTGTTCATTGACTGAGTTTTGATCCAGATTATTTGATGAAATGGTGCCAAATGTATGCACGGTATTTATAGTTGATGTTGACGATTGCGTGCGCAGTAGTTTCTTGTCCTTGGTCAAGTTTCCCCTAGGATCTTTCAATATTAACCTCTTTGGTTTAGGTCGTGGTAATGTTGATACATCTATTGGATTGATTAGATTGATCAACTTTTCTGAAGTGTAGGAAGGATTATGCAGTGACTTCTTTTTACCCGTCGGTAACTCACCAGGGGAAGTAGGTAGGTTATTGGACATGTCTGTTGTGAATGACGATGCATTTCCAATTGATGCTTTGAGTAGGTAATTGATCGATCCTTTTCCAAAATCAATTGACGTAAATACTTTTTTATTCGGTAGTTTAACAATAAATGGAAACACATGTTCTCCCTTGTTTAGCCCATTGGCAAACTCTTCATTGTCACCACCTATATTGTCATTACCACCGTATATCCTGATTGTATGATCAAACAATGTATGCTTTAGTGGTCTTAGTTTGGAATGTGAAGAAGCATTTATTTTGATAAATCCAATCAATGAAAGAGTAATGACTATATTTGCCAAATTTCTCTTTGATATTAAAACTATTTGTCCTGAGACTTCATCTCCAGGTAGCCAAGTTTTGTGAGGATGATCCAATTGTACATAAAATTCGTCTACTGCACTGAAATCCAACTTGAATGCTGAAGCAAACGAAGAATTTCCAAGTTTCGAAGACGATGATGATATCGAGTTACCACCACTCGGAGAAGGTAGTATTTTGGATACAGCTCTTCTCATTTGGCGCGTGGGTTGTCTGTATCGCTCTAGGAGGAAAAAGTGAGTGGTGTACTCTCTGTCTATGTGTTTTGGCTGTGTCACTGGTTGTTGTTTGTCTTTTTTTTTTCCCGAGTTGTCTCTTGTCGGCTAAGATTTATACTCTATGATTGTGCATGTACAAGCCAGAAAAGGAGCAAGCTGAAAAGTATATTGTAGTATAATCTAAGTGTTTGTCTAAAAAGTGTGTATATCGGGGGTGTATGTATAGCTCTGAATGGTTTTGGTCTATCCAGTGGTGTGTCGTTGATAACTTATCGTCTTTGTTTCTTTTTTTTTTCTTTTACCAACCGAATGGTGTGTATGTGTTCCTGTATATAAGAGATACTAGAAACGGGAAAAGGAGTATCAGACGGCATTCTGTGCCAACTTTTCACTCAAAGTTCAGCTTATATATAGGGCCTCACTGATCTCTTTGGTTGGACTACGCATATATTTTAATGCCAGCTTAAGGTGTCATTTTGGTGGTTTTTCAAAAAAGAAAAAGACAGGTTCTCAAATGTTTCAAATAGCAAATTTAATTCTGCCAATGTCATATTTTTGTTTTGCGTAATACAATGTCGCAACCTATCATACAACGACAATCATTATTCAAAGTTATATGTATCGTCAGTATTCATATATGTTGACCCCCTTTTCAATAGGCAGGGTAAAAATGGTGAGCTTAGCAAGTTCGCTCATGCCAAACCCATGTATTTATTGTCCCACCTCTTCTTTGTTTTCCTGTAAAGAGACGTGCCGAGTCAATCCCCCATTAAATGCGAATAATGAGCGCAGAAAACATGAGTGTCTATTGTCTCAAATCAGCACAAAAAACTCTCCTTGCGTAAATTTTATTGCCATGACTCGTTAGCCAACATCAGGTGATATGCGCTTTTCACAATGTTTCACACCAACAATGTTTGCTTTACAGAACTCTATTGCTGATGGGAAGGGCGTGATGGCTCAAACTTTTAAAGCATCGAGTTTCTTGATCCCGGTATGCAACGTTATGTCTAGTAAGAAATTTTACGATAAGATACACCATGTTTTGTTTCCCGCTGCCCCTCACCCATCACAGATGATATGATGATGTACTGGGTAAAGTTTGAAGCGGAGCCCCACTTTCATCTTTCCATTCTCTCTAAAGACATATTGGATTCAGTTTATGTGTGTTTCTACAATACTAGGATTACTAGGAGATTCAGGGAATTACCTTAAGTCATAGCTGACAAAAAGTCTAGAGCCACCCTCAAAGTGTTTCATCATGGCCTTTGGTACCCTCTGCCAAAATTATTCAGGGTTTTGTCAAAATTCGACCAGAGATGGTATTTGAGTCACACAAAATTAAAGTGCTCGTTGCACTCTAGATGATCTCCTTCCCTCCTCTTCCCCAATTTATATCCTCCAAAGTCTCTCAACCAAAGAGCAAATTTTCTAGGTATGGTCCTCTTACTGGATTTTTTCAACTTTACCTGTCAGTTAAATACAACACGCCTAAGAAATTTAAGCAAAGGAATTTTATTTCTTTTTCTCTTGCGACTTTTTGCAACCTTCGTTCTATGCCGAGAGAAATAAATTACAACTTTAAGATCAAAAAAACAAAAAGGGATCTGACTTAAAGTTGTAAAAAAAAAGGTTTTCAGTGTGTACAAATAAACATCACCAAACTGAAACGATTTAAGCTCAAAACCAAATACGCTTTAACTAGTATACAAAAACCTTTAAATTATCTTTACTACGCCTCGCACATTTCTGCTATCTATTCACACAAAAATATTTTCCCCCCAACACAGCTACGAGCCTTAAATCTAATCAAAGGTCTTTTTAGTTCCCTTGAATTCAGTAGCTGGTGATTTTCTTGGTGTTCCACTTGGTGTAGCTGATCTTTCTCTACCACCAAATCCACCACGACCACCACCACGACCACCGCCGAATCCACCACGACCTCCACGGTTACCACCACCAAATCCACCTCCATTATTGTTATCTCTTGGAGCGGAGAAATCCAACCTGCATGGTCTTCCTTCCAAGTATTCACCATTCAAAGCTTCTAAAGCAGCTTTAGCTTCATCAACAGAACCAAATTGCACATAACCGAAACCTTTTGGTTGTTGAGTATCTGGATGTGTTGGTAATCTACATGAAATAACATTACCATACTCACCGAAAATCTCAAACAATTTATCTCTATTAGCATTGAATGATAAGTTACCAATGAATAAAGTATCGGATGGTGGAGATTGTTGGTCACCAAATTGTTTGGCACGGTCGTTGTTTGGTTTAGTGGCATGGGGTCTACCTGTGGACAAATCCAAATTGATTGGTCTACCATCAATTTCTCTACCTTGCATTTCCTCGATAGCCTTTTCAGCAGCTGCTTTAGAAGTGAAGTCAACATATCCATAACCTCTTGACTTTCCAGTGGCTCTTTCCATAATGACTCTGGCACCAATCACACCTTCAAGATGTTCGAATTCTCTCTTTAACCAATCATCATCAATGTTCCACGATAACCTACCAGCAAAGACGGTAGCTGGCTCTTCGTCAGTTGCAGTAGTTGTGGTTGATTCGGACTTAGCTTTCTTGTAGTCTGGTGTAGTTGTAGATTCCAATTCTTCAATCTTACGCTTTTTTGGTGTTTCTTTGACTTCTTCTTCGGAGTCGGAGTCAGAGTCGGAGTCGGAATCAGAACTTGAGTCGGATTCAGATGATGATGATGATGATGATGATGATGAAGATGAAGATGAGCTTGATGAGCTAGAGCTGTCTGAATCGGAATCCGACTCTGAACTCAGGCTTGATGAGCTTGACGATGAAGCTTTTTTTACTTCAACTTTTTCCTCAACCTCTTCTTCTTCTTCTTCGTCCTCACTTTCGGAGCTGGATGAGCTTGAGGAGGAGGAAGAGGAGCTGGAGTCAGATCTCTTTTCCTTCTTAGTTACTTTAACTTCCTCTTTGGCCTCTTCTTTTTCCTCTTCTTCATCGGATGAAGACTCATCACTTGATGATTCACTTGATGATGAGCTAGAACTAGAGCTGGAGCTTGAATCCGATTCTGAGTCTGAACTAGATGAGCTCGATGAACTTTCATCTTCTTCTTCGTCTTCTTCTTCAGATGAGCTTTCTTCCTTCTTGCTCTTTTTCTTTTCTACCTTCTTCTCAGGCTTGGTCACCTTAGCATCCTTCTTGCTAGCAACTTTCTTATCAACCTTCTTATCTTTTACCGACTTAGCCATTGTTTTAGATTGATATTTGCAGGGTAAATGTTATTCAATTGAGGGTAAAAAAAAAATTTAAAAAGATATGAGATGATATTGATCGAGAGATGAGGTGTTTGAAAAAAAAATCAGGTATTGTGAGAGAAGAGAAGACAAGAGAAAAAAAAAATAATAGAAGCAATCGTGTGACAATTAACATGATACTTACTTCCCAATACAGAAGTCGAGATGTTTGGTATAATTTTTCTGTTTGTGTTACTACCGGTATCGCTGTGACTAAAAGAGGGGCAAGTGAAGGTTACGCCATGAATTTTTCACTCAATTTTTCAAAATCATCAACCTATTGTCACAACTTTACAAAGTAACCACTACTTTTTTCCTCCTACTTCATAGACCTTATCCACCCCAAAACGACGCCCCTACGATGATGTTCCCACAATTTAAGCTCTTTTCGAGAGCGGCATCACGTATTTCACCTGTGAAACTACAGTACAAGAACATGCTCAAAACCCCATCCACTAAATACCCACCACCAAAACAAATCAAATTGGACAATCGTGAATGGCCAAGCAAAGTAGTGACAAAGGCTCCAAGGTGGTTATCTACTGATTTGCGTGACGGTAATCAGTCTTTACCTGATCCAATGTCAATACTGGAAAAGAAAGAATATTTTCATAAATTGATTGATACTGGATTTAAGGAAATTGAAGTGAGTTTCCCTCTGGCTTCACAAACAGATTTTGATTTCACTCGGTATGCAGTTGAGAATGCACCTGAAGATGTTGCTATTCAAGTTTTGACTCAATCTAGGGAGCCATTAGTTAGAAGAACTGTTGAATCGGTTAAGGGTGCAAAAAAGGCCATTATTCATATTTATTTAGCTACTTCAGATGTGTTTAGAGAAGTCGTATTTGGTATGTCGCAAGAAGATGCTATTGCCAAAGCGGTTGAAACTACTAAATTAGTCAAGAGTTTAACCAAGGATGATCCAGCAATGAGTGAAACTGAATGGAATTTGGAATTTTCACCAGAATGTTTTTCTGATACTCCAGTTGAATTTGCGGTGGCAATTTGTGAAGCTGTGAAACAAGCATGGGAGCCAAGTGTTGAACACCCGATGATTTTCAATTTACCGGCAACGGTTGAAGTTGCTGGACCTAACGTGTATGCTGATCAAATTGAGTATTTCTGTAAACACATCACTGAACGTGAAAAAGTGGTTGTTTCCGTCCATTGTCACAATGATCGTGGTTGTGGTGTTGCAGCTACTGAATTGGGTTTGCTCGCCGGAGCTGATCGTGTTGAAGGATGTATTTTCGGAAATGGTGAACGTACTGGGAATGTTGATTTAGTCACGGTTGCATTAAACTTGTACACACAAGGTATTGCTCCCAATTTGGACTTTTCTGACTTGCAAAGTTTAATTGATGTTAGTGAACGTTGTAACAAGATCAAAGTTCCTGAAAGAGCACCATATAGTGGTTCACTTGTTGTTTGTGCATTTAGTGGATCACATCAAGATGCCATAAAGAAGGGATTCAGCTATGAACGTAATGATGGACAATGGGCAGTGCCATATTTACCGTTGGACCCTAAGGATATTGGAAGAACTTATGAAGCTGTCATTAGAGTTAACTCACAATCAGGCAAAGGTGGAAGTGCCTGGGTGATTTTAAGATCATTGGGTTTGGATTTACCTAGACATTTACAAGTGGCATTTTCATCAATTGTTCAAATTAAAGCTGATCAATTAGGGAGAGAATTGCAAATCAATGAAATTGTTGATGTTTTTGAAAAAGAGTACCTTGTTCAAACACCATTATCCATTGTTGATTTTGAAATTACAAAGAGCAAGAATGATAGCCGGGAGATTTTCGTTCAGTTGAATGATTCCATCAATGGACAAGAGATTGTGATGAAGGGAGAAGGCAATGGGCCAATTTCATCATTTATTGATGCCATTGGTAAGAAATTCGGCACATTGTTTGAAGTTGTAACGTATCAAGAGCATTCCTTAGGTACTGGATCAGCTTCTAAAGCTGCTACATATGTTCAATTGAGCTATTTGAATGATGGTGGAGAAAAAGTGTCTAGATGGGGTTGTGGAATCAATCATGATGTTAGCCAAGCTTCAATGGATGCAATTTTGAGTGTGGTTAATTCATTAATCAATGAGGGTAAAATTCAAGTACCAAGGTGAAAATTTTGTTGAGAAAGCATTATAGGTTAATAAAAGTTAAATATTAAAGTAGAGGGCACTAAAGGCATGGTGATGTAGCTTTTTGGCGGTGACGCCTCACTTATCAGAAAAATTAAATGGTTTGATAGGCGCGTGACCGAGTCGCAAATACAGCCGTGTTCGGACAAAAAAGAAAGAAAATACGACTTCGTAAATTTAGAAGTTGATGTTACATCGTTAAATTTTAATGGGACCAGTGATAAAATAATTATGAAAGTGGTGAACTTATGGAAACCACACTCAAGTTTGTTACTCTCCAATGGCAGTCCATTCTACGCGGACATGTGGCAAGTCAAAAAGAAAAAAAACTTTCAGCATCCCTTAATTAACCCACTCACGCTGACGCCAACATTGCAAACAATACCAATGCAATTGCAGCAACTTTACTAAATGACAACTTGTGCTGTGCAGCATTAGATTTCTTTTCAGTGTATCTTTCTTCTTCCTTTCCACATATGTATATCAACAGTGCCCAAGTCGCGTTAAATTCCGTTGCAACCATTGTGGTTGGTCCGCATGGAAACCTCTGTGTCACTAAGCTCAGCATAATAATTACACAATTGAATTTGGAAGGCCTTTGAGGTATTAATTCTTGCCTTGTGAGTATAGTTGGATAAGTAGCTATTTACTACAAAAAGTGATAAGTAAAGTGCCAATCAACAAAATAAAAGAGGCAGATCATCATGATTGAATACAAAGATCTAGAGAAATTTGAAGTCTATACTAGTGTCGTAGAGGTGTTATTGTGCATATAATCTTCTTGTGTGACTATTTTATTGGACCGTTCCACGATTAGTATCAACTGGTCACATGTCAGCCACTTCTATGCCCATTTCTGTATCCTTTATTTCGGATTGAACTATCATACTGATCACGCTAACTAGAAGTCAGAGATATATCTTACAGTAAAAAAGCAATAACTACACCGTGTTGGTTGTAATAGTTGTATGCTCCACGTTCGCACCCGTATCTCGAAAATCTCTATCCCGCTCTTTTGGGAAGTCAGGGCTTAACCCTGAGTGTTTGCACGTGCAGTGGAAAAACTCAACTTGTTGTGGTGAAAAGTGCGACTGAAGTTCTCGCTTCCATGCGACGAAAAACCCCAATTTTCTTCTCGCCGGGTGGTTCGCACGCCGACCGTGCTGAACTTGCTCGCTCTAGCACTAGAAAAAAGTAAACTCGGTCGAATTAATTCTCTCTTTTCTCAACATCCAAATTTTCATCACAAAGTCAAATCCTAACCATCATTCTCACTTTACAAAATTTTTTTTCTTCTTCTAATTTTTTCACCTTTTCCACTATATCATCTACACATACATACATCACCATGTCATCATTCGAACCAGTTGTTGTTATTGATGGTAAGGGCCACTTATTGGGTCGTTTAGCCTCTATCATCTCCAAACAAATTCTTAACGGACAAAAGATTGTTGTTGTTAGATGTGAAGAATTAAACATTTCTGGTGAATTTTTCAGAAACAAATTGAAGTACCACGATTACTTGAGAAAATCTACCAGATACAACAAGACCAAAGGTCCATTCCATTTCAGAGCCCCATCAAGAATCTTGTACAAGGCCATCAGAGGTATGATTCCACACAAGACTGCTAGAGGAAAGGCTGCTTTGGAAAGATTGAAGGTTTTCGAAGGTGTTCCACCACCATATGACAAGAAGAAAAGAGTTGTCGTTCCACAAGCTTTGAGAGTCTTGAGATTGAAGCCAGGTAGAAAATACACCACCGTTGGTAAATTGTCCACTTCAGTTGGTTGGAAATACGAATCAGTTGTTGAAAAATTGGAAGAAAAGAGAAAATTACAATCAGCTGAATACTACGCCAAGAAGAAGGCTTTGACCAAGAAATTGAGTGCTGCTCAAGCTTCAACTGCTGAATCTGAAGCTGCTAAGAAATTGTCTGCTTTGGGTTACTAAGTTGGGGAGAAGAGATTAGAAAAGAAGTAATAAGATACAAGTGTTCCTTTTTAGATGCAGTTGCAGCTTCTTCACGGTTGCAACGAAAATAAAGGGATAATTTGTCATCATCATCACGATCACGCGGTATATATATATAACGAAACAAACCCATTCTTTTTTTGTTGTTGTTGTTCCTAGTCATTATTTTCTATAGGAGTAATTTAAGAAGAAACCTATCATAATAGTAAAACAGAAAAGACGTAGGTTGTTTTTGTGGATGTTCGAGGGAGTGTACTACAGCTGCTCTTTGTTAGCCCATCTTTAAGAGAACAGGTGAGAAAGGTGAAGCAGGGGATCTGCGGCCAAACTTCATGACCAAAAAAAAAGTGGCCGCCACGCTAACAAAACAAAATTCAAAAGAAGGCATGTTGAAATTCGGTTAGTTCGAAATCTTCGTGCATCATAATCGAGATATTAATAATTGCAATTGCATTTTCTCGAAAAGCGGGTAAATGTGAGTAATATTTGTATGGCACACAGAATTGAATTTCAAAGCTATTTGATATTAATCAGGGTGTATAGAATGCGGTGTTCTTGTGGTCGGAACTAAAATACTCGCCACTAACGTTAAACAAGTTGGGTAGCAGTATGTTTCTGAAAAGTGGACCATCTAAACGTAGAGAGAAAAGTCATGATACGGTTTCCAATTGGTACTATAAAGTTACAGATGCATTATTCTTATTCAAAAATACAATCTATGTAAAACTCTCACCAATTCCTGTTTGATTTTAGTTCTCTTCAGTATTTTTTCATCATCAATATCATCAGCTCCACCATCACCATCATCAGCTCTAGCCCTATTATTCTTTATCGTTGTATTTGATTGAGAAGATCTACTTCTCTTTAACTTCATCTTGATGGTGTCAACATAAGTCACTTGACCGGATGATTTATCAACAAAGTTGACAATTCTTGATATGAAATTGCCAATTTCAACAAGGGATAATTTTTGATTGCCAATTGACATGGTATTTTCTCTAATGTGGAGAAACAATTTGGGATATTGGTTGATTCTAAGGTCAGATAACAAGCTGTCTATGGGACGATCTCTTGGATTAGTGGTGGTAGTGTTGTTGTTACTGCTATTGTTTGTGTATTGAAAGATGTATGATTTTCCCAAATGGATTATGTTGAATTGACCAATAAATATTTGGTGTTGTCGAGTGGGGAATAGGACTAATTGGTGATAAAACAAGTATAAGAACAAATGGTTGATGGTAAGTTGATCAACGGTGATTTTATTTAAAGCATAACAGTTGATTAGACTTTGTATTGAAGTGAGTTTGATGGTGATTTCTTGATGGTTGTAAATGATGGTTATTTCCGTTTGTTGCAAATTGGATGGTATTTTCGAGATTGATGATGAGCCAGCATGATTAATCTCTTGTGCACCGTTACCATCTACTTGCTCCTGTTCTTCAACATTATCTTCCTCCTCGGTGGCTTGCAAATAACCAATAGGTCCCCTTAGTCTAGCATTCTCAGTCTCCTGCTTGATAACAGCTAATCTGTTTTGTAAATAAGTAGACAAGTATTTGGAATCAAACTGTTGCACAATATCTGAAGCTGGGTTCAATGTTAAACTCGATTCACAAGGAGAAGGTAGTGATGTAGTATGCACAGATGGTGTATAGATACGTGTAGCCATCGTTGTGCTGTTGTTTATGATTACTTGGTATGAAAGGATTTTCTCGAGAACATTAAGACAAATGTATCGATATAAAAAAAGGGTTTTCTTTAAATGGAGTTTTTACAGGTGATATAGAGGTACTGTATATTAAGAATGAGAATAATAAAATAATAGGAGTACAAATGGCATAAACACACAATAATACAATAAGATGGTGTGAACGAGAAAAGTGGGGAGACAAACTAAATCATGGGTAGAGTCTATTGCGATGACCTTTTTGAAAAGCACATTATAAAACAAAGTGATATACTAATGATCATACAATTTCTTCCCTATGATATTACAATAGCAAGCTTTTCTTGTTGTATTTCGAAACAGGGGCATTGTAGAGTTAGGATTTTTCTCTCCACTCTCCACAACTCCTCCCCCACCATCAAGAAAACTTAAAATTGTTACACAAACTGTACCCCCCCCAAAGCACACAAACACTCTTAGGTTTACCACTTGTGCATTTTCAATCAACCAATTAGATTCAATCAAAATACACTCACATCCTCCGAATGCCACAGCACAATAGGAAACTCTCAAAACCATAACAGACCAGATTCAAATATTTAACATCTTGTACTTTCAGGATAATCACACAAAATTATCCAAAAGGATGGAAAATAGGAGAACTTTTCTTCATTGAGAGGCGTATCTCAGCTACGTTGAGGAACAGAACACTGAGTGTGAGGTTTTAATTTGAATACAGCAGTGAGTTAAAATGGTTGTAGTGAGTCGTAGATCTTTTCTCCTGTCAAATTGTTGCAGGAGTTCGTATTCAAAAGTGTGTGTGTGTGTGTGTGTGTGTGTGTGTGTGTGTGTGTGTGTGTGTGTGTGTGTGTGTGTGTGTGTGTGTGTGTGTGTGTGTGTGTGTGTGCAGATACGCCTTATGGGTTTTCCTACACTCACTCTGTATTGTATGCAGTATGAACCCATGTTGCTTGCCGAAAGGAGGAGATGTGAAGATAAAACAAAAGAAGGTGGCTTCAAATTACTCCCCACCACACGGCTGAAAAACATTCAACTTTGTGAAGCTAGATTTAGTTGAGAGTTTACCCTTTTGTTGGGAGAATTTGGGCTTTTCAGAGAAGATACAGCCAAAATGAACCATCAATTGGCGTAACAAGAGAGCCTATCTTCTTTCTACAAGTAACAAAGCTCAACAAAATTCTATCTAATTTCAACAACTATATTACATTATCCTAATCGCCTCGTCACTTAATTTGTCTCCTCTTTGGTTTGTTTGATAGCTGCATCGATAGTCTCCTTGATTTCGGCTTCAGTTGGTTCTTTGGTCTCCGTTTTTTTAGGTTGCGGTAAATCGGCAATATCCTGAGCTATTTGTGGATCTTGATGTTTTCTGGCATTTATAATGGCACTAAACACTGGGTCACTGTAAAACAATCCATACCTTCTAAATTGTTTGATCAAATCAGCAGTTTGTTTCGTATCCAACCCATCAGCAAATTTAGCAAATGTGTATCCCAAGCCAGCAAACCATTCATAATTCAAATGTAATTTAAATTCTTTGGGGTTCTTTTTAGCTTCCTTTTCCAATTGCTTCATGGTGGTTTCCATATACTCTTTAGTCAATGGGGTATTGTAACCTTCGCCTTGGCTCAAATGAACACCCAAATGTCTAATTGTATTGAACAAACCCTTTTGATGAGCAGGAACCATTCCTCCATACTCTTTAATCTTGGTTTCTCTGTAGAAATCCTTGTATTCATCAATAGTAGCTTTCCTAGTTCCTGTCCAACCCAATGCAACCAATTCATCTTGACTTACATTCAATTTAACACTTCCTGGTAAACGGAAAAGTTTCATTGGATTGAATGCACCAGAAAACAAAAACAAAAAGATGACAACAACTTTAACAATATGGATTCCAAAAAAGAAACATTGCAACAACACATCCACTGGATCTTCTAAATCTTTAAGCAATGCACGTTCAACATTGACAAACCCAGTTGATTTGGCAACATATGCCATTAATCTAGTAGCATGATTAGTTAAACAAATACCAGGAGTAGGACTAATAAAATCGGGTAAATCAGTATACAACCAAATTGCCAATAACCCAAGAATTGAATACCAAGTGAAATAATCAAATTTCCAAACTGGTAAAATCAATTGACCTGGCCATACATGAACATTAACCAATTCTTCCTTGGGAATAATGGAAGACACTTGTTTGGCAGCATCATCTTCAAACAAAAAATTCCCATCCTCGGTCAAGTATCCAGGAGCAGTGGATTTTTGAAATCCAATAGGTTGGGTATGATAAAACACACTTGGTCGTAATGCAATTGGCAATGTTTCGAAAATCTTGAACAAATCGCCAAACGTCGTCTTGGTATTAATTTGGAAACAATAATCCCTTTCTGAATCTTGATTGAAACGAACGTATACATCTAAAAATGCAATTTCTTCTTCATTGGCGTCAGTTGTAACATCATCATCATCATCGACAATTTCTTCAATTTTGGGTTGTGTAGCATTTGCATTGACATCGGAGGAATTGTTGTGTACATGAACACCGGAAGATGTTCCTGATGATGGATTACGGTTGGAAGATGATGATGATGACATGGTTATTGTAGGTCTGATTGTAAATAAGAAGGAGAGTGTGGTGGTTTTGTTGAAAAATTACTTATTTTCTCCTCCCTTGTTTTTTTGTCGATTGGAGATGAGTGTGGGAGCGCCGAACGGAGTGGCAACTAAAATAGATCTGCGGGCAGTTCTGTCTTTTTATCCGAGTGACGTATTATTTTTTTTTGTACGTCATTCACGTCATTGTACATAATGAAATCTGGAACCTCTGATGATATTAATAATACGAATGGGCTTGAGAAATCACATTGTGAATGAGCAAAAAAATTGTCATCAATAGTTGACGGCTAGATGGTTGCAGAAGGGCACAAATTGGTACACTGGACACAAAAAATTCGATGGAAGACATTTCATTTGATAGAATCTTGACATGTTTCATTTTTCATGTTTCATGTTTCACATTCTGGGATTAAAAGGATAGTAAGAAAGAGGGTACTAATTTCCAGAGGCATTTGGTATTCATCTTATGATGTGCTGTATGAGATCGCTCCCCACCTCGTTTTTGTTTATTAAATTTTGAGCAAAAGAGTTGCAAAGTTGGTCGATATCCAATAGAATAGGAGCACCTCTACTCTTCGTATCACATGTAAAGAACACAACGCCCCATTATCAACAACATGACTCAAAAGGTTTAATTTGTATTGAAAACCTATTCTAACACTTTGGCAGTTCTTCTGTTCTATTTACCAATGTTTGGCTTATTTGACCGCGAATGAAATTAGCATTTTGTTCGATGATTGCGAGTGTGTTGCCTCACATGTAGATTCAAAATGGTCTACAATTGTGCTTTTAGAAACCAATTTCAAGAAAACTGGTAAAAAAATTGACGGAAAATTGGCAGTGACTAGTCTGCTTAGTTCTGCACAACATCTCACTAAACTCAACCAGCTAGATTGGTGAAAGATAGGCACGATGATGCTTGCTTTATAATATTGGGTTCTATATTTGACCGAATCTGTTCATCCTGTTCTTTACTTCATTGAAGCAAATGTACAGATATTTGCAATAATTTGATAAACGCTTTCTTTTTTTGTATAGACATTACATGCGATTACGATGCGTTCAAAGCCAGTATCGGACCGGGAAAGGAGTACGACGGGGGATATTTTTAGATAAACAATTTCCCTGAAAAATACAAAATAGAAGAGCTTTGAATAGAGTGTAGTGTAGAGTTTGATTCCTATTCTAATGGTATTTTATTCAAAGCTAAAGCCAACTCGCTCAAACTAGCATGAGCCCTACTTCCTTCAAAGCTTCAGAGTGCAAACAAGAGTTTATGGTCACACGATATCAAATATTGTCTCTCCAATGCTGTCTCTCTGCTAGTAATCTTTCTTTCTGTATGTTTGGAAAATCTTCTACAAAAATTTAACTTTTTTTGGTTACCAAATAGAAAGCATGTTTTAAATCCGTTTAATGTACAGGTTTTTGTGCAAAAAAGCGTGAAAAGGGTTATTCTGCAGACACAGAGGCGGTTTATCCGTTTCCTCTCTCTCTCTCTCTTTGGTTCTATAATTTTTACATATTTTGCAACCTCTAAATATTTCCCGTTTCAGGTTAAATTAAAAAAAAAAAAAAAAAAAAAAAGAGAGATTAGGAGTGTTTTGTAGATTTTTGACGATAATATGGAAGCTCTTCATTTTTTGGTCGTGTCATGTGACACAAACGCGAAAACAGAGATTTTTCAAAGAAAACTCTGTATTGTTTTTGAAAGGAAATGGAAGAAAAACAGTGTCGGATGCAGTTAATTTAACAAAAACCGCCTCCCCTAGTGATTTTGAATAATAAAATTATCTTGTCAGGGGAAAACACTGAAGTGAGGCAAGGGAATAATACCGTACTGTCATGTATGCTTGAAGGACAAGAAAAAAAGAAAGAAAAGGATAGATTGTGGTTAATGTAAAATATGGGGGAAGGTTATCTGTGTATCCTATGAAAATATATCGCGTTGCTCTGACTCTCGTATTGTATGAATAAATAACAACGCTCTATACAATCAAATTTTGTGAGGCTTTGCTTCAGTCTTGACCTAACTATCCTCCTTTTGAAAAACTGGTTTCCTTTTCCGAACGTTGTAAAAGAAAACACAGCCTCTGAAGAGGTAGTGTACTGCGATCAAATAAATAAACTCAAGAAAGAACATTATGTGTTTGTTTATATTTTGTCCAAATCAGGATTAAATTGGAGTGAAATGTTACACAGAAATGAATCGAGAGGAATATGCAGTATATGTTTGATCGGGTATGTGTTACATTTCTAGTTGCCGATTCTTCCATGTTACTATATTGTGTGTGTTGGCATAAACACATCCAGCCATCTATCCACACTCGGAACGAGAATTGAAGAGTGCTTTACTGAGCTGTCAAAAACGGGCGTTTTTTGTGAAAAAGCGCGTACTATATTCCTCGAAATAAAAGCAGTTGGTAAAAAAGTGAGAAACAAGACTTGGGTAAAACGCTTACTCCTCCAACCAACACCATTTGCCTTGTCGAAATAGGTATCATAACCTATCTCTGCACTTGAAGTAGTGTTTACATTTTTTTGTTTAACTCGTCTTTGGATAATCACCTCGAACAACATGCATGTTATATAGAAGAGTGTATGTCTTGTGTAAGAAAGCTATCCAACTAAACACAGAAACACACATGGCATATGCCGACAACAAATATGTACTGGGGTTTGAAGAAGAATTGCCTTTGGAGCAGCTTAAGCTTCCTCTGGGCTTTTACGAGAACTAAAAATAGAAAACACTTGCAATTGAAACTTTATTTGAGAAAATGAGTAGTGAAAGGGTGTGGTGTGGTGAATCACTGGCGAAGAGGATGGGAAAAGAGAGGAGGCGTAAGTAGAAGTTTTTCGTTTCATCTCATTACAAGGTAGATGTTGCCGTTGCTGCGCCATTTTTCCCACACACTGCTTCTTTATCGTCCCATCAAAAGTATCTCTGTGTGTTTTTTTTTTTTTAGATGTCAGAGATATAGTCCTGTATATAGAAGTCTTCACAATATTTTTTGTGTAATATTCCCTTTTTCAAATTTTTTTTTTTTTTCGTGTGTGTGTGTGTGTGTGTGTGTGTTGACCGACAGTCGTGTACTTTCCATTCCGTGTCATTTGTGAGTTATTTTGATCTTTCACTCTTACTTTCTGTCTTGTGAATTCGACCTCTCCTCAAACGAAAAGAATCAGATGATCAGGTGGTGTAACATCCAAAGCTATGTTTCCATCTCAAGAGTGCTGGTTGTATATTAGATAAAACTTTAATCTTTCTTGATGGTTTGTAATATGATTTTGGTTTGCTATTTTGGAATAGCAAAACTCTTTTGTGTCTGGAACTAAAGGTGTTCTTGTGTCTGCATATAATGTGCTAATATTAGCTCTTGTGTGTGTCGGCTGTTTGTTGTTTACGTCCGTTGTGTTTTTTTTTTTTCGTTTTTTTGTTTTTCTGTTTTGGTTGTTTCTCCCTTTAAGAGGGAGGCTATGAAAAACTGGAAGGTATATATATAAATATACAATTCAATCTTCCAATTTATTACTCGTAGACATATACCTTTCCTTTCTTTTTCTTGTTACTGCTTCAACGAAAGATAGAGATATACACTTCAATCCCCCGTCGTTCAATAACACACACTACAACACATTCCCTTCGTTTACTCTGAAGAAGAAATTTCTTATTATTTTTTTGACAGATTTTTCTTCACCAACAACTCCCCAAGAAAAAAATATTTTTTGACCAAACTTAAATCAAGAAAAAGATTCCAACTTTGACCAAGAAAATAAACTTAGTCTTCAGCCTTACCCCTTACATATACACATAGAGACAAGAAAACAAATGTTGTTCAAATCGCTACTTTCAACAACTTTACTAGCTGCCACTTCATTAATTGGTACTGCTGCTGCTGCTGAAGAATTGCCCACAGTTGAAATTGTTGGTAACAAGTTTTTTTACTCAAACAATGGTTCTCAATTTTTTATGAGAGGTATTGCCTACCAACAAAATAACTTGAATTCTTCGGATTCATTTAAGGATCCATTGGCTGACCCAGAAACTTGTAAAAGAGATATTCCTTATTTAGCTGCTGTCAATACCAATGTTATTAGAGTCTATGCTTTAGATATTGAAGCTGATCACACTGAATGTATGGAAGCTTTACAAGAAGCTGGTATTTACATTATTGCTGATTTATCACAACCAGACGAATCTATCAATAGAAAAGATCCTCAATGGACCTTGGACTTGTTTCAAAGATATACTGGTGTTGTTGATGCTTTCCACAATTATACCAATGTTTTGGGTTTCTTTGCTGGTAACGAAGTCACCAATGATGATACAAACACTGATGCTTCTGCTTTTGTTAAAGCTGCCATTAGGGATACAAAGGCTTATATGAAGGCTAAGGACTATAGAACTATCCCTGTTGGTTACTCATCAAGCGATCATGCTGCTATTAGAGTTGCTTTAGCTGATTATTTTGCTTGTGGTGATGAAGATGAAAGAGCCGATTTCTTTGGTATCAACAATTATGAATGGTGTGGAAAATCAAGTTTCGAATCATCCGGTTATGCTACTGCTACTGATGATTACAAGGACTTGGGTATCCCCATCTTTTTCTCAGAATATGGTTGTAATAAAGTTTCTCCGAGATTGTTTACTGAAGTTGGAACCATCTTTGGTGATGATATGACTGATGTTTGGTCTGGTGGTATTGTTTACATGTATTTCGAAGAAGAAAACAACTTTGGTTTAGTTTCAATTGAGGATGGCAAAGTTTCCACTTTGGAAGATTATAACAATTACAAATCAGAAATTTTGAAAATCAGTCCATCTTCTGCTCAAGCTTCAGCTGAAAGTGCCAGTGGAACTGGCGTTACTTCATGCCCAACTTCCACTTCAGTTTGGGCTGCCGCTACTGACTTGCCACCAACCCCTGATAAGGAAGTTTGTGACTGTATGGCCAACTCATTAAAATGTGTCGTTTCTGACAAAGTTGACAGTGACGACTATGCTGACATGTACAGTTATGTTTGTGCCAAGATTGATTGTGGTGGTATTAGTTCCAACGGTACCACTGGTAAATATGGTGCTTATTCGCCATGTTCGGCCAAGGACAAGTTGTCATTTGTTTTGAATCTCTATTATGAAGATCAAAACGAAAATGAATCTGCTTGTAGCTTTGATGGATCTGGTTCATTGAAAAAGAGTGCCACTACTGCTTCTTCATGTTCTGCTTATTTGAAATCGGCTGGTTCTTCTGGTTTGGGAACTGTGGAAGGATCAGTTAGAACTGATACTTCACAAGAATCCGATACTAATGGTGGCGGTAAACAAAACTCAGGATCGGGATCATCTTCAGGATCTGGTTCTGGCTCTGGTTCTTCATCATCTAGTGACTCTTCATCTAGCGGATCATCCACTAGTTCAGGAAAATCAAACGATGGTGTTGCTGGTGGTTTGATTGGTGTTTCTGCCTTGACCAAATTGAGTGCTGTTGTTATCTCAATGGTTCTTGGATTCAGTTTTATTTTGATTTAAACAACCACGCTTTTGTGTAAAGTATTGTTTTCATGTATAGATACAGAATAAATTAAAGAATGTAACGTTAAAGAAAAAGAGAGCTTTGATTTAGTTTGCAAATGGGTATCCTTTTGATAAATTGTTACATATTCAATACATAAAAAAAAAAAAATAGAATTGGACCTGGTTATTGGCTGTTTTTTTAATCTTCCATAATCAATTTGCGTATCTCCCAATAATAATCCAACTTGACATCGTTATTATCATCAATAAACCAATGGCCAATTTTACGATTGATTTTGGCTTCTTCTTTGGTGAATTTATCAATTAGTTTTTGACTAAGGGGTGGGATGAAAAGTGAGCCATTATCGTTTACCGTCTGCTGCTGCTGCTGTTGTTGTTGTTGCTGATGTGGTTGTGATTGTAACAAAGTAGACCTCGATCTCGATATTGATGGATGTAGTTGCAGCTGTTGTTGTATGGGTTGTATAGAAGTGGTCGATGATGTGGTTCTCTGCGTAAATTGGCTCAACCCACGTCTTGAAATTGGTGATTGAAGAACATAGATTGTATTTGTCGCTCCTTTTGTCCCAACATTTGTTCCACCAAGTCTTGGTCTCGTTGGCGAATACTGATCTATGCGTCGTTGTTGTTGTTGTTGTTGTTGCTGCTGCTGCTCGTGATGCTGACGAATGGTTTCTAAAGGCTCAATTAAATCCGGTATATCATCAAAAATATATTCATCATCTTGATCTAAATTGATCCATTTCAAATTGACATCATCATACAACATGTTTCCTTGTCGTTTCTTACCTGCGAAATCACCATCGGCTGCGTCAGCGTCTTTATCAAAAGCACCATCGTGGTTGTGACTTATTGTCACGGGTGGTTCAATCTCCTTCAAGGTGATCAATGATGGTTTTTGTTCGAATCGAAGTAAATCTACCTCATTACCCTCCCATCGGTTTTGCGCCTTGTTGAAAACCATTGATTTCGATCGTGGAATGATGTAGTCACCTACTTTACCTTTACCTTCACCATCGTGAAAGTATCGTATGTGGCCCATTTTTGGATGAGCATGAGGACGATGATGATGGTGTCGATGATTTTGGTGGTAGCCGCCACTTGTGTGAATATCTCTACCATTATCTTTTCTCGGATGAGATTTGGCTGTAGCCCCATCTTTATCCTTCCGCTCAGCGTATTTGTCAAGCAATTGAATACGTGATTCAGGATCAGGGATTCTAGGCTTGTTGTAAAATGAAGGTATGCGATCGAGTTTGTTAATCACTCGATTATCAAAGTTGAAACTTGGTGGTGGTTGGTATTGTTGTTCGTGCAATGTGTCACCAGTCAAATCCATTGTTGATTTGAATTTTTTGAGTGTATTAGTTTGGTTTTTAGCCAATGATGGCATCGATTGTTTATTGAGTAAAGATTGTCTTGCAGTGTCACCGGAATCACGACTTCGGTGCTTCTGCGTCTGCTGCTGCTGATGCTGCTGATGCTGCTGATGCTGCTTGATCTTTTGAATACTCTCTTCGAAATCACCTTCAAACCCATCTTCAAATTCCTCATAATCATCTCTCGTAAAATCATAATTGATTGTTTTCTCATTTTCCAAATGATCCAACATGCCCAAATTAGTGCTTGTCAATTTGTGACCACCAGCACCATTCGTCACTATACCATCGCGTAATTTCAAAGTTTGATTAGGATCGTCCTTAATGCCAATACTACGATTGTTTTTATGCTCGAGTAAGTCTCTTAGTTCTCGCTCTGCTTCCTGTTGTTGAGCCACTTTTTTGGCAATCAAACGTTGGTTCATTTGTTGATAAATGCTTTGATTTTTGCTAAAGCATTCATCCCAACCTTCAAATTCATCTTGTGAAAGTTCTGAAGTTATATCGGTATCATTCTCTTCACTGTACTCGCTCAATGCATCTCTTGTTATTCGTTTTGCAGCGCTGCTGTTGCTGTTTCTTGTGGCATTATTGGTTCTACCTCCACTTGATTTGCTTGATCTTGTATGTTGTGGTGAAGAAGAAGAAGTGAGCTCGTTCTTGGGCGTTAGTTGAAACAGAGGCAGCAGGTTGTTAATATGTAATTGGTTAATCCTTAGGGTTTCTAATCCATCAGCATCATCATTGTTGGTGTCCTTGTTTTCTCCATGCCGTTGTTGTTGTTGTTGTTGTTGTTGTTGTTGTTGTTGTTGTTGTGATTGCTGCTTCTGTCTGTTGGAACTGAAATCTATTGACTCGACGTCACCAAATATCTCATCTTCTTCTTGGTTATCAGCAAACCTCTTTAGTAGGTCCGTTTTAGCTTTCGATTGCTTCATCAGTTGTGGATCTACTAAATAGACTGTTTCTCTTTATCCTATTCCAAAAGAGGTCCAACAGTATCTACAGAAAACTTCGGTCATAATAAAAATAGTTGTACTGTATATAAAAAAAGGTAAACCAAACAAAACAAAACTCTCTTGCCAAATCTGCACGACTTTGTTTTTCTTTTCAGTTGCCAGATCCATTTGCAGCAATAACCATCTTGGTCAACTTCTTTTGCAACTTTAGCAATTGTGATTTGAATAACGGCGGAATAACAACAAGTGATATGAAGGTAGCCACTATTAACACAAAGAGGAAAAAGTATCGAACAACCTGCCAGTTTTTTTTTCTCCTTTGTCTTTTCGATATGATTGCCCTTTTGAATTGTCGACTTGGTTTCAACCAAAACAAAAGGCTTGTATGCAATGTATCAATGTATGGCACAAACAATAGGGGAAGCATAACCAAGAGTAACACATGTCCCAAAACGAAATCAAACGTAAACTTGTTCAACTCCAACATTTTAATAATCAACTCACGCATATTCTGTGTAATGACTCTGAATCCCAACCCACTACGGTACCATTTGCCTGACCACCATGCTTTATTCGTAACATTTTCACCGCGTTCTCGAGAAACACACGTAATCAATATAAAACTGGAAAATGCTCGATGAAAACTGAAAACAACCAACAACGCACTGATCAAATGAATAAAGCTATATTCTTGTAAAAGAAACAAAAACTCGATATTGACAACATGAAATAAAATGGACAAAAAATGGGCCAATGCTGCAAAGAATGAAGGAATTCTCATGACACAGAGTCCAATTACTGGAGCCACTGTCATTGACAACACCCAAATAAATAACAAGACAACAATGTTCAACACATATGGTGCGAAAATGGCAATGGCCACTCTAATCAATGGATTCGCCAAATCCAACACAAACAACTTGTTCGATGAATAAAGAAACAAAAATGGAATCAAATACAAAATAAAACTAATCAATGGAGTTGCCACCTCCCCTAAAAGCAAATTGAACGTCGTTGAATTCCTCCCCAGTAAATGCCCTTCGAATTTTTCCCCCGTCAAACGTGATCGTTCATTTTGACAAAATTGAATCCACGATGACTCTTTGGCTTTTGAATTTCCTCTTGATAACCAACGTATGAAATCTCTATAATCAAGGAAGAAATCCATAAAGCTAAATTGATGGGGATTAAACATAAAAGGGGCAAAACACAACGCCAATACAGTGATGACAAACCAAAGTAACGCTACTCGCTTCACAGTCATCATTCCAAATAAAATCACCATAAAAATTTCAATGCCGCTGTATATTGACAAATTTGCATATCTGGTGTACAATGTAGCAAATGAAATCCTTGAAATGGCAAAATCCCTCCCCGTAGCAATATATTGTGCTTCGCCAAATACAAAATTGTCACGCAATGCCCGGGAATACACTTGACATAAGAAAACTTCAAAAAATGGCGATAACGAAACAATGTGCAAAATCACTCGAAATATAGATCTAACAAACCCCTTTTCAATCAATTCCTGGATAATCAATGGAAGGAACGATATGAAAAAACACACAAACACGGAAAGGATAAACCGATCAATCCAGTTCAAAACCGGCATCAATGTATGACACCCAGCAACAGGATTACTTTCATCACATTCAACAGTATTGTGATTCAACGCCCCCAAATTCATCACCAAAAACATAAATATCTTGACGGACAACATTATTGACAAGTTGTTTATATGAAATCCGGGGTGGGCATAGTAAAATGACAAAAATCGGTCGATAGGTAATCTTGTCCCAAGGTAGAAGTACTCTCTTGACAAAAGTTGTTCGCCCATCCCAGCACCAATTTTTTTGGTGAAATTGACAATTGATTGGAATCCCAAATCACGTCCTTTGCCACATTGGTAATAATCGAAATGTTTGATTCGTCCACCACGACACATTGCCGTTATACCGGCATAGATATCCTCATTCAAATGCAATCCACGTTGTGCTTTCGATATTCCTCCTCTAGTTGTCATAAATATTCCATTGAGAAAATCAGGGTGTCCATAGTGTAATTTAGACCCGATTTCACCCATGGTTCTAGCAAACAAAGTACCAAATGTTTGCTCTTTCCCCGCGGCAATATCACCAAGTATGCCAATGTTTTGAGAAAATATAAACTCTCTAGACCCAACGATTGCAACCGTTGGGGGCGAATCCAATGGCGAATCAGCTGTATATCCATAAGACACATCAAGATCCATTTCTTCAAACTCAGTTAATAACGATTTGATTTTTATGCATTCTTCCACGTAATTATCCTGATTAGAGTCAATAACCTGAATGTACTCACCACGGTAAAATATCAAGGCATTATTTTGATTATCGGATTTACCATCACCCAAAATCGGATTCCCTGATAAACGAATCTTGAATCGTTTGCGGTAGTTGCCAAGATGATCCCTCTGCGAAACATCCAACAAGGTCGAGTAGTAAGTGCCATTTTCAACTTCCAAAATTGCAATCTTTACATTAGGAAATGCGCGAAACAATACATCAGCATCATCGATAGTTTCTGGGGTAAAACTTTGAAAATTTTGCATCGCTACAATCAAATTGAATTTACGATCAACAAACTCTTGCATCTCTCGTTCAATGAATAAATCACCTTCACTTTCAAACCCAATATTTTCGCTACGATACAAAATCTTTAAGGCAACTTCATAATTCATAAACCCAGATACGGTTCGATACAATGTTTGACAACGCAATGCCGCCCATATTCTGGTTCGTAAAGTGTTCTCTGGTGCTGAATCTTTAAAACCGATGCAATAATATGGTAAATCCTCGTTTTGTTTGAACTTTTCATATTCATTCAAGCCCTCATCATTGTCGTCATCATCATCATCAAGTGACTGAATCATTTTGCTATCCTTGACAAACGAACTCCATTCCTTTGAGTGAAGCTGTTTCAAGTATTCTAACAATGTTAATTTTGAAAACGATTGTTCCTTGATTAGGTCCTTCAACCCTAAGAGGATCTTTTCCGAATAATGTGGTATAAGGACCGTGAAAGCTGGCATCGACACCACTGGAAATGGATCAGGAAGTGGACTGGATAACGATTGGGCAAAGAATGTAATTCTCCTTTCCCATTCTTCCTCTATTTTGATATACGCTAAAAGTTTGAACGTATTATCATCTTCATTGGCAAAAAATAATGGTGGTTTCACATTCCCTTCGTCTTCTTCACGTTGGTAAATCAACTTCTTGACCTGCTCAACTGAAAGAATGTGCTCCCTAAACATGGAAATAACAATACCATTCCATATTTGCGAAATAACCAAAATCAAACTATTGGATGAATCACCATGATAAACTTTGGTCAAAATCCTATCTGGTAATCTCGAGAAAATGTTTCTCCATGGAGTGAAAATCGACACTCCCAATGAAAACGACAACCCAACGGAGAATATCACGTTGCAAATGACATACCAAAGATATGTGTCAAGAAAGAATAAGATCAAATCAGTGAAATAAAACAAACACAATGTGATTTTGGGCTGCGCTGGACAAAGGAAATGACCATCATTGCAATTCAATGTCAATGTAGATAGAATCTGAATGGGGTCTTTTAGTGAAAGAATCAAAAAGAAATATGATTCAGAATATTTAGCTGCAAACACAACCACCCATAATGAAATTGAAAATGCTCGATTTCTCAAGGTCAATTTCGGGAATGAATTTGAAAAAATTGAGCTAAAGCTACCAGGAGGTACCATTGCTAAATAAACAAACGTTAAAATCGAAAATGTCAACAACAACCCAGAAACAACATTGCCTTTGTAAGAATACTCTGACCATGGAAGGAATATAAATATGACAACAATTGGAGCAATATTCAAAATCAACAAAATTGCACAAGTGATCAATTTTTTGACATTCTTACTATTAATGAATAAGAACTCCGAAATTGCTGCGAAAAGTGAAATCAAGGCTGCGATTGCGCCCCCAGCCGACACTATTGCCAATCGTACATGCGCCAATGGCGACTTTTCCGGTGTGTAATCTGCCGTGTACAAAGATGGTGAGTTGAATGACATAAAGTACCAGAATACCGACACATGCACAATCCAGATTCGGTTAAAATTGTTCAATACATGAATCCATGTTCTTCTTTCTCTATATGTCTTTGATAATGATTTTTTCCAATCTATCAAGTGTATCTCTTTAAATCTGTCCTTTCTTTTGATCTTGTAAACTCTAGTTCCGTTGTCTAATCTAATCTTGTATAACCCCCCGGGACTCCAAAAATGTTGATTGACATCGTCGTAGCCAATTGTTTGGGAATGGTCAATTTCCTTCCTACTCCATCGGTCTCCGACTAATTTGTACTGTTGATCCCTTAAAAATTTGTACAACGGGGTGATGATCTTTTCTAGAAAGTAGTACCTTTCAAGATCGGGACCCACATAATCCAAAGCACATTGATATATAAAGCAAATGCACTCTGGCATGAATCTGACATTATTCGCTTCGCCCCATATCAACAAGTACAACGCAATTTGAAACACGTAATCTTCCTCTCTAAACGAGCTCAATCTATGCCTCCATTCATCATTCTCCATAGTAACAAACCTGTCCTTAGGAGTCCACGTCTCATCTTCGTATGGAAATTGTGCAGTCACGTACCATTTCTTATAGTTGGCAGAATCTCCACCAATATAGTGTAAATGTAACGATAATAATGCTTCTGAACAATCCATCCTACTCGATCGAGAGTCCAATTGGGTCATAAACAATTCATACATGTTATTCACATTATCTTCTTGAAACCCAAACCTTCGACCAAGGTTAGTAAAGGTGGCTAAGATTGTGTCGGTAGACACTTTGGCACCATTATCTTTACACCAAGCATGATAAGGGCCGTCATTGTAGGTCATTGACAGAGGTGAGTCAGTCATGTGTGATGAATAAAAGGGGCGATGGTGAAGGCGCAACGGTGTAAAATTTAGGAAGGACAAAGTGAAACTTTTTGCAACAAAAAATAACAAAAAAGTAATAATGCTCTCAGCAGGATTCGAACCTACGATCTCCTCATTACTAGTGAGGTGCCTTACCAACTTGGCCATAAGAGCAATTTTTAGCAAAGTGAAGTAGCGGTAATTTTGTGAGACATACTCCCAAATTACGATTTTACACTTTTTAACTTTTCATTGTGTGTGGATGAACGCTATAAATTACTCTGAAGAGCTTGTACTAAAATCATGAGCCAAAAGCGGCTTGTCCAAAAAGGACTTGAAAAGATGGAGCTTATAGTCATTTTGGTGATTATATATTGTTGCTTTTTTGTTAAGAATTGCTGCAAAAAATTCAAAAAAAAGTATCGCTTTTCTTATTTACTCTGAATGAACTAACGAAAGTTCAGGTCTATATTTATAATGTAAACCTTTATGGACAAGTCGAAAAAAAAGATTCTAGAAACAGTAAACATCTTTACCAAAATCGATTTACATATCCCTCTCATGGACACTGATTGGAAAAAACTCTTAACTTGCTTTGCCCCTAGCACCATTACATTTTAATAATCATGCCATTGAGAAAAGATTGTACTGCAATTTTTACGTTCATAATGGTGGATCAAGATAAGAGGGTGATGATATTAAAGATGAAGATGAGCATTATTCCACGAATAAGATGATGTTTCAGTTTCACAACCATACCAACTCTCTCACGACAAGCAAATTTACTATTGTTTCTCTTGTAAGTTACGTGGATTTTCTTGATCCAATGGAGTAAATGCAACTGAGTAAACTGATTTGAAAAATAAACATTTGTTGTAGTTTTTGGTTGTGGTTTCCGTTTTAATTTTGCAGCCACAACATATGATGAACAGCAACACAAGCGTAATAGTCTCATGTAAGACACCCAATCCAATGAAGTCAATGTATTATAAAGCTAATGACTTACGAGTGATATAGCCCTTTAATTGCTACTTTGCAACATTTTTCTTTTTTAATAGCTTCAGCTTCTAGTTTCAAAGCTAACTCTTGTATGACGTAATAGCACTATCAATACGGCGCAAAAAAAAAATATTGCCGTCGAGAGTGGATCAAACAAAGATACAAATGAGTCCACCATGTGGTCACGACCACATAGAACTTTCTGCGTGGAATTTCCCCTTATTACTAAATTGCGTCGCATGTTTCTCCAACCCCAGCCGTTCGTATATAAAAAAAAGCCACGTGAATGTGTCACAGCTCAAACAGTTTGCTCTTTTTGTGTCCGAATTTCATGTTGCTCTACCAAACCAAAACATTCATTCCCGAGAAATGTATTACGAAACGTACGTACTTGGGAGCCTCAGTTGGGTCCATTTCAAAACAATTGACAGTCTTAGAGTAAACTAATTGAGTAGACACAGTCTCAAAACACAATTTCCAAGTGTTCGTATCCTTTTAACAATTCATTCCCAATTGATTATATCGAGTCATTTCATTTCTCAGTTTTGTGTAACTTGCATCCTTTGTCTTGAGCATCTAGACGCTTTACAGCAATTTTAATCCGGGCCATGAGAAACCTTTCTTTTCCCTTTCTTTCCTCAATCGAGGTACAGACAAAGCATGAGTTATTCCAACAACAAGTACCCTCCACCAGAGTACCCCCCTTCTGGTGGTCCACAGTACAACCACGGAGGTTACAACAACAACAACAACAACAACAATAACCACGATGATACTTACTACGTGCAACCTGACTTGGAAAATGTAAACAACGAAAAGCCACAACCTTCACAGGACTTTGATCAAAGTTTCAAAATCGAAAAGCCAAGATTGAATGATTGGCCATTCACCATTTTCTTTTTGCTAGTAGTTGCTGGATTCATTGCAATTGCCGGTATCACGTTGAATGCATTGAGAGAAACGTACTCAGATCAGGGGTCAGGTATTTATGGCTCCTCCGACTCTTTCACGGTGAATAGAAACACTGTTATTCTATTCGCTTTTGTTATTGTTTTAGCCATAGTCATGACTGCATTGGGGCTCCTATTTATCAGATCATTTGCAAAACAATTTATCTATGTTGCTTGTGTTTTGAATGTGGTGCTATCTGTGGGAACAGCAATTTTCTACTTTGTTGAACATTACTACAGTGCTGCAATTGTGTTTTTGATATTTGGATTGTTTGCGGCTTTCTGTTATTGGCGTGCAAGAAGCAGAATCCCTCTAAGTGCAACCATCTTGAGAATTGTGATTGATGTCATGAAGCAATACCCCTCCACCTTGATTACGGCATTTTTTGGACTCGTAATCAGTTCTGGATTTGGTGTATTGTTTAGTATTGTGATTGTGGGTACTTATGTTAAGTTCAAGCCAAACGCAGACAACACTGCCTGTGAAGTTGGGGGAGGCTCATGTAGTCAAGGGAAGTTAGTTGGTGTACTCATTTTTGTTTTTTTTGCTGGATACTACATTTCCGAAGTGATCAAAAACGTTATTCATGTTGTTATTTCGGGAATCTATGGAACATGGTACTACTTGTCAAATTCAGACCAAGGGGCACCAAGACACCCAGCATTATCATCATTAAAGAGAGCTTTGACATATTGTTTCGGTTCGATCTGTTTTGGTTCCTTGATTGTTGCATTTATTCAATTGGTGAGACAATTGATCAACATCGTGAGATCACAATTTGTTGACTCTTTTGCTGGCCAGTGTGCTTTGATTATCGTTGATTTCATAGTTCGTTTTATTGATTGGTTGGTGCAATATTTCAACAGATATGCATATTCGTACGTTGCGCTTTATGGAAAGCCATATATTCGTTCAGCAAAGGACACTTTTGATTTGTTTAGATTTAAGGGAATGGATGCATTGGTGAATGACATGTTTATCAATGTGGCATTAAACTTTTACTCATTGTTTGTCGCTTATTTGTCGTCATTATTGGCATACCTTTATCTCAAGTTTACCAAGCCTGGTTACAATTCGGATGGTAATTACTACGCTCCTATTGTGGCATTCACATTTTTGATTTCAATGCAAATCACAAGCGTCACTTTAAGTGTTATTGGATCGGGTGTTGCCACATTTTTTGTTTGTTTGAGTAAAGACCCAGAAATCTTGCAAATGCTGCAAAGAGACGAATTATTCAACCAAATTCAAAGAAACTATCCTCAAGTGTACCAAAAGATTAATACCAATCATTAGATAGCGTGTATAACACTGTGTAAGTGAAATTTAATTCAAATATCTCTCCTCCAAGCACCACATGTTGCGACTTTGTTCAACAAAAAAACAATCGTGAATTTGACAAAAGCACTTGATCGCTCATAGTACACTCACAATGTTGACTCTAGCAATTGGTGACTTGTTCATCCCAGAACGAGCTATAGATATACCTCAGAAGTTTAAAAAGTTATTGGCACCAAATCCACAAAGCATGCCCACCAACAGCAAAATAGATCGAGTTGTATGTTTGGGCAATATACTCAACTCAACATCAACCCTACAGTTCCTAAACAATATTTCACCAAAGTTTGACCTAGTAAAAGGCGAATATGATGATGCAGATATGATATCACAACAGTTGCAGTTGATTGTTGAATCACAAACAAAGTCGCTTTCAAGAAGAGAAACTACCAACGCCAAAATTCCAATACACGGTCGATTTGTTCATGACAACTTAAAAATCGGATTCACTAACGGCACCCAGATTGTTCCGCGAGGTGATCCATTAGCATTGAGTGCATTTGCAAGAGAATTAGATGTAGACGTATTGATATGGGGCGGAACGCACCGAGTAGAAGCATATACATTGGATGGTAAATTCTTTGTGAATCCAGGAAGCGCCACTGGTGCTTTCAGTTTCGACTGGCCTGAATTTGAAGATGAGGAGGAAGACCAGGAAGAGGAAAGTGATTCGGAGAAGGTGGGAAAGAAAAGTGAGAGGAAGCGACAAACTGAAGTGAGTGACTCAACACACTTGACTGAAGGTAATAACGAAGTGGACACGAAGAAAGTAGAGAACAAAGAAAAGACGGAAAAAACTGATCAAGGTGAATCAAATAAGGAAGCAGTAGCTAATGACGCATTCAAGGAAACGCTCTATGAGGTCACGGAGCTCAACACTAACATCCCTTCATTCTGCTTACTAGATACCAAGGGTTCCACTTGCATCCTTTACATTTATACATATTTCCACAACGAAGTGAAAGTGGATAAAGTTACATACAACAAAGAATAATAAACAAAACATTCCCATCTCAAGCTTGTACAGAACTATAATGCAATACAAACTCCTTTCTAATCTTTTCCCAATTATGAGGGTCGAAAAATATGTATACTCCCTTTTCTACATCTTGACCTATCAAGATTGGCTCCACATTACTATCTTTTGTTAGCCAAACTTGGATATCCTTATGATATCTCCAATTTCGAGCAACCAATTCTCTCGCGGCATATTCTTGCAACGTATCTCTCGGTTTCATGTAAAAGATATAAAACAATGTCTCATCAGTGAAATTTTGAATCTTGGAATCACATGTTGATGGGTCTATTTTATGGTCTTTCAATTGAGAATTTTGTAAATCTAAAGGTATTTGAAAATATGGCTCAACTTCACTTCGAGATGTTTCCAGCCACGGACTTGCAAGGTTTTTCAATATATTCACGTTGGGTGATAGATCTAACCCACATTTACTGATATCTTGACCTATTGCGAAACTCGTGATATCAGTTTGCTTCATTCTCACCAACGACGAGAGACCCTGTAGGCCATATTTGGCTAAATCATTGGATTCAGTGTTTGACGGTAGCGTCATTGTTTGACTAGATCCTATACTAGCACCTGTAGTTACCATGTTATCTGTGGTATTCCTATTAGCGTTGGTACAGACGGTGGTAATTCCATTCAACCACGGATTTATTTTTTTTTTCTTTCTTCTTCTTTCAAAGTGCTCTCCTTGTAGCGCACCACAGCAATTGCAAAACTTATTCAAAGTCATCGAGATTAAGCCATGCCAGAGTCTAGGAGAAACATTCCAAATATAATCATCACTGGTACGCCCGGATGTGGTAAGTCATCCCATTCGCAATCCTTGGTCGATCAGCTAAATCGAGGATTTGCAAAAGAGACAACTATAAGGTTTAAGCATTTCGATGTAAGTGCCTTCGCAAAAGAAAAAGATTGTCTTGAGTCATACGACAAGGAACTCGATACGCATGTTGTTGATGAGGATAAACTATTGGATGAATTAGAGCCAGAATTGGAAAAAGGTGGTGCCATCGTAGATTGGCATTGTTGTGAAATATTCCCTGAACGATTGATTGATTTAGTGGTTGTGTTACGAACCGACAACTCACAACTTCATGAAAGGTTAACGAAAAGAAACTACAAGGATAACAAGATACAGGAGAATTTGGACTGTGAGATTATGGAGGTTATTTTGACAGAGGCAAGGGAGAGTTATATACCAGAAATTGTTATCGAATTAAGAAGTGATAAAGCTGAGGATTTGGATGAAAATGTTGATAGAATCAGCGCGTGGGTCGAGAATTGGATCAAAGATCATCCAAGGGGGGTCACCAATGAATTGCAAACCGTGGATGGTGACGCAAGCGACAGCGATGATGATGAAGATAATGACAATGAAGATGGCGAGTTGGTAACCAGTGGAGAAGACGAAGGATCATACATTCCAGATAATGAAGAGGATTCAGATGATGCGCTTGCTAGCTATCATGAGTCGGAGGATCCGGCTACAGTTGAAGATGGACTTACAAACCAACAAAAGTATGAACTAGAGCAAAAAGAACAAGACGACGTTGAAGTACTCGATGAAGAGGATGAAGAGACGAATGAGTATACTGAACACCAAGAGGACGTTTCAGAGTAGACAAACACTAATTTGTGTACTAGTAGATACGAAACAAACTATAAACAATACTTTTGTGATGAGGTTATTTCTTTTCCGATTGATACTGCTCTTCAAACAAATGGACAAATTTCTGCACTTTACCAACCTTGATGAATTTGAACTTTTTATTTTGCTTGATGTATGACGGAACAGCAGCCGAATCAGAATTATAGGCATATTGTAGCCCATACTTGTCATCAGTGTTGATCATTGAGACAGAATGACTCGAGGACATGCGTGACACGGCTCTCCTTCTGGTAGGCGATTGGAATGAGGATTTGCGGGAGAATCTCATTATTTCATCATCGTCTTCAATGTGTTTCTTTGGCGAAGATGAAGCAAATCTATGCACTTGAAAATCATCTGCGTACTCTCTATCACTTTCTTCGTATGACACTTCAACCAAGTCATCAAGGTGTATCTGATCCTCTGGGGTTAATGGTGAAAGCTTTATCGGTTGTTTAAGTGCCTCATTCTGGAAAAGAATCTGTTCTCCATCCTGATTCACCTGCTTGTCCTCATCGTTATGTCTTAAATTATTTATATTTTCAAGAAAAGTATGCTTACATTTCAATCCCTTCTCTTCGTCGCTAATATCGCTAAATCTTCTCCGAAACTCGTCAGTTAGTGTCTCATTGGAAACCAAAGGCTCAATATGAGCTCCACCAATATCATCTGCCAAGTACAATGCATCGTCTTCGCTACATTCCAAAGTAGAATCGCTGACATCAGAGTTTGAGCCATCGTTTTTTACCTTGTGCTGGCACCGTAGATGTATACAAAGTTCCTTGATGTATTGCTTGATTCCAGCAACTAATTCGCCTCTTGGATCATGAGATTGTAGTAGTTGAAAATTTTCATCTTCTTCGATTATGAAATTTCCTAATGCGTCAAAATTGGATACAACTAATCTAAATGTGACAACAAATACATCTTTTGTTTGAAGAACATCCGGTTGAATCTTGTTTTTCTTCCGACTGGTGATTATATCATAAAGATAATTTTGTCTCAGTGTGGAATCACCACAACTTTGAACAACTGAGATCATGTTCGTTTGCAACAACGTAAGGAGGTCGGTAGAACTCCGACTCACCAAAGAATTAAGTTCAATATGGACAGTTATTTCAATACAGTTGTTGCTGCATTCCTCTGAGATTCTCTTTTGTCGGGATTTTGATATTGAATTAATTAAACTTGCAACTTTTCTCGGTATATCAGAAGAGTGAATAAAGTTTGGCTTTATTTGATCACCGCCGGTAGCTGCATCTCGACTTGCTGAATGCGCATTGTGTTCTGTCTGCAGGCGATATATTGCTCTATTCAAGTACATTGTTGGTGTCTTGAAAGAAAGGTAATGTGGTCTCCGTTTTTTTTTTTCTTTGTGTGTTTGTTTTGGGTACCTTTTTAAACGCTTTAGTGAAACACCAATGATTCCGAAGCTGGTTGACTAGTCTTGTGTTCAGTGGGAAATGGGGATGAGGATGTGGCTGAATGACTTGACAGTGTTGTGTTTCGAATATCCCCTTGTAACTTGATCCAATGTGGTCTTGTCTTGTGTTGTGTTCTTTTATTGTTTACTTTTTATTTTTTTTATTTTCGGTATTTTCCTTCCACAAACACTTTTGTACACAAAACATCCACACCGCAATAGTAATTTTCAAACATTCTCAACATCTCAAAAAGAGGTCAGCACTACGTTTCTCTGATGTCAGCCTGAGATTACCTTTCTACAAGCACACGCCATTGCCAACTATTCAATTCACACATGTCATCGTACTACTTTGTTATAATTGGAACGCGTGATAACCCCATGTACGAGGCTGAATTTTCTTCATTCAAACATGGGTTTTCATCTGCTGCCGCTCCAGCATCGGCGCCATCAGTAATTACAGGCACTTCACAACAACTTCCAGGAAAATCACAATTTACGACCTCCACCAAAGAATTACTACCGTTTATTGCAAATGCAAGTCTTGATATAATCGAAGAACAAATGTGGTCAACACAGGCTTTGAATTTAGGCAAGATTGATCAATTCTATGGCATCTTTATTAGTGCTTACTTAACTCAAGGAAGTATCAAGTTCGTACTTTGTTATGATTCAAATAAAGACGAGAACAGCATACGGCAGTTTTTCCAAGATGTCAATGAACTTTATGTCAAGATTTTAATGAATCCATTCTATAATGTTAATGATGCAATACTAGCTCCGGAATTTGATTACAAGGTGAAATTACTAGCTAAAAAGTATTTATAGACAAAAAATTATTATGAAGATAGACTTGTTCTTGCAGTGAACAATAGAGCTTTACTTTGGTTTCTCCTCTGGTGGATTTTGCAACACCTTATCTGTTTCGATCTTGTAATCACCATTGCCAGTTTCAACAATAATCCCCTGGTTTTTCAAAGTTTCGAACATGTCTTGAGGAATCCATCCACCAGTGGCACTAAATGGACTAGAGACAGTCTCCATTTGGTAATCACTCAAATCCAGTTGGTGCTTATCTAAAAATTCTTCATCATACTTGATGGGGAATTCAGAATCATCCTTGTCCTGATTGACTAATTCATTGGCAACATAGGCATCCCACATAGCTTGCAATTGAACAATCGAACCTTCAACATAAAGATAATCCTTTGGAGTTTTTAAGTCAAGGGCTTGCAAGTATGGTGATTTCAAAACTTTTAAATGTGGAGATGCCACTGCAATTAAATCATGTCTGTGTTTGTTCAATTCAATCTCCCAAAGTCTTTCATTTCTAGTTTTGTAGTACATGAACTCATATTGTTGCTTTTCTGCCGGGTCCATCTCGGGGTATCCAGGAATATCTTCTTCCAAGTTGTACACTTTAGCTCCATGGTATGAGACAAAGTTTGGGTAGCTTGTCAAGATAAATGGTTTTATTGTGGTGTTTTCAAAGTCGATAAAATAGTCACCCCCTTTCGATTCGATTACATTCAATGGATCCAAATCCGGTACAAACAATTTGGGTTCAAAAAGCTTTTCAACATTCATGATTGATTTCGATTTGGGATTTATTAATTTAGGAGTAATTGTTTTTAAATGTTCGAATGTTTTGATTTGATCCTGTATAAGTTGTTTATCAGAAACATCCCCAGCATCAGCATCAATAATGGCCAATTTGTTTTTGGCATTTTCCAACTCAATGTCAGCCACTGACTCCATAACTTGTAATGGATTGGAAGCATTCCAAGGTCCATTGTATTGGTCAATGGTCTTTTGTGACAATTTGTTCTTGCCCTTGGTAAATTGTTTTTCAACACTTGGCCCAATCCTCCATCTGTTGAGCAACTTTTCATCCTCCTCGTCATTGTATGGCTCTTCAGACTGCAAAGTTGGTGCAACATCGTTGTAAAAATACAAGGAACCAAATTTATTAAACGTAACTTCAAGTATGCCATCCTGAAACTTGGCGATTGGGCCAATAACCAGTTTCAACTTTTCATCAGTCTCTTTAGAGTCCGAATCCAAAGGATGCCATTTTTTCATTAATAAATCACCTTCAATAAACTCTTGTAAAATGAATGGTGATCCAACTTCATTTTCTGAATTCACACCATAAGCAATTACTTTTGGAACTTTCAAGTTCAATTTCAAATCCAAGAAATCTAAAGTTGCCACTTCGCTTTTGATCTTGGACGCAATTGCGGCATCTGAATCGATCTTGTACGGAATTCTCAAAATCAATTCTTTTGCTGTTGACAATGTCACTTTATATATCCTATGATGCTTCCCTTCGTGTATGGAAGCAATTGACTTAACAATGAGCTTATCGGATTTAGGACCAATCAAACCATCGGTCAAGTTTTGTTGTAATACAAATGATCCTTTATTTTCCTTTGGCGCTGGCAATTTCTCATTAGAGTTAATGCGAAGTCCATTTAACTCATTGAGCGAAGTTGTCAATCCCTCAATTGAAAAGACAGTCTCACGTTGCTTCTTCATCAACTTATCATCTTTCAACCAAGAGCCCCAACTGTATTGGAAAAATGGTGTTCTTTTGGGATCTTTTGAATCGGATAATTTGGTGAAAACTTCAGTTGCTCCATTGTCATTAGATGATGATGAAGTGGCAAATTTTCTTGACATTGGGGCGATCCGTGCAATGCTGGTAGCATTCCTGGATACGGAGGCTCCGATCAAACTAGTCCTTGCAATTCTAGACAACATTTTGTGGAGACGGGGAATATAACTTCTGTGGAAGGGAGAAGAATTTGCAGTAGAAAGTTGAACAGAAAAAAAGGTCCCAAGAAAAAATATCACAAGTCACGTGAACAAATAGAGTTGCAAAAACATCTACTTACGTCATACGGTCTTTTTAATTTATATTCATACCAGTGTGACATTAATTTTTCAAACCAGTGCGACATATTTTTTTGCACCACCTACTCACCCATAGTAATCTCTGTACCTCTAATCCGATTGAAGAACCCGATCCTGTTGAATTAGGGCAATAAATTTAAGAGTATGGAATAATATCAAATCAGAATTCTTTTTTGTTTGAGCTTAGTCATTTCCTACTTTCATTTCTCAAAGGTTTTGATGACATTTTCTCAAATTAAATGCCGTTCCCTTCCTATTCATTAATCTGGGGACTTGTACTTTAGAAGGATCTCAGTTCCAAACAGTGTTGCATATGGTCATTGGCATGTCTACAGAAGCCTTGACAGCTTTCTAAGGTTATCTTTGTTGTCGCTTCTTTCACTTTTGGTATCAACTGTTCTTTTCTAGATAAATTTGACCGTTTAACCTTGGCCTTACACATGGGTGAGAACTCTTCAATTGCGTTTAGTCCTGGCGAATAAGGAGGCAAAAACACTAATCTTATATGATGTTTTGTCCTTTTTCCTACCTAAAACAAAATTATGTCGCACTAACATAAATAAAAAATAAAAAGACTGTATTATCTTCTCCTTTATTAATATTACATTTCAAAAAAAAATACTCATACATCAATATATAATGCACACTCCCGCCTGAATCAGCTCTCAAACCCGTACATGTATTGACTGTCAATGCATAGATCCACAGAATGTACATTTAATATCTCATGGTAAGAACTCGATGCCCCAAGAAGCTCTTTTGACAAATTGTCCATATCACTGGTATGTCCATCAGTCAAAGTAATCTCCAACAACTTGTTTTCAATTTTTTTGAAAACCTCGGCGCATTTTTTCGCCACAACCCAATCACTTCCAAATGCTTGAAAAATCTCTATACAATAGCAAATCTCTGTTTTCGACTCCATTAGATCAATTGCCCATTTGCATAGACAATACAATATTGTAGTACACACCATGAGAAATCGGTATAACGTGGTCCAATTTAGTGGGAGTGATTTCGACTTGAACAATTTGTACGTCGATGATAATGTTTGTAAACATGCTTTACCCAAAGTATCGAGTTTATCCTGCAGTGGTTGTGGGTTCAAGTATGAGGGACGGTAAAGTAGAATGAGCAAATGATTATATCTTGCCGTAAACCACGGTATCAGCGCCCTAAAAGCTAACGACTGTTTCGGTCTTGTTGTGGTATGCTCCAATTCGTTTGCTTTACTATGCCATTCTTCAATCTCATTGCGCAATTCTTGCAAAACTTGCTCGCGTAACTCCTCTTCAGACTGACCTTTGTTTTGGAATTGCTTGTGAACATTGACTGAGTGTACTCTTCGCAAAATTTGACCTTCAATTTGCCTTAAATGAATGACCAATCGGTAAGTTGTTATATCATCCAACTCATCATCATCTAGAATCTGTGGCAAGGGAACATTTATGTCGTCATCATGAAGCGCCACTGGCCTACCCAAAGTAACCGAGGTTAATCGGTCAATAGTATAAACCGACCACAAAAGTCTCGTTCTCATTTCAATTTGCCGCACCGTCATGCGCTCAGATTCTTGTTTGGAGACTGCCTGATTCAAACCTAAATGAATAGCCATTCTTGCCAATTTACCAGCAATTTCCCAAGCGATAAATTCAGCAGGATTGAAGAATGAGTACAATGCCAACAACATCAAGTTCTTCATACTAACGATATCATTCTTGGAAATATTGTTGTGTACACTTGCCAATGCCATGGAGACAAAATATTCCGAAATGCGTTTCTCCCTACCAATGATTCCCGATCTTTCCAAATGTGTGCCACCAATTGCCAACACCATATACAATTCATATTGATCCAGGAACTCCTCCAATGACACACAATCACTATCGTCATCCTGAAACATTTGATTAAACTTGACAAGAAATTCATTCTTGTTGATCACGGGACATATCCTGTATGTGTGCATAAAAAATGCATTCATGATCCGCGTCAACAATACTTTATCAATTATCGGTGGTATAATACTGACATTAGAATTTGTTTTGATGCCAACTGCACCATACAACACTTTTGAAATTTGTTTCGGGTATGCATCAAAGCTTGGTGCTCGAGCGTCGATTGGATTTAAAGTGGCTGGTGGAGTGGTGTTTGTGGGAAATGATTGCCCATCATGAACGGTATTGTGGTCTTGCAATGGGACATCCGTCTGCAGTTGCAGTTGTTCTTGGAGTTGGAGTTGCAGTTGCAGTTGCTGTTGCTGTACCTGATGTTGATTCGAATGATGATGTTGCTCCTGCTGCTTATCATGCTCTGGGTGTCGTTGTTGTCCATTGATCGGCGTCATAGATCTCAAATCCGAATGATTGTGTTCGATACTAGCGTACGGCATGCTATAGTTTGTGTGGAGTTGAGGATGAAACAATCTTGCTTGCTGCGTTTGAGTTTGGGTTTGGGTTTGGGTTTGCGCTTGCATTTGCATTTGGTCCAGATGTTGAGTCAAGTACGACAGACTATCCAGAATCGCCGGACTCAAATTCTCAAGACTTTGATGTACCACATTTGGACTCGTTGAGTTGAGTGCATTATTATTATTATTATTGTCATGTTGTGGGGTCGATGGTCCATCCCCGTTAAATTTCAATTTATCTCTCTTTGTCACCCTCTGTTTCCTTGGAACATACTGACACTCTTCGCCAGCTTTATCACAGTTTGAACATTCTGGTTTGGCTTTATTGCATTTCTTCTTCAATTTTCTGCATCGTAAACAACTAGTCACTTTTGCAACTGGCTCGTTGGCTATTTGTTCGATTTGATGGTGACTAAAGTTGTTGCCGTTCCCATCGGTTACTGGGAACTTTTTTACCCTGAATTTTGTTACTGATGATTCTGGTGACAGCATAAAGGGATCAGTGGTTTCTATTGTTTTAAAGCTACTGTTGTGCGAACGGGTAACTAACTTTTGTATGGGAAAGAAAAATCATGTTTTCACTTTTTAGTTTTTGTGGTGAGAAACTGTTTTTTTTTTTTTTTTTCTTTCTTTCTTTCACCCCGGAACTCGTAAAATGCTAATTTAAGCTCATGCCGCTTCGGGCGGGACTTTCTCGTGGGTGCCCACACAAGCATTCCGATAAAAGAAAATTCTCAGGCAATATAAATAAAGAAGCTATTCTTCTTTGACGCGGGATTGAACTATCTAAATAAATGAAAGTTGGCTCTTGAAGATGACCAAGATACAACCATTATTTAATAAAATTGCTATAATAGGGGGAGGTCCAGCTGGACTTGCCGCCGCCAAGGCACTTGCTTTCGAACCTGTTAATTTCGCAGCAATTGATGTCTTTGAAAGAAGAGACCACTTGGGTGGCTTGTGGTACCACAATGGTGACAAGTCATTGATACATCCTCATGTGCCCAGTACTAGTCCAACGGATGGTGATATTCCCGATAAGAATGCCAATGCATCAGACATGTACTTTTCAGCAATTTACCAATATATGGAAACAAACATTACCCATTGGTTGATGCTGTATCGTAATCTCCCGTTTCCCTCAGGAACATTCATTTACCCAGAGAGGCAGAAAGTGTTGAAGTATATCCAAGAGTATATTGATACGATACCTCATGAAAAGGTAAACATTCATTTAAACTCCAACGTGACTCGAGTTGAAAGAGTAAAGGGAGTTTGGGAGATTGACGTAGAGGGTTACGACAACACGGTGCATTGTTTGGAGTATGATGCAGTGATTATTGCCAATGGACATTTCAACACCCCGTTTATCCCCAATATTGATGGATTGTCTGAATGGAATAAACAGTTGCCCAATACCATTCTTCATTCAAAGTATTTTGAATCGCCAAATACTTTTAGAGGGAAAAGAGTACTAGTTATAGGTAATTCCGCTAGTGGAGTTGATATCTCAACGCAAATCAGTACTGTTGCTGAAAAAGTGTATGTTTCAGTACGAGACTTGGAGAAAATTGGGTTTCAAAATGACTTGATTGAATATATTGATTTGATTGAAAAGTACGATTGGAAGGATAGATTGGTGGTTACAAAATCGGGTTATAAAATTACCAACATTGACGTCATCATTTTCTGCACTGGGTATCTTTACAGTTTGCCATTCTTGTCTCAAGATGTGATTAAAGACGGGGCACATGTACACAATGTGTACAAGCAAATCTTCAATGTTGATGAGCCATCACTTACTTTCGTGGCATTATTGAAAAATGTTGTTCCTATGCCATTATCAGAGTCACAATCGGCATTGATTGCTCGATTTTACAGTGGGAGATACGAGCTTCCAAGCCAAAAAGAGAGACTGAAATCATACGAAAAAGATTTGGTTGAAAAAGGTGATGGGTCGAAATTCCACGTTTATGGAGTTCCTGAGGATATAGAGTATTATCGACACTTGCAAGAATTGATTGATGCACAAGGGTTACGGACTCCTGGGTTAGTTGCACCAATATGGGATGATAAATTGGCTCATGAACGATTGATGTCGGCAGAATTGAAAAATAAGAGGTTACAGGAACTTGTTGAGCATGTGAAAAAGTTACGATCTGAAGGTAAGGATTTTGAATTACCACAGTAAGGGAAGGTCCAATGAATGTTGTGGTACATTGTGATGATCATTCACATTTTGTTTTTTTTTTTTTGCAACACTATTCCATTCTTTTGTGTGTGTTAACTACTCCTCTGTTATTTTTTTTTTTTTTTTTACAACCAATATTGAACACATTTCCTGTTGAAGCCATCCCCCCCCTCCCACTACCACGATGCAAGCTCAACTTGTTAAACAGAGGGTTACTAACCAACAATCACAATTGCTTATCCATGAGTTGATTAGTGTTTCCATTTATTGTGTTACCTTTTTGCGAGATGTGTTTGAAGAAAACAATTATATCGACACCAAATACTACAATGAGAGGTACCCACGGCCCGACGCAAACTACATCAGAACAAAGAGGTTAAGACCTGGTATTACCACATTTGCTGATCTGATTATTAAATGTGTTGATGAAGGAATTAAAGATTCCATTGAACGGGGGTATTTGAAAGCAGTACTGTTTGTAATTCAAATACCAAGTGATGGTGGGTATTCAGTTTGTGAAAGTTACATGTTTGGCATCAATTATCTGACAAACCAAGTGCTGTTGTCGGTTAACAATAACAATAAGACTGAGACTGAGGTAGAAGTGTTTGAGTATGATCAAATTATAAGTCAAATTCAGGGAATGATTAAACGATTAATTGTCATGACCCAATCGTTTGATTTGTTACCACGCGAGAAATCAGTCTTGATTAAATTGTTATTCAATGATTCATGCCCAAAGGATTATCAACCACCACATTTTGTCGATGCGTCGGATTTACCACCAACTACAATCAAGATTGATAAAAAAAGATCTTCTGGTATAAATGACCTTGGTTGTGTGAATACTGGATGCAACAAGGTGAAGTTGAGTGTATTGGTTGCTGATAAAACTGGTGTAAGCTCTATGGATGTGGATCCATTTGATGTATTTGATGGATGCAATGATGATGAACCTATTGGCGATGTTCCTCCTGCGTCATCTTCTTTACATTTGGATAGTTTTTTGAATACAGGTGGGAATGAAACAGCTGCACCTACTCAGTTTGTGTCAGCATCAGCATCAGCATCAGCATCAGCATCATTTTTGTCGTTGCATGCTAAAGTAGTTGCAGTTGCACCAACTTGTCAGAAATGCAATGTAAAACTTAATCTTGTTGAGTACGGGTATAACAAAACACCGTTAAAGAGACCACTCACTTGTACAAAATGCATGTTTGGTTCCAATATTGATAAAGATTTAATTGTGTTGCAAAAAATTAGACTCTTGTGGGATTATCTTTGTCATCATGAGTTCCCCAACACCAAACAATTGTTGGCATTGACTAGGTTGACTTTAAGCGATGGTGATATATTTAGGAGTATGTTTAATCATTTGTTGCTGGAAAATGTCCTTGTTATTAATAGAGGTATGGGTGGGAATGGGAAACTACAATTTGAACATGGAACGATAAATTATCGTATTGGATGTGGTGAATTTACTGCCATGGTGGATGGGATCATTGATAATTATGGTACACCATTGATTAAAAATCAATGTTATTGTATAATTTTTGTTCCCATGTCACACGAGCAGTTTCCTTATTTATCATACAATGAATCATTAGTTGATTTGTATTTCCCCAATCTACAATTACCAAGAATCAACTTTGTTAAATTGAATTTGAGGAAATTTAAAGCAAGGTGTTTACAAAATGAAACTCAATTTGATAGTAGTAGTGGTGGAATAGGTGGAGTTTGTGCGACTGTGATTCCAGATTCACAAGCATCACCAGGGGTGGTTGCTGTAAAGAAGAAAAAGCAAATCAGGTACAGAGCAGTTCCTCGTGTTGTTGAATCTGTTGTTGATAATGATGATGATGATGATGAAAATGAAAATGATGATGAAGGTAAAGAAGATGCAATTAATATTGATGCATCGTCAATTGTCGGTGGTGGTGGTGGTGGTAGTAGTGGTGGAGACACAATACAGCAAGAAGAAAGTGAAGAAGATCAGGATACCATTATGCAAACCACAAAGCAAGTTAAGGATTTGTCATTTGCTGATTCAATCGAGTATTTGTCCCAAGAGCCATTACCATTAAAGTTGGAAGAAACAACATTAAAGAGAAATAGAGCAAGTAGTTTGAAACAACTGCAAGAGAGGCAAATAAAGAAACGGAAAGTCAGTGTGAATAAAGTTTAGATCGAGGGTGTCGTATATCTGTGTATATGTATCTGTATATGTATCTGTACGTGTATTTGTGTGTGTTTTAACGTTTAATGTTTCGGTTGTTCCGACGGAGAAGAACAGTTGTAAAAGTTTTTTGTAGCATATTGTTAGTTTGCGCAATTGCGTGTGTTGTGTAAAGATGAGAGGCGGACAATCGAAAAAAAAAAAAAAAAAAAAAAAAAAAGATACAAAAAAAGAACAAATTGCTCTCAACAAAGTGTCCTGTAAATTGAAATACAGATTGAATTTAAATGAGTGTAAAAACCAGTGAGTATCTTTAGGAAAGTGAGTTGAATGTATAAAGAGAGAGTAAGGAAATGGATGTGTGACTCTTTTCTACCAAATCAACTATGGCTGAATTTTATTTAAGTATCATAGTGTGTATTTTCTAATTTAGTTTTGCGCTTCTCCTTCGTTTAAGGAGAAGAGGTTTACGTAATAGAAGAAAGTCATTTTCTTCTTCTTCTTCTTCTTCTTCTTTCAGCATAACAACAACAACAATAGAAGCAAAAAAAAACAAGAAAAAAGAAATTTATTTACTTTATGTTTTTTTTTTTTCTTTTTCGAGTTTGTGTAATATTAGTGTCTTTTTTCTGCTTTCTATTGTTGTTTTTTGGCATGAGTCGTGTACTATGGTCGTGTGTTGGTTGGTTGTTGTTGTCTAAATAAATTGGGAAAGTAATACGAACAACCAAAAAGAAGTTCTTACAAGATATCAATTTACGGTATAGTCCACATAAACTACAACACTTGTATATATATATATACACGCATATATATATATATATACGCCTTAGTTTGTAATATACTAACTTGTGAATATGCCATATATACAATATGCGATATATATATATATTCATATATATATATATTTATAAGAAGGTACAGTAAGTAGTAAGTGAAATAAGGTGTTGAACAAAAACATGAACATGAGTAAAAACTTTTTGTGACAAACTTCAACTCTACGTTGGTTTCCTTGGTTCCTATTGGCTTTCACTGTGTTGTACGTCCTATAAATAGCTTTTTACTACACCTCTCTTCTCTTATTAAGGAAAAATTCTTTTTTGTTTTTGTGAAGAGGAAGGGCAAAAAAAGAAAAACATCCAATCGGAAAAATTAGTTCAAACGACACAGAGGTAGACACACAGAAACAGACACACAGACACACAGACACACAGACACACAGAGGCACAGAGGCAAAAGCAGAGGCAGACGAAAAAAAAAAAAAAGAAAATTTAAGTTGTCTGTCGTTTTTGTTGTTTTTGTTGTTTTTGTTGTTTGTCGCACTCAAAATCGTAATTGATCACTTTATTGGGTTTTTGTTCATACTTTTGATCATCATCATCATCTTCACCATCAAAGAACGAAAGAACGAAAGAACGAAAGAAAGAACGAAAAAAAAAAAATTTACTATAGACTATAAACTATAAGCTATAAGCCATAAGCTATAAAGGAAAGAAACACTGTACTACTTACTGCAACCTCCCTCCATCCTTGCCAAATCATTTTTATTTTTTTTTTTTTTTTTTTTTACCTACCTTTTCTGTTTATACCACATCCATATACATTATTGATTGTGTTTCACCATGACAAAATCATCCTCAACCACACCAACAAGCAAGAGGAAAAGACATACAAACTCCAAATTGGGCTGTGCCAACTGCAAACGCAAAAAGATTAGATGTGATGAGAGTTTACCCCTGTGCAAAAACTGTTTAAAGGGTAAAAAGGACACTTGCTCGTACTTGTCGTTGTCACAAGATGCCATTGAAAAGATTAAATTGACTCATTCTTTGAGAAATTGCCAAAATAAGTTGCTTAATTCAAATTACAGGTTACCTGCAACAAATGTGATTACACAATCATCATCATCATCATCATCATCAAGAGCAAGATCAAAAGCAAGATCACAAAGTTTAGCTTCAATAGAAGGTGACACCAAAGAGACTAAATTCAGCAACATTGCTTCTTTTACTGATGATGGAAGCAGTGGCTGTGGTAACATATTGGAGTTTAAATTTGAACTTGCTGATTTACCAGTACTCATACCTTCAATCACTTATCCTCCTTTGCAATACAATAATCTTTCAATGCAAGATTTTACCAATGAATTTAAAGTTATCAATGACTTTGATAGTGATGACTACTACACCACTGGCTCACCAACTAATTCACAAACTGAACCTTTAACAACAACAACAACCACGAAAAAGAGTCATTTATTACCTAATGGGTTCGAACACCAAATTACATTCAATGCTTTCAACCCAAGAGCATTTAAACGAGTTAATTCAGCTCATACAGCCAATACTACAACCCCAGTAGTATCCGATTATAGTCTTCATTTATTTATTGGTAAAAACACCTTGTTGGATTACATGAGTGATTTAGTGTTGGATAATATGTCTGATTGGACATTGAGTATGGCTGTACAACTTGTGGGTATAGCTATACATTTAAATCACTTGAGGTCAAAACCAGCTTCTTTAAAAGAGAGTGACGATACACAACTTGTCCAGTGTCTTGAAAATCATGTTGCAAACTCATTTGACAAATGCTGTTGCATGTTGCAATCAAGAGTACAACAAATTCAACAAAGAAATAGCCTGCCCAAACACAAGCCCTGTAGTAGCAACGAAGCTGGTTATGATTTGGAATTGGCTGCTTATACGGGCAATTTCTTAACTTTTACTTCAATCATGCTCAAAATGGGTGTCAAGACCCATTTTGAAACTTTGAAATTACCCTTGCTTGCATACAATACTTATGCCCAATTGTATGAAGCATCAAGTTCTAACAAAAGCAAATTGTTATCAGTTGCTTCTTTATTGAAGAAGAATCTACAATATAATGTCATTAGTGTCAATGTGCCCTCATACAATCCACAATTTCTATTTGAAATTGAATCTAATTTACGAAGTCTTGAATTTATATTCACTGCTGATACATGCACATTATTTAAATTACAAAAACCACTCAATTCATCATCATCTTTGTCAATGGTTTACAGTCAATTTGAAACTTTAAAGTCACAATATTCATCATTGATGAAATTCATCAAGGATAAAGTATTAAACATTGTATTTGCATTACGTGATGAATCTAGTGTTTCGGTATACCCCATAAATGCATTATTTGACGTATTACAAACCTGGCACGCAATGTGTCCACCACAAGCCTTGGTCAACAACAACAACAACTGCAACAACAACAACAGCAATAACAACAAAAACAACTTTTCAACAACCCATAATACATTTTTATCCAATTACGACGAATCAGTATTTATAAACACCTTATCCACAACATTGTACAGTTACTATAGCGCCGTTGCCAGCTCCCTTGATGCAGTTTTCCCCAGTTGCAAATACTTGTTTAGTTTGAGCTTCATCTTGCCCGTGAGTCAATGGTTTAGCACCAATAAGGAAAACTTGACGGTGCCGAAATATAACCCCTATATCAAATCGTTTCATTCATCTAGTCATGGGATCGATGAGTTGTTGCAACGACATATCATTTATGCGTCGAGATTGTATGCGTTTTTTAAACGCCGGTTTGTGTTTTATCATAATAATATCAAGTGGTGTAATTACTATGGCGATGAAACTTTGCAAACTGGTGATGATAATGATAATAATGATGAGAGGATGAAGAGTAGAAAATTGACAAATGTGAATGAAGTTGCAATCAAGAGTTTTAATACCACATTGATACGACCAGAACATTATCCAACTAGAGATAAATCTGGAAACACAAACAACACAAACAACACAAACAACACAAACAACACAAACAACACAAACAACACAAACACAAACATAACCACATGCATCTCCTTCACGCGTGAAGACGACCCCCTAGTGAAGAACTTGTACGCACGTAATATTGAAACGTTGGATATCTTTAATGAATCATCAATACTCCAATTTGATTACGAGTCAATGTTGCTCCTCAAGGATTATCGATCATTTGACGATGAATGCGAAGTTAGTCGTGAAGTATTGAGCGTGGGGGATATTCGTGATCATTATGAGGATCGTATTGCCATTTTGACAAGACTGAGTCGTGATTGGTAGAGTTGGAGTTGGAGTTGGAGTGGGAATAATATAGACGTTTTTATTTTTTTTATTTTTTTTTATTTTTTTTATTTCATTATTCTTTTTTGCATTTCAGTAGAGGGTAATTTCTCTTCAAACTAGTACTATGTAATACTATTTACTTTACTGATGATGAATGCCCTTGAAGCTAACCACCTCTTTGAAACAATTAAACTTTGCTCCCATTTCCGTTTCCATTTCCGTTTCCGTTTCCGTTTCCATTGCCATTAGAGCCATTGCCATTAGAGCCATTGCCATTAGAGCCATTGCCATTTCCGTTTCCACCACCTCCCCCACCACTTACACTAGCAGAATCCGATTTAAAAAAACAATAGGAATCAAGAATCTCCTTATACGACTTGCTTTTCAAATCACTGTTAAACGCAGTTGATCGACCAGTAGATAAATTGCCCTTTATCGAGGCACTTGCTTTTGAACTCAAATTCAAATTCAAATTGAATTGGCCAGTATTCTTATTATTATTCGTACCAGTGGTAGTCTTGAATTTTGACTTGTATTTGGGTTCAGTTGTTGTTGTTGCAGGGTCTCTATCTTCAAGCGAATCGAGATCTTGATCGAGTTGGTGGTTTTGGCCGCGGTTGTTGGATGCACCAGCGTTGATTTTGCTGCTGCTGCTGCTGTTGTTGTTGTTGTTGTTGTTGTTGCCACTGGTGAGCTTCGTTGGTTTTCCAGTTTTGCTATTGTTGATGGTACGTTGCAGTTTTATTTGTGCGTCTCCGGTATTCTTCAACAACTCTTCGATATTCTCTCGAAGACTGGTTACACCACCACCACTAGTATCTACATCCAGAGTAACAATGGCATCACTATCGTTAGCTTCATCGTCAGCAGCACCACCAGTGACACCGGGACTATTGTAGCTAATCCCCGAATCAGATCCAACTCGTTTAAGATAACTGCTGGAATACCGCGGCTTCATCGTGTGATCTTGCAACTTTGAATCCTTATTCTCCAAATTATAAAAATGATGCTTTCGTTGTGGTGGTGGATGATGACAAATTCTCGATTTAACCAATTTGACCAAATAATTTTGAAATCTATTATTATCCCAATACTCATGCCCTTGTGTACAATACTTGATGCAAAATTGGTACCTTCTTTCCTTTTGATAATCACCGTAGCTAGATCCTCGAAACACGTCACCACTGGTAGAGGAGGAGCTACTGCCACTACCACCATCCTCACTCAATGAATCAGTGGACGAGTTTTTCGACATTTTAAATGTGTTGAATAAATTTTCAAGCGGAATCTTAAACGTGAATCGATCATAATTGTTTTTCGCCAACACATCAGCTTTTTCTTCAGTATATGTCGTGGGGATCTCAATAATTGTCATCCAATTGTCAACAGAGTATCGTACAGTCAAGTACTTCTCAAAAGCAAGATTTTTGACCGCAATGTGACCAAACAAGTATTTCTTATCAGCCGAAATGAATAATCGTTCGAGAAATACTGGTGTTCCTGTTTCAATTCGTTTCAAATACGACAATGGTGCAAAATTTAACAATTGCAAATCCCATTTGATCTCTGAAGTTGAAGTTGTTGCTGATGTAATGGGATACTTTGTATCTCCCAAACTGAAATTATGCAAATCATCATGATTATATTTATTGCGTGATTTGCGAACACCACCACCTCTTGAACTGATTCTTTTCACATCGTCGTCAACATCGTCTTCGTCACTGTATGTGTACCCGTAGTTGTAGTTGCTGCCAAATGTGCCCGTGCCATAATAACCATCATCATCATCATCGTTGTCATCATCGTCGTCATCATCGTCGTCATCGTAATCATCGGACGAATCTACATGTGCACCAAAATTGGGCGAGTTGCTGGCTGATATAGTTTTAGGGGTATCCTTCTTTTTAAAATATCTTATATCGGAATTTCCAAAATGAACTTTAAAAGTTGGTGTTGATGGTAATGATTTTGATCTTGTTACTGATTTGAGTGCTGATTTATGGTTAAAATAGTCTGGTGGTGCAAAATGATCATTATTTGTGTCTAGCGTTGATTGTATTGGTTGTGGTGAATGTGGTTGTGAGTGTGGTTGTTGCTGCTGATGTATTGGTGTTGGTGAAGGGCTAGCAGTGGGTGATTTATCCAGCTGGGACGTAGAAGGAGATGAAGAAGATGAAGAAGATGTCAGTGTAGTATGGGTGGTTGCGTCAACAAGTTCTTGCGATTGTAATTGTGATTGTGGCGTTGGCAGTTGTTGCAGTTGTTGCAGTTGTAGTTGTCGCCGTTGTTCGGGTGAGTATGACAAAGTCTTGTTGAATATGCTGTTTTCTCTGGTTCTATCATTAGATTGTGTAAAAAAGCTCTGTGATCTCGAAGGCTTATGTATAAAGCTCATGGATAGTGGTGTTGGTGAAGAAGGTGAAGCTTCAGAACTACCATTGGGTGAAGTAGACTCATAAGTAAAAGATCGACGACGGTCACGAGGAGTTGCTGAGTCATTGGAGGAGCTTGAAGTTGGTGGTGCAGTGGGGAGGTTGAATGTATCACCTAATGCCATTGAATGTGATGGTGGTGTTGTTGATGATGTTGTTGTTGAGGAAGAGGCAGAAGATGGAGTTGGCGATGATCTATTGTTGGTACTTGTATCACCTAGTTGGTTCTGATCTCTCCTTGTATATATAGACTCGGTTGTTGCCATTCCCACAAGAGTTCTTTCTTCTTTTTCTATAGTATGTATAGCAGTTGCAGTGATACTTTGATGATTACTATTGAGTCTTGGTCTTTCAGATTGGTTTGTTGTTTGCTATCTGAATGAAAAATTGTGTGTATATGTGTATATGTGTATATGTGTATATGTGTATATGTGAGTGTGTGAGTGTGTGAGTGTGTGAGTTTATGCAAGAAAAATCAATTTGTGGTTATGCCGGAGTTAATGGATGATATATATGCTCTGATTGTGTGATGTGAGGGTAAAGACCAGTATGCTAAGTAATTTATTGATGAGTTGGTGGTGGTTGGGTGGTGGTAGATGAACTGGTGATGAGTAGCTGCTATTTATATATAAAAGGGGAAGGGGGGGGGGGAGTGAATATTTCAAAATTAGTGCTGATAATAATAATAATGATATGATGATGATGATGATTAAATTGTTTGTGTGTGTTAGTTATTAGTTATTAGTTATTAGTGTTAGTGTTAGTGTTAAATAGTGTGTTACACAAATACGTCTGAGTTCAACTTGTGTAAATTGTTAGTAATGGTGGGTAGTGTACTCAATGACAAAAGCGAATGCGTGTGTGTGTGTGTGTGTGTGTCTTTTTCATTGTTTTTTTGTTTCCGCTGTGATCTCCGATTGTATATATCAGGGAGTTACTTCCGGAGTTAAAGAAAAGACTTTGCCACAGTTATAGCCATCATATCAACCCATATGTAGTATGCACACACACATATATATATATACATCAACATTAGACAGAGAATTCTGTCTTTTCTCTAACTGTTGGTTGATTGGGTAGCGATAGACACGTAACATTAAGCACCATTTCTTATGATGGCTGAATTAGAGTTTTATTTTTTTTTTTTTTTGTGTGTATAAGCAAAAAGGGGGAGGGGGGAAGAGGGAGCAAATGGAGACAAGGTGGGGTGTGATTGAACCCAACAGAAATATTTCACCACCACCACTACCACCACTACTACTACTACTACGTTCGTAAAAGAAAGAAGAAAGTGGGATCGTGGTAGCAGTAGCAAGTGTTTGGTGCTATGCACATTGGTGTGATGTGTTACCTCTGGTATCTTTATCTTGTCGTGTGATGATTGTTTGTGTTGGGTGGCTTATAAAAAGTTTTGTTATTGGTGGGGAAATACAAACACACCAACAAGAACAGAAAACAAGGTATATAAAGCATATAGCAAAGATTACGTGTAACTTGTCTATAATCCTTTATGAATACAACTCACATATGTAAGTTACAGAGTGCATACATGTATTATACGTGTGCATAATCCACAAATAAACTGGTTTCTGTGCACATTTTAATAAGCTGATAATCACTTTAGCCATAGCTACATTATGACTAAAGCGTATTTTAATGTAACTGGCAGTGGAAGATGCGGGACATTTAACAAGGAAGCCCCAACATAAAGCTCAACACCACCTGCAAGTTTTAATCGTACTAAAATATATTATATGCCAATGGCTCATTATATTATAACACTCATCAAACAAATACAAGTCCCCTCAAAATGCTAAACATCTAGAACAACATTCAATTAGACAAACTCTATTGAGCTGTTCGAAACACAAGTCACCACAAACTATACAAAACCTATGCCCAGAGATTCGCTCCCAGATATGCATTCAATACAAGTACAATACACCTGCACTCTTCACAACTTTGTATGCAGATCTTTTTAGATCACGCAGGTGCATTTTGGCTAGTTCGTAACCAGGTGATTTCAAAAGTCTAGATCAAAAGTTGCGGAAGAGTGTGGTCTATCATATTAGTGTATTCCCGGGAGCGCATATTGCTTTTCTCAAGTAGCTCCAACCCACACTTAAACACTAAGCACCGCTTATGTGTTCCTCAATATACTGTTCCATTGTACTGATAAACCCTCGAATGATTTAATCGTATGTTATTTTTCTTGTTCCATCTTTGTACCAAGCCCAATCCCTTTTTGTCACTTTTTGTGTTTTGCGATCAACATTCATGACTCTCGTTTGGAGTCTTTTTTTTTGTGTTGATTGAAAAAAAAAGTGGCCGGAAATAACAGGAAATACTGTTCCGAGATGGGGAGAACCTACTACTTTGATTAAAGCTTACTACAATTGAAATGAAGATAATCAAGTCATGAGACGGGATAAGCGGAAAGCTCCGGAGTTGCAAGTCGTAGCCTTTATGAAAGAAGTACCTACAAACAGAGCAAAACAATAAACGAATCATAATAAAGTAGGACAATAATCCTTCTCGGAGATCTTTTATATTTTTTGTGCCGATGAACAACAAGAAAAGATCAACAAAAAAGAAAAAAAAGAAAAAATAAAAATTTGAAACCGAAATCCGAAAACAAAAAAAAAAGAAAAACACGCCTGGCCCAAGACTTCATTTGGCTTCCCCACCCCCAGCCCTCCTTACATATTGAAATAGACCTCATTTAATTTCATCCTCGGTGGGGAATTAAAATTGGACTTGAAAGTATTGAAGATAAAATAATATCCCAAGAAAATATAAGTCATGGAAGATTTGACCAAATCGTTGATTAATTTTTGCGCTTTTTCGGTTTTTTTTTTTTTTTCATTACCCCATTTCGAGATTTACGAGAAAATTGAATTGTCGTAAAAGTCGACACTGCGACATTTTAAATACGTCAGCAAGTGTCAAATTAGACACAATTTTCCACTGACAGAGATAGATGCATAAGAATGCAGAACGGAGTCGTGTGGTTACCTGCATGACAAAAGAATGCTTTCTAATACTCTAATTTATATATACAATTGTAACAACTACCAAATGAATAACAAACAGCACCACCACCAACAATCAAACTTGAATGTGAGTTTAAAGAAACTAAACCAAATCCAATGAAAATTGGTGGATGTTTTATGCTCACACTAGACGGAATCTCAACACTTTTGAACGTCAATTTATCCAATTGCAAAGTAAGGATACTTGTCTTGTTAGTCAAGATTGTTTCTGAACAAACGCCACCAACAATCAAGAGCTTTTCCTCGTGATTATTGTCAATCAATTGTCCTTGACTGCCAATTCGAGCAAACATTGGATGTTGCAAAATCACATCAAGTGTAATTTGGTTTGAGTCATGGTTGATTGTGAATTTATATAATCGGTCATTGACTCGAGGTAAATGACTCTCGTTGAATCCTCCATAAATGTATCCTTCTCTCTTTTCTTGATTGAAGACTAATGTTGCACTGTACATGTTGTCAATATACTCGCCTCGTATTTCAAGAGTTTGGATTTTGTTGGTTTTTGCATTTAGTAGAATAAATGGGTCGCGACTCAAAGTTTCTGGTAATCCACCGAAAATGAGCAAAGTATCGTCATTTATAGCCACTGCTGAATGCCTAGCTCTTGGTGCATCCAATTGACCAACCCTAAACCAATTGTGGCCATCAAATGTATAGATGTCATCTTTAACATCACCTGGTCTGGTTCTACCTCCAGTAAGTAACAAGTTCGCACCAACATTGGTTAATTGATGACACATACGAGGTTGTGGGATGTGCGTTGACTCATGTTGCAATAACTTGCCAACTTTGCCGAATTCATAGTCCACAATAATTGTCTCATTGGTTCTTGTTTGTTTCAATCCACCATGCACGTAAATATTCTCATTCAATTTACTACATGCGGGGAATTTAACTTGTAATAAATCAACATCATCATTATCAAATCGATCATCAATGCTCAACTTTACCTCCTCGTCAACTTGCAATACAACAGCTTCCTTTTGTGCATCAACATCATCATCAACCTGAAAGTCAAGATTCAATTTCTCATCATAAACCAACTGTAATTCATCATTAGTTGCATGAAGAACAATATAATGTTGACAAAACAAAATAAACTCTTCCCATTCATCAAACTCCTCCACTTGCATCATCTTACTCTTTACCTCCTGCTCCTCTTCTTCAATCAACAATTGCCAGTTTTCAAAAAGGTTTCTCACTTCTGCAAATTTGTAATACTGTTCAAACCGACTCAATTGTAGCAGTTTTGTAGGGTATTGCTCAACACACTGGATGGGGTTTCGTAAATGTGCGAAATGGTACAACATCTTTGTTGCAAATGCGTTTTGGGCACCATCGGGCATGATTTGTTCCAATATGATGAAATTTGAGTTGGCAGTGTTTGAAGATATTTCAATTACTGGGTTAGCACATTGTGGTTTCATGTATGCTAATGAAACTTCAGCAATGAAAACATTCATTTCATTAGATGACTTGGACAATGATGATGGTGCATTCTTTTGGGTGAAGAAGTGATCAACAATGTGTTGATACTGGGTTAAGTTTTTCAAATCACATCCAATTAATTTGTAATTGACAGTGTTCAATTTACACATTGCATCATCAGTGGGCAATTCCTCGCCAATTAGTTGCTTGATTTTTTGTGATTTCTGAATCATGGCATATTTCTCTTGTACCAAGTCTGGATAATCGATATCAAAGAAATTAACATCAATTTCATCATTACCACCCCAATTGAATCCTTTATTCCTAATACTCAATACTTGGAAAGGTAATGGGTCAAACCCACATCCCAAGTTAACCACATTTACAACTTTCTTTTTTTCACCACTCTCGCCTCTCTCCACGTGCGCTTCCACATCTTGTTCACCCCATTGACTACTGCCAATAATTTTATACAATGTCTGTCGTACACTCTCCATACGTATCCAATACCCTCGATTAATAGCTGGCGACCTTCGATCTCGTCTCAGTGATGGGACGAATTCACTAAACCATGTCCCCAATTCTGGATGCAACTGCGCGAAGTACAATTTTTCAACACTACGTTTGGATACAATTGATGAATTGTTGGTTCCTTGAACTTGTTGATCATTGTAGTGTTTTCGTCGTTGTTCTTTTTCTTTTCTCTTCTGTTGCTGCTGCTGCTGCTGCTGCTGTTTTGATAGAGTCTCAAGAGAGGAGGTTTTGACTTTTGTTGTCGTCATTTATAGGGTGGGGTCAACGCGCTGATATATGACTTTCTTGGTTTTGTTGAGAAAAGTGTGGTTAAAATACTTTGACAGGATGAGCATCTTGAAAAATTAACGTTACACAAAATTGCTCTATCGCTACCATCGCCATGCAAATTAAAGCGCCAGAAATAAAAAAAACACCGACGAAATCAATTGTTGTTCTAGCTTCCTTTTTACTGCAAAATCAAAGCTCAACTCGATGATGAAACGTACTCATGAATGAGTTTTGGACAAAAGAAGATTTCTCAAATTGGGAATGATTCTGCTCTCGATTCAAACCTCATGCTCAAAGCTTTTCGAGTTCAATGGTAAACCCTTTTTGATAAGTTTACACCCATGCGAAATCTCGAATCGAGTAATTTCTAACCTAAGTTTCATCGACGTGATGCCACTTTCACATCAAAAGAAATACCCAATTCTTCAACTGTACCCAAATTTGAAAGAAGCAGTTTGTCGATTGCTTCAACAGAAGTCAATCGTATGGTTTAGGACAATGGATCTCAGTCAACATTGAAATGCTAGTCTATATCGAATTGTGGGACATTCAATACAAAGGCTTGTTTTCCACAATCTTTGAAGCACGTTCCTATCGAATATTGTGCTTGCAACGAGATCACACCCATGTTTGGAATTTTACAAAATTTGAAAGGTTTACGCATATATCATAGTTTTATAAAACATGCCGCTTGTGGTTTTGCAACAACCTGGATTGACGTATTGGATGTTTCATATAATGAAATCGAACAAGTAAATCTACAGTTTTCTCCGAACTCGATGACAAATTTAGAAGTAGTTCGTTTGAATTATACTAAACGGTTGGCTAATTTCAACTTGGCTTTGATCGGTCGTGGCATGTCTGGTGTCTAGCATCCCAAGCTACGGGAAATATTTTAACCGGTGTCAACAAGTGCATGAATGAAAATCAAAAATTGCAATTCATTGCGTCGTTGCAAAAATTGGTTAAATCTTCGTGTTTTGATTGTATCACTCCTCCTAGAATTTGGCCCCTTTGTTGCTTCGCGTACCAGGATGAGGTTGCAGGTGCGTTACTTCTGAAGGATGTATATTCGGACTTTAGGGACAATTGGGACTCTCGTTATTTAAGCTAAATGAGGCTACGACGCCAAATTTGTGTTTTAAGTGAAACCCATAAGCTTCACAAAGCTTGTAGATCATTAATTTGTCGATAAAAACTTAAAGCACAATGTCGAAGTAACACGGATTCTCGATTTTGAGGAAATGGCGTCTGTGGGTGCTCTTCGTCAAACATCAAACCATAATTCCAACGTGAGTGTTGCAAAAGAAGAATAAAAGAAAAATCAAGGAGGAGAAAGAAAAGAAAGAAACAGAGGACAGGTTTAAGTCTTTCATCAAGCAACTTGGGGGAAAAATATGGACTACACGGCTCACAAGTCAGCTTTGGAAATAGCTGATGAAACAAGCAATCCAGCGTGAGCGGAAACAGTAAGCCAATTGTGCTTGGATGAAACCGATGAAGCTATGGAATCTGTTTGCATGGATTGTTTTATGAATTCCACTTTGAGTTTGTTCGAATTTCTGGATATGGCCCACATCGTACCAGAAGTTCCTTTTATGAAGGAGTTAAAGGTGACTATGCAGGGTAATGTACCCGACAATAGGTTGGACGAATTTTCATGTTTCCTTCAAAAAGCTGCTGCAATTACAAACTTCACCAAGCCCCCGTATTTCGAGGAACTATGTAATTCTGCATGGTTCAGAGGAGCAGTCTACTATATTGTCAACATATTTACTTACGTTGCAACAAATTCCGTTCCTCGGAACTTCAATCTAGTGCGCTTTGAAAAGCTGGTTATATCATTGTACATGCTTTAATTTTTGCCTGTCTCGTACTACCAAGGATCCGAAAACAAATCAGTCACTTTAACTGGGGTCATTTTCGATCGATGGGTGATTACGCAAACGGAGAATGCAAATAATAGGAAATGGGAAATCAAAAAGATCCACAGAAAGATTTTGCCACAATTTTTCTACATCAGTATCGGTCTGTTTCATAATGAAGCAACCTTTGAGTTTACTTTTGAACCATTCTTATATTCACATGCAAAGTTTTTAGACATGACCATAACCCATGGAAACTACGTATCCCTCAATGAAGGAGGGGTATATTTGGATGTGGTGTTTGCGAGTGGCGAGGTGATAGTATTTGAAGTCAAAAACAGAAGGCTCCGGGCTTCCTTAATACGAATGAAGATAAACACAAATCAATCTTGAGTCAGCTCACGAAATACTCATTGGCAATGGAACTAGCTGAAAAAGAAGAGGGAATTTCAATTTGCCTCGTTTCTGACGATGCCGTTGTTGGGACGACAATGAAGATCGTTGCTACCTTGAAGTTCTCGGATGGTTACATTAAAATTGTTGAAGTGTCCTACGTGAACCATGAATATTCAAACTCAAATACTCATGGGCTTTTTGCGGCGCTTGGTGTTTTAAAACAAGCTATCAGTCTTTCCAATAAGTTGCAATTGCTTATCAAAGAAGATGTTTGTCAGAAGTACGCAAATAGAGAGTGCAATCAAGTAGCAAACTAGAAGAGCAGAATGTAACAGAACAAGAACCCTCACCACCAGAGCGATAAAAAATCATTTCACGTCTAAAGATTTGCTAGATATTTTCGAGTGTAGCTAGATTTCTTGCTAAATATTGGAAATAGTTAAATATTTGCTAATATTAACCATAGGTTGTGGTTGTTGATGCCAATAATAAAGGAAGAACAAGAGCTACCTTTGTGAGGTCTTCATGGACTGACTCCTCAAGTTCACGATCTTTTTAGCTGTGTAGCCAAGTTCGAGGGAAGACCTCGCGTCCCGAATCGATATCAAATCATTCCCAATTCACCACAATATCAAGTCCCTTTGATAACCTCTTGTTTCGTTCCTGACCACACACCGATAGTTATTGCGAAAATACGAGGTACTCATTGATCCCGATTTCTGCACTACCCCTTATTCCCCATACTAACTGTTTGTTATATTCACTCACTTGCTCTTAAATGCAGCTTGTAAATGCAGCTTAAACCCATCTGGAGGGCTAGTTTGACAGCGTCTCAAATAATCTACTGCACACAATGTATCTTTTAAGTTTTTAATATTCGCAGCTCTTATACTTTCTGCATCATCGCCATCACCAACGCGGTCACTTCTACTCTTCATTAGAGCATCATCGTCTTCATCATTACCATTTGCACCACCACCACCGACACCACCTCCTTGATTCAGTTGTTGTTGTGCTGATCCTTTCTCATTACGTAACCCCTCACCACACTTTATCCAAATCCTGCCATTAATCCCCACAGCAATTTCAAATTGGACTCGAGTAGCCAATACCTCCAAAACGAGCAGTTTAGGATTAAACAACAACTCACGAGCAAAATTCATGGCAACATCATCAATAACAAACCCAGAATCATCTAAGATTCCAAACCCACCCAGTTCACGATTATTTGACGCATCAAAGCACTCCAACTCAGTTTCAAATGTCGAGTCATTATCATCATTGACTACTCTTGCATATACAACTTGTCCCACGTTCAAATTGGGTCGGTTTTTGCGACTGGCGTTGGGGAATGACATGAATGATAATAGCACTGGGGGTGAGTAATTTTGTAAGGAGACTTTGTAGTAGTCGCCCATGGATCCGGTGATTGTGCCAATTACAAAATCGTTGTTCTGTGGAATGTATCGCTTGGTGTTGGATTCTATGTATAAGAGCTGCTGCTGTTGTTGTTGTTGAGTCCTTTGATCGATATGGAGGATACCGGCGGTTGAAGGGATGAGATTTTGTGATTTGGGTTCTTTGTAAACTCCAGGACCTATCTTGGTTTTGGTGGTTGTTGATGATGGGAGTTCTATAGGAAGCTTGTCCCCTGGTACTACTATTGACGACATTTGTATGTGTTGAAGAAGGGAGTATTACTGTCAGAGATGAGATATGCAGATTTTCTGCGAAATTTCGTGCTTTTCGACTACGCTACCACACTTAAGATGGTTTACACTTTACTACGAATACATCATCACTAAATTTATCGAATTACATAAAATTTTACATACGAATCTAGTATTAAAATGCTACAGAGCGCCCCTCCCCCCACCAGCTTAATCAAAGCAATACATTCTTGCTTCGCCATTTTCCAATCCCGACACAAACCTGGAATCACTCAAAGCAACACAAGATACACTGGCAGCATTACCAAACGTATGCAAACATTTTCCATTTTGTAAGTCCCATACTTTGATCATGCGATCATGAGCTCCACTAATGATTCGAAATGTGTCGGCAGCAATTGACCATACGCCTTCAATGTGGCCGAATTGGGTGCGGATGCATTTCCCGGTTGTCACATCCCATAGCTTGATGGTGTTGTCAAGGGACGAAGTGAGAATATGGGTCGGGAATGAGTTTGTTGCCGGAACCAAACTGCGTACCGATGAAGAGGAGGAAGAAGAGGCGGTGCCCAAGTTTGTTGGTGGTTGATGTTGTGAAGAAGATGGCAATTGATGCGTTGGTGATGACAGTGCATCAGGTTGATGTGCGTGAAGCTGCAGTTGTTGTTGTTGTTGCCTTACCCTATCGCTTTGCTCTTGTTCACTTTCGCCTTCACTTACATCCTCGATCAAATCCTCTTTATAAGTCAATGGAATCACACACTGCACTTGTCCAATATGACCATTATTATCCATGCCACCAAAAGTCATGAGACATTGATTGGTATTCATATCCCACATTCGAATAGTTGTATCGTCACTAGCACTAAATATTGTATTTGAGCCCGGGTGGATCTTGACACAATTGACCCAATCAGTATGACCACGCAATGTATAGCATGTTCTTGAATCAACGTGCCAAACACGAACAGTGCCATCAGCTGATCCCGAGACGATGGACTTGTTTGAAAAATCGACTGAAACAACAGCATCATCGTGTCCTCTATAAGTGGCAATGCATTGACCTGTGTGATAATTCCATACTTTGATAGTCGAATCTAATCCACCAGTGATTAATTTCTGGTTATCAAATACTAATGACCGTACACCTTTGGTATGACCAGTTAATGTCTTGACACATTCACCAGTTTCAACTTTCCATATTTTAATTGTCGAATCATATGAGCCGGTCATTAGATATTTTCGGTTAAATTGTAAACAAGTAATACCATCCTTATGGCCAATAAAAGACTTCATCTTGTAAACTCCTTTGCGCCAGTTCTTTTCCAACTTAAACCTCTCTGAGTAAACCGATTTCCAAGGGCGTTTCTTGAGTAGTGGGGAAGTGGTAGTTGGTTTTGAATCAACTTTGGCTTTTTTACGCTCCGGCTCATCTGGTGTGCGTTGTGTAACAACCGATTGCCCCTGTTGTGATGCAGTTTCGTTGGCTTCTCTTGCTTCTCTTGCAGCATCTTCATTTCGTCTAATTGGTTTGATCTCTTCCTCAGTCATATCTCTTGCTCGCTTCATGTGCATCAAGGGAAGTCCCCAACCACAATTTGGGCATTTACGATCGATGTGTTGCTCACACATGTGATGCCAAACTCGATCATCATCGGCTAATGTTTTCCATTTCCGTGACACTTGTGCCGCATTACAAAGACTATTGCAATCTAAATAACAAAGTATTTTCAAAGCAATTTCTTGTGGTAAAGTTGAAATAAAATCAATTTTAATTAAAGATGCCACTTCTTGTGAAACAAATGACAATTGGGGGAAGCAACACTGCGTTAAAATACCTTGTAAAATCAATTTACGATGATGTTCTGGGGCAGCACTGAAAATAGACCAAACATGACTGATAGCTTCTTGATCTCTATTGGGTAAGTCTTCTAGTTTCTCTTGTAATTTTTTCATCTTTACTTCATCCGTTTGCTTGTTACAAGTTATATCTGGGTTATGACGATAGCAGTACTTGTGAAAGTTATCTTTTGGTATTAGGCTTTGATCACTGATATGTTTCACTAAAAATGGAGTAACCACTGAAACATCTTGGTTGGGGATGTTAGACACTGGTGAATTTGAACTAGGGTTGGATGGCGGAGACAACGGCACAAGTGTTTGTGCCTTCAAATTATTTGGGGCAGAGTCTGTGATAATTGTGGATTTGATAGACGAGTGAGACGGTAGTATAGATGGAGATGATTGTCTTGACATGGCTGGTGTGGCATGTCTTGAACCTGAACCTGAACCTGAACCTGAACCTGAACCTGAACCTGACCCTGTAATCTCTTCACTTGACGATGTGGTTGAGTTGATGATTTGGTTGAAGTTGCTTGTAGTGGCGTGAGAAGAGACCTGCTCGTCAGATGCACAGTTGTTTTGCAAGTTCATACGGGGGGTAGCGGTGAAGGTGATTTATAGACTGTGGTTGTGTTGAAAAAAATATTTGCACTTGAGATCAAGAGAAGCAGTTGTGTGTATATTCAAAGTGAATAGTGGGTTATGCTCGTAATAGATCAGAAAACGGATCAGACGGTGCTGAGTGAATAGTTTGTTTATCCAGTATTGGTGTGAAACTTGAACTTTGTTGGTTGTAAATCAACTATAGTGGTTGTTCTCTTCTCTATAAAAATATGGTAAAGTAAAATTGTGTGTGTGTGTGTGTGTGTGTGCAAAAATAATATTAAATGCGTGGAATTACGTTTGGGTCTTCTTTTCTTTTTATTGTCTTTGTTGTTTCTACTATTGTCATTTGTTTTCCTAAAGTGTGGCTTTCTATTTTGTCACTTTGCACGTACTTTCTTTTTCACCCAACAACAACCGATCGGTTCGGGAACAAAATGATCATCTTTTGAAAGCATTTGTGTACAATAATCAATACATAGATGACTGACTAAGGAAAGTCTAAAGACATGTAAGTTCACACAAAGGCATTATAGTATGCTTGTTACACGCACTTGTGGAACAGCAAAGTGTGAATAGGAAAGCTTATGGTCATCCCATTAAAACGTCCAGATAACAAGTATTCACGTGACTAGGTTGAAGCCCACCTTTCAGCTTAAAGGCACAAAAAATAGATTAAACTGTGTTTATCGCATCAAATTGTGGTGGCTCTTACGAAAAGTACTTTCAAGAAATGCCATATCAATGGATGATGGAACTCCGAAACTAGAGATAAAAAATGAGGATTGATAAGATAACTGTGTTTCATTCCACCACATAAACTATTCACGCCACACATTTTGCATCAACTTCAACTGTTGTTTGAATCAAAATTTCTACGTATTGAATTAAGACTGAACTCATAGGGGATCAGAGAAGCTTTTAGGACATCGTGATTGTTATATCGTTACGAAATGTGTTGTATTTAGTCTGAAGAAGAGGTGAAAACACTCACTAAGAAATTGGTCACGTGCGCGGAGAACTAAATCCGAAATTTTTTTCACGTCATTGAAAAATAGCATCTTTTGTGTAACTCAAGTGTCACACTGTCAAAGAACCCACTTGTATCACTTCAAAAGAAGCCACTATCTACAAAAGGTGGTCGTTGAAATACATTCATCCACAACTCACTTTGCGTTGCCCCGTCACCAAACTCTTCCATCTACAACTCTCGACACAATTGTCTAGATTATTCTAGAAACTTCTACTAGTTTTTCACGTACCTTTCGCAACATCATCTCATCTTTAAAAGAAGAGGCAAAAGAAAAAAAAAAAAAAATATATTGATGCTTTATTATAAACTTTTAATCAGTTAAATGAATAATTCTGATTTTCATATCGACAAGAAAGCAAGATTACTGATGTCAGAAGAGAGCAAAAACAACAACGACACACAAGAGGTGTTCACCAATGTCGGAGATCAAGTCCAGAGTGTAGACAATACGGTTAGACAGACTGGAGCAGCCGATGCGGAAGGTCATCCCGTTCAAGAAGTTGAATCGATGTGTATGAACTGCCATAAGAACGGTACCACTAGAATGCTTTTAACAAGAATTCCTTATTTTAGAGAGATTATTATCATGTCATTTGAATGTCCTCATTGTGGTTTTAAAAATAGTGAAATTCAACCAGCCGCTCAAATTGCGGAAAAGGGAGCAAGATATGTTTTGAAAGTTGAGGATAAGAAGGATTTCAACAGACAGGTTGTCAAGTCGGAAACAGCAACTGTCAGATTTAACGAATTGGATATTGAAATCCCACCAAAGAGGGGTCAATTGATCAATATTGAAGGTATCCTACAAGAAATGATTACCGATTTAGAATCTGATCAAGAGGAGAGAAAAAAATTGCAACCAGAGTTGTACCAAAAGATACAGGAGGTGATTGACAAGATAAAGCTGTACATCAATGCTGAACCTGGCACTTTACCTTTGACTGTTAGTATTGATGATCCAGCTGGTAATTCATGGATAGAATATGTGCCTGGAGAACCATCACATAAATGGGCCATGTATGAATACAACAGAACAGCTGAACAAAATGTGTTTTTGGGACTTATATCAGCCGACGATGTTGCCAAGCACAAGCAAGAAGAGCTAGAGAATAAAAAACAAGCCACTGATGCTAATATCTCATCGAACTTGAACAAAAAAGATGAACCTGCAACAGTGGTTGGCTTATCAGATGCCACTGAAATTGAAAATCTTGAAAATGAAGTACAAACTTTTGATGCCACTTGTTCAGCATGTTACAAGCCATGTTCTACCCACATGAAATCGGTAAATATCCCCCATTTTAAAGAAGTTATAATCATGTCTACTGTATGCGATCATTGTGGATACAAGTCCAATGAAGTCAAGACTGGTGGCGAAATCCCACCAAAGGGTAAAAAGATCACTTTAAAAGTCACTGATCCAGAAGATTTAGCAAGAGACATTTTGAAATCGGAAACATGTGGATTAAATATCCCCGAGCTAAGCTTGGATTTGACACCAGGTACTTTGGGCGGTAGGTTCACTACCATTGAAGGATTATTGAATCAAGTCTCTGATGAATTGCACACACGTGTTTTCACACAAACGTCAGATTCAATGGATGAAGAAACCAAAACTAGATGGGTTGCGTTTTTCGCGAAGTTGCAAGACGCAATTGATGGTAGAGTTGGCTTCACTATTGAAATGGTGGATCCATTAGCTGCTTCTTATATCCAAAACGTTTATGCCCCCGATAATGATCCAAACATGACCATTGAAGAGTTTGAGAGAACTTTTGATCAAAATGAGAGTTTGGGATTGAATGATATGAAAACTGATTAAAGAATTTGTATTGTACAAGTATATCTCAATTCTATAAAGTTTATCTCAAAATGCAATTGTAAAAGCTCTGCTTACATTTACTACTTCCTGTGTTTGTAATCACTCAATGCATCTCTCCATCTCGATGATTCAATCATTTCTTCTAATGATTTTCTTTGATTTGATGTGTGGTTCTCTTGAGCGGCGCTATCGGCGAATGGCGAATACGTTATATCATCATCAACCAATCTCGACTCTTCAAAACTGGTGTCGGGGATATTGATTGATAAATTCGGTTTCCTCGATTTGGGAGGTGAGGATGCCAGCATCTGATTTGATGTTTTCAAAAGCGGTGAATTTGGATAGTACACTCCAGTGGACATACCTGGGTCGCCATAGATGACTGAGCTTCGTTTGAGTGGTTGTTTATCATCATCATCATCATCATCATCGTCATCATCATCATTATCGTCGTTTCCAGTGTTACTCGTGTATAAATCTGGTGTTGGCTCAAGGGGACCGGCATTTTCATCAGTAACCGATCTTCGAGGATAGTCTGTGTTTATCTGCAAGTCTTCATTCGCCAAATAGCTTGTCCTTTGTAACCTTGTATCAAAAGCAATATTGCTATCTCTGATTCCCAACTTCCTATCCTTTTGGTACTTCCATCTACATGCATACGCAGCAATGCTTTCATAAACTCTCTTTGTGTGCATCTTTTTGATCACTTTATTGGTCAACAACTGACGTTCTAAGTAGTCAATAAGATTGAAGCACTTCCCGGTATCAAATGTTGTATACAATGGCAATTGCAAGATGATTCGAGTGAAAGATATACCTGGATCTTCATTAAGTTCCATTGTCAATAAAGCTTCCTCAACAAACATGTCAAATGCTTTCCTCCTCTCTCTAATCTTTGGAATATCCATTTGATTCATTGTTTCATCAATACACTCGAAATCAACAGTAACATCATATGGATCATTAGGGTTATTTCTCTTGATCCATTTACGACAAAGCTCCTTGATTTCCAATTCTCCATGATAGGATCTAAATGAAAGTGCACCTTCTAATGAGTGAAGCAATTTGGGCAAATCAATGGGCTTAATGTATCCACTTCCTTGTGGATCAAACTTTTGCCATGCTCGTTTAAATTTTCGAATTTCTTCACGTTGAATCAATTCACTATAATCAGTCTTTTGGTTAATGTAATCAAAACTGTCCAAAATCAATGATATGAACATATTGAGGAAAATGTACATTGAGATCAAATTCCAGGCAATGAATAAAATGTAAGCATACTGCTTACTGCCACAATCGTTTCGATCAGAACTTCCCTCTGATGTACAAAATGGCGTCGAAACAGTATAATCCTCCATGATGTAATTCCAACCTTCTCCAAAACTGCATCTGAATAGAACAATCAATGTTTTGGGAACTGATCTCAAGTTTATATTTCCCGATCCATTGGGACCAAGACGTGTCATACCAAAAATTTGATTCATGGCAATGGCAAACACTAAGAACACAATGATCCAGGTATATGACAATGATATCAATGCTGGCAACGAAGCCGACGCGAAACGCAATAACTGACTCAATCGGTTACTTCTGGGAATAACAAACAACAAAATTGCCACTAAGAATAACTTGTTGAAATTCATAAATGGAGAATTGTCATCCACGGGGAATGCAATAACTGTTGTTGTGAATGCCCCAAATGAAACACACAAATTGAATATGTTCCACTTGTAATGCAAATATGTCTTAAAACCTTGTGCAATTGCCAACATCACTGCATTCAAAAAGAAAAGCACCGATGTAATTGTGTATACTATAGTTCTAAAAAGGTTTAAAGCATCCGAGGAGGGAAAGCACTCAAGCAACAATGCTAACGCATGGAACGCCAACACGCAATTCAAAATTCTATGCCAAATGGGGTTTTTCTCCACCGTCATTTTGTAACAAAATCTTCTGAAAAAGGACAACAGGTAGTAGTCCTTTCGCTTTGACGGACGAACTTGCACCAAAATTTTCTTTATTTGATACCACGATATTTGATCTGTTGTCATGTATGCTCTCCCGGTGGTTCTTGAATAATTGCTGATAATGACTGAGACAAACAATGTCAAGATAAACACGGTACTAATGAAATTGAAGAGCACCACGAAAAACCCGTTAAATGGCGAAGCATTCTTTTCCGGTACTGTTCCTATACCTGTACTTTGCATCACGTTTGCCAACAAGTCGGTCCAGCCTTCAAATGACACAATCTCATACAACGAAGCAAACGATGTTGCGAATCTATTAAATTCCAATTGAGGATTAGTGTACACATTGGGACTCAAAATTTCCCAATCAAACACTTCATTTTTATACTCATTGATGCATTCATCTTCTGTCGACTCCAGATCAATACAGTATCCCAATCGTCCATTGAAGATGTTCAATCCCCAAATTGAAAATGGAAACAACAAACAAAGGGAGATAATAGCTGCATTGATGATCTTCCCAAACCCAGCAATCATTGTATTGTGAAAATTGGATTTCGCAGTCTCACTAATTGTCAAAAGTCTCAATGCTCTCAATGCTTTTAAACCCCTAACAATTCTCGACAAGTTGGCATCGTTTCTCAAATACGCAATCGACTCGATCCACAATGAAATCAAGACAATCAAGTCAATCAAATTCCACGATGAGCGACAATATGCATTGGGTGTGAATATGAACCCGTCAGCAAGAACCTTAATCAAAAATTCAATCGTGAAAAATACCGCAAATACATACTCTGACCAGAAAATCCAATCTTCACCACTATTTTGCATTCTAAAGATTGGTGTCATGTAACATGCAAGTACAACTAACGCAACTGTGGCAAGAAAAGTGAGAACAACAATACCTTCAGAAACCGGTCTGTATGGTGGAACACCGTCGATTCTTTCCCCGTGACTCGACTTTACCATTCTTTGACACAACCTCCGCACCTTGTGTCGAGGGCCCATAATGTAAAAAACGTAGTTGTACCTTGGGTTGGCTTCCAAAAATTTATTCTGTTGACTCAATAATGCATTTCTCTCCTTAATGATATTGTTTGCAAAACTTGACGGATCAAAATTTTCGAGCTTAAATTTGGTCTTCTTTTTCCTATTATTGAAATGAAAAGGATTACTAAATGTATTAATCATCCGAGCTGTATTAATTTGAATCCATCGTTTCCATTTAGTGGATGACAATTCCCTCATCTCGTCTCCTGGCTCTTCATCCTCTTCCTCTTCCTCTTCAATATCTGCGTCCAAGTCGCGATTCAAAAACTCTTGCACCGCAGTTCCACTGAGTAACAAATTCACCACAGCTTTTTCCAATTCATCGTTGTCACCTTTCCGTTTAAACAATTTGGCTTTCACTTTTTTCAACAACCCGGATTCTTCATGTACACTTTGTAACTTGTTTGTCATGACTTCAATGAATTGCAAGAGTTGACGTTTCCTCTTGCCTTCTTCTGAAACTTGTAACGTGTTTGCAATTACGGCAATAAAGATACTCAAAATCACCATATTGGATAGAATAAACCACATAACTAAAAAAATTGATCCAAAGGATCTTGCGGATGTTGTTCCTGCGTATTCTTGTAATGAGTACATAACATCGGTCCAATTTTCAGTTGATGTGATTATGTATAATGCAATAAATGACGCAGGTAAAGTATTCATGGGCCATTCCACATCATCAAGCTCATCATGCGGGATGGTACCTTCGAAAAACCTTGCTAAAATGATGCTAACCAAATACAATAAAATGAAATAAAACAATGCCAAATCAAAAATAATACGAATGTTTTTCATAATTTTCAACCACAATGTCCTTGTGATGGAAGTGGCCAACACGACTCTGTAAAACCGCATTAGTTGAAACACGGTTAGCCAATAATATACGTGGCCCATCTTCTCCTTCAATGGCTTTATGATAATGATGAAAGTGACAATCGCCAAAAAAAGGTCGAAACAGTTTCTCTTGGAAAGGAAAAACAACCGCCATTGAGGAAAATGAACAATAAATCTAATGATAATTTCGCCTAAAAGCACACTGGTGAAACTTGCTTCAAAACGATAAAGCAAATGACGACGATACTCTGACATTCGATGTGATCGAAAACATTGAACAAACAAGCTCACCACAATGACAATGACAAACAAAAACTCAAACTTGCGATAAAGCTTGAGATATCGATTCCTCTGCTCCAACTCTTTGACCTTCTCATCGTACTGTTCGCTTCCTTCGTTGAACGTTCTAATAAACCTCCACCCTAGCCCTTGTCTCTTTTGTTGCTTTGCAACTTCCAACCTAGTAACATTGAACGAGGCAACAATCACAGCAATAAAAACATTGAGTAACCACACAGTCATGACAAAGATGCACGCAATAAAGAATAAGCACGCAGCCATGTTATCAGTATCCATTGTGTAGTACATAATATCGGTGAAGGTATTTGCACTCATTATTACAAAAACCATCTCCAACGATTGTAATATATTGTCAAAACTGACAGTACCATTGTGTGGGTTTTCTCCCGATATGCATTGAGAATACTTGGGACATCGATAGCCCTTTATCACGCCCGATGACTTCCCATCTCGTGTCAAATAGGATCGTTTCAGACCATCGAGGCCAATAAATGATCCACAATACAGATCCGAATTGACAAAGGTGTCCGACGGATCATCGGGATTTGTCCACACACAATGCCTCGTAAATGATGATTTGAATGATTGTACTCCAATAATACCAAAAAATAACCAAAAGAAGGATATAAAGATGGACACATCGATGAGTTGCGGTAATGCGATTTTACAAGCGGTAAGAATCGTATTGGTACCAACCGTTAAGTTACACAATCTCAAGATCCGTAAACAACTTAAAGCTCTAAAAAGCATGATGTGGTGTTTTGCATCATAGTGGTTAATGGATAACAAAAGGGATATCCAAAAGCAAAACAGGGAAATGAAATCAAGTCTTTGCCAACTTTTCCTAAGAAATGCTCTTTTCAACTGCGGGTCGAGTGTTTTTTGATGATTGCCTTTGAAAAATGTATTTGCTGATCTCAATCTGTAGCCTTCTGGTGGGCCAGTCTTTGTCTTTAATGGCTCCGACGTGTCTTCTCTGCCATCTTCGTGAAACAGATCAAATTCGTATTTATTTTGCAAGTTGTAGTCCACCGAGGTTCGTGAATCAAGTAACCGTTCAAAAGAGCCACTATCATCGTTGTTTATATCACCGTTATTGTAATTGTGTTGTTGGTCGTCGCCGCTAGAATCGTTGGATTCCTCTCCTAATTCATCCTTCCTCATTTCTCTTTTGCTTACCTTGTGGTTTCTCTTGAAAGGGTGCACGAAAGTACTCTTGAAAACATCCACAATGCGACGAATTTGCAAACCAGTGTAATCAAAAATATCAGGAGGATATTCGACTCCCAACTCTTTAAACATGGCTCGATCGTTAACAAGACCGTATGCAATCACTTGCCCAATGATCTCCACTGTATAGATCACATTGATTACAATTAGCAAGTAGTCAGCCCAGTTGTAGCCTGAGTAATAGTACCCGTCCAAGTTGTGTGGATCCCATTGACGATAACTCAATAATATCACTTGAAACACTAAAATGAGCAATAGAAACAGGGTCGTTAATTGATTCTGTAACACCACATGGCACATTTGTCTTAGTTTTGACGCCGGTGGGAAAATTCCAAGCGATTTGCCATACAATACTTGTCTATGTGATCGAACGGTGCCATCCGTGTGCTGTGTTTGAATAGAAGGTGCTCTTTGATATAAAAGTGAGCCCTCCGCAGAAAAATCCTGCACCAGCGCACTTTGTGCTAGGTTCAAATCACTCGAGCTATGCAAGTATACCCCCAAACCTTGTGAAAATGTAGTTTCGTTGTATACTGATTCGCCTTTGTCAGTGGTGACGGTAAATTCGGGCAAGTTTTTGGACTCCTTACCAGGACTCGGACTCAATCTAAACGACTGTTCTCCTCCTGCCTCCATAAATGATGGGTACTCCTTCACGGGTGTTTTCAAATGTGAACTCCCGTGTGATTTCACTGGAGCCAATCCTAGTTGCTCCTTTTCAGATTGATCATCTCGTTTATCACCTGTACCGGCAACACGATTCGATATTCTAGCAATTGCGTTGGTAATCTTTGATGATGCATGAGCGGGAACTTCTTTGTTTCCATGAGGATTCAAAAGGCCCGCTTCGAGGTAGTCCAAATTTGGTTCCGTACCTCGATTTGGCGATCGTGGTTTCTGTAGCGATGTATTGTCATTATAATCAGTAAATGGCGAAGGTGAGTGCAACGAGGATCTGCTTCCGTCACCAGATCGAGCTCTCTGTAGTAGACTAAGATCTTGAAGTGGTATGTTTGTGGTATAATTGTCATTTTCGCTAACATCATCCCTCGATTTGATTATTGGAAACTTTGGTGGTTCTTCTTTTGTGGGAGTAGCAACAGGGAACCATTTGGCGTTTTCATTCGTTGTACCCAATGCAGATTTCAAGCCTTCTCGTAAGTCCTTGAGATCGTTGTCGTCTAGTGAACCTTGAATGATTGGTGAATGTTGAAATGAGTCACCAAGTAGCTGCCCAGGTTCGTCCTGAGGTGTGGTGAACCGATCGGTACGGAATGGGTTATTGTCTGTGAATGTAGATCCGTGCAGTTTTCGACGAGGAAGGAGAAGACCTGTTTGGAAAGGGTTTTCGTTAGATGTAGGTATACGCTGACTGCCTCGATCGGAGGGACCTCGGGTGTAGGTTTTATTTGGATCGTATTCTTCATCGTAGGATACAGATTCCTGGGTGCTCTGAGATACGATCCGAGTGGCTCTCTCATCATTTCCCTCGGTATCAGTGACCTGCAGTATTACAAAATTAGGTGTGTTTGCACTAGTGAATTGCCTATCCATCAATCGATCTATCTTTCTTTAGCAATGAGTCTTGTTTGAAAGACATAAACGTCTTCTGAGTATGCGATGCGAGTGTGACCCAGTTGTGATGTTGACGTTTCGAAGTAATGTGTGTGGGTGTGTGTGTGTACGTATTGGTTGAATGTGATTGTTGAAGAGTGCTATTCTTGTGTAATGAGATTTCAAATCAAAGAGATAAAACTTTTTTGGTGTAATTTACCTGTTTTTTATTTTTAGAAGCTGTTCAAAGATTGCAAACAGTGGTTAGATCTGGCACTCAATATCAGAAATTCAATACTTTACTTGATGCCCATTGAGAGTCACAACGGAATACATATACTAATCCGGGACCTCTAAATTGATTTATTGTGCACGTCATGTTCCACTAAAAGAGGCGAAGCTAGTTCTAATTTTGTACTCCTCACGACATCTTTTGACGATATGCAAATAACATGCTAGTGCACTATTGCTTTAACTTTGAAGCTAACTGTATGAATTCGAATAGAAGCGGCTCACAAATAGCAGATGGATTTTCAGATGAATGCTGAAAGAGCATGATCGATTCTGATCATACAGGTGCACATCCTATGTCTCTGTGCGTCGGCAAGAAACTTACCGTAGCATGATTTTTGTCTCAGCAAAGCACATTGAGGTTACAAGTACGTTTCGTCATTATGCATTGGCTTAGTTGGGCCGATTAGATTGCATTGTTCAACGACTCAAAGTATAAAGTCTCTATTACTATGTCGCATTCTGATTGTTACAAATTTGCGACACTGATTTGACATGTATTGTCTTTTCGTGCCGAAGTTCAGATCGGCAATGACTGAGAGCCTCACCTATACTTATTGTTGTTACGTCTTTCGCTGTATCGCACTATTTTCTTCATTGTAAGCCAACGTAAACCCAATTGTAATCAAAGTTGGTTTAAGCTTTTCTTTGTTTTATTGTTGAAAATACATCACCATCAAAGTGCCCGGTTGTGGTGTTTCATGCCTCACAACCACAATACATGTCCCCGAGATCGTGGACCGAAACAAAAAAGGCCATAGTAGAGACCAAATAGGCATCTTTTCTTTCGAGTTGTTCAATAGCAATTCCCCACTATGAGTATCACACAAAACACACTTTGGAATATTGAAGAATAAAAAGTAAAAGGAGGTCTCCGATTTTGTGTGGCTCTGGATCTTCGAAGAAGGATTGACACAGTATGTATGTTTTTCTTGACACAAAGATTCCTTTAGTGTGGATATTTTTTAGATTGCTTAATATACCACTATTTAGACAGATTACTATAAAAGGAGGGTGAAAAGTGTCTTTATTTGCTCAATTAATCCCGTTTTTACTATATTCCAGTTGAACGCCACTTATCAAAACAACAAGTACGTTTACTCGACACTCCCATCACTAAGATTACCAAAGATATTAACAAATACGTCCCAAGAGAATAATAATGTCACTTGCTGGAAAAGAATTTAAATTATCCAACGGAAACAAAATCCCAGCTGTTGCATTTGGAACTGGAACTAAATACTTTAAGCGCGGCCACAACGATCTCGACAAGCAATTGATTGGTACTTTGGAACTTGCTTTGAGAAGTGGGTTCAGGCACATTGACGGTGCTGAGATTTACGGTACCAACAAGGAAATTGGAATCGCTTTAAAAAACGTTGGTTTAAACAGAAAAGATGTCTTCATCACTGACAAATACAATTCGGGTAACCATACTTATGACGGAAAACACTCGAAACACCAAAACCCATACAATGCATTAAAGGCTGATTTGGAAGATTTGGGATTGGAGTATGTCGATTTATACTTGATCCATTTCCCATACATTTCTGAAAAATCTCACGGGTTCGACTTGGTTGAAGCTTGGAGGTATTTGGAAAGAGCCAAGAACGAAGGTTTAGCTCGCAATATTGGTGTTTCCAATTTCACTATTGAGAATTTGAAATCTATCTTGGATGCCAACACCGATTCGATCCCAGTGGTTAATCAAATTGAATTTAGTGCTTACTTGCAAGACCAAACTCCAGGAATTGTTGAATATTCACAGCAACAAGGAATTCTTATTGAAGCTTATGGTCCATTGGGCCCAATTACTCAAGGAAGACCTGGGCCCTTGGATAAGGTTTTGTCAAAATTGTCAGAAAAGTACAAGAGAAATGAAGGTCAGATCTTATTGAGATGGGTGTTGCAAAGAGGTATTTTGCCCATTACTACAACCTCTAAAGAGGAACGTATTAATGATGTTTTGGAAATTTTCGATTTCGAGTTGGATAAAGAAGATGAGGATCAGATCACTAAAGTCGGAAAGGAAAAAACTCTTAGACAATTTTCGAAAGAGTATTCCAAGTATGATTGAGGATACCTTGTGATAGATGCCGAATGCATATACGGGTAGTTGTGTAAGGTAATTCCCCCCCCCCCCCCGCATTGACTTTTTATGGCTGTATACTTGCAATAGCCAATCTCAGAGATGAAACTGAGCTACTATGTGCATGTGTGCGTGTGTAGATCTGCATTGACAGCGTAAATCTATCGTCTCTATTGCGACAATATAACACGTCCCTCTCGCCAAAGATCGCAATCCCCTTGCTCTTCAACTCAATTCTTCAGCAATTATACTTTCCAAAATACGGCCATCACTTTCGGGGAACTTCGCAAACTCATGGGCTTGCACACTTGCCAATATCGATTTAAAATCATCATTGCAATTGCACTTGGCACAATAATTCATTTTAACAAATTCATTGGCAATTTCTTCTTGATGATTGTCCATCAATTGATTGTTAGCCACCACAAGTAACCTTTTGTGATTACGTAGTGTATCGATGATTGAACCAGTTCCCGCGTGTGAAATTATAATGTCGGCCCGGTTAATGTAGTCTTGAATGTGTGGAGAAAAAGGGAACGCGGTGATTTGTATGTCGTTATTGGTTAGCATCATTGTATCATTTGTGGTGTTGTTCTCTACTGTGAACCCAAATTTTTCAATGATGTTGCTCTTTTTCAATTGTGATTCAAAGAATTGGCGACTGATATGTTGTGATCCTTTGATTTCATTGCCATATTGTATGAGTAACTTCGTGACGCCCAAATCAATCAAGGATAGAACAAATTTGACACTGACTACCGTCTCAATTAGTTGCCTAAATGTGACTGTAGCACCAGTGGTTACCAAAATTGTTGACATATCTCCTCAAGCGATACCCCAATCTCATTCCCGAGCTCGTTTAGGATTTACGCGATAATTTTTTTTCTTTTATTTTTTCAGATCGTAAACCACTCTTTTTCTTTTCTCATATATCAAATCATACGACACGATGAAGGTGCTATTCTACGGATTGATTCCCATCGCCCTCTATGCTATATTCAACTACTTATTCCACACATGGCTACCAACGAACTACCGATTTGACAAAGTCGTATTGCAAAACTTGGTGCAAGATGTATTAAAAGACCACCCAGATGGAAATGCCACTGCAATAATGATTGACTTGGCCCCCAGAATCAAGCAAGAGTACCCTGACTTGATCAATGACTTGAATTTCAATGACTGGTTTTACAATAATGCTGGTGGAGCAATGGGGCAAATGACAATTTTGCATGCGTCGATTTCTGAATACTTGATCTTTTTCGGAACTGCAGTAGGGACAGAAGGCCATACGGGAGTTCATTTCGCTGATGATTATTTTACGATCTTGAGTGGTGAACAAAGGGCCGCTTACCCTGGTAGTATGGAACCGGAAGTGTACAAACCTGGTGATCAACATCATTTACCCAAGGGTCATGTCAAACAATACGCCATGCCTGGTGGATCATTTGCATTGGAATTGGCCCAAGGTTGGATTCCGGCAATGTTGCCCTTTGGTCTTTTGGATACTTTGAGCTCAACATTGGATTTCTACACTTTCTACTTGACGTCGTACTATACCGCTAAAGATATGATTAAGAATTTGTTGAATGGAAAATTTTGAGTTGGATGTTATACGCTACCGAATGAGGCATTGTTGCAAAAAAAAAAATAAACAATAGAGAGAGACCAAAACAAACGCGATACATGCAATATAAAAGTAAGTGAAACTTTTTAAATTAAACTGTATTAATAAAAGATGTTCTAAACTGATTTTAAACGACAATGTAGTTGATACAACGTTAGGAACTAAATAAAAATTAAAACAAAATGACTTTTTTTATTCCGTTAATGGAGTCGTATTTTTCTTTTTTTGTTTTTTTTTTTTCTTCGTGTCTTTTTACATTCTGTGGCCACCCAATTGTAATAATGATTTGGCCACGCTGAAACTGTTTGGTGTACCCAAAGTGTTATTATGGAAAGGCGACGACGTTAAAACTGTCTTTTTCTCCCTTTCTTCTCCATCATCCTCGTCGTTATCATCATCATCATTGTCATCGTCATCAGCGATTCTGGTTTCGTCGATAGACTCTTGTTGATCAATTGTAGTATTGTTGTGAAGTGTAGAATTCTGCAACATTGTCATATCGTTATCTTCATCTATAGTGTCGTCTACAGTAGTAGGCATTCTTGAAGCAGAAGCAGTGGTGGGAACGACTGAAGGTGCTGCATTATTGAATGATTGTTGGAACCTCAATGAACGCGAAAGATTAGCGCGTTTGATTGGTGTTTTCAAAATCTTGTTGATTGGTGGCAATTGTGTTTGTGTTTTGTGATTTAGGGTTATTGCTGGTAATGCTGTGTTTAAAGTCGAAGTAAGGGCGACAGGAGCATGGTCATGGGTAGCTTGAGAATGGGCATTGAATGACGAGTTCGTTGAACCGTATATGCTAATGGAAGGACAAAATATATTGAAGCTTGGTGCGGAATGTGCTGCTGCGTTATTATTGGTGGTAGTGCTGCTGACTTGTTTTTCACGAATCAATGGTAGTTTCTTTTGAGTACTTGAATAATGAATGCTGTTTTTCTTTATTTGAAATAGTTTTAATTTTTGATCTCTCTTTTTGGTTTTGCTTTGAGCAACATTTGACAATGATGTTGTTGTCGATAAAGAGGGAACTCTTGTTCCTGATTGCAAATTAACATTAATTGATTTGGTGTAGTAAGTTTTAGGTTCTGGTGGGGTGAGTAATGATGACATGGCCTTGGCTGTATGTATTTCGTAATTTGGTGATGCAGTTGGTGTTCCCTTTTTGGAAGCCGAAGGACTCAAAATTGGGTTCAAGAAGTTAAGTTGAGCAAGTTTGTCATTGTTCTTGGGTACTGTATCAGTAGTGGTGGTGGCAGTGATAGTGTTGGTGCCGGCGGTGGTGCTCGTTGAAATTGGTTTGTTTTGTTGTACTTTATAAAGAGCAAATTGTAATCTCAACTTCAATTTCGTAGCGGCCAAACCAGCTTTATCGTTCTTGAATGCTGAGGTTGATGATTTCAAACGCAAAGTAGGAGAAGTATCAGATGTTGTATTGTACTCTGCGAAACTGATTGATTTGGCCATTGCTGGTGATCTCTTGCTGTTATAGTATGTGCCCGATTTTTCAATTGAAAATGACTTGGTGACCATATCAGGAAATCTTTTTCTTTTATGTTTACTTGGTGTGAGACTAAACATCGACTTGAAGTCGTCAGTGGTTTGACGAATGTAAGTTGTTGTTTGTTTATTGGCTAATGGCGTTGAAGAGTTTAAGGACCGGTTTGAGTTCAATTGACCATCCCCAATTGTTGACAATGCTGTTCTGTTAGTTACCATTGGCATTTTTTGTAAATTGTTTTCCCAAAAGCGTGTCTTTCCGGGTACTAGCGCGTCTTCTTTTTGTAGTTTTCCCTTACTTTGAATTACCAGCAGTCGGCTTCTTCTCCTTTTCCACTAGCGCTGAGATACGTAGAAGGCGGTGGGTGTTGTTGAAAAAGGATTGAAAAGAGTTCAATTGATTAGCCTTTTTTTGCTCAAAACAAGTGAATGGATTTGGATGAAAAATAGTATAGCGTATATACAAATACTAAGTTTAGAGTTTTGGTGTTTCTGGAGGGTTTACCTATTTTCGCTTTTGTTGTAGTAATAATTTTGGTGTTTTGTGTCTTTGTTTGGTTACTGAATTGGGCATCGATCAAAACAAACAAAAAAACATGAACTCGAGAAAAATAGAGACAGAGGAATGCATGGGTTGTGAGACAAAACCACACAACAACATACATTCTTTAGTTCTACCTGCTTTAATATTTACATGTTGGGTATTACCCTTTTTGAAAGGAATGGCTGGATGAAGTCAATTGACAAACAAACAAACAACAAAAATGTAGATCTCTAGGTGGGAGGTAGGTTTTAAGAGGTGATTGATGAAAAACGTTTGACATTTGAGATCGTTTACATTTTATGCATGTTGTCTGTGGTTGTTGTTTTGACTTGAAAATTTGAATACGAAAAGATCGAGTCAAATGGTCTTGTGACTGTCTTGTGTTAGGGAATCAATAGTAATAATCACGTATTGGAGATTGTGAGTTCTCGGAGGTAAGACAACAGCTATTACGCAATAACAAACAAAAGAAGTTGAACTAGGAGCACAGAACAGCACAGCACAAGGAGAAAAAAAGAAACGCGTTAAAGTGTGATACAAAAGCTCAGATTATACATCACGCACACGACCTATATAGATGGCTCAAACGTAACTGTTAGACAGTCGTAACCTTCCGCTTAGAAGGTGCAACCTTATTACTTGATCATGTTGATTTGGGGACGTATTATTCCTTGTATGTTTGATATCATATACCATGATGACGATTTATATCCCCATTACGTGTCGCGAAAAAAAGCTTTTGTGTTTTGTGTGTGTGTGTAATATTTTTAGTTCATCGTTTAGCATTGTACTACCACAACCTACCCTTTTGGGCTGATGGTGTGTCTCTTTTTGTTTACAGTTTCCAAACAATACAAATTGTGACATATATGGCGAAGTGTAGAGAAAGATGTCAGATCCAGCAATGTAAATAAACAAATAACATTGCAATGCGGCATCACAGACTTTATGCATGGGCTCTTAATGATACATCCAGATGGGATCTTCTGAGTGAAAGTCACTTCTCTAGATCATGGTAAACTTTTGAACACGCAATTTACAAACAACTACATAAGTTTATTGAGTTCCATTAAATGCGATGGACATGTCCTGAGGAGCGACTTCAGAAACTACAACTCACCTGACTCCTGAATGTGAAAAATGGATAAAATGAAAGGTGTTTCTTGTGTAGATAATGGTTTTGCTACTAATTTTACAAAGGCTACACGCAAAATTCGAAAAATTGCCTCGTTGCAGCCATATTGCTTCTTCATTTGAAACAAAAATACAGTGCTTCCGGCGAGGGATGCTCAATTAGAAACTTGCCCCCATTAACTAGTTCTTCTTTAGTTCTTTTTGTTGACCATTTGACGAAAGAGGAATTGCACGTGCCGCGACACTTTCTAGGCATTACATTACACAAAAGTAGGCTATCTTAAAGATAAGAAAAAATGAGGAAACAAACAAGAACGAGAAGAAAAAAGAACGGAGTGATAGAGAAGGAGCAACTCTCCTGAGAACACATTCAACTCCATCTTCACAATGCTCAGATCAAAGCTATCATCACTTCGAGAATACCTCACCCCCATAAACCATAACTCTAATTTCCTCACTACGGGAGAGATTAGCCCGGAAGAATTTGTTCAAGCAGGTGATTACTTGGTATACAAGTTCCCCACTTGGCAATGGAGCAGATGCCCCGATAAATTACAAAAACTGTTTTTGCCTCCAGATAAACAAGTATTGGTCACTAAACATGTGCCTAGTCGTGTGAGGGCATCTAATTTTGAAGGAGAACTAGAGGAGGAGGATGATGATGATGGAGTGGTCGTAGGTAGTGGTCATGACGACGGCGAAAAGGGCAAGCACGAAGAGGACGAAGAATATGGTTTAATCAAGTCAAACAAACCCGCTGGGAAACTGATTGAAAGTAGTGCTCAAACTAATGCAAATGAAGAAATTGTTGATATAGATGATTTGATAGATAACGATGCCGAAGAAGCGGATGAATTGGACCACGATTTTGATGATTTGGATATTGTATACGATTCAAACAATCAGCTCAGAAAATATGACTTGTATATCACCTACTCGACATCGTATCGAGTGCCGAAAATGTACCTTGTTGGGTTTGATTCAAATGGTATACCACTATTGCCAAAGCAAATGTACGAAGATATAAGCGCCGACTACAAAGACAAGACGGTGACTATTGAAAATCTCCCCGTGGCTTCCAACACTACTTCCGTATCAATACATCCTTGCAAGCATTCATCAGTCATGAAAGTGCTCATGAGTCATCAACGAAAAAAGAAGGAAACTCAAGTGGAGAAAGATTTGCTGAATTTATCTATTGAAAATATAGAACCAGAAGCAGAAGGGATCAGAGTTGATCAATATTTAGTGGTTTTTCTCAAATTTGTTGCTAGTGTGATCCCAGGGATTGAGTATGACTACACGATGGATGCTTTGTAATTGAACTAAACGTATAAAGTTGTTTTTTGTTGAAAGAATTGAATTTCTAAAATATGAAGATTGTAAATCCGCTACTCCTAGCTCATTATCTTGACTCATCATCGGCATATTCAATATGCTCTCTTTCGTTAATAATGTTTTTGATACCATTATTACCCAATTTCTCCATCATTTCACCAGCATCAAAAGTCTTTGGAATAGTATGTTTGAATTTTCTAGCAGGTACACCTTGTTCAAACAATTTATCCAATTCAGCGAAAGTTCTATTTTTGGTTTCTGGTAATTCAAACCAAGTCCAAATGGCAGCAAAAATGGCAAATCCAGCCCAAAAGAACCCCGTCTTGGCTTTCCAGTTCCATTCAGTTGGATTCAACATATAACTGGAAAGAATACCAACAACAATACCGGAAACATTATAAAGGAATCTTGACAACATGACTGTCTTTTGTCTCAATTTGGCTGATGGCATTTCGGGGACAATACAATAACACATTGGACCCACAGTTAAGTCATAGACAAATGTGTAAACCAACAACATGGACCCAATACCCCAACTAGCGCCAGTGGATGAAGCGCAGCCCAACCCACCAGTAACCAAAAGAAGAACAGCTTGTGTGCACAATCCCCCGAAAAAAATCGGGAATCTACCGAGCTTTTGTGACAAAAACCATGAGCCAAATGTACCAATGATACCAAGGCAATATTGAATGATGGAGAACGTGAAAGCATTGGAAAGATCCAATCCTGCTTGTTCATAAAAATAAGTTGAGTAACCCATCAATGCTGAACCAGTAATGTTTTGAAATAACCAAGTAATTCCTGCGATTCTTGTTCTTCTGAAATTTTTGCCAGTAAAACATTCTTTGAAAGTTGCCCCTTTGCTAGTGGCATCTTCTTCTCTAACAATCAATTGAATTTTGGTAACCATACTCTCGACAACTAAACTCTTTTCTGGTAAATAGGAATTAGTAGTCAATAACCTCATCAATGAATGTTTAGCTTCTTGTAATCTTCCCTTCTTGACCAAGAAGTATGGTGACTCTGGGGCCAAATATACACCAATCAAGATTGGAATTGGCCAAATCCATTGGATAGCATAAGCAATACGATAAGCATGAGGATCACTCATGTTCGAAATGCCTTTGATAACCCCAGCAGAAATCAATTGACCAAAAACCCAACACACATTGACATAGGTTGTTAGATACACTCGCAAACTAGCCGGTGCAATTTCTGATGCATAGGTCACAGTAATTGTTTGATAAGACCCCCAATTGATACCCAATAAGATATAAGATAAAAGCAATACTTCACGATTTGGAGCAAAAAACTGAATAAAGATTAACCCGATAGAAGTCGCTAATGCCGGCATCAATGTCTTTCTGTACCCGATCTTGTCAGCGAATATACCAGCCCACCATAACCCGATCAATTGGCCACATTGGTAACCCATAGATAATCCAGTTTGCCATCTTGCTGGCACTTGATAATCATTGATATCAGGAAAATAATCACCGAACTTCTTTCTAAACCCAGGATAAGCATAAAAACTCGTCAACAAATTTGTATCGTACCCTTCCATAATCAACGCCGTTGATAAAATCAATGACCAAGCAATAGCCTTGGGGAACGTTTTGACCCCCTCCTTCAAAGTCATTGTCTTTTCTCTTTGGTCATCAGCACGAGCATCTTCCGACATCTCCAAAAACTTGGAAATGTAGTCATCGACATCAGCAGTTGAAGTAGCTGCGGCAGTTGACTTGTCATCAAGTTCACTTGATACTGAAGCGGCACGAATCACCTTCACATCATCCCCTTTGATCTCGTAGACATCATCATTGGAATCACCCATCTTTTGAATATGTGTTTATTTTGGTTGATGGAGTGGCTCTGTTTTTCATTTGAAGAAGAGGGATTCAGCTGAGTATTTATATTAAAGTCGGTATGAGCGTCTCAATTTAATTATTTTGCAGCTAAATTGGTTCTTCCGCTATTTGAAAAATAAGCTTTTGTATCAACACTAAAGCACCATTTGAAGAAGAAATTGTCCTGTTTGATTGTATTGAGCAGCGAAAGGCGGAGAAGTATAAATGAATGAGTTAATGAACGAGCCGTGCATTTTTTTCTTCTTTTTCTCTTTTTGTAACCTTTCTTTCAATGTGAAAAGAACTGGAAAAATGCAAAGCAGGGTAAAATAACTCATCTGTAGACTGGCTGTGAGTGGCTCCTTGGTGACATTTGATTGGTTGAAACTCAACATTTGATCACTGTGGACAGTGTTAAATCAGCTTTTAAACTGTTGTGCAGTTTTCATCACGAGCTCCACATGAAATTAAATCCCTTGTACATACGTATATGCTGAAAAGCTAAATCTGTAGGGTTGATTAGTTTTTTCTTTGACCCTTGGCACCAAAACTCACAAATAATTTAAGTTTTTTTTTCGAAAAGCTCGGAGAATTACAATTTTTATTATACGTTTGGATTTTCAATGAAAGGTACAAAGTGCTTACAAAAGACAACTAAAGTGTCATATAAACAATACCCTATTGTTTCACCCCACATTCCATTAGTTGACAAGTCTCGTAAAAATTTTGGTCGGTCTTTGTTCCTTTTGTTTTTTGGTTGAGTGGTTAGTTCTACGTAATGCTTCTTGTTTTGTTGGTCTTGTTAACAATGAGAGGATAACCACGAAGAATGATACATCTTCTTTACTAAGTTTATGAGAAACTTTTCTCTCTTCGTCTTAGTTTTGTTTGCAGGCACTCTTCTTTGAAACATTCACTCCACATACATGGAGTGAGAACAGAAACTTTTTTTGGTGATCTTTGCTGGTTAGTTTTGTGTCAACAATTCAGTGGATGCATGCCAACTTAAACCTTATTGGGGTTGGAGCTTGAATACAAATCGGGAGGGAAAAAGGTCACAGTTGTGTGTGGTTAAAGAGGGGAAGCAATATTGCTTCTCATATAGTTTGACATGAACCCCCATTTGTCTAAGTTTCTCCGGCAGTGAAAGTTTCATATCGGCTAATGTTACCTCGCTGTTGGTGTTGTTGTAGAGAGTAGTGATGAAACAGCGATCCATCACGGAAGGGTGTCTACAGTCTCTCGTGTCTACCCCGCGTGAGTGGAGACGGTGCGGTTTAACTTTTAGGGGATGGAAGTTGTTGAGACCAAAACTTTCCCCAACAAAATAACAGGAGACCTTACAAACCCTTACGAGGCGTATACATTCGGCACATTTATCGCAAAAGCTTGGAGTAATTTATGGACCGAGCTTTGATAGTATAGATCATTATGTGTGGGGGATCAATACAAACAAAATAGTACTTATCTTAGTGAGTGCTATTTTATTGGCGTATATTTCGAGTATCAGCAAATTCTAATACTTGTTATTGTTCTCGAATGCTCGAATCTACTGAATTTTCTCATTCAAAGTTAGAGCGACCATTGTATAGGAGTGCTCTCAAAAAGAAATTTATGCTCAGAGGGTGGGGGAAAATGGTATTGCTTTTTAGACAAGAATAGATAGAACAACAGAAATTTAGTTAATCCGAGAAACAACGCGATAATATTCCGAGCATTTTCAAAAATTAACTGAATCTTATGATGTATCGATAATATCTCTTTGTAAACCTCCCCACAAATAAAAAATGCCGCCCCACGAAGTCATTGACTGGTAAATACTAATTTTTCAGAGAATAATGGATATCCCCGTGCTATTCCTCCGAAATCTTTTTGTTTTATTCAATAACAATTTAGACACTACAGAGCTGATTATCAAGATACTAAGCTACAACAGAGATTATAAAAGGTAACACTATCTTTCACTTAATTAGACTTGTTTCTATCAATACAACAAAGATATTACAATAACTTAGACTCACATAATCAAAAATGACTATTGATTACACCTGGTGGAAAGACGCTACAATTTATCAAATTTACCCAGCTACATTTGCAAAAGGGTTAAAAGGAAGATACACTGGAAATGATAAGACATTCGATGGCGCTTGTGGTGACATTCCCGGTATCATTTCCAAATTGGACTACTTGAAGGATTTTGTTGATATCATTTGGCTCAGTCCTCAATATGATTCACCACAAGATGACATGGGCTACGATATTAGTGATTATCAGAACATCTATCATAGATACGGTACCTTGGAAGATATGCAAAAATTGATTGACGGTTGTCACGAACGTGGTATGAAAATCATTGCTGACTTGGTTATCAATCACACTTCATCGGAACACGAGTGGTTCAAAGAATCCAGATCATCCTTGGACAACCCAAAAAGAGACTGGTACATTTGGAAAAAGCCAAGGTATGACGAAAAAGGAAATAGATTACCACCAAACAACTGGTTGTCGTACTTTTCTGGATCTGCTTGGGAATACGATGAAGCCACTGATGAGTACTTTTTAAGGTTATTTGCCAGTACTCAACCAGATTTGAACTGGGAAAATGAAGAAACCAGGAATGCCATTTACGACACTGCTTTGAAGTTCTGGTTTGACCGTGGAGTTGATGGATTCAGAATTGATACTGCTTGTTTGTACTCAAAAGATCAAAGATTCCTTGATGCGCCCGTTGTTTACAAGGACCAATATTATCAGCCAAGCGACAAATACACATCAAGTGGTCCTAGAATTCATGAATTCCACAAGGAAATGTTCAATAAGGTCACTTCCAAATATGATGTAATGACTGTGGGTGAAGTTGGACATTGCTCCAGAGAGCAAGCTTTGAAATATGTTAGTGCTTCCGAAAAGGAAATGAATATGATCTTCTTGTTTGACACTGTTGATGTTGGATCAGATAAGAATGACAGATTCAGGTATTATGGGTTTGACTTGAAAGATTTCAAAAAAGCGGTACAAGACCAATGTGACTTCATCGAAGGTACAGATGCTTGGTCAACTGTATTTATTGAGAACCACGATCAACCAAGAAGCATCACGAGATTTGGTGATAAAAAGTATCTAGCTAAGAGCGGTAAATTGTTGGCCCTTTTACAAACCACTTTAACTGGTACCTTATTCATCTACCAAGGGCAAGAAATTGGTATGACCAATTTGCCAAGAGAGTGGCCCATTGAAGCGTATAAAGATATCAATACCATCAACTACTACAACACTTTTAAAGAGAAGTACGGGTCCGATCCTGATTTTCCACAAAAGGAAGAGAAACTTATGGATCTTATCAACTTGTTGGCTAGAGACCATGCTAGATCCCCAATGCAATGGGACGATTCCGAATTTGCTGGATTTTCTGAATACGAACCTTGGACTAAAGTCAATCCAAATTATAAGGACATCAATGTTGCCAGTCAAATTGATGATCCAAACTCATTATTGAACTTTTGGAAGAAATCATTGAAAGTGAGAAAAGAGTATAAGGATTTGTTGATATATGGATCATTCGGAATCTTGGATTTTGATAATGAACGAGTTTTCACCTATGTCAAGAGCTTGCCTAACTCTGAGTATCCAAAAGCTTATATTGTGCTCAACTTTTCTAAAGAATCCGCCAAATTCAATAAATTGATTGACGGAGAGTACAAATTGATCAATGTTAATATTGGCAAAGATGACCTCGACGAAGATAATTTAACCCCCTACGAAGGAAGAGTTTACATTGTTGATTAGCTGATTGTTTGTACTTTATAGACTTTTTCATAGATGTTATAGAAATAAACATTGGTGAGACTCATATGGTAGCATGTATTCACGTAGAAGTATTTCCCAATCAGTCAAAAAATTTTCACCAAAAACGACACTGGAACCATACCAGATAAATAGCCTTTTACCTCACAATGTTGAACTTTTTCCTGAATATATCATTCAGATCCACACTTTTCCAACAATGCATTAATCCAAACTTGCTCCAAATTAGGACGAAAATGAAGTCACATAAAGCGATAACAAGCAGGCTAATCAAACGTACTTCAGGATTAAAGAGAAAACACGCTGGATTGAATCATGGTTTGGGTAGGTTTAGTGCACCATCATTGAAACATTTAAGAGGAATGACAACGGTTAAGAAAGAAGGGGGGTATTTAAAGAAGATGTATCCGCATGCTTGAACTACATGTGTCTATTTAAAATCCTTGTACATACATACATATATCCTAATCAGATGCTTTGATTTGCTCATGCTTTATAGTTTCCCATTTCCCACTTGTGTTGTCTCTTAGAAGCTCGGTGGTTGGAAAGTAGTGATAATCAGTTTTCAAAGAAATTGCAGCAGGGATATTATCAAAAGACACTATTCTGAGTTTTATATATGTCTTGTCCGGAATGCATTTCACCACATTGATAAAACTTGTTAAATCTTTAGTCTCTTGATCATTGACATGAGTTATAAAACTAACTGGGACAATTCCGTATTGATGTGCAGGACCACATGAACTTTTATCAGTAACAAATACTTCTGATGGAATTTTTGTCATTAGTTGTCTTACTCCATAATGAGGCTTTTGTAGCAATGCTCCCGACCAAAATACAACATGTGATGTGTCCAATGTGGCGGTTTCTATAGTAGGTACAGTCAAATCCAACTCTTTCTTTTGACGAATGATTTTGAAATTGAGATACTCGTTGTGATACATTGGTGCAAAATCTCTCAAGCTTCGCACCAATGTGTCATTTACAGAGAGGATTATGTCACCAACTCTCAATGGATTTGGTTTATCTGACAAGCTTGGTGCAGCAATCCTGTCAACTGATAAAAATCTAATCAGGTCTTCTGCCCCTTCTTCGAATTTACCGATCCATGATTGCGGTACGCCTCTCGTTCTTCCTTGGAAAACAGTTGTCGAGGCAAATTCAGCACTCAACATTCTCAACTCCAATGGGACCTCATTTTTTTCAAGCAGCTTTATAACGTCCTCGACATCAGTGACATCCAAACCCATTTTGTAGGATACATCATTAGACTCTCCCAAATACGACAACCAAAATGCTCTCACCGTTCCATCACGATCCACTAATATACCAGTTCCGCACTCTTGGGTAATCTTACTATCCAACAAAATGCACTCTAAATTAGTACCTCTATAACGTGGTGCCATCGTATTGGCAGTTACATTCAATGATGCAATTGAACTGACTTTAACATCATCAGTAACCAATCTTAAATTGTAATTGTACCCCACAAAAAACACATCATCACCTCGCTTCAAAGGCAAATCCGAGAATTTTGGTGTTTGCACATCAGCTAGTATCAAGCTTGGGTCATATTTGATTATGGCATAGTTCAAGTGTGGATGCAAAAACACAACTTTTCCAGCAACATCAATTGATTCTGCAAATACAACAAATATATCACACATGTAGTGAGGAACAAAGCGCCGTGATGTTAATACGTATCCATTTGCAGCATCAACGACAACACCGTAGCAAATATCCTTTTTAAATGGGTGCGAATCAACACCACTAGGACATAATGTCCTAATTTGCACAAATGACCTGACCAATTTCGAAATTTCTTCTTTGCTGGGATCGTTGAATGGTATATCCACGTATTTAGCATTCTGTGGAGTTGGTGCAATTGGCGGTAGCGGTTTATCCTGCAATGATACAAAATCCCATAACCCAGTCTTGTCATTCCTTGTAGCCATTTTGAAAGACGTGTACCAATGTCTATCTATGTATATAGTCTGAACATACTCGGCATTCATATCAGATACATGACGATACGTGACAGGCACTCTTGAACAATCGGGTAATTTTTTCATCACTTCGACAAATTCGTCTAAATTAGCAACTGATTTATCATCAACAGTCTCCACCAAGTACCCAAATGGATCTTGATTTGAAAATTCATACGATCCTGCTCCGTCATTTACGTATAATCCTCTCACTGGCAAGCAATAACACCGAGCAACTTGATACGAAAGGTCATTGAATGATGCACCTGCAACTTGCACATATCTATTTGGTGTTATGGCGTGTAGGTCACCAACTTTAATGAGCTGTTTCATTTCAACTCCACTTCGTTGCACGACAAATTCCAATTCCTTACCGACATTTTCATCAAGTATTTCATCAACCCTGATAAATGTCGATACAAACTCCCCATTAATTGAAATCAATGTGTCTCCCTCCTTAATCAAACCATCAGCTGGACCTTCAGGTAAAACCAACTCTGCTACCAACAATCCAATCTTATCGGGAAATGTCTTTCTTGCGAGGGTCTCAGCTTCGGCAGTCAATCCAAATCTAGAGCATTCATTAAAAGGCTTCAACTCCCATTCCACTTGAATGTCTCCTCTGGTGATTGGTTTATCCTCCTGTATACATTGAAGTGCTCTCTTTGGTCTATTTACAAGCAAAAAGAAATCCGTTGATGCTTCAGTAGATCCCCCTGCTTGTAAGGCAACACATTTCCCATCTTCATTCACCACTGGGGACCCTGATGATCCTCCAGTGGCTGATGCTGCTGCTTGTATGTACTCTGTATTGAAATCATTGTAAGTTAATGCTCCATAGTCAGGAGCATTTCGGTCAATTCTGGAGATAATACCAGCAAGTATGGAAAGCTTCTCACCATTATCATTACCAACAACCCTAATTTCTGTACCAACTTTGGCTAATGTAGGTTCTAGATCGAGTTGACTCAATTCCAAATACTTAACCTCCTTGGTATCAAATTGTAGAAACCCAAAATCATGAACAGGGTCTCTATATATTGGTTTAACATCGACTGATTCATGATTATCAAACACAATGTATCCCGTGAATGGACCTGGTCCAACCACATGTCTGTTAGTCAAGATCAATCCTCGTTCTGCATCCACGACAAATCCCGTAGCTTCACTGACTATTGCTGTTTCTGTATCGAATGGTGCCACATGCGAAAACTGTATTGAAACTACAGAGTTTACGACTTTTTTGATGGTTTCTTGCCACTGATTACTGTTGGATAATGCGACATCTAACACTGGTGGTTGTGGTGGTATCACTGATGCGTCTGATGAATCCGACTCCAAAATTATGTCTTCCTCAGCTGCTTCGATACCGTCCAAATCTGCGAGACCCGGATCACCTTTGGACCTCTTTGTGCTTCCATTTATATACAAGTCACCCTCCCTTTTCATAGTGTTATGTGGTTTGGGAAGTTGTTGATGAAACGTCTACGCAGAACGAGAATTTTTTTTTTCATATTTTGTATTGTTTCTTTTTTTTTTTTGCAATCGCGATGATTAACCCCATTCTGTGAAGTGAGAAGTCTCTATAAAACGCACGCGTATAAGATTATTTCTATAAATCTCCAACTATTTTCTTTGACCATGTAGCAAAGTATTTGTTTTGAGTATCAGACTGGTATAATACCTCCCCATGAATCATTGCACCAAAACGCTCCATCAAGTCCCAACCTTCCCCAATCATGCCAATGTACTCATCATTCAAGGTCTTTTCCATTAACGCCTCGTTGCCATACATATACTGCTTTTCAATGTCTTGCACCCATGGCTCCTCCCTAATCCACTCTTCGATTAAAGTACACCACGATTGAAGAGATGCCTTCAGCAATGCCCCCTTTTGATATTGCAAAAGCAAATTCATAAACTCGGCTTTTGCCCCAATCTTGTCGTGTAGTAGCCTGTGATTTATTCGAATATAGGCTGTGTAAACTATCCCACATGCTAATGACCAATCACTCTTCTTTGCAAACTTGTGTTTGTGAGAATAAAAAGTGGACAACATTTGGACAGTGTATTTGCTAGGGATGTAGAAGGTGTTGCAAAATGTGATGAATTCGCTAAGCAGAACAAGTTTGAACGTGTATTTGTAGTTTCCTCTTGTGGGTGTGTTGGTTTTGTTCACAAATGAAGATTTTGTCTTTTTACCAGGAGGGCTTGAGGGCTTGTCATCGTCATTATTCTCTTCCAAATCCCCTGCTACTGCTGCTGCTTTAAGCTTCTTCAATGGGGATCCAGACTGCTTTTCTGGGTTATTCGGCGCTGAATTTTTCAAAGGAGTGGACTGACGCTTCCTAGGGCTTGAGGTTGGCGTACTAGCAGCAGACATTTGATTGACCAATTCACGAAAGTCGTCCAATAGACGCATCACGACTTGGGGCTTTATCGGTATTTTCGTCACATCTGGTGTCGGTAGATTGAATATTGTTTGAAATTTCTCAGCAATCACAAATGTGCACAAGTGGTAACGTCCGATCTCCGCATTGTTAGGCAAGGAACCACTCTTGCGTAAACTTATATTGTATAATGAGTCGATGTAAGTTGATAGCTTGCGTCGATTTTCACCAGAATATGAAGGGATGATGTCCTTGATGGACTGGTTGATCTGATTCGACGCCATTATGGTTAACAAAGCAGAGGTATTGCGTTATATCAAATCTAGTCGTTCACATGTTCATATTTTTCAGAGATAATTGTCAGGAGTTTCATTTTTTCGACATTCAAAGTTTTTTTTTTACGTCAAAGAATAATTCAACCAACCAAATTTTTTCCTTTAACAGTTACGCAATCCACCAGAAGAATATATCTTTGTATCTGCTCTAGTGTGCACACGGTCATCATATTGACAGAGCCATACATATCTATACTTTACAATCGAAGCACAACTAGTATACGTATTGTGCCTACAGCTAATCAGATCTTTTCCAAATGTTATCAAGAGTTATAATCAAGCCTGCAATATTTGCTCGTAGCTTTGCATCTACAGCAATCATAAGGAATTCAGAATTGGCCAAGCCTACAGATTCTGCTGGGAAAGAAATCGTATCAGGTGCCCCAAGAGACCTTGTTACTAGTAGGGTAGTCAGGATATATCAAGAAGCCAAGCCAGCCACACAATCAGGACACCACAATGGTCACAACTGGAAGTTGGACTGGGACGTTTTGGGTAAAGGCAACAGATGGGAGAACGACTTGATTGGGTATCAATCATCCTCCGATTACATGCAAGGAACTATAATGAAATTCGACACCAAGGAAGCTGCTATTAGGTTTGCCGAGAACCAAGGTTGGGACCATTACGTCCAGGAGCCCAAGAAGTTACACTTCAGAAAGAAGGAATATGCTGCCAACTTTTACCACTCATCTGGTCCATTGAAACATATCAGAACTAAGTAGATTGGCGATGGGTAGAATTAAAGAAGACTTTGCTTTTTGAAAAAACGAGGTTAGTATATACAACTCTAATTGAGTAATCTTAACCCCATTGCAAAGCATGATGTAGGTTCGTAAGTCTGATCCTCTCCAGAACCACGGAGATGCGCGATGAAATGCGTCTAAAGAAATGCGATTAAAAAAATAAAAATAAAAATATAAAAAAAAAATTCAACTAAAACTTGTCAGATAAAAACAAAAAAAAAGAAAAACCGGAAAGAGTTAATCTATCAAGACTTCTCTTGCTACCGGTACTTCATTTGTATATATACTTGAAAAGAGACAGCAGCTTGCGTGTCTTCCATATTGAACCACTGACAAGGCTTGAAGTGTCTGCTAAATTTTTAGGATTGTTTGTGGAGTATCAATACAGAGGATTACCACAAGGAACATGTCTTACGGTGGTGGCTATTACAGCCATAGGTACGGGCAGCGAAGGGAACGGTATGAATCATATAGGCCGAATCGCTCGGTAGCCCCTTCTCAAGGTGGGCCTCGAGACTCCAACCCGCTGCCTGTACATTCACTACATATAGATGAGGGAAAGCCCGATCACCATCGCTATCATCATCATCGCGATAGGACAGAGTACACAAAAGGTTATCAGGGGCGACTGTCGCGATGGGATTCTGCCGAAAATTCAGGGCGAAATACTCCTTTATCTGCCAGTACCAATGGTTCACAATCTGAGGCTTATTCTAATACCAACACGAGAACCGGAGTTAATCAAAGGGACTTGGAATACAATAAACTAGCTCACCATCGTGATTGCACAAGGAATTTAGAGTCTTCAACAAAACTAGAGGGTGGCAAAAACTATAAGGTGATGTACGATCCCGAACTAGATCCTAGTCTATCAAAGAGTGAATCAAAATTGAAGTCGAAAAAAGTACGATTCAATGGAGAAGGGGTTGACAAGCCTCAAGATCCCCGACTACCGAGCTTGGCCAACTACTTACAAAAGCCAAACAAAAAGTCGTCCAAGTTCCCTTTCAAACAACTACCCCAAGCGAAATTCATATATGATCTGGATTCCATAGGTGAAGCACCGCTCACTACATTGGTAATCTGGGATCTTCCAATAAGTATCAATGAAACCTTTTTGAAAAACTTTCTCGCAAGCTTTGAATCCGGTATAGAAAACCTCAAGACATTTGATGATCCGAAATACGGAGTTCCTTTAGGCGTTGCCACTTTCAAATACCAAGGAAGCACTGAAAAGTCAAACTCATTGGCAGAGAAGTTCATTCAAACCGTTAAACGAGATTCCATAAAAATTGATGGGAATCTACTAAAAATTGCTTTGAATGATAATCAAGATGATTTTTTGAATCTGAAAATAAATTTAGCAAGAGGCAAAATCATTCAACAACAAAAAAAGAGAGAAGAGGAGGAAGAAAAGCGGCGATTGGAGAAACTTGAGGAGCAGAAAAAACTCGAACAACAGAGAATCGCAGAGGAGCAGAAAAAACTTGAAGAGGAGAGGAAGAAGAAGGAGGAGACTGAAAAATTGCGGGAAAAGGAGCTCGAAATAGCTGTGATTTCTGATGGTGGGACCACTCATTATCAGCGTGATACCACCGTTTTGTCCAAGAGGCACGGCAACAAAGTTGTTCAAGGTAATTTTTTGCCCGACGATTTGAAAAAGTATGTCAAGAATCGGCCCTACCTACTTATTCATGACAAGTACGTCTCAACAAAGAAGGTATCATCGCAAGAAATAAAACGAGCTTTTAAAAAATATGACTGGACTAGAGTTTTGTCTGACAAAACAGGCTTCTATATTGTGTTCAACTCCTTAAAAGAATGTGAGAGGTGTTTCCAAAACGAGGATTGTCGCCATTTTTATGAGTTCAGATTGGTAATGGAAATGGCTATCCCTGAGCACTATCAGGAGGTTGAGAAGGAGAATGACTTTAGCAATAGTGTCATCAATGAAGCCACAAACATTCTAATCAAGGAATTTGAAACTTTCTTGGTAAAGGACATTCGAGAGCGAATAATAGCGCCGCAAATTTTGAGTCTTTTGGATCACGATCGTTACCCAGCATTGGTCGAAGAACTCAAGGCAAAAGAGAAAGAACAAGCATTGAAGTCCAAGCTGGTAATGTCAAATATGGATTTGAAACAAAATGCCATGTCCATTCTAGAGAAGCAGAAGAGGGAGTTGCAGGAAAAGATTCCGTATTTTAAAAGAGCTGAGGAAAGACTTAAAGAAAGTAGAAGGGGCAATAAACGCCCGATTATTCCTATGCTGCATGCCTTGAACCTTGACGAGGATGAGGAGGAGATTGATAATGATGACCTTTATGAATCGGTGAGTGGGTCCATGACGCCCTTGGCTGAGCCACTAAAAAGAGTTCGTAGCTCAACTGCAACTAGCGTTGCTGAGGACTCTGAAATTGATGAGCCTGCTGCTAAACGACAAAAATCGAAGCTACAGGTATCATATGATATTATTTCTTCTGGGGATGAACAAATGGAAGATTTGGAAGAGCCAGAAGAAATTGCAGATGAAGAGAATGAACCTGAGTCACAGACTGATATTGTGGATTCAAAGTATGGCCCTACTGAGGGTAAGCCATCAACTGTGTATCCAGTCTCTCTGACATCCATAATCACTGACTTGAAGGGTCTTCAAGAAAACATAGTCGATGGTGAGGACTTGGAGTTAGCAAATACGGTTTTAGCTGATGTTGAGGGGGTTAATTTGTCACATATAGACTATTGGGCGTGGAAACAGAATGCCAACACTACAGGTTCACTTGAGGTTGATGAACATGAAGATATATTGGAAGAATTGCCTTCTAGACTTGACTCAATCACCGGCTCATTCAAGAGTGATGGTTTCAAAAAGATTTCTGAAGTGGACAAAGTTGAGTATTTGCCACATCGTAGGAAGGCAAATAAGCCTATCAAGACTGTTCAGTATGAAGAAGATGATGACGAAAAACCCGCTGACAGCAATAATGTGTTGCAAAGCTCCAGGGTCAATAGGGCAAACAACAGAAGGTTTGCGGCAGATATTACCGCACAAATCGGTTCTGAATCGGAAGTGATGTCCTTGAATGCGCTCACCAAGCGTAAAAAGCCTGTCACTTTTGCTAGGTCAACAATCCATAACTGGGGTCTTTATGCTATGGAGCCTATTGCGGCTAAGGAGATGATTATTGAGTATGTTGGAGAAAGAATTCGACAACAAGTGGCTGAGCATCGAGAGAAAAGCTATTTGCGAACAGGTATCGGTTCCTCTTATCTATTTCGAATTGATGAAAATACAGTTATTGATGCAACAAAGAAGGGAGGCATTGCTCGATTTATTAATCATTGTTGTAACCCGAGTTGTACAGCTAAAATCATTAAAGTTGAAGGTAAGAAGCGAATTGTCATTTATGCTCTTAGAGACATTGAAGCGAATGAAGAGTTGACCTATGATTATAAATTTGAAAGGGAAACCAATGATGAAGAACGTATTCGATGTTTGTGTGGTGCTCCTGGCTGCAAAGGCTATCTCAATTGATTGAATCATGAGGCTGGATACAAATTTTTCTTCGTAGTGTGCAATACACAAATACCTTTGCAATCATTTAGAACGCAATAGCAGCCAATTACCCTTTGTCTCTGAGAATTTCACATAAGGGTATGGAGCTGTCCCAAATTAATTTAAAATGAATGAATTCACAACAATATCGTATTTATCTGTGTACATGTATTTAAATTGCTTGATTAGGAAGGTGCACGTGATACATTAACTAAATTGAGATGATTAAAAAACAAACAAACTCAATTGGGAATGAATGTAAATAAACGCAAAAAGAAATACATCCACGCATCAATACTCAATACGCAAGATCTTCTCAAGTACTAGTTGTACAAGTACAAACGGTTTATATATGGAACCAAAAGTACGGAAAAGTACTCAGCATATTCCAATTATATTTTTACATTTGTCAAACAAGTTTCGAGTCAAAAGGTTTTGATTAGCTTTTCGTTCATTTCGTTGAAAAGGCATTGCGTAGGAAACAAATTGGAGCTGAACAGTGTTTACAAGTTGGAAAGAAGTGTATCCCATCCATCACATTGTATCCTATCATATATATAATTGTCCATAAAACTAGTTGATTAAAACACCAGGCCAAATCTACATTGTCAATTTTGCATCTAATTCATCAAATAACAAGTTCCCATCGTTACATCTTTCTCCTCATTCGTTATGTCAGCGCTTCGTTCACAACCATTGCAACCACTAAACGGTGGCCAATTGAATGCCAGATCAAACAACATTACCCCAATCAAAGGTGTCAGGCGGGCAAAAGACCCCATACCGGAACAGAAACAGCAAGCAAAGAAGAAGAAAGAGAAGTTATCAGCATTATGCAAGACTCCACCTTCCATTGTTAGAACAAGAAATGGTAGAGACTATCGTCGTGGAAATTTCTTAGGTGAAGGTGGTTTTGCTCGTTGTTTTCAAATGAAGGATGCTTCTGGTCAAATATACGCTGCAAAGACTGTTGCCAAAGCTTCTATCAAGAATGAAAAGACAAAGACTAAACTTTTGTCTGAAATCAAGATTCACAAGTCGTTGAAGCATCCAAATATTGTCAATTTTGTTGATTGTTTTGAGGACGACGTGAATGTCTACATTCTTCTTGAAATATGTCCAAACCAATCCTTAATGGAACTTTTAAAGAATAGGAAAAGGGTATCGGAGCCTGAAGTTCGGTTGTTTATGGTTCAGGTTGTTGGTGCCATCAAATATTTGCATTCGAGGAGAGTGATCCATAGAGATTTGAAATTGGGCAACATATTCTTTGATCCAGACATGAATTTGAAAATCGGTGATTTTGGACTTGCATCTGTTTTACCATCAACTGATTCAAAGAAGTACACAGTTTGTGGTACTCCAAACTACATTGCACCTGAAGTGTTGGGTGGCAAAAACACTGGTCACAGTTTTGAAGTGGATATATGGGCAATAGGGATTATGATGTACGCTTTGCTTGTGGGCAAGCCTCCCTTCCAGGCTAAAGATGTCAATGTCATTTACGAAAGAATTAAGAAAACAGAATATTACTTCCCCGATGATAAACCCATTTCGGAGTCGGCCAAGATTTTGATCAAAGATTTATTGAGCTTGAATCCTTTGAACAGACCCACTATTGATGAGATATTGAGTTACGAATGGTTCAAGGGTCCATTCCCTGATAAAACTCGTGATATCAGTTTGAGCGAAACCCCACAAGGACTCGATCAGATTTCCAGAGTGCAATCTGGCATGAATTTCAAGCATGCCAAAGATATGGCTGGCATTTATACACCAAAGAGTAAAGACCCAGTTGAGATCTTAAGGTCTGACTTGCATTCCGAACAACCACGTGCCTTGCTTCCAGAGTCTTTATCACCAAATGATACCAAAAATAAGTATCGTGAAGTTGATCCGGAGCAAATCGGGAGACCTAGACGTGTCAATTTCAACTCTCACTTTTCCACCACTATTAAACGCCTTAATCAAACTTGTTTTGAAACATATCAAAACATTAGAAGGTTGGAGCATTCCAGACACGAAAGCATTGATCAGTTCGAACTTCCGGTGTGTGAGAATCCCACGTTGATCAGCAAATGGGTAGACTACTCAAACAAGTATGGTTTCTCCTATCAATTGAACAATGACGACATTGGGGTTTTGTTCAATGATGAAAATACATTGTTGAAACTTCACAATTCCAATAAATTTTTGGAGTTGATTTATCACGATGGAGAAGGATGGACGTGCATTGAGAATTCCTTGAGTCACCCTCCGGCACAAGCGAAAAGACAATTGGAGATTGTTGACTTTTTCGCCAAGTACATGAATAGCAATTTGTCAAAAGTTAGTGATAATGAAGAAAGGAAAGAAATTGTTTTCTTGAGGCGCTATAGCAGAACTTCCGAATACATCATGTTTGAAATGACAAATGGAAATTTTCAATTCAATTTCAAGGATCATCATAAAATTTGCATTTCGAAAGCAGGATTGGCCATAACGCACATTTCGCCTAATCGGTTAACACAAACACACCCGTTGTTTTCTGTTCTTCAAAATGGTAACTTCCCCTCTGAGTTGGTTCCAGAATGTTTGCAAAAAATTGCCATCATCAAAGAAGCAATCAAGAGAAGGGCATTCAAGGAGGAGTAGATTTGTCTCCCGTAAAAGTGTACAAGTGTTGGGACGTCGCTGTTGAGATTGTTGCTTTTCCTGCATTTCGTTGTATTATTAATATTTCATTTGATTCTATTAAAGAGCTATACACATGCATTTTATCTGCTCATACGTTATACTTGCATAAATAAAAAAGTTACTTACTTCATATAACAGCAACCTTTTCGTAATAACCAATACACTTTTCCAAGAACTGAACCTCGCCTCTGGATGTAAACTTGCAACTGTGAACAAAGACAGTCTGAATGTTGATGTTGATAACCTCTTTATTGTTTATCCTTTAACCCCACTCGCCCTCTGTCTCTCCTCTCCACTTCTCGCCTCAAAAGTCATCCTCGTTATTTGACATCAATCCTTTCAACGCCCATTCTCTTTGGAATTTGTCATTAATGGCCTGGAGCTCAGCAATAAGAGCCTGGCATGCATTTTTCAAAGCGTCCTTGGGCGAATAATCATCCTCGGTTTGAATTCTCAAGACAAAATTTGCAAACAAGGGATGTTCCACTTTATATGCAGCAAAAATAACACGATCGTCTTTGAGAAGTTGTGCCCTTAATAAATTAGCTAATGTGTGATCTTCTCTTTCAATCTTTATGATGGCAGCATTCGGCACTTTTGAATCGGGTGTGATCTTTATCCTAATATGTAGTTAGTATAAACAACGTCAAGATCATCGCGAAAGTTTCGTGAGTCGTACTTTTCAAGTCCATCTGGTAATATAAATAGTTCAAATCTATCTGGAGCATTCATGGCTTATGATTGAGGTTTTGACTAGTTGGAACCTAATGTATCTCTGGCCGTCGCACTTTTTTTTTCGTCTTCTTTTTGACATACCAAAGGTCGTGTAATGTACCATTGAATTCACAGGCAAAGGAGTTTCCATGCACAAGTCGAAACCTGAACCGCTTGCTTATTGTATTTTTATTCGACCTCTTGATGTGTGGTAGCTGTCCGTGTATCTTCTGACTCACTGAGATATAATTTGTGAGTTTTTTGAATGCTCCTGGGGCTCGCAATAAACGCACGTCCTGCGATGAGTTTAAACAAACATTACCGGATTGATGTCGATGACAACATTCAAGAAACGCAAATCTATCTGTTTGTGCCAAAACCGTATGTTTGCTCTTGTATATCATTCAATTGTGTCCTCTTTCCTGGTTCTGGTCCGCTCAGTCATCCTGCATATAATCTCGTGTCTAATCCTCTCCTTCATATTAAATTTAAGTCGCACTCTGGCTGTTTTTTCAAAGTTGGTGAAGAGAAAGAGAGGAAGAGAAAAACCAAAGCTCAACACGTTGACTACGCAAGCCAAGCACCTTTCATTAACTTTCAAATCATTATTTGATTGAGAAAACCTTGATTTCATTGAAGAGATCCGTTGTGACATCCGACCGAGATCACAAAGTGAAAATTCACTACATATTTCCCGCTAATACATCATTACATTCGATAAGAGATAAAATCGAGCTTCAAAGATCAACAAAACAAACCAGCACCAGCACCTCCTCCTTAGACAACTCACCAACCGATTTTTTTGAGTTAGTGTTGTATCAACTATGTCCAATCAGCAAGATTCTTGGTCTGCTCAACAGCGTCCGATTGGTCAACAATTCAAGTATGTACTCACTATGTGAAAACTTTTGTAATGTTCCCTATACTAACAAATTATAGCCGCCAACACCCACCAGTTCTCCCACCCCCTTCCACTTTAGAACAAGGTACGTTATTCATTGCAAACCCCACACATGTAAAAAAATACTAACAAGTCGTAGGAGGTCAACAATTTTACCCTTTGCCTAGTTTGCCAAGTCTTGGAAATGGAAGTGGCCACCCACAGCATGGACACCAGTTCACCATCCCATCTATTAACCCTGTCAATGAACCAGCTCCACTTGGACAGGTATGTATACTCAACCCTTGTTCGTATTGGTGCAAGATTACTAACTGTTCTTTTCCTTATAGAATTCAGACCACCCCGGACCAAACACTGATATTAGAAGACCATCCGGAGTTGGAGTTGGGTTCGGAACCCCTGGAAGTGCTCCATTACCACCACCAGCATCCTTAGCCAACATGAATTCGGAGGGACCGATTATAAACAACGAGATTGGTGCATCGCAACAACATATTCCCCATCCGCAACAGCAGCAACAACAGACACAACAAGCTCAGCAGATTCCTTCTCAGCACCAAATTCCGCAACAGAATACATCAAGCACATCACAACTTCAGCAACAACATCATCATCAAGGTTCGCCTTTGGGAGGTAGTTCAGCACCTGTTGCGGGTCTTCCTAATAGATCTACCACCAGCAATGTTTACAGACCGTTGAATGTCAAAGATGCTTTATCTTATTTGGATCAGGTAAAAATTCAATTCTATAACCAAGCAGAGGTCTATAACAATTTTCTTGACATTATGAAAGATTTCAAGTCGCAAAGTATTGATACTCCTGGGGTTATTGATAGAGTATCAACCTTGTTCAAGGGTCACCCGAACTTGATCCAAGGATTTAACACGTTCTTACCTCCTGGGTATAAGATCGAATGTTCTATGGACCCGTCAGATCCAAATCCTATTCGCGTAACTACCCCCACAGGCACAACTATCAGACCTAATATTTCTGTGGCTGCTTACAATCAGGAGTGGGGTAACGACGAGGTCTCGGCCGTTGCAACAGCAGCTCAACAACAACAGCAGCAGCAGCAACAGCAGCAGCAACAGCAGCAACAGCAGCAAATCAACGACTCGGCTAATCAAGCAAATGGATCTGGTCAAATCGATTTCAACCACGCAATCACCTATGTCAACAAAATCAAAACCAGATTTGCTAATCAGCCAGATATCTACAAGCACTTTCTTGAGATTTTGCAAACTTATCAAAGAGAACAGAAACCGATTGCTGAGGTTTACGAGCAGGTTACAGAATTATTTTCAGGTTGTCCGGATCTTTTGGATGATTTCAAACAATTTTTACCTGATACCAGTAATCAAGGGTATACTCAGCAGCAAGTGCAGGAGAAACACATTGTTGGCAATGGAAATCAGTTACCTCCTGTTGGAAACTTTGGACCCGTTGGACCTAGCCCATCTCAATCTCCTTACGGGCAACAAAATCAACGTTTGCAAGGACTTTCCAGTTCTGCGTTGGATCATCAAAAAGGTGCCTTTGACACGGTTCCAGGTGTTCAAAACTTTCCACGCAAGAAATCGGTTGTCGATGCTGCTGCTGAAGCAGAAAGATATAGCCAAGAAGTTCAATACTCCGGTGTTCGTTCTGGGTTGATTGATCCCAGACAGAACAAGGTTGCCATGCGTCCCGGTGTTGGTCCTGGCCAAGTGGCCGTTACCACACCAGCGAATCCGACTTTGATTCCGGGCATTCCGGAACCTGTTCCTCCCCCAGGAACGGCCAAATCATCGTCACTTTCTGAAGAGATCGGCTTTTTCGATAAAATCAAACGTGCCTTGGGAAATAAGCAAACATATGGCGAGTTTTTGAAGTTATTGAATTTGTTCACACAGGATATTATTGACAAAGATACCTTGGTTGAACGTGTGGACGCATTTTTGGGTGATTCCAACGCTGATTTGTTTGAGTGGTTCAAGTTATTCGTCGGTTACGAAGACAAACCACAGAACTTGGAGAATATCGCCTTCAAGAAACATGCTTTGGAACTCTCATTGTGTAAGGCTTATGGACCATCCTATAGACAGCTACCAAAAGCCGAGACATTTATGCCATGTTCCGGTCGTGACGAAATGTGCTGGGAAGTTTTGAATGATGAATGGGTTGGTCATCCTACTTGGGCTTCGGAAGATTCTGGTTTCATCGCTCATCGCAAAAATCAATATGAAGAGATTTTGTTCAAAATCGAAGAGGAAAGACTTGAGTTTGATTATTATATGGAGTCGAACTTACGCACAATTCAAATATTAGAAACGATTGCAAATAGGATTGCAAACATGACCCCTGAACAAAAGGCGAACTTCAAGTTACCTCCTGGTTTGGGTCACAATTCAACCACGATTTATAAAAAGGTGATCAGAAAGATTTACGATAAAGATCGCGGGTTTGAAGTCATTGATGCATTGCACGAAAACCCGGCAATTGCAGTTCCCATTGTATTGAAAAGGTTGAAACAAAAGGATGAGGAGTGGAAGCGTGCACAAAGAGAGTGGAATAAAGTGTGGAGAGAAATGGAACAAAAGGTTTTTTACAAATCTTTGGACCATTTGGGTTTGACTTTCAAACAAGCCGATAAGAAACTACTCACAGCAAAGCAATTGGTAAGTGAAATTAGCACTGTTAAAGTGGAGCAACAAAATAAAAGGCTCCATCCACTTACGCCCAAGCCACAGGAGCAATTAAACTATACATTTGGTGACAATGAAGTTTTGTTTGATATTTTGAAACTAGCAAATGTTTTCATAAACCGCTCATCAACATACTCAGCGTATGATAGAGGGAAATTGACCCAGTTTTTCAAATTTTTTGTTTCCTTGTTTTTCGGAATCCCAACCGAGATCGTGGAGAAAGCTTTAGCGAAAAGAGGAGGCTTTGAAAGTAATGACGAGAACGAAGACGAAGAATCTGCCAGTGCTCAGAATAATGTTTTAGAATCTTCGAAAAAGAGAGCTCGGGAATCGGACTTGTTAAAGGATGTCTTGAAGAAAGCTTCCAAGTCCAAAAAAGATGAGCGAGCGGAATCTCCGGGTCCACAAGCTTCCGAAAATATTACTCAAGACTTGAATGATGAGCTTGAAAGATCGAGCGAGTTGTGGGTGAAATCAGCAAACACAAAGTATTCTCAAATTGAGGAGGCAGCATCCCAGAAGAAACGCAGCAAATTCAATTTGTTTTGCAATACCACAATCTACGTTTTTTTCCGTCATTTGACAATCTTGTACGAAAGGCTTTTGGAAATAAAGAATATGAATGAGGTGGTTGAGAAAGATATAAAAGACCGAAAATATCCTCAATTTGCAAAAGATTTGAACCTTCTTTCCCATCAATTGGAAGATATGGGAGTTAATATTGTTGGAACAAAGGATTGTTACCAGCAAGTTTTGAACCTAGCTAGTAGATTGATTGAGGGCGACATTGAACACCAATGGTTTGAAGAGAGCTTGCGTCAGGGTTACAAAAACAAAGCCTACAAAATGTACACAATTGATAAGGTGATTCAAGCTTTGGTTAAGCATATGCACACCATGGTTACAGATGCAAAAACTTCTGAAATCGTGGTGCTATTTGAGAATGATCGTATTAAGCCCACTTCCAGTGCCAAAGAACAGATCCTTTACCGCATTCAAGTACGGAGCTTAATGTCAGCTGATGAAAACATGTTCAAGATTACATACAATGAAGACACACATAAAGCCAATATTCAGTTCATCAGTTTAGATGATCTCACCTTGAATGACCAGGTCACTACTGAAGAACAGTACAATTATTATGTCACCAGTTACATAATGTCACATCCCACAGAGGGTGTTCCAGCCTCGAAATTGAACATGCCATTCTTGAAATCTTTTATTGAGCTGGTGGATGAGGACGACGTTGAAGGACGTGTTGTTTCAGAGTTGAAGGTTACAGTGGCTGAAAACTCATACCGCTTATATTTTGAGGGTGACTCTCATGATGAGTTTGTCTCCAATTCGGTCTATAAGAAGCTGGTCGATCCAAGTGCTAATAAGGATGATAAGGTGGCATCTTTGAAGGCCTTGGTAGATGGAGAATATGGATGGAAGTCGACATTAGGCGAAGGTGAAGATAATACTGTTGCGGAGAGCGCCACACGTATATTGTTCGAAGACGGCGGTGCCAAATTTAAAAACCATTTGAAGGAGTTGAGTTCGAAAGATGAGACTGAAGCAGTACCAGGTGAGAGAAATGATGATGATGATGATGGAGATAACACGGACTCCAAAGAGAGTCCGAACGACAAACCGGAAGAGTCGTTGGAGGGGAAGAAAACAGAGGGAGAAAGCAAAGGTGATGTAAATTAGTCGCAATGCTATAATTTGTTTTATTAGTGTGTTAAGTAAAAAAAATTTGTACAAGATTTTCTTATATCTAATACTCTTTTCTTTTGTCATTTATACGCTCTCCTTTCTGCAGCTATTCGGGCCATTCTTTCCGTTGCCAAACTGTATGCCAATTTGGCACGTTGGTTCAATCTCACTCGAACAAAGTCCTTTTGTCCACGAGCGAAAAGAATTCGAAGAATTATATCCTCCTTCAACACCATGTTAGAATCGGGGTCGGTTTTGGCGAATTTCTTCTCCTTTTCAGCAAGAGCTCTATTCTTTGCAGTGGCACTGGCATACATTGTTTTGCTTCTGCTTAAAGTAACGCCTCTTTTAACGGTCCCAATGGGCCCTTCATAACTCAGTTGGTTTCGATTGGTGAGCATTTGGACGTATCCGGGAGAAAGAAATTCCACCTCTTCAACCAACTCGTCCTCTGATTGATCATAGTATGCCGGTATCAACAAAAGCGATTGATATTTTTCTGTTTTCAAGTCTTCCATTGGCGGACCATTTCCTTCATTGTGGAAAAACTCGGTCAATAGATATAACCAGCGTAGAACCGTCTCTATTTCAACAATGCTCAAAGGGCTGTCAATGCCAAACATTGCCTTTGTAGAAATTGAAACGTTGGCAAACTTGGACGACATTGCCAGCCAAGTACTCGAATCAACGTCAATTTTTGCTTTTGATAATTTGGGCAACAATAACTCATCAGCGCATTTGATTACAATATTCCAGGTAGCTAACATTACTTCCATGAATAGGTCATCTCTCAAATATGTTTTGAGAGTGCTTAAGTTCAAATTTAAGTAGTCGCACAAGTTCTCTATCGACTCTTCGAATTGCAATGTCGATGGTTGTCCCTTGGCACAAACAGCTTTCAAATTTGCCTTTGAGAAACATTCTTCAATGAAACCTTGAAACTTTTCAACCATGGACTTGATGGACTTTTCTTCAGCTCTCTTCAATGCTCTATACGCTCTACCCATGACAAACATTGCATCCAAAGTCTCACTCTCAACCGCCACTTCAATTATTAATTTACCCAGAATATCAAGGTCTAGAGTTAACTCCTCAGGGAAACCATTGTGTTTAAACTTCTTTGGGTTGAGTTCATAAAATGCCTTGCCACAGATTTGATGCTGTCCCATGCTTTCACTCCAAACTACTGCCGACAATTCCAATGCAGTGTTTGCTGGAATTGTTATCTCAAACTCTTCATCCCATTCAGGATCCGATGTGCGCCTCAAAACTCTAGTTTTGCCAATAGACTTTTTACTACTGAGATCAACTAGTTGTACATATGGGTTTGTTCTCCCAAACGTGGAATCTTTTGATAGTATAATGTTTTCTGCTTTGATTACCCGTACTGTAAACACGTGGCTTAGGAAATTGTTTTGTGAATCGGGTTCGTAGGTTGATAACGAACGTGATATGGACTCAGGATCCAACCATTCTTCGAGCTTGGCTAGATGATCTATCATTGCGGCTATGTTGTTAAGTGCTACGCAAGTCTCGGCTTCAAAATTGTACACTACAGCCGGCTCTGCTCTGTTGATGTTTTGAATGCTGTTGACCACACTTTTAACTTCATTAAGCCAATTCTTTCTAGCTTCTGGTAACTCCTCAGTTTCGCCTTTAATAACTGTGAGTTCACGATTAATCTTTGTTGTAATTTGCTCAGAGTAAAATAAAGCACAATTGGATATGCTCTGCAAAAGCTTGGTGTATATTTTCAGGGTCTGGAATTCGTCTTGCCATCCTTGTTTGTTTAAAATCGCAAAGTATTGCCTGATGATGGTGAAAATGTCCAACACAGCTCGACTGTTTCGCTTACTACTCTCCTCTAACTCTATGGGTTGATAATCATCTTTTTTCAACGCCTCACTGACAATATTTCTTAGTTTCTCGTCTGATTCCTCTGCCCACGCATTCAAAAACGGGAAGAAAAATGCTTCCAAATCAAATTGAAACTTGGGGTTCTTGGGTGTAACTTGATAGTAGATATCCCTCACTTCCTGGAGCAGTTTGTATACCTCTAGGGCATCGCTTACTGGTATCGTCTCATTCCTTCTTTTACATGAATTCTGGATGTGACTTAGAATCATTTTGGCATCACTGGCAAACATTCCCGTTGTAATTGATGCCACTGTCTTTGCCACGGGCAAAAAGCCCAAAAATGGATTCTTGTATTTTTTCTGGAGATTTTTAATGTCTCCGATAAGTTTGTCACATATGTCTAATAAATGAAGCACATTCAATGTCTCGTCACGAGGTAAATTCTCCATGTACTCCTCGTACCTCCTTCCTGCCACTTTCAAGAGTGCTTTAGTTAATCTTTTTTCCCACTTCTTTGGCAACCCTGATTTTTCAATGCGATGAAATAAAGAGTCTGTTTCTATATTGGCTGCAAGAAACTCAAGGTAAGGTCCAAATCTTGGTTTATCATGCAAGTTGAAAATCTTTGCGAGGGACTGTCTCAACGAAACAAAAATTTCGTTGTATGTGATCGTTAAATTTTCAACCCACAATTCCTGATCTTTCAAAAGCCAATAATCCTTCTCTTGCCAATTTAAGCCACCGTCACTAACCGTCTTCCTAAAAGTATCAAAAAGGTCTTGACACACATTCAATGACACCCCCTTGGCAATAACTGCCTCTTTCTCACCACTTTCAATGATGTCCTGTGAAAACATGCTCATGCTATTGCCGGCTGCATAAAGGGCGACAACCCTTGTTGGGTAATCTACGAGCCAAACACGTGCAACAATATTAAAAAAATCAGCATAGTCTTGTGGTAGCTGAAATGAACTTGAGATCTCTTCGCGTGGGATGTAGTGCATAATTAGCGACACCAAATGCAAAAAAAGACTTCTTGATTTTGCTGTGGGTGGAAGTATGTGAAATGTTTCATTTTGAGGAATAGGAGTTGTATGTGCCTGACTTGAGTCACTAACGATTTTGTATCTACTTTGCAACTGGGATGCAATATCCTTCTGTCGTTTACTCCACAATTGAGCTGCCGCATATTTACTTGCGAAACTACTATTTTCTTGTTCATGTGACAATAGAAGCTTTACGTCCTCATGCAATTGCTTTGTTGAAACGGAATTCTTGTATTTAAACACATCTGTTTGGATCTTTGTATCGTTTGTTTGGAAAATTGTTCGAAAAACTTTTAGCAATCTGTTACTCATATCATCAACTCTATACGACTTTGTCGGATACTTGAACTCTTCTTTGGCAGGATTCTTCTTTGGCAGACTTCCTTTAAACTCGTTCTTTCTTTCATAAAGTCGTGAAATGAGTGTTTGGTCTGACTCTTTTTTATTCTTCAATATTTCAATCAAGATGTCGATAAACTCAGAGCTCTGTCGAAATACTTCAGATTTGATCTCATTTTCATCCACAACCCCAACTTTTCTCAACTCCTGATTGGCATATGCCGCAAATTTGGGAATCAAAAAGTCAACGTTGCGCAAATCAGCACTCTTTTTCGTGTCTAATAGATCTCCATAAAGTCTAAGCAATGATCGTCGGGTTTTCTCATCTGTTAATGAAGTCTTCTTTGTCATGACATCTTGTAATCGAGACATTAGCAGTTTTATCGCGTAGCTCGGTAGTACTGAATCAAGCAACATGCTCAGTCGTGATGATGTTGTCGTCGTCGTGTGAGAAGACCTGTTTGGTGTTATAATGGGTGTTCTGAATCGAGTTTCATTACAATATTCAAGAAGAATTACCTTGAGGGTATACTTGTATAGTTCATCCTTTTCGGCGTCTGTAATAGCCTTCGAGGCCTCTGGGTTCATCGTGTAATCACTCATCTTTATCTTTCTATGTTTTTCCGATTTCCAGTTTCTTCGAAAATGATTTCTCACCGCGGAATGTAGAAATCTCATGACACAAAATTGAATTGATTTCACTTGTGTTGAGAAGGAAGTACACACCCAACAAGCGATTATGACAGGTTTTACGAGTGAGCACGATATTAGTGGATAGTACTTGATGAGATGTACTTTATGGCAAGAGGTCTACTCGGTAATTTTATTGTATTACGTAGAAGAAAATTACAATTTTTAACTAATACAACCTGCCTCCAGTGTAGGGTTACAGTTTTTAATCCTCCTCAGATGTTAGCTCCTCCTCTAGTTGTTTTGCGGTTTTTTCTAAATTTAAATCTGTACTGTCGTCTACCGTGGAATAATTCTTTTTGAGACCGACATTAATTGATTCTCCGGTTTTTCCATCGGCGCAGTTGTCGTCAGCCCCATCGTCATCATCATCATCATCGTCATCACCATCATCAACATCGTCGTCATCATCATCATCAACTATCTCGTTTTTTGTTTGCGATGATGATTGAGAGCCATCCATTTCGTCAGGCGCAAAAATGTGTTTTGATAATATCCTATTCATTTCAAACGCACCAACAGTTTCTAAAGCATCCGAGTTAGTATCCTTGTACATAGTGTATTAGCTCCCCGTACATACTCTTTTTAAATAGCTTTTGAAGCTTATCATCGCAGACAATTTGTCGTTTGTCAGCTGGATTTTGCAAATTGTTATCTTTGATATAAGCCCACAAATGTTTCACCACCTGAGGACGTGAGCACCTCTCCTGTGCAATTACGTTTTGTAGTTCATGGCTGAGAGCCATTTCTCTATTAAATGCATTGTTAGGAGCTCGCCTGGTCTTTTCCTTGCTTGTGGCTGTCTTTGCCAGTCTGCGCTTTGTTCTTGGTTGTCTAGCTGACTCTTGTCTCAGTAACTTCGCAGCAAGCAATGCATCCTGTCGTTCCATTTCATCTCGGTTCCTCTTTTTCTCATTTTCCGATTCGTCCTTCCTGGTTCTTTGAAGATTGTAGTACCGGTTTAAGATCACTTCATTGATTTGTTTCTATAATGCTTCAAAGTTAATACGAAAATTCGTTAAGTCACTGCCATCAAATACATACTTTATGTGCATTCAAGTCGACCCCAAACAATTCCTGCAATGCTTTTCTAATCTTTTTCACTGTAATTTCCTCCAAATCGGCAACACTAAGAATTGCCTGAAGTTAGGTTAGTATTATTCAATTGAATCATATAGGCTACTCGTATGCAAGGACTTACGTCTATAGTGGGTAGGTACTTATCAGGCTCGTAGGCACTCATTGATTAAGTACTGGGACAAATGTTGGAGTGGGTATAAATGTTGGGGCTAGACAAACATGTTGTTCCTCAAGAGAAAAAAAAAAGTGCCAAGGTAATAAAAGTGGTAAGCAGTGAGGCGTTATGCCTTAGGATACCAAACTATCCAGCACAGACAATGGGGAATTATCAAAAAAATACTCCAGTTGGTTTCATTACATCTATGGAATTTGCTATTCGTTGAATGCCATAATTGAAATAGAAAAGTGTTGGTTTATGAATGGAAAAGGTGTACACGAAGACGCCTATCGACAATTATTGAAGGAAGCCTTTAGGCATACACGGATGCAACGCCGGCTATGAGCAAGGTCCTTTAGTATTCGTAAACTAGAGAGAATTATTGATAAGATCAGAGACCACGTTTTGTTTTTATGCTTTTCCACTGTTGTTTCCTTAAATTGGCCAAACTTACTAGATTATTCGAAATTAACCAAGTGCAAGTATTCGCTTTACACCACTTCCAACCCAACAGTACCGCCAATGATCTTGGTTTGCCACTTTCCAAAATTTCCAAGGTAATGGAGCCTAATTTGAGCTTTGAACAGTTGCGTTTTGAAAAGTTGCAAAAGTTGTTGTCATTCGATAACATTGAAAAGCTATGCCGTGCTGGTTATTGAAAAAATTGTGTCACCCTTCTATGAATAGAAACATTGTACTACCCCATTTATTTCAAAGCTACACACTCTAAGTCTTACTTATTTTGCAGCATTTCTCAAATTTCGCTTATGCTGCAACTCGTTTTTCTTTATTAGCTTCTTTCGCTCAGCTCTTGCTAATGTCCTGGGGTCAACCAAGTCAACACCATCATCTCTACTTCTCTTTTTAGGTTTATCATCCAATTCGACCAACCACTGATCATCCAAACTCTTATTGTTTCCTTTATAACCCCATTTAGGAACCCATTCACCTTTTTCTTCATCATATACCAACTTTCCATCTTTAGTTTTAGCCTTGATCCCCTTTTTAGCAGCAAATTGTTCCCATTTCGTTGGTGGCTTGGGTTTAGGAATGGCTTTCTCACGTGGTAACAATGTCGTTGGTTCAGGCAACTGAATCAACGTCATTGACGAACTGTGTCCCGTCAGTGAGCCTTGGTTGTCAGTGGTTGTTTTCACAGGTAAAGACAATATCTGATTTATCAAAAGCTGAACATTGTCTCTAGTCACGGAGGAAATGTATTGTTCCTTTTCCGATTCATTTTTGCTTCTTAATTTCTCATTGGACAAGGGGTTTGGATCAAACGTTGCGAGGTTTCCGAGGTCAAATGTGTTCTCTATTGGTTTCTCCACCGTTACTGGTTTGTATTCCTTTTCTAATGACATTGTTGCGTGTAAAAAGGTTTGTATTGGTGGAAAGTGTATACAAGTTCGTTTCAAGATGAGATGGAGCAAAAAAAAAAATAAAAAGATGAGAATGAAGGTTCTAATTTTTGTGCAATTTACTTTTATCTACGACGCATATTGTTTAACATCCAGATGGACATTAAAGCCATTACTCCAATAGCTCCACCGGCCATAATCAAGTGTTTAGTTTTCTCTTGATCAACAGCCTTTTCTGTTTCCAATCCTGGCGTGGCACTTGCTGGATTCTTTGCTGCATCTACCAATTGTATGAATAGCTCTTGTAACGACGAAGTCCAAGAAGAAGAAATATGTAACGGCGAGTTGAGAAATAAGTCTCGAGTATAGTTTTCTGGTTGCACATCTGACCTTTGTTGTTGTTTATCCAAGTCTGCCTTTAATGCCGCAAACACTGACGGGATTTCGTCCAAATTGGCATGTTTTTGTCGTAAATCCACCAAGTATTGGAAACTTTCGGGATCTGACGAGTCATAAGTGTAGCAAATTACATCGCACTCCTCTAGTCTCTTTTTATTTTCAAGTATAGCGGGCTCTAGCTCTCCCAATTCTTCCAATATCAAATAGCACTGTTTTCCTCCCCTCAACTCAATATCTTTGATAACCAAACGTGGCTGGATCGTTGGTGAGTACATCTCGCTATATGAACCGTGCAAAAACAGATCTAGCAACGAGCTCTTCCCCGCTTTGGGAGCTCCAACGACGTAGCAATAAAAGATGTTTCGATCATTAACGGAACCGCGGTAGATCTTGCCTTGTTTTTGTCGAGTCTTTCTCGGTTTTGTCACTTTTAATGCCTTGACTGAATTACCTTCGTCAAATCCCAAATACGCCAAGTACTCCAATGTGGTTTTGTAGCTTAAAAATGTTGTCAAATTCCATTGAGCCAACCATCCTTGTAATGTCACATATCCACCTTCATTGCATACTATTGATGATGGAAAATTTGTTTCTAGCCACAATTTGGGGATGCCTGGAGTTGGCTGGAAAAGATTTTCAACTTCAACTTCATTTAATCCACCATCATTGTCGCGATCAAATTTTAGAAACAAATCCACAAAAAACTTGTACCCAGTGGGGCTCAATTCAACACTAGAGTCGGGATTCACATCGAGATGAGGATATAGGAATTTGTCATCTAAAGATAATGAGTTTGTATAATGATTTGCTCGTAGTATGATCCAGGTCGTCTCATGTCTTCCAGCTTCGGCGTAAAATTTGTGTAGTAGCATAAAACCATCCTCGCTGATGCCATTATTCTTTCCATCAGATAATATCTTGGAGTTAATGTAACTGACACTGTCGTCAAAGTCCTCCGGGGTTGCGTCCTTTTGGAAACATTTTTTATGTAGTTCATTGAATTCTTCAAAGTTTAAATATCCATCCTGATCGGCGTCAAATAGGAAAAACACTCGTCTGAGTGCTTCAATAGCTCGCGGTCTCAAATTGTGTTCAATAGCATCGAAAAGGGGCGAAATTGGATACACAACTGCTCTTTGACACATATAAAACGCTTCCACTATGTTGTATCCAGTCAAAGCACTGCATCGTAATCCGGCTTCAATCTCTTTAAACTCATTGATCAAGGGAAGAAACTCTTCGTTGTCTTGACTTTTCCATGCTGATTTCGGAGCCAAGTCTGACTTGTTTGCACATAAAATGATTGGTAAGTTGACTCCAAGAGACCTGAGCATAGGCATCCAATGCAACGATAGTCTTTCATATGTATAATGGTCGGAGTAGACTAAGCATATGACATCAGCACGTTTAAGTTCCTTATGTAGTGAAGTAATATCAGATGAATTTGTGTCGACAATCGTTGTTGTATTAGGTATATACGGCAGGAGTCCAAGTGTACTTGTATGACTATAGCTATCACTATTATCACGGTCATTGCGCGATGAAGAATTGATGTCACGTTGTTCTTGGATAACGGGTGGTGCTTCACGAACAACCTCTTCGTAATCGTTTCTAGATATGGTGATTGGTGGCAACACGTGGTTAATGGATGAGTCGGAAATCGATTCTCTGGTAAAGGACATAATTAGGGACGATTTTCCAACGGACTCATCGCCGCATACAACTATTCTTATCAGGTCGGGTAGCATTAACGTGGAAGGTTAAAGAGTTGGTAGGAGATTGAAAAGGACGTCGGCTCAGGAGAAAGAGAAAAATAGAAAACATGCGACTACAAGGTGTTGCAAAAAAGAGATGTGCCTACGAGTAACACGATGAAGCTCATTTAATGATTAAATCTAAAAGAAATGAGAAGAATTAAAGTCATTGTAGTCGTTGTTGGAGATGTTTGGTAAATGCGGAAGAAACGTGTTGTGGGGTAAGCTGTTTGAACGTAATGCCAGATGTTGTTGTTGTTGCAAGGGGATAGAACCGGGTGGTGGTTGATGCAACTGAGAAGGCGAATGATGCCGTTGCTGGTTGTAGCTAAAGGGTGGTTGCTGGGGTTGAGTCTGCACATGCTGATACTGTTGAGATGATTGTGTACTTGCTCCCATGGAAGGTGTATCAACTTCTTCTTCTTCTTCTCGTTCTTCTCCTTCCTCCTCTTCCAATGTGGGATTTTCTTCTACATCCACAAACTCTGTTAAATTGTCATCGGCACATATGCCTTCAAAAATGTGCTGTTCACGTTTGTCCATGATTGTTTTGATGTTGTTTAAATCGAATAATGTAAAGTTACTAATAGACGCGTTCAAGCAATTTTGAACTTCTTCTAGCCAGAGTCTTTTCTTGTCAGTTATATCTAATTGTCCGAAAGCTTGCATACTTTGAATAAATAAATTTGTCAAGTCTTGTTGTTCCATCTTCTGCAATTGGCTCAAAACTTCATCACATAGAGAACTGTTTGGCACTTCAGATGCAAGTGAGGGCCAATTCTTTATGGGAGTGTAAAAAGCAACAAAGTGGCAAAAAGTGGCTGGTGAATTGATTTGTCTCGGATCTGGCATTGACTTCTTGGTGAACTGATTTATAAGCCATTCGTTGGTAATTATCTTGGCCTTTATTCTTCGATCACGCAACTTTCTCCGAAGTTTGCTCTTCTCTTTCTGACCACTAGCTAAATCACTCGACATTTGCGATCGAGCCAAACTTCTCTTTGACGGCTTTCTTTTACGCGAGGTTGATTTACCCATTGGTGATGATTCCAATGAGGAGACGCTGCCATTATATCCAATTGTAGAAACCTCGATACTCTTTCTCCGTGCATGTTGGTTTCTTACAATGTAGCACTCTTCAACGGGATGCCAAGAGTCCCCCTTGCGGGTTTCCAAATGACGTAAAAAGGATCCTTTGTGAGTGAATTGTTTGCGACAAAACGGACACACTTTGTCATTGTTTGCCCCATCTGTACCACTTTTGGATTTGCGCATCAGCACTGATTGCAATTCGGGGAGTGATGTATTATCTTGTATCTCATCCGATGACTTTAGAATGGGAATTATTGATGCGTCATTTAGTAATTGGGGCTGGTCTTGTGGTGTAATACCTGATTGTTGCGGTTGTTGTTGCGAAAGAAGAGACGGAAGCATTGGTTGATGTCGTTGGAAATAAAGCGATTGTTGAAATTGTGGTTGCGGTTGCGGCGGCGGTTGCGATTGCGGTTGCGATTGCGGTTGCGATTGCGGTTGCAATTGTCGTTGAAATGGTTGTTGTAGATGTTGGAAGGGGAATGTCAGCGGTTGCTGTAATGGTTGATGCAATTGTTGTGGCAGTTGTTGTTGTTGTTGCTGTTGTTGTAGAGTATATTGGGACTGTTGGGTTGTTGGTGGAAGTTGTTGTGGATACTTTAATTCGTCATCATTTCTGTTACCCTCCTGTTTAAGAGGCATGCTGTTGTACATGATAAATGCAAATGTAAATAGGTGTGATGGGAATAGCTAGTGTAAAGGGACTTGTGCAATGTTGCATCCATGAAATGGTGCGTATGGTGTGTTGGAGTAAATTGAAATGAAGTAACTTGTATAATTTGCAAGCGGGAATATGGTTTTGTATAAATAAAGGAGGCAGTTTCAGATAGATCTGTGATCCTTAATGGAGGGGAATGAAAAGAATATTGATGATGATTAATTTACTACAAAAAACAAATGCTACTAAAACAAAGCAGATTTGAAATTGATTTCACTCTTGTGTATCACTTTTTTGCACCTGGTGCATTTGATATTTTAACTAGTTACGCTGAGAGAGCTCTATACAGTAGGAAATAAGTTTTTCTCTGTTGTGTTGGAGAATTCGAGATACAAAATGGGTGTGGGGGAGAAGGTAGGTGAAGGGGCTGGACGCATATGCTACAAAAGTTTAGTGAATGTGACACATTTATACAGTGCAAGTAGTCGGAGTTCAATAAGAAAAAGCTAAAAAAGGGGGTCTTTGAGATGTATTGTGGTTACATTGGGCTAGATTTTAAGGCACAAATTGGGTAACAAGAGCAAAGTCCTGAATTGTAAATTGCAACTGCGAAACCTTTCGTTGGCGTGTAGGAGATCTTGATGCAACAATCGCACCATCAAGTGCCATAGATATTTATCAGCAGTGGGTGCTTGAGTGTAGCTCCATGAATCCTATATGAAGAAGTTTTTTTCATACATAGCTTCACTGAAAAAGGTGGTTTGATTGCACACCTTCAACTGATCCAACAAGGTTCAAACAAAATGATTTTACTCAAGATGGACAAATAGCTCAGTTTGTGTAACCTTTGTACTTTTGTGTTGATTACTGGTTTAGGGAGTTTTTTTTCAAACAGCACTTGGTCGCTACCAAATACTATGAACACAATATCGAGCTTTTTAAGAAACCCTACATTTTATAAATCCTGTATAAGTAGTTCAAGGGGAGAAAGAGAGAGGTTTGCTATTAGTAAATTCTATTGGACAACCGCATCAACCCCACACAACACAAGACTCTTTTTTTTTTTTGATGACAATAAATTGGCTGAAAGAAAATTGCCGCAACATTAACCATTTAATTGCCCCCCTTTCTCCTTATTTACAGTGTTGTTGACAGTTTTGCTTCTATATGTTACACTATTTCACTACTACCTCTCTTTCCTTCCATGAATTTGTGTATGCTTGTGATATCTTTCAATCACAAACGCCAAAGTAAGATCCTCTTGTATGCATCTAAAAATTGGTATCTAACCATGAACATTTTTGTACGGCTAAAATGCCGATCTTATGCAGGAATTAAGGAAAAAAAATAACATCATAATCAATTGTAAAAAAGTATATGCAAGCCATCGGTTTGTGTGTTGTTTGGTCTGTTTTTCCTTCTATTATATCTCTCATTGATAAGTGCCTAACCACTGATTATGCTCTCAAACAACTGTTTAGTCTGATACTACTGAATCGACATTGACATGCTAAAATCAATTTGTAGTCACAGTTGTCTTTATTAAATCCTTGACACAACAATTATTGTGACGTAAACCTCCAACTTACCCCCCTTCATACCCGTCCTGTGTGTAGGAAATGTCATTAAATGTATATGTAGCGTAGGTTAAATGAGTTTCATTGATGACGCTATTAATCATTATCCTCTGTAAAGGCAATAATGGCGAAGAAAAAAAAATCGCAAATTACCCCACTTCTTGCCACCCTCAATATTCGGAGTTTATGTTATCCACAAAACTATGTTCACTCAATAGTTGCAAATGAAGCTGAAAATTATAAAGTGTTCAGTACGTATCATGAAGGAGAGTATCCTATATCGTGCGACTAGTTAAAATTAGACGCATGGTACAAATTGGCGTAGAATGAAGAGTGACTGAGAACAATAACTCTACGCAACAAGAGCGCTCTTAGGTACAGTTCTGTTGCAATTATGTTTCCTACTAGGACGAACAAATACATCAATGTGATCAAGACTTATAAAGATTTTGTAAGTCTTCACCTCTATGCATCTTAGCTTCCCATTACGAGGCGTATAATTCAACTCGTAATCCAATTTGTGTTTCATCAGGTTTGTGTTTTGTATCGTGGGCTAATGTGTCCCGAAGTGCCTTGGGGGAAGAGAGGCTGAAAGTCACTTTTGCGGTGCCATTGGCTTCCCCATTTGGATTTTGAGAACTATATACGATGCATCCCCCAACTTTTACATTCCGAAAATCGCAATCGTTTCTACTTGTTTTTCACCCTCGTATACTCTATATATCTAACTTCTCAGCAATTTGCTTCAAGTTACTCACATACCTGTCTTTTATGGAAGCACCATTACCTGATGCAACAGTCAAAACCAACTCATTCAACTCGGCACTGCCCAAAATATCCACATGCTCGGCTGTCTTTGCCCCACCTCTCAAATCAAATCTATCTGGTTCATGTTTGATCTCAACGATGGTCACATTGACATTGCCTGGGTTAAATCTCGACTTGCTTCCCTTCTGCCATTCATGGCACATTGTGTGGGTTAGTAATGACACAGTTCCATCTCCATCACCCAACATAACTCCATCACTTGAGTCACTGTCAATAACATAATCCAACTTGACTGATTTGTCGGCTGGGACGTACTTGTATGCACGTTCGGTGGGATTTCCCACGCCATAGAAGCAATAATATTTCAAGTTTGGAGCATTGGGTAATGCTGCTTCTAACGGATTAACCCATTTGCTTTGAATTTGATTGTTAGCTTCCAACTCCTTTTTGGTCCTTGCAACACCATGACTATAATTTTCTCTTACTCGTTTTGAATACCATGAGGGAGCTTCGTCGAGTAGTTGTTCCAAACTCTCATCCATTGTAACCTCCCTTTGTTCACCATCCTTACCAGTGTACTTAATGAAAGTTCCAAAACTGCCATTTTTTGGCCCATTGAGTTCCTTGCCAGCGTCTGTTGTTTCGAGTGTATTGATAGGATCATCAGGCGCGTTTGTTAAGTTACCCCATATAAGATCTCCTCCTTTGGGGAACATACTAGCAACCCCTCCAAACGTACGCAACATATCAACCCTTTCCCTCCTGCTGAAAAATTGTTCCAAACCGTACACAGCTAATGCATTCAATTGAACCGTGTCTTTCATTTCCCCTGAAATCAATGCTGGAATGGTTTTAGGAGTACCCAAAGAAGAGCCACTGATATCAACAACTGCTTCGATATATTCATTTACCCAGTTTGGTCCTCCATTGCCAAAATATTCACCTTTTGCTTCAACCCATTTTAAAAAATAATAAATAACTTGCGACCCCATTGAGTGGCCAACCAAGATGGACTTTTCACCACTAAGTTTTTTGGACATTTCGATTTGTTTTTGCATCTTGCTAAAATATCCATCACGCTTTTCCAAATCAATATACGTCAAACGCCAATCATAACTTGCACTCAACATGTTATCTGGATTATACCCAATTACAGCCAAATTTTGCAAAATCTTGTTCCAAATCCAATATCCAGCGACAAAGAAATCGGCTGCCTCAAACCCTTGCGCTGCACGTACTTTCACATTCGGTGGATCTAGTCCTGTCTCTGTATCAAGCATGATATTCTTAAGCCAACACGTCTTGTCAAGAATCATTGTGCGCAACATAAAGAACGATCCCCATAGTCTTTTTCTAAAATATCCAATTGAAGGACAATCGCCCAGAGTTGTTGTGCCCCATGATTCCAACCCAGTGGAAATGACACCTGGGACCATAACGACATTGTACTTTGCGGTGTAGTTCTTTGCTGCCCTCAATCTCAATCCAACACTAAATGATTCAGCTGATCCGTGTAAACTGTCGTCACCACCTTCGGCATCTTTCAAATAAGATTGTATTCCCGAAGGCAACACATCTTTCCAACCTTTCCAATCTTCAAACAATGAGTTTAGATTATCAAAGTTTAAATTGACCAACTGGTCTAGATCAGTGGGGAAGTTTGCCCTGTTTGTTGAGAAAAACACGGTAACCACAAGTCCAAATACAATACCTAAAATGAAAACAAATCGCCTCGACTCACGAATCTTTTTCCTCGACTTGATTTCTGGGTTGTGTTTCTTATGATGATGAGGATGGTGGTGGTGACTGATGGAGTTGCGATGTTCGGTCTTGGAATCATCTTGGGTCAAATCAATCTCTTGAACACCATCTTCATCCTCATCATCGCTACTTATGTTGTTGTAGTTTATTGCTGTGGACTTGGCATTCGTAGAGCTTGATGATTCCCTCTCTTGTGACTTTCTTGTCCTATTAGTAGACATAGTATGTAGTTTTCTGAAGTAGTGGAGATCACTTTGAGTACAGGTTATGCCAAGAAGGAAAGATAAGGAAAGAAGTCTTTTGAAAATTATGTTTTCTAGGATATTTGCTTTTATACGAGAGAGAAAGTTAGAAAAAAAAAATCACAGGTCAAGAGATCTAGAAAAGCAACACAAACACGTAGATCCTTCCCGTCCATGAACGAGGAGAAGGACCACACTGGTAATGGAGCAGTAGCTACAGTTAAAAAAAAATGATGGCTGGTAGTTGCTTTTCTCTTTGCTAAGTCGATTGCTTGTTGATTTGCAGCATATCCCTCGATTGCTTCGGCTTTAATAAAATCTCGGAAGCTTTTGTGTAAAATCCTTCCGAAAAGTATCCGAAACACTTCTCTGATGTTGTTACTAATCAACCTGTAATATCTGATATCTCTAGCAAGTATTTAGAAGCAAATAGGAACGCAATTCAGCAAGTTGCGCGAGATTGGAGGTATTATAGATACGAAGTAAGTTTGGGCTGCAAAAATATTTTTTAGTCCTGGCTGTAACTGGAGAATACGAAATGCAAACAAATAATTGCTCAGAGCACAGGAAAATGGTAAATACACTCAGTCACGGACAAGCCACACATCTGCCTATGTTTGTGGAGATTTTCTTAATTTACTCGCCTACATTCCCAAAATTTACAATTATTTTGCTGCAAAATTGATAAACATGTTGGGATAGTTTTCAGTACGCACTACTATCATTGTAAATACTCCCAATGGTTAAGAAAAAGTACCCAGGTTGTAGAATAAGGGTTTATGAATGTTTTGCTCGTGTTAATGTCTAACTAGGAAGTCATATTCTACAGGGACAAATATTTTGATTCAAAACTTGAATCAATGACTACTATTTAAGAGGCAAAATAAGTTTCATGGAATTATTTTGCTCACAAATGACTACTAGATACTTTTACATGGACAGCTGAAACACTCATCATCGGTTGAAAAGCAAAATACACTTTGAAAAACTGAAAAAAAAAAGCTTTAAACCAGTTTGAAATCAATAGTTTCTAATTTGGAGTAGCACTATGTATAGAAAAAGTGACCCAAAGCTGTATTGAAGGTATTTTAGGATTTCATTGGTGATTGAGAGTATGTTGAATTATATATATCTCTTTCTACACGTGATTATTTATATGCTGTGTTTATAAACTTGTTATTTTTCTGAACAGATAATGGGCGTGTGGCGTAGTTGGTAGCGCGTTCCCTTAGCATGGGAAAGGTCATGAGTTCGATTCTTATCTCGTCCAAATTTATTCTTTTTGCCTTTTTTTTTTGGTCTCAGATTTCTTAATTTTGTTTTGATTTTCTCTTTTTTTGTGAACGCATCGCGGTTTCTGGACATAATTTTTTCATCAACTTTTTAGGGAGATTAATCACTAGTGTATTTTGTTGATACTGCAAACCACCACGTCTCAAACACACTACTGTTCCCACTATGACTGATTCAGCTACTGACAAATCCACTCTTGATAAATATGAACAGCATTACTTTTCATCTTACGATCATTTTGGTATTCATGAAGAGATGTTGAAGGATACATCACGTACATTGAGTTATAGAAATGCCATGTACAGAAATAAAGATGCATTTAAAAACAAGATAGTTCTTGATGTTGGTTGTGGTACTGGTATACTTTCCATGTTCGCAGTGAAAGCTGGTGCCAAGCATGTGTATTCAGTGGACATGTCATCAATCATCGGCAAGGCGAGAGAAATTGTTGAATTGAATGGATTCAGTGATAGAATTACATTGTTGCAAGGTAAATTAGAGGATATTAAATTACCAGTTGACTCAGTTGACATTATAATATCCGAGTGGATGGGTTACTTTTTACTTTATGAGTCCATGTTGGATACTGTGTTGTACGCCAGAGATAAATATCTTGTCAAGGGTGGTTTAATATTACCAGATAAATGTCAGATGTATATTGCTGGTATTGAAGATGGTCAATATAAAGAAGAAAAAATTCACTACTGGGAGGATGTATATGGGTTTGACTACTCGCCATTTATCAAAACAGCCATGGAAGAACCATTGGTTGATACTGTGAACAAACAGGCATTGGTGACAAACAGCTTCAAGTTTTTTGAATTCGACATCAACACAGTGAAGAAGGAGGAGCTCTCATTCAAGAGAAAGTTTGAATTGCTTGCCACTGAAGATGAGATGTGTCATGCATACATTGTTTACTGGGATGCCATCTTTCCAGGAAAAGAAAGAGTCACTTTGCCAACAGGACCAATGCACCAGTATACTCATTGGAAACAAACTGTTTTTTATATGGACCAGGTATTAGATTTGAAACAAGGTGATCTCATTTATGGTGAAATTTTCGCTCGACCAAGTACTGTTAATCCAAGAGAGTACGACATTGATCTCAAGTGGGATTTGCAAACCGAAAGCAATGACGTTAGTAGGAACCAAAAAGGAGAGTACAAATATTTTCTTCGTTAGACTTGATAGACCTGAATGATACTTGGTTATTGAAAATTCTTTTTGCATCCACATGTGTTCTAGAATTGAAGACTTGGTTGCTAATACATTTCACCTATTTTCTTTTTGTGTAATAGCGGCTACTCTCATATCGCAAATATCCGATCGATGATATTTAAACCCAAAGCAACGTCATCATTGGGGGCATCGAAATTTTTCCATTTGCCCTCTTCTTTCTCTTTTCTTGTTAACTTTTCATGTTTCTTCAACAGGCTGCACCAGTATTAAAAACCAGATTTATCGCGCCATCAAACACAGTGACCCATTTAATAAGAGTTTTATCATTTGCCACCAAAAGAATCAATTTAAGCAACCCACAAACGCAATCAATTAGAAAAATGTCAAAATCAGATAACGAATGGAGAGCAATTCTCTCACCAGAGCAATTTTACGTTTTGAGACAAAAGGGAACTGAACCACCAGGATCAGGAAAGTACAACAAAACCCCATCATCGGAAAAGGGTGTTTATGAATGTGTCGCTTGTCACAATCCACTTTACAAAGCCAGTACTAAATTTGACTCAGGATGTGGATGGCCAGCTTTTTATGATGCAATTCCTGGGGCTCTCAACGTGAGCACAGATACAAGTCACGGAATGACAAGAAACGAAATTACTTGTGCCAAATGTGGTGGACACTTGGGACATGTCTTTAAAGGTGAAGGGTTCCACACTCCAACTGATGAAAGACATTGTGTCAACAGTATCTCACTTCATTTGAATCCAGAGAAGCCATAGAATCGCAGAGGTAGCTATAGAGGTAGCAACAAAGGCAGTTTGGGAAGGAGTTTGATATTGAAAAAGTAGTGGTTAAAGGTACGGTTGTTATGTTTGGGATGTTGTATTTAGAGTCTGTACAATATAAATGGATGACGAGTTTTTGCACAACGTTAATCAGATTGTATACTGTCATGCATCTCCCACCCTAGATTACATACGGAACAAAAATCTTTCTCTTTAACTTCTTGTACTCATCACCAAATGTCTTCAAATATCTCTTGTGTTTCTTCACAGCCCAAAGCCACATTTGAGCAGTACTAACAAAGAGGAAAATCCACGCAGACCAGTTGCCCACCAACAATGCATAGGATAACCAAGCCAAAGACTCAAAAAAGTAGTTTGGACACGAAACTAAATTGAATCCATAACCAAATGGAATGACATACTTTTTTGTGTCTTTGTTTCTCAAGTTACTCAAAATCTTGTGGGTTTTGAAATTGGAGAATTCCGCAAAAGCCCACAATGCAACTAACGAGTATTTGGCCCACGATGACAAATCATTCACATGAAACAATGTGCTCAAGAATCCAGAGTATTTGCCAACTGGGGCATAAACAAAGTACGCTAAATTGAATCCCGACAAGATCCAATAATGAGTGGAATTTTTGAAAATGTTAAACGCAGGCATGGTGGCGTTGGAAAACTTGTGCACAAATAATGTTTCGTATTCACGTTTGGCGAAATGCAACAAAACCATCCAGTAGGCTAAAGTCTGGGTTTGAGTATGCTGAAACGGTTTCACATTGTACAACGAAGCAAAATTGTAAAACAAGACATGGAATACAAATGGTCCAAAGTATTCCACTACAAACACTGTACGCCACGAAATCTGTGGTCCTAAATCCTTTACATAAAGCTGGATATTTGTCTCATTTTTGGGAATGCCATTTTGGGCAAATGTCTTGTCGGCAATTAACGCAACTTGTTTGTCATTTTCCAACCTGCTCAATCTGAGTCTGTGTCTTGAGATGTGATTATCGACACTGAGCTCTTCAATCAATTCATCCACTAAAGAGTCCGTAGTCAACTCATTTGATGAATATGATTTAAGTGATCTAGAACGTGACTTGACTTCAATTGATGTCATATTTGTAATGTTTAGCAACTTTTGGGAGAAAAAAAAACGGGAAAAGGAGAATAAATAATTTTTTGTTGTTGGATGCTCTCGGGAAAAGATTTGTTGAAGATTGGAAGTTGCTTATCTCCAGCAGTGAAGTCCAACGCCAAAAAGCCCAACAGATTCACACCCCCGGGGGAATAACTACAAACGAAAGCGGAGAATCGGCTGATCACTCTCTACAATTGATTTCTCCTCTCAATTCAGGGATTGGTTTTCAATTGCTAAAGCGACTTAAAGCTTATGTATGTATTATTCTTCTGCGTTATTTTTCCCTAAACCACTCTAAAAGTACGAGAGCGCTCAGTGTGACTCCACTTTGAGCCAACGTCAAAGAACCCTCATGATTATGTACACCTCAAACGACTTAGATGTTGATACACCCAAGTTGTTCCAAATGGTAGCACACACCACAGTATTGATCACACGAGAATCTATATGCAGGACTCAATCATTTTCAATTTTTTTCTTTCTTTTCCTAATGGCAAATATAAAAGAAAGTGAGTCAACACCCATTTTTTTTCATTCAAATTAAGTCACTACTTACACTTATTCAGATTTAGCTAGATTGAATTTTTTGAAAAATGTCAGACGATTGGGACTCAGTTACTATTATTGGTTCAAAAGCCAGAGTTGGTGGTGGTGGTCCAAGGGAACACGTTGCAAAAACACAATCACAATTAAACGCTGCTAGAAGACTGGGTTTAGTTGTTGGTACTGAAAAGAAATACGGATCCGCAAATACTAAAAGCAACCCTGAAGGGCAAAGATTAACCAAACTAGATGCCACCGATGATGTTGTTGCTGTGAAGAAAGTTGACACTAATGTTGGTAAGGCTATTCAAAGAGCCAGACAAGAGAAGAAGTTCACACAAAAGGATTTAGCTACCAAGGTGAATGAAAAACCAAATGTCATTAACGATTATGAAGCTGGAAGAGCTATTCCAAATCAACAAGTTTTAGGTAAACTAGAAAGAGCGTTGGGTGTCAAGTTAAGAGGTAAGAACATTGGTGAGCCTTTGTTCGCAAAGAAATCGTAGATTGAAATTTAGCATTTATTGCGATGGTAATAAACGAAATTGAGTACTCTATAAGCTCTTATTTCGTATTTGCATAAAAGCATATAGCCCGTAGTAGGTCTTTTGTTTCCGTCAGTTTTTCGTCAGGCTGTGGCATCGGTTTTGGTAACGATTTTGCCAACAATTTTGAAATCTCTTTCAGTAAGTCCTCTTTGCCGTTTTTGTTGATTGATTCAGTTAATCGTTCCATTTGGCGACCCGAGAAATATAGCATATCAACGTCAGATTGCACTTTTGACAAATTTTGATGAATGTCCAAAAAGTTTCTTTCCACATTGGCAAAACTAGGGTCTAATGAAAGGTCCCTTGGTATATCTTGATTCTTAAAATTGCTTGCAAAATCCTCTATGTCCTGCTCAGTTGCTACTGTGTCTATAAGAGAAGTCAATCGCTGATATGCTGATTCCCATTCATGCTTTTCGCTTTTTAATGCATCCAACTCTTTGGTATACTTTCTGATATTCTCCAAGTTGGTCTTATTCTTAGGGTTTGGCAAAAGCACTGAGTCAGTTTTGTGCGGACTGCTGTCCTTCCAATCAGTCGATATTGAATAACCCTTCAACAGTTGAATTAATTCATCAGTCAATGTTTTTGCAATATTATGAACAGTCTGATTCTCAGCCGATAGCAGGCGCTGGTCATTCCTCAATTCATTTTCCTCCTTGTCAAGCTCCGTTTTCAAATTCCATATCAAAAGCTGTCGCATCCTATCTGATTCTGGAATTGATTTATCGAGGTGCTTATAATATTCTGAAACTGGAACGTCTTGGTGGGGCTCGCCTTCGAAACCGTTCCCCATTGAACTAACTCTTCTCCCTCGACTGTTATATGACAATCTCCTTGTGCTCTGGCTATGCTCCCTATTAGAATCCCCGCGCGTTGCAAACTCATTATGACCCTTTAATGGAGACTGTAGTTGACCTTTCAATCTCTCTTGCGACGTCTTGTGCAAAGATGAGCTCTTCAGTTTCCTCACTTTGTTTGCGGTTTTGGGCTTCAGGATATTGAAAAAGTCATCGGATAAGTTTTCGGGTGGAGAATCTCTCGTACTGTATCCCGATTCTTGCTGAAATTGGCTTGGGGGTGTGGTCAGCCTCTTTTTCCTTCTAATGTCAAGGGGTGGTGAGCTATCTCGCTCAAAGAAACTTTCGTCCTCCTCCGCATATGGAAGCTGGTTGGCTCTCCGCGTGGTTGGATCTGGGGTGCTTTCAGTTTGGGATGAGAATAATGTTGATAGCTTGTTATCTCGAGCAAAAATATTCCTTGAACGTTGCAGTAGATCTCGGGTGCGAGGTGCTCCTGTTGATGGTGCTGGTGAAGTTGATCTCGATTTCTTAGTTTTAGATGCATGACCTCTTCGCGGCTTTCCATTTCCTAATCGTCTACTGGTTTTCATTGCGGAACGTTTGGCAATCGTCTCCGGTGTTAGTGAACAGTGATGATTGCTTTGATTGTATTCAATAAAAGATGTGTGTTTGTTTTGGTTTTGATTTTTGTACCGCGTTTTCTTTTTCGCTACCACTGAAAACACATCAGTAGTTCAGCACGTTCTTTTCTTCTCATTATGTCACAGGTTCAGCTATCACCATGCAAGAGATTCATCGGCCAAATTCAACCAGTGGGAAATCTGATTGTGTTGAATATTTTTAATGTCTTGGATGATAACCTACATCGGTCTTTCAAAATGATTGATATGATTCAAAGTAAATTTTCCTTCAACCAGACCCCCACTTTGCTCGACCTAAGTTTCCAATGGGAGCACAACCATGAGGGCAGAGAATGTGAAAAGTTGGCAGTATTGGTTAAAAATATGGCAGCATTGTTTATTCTCGATATACACAAGGATGAGGCATCACTGGTGTTGGTACGACAACCTCAACATGAAGGTATTTCTTCATTTCAGTGGTTACCACCAACTGGTATTGAAAAGAAAACGGGTTATTCAAACAGCCTGCAAATAGTATTGTTTTCCGAAAATAACTTGAGTGCAAAGCTCTACTCATTGGACTGTACAAGCAAGTTATTTACAATTCATAAACCGTTCAATGATCATATAATCAATCGCAAGAGGTCAAGTGGGAGTTTTTGGTGCATACTTGCTGACACATTTGAGTACAATGTTCCCCCGACAGTGTATCAATTTCTAAATACGGGACCACTCAGTATCTTGATGAACTCAACTAGGCTACAAAACTTTATCTCGGAGGAGGCTTATATCAACTGGTCCCCCAGTGGCAATTGGCTACAGATATTTGATCGGAATGAGGCTTTGTCAGGATATTGCTTGAGGGTGTATGGGTCAAATGGCACTAGTGGACCCAGTTTTGTCAAACCATTGGTGGATATAGATTTTGAGAGCGAAACTAAGGAGAAAGGGGTAATAAAGGTTATGCAAGGTGGTATACACAGCTGTTGGTACTCGTCAAGCGGCGAAGAATTTATAATAGTGTCGAGGGTCATGGGGAATACATTGGAGATTACAGGAATATCAATGAGGTTGTTAAAGGTTGTCATCCGGGTGAGCAAGAATTTGAAAGAGATTAGTACCGAGCATATCGTGCGTGGAATTACAAGTTTTAAGCTACTCGACGACTGCATTTTTGTGCAAATAGACAATCGTCTGCTATACCTTTTCCAGCTCAGCGCTAAGGACACCAAGGCGGATTACGTCACCGAAATAAAGGTGCAACTGAGAGTAGTTAATGTCATTGCTAATCAAAATCGATGGTTCATCATTACTCAAAACCAAGTAATACTCTACGCTGAGGGCATAGTGAAATCCTTATTATCAACAGAGTTCCATATATACTCCGCTTCACTACTTCAAGATTTCGTTGTTGTTCTTCAGCGAGGTTTAAATGGCGAGTTTTGGAGGTACCTTGATACCAAGCAGTCAAAACAGAGTCGAAAACCAAGAAGTGCTAACCAACTGATTGACGAGATTACTGACACATTCGCTATGCGAAAAAGAGCTAGAATTCAATGATTGTAGTGTTGTATATTGAAGCATATGTACAAGGAAATTTACAACATATCAAGCCTTCTTTTTCTTTGGAGCACCTTTATTCCTCCTCTTTCTATCTTCTACCATAAATGTCCTATGAGCTTCTCTAGGGTCAACCAATTTCAACTCGGGGAACCATTTCTTGAAATCTTTAAACGTTGGAACTGCATTATTATCTCCATAGTACTTGACAACTTCTGGTCCCATTAATGGCTTTTTCAATATTTTTGCCGGATTTCTTTTTGCTGTAGGGTTCCAGAATTCATCGAATATTTCAGCACTGAGCTTTTTCACTTTAAGTAATCGGCTCTTGGATGGTAGGGTTTTTAGTATTGACGACATGAGTCAAGAATAGCGATTGCACTATATTTGGTGGAAAGGATGAAGTTTTTCAATTTTTTTTTTCTTGTGCTGGAAATTGACGAGACATTACTACATCTACGACATTGCAAGAGTGAATAACATATTCCAAGAAGTGGTGGATCACTTAGCAAACTTAGAGGATAGAAAGAGCAAAGATGCAACTTGTCGTTTTCTGTATTAAAACCTGTCTTGCAGAAACTGGTCAAAAAATGCGTTATATATGTACTTGGCAACCACTACTTAAAATGAGCCTTCTTTCTTGCGACCCTTGTAATCTCTTCCACATCCTCATCTTCTAATTCGAAATTGACAACATTGACAATATCTTCCATGTGTTCCTCCTTTGAAGTAGTGGTAATTGGTAACAATCCCTTTTGAATCACCCATCTTAATAAGATTTGATCACTATTCTTGCCATACTTATCAGCCATGCTCGACAAGACGTAATGAAGCGACTTGTTGTGACATACCACCGCATAAGCTTCAACTAAAACCCCTTGCTCTTGGCAAAACTCAGCAATTCCAGGAGTTTCATCATGCAAATAATGATTGAATTCAATTTGATTGACAACCGGCTTCCACTTGGTCTTGGAGTTTAATAACATTTTCAAATCTTCAACACCAAAATTTGACACACCAATGCTATGGGCCAAACCTTCCTCTTTCAACCTTTCCATATGGCTCCACTGCTTCATCAAACCGGGTCCACCCTTGGCAACTTCTTGATGGAGGAGATACAAGTCAACATATGTCGTGCCCAAGTCCTTTAAATCAGCTTTCAACTCTTCATATGGATTGTGATGCTTAAGATGCTTTTCTTCGCTGGGAAGATACTCAGCAGTGATGAAAACCTCGTTTCTTTTAACCAACAGATTTTTCAAAGCTATTCCGATTTCTTCATTTGTTCCGTAAGATCCAGCACCTTCGATATGGTTTATACCTCCCTTCAAAGCGAGTTCTAAAGTACCAATCAATTGCTTATCTAATTCACCATGACCATGTTTAAAGTGTTTGGCACCAATACCAAATGCAACAGCTGGGATTGCGTTACCATTACTAAGAATGAATCTTGAAGCTGAAAGTGACATGTTAAGATACTATGTATTAATGATGATTGAAAATCCACCCCACAACTCATGAAAAATCGAAGCCATCCGCATCACACTTTATAGTCCATCAAGCTTAAAGCCGTCCTGTTTAAACTTTTTCGTCATCACCCCCCCCTTTTTCAAGGTTATGATACGATTACATACAACAAAGAAGAAAATATTTAGTATTTCTGCACACAAGATTTAATGGTCGTACTACATGAATTGCAGATTATGATGCCACATTTTTTCACACTTGAAAAACTAAGTTTTAGTTAAATGATGTGATGAAGGTTATGAACTGACTCGGAGATACAAGTCCGTGGGTAAATGCATCGAGTTAGATTCGGCGCAGAGGATAACCGGAACCGACCCGGAGGTACTCTTTGTGCAGCCGCCTGGTGTCTGGTCATAGGGTGATTTATTCTATCATTGGCTCATTTAAAGAATTTCTTCACATGAACACTTATACAACTATTTATTTTTTCTGTTCATAATCATTAAAGTAATATATTCCTGGTTATATCTGGCTTTCCTAGACTTTTCTTACTACTGTCTTGGGAGTTGCTGATCACAACTCTAGGGACTTACTAATCTAAATGTTAACTTAAGGAGGAATTTCAACTGTGGGGATTGTTCAAGGCAATATCAAAAAGTTGATTTTTGCCAGGAATTTTTACACAATCCAATCAAATGCGTGGGTGATTCTCCTACATCTGATGAAAGTTGAACGAGCTGCTCGGGTGCTTACGATTATGTCCTTGGAACTTTGAGCCCTCCTATGGCTATGTCGTCTACGAAAGGATTGGTCCCTTGATTCTGATGTCGTCGATAAAGGAGACGGCTCTTCTGCTACCTCAAAGGATCGGCATATTGTTGTTTACTTCCTTTAATGTGTCTTATTTGCAGTTTATACAAACTTTGGAGCAATGTCGGGACATTCTGATGAATTCTTACTAACTCCTGAATACTAGATAATACCACAATCACAAGAATTGTGTGGTTTAAGTGAAATAAATAGATTTATTCCTAAAAACAAATATAAAGACGGATCCTACTGGATCCTCTGATTCACCTAATATATAAATCGGGTCATGTGCGCCTCAATCACGTGTAATAATAAAAAGTAATAGTACAAAAATATGTCAGTTTACCTTCGATGTATAAACAGATAATTGCCAGCCATGCTGTATATATACTTATGTAGGATTCAGCAGTTATTGTTGTGTTAAATTGTAGAGTGTTGATCTTTTCTCTAGTAGGATAATCTCCACCCTGTGGATGACTTTTGCTTGGACGTAGTTGGTTTATTTACAACTGGTGATTTGTATTGGACTGAAGACATGGCACAAAATCAAAAGCGCGTTTGATCAAAGATAACAATAACCAAGGGTCAAATTATTGTTGCATCAATTGTCCGCTTGATTTTTTCTTAGAATCAATCAACCATTAGCCTCGAAGGAGAATCCTGGATTTTTTTTCGATAGGTTCAAGAGACCCCCCATATTTGCAGCGTTTTCCTCCATCCTTGTTGACCAATTTCCATCACTATCTCATCTTTGTCGCGACCCACGTTTCTTTCTCAAAGTTATTAAAACATGCACAATGAAAATACTCCATTGCTACACCATGATAGACGATTAAGTCATATCTCAGAAGTTGATGAAAACGAGGTCGTTTCCTATGTTCGACAAAAGAGACAATCAATCGTCTCAGCTCAAAATGATATGCCTCGGTTGCACCATGAAGCAATATCACCGGCTGTCTTGCATCCGCATGGAAGCCAAGATGAGTCAACGTCATTAAGTCCACAAGTGTCACATTCAACTGTGTTATCCCAAACTATCAGTGAGATTTTGCTACATCATACCGATGATATTGGTCCCGAACCGAAGACGACATTGGTGATAGAAACAAGGCTTTTGCTAAAATTTGCTGTGCCAATTGTGATTACGTTTTTACTCCAATACTCTCTAACTTTTGCTTCTGTCTTATCGGTGGGAAGATTGGGATCTACTGAATTAGCTGCTGTTAGTCTTAGTTCCATGACTGCTAATATCAGTGGATATGCCATTACTCAGGGAGTTTCCACATGTCTTGACACATTATGTGCCCAAGCTTTTGGCAGAAAAGAATTTAATCAGGTCGGTGTTGCTTTTGTGAGGTGTAATTACTTATTATTATTGTGTTGCATCCCGACGGTTTTAATTTGGACCAACTCAAATTCCATTTTGAAGTTGATTGTCCAGGATCAACCAGAGTTGTGTGACTTAGCTTCAAGGTACCTCAAAATACTATCTATTGGGATTCCTGGATTTGTATTGTTTGAAAACGCCAAACATTTTCTCCAATGCCAAGGAATCTTTCATGCATCAACATATGTATTGGGTATCTGTGCACCTGTCAATGCAATCTTGAACTATGTTTTAGTTTGGAACAAGACGTTGGGAGTTGGTTTTATTGGTGCACCAATAGCGGTTGTTGTCACAAACTGGCTCATGTGTGGGTTCATATACAGCTATATCTTTTTCATTGATGGTTATCAATGCTGGCCAAAACAGTATCTAATCGATAAAGTGTATTTCACCAATTGGAGTAGAATGATCAGTCTATCAATTCCGGGTGTTCTTATGGTCGAAGCAGAATGGCTAGCATTTGAAATCATCACTTTCCAAGCGGCCAAGTTGGGAACTACCACTTTGGCAGCACAATCAATTGTCAGCACGACTTTAGTGGTACTTTATCAGATCCCTTTTGGTATGAGTGTTGTATGTTCAACGAGAATTGCGTGGTATATTGGAGCTGCTTCTGGGTATGCCGCTAAATTGGCTACAAAGGCATCAGTATACACTTCAATTGTATTTGGGTTCATCAACTGCGCAATAATTCTTACATTCCGACACTCATTGGCGAAGCTATACACAAAGAATCAAGAGGTTATAGAAGTGGCCTCGAAAGTGCTCATTGTCGGTGCAGCATACCAAATCAGTGATTTCATATCGTGCTCAACTGGTGGTGTCTTGCGAGGTCAAGGTCGACAATATATCGGCGGTATTTTAAATTTGATTGGGTATTATCTCATAGCTCTACCTTGTGCTTTTTATTTTGCTTTCATCTGCAAGTTGGAGTTGATTGGATTGTGGTATGGAATGATTATTGCGTTATTGGTGGTTAGTTTGTCTCAGTTATATTTCACCGTGACGAGTAATTGGGATAAAATAATTGATGAGTGTGTAAGCGAGGGTGTGGCTGATGATGGAAACTTGACCATTGATGCGCATTCGTTGTTACCCAGTATGAGCTCCACCATTGTTGTGTGAGCAAGTGAAGCATAATTCGTTAATCAAGATATTCTTATATAATTTAGTCTTTAGATTTTCCTTTTAAATCCACGTACTTCTCCAATAAATTGTAATAGCAGGTATAAAGCTTTTCCATTTTCACAAGCTCTTGTAGAAAGTCTTGCTTGAGGGATTGATACTTTATTTCTATGTTTGAGTCCTCTTCCTCTGTAAGCTCGGCATAGTGCTTTAGCAGAGAAAGGTAATTCATTTGATTTTGCACAGTGGTGGTTAGTTCGGTAATCTGAGGTACAAGTGACACTCCAGGCATCAAGTCTTCTTTAGATTGTTGCTCCTGTTGAATCTCTCTTTTTAATTTATTTATTTCACGATCAATTCTATTCTCCGAATCAATTTTCTTATCCTTCAGCTCAACAGCGCCTTCTCTTGACACTGTTTGATACTTGCCTGGAAATTTAAGTGGGAGGGAATAGTGGGTATCATCAAGTTTATCATTCTTCACATCCGAGTACTTATTTCTCAAGCTATTCTCCCTCGTCCATTCACCGATTAATTCCGTGTCTCTACGTAAATCGTCATCCAAATCATAGGCATTGAAATCGAGATTTCTTGTGTAGTCAAATCGGTAGCGATTATATTCATCATCATCGTAGTCATCATCATCATCTTCACTGTCGTGATCCTTTCGATATCGCTGTGGTGTTGATAAATCATCTAGTAATCTTGATGCACGATTTCGGCTGCTCGACATCGGTTTCCGTGGAGTATTCAGGAATGTCGACGATGTTCTATTGTAATCTATGGTTGGCTCATTGGTGATTGTAGCATCCCCAAATCCTAAACGTTTCCACATTGATGGGAGTGAGTTCGCTGAGTGCTTGCGAATGATCTGGAGAGTAAAAAAACGCGTGTAGTGTTTCATGTTTACATTTTTGATCTATGTCGTAAAGTGTGTTGTAAATTATGCGACGTTGAAATTTTGAGACACTCCAACGGCCACATCCTTACAGCAAGAAAGGGATTGTTTAACAAAAAGAACCATGAAAATGACGTACACTTCATGTCTCTCATTAAGTAACTGGCAATACCTACCAGATGATATGATTTAGATATGAGTTTTCTTTTTAGTTTTCTTTCGCAGAAAATCAACTGTTCTATCCAAGTTGCACCTCGATCCTACATGTAACAACCATTCACATAAAGAGAACACAACTTCCACTTTTTATGTGACTCCTATCACTTTGTAGAAGAGAGACAAGTTGTGAATTTGTTGTTCGAGTTCGTTTTATGCCATGAGCTGCTATCATCGTACGATTATGTTGTGACAATCTCTAAAATTTGTGTAGTTTGTACCTGTTGTGTAAAACCTGGTAAATAAAAGTAGTGAAAATATATGGACTCCTCACGACTTCCAACCATTCAACTTTAAACCCCGCTTCACTCGCTCAAAGTGGTAAAAAAACCAACTTGTTTGCCGGTTATGAATAACCTGTAGTTCCCTGATCTAACACTGACATATATAGAATTGAACTTCTTCACTTCGCAGCGCCAAGAAGAAGAACAAAGGAATCCCAGGTTTTGGCGAATGCGTTCACAAAGTTTGAAAACGATAAACAAGCTTTGCAAAGGTTTCGCAATGATGACCCGTAATTATACAGATCCCAAAACACAATTTCGAAGAGAACAATAAGCTTCTTTTGCCACGATGTAACAAAAATATAATTCAGCCAGCAATCTTACGATCAAATAAAGGGGAAACAACAATACGAATTTGACGAGTTTGTGCACCAACCGTTTGAGTTCAAAACGCCGCATGAAATAGTTTATCTCAAATTGGTAAATTTTGGAGATAATTGTTATTGCACAATGGTCATTCGGTCAATGTTTACTGTGCTTTAAACAATATATAAATAAACAACTTGTGAGAGATGAAGATGGTTTTGAGACTCTCACTAAGTCATTTTTTTGTTCGTCTAGAGTTTGAGTCGCGTTGTAGTTACGCTTCTCTCAGATCTTTAGCTTTTGATTTTCCAAATGCAAAAAAGAAAGAAAGTGGGTACATTCGAGTTGCTGGTGCACAAGCTATAGCAATCAGAAGCATAGGGTAAGTAGCTCCACTTTTAATGTTGAGATTTGCGAAAAGGAAAAAGAAAAGCGCTTGCGAAAGTAGAGTAACTTCAAGCGTAAACGAACAGGTTTGTGTAAGTTTCATATCAAAATGTTGGAACTTTTTGACGGTGTACCTTTTTGGCTTTGTACTCTTTGGCGGAGAAAAAACATAAGGTACTGTGTTTTGTGTACATTTTATACGACACACGACCTATAGAGAGAAGGCAAAAGTGCAGCTTAGTTGAAGTCTTAATTCAGACTGAGGAGTCATTTGACAATAGAGATTAGGAGTAAGTATCACTGGGTGGACCACATGTTCCACAATTGAGAGCAAAGGACACCTTTGAAACCATCTACCCCTTAATCACAGCGCATCTACTTTACTGAGTTGCACCACAATACTTTCTTTTGGATAAAAGAAAGTAAGAAAACGCAAATAATGAACATAGGCAAGCACAACCAGATTACTAGGCCCGTGTTTTGAAATTGGCCAAAAAGAACTTTGAAGTAAACATAAACAATGGTTATGATATGATTTGATGACCAGCATTTGAGACAACTTCGCTGCTCATCGTGTTCGCTGGTTCGATATTGTGACCGATAGTAGATTTGTCTATTTCAATTCTGCTGTAGTTGCACTTTGACGCAATTGGTTGGTTTAGCTACGTTATCACTCTCCTATTTTCCCATTGTCAGATCTTGATGTGTTGTTGTTTCTTTTGTATGGAAGATACCTCGTAACAGTAAAAGCCAACAAACACACACATACGCGCAAAGCAAATCGGAGATAATGTTTTGAGCCCTATTTTAAATGATCACAAATAAAGGTGAGTTTTGTAACCGTTCAGGTGTTAATACTTTACACAAACACAATATGATCATTACACCCTTTGCCAATAAACGAATGCTGGAAAAAATAAAATTTGGTTACGCTTCGGGTGCTGGAGGAGATCTGTGGAATTAGTAATTTGGCTCAACAATAAAACAAACATACAGTAATAATCTAAGAAATACCAGATCTGAAACCTGCAATTCCTTCAATACGTAGATTGTTGGGAACAAAGAAGGAAAAGATTTAGAGAATAGGAGTGGGCGCAATGGAAAGAATGATCTGGAACCACTGGCTCAAATTTAGAAAGCTTCCACGTCAGACTTGTCTTAACACATGTAGTCGAAAGGGTCTTTTTGCCACGTGTATTGGGGGGTCAAGCATCACCTTACTACTAGTACAAACAAAAAAAAATAAGAAATTGTAACCTGCGAGAAGGTACCCTTTGTCGCAAAGTGTCGCCTCGCCTAGATACACTTTTAGTCTCTACGTACAGAGTAGGTGGTGTACTACATGCATCGAAATGGTGCAACAATAGCTGTCTAAACCCTTAATTCGGTTCCAGAACCTGGTTCCCAATGAAATTAATTACAATGAGGACTACGATGATCGGCTTGTGACCACGATATGGGAAAGAGCCATTCCATGAGTCAACGCTAAACTGAAATCCTCACTTAAGTCTACAGTTGATTTTCTCCCTTGAACCTTATTCTCCAAAAATCGTACAACTAATCAATACATCATGTACTGACTTATCGGAAGAGGTGCTGTCACGCGTCACACTTCTGCACTTCCACTTTCCCATCTAGACGAAATTTAAGCACGAAAAACCAGAAAAATACAATAGAACAAGCCTCGTAGAAGTTTCTATACCGATCACCACCACACCAATGGATGGAAATTACACAAAAAAAAATGGTTTTGGTTAGATGCTGTCCTTCCATCATATGATTCATGCTCTATTGTTAGCCTCTGATAGTGGGCTAATGACCAGCCAAGAATTGCAAATGGAGTCAAATGACTTCAGATGAGAGTAGTTCAATACACACAGAGGATTCATTCAAGCCGTATATCATTGGTGGAGAATAAACTTTGAACATTTCCATCTTTTGGTAGAACTCTAAAACGAGAAAACATTGCAAGGGTGGTGAACTATCCTTTTGGAAAAAAAATTGCGTTACTTTTTTCTTTTCCTGCTGGAGCCATTTTTTTCTTTTCTTTTCAGTGGGTGTGTTCACATAACACTCATCCCCCTTTCTCTTTGTGTTGTTGTACAGGAACTCCTTTCGAACCATCGGGGAACTCCTTTGGATGAGTTGGTAAGCATTGGAGAAGGTAATCCATGCATGTATGTATTGATCGTAAGTTATCATGTTCAACGAGTGTGTACCTTGTCCAAAAATTGGTTGACAAATAAATTAGACGAAGCCAATTTAAGTTTTAATAAGTTACACAAAACACCTAAGGCTAAAAAAATATAACCCTTGATACATACTCAACACCCTTTGTTCAAATGTAAGACCAAAAGTCAAACAAAATGTATTCTTTTACAATAGGTACATATGCACAATAGCACCTGCTATCTCGTCGTCTAAATTTACACCAATTGTTTTTTGAATTACACAATAACCTTCTAAATTAGCTCTTTTTCTATGTATATGCCCCATTTCTAAAACTTGATTAGTTTGGGCGTCCACACAGTATAATATCAAAAAATCAAAACAAAGAGACACAAGAATTGGTGCTTAAGCTTAAACGAGAAAAACGTCTAGACGCATTTGACTTTTTTTTTAGATTTTCCCTTTTTAGTTCTTTGTTCGTTTTCTGTTTGTCTTTGTATGCTTTAATTTGTTGTTCGATTTTGAAGGTGTGTGTTATATATAGCCTTTGTACAATCCACCACCTATCTTTTTGGGTGAATGAATAAAAGTAGGTTTTTTCATCAAAGCTACAAGTCCAAACTTCACACATTACAACTCTCCCACTACTTATTGCAAAAAGAGGTTGTGTTGCCCATTCCAGTCACATTGAAAGAGTTTCCTTTTTCTTCCTGCAGTTAAAGGACCCTGAAAATAACTGGTCCCTTAGATACAACTGATTCTTCTCAATATCCACACTCGTTTTATATACCAAAACTTTGCATAAAGTTTTATTCATTCATTTGTTGTACACCCACACTCGCTTCACATATTCATTTCAAATTCCCCTTGCATATTTTGCATATAGTCATTAGTTAAGTCTACACACATTCATTTTATTGCATTATTCATCTTACATTATACCCATGATCGCTACTACTAAAGCACCAAGTCCAAGAAGCTTTGATTTTTTCCCACAAAACAAAAGGACTCATTACCCCGGTTTGCCACAATTTCATCAAGTACCTAGAACTCCGCCTGCTCCACCGTATGCTCGATCATGTATGCAATCACACTCCTCCAAGCAATTCGAACAAGAATTGTATTCCTCCCACTTGTACTCATCAGAAGTGTCCACGCACGAACAAGCTGTATCTGAATACGACATGGAGGTATATGAAACTATGCTTGAACAAATTGAACAAAATAAACCAAATGTCAATCTTTACAAACAACAACCTTATCTTACCCCAGCAGTTAGAGTGAAACTCGTTGAGTTTCTTCTCAAGATGTCAGTGAGGTTAAAGATTCTACCATTTGTATTTTATAAAGCAGTGCGCTTGTTTGATAGATACTGTTGCAAGCGTATTGTATTATTGGATCAGTCGCAATTGATAATCACTACATGTTTATGGATTGCTAGTAAAATCAATGGTGGTAACAATCATTTCGTTAATATGAATAATATGAACAAATGTGTTGATGGATTTAGGGTCATTGGTGATTTAGGTTATGGAAGTGGTGGTAAATTCATCGGTCCAACTGAAAGGTTTAGATTACCTAAATTACATGAATTGGTTAAATTGTGCGGTGCCAAATGTAAATACGATATGGGGATGTTTAAGCAAATGGAATTGCACATCTTGACCACTTTAGACTGGAACTTATGTGATCCACTGATTGAAGAATTTATTGTCAAGAGTAATGAATTTTGCACTTGTCAAGCTTCTGGATCAAACGAAGGTGACATTAGTACCGGGGAAATGTTTAAAGTCAAGGAGTATTTGAGTTATATTTCCTTGTACTCATTTGATTTGATTGATGTAAACATGCTTGAAGTCGGCCAAGTTATATCAGACTTGATTAATGATGTGTTTCAAATTGAATTCAATACTAACAACTATCAAATCGTCCAAGCTCCAATTACTTTGGCTTCTCGTTCAAGCTATTCCTTGTCACGTATTGATATTGAAGTAACCCAATACAAGATGATTAAAAAGAGTTTAATCAAATCGATTTTGAACACTTCGGAGTATATGTTGAATTTGTTCAATACAAGTGGTCCTCAATACATGTATCGTGCTGTGGTTAATGGTTGGACACCAATCAACAATGGAGCCGCCGCAGTAGCAGCACCGCCATTGCGTATGTATCAAGATTACAATGCAATGAGGACTGCTTCGTTATCATCATATGAACTGGTTTCAGCTCCATCTCCAACTGGTTCTGCATATTCGACAAACTCATTAGGAGGAGCACCAAGCACAGTGGTTACGCCACCTACTCCATTTATGCAAATACTGGCCAATATGATGGCCAATAAATCAACCAACAATATGATGTCGACCCCGCCAGATGCCAAGAGCAAGTACAGTAATTTCGGTGGCGTGTCTCAACCACCAAAACAAGCACCACCGCCACCGAATGTTTCAACAGCAACATCATCAACAATGCCACATCTGTTTTTTCCAAATGCACATCCGGATCAACAACAACCAGCACCAGGACCAGCACCGCCACTCCATCATTACAAATCAACACCGGTATTGAAAAACTTTGAATTACAGTATCAACTGCAACAACCACTTCGTGTCAATACCAACATAACACAAGGACAGAGTAGCAATTATTCAACCACCTCATCATCATCCTATCCATCAGCATCTTCCTCTGCTGTCTCATCAGCAACCACGACCAACTCCAACGTGTTTGACAAACCAATGTTTACTTACAATGCCAATCGAAGTGCCACCGCTCTTTCAATTGGTGATGGTGGAAGTAATAGTAGTAGTGGCTATTTGCTGAGATCAACTACTCCAATGAGTGATGTTGATGCTACAATGAGTGCAAGCAAGAGTCCAGGCAGTATTTTCATCGCAATGGAGAGAATGAGGACCTAAGTGGAGTAAGTTGTTTACAATGTCATTTTTTCTTTATTTCATCGTGTGCGTGTTTCATTTTTGTTGTTGTATCATAAGTTTCATTTTGCATTTGTCTTCATATCATACATGTCAAATGGAGGTTTGCTCATAAAACTTTCCTTTTGAATGGATATGATGACACTATTAGTTTTTATTTGTTATTTTATTATTATTCATATTTTGGTTCATTTAGGGGTAATCATTTTTTAGTTAGTATGAGAAAAAGTTTGTTATTTTTTAATTATGAAAAAGTGTCTATAGTTTTGTTTATTGCTAATAGTTTTCAATTCGAGAGTATAAGAGAGAGAATGGATGATGAACATTGAGTGACACTAAGCATGGTAAGCACTTAGTAAACGTGTTGGGTGATGGTCTTAAATTGGTTTTACGATTTCTCAATTGGTAGCAACACACGTGACAACAAAAGTCGTGTGTTGTTTTCAGAAAACAAGAAATAGCACAGCCATTGATTATATAAGAACAGTTACTCTTTATTATGTAAGAATAATACGCCAAAAGAGAGAAATGAGAGAAAGCACGAAAAGGAGAGCCAAAAAATAATAAAAAAAAAAAAAAAACAGTTCAAGAAGAAACCCGAAAGGAGCCAAAAACGTAACCAACACCAGTTGCTCATCAGTTACTATTACTACTCGAGCTACTGCCTATTTACCATATACATCTCAGACAATACCTTAACCAGAGGAAATCACCACTATTGCTCATACAACTTACATTCGCTAATACTAGGTAACACAGCTAAGCCAGTCCAGTCAGTCACCTTATCTTCTTTTATTACTTTGGTTGACATTTTCTCAACAACAAACTTTTCCACAACAACACAGGAAGGCTAATCATCATGATGTTACCTTATATATATTTATTACTCACGCTAATTGCGCCCATTTTTGCTGATCCTTCAATGGAAGAGTTGGAAGGTACATGGACTTCCAAATCAAATACTGTATTCACGGGACCAGGTTTTTATGACCCCGTTGACGAGTTATTGATTGAACCAGATTTACCTGGTATTTCGTATTCATTTACTAAAGACGGTCATTATGAAGAAGCACTTTATCGTGTAACCAGTAATGCCAAAAACCATTCATGTCCAGTTGCTTCAATCACTTATCAACATGGAACTTACGAAATACTCAGTAATGGATCAGTTGTCTTGAAACCTATTGCCGTTGATGGAAGACAATTACTTTCAGACCCATGCAACCAAGACGATCCTACAAAGTCTACTTATTCGAGGTATGTACAGGCAACATGGTTCAAAACTTATCAGAAATACGTTGACCCATACCATGGTAGATGGAGATTACAAATTTATCAATTTGATGGATCAAAAATGCAACCGTTATATTTGGCTTATAAACCGCCACTCATGTTGCCTACTGAGGCACTTAATCCCACTGATTCTGCAAGTGAAACTGCAACCACTTTGTCAGGAAGTGGCAGCGGCAGCAGCAGTAAAAAGAAAAGAAGCATTTTGGAAATGAGATCCAATTTGAAAAGATCTTTGGAGAACTCTTATAGAACTACTGCTGTGAAAAAGGGACATGATGATGCATTTGACATGTATTGGTGGATAAGTGTTGGTTGTTTGGGATTGGCATCAGGTTTCTTTTTCTTAAAAAATTGAATACATAAATTAGAAGGAGAGTAAATGTAGCATCAACAATGCAAAGGTTAGTGTTTGTTTAGGATTACTTCCTCTTTTCCATACAACTATGAGCTTTTCGTAGTACAAAGCGGTACTACACTAATGTGAGTCCCTGATTCAACTAGGGGGCGCTCTTTGTAAAGTTACTAGCTCACCCTTCTCACCTCCCTTAGCTGATAGGTTGACTTTGAAATCATCTTTTATTCTTTTGTGTAAACTTGATGGCTTTTGTCATCAAAAAAAAAAGTGCAAAAAGTGAGAGAGAGGCAAAGTTTAAGTCAGAGTTCAACTAACCCCCGTCAACATAAACTATCACGCTACTTTTCACACTGCAACATGTCGTGGTTTGGCTCATCTACGTCTTCACTCCAACTTGAGCTCGACAACAAAATATCAGAAGCTACATCCGAAACGATTCCCAATGGAGAAATTGATTTATCTGTGGCATTAGAAATCACTGACTTTATTAGATCGAAAAAACTACCTGCTCAAACATGTATGAGAAGCTTGAAGAAGCGATTAAACATGGTTTATTCAAACCCCAACTTGATCACCAGTACTTTGAAGTTGATTGATTTGTGCGTTAAAAACGGTGGGTTCCATTTTCTCGTTGAATTGAGTTCACGAGAATTTGTTGACTACTTGGTTGACTTTATTTTCAAGATTCACTACAATGTTCAAGAAAGTCTGGTGAAGCAGGATGAATCAAAGTATAATGTGGGGCAGTATATCCTTGAATTGGTTAAATCATGGTACACAGCATTTAAGGGACAATTACAATTGAATTATGTGGAGAAAAAGTACCAAGAATTGGTCAATGAAGGCTATCAATTCCCCTCGGTGGATGATTCAGTAATTGATTCGAAATTCGTGGATTCTGAAGTTCCACCTGATTGGATCGATTCTGATTCCTGTATGATTTGTTATGCTCCCTTCTCCATGTTGAATAGAAAACATCATTGTCGTGCATGTGGTGGGGTATTTTGTCAAGATCATTCAAAGAACAACACAACATTGGTGAATTTGGGGATTATGGAACCAGTTAGAGTTTGTGACAATTGTTATGCTAAACAAAAGCATAAAAATAAGGGCAAGTCTGGAAATGTTGTAAGGAGGACAGGAAGTGGTGCTGTTGATCCCGGCGACGATGAAGATGAGCAAATGAAACGCGCAATTGAATTAAGTTTACAGGATAGTGGGGTACAGATCGAACCCCCAAAGGAGCCACCCAGATCATCCAGTGATGCTAATCATCAAGACGATGAAGAAGAAGATGAGGAATTAAAGGCTGCATTGGCCGCAAGTTTAAGGGAGTACGAACAATCACAACCACAAACACAACAATCGCAACAGACTACTGGCTCTCTTGAAAATCCGTTTTCAAATGAAACGGCTCTGCAACCAGCATCAGATGTTTACAATATAGATTTCACTTCTGCTTCAAATTATCAGCGTTCTCAATATAATGTCCCACAAGGACAGTTTCAAGCTCAACACTCGCAATTGTCCCAACAACAACAACAACAACAACAACAGCAGCAGCAGCAGCAGTTTATACCACCACAACCACCGCAGCAGCAGCACCCACAAGACCTTTCACAATCCGAAGAGGAACAGATCAATTTGTTTATTACGTTAATGAATAATGTGCGTAATGACTCAAAGAAGCAAGCTAATATAATGTATGATCAGAACTTGAATGAATTGCATTCACAAGTAATACGCTTGAAACCAAAAGTCAATAGATCACTACGTGAAGCAATGAATAAGTACAGTCAATTTGTGGAAATGAGTAATAAATTGAGTACAATAGTTAGATTGTATGATCAATTTTGGGAGCAGAAATTGAATGCGGGTATGAATAATGTTGGTTTTGGCAATGACAATGAGTACCCATTGTATCCACTGGTTGGGTATCAAGCATACCCAAAACAGCAAGTAAGTCAACCAGCATTGAGCCAACAAGCAAGTGGAGTTGCACCAACTCAACAGCTGCCTTATTCACAATACAATGGACAAGCTCCATCAGAGCCCGATTTTGAGGCATCTTATACACCTGCTGCTACACACCAAAATGGATTTTATAGTCAACCCACTGAGCCCAGTTTGGAAGGTGAGGAACTAAAACAGCAATATCCACCACAGACAAGCCGTAAACAATCTCAAACGGTGTATCCAACGAGCGAAATACTTCCTGATTCAGGAGACAGTGATCAAGAAAAGAGCACTAACAACAACAGTGATAACAACAATGATTATGTCACCGTGTCGTTACCACACTATCCACCACCTGAGGACTTGAGCAATGAATTACCGCCGCAATCGTTTATTCGACACGCAACAAGCAACTTACCCGCCAATGCCTACGAAGCTGCATCAGCAAAGTACCCTGCATTGGATGATGTCGAAGAGGATTACGAAAGACAGAATCCTTCCAAAGGGCAGCAACAACAGCAGCAGCAACAACAGCAGCAGCAACAACAAGAGCAGCAGCAACAACAAGAGCAGCAGCAACAACATCATGGATTGAATGAGCTTCCACAGTTGCCCCAGAATTTGCCGTCTTTTGACCAGGATGGGCGGAACGAGGCGGTGGCAAGTCGTAGTCGTAGACAGTCGCTGTTTGAACCAGAGCCATTAATAGATTTATAGGAAGCGAAGGAATACAATTGCTCAAGCTGTACGATGCAATGTCAACCGTAGATTGGTGTAGCCTCCTTTAGACCCTTCACCCAGTTTGATGCAAGCACTTTTTTATTTGTGTAATATCATGATGCTGCATTGAGTGTTATTGTATTTTGGTCCTCTTTGTGATTCAAGAAAGAAAGGGCGGAGAGAGAGAGAGAGAGAGAGAGTCATAATGGAGCAAAGAAAAGAAAAAAATTGGAAAAAAAAGTGAAAAATTGCTAATTTTTTTCACAAACTTTTCATCCATCTCTTAGACCCCATTCATTGACTTTCAAACTAGTCCCTAGAACAAATTTTACTCGTTCTTACATCGTTTTAACTAAATTTATCACCAATATATATTTATATTCCTGCCCAGTCTTGATACTGAATAAAGTGTGTTTTACATTGAGACACACCACGAGAGCTGCCGAATAAAGTCCAACTACATTATTTACTCATAAATATCTTTTCGTATTTGTGAGTACCTGTGAAATCAACTTCTAGAGAAGGTCACCAAGCCAGATAGAGTTTAGATTGAGAGTGTTGAGATCCACTTGAGATCAAAATTTTTTTTTTGAGCCAATTAAAGAATTGAGAAAGAAACTTATAATCCTTTGTGTCTCCTAACGATCCCCTCACTAGGTTATGACATTGAGTGTTGTTGAAGCAAGTCCATTAAGATGTATTGAAGAATTTAATTCTAATTTACAAGATAAAAACAATGGTTTAATCAAACTGAAGGTAGCGGAAGCTGTTTGTATTGGTGGGAATGATGATGATGATACCAATGCCAAAAAATGTAACTCAGCGGTTGGCAAGGCGTTAATTGACCACGTTAATCAAATCGATCATGATGAATGTGATGCCGGTGATGAAGATTCTTTTTTTGTTTGTGATTTGAACCAAGTTGTCAAGTCAGTTAAAACATGGCGTAAATATTTACCTAGGATCCAGCCCCATTATGCAATCAAATGCAACACTAACGCTGAAGTCATCAAGTTGTTGCATCAGTCGGGAGTTAATTATGATTGTGCTTCAAAAAATGAAATTGATACTGTTTTGAAATTGGGCATCGATGCTGAAAAAATCGTTTATGCTAACCCATGCAAAACCAACTCCTTTATTAGACATGCAAAGGCAAACAACGTGAACTTGACTACCGTTGACAATGCTCATGAATTGCATAAATTGGCGAGGTTTCACCCTGATTGTAAAATTTTGGTGAGAATCTTGACTGACGATGAAGGTGCTCAGTGTAGATTGAGTACTAAATTTGGATGCAGCGTGGCTACTGCTGTTGAGTCTATTTTACCCTTGGCTCAAAGATTAGGCTTACCTGTTGTTGGTGTTGCATTTCATGTTGGATCTGGAGCTAAAGACTTTGATTCCATTTATAAAGCTATCCGTGATTCAAGAATTGTTTTCAATTGTGGACTTGATATGGGATTTGAAATGAACATGGTTGATATAGGTGGTGGGTTTGAATTTGAAACTTTTGTTGAATCATCCAATATGGTTAATGTTTCAATTGACGAGTTTTTCCCACAAGATTTCGTTGATAGGCACAAGATCAAATTTATTGCTGAACCAGGTAGATTTATGGTTGCTAATGCATTCACATTGGCAGCCCACGTTATTGCAAAACGTGAATTACCACATGGCGAAGTTGGTAACGAACATGATCAAATCAAGGCAATGTTGTACATCAACGATGGTGTTTATGGAAACATGAACTGTATCTTGTTTGATCATCAACAACCAACAGCCCATGTTTTAAAGAGTGGATCGCATTTTTATTACAATTACATGGAGAGAGGATTGAATAATGGTAATGACGACAAGGACAAATGTTTGTTCCATTACTCAATTTGGGGACCGACATGTGATGGATTGGATTGTGTTTCAACCAAGAGCCAATTGCATTGTGAAGTTGAAGTTGGTGATTGGTTGTATTTCCCAAATTTAGGCGCATATACTAGTGCTGCAGCTACACAATTCAATGGATTTGAAAATGACACCAAGATTATCTATATTCCAATTGCGTAGGCAAGCCGAATCGTTTATTTATACAAGACGTTTATAGTAAAGCATTGATTTTTCATTTACAGTAATTTGTGAAGGAGTTGTTGTTCTTTTGAGCAGCGCCTACTTTTCTTTTGGTCCATTTAAGGCTTTGTGTGCGTCTAGATTTGAAAATTATTACTTCATAATTACATAATAAAAGTAGCAAACGCTTAGGTAATACACGATCCGAACTCTTTTTTTTTATTTTTATTTTTAGACTTAGACACCTATGACGCTGAGAAAAAATTAGAGAGTCAGAAGCATTGAAACATTGGAGCTTTTGATATAAACCATTTGGTATCAAAAAAATTTCAAGCAAAGTATTCACCACGTACAAAGAGTTTACAGCTGGGTTTACATTAAAGCTAAATAGCAGAAATTCCCCATCTAGAGTCTATACATACGCCAAACTTTCATCTATTTTAAAGATTGCTACGTTTTAATGAATAATTCACATCAGTTTAATCGAGATCGTAATCAGGATCTAAGCAATAAAACCCGAACAAATACAAACCAGATCAATAATGCTTTAAATGCTATTCAACACAAACGATCAGCGTCCGATGAAAAAAGAGATCGAACAAAGTATACCACAGACGAGGGCGAAACGATTTCGACGGTTGATAGAGCTGTCAGTTCCGTCACCCCGCCAGCGTCATTCAAACCATCAAATGAACAAGTGTTTTTGCGCAACGGATTACCTAATTGTGACTTCATAAAGGACCATTTTTTTCATGAAGGTAGGTTGCAGGAAGACCAAGCAATTAAAATTGTGAAACAAGCAACACAACTACTTACTGCTGAACCCAACTTGTTGAGTGTACCGGCACCAGTAACCATATGCGGTGATGTTCATGGCCAATACTACGATCTTATGAAGTTGTTTGAAGTTGGTGGTGACCCTAAAACAACCAAGTACTTGTTTTTGGGAGATTACGTGGATAGAGGTTCATTTTCAATTGAATGTTTGATTTACTTGTACGCTTTGAAAATTACTTACCCCAATTCCTTTTGGATGCTTAGAGGTAACCACGAAAGTCGTCATTTGACTGAATACTTTACTTTCAAGAATGAGTGTGTACACAAATATTCTGCACAATTGTACGAAGAATGCATAACTAGTTTTAATGCATTGCCGTTGGCAGCCATCATGAATGAACAATTTTTCTGTGTCCATGGAGGTATATCGCCACAATTGACTGATTTGGACAGTGTTCGCAAAATGAATAGGTTTAGGGAACCACCTACCAAGGGATTAATGTGTGATTTGTTATGGGCCGATCCAATTGAAGAGTATGATGAAGATAATATTGACACCGAGTACTTGAACAATGCGGTAAGAGGATGTTCCTATGCATTTACCTATAAAGCAGCGTGCAAGTTCTTGGACAGAACAAAGTTGTTGTCCATTATACGTGCACATGAAGCTCAGAATGCAGGATACAGGATGTACAAGAGGACGAAGACCATGGGGTTCCCAAGTTTGTTGACAATGTTTAGTGCACCAAATTATTTAGACAGTTATAACAACAAGGCGGCAGTGTTAAAGTATGAAAATAATGTCATGAATATTCGTCAATTCAATGCATCACCACACCCATATTGGTTGCCCCATTTTATGGACGTTTTCACTTGGTCGTTACCTTTTGTTGGTGAGAAGGTGACTGATATGTTGGTTAGTATATTGAATGTTTGTACCGAGGAAGAATTGGATGAAGAGGCACCATTTTCCGAAGCGCAAATTGGTGTTGCGGGAACCACACCACCCAGTGTTTCGACATCACCAAGAGCCAAACCACCTTCAGCCTTCTCTACGGAAACTACCGGGGGGATGCAAACGGATCTCACTTTGGATGAGAAAAGGTTGGCTTTGAGGAACAAAATTATAGCCATTGGGAAAATGTCGCGGATGTTTCAAGTTTTACGTGAAGAGCAAGAAAGTGTGGCCCATTTAAAAGCATTGAATCGTGGTCAACTACCCAAAGGATCATTATTGCATGGAAAGGAGAGTATTGAGAATAACATTCTCACATTTGAACAAGCTAAAGCTGCTGATCGTGTGAATGAAGCATTGCCTCCAAGTTATGAAGACATGAAGAGAAGGGACGAACAAAGAGGAAAACGTATTAAAAACCAAATTGAGAATCAAGAAGGAGGCAGTCCCGTATTTCAGAAGTTCATGCGTAAATTATCTAGATAGTGTTTTGTGTATGTATAGTCTGGATATTACGTATTTTTCTTAACGAATTATGTGTCGCAATCTTTTCAGACACTTTTTATTTTCTCGACACGCGTAGGTTTATTTCCACGAGTCATCGACACATTAGATAGTGGTTATACATCACGCGCCCAAATTGGTACTACCACCCACCTCCACGATGCCCCCACAGCCAAGAATTGTGATCGAGCTGCCAGATGTGGAAAATACTATCCTTTCCTCCACATACCAAGCTTCTAGTCCGGCAAGATTTTCCACTGATGACGACAAGTTTATAATGTATGGAGGTGGACCGTCTTTTATCATCCAATGCAAAAATGTATCAAAACTTCGACCTTTTTCAAGCGACCGAGTATCTTTATTTGTTTTGTCCTCAAACTTGGTTATCTGGTCTCACAGGGATGGTTTGGGAATTGAAATACCGTATCAGTTGATTTACTTGCATGCGTTGGACAAGAATTCGCTATATTTACAAGTTAAAAATGATTCAGTACTCAGTGATACACTAAATGAAATTTTGGAAATACGGTTAGCTGAGAGTGGTGACAAGGGGGATGAAAATGAGCTATTTACCAAGGTGAATGGAAGTGCCGAAGCCATTTATGGGGCAATGACAACGTGCTCAGCCATGCACTTTGACTCAGAGGAGGAAGAAGATAGTAAAAACGCTACTGATATGATGGATCTTGAGCAAGCGCATCTCCCGACTATTGAAGTACCTGAGAGCTGGCTTAATGGTGACACATCCAACGTTGAAGAAAGGCCACTCAAAAATGATGGACATGCTGACGACCTCGATGGAGATGTAGACGAGGCACCGCCAGAGGAAGGAGTTGTTGCTGCAATGAGTGTTGATGTCGGTTATGCCCCAATAGCTGGCAGTAAAAGAACAGAGCAAGACGATGATATAGTTGTGAAGGAACCACTGGGGTTCAGCAAGAGAAATAGAAAGGAGTAACCTGTTTTAGAAACAGCAATATCTTAATTTTGTTTTCTGTAAGCTTCTCACGTGTTTGTTCCTTCCGTCGTACTTTCTCCGTGGAGACCCAAAGCGACTTTGATGCTCGCCAGTTAACGTAGAGAAAAAAAAAATCGATGATAAAACTAATCAGACACCCATTCACTTTGCTATACTGCTACTTTCGTTTCGCTCGTCACTCTTTTACCAGTTCTTGGCAATAACCAGGCATGAAGTCCTCTGAGGAGAGGATACAGTTCAAGAGAGATTTTTTAAGCTTGGGACAAGGACGAATAATCTCTGAAAACGATGCCAAATTTTGGTGCCGATTCTGGAAACTACCCACCAATAGTCAAGATATCTTTGAGTTGATTTCATTGGAGGATGCTAAGAATGTACGACAACAAAATGTGGTGAACTATGCTATTTTTATTAAAGTATTGAGCTTGAAAATTGTAGACATTGCCAGCTCGGAGTTTTTAACAAATATCGATATATCACTGCTTTTGAACTGCATTCGGTTTTTGGTAAAGGTGCTACCACCATTACTTGAGATAGAAGACTACGCTGATGGTATCGGGTATGAACTTTTCTGGAACTCAAATTTTAATCCAGCCGAGTATATCAAATCAAAGGAGGAAGAGCTACTGGATTTCGAGGAAGACGTCAAGAGATCCATACCACTTGAAGACCTAAAGCACACGTTAGGATTTAAATTGATGATGGCATTGGTTGACTTGTTGTATACCAAGGGTTTCACCTTAAGTACTAAGGAAAAAGGTGGTGTGAGTCTAAGTGTATGGGAACCTGGATTAGGCTTTGCTGGTAAGGCTAGAGCACCTAATTTGATAATAGATAGTAACAGAACGGAAGTGTTGAAGCTTGTGATAACATTATGCTCGGACGGGTACTATACCTCCCCATCAACAATCGTGTCCAAGGGATCCAGATTTCTAACAGTGTTGGTGTCAATGACGCCCAAAGTCAAGCTATTAACGTTGGTTTCGTCACTACTAAACCTTACTTGTAGGTCATCAAAAAACAACACCGAAAATGCATTATATTACGATGACGTCAACTATACCGAAATTCGACATTTATGTGTTACTTATGCTTTTTCATTGCTAACAATGATGGTAGTGTATCCAGTTCCAAGCGAGACAGGAATAAATGGAGGCAAGATACGCAATTTAGCGAGATTGTATCTAGGCAAAGTTCATAAAGAACCGGAATTAATGCTAATTGCCGTTTCCATGATGGATATGTTACGTTCTCCATTGCTAGGTAACGAATCCGAAACTAGCTCCTTTTCAGTTGGTAAGAATAGTCAACCATCCATATGGTCCACTAATACTGTTATGCTCATTTGGGAGTTGATTCAATGCAACAATAACTTCAGAGACGTTATGACTAACGAATATATGCCCCAACTAATGGTTGTCTTACTATACTATGTCTTCGAATTCAAGACGAATAATAGTCAGAAAAATTTGGTACGTGTTTGTGCATACCTACTACTATATTTGTCATCACAGGTGGAAATGCTTGAATTATTATTTCTCCCAATGTCACCACAATTATATGAGTCATTACCATTGGGATACAAAACAACAATAACGCCGTTAACTACAAGGGATTTTTTGGTGAGCCAGCTTTGTACGATATTGTTGAACTCATACCCAATACAGCCACTAACCTATAACTTTAAACCTTTACCAAAGCTTTTGCTAAACACTTTGGTTGAAACATTGTACAACTTGATTATTCCTGTTTCTGAAAATGAGCTTCAGGCGCATAATAATCCAAACAAGAAACTCAATAATCCAAATTCTCATGGAGGCTTATCATATCAGGCATCGTCTTTGATAACGCAGCTAATAGCCAGATTTTCGAGTAAAAACTTTCTTCTTGCAAAAAGTCATAATTTGAATGCAGTTGCCCTATTAGTGAGAGCTGTATGTATAGCTGTTGTTAAATACCCCCACCCATCACGTATGCTACTATTCAGTATCTTGAAAAACGAAAGGATATATGACAATTTATGGAATACGATATTCAACATCCAAGAGTACTCAGTTAGGGGCGATGCCATTTCAAAAATAGACGAAATTGCTGCGAATGAAACGATTGAGATTACAACGAAAGAGAATCAGAGAGACCCAAATGAAAAAATGGGGGCAATACCTATTTTGCCGCGCAATAGAAACGACAACTCTTCAACAATTTCCGAAAGCGAAAGCGTCGAATCATCTTTGCGACCGCGACCACCTGCTGGTATGTCAGACAAGGCAAGAGACAAACAGAAGAAAGACAGTCCTATTGGTCAAATTTGGTCAGGTAAAGATGCGTTGGCAATAATTCTTACTGTCATAATCCCACACTTGAAAATCATTTTGAGTACACTATGGACTGGCACAAGAGGAGCCAGTGTTGACACTTTTGAACTTGTCCAAAAAATTGAAAACTCTGACTTTTCCAAAATGATTGAAGAAAATCGGCATCAACTCAAGTACGAGCTATTTCCAGAGTCGCCGTTGGAGTTTCTAAAGTTTGATTGGAGTTTGCTTTCACTCGGTTGGTATCTCTCTTTGCTTTACAGCGAGATATACAATGCATCATCAGTGGTCAAAACGTATGTTGGTAATAATAATGGATTAATGAAAAACTTCTCCGCTTCTTTGGCTACTGTGAGTAAAATCACATCCAGTTGGACAACTTTTCTCAAGCAAGAACAGCCAGGAAACCAAGCAGATGAGTCTACTCGTCAATGTATCGAAAATGCGTTGACCGAGGTTAACACATGGCAGGGCACAGACATCAAACTTTTTGATGTGTCATCCTCTGCAAAAGACGGCTTTTTTTCCAATTTCAATAGATTCAATGGATCAACTAGTCAAGCAGTTCCAAATACCCCAGGAAGCTTGAATGATATGATGAGAAGGTTTAGTGACTTTAACGTCAATGGAGTCTCCAACTCTCCTACGTCGTCAGTGTTAAGTACTCCCGTTGAAGAACAAGAATCGTATTTCTCAAGAAGACCTGCAAGAAACTCAGTGACAAGCTTGCACTCGTTGAATAAGTTGAATAGAATACGGAGCAATACTCCACGTAACTCATTTAGTTAAAAAATCTACACAATTGTCTTACCGCCTTTTACCCTTTTTCTGTACTAATTGGAACCCATCGTCATCAATAACTGGTTCATCCTTGTGCTGTGGCTTCTCCTCGTCTATTTCCATATCATCTTCATCATCGCCTTCACCTTCATCGTCTTCACTGTCGGATACATCTGGGTTATTCGGATCTTCGTCTATATGCACCTGCCTATTTCCTCTTTGTGTGTTACTCTTCTCCTGCCACTTTGCATACAAAGCATCAATTTGATCGTATTTTTGATCTTGCACTTGCTTATAAAAAGCCATCACCAATGCTGCAATTTCCAATGCAGAGTCATTATCCACTTGCACATCAAACTCATCTACCATTGCGTACAACAAAGTCTCTTCGATCAACTGAATATCCACTGCATGAGATTCCTTAAACAAGTCGATCACTATTCCACTGATCCAATCTCTCTTTTCTGCTGACTTGGGTCCGCCCCAAGAGTTTTCAACAGCAGTTGCTAACTCTTCCCACTTGTATACCGCCATGCATACTCCTAATTCAAATTTAGCCTGCTGTTTCTCATTCGAAAAGGTTAAAGTTCCATTTTCAACCTCGACGTAATCTGTGGGATCAATACTCGTTGCCATGTTCGATGTTGGTTGTGCTGTTGGGATTGTGAAAGATGAGCATCTCAAATTTTTTTGAAAAGAGCCGCAACTGATTCCATTTTCGGAGTGAGAAAAGTGAAAAACGAAAATTTGATAGACTCTTTTTTCTTTTCTGATTCATTCTTGGAAAGAGATCACCGAATCATCTGTTTACTATTACAACACTACGACTTTGCCATCAATAAACTGAACTGAAAAGTATTACTGATACAGCAGATATTTCTATTTCGAAGTTTTTGTCGAACCAATTATCATGGGTAAAGAAGTGGTACTAGACATTGCCCCGAAGTGTATCGATGGGCTAGAGTTTTCGGCCCTCTCTGCAAAGGATATCATTGCCCAATCCGAAGTGGAAATCCTAACTAGGGATTTGTATGATTTAGAGAAAGGTAGGGCTCCCAAAGAAGGAGGTGCCTTGGACACGAAAATGGGTATTTCATCAAACTCATCGGAATGTGCCACATGTCATGGTAATCTCGCATCATGTAATGGCCATTTCGGCCATATCAGACTCGCCTTACCTGTTTTTCATGTCGGGTATTTCAAAGCCGTGATATCAGTGTTGCAATGTGTTTGCAAAAATTGTGGTGCCATATTACTAGATCCACAAGCGAAACGTCAGTTTTTGTCGGAATTGAGGCGACCAAACATTGATAACTTGAAGAGAATGAAGATTTTAAAGAGAATCAATGACCAGTGCAAGAAACAACGACGTTGTTTAAAGTGCAATCATGTAAATGGTGTAGTCAAGAAAGCTGCGAGTGGAGCCGGGCCTGCATCATTGAAAATTGTTCACGACACTTTCCGATGGATCGGTAAAAAGGACACACCAGAAAAGACTCTATGGGATGAAGATTTAGATTTGGTATTCCAACGCAACCCTGATTTGGAGAAATTTGCGAAGAGAATTCAGGAGGATTTTAACCCGTTAAAGACTTTAAACTTGTTTAAACAGATCATCCCTGAAGATTGTGAACTACTCGGAATGGATTCATCTAAAGGGGGAAGACCGGAAACGTATATATGGCGATATCTACCAGCACCTCCAGTTTGTATAAGACCTTCGGTTATGATGGATGCACAATCGAACGAAGATGATCTCACAGTCAAGCTCACAGAGATTGTTTGGACATCATCAATGATTAAAGCAGGGATCACCAAAGGTATCTCCATCAATAACTTGATGGAGCAGTGGGACTACTTGCAACTATCTGTGGCAATGTATATCAACTCGGATGCTGCAAACCCAGCCTTGATGTCGGGTGGAGGTGGTGGTGGAGGTAGTGGATCAAAATCCGCGAAACCAATCCGTGGGTTCTGTCAAAGATTGAAGGGTAAACAAGGCCGATTTAGAGGCAATTTGTCGGGTAAAAGAGTTGATTTCTCAGGTAGAACCGTCATTTCACCAGATCCCAACTTGAAGATAGACGAAGTTGCAGTGCCCGACAGAGTTGCTAAAGTTTTGACTTATCCAGAAAAATGCACGAGATACAACAAGAAAAAGTTACAAGGATTGATCATCAATGGGCCCGATGTACATCCGGGAGCAAACTACGTAATGAAACAAAATGAAGCGGGAAAGAGGAATCTTAGATTTGGTGATCGTATAAAGTTGGCTAAATCATTACAAGTAGGAGACGTTGTTGAACGTCATATTGAGGATGGTGATGTTGTGTTATTCAATCGTCAGCCTTCATTGCATAGATTATCCATTTTGGCGCATTATGCCAAAGTTCGTCCTTGGAGAACTTTCAGATTGAATGAGTGTGTATGCACACCTTATAATGCCGATTTTGATGGGGATGAAATGAATTTACATGTTCCTCAAACAGAAGAAGCTAGAGCCGAAGCAATCAACTTAATGGGAGTCAAGAATAACTTGTTGACACCAAAGTCCGGAGAGCCAATTATCGCGGCTACCCAAGATTTCATTACAGGCTCGTATTTGATTTCACACAAGGACTCATTTTTCGATCGTGCATCCTTGGTGCAATTGTTAAGTATGATGTCGGATGCGGATATACAATTTGATATCCCCCCGCCTACCATTGTGAAGCCGATTATGCTTTGGACGGGTAAGCAAGTCTTTTCTTTATTGATTAAGCCAAACAGACATAGTAAAGTTGTCATCAATTTGAATGCGAAAAACAAGACATTCCATCCTCCTGCCAAGGGTCTTCCCAGTGAGATGTCGCCTAACGATGGATTTGTCATCATTAGAGGCTCACAAATCCTTAGTGGATTGATGGACAAATCGACTTTGGGGGATGGTAAGAAGCACTCTGTGTTTTACACCATACTACGTGACTATGGTCCTCAAGAAGCAGCGGCAGCAATGAATAGAATGGCAAAGTTATGTGCTAGATTTTTGGGTAATCGAGGCTTCTCCATTGGTATTAATGACGTGACACCCGCCCACGAATTGAAGCAAAAGAAGGAGTTAATGGTCGAACAAGCGTATCTTAAATGTGACCAATTAATTGATTTGTACAATCGAGGCAAGTTGGAAACTCAACCTGGTTGTAATGAAGAGCAAACCTTAGAAGCAAAAATTGGTGGTTTATTGTCCAAGGTTAGAGAAGAGGTGGGTGATGTTTGTATTCGAGAATTGGACTCTTTGAATGCTCCTTTGATTATGGCCACATGTGGTTCCAAAGGTTCCACGTTGAATGTATCTCAAATGGTTGCTGTTGTTGGTCAACAAATTATCTCTGGTCATCGTGTCCCTGATGGTTTCCAAGACCGTTCCTTACCCCATTTTACCAAAAATTCCAAAACACCGCAATCCAAAGGTTTTGTCAGAAATTCATTTTTCAGTGGTTTATCACCCCCAGAATTCTTGTTTCATGCTATTTCAGGTAGAGAGGGTTTGGTTGATACTGCGGTCAAGACTGCGGAAACCGGTTACATGTCGCGTCGATTAATGAAATCCCTTGAAGATCTTTCGTCACAATACGACAACACTGTGCGTAATTCATCAAATGGTATTGTTCAGTTTACTTATGGTGGTGACGGTTTAGATCCATATGATATGGAAGGTGATGCTAAACCGGTAAATTTTATTAGACAATGGGATCACGCTTACAACATAACATACAACGTCAACGACAAACCGTTGTTGCCGTACGAGATAGTTGAGTTGGCCGACAAGACGTTAAAACCACTTGTTGATAAGGTCGCAGTTGTTGGAACTGAGTCGCAGAGTGAAGATGAGTTAGTCGATCAAAAGGATGCCGAAAAAGCATTTTACGAATCTGTGAGGGAATTCCTACGGGAAAAAGCTGAAAAGCTTGCACGATTAAGAGAAAGTAGAGGCTTGAAAGCATATTATAATAAAATTCACGAGGATGAAATTTTAGTGGATGAAGACGAAGTCAAACTCAACGCTGTAAACCAGTTGATGAGGATTTCACACAGGGCTGCTAAAGAGTTTATGAAACAATGTTTATACAAGTATTCGAGAGCAAAAGTTGAGCCTGGAACTGCTGTTGGTGCTATTGGAGCGCAATCCATTGGTGAACCCGGTACGCAAATGACTTTAAAGACTTTCCATTTTGCTGGTGTGGCATCAATGAATGTCACTTTGGGGGTTCCACGTATTAAGGAAATCATCAATGCATCAAAAACTATTTCAACGCCAATTATCAATGCAGTTTTGGTGAATGATGATGATGAAATTGCCGCTCGTGTGGCCAAGGGAAGAATCGAAAAGACGTTGTTGAAGGATGTTGCATTTTACATTGAAGATGTATACAAAGACAACATGGCCTATTTGGCTATCAAAATTGACTTGGAAACTATTGACAAATTGCAATTGGAATTAACCATCGAAAACATTGCACAAGCTATATTCAAAGCGCCGAAATTGAGAATTGCTCCTTCTGATGTTGTAATCACTGCAAAGAACAGAATCAATGTGTTGTGCAATGTTAATGAATCTAAATCCGAAAGCCTAAAATCTGTGGGTGATTCACTGAATGCGCTTTTCTTTAGAATGCAGACTTTGAAAAGAGTGTTGCCAGATATCTGCATCAAGGGATTGCCAAATATTTTCCGTGCCGTGATCAACATTAAAGACGATGGAAAAAAGGAGTTGCTTGTTGAGGGTTACGGTTTAAAAGACGTTATGAATACTGAAGGTATTGTTGGTACAAAAACCACAACCAATCATGTTTTAGAAGTAAATGAAATATTGGGTATTGAAGCAGCCAGAGGCTCAATCATAAGAGAAATCGAATATACAATGAGTAATCACGGTATGAGTGTGGATCCTCGTCATATTCAATTATTGGGAGATGTTATGACATACAAGGGAGAAGTGTTGGGTATCACAAGATTCGGTCTTAGTAAAATGCGTGATTCAGTCTTGCAATTGGCTTCTTTTGAGAAAACCACTGATCATTTGTTTGATGCTGCATTTTTCATGAAAAAGGACAAGATTGAGGGTGTTTCCGAGTGTATCATCTTGGGCCAAACTATGCGTGTGGGTACTGGGGCATTCAAATTGGTCAAGTCTTCTAATTATGACGAAAAGGTGTTGAAGAAAAAGCCTACTTTGTTTGAATCATGTTGTGAAGTCACAACTGCTGCTTAGAATGTACATATATGTGTGTACGTAATAATAATCACAAAAATTGTGAAATTTCTTGGTCCTTTTTCAATACAGAAACCACTTCCTCTTCACTCACGGTCAATAGTACCATTCTTTTCCGCTCACTCGAGAAATTTTGTTGATTAATGACTCCTGCTTCAACTAGTGAATTCAAAATAAATTCAAAGTGATGGATTCTGATATTGATTTGTTCCTTATCGCCAATTTTATCAGCGTACAATAGGTCAAACATTGATGAGTCAGTCATAAAAGGATTGGAGGTTGTAAACATGGCTATTGAGTTTTTCATTTCATCAATAATGTCCCCTACTGAATTTTCGGCCAAACCGCTTCTTCTGGTCCTCCTCAAAAGTGCTGCGAGGAAAAGTTTAGCAGCGAATGGTAAAGCATTCAAATACTTGGCTAAAGGAGAGTTGACACTTTCGCTGATGGCTTGTGATATGTGGGATATCAACACTTGGCATGTTTCTTTCTGGTCGTTGCTTTCCATATACTGTTTCTCGGCAATTTCTACTGCCCGACGACAAATTGTTAACGCACGTCTAGCATCTCCACTAACACTAGCCACTTTTCGTGATGCAAAACCAATGGCATCAAAACTTATTTCTACCTTGTGACGACTTCCCTTTGTCAACATGTTCAATCTGTGTTGTATTATGACACCCAATTGTTGATATGTATACCCCTTGAATTGAATTCTGCGCAACCCCATTCTTGATGATATTTTGTTAGCAAGAACTCTCTCAGGTAAATCCATGGTGTTTGCCACAGCTATAACAATCAACTTGGAAGTGGCATACGTTGGCCAATTGAAGAAATTGTACATAACGTTCTGTTTTTTTTGGGCAATCTGGTCCAACTCATCCATCATCACAACCAAAGGTAATCTTTTCTCGTCGTTTCTTTTAAAGTACTCCTCCAAAAGGATAGCTGCATTGGAGTCAACGACTCTATCACCACCAGTTATGTACTCCCATAGCATACTATATGCAACTGTTGGTGCAAGTAATTTCAATCCATTAAATTCAAAAAAATTGAATGGTTTTACATAGCCCTCTTTAGCTAAATCGGTCATTTGATTGATGACATCTTTGATAGTGGCAGTCTTGCCCATGCCAGGAACACCACTTACATATATACAACAACCCGTTCTTTCATTGATTGCACTTTCCAAACTGGCATAAATCATCAGAAACTCATCTTCTCTACCGGGAAGCGCATTCAATCGTTGAGAGGTATGTAATTTCTCCTTCACCTCTTTGAATGCTTCAGAAGTGGGATCAAGTGTGCCTTCGGGCAACTTTTTCGAAGGTGATGTGAATGATGGTAATTGCCCTTGGTCTTGCATGACTCTGATTCTTTTACGTGGAGTAACCACTGAGTAGATGCTTTCAATTTCTGAATCAATTGAGCGAATTGACTTTTTGGGTGACAGTGATTTACTTGACTTGAAAGAAGACCCGAGCCTACGTTTCTTGGGAGTAGTTGCAACTCTGTGCCTTTTCTTTGTGGTCTCCTCCTCGTCTTCTGATTCTTCATAGCTTTCGCTGTTGTCGATGTCTTCCAGTGAAGAAGCTGTGCTTTCGGGTTCTTTATGAGCAATAGGAGCAGTAGCAGGCACAGTTTCGTTTGCAGTTTCAGGAGCATCGACTTTACTAGTAGTGTCTCCAGTGGGTGATTGTTTCCGTGTTTGCTCTTCCGTCTTTACGCTAATATGTCGCTTCTTATTCGTCTCTCCTCTCCTTTCCCTCTTTCCTCGGTTTTCAGCCTCTGGCTTTTTCAAAGGCCCTGAATTAAACACGATTCTTTTCAACGTATCCTGGAAATGATCTGCATCCTCGGCGAAAATTCTCATAAGCTCATTATAATCAAATTTTTCCGAAAACTTATCCTGTTCATTTGTTGCCCTACGACACATGAATGTGTGTGTGCCGTCTTCTTTATGAGACGCTTTACTTTTTTTGAATTCATTTTCAGACAAAACATGAACATGGTCACCTATCTGATCAAGCTCAATTTCGTCGAGATATGGGACTAGCAAGATCTCCCCTTCAATTATTTCGATATCTGCTGGGATAGTTTCAATCTCACTTCTTTCACTAAACCAAACGACAATGATCTCTACAAAGTCATTAATACCGAATCGTATATCTTTAATCAATGCAATATTGGATTCGTCCTCAGCAGTTACCAAAATTGTGTCGCCACTTTTAACTTGAAATTGATCATGTTTGCGTCTCAAAATAAGAGGATCTGACGTGGTTGATTTACTCCTGCGATTAGGCCTTCTTGAATGTGAGCTGTGCGTAGAGGAATTAAAGTTTCCATTTATCTCAGAACTAAAGACAAGCTCCCATCCTTTATATTCATGCGACATATATGCTTTGGGAAGGAAAGAAGCGTAGATATGTGGAATCTATCTTTGTGCGGCGTATTTTCATTTTGGACTGAGAAACGGTATTAGCTATATACAGGAGACACATGCTAGAGAGGTGTTTTACACTTTGAACTGGTTCGTTTTCTCCTTAAAGTATGTATTAAGCATCAATGGCCCTCTAATATGGGTGCTATAGAATTGAACAATAAATTATAAAACTCGTTAGAAATCGTTAACAGGCGGAGAATCATCAACAACTCTCCTACAAAAGCTTCATTTGAAAATCAATATTGGTTCTCCCACATTAACAATCTCCTCCAAATTCAACTTTAAATCAAATGCCTTCGACAAGATAATTTTGAATATCTTTTGAACATTGATCGAATGACTGGTTGAGCAAAAAATAACCGGAGCCTTCATTGCAGCTCCAAATTTCTTAGCTTGTTGTGTGATTTCAATTTGATCTTGAAATGATAAATCTATAAATTGATCATATTTTGTACCAATAAGAAACGGAATTGCTGTTTTATTAAATCCTCTTACTTGTCGATAAAATTCCTTGATCGAATTGAGAGTGGATTTTCTCGTTAGATCAAACATGAATAAAATTGCAACTGCATCATTGGAGACTAGCGGTAGCATATTGATAAACTCTTTCTGTCCTCCAAGATCCCATATGGAAAACATGATTGTAGTATTCCTTATTTGTATTCGTTTATCCATGAAATTAACGCCAAGCGTTTGTATGTAATCTTCATCGAAGGAACCTTCGACGTACTTGACCATTAGTGACGTCTTGCCAATCTGGGAGTCACCAATTAAGCCTACTTTTAATGCAACTCTATCGTGGGGTAGGTTAGTATAACGTAGTCGTACAAATTAGAATGACGTACATACTGGTTGTTTTGATCTTGATCTTGACCCTCGTCCATTTGTATGCAAAAAGTGTAAGAATGCTAGTGGGAAGGAATGCAGATGGATGGAATGTTATTAGTGTTATGATTGATAATTTGGTCTGTGGGGAAGAATGCGATTAGTATATCTATTCTACGGGAATGCACTTCAGAACCTGGCTATCACGTTGATCCCATTTGATCCCAAACCCAAAATTGTTATGTTTACCTTTTGTGCATAATACACGTTTATTAGGGCAAAGCCCTAACATGCTCAATATATCACGTGAATAGATTGAAACTATAACTCTAGCTTTTTTTCTGTGCTCACCACAATTTTCTCTCTACGGTAGCGTCCTATCTCATTTGTTATATTGTGTCTCGCTGCACTACTATACGTAAGATATTACATAATACTTTTTGCAAGAGTTACATAATACTCCCCATAGTAAGGCGAGTACAGCGACAACAGAAAAAAATTTTAATACAAAGTAATTTTTCACCTGTCCTTACTTTTTTCCCTTTATCTTCAACAAACTGAAAGGCATTAGAACATGGCAGTAGGTAAAAATAAGAGACTTTCTAAAGGAAAGAAAGGATTGAAAAAGAAGGTCGTCGACCCATTCACCAGAAAAGATTGGTTTGACATTAAAGCCCCAACCACCTTTGAAAACAGAAATGTTGGTAAAACTTTAATCAACAGATCCACTGGTTTGAAGAATGCAGCCGATGGATTAAAGGGAAGAGTTTTCGAAGTTTGTTTGGCTGACTTGCAAGGTTCAGAAGACCACTCATACAGAAAGATCAAATTGAGAGTTGATGAAGTTCAAGGTAAAAACTTGTTGACCAACTTCCACGGTTTGGATTTCACCTCAGACAAAATAAGATCATTGGTTAGAAAATGGCAATCATTGGTTGAAGCCAATGTTACTGTCAAGACTGCCGATGACTACGTTTTGAGAGTATTTGCCATTGCCTTCACCAAGAGACAACCAAACCAAATCAAAAAGACCACTTATGCTCAATCATCCAAATTGAGAGAAATCAGAAAGAAGATGACTGAAATCATGCAAAGAGAAGTTTCCAACTGTACTTTGGCTCAATTAACCTCCAAGTTGATTCCAGAAGTTATTGGTCGTGAAATTGAAAAATCTACTCAAACTATCTTCCCATTGCAAAACGTTCACATCAGAAAAGTCAAATTGTTGAAACAACCAAAATTCGACTTGGGTTCATTGTTGGCTTTGCACGGTGAAGGTTCAACTGAAGAAAAGGGTAAGAAGGTTTCAGGTGGTTTCAAGGATGTTGTTTTGGAATCAGTTTAAAAGGTCATCACTGGTCAAAATAAGCATTTGTTCTGTTTTCATTTATATACTGTAACTACCTAATATACATAACGAAAGGGTTTTAGGAAAGTGTAGAGAGATGAAGGTGTAATCTCTACGTGTGCTTGCATCTCAAGGGATGGTTGGCAATATTCTTGTCTTGATGTGCAATGTCGTGAAAATGGCTAGCGACATCCGGCCTGCATATAGCACTAACAATAATGTTTTTGCGGTAGCAATTATTCCTTTTGGAATGACACAAACGCGAAACTCAAAAAGGGTATCTCATAGTTTGTCTTTTTCTCTCAATGAAGATAAAAGTGTCCTTGTAGAGGGGGAAGGGGATATGGGGAGACAATCTCTATGAAAACACACGGACGTCTTTTGCTCATTAGCTTACGGCACCCTTCATCTGGCAATGTATATTTATGTAAAAACCTGTTGTGAATGCAATCCAGAGTATAATAGCAAAGAATCTCACATTCTTAGTGTCCTTATTGTTTTTTTAAAGCAATCGACATTACACAAACCATTTGGAATTTCATTCCCTTTTCAACACTTTTCTTTCCTTGAACCGAAATTTTCCTATAAACCATTGGGGCTGAGATTCAGAAACAACTATCGAAATCTTATTTGAATATCTCAACACTATTTGTTAGTTCTCAGGTTCGTATCTTAAATAAATTTGCTTGTGATCAATTGGCCAAAATTAGATAAAGATGATCCAAAGTCAAGTATGTATATTACAAGTCCCCCCCGTTCTGATACTTCAAACCAAGCAATGCTAGCCACGAAATTGGAGAGCAGCTTGCCATTAATGGGTAACGTGTTATCAAAATCCAAAGAGCTTCATCTTACTAACGTTTTTATAGGATCGAACAGTCCCAGAAAAGAACGGTGACCCGTCTTTTGCTGGTGAACAAACAGGCAAAGATCAATTCGCCGAGCAAAAGAAAAATATCGACAGGAAAGGCCACCCTGGAGATGATCCCAAGCATCAAAAGAAAAGAAATGACGAATCTGATTCCGGAAAAAAACAACATCCCGGTTTGGGCGGAAACAAAGATGACGTCAAGGATTATAATAAGAAAGTTCAAACCGGAGCGCAACAACAAACAAATCCTGAATCTACTCAACCGAAGCCAACGCCATCGCAGCATCCCCATGAAAAAGTCCATATAAGGGATCAATTGACATTTTCCTGGCAGAGAGTCGGTGGTTGGGATGTTGATGAAGACACCAACAAGAAAGAGTTGTTGAAGAATGCCAAAACAGTTGAAGGTTACATCATTGACCATTTCTATGGTGACTGGTATTGGAATACATCCCTTATGTTGGGAACCTGCCTCTTTGCTTGGTTGGTTGCTAGATTAGGTGGAGGAATCTTATCATTGGGACTTGTTTTACTCTTTACAAACTCGGTTTACCGTGGAGAGTTTAGAAGATTTAATAGAAATATCAGAGATGACATGAAGAGAGTTAAGGCTGATAACAGGTTGGTGAATCAATTGGAAACTATGGAATGGATGAATTCATTTTTGGATAAATTCTGGGTTATTTATATGCCTGCTTTGTCTGAACAAGTTATGTTTCAAGCCAATGAGATTTTAAAAGACCAAGCCCCTGGTTTTGGTATTGAGAAATTGTCCTTGGATGAGTTTACTTTAGGTTCAAAAGCTCCCCGTGTTGATTCCATCAAGTCATACCCACAAACTCGTCATGACACTATTGAAATGGACTGGGCTTTTTCGTTCGCTCCAAATGATACTGATGACATGACAAAGAATGAAATCAAGAGAAAAATTGACCCAAAGGTGGCTTTAGGTGTCACTGTTGGTAAGGCATTCATTTCAAAATCTCTACCAATCTTGGTTGAGGATATGTCATTCACTGGTAGAATGAAGGTTAAGTTGAAGCTTTCGTTGAATTTTCCTCATGTTAAGATTGTTTCCATTCAATTTTTGGAACCACCAACCATTGATTATGCTTTGAAACCTATTGGAGGTGACACTTTGGGTCTTGATATCATGTCGTTTATTCCTGGTTTGTCCAAATTCGTTAACGGTATCATCCACTCGACTTTAAGACCCATGCTTTATGCTCCAAATTCGCTTGACATCAACATCGAAGAGCTATTGGAAGGTCAATCCAACGATTCCATTGGGGTCATTGCAGTGTACATCAAATCATGTAAGAATTTGAAAACGGGGCAAACCACAAAGCCCAATAGTATTAACCCCTATGTGCAAATCAAGGTTTCCAACAATGGTGATATCGACGAGAGAACTAAAGTCAAAAAACAAGTTAATGATCCAATATTCTTGGAACATAAGTATATTTTGGTTAATCAATTGGAGGGTAACTTTTTCAATTTCAACGTATTTCATTTGTTAGAAGATCAAGCAGATGATCAGTTGATTGGAAATTGCGAATTTCCATTGGGAGAATTTTTGCAAGAAGAGAATCAGAGTGGCATTGTTAAGAACATCATGGAAGGTGGGAAAGTCGTGGGAAAATTGGAATTAGATATGAAGTATTTCCCAACAATGCAACCAATTGAACTCGATGATGGAACAAAGGAAGTTATCACTGACTCTGAAGTTGGTATAATGAAAATCACCTTACACGAGGCAAGAGATTTGGATATTTCGAAATCGGTTATTGGGTTGTTGAATCCTTATGCTGAAATATATGTAAACAATGAGTTGGTCAAGACTTGTCGTAAATTGAGGCAAACAAATGAACCCTCGTGGGAACAATCCTTTGAAAGCTTAATCACTCAACAAACTGAAACAGCCATTCAAGTGCTTGTTCGTGATACGGTTGATAATAGTATCGTCGCGAACTTGCAAGCAAATTTACAAGATCTTGTGTTTGAGAGCGGAAGGGGTCAACTGTGGATAACATGCCCTGCTCTTTCGGAAAACGCTTCACCCCCTCAAATTAGAATCAGTGCTGGTTGGAAGCCTTTGGCAGTTGATGAGGAAACAAGCTCCAAGGTTATTACTCCTGCTCCAGTTGGTGGTATCAGAATCCATTTGAGAGGAGCCAAGGGATTAAAGAATTTGGAGTCTGTAGGATACGTTGACCCTTATGTGAGACTTATCATGAATGGTAAGTTGAGAGGTAAAACTGTTACTTTTGCTGAGACGGTCAATCCACAATGGAATGCAGTGTACTTTTTGCCTGTATCCAATCCTCACCTGCACTATTTGTTGGAGATCATGGATGCTGAGCCAGAAGGTAAAGATAGATCCTTAGGTACTGCGGCAATCAATGCTGCTGACTTTTTGAGAAAGAATGAAGAAGGGTACTACCTTGGATATGATGGTGCCGATGAAATCATTGAGCAGCCAGTCTTGTTTGAAGGTGAGCCATGTGGAACCCTCTTTTATTCCGTTTCTTTCTTCCCAACCATCAATGCATACTCGTTGTCTGAATTGCACAATATGCATGAGTATGAAGAGCAAAAGCGTCTCAAAGAGAAGAGAGAAGAGGAACAGTACAAGAAGGATGAAGAGACTTATGAAAACAACCCTGGTGAGTATGAATGGATCGAAACTGAGGAAGATGCAATGGCTGAACCACCAAAGATTAAGCTTAAATTGGCAGACGCTGTTAAGTACAGAGCAGGTGATATGGCCGTCCATCTTCTTGGTGGAAAGTTTCACAAGAACGATGTGTATGTTCAGACTCTTTTTGACGAGCATGCATACCCTTCAGGTGTGTCACCAAAAGTTGAAAACAGAAGACTCGCAACAAGGTCAACGGGGGAAACTTTCATCAGAGATTTGCCAAACTCCAAAGTGATTTTCAGAATCACAAAGAAAGTGGAGGTAACTCAACAAAAAGACATCCTTGTTGAGGAAACTTTTGACACACTTGATCTCTACGAAAAGTCGTTCAAAAAGCCCATCAATATCCACCTTGGTCCGAAAAACTCGATCGATATCCAACTCGAGTATATTCCATCAATTGCCAAGTTGGCACCATTAGATACCATTTTGGATGTTGGTATTTGTAAATTGGAAATTATTGGCGCCAAAAACTTGCAATCAGTCGACACCAATGGTAAATCGGATCCATTGTGTATTGTCAAGTTGGATGGTATCGAAGTTTTCAAAACTGACAAGAAACGTAGGACTTTGGATCCACTTTGGAATGAAGCCGTTGATTTCCCAATGATTTCGAGATCCAGACAAGTTTTGCTTCTCGAGGTGTATGATTGGGATCTTACTCATGATTTGGAATTGTTGGGTATGGCAAATCTTGATTTGTCAAGTATCCCAGCATTGACAACCACGCCATTCACGGTGAATTTGGACACACAAGGAACACTTGATTTGAGGGCCACTTTCTTCCCTGAATATGTAAGGCCACCCGTTGAATCGAAGGAAGCTATCCCTGTTGATCTTAGTATGGTACATCAAACTTCAATGAAGGCCGTTGGCAATGTGACTGATATCGCCACTGGAGCTGTTGGTACTGGTATCGGAGCTGGAGCCGATGTGATTAGTAAAGGTGACAAATTCTTCAAGGGATTCAGACACAAGAGAAAGTCCAAGAAGGATGATGATCTGGCCAGTAAAGCCGATGACGATCGATCCGTTGCTCCAAGCCACACTACTGGAAGTGAACGAAGCGGTGTCAAGAGCGACAAGTCTGCCCAACAAAAACAAGAAGATGGCGAAGGTCAAGAAGAAGGAGGCGAAGAGGACATTCCAGAGGAAGAAAAGGAATTTAGAGAGGCTCAAGACGCGGAAATTTCGAGTGTTATTGCAGCGCCAAATATACGTGAGGAACCTTTGCCTCCACCACAAAAGCCGATCCTTGGTCACAATAGAAATGTTAGCAGTGCAACCGATGCTTCAAGCTTTGCTGCTAGTGTACATGGCGATGGTGCTATTCCTGGAAGACTCACGATTGTGGAAGCAAGGGGTTATTCCAACCCAGCATTGGATGTCAAGGCAGTGTTGAAAACATCAACCAAAGAAAAATCATTGCTCAAGACTAGACATGCTAAACTTGATAAACACACGAACTCATACAAATGGAGTGAGAGTGTGCCGTTCAAGTCTGCTCCAACTGGACAGTTGATTCTTACTGTAAGACAACCACATACATTTGGAAAAAGTCAGACTGTAGCTGAAGCGGTTGTCAATTTGAGTCATTACGTCAATGTCAATGAAAACATCTCGATACCTACTGGCCACGGTGAGATTGTGATTAATTTGAAGTACTTTACCTAGGGGGTATAGTTTTTATACTTGTGTATTAATTTTGTTGTAGTTTCAACTTTTTTGTGATATGAAGCTAGTTGGAGGTAGGATAGAAGGGTATTGCCCAGGTAAATGATCTTAGATGTTTACGATTATGCAGCTTAAGCTTCCTTTTGTTGGAAGTATTTTCTTGTAATTTTGCACCAATTTTGCACCAATTATCGAATCGAGTTCAAAAATTATTGATTTCTGAAGCACGAAAAGTCTGAAGGTTATGGAGAGTGAGGATTGTAACTGTTTCAGTCTGGTTAGAGCTGAATTTTGACGTTGCTTAGTTTATGTGACATGACTTCTAAAGGGAGGTGAGGCACTCAAAATGAGCTAGGCGCCCTCCTCAAAAAAAATGGTGAGAGTTTTCATCAAAAGTTGGGGCTGTACAAAAGTAGCTTATCTCCTGTATAAACCGTTCTATACATCTCTTATCAAAAGCAGCTTCACATTCGTCGAAGAAAATATGGTCATGAGCCTTTTCGGTTTCTGGTTGCAAAATTCACACATTAGGGCTTAGCCCTAAATAGCTTATGTTCTTTATTGTTGGTGACACAAAGCCACGGAAAACAATTTTTATTTGTCAAAGTAGCGCGCACTAACTAGAAAATAGGTCGAGTTAATCCCCCCTGCCTCGCTCTATTTGTTTTTTTTATGCTGCCATCCTAGAACGAGAGGTGCCCACGAACATACAAATTCCCACAACTGCCATAGTTTAGCACAACCTTTTTTTTTCTTTTATTTTTTTTTTTTTTTCTCTTCCACCAAAAAGTCTATCACCAAAAGAAGAAGAAGAAAAAAAAAATTTCAGAATACCCACCATAGTGTTTCCCAATATCATACATTTATCAACATCAAAAATGAGTTCAGCAGTATGTTAATTTAGTGAGATATACAATAATTGGAGACTATACGAGATGCCAACTTGGACGACTGTCGTCGAAGGTGTGGACATGAAACGTGGAGGATGGAGACATTCCTATTTATGAGTATTGGTATTTGAAGAGATACATCCGCCCTTTCAGGACAATAGAACAGTGACAAGCTGGAGGGACTACATGAACAGAATGAAGAAATCGATATTGATTATTCCCTCATGGCCGTAAAGTCTCCTACATCAACAACACAAATACTAACAGACATTTCTTTTTTAGGCACCAAAGTGGTATCAATCTCAAGACGCTGCCGTCCCAAAGCAAACTAGAAAGACTTCCCGTCCACAAAAATTGCGTGCCTCATTAGTTCCAGGTACCGTTTTGATCTTGTTGGCTGGAAGATTTAGAGGAAAGAGAGTCGTATACTTGAAGAACTTGGAAGACAACACTTTGTTGGTCTCAGGTCCATTCAAGGTCAACGGTGTTCCATTGAGAAGAGTCAATGCTAGATACGTCATTGCCACTTCCACTAAGGTAAACGTTGAAGGTGTTGATGTATCCAAATTCAACGTTGAATACTTTGCTAGAGAACAAAAGCCAAAGTCCAAGAAATCAGAAGCCGAATTTTTTGAAGAAGCTCCAGCTAAGAAGGAAATCAAATCTGAAAGAGTTGCTGACCAAAAGACTGTCGATGCTGCTTTGTTGTCAGAAATTAAGAAGACCCCATTGTTGAAGCAATACTTGGCTGCATCATTTTCATTAAAGAACGGTGACAGACCACACTTGTTGAAATTTTAAATAAAGAATAAATTGCACGGGGTTTATGATGGTAGGGTATAAATGGCGCTATATGCATTCAAGAAGTGCGTGTGTGTAGGGTCATAGTTGGAAATACTGTATTTTAGTTACAATTTATCCAATAAACGGATTCATTTAATGTAAAGAGAATTGTGTAGCACGTAGGTAGAGGGGACTCTTTATTTAGAGAGAGAGCTCAGTGTTGGTACAATGTTGGTACTCAAACTGGCCGTGGGTGTGCCACGTGAACGCCCAACCAGAAATTTAGTAGTGAGATTCTATAAATTTCCATCACTGTCAATAAATTAGAGCATCGCACGAAGTGAACTTTTTTTTAAAAAAAGAAAAAAAAGCATCCCATCGCAAGAGAAGAGTGAGTTCAGGAAGACACACAACAATGTCTCAATTAACACCTATAGCTACTTATAACTTGGCACTTAAGCCATTCCAGCCACTTCCTGCTATTGAGGAAGATTTCCCAGTAACAATTAGACTTACCTTGGCTTCTTTGGACCCAGAAGCTGAAGATGAGAAAGCTGAGCCATCCACTTTGAGAATATTGAAGAAGGTCACATTTAATGAGGATGATGACAGTGAATACGACGAGGATGATGATGAGGAAGACGAAGAGGAAGATGAATTGGATGAAGTGGAAGTTGTCAATGGAAAAGTAAATGGATCCAAGGATGATATAGAAGTTGACGAAGAGGTTGAAGAAGATGATGAAGAAAATGATGATGAAGAGGACGACGATGAGGGAAGCGAAGATGATAATGAGGATGATTTGGATGATGACATCTCCGAATTTGTTGTCTGTACTTTATCACCAAAACACCAATTTCAACAAACACTCGACCTTACAATTACTCCAGACGAGGAAGTGTACTTTGTTGTCACTGGCTCTTACCCGATTCACTTGACCGGAAATTATATTGAACACCCTGCTGATGAAAGTGATGAAGACGAGGAAGAATACGGTGAGTACGATGATGAATATGATTTGTCACCTGATGAAGATGAAATTATTCATGGAATTGATTTCAATGAAGAATACGATGAAGATGAAGATGAAGATGAGGACTATGGAAGAGAAGAATCGGCTGAGCCAGGAAAGATTGAAGAGGTAAAAGACGAAAAAGATGATGAAAGCGCAAATGATAAACAAGCTAGTAAAAAAAGAGCATCACCTGAAGAAGACACCAAAAAGTCCAAAAAGGCAAAAAAGAATGCCGCAAAGAAAGAAGAAAAGAAGTCTGTTCAATTTTCAGAGGAGTTGGAACAGGGACCTACTGGATCAACCTTGGCCAAGGATAAGAAGGAGAAAAAGAGTGTTGAGTCAGAAAAATCTTCTAAAGACAAAAAGTACCCAACCAAAACTTTATTAGGAGGTGTGATAACCGAGGATAGAAAGTTGGGCTCGGGACCAACCGCCAAATCGGGAAACAAGGTTGGTATCAGATACATTGGAAAATTAAAGAATGGCAAAGTGTTTGATAAAAATACTTCAGGAAAGCCATTTAACTTCAAATTAGGCAAAGGTGAATGTATTAAGGGTTTCGATCTTGGTGTAACTGGTATGAGTGTTGGTGGTGAGAGAAGGGTTATCATTCCACCTAAAATGGGTTATGGATCCCAAGCTTTGCCAGGAATCCCAGCCAACTCCGAGTTGACTTTTGACATAAAATTAGTATCCTTAAAGTAGACTCTACATAGCGGTGTAGAAAATATAATGGTTTGAACAGTTTTTTCATATTCATTTGGAATACATTAGAAATTTTGTTATGTCAAAAATAGATATCGCCACCGATATACTTCATTCTTGAACAGAGGCAAGAAGCGACCGACCATCCTTTTCTCTACACCCACTTTTGCTATATTACTCTTTGCTATATCACCCTTTGTCTTACTAACTCATTTCATTTTTGCTAGATAGATTACGCGTTCCCCTCACTTAATTTTGATTCTATACGAGCAAAAACTAATTATCATATAAAGTCTAGCGCAACCGCTTTCAAAAGGAGTATAAGCAGTGGCTTCGAGAACGTCGACAGAATTAAAATCGAAAACTAGCTTTTTTTAAAAAAAGGAAACAAGAACCTAATATCAGTGTATCCTTTTACTTGCCTGCCTCACATTTCCTCGCCACCACCCCCTAAACGAGGAGCCGTTTGACAGACAGACAGACACGTTAGAAGAGAAAAAAACAAGAAAAGAAAAAATTCGTTTATTTTGTTGGGAAGACCACACACATTGAAAAATCCCAGATTGAACCAAAAAAAGGTCAGCACAAGCCACCAGCTACATAGACATGCTCAGCTTTCTACAACAGGTCACTGGAGACTTGGCAAGGACTGCAGCTCATAAACCTATTCATTTTATTGTCGTACCTGCATTGCTAGCCTCAATTGCATACTTGTCAATTATAGATGATTATATACCTGACTTGTCTTCGATAACTAATGAGAATGGACTTAGTTATTATCATGCTGCAGGACCTGGACTGAAATTGAATGATTGGATACCTGTATCCCCAGAGGAGGTTGAAGCCAAGTATCAAAGTGCCAATCAAGTAACATTGATACCGTTGAGATTTAGAAGATTTCACGATGCGATTCCTAAAGTGCCCAATTCAGTAATTATTAGTGGGAATGAGCAAGTTCTTTTAGTGGACTCAAACAAAGTTGAAAGCGTGTTACTGGACACCAAGAGAATCGATAACGATGGCATCCAATGGAAAGTAAGAAATGATCACAAGATCGCTCGATTTTATGATAGTTTGAAATTTTTAATTTATAAGGTTCAGGAGTCAATTAAAAAGGCAGATAGGTTTGATGTTGTTTTGATTTTTGTGGCTTATTTAGCAATGTGGTACACCTTGATCAAAGTGTTTTATGACATGAGACAGATTGGGTCCAAGTTTTGGTTAGCGTTTTCCACATTGGTGTCATCGACGTTTGCATTTTTGTTTGCATTGGTGGTTTCCAACAAGGTTCTTCAAACCAAGGTATCATTTTTGAGTCTTTCTGAAGGTGTCCCATTTCTTGTCGCAATTATTGGGTTCAAGCACAAGGTCTCAATTGCCGGATTGATCCTGAAGTCGTCGACAGTTTCACCTGATGATGTTCCAGATATCGTATCCCAAGCCGTTTCCTCCCACACATTGAGTATGTTCCGTGACCACTTGGTTGTTATTGGTGCGATGCTTGCATGTGCCGCATATGGGAATCACCTTACTGGATTGCGAAATTTCTGCATTCTTGCCTCGTTGATATTGACATTTGATTTGGTCCTTGTTTACACCTTTTTCTCAGCAATTTTGGGTTTAAAGATTGAGATCAATAGGGCAAGAAGAACAGATGATTTGAAAGATGCCTTGGAAGAGGATGGAGTATCGTCATTGGTTGCTGAAAGGGTTGCTGAACAATCTTCATCGATTGATTACCCCAATGAAACAAATTTTTTTTCATCAAAGGATTACTCCATTCTTTCATTTAAAGTGGCAATGAGTTTAGGTTTTATTGCGTTTCATGTATTCTGGCTAGGCAGCTCATGGTTGTACAACACTTCAGACGCTGGAATCAATTTCAACACATTTGGCTCGATTTTAGGAACTGCACCTTCAATTTCAGAATCTTTATCCGGTGAAATTCCAATTGGAAAATTTGGAACCGTGTTGACAATTTTGCCCACAAGATTCTACATGCCATCGGGTTTCTTTGCGCAAGTTGAAGATTTTATCTATATGGTATTGAATAAAATCAGTGTTGCTATTCAAGATAGGTTGTTGTCCAAGGTAATGGCATTTTGCTTCGGTATTTCCTTGGTTACGAATATCTATTTCCTCAACGCTGCAAGGTATCAGGTGAGCGCCACTTACAAGTTGCTTGATAAGGAGATGTCCCGTCCACAAGTTCGCACGTCAGTTTCTGAACCTACTACGGCTACAATTGGTGACATTGAAGAGTCAGATGATGAGGATGTTGCAGCAGCAGAAACTACTACTCAGCTACCACTTGAGGAGTGTGTCAAGATACTAAAAGAGGGCAACGTAAAGAGTTTGAGTAACGAAGAAGTGACTCTGTTGGTGGTGGGAGGAAAACTCCCACTATACGCATTGGAGAAACAATTGGCAAGCAACAAGAGAGCGGTGGTTGTGCGTCGTAAAGCGATTGCCAAGTTGGCAAATGCTCCTGTTTTGGAAACCAATCGTTTACCGTATGCACATTATGATTATGATAGAGTTTTCGGTGCTTGTTGTGAAAATGTCATTGGTTACATGCCAATACCAGTTGGTGTAGCAGGTCCCTTGATCATCGATGGCAAGCCATATCACATCCCAATGGCTACAACTGAAGGATGTCTAGTTGCATCAACAATGCGAGGCTGCAAAGCAATCAATGCTGGTGGTGGTGTTGAGACGGTGTTGACCAAGGATGGAATGACACGTGGACCATGTGTTCGCTTCCCTACACTCTCTAGGGCTGGAGCTGCCAAATTGTGGATTGATTCTGAAGAGGGTCAAAAAACAATCAAGAAGGCGTTTAATTCGACTTCCAGATTTGCCCGTTTACAGCATATTCAAACGTCTTTAGCTGGATGTTTATTATTTATTCGTTTCAGAACTACAACTGGTGATGCCATGGGAATGAATATGATTTCAAAAGGTGTTGAGTACTCTTTAAAATACATGGTTGAAGAATGCGGTTATGAAGATATGGAAATTATTTCTGTATCAGGAAACTATTGTTCTGATAAGAAGCCGGCAGCAATCAATTGGCTCGAAGGTAGAGGTAAGTCAATTGTAGCTGAGGCTACAATTCCAGCTGATGTTGTTGCAAAAGTATTGAAGTCTGATGTGGATGCTTTAGTGGAGTTGAACATAAGTAAGAATTTGGTTGGTTCAGCAATGGCTGGGTCTGTTGGTGGGTTCAATGCGCATGCTTCCAATTTAGTAACTGCGGTGTACTTGGCATGTGGTCAGGATCCAGCTCAAAATGTTGAGAGTTCCAACTGTATTACATTGATGAACAAGCATAAAGTGACTGGTGATTTACAGATATCTGTTAGTATGCCATCTATTGAAGTCGGTACAATCGGCGGAGGTACTATATTGGAACCACAAGGAGCAATGTTGGACTTGTTAGGAGTACGTGGTCCACATCCAACTAACCCAGGGGATAATGCGAGACAGTTGGCCAAGATCGTTGCATCAGCTGTATTGGCAGCAGAGCTTTCTCTCTGTTCGGCATTGGCAGCTGGCCATTTAGTCCAATCACACATGCAACATAACAGGGCTGGCGCTTCTCCTGCTTCGACAGCAGTCGTGACAGGCGGTGCTAAACCAAATGGAAAAGTAAATGAATCGGATTTAAGAAGATTAAAAGAAGGCTCGGTTACATGTATAAAGTCGTGAGTTCCGAATATGTTAATAAATTAGGTTTGATTATCGCATCATCCAGCCCTCTGCATTGAGGAGTTTGGACACTTTTAAAAGTAGTATATACACGCGGAATTTTTGATCAATCTTGTAAGTTGTGAACTTTAAACTGTGGATTCTCCCAAAAAGAGTCAGAAAAAATCAAAATAAGAAAAAAATATCAAAAAAAAAATAACAGAGAATTGCGAGCATAAACATGTCACCGGCCTCGTTTATTACCCCAAAGAAATGCCCTCTCAAGAAATAGGAATTCCTATCCCAAACGTACCGCATGCAGTTTCTGTAACTTTGCCCACTTGGGAAGCCACAGTGGGGTATGAAGAAGGACAGGAATGGGTCACCAGTAAGATGAACTCTGGGTACCCAAGATTTTTTATTCACCAGATCATTCAAAAATTATGCCGCAAACTCGAAGCAAAGTATGGACGTGAGGGTGAAGCGTGTCTAGTATTTCCAAGCTACAAGGTTGCAAAAAGGTGTCGTCAGTTCATCAAAGAGAAATCGGAGAATAGCCCACATGTCAGGGTTTTACAATTGAGTACAAGCGAGCCCGCCAATGATTATGAGCGGTTAACCAAAGTCGGAACAACCATTGGAGTGGTGTTTTTCCCCAAAGATTTATTTCCGTTGGCAAAGAATTATTGGCAACACTCAGGTGAAGTTATCAGCTCGCGAATGGGAGAGTACGTTTTGAAGGAATTATTTGAGAATGATAAGGATCTTCACGGTTTGAAGGGAAACTGGAAACAAGCATTACAAGCACAAAAGATTCAATCGAGATCGCCATCAATTTCGGCATCTCGAGCTAGCGGTCGCAGCTCCGATAGTCAGGTGAACGAGGAGGTGGAGAAAGAGTTCAATACTTTTATCGAACAAAAGTATGGGCGGGTATTGGACTTTAAGTTCGCAAAAGAAGCCAAAAGGGCATTAAAGAGGCGTATTTGTGGGAAAGTTGACAAGGAAAATGACCATGATTTAGAGGACATCGAGCACCTGAGAAGAGGAAAGCAGTTGACTCCATCTGATGTGTACTTGTGTCCGTCAGGAATGGCATCCATATTCTTTGCACACTACTCATTGTTGAATATATCTGAAGAGCAGCAAATTTCGGTATGTTTTGGATTCCCATACACTGATACGTTGAGTATTTTGAAGAAATTTGGTCCAGGAGTTAAATTTTTGGGAATGGGTGACGACGAGTCTTTGAACGAGTTGGAAAAAGAGTTAGAAGAAGGGTTGGAAATTATGGCATTGTTTTGTGAATGCCCTTCCAATCCTTTATTGAAAACACCAAACTTGAAAAAGATTAAGGAGTTGGGGGATAAATTTGGTTTTGCCATTGTTGTGGATGAAACTGTGGGTAACTTTATAAATATTCATGTTTTGCCATATGCTGATATGGTTGCATCGTCATTGACTAAGGTGTTCTCGGGAGATTCGAATGTACTCGCCGGCTCTCTCATTTTGAATCCATCGTCAAGGTACTATCTGAGGTTGAAACAATTCTTTGATAAGGAATATGAGGATTTATTTTGGGATGAAGATGCATTGTGGTTGGAGCGTAACTCTAGAGATTTTGTTGATCGTGTTCGCATCATTGATGCCACTACGGAAAAAGTTGTTGATTTACTTGTCAACAATTCAAAGATATCTCGGGTTTACTATCCAAGTATTGGTCCTTCAAAACAGTACTATGACGAAATCAAGAACGAGAATGGTGGCTATGGAGGGTTGGTTTCGTTTCTATTTCATAAACCTGATGATGCTGTCTCTTTTTTCAACAGGGTTGATCTTTATAAGGGGCCCTCTTTGGGTACTAATTTCACATTGGCTTGTCCTTATGCAATCCTTGCCCATTATCACGAGTTGGATGAGATAGCTCAGTGGGGTGTCGATAAAAATTTGATTAGAGTTAGTATCGGATTGGAAGATGCAGATGAGTTGTTGGAAGTGTTTAGAAAGGCCCTAGAGTGATTTTACTGTATAGTGTATAAACATGTCTACCTTGTAAATTTTCAAATATGTCCTGGGAACTTGACGTGAGTGCACGGGCTTGGCGGGTCCTCATTGATAAAATCAAACGTTAATTCAACTTTTCCCACGTACCAGTAATCACGATGGGATTCGAAAAATAGTTGCCACCCCTTGATGTCCTTTTCACATTCTTTTTCATCCAATCCCCTAAGATCATAAGTGTACTCATCTGGTTTCATAAAGCATCCAGTGACAAAGACTCGAGCTGCATCTTTACCAACCAAATTGTGGTATGATCCTTTTGGGCCGTAGACAGCTCTATTGGATGACACGTCATAGACACTGCCATTGATTGCGAGAAGTATGCGTCCATTATCGTCACCTGTGTATTTAAATAGCTCGTCTAAGCTGAGGTGTAGTTCGGGTTCCAATATCGTGTGATGCCAATACCTCCAATCGATGTATTTACCATGATAGCCCCATGTTGCTGTAGAAGTAAACCAATAGGAGAATATTGCATTAAAGAACAAAAGCCCTCCTATTATGCGAACAATGTCAAGGATACTAAAGCTGTCTCGTACCATGGTTACTTTTCAACCATACTTTTCGAAAAAAGTCATTTTCTCGCGCTAATTCAAATTAATATGTGTATTACAAAAATGTATAAACTCTATCATTCCATAAAGAACACCTCATCGTTCATCTGATTCCAGTTTGTATTGTTGCTACTGAAGTTGATACGATCAGCAGAGTCCGTACTCAACAAGTTTGACCAAAATTCGTCGTTCAACACCAGGTACGAATTTTCCAATTGATCTGGATTGGCAAGGTTTGGGTTGAAAAATTGGTGGTTGTTGTTGTGGTTGCTGCCATTGTTGCTGAACGAGTTGTGACCAGCGTTGTGACCAGTGTTGTGACCAGTGTTGTGGTTTGTATTACCAACTCCTGATGGGTTTGACAACAGAGGAATCCTAAACTGTCTGTAGTCAAAGTTACCAGGTGTGAGTCCGGTATGCTGAGAAGACGGATCAAAAGTATTGGTCAAAGAAGTTGCCACTGGTCCTACTGCTGGTGTTGACATTACATCACCATTCTGCGCGTGCTGCAAAAGGGATTGTTGTTGAATTTGTTGTGATGGTTGGAGTGGCGGTGGTTGTTGAGGTTGAAATGGGACCGAAGAAGGTGGGGGCGACGTTACTTGGTTGATGGGAGTATTACCAGCTGAAGTAAATTGCACTTGAGATCCTATAGGTTGCGGTGCAAAAGTAGTTGAAGTTCCTACTTTTTCCTTAGACTCTGAAACTGTACGTGGGCGTTGACTCTGTCCCGGATTCCCCTCACGTCTATATGATGCAGCGTAGGAAAGAATATCCAATGGAACACTATGCACTTCATCTCTCATCAAAGCTTGTCTACCTCTGGACTCTTCAAAATTGGACGCAACCCTCTTGAGTTCTATTGTATCTCGTTCTGTGGGTTTAAAATTTTGCGGCGTTTCACCATTCTTTCTAAGCAAATCATTGACTTGGGTAGCATATGTTTGAATAAACAACTGTAACACCAATCGCGTCTTTTTCAATAAATGATTTGTGGGGTGTTGATTATGAGCTTGCTCAACCAAGTTGCTCACTCTTTGAATCGAAATAACAGCATCACGAGGCACCAAATCTTTTTCTATATGTGAGGGGAGTGACAAAATCAAAAACCTTAATCGAAGGAGCATTCCACCGGTGTACATTACTCGAGATCCAAATGCCAAAGGCATCTGCGCAATCTGTTCTGAAGTGAGCTTGTTGTACTCATTCAATGCCGATAGGCAGGAATTTGTACAATTTGAAATCGCCTTGACTGCAATTGAACTCAATTGGGACTCTTGTGGTTTGAATATGTTGCTCAAGTTGGGCTCATGCAAGTATGCCTCGACCGAGTACAAGTATGACAAAAACACATGATCGTCATCATTAATCTTGTTTTTCAACTCGGTCAATTGTCTTTGCAATTCCTGAATCATGTATTGAGATGTAGAAACCCCCTTTTCCCCAATCTCGGGCGAGTGAATAATGTGGTGGATCTTTTCTAAAGCGGAGTTGATTCTGGCAAATAAAGCCAACTTGCGATATTTAATCTCTGGGCTATTTTCAAGGGCCACGCAACACTCTTCAACATAAGGTGTCCACTTGATGTATATTGCTCTTCGAAGAATAAGGCAAATACTGACTGTGCTGAAATATATAATTAACACAATTGACCTATACTCATCACTCGTTTTCTGCTCGGGATTTTTTTTCAACGATCCATCGCTGTTGTCGAATGAATACGAAGGTCTTGCCACAATACCCAAATCGTGCAAAAGTGACACACAAATATTGTTTAGCAAATGGTATCGACGTTGTCGAAACAATTCTGGGGAGTTGTAATACAATGTTAAGATGAGCATACTTTTAATCAACTCCACTGTTTTCCTTCCAACAACCATTACCTCGTCACACACAGATCGGATTGCTTCGTTGTCCAATGCCAAAGCTTGATCAATCTCCGGTTCTGACAATGCAGAATTGACGGTGTTACTAGCAGCCATCACAGCATTGAACAAAAACGGTTGTTCAATTCGTAATACATCAGCAGTTACATCGGCAGGAACGTCGATAAAGGGCAAAAAGGCAAGAATCCTGTTTCTATACAATTGTAACCTTCTTTCCGCTTCAGGTAAACTTATCAACCCTTTTGAAACCACATCTGGAGGAGTACCAGGTTTCAACATTCTTGTTCTTATGTTTGCCAAATTGTTGAGTTCATTAGTTAAATCAGTAAGCTTCGATGCAGATTCAGCAAAGATTGTAATCTCTTGCTCAAGGTCCGATTTGGAAACAAATGGTGGCGAAAACATTTCCGAGGGAGTGTCTGATTGAAAATCGCTGAGCGCCTTTCTGTGAAAATGGTTTCTATGGCTCAATTGAGTTTCCAATGTGAGAATTCTTTGTTTCAAATTGACAATCTCTTCATCCTTCAGCATTGCGTGTGATGGTTGTGAGGGTTGTGGTGATGACGACGAGTTGGGTTGGCTATTAGGGGTGTCACTTATCGACAGTTGTGGGTTCTGTAGTTGAGTGTTTATTGGATTCAAGTTGCTAGAAATTGGGGGGACAGTTGAGTTTTGAGGACGAATTGCTGAAGGAACAGCTGGTTTATTGGGCGAAGGTACCTTTGAATGAGATTCGCCCGCATTTTTTCGTGTATTTTCCGTGATCCTTCGTGTGGCAGTTGCTTGTTCGTGACTGCTGCCAGAGTTAGCCCCTACTTTCAACTTTTCTTCAGCTTCTCTTCTCTTTGCTTCAAGTATTTCTGATTTTTTTCTTCTTTTTCTGGTTTGGTTGAGGTCAATTTCACACTTTCTATTAGCATTGAGACATCTGACACACGGCTTACTTGGATCCAGTGGATCAGATGGGGTGCATTTAACTTTTAAAGCATGGCAACTCTTGCATGCAATTGATCTTCGAGTGACTTTAGACCTTTTGTTTGATTGGCGAGGTTGAGACAGATCGGTTTGAGAGTCATGATCGTCGTCTTCCTCTGACCCTTGATGGTCGAAACTATGATCATTCTCATTGGGTGTTCCTCGTAATTGAACTTCGTTCTTAACGTGCGAGGCATTTGTATCACTTACATTATTCTGTGTGCCTCCAGTTGCAGTTGCAGTTGCATTTGCAGTTGAAGCTGTTGTGTTTGGTGATGTAGTTGATGATGTAGCATATTCAACCGACCCCTCACGGTTGTTTATAACCGACATTGTGTGTGCAATAAGGCTTTCGGGGAAAAAAAAAGGCAAAGAAAAAAAAAAAATACGAACAATCAAATTGAAATCTAAAGTGTGTGTGGAAGTGTGTGGAAGTGTGTCTCTCTCTTTTGTTCTTGATTTTATTGTTGTGGTAATTTGACAAGGCTGGCACTAGTGAGGCTGATGTTTTCTGGGGATGTACCGGTAGAAGCGGGTTGAACTGATCCTCGGGATTTATTAAAAAAGACTGAATTATTTTTTTCTGTCCTTCGTTATTTTTTTGCTCTTTTGTTGTTGATTGATGTTGTCAGTAAGTAAATTTTTTTCTCCTTTTTTAAGCTTGTGATAAATTGGAATCCATATGCTCAATGGGTTATAAATAAGAATATAGGATATGTAGTATATTTATATCAGAAAGAGAAAGATGTAGGTGTATATTGGATATAAATTTCTTTGTCAAGTCAGGAAGTTGCGGCTGGTGATACTGTTTACTACCCCTTTCCAAGGCTAGTAATCTGATTTCCGCCATTCGGTGAAATGCGCCCTTCCCTAACAAGGCTGTCAGTGCGGCTGAAATGTGAGAATATGGAGCAACACTTTGAAAAGCTTTCACACCGCTTGTATTGAGTATAGTCTTGAAAAACAGGGCCCAATCTAGGGCAAATTGTACTTTAATCGCAATGATGTTATATGCACTTTCCATGCGTAGAAGCTAGATCAACTGTAGCTTGTGACCGAATCGCAAATGCGCGAGGGAGAGAATCCATGACAAAGTCATACGTTATCAATGTTGCGCTTTATGAGAACAGAACAGAACAGAACCGAATAGAACAGAACATCCTCTAACCCTAAACAACCATTGTTCATCCACTTTATACCCACTTGCACAGGACACGCACAGCAGTGCCTTGTCAAAGTCCATGCTACTCAGTCCCCATGTCTTTGGTCCAGCGTGTCTGATCTTCATGGTAGCGCAAACCCTTCGCCAACAAAAAAAGGAAAGTTGAAATGCCGACTGGCCACTCCACCGTTAAGGGTCGGGAACAAGTACAACGACACGAAGAAGCAGCAGCAACTTGAACAAAATAACAGTTTCATATATATCTCAGCTCATATAGGTTGATGGTTCTACAACACCATTGAATTACATACAACAAAATTTTTTTCCTACAACAATATAGTTTAATGTCTTTATTTGGAATCAACAATATCACCAGAGGCAATAACAATCAATCATACAAAGACAAGCCGGTTTCGAAATCACTCCCACTATATTACAAAGATAAATCACCATTCCATCCAAAACAGCCACACAATAAAGGAAGAAGGAAAGTTATCATGCTATTAAAAGGGTTCATCTACTCACTTGGCTTGTACTTTGTCTACTATCTAGCCAGAAATTATTTATTTCAATCATCGGATTCTCTGCTGTTGTTTCTGGCGCTCAATTCTGGTACTCCATCATGGAAAACTGCACAGCAAGAAGTTCGGCAAACAATGTTGGATTCCTGGCACTCATATGAAAAGTATGCTTGGGGGTACGATGTCTACCACCCAATTAGGCAGCAAGGAGAGAATATGGGCCAGCAACCATTAGGCTGGATGATTGTTGATTCGATAGATACTTTGATGATTATGGATTGTAAAGATGAGGTTGATCGAGCTAGGAAATGGATTAAAGATGACTTGGACTACAAATTTGATTACGAGGTGAACAATTTTGAAACTACCATAAGGATGTTGGGAGGGTTGTTATCAGCATTCCATTTGAGTGGCAATGATGATGTTTACCTTGATAAAGCAGTTGGTTTGGCTAATTCCTTGCACGGTGCGTATGATAGTCCCTCTGGAATCCCGTATTCGTCGGTGAACTTGAAATCAGGTGCTGGTATCAAAAACCATATGGATTCGGGTGCTTCTTCGACTGCTGAGGCTGCTACAGTGCAGTTGGAATTGAAGTACTTGGCAAAATTAACCGGTGAAGTAGACTGGTGGGAAAAGGCAGAAAAAGTCATGCAAGCTCTTGAAGCGAACAAACCCCAAGATGGGTTAGTTCCTATTTATGTTAATCCAGATACCGGAAAGTACCAAGGCAATTTGATAAGATTAGGTAGTAGGGGAGATTCATACTATGAGTATCTTTTGAAACAATATCTACAAACTAGTGAGGAAGAACCGATATATTACGAGATGTATCGTGAATCAGTCGAAGGGGTAAAGAAAAACCTCGTTAGAAAGTCTTTTCCAAATGAATTGACTTTTATCGGTGAATTAGAGAGGGGAATTGGTGGTCCATTTTCACCCAAAATGGATCATTTGGTATGCTTTTATGGTGGGTTATTAGCAGTGGGTTCAACGAATGGTTTGTCATTGGATGAAGCTAAGCAGCAAAAATGGTGGAATGAAGAAAGGGCCCTGGATTTCAGATTTGGAGAAGAATTGACCTATACTTGTTACAAGATGTATCATGATGTTATGCCCACAGGATTATCGCCTGAAATTGTTGTTTTCAATGAAGATACTACAAAAGAGCACGATTTCAGAATAAAACCAATGGATAGACATAATTTGCAAAGACCGGAAACTGTTGAATCGCTATTTTACCTTTATAGATTAACTGGTGATGTAAAGTATCGTCAATGGGGTTATGAGATTTTCCAAAATTTTATCAAGTACACTAAAGTCGTGAATGAGCATGGTGAGATTAGTTTCAGCTCATTAAGTGATGTCACTAGCTTAAAACAAGATGGCTCACCAAAGTTCAAGGACAACACTGAAAGTTTTTGGTTTGCAGAAACCTTGAAATATTTGTACTTGCTTTTTGATGATGAGAATAAAATCCCCTTGACGGAGTACGTTTTCAACACCGAAGCCCACCCTTTCCCCAAATTCAACACCAATGAGCATTTGAAAACTGGTTGGAGAAGACAAGTTGATGAATCGGTGAAACCACAAATGAGAGAGAATCAAGTTAATGGTAAACCTAAAATACCACAAGCACAACCAGTTGATGACTCTATTGAAAAGGAAGTTGAAAGTGCATTAAAGGAGAATCCAGATTTAGCTAAAGAAGGGAAAGATGAAAATAAGAAGAAGTTGAATAAGTTTGTTAAAGAAATGCATTAAACTGAAGTTCTTGTGCTATGTATAGATGTGAATGTCGTGAATTCAATTGGTCTTGCACTTTTACTTTTTTACGACATTGACGTAAATGAATATGTTTTCTTACGTCACAATTTTTCTGTTTCTCACTTTCTTTTCTCTTCTTCAGCTCTTTTTTTTTTTTTGCTTGTTCTAAACCTTTCACAAATTTGAAATCAAAACAAGAAGAAACCAAAAGGACTGCACAATCTCGAGGGAAAGTTATCAAAAAGTCCGCGTTATTCCCGAAGTCCATCTTTCATTGAGGGCTATTACTACTATTCTCCACAAAAGAATAGTTCAAAGAGGTGTTCCTCGTGGTTTACCAACTTATTTTTTTCTTTCTTGCCGATTTGTTACTATTCTTAGTTTTTTCGGATTACAAAGCAGAACGGATTTCCAGAATTATACCCCGTGAGTCATGTCTGGAGATGTATGTATCAAGAGTTATAGTTCTTTTATTCAAAAGGCAGTACTAACAAGCCCATAGCCGAGATCAAAGTTTGACCTAGAACCCAACCCTTTCGAGAGGTCATTTGCTACAAAGGAGTCGTCATTGTCCTTAAGCACAACCACAGGTCATCAGTCACGCAATGAGTCTAGCTCGGAGGTAGACACTGTGGGAAACAGCTCCGCTTATTCAAGCAACAAGGCGAATTTAGCATTTACGGGGGTACACAACCCACAGGAACATCCGAATATTCCACAACAACAGCAGCAACAACAACCACCTCAACAACCCCCTCAACAACCCCCTCATCAACAACAGCATTCCCACCTACCTTCGCAGGCGCATCATCAGACAAAATTACCGGGAATAACGCCTCCTTTGTTTACACCAGGTGGACGGAGGTTGCCACCATTGGAGCCTACTTCAAACCCAGGAACTCCCACGACCAATTTATGGAATAGTTTATTGAACGCATCAAATAACCCAACCAATCCAGTGGCACAACAAAATGGACAGTTTCATCTGACACAACAAAACTTCAGTCAATTTGGGTCACGCAAAACAGGGTTGACACCAAATGAATCAAACTTGAGGACTGGTTTAACGCCTGGTGGGTTCTCATTTGGTTTTGGCGGACAAGTGGGGACTGGTTTGTCTACCCCCAGTGGACTTTTGAATGGACCCATAACGCCTGGACTTTCGAGTTTGTTGGGTATACCATCGGGTAATAATAATATGTTGATGGGAATGTCTCACGCTGGTGCTCAAAATCCTGGGCCATCACAAATGCAACATTCGCAGTCAAACCCAACGCAATTGCAGCCACTTCCAAATACTCAATCGCAAATGCAAATGCAAGTGCAAGTACAGGCGCAACCACAGCCACAACCACAACCAGATCCTCAATCGCTACCAGATCCGCAAGCACAATCACAACCTCAAGCTCAACCGGATCCAAACCTGCAGTCATTACACCAAGAGCTTCCAGTGGCATCACCGTCAATGAATAATCAACAACTATCGTTGCTTCCTCCTTCTATTGTTCCTGAAAATCAGAAATTTCTCCCACAATCAGTAGCTCCCGTTGGTATAGCTCCACAAGGATCCATAACAACACGACCAGACTCCCAAGCACATCATGTCACACATTCAGAATCTACTTCCCTTCTGCATTCTCATCACTCATCACATCACCTGTCACATAATCCTTCTCAGGAGATATTACCAACCACAACAAACGGTCCTCTACCCAACTCAAATGGAATTTCGACAGCAAGTGGTGATACAGCCGAGAGCTCCTCTACATCATCCAAAAAAAGGAAAGGAAAGTCAGTAGGTATCAAAAAACCACGAGCTACAAAAGCTAAAAAGACAGGCACGGTAAAGGTTAAAGAAGGGCCGGGACAAGAAAAGACTCTCAACGGTGAGGAGAAAGAAAACCACGTTGATGAGAATTCAAATGACGGGAAGGGGAACAATGATGAATCTGAAACCAAGCCGGCCACAGGAAAGAAAAGGAGTGCCGGCGTCGATGATGAGAAACGCAAAAACTTTCTTGAAAGAAATAGAGTTGCTGCATCCAAATGCAGACAACGAAAGAAACAACTTATGCAGAAAATGGAGGATGAGTTGGCTTTTTATTCAAATGGTTATAGACAAACAAGTGCACAAGTAATTCAGCTACGGGACCAACTACTCAAAATGAAAAACATATTATTCGATCACAAGGATTGCCCGACCTTGGCCCTGTCGTGTGGTGGTGTTGAAAACTTGACAAGCATTATAGAGGAGGTAGATAATCTTATGAGCAATACCGAAGAAGCTGAAGAGCAAGTAAGTTCGATCCCTTCGACTATTCCAACAACTTACCATTAATGAGGGACGATGATACCTAATTACATAGTCTATATAATATTTCTCGTACCCACTGTATAATTATTTCTCCTTTGGTACCTTCGTATCCACTCCTTTTGTGTTGAAAACGTTTCTCAAAAACAATAGGACGCGAATCTTTTGGACATCATCGATGGATGCCAATCCATTCACTTTGGAAACAAAAACCGAGAACAAAAAAGAATCCATACACACATATTAGAAACACAAGAATAGTAAACATTCTGAATCAAGTGCTACCATTCTCAAATTTAACGATATTTAGAGTAGCACTCTAACACAACTGACAACTGTTGTTACAAATTCGAGATCCACATTATACCCCATGAGCAACCCTATACTATGTTGAAACATAAAGCCAACCCTCACAATTTCGAACTACCGAGCCTACCTCCGGAAAGTCCCATCAAAAGAACAACCGACTCTGGTATCATCCACCAAGACCAATTTACTAGAAAGAATTTGAAATCAGTGCTTCATTTGATAACGCAAGAGCTAAAAAAGAGAGGCACCAAGACTCCACATATCTTTCTACCCTTTAGATCAAGGATTAAAGATTACAAATTGAATGAATTGCTACTACAGCTTGCGCCACAGGGAGAATTGATTCAAGATGTCTCCAAATGTAAGGAGATTTTCTCGACAACAGATGAGTTTACGCTTATGTGTTGCCTCAAATACTTTTGGGCAAGATTGCCAAATAGTGAAATCATCGGACAAGACGTTTACCGTGAGTTCAAGCGGAAAGAGGCGGAGCAACATTTTCCCAAAAATGCATTTTTAACCATCATGCCAAAATGTTTATCATCGCCTGCTCATGCATCTATTGTTTACGATTTTCTTGATTTGATCTTGAACATAACGTCAAATGCTCCATATAATAACTTAAGTGGGAGGAAAATTAGCAAAATGGCTGGTATATGGGCATTCAATCCGGAAAAGCCGCTCTCCACCTCCATATTCTCAGACGATAGCATCGAAACAGAACATGACTTTGTGGAAGGTATCAACAATTGGAAAAAGACGACGGATGCAATGTTTCATTTGGTGTTGGCTTTTCTACGAGCAATGTTGCCCGAAAATAATGCTGAAACGTTAAAGTTACCCAAAACTTTGCAAAGTTTGCTTGTTACATCACAATACCCACCATCTTCTGAAAAGGAAAGCTCCAAGAGTATTACTATACCCTGTGTGTGTGTCACTACCACAAAACCATCCTCCACTGCATACGATTTGATCAGCAAAGTACGACAAAGCTTGACATTTGACAAACGAGATATGTTTTCTAAAGAGAATTACACTATATTGAAGAATGTGTTTGAAAAGAAAAGCACTAGTGAGATTGTTGACGTACTCACGGGGGAGTCCAGAAGGATAATCGAGCGGATCACTGAGGATGAAATTGACAATAAGTTCAACTTGAAGCCAGGATGGGCAGAGCCAAATATAAGTGCAAAGCTTTCGAAAAAAGATGTGCCTCTGATAACACGCATTGCTGTGAAAGATGTATCGATCCAGGACTATTATATTTGGGCTTGGTTATCCTCACTTGCTAGCGAACAACCACCACTGATCAAGAAAATATTTGGTAGATCAATTGTGGTTGAGGTGGAGGTTTTGGGATTTCAGAAATGGATAGTTGTTACGGAAAAGACAATGGATGATGATGCATATTACCGTGAGCGCAAGCTCATGCAGAAGGAGACGGTGCGTAAAAAGGATGAAAATACGCCATTGCCACCTATACCTGGTCAAAAGGTTTCTCAAGCAACTGATACGAAGCTGTTACCGTTACCTCCCACTCCCTCGGAGCCCTCTACTAATGGAGAAGCGAGTCTGGGTCGAGATGTTTCACCCGAACCAGTGTTACCGCAAGAACTTATCGACGTGTACGAGCAATTCGAGCAGCTGTTTGGTGATGACGAAATTGTTTTCCCCAACTCTGTTGATGCGGGTGAATTGATGCGACGTGAACAAATGGGTGCTTCCAATGATGCTGAGCTTGACATGAGTGATGTTTCTTCGAGATTTACAAAGGTCACAGTGGGTGATATGTATGCTGGGAGTAAAAGTACAACACCATCTAGGAAAGCACCTCCCGAATTAGAAAGAGACGTGTCTCCAACTCATCAATTGAAACAGTCCTCGCACATTGCAATTCCAGGGCTGTACGAGGTTCCATCTGAAACTGATAATCGAGATTCGAAGCAACTGGTCGAGGTGAACATGAATCCGGATCAGAATTTGGCTACTGAGTCCCCCACATATCAAGTCAAGAGTATGTTGATCAGCACCGATGTAGATGCCAAAGAGGAGAAAAAGAAGAAGAAGAAGAAGGAGAGAAAGTTACAGAAACAAGCAGAAGCCGCTCAGCTAGCTGCGGCTCAAGCAGCTGGATTCTCAACCATTCTACCACTCGATTTACCTCCTCCCGATATGGGTTCGCGGGATTTGTTAGCTCCGCCAGGATTAAATGAAACCACAGATCAGCCTCCAGTACGTCTAACACCACTACTACCAAACAAGGACGCATTTTTGGACAGTGTTGGTTCTCCTAATGGTGTGGGTAAAAATAAACCATTGCCTGTACCTGAAAACGAGTTAAGAGCTAGTGGTGATCACAATGGTATGGAATCAAATAATGACATAAAGTCATCTCCAATGCCGATGCAAACCGATGGTCATCATGATGTTAACTCGCCTATTTTGGATAGAGGTACATCTTTGCATGTACACGATCAAACAGTGGCAAACGAGTATTTGCCAAAGGCTATTCCGTCATATGTTGACAATGCTCAAGTTCAAATTGCCTCTCAACAAATGACTTCAGAGGAAGCTACTAGAAGGAGTTCACCATTTTCCAAGCACACTACACCATCGCCAATGGCTTCTCGCTCCCCTGTAAATGATTACAACAATGGCACTGTGCATCGAGGAAGTGCGCCACATTCTCATGAACGCATGCTGGCTCCGAACAGCGTGAGTTCACAAGGTGGACACAGTGATAAGTCCGATATGGTATACATGAACAAACCCACTCCAGTGAGCTACCACCATGATGTATCTCCTGCACCTTCGCTGCATCTGACGCAACTGAGATCACCAATTCCGCCCCAGCAAACACAGCAACAAAGGTATTATGATTTGGATGGTGTGTCTAGAGTTTCGAATAGAAGTCAGCTGCCAATGCAGCATTCACTGGAGCAAAGGCATCATATGATGCACCAGCAGCCATTGCAGCATCCACAACACTCACAACCGCCACCACCAGCACTGTATCTTATGTACCAGCAGCCAATGCAACAGCCAATGCAACAGCCAATGCAACAGCCAATGCAACAGCCAATGCAACAGCCAATGCAACAGCCAATGCAACAGCCAATGCAACAGCCAATGCAACAGCCAATGCCACAGCCAATGCAACAGCCAATGCATCAACAATCCATGGTTCAGCAACCAATGTCACAACCAATGTCACAACCTATGTACCAGCAGCCTATGTTACAACCTATGTACACGCAACTAATGCGCCCTCAACTGCCATCCCAAAAGCCACCACATATGCTGCAACACTCCTATGCACAACCTATGCACCAGTCTTATCCTCCGGCTGGGTATCAACCTCCACATCAGCATCGCCCAATGAAAGCAATGCCTGGTTGGCAGCAACAACCTTTGCCTGGACCTGCACCCGGTGGCCCAAGTCATTATCTGTCTGCGCCTACTTCGATGAACATGGTCCCAGTTGGTGTCAAGCACAACAAAAATAAGGCAGCCAATAAAGCCAATTTACGACATGCATTGATTGATGGTAATTATGGAATTTAGAATATAGAGAATATCAACTACAGCAACAACTCACAAATAAATAAGTAACAAATAAATAAACTAGATAAAGGTACAATCTCCTACATTTCTATTGATTTCTATGCATAGTCTCAATGTCGTTCAAATAACAATGCAAAGTTGCGAGGAAACGTTTGGTTTGACGATGTTTTGAAGCAACACAGAATGATATTGAATCATCTCTAATAATGTATCCAATACCGAACCCACTAGCGGAAACAGGTCCGAATCCAAAAAGACGCAAGGCTGGATTACCACAGTTCGAAGTTGACAAAATAGCATCATTCAATTTGTTCCATCCTGCATCAGCAAATATTGGGGGCACTGAATTAACAAATTCAGGTATAGCACCACCATACAGATCATTCAACACTCCTTGTTGGTATTGTTTCAAAAGTCTTGCCCATAAACAATACAAAGCGTATAAATGACGATCAACACCTTCGCCATTTGAAGCCAATCTAGTTTGCATCGAATGGGCCTTGCAAGCAACACTAAGTTTATCCAATTTCTCCTTATTGGTGGCATTGCGATCAAAATAGGTGTGAACAAAGTCATTTGACTGTTCGGAAACGGTTCTAATTGCTTCAGTTCTTCCATGGAAAAAGTGTTTTGTCATGGCTGGCTCATAAGTGCATTCAACTTTGCCATATAATGCATAGTATGTAGCTTGGAAAGCCATTTGAACAAATGCATCAGGACTAAATTTCATGTGTTTGATTTGACTTGATCCATACAGTCTGAATTCCAAATGTTCGATTTCATTTTGGTTTAGTAAATCGGATAATCTAGTTTCACCAAAACGTAAAGCAAGTGACAAGTCTGGTGTCAAGTCCCATTCCAACTTTCTTGGAATTGTAATCAAGTGTTCATCGGCAAAAGATGACTGTGTTTGGTTAAAAGTTGCATCTTTCCACAATGATGGTGCATTCTTGTTAATTGTTTGGGCAAATGACAAAATCGAATCAGTATAAATGTCAGAAACATATCGCAAAACAGTGTGACCATCAACCCCGGTATGTTCAAAATTGATACCAGCTTTACCATTTTTAGTGATGATAATTTGCAACTTGTCAAACCATCTGTTGGTACAGGTACCCACTTGGATACCCTTGTCCAAGATTGACAACCCACCCAACATATTCTGGGCCAATTCTGATAAATCTTCCAATTCAATATCATCAAGACATACAATGAATAGTGCTGAGTCAATAATGGACAACACTTCTTTATTGATCTTGTTTGTTGCTATTAAATTGTTTCTTACATTGGCCCATAATTTTCTGTTTTCAGTTGTCAACACACCAAATGATGATTTAGCAACATCGGTACTAGCTGTGGATAAGGAGTCATGTATAATTGAGCTAAAGTTTACATTCAATTCTGACTCACTCAAGATGATATTGTTCTTGGAGTCAAGTACATCAAACCAGTAAAATTGTGATTTTGACATGACAACAATGTGGTTTGAATTTGGATCTGTTTGCATCATACACCCATCGTCAGTAGGAATCCTTGATGCACCAAACAATTTTGAATATTGGTACATGCACAATGGTTTGCCATTTTTCAACTTGTCCACACTCAAAGTCTCATTCTTCAAAGCTTGGATAAACTTGAGTGAGGATAATGTAAGAGTTGCTGCTCTTTTGATTTGAGGATTGGCTGAGGTGGTTTCGTTTTGAGTAAAAGGATCATCTTCCAAAAGAAAGAATGGATTAACATTTAAAACCACTGGTGAGTCATAGCTTAAATAAGCGTCATACCAAAATTGTTCAATATAACTTGGTTGATCAGCACCATATTTGCGTAAACAATCGTCGAGATATTTGCCGATTGATTGAAGATTGTCATTGTCATTGTCATTGTTGTTGTTGTTATTGTTGTTGTTGTTGTTGTTGTTGTTGTTGTTGTTGTTACCCTTGAGGAACAGCTCCACTGCTGCTTTAGTTCTGGCATGTTCTTTTCTAGTTTGTAAGGGTTCCATAACCCTTAAATATCTCATGCATGTTTGCTCTAAATCCGGTATAGGTAATTTCTTCAACTGGTCTTGGTATTGGAAAGTGGACATTGGGAAAGGGAGAGTATGTGGTGAAAAAGGTGGTTCCTAGTTGTGAGTTGTACGCTCTCTTTCATAAGTTTAAATTTTGAAGGGATCTATTTCTCATATTTATAGTCTTTTGAAAATAACGCCATAAAAATCTAAACTTTTTTCTTGACCTTTGGAGATTTAGAAATAATTAATTTTGTGGAGAGATTGGTAGCATCAATTCTCGGAGTCTGATGTTTGTGTAACTTTAAAGAAAACGAAGTTGCGTCATTCAAAGACGGAAGTTTGATTCTCTTCTTATCCTGCTCAAGAAGACTTTACACAACTGATACGATGAGTTATGTGGTAGACAGAAGCCAACTAAACCTAGCAGAGGATTATAAGGACACTCAATTAAAAAGAGAGCATCTTCGTATAAGATCTCGCAATCATCAAGGGAGAAACGTGTCTTTCTCTTTTGTGGCGTGTTTGGATCTAACCAATCAGATTTCATCCCACAGTCACCATCACTGATAAGCTCGGAGGGCTCCCTTTTTTTTTTCTTTTTGGTTTCGGCTTTTGTTTTTTGTGGGGCAATAAACAAACAAGTAAAGGATTGTTAAAATTCTGGATTTACAGAACATCGGAAACATTAGCGAAAAAAGCATGGGCTTTTTTATTTTAGAAATCGATCATCTATGTTACTACAAGTCTACCTTTTCTCTAACACCTCTCACTTAATACCCATCTGCTTCTCCTCGTTTTCTCCAAAAGTCACTAACACCTTGCAATGTTCCATTCTTTAACCTTTTAATTCCATTCATTGCTGTCAACGCGCCTGTCTCCAAAAATGTGTGTCTCTTACTCTCCAACTTTTCGACAATAGCAGTTCCCTTAAATTCTTCTGCAAATGTGGTCATGTTTTCAATCATTACATCCTCGGGAATCAATTGATGATGCATTCTAGGGTACGCAATTGTTTCAAGTAGTCCGGTGTTTCTATAATACATTCTCACAATTGCTTGGAGAATCGTGTTTGTAATTCTACTTCCGCCAGCTGCACCAATGACTAAGTCGCTCTTGTTGTTGAAAGTTATGATGGTTGGTGCTGTTGAACTAAGAGGTCTATTTCCAGGATGGACAAAGTTGTAGATCGATGGCGTTAAATTAAATGCATTGCTGACATTTGGTTGACTGAAATCATCCATTTGATCATTAAGAACTATTCCAGTGTTTTTATCATAAATCATCGACCCAAAAAGCAAATTTACAGTTGTAGTCATGGCAACTGCATTATCATCTTTATCGACAATTGAAAAATGCGAAGTTCCTTGTGGTTCAACCATGTCATACTTGGGGTCATAATTATTCCATGAGAAAGTTTCATTTTCGGAAAACTTACCCTGTTCAAGTACCTCTTTAATCCATTTACCTTCACTGTACTTTTTGATCACTTTTTGTTTATTTGATAAATCACCCAATCGAGTACGAACAGAACTCGACCACTTGAAACTTTCAATCAATTTGTGGTTAAATAGCACTTCATCATCTGATCCATTGTACACTTCATGGAAAAAGTTTAATCCCGCAATCAATGAAATTCCCGATGATATCCCGTTGCTAGTGTAAAGAGTATGACCATTGATGGACGTTGTCAATGGATATTCAACATTCACATTGTAATTGGCGAAATCTTGTGGCGTAAAAATTCCGCCCCATTGGGCAATTGTATTCACCAATGATGGAGCGATTGGGCCATCTGGATCGTAAAATATGTCACTACTTCCATTATTGGCAATCAATCTCAATGTTTTGGCGTAGTTTCTTCGTTGAATGAAATCACCCTCTTTAACGAGATCCCCCTTGTCATTGAATATGAAATCCCACATCTTTTTCAACACTGGTGCTCGTGATAGCACCAACTCGTCTTCTTTTGCCACCACAGTTTCAAATACTTTTGAACAATTCCACCCATCCTCATTCAATTTGATAACTGGTTCAAATAACTGTTTCCAAGATAGCCTACCACTTCCGTGTTGTTTATAAAGTTCATCCAATCCTTTGAGCTCACCGGGGATCGCAATAGCGAGTCCGCCAATTTTGCTCAACACAAATGAGTTGCCAAACATGTTCTTTGACGCTAATGCCGGGGCCATTTCTCTTGCATCTATACTGATGATATCATCTTTGTCCACATTTCTGCTCAAAATGAACCCGCCTCCACCTATTCCTGAACTATGGGCATTTATTGAGCCAATGCACAATGCGACTGTGACTGCAGCATCTGCGGCATTACCTCCTTTTAACAAAATTTCCTTACCCATAGTGGAGCACACAGGAACATCACTTGCAACCATTGCTTTTTTGCCCTCATGTAGGTGCTCTTTGGAAGGATGTAAATCAGGTTGGCCTATTTTGTCATGAAGTGGGTCATCTGTGGCTTGCTGGAGGGTGAGATAAGGATCTGATCGAGAGATATCGTGAAATGGCTCTGGGTGTATGAAGTTACCTGAAAGCTGAAAGATAGTAAATACTATCAATAGCAATGCTGGGACGAGCGCCAATCCATACCCCGAGCGCTTGGTGTTGTTGAATGCTTTGCCTTTCATTGCTGACAATTGCTGTCAAAAAATTCTTATCTGTGTTTCGCGTTCGCAAATATCTTCTATTTCACTACAAATATGTTAAATTGTCTAGTTACTGCTGCTCAAGAAGTCCGTTCTCTTCTGAAGCATCTGTCTCTTGTCTGTTTTCCGCCTCAATTCGTTCTACTTCCCCCCTCTCTAGTTCCTCCGCAGTTTCGTTCCCCACAATATACTCGTAATAAATACAGAGTGATAAAAGTGTACCTTGCAAGCAAGCAGCAACTAAATAACTGACCCATGAGCTCCAATGCGATCCTTTGGTGAATATAAGTGTGGCGGCAAAGACAAACCCACCAGGGGTTTGTATACACATCATACCAATTGACAACGTTCCTGGATGTTTTAAATTATACGTGGTGTAAATCTGCGGCACATATTTGACAACAGTCAACGCAGCTGAAAGCAATCCATTGACATTGGCAATGGAGAACAAAACGGAAGTGGAGTTGAGATACCCAATAATAATTTGTATAACTGATAAAAACGCATGAAAAAGAACAATCTTTCCTACCCTAACTATCCTCTTGTATTCATGTTTGTCCTGTTTGATGGAGTTTCTCGTAATCACAAGCACAAACACCAAGATTAGAATGGCACACACACATTGGATGGAAATTTGAAATAGATTTAGTTGGGAGCTAATGCAATTGAACGTACTCAAAGCTCCACTATAGCAACACTCTCTTGCCCGTGAGCTTACCAAAATGATATTTGTAAGTGTGAATAAGGATGAGCTTGATCCAAGCAATAGGAAATCAGTTGAAAGCCCTTCAGAGGTTCTCTTGTCATAGATTCGTTTATACTGAGGGAGATAACTAATCAATATCCCTAGCGATATCAACACCAGAAAGATGAAATTAGCGGTTGAGGCACCATCGAATATGGAGCAGTTCAAGAATGGATCATCTGGTTGATCTCTGGAAAGTAGATTGTCTTGCATTGTAGTGGTGGAGTGTGTGTATGTGTGTGACCAGCTCCACAATTATTTTCCTTTGCTTTCCTTCAACAAACGCATACTCGACTTTGTGTAACGCACATAATCCGAGATATTATATTTGTATGCAGAAAGAGTGCACTCCGCGTTGAAAATTATTACTCCATGTAATAACCTTTTGCTGCACAAATATCGCTCACAGATATTACCGCAAACTATTCCATGCAATTCCACTCGGAATGAGCGATATGCTTGACATCGATTGCGGTTTCAAAAGTGAATATAAATAGGTGAGGAAATCCTCCTTTCTTAGTGACAATTCCATCATCTATATCGGAAACATCTCCTATAATCACAAACACACACTTAACAAACAATCAATCGAAAATGGCTAGACCAAAGGTTTTATTAGTTCTTTACGCTGGTGGTAAACACGCTCATGAAGAAAAGAAATTATTGGGTGCAATTGAAAACGAATTGGGCATCCGTCAATTCATCGAAGATCATGGTTACGACTTGGTTGCAACTACTGACAAAGACAGACCAGGTTCTGCTTTTGACACCAACTTGGAAGATGCTGAAATTGTCATCACTACTCCATTTTATCCAGCATACTTGACCAAGGAAAGAATTGCCAAGGCACCAAAATTGAAGATTGCCGTTACTGCCGGTGTTGGTTCTGACCATGTTGACTTGAACGCCGCCAATGAAAGAGGCATTGCCGTTTTGGAAGTCACTGGATCCAACGTTCAATCAGTTGCTGAGCACGCCGTCATGACCATGCTTGTTTTGATTAGAAACTACAACATCGGTCACTTGCAAGCTACTTCTGGTGGCTGGGATGTTGCCGCTGTTGCCAAACAAGAGTACGACTTGGAGGGTAAAGTTGTTGCCACTGTTGGTGCTGGTAGAATCGGTTACCGTATCTTGGAGAGATTGGTGCCATTCAATGTCAAGAAGTTGTTGTATTACGACTACCAACCATTGCCAGCTGAAGCTGAAGACAAATTGAACAAGGCTTCCAAATTGTACAACGATGTTGACACCATTGTTGAAAGAGTTGAAAGCTTGGAAGATTTGGTTGCTCAAGCTGATATTGTCACCATCAACTGTCCATTGCACGAAAAGACCAAAGGTTTGTTCAACAAGGAATTGATTTCAAAGATGAAGAAAGGTGCTTACATTGTTGACACTGCTAGAGGTGCCATTTGTGATGCTGATGCTGTTGCTGAAGCTTTAGAATCTGGTCATCTTGCCGGTTACGGTGGTGATGTCTGGAACGTCCAGCCAGCACCAAAAGACCACCCATGGAGAAAGATGCACAACCCATACGGTCCAGAATATGGTAATGCCATGACCATCCATGTTTCAGGTACTTCATTGGATGCTCAAGCTAGATACGCTGCTGGTGTTAAACAAATCTTGACCCAATACTTTGACAAGACTTACAAATACAGACCACAAGATGTCATTTGTATTGATGGTCACTATGCTACCAAAGCTTACGGTCAACGTGATGCTAACAACAAAGAAAAGTAGATACTAGGCTGTTTATAGGAATTTAGTTACAGCTAAATAACCGATACAAACCTTTTCTTCAAGTAAGAAACAAAGCATTAATGGCACTCACAAAAATAAATCCATTACATTTTGATTCAACAAATGAGTAAATTCCACTAAAACCTCATTTGAAACTGTGGAACTATGAAACACTAGAACAATCGAAGCTGATGCAAGTTTTCAGCAACAGACAACTGAATAAATCTTGACTCAAATCACTACCTTTTTCTCTTTTTCCGAGAGCTCTCGTTCGTTTCTGGCTCTGGTTCTACTTCGAGTTCGTCAATCAACTCCTCGAAACTTTTCAATTCTAAAGCTACGAGATTTCGAAGAATAGCGTCATTCAGCATCAAAATCCAGCAAGAAATCAAACTCTTTTTGTTTTATGTATCAAAATCATAAGTCTCAATCTCCATAGTTGATTTTTGCTTCTTTGCACCATCATATTCACCCCCAATGAATTGCAGTCTATTCAATGATGTGGGCGACAATAAATAATCCACCGTGCTGTTGTTGAAGATTAGATACTTTGACAACTGGATTAAAATCGCTTTCTACGTTTTGGTATTATTGAAAAACGCATTTGGTTTTTTGCGCTTAACTTCCGTTACGATTTTCATTCCTGACTCTAGGGTTGCAACGACATCAAGTATTTTCGTCCCTTGTTTTGAAGGAGATGAGTGCTGCTCTTTCATCTCTCATTGAAGCATGGTGGCAAGAATACTACAATTTCAAAATGTTGTATCGTTTTGAAATGGTAAAAAATGAGGCGAAAAAGTGTACAATCAAATCTGTATAGTTCAAAATGATAAACAATCGCATCACCACTCATTTCGCTGATGTAGTTCATTAACGTCTCTGAAGACACTATTGTATATGAATTGGTTTTGTCGTTATTGACATCTTTATGGTACTAAAATTTTTGATGAGGGTCGTCATCTTCCAATGGGGGTTCTTCCTTTAAAGAAAATGGCTCATAAATGTGGATGTTTCGTATAACTTTGCTTTTGTGATGAGGCAAAATCTTGAATGTAAAGGAGCAGATGCAATGCCTGGTGTTGGCTTAATTGGCGAAACACAACTTGTAGTACTTCACAAGGCAAATCTGATAAGCAATGCATTCGACTAAGATCGGGCAATTGACGCACTTGTGAGAAACCGGCAGGACTAAATACTTCCGAGTTGATGTTGGCGTTCCAATATTGCGCTTCTCTCTGTTCTTGCACCTCTCACGTGTGCTGAATGGTCCTCAATTATTGTTGCCTGAAACCAAATTAGGCTCATGCCGAGCAATGAATTTTATGTATTTTGTGCTGATGATTTCCCCCCCCCTCCTCATGGTGGAATGGAGCTTCAACGTGCTTTCACCAAGGGCGGACGCAACTTAAGCAATGAATCTCACATCAATTGTAGTGTGATTCATTTGATCAAGTGTAAAAGTTTGAGCCCACTTTCTTGAAGATTTTTGGTAGCTCAGAGATTTCTTTCGAAATGGATAAATACAATCTTTTGTTGTGGGCATCGGTTTTGTTAAACAGCAACTCTCACAAGTTAATCAATGACATGTCTAGATGGGCCATCGATGCCACCAATCGAATCCGAAATGAGACCGTGCCGGGGTCCTCAAAGTATATCTTGCGCGAACTTAGTGAGCAATTTGCGATAGCATCAACAAATATTGAGGGTCATTACTTGCAAGTTAGGAACGATGCAAATCATTTGGAGTCATGGATGAAAAGAGTGGTAGAGGGGGGTGAGGATGTTGATGGGTTGATTAAAAGTGGGTCGCCAAAAAGGGTTCCACCTCAACTAAGCTCCAGTTTTAAGACAGATGTCCAGAATGTTCTACCATCCCCGAAATCGAGAGAAGTTACCATTAAGATCCCGTTGGAGCCACTGGAGAGTATTCAAGCTGAGGATGTAATAAAGAGTGAGGTTTGCGGGACCATAGTAGATACTAATGACTCCATCAAAATATCACCAGCGAGAAAGCCAACTCGATTATCCCCACATGCAACTAAACAGACTGGGTCGATAAAGCACGTGGGCATTTCAAAGATACATCCACTAAAAGAGCCTGTCGCTTTACTCGGTACCAAAATTGACCCCAGAAAATCGCCAGTGCGACTAATACCGCCAACAACACCAAAGCAATCCCTTGCTTCTTCTGATAGTGAAGATTCGTTTCAAGCAATAAGCGCAGCGATAAAGCGAAACGTTTTGGAAAAAGAACTTACGTTGAGGGGTAAGAGTGAAGGAAACCTGCGCGACACCATACAATGTACCCCTCGAAGGCCAAGCTCAAAGTTCGTACCACTTCCGGCTAGAACACCCATTGTGTTGAATAGAACGGCACATGCGGCAGACGAGATGTCAACAAAGCCCCCTCCCATCATATCAATCAAAAATAAATTTTCACCTCGGAAACTGCCAGCGAAGAGGAACTCGCCTATACCGAAACTAGTCAAGGTTCCTCTAAGTCTGCAGGCAATTGTCATCCCTCCAAATTCAGATACGTTTGAACCAAGCCACCTGAGATCTAGCTTTGAAGTGAGCAAGGACGAGCAGCCGCGATCAAGTGCTAGTTTGTGGGGCAAGATTGGTGAGTATAGGCAATTATCTCCAAAGAAACCACCACAGAGCTCTCCAATGAAACCACCACGAGGCTCTTCCAAGAAACCACTACAGAGTTCTCCAAAACGATCACCGCAGTGGAATGTGAAAAGATCACCAGTTCATGGCTCGAGTCCACTACGACAACAACCATCGCTAAAGTCTCCGTCGAAAATTGCCATACCACAACTCAAAAGTCCCAAGTTGGATCATGTTGCTGCTCCGACAGTGTCTAGTGCTGCAAAGAGAAAGAAGCAAGATGTAAAAAAGTTTGAAAATAGATTTCTCACAACAACTTTGCAACGAACGCCGAGAACATTTGATAGGGCCAAGAGTACAAAAGTTATGGAAAAACCACCAAAAGCTCAACCAAAGGTTGATATTCAACGCCCGACGAAAAAGTCAATGATGGAACAACGAAGTGAGGCAGCTGCATTAAAGGCCAGACAAAAAATTGTTCTCAATTTAAGGAAATCGGAATCGAAAGTTTTACGTGATGAGGTAGAGCAGGTAGAACCACCGAAAACACCAGTCAAATATACCCCGGATAATCTACCCGATGTGCATTCTGATGATAACCACTCACCTAGCTCCAAAGTGCTTCAACCGTGGGGCAGCACACCAGAGCTATATAGGATTGCCAAAAGCAAGAAAAAAGTCGACCCGTTCAAAATATTTCACAAGAGTAATAGAGTCAATCTACTGGAAGTGTTCAACAAGCATGTCACTGCACAGTCACCTGCACCCACACCTGATGAATATCAAGCAGCCAAGTATTCCAAATCTATGGGATTTCATTAATGTACTTGATTATTGTAATTCCTTTCTTGCTTGTAGAGCTGCAAATTTGTTCCACTGTGATGGCCATGAATCTGCCTCTGATTTGGGCACTACATACAACTTTAATGCACCATCGAATAGTGGCACTTTAGGTGTATCTTTCATCAACGCTTGATTAATCTCTATTTTTTTACCAATTTTGACCAACCCACCACTTATTGTTTCCATAAAGCAGACTAATGTTTTCACGTGAAACTCTTTATGTTTTTCATCAAACCATTCTTTTGGTCTATTGAGTATCAACTCCAATATCTCCAAAGGTGTACTTAGCTCGCTTACTTCGGCAATGAAATCAAACTCATCTATCGTAGGGTATAATATTAGAGCGGGAAATATTAATTGCGATTGATAATCCATAGGATCCTCGAGTCGGATTTTTGCTTCCTTTATAATTTCAGGGGGGTTGATACTTTTCACTACCTCAATATGTCTCAATTTCATAGAAGTGGTCAAAATTTCCTGCTTCATTTGCTGCTCCTTCAACTGATGCTCCTTCTTTGATTTCTGCTCTTGCACCTCGGCAATTTTCTTTTCAACTTTATCTAACAAGATCTTTAGATCTGCATTCTCACCAAAGCCCAATCCATACTCGAGGATTTGCTTTGCTTCGTCGAGTCTGTCAATCGCCAAAAATGCCTTTCCTGATCTAAAGCATGCTTTTGCATTCTTTTCATCAATAAGTAAAGCCTTTTTACAATCCTCTATACATCGACGATAGTTGCGTAGATCGAGGTTGCACGCGGCTCTGTTTAAATACAATGCCTTGTTTAATTCATCCACTCCACAATCCACTTCCAATCCCTTTGTATAATAAATCAATGCATTCTTGTACTGCTTTGCTTTAAAGCAGTCGTTCCCTTGGTTTTTGAAGTTTGTTGCTATCTCTTCGGGTTCTCCCTCGTATGCTAACGATTTTAGTGCCTCTAGTTCGGTATTCTCTCCTCCTTCGCCATCAGTTTCATCCAATTTAGTCATGAAAAAAGGCAAACGATTGAGTTCTTGCATCACCTCATCAGCACCCTTGTTGGCAAATTGTGCAATCTGAGGTGGCAATTCAGGTTCCCCATCTTTAGGAACATACTTTCTCCTCTCCCATTCTGCTCCGTAGTTTTCGCCTTTTGGAATCTCTATTTGAACCATTATCGATGAGATGAAGCGCAATATATTAATTTTTTTTTTTTTTTCAATCTACATGTCTATTCAAATTTATCAATAAAGAGTCATCTAGTTTGTGTCTGCTCTCGTCAGGTGGGTTGGCACACCACATTGGTAAAGCCCAGCTTGCCATTGCAATTGCGCAGAAGACCGAAGAGAGCCACATGAATGTCATCCATGCAGGTCCCGAAGTAAAGCTCACTCCAAAATCACCTAATTTGGATTTGACCTCGCTTGTGGTGAGATTTATCAAGTTCGTGATTAAAGCCAGTTCAATGATGGAGCTGCAGAATCCAATCACTGATAAAATAGATATAACGTGTAGCACAATATTTGGAATCCTACTAAGATCTTTTGTTGGGCCCCGATTGGCATAAATTACTAACAAAGCAAATAACAAAACAGCCTGAACGCAAATTGTGAATATCATGGCGTTTATACCCAACTTGAATCTTTTTTCTCTTTCATTTATAAACCGGTCATATGTTTCATCCGTGTATAGTCGACTTTGATAAGCATAAGCTAGGATACTTTGAAGTCCAATGGATAATAATTGTGAGCGGTAGTCGAAAGCGATTCCTGAATTGCCAATACAAGTTAACAGCTCGTTTCTTCTTCTAATAATCTCCTCCCCGTTTGTTCCATTCACCGAGTAAGTGTCATAGTTGCCAAAACAGAATCGCCATAGTGATGTCAAACAATACTGTGGTGCCTCACCAACTTGTTCCTCGGCATAATCTGTCAATAGTTGAATATCACTACTGGTTAATCCAGATCCCATAGGTACATAGCTTCCATCCCCCACGCCTAAAATGGAAGTAGCGGCACCAACGGAATTCTTCAAAGAGTTGTAAAGCCCACGTGAAACATCCAACCGGGAACAATTGACCCTAGTTATGTAAAACGATTTAATAACAATAGGACCAACTAACATCAACAAAATCATCACAATCGCGAGGCACGTACTGGATAACCTCAAACTAAAGAGGATTTTCTCCTCCTTGGAAAGGGTGGATATCGACAGGGTAAACTTTGTAAAGGGTCTTCGTAGTAGCATTGCTGAAAGGAGTGGGTGATTCAGAGACTTTTTTTTTTTTTTTTTCTTTCAACGCGAAATTATATTCAAATTCTATGTACAGCTTTTTTACTCAATGATTCTGGTAACCAACCCAGTTCCAACAGTCTTTCCACCTTCCCTAATGTTAAAACGTTGGTTCAACTCCAAGGGAGCTTTCTTGATTAAAGTTCCCACCATTTCAACATTGTCTCCTGGCATAACCATTTGTGAGTGGTCAACACCTTCACCTTCTGGGAAAGTAAATGTCGTGGTAACATCACTAGTTCTAAAGAAACATTGTGGTTTGTATCCTTCACTGAAAGGGGTACTACGTCCACCTTCTTCAGCAGTCAAGATATAAATGGAAGCCAAAAACTTTTGGTGTGGGGTGGTGGTACCTGGTTTGGCCAAAACCATACCCCTCTTGACTTCGTCTCTCTTGACACCTCTCAACAAAATACCACAGTTGTCACCGGCCATAGCGGCATCCAATTCCTTTTTGAACATCTCAATACCCGTGGAAGTAGCCTTAAATGAGTTTTCACCAATGACTTCTACTTCTTCACCTTTCTTCAACATACCTCTTTCAACTCTTCCGGTGACAACGGTTCCTCTACCTGAAATAGAAAACACATCTTCCACTGGCATCAAAAATGGTTGGTCAGCATCTCTTTCTGGAGTTGGAATATATTCATCAACAGCATCCAATAATTTTTGAATGGCTTGAACACCGATTTCTGGTTGTTTACCTTCTAAAGCACACAAGGCTGATCCCATGATAACTGGAGTGTTTTCACCATCAAACCCATAAGAGCTCAATAATTCCCTCATTTCCATTTCAACCAATTCCAACATTTCTGGGTCATCAATGGTATCAACTTTGTTAACAAAAACAACCAAGTTTTGGATACCAACTTGTCTCGCCAACAACATATGTTCCCTAGTTTGAGGCATTTGACCGTCAGTAGCAGCAACAACAATAATAGCACCATCCATTTGAGAAGCACCAGTGATCATATTCTTGATATAATCGGAGTGACCGGGCAAATCGGAGTGAGCATAGTGACGTTTATCAGTTTCGTATTCAACATGGGCGGCGGAGATAGTAATACCTCTGGCACGTTCCTCTGGAGCACGGTCAATTGAACCATAGTCTAAAAAGCTTGCTTGTCCCTTTTCGGCCAAGACTTTTGTGATGGCAGCGGTCAAAGTTGTTTTACCATGATCAACGTGACCGATAGTTCCCACATTGACATGTGGTTTTGCACGATTGTAAGCAGCTAATCCTCTAACAAGTTGAGGGCGTGCTGAGATTGCCAAACGTGGTAACGATACTGCGAACCTCTTGAACATGTTTGATTGATGTAGGCTAAAAAGGATTGATTGAAAAATTTTCAACGGATTTTTTTTTTTTTTTTTTGATTCGCTGTTGTTGTTAGGAACGGTGTTTCCATTTTAGGAAATAAGAGCCGCATTGAAAAGTTTCTGCTGCAAAATCCACCTCATCGGATATCAAAACATGAAAGACATAGAGCCGCCTAGTGAAGAAACCCTTTTGAATAATATCCTCCCCAGCTATGACATGTTTAAGAGCACCATTTCGCTCGAGTTGGAGCCACTGGATGAGAATTACACAGTTGATCCGCCCACTTACGATGATCATACGATGACGCCGGTGACTTCTGCTAGAGAATCAGAGACTCCGGATGCTGAGGTGCTTGTTGATGATTACTCAGGGAGCGCTGAAAACAATCTACAGGAAACGATTTTGGCCAATATGGATAACCTACCCAGCTTAAAGGGGAATGCAAAAAGTGATGGTCTTGACGTGAAGATAAGTTTTACTGAAACAGTGGGTCAAGTTGGAATCAAGCCGGTTATGACTGACATCAGTGCAAGAGAATTCAAGCAAGGTGATTTTCTTCACGGATATGTTACCATCAAAAACACCACGGAGGAGGCCATAAAGTTTGACATGGTTTATGTATTGTTTGATGGGGTGGTGGCTCTAAACACTGACACCTCCCCCAACAAGCATACCTTTCTCACAATGGTAGATCTATTTGCCTCCTGGAGCTATGCCAACATTGACAGGTTGGTCACGGACAAGGGGGATCCTCATGATTGGTGTCCAGGGGAGATCGATCCATATGATGGAACTTCCCTTTCAATTGACGCAAGAAGACTTTTTCAACCAGGAGTAACCTACAAGAGATTCTTTACTTTCAAGATCCCCCAGAAATTGTTGGATAACACTTGTGAGAAGAGTTTGCCGCAGCATGCTGAACTTTGTCCCACACTTGGAATAAACAGGGATGAAGTTCCAGTCAGCATGTTGTTGAGCTCATCTCGAGTGAGGGACCTAGCCATGGTTAACTCTTTTCTATCATACAGTGTTTCTGCAATAATCATTGGTCGGGCAAGCAACTTTGGTGTTGATACGGTGAACGACAAGTACGTTATTGTGAACCGTAAAAACGCACCAATAAGGTTACTTCCCGAGCCAGCATATTTTGATTATGATGCAAACATTCACTACCAAGCTTTTGTTAGTTCAATTGAAGAGTTGATCAAGCCCGATTTTAGTTCATCAATGAGTCAGGAGACGCTAAAAGTGAAGCAATTGTATCATCAGAGGAATTTGGAAAAGAGTGGCTACTATCAATGCGTTGAACCATTTAAGAAGAAAACATTGACTGGGTCATCCAATATGGGAATCATTACCATGTCATCAAAGAAAACAGAGTATTGTATCAACTACACTCCTCCCAATCACGGGCTTAAGTCAAAGATGATTATTCCTATTGAGATACGTTATTCTGGCACATCTCAAACTCCGATCATCAAAAAAGTAGAGGTTGAGTTAGTTGCAATGACAATTCAATCAAAACGACATCCCATCCCGATTGAATTCACCAACGAAATGTTGTTCAATGACCAGGAGATACTATCCAATCCAGTGACAAACAACTTTGACACAATCATAATTGGCAAGTTTAACAAGTACCTCCAGAAAATGAGCCAAGCTGTAAAAGCCGGTGCCAAGATTGAGTATCTGATTTACCGTGATGTCAAAACTTTAGCTTCCCTCAGCACTAAATATATCAACTTATCAGTGCCCGACATTGAATTCTACCAAGATGACACAAATTTAAAGCTCAATTCAATGCCTTGGGAATCTAATGAAAACGATCTTGTCACGAAATTTTCAATTGCCATGGATCTCAACAAGTGCACTTTGAAAGGAGTAAATAACACTGTCAAAGGATTGGATAAGATTACCCTAGTTCCCACATTTCAAAGTTGTTACGTTAGCCGGATGTACTATATCAAGGTGACGGTCAAAACTAATGGTGCTACGCTTGTGTTGAACCTTCCACTTCGAATTGAGCGCTGATGCAGTATGACGTATAGATTAAGTGTTTGTCTTTGATTATATATTTACGATCCCTTGTCAACTCTTTGTTCATCCTTGCGTAAATACTTTGAATGCTGAATCTTCTGAGGCAATGGATGTAGCTGGCCTTACTTAACGATGTGGGAATTGCGCTTTTGTAGATAGCCATTTTACGACACCAACAGACGAAAACTTTTGCAACAAGAAACGGAAAAAAAAAAAAAGTCTCAGAAAACTCAATCACTCCATTTTATTTTCGTAGGCTGCTTTTACTCTGGCATTAGCACCATTCTAATACCGTCTTGTCATTGTAACTCACCATCTCGCAAATACTCATGACATGTTGTAAGAACACGTTGTCGTTAGACTTATACCCAAGAGATATCTTACAACAAATTGTATTCAAGGCAGGTGCCAGCAACCTCATTGAGCTTCTAAGTAGTAAGGAATTCTTGCAACAGAACCCAAATCTCAAGCTGGCTATTGATTATGAAATGACAGAGAACTCTTACACTTACGATAACAGATCAGCAAAACCAAACAGATTAATCTATTGGACGTCAATCAAAAAGGTGAATACATCAGATTTCAAGAATTCGAAAGAGTTCGAAGAGTTCTATGATTATTGCGTAAGAGCGTCAACAGAAACGCAAATGAACCTTTATTACAAGGTGGAATTTGCCCCCGATTTTCTCGAATTACTCGGCTTGCTTCAAAACTTGAAGTCTAGCAACTCAGTAAAGTTGTTCTTGAATTTGGACTTTACGAGCTGTCACTTACACTTTGTCGACTTGACTCAATTGTTTGCTTCCATGAGCCACTTGAAAGATTGCCTCATTGGGTTCTCTATCACTGGTGGATATATGACAAATTTTAAAGGAATTATAGATTTGGAGGAACTAAGAGATGTGGAGGAATTGAGTATTAGTGGTTGCAAAGTTAGTGGCTCATTCTCAAGATGTCGAAAATTGCAGAAGCTCTCCTTTGTACCAATCGATGGGGATAAGAGCCTATTTGATATATTAGAGCTTCCATGTTCTTTAAAGTGCCTCGAATTTACTGATTATAGTGCATCTGAGCCAAGATCACATGATGGAGCCACGTTTCCTTGTCTTGATAGTATCTCAATTTGCTGCTTTGAGGATCCTTTGCCAATTTTGGTGAGTGATGTCATTCGTTTAATGACTGGTCCTAATACTCAGAATATAGAATACTCGTATGAAAGTGACGACTGTGTTGATGATTTTATTCTGTTAGTAAAAGAGGCTTCTAAAGTAAAAGGTTTCACATTGAAGAGATTGTCTATTGAAGGTCATCTTTCGAAACCAATCGACATATATCCCTCAGAGCTGTTTGAATTACTTTATGCCGATGATGAAAAAGTAACTGGCCAGTTGCAATTGCCTTCCACTTTGAAAAAATTGTCTATGGGAGATGATTACGGCTTTAACCCACAGATCATAAAACATCTTCCTCCTCGGTTAGACTATTTGCGTTTGATGAATAAAGGAGGAAGTTGGGACAATGTATACACTGGCTTTCCCATGACGCTAAAATGTTTAGAGTTGCCTCGTACGGGCATTAAAGATGTCGTTGGATTTGCTTTCCCCCAAACGCTTGAGGAATTAGATTTGTCTAGTAATGAAATTGAATCCATTGAAGGTGTTGCATTTCCTAGATGCTTACAAAGTTTGAATTTGAGCTTCAATGAGATTAAAGAAGTATCTGGAGTGAAATTTCCTGTGACATTGAAGCAGCTCAATCTCTTAGGCAACCCTATTGAAAGTGTTGATTTACTGCATAATGAATTTTTTGAGACATTACGCGTTGAAACTTTATACATTGGATGCAAACACCCTGGTAATCTATCCTACAATTTACCGAATACATTGCAAGATCTTCATTTCAATCTTTGCGAAAATTTATGTCAGGAATTTTGTGGGAACTTAGTCAGCATTCGACTAGATTCATGCCTGTTGAGTTCGGGTGAGCTTTTTAAGAAGCAGTCAAAATTGCGATATTTGAGCATCTCCAATTGTCGCTTGGTTGATGTAAGTGTCAATTATCCACAGTCATTGGAGGAGGTGCACTTAATTTCAAATGGCCTTTCACGCGTACCCACACAACTTGGTCAGTTGAGTAACTTGAAAAAGTTGCGGCTTTCAGACAACGAGATTCCACGGGCTGTAATTGAGTTTAAACAAAACACTTTAGAGGTATTGGATTTGTCGTATAACAAAATTGAAACGATTCAGTTGTCGTTTCTGGATGGTCCCACCCAGCTCAAGCAAATTGATTTGAGTCAAAATGAGCTCAAAAGTATAACAATGGGACATTTGGGTCATGGTAACGGAACTTTCCACAATAACTTGTATGAATTGGATTTGGCGTATAATATGTTAATGGGGGAGCAGGTATTAGCATTGGTTTCAACGTTGCCAAGATCTGTTCAATGCTTATGGGCTGATAGTGACACTGGTGGTGTACTTCGTGCTGTCAATTACTTATGAAACCTGCGTCATATTTAGGCTATGTTAGTGTGTGATGAAGAGCAGCACTGGGTATACTTTGCTTGCAAACCATCAAATGACTGAATCGTGGTTGAATAAATATCTCTTTATCATGCCAAAAACGTCTAAATTGATGGGATTTAGTCTTGTAACAAATGGATCGAAACTATTGTAACCGACTGCAAAATTCCTAGCACATTGAGGTTCTTCTTCATGGGGATTATTGTCATGATAAGGCAATTCGTTTCAACTTGTCCACGCTAGATCTGAATTTTTGTATTTCAAGTAACCCAATGAGATAATATACTGGTTAATATTGAGGTCCCCAAACTTACTCTTGTGTCAATTTTGAGCGTAATATGGTATTTTTTAATGTCTTGACAAACTCGATCATTAAGATGACGACCTTCTCTCTGCGCTAAGTGAGCAATCTAAGTTTGGTTGGTGCAGCGTAAATAACTTATGCAATCATCGTTTGTTACATGTGAACCAATTGGGAGGTAGTTTCAATCGGAATAAGTTATTGCGTCCAGTGTTAAAGAAACATGTCTTTTCCCTTGTTCAAATCAATTCTGTAAACAATCAAAGCTCAGGAGAGGTCCTGTTCGTAATCATCGGCTTCTCTGAAGGTGTCGTCTTTCAATTGCATTCTTGCTTTTTAGTTGACTGATCTTGTGGAAGTGTAAAGCACATTTAGAAGAAATTGATGTCATTATTGGAGGGGAACCTTTTTCAAAGAGTGCGCAATGAAAATCAAAATCACTACACAACCAACAAGTAGTACTCCTCCATTAGCAACCGCTCAAATGTTTGAATAAATACACACTCACTCCATTGCTCCCCTACGAAGAGAGCTGAATCCTGTCCTTCCAAACAAGCACATCCGCTGCTTTTCAAATGGCAATGATGATAACAATGCCATTCCGATTTGAAATTCGAAGTTGCCACTCCCAACCAATCAATTCAGACTTCTAAATCTGAATTAATGTGGCACATCTCAAATCATTGCTTCAAATGCGGTCTCATCACAAATTTTTTTGGGTCAGTATAATCACTGTGAGAACACCTTTGCAAAAGAGGCTTTCAAGGTTGGCAGTTTTCCTTTTCTGGGTCGCTGTTATGTTTACCTTTGTTTTTGTGGATCACAAAAGAAGGATGTCACCAAGATTGTGGTAATATGGTTCCATGAAATGGCTGATACAAAGTGAGGGATTTGCCATTTTGTGATTGTTTTTATGATTTTTTTGCCCTCAATATTGCAAGACTGTGCTACTGTGTTTTCACGTCTGGATTCCGAGTTTCAATTCTCGATTCATAGACAAACCATTTATAGCTCAAGCATTATAGCATTTTACATCAGCCTATTGGTCTCTAAGGGACAAGTAGCCACATTCTAATAGCTCCACCAGTATTGGACATTATGCATTCATAGTAGTGTCAGTGGACATCACATGCGCATATAGTACAACGTCCACATCTTCTTAGTACCATATCATACAAAGTTGTGTCTTCGTTTAATGTGTGTTCTCATTTGTTGTAGTCTCGTTGTGGTTTTGTTGATCTTCTTTGCTTTCATCGTAAACACGCGTTTTTGTGTTTTGACGCAAATATTTCACGACACAAAAGAATATGAGACTCTCAAGGCTCAATAAGCACACCATTTAAGTAAAGAGTGTGATACCTAAAGAGACCAAGACCATGTGTTTCTTATTAGAGGGCACAGTAACCATCATTTGACAGTCTTAATTACGTTCTATCAAACAAGTTACAGGTTGTTTCCTCTTTGATATTTTGTAAAGAAATCAAGAGAAACATCATAAACCTCTAAACTAATTGCATGCACAATGAACAAAAAATAAAGATGATGAGTGGGTAAGTTATTGTAAGACACAGGTAAGACAATGGATACACCAACTAGTTCATAGTGGTGTGTGTAAGTGTGGATAGATGGGGTTTTTGAACTGAGAACTGAGGTCCGGATGTTGATTATACTGAGGTCCGGATTGTTGATTATACTGAGGTCCGGATGTTGATTATACTGAGGTCCGGATGTTGATTATACTGAGGTCCGGATGTTGATTATACTGAGGTCCGGATGTTGATTATACTGAGGTCCGGATGTTGATTATACTGAGGTCCGGATGTTGATTATACTGAGGTCCGGATGTTGATTATACTGAGGTCCGGATGTTGATTATACTGAGGTCCGGATGTTGATTATACTGAGGTCCGGATGTTGATTATACTGAGGTCCGGATGTTGATTATACTGAGGTCCGGATGTTGATTATACTGAGGTCCGGATGTTGATTATACTGAGGTCCGGATGTTGATTATACTGAGGTCCGGATGTTGATTATACTGAGGTCCGGATGTTGATTATACTGAGGTCCGGA